CGCGTTGTCCCAATTGTCCCAAAGAGATCGATCCCTCCTTCTAGCACTGGGAAACAGTGTCTCGAGCCTAGGCTATAACTATAGATCGCGGGTGTGCGCTGCTTTGGGTCCAAAGATTTGAGATACGTGTACGGCAAAAGGGCGGGCATGGGGGGGCAGAGCTATGATGACACAATGCGGTCCTTCTGGACTGACCTAGGGGGGTTTCAGGGCGACGATATGCGCAGGTTGGACTGTGTATAGGAAGAGAAATGTCAGGACACTCAAATAGGTGTGTCTGTGTGTGGGGTTGTGGAGCTTGAATTTCCGGGCCATCAGGATCATCTGAGCTTTGGTCAGATCCACAGATGTGGCCCCGAATGGGTTTGGCCTGGAAACGGTGCCCAGGCCTGCCAGGTGCCAAAAGCATGCGACACACTGGCATTTGCTTGCGGCGGATCCGACGCGAGACATACGGGGGGGCGGGGGCTTGCTTTTGGTTCATTGTGTCGTCCGCCTCCTGCTCGGCGAACTACGCATGCGCACAGGCGCGGCGAGAGGATGGGGATAGGTGCCCTTTTAGGCCTTTTACATGTGGTGCCTCTTCTGTTCGGAAGCCAAAACCCCCATGTTCCACGTCTGCTCCGTCGTTTTTCATCAATCGGCGCAACATGCGCTCCACGGGGGGCCTGTGACGGCGTGCTTCGTTTCGGGGTGGCGATGCACACTACTTACTACTACTGTACGGGAGGAAAGAAGGGAGGGAGGGAGGGAGGGAGGACTGAGAGGGACACACGTCGGTTGAGGCGCACGTCACAGGATGCCAAGCCAAACACAAGAGACACCACCCACACAGACACGGCGGCGTGGCGCGACAATGCGCAGTGCGGCTTCGGAGTAAGGTGGGCGATTGATGCAGGAGCAGTGACGCCGCTGACCGCCAAGGACTAAGGTCTGAAAGCGTGAGTCAAGGAGTCTGATCCAACGGCACCAAGCCCCATGCACAGCGTGCACATCTGCCCAGCGGTGCCAAGCAAGATCCAAGCGGCTCAAGGCTTGGGACAAAATGTAGCTGCGGACTGGGCTTGCGCAAGTTGCTGTACAGGGGGGGGGGAGCAACGACAAGTACGCGATGTCGTAGTGGCACAAGAAAAGGACGTAAACGGTAACCCGTGGTGTAAGGGCAACAAGTTAACAAGTCCGCAAGGCAAAAGCACCCCGCACACATGCGCCTCATCCGACGCGACAGACGAGACACACTGACCCAAAGTGTCAAGACAAAGGTGTCCGGTGTGTGTCTTGAAAGGAGACGGGTGTGTGTCGATGGCCGCCGATGTGGGCGGGTGCCTTGTCGATCTCGTGGCGGCGAGAAGGTCCTCGAGGTGGTCCTCTTGACCTTGCCTCCGTCGCAGCCCAGCGGCCAGCGGTACAATGCGCGCGCGGCTGTGCCCTAACTCTGCAACTAAACAGGATTCATCTGTTTTGGTGTGCGCCGCGCCGCGCACTGGCTGGCTGGCTTGTACTTTGTTTTTCCCTGCACGCTTGGCCTCAAAGCAGCCTCTTGTGTTGCTGGCGAGAAAAAATAATACGCCTTTACGCCAAAACACAGGACGAGGCCAACCCTTGATGCGTGCGCGCGCACCGCCGCGCGCCGTAACATGCCACGTCTCTCGCATGGCCCAGAGTACCAGAGTCGGTTGTATTTTTCCCTTCCATTCATGGGCCTTGGTTTACAGACGAGGCGTGGGCACCGGCAAATGGGTTGGAACCCACACACACATTGCAGGACATTTTCGGTGCATCCCATAGCCGGGATTCAGTAGTACCTGCATTGCAGGAAAAAAAAAACGACGAGGTCGAGGAGAGGGCATGAGGCCATGAGGGCCATGGTGAACACAGACCGCGCGTAGTGCGTGGCATGCGTGGGGGGCATAGGCCCAACCCGTTGGCCGTGTGCCAGCGGAATGAATGTTGATTCATTTTGGACTGGGCGACGAGATGTGCGTCGACGACGACGACAAGCGACAAGCGCACACGACAATGTGTGCCCCGACGGGCGCGCAAGCGTCAAGAGAGATCAAGAGAGCCGAACAGGCGGGTACGTTCATGAACCTAACGGCATGGGTTGCCGAGCCAGCTGCCACGACGTTTGTGTGTCGTGAGAGGCACGCTCGATGTGGGGTGACACCCGCCTTTTGCCCCCTCGTCCCAGCGTCGCAAGTCTTTGTGTGTGGTGGTGTCTCTGTACCTCTGTCTCTCTCCTGTGCATTTTGCGATCTCTCTCTTTCTCTCTCTCACCCTTGATCCCTTGTGCTTGTCGTCGTCCATATGTCCATATCTGGTTCAAGGCGGCGTCGTGGCGCGCGTGCGGCAGGCGCGGCAAGGCACCTTTGCGGCGGCAGACTAATTTGGAGACCCACGGCATGGCACCCGCGCACCACCAAGGAGGATTTTTCCTAGACATGTTGCCCTCTCTTCTCTCCTGCCCCCCTCCTTGTTGCTTCCTAGACGTGGGGTCAAAATGGCGCGCGGAATGGCGAGAAATGGGCATTTTTCGTGTGTCTGTACTAGCGAGAGACATTGTTGACTGGGGGTCTTCCCTTAGAAAGAACCCTCTCACAGTATGACAGTGTTGCCGCCGCCGCGTTCAGGTCTAACAGGGCAGGGAAGTGCGCGCGCTCTGGAGCTGTCTCTAGCGCTTGTGCTGTGTGGGTTTGCTTGCGGACAGACGACGCCATGGGCTAACAAGGTCCAGTGTGCCGCCGCCGCCGCCGCCGAGAACCAGAGAGACAGGGCCCACAACCGACACACGATAGTTTAACGATCCAAACTTGTGGATTGCCACCAGACAGAGAGAGAGAGAGGCCACAGGAAGTCGCTCCATCCACGCCCCGTTGTCACCTCAGGGAAGACAGAGAGAAGGGGGAGGAGGGAGGGGAGAGGAGGGGAACGAGGCGTCTTCTCGTTCATGTCGTCGTCGTCGTCGTCGTTGTCGTTGTGTCGTGTCGTCGTCGTCCTCTTTTTGCTCTCTCGTGTGAGATGGTGCAGTGGCCGGGCCGGGAAGCGGGCAATGCGCGGGTGTAGATGCAGGTACGGAACAAGACGCGCGCGCAGTAGCAGCAGATGGAGAGGCAGAGAGAGACGACGACGAGGGAGAGAGCGGGCCCACAGGCAAAAGGGGGGAACAGAGAGCAAGGGGGCGGCAGGAGGAGCATATGTTGCCCTTAGGAATCCACCTTCCCCCCCCCCGTTCCCTCCCCTCCCCTGGCATGGCGCGGGGAGAGCGGCGGCGGCCTGCGCGCGCACACGCGCATGACAATGTCAAATGGATCCTGTGTGTCTCCTTGCCACCACCACCACCACCAGTACCTACCACCCAAGTGGAATCTGGGTGTGTTTGCCTTGCGATCCTGTGCTCTCTTCTACCTTCCCTCTCGTCCGCTTCCGGTGTGTGCTGTGCGCGCCATCATCCATCCATCTCAGCCTCCTCTCTTCTCTTTTGTAAAGATCATCTCCTTCTACCACCTAACACACACACACACACATATCTCATACACACACCCCACGTCTTCTCGCTCCCTCCTCCGTTGACGACCTTGCGGCACGACAATCTTCCCTCTCCTTTTCACAAACGCGGTCTCTGCGCGGCGTTCGCGATCGACCGCAGCAGATCACGATACACCTCGAGACACAGATCCCCTTCGCGCTATCCTTCTTCTCTGATACTCGTTGTCGGCGGTGAACCCTTCTGCCCATCTCGCTCGAGTCGTCACTGCTAGGATCGGGTACCCTCCCCCCCACCCGACATCCCACCCGACACGCTCGACCCGACAAGCCCCCGCTCCGTCTCCTCTCATCTCTCCCTAGCAGCAGCGTTGCCCTGCCCGCGCACTGTTCCAGCCAGCAACGAGCGCCATCGCCGCCGCCATTGCCTGGTCTGCATTCTGAGCCGGCCCCCCCCCCGTCCCTCCTCCACCTTGGTCACTCGCCCACAAGGCACTCGGGAGGTCTGTTCGCGAGCAAGCCCCTTTTCCCAACGCCGCCGCTTGCTCTTGTCCTCCACGCCACCCATACCATCAGCTGCGACCCGACACGGACGCCGCCCCCACGCCCAGTTCCCCTCGGCCCATCAGTCGGTCGGGCCGCAACTCGCAGCGCGCCCCGCTTTTGTCTTGCCACAAGTCTGTGAGTAGCAGCACAAAGACGTACTAAGAGAGGACATCTCGTGTGTTTCGTCGTCGTCGTCGTCGTGCTCACGCCCGCGCCAGCGCCTCGATACGTCTCGCCCCCCGTAGCACAGACGTCGTGTAGGAACAGACACGCGCGCAACACACGTCCACCGGTTTTTGGGCGTAGACGACAGAAACGCTTCGGCCTCATCTCCTCTTGTTCGTCTGCTCTTCCCTCTTCATAAGAAGCAGAGCTCGCCAAGCTGGACTTGCAGACAGACCCACTGCCCACACCCACACCCACCCACCCACCACCACCACCACTACCCGCCACCCTCCTCCTCGTCGAGATCCCCCCTCCCCACCCCCCACACATTCGCACGCAGGCACGTCGCGCACATTGCCACCTCGCCACCTCGCTCCCCTCCCTCCCCAACGGACGTGTGGTTCGACACCACCCCCTTCCTTGGTCTCGACACGGGCCGAACACACCGGCTTCTTGACGTGCAGACAAACCCACCACTAGCCCTGCATTTGTTTTGAGCTGTGCCCATCACCCATCCCACCCATCCCCCTCCTTCTTCCCCCTCGCCTCTCTCCCATCAGGCAATTAGGTCTGTGGCGACCCCAGTCGTCCACAGATCACTCATCACGTTCGTCTTGCAGCCTCAATACCTGCCCCCTCAGTGGGGCATGCGCGACGGCTCGGTGGTTTACCCATACCACCAAGTAAACGGCGGCGGCCAACATCAACAACCACTCGCCCTGGGCTCGAGCAAGCAGGCCTACCGCTCCTCGCTCTCCCTCTCTCCGCCGGCCTCGTCGCCAAGCTCGACGCACCGCACGTCTCCAATGACCTGGTCCACCTCGCTCGTTCCCCAAGTAGCCACCGCCGTGCCCTCGTTCGAGCCGCACACTCCACCACCCATCTGTGCCGGAGCAACAGGCGTCATGGACCCCTACGCCGCAACATGGGTGCCCTCAGAGTACGACACGCCGTACGGTGGCAACGACATGCCGACAGAGGACCTGTTGCTAGTCAAGCCCGCACCAAACGCCTTGGCACGCCCCCTCCACTCGTACATGGCGCCGCTTTCCATCACTTCGCAGCCCCCAACAAGACCCCTCTCGCCGCCCCCGTCGAAGCGGATCGACATGCGCCTAGCACAGCCAGGATCTGAAGAGTCAAAACCGGGCTACCTGACACCGCTGGCGTCCTACACCGGTGAGTTGTGGTTGTTGTTGTGGCTGCAGTGGCGCTGCTCCAGAGCTGACCATGTCTCAGCGCAAACGTTTTGGTACTTTTGGTACGCAGACATGTTTGGCGCACCTCCCCACCTCGACGCAAGTGCGCGCCGCCTGAGCGAAGACCTGAGCTCGTCGACATCACGTCCCTTTGACAGCGAAGGCCGCCCACGGCATCCGATCCACCCAAGCAACTTTCAGCCCAACTTGGCGTTCAACCAGTTTGTCTACTCGGTCCTGCACAGCACGCAGGTGTCGTTTAGCGTCACCATCCTGGCCCTCATGTACACATACAAGTACAAAAAGATCCAGGCGCTCGGCATCCGCAAGCCCTACCATGCCGAGGTATCCGAGGCCCAGGGCTTTGTTACCGGCCTGATGCTTGCCAACAAGTACCTCGACGACAACACGTACACCAACACCACCTGGGCCCAGTTCCTCGGCATGCCCGTCAAGGATGTTAACGAGTATGAGCTCGAGTGGCTCGATGCCCTCGAGTTCAACCTCTGCATCCGCACCGACGAGTTTGAAACATGGCGCGCCATGCTCGACGCTCATGTGCGTTCTCGCGAGCGAGGAGACGCCTCGGCATCGTTTGGTGCTGGCTTCGGATCGGCGGGCCAAGGCGTGCGTGCCCGGTCTGCGTCGCCGCCCCTCGGTTACTACAGCCCGTCTTCTGGTCTTGCGCCTGCGCCCGAACATGCCCTTCGCAAGCGATCGGCCCGCGACGCTTTTGCCGCAGACACCGTCCACAACGCGGGCATGTACGAGGCTGCGCGCCTCGACCCCCGCAAGTCGTCGTTTGTGTCGCTCGGCCAAGCACCGCTCTTCCAGCAGCAGCAGCAACAGCAGGCCGCCACCGCCGTCTCCACACCTGCTCCCGACTATTCGCCTGCCGCCACCCTCGCGCGGTCGTCGTCCCTCAACCGACAGATTGCGCGTCTGCCGGCCAACCCCCGCCGCGACTCTTCTGGCCAAGAGCAAATGGTGCCCGCCGTCTTGGACTTGCGCCACGCAGCGGCGGCCAACGCGGCTCAGAACTGGCAGTACCCGTCCGCCGAGGCCATCCAGTTCAACAAGGAGGAACGCTGGCGCATCCCCCACCAGCCCCGCCTGTACTTTTTGCAGGCGGCCGCGACACCCCAGTTTGGCCCCGATGGTCGCTACCACAAGGCCATCCCCCACTACTTTGACCCCAACTATGCCACGTACGACGTCGCCGCCGCCACTTACCAGGGCCAGCAGGAGATCATGGACATTGACGCGGCCGCGGCTGCCCAGACCCAGATGGACCTGGCCTCGGCTGACCCCGCCGCGGCGATGATGATGAACGGCGCCATGCCCATGACCCAGCCCCAGGGCTACGTCATGCCCATGATGCCCAGCCAGCCTGTGCACCACCACCCCTTCCTCGACTCGCAGCCCGCTCCATTCGCAAACGCCGGGCCACCTGGCTACGTCTACGGCGCCCCCGGTTGGGCGCAGGCCATGCCCCACCACCGGCAGCCGCCTCAGCCGCAGGTCTGGAGTGGAGCAGCGCGCTGGAAGGCCGGCCACATGTCTCGCTGGAGCACCTCGTCGGACGACTTCATGTTCAACCTCCCGCGCGTGCCAGTGTGCGCGGCCTCGAACGAGTACCCGACCATGGCCAATGGGTTCTAGATGTTCCCCTACCTCCCCCCCCCCCCCCCCCCTCAACTCTCTTCTCTCTCTCTACTCTACTCTACCATCCCGCCGCTGGCGGCGTTCAACGTAATATTGCACGCACACCCTCAAAACAATCTCTCAACAATTTGCACCGCACCGCCAACGCTCAATCATCCAATCCAAACGCCAACGTAATCCTCCAATCAAGACTGTCTGCATCATTCCATTTCTCTCACTCTCTGTCTCTCGCGCTCTCTCTCGCTCTCTCCGCTTTATCTTTTGCAAAGGACGAACGAACAACTCGCCAAACGCCCAGGACGACCCCCATATTGTAGCTATAGAGGTAGACAAGCACACACATTTTTCTTTTTTTTTGATGTACACACGTATGTTCATCGGACAAACCCGAGACTTGTTGCAGCCAGACATGTAGGGGTGTGGGTGGTGTGTTGGGGACACCTCCAACGCGGTCTCGGCACAACCCCACCCACCCAGCCTGCGTGCCGCAATACGCCACCACCGCCAAGTACTGCGGACACGCACGGCCACCTTTTTTTTCACTAGAATCGGATCGGGTGGCGGTGCGCGCGGCGGAGCAACGCAAAAAAGGGACCAAGACACCAAGACAGCAAGATGGCAAGACGGCAAGACACCAAAAGTGTGCACACGAGTGTCGAGATGCCCGAGATGCCCGTGTGGCTAAGGGCCCGCAACTGGGCCACTGGCCACTGGTCGACGCCGCGCGTCCGCCTCCTCCTGTTGTACTTGCTGTCGCAATGGCCGCATCCCGTATCGGACCACCCCAGCGGACATGGCCGTGCGATGCGCGTTCCTTGCTTTCACTACCATTGCCACTGACACTGCCATTGCCACTGACACTGCCATTGCCACTGACACTGCCATTGCCACTGACATTGACATTGACACTGACACTGCCACTGACACAGTCACTGCCACTGACACACCCCCGTCCACGTCGCCTCCGCCTCCGCCTCCGCCTCCGTGTGCCGCTCATCGCCAGGCTAACGTATCTCGTCCGTTCCCCGTCCCGTTATCGTAAAGCGCGGGCATGTATCGATCAGGATCAGGACCAGAAGGACCAGGATCACAGGATCGGGATTGGCCCCAGCGGCCCACCGAAGCAACAATGGATGTATGAGTGGATCTGTGTATTGTGTTGTTGCGGCACAGATCGTGCGATCTGTGCCACACCACATTCAAAAGCGCATTCACACCGGCGCCCTCGCACACGTACACGCACACGCGCGTACGCGCCGCGCCCACCGCACGCGCTTTGCCACGCCACATTCGCAGTCCTCGGATCCTCGCGCACACGCGTGTCGTCGCCAGCCGCCTTCTTGTGTCTCGTCCCGTCGCAACCCCTCTCTGTCCTTCACTTGCGGCGTCCCCGCTCCCGTCCTGATCGAACGGAACCCGGGGGGGGATGCGCCGTTGTCTCATGTTGGTGAGCCCACTGTTTGTGTTGTGTGTTTAAAAAACCGTACAGTACTGGAGTGCGAAGTGGGTTCTCAGCCTGGCGTGTATTCCCAGCACCCACGCGCCTGGATACAGTGCCTTTTGGGGAGGGTGCGTTTGCGTTTCCTAAACCCCTCCCTCGGCGTCGTCAAAAGGGGGGGAGCCGAACGAACTCTGAATGGTCTTTGGTTTCGTGTGAGTCGGCGTGCAAGTACTACAAGGCGTGTGTGAGATGTGAGACGGTGACTCCTTGCTCGGTTCTCCTTGTGAAGGCAGGGGAAGTGAAGTATGCGGAAAACCATGCCTCCATGCCTCCCGATGCCAAGCACGGGTCGTGTGCCCAAAAGCGGCTCGCACAAGGTTTCGCGACATAGTCGCTCGTGAGAGCTGGCAACATGTTATCATGACTTTCTGGCTTGGAAACACTGCGCAGCGGCCAGCACTGCACAGCGCGCAGTAATGAGTTGTTACCAGATTAGCACCAGCCTCGCTAGTACTAGTACTAGTACTAGCTCACTTGGCTAGTTGTGGCACGCAGGTGAATACGTCATGAACGTTCCCATCCGTCGGAATCGCCCCTCTCTTTTCTTCCCGCGTCCAGCATGTGCCCCAACGAGGTAGCCCGCGGTGTCTTCCTTTTCGCTTCTGGGATCTCGTGGTCGTTTTTTCGCAGGCTTTCATCACTCAAACAAATCCCATGGGTACGCACTACGCCAAACCAAACCCCAACGAAAAACGCTGTGGCGGGGCGCTCTCGTAACAGACAGCCAGTTCTGCCGTTTGGCGGGGGTGAGGACAAACACGAATCTGTCATGAGCGGGTATTGAACTCTGGCGCGTGTGGCAAGCTTCAACGTGGGCAACAGACTTTGGCACAGGCAGCAGCAGCACGATTGTATGCCGGCAGTCCAGGACTATAGGGAATAGGGACTATAGTCCAGACATACACAAAGAGTCACAAGCTCTCACAGGAAGATCACAAGCGCAAGGGGCATAAGAAAAGGTTTACATATCCCGTTCCGTCCTTTGGTCCAGATTTATGACCAAGTTTGGGGGTGAATTAGGGTTTGACCAAAGGTTTATTGGAGCCGCAGAATACAGTACTCTTACAGTACTTGCATGCCGCACTTTATGCGTGCAATGCCCTTTTCTGATATGGCCCAACTGCTGCACAACGCAAAGGTTGGTTACAGGCCGCGGGTTCGCTTCATTGCCCCTCACCGTATGGTTTCCATCGCCTTCCTTCTTCTCCTGGAGACCCAGGCCCACCCGGGACAGCACAAATCCCCTTCTCAGGCCCCCCTCCCGCAAACTCTCCTTCGATCTCGATGGCACAGTTGCGGCATCGTGCGAACGACAAAGACGCGGTATGCAATGTTCCCATGCAGTGCCACGCATCCATCATCCATCGGATGGGTGTGGCGGGTATTTTTACGGTTTTGACGTGTGCAAACCAGCGGAGATCGGAGAGGGGAGATCGTCGGCTGACGTACTGTTGTACGTTGAGCGGAGATGCAGGTGTCTGGTGTATGTATCTTTGTGCGTCGTGCTATCGCTGCGCTGTCCTACCCGCATGCTCCGCTCCGCGGTGTTCGGAGACGGGGAACGGATACCGAGGAACATGACATGAAATTGCACGTTTCTGGAACAGTTGCACGGATCACGGCATACACACTGCGGGGGTCGTGTGAGGCTGTTACTGGTAAGAGAATATTCACATTCACGCAAGGCCTCGACTGCACGAGAACAAATGGGTCTGCCACCCGGCGTTCGTTGTCGCCGCGGCTCAATGACACCGGCGGAGACGGGAGGCAGTCAGAATGTGGCAACCAACCGTGCGACGGAAACAGCCCCGACGACGACGACGACTACAGGACAACATGACAACACGACAACACGACAACAACGAAACGTCACATGACGACAGATAACGAAGCATGAACACAAGGCATAGACCTTGCGAACCGGATACTAAACGAGGTAAACAACGCGTCGACATTGTCATCATTACGGTCCCGTCGGGATCTCTGACAACAACCCTCCCACTCCGCAACGAGTGCATTCACATGGCCGCGCACACCACATGGTACGCGCGGATACACCCCGATGGCACGCTATTACGACAGTCGTGGAAGATGCAGCTGACGTGGGTGCTGCTCTGTGCGGTGCACAGAACGGGTTTCAAAACGGCAAGCCGAGGAAAAAGGAGAACAACAGTTACATGCCGATTTCAGTTTGACAATGACGTCCGGGAGGTTTCAACGTCCCTCATGCAACTAATGATCTTCAGTTGTCCTCGAGTCTTACCCCCGGCCCACTCGTTCTTTCCCTGCCGCGCAGTGAAGGGCGTTTAGTTTTGGCTCTACTTCATTTTAAAAGAAGTTACGACCTGGGTACATACGAATATGTACACAATACAATCACGAAGCAGCCACAGTTACGGTTCGCATTAGGCTCGGAAAATGAACCTGCTTCAATGAGTGCACTGGTGGATTGCGTAAATGGTTGAGCTGGGCGGTCACCGGGACGCCAAACATGTTCCTACCTGCCCCCTTCCTCGGCATCTCAGCGTGGGCCGCAGGTGGAGCAGATGCCGATTCCGATACACCACCTCGCTTGTGGTTGTGTTTCGTGTCTTCCATCCGCAACCTTGACCACATGTGGCGCAGGGTGTCTGCCACATGCGTTTCCCGCCGCGGTGGTCAAGGTTGCGACTGTCATCAACCCAAACATGAACATCCCGCAAACCCAATGGTTCGATGGTGGACACTTTGATTCCCCAACAAAGTCATGAGACATCTTGGGACTAATCCCACAGGCCGCATCCGTACCCTGTTCGTCAACGTTCGCCCGACAACGACACTCCCGACGGCGTACCTTGTTGTGGGACAACAGCACGGAAGGAACAAGTCTCACCCTGACGGATGTACCGTGCCGCACATCCCGATACCCCAGTTGTGCAGTCATACTATAGTAGTGCGCAGGGTTCTTTGTTACAATCACACGATCCGCACTAGAGAGAGAGAGAGGAACACATCGCGAGAGCCATGATCACGGTCAGCGAAATTGAAATGTGCCTCTGTGCCTCGGTCGGCTCCACCCAGAAAGAGCACACTTTCATACACCCGTTGGTCTTGTGGTCTTGTCCCCGCACATCAGGTCCTCACTAGGCTCTCCAGGTCCCACATGGTCCCTGGGCCTGTCACTGTCTTCACACTCTGTTGGCAAGCGTGTGCAGCGTTCGGCAGACTGGGTCCTGGGGTCGGCATGGGTTGGAACAGAGTTTGAGATACCCACACGGTTTTGTGCTTGATTCTGAAGTTTACGGGCAGGCGAGGGCGGAAATGCGGATAAGGCAAGGGGTTGCTGTTTTGTCGGGTGAGGGAATGTTGGAGTGCGCGCCGATCAGCACACTCGTTAAAAGGTGCCATTGCACATGACGCAAGCCGCAAGGGAAACTGAAAAGAGAACGTTTCGTTGTACGTAACGACATGGCAGCCCGTGTACGTGATGAACCGCGGCAGCGGCACAAATAAACCACCACACTCGACGCCACTCATTTTCCAATCGACGGCGTGATCAACTTGGTCTCGTGCCAGTGCCGGGGTGGTTGTGAGAGAGTTTATTAGGGCGCCGAGTGTAACTTGTAATTCAGCTGCACATGTTGATTTAATTGAGAACCATGAGCTGAACCATGAAAGGCAGAATGCAATGTGAAGTTCCAAGGAAAGCAAACTAGTGGTAGAATGACTCGGGACGACGCGAGTGTGACAAACGGGTAACACGGGCATATGCTAGTTGCGGGTGCGTGGTGAGAGGGAGGAACGGATGGGCTGACGGTAGCGGAAAGGGATTCGCGGATGTGAGGAGGAGGAAAGTCGACAAGTGAGGACCTAGCGGACGGGAATGGTGACGACGCAGTGGACGGGCCTGTGGAGCGTCCATAGCGGCAGCGTCGTGTACATTCTTCAGCGGATTTGTATGACGGGACCCGGGACGATGAGGCGAATGACAGACCGAAAGCAACAAGTGGGAACGGGGAAGGACTCTTTTTGAAAAGTCGTCCACCCATGACGGTACGAGTACGAGCGAGTGGCAAACAGTGTTTGAACACTGCACGTCCAACTCACCTACGTTCGTGCATGCTTGTCTTGTCGGAATTCGGTGACCCGGAGTCGAATCATGCCCACGTGTGGAGTCTAGGCCAAGCCCAGCCAAGCCGCGGCCAAGCGGCAAAGGTGGCTCCAACCCCACGAGACTTCGGTCCGGACCAGCCTGATCGGTTAGCAATGTCCCGACCGGTGTTCCACCACGTCAGTAATGTTACACCGACGGCGTGTCTTGTCACCGCGGAGCGAGCGGCCCGCCACGCGCCGCAAACCCACCTCACACAAGATCTGCAACAGATCTTGGCAGATGTAATCCATGTACAGCGGTGCAACAAGCAGCGTCACTCTCGTGGTGGGCTCGCCCTCATGGTGGGCAGAAACGCACTCCGTTTCAGTCCGGGGGACGGCGGCCGGTCCCGCTGCTGCGCGGGCTACGGAGGCGCCGTCCTAACAATACAAACACAACAACCTACTGCAGCAACCTGACGGAAATTCGGCTGGTTCTCGGCCGATGGGACCTAATGGGGCGACGTACAGGCGCGGCGTCAAGATGAGGATAATGATAGTGGATAGCGAGTAGGGGTTGAGCCGCTGAACGCTCGGCGATATCCCAAGGTCAATCTTCGCCGCGTTGCGCGGCGGATACCAGCAAGAAATAGCCCACTTCAACACCTCCCCGAGGTAGGGATCAGCCGCTGTATTACTCCGGCAAGATACCGAGATCACGAGTATGCGGAAGGGTATGAGCTTTCCGCTCCCATGTGTCGTTTAGCACGAGCCGTAGACCGGTCGACCGGTCGACCGGCGCCGAGTGCTGGACCATACGGTCGGATGGCCTGCCGGTCACATGGGGTCGCTTCCCGACTGCTGGCGGTTTTCCTAATACCCATTGAGATACCGAGTCCGGTGGCGGCGGCGGCGGCGGCGTCGCACCGGCCATGTCGTATCCAGATCGCCTTTGCTGGCAGCACACGTCCAAACTCGCCGTCCTGCTTCTTGGCCTCAATGATGCTACAACTGAGGAGGTGTTTCATTACACCGTAAAAGATCTTGGCAGTGATCTGCGTGGAAACTAATCTGCAATATTCATAACAAAATCGGTGTAAATCGTTCTGCGCGTTCTACCGGGCCGTGCGGGCCGTGCAAGTACGCAGCATCTTTACACCGTTCGATCAGGGATCATGTCTTGGCTGTGAGCGGCAAACAACGGTGCCCCCAGGGCCCCCACCAATCCCATCGCAAGACGTTGCTGTCCATGCGCAGGCATGGCGGCGTCCACCACCGGTGCTCCACCCTGTGCTTGGGATCCACCGGTGTTCCGGTGCCGGTGGCCCATAGTGGCCCCGGATCATGGCCCCGGCGTGCTGTCTCTGTTCGGGTAGATGTGGGGCGGCGCGATCGCTCCAGAGACCGGGTAGCGCTAAGGGTCCGGAGTCTGGATGAGCCGTGGCCCCGAGTCGCCAGCGAACAGACCACCGCGGTCCCAACGATATAATCTGGAGGGCCCACGGGAAAACGTCTTGCCCCACACTGCCCCCAGGACAACCCAACCCACCCTTCGACGGCCAACACAACCACACACACGGCACACGGCGCCTCCCTTATCTAACCCCTCCGACCCCGTCTCAGCCGCCCATCATGGAGGACGAGAAGAAGACTGGTGTCGAGCACCTCGAGGCGAAGGAGACCCACCTCTCCGACATCGAGGCCGGCACCCACGGCGCGACAAAGTACAAGGCCAACACCCAGATGGACGACGCCGCGCGTCTGCTCGCCGAGGCCGGCCACGTCGAGTACAGCCTGGACGAGATGAAGCACGTCCTCCGCCGCATCGACTTTTACGTCTGTCTGCCCATGTGCATTACCTACTTGATGTGAGTCACTCGCCGCCGAAGACCCGTCTTGCAGTCAGCTGATACCCCCAACAGCCAACAGGTGAGTTTGGAAGCAAAAAACGAGCGGAAACAAATTGGCCGACCAGCTCCACTCGGCCAATTTGCGCTCCGTGGCACTGGCTTCGCCCAGCGGCACGCCATTTTCCACGGCTCTGCGAACAATGCTGACAGCCCCACAGATGGACAAGTCCTCTGTCAGTTACGCGGCGGTGTTTGAGCTGCAGAAGGAGACTGGCCTGCACGGCTCCCAGTACTCGTGGCTGTCCTCGGTGGTCTACTGCGCGCAGCTCGTCTGCCAGCCGATTTCTGCCTACGCCCTGATCGTCTTCCCCGTCAAGTACTGGGTCATTTTCAACATGACTGCCTGGTCGATCTGCACCATCTGCACCACTGCTGCCCACAACTTCGCCACCTTGCTCGTCTGCCGCATGCTCCTCGGCGCCTTCGAGGCCACCATCATGCCCTCTTTCGTCCTCATCACCCAGATGTGGTGGCTCCGTCGCGAGCAGTCGTACCGCACTGTCGCTTACCAGATCGCCAACTCGTTTGCCGCCATCATCGGTCCTCTCATGTCGTACGGTATCGGCAAGGCCGTCCAGAACTCGGGCACCATCAAGGAGTACCAGGGTATCTTCCTCTTCATCGGCAGCGTGTCGCTCGCCATGGTCCCCGTCGTCTACTGGCTCCTCCCCAACTCGCCCACTACCGCCAAGTTCCTCCGCAACGGAAACGACCGTCTCATTGCCATTGACCGTCTTCGCGAGAACAACACTGGTACCAAGACCTCCACGTTCAAGTGGGACCAGTTCTGGGAGACGCTGCGTGACCCCAAGACGTGAGTAAAATCGGGGTGTTTTTTTTTCGGAGGAGATTTTTTCTACATGTTCTTCCATTTTGCTTCGTTTTCTTCCATTTTTTCTTCTTCTTGCATGTTTTTTCGATGCTGACGTTCAACAGATACATGTGGATGGGTATGTGGTTCTGCGCTGCTTGTCCTAGCGGTGGCATAGGCGCGTTTGGGGGCCTAATCACAAAAGGCGGGTACAACTTGGGGGGTCCATAAATGACACCCACTTCACGAACAGAATGCTGACTTCTCTCAGGTTTCGGTTTCTCGACCTTCAACACCATTCTTATGCAGATCCCCACTGGCTTCATTGGAATCTTCGGCCTCCTCTTCTCCATCTGGCTCACCAACCGCATCAAGATGCGCTGGCCCATCATTGCCGTCATCGTTCTCTTCCCTATTGCCGGTGCCGTCGCCCTCACCCAGGTCAACCACAGCAAGCCCGGAGAGCTCATGGCCTGTTACTACGTTGCCTACTTCTTCACCATCATCCAGCCCCTCCTCATTTCGTGGTCGAACCTGAACGCTGCCGGTACCACCAAGCGTGTTGTCACCACTGCCATGATGTTCGGTGCCCTCACCATCGGCAACATTGTCGGTCCTCAGGTCTACCTTGCCGTCGAGGCTCCCTACTACCACACCGGTCTCTACGTCGACATTGGCTGTTGGTGCGTCGAGTTCATCCTCGTCGTCACCATGGGCTTCCACCTCCGACGCCTGAACCGCAAGCAGGAGGCGCGCCGTGTCGCCATGGGTCTCCCCGCCGACATCAAGGACATCTCCCTCATGTCGCACAACGAGGCTGAGGCCTACAAGGTTGAGCTTGCCGCCCTGCTCGCCAACGCCGGCTTTGACCAGAACCACTTCAACGAGCTCGCGTACGATGACCTGACCGACTTCAACAACCCCTGGTTCATGTACGTCCAGTAGATGGACAGCACAGTTTGGGCGAGTAATGAGAATTGTACCATAATTTAGCCTCATTTGATCTAGTTTCGGTAGCGCAATTGGAGGTGTTGCGGGGTGGGATGGGAAGAAGAATGCAGACATGGGAAGCATATCACGTCGTGGAATCCGAGAACACAGTCTTCAACTGGTTCAATTACCTGAACAACTGCTGCAGCTATGTACTGGACAGGAGGTCCCCCACATACACACACTTCCTCCGGCTCAATCTTTCTTCTGATTCTTCTCGCGCGCAGCCTTGAGCAGACGCCGATAGAGCGTGTTGCTGTACCATTAACGTCCCGGTCTTTCAACTTTGTCTCAAAGACTTACTGCCATGTCATGTAGCACTGGTTTGGGGTCCGCCCTTCAAAGTTGGAGAAGGTGCTCAGTGACGCACCCTTGGTCGCCATGGCAAAGAGCCTTCCAAGCTCGTCGGCGGTCCACTCCGTGCCGCGTCCAGGGCGGGTCCGCTTAGCGGGTGAAGGGGTGTGGCCGTCTCCGCTGCGCTTGCGAGGGCTGGCGCGTCCTGTTGACGTCGAAGTAGGGGTTGCAGGAGGGGCAGTGGCGACGGGGTTTGTCCGTGGGGGGCCGCGTCCGCGTTTGGCTGGGACTGGGGCAGACTCGCTGGTATCTTGCTGGACGACGGCGGCCTTGGGTGGACGACCACGGCGTCGTTTGGGGGTGACAATGGGGTCCTCGTCAATCTCGAGCTTGACTTCGACGCTGGGCTCCTTCCGGGGCCGACCACGCTTGCGTTTGGGGGGAGGGGTGGGCTCAGGTTCACTCTCGTCACTCGGTTGCTTGGTCTGCAGGCCAGGGTGCGTCTCCAACTCTTCGTCGCTGGTGTCGGTCATGACTTCGATCTTGATAACAGTGCCGTCGAGGGGAGTGGACGAGTTGGCCATTGTGAACCAGGACAGCTGTGGGAACTCAGGAGGTGGTGTGGGTGAATGGGCAAGAGGGCGGTGGGACAGTGCATGTGTGAACACAGTATTGCATCATTCCTGATCTTGTGTGTCTGCACATGAGCCTCTTCCACGGTACGCCCCGTCTGATTCATGCACGCCCGCATTTCGACCCTCTACCATCATGTATCATCCACCGCGTTCGAGCAAAGTGCGACGGAGAAGTGGAAGAACAGGGTCGCTGCAGTTAGTTTGGACCCGACGTTCAAACTCACCACCACTGGCAATCACACTGGTGCTTGGTACGACGGTGCACGACCTCTTCAAAGACGCTCGAGGGGACACCCTTGCCGACAGCGGCGTCGAGAAGAGACACGAGCTCTGCACCCGTCCACTTGCGACTAGTCGATGGTGCACGCGTGCGCTTGTGGGTGGTGTCGTTTTCTGGTGACGAGTCGTTACTGCTCTTGGCGGTGGTCTTGTTCTTGCGCTTGCGCTTGGGAGCAGGTGAGTACTCGGATTTGACATTGGTGATGTCGTCAGCTTGATCGTGAATCCCGGTGGCGGTTTTGTGCTGGCGCTTGCGAGCAGCCTTGGGCTTTTGTGGCTGAGGGAGTTGACGATCGCTGTCGTCTGATAGCTCGAGCTTGATGGGAAATTCAGATTCGGACATGGCGAGGAACAGTGCAGATGGGAGTTGACCACCCTTGTCCTTGATCAACATAATCACGCGCGCATGGGCGCCCTCGGATTAGCGTATATCAGCATTATGTGACATCGCCCACCACGATGGAGTCAGTGCCCGTCAACAACACGATACAAGAAGTAAAACACATGCATAGTCAACGTGCCAGCCGTTGCTCAGTTGCCGTCTCCGCCCTTCTCACGGAGCGTGCGCTGAAGAAGAGGGAGAACGGTGTTGCTATCGCCTATCAGCACCATTCGGAACGTTGCCAGACTCACCGCCAAGTAGTGTTGCACTGCTGCTTGGTCCTGCCTGGGACCGTGCCGTCGAATCCGGCAGCAGCTCCACCTCCCTTGATGGCAGCGTCGAGCAGAGCGACGAGTTCGGTACCTGACCACTTCTTGCCACCCACACGCTTGTTGGAAGTTTGCGTCTCATTGTCGTCCTCGTCCTCCGTCGACTTGCGCTTGCGACCGGGCTTGGATTTGGGGTTGGGGGTCTTGTCTGATGGCTCGCGCTTGACAGTGGAGATGGTCTTGCCGCGCTTGCGTCCCTTTGTGCCAGCGGTGACAGCGGCGGGCTCGGTATCAGACTCGGCGGGGAGCTCGATCTTAACTCCAACAGCGTCGGACATTGTGGAATGAAGGTATGGAAGAGTGTGTGGGGAGAAGAGAAGTGTGAGAAAGACCGAGTGGCAAATTGGGTGGGGATTTCTGGTACATTTTTGGCCCATTTTCGACGCCCTGAGAAAATGAGATGGATGATGCGAGATGCCGAGTCGTCCACCATCACTTGATCTCTTATTGCACCCTGCACGAACTGACAAGCAACCAACTCTGCATCTCACAGTACGGCTCCTCCTGCGTCGGCTGCACCGCATACGATAGATAACCTGGAATCCTGGTTCTCACTTCTTCTCGCGAAGAGAACGGCGGAGGAATGGCAGGACTGTGTTACTGCGCCACCTGTCAGCTGACCTGACCACACCCACACTTCCATGCCACTTACCGCCAAGCCAGCTCGGACTGGTTCCTTGTACGCCCCGGAACGGCGCCTTCAAAGACCGAAATGGGCACGCTACCACGGAGCGCGGCGTCGAGAAGGAGCTCCATCTCAGTAGAGGTCCACTTGCGTCTGCCGCCGGCGGACGAGTTGCCAGTGGTGAAGCGGGGGCGCTTCTGGGCCGGCTTGTAGTCGGTATCGCCGTCGGTGGGGTCGTCGGCGTTGTCCTTGGGGTCCACATCGGCCTCGGCCTCGCCTTCGCCGCCGTCTTGGGAAGTGGTGGTCGTGGACTTTGGGCGGCTGGGCGTGTGCTTGGGCTTGGGCTTGGAGCGGCAGGGAGTGGGGTTGGTGGCGGTGGAGTCGCTGTCGTTGCTGTTGCTCTCAGACATGGTGGGTTAGTTGTGAGAGACGAGTGTGAGAGGAGGAATGAGGAAAGACATCACTATCACTGCATCAAAAAAGGCCGCACCCAGACTACGCGGGTCTTGTGTATTCTCTCACCCCTCGCACGCTCACTTTCCCTTCTCCTGAAGGCACTTGGCAATGTAGGGCACAATAGTCTTCCTGCACTGTTAGCAGGGGCATCACATCATCCATCAGTGGTCGTCGCCACCCAAACTCACGTCCAAGTGTCGTGGCACTGCTTGGCCGAACGGCCCTCGACCGCACCCTCAAAGAATGCAATCTTGGGACCACCGCCCATGGCCGCCGTGAAGAGCTTGTCGAGGTCGTCGGCGTCCCACTTGCCCTTCTTGGCGCCGCTTCCGCTCGCACCCGCAGCCGCGGTACCGCCGTTACCGCGCTTACGAGGAGTCGTAGGGGAGGAGACCTTGGGCTTGGTGTTGTTCTTGGTACGGGAGGCCTTGGGAGGGGGCTTGCTGGCACGCGCACGCTTGCTGCGAGGGGCCTCTTCGTAGTCATCACCGTCGTCATCGTCCTCCTCGTCTTGCTCGTAGCTCTCCTCACTGCTCTCGTCCTCCTGGGAGACTTTCGAAGCGGGAGGCGAAGGAGGAGCGGGAGTGTTCATGGTGGTAGTGGAGGGGAGGTCGGAAATCACCACCTCGACGTTGGTAGACTTTGGTTGGGTGTTGGATTCAGGCATGGTAAGGAGGTCGGTGAGTGAGAGAGTGGGTATTCGAACGACGTGCGAAAGACCGCCGAAATGGACGTGAGCAGTATCGTCAGCTCTGTGCCTCTGTGCTTGTTGGTCCTCTCCGCGTCATCAGGAATCGCACATTGCACGTCAAGTGACATGAGCAGCTCCATACGCCCTATCGTGCCCCTTTCAGAATCAACAATGACACCCCCTATTCGTCCTGGAGCGTAGGTCACAAGTCGCTCATACTGCATGCTCGAGGCCTGTGATCACTTGCGGCCCTTCACTCCCTTCTCACGAAGCGCCTTGTGGAGGTATGGCACTACCGTGTTCCTTGACATTTATCAGCTGCGATATCGTCCCAGAAGCTTACCTCCAAGTCTGCACTGCCTGGTAGCCAGTGCGACCGGGAACGCGGCCTTCAAACGTCTTGATGCCTGGCGGCGTCTCGAGAACGAGGTTGAGGAGGAGCTCGAGCTCGTCGGCGGACCAGGGGCGGCTGGGGTTCTTGCTGGTAGGCGTCTTGGGCTTGGTGTCCTTGGAAGGTGACTTTGAAGGTGACTTGCTCTTTCCCTTGCCGTTGGAAGCAGCATCAAAGGTGGGACCAGCGCTGTTAATATCAGGCTTGATCTCGCCGGGGGCTGACGACAGCGGGCTGCCAGGATCCTGACGGTATGAGCCGATATCCAGGACGGCCTTGGTGGGAGTGATGGGTGGCGAAACGGGGCGCTTGCCGTATGGTTTAGTATCGATTCTGGATTTGGAGCGTTCCTTCGTGTCGCGAGGCATTGTGGAGTGGATAAGTCAGAGGGCGAAGGATGGGTGGTGTGGTGTGGGTAGGTTGGGTGTGAGATATGATGTCAGAGAGAGTGGGTGGTTGTCAGGTATGAGTCGAGCTTGTGCAGTGATGTGTTGACTGCCAGGTGCCGATAGATCAGTTTCCGAATCAGCTGTTTGGCCCTCAAACGCTGTGCGCCATACTGTGCATGCACAAAAGCTGACCCCGATCCAGCCTAGCGAGACTTGGTGTTGCCGTCGCCCTTCTCCTGGAGAGCCTTCTTGATGAACGGAACGATAGTGTTCCTAGGAGCATGAGCACCGGTCACAGATGGTGGAACTTACTGCCAGGTCTTGTGGGCCTGGAGGGCCGAGCGGTCGGGCAGGGCGCCTTCAAACGCAGTCTTGGGGGGTCCCTTGCCGAGCGCAATCTCAAAGAGAGTAACGAGCTCGTCACCCATCCACGTACGACCGGGAGCCTTCTGGGTGCGCGACTTGATGTAGGGCTTGGTGTCGTACTCGTCCGAGGAGGCCGCGTGGGAGTGAGAGTTGGATCCCTCGCCGAGGTCGTACGGCTTGGGCTTGATGTCCTGCGACTGAGACTTGGGAGCGCGGGGCATGGTGTTTGGGTATGTGTAGAGGTAGTGTTGAAGGAGTTAGAAAGAGAAAGCGGAGGTGATATGCGCCCGAATGTAACCGTCGTGGCATTGTGTGATGTATGATGCGAGCGAAATGTCCGCGTTTAAACAGCCTATGCGTGCCCACCAGTCACATACTGCATGCCCCTGTCGCGTTAGCACTTGCCCTCCAGCTTATACTCACAGAGGAGTGAGGACTCCAGTTTGGTCCATTAGGCGGTTGAACTCGTGCACGCCGTGGAGGTTGTACGCGTCGCGGACGGCGCCAAACCATGCAAATCGCCTGACAGCGTCAGCCATCACGCAGGAGTCATGTCACTCACTCAATCCACGGCGTAGCGTCAAGCCATGCTGTAGTTTGACCCATGAAGTCGTGCACCTGCTGCTGGCTTTGGGGTGGGGGAACGTTTGCGTCGAAGCTCTGCTACGTTAACAACGCAACCATGTGGCCAACGCACCGTCATGGCAAACTCGGTCACGATGATCGGCAGCCCAAATGTGTGGTAGTACTCCTCGACCTTGGCCTTGAAGCTATCAAACGTCGTGGTGTAGACGTGGATGGCAAGGTAGTCTGGTTTTGTGCCTTCTGGGATGAGACTGAACCATTTCTGAGCGTTAGCTGTGATCTCAATGACTAGACGACGAACCTTTAACCAGTCCAGGTCATTTGCAATGGCGGGCGCGACGAGCTTGGTCCCTCCTGTACGCAACTTGGCTAGCTCGACCCAGCTGAGCGTCAGTTCAGTCACGACACGGTACGACCTCACGCTGCAGCAGCTACCTCTGGCGTAGTCTTGACAGCGACGGAGGGGTCGACATGGTCCGGTTCATTGTAGCCGAGCAACATGCGCCAGCCGTCCTGCAACTTGAACTCGTTGTCGAGGTACGATGGCGCAAAGCTGAAAATTGTTAGCGTATGGGGCCAAAGGTCTCCCTATACTCACATCATGGGCACAAACTCTGCATTGATGTTGAGCCCTGGAGTCGTCCCCGGGAGGAGCACGTCCCAGTTCTTGTTCCAGTTGTAGTGCCAGCTCAGTTTCTGAGAGTTAGCGAGCCCCCACCCGTTACAACTCACCGAGCCGGGCTGGAAGAAAAGGGCGACGGGGTCCGAGGTTACCTCCTGGACTGGCCAAGAGATTCCAGCCTAACGTCAGTCGATTCCTCGCGCCATCTATCCCACCTTGCCTGATTTCTGTTCGCTCATGGTGGCGTTGTTGACACGACAGACGACCAGCAGCAACGTCTCTTGTACTCTTGACGCACCGATCTGGGAATGACGTCAATAAACCCATTTGCGGGCCTAATATTCCCCAGGCGTGCTGCATTTGTACTCCTAGGCTTATCCATTTGCCGCTTTGTGCGCCTAGCTAATCCGAGGTTGTGTTTCTGGTGCGTGTGTGTGTGACGTTGCCGGGGGGCGGACGCGCTGTGGTGGCCCCGGCGTCACAGGCTGCATGCTGGGTGGGATGCTTGGGCCGCCGTATCATCCATCTACCACATCTCCCACTCAACTCTCTACCACCCCTCTCTCTCTAGCCGTCTCATCCCTCTCCACCACCACAAGTCTCCCCTCGCTCGAGGATCCCTTCCCCCCTCCTCGACTCCTCCCCTTCTCGCCCACCACGGCGATCTACCCCATTAACGGTCGCCGCCGACGCAGCCAAGGCGTCGACGCGTCGCCGCCGCTCACGCCGCTCGCGTCCCGTCGACATCTCTCACGCATTTACAGGCGCCGCCGTTCGAGGTGGGCATCGCCGGCACAGCGTGTGCACGAGCCCACATCGCACTCGAGTGGCGACGCTGACAGTTATCCAGCAACATGAGCGGCGGTAGCCCTAGTCCCCTTGACTCTACGCCAACGTCGTCACCTTCACCGGCTGTGTTCGTCATGTCGCCGCACGTCGATGAACCGGCGACGCTAAGTCCCGGGCCACCACCGCCACCCCGCAGTAACCTTCCCACACCAGAATTTGGCCGTCCAGTTGCCCGGAACGGCCGTGAACACCAACGTCTCAAGAGCTTGCTTCGCAGGAATCCTGGTGGTGGCAAGGGACCACTGCAGTACACTCAGCAAGGTTCGGTTCCGAGCTATTCGTCCACGCCCTCACCTGCGCCCGCCAATGCACCAGTAGAGGAAGAGGACGACGACGACGAGTGGCTGTTAGAAGGGACAAGTACCAACGGCCATGTCAATGCGACCGTGTCAGTTGGACGGGAGGCGAGTAACCTCTCTCGCTCCGTTGATACCCTCTCGCTCAACGAGTCGGACAGCGTCTCGCCCGTCGAAAGCACCGCCCCCGTTGTTATCAGTGAGAAGCCAAGTGCCAGCGAGAAGCGTCGCAGCAAGAGCAAGTCTTTGGCCAAGAAGACGAGTCGACTGTTCAGCCGCAACGGCAACAGCAACAGTAACAGTAACAGTAACAGTAACAACGAGGACAGGCAAGAGCAGCTTGCGCCGCCCGTGCGACACAACTCGGTCTCGTCGGCGGCGTCTGGCGATTCATCACGGTCCTCCAAGCATTGGAGTATTACACGCGTTGGAGGAGGTCCAAAGGGTAGCCCACCACGAAGGACCCACGATCCATCAGCGCAGCCGTCGTCTTGGCATCCTCCACCGTCCTCGTTTGCACTTCGCCGCATGTCGTCGTCAACAACTGACAGTGACTCGTCATCAATCCCGGCTCCCATCCCGCGACTCCGAAACCGCGACAGCTCGTCACACCTTAGCGCATCTGTTCCCACTATCCGTAACCTTACAACATCACCCACACCGCAACAACAAGCACAATACGCACAGATTAGGCAAGACGCAACAGTTACTCACCGCGTATCGGCATGGTTCTCAAACTTCATTCCCACCGGAGGTGAAATGAGCTCCCCTTCGTCCCAAACCCAACCCGACTCCCCACAGCCTTCTTCCTCCCCGCTCCGTAAACAGCCGTCCGTTGCCGCGTCCTTCCTTGGCGGAGCACGCAACAAGGCCGCAGCCGCTGCACGTTATCTGATGGATTCCGAGGCCCAGCCTGACCGGTGTCAGGACACTATGTGGGTCATGGGTCTCCCACACCCAGGCTGGACGCCCCAGTCCGAAGACATCTGGGATGATAACGCGTCCACGCGCGGCGAGATCTCACCACCGTCATGGACGACGCGTATCAAGGAGAGTAGCGGCACTTACTCGTCCTCGCCACCCAGTGGCGGTGGCGGCAGGTTTGGCAACATTTTCAGCTCCAGCTTCAACTTGGCCGCTGTTGCCCAAGGTGATCCGTCGACACCACCACCAGACGCTCGCACGCGCAAGGAAAAGCCAAAAGAGGTCCTCAAGTGGCCGGATCAATGTAAGTTGCTGTCTATTCTGTGATCTACAGCTGACGACCAGTCTACGATGACTTCCGTACGCGCGTGTGGTGCACATACCGCAACCAGTATGCGCCGATTTCACCATTACCCCCTGGCGTGCTGCTCCCCAACCCTGCGGCCTTCTTCGGTGCCTTTGCTGCCGCCGGTGACGGAAATCTCCCACAGCCTAGCCAGCTGGGCTCTGGTTCACAATCTGGCCGACTGTCCAACGGTCCATGGGGACTGTTCAAGAACGAGGGCGGCTTAACGAGCGACTCTGGGTGGGGCTGCATGCTCCGCACAGGCCAGAGCGTTCTCGCTAATGCCCTTGTGCATTTGCATCTTGGACGAGGTGGGTGAATGCGACCCGAATGCCACTAACCCACCAGGCTGGCGCCTTCCACCACACAGGCCGAGCACGAGCCCCGAGACGCCCGCTGAGCTGGCCGAGCTTGAAGCGTACGCGACCTATGTTCGCCTCTTGTCGTGGTTCCTTGACGACCCGTCGCCGTTGTGTCCCTTCAGCGTCCACCGCATGGCGCTCATTGGCAAGGAGCTTGGCAAGGAGGTCGGCGAGTGGTTTGGCCCAAGCACAGCCGCTGGCGCGCTCAAGACACTCGTCAACTCGTTCCCGCTCAGTGGTTTGAGTGTCGCGAATGCTGTCGACGGTATCGTGTACCGCTCGGACGTGTATGCCGCGTCCAACATTTCGTCTGATGAGTGGACGCCGGGCCAAGGCGGATCGCTGCGGCGCTCTCGTCCCAGCTCGGCCCTCAACCATCCTGGTTGGGGTGGCAAGGCCGTCCTCATTCTCATCGGACTCCGCCTGGGCCTCGATGGCGTGAACCCTATATACTATGACTCTATCAAGGTGGGTTACAGGTGTGGAGAAACGTCAGCTAACCCTCAGACTCTGTTCACTTTCCCTCAGTCGGTTGGTATCGCGGGAGGCAGGCCCTCGTCCTCGTACTACTTTGTGGCGTCACAAGGCAACTCACTCTTCTACCTCGACCCACATACCACGCGCCAGGCCGTCCCTCTGCGTACGCCACCGCAATCGGCTGCTATGCCTTTCGCCACGAGGAGACCGTCCACGTCCGCGAGCAACTACTCCGAGTTTATGGAGGACGACGTCGAGACCACCAGCCAGTCCAGCAGCCAGTCGGTGCCTCAAGTCGACGTGGTCAATGTCGACGAGGACGCCGAGGTCGCCACCGTCAGCCCACCGCGCAAGTCGTCAAAGACTCGTCGGCGTCTCGCTGCAGTCACGCAGCCTCTGCGTATCGTCCCCGACACTCCACCGCGCCGCAGGGGCTCTGTCTCATCGGCTGCCGACCCCTCGACGCCGACCTTTAGGAGCTCGTCACGCCAATCGGTGACTTCTCCCTCCCCCGCACGCCCATCTGCCACGCGCCAGTCGACAGCAAGCTCATCATCGTCGTTCCGCTCCAAGCCGTCCCTCCCCGTGGACACCCAGACTGCATGGTACGCGTCGGCTTACTCGGAGCCCCAGCTCAGGAGCTACCACTGTGACAAGGTCAAGAAGCTGCCGCTGTCTGGTCTCGACCCCAGCATGCTTCTCGGCTTCCTGTGTGCGGACGAGGCGGACTTTGAGGACTTTTGCGACCGCGTCGGCAAGCTCCCACAAAAGATCTTTACAGTCCAGGACGAGCCGCCGGTGTGGAGTGAGGATGAGGACGGCGCGCTGGAAAGCGTGTCAGAACCTGTGTCTGAACCCGAGGACGACGACGAGCTGGCCCTGGCAGGCAGCGAACAGAGTGAGGATGCCGACCTGGACCTCGATGTCGATGTCGATGCTGTCGACGAGTTTGGCCGTCTTCCTGTACGAAGTGGCGCTATGCGCGAGGACACCATTACGCCCTCTACCGCTGGAGCCGCTGGAGGTGTTGCGGCAGTGGCAGCGGGCCTGGCGACGTTTGTCCAGCGCACGTTTACGCCATCGTCTTCACCCCCAGCGGGCAGCCCCTCGGCCACGTCGCCCGCGGACAAGGACGACGATGGTGACGACGATGACGACGCCGAGACCACTGTCGAAGTCCACATGACGACACGGCGCGAGGAGGGGACTGCCCGCGGCCTCAGCGCCGCCCTCGACCACCCTTCGGACCGCACCTTCGGCGACAGGGCCCGCTCGGCGTTCCAGCAGCGTGAAACCACTCCCGCGGCCGATGTCCACTCTACCCCACGCAGCACGTCGCCGTCGCTCCCGGCCAGCCCCAAGAAGTCGGCCAGTGTGGGTTCACACGAGTCTGACGAGCTTGACCAAGTGGATGTGACGACCGCTTCGATTGGGACTCTGATGGAGCCTCCCAAGGCGGCTTCGCGTGCTCGCGACACTCTCACCCCTCCGTTCCTTACTTCCTCTACTAGCGACGAGAAGACTCCCATGGCCACGCCAGCGACTACAGCTCCAGTGCGCCGCGTCGCGACGCCTGTCGCCGAGCGCGAGCACAGCGCCGTGGTGTTTTTCGCCAGTGCGCGCGAGATCCAGCCGCCAAATACATTCACCCACGCTGCCGACCCTGAGACGATTGACGACGAGCCCTTCCTTGTCGACCGCGATCCCGAGCCCGAGCTCGAGCCCGAGCTCGACCGCGAGCCTGAGCCAGAAGCCCCGCACACCCCCGTCAAGGTCAAGGCCTCGCCTGCAAGCTTTGACAAGCCCCTCCCTGCCTCGCCAGTGCTAGGGGCCATCAAGCCCAAGCCCCTCCCTGCGTTCCCCCACTCCCAGTCGCGCGAAGAGCTCGACGACGAGGACGAGGAGGATGCCGAAGAGCTGCAAGAGGTCGTCTCGTCGCCGGCCCTCACGGCCATCTCGGCTTCGGAGCGGTATCCCCTCGTCGACCCCGACTCGCCGTTCATCGTCCCGCGCACGATCCACTCGCGCAACGTGTCCACGTCGTCGCGCCTGTCCGCGTCGTCGCAAGGGTCCATTGTCCCGCCCCCGCGATCGGCGTCGTTGGTCGCCCCGACCATCACCGCAGCGACACCGCCGGCGGTGGCGGCCGCTATTGAGATTCCGGCCAGTATGACGCCGATCCCGCGCCGCAGGGTAGACGACGGGGACGAGGATGATGACGATGACGAGGACGAGGAGAGAGACGGGAACGGGGACGGGGAAGGCGAGAGCTTTGCGGACGAGAGCTTCGGTTACGCGCGCCGCGGGGGTGACCACCACCTCGACCACGACGCAGTGTCCACACCCAGCTCGGCGGCCGTGTTCGTCGACCACTCTCCCGACTACTCCACTCCATAGACCACGGTGGCGATGGCGCGCGCGTGGACGAGGCCGACCAGGTCCGCCGCACTCTACTTCTTAATTAGCTCCCTTTATGTCGTAGCATCCATGCGCGCCGCCGCCCGACACGTTTTTCCTTGGGCGGCGGGGTAGGCTGTGCTGTCGCGGTAGCTTGTTGTAACTGTGTATGAACTGATTTTTGTACCTCGCAAGTGCCACCGTGGCGAGCCGAGCGAGCCCCATGGCCCTATGGTAACAACCAACTGATCGCCATTTGTGTCGCTTAAGAGGTGTCTCCTTCTGACCGAAGCAGCCCACATTGGACCTCACAAACGGCCGGCAACACCAACACCCCCTCCCGTTGCCATATACACATGCTGCATCGCGGTCATGGAATCTACAATCACGGACGGGGCTCGCGGGGCTCTGTTGCAACGTCAGCGGGTGGTCCGCAGAGACAGGGCATATCCAGTACTCACGGCTCCAGGACACGTTGAGGATGAGCGAGTCGTAACCGTAGCCGTTCATCTTGGCGAGGGCCTTCTCGGCGTCCTTGCGGTTCTCGTACGAGACAAAGCCAAAGCCCTTGCTCTCGCGGGTCTCGCGGTCGCGGACGACGTTGGCGCGCGCCAGACGACCAAAGGTCGCAAACGGCTCGAAGAGGGAACGCAGGTCGTCGTCCTCGGCGTCAAACGAGAGCGAGGTGACGCGCAGGGTGGGCAGGTCGTCGCGCGAGCGGAACATGGACTCGCCGGGACCGCCGCCGCGCTGTCCGGGGGGAACGTACTTGCCGCCCACGGCGCCCGAGCCGGGCGCGGCGAGGCCGCCGGCAGCACGCACGCCGCCCGCAGCGGCGGCCTCGTCGTCCTCGCCCAGGCCGGCCGCGGCGCTATCCAGCTCGGCCAGCTGGTCCTTGTACGGACACTTGGCGGTGAAGTGGCCGCCCTTACACAGACGACACACGACGGCCTTGCCGGCGGGCGCCTTGGCGGCGTCGGCGGCAGCAGCGTCCGCAGCGGCCGCCGCCTCGGCAGCGGCGCGGTTCACGGCCGCGATCTTGAAGTGCAGGTTCTCGCCGATAATGGTCGTTTGGCGGTCGGGGCCGGCGGGCTTGCCCTTGTCGTCACCGAACCTGGACGTTAGTGGTTGGCCAAGCCGATGGGCGGCGCGAGCAGCGCGAGCGGGGAGGTTGGTGGGAAGGAGGGGGTGCGCTTGGCCGGCGGAGCAAAATGATGACTGATGCCACCAATCGCCACCGTGCTTCCTCTCCTTTCCCCACACCATCGCCCTCGCTCACACACTCTCTCTCTACTGCTCCACTCACTTGGGCCACGCCTTCCTCTCCGCAATGCTGTGGGACACGAGCTGGGTCTGGAGCTTGCGGCGCACGCGGCGGGTCACCTTGACCTTCTTGTCGTTCTCGTCAAACTTCCACGACACAATGGTGGTGATGCCGTCGGCGCCGAGGGTCTCGGTGGTAGGGGGGAGCTCGACTGCGCGGGCGTCAGTAAGGAAAGCACACGGACACGTCGAGGTGGTGTTTTGAGGTCGAGGGCGAGGGCGAGGGGGTAAAGGGGGTAGTAGTCGGAAGAGTGGGAAGGACGGACGCGACGGTGATGTGATGCCAGCACGGTAGGTCTGTGCTGTCCCGTGTCATGTCGTCCAACGTCGCTGGGTCTCGTCGTCGCCGCCGACGCATGGCAGCATACCGGCAGCGGGACATGCGCCAGCACACGACGTACACCGCGCACGCCGCTCCCATCCTCTTCACCGCGCACTCGGCCCCGTGTCACTCCTGGACTCGCTTTCCAACCCTCATCCTCATCCTCGTCCTCGTCCTCGTCCGCAACCTCGCGCGCGGAAATACGCACACTCATCGTCCTCAGCCCAGTCGGACTTGTGTCTGTCGCTGTCAGCCTTTACCCCCCCCTACTCTCTCACTCCACATCCCCCGACGTCAACTCACGGCGTAGTGCTGGCCATTTTGGGGGGGGGTTTGTTGTATAATAAATGTTCTAGACTACCGTTTCAACGCACTTGGGCTTTGCATTCGTCTTTGCCAGGAGGAACTGGGCGCCTGGCAGGGCGCGGGCCATGCGGACTTTTGCTCCCGTCGCGTGCACCGGTGGCAAAATGAGAACCTGGAGCAAGGGGGAGGCAGTCGAGAGGTGACGGGCGATAATCCCGGCGTGGGTGGGGCGGGGTTATCGACATGTGGCGCGAGTTGGATTGGCATGTCCGTCTCGCCAGCGTTATGGCGTTACGCGCCGCGCTAACATGAACATGGCAGCTGACGCGTACCGCACGCGCCGCACGGCGGAGCAGATCGACAGTTCACCATACGTCGCGCCGTACATGGCATGGGAATCTGGCGGGCCATTGTCGGGTATCATATGTCCCAACCCTCGTCATGCTACCATGCGCGTGTCACTTTGCGTTAGGTCTGCATAAAGCACCTCGCGTCGCCGCCTCGTCAACATCTACGACAAAACAGTGTCCGGGAAGGAGATTCTTTCTAATGGGCCGCCCGCCGTCCTCCTTGAGCGCGGGGTTTGATATAGTGCTACAACATGTGGGAAGAGAGAAACACAAAACGAAGAAAACGAAGAGAAAAGAAAAACAGGGGGCCAAATAGCCAGCGTCCGTGCGGAAAGTGTTGATGTGTGGGTTGTGGTTTGTGTTATCGGTTTGTTTGGTTTGTTTGTTTGTTGTCTCTTTCCGATGCTAGCGCGAGTTACGCGCCTACGAGGGTCCTAGTCCTCGTTGTACTTGTCCTTCCAGACCCATGCGAGGCCGGGCGTGTTGGATCCGCCTACAATCTGGCGAACGCAGTGGTCAGCCGACTGTGTCACGTGTCTCGCGTCTCGCGTCTCGCGTCTCGCTTCGCACTCCAACCTCGACTCACTGCAATGCGGTACCACTTGGCCGCCTCCCTCATGTCCTTTTTCACGCCCGAGACGCCCTTGGAAAGCACGTAGCCGAGCTCTGTGGCCAAACGTCAGCAAAACCAGCAAAAGAAAAGAAAAGAAAAGAAAAAACAAGGTCCGAACAGCCCGCCGTACGCTGTGCCCAGGTCCAGGTCCAGGTCCAGCCAGACCCCGAAGGATGTTTGGCGCCCAGTGACACCGTGACAACAGTGACGTAGTGGCGTTGGTCGTTCGTGACGACGGACGCGTCGCATCCGCCGACCGCCGACAGAGGCGACTCCACACGACGCTGATTCTAGTCAATGCAACTCACGTTCCTGCGCAGCCAGGTCGTTGAGGCTGCCGGCCATGCGGAGGTATTCGAGCGCCATGTCCGGGTTGCGCTTGACGCCCGCGGCCTCGAGGTAGCAGTTGGCGACTTCAAAGAGGCCAACAGAAAGGTCGGGCTGTGAGGACATGTTAGCTGGCGTTCTGGGTGGTGGTTGGCGTCGTGTGGTTGTAACCCACCGACATGGACTTGAGCTGGGCCGGGGTGAGGACGGTGCCTGCGGCGGCGCGCAGGTCGAGCGCGCCGGCAGCCAGCATGCGGTCGCACGCATGCACGAGCTCGTTGAACCCGCGGCGCTCGTCGCGGTGGATCCCGGCGCCGAGGCGCAGCGCGAGGCCATAGTACATCTGGCCGACGGGCGAGCCGGCCTCTGCAGCCTTCATAAAGCACCAGGCGGCCTTGGGGAGGTCGCCGGCGTCGCGGCGCGCGAGGCCGGCGGACACGAGGTCCTCGGGCGACCTGCGGTGCGTGGTGAGCGGGGTGCTGGCTGGAGACATTGATGACGGGGTGCGGGGCTCGCTGCCGCGGCGCTTGGTGTGGTGGTGGTGGACGTTGTGCAGGCTGCCGCTGCTGCCCGTCACGTTTGTGTTCTGGTCGTCACTCCCTCGGCGCGGCGGTGGCGGAGTGACGGCATCCATGGCGCGGATGCGGCCGGCGGACGGGACGTCGATTTCCCGCAGAGGCATCTTTGCGTAGCGCCCGCGCGGGAGGGTCTGTGGCTGCGTGACGCGCTCGCCATGGATCACTTCAAACGACGAGCAAGGAGCTGCCGACTGCTGGACGATGACGCCCGACTCGTGTGACTCGGAGCGCAGCAAGGAGCGTGACGACGTCTTGTTGTGTAGCGGGACCACCTTGGCTCCTGGTGGCAGCCGAGGCGGTGTTGCCCCAATCACAACAACCGGCGGAAGCTCCGTCGGGGGTGTCGCTGTTCGCGGCGAGGGAGAGGACGCGTCCGAGTGTGTGTCGAGCGGAGGTGTGCGTGTGGACCGTGGCAGACGACCACCACCATCAAGCATGACAGGGAATGGGGATGCGCCAGGTGGAGGAGGCGGTGCGGCTCGCCGGGGGATAACGATAGGACGCTTCTTTTTGGTGCGCGGCCGCTCCTCGGTTGCTGGTCCGCATTCTGGCGAGGGCAGCCGGTTGTGTGAATCGCTGCTGCCGCTGCTGGCCCCAGGGGGTGCAATGGGTGACACGCTCGCACTGGTGGCCGCGCTCGCTGGCGTCGTCAATGGGGAGGTGGATGACGGGCTTGTGCCGGTGCTCGAGCTGCTGCCGACACCCAGCGTCGGCATGGTGATGGCGTTCCGGAGACCGGTTAACCGCGACAGACGCCGTTTCGGACTAGCACCACCAACAACCAGACGGCGACGGGTTGCACCGTTGGTGGCCTCTGGCGCGTCGGCGGAGGCGTCGAGCCACTCGAACGCGTTCTCGTCCTCTCCCCAGTCGATCCCTTGCTCGCCGTGCATACTGGCCGTGTCGGGCACAGTGGTCGTCTGCGGGTGGGAGGGCATGGCCACCTGCTGCGCCAGCGGGAGGGGAACGTCGATGGGGCTAACGGGTTCTGACGACGAGCGTGTCACGGTGAACGGCACCTGCGGAGCCACGAGCTCGGGGTCGAGGCTACGCGCCGAGCGGCCGGGGACAGGACGCAGCTTGAACGGTCCATCGTCGATGGCGCTCTTGATCGACCCGGGCGCGTTGGACAGCGGTTCGAGTGATGGGTAAGGGTGGCCGTTGCCGCCGGCGTTGGGCTTGGCAGTGAGTGGGACGGCAGTCGTTGGAGTGACGGTCCCGGAACGGGTGGTGGGTGAGCCACCGACATGGTCGCCAGTGAGGGTGCGGTTGGCTCGAGGGGTCGCCGGTGAGCTCTTCCCACTACCGCGTGCCAGAGCCGCGACGTCGTCCGAGGTGTCGCTGTCGTCGTGCTCGGGCTCGGAGACAAAGCCCGGGTGAGGCTCGTCGTACAGACAGTCCTGGTACGTCGTGTCCTCTGACGAAATGCTGATCGAGTCGAGACTGCTCTCGACAGAGTAGATGCTCGGTGAGCGGAACAGGTTCAGGTCGAGGGTCGGCACGGGTTTGCTGTTGACCACGGTGTCTGCTGAACCCGCGGCGATGGCCTGCGGTGCCGAGTCGCGGCGGACGACGAGACCCAGCTGGTCGAGCGGTGACCGTGGTCCCGGCGACGCATAGACGTCGGCGACAGTGATGGCCGCAGCTGTCGGAGTCAGGAATGCCACCTGTGCTGGAACAGCCATGGCGGCGGCGGCGGTGGGCGGCGCGGTGATCGCAAAAGGGGCGTGAGGCAGGGCGGGGTAGTGTTGGGCGTGGGGGGGAAAGTGGGTGGCGGGGAGGGGGCAACGAAGCACGTTCTGTTTGCTGTGCTGTGTATGCAGACGCGTCGCCCGGGAGTGTCTGTTGGTTGTGTTGGGTGTGCTGTTGTTGTTGCTGTGTGTGTGTGATGGGAGGATGGTGAAGGGCGCTGCCAAAAAGATTGATTTGTGTATACGCGCACGGTGGGTGGCCTGGGTGGGGTGGGTTTATTGCTGCTTACAGCAAGCGCGCGGCCGCTGGGTGGCGTCAAAAGGCCCAGAAACGGGGGATGGATTTGGGGGGATCTCGGCCCTCTCCCTATGCGGTGTAAAAACGCGCAGAGAGCGCAGGGAGGAGGATGGAGCCCTTGTTCTGAATGCGCTGCTGGCCGGTGGCGACGACGCTAACCCCACACGGCAAAATGGCGTGTTTGGTTTGGGTGGTGTGTTGTTTGTTTGTCCGGTTTGCTTTTGGTGCAGAGACAACCCAGTGGCGATGAACAGAGACACAGATAGAGACGAGGGATGGAGAGACGAGCCATGTAAGAATGTGCTTCGACACCAAAGAAACCCGTTTCGGGCGGGGCAGTGTCCGACGGGCAGCCAACACGGCCACTCTCTCGACTCCACACTCTCCATCGGCCAAGCACCACCTGGCGCATGCCGCGTCTCGGCTCTCGCCTGCCTCTGACCGACCGCTTTACGACGTGTTGCTGAACTCCAGCACTCGGCGCACCACCTGCACATACCGGGCCTGCCGTCGGGCCTGTCTCTCCCTCTCTCCCAGCCGAACGAAAAAAAAAAAAAACAAAGCAAGCGTATGTCACCCCCTTCGTCACCGGGGCCTTGAGTTGCGTGCGTGCTGTTCTTCCGACACACATCCAGTCTCGGCAATGATGCGTTTTGCTGCAATTTGACTTCACGTCGCGTGTACGTGGTGAGACCGGGCTTGCTCCCCTGCGTTTCACTTGAAAGCAAAGAGCCTCTTTCCAATCTTGTCCCACATGCTGCGTTTGATTCATCTGGCCATCTGGCCGGCCGCACATGGCGACAAGGTTGGAAACCTTTTCCGACCGGGGCACTGTACAGTGTAGCTGCCGCGGCCGACCATGACCAAGACCCCGTGCCAAGCACAGGTGCACAGGTGGCAATTTGGCTCAAACCTCCATCACTGCGGTTAACCACCTCGTTACCAGGCCGTCTATCCGTTCAATGATCACGGGAATGCCGTTGCCATGCCGTAAGTCCCGCGTCCTGTTGGCAGCTGGCTGGCAGCTGGTTGTCCCCCCACACCGTATCGCCCGTTACAAGTCGCCGGTCGCGTGAGTGGCCATGGCCTTGGCCATGGCCCATGACCTCCGCCTCTGCCTTTGCCCCTGGCGCTCGACCACAAGACACGCACAACAAGCACTCACGAGTGGCAATGTGCTTGCCAAGGATGTGCATGTGGCGACGACACGGCGGTACCTCTTGTGACGCGCACTGACATGGCGCTTCTGGGGTCCACCATCGCCACGGCTGGCCCTGGCGCCTGGCAGCGTTCCGGGGGACTGGCTCGTCGCCGCCACCCACATGATGTCCAGTTTATCGACCACGAGCGCGCGCGGTAAGGGTAACTTCTTCCAGTACAGTGTGGTGGAGAAACCCTTTGGCAAAGGCTCGTAAGGGAATGCGTGTGCCTTCTTCTTGCGCATGCCCTTGCTGTACGCTGTGATATGCCGGGTGCCGTCCACGATCCACGCCACAACGGCGAGCAGCTGGGGGGGTACTGACCGCACCGTCCATCCATGTCCACCCCGTTGCCCTCGTTCTGGGTGACGGCCGTCCACAATCCAGGCCCCTGCGGGCTGCGGGCTGCGGCAAGTGGCCAAGTGGAGAATGAGCCGTGTCGTCTAGATGGGCCGACCACGTAACAAAGACCCTTCAGCCCTTTGCTGCACAGGCTCTCTGCGGGGGACGCGCACTCCCGCCTCGACTGGACTGGACTGAGCGTCCAGACTTTTTGGCTCTTGGAAAAAGCTACAGCATAGTGTGTATGTTGCCAGGATCTGCAAAATGACGAGATTGGGTTGAGGCAGGCTGGCCTTGGCATGTCGTCTAAGTGCTGTTGCTGTTGTCAGTTTCAACACATCCAGTCCCGACCACGGACATCCGACATCCATTTCCGACTCAGGTCACACTAGACACGACACTCTTCGTTCTCGGCCCTCACCCTTTCCTCGTCCTCGTCAATAACCCTCTCCCGGCTGTGCCTCTGTTGTCGGGGCGGGACCGCGGACCGGCGAGAGGGGGGGGGGGGGGGGGGGGACCTCACTTTCGGTCCACCCCCGCACCCAACCACGCGCACCACGTTGCCCTCCCTCTCCCCTCGATCCCCTCCCTCTCCGCGGTCCGTCGGCTGTGTCCGCCGGTCCATAGCCCGCCCAGCGCGCAGCGTCCACGCACGCACGCACAGGCTTGAGCGTTCAGGTTCAGGCCAGACCTTAATGTGCGTTGAGCTCATGTTTCCAGAACCGCCAGAACGGCAACGGCCAGAAACGGCCAGAACCCCAGAATATAGAAAACACTACGGCCTGCAGTGCGCGCAGCGCTACGGCTGCGCTGGTGCCTTCACATCCGTCCGTCGTCTTGGCTGCCTTGGCTGCCCGTGCACCACGGCTGCGGCGACGACGGCGTCCGATGGGCCCGAGACCGAAAGACGCCAAGTGCCGTAGGCCAAAGTATGGGCCGAGGATACCGAGGTATACACGTCCCCCGTAATTGTGGACGTAGAACATGGCATTGACGGTGGTCGTCTACGTGCTCCAGGTCATCTTGGGCATGCTCGTTATTGTCGCTTGTGGCGGTCGTGCACGTCGTGACAGCTCTCTCATCGTTTACACGAACCCCCCGATCCCCCCAACACCAACCTACACGCCTTTACGCCTACATGCCGTGCAATGTTGAAAGCAAAGGGCTTCGTTGCCTCTTTGAGCCCTTTTCTGGACCCTCTCGCCCCCCCCCCCCTGGCTTTGCCTCTGCTGTGAGCAGTGGTGTCTCGCTTCCCCTGACTTTTGACCTTGCTTAACATATGATGGGATCTCAGGAGTGCCGAAGCATACAACACAAACAGCGGACGCCACGAGGTTGCCGTGGATGGGATCGATGGGAGCTTGGGAGAGCCCCAGGCCTTACGCCACGCCACCCAATGCCACCCACGCGACCAGGGTGGCGTGCAGCGTGCAGCATGGGCGTGTGCTGGCTGAAAGCTGAGAGAGCGTCGAGGACCCCTCGTGTGCACGCGCTGGTGCTGTTACTGGATCGTGAATGTAGCCGGCCGGGGTGGGGGGTGGGGGTGGGGTTCACAAGGGGCTTGAGAAGGAAGACGGCAATGCTCTGGGTGTGTCATCTGGTGTTGGTACGTGTTGGATCTCTGTGGCGGCCGCGAAAGAAACCTGTGGCTGTGCACGCAGACCGACCCAGAGTGTGGGCAGTGTACTTAGGACTGCAGGGCCCCAACAACGCACGACAATGGTGCAGAGAGTCATGGCTGCGGCGGAGGTGGCGGAGGGTGGGCTATGGGGGCCTGGGGTGAACGCACGCACGCGAGAACAGGACGAGAGGGGGACCCGGACGCTCGGAAAAGGGTAGCGACGAGAGAGACTTGCGCACGGCACTGCACGGCACACTACTTTGGCACACACTGGTTCCCGATGGAAGCGGAGCAAGGGGATGCATTGGAAGCAGAACAAAGGGGGTGCACACAACGGTTCTGCAGCCATACATGTGTACGTGGGTGGGTGTCGTTTGTGTGCACGCTCTCTGTCTTACCCGTGTGCGTCGGAAGGCTCTGAGACTGGCGCAGAGAGGTGAGGCAGAGAGTGTAAGTGTGCTGCGGAGAGCCATGCGGTGTGGACGCCCAAAACAGAATATCCAAGACAACCACCCATCAACACAACATGACCCCGGCGGCTGAGGAGAGAGCGCACGCGGTATGCGCTGCCGTGGGCCGTGTTCCACATGCCTCGGGAGCGTGTCAACCAGCTCCAGAGGGGCGGAAGTGTGTGCAGGACCATGTAATCAGTCGCGAATGTGATACCAGAGTACCAGAGTGTGGGCCGTGTGGGTTCTATTTGCCACTGATGGGACTTGATGTCTTATTGTATACCCAGGGGTCCGTGTCATGTATTAAACCGGCACAATCGTGTCATGAGGATACAGAAGGCATGCTGTGTCGACAAGAAGCATATAGGCAGAAGCAATGCGGGAGTGTGCAGCGAGAGTGCTTTGCTTTGCTGTGGTGATGGGACGTGCCTTGTGTAATGGAGAGAAGAGAGATGTGGGTGGGCGGGTTTGTGCATTTGCTTGTCCTTTTTTTCATTTCATTCCTCCCTCCGCCGCCGCCGCCGCCGCCGCCGCCGCCGTTCCTCTCTCCCTCGGTCCCCTTTCCTTCCTTCCCCACTCCCACACCATCCACAGGCCACATCCCACATCCACATCCATCCATCCATCCATCATCGTCCATCCATCATCACCCATCCTCCATCCCCTCACAGCTATCCTCCCCCCTCCCACCCGACCCCCCGTGCACACGCATTTCCAACGACGCGCGCCGCAGCGCACTTGACCGAACACTCTTGCGATATCCCCTCCCTCGTCTCTCGGGCCCATTTTTCGTCCATTCGTCCCAACTCGCGCAACTCGGCTCAGGTCTCTCCCGGATCATCATATCCACACCCTTGCCCCGCCCGACACACCCACACAACCGGGTAACCCCAACATATCCATCTAAGGGCGTGCAGTGTTAGCGCCTGGTCATATACAACTACTCCATCGCGTGCTGAGAGCACACACACACACACAGCGACGCCGACGCCGCCGGCGCACAGTCCACAGCAGCCCGCGTCTCGTCCTTTGCATCCTCGGTGCATCCTCGGTGCTCCCACGACTCCGTCTCCGTTCGTCGCCTGTAGCGCGTTCACCACCGCGTGTACCCTCTTGACCTTTACTATCCCCTCGGCGCGCGCCATCACCATCGCCGCCGCCTGCTTCTCAACTCCCCTTCTCGCCGTCCGCTCTCTGCCTGCCGGCAAACTCGGCCAACACCCGGCCCCCCACGCGGCCGCATGAAGTCGCTCCGCCGGTCGCTGAACAATTCTCACGGCCAGAACGGCCAGAACGGCCACGGCCACGGTCACGGCAGTGGGAGTTCGAGCGGCGCGCCTCACCACGCGTACTCCAACTCGCAGGGCAACGCCATGTCCATGGCTGCTGTGACGTCTCCCCAAGGCGCTGGCTTTCCCGCCGGCGCTGCTGGAGTGAGCGACCCGACGATGCCTTATACCAACCCCCTGGCGCGCCCGAGCGAGAAGGTTGCACCGCCAAAGAAGGTCATCAAGGCGCTCCGCAACCACCGCAGCACCAACCCCCAGGAACTGAGCTACAAGCAGGGCGACTTTTGGTATGTGACCGGCGAACGCGACGGATGGTTTGAGGCATTGAGTACGTACTGGTTTGGTCATCTCGCGACGATGGCGAGCGCGCACCTGGACATGACGCTGACGCCCGCTCAGACCCTCTTACGGGCTCGCGCGGTCTGGTTCCCAAGGATGACTTTGAAGAGTTTGTCAAGGGTGGTCGCCAAGTGTCTGCGGGGGCGCCGCCGCCGCAGACGCCGCCCTCGGCTACCCAGCAGCAACAGTGAGCTTGGACCCCCGTGTCCTCCCCCCCACCCAGCCGACCGACCCCGACCGACCCTCCGCGTGTACCGTGGTATATATATACTGACCATCCCCCCCACTCTCCTTTTAGTGCGCGGACACCATCCCAGAGCGCGAGCATCACCTTGAGCCAGAGTGGAGGACAGATATCCCCCACCGCACAGATGATGGTGCAGCCGCTGTCGCCCCAGAATGCCCACCACATCCCTGGCCTCCACGGCAAGAAGCACCAGCCGTACGTTTCCCTAAACGCTTCTGGCGTCGTCGTCGTCGTGTTCGTGTCTGACACCGTCTCTTTAGGCTGTACGCCATAGTCCAGTATGACTTCCACGCCGAGCGCCCCGACGAGCTCGAGGCACGCGCCGGCGAGCCCATTGTCGTTATTGCGCAGAGCAACCACGAGTGGTACGTTATCGTCGTCGTCGTCGACAAACCCGACCGACCCAGGGCAAGCCTCGCTAACACGTCTACAGGTTTGTGGCCAAGCCTATCGGACGTCTCGGCGGCCCAGGACTGATCCCCGTGGCGTTTGTCGAGATCCGAGACCCCGTGACGGGCAAGGCTGTCGAGGTCTTCCCCTCGACCATCCCGCAAGTGGAAGAGTGGAAGAAGGCGACAGCAGACTACAAGGCCGCTGCAATCCCTCTGGGCCGTCTGGACATTGCCCCCGAGCAGCGGGTGACAAATTCGCCGTTTGCTGCCCAGGCGCAGCAGAACGCTCATCAGCAGCAGCAGCAGCAGGGCGGCGCCGCGCAGCAGCCAGTGCTTGCTGGCCAGCTGCAGCAGCAGAGTCGCCAGGCCCACCAGCAGCACGGATCCAATCCGTCGCATGGCTCGCAACGGACGGCCGGCACCACGCGGTCGGGGTCGCCATCGAGCGCCAACGCCGGCGGCGCCCGGCAACCATCGCGTGCTGGATCGCAAGCCACGGGCCCACCTGTTGGCTATCACCCCGATGTCGACAACCTCCTCCCTCCTGGCGAGCTCACGCAGCTTGCCGTGCCGTCGTTCCACAACGAGTCGGGCAACTACTGGTTCCGCCTGTCTGCCGTCTTTGTCCCCGACGAGCGCACCGCTCCGGCATACACCCTTATCCTGTACCGCACATACGAGGACTTTTACGACTTTCAGATTACGTTGCTGGAAACGTTCCCTGTCGAGGCCGGCCGGCCCAACCCGGGCGAGGAGCACCTCCCGCCGCCCCAGCGCATCCTGCCGTACATGCCCGGCCCGGTCGACGAGGAGATTGACGACGAGTTGACCGAGTACCGCCGCGACGAGCTTGACCTGTATGTGCGCGCCCTGCTGCACCTGCACACGAGCCCGACCGCAGCATACATTATGCGGCACGACCTGATCCGCACCTTTTTCGCGGCCAAGTATGGCGACTATTGCGAGGAGACGAACCGCAACGAGGCCATCGAGGAGCTCGAGGAGCGCATGGGCGACGTGTCGTTTGAGTCGGGCCCGCCGTCGTCGTCGACGTCCGCCGCGGGTATCCACCATGTGGGTCTGGGCACGCGCTCGGGCTCCGAGGCGAGCATGCAGCCCGCACCGCTGCCCACCGGCCCTGTGCCGCCCACGCGTGCGCAGCACAACAACAACAACAATGCCAGTGCCAGCAACTGGAACTATGGGCCGACGCCGACGCCGAGCTCGCACACGCGCACCGACTCGCGCGGCGCCCTGGGTCCCATGGCCTCGGACGTGTACCATGCCAACCACGCCAGCCATTCCAACCACACGCGCAACGCGTCCAGCGCCGGCGGCTCGATGGCCACCGTCGGGCCGTTGTCCAACGGCCCGCCCCAGTCCCAGTGGTCCGCGTCGCCCGTCACCGCCACCGGCGCCAGCTTTGCCAACCACAACCCGAACATGTCGGCCGTGACCCCGATGCTGCCCAACGTCGCCATGGCGCCGCCTGCACCAACCGCCCCGTCCCCGGCCCTCCCCTCCGCTGCGCCCATGGTCATGCCCGGCGCCGGCGCCGTACCTGGCGGTGGGCCGCGCCAGGCTCCGAGCCACGGCCAAGGCGCGCAGAGCGGGTCCGGCGGCGGGTCCGGCGGCGGGTCGTCTGCCGCTGCCGCCGCGGCGTTCATCAAGATCAAGATCCACGACCGCGCGACCGACGACCTCATCGCCCTCCGCGTCCACCCGGCAGTATCGTACCCCGAGCTGCTGGATAAAGTGCGCGCGCGCCTCGGCCCCGCCGTCTCGGTGCTGCAGTACCGCGTCGGCGGGGGCGGCGGCGGGCCGTGTCGCCAGATCCACGACGACAGGGGGCTCGCAGAGTGGATGGCGCAGGAGGACAAGCTCGTGCTGTATGCCGAGCAGTAGAGAGGTGGCGCAGCCGCCAGGCTGCGGGCTGGGGCGAGCGGGCGAGCGCGGACTCGCGGCGACGACGACACGATGACGACCAAGAGAGACAGAGACAGAGTTCAGCAGCTAGACACCACGACGACGACATAGACACGAGGAGAGCAAGGACGCGAGGGGACGCGTCCCCCGCCCGCCCGCCATCGCCAAACGTTCGCCCCCCCCGCACACCACCAACCACACCACCACCACGACTTCTTTTTATTTTTGATTTGATCTTTCCTTTTTTTCCATTAGGGTTTTCATGGCAGCGCGCGATGAGCCGGGCGCGTGCGGGTGCGGGGAGGTGTGTGGGGGGGGGGGGGGGGGGGGAGGTGGGGTGCCATCGTACTGAGACGAGAGAGAGAGAGAGAACATGTATGTCCTGCTTTGCCTATGCCCGTGCACGGCCCGGCTGGTCCAGACCAACGAACGGCCAGGAGCCAGGAGCCGGGAGTCAGGAGCCACGAGCCACGAGCCAGGCCTGAGGACAGAAATGTGTGATCGCCTCGTGCGACGTCTCGGATCTAGTGGGACAGTTCAGTCGGCGGCGCTAGTGTGTACCTCGGAGACATGCAGCGCTGGGGCACGTCGTTGACCGACCTGCGTTCCGGTGTCGTGACGCCGACGACGGGAATCTGGCATGAACCAGGCTTTGTGATTCAACTACCACACGGGGGAGCACCATCACCATCACCATGCTATGATCTCGTCTTCTCACTGTCTTGTCTCTCACTCTCTCAGTCTCTCAGTCTCTCACTCTCTCACTCTCTCACTCTCTCACTCTCTCACTCTCTCACTCTCTCACTCTCTCACTCTCTCACTCTCTCACTCTCTCACTCTCTCACTCTCTCACTCTCTCACTCTCTCACTGCGCTCCGTGCCGGCTACCGCTGGCGTGCTCCTACAGGTGACATGTACGCCGATATCTAACATGAGCTGCTTGCTTGCTTGCTTGGCTCCTCTGCTGCGCTCTACGGTACCCGAAAAAAAAAGGCATGTGTACCTACCCCCACCCTCCATCGAACCCCCTCCTCCCTCCTCCCTCCTCTGCACTCGCACATGTGCGTCCCGCGCAATCCCTCGTCGCTCCCCCTCCTTCTCCTCTCTCTCTCTCTCTTCCTCTCTCTTGCGCTCGTCTACTGGGTCTGCTGGTATCCCGAGTACTGGGTCTGGTCGGCGGCGTATCCGTACGACTGGCCGCCGTCGTAGCCGGCATACCCGTCGTCGTCGTGGGTGCCCGAGTGCATCTGCATTTCGATGGGGAGCTGCATGCCCATCTCGAGCTCGTCCATCTGCCCCGCGGCCGCAGCGGCGGTGGCGGCCGCCATGGCCTGCTGGACCATGCTGACGTCGAGCGAGTTGTCGTCTGCGTCCGCGTCCGCGGTCGCCGTGGTGGTGGCCGCGGGCTCGCCGTCGGCTCCGGGGGGCGGGACCGAGCCTGCATCGCCGCCGTCGCCCGATGCGGGGCCCGCAGCAGCCTGCGCGACGGCCGCAGCGGCCTGGGCGGCCGCCGCAGAGTTTTCGACACTGAGCGACGCGGGATCCAGCTGCAGGCTTGATGACGACGCGGCGGGCTGCTCGACGGGCGCGGCGGCGGCAGCGGCGGCGGCGGCCTCAAGCGCCGCATACGACTGCTGCGCGTACGCGCCATAGTCGTACTCGTCCTCCTTCTTCTTTTCGTTCTTGCGACGGGCCTGGCCGTTGGCCTTGCGCGGACGCTTGCTGGCCGGCTGGCCGTCGCCGGCGCCCGAACTCGACATGGACACCTTGATGCCTGGGTGGCCCTGGGCGAGCGCCGCGGCCGCAGCGGCCTTGTGCGCGGCCGTCGCCATGGCCTCGTTTTCCTTTTGCTGCTGCGCCATGGCCTCCTCCTGCTTCATGCCGCGGCCTTGGAAGCCGCCGTTTTCGAATCGCCACAGGTGGTTTTGGCGGATGCGCCAGCCGGCAATGCAGCCCTGGTTGAGCTTTTCGTAGTACATGTCGGCACCTTTACGCGCGAGGTACGTGCGGACACGGTGCGCAGAGCAACGGCCCTCGTCGCCGTCCCATTCCTCGGGGTAGTGTTTACGGATCCAGTTGACAATGTCGTTGGGTTTCTGGAAAGAGGAAAAGAAAGAAGAAGAAGAAAAAAACACAAACATATAGGGAAAGATTGTCGTGATCAGCTTGGGGCACTAAAACCGAAAGGACGAGAGCGGGACTCACCAGAGGCCAGTTGTCGTTGCCGTTGGACAGCAGAGCACGACCTGTGCTTGGTCAGCATACAGTACAAGTGTGCATCCATCCGGTGAGAATGCATGTGTTTTGGGTGTGTTGCATGCGGCGGTTGCATGGATGGTCGATGGCAATACGTACCGATAAAGAGGTTGACACTGGCGTTGGGTGGGGGCTGTGGCTGTCAGCGGCAGTGCCACCAGTGGCGGATGCGCGCGCCCTTTGCTCTCGCAAGTCGGAACATGACTTTTGAGGCGGTTGCAGCATCCAACGTGTTTTGGTCTAAACTTACAGGTGCCCAGTTCGGGTTTGGCTGCGCAGCGTTGGGGGGAGCGATGGCACGGAGAAGACGCGCGGTGGGGGATCCCGGGTCGCCCTCTGCGGCAGCGTCGAGAGCCTGCACATCGATGCTGTCGTCGGTGGTGAAGGGGAGGGGCGAGAAGTCGGTGGTGTGTGGGTTGGGCGCGGTCGCAATGGACTCGGTGATGCCCATGGTCTCTCCGGGGGCACGGGGAGGGTACGGAGTGTCGCGAAGAGGCAAGGGGGGCGGCACGGCCGCGCCGTTGGAGTGGTGAGGGGGAGGAGGCAGGTCTGCGAGCTCGGGGTCGATCTGAGGCTCGGCGCCGGCAGGGCTCTCGCCCTTGGGCGTCACGCGGGTGGACGCCTCGGACATGGTGCGCAGCGAGTGGCGCGGGAGGATGGGGGGGGGAGAAGGCGGGGGAGGTGCGAGTCGAGTGGCGAGTGCACACGGGAAGGATGGTGCCCGGAGGTGTGTGTGGTTTGTGAGAGAAGGTGGAGGGAAGAAGGGGGGAGGGAGGGGGCAGGACAAAGTCGGGAGTCGAGCAGCCCTGGCCCGGTGGGAACGGGCTGGGCGGTTTGACGAGGGAGCTGATCGCTGCTCGTGCGGTGTCCTTGCAAAAGGTTGTTGTTGTTGAGAGAGAGGTGGGAGGGATGTGTGGGGTGGAGTGGAGATGGATGACTAGGAGGAGGATGAGCAAGGCGGCGTGGGCAGCACGAAAGACGTCGACGGAGGGAAGCGTTTGGCGGCGGGCGGAGGGAAGGGGGCGGCCACAGTGGGTGGATGCGTGCACAAAAAGGTTCCGCTTGCGTTGGCTGGCTTGGTGGGTTGCCCAAAATGGGGGCAGGAAACAAAGACAAATGGCGGGGTGGGGGTGGAATGACACGGCATTGCAGCTCGCTCAGCGCGCACAATGCGGCGTCTCCTCCCCCAACGTTCCACATGCATATGCATTGTTCTTTTCTGTTTGCATTGCACTTGGTGTTCCATGCATCGTGGATGTTGTGGCCGTGCGTCAAGCCGGGGTGCCACGAGTCGACAAGTGCCACTCACCTCGCTGCCTCACTGCTGGGTGGCAGCGGGCTGTATGGTGGGGGGTGCAAGGGGCGCTGCCTGTTTCCCAGTCTCTCCGCATGCAGTATCCTCTCATCCACAAGACGTGGCCAGCTCACAAGAGACCTCTGCATCTGCGTAGTGAACAACATCAAATAAACATGTCTGCAGGTGCAAGGATTTGGTGCATTGGCGTCATATCAGTCCCACCACAGCGAGGGCCCTCCCCTGGCTGGGCGAGCAGTGCGTGGTTAATGCTTCCGGTCCATCTGGGCCACAAGAACCCGATTTCACTGTTGACACCTTTGGTATCCGCCGCTTCACCATGTCGCACGGTGCGCATCCTCACTCCCCCGGCACCCCAACTGACATCCCCCACAGGAGTCCGCCGCATCCAAGGACGCTTCACAACCAACACCGCCAGCGAGGCGTTCCAGCGTCAGCTGCTTGCCCCGTGAGTTTGCATCGAGGGGGGCATCCGTCGCGTCGTGCTTTGGCGCGCGTGCCCGCTCATGGCCATTGCCATCCACCATCACACGTTTACTCCATCGCCCATCGCTACACCCCCGTCCCCTGATTTCCGTCTCTCGACACCGTTACTGACCTTGCCAGTGTCAAGAAATGGCGTAAAGGATGGGCCGCGCCCGCCGGCTTGCCCGAGGGAAGCACCTACAAGGTACGCCCTCCTCCCACACTTTCGTCTGTGTGCTCGAGCTGATGATGACAGGTGTGCAAGTGGATGCGCCTTGATGAGGTAAGTGTTGACTCTGCCGTGCAGAATGGATGAGGATGAGGAGATGGAGGCCGATTCAGCTGCCCACGATGGCGAACTCCATCACCTTCCTCGCCTTCCTTCGCATTGAATCCACACCTGACATCCCCAGACTGTCTCCACCCCCTTTGACGATGAGCACTCAGAAATGGAGGACATGGATGACGACGAGTCAGCCAACGACGAGACGGAGCCTACCGAACCCCCAACTGCAGCCGCGACGCCGTCGGGCGCGCACCCCGCGCTGCGCGGCATCACTGCTCTCACTCCAGCGGTCGACACGCCTGCAGCCGACACGCCTGTAGCAGACACGACCGAGCACAAGGTTGCAGAGGACATTGACGTGGAGGTCGAGGCCGAGGCTGAAGCTGAAGCTCCAAAGTCACCAGCTGTTGCCGAGCCTGTGGCCGCTGACAACGAGATCGAGGTTGACACCGACAACGCTCCCGCAGTCGAGACCGAGAGCGCTCCCGTAATCGAGACGCCGGCCGAGGACGCAGACATGCCCATCAAGGCGGAGGTCGAGGAGCCCGAGAGCGAACCTACCCCTGTCGCAGCCCCAGCCGCTGTCGACGCCATCGTCGAGCCTGAGCCGGCCCCCGCCGCCGAGATTGAGGTCGAGGAGGACAAGCCCAGCACCCCGGCAATCGTCGAGCCTGAGCCTGAAGCGGCTGCCCAAGCGCCTGCTGAGCCTCCTGCCGAGACTACACCTGCAGCTGAGCCCTCGCCAGTCGTCGCCGCAGCTGAGCCCTCGCCTGCACCTGCGCCTGCCGTCCCATCCCCGGCCCCAGAGCCCGTTCAGGCCGCCGCGTCCCCCGCCATCCCCTCTCCCGCTGCTCCGCCCCCCGTTGTTCCATCCCCCGCTGAGCCTGTCGATCCCGCTGAGCCTGCCGAGCCTGCTGCCCCCGCTGAGCCCGTTGCCCCCGCCGAGCCCTCCCCCGCCGAGCCGTCGCCCACCGAGGTAGTCCCCGAGAGCACCGAGGCCGTCCCTGCGACCGTCGCCGAGCCCGCTGAGCCCACCGAGTCCGCGCAGCCGGAATCTGACGCGATGGCAGTTGACGTCGTGGACCCCGTTACTGAGGTTCCCACGGAGACTGTTGCTGAGGTCCCCGCACCGCCCCCCGCCGAGCCGGCGACTGAGACTGCGGCTGAGCCCGAGGCTGCCGTCGCTCCTTCTCCTGTCCCGGCTCCTGCTGTGGAAGAAGTCAGTGAGGCCGCCCAGGTCCCCGACGAGCCAATGGCGGTGGATCCGACTCCCGAGACGGACGAGGGCCAGGGCGAGGGCGAGGGCGAGGGTGAGGCCAAGACGGAGGCGTGAGGTGGAGTGGAAGGCGGAGGGGAGACGGTGAGGCGCGCGTTCGTGTAGTTTGATGAGAGCATGCAATTGTATCCTGCCTGACCCCGCGGCCTCGAGGCGCACTGGAAATCACACGTGCAGTAGGACCAAAGCTGAAGGAACACAGAACTGGTATATCATGGCTATGCTACTCGACTGCTTTGTGTACAAGACCACATAGAATACTGCTGCTTGCTGCCTCTCTGGCCGCCCGCCCCCTGACCCACTCGCGTAACTCGCTCTACACCACACCCTACTTCTTAGCCTTGCCCTTGCCCTTGGGCTTGACAGCCTTGATGAGCTTGTCCTTTGTATAGTCATTGACGTCTTCGTCGACCGCCTCGTCCTCGTCCTCGGGCGGCGGCGCGTCTTCTTCCTCAAACACCTCGTCATTGTCCGGTGCCGGACCGGTATCGGCAATCTTCTTCTTGGAAGCGGCAAACATGTCGCCCTTGTGGAACGCGACGTGGTGGTCCATCTTGTTGTACGTGCGCGTGAACGCCGACTTGGTGGCCGTGGGAATCTTCTTGAGGATGTCGTCCTCCTTCATCGTGTCCACGCCCAGCTCGACGAACGCGTCCCAGTCGTCCTTGGTCAGATAGTACTCGTCCATCGTCTCTATCACGCCGTCGATCGCGTCCGCGCCGTTCTTGCCCGTGAGTGGGAGCACAATCTTGTTGGCCAAGAGGGGCATGTACTGTTGACGGATTTCGTCGCGGCCGCCCGAGACGCAGAGACGCATACGGATCTGAATGTCGGTCAGCTGGCGGCCGAGCTTGCCCTGCTTGGAGTTTTGGCCAAGCCATTGTGGGAAGCTAGGACCCCAGCCACCGCCGCCGCCCTTGTTGTCTTGACGGATAGGACCATAGATGCTGGACGAAGGGATAATGGCAGAGGTGACGGCGTGGAAGGGGAGCAGTGACCAGTGCTGCTCGCTACCGTGGATCATGCGGTCGACAATGTCGCCGTCCGAGATCGAGTCTGCCGCCTTGGAGAGCAGCTCGAGGTGCTTGAGCGTGCGGTCGGGGCCATCGAGGTTGCCGACCAAGGCTGGGTTCGTCTTGGCATAGTGCTCCTGGATGAAGAGTGGCACAAACGAAATGTCGTGGAAGAAGAGCTCCATCTTTTCGCCCAGGGTCTGCTTGTTGGTACGAGAGAACGCATACGGTCCAGTGAGCTTCTCGGTAATGGTAAACGGCGTCATGATGGTGTTCTTCTCGTTCACCTTGAGGCTGGACACGTCAGCTTTATCCGGAAACAGGTCAACTTACATCTCCTTGCCTTCGTCAAAGTCCATCTCGCTCTTGCCCAGCTTGAACGTGGAGAGCATGTTGAGGACCTGGCGAATGTCCGAGCCGGCACCACCGACAAGCTGGTCCACAACGTTGGTCGGAACCTTGAGTTTCTCCCTGGTAGGTTAGAAACGTACTGGGCTTTCAAGGACCTACCTGTGCAGAATGGAGAGGATGCGAGAACGGATCTCCGCAGCCTGTGGCCTTGGTCGTTAGCAACTTGACGGCTCATCTGCGCCTACCTCCTGAAGGGAAGGTTCCAAGTGGTGCTCTGCAGAGGCTTCATCTTCTGCAAGCTGCGGTCGTTGCAAATGAGGACCATGGGGATCTGCATGTTAGGCATCATCTGGTCTAGGGGCCTACCTTGGTCTTCTTGATGAGCGCGTTCATGGCACCAACACCACCACGGTCACCGGCAGACATTCCGTCGACCTCGTCCATGATGAGACAGGTTCGCTTGCCGACATGGACGTCCGCGACAGTGGTGCTCTTCATGGGTCAGACAAGTCTCGACACAGTAGTTACCCACCTGCATTCCCTTGCCCTGGAAGAAACCATCGAGCGAAGTGTTGTCAATGTTGGTCGCGTTTTCAATGAGCTTCTTGCTACGAGCGTCACTAGCGTTGAGCTCGATGGGTGTGTAGCCCGCAGCCTTGGCCATGAGGTGAGCCGAGGTGGTTTTGCCAATGCCGGGAGGACCAGAGATGAGCACCGCGCGGTATAAGCCACCGCCATCCTTGCCGGGCTTCTTGAATCCCGACGAGTAGTACTTGGACCTGGTTGTCAGCTTCCGACATACGACTGCCAGCTCACCAGTCGTTAAGCCAGATGCCGAGCTTCTCCACCTGGCCCTTGTTTCCACAGATCTCCTTGACAGTCTGCGGGGCATACTTGGTCGTCCAGAGCTGAGCCGAGACTGGTGTGATTTTCCTGCCGGGTTAGAACATCGCCGGGGTGAACACCCACTTGGTAGCAAGGCCAGTGCCCTCCAGAGCAGCCTCCTTCCTCTTACGAAGCTTCTCAGCCTCCTTCTCCCTGAGCTCCAGCTCCCGAGCATCATCCATGACTTTTTTGTCCGCCTTGGCCACGGCAGCCTTTTGCTTATCGTCAAGCACACCGGTACGCGTGGCGATGAGGTCGAGGAACTCGTCCTCGGTGATAGTGGGCGTGCCGGTCTTCTTGATCTTGTCGAGCTTGGACTGGCCGGCGTTTTCGCCGACAACAACATAGCTCGTCTTGCCTGAAGGAGCACCCGTGACCTTGGCCATGTAGCGCTTTGCGAGCTCAATAGCGTCGTCGCGGCCCAGAGACTCGAGCTCTCCAGTAAAGACCAGAGTGAGGCCAGCCAGAGCTCCGGGTTGGCCGTCGGGGATGACCTTGGACCCGGGGGCCCGGGGACCTGCGGCGCGAGAGGCCGCGATGGCAGCCCAGCTGTGTGGGTTAGAACTGGCAACGCCTAAAGAACCCACTTGACTTTGGGCTTCTTCTCCTCTTCCTCGCCCTCGTCGTCGTCGTCCTTTTTGGCCTTGGCCTTACCCTTGGCGGCCGCGGCCTTGGGGGTCGTCTTGGGCGCAGCCTTGGGCTTGGCAGGTGCCTTTGCAGGAGCCTTCTTCTTGGGCTTGACCTCGATCTCTTCTTCCTCCTCGCTGTCACTGTCGCTCGAGACAAGCTGGCGGGTTAGACATATTAGGATTGTGAGCCGTTACCCACCGGTTTCCTTCCCTTGGGAGCAGCCTTGCGAGCAGCCGGCTTGGGCTTCTCATACTCGCTATCCGACGACTCGCTGACTGAACGCTTTACAACACGCTTCTTGGGCTTGACGGGCGTGTCGTCCTCATCATCATCAGACAAGGGGGTCTTGCGCTTCGTCGGCACCTTGGCAGCAGACTTTGAGGACGAGGCGGGCTTGCTAGACGAAGCGGCCGCCTTGGACGTCGAAGCAGCCTTGCTGGCAGAGGCAGTGGGCTTTGCTGGGGCCTTCTTAACAGGCGTAGGTTCGGGGCTGGACTCGATAGAGATGGCGCGCTTCTGTTAAACAGTGTAAGTGTCTGTGGAGATGAGGACACGAGGTGGAACGCACTGAAGAGGACGCGGCGGCGGCGGGGAAATGCTTGCTGGTGGTAGCAGCGGCCTTGGGCTTGGGCGCAGCACTGTGCATTGTCAGTCTCACCATACGGGTTAGTCAACCGGTGATGATCCACACTCACGGCTTGGTCTTTACTGGCTCGTCGTCGCTCAGGTCTGCGTACGGTGTGAGTTAGGCTTGGGGGATGTACATACCAATCTCAATGGGCTCGTCGTCAGTTCCCTTGGCCTTGGGAGGTGGGGCAGGCTTCTTTGGCTGAGAGCCGCCGCCAAACTAAGTCACGTTAGTGGTTGACATCCCGCGCCAATGTCCGAGCGGCGACGCGCCTGTCATCCGCTGTCCAAACTCACAAAGCTACGAATGTCTGCACCAGCGGGCTTGTCGTCCTTCTTCTTTGTCGTCTTGGGCTTATCCTGGCTTGGTTTGGCCGGGCTCGATCCCCTGCCTTTGCTAGGGGACGCGGGCATGGTGGTGGTGTTGCGTGAATGTGGGTGTTGTTGAAGATGAGAAGCGCGACGCGTGCAACACCGTCATCTTTCGCGTACCTCCACCCCATAAAGCAAATTAGCGGAATCAAATTATATTAATCTACACGTGACGCGTATTTGAAACAGCCGCACGAAATCAAAACAAAAGTAAAAAGCCACCACGTTACAAGGGCAGTGACATCAACAAAGTTGACGGCTTCTTTCAACTGCTCACTCGCTCGTTTCCCAAAAGTCTTCCAACGACAATGCCGCCGCCGGCCCGTAAACGCATTCGGAGCAACAGCTCTGAGGTCGGTACTTCGTCTCCAACTCGCAAGTCTCCTCCACCAGCGGACGACGAGGAAGCGTCGGCGTCGCACCTTGTCTCCTTCCTGACGGGCTACGCCGACCGTGATCGCGGGTCATCACCAAGCGGTTCAGAGCACTCGGACAGCGACGAGGGCGAGCACGAGATTGATGCTGAATCCGAAGATGACGAAGACGAGAACACACGCACCCCGGGCCGTCGTGGACTGGTAGGCACGCCCAGTCGCAACAAGCGCAAGCCCGCCGCATCAGCAACTCCGACCCCTCGCAAACGCGGCGCGACTGCAACGCCGTCAAAGGACAAGGGCAAAGCCAAGGCCACAACAGCTACTGAGGTAGACGAGGGGTTTTTGAGGCAAACCCGTGCCGACACGTATTTCCTCAACGCATCGCGTGCGGCGCGCACATCTGGGTTATCGTATGCGGCCCTCGCACGACCACTCAGCCAGGCAGAATACGAAGCCGCAGCCAACGGCGCGCGTGGACCCGACCCTCGCGTCAAGCGCGCCATGGAGGTTGCCGAGCAAAAGTTTCCTCAGTGGGCAGCCGAGCTCGAGGCGGGCTTCAACATCCTCCTGTATGGATACGGCAGCAAACGTCGTACCGTCAACAACTTTGTCCGTTCCGAGCTGGCCACTCGCGGACACTGTGCGGTTGTCAATGGCCATTTCCCCGGCCTGGGCCTGCGCGACGTCCTGGCCGCGTTGGAAGACAACCTTGGGATTCCCGACGCAGTAGCACCACCAGCCGCTGGTCCGCTCGAGCGCGCCGCGCACCGCGTCTATGCCCACTTCTCCAAGGACGAGGACACGCACCCGCTCTTCCTCGTCCTGCACAACATTGACGCTCCGGCCCTCCGCACACCCCGTGCCCTCTCCGCTCTCGCCCTCCTGGCCTCGAGTCCCAACATCCACCTCATCGGCACCTTTGACCACGTGCACACCCCGCTCCTCTTCTCTGCTGCCGTGTCCAACGCTCCACCGCACAAGTTTGGCGCACGGGGCGAAGACGGCTTCCCGCCCCAGCTTCGCGGCTTCAACTGGGTCTACCACTCTGTCCCCACGTTTGACGACTATGACGTCGAGCTAGCGTACGCCCGTCTGTCGGCCGCGTCTCTCGGCGCGCTGGGCCAGAGCGGCGCCGCGGGCGTGAGCGAAGAGGGCGCGCTCCAGATCCTCCGCTCGGTCCCGCCGATGGCGGCGCGTCTCCTCAAGCTCGTCCTCACGAGGCAGGTTGCCGCTTTACCCCCCGACACGACGAGTCACGCCGCATACCCGCCAGCACAGACTGCGCCGGCGTTCGCAATGGATGTGGACCTGCTGCAAAAGACTGCCAGGGACAAGTTTATCGCTCGCGAAGAGGACAGGTTCAACGCCCTCATGGGCGAGTTCCGCGACCACGGCCTCGTGGTCGTCGCCGAGGTTGACGCAGAGGGCAGGACGGGACGGTGGGCATGGGTGCCGTTGGGCAAGGCTGCGATTGAGCGTATCCTTGAGGAGATGAAGGACGTGGAGGGTTAGGTAGCACGTATTATGGAGGTTGTGCATTGCATTCCAACAAGGCTGCAATCAGAACGGTGCGGGGTGATTGATGTGCAGTAAATTCCATTCCAGCCTGCTTAATTGTACAACGGTGGGCTATGCTAAGTGCAGGGAACGGAACGTGTGGCTGGAGCCAACACTTCGTTCTCAGTGCAGCAGTGTGAGAAATCATGGAGCCTTGTTTATGATTGTTTTTTTGTTGTTGTGGGTTATGTGTCGGATGGAATATGTTTGGGTTTGTTGGTTTGGTTTATGAGTTTCGGAACATGGGGCCATGTGGTGGGGTTGGTGGAGCAGGCGCGGGAGGGGATGAAACGCGGCCGCGCCTGCGCGTGCGAGTTCGTAAGACAAAACAGAGAGGGTCATTGTGGCGGAGGTAGGAGAGGTAGAAACGAGGAGTCGCCAGCGTGAGATAAGTGTCCGGTGGTTGTTGAGAAATCATGCCAAGGCCACGCCCGACGGAGGCACGGCCGGAGTCCACCCATCCTCCAGCTCGTCGAGGCGGTACAGGAGCCACGCGCACGTAATGAGTAGGAGGGCACAGACTTTCCAACCGACCTTGTAGGCGATACGGTCCCAGTTCCAGTGGCGATTGTAGGTGAACACACGCCAGCCCTTGACGTGGCGAGGGGTGGGCTTGGGACCGGCTTGAGGCGATCCGCGCCGGAATGGTCCTGGGGTGATGTCTCCACCAGCATCATCCTCGTCCTCGTCGGAGATGACGTTGGAGGTGACCCACATTTGGATACAGCGCGAGCAACCAGTCGTTACGCCAATGACGACCCACGAGAGAAGTGGGCGCCGAGGGCCCAGGAACCACAGGGTGATGTAGGTGGCTGGCCAGCAGAGACACTGGAGCGACAGAAGGCGCGTGACCGTCGATGGCAAAGAGTAGTAGGACCGCCAGCGGTATGTCAGACCCGTAGTCAGGCCAAAACAGAATTGGGCAGTAAGCCACGCCTGAAAACTTGTCAGTGAACAAAGTCTTGGGAGGCTGAGACACGGTGTGTATGTTGGAACTCACCCATGCGATCGCAAGAAGCATGTCGCCGCGGTGGACTGGGCGCTTGATGCCTTCGTACGGGTTGTGGCCGGCAACGAGGCTCTCCAGTGCTTCACGGCTAAAGTCGACACCCCACGGCCAGACGTCGTACCAGAGCGCACCGGTCACAAAGGCGTGGAAGAGGACAGCAATACCCCACAACGCGGGGACAATGGCCAGGAGACGGTAGCCGCGCAAGGACGAGCGCCGGAGACGGGCCTCAACGATGGCCGCCTTGAGGTCGACACTGCGACGTGGCACCTCGTCGCCACTGTTCGTGGGCTCGAGGAGGAGGCCCAGAGCGCGCGAGTTGAGTTTGTCACTCGGCAACGACCGTTGCCGGACGATGTTGCGAGTCCGCGCCTTCGGGGAAAAGCTAAGCGATCCAGAAGACGGCGAGTCGAGGCTTTCCAGGTCGTCGTCGGCGTCCTCGCTTCCTGTCATGCCACCAAGAGGCGATCGAATTGAGAATGGGGAATCACGACTGCCTTCCCGTGATGAATCTTCGGACGAGCTCATCGGCGAGCTGTCGGTACGAATCTGGGTTAAGTGGGGGATGGAGACGGTACTTGCGCGCGGCGAATGGCGCGGACCCGAGGGCCCACCGTTTCCTGTCGAGAACGGCGAGACCGAGGTGCTGGCAGCGAGAGGGATAGGTCGATGAGGAGGCGTTTTGCGGCCCTGGCTCCGGCGGCGGGTGAGGTGGCTGTTGTTGGCAGCACGACGTTCTTCGAGCTGGGTGCGCATGACACCATCTGCCCAGCCCTCGACGTTGACTCGCGAGCGAAGCGCCGAGAGGTCGGGCTGCGATCGCGAGTGCTGGTGATGCCTCACACGCCCTGGCACAAAAGTAGAGTCCGAGTCGACCTCCGTCTCCGAGGCCTCTGAGCCAGACGACACTCTCGAGCGGGACCGTGACCGCGACCGTGGACGACGGTTGACGCGCACCGGACTGTTGGGCTGCGGTATTGTGACACCCCGCTGAGGCATGGGAGGCATCTGGCCCATGGATGTCACAGGCACGCTGCCGACGGGGTATGACCGCTGTTGGTGTTGCTGCACCTGTGGGAGTTGGCTGGGCATTGTGAGGGGCGAGAGGGCCTTGAGGACAACCTCCGGGGAGTGCCGAAGGGCGCGTATCTGCATCTCGGGAGACATGCGGACTTGGGCGCGCACCTCGGGTGAGATTTGAGCAGCGGGCGCGAGACCGCCGCCATGGCCAGCGCCAAAGGCGGCGGTGTGCGATTGCGCTGTCCCAATGTCGATGGCTTGAATGGTCGACAACGGCGCCAGGTCACGGTGCGGCCGTGTTGCTGGAGATGTGGGTGCCGAACGACTCATGGACCTACGGGGCTGAGTCGCTGCCATGGCCAGCTGTGCTGACAGTTGTTGGGCCAGGGCTGCGCCGGAAGGCATCGGCGCCATGTTCGGAAGACGTTCACTCATCGATGATTGCGGAGAGTGAGATGAACGGCTGGAGCCAAGCTGGTGCCCGGGCTGTCCCGGAAGACCGGGAGCACCGGGCACACCTGAAAGTGTTGCAGTTGTCGTCGTCGTCGTGACCGATGGGGGTGATTCGCCAACCCTTGGCGAGGACATGTGTGCGCCGCTGTGACGCTTGGCAGTGCGACTGGCCCAGGTTAAGCAGAGCGCATAACGGGATAAGGCGGGGGGTGGTGGTGGAGAGAAAAGAAGGGAGTGGTGTGGAGAGCTGAGGCTGTCTGCACACCGGTTGGCTGGACAGAGTGATGAGGATGCGGGGCAGCGTCGACGACGACGACGGCGGCGGCGGCGATGGACGAGGTAACGAGACCGAAAGAGCACACACAGGACGATTGTGCGACCACGCTCTCCTTTGCGTCTTCTCTCTCTCACACACAGAGCGGATCGGGCGGGGCATGCACGACGCCTGCCGCGGGATCAAATCTCCGGCCCACCGTGCGGGGAAGGCAGCAGCCAACAGTCGTCATCGCCGCCGTCATCCTTTGTCCCAACTTGCTGTCTCTCTGTCTCTCCGTCTCGCAGTCTCTCTCCCGGCAACACCTCGCACCGATAGTGCATAGCGTGATAAGTCACCATGCGCAAGGGGGCAGGCATATCGGGACTCTCCCGCCAAACAGCACAGGCCAGCAGCTACAACGCCCTCGGCAGTGCCCTCACCGCTCAACAACTGACCTCCCTCGAGAGCTCGCTCGATGGCTTCCGCGAGCAGCTCGTGGCCTTTGCAGCCGCGCACCGTGCCGATATCCGCAAGGACCCAGCATTCCGACACCAGTTTCAAAAGATGTGTGCGGCCATCGGCGTCGACCCCTTGGCCGGCGGTGCCAAGAGCGCTTGGTGGGCCGAGCAACTCGGTCTCGGTGAATGGTCCTGCGAGCTCGCACTCCAGATCGTCGATGTGTGCGTCTCCACTCGCGAACGGAACGGCGGGATCATCGAAATGGGCGAGTTGATACAGCGTGTCGAGCACATGCGTCGCGGGACAAAGGCCGATGCCAACAACACCGCCGCCCGCACCAACGCCGCTGCCGCTGACGGAGCGTTCACCGAGGACGACATCAAGCGTGCGCTCGAGCTTCTCGGTCCCCTTCGCGCAGGCTACACGCTCGTCACGGCCGGCGGCACAACATTTGTGCGCTCTGTGCCCCGTGCCCTCGACACGGATCAGTCCATGCTCCTCGTCCTCGCATCCGAGACGGGCGGTGCGCTCACCGAGGCCGACGTCCGCGACCGTACTGGATGGCCGGCCATGCGCGCACGCACCGCTCTGGACGACTGCGTCATGCGCGAAGGCCTCGGATGGGTCGACGAGCAAGCCGACCACCGCACCGTCTGGCTGGTTGCAGCTGTCGACTTTGCCGAGTAGGCGATGTACGACAATGCATGTGCCGGGCTGCATCAAGCGACTCTTGCATGGGCGATCCTGAGGCCTGGCCGCTATCGGCTTTCGGAGGGAGTGACGGCGGCCTACATCACACACGTCGCTGAGATGGGCTATTGCCTGGGTACTCGCTTGGTCGCGCCTGTCTTCCGCGAAACTTGCTTTCCCTAGCCGCGAGCAACCACGGGCCCATGCAAGCCCCTACTCATCCAATGTCAACGAGGCCACTGGCTTGCAGCTTGGCGCGCACAGAGAGTGGACTGGACAGCCCTTCACCACCCACGCCGCCCCTCCACTCGCGCCTCCGCTCCCGTCTCCGCCCCTCCACTCCCCCACCCTGGCCGCCGACGGACGGAATGAGACCTCCCAAACCTCCGAGATAACTGCATCGATAACGGCTCCGACAGTCACCGACCACGTCGCTCGTTGGCACGCTCCGTGTGTCACCGGTGACATGCCTCGCTCATATCTTTATCGCAACCGAAAAAGCTGTTGAAGGTCGTTGGTTGATCGGTCGCGTGCACTTGGCCAGAACCCACAGCGGATGTCGGGATATATGGATGTGGATGTTAACGCGGATATTGGCTGCGATTCACACTCACCCAGGCTGTTTGAGCCTTTACACGAGGGACGATGACTCACCGCCTCCTCGCAAACACTGGACGTGCAAGCTCCATCTAACGCTGTACAGTAACATCATGGTGTACATACACAAGCCCTTGACAAGTGTTCTGCAGTCTACAAGCAATCCGATCTGTCTCAATTCTCTTGGCACCTGACCCTCCTCATTCTGCAGTAGCCTCCGGAGTCCCCGTCGACCTACTTCGCTCGCGCTCCTCATCCCACTCGGGATCGTACGTGGGCGGCAACTCGTCCACCTGGTGACGCTCCAGCCGCCCCGCATCCTCGTGGAGCAAGAACCCAGCGCTGTGTGACGGTGCCGGGGGCGAGTGGGGGGTGTGGGCGTCATCGTCATCGTGATCAGGCAAGCTGGGCAGCCGTGGAGACCGGACAGGCCTGACTCGCGGGGAACGCGGATGAGTGGCGAGATGGGCCTTCGTGTACGCCCTCAAGTCGCCGCCGTGCTGCTGCCAATCGGGCGATTCGTACGGCGCCGCCTCGCAGCTGTCGCGGGTAAGCTGTGGCTGTAAGGGGTGGTGGTCGGGGCTTTGGCGTTGGTCGAAACTCGACCGGCGCTGGCCTGGCGAGAGGTACAAGTTGTTGTCGCTGAGGGTATCACTCATGGTACGGGACGTGGATGAACTTGACCTCCAGGCATACATGTCGCCCCAGTCCGCGGTTGGGAATGGAGTCATGGCCATCGAGCCGTCGTCGGTGGCAACGCTGGCCATGAGGGGTCGGCGAGCGCTTGCAGTGTCGTCTTGGAACTCGATGCCGGGGCTGCTCCATGGAGCCGGTTCGCGAGTCGTACGGCGGCGGCGGCGGATCATGAGGAATGCCAGGCCGCCGAGCACGATACCAGCGACGCCAGCGACGGCTGCCCCTGCTATTGTGGCAGAAGTGACTCTGGTTGTCAGTTGCTGCGTCCCTGTCAATGCAACTCACCCTTCATGCCCCACGTTTGGACGGTAATTGGACGGGTGCGTAGCAGCGACGACAATCGCGCCCACTGGCGTATCGGCGCTGCTGGTAGGCGGCCACTGGGCCGACGTCAACGTCCAGAACGTCGTGTTGGAGGGACACTTGACGTCAGACTGGACACCCACGCTCTGTGGGTTGGATACGCCGCCCGAACGGCCAGTGCCATCAATGAGCGCAAACACCATACTTGTGCCCGGTTCCCAGTCCACCGGGATTGCTGCAGCGGCTGTCAGTCATGTGTTCCCTCCCAGCTGCACTCACCGACCCAGAGGTCAGCGCCCTCCGACGCGAACGTAATCACCTCGCCGGCTGGTACGACTCCGAATACAGTCACTGGGAATGTGATGGGCTTTGAAGCTGATGGGTCCCACGAGAAGTTGGCCGTGTCGCATAGGGCTCATGGAAGGTCAGCTGGCACCGCAGAGGCTAGAGAGCGCGCAACGTACTGAGGTTGTCGCCTGGAGGGAAGATTTCAAACCTAAGACGGGGCGTCAATATGCCGAACGATGACGCTGAGCTGTGCTTGGGAGATGAATCGGCCTACAGTACACTACTCACCAGAAATCTCCCCCAGGCGGTGCCAGCGTGCAAGAAGCATCTGACACTGGTGCCGCCACTTGGTATTGGGGCGATGCGCCGCCTGTCTGCAGAAGCATTAGCTGTGTCGCACATCACGGCGGTGATCTGTGGGTATGTAGCACGCACCGCATTCCCAGTGGCGTCGTTCATGACGAAGAGGACGTTGGCGCCGGTGCCGACTGGAGTGGTGAGTTCAGCGACAGCCATGGCCATGGAAGACACAAGCTCACGCACAGGGTAGGTCCCATGACCAGATATTGTAGCCGTTGACAGTCTCGGTCTCATTCTGGGGGACGCTGACTACCACTGTGCGTCCAAATACACCCTAGCAATGTCAGCACTGTGTGCTGTTGCGGTGGCAAAACACAGCTAACGTCATCGTTCAAAGACTGCCTCCAAAACAGGCGGTCATACGACACCCACATGAGCAGTGATGGAGTACGGAGGCGTGCCGTCTGTAAAGTTGAACAATGTCGGACCACATTGTGTGACAGTGCTAGAGTCGACCGTGAACTGGAACCCTGAGGAGTATGGGATGAAGGCAGCGAAGACGGACGCGACCACGGCGGCTGGCCACGCCGCGGCCCGCTGGTGGGACATTGTGAAACTAAGAGTTCGTTCTCGTGTGTTTTGAGGGATGGACCGCACGTTGAGAGTTGGGAAGTGTCCAAGTTGATGGAGGATGCGTGACTCGTCCTCCTTTACGAACATGTCGGAATGCATGAAAGCATCGGCGTGACCCCAGCGTGCGTCATTTACCATTGTCGACGGCTGTGTGCACAGGCTTTGGGTGATCTGGGCGGCTCTCTTTGATCCAGCAGAGTCTAGGTCTGGTGGAATCCACTGCGCCCAACTGCACTGGTTCTATACACAACTGAACAGGTTTCCGCGTTTCTCTGGTGGTAAGTAACGACAACAATGTGGCCCAGCCCTAACGGCCCGTGCGGAAGCCGTTGTCGCATCACTACTGGTATCAACATCACTACTGAGGTCCGCTCATGCAGGCGGTATACATATATACTTATCATAGTCCTATCATCAACCCCCACGACCATAACCATTGCGCATCGTACCGCACACAGACTACAGAGCGTGGTGGCTGCGCTTGGTAGCAGTGTCGAGACTGGGACGCCCAGAGGTATTGGTCTCAGTGTCGTCCCATTCCGGGTTGTACGTGGGCGGCAACTCCTCCACAGCAGAATGAAGCTCTGGGTCATCCTCACGCTCCAGCCTGCCAGCGTCCTGGTGCAGGAGGAAACCAGACGGTGGGTTGTTTGGCATGGCGAGGGAAGCCTTGGTCGGTCGGCCACTCGCCGTGCGTGAGGCGGAGACGCTGCTTCCCCCGACGCTTGATCCGTCGAACCCAGAGTTCTGGCCGAGATACATGACACGCTGTGCGTCCGATGGAGTAGACATGCCAGTGGACCGGTCGAACGATTGCATCGAGCCCAGGTGGTGGTTGGTGACGTATGGCGAGATGGGAGGAGCAGAGTAGTCCGTCTCAACCAAGAACCGGTCGCTACCGGGGGTCTCGTCTTGCAGGTCGATGTCGCCAGCTTGGCGCATCTTACGCTTACGCCTGTTGTCCATTACGGCCGCTATGTCGCGTCTGCAGCAGAAGTACAGGAGGCCACCAAGGAGAAGCAGCCCACCAACGACTGCTCCGACACCGATGCCGACAATGGCGGTCTTACTGAATCCCGAGGTCTCGGTTTGGGGCAAGTCAAAGTCCGACCCCGACGTGTAGTTTGCAACAAACGCGCCTCCGGAATGGGCGGGGGACATGGGCGAAGCGGAGCTCATGCACGATGAGTTGCCGGACGTAATGATCGTTTGGGTCCTGGTGGCCCCGCCCATACGACCCAGGGCGTCAAACGCAGTCATGACGAACGTTTGGCCCAGTTCGATGTTGGCGTTCCATATCGTCCACATGTCTGAGCCGTGCGTCTGATGAGTCAGTGTACACTCCAAGGCAAAGGAGGAGGGGAAGAACGCACTTGCACTTTGAACACATCACCTTCAGGTAGGACTCCCCAGATCGTCAGTGGGGGCGCGATAATCTGGTCACCCGTTAATCCGAATGACAGGTTGACGCTGCTGCATTGCTGCCAGGTGTCAGCTGCCGCTCTGTATTATCGTAGAGTCATCAGGCCCCCTACTTACAGGAATAGTCATGTTGTCGGGGGCAATGTAGAAGCTGGGAACCAGTTAGTTGGGCGCCACCGAGGCGACACGTACAAGAAATCCGGTCCTTCTTTACCAACAGTGCAGGACGCACCGGGCTGGGGGTCGCCGACCTTGAACTGCTTTGAAGACAAGCCGGTCTGTGTCTTTGTTAGTTGCTAGTGCTTCTTGGAAGTTCTGCAAGGCCCAGAAGGGGCGCGGAAAGATACGGTACTCACAGCATTCCCCGTTGCATCATTGACGTAGAAGATGACTTCAGCACCATACGGGACTGGTATTGGCGTGAGCGGGCGTGGCACACGAACGATCAGAGACGTACATGGGAGGTTCCAGTCAAACGTGGTGACAGACTCGCCGTCCACAGTCTGGGTGGCTTCTTCCGGTACTTCAACTATAAAGGGCCTTGAATACGAGGACTGCGAGGGTCAGCCGGGGTACCCTGCGTGCCGATCTCCGCCACACTCGTAGACACCACACCACTCACAATGCAAGAAATGGAGAATGGGGCGGTGCCGCCAGCCCAGTGGAAGTGGGTAGGACCGCACTGGGTCACAGTGTTGGGATCGATGGTGACATTGAAGGCAGACGCCGATGCTGCCAAAGACAGAGCACAGGTGGCAACGATCAAGCCTCTGCCGAATACTGAGACCATCTCGGATTGGTGTACGGGGTCTCTTACAACAAACAAAATGGCCAAACACACACAAAAACCACGACACGAGGAGTAATAAGGGTGAATAGATGGAAGAAGGACAGGACAAGGGAAAGGACAAGATATAGCTGGCCTGGGATGTGTTGTGCATACAGTCGTGGTGCGGTGGTGGACAGCTCTTGGCAGAGGAGGCCACACCACGTAACCAGCAGTCGTTTCCGAAGATTCCGGTGGTCTGTCCACCCTGGAGACACCAAGCCAAGTCCCGGTGTGAGCGGCAATGGACCTGCAGCATGACCACAGACGTCAAGGCGGTTCCCAACATGCCACTGGTGCAAAGGGGTATGCGTCAGTTTGCTGCGTTGGGTTTCCAAGGCACCCAACACGCACGTCTCAAGGTGCGCCGAGGAAGGCAAAATGACGGAGCGGTGGCTTCACCTGGCGATGCCGATGCCGGGGAGGGTATGTATCCCACCCAGTTCTGAACCAGCCGGAGGTCCACGCGGTCGATCTGCAAGCTCGGCAGCCGTTTACTGGCAAGTTCCGGCGGGTACACACGCAAGGTGACCCACGGAGGCAGTACGCTGGTGTGGACGGGCAATCTTTGCAGGTTTCAACGGGCAATCGTAGAGGCACGCGTGAGACTACAGTTCCACAGGAGCCCGCCTGCCGACGACAAACGCCTGTCGATGTCCACTTTCGGTTCAGAAAGTTCCCTAATGTTCAGGTATTGTTCACATACCGTACAGTAATGCATGCTGAGCTGGCTGATGCAGGACAAGTCTTCCCCAACGTGTAGCTTCGGTCGAGTGCGATCCCTTTGATAAAGGCCCTGCACAGACTCTGTTGCGAGCGTCTGTTAGGGACGCCGAGGTATGAAACGCCTCACAGATGGCTTCACTGCCAAGCGCATACACTTGCGACGCGTGTTGCAGTGACCAGTGGCAGTGCTCACTGCCAACCCCCGACTTGGAGGCCCCCGCTGAATGGACATCCCAGCGTGTATCTGTACCAAAATTGCAGTGCTCCAGCACCGCGATGTACTCTGCCATACGTCATTCTCAATCTTCTTCTACGACCCACACATTGTGCTCACCCACGACAATGCTGGAAGTCCTGATCAACACAATTTTATCCATTGCTGTCCAGGGTGGCGTCTCAAATCGCAAGCCATTCAGTCCGCCGGATGGTGTGGCCGCCAGCTGCCAAACACCCTCGAAACCAAATGTACGAGCAACGGTACTGTCCTTAAAGGCGCGTCTCAGGCGTTGTGGTCACACGATCACAACTAATAAGCTCTATGCAAGTGAGCGGCCATGCTGTTGAAAACGAGGCTGGGTACAGCCCTGCCTCCCGACTCCCGTCGGCAGACCTACATATACATACATCGCCCCAGTAGGTTCAGCAGGCAATACCGACCGGCTCACTGCTGTCAGCCCGTGTTCAGCTGGCTTCGAGGACTCCCAATCGGCACACACGGGCCACGTCTCAGTGTTATACGGTGCCTGCATGTAGTTTATATCTTTCTGGCTACTGCTACGCCAATGTCCTGTACTCTCTCTTATATGACACACACAACATGCTTCTTTTCTCTCGCCTGGCCCAATCGGGGACCTAGGCCTAGTGTGAGGGATCGCGCAGCTCGGCCTTGGCGGCTGTGCCAACAGTTGCCTGTCCGACGGTGTAGTTGGCTACAGTCGAGTGGGCAGTCGAGGACGTGGTGTCGGTGGGGGAGGATTGTGGGACAAAGCTGCCGGTCGACACGGGACGCTGGCGGCGAGACTCCGCGCCAGAAAGGGCATGGGCACTGGAAATGTCGCCCAGGTCGGCCTCACCGCGAGGCGAGAGCGCAGTGTCCGAATAGGTGGGCTCAACAAGGAGGCGCTCCTGCGGATCTTCGTCCTTCTCCTCGTCACCAAGACGCTGGTACTGGTGTGCAGCGACCGGACCCAACCCGCCGGCAAGGCGGTTGCCACTGCTGCCGCCGTCTCGCGGGTTGTAGACGAACTCCTGAACGCGCACCAGTGGGGTCGAGGGCTCGCCCTGGAAGCCGTCGGCGCCGGGGTTCCTGCGGTTCTTTGCCAGCCCGCTGGTGCGGCGTCGGCAGCAAAACAAGATAAGGGCGCCAATGACTGCGAGCGCGGCGACGGCGCATCCCACAGCAATGCCGATGATCGCTCCAGTGCTCAGACTGCCAGGTCAGCTTTCGTGGCAGACGCCTGATAGCTAAACGACTCACCGTTTCTTGTGTGGAATGCGAGCATACTCCGCTGGACTCAAGGCGTTGAGTACAATGGCACCGCCGCTGTGGGCAGAAGACGATGGCGAGCCGGAGGTCATGCAGGTCGTGGAGCCGCTGACAATCGTCTGGATGGTGGACACGCCTCCCGAACGCGAGTCGGGCGTGTTCGAGTCCCACGCGGCAAACAACATGTCGGTTCCCTGGGCAATGTCCATCTGAAGCACTATCGGGTCAGCAGACAGCCCCTGAAGCGAGACACTCACTGGCCCAGGAGGCTGTGTCGTTTGTCTGGAACTGGACCACGTCGCCGTTGGGGATCACACCTTCGAATGTGATGGGGGTGGTCACGGTCTGTCCAGAGTTGGCGACCCACGAAAAGTTGGTATAGGCACATTGAACCAGGTTGTCGTCCGATGGCCCAATCTGGAAGCTGGTGTTGTTAGCCATGACGTATGTACTGTTGACCCACGCGAAAGAACCGTTGGCCTGCGAGGAGGTGGTGCCGGCCGGGAGAGCAGCGTTGCACGAGGCTGTGATGTTGGATCCACGCGGACCGACAACAAACTTTTCCGACGCGCCGCCAGTCTTACATTACTCGTCAGCGTCGTACGCGTCCATGACCGGCGGACAAACAACTCACCGCGAAGCCGCTCGAGTCCGACATGACAAACACGACCACGTCGTCCTCACGGTCTAGAGATCAGCCCTGGTCGGTCGTGCTCACGAGACCTACACGTCAAGTCCACAGCCCACGACCTGCGGAGGCCCTCGTCCTTTGCTACCTCTGCACGCGTGATGTTGAGCCTCTGGGCGGAGCCGAGTACGGACTGGAGGTTGCGTCAGGTCAAGCTCGCCACCACCCCAGCTCATACGCAGAACGCAACGCACGTAGATTGTCAGCTCGTAGGGCGCGGTACCGCCGTGCCACATGAACTGCGCCTGGCCACATTCCGTGACGCTGTCTGGATCGACCCAAAAGTTGAAGTCGGCCGCGTCAACTGTGGTTGCGAGGAGACAGAGCGAGCCGACCCAAAGGACGCCCGCCCAGGTCGACAGCGAGGAGAGACCGCGGCCAAGCATTGTGAAGGTGTGTTACTGGGTGTTCAGTAGTGAATGTTTGGTGTGTGTCTGATAAGAAGAAGGTGGGATGTTGTGAGAGTGAGCACGAGCCTCCAGCCAGTGTGCCAAGCCACGCCGTGTGCGGCGTTGTTGGGGGGGGGGGGGGGGGGTAATGCTTGGGGCCATATGCTAACACGCTTTTGCTATGTGCCGGAATCTCCATCCGCAGTGTGTTTTGATACGTCGCTCCTCGCATGCGTCCTCGGCACAGCGCATGCAGCATGCACCGCCTGCCCATGTACCCGCGTCGTGGCCCTCGTTGCCCTCGCGCAAACGCGGTGCGCGCGCCGGAAGGTCGTGCCTCCTTGTCTTTCCCCCATGCGGGAGACGGACGCCGCATACCCTCACCCCCCCTGCTGTTGCAGCGTGGAGGAGCAACGTTCCAGGCCATGCAGGCCACGCCATCACGCAAGCCGCCAGAGTCCGGTCGCGGCGGATGACAGGCTTGCGAAGTGAGACACCGTGAACGGGGCAGTCATTCGCTGGCGCCGCTGGTGGCTCATGCCTAGCGGGATAGCTAGCTAGAAAGGCGCATCGGAAATGGGTTGATAGGAACCCGGACCGAGGACGTAGCGCGTTCAAGCGGCCGCGCGCGAGCTAGGTTTTGTAAATGGCAGCAAGGATGACGGACCAGTCCGGCCAGTCCAAAACAAACGGCAAAGTCAAAGGAGCCGTCAAGTGGCCATGCCGTCGAAAATGAGCAAGAACAGCTGCGGGAACCACACAACGTATAGTGTCCGCTGGCGCTCTGGAGCTCTGGCGCGAAGACCGGCAAATTGACTGGTGGCGGATCGCCGGCAATTTGCTCCCTGCCATCCCCTCCGTTGCATCTTCACGTCCCATCTCTGCGCTCTGCCCTTCCCTCGGGGCGATGATGTACTGTGGGCAGATAAATCCCAGTGCACTGCTTCCTCCTCTGCCCAGGAGTCGAACCCTGATTGCGTTGTCCTTTAGTGGAAAGCACTCCCTGCGGGAGGGGCTATTTAGGGCTGGGGTGCGAGACCCAGAGGACACTTGCCCTCCATGTGCTGTGTGTGCTGCCCCCATGCCACATGGAAAGCACTGACAGCAACCGAGGAAAAATACCGGAGTTGACAGTGACGATGGTGTTGGTCAAGGGGTCGATCATGGTCAGCCACACACACGGTGCTGACGTCCGTTGGCGGCACTGCTCGACCTCGCTGAGGGTACTCTGCATGGGCCGACATACGAGAGGTTACCACTTGAGGTTAGAGACATGAACTCGATGGTTTGGCGCCGACTTTGGGAACTGTGGCGCGGACATGTGTTGTGGAGAGACAATGTCATCACGCGCCGCGGCGTGGGCAAAGTGGGCGCGAGATGTAATGTGGCGATATCGCCGTTTTGCAACGGCTCTGGATGACTGAGGGACAAGGGGAATGCAACGAGGCCCCGTCGAACTGCGCAGAAGACCGTCGTTGGTCGTATGTTTGTATTTGGCGTATTAAACATAAACGTGGTGGGTGGCGGAGTTCTAGGGCAAAACAAGCGTAAACTCCCTCAGCGACCAGCGACCGCGAGCCTGCGACTCCGGATAAGGACTCGCGAGACAAAGCAGTACAACGGGGGCATAATTCCAAAAGTCACTGCACGTCAAGTGGGTAGCGTCGCGGGTCGAGACGACGATGGTGATTGAACACCTGATTGAGTCGCGACCTCCTCGTCTAAATGACTAGCTTGGCTAGACGTTAGACGTAGGCTGTGCGCATCCACCATGCGCACCCGGCTGTCCTGCACGTGGATGACAGCCGTTGTGCCGCCTTGGCGCTGTGGTTCAAAGAGAGCAACATGAGGAGAAGGCGGTCTAAAGCTCACCCGAAGTGAACCCGCTCGGACTTGTGTGCCACCTTGCTACGCAATCTTGGCCAAAAGGACCCCCTTGCGGGCCGATCGGCCCGTTTCCACTCCGTCCTCATTTGTGCGGACCTTGTCGTGGCAACACCGTTGAAGACCGTTCTTGTGGGTAAAACCGCTCTGGTGGGTAAGAGAAGCTGGGAAATCAGCCATAACTGCGCAGGTGCCTTGCACAACAGCTGACTTGGGCGCTTAAATGCACAGAGAATGTGCACGCGTGACCGTTTCGATATCCTGTCCAAGGTAACGTGCTGGCCGCTGGCTGAGCTGAGACCAGGCCGGAGTTGTTGTTGTTCTTGGCACCGCGGCTCAACAGCCGATAAAGGTGTACGATCCGGGGAACAGCCGCACAGCCGTCTATCGAAGCGGTTTCGTAACGAGTGTGTCTTAGACGAGGACTGCGAGAGGTATGTACATAGATAAAAAGAGAGACTAGTCCGGCGTGGGGGTCCCCTTAACTCCCTATCTACATCTCCACGGGGCACTACGGGGCTCAACTCCACCTACCATGGCGCGATTCTCCCCCAAGATCTACACTCTGCTCTGCGGGTGCTTTGCAGCGTGCGTCTAGCATCGTGGGCATGTTGGCTGACGCCTTAGACTTGGCTCCATCCTTTTCAGCTATGATCTCGGTGTCATTGCCAGCGTCCTCGAGGCGCCTGACTTCCTCCGTACTACGGGTTTGGAAGGGAAAGACAAACAGACGTTAAACTACATCGGCTTCATCACCAGTAGTATGCTTCTCGGCGCATTCGTGGGCTGTATTCCTGCCTCTCTCATCGCCGATGCCTTTTCTCGCCGCATTGCCAGTACGTTTACCTCAAGAGGTGGAAGCAGCGTAAAAAATCCCTGACAAAACATAGTTACCGTCGGTGCCGCCATTTTCCTCGTCGGTGGTATACTCCAGACGGCCGCAAACGGCAAAGGCATGATGATGGCGGGCAGGTTCTTTGCCGGTATCGCTATCGGCCAGCTGTCGCTCCTCGCGCCCCTGTACCAGTCGGAGATCTGTGAGTCGACCCTCTAGGTCTTTCATGGGATGATCATGTCTGATTTTTCAGCCCACCCTTCCATCCGCGGTCGTTTGACCACGCTCCAGCAGCTTTTCCTTGGCATCGGCGCGGTGTTGCCAGCTGGATCGGCTACGGTGTGACGAAGAACAACCTCGGTACGGCACTGCAATGGCGTCTTCCTCTGGGCTTCCAAATGGTACCCGCTGTACCGCTCCTTTTTGTGACCCTCGTGCTCCCAGAGAGCCCCAGGTGGCTCATGATCAAGGGACGCGAGGAAGAGAGCCTTACGGTGTTGGCTCAGCTTCACTCCAACGGTGATGTCCACGATCCGCTCGTTCTCGGCGAATTCCACGAGATGAGGGAAAAAGTCCGCGAGGAGGCTGCGACCACCTCGGGCTGGGGACAGATCTTCCGCAACGCCGACAACCTGCGCAAAGTCATGTTGGGCGTGATCCTGCAGTTCTCTGTGCAGATGACGGGTGTCTCGTTTATCCAGTACTACGCTCCTCGTGTCTACGCGGTGAGTCTTTCACGTTTTGCGCCCTCGGATCTAACAATCGCAGGCTGTCGGCTACTCTACTGAGACGACTCTGCTCCTCGGATCCCTCTCGGGTGTGCTCGGCATTCTGTCCCAGCTGTCGTGTGTCCTCTTCATTGACAAGACCGGTCGTCGCTGGCCACTCATTATCGGAAACTCTCTGTCCGGTTTCCTGTACATCTTCCTCATGTGGATTTCCTACAAGTTCAACAAGGACGAGGGTTCGGAGACGATGGTGAGTCTGCTTGGGGTGTACACTTCGCGATGGGTTTAGCACCATCAACTGACTCGTCACAGGCGCGCGCATTCGTGGCCGTAAACTGGCTGTGGAACATGATCTTCTCGGCGTGCATCGGTCCCATTTCGTGGGCTTACCCCGTCGAAATCATGAACACCGCGATCCGCGCCAAGGGCACGGCCCTCACCTCCATGGCTTGCTGGATTTCGAACTTTATGATCGGACAGGTCAGCCCCGACGCATTGTGAGTCCTCTGCAGTCCAGCCGTCTGCAACGAGCTGCGGCTAACCAGCACAGTGCCGCCGTGGGATGGAAGTACTACCTCCTCTTCGTCATTTGTGGCTTCACCAACGCGTTTGTCATGTGGGCCCTCTTCCCCGAGACCCGTGGCCGCACGCTGGAGGAGATGGACCACTACTTTGCCACGACGCATTGGTTCGTCCCCACGGCAAAGACCGACCACCTCGATGCTGCTGCTCGCGAGCGCGAGCTGATCAGTCGCGAGCTCCAGCTCGACACTCCAGTTGACGATGGCAAGGGCGACGTGGGAGGCGAGAAGGGTGTCGCAGTGGTGCGCGAATACGCTGAGAAGTAGTAGTTTCACCAGTAGTCAGTGTATAACGGGAATGTAACTGGACCTCGAATTGCTTCTGCAGTGTGGGTGGAGTGAGAATGATTTGACATTTACAAGAGCCTAGATACTATATAACTGGGTTTTCCTATTTGCACCTTTCCCGGTACTGGAATGAGATCAAACGATCTACTTGTTCGAGGCGACCGACTCGAGACCGTAGTCGGTGGCCTTCTCGTCGTAGTGGGCAGTAGCCTTCTCGTCGTACGGGCTCTGGGCGGTGGGGTGGGGGTGCGAAACGCTGACGCGGCTGTGGACACGAAGGACACCGTTCTCGACGTGGAGCGAGGGGCGGCGAGCGGCCTCGGCAGCCTTGTTGCCGAAGACAGTCGACTGGCGGCCGTCCTTGTTCCAGATGAAGACAGCCCAGAGGGCAATGTAGATGAAGCAGGGGACGACGAGGTAGAACGAGACACGGGTACCGAAGTGGTCGGCAATCGCACCCTGAATGGGAGGGAAGACGGCACCGCCAGACACACCCATGACGATGAGGGCCGAGCCGGCACGAGTGTTGCGGCCGAGACCAGACGTGCCGAGAACGAAGATGGTGGGGTACATGATCGACTCGAAGAACATGATGAGCATGATGCAAGCGACACCACCCATGCCGTGGAGAGTGCCGATGAGGATAGCAATGACGGTGCAGATGCAGGCGTAGGCAAAGAGGAGGACGGGGGCGGTGAAGACCGAGAGGAGCGCGACACCAACGAAACGGCCAACGGTGAAGAGGAGGAGGGCGTACGAGAGGAGCTGCGAGCCGCGAGTGTCCTCGATTCCTGCGTTCTCGTGGGTGTAGTTGAGGAAGAACGCGCCAATGGTGACCTGGGCGCCGACGTAGAGGAACTGCGCAACGAAACCGGTAGTGGCACGGATCTCCTTCCAGAGGGGCCTCTTGGGGGTGGTGTCCTCCATCTCCTCAAGCTCCACGGCAGCCTCGAGAGCTTCCTCGGAAACCTCGGGGAGCTTGGTGCAAACAAAGGCGACGGCAATAAGGGCACCCATGCAGGCGACGGCGAGGTAGACCCACTGGACGCTGGAGAGGTCGGTCGAGTTTTCGCTCGAGAAGAAGTACTTGGAGGCGATGAGGGGGCCGACGAACGAGGCGACACCGTTGAACGATTGCGAGAACTGAAGACGGAGAGAGGCGACCTCGAGAGGGGGCATGACCGAGACGTACGAGTTGGCGGCGACCTCAAGCGACGAGAGACCACAAGCAATGATGGCAGTGCAGACGACGAAGCCACCGAACACACCCTGCTTGTTGGTGGAAGTGGTCGAAGCCTTGGCAACGGGCCAGAAGAGAATAGCACCGATCGAGTAGAAGGTGAGACCCATCAGGATACACTTCTTGTAACCCCAGCGGCGGAGCACGAAACCAGCGACAGGCGAGAAGCAGAAGTAACCGATACCAAAGTAGGCGACCTGAAGACCAGTAGACTGGAGCTTGGTGATGCCGAGAACGTTTTCTGGTGGCGTTAGCAAAGGGGCAAGGACCAGTAGATGCTCGTCGACCATAAACATGGTCGATCGACATCTGCACTTTTTTTCACTACTCACGGAAGTGCTTGTTCAGCACATCGAGGAGGCCGTAGGCGAAGCCCCACAGGAAGAACAGCGACGTGACGAGGATGAAGGCCCAAACTGAAGGTGGTTAGCGAGAGAAAAAGAGGCGAAAAGGGACGCAGATGTAGATTGTGGCGATCACGTGCCACATCCGCGTCAACTATCAACTCACGGTACATCCGGGGGAACAGACCCGTCTTGAACGGGTTGCCCGTAACAGGAGCGACAGTACCGCCTGGCATGTTGGTTGGAGCGGTGGTTGGGAGGTGGTGTGGTGAAGAGAAGTGAAGTTGGCAGAAACGCGGATCGCGGCGGAGCTAGTTGGCTGAAACTTGAGTCTAGCCGGTTATGAGTGTCGACTTTCCAATGTCGAGTGCGTGTTGAAGGATGGCGTGCGCAATTTCGATTGCGTTGGGAGCGGCTCTGGAGCTGATTGGTTGAGAGTGAGGGGAAATCCGGGGTGTGGTGGTGGAGTTGCTTTGAGTTGAGCTTGGGGATGAGGCAAGTCGATCAACCCCGCGCTGGCCTTTATACAACCCTTGTTGGAGCTCGGGTACCCCGTGAGGGGTGGAGTTGGGGCTCATGCCTAGTGTGGAGATGGTCATCGGACCGAAGGTCGCCGCGCTCCCTGCTCTGTGCCGCCGGGAACATGGCAACCAACGGGCACATGACTGTGCGGCTATCGACGGCCAGTTGCTCTGGACGTAAGGGACAGGGCCAGGAACAGTCCGAGCCGCCCCATTCTGGCCCCCCGTCTCATACCTCAGCGGACACATTTGGGAGCCCACATCGAGTATGATGTGTGCCAATGTCGATGCCAAGCTGCCTAGCCCGCGGCCAGCCAGCTCTATGTGGCGCGAACGCTGCGGCCACTCCGACCACCTTGAACGTACTCCAGCACAGCCACTGGTGACTCGCAGGAGTGAACAGCTTGACGTTCGTTCGTGGTCGTCTGTACCAAGCCCGTGTACCCCCGATGCTCATTGCTAGGGTCTGCCTGAGCTAAGTGCTCTACCCTTGCCCACATGTTCCCCCATGTGCCCCGACTACAGTGTCACCCCCCACTGATGAAACCTGTGGAGGCCCAACGTCGGGGCCGGAGGCCCGGTTGGCCTCGCCTCTCGACGAATCATCTTGGGATGTCGGGACGCGACACCTCATAATTGGACCTCGTGCCTCGCCTAACTCGCCCACCGAGATCGAAAGTAGTGCGTGGAGTGTTGCGATTCGAAAACATCGTCGTGCAAGTACGCAGAAATTGCAAATATTGTGTATTTATGTGTCGGATGATTCCTAAGGCACGGCGCGTGCTTGTGCCTACCCTTTGTCGACTACGCGAGGCCCTGCGGATTGACGGTTATGAAAGGCAAGTCTGGACAGCTGCACACTCGATGCCGCACAGTCCGGCGGCAAGTGGGGAACGAAGATCACTCCGGGTCCCTTGCGACGTACTCTTTGTCTCACCCACTTGCCTCTGTGATAGGTTGACAGGACACCGACTTGCTATTGTTACCGCGACGGTCCCCCCCAGTGGCGTCACCTCGCCTCCCGAAAGGCCAAGGCCAGATCCAGATGGGGGTCAGACGACCGCTGGCCGTGGCACATGTCCGCCAGAAAGCCGTGAACGGAGCGGCTTGTGCGGCTTGTGCGGCTGTAGACGCTGGGTTCCTGCGGCAACTGTCTCAAGCAACACGTTCATCTCAGAGGCCTCGGTTTCCTGGACGCGTCTGATTGGCTCGAGATGGCACGCGCGTTGCTATGGGGAGTTGGATGCCTGCCACAATGTGCCAACTCCGGCCGTCTCTTCCAAATCGAAGGAACGCCAGCTCCCAGAATGGACTTGCTGTGCAATGCTGGTTGGCGGTAAGCGAGCAGTTAATGGCGTGGGTGGATTTCCATCGGCTTTAACGCGTGCAACCCCGGAGATGGCGACGTCTTGGCGACTTGGGGTTGTGGCCATTTGGCATTCGATCCACAACACATACCTCCTCTTTGGTATTCGCGGGGGCATTCGATCGAGTCTCGCAGGTCAGCCGATGACGCGCAACAGATCCCCATCACGGCAATGGAACCATGTTCTCTTCTTCGCGTTCTTCATACCAGCACATGTTTCCCCTCGACTGCACTTCGATGATTGTACCCCGCCCCGTTGAGGTTGGCACTCGAAATCGCGCACTCGCTTTCCACGATGTCGAGGAGAGCCACTCTGGAGCTAAGCGCCCGTCGAGCTTACCCTCGTCGTCTCCAGACTGGGCCCCGTGAGTTGCACCTGTGCACTACACCCTGCGGCGCCTCACACCCTGCCGTGTGATCGAAAGTGATCAGGCAACACCCTACCCCCAGGTTGCTGTGCAGAGTGGCTGTTAGGGTGTCGCTCAGACTTCTGTGCTTGCTCCTCCATGTGTCACCGGGGGCCCAAATCCGAATCTCCACCCTGTTGTCAGTCACGTGACTGATCGCTGTATGTGAAGGCCCTTCTGCGACCCACCCAGAGGCCAGAGGCCAAAGGCCGAAGGTCAACGTCTGGCCTGGCATGCACGAACCACGCCGTACAGTCTGGGTCATCCCTGGATGCCAGTCTGATGGCGTGGCCGGGGCCTTGCTGTGTGAGAAGAAGGGTGTCGTGAAAGGTTGTCGTGGCTGGCGAGTCGAGAGGCCGCATTGTAATGGTGACGAGGGCAAATGAGCCTAGCGAACAATCATCTCGAGGATGAGCTGTTTCAGGGATCCGAGGTTCAACGCTCTGGCGTTGGGATCCGTTGCCATGCAGGACGCGTGGGCTGGAGCTGCTGGAGGAAGCTCAGTAGTGAGCAGATGGTTCTCAGAAGCAAGTTGGAGTGTTCTCAAGGTCTTCCCCCAGCCCGACGGTCGCTGCGTTGCGCATACGCGTCATTTCGTTCGCACTGATACAGCTGGCGCCGCTGAACTCGGAATGATCGACAGACGTGTGTGCTGGCCGTGCTGGACGCAGATCTGTGTGTGTGTGGCAGTGCCTTTTCGGGGGGATTTATTGCATTAATTTCCCAGAAGAACCCAGTCCAATCTTGGGTACGTGTACACCCATGTGCGAAATCTAGCGGAATCTATGCCTATGTGCATGTCTCTGTGCAACTATAAACGTACAACTAACGTCTCACTCTAGCCTAAAGGCCCCACTGTTCTCATCTACGCTCCGCTCTCTAGTGGCCGTGGGCGGCGGCCTCGAGGTCCTCCGGGCGCTGGGTGTCTTGGCGGTTGCCGTCTGCGAGCGACCCAGGTGCGTTCCACTTTTCCTTCTCCTCAAGGGGGGTAACGCTCGCCTCGGGAATCTCGGAAGGAAGGACGGCGTTGAGGAAGGCACCGACAAGAGCGGCGATGAGGTACGACTCCTCGACAATCAACTCGACGGCCTGGATGAGGCCCGAGAGACCCTTGTTGGTGCCCTCGTAGGTGAAGATGAACGAGAACCAGTTGGGGACACAGAGAGAGGACATGCCCAGAGCGACGGCGGCGGTCGCGACAAAGCGGTCACGGCGAGTCCACTTGCAGTAGGCAAGAACACGGATACCCGAGACGGTGACTGAGCCAAAGAGGAAAGTGGTGAAGCCGCCAATGACCGAGGGTGGGCAAGCAGCAAAAATGGCGCCAAACTTGCCGACAACGCCCATGATGAGGAGGATGAACGCGCACATGTAGCCGGACTGGAGCGAGGCGTTACGAGTGAGGGCGATAACAGCCGAGTTTTGGGCAAACGTCGTGAGAGGGGGGACAGTCATGAGACCAGCGAGTGTAGCGGAGATTGCTGTGTCTGTCAGCATCTGGCCAACAGTGGAAGCAGCGCAAGAGTCCACAGAGGGAGTAAAGGGAGGTCAAGAGGCGACAATGTCACACTTCACCGCTTTCTTACTCCTCTGCTAACCCCGTTTAACACTTACCATCTGTCAACATTCCTCCCTGCACACGAGTCATGAACCTTTCGTCGGTGATGTCAACGCGAGAAGCATCGGCAGAGGCAGTAATGTTGCCGATTGACTCCGCGATGATGACACACCAAGACGCCAGCATGGGAAGCACGAGCTGACCACGGAGGCTGAGCTTGAAGGTGTGAACGAACAGGAAAGTGCCACCGGGCGCGTTCTTGATGGTCTGGCTGTCAAAGTATCCCGTGGCAGCGGCGATGATCATGCCCGTCACGAGTCCAAGGAAGACTGAAGCAGACTTCATAAAGGCCGAGCCGAAAACCTCGCAAAGGATGATGACCGAAAAGCATGAGAAGCCGAGACCCAGGAACTTGGCCGAGCCCCAGTACTCCTCGTGGCGACCGGCAGTGCACTTGACAGTGTGGTCGGTCGCGCATGCGGCCGAACCGCCAGCCCAGTTGGTAACACCCGAGGTGACGAGGGCGGCGCCGATGAACATGAGCATGGTACCTGTCACCAGAGGCGGGAAGATCTTGCGGATCAGGCGAGGAGGGATAAAGGCCATGCCAATGGCGAGGATACCGGTGAGTGCGCTGGTGCCGAGGATCGCGCCAAACTCGTCGGGGCATGGCAGTTTGACTCCCGAGCTGTCAGTGGGACATGTGCCGTTCTCGTAGGACTGCTGAAGATACTTGAGAGCGACGTTGGCGAACGCAAACGAGGTACCGGTGACGCTGATGAGACCAGTGCCGAAGTAGTACTTGGTGCCCCTGATCTTCATACGAGTGATCTGGAAGACCGTTCCCACAGCGCACCAGATCAGACATGCCGAGACGAGATAGCTTTGCACTTCAGTGCCGAGGTTGGCGCCTGCGACACCGCCGAGGAGTAGAGGGGGCACCACAAGACCGCCGACCATGGCAAGAGAGTGCTGAATACCGAGAATGAGGACAAGGAGGTAGGGGAGGCGGTCATGGATACCGTAAAATGGCAACTCTCGGCGAGTGAAGCCGGGGATGTTGGGGATGAAGAGCGAGAGGTAGTCCTACAGCATGTCAGCCGTGTTGACCGCCACTTTGCCCAAACGCGGTCACGTGATGTGTGGAGCGCCTTGTCTCGCGGTCCAGACTCAATACTCACATAGTCGCCCAGCCAGGCGTCTTTGCTGCCAAAGGATTTGATGAACTTGCCGGCGTTGAAGCGCTCCCTTGGCATGTGGCCCAGGCTGGAGGTCTCGCCCATGGTGGTGTTGTCAAGGGGCTGGACGGTGACAGAGGTAAGGTCGTCGGTGGGGTCGACCATCTTGGAAGGTGAACCCTTGTAGGCTGATGATTCTGCTTCCATTGATGGTGCGGGGGGGGGCGTGAAGGATGTGGTAGAGAGGCAAGGAGGTGTGAAGAGTGTGGGAAGACACCTACACCTCGCTGTTGAATGGCGTATTATATCTATGCCCCGGTGGACGTCGATCCCGGAGGTGCGCGATCCGTGATGCGATGGATTGACCGGTCAAGATAGGTAATCGGGAGTTGTACCAAACCAGAAGTCACCACATGAACTTCATATCCCGACGTAATCTGCGGCTCGGCGGCTTGGCGACATTGCCGCGAGAACTCTTCCGCGAGAACTCTTCAGCCCCGGTACACCTCGTGAGCGAACCGGGGGGCGCGAGGCAGCCCCGTGGGCTGAGATACACCCCACATGCCAACTGACTCGGCGGACAAATCAGTGTCCACCCCTCCGACAGTACCGTATTTCCCTGTTTGCTCTTGGCGGTGGTTGGGACGCGGAGCACATGCATTCTCCGTAGACAACAGTAGTTACGCGTGATAAGCGTGCCAACCAGGAGGTGACCGGGGTAATGGCTTCCAAGAGTCCTGTGGGTAGCCATGGCCGTGTTCCTTTGCCTCACAGGACAGCCCTGCTATTGGCTGACGAGATGCTGACGTGACATCAGATACGACACTTCTGCGCAGTAAGACGGCATATCTTTGAGTTTGATACCGGGCCCAGAATTCTTAGTATGTGGGCTCTAGCTCTCTAGTCAAGTGAGGAGGTTGGGCCCCCGGGGCCCAATGGAATGCCTATCAATTTCCGTCAATGAAGCTCCACCGGCCAAAGTCCCAACGAATGCTTTTTCCCACTGTGTCAGAACGACTCGCTCACGGAGGTTTAAGCGCTCCAAACGAAACGCTACAAATCAAGTGGCTCCAAAACCAAGCCGTTGTAATCGCGAAGCATGGCCTGTGACCCAATGGCGAGGTGCTGGTTGTAGCGACCTGCTGGTACTTCCGTTGCGCACGGCGGAGGCGGAGCTGTCCACCGATGTCTGTGCGCGGCACGATACCGGCGATGGATATGAAGAGGAAACTCTTACTGGTGCGTCAAGCGACCTCCGGCATGATTGCAAGGGATTGGATCGTTGCGGAGAAGAGAAGATCCTCGGAGAAGAGCAGCTGCCATCGCAAAGAACAATGTGGGTCCTGGTCATCCACCAAATACCATTCGGCCAGTTGAACCTTTCTATACATCTCGCTGTCCTCTACCCTACTATAGCACCACTTTTGTCTAGTCATACAACGCGTACACGCTGCACTCGGCAATACGTGTCCTCGCGGGCACTGTCATGGCGATGAACCAGTAGTCCCCAAAGTCAATCTCCTTACTGGGCATGATAACCTTCATGCCCTGCTGGGTCTCGTCGCCGTTCAGCATCCGACCGGTGCGGAGCTCGCCCGTCTCGTCGTCGACGACCACCTTCTCGTCACACGTCAGGATGCCGGTGTAAGTTGCGTCCTTGTTCGTCGACTTGAACGTAACCTGGAATCCGGCGCCGATGAAGAGGAACTTGTTCGATTCGGCGGCCTGGATGATGATGCCGTACGCCTCGGCGGGGTGGCCGAACACCATTGCGCGCTCGACAAGCAGCTCCCACTCGCCAAACACGAGCGTGCGGGCTGGTGACGGGTCGGTGCTGCCCTTCTCGAAGGCATCAAAGTGGAACCCGGAGATCTGGCGTCCCTCAATGCGCGCCTGCAAGATGTGCGGCGCGGCCTGCTTGAGCAGCGCGTAGTGCTCGGTGTACGGCGAGTCCTCGGGCTCGGCGCAGTCGATGGCGAACGGCGTCGCGCCCAGCGCGCCGTATTTGCCGATCGCAGACCACACGCGGATGGCGCCAAACGTGTCGCGGCGCTGCTCGGGAACGAACAGCGGCTGGGCGCGATGTGTGTACAGTGCCAGGGTGGTATCGTAGCCGTCCATGTAGATGTCGGGGGCGAGGAAGTCGAGCGCTGGCGCAAACTCCATCCAGATGTCCATCACAGTCTCGACGGGGCCGCCTGATGGGTAGGCGCCGGGGAAGATGCCGCCAAAGCCCACAACGGTCGCGCCCTCCACGGCAGCGCCGTCGGGGATGTTGCGGAGCCACGCGTTGGTGTAGTGTGGAATGGGGTACACCGCCTTGCCCGCGGCAGCGACGGCGTTGACATACTTGGAGTAGTGGTAGGCCTGGAACAACTCGTCGGTCGACTTGCTCGAGCCGAACGCCTCCTCCCAGGTCGCCGAGGCCTTGATAGAGCCCGAGGCCTGCTGCTTGGTAAACGTCGAGCGGATCGTCTCGTTGAAGCTGTCCCATCGCGTCGCAAAGACCTCCACCAGGTCGGCGGGGACGGCGGCCTCGAAGAGGCCATCGGCGATGGCGCTGCGGTCGCGCGAGTCGCCGAGAAGACCAGTCTCGTTCTCGACCTGCACCATGATGACCGTGCCGTGCGCGCCGTCCACTTCGCGCACGTGCTCCATCAGGCGCTTGAACGCCTTGGCGTCGGCGTCGCGACCAGTGTGCTTGGGGTCGCACACTGAGAGATAGTTGGCCGTCGTCACCTTTCCGTCTGCGTTCTTGACCTTTTGGCGCGGGAAGCGCTTCGAGTCGGTCTTGACCCAACCGGGGGCGTACTCGGACGAACCTGCATAACGTCAGCCACTGTTCGTCTCAACGAGATCGATGATAGACGCCATCCACCACGCCAGATACCAGCACCACGCCCACATCAAACCTCACCATTCTTAAACGACGCAAACCACAGCAACACCAGTCGGATGCCGTGCGCGCGGGCATCGACGATAACCTGGTCGAGCTCTGAGAAATCAAACTGGCCCTCGACAGGCTCGATCTGGTCCCAGTGCACGCCGCCGAGGAGCGTGTTGACGCTCTCGCGCTGCATCTTGGGCCAGACGTCGCGCATAAACTCGGCCGAGCTCATGGACGAGTTGTTCAGCTCGCCAGAGCGCATGAGGAAGGGCTTGCCATCAACGACGAGCTGGTGCACGCCCGGGCGGAGCTGCTCGAGGTGCGGGTGTGAGGGCGCGGTAGCGGCGACGGTCATGGTGTTGGAGATGGCAGTGGTGAGTCTGTTGGTGTGGGGAGTGGATGGCCAGGGCTGCAGTTATACCTTGGGAGATACATATGCGGGGTATGGGGGGGGGGGAGGAATGTGACGTGGGTGTCCCGACGGGATGCAGGATGCCGGCGGGCTTGAGCCTACAGTCGAGGTAAAGAGGCTGTCGATGCGTGGGTGCCTTGGACGATGCCTTGGGCGTTTCAACGAGCTACGAGGTCGACCTGGATCATATAGGCTGTTCAATGAGGGTGCGGTGGAGACTAGATGTGGGCGCGGCACAGTACGCACATCGTCCAGCGGTAGAACACGGGGGCTAGCGGGCACATAGGCTGTTCAACGACGAGGCGGCCAAGTTGTCCTCTGCCCTCTGGTGCGGTCCCATCACGTGAGCCGGTAACACAAGCAACACTGAAGCGACGCGGCGAAGAGGACAGACACTCTGCGTTGCTCCACATCCTCCTCGCTGCAACGTTCCGCCGGTCGCCGGCCCCCGGATGGCCGGATGGCCGGAAGACAGGTGTTGTCGCAGCTCAGCGCGCGGTTTGCACCCCACATCTCGGCTCCCAACTAAACCGAACCACCGTTGTTCCGGTACGTCATTTTCCCGAAGATTTTCCAGAGTGTTTGCCACAACAACTGCCGCGCCATTCTCCTGCAGTTAACTTGGGACTCGTTTGCATGTTAATCCGAGCCTTTCGCGCACCCTCTGCCCCGGCCCCGCGGTCTTACGCGGTCGCACGGGCTGCGTGCTGGACAGCGGCTATGCGGGGTCACGGGGGGGTCACGAGGGGCTCACGGGGGCTCACGGGGGGCTCACGGGGGGCTGGTTATCTCACCGCGAATCCACCGCACGTCCGCTTTCCATCATTCTAATCATTCAATTGGCATCTGCCGATCGTGGCACATTAACCCCAAAAATGGATCTGTCGCTGGATTGGCGCTGGATAGTGCGGCACCGTGGGCTTTGGTCCTTCCTTCTGCCGGCGGTAAACGTAATGGGGCAGGCGACCGATTGGCCAGCAGCAAGAACACGCGCAACAGTAGAGACATGTGTTGGGGCAGTCCCTTCTGCCAAGCCGGGCAGATGCCACTACTGACCCAGACACCACAGACTATCTGGTTTATCCGCGGTACAGCCAAGGCAAGCGACCTCCTTCCCCAATCTTCGCGTTCATGGAGAGACGTTTCCAGCAGCCTGCGTCAAGGCCCGCGTCTTGATTGAATAGGCTGTATGACATGGATGGTCTACTGCCGAATTGCCTAGGCAGGTTGCGAGAATCATGACGGGAGGGAAGAACGAGCAATGAAAACGAACTACACATGCCCTTGCTTCTGTAAAGGCACGGAATGCACTGAGCTACCAGCTACCTCAGCACGGGTGGTACTCTCTTCAAATGGCCATGTCGCAAAAAATCACCAAAATGACATTTGTTTTTCTTCAACTCCCGTCAGTTTAATTGCTACGTGTTTGACAAAATAAGCAAAGGTAGCTAGATTGCTGCAAGATAAAAGTGCAGGGGGGGTCTCTGGTCTCTACCTACCCAGCATCATTTACCTTTTGTGCGTTCTCTTGTGCAAGTACAAGAGAATAATAAAAATAATTATTGAAGGTCACTGTTCTCAACTGTTACTCCTGCCACAGCGTCCTAGACAGGTCGAGCCACTGGACTACACATAACATTTATTTCATATCTCACTACCTCTCTAGTACATTTTGTCTGGCAACTACAGCACTATGCCGCGACGGAGTCCCACTTGGCATACTTGAAGTACGCACGGTTGATACAAGGCATATCCTTTGCGCCCTGCGCAAAGACACCGAGATGCACGCCCGTGAAGAGCGGCTTGAGCTCTGAGCTGGCCATCGTGCCGACGACAACGGGCGCCGCGCCGCCCACCGAATAGGCAAACTCGTACTGCTGCGTGCGTGCGTGGACGTAGAATGTCACGGGCGTGCCCGGCGTGAATGTTGAGGGGAGGGGGAAGGTGGAGATGTCAAATTTGCCGTCGGTACTGGGGCGCTTGAACGCGACCTCGACGTTCCCCTCCGTGTCGACGCCACGCAGGCCGAGAGAGGCGTGCTCGCCCTTGCTCATCCACACGACGGTACCGGCCTCCTGACCAGGCAGGGTGGGCGTGAACTCGACTTCGGTGCTCCAGTCGAGGTTGAAGCCGGGCTGCTTCTGGAGGAGAGCCGAGGGCGAGTGCTCAGTGTCGAGCGTGATGGGGCCGCCACGGAGCGCAAGGTAGCCGGGGCGCTCGGTCAGAGAGTAGTACTGGCGGAGGGGCACACGGATGTGGTACCATCCCAGGTTGAGAGCTGGATGTGTTAGTGGTGCTGGTATTGCTGGGATGTTCTCCTTTGCGAGGGAAGACTCTGGGACACTCACTAGGCTTGTCAAACTCGTCGATCCATCCAGCCGGCTCTGGTGCAAGCTCGAGGCCGGGGAAATCGCCAATAAGCTCAATGGGCTTGCGGTTGTTCACGACGGGCCATCCGTCGACCCACTCCATCGGCGCCATAAACGTCTCGCGCCCGAGGTGGGTCGGCATGCCCTTTCCACCCTCCTTGGTGATACCCGCCTCGAACACAGGGCGGACGCCGAGGAATACAGCGACCCACTGGCCGTTGACACCCTCGATCAGGTCCATGTGGCCAGTGTTCTGGATGTCGGGGTGGGCGTCGTTAAAGATGACGGGGTTGATGCCCTCGGGAGGTGCCTCAAATGGACCGGTGGGGCAAGTGGAGCGGTAGACGCACTCGCGGTGACCGTCCTGGGTGCCGCCCTCCGCAGTGAAGAAGTAGTAGAACCCGTCCTTCTTGAGGATGTGGCAGCCCTCAGCGACGCCGAGGGGCGATGCCTTGGCGAGGACCGGCTGGGTAAGAGACGTTCCCGTCTCGAGGTCAATCTCGTTGATAAAGGACTGGATCAGCGGCTGACCGTGGGTCGTAGGCGCCGAAAAGTCGAAGCGAGTCACGGTCTGGTACACGCGGCCGTCGTCGTCAAACAGGAGCTGGTGGTGTCAGTCGCCATATTACTCCAACAAAGTCAGTGTGTCGCTCACGTCTTGGTCAAATCCAATCTCCTCAAAGTAAATCGCGTTGCTCCACTTGGAGTCGTCAAAGATGTCGTCGGTCCACATGTAGAAGCCCGACGAGACAAAGTCCGGCGCACCACCCTGGTCATGTCAGTCACTAGAGTTACATGGTCGTCGGTCGCAGCAATACTCACCGGTACGATGCGGATGCGCCAGAAGCACGAGCAAATCATGTACCACCGGCCATTGTGGTACCTAAACGTCGGGGCCCAGAGACCGCCCGAAGTCTCGACGGTCTGCATGTCGACACCTTGGCTGCGGCGGTTGAGGGCATGGCCAATGAGCTGTTATGTCAGCTGGTGTACTGGTAGCTGCTCGAGGAGCAGCAAAGAGTGCAGCCCGTCTCGGAATGAGCTTATTGAACTTGCCGTTAGGCTGCTCACCTTCCAGCTGTTCAGGTCCGTGCTGTGGTACACTGGGAGTCCGGGGAAGTACTCAAAGCTGCTGGTCGCGACAAAGTAGCCCTTGCCGGGAACGTAGCAGATGGACGGGTCGGGGTTGAAGCCTGGGAGGATGGGGTTGCGGAACTTGTCGGCGACGGCCGAAGCGGGCGAGGTAGTCATCTCGGTGTCTGGACTGTAGTGGGTGTTGGTGTGGATCAGAAGGTAGAAATGGACGGAGTAGGAAGGGACAGCGGATGGGAGTGGTGCAGGTTGTGCAAGTTGTGCAAAAGGAGAAAGTAAGCAACGTTGCGTCTACGTCGACATGAGCCCGCAGCACATAGCCAAGACCCCAGCCCGCGGTAAAAAGCCGGAAGATTAGAGTCGCGACTTGCCTCGGTTCCTACAGCTCCAACAATGTCAGCGGCCGTCATGACACGGCTCTTCATTGCCAGTGCAAGAGCCTATGCGGATGTTGTGCGCAGCGTCCGCGTGATGCGCGCTCTGTAGTACCTGGTGAAATTGCGGCGTGAATCTGGAGAAATCTACAGAGCGCAGAACGCAAACAAGCATCGAAACAATCGAAACAGCGGCTGCCAAGTGCTGAGGGTGAACACCGCAGTCGCTCGGTGGAAGTGAAAGCCGGGTGGTGAAGATGGATCAACCGATATTTTTGCGACGTTTTCCCATCAGTCCGGCGCATCGGCTGTGAACGGCCACGCCCCTGAAAGAGCATCAGCCGCGGAACGCTGTTGGGACTGTGGTACTGTGGAGCTGTGCATTGTGCGCAACTCGGCAGCCTCGACCGTCTTGGATCTTGCGCTCCATGCCATCGCTTGGACAGAAGAGGAGCCCTAATTAGACCCCTAACCGACCGGCCGGGAATCCGATGGGCCCGGAGCCCCCCAGTGCCCCCCACGGCGCCGCTTTCTCGGAGTCGACAGGACCGGTAGGTCGAGACAAGAATCGCGACAACATTGTTCCGCCTTGCAAAGGGTCAAAGAGAGTCAAAAGTACATAATGAGCGCCAGGTCTTGTTACTTTGCTCCAGACTCGCCCCACAGTGCCCTCCACCAACACACTCTCAACACAACATGGGCTTTTACGACGAACTTACACCACGACTCGCCCTCGTCTCGTTCCTGGGCAGTCTTGGCGCCCTGTCTTTCGGTTACGACAATGGATGGTGGGGTATGATCCTCGTGCGTAATGCTAGAGAGCTAGTCGCCAGAGACAATTGCTGACACTCATTCGCAGGGCGCACCATACTTCAACGCCAAGTACGGTAACACGGTCACGGTTGCGGCAGACGGAACAACAACTGTCGCGCTTTCGTCTCTCGAGCAGAGCTGCGGTTCGGGTCTTGGAACTGCCGGTATTATGCTGGGCTGCATGGTCGCCCCTACTATCAACAACCGCTGGGGCCGCAAGATGTCGTTCCTCGTCCTCGCAGTCCTCGGTATCATTGGCGCGCTCATCCAGGCCCTGTCCACCATCGGTTTCCAGATCTGGGTCCTCATCATTGGCAAGGTCGTTCTCAACTCGTCTGTCGGCATCGCCTCCGCTACTGTCGGCGTCTACCTTTCCGAGTGCGCGCCCACGTCCTTGCGTGGAGTGCTCATGTCCAACTACAACATTGTCCAGAACGTCGGCTACGTTCTCGCTGGTGGCACTGTTTACGGTGTCGTTTCCAACATGACCATGCTCAACTGGTTGCTTCCCATCTGCCTGCAGTTCTTCCTCCCCATCGTCATCATTGTCTGCAGTCCCTTCCTTCCCGAGTCGCCCCGCTGGCTCGTCAGCAAGGGCCGTCTCGACGATGCTGCCGCCGTTCTCCGCACGCTCCGTGTCGCTCTCCCCGGAGAGGACCTCGAGGAGAAGGTGTGGAAGGAGGTCGAGGAGATCAGAGCCGCCTTTGAGGAAATGACCGCGCTCCACGCTGGTGTTGGCTTTGTCGAGCTTTTCAAGGGCGCTAACCTCCGCCGCACCGGTATCGCCGTTGGTCTCCAGTGTCTTCAGCAGGCCCAGGGTGTCGGCTTTGTCTCCAACTACGTCGTCATCCTGTTCCTCTCCATGGGCATGAGCAACGTCTACACCATCGTCCTGATCCTCTACGTTGTCCTCCTCGTCGCTTCGCTTGGCGCCTTCTACTTCCCCGACAAGCTCGGTCGCCGCACTTTGCTCCTCATTGGATCGACATCGGGCGCAATTTGCATGGCCATCATGGGTGCCGTCGCGACCGTCAGCGCCACCCCTACCGGCAGCTTGGCAAACCTCATGGTCGCCGCCCTCTTCATCTGGGTGGCCTTTTTCGCCAACACCTGGTCTCCCATTCCCTGGACCGTCGCCGCCGAGGTTTCGTCTGGCCCGCTCCGTGAAATGACCCTCGCCCTCGCGTCCTGGTCTGGCTTTGGCGTCGGCCTCATCGTCACCTTTATTGTCCCGTACATCCAGAACGCCGAGTACGCCGGCCTCGGCGGCAAGATTGCCTTTATCTGGATGGGCTTCTCGATCATTTCTGGCATCTACGCCTTCTTTGTGGTCCCAGAGCTCAAGAGCAGGTCGCTCGAGGAGCTCGACTACATGTTCGAGGCTCGCATCTCGACGTTCAAGTTCAAGAAGTACGACACGAGCGAGATGCTCGCACAGAAGCGCGTCGAGCACGAGGTCCAGGGCGCCGAGAAGTCGGGTGTCGAGCACATCGAGGGCAAGGACTCGTTTGCCTGAGCCTATTCGAAGGTGCGGTGAAGGGGTAGTTGGATGTGTTCGCGGGACTGAGAGCGTTGTTAGTTACAGAATGGTACAGGAAAGAAGTATATTGTGTGGGTGTACGGGATGTGACAGTTTTTCTGATCTTGCTGTTACGTGGCACTTTGGTGTGTATACTATTGGCGAGCCTGAGAGAACATGTGCATTCCTGCGTGGGGACTCAAGTCTTAATGTCTAGAACCCAAATTTACTAATGGTCCAGGCAGGCAAAGGCCACTCTTGGAATCTGCTGCCTCTTCGCTTGGCCCTTGGTCTTCGGCAAGGGAGATATATTTCAAAAGCGGGTAAGGATACACGCGAGTCTATATAGTTGCTTAATACACACGATGGATGATGCGAAAGAACACTGGAACACTGGAACACTGTAGGCAGAAGATCAGAAGACCTCGTTCTGTGGGCTCCATGCCACACCATGTAACCCAAAAAACAGCCAAAAAAAAACAGCAAGAAAATTGCCTCTTTTTGGGTGGGGATATCCAACAGTCCCTTCCATTAGGTCGTCAACCTTACCGTTGCTATTCCATTTTAACCCAATCCCCAACACAGGTTGGCAGACTTGGTGAAGCACAGTGAAGCAGAGGCGTTTACAAGTGCTCGTCGTCCAGCTACTGGTGCACGCGTGCTACATTTCTGAGAGTTTTAGGAAATTCAGCACGATGAGCTACCCCCAACGTCATATCTCAACATCCCTCATGATACTTGGAGACTGATAGTCAATGACCCAGTCAGTGTCACTCCTCCAATCGGTCACAAAGCGGTTGACGTAACCGACAGACACGCACGTTGGTAGCGGCGCTGGCGGGTGTATGTGCGCTAACACATAGACTAGCTTACAATGTGAGGCCCAAACAGCCAATATCAGGCTATGTTCCGATCCAAGCGCCCCGTAGTCTGGTAAATGAAGAGCATGCCAAGTGGAACACGACAGCGGCGCCGGCGACAACACGCTAGAGATAGGAGTGCTGCGCTCGCTTCCAGTTATTCGGTCAACCCCATGGGGCCATGGGACTGTCGTGGGCACGGTTACCTTTTGACAAACCATACGTTCATCTGCCGTAGCCTGCTGATAGTCTGTGCGTGTACGCGTGTACAGCCTTCTGGACGGGGGTTACGACCCAGGCCAGTGGCCAGTGGCCAGTGGCTGCGGATCTGTTCGGGCATGGAACCTTCCTGCGGATCAGATCGAGTTGTGCGCTCTAATGCCAACCTGGTAATTTAGTGCCCACCAACATCAATGTGGCTCATCATGTAGCCTCGTCGTTCCGGCTACTGTTCACTTTTGGGATGCCGGCGAGGTGGTGGTGTGTTGTATCGCTGGGTCAACTATAAAGTTGTCGTGTGGTAGCGACCATGCCCAGCTGACCACAACCCCCTATCTCAACTTCGAAATGAAGCTCTTGTCCCTTGCCATCGCCGCGATCGTGGCTGCCACGACGGTTACTGCCCAGTAAGCTCCCTCCTACGCCGTGCCGGTACTGAACCACCACCAGGCAGCCTGCCACTGATGGGGTTCGCGACCTCACCCTGGTGGACCGCCAGGCCCTGCCCGAGTAAATGACCCCTACCATTATGTCAGTACAGGACCCCACCTAACCCCGACTGCAGCCTCTCCAAGCTCTCATCCTGTGCCCTCGTCTGCGTCCTCAACACAATCTCCAGTGCCGGTTGTTCGTCACCCTTCGACACCAACTGCATCTGTACCGCCAAATTCACCAACCTCGCCTCGGCCTGCCTCGCCACCAGTTGCCCGGTCATCGACGCCGTCCCGGCGCTCAACCTCCAAAAGGAAATGTGCCCCAACCTCGGTCTTCCCGACCTCTCCAAGCTCTCGCCCTGCGCGCAGACCTGCGTGATCAAGACCCTCACCAAGGCCAAGTGCCAAGGCCCGCTGGACAACAAGTGTATCTGCGGCCTGCCGTTCGAGTTTGAGGTGGGACTGTGTCTCCTGGGCTGTGGCCTGGGCGACCTCGCGCCCGCCCTCCAGCTCCAGTTTGGCGTGTGCGACCCCAAGCCGACCAACGGGCAGTGTACGGCCACGGGACTGTGGAAGATCCTGCAGCCCAACTGCTGGTTCAAGGTCGGGACTGTCAAGACCCACGCTGCCCGCAGTGTTAGTAACAGCTGGACGCGCCGGGGGCCGGCGAGCGTTCGCAGGCGTGTGGCTGCGGGCCAGCACCCTTAGGCTGGAAGATGGAGTGAGGAGGTGGTGGCTCGTTAGGCTGAAGATCAGTGTTCGGTGGTTAGTGAATCAAGTATAAGTGATGTGAACCTGGTCTCCTTGGTGGCTTCTTACGTCCATTACGGCTACCCCTACAGTACAGTACTCGCGTGTCTCCGCTAACTCCAGCTCTACTCCACCAGTCCGCCAACGATCGGGTACTTGGCCGAGAAATGCTGGTGCCAGCCGTGCATGTTCTCGCTGGGGATCGGTGTCAGCACGTCTTCCTTGTTCGTTGCTGTCCTCTTTCACGACGTACATCTCCGCCTTTGTCAGGTCCTTGAGCGTGTCGAGCGGCTGGTCGAGGGCAGTGAGCATCTCTGGGAGCGGCGTCAGTACACGGTTTGGGAGAACCACCAGCCAGTGGTGTCTGGATTCCACACGTACCCTCGTCAAAGCTCTGCTTGGCCATACCGCGCGACGCGTCGCGGCCTGCAAAGTTGCCGTACATGCCCTCTGTGTGATTGTCAGTTTATCCGGCTCAGACTCAAGCTGCTTGCGAGCCAAGAACACGCACCTGGTCCGTAAAAGTTGCGGCCGTTCGTCACGTCAAAGACGGTCCGCTCCTCGATGTTGCCGTCGCCTCCGATACGCGCAATAGCAAGCAAGATGGTGCTGCCCTCGGTCCTGCCGTGGAAGGGCTCGAGCTCGTGGACGGTGTACTTTTTGTACACGCGGGTCTTGGGGTGTGCAGGGGGAGCCCAGTTGTACAGGCCCTCCTCGTAGGACGTTGCTGGCTTGGTCTTCTCCGGGAAAGAAGGGAAGAGGACGCGATACAGGAGGTAGAGGATTGGGATGACGAGGGCCGTGTTGAGCGGGTTGGCGAGGGCGCTGGAGATGGTCATGGTGGGTGGTGGTGTGCTCTAGATGTGTTTGTTAGACAATGAGAAGATGGATGCACATGGATGTTGGATCACCCGGGTAATGGGACCACCGTTGTTGGCCAGCCTCCACCCACCCTCGTCACCGCCCCCCCCACCCACACGACATGACACGATTATATGGCCCCCTATGTTCGGACGAGACCGCACATGGATGGTCGTTTTCATCTGCCTTCTCTCGTCTTCACACGCACACCATGAGTCACTGCTACCGTGCTGCCGTCCGCATTGCGCGGTCGCCTCTCCACCATGATGCATAAGCCACACCACTGCGGCCCGCCGGCCTCACTGCTGTGTACGCCGCCGAAGCGCATCCACGCGGCCCTTCGGCGTCGGCCAAATGCTCGCCAACAAGAGACGCCGGAGCGCCGACTGGCAAGCCTAACGGCGAGCCTACCGCCGTCCACCACCACCACGGCCCCCCCCCTCTCCCCCACCAGCTCTCTCCATGCACACCCGCACAACGGCCCAGCACACCCGCACACGCCGGGCGACACGCGCCACCAAGCGTGCGCAAGTGAACAGTGACGTCCCCGATTCATGGCGATTGATTCTTCCAACTTTCATTCCCCCAACACTCTTTACCCACATCACCAAAAAAAGACACAAAAACCCAACCATCCGCCTGCCGCGTCCATCGCTGCCCGCTCCCTCGCAGCCCCTCGGCCACAGGCCATCCCCTCCCTCTTCGCCCCCAGTGGCCTTCTCGCTCCATGCTTTCTTCAAGGGCTAGCGTGCTCGGCGCTCCTCTCGCCCGTGGCGCCGCTCGCCGCGCGTTCGGCAGCGCACCCACCACCCCCTTCATTGCGCTCGCTACCCTCGGTGCCCCCGCGGCTCTTGCCGTTGGCCTCCGCCATGTTCCCGCCCCACGCGCTCACCTGCGCTTCTATGCCACCGAAACCCGCACCACTTCTACTACTTCCGCCACTCCCCCTCCTCCTCTGTCGTCCTCTGCTCCATTGAGTGAGAAGACCGGTGCTGTCCCCGTCCCTCCTCCCGGATCCCCCGCTCCCTCTGCCCCCGCTGTCGCCTCGGAGAAGGCTACCGAAGTCGCTCCTGCGTCCACCGAGCCCAAGGAAGTCGTCAAGGAGAAGAAGCCCAGTGGACCATGGCACAAGCGTGCTTGGGCCGTGATCAAGCACGAGGCCGCTCACTACTGGGCCGGTACCAAGCTGCTTGGCCAGGAGATCAAGATCTCGTCCAAGCTCCAGTACAAGGTTCTCCAGGGCGGCTCGCTCACCCGCCGTGAGCGTCGTCAGGTGAGTTTTCGAAGCTTGTTTTCATGAGCACCGTTACTAACCACGTCAACAGCTTCGCCGTACCACCAGTGACCTCCTCCGTCTCCTGCCGTTCTCCGTCTTTGTTATTGTCCCCTTTATGGAGATTCTTCTCCCCGTCGCGCTCAAGCTCTTCCCCAACATGCTTCCGTCCACTTTCGAGGGTCAGCTCGCCAAGGTGAGTAGAGAGAGCAAAATGACAAGGCACGCCCCCGGCCCCTAGATTATTGACCACCGTCTACAGGATGAGAAGGAGCGCAAGCTTCTCCGTGTGCGTATTGAAATGGCCAAGTTCCTCCAGGAGACTGTCCGCGAGTCTGGCCTCAAGGCCGACAACGTCGTGCGCTCCACCGAGTTTAAGGAGTTCTTCCGCAAGGTTCGCTCGACTGGTGAGGCTCCCTCGACCGCCGATGTTATCCGTGTCGCCAAGCAGTTCAACAACGACATCACCCTCGACAACCTTACCCGTCCCCAGGTCGTGTCCATGTGCCGCTACATGAACATTAACGGTTTCGGCACCGACAACTTCCTCAAGCATCAGATCCGCAACCGTCTCGAGAAAATTCGTGTCGACGACATGATGATTCACGCCGAGGGTGTCGACTCGCTGTCGACCGTTGAGCTCCGCCAGGCCTGCCAGTCGCGTGGTATCCGTATCTCGGGCACTTCACCTGCCCGTCTCCGCGAGGAGCTCGAGCAGTGGATCGACCTGCACTACTCGAACGGTATCTCTGGTGTTCTTCTCATCCTGTCGCGCGCCTTCAACTTTGAGAACAAGAGCGACGACATTATGAACTCGCTCGTGACCACTCTCTCGTCGCTCCCCGAGAGCCTCATCAACGAGGCTGAGCTCGACGTCTCCGCCGAGAACGCCACCTACAAGCAGAAGCTTGAGGTTCTCCGCGAGCAGCAAGAGCTCATCGAGGACGAGGCCGACCAGGAGAAGGAGGAGCTCCAGGCCCGTAAGGAGAAGAAGGAGGCTGACGAGGCTGCCAAGCGCGAGAAGGAGGAGGCGGCCGCCGAGGCCAAGGCTGCTGCCGAGGCTGCTGCCGCCCCCGAGTCTGCTTCTGCCGAGCCCATCTCTGCCGCTGCCCCTGCTACAACTGTCGAGTCCGCCACCGCCGCCCAGACCGCTACCCCCGAGACTCCTGCTGCTTCTTCCGAGGCTGCCCAGGAGGCTGCCATCGTCGAGGAGGCTGCCAAGATTGAGGACGACGCCAAGATGACCAAGGAGCAGCTCATGGAGCTCGCCGAGGCCCTGTCTATTCTTACTGCCAAGTCGTCGATTGTCAAGGAGCGCGACGAGCTCCAGGCCCTGTTCGCCGACAACCTGCTCTCCGAGGCCGAGTCCAAGGAACGCCCCGAGGAGACCGACTCCAAGACCATTGCCCTGTCCAAGCGCGTGCGCTCCATGATCAAGAAGATTGACGCCCAACTCGAAAAGTACAACGAGCGCGTCGGATCGTCGTTGAACCTCATCGAGACCAACGCCAAGGGCCAGATTTCGCTCAAGGACCTCAAGGCCGCATTGGGCGTGATCAAGCACGCGCCCGACGCCGACGTCATTGAGACGCTGGGCAAGAAGCTCGACGTTGACCAGGACGGCTTCGTCGAGCTCGACCACGTGCTCGACCTCGCGGTCGACGACGGCCTCGGCATCATCCTCGACGACGACGCCGCCACCCTCATTGACAAGGGACACGATATCCGCCACAGCAAGGATATCAAGGAGCTCAAGCCCAAGCGTGAGGACATTATTTCCGAGTAGACATAGCCATAGCACAAATTGCATCGCATTGGACAGCAGCAGCAAACTGTAACTCTGGTACTCGGGTACTCTGGGCAAAGCGTGGGACTGGGACTGGGGCTGATCAGTCGCAATGAGGGCGTGCGTGTGTGTGTTTTTACAACTGATACTCCTTTTTTTACAACATGCAAGTGGCAGAGACACCCCCTCCCAAACCCTTTGGTGTCTGTCCAGTCGGGTGTCTATCCTTCGTCATCTGTCAACGCCTCAATGTTGTTGTTTGGCCCTATGGGGATCTTGCCTGATACCCAGTGATACCCTGCTTTGAGATCTGGACAAATTGTCAGCTGAAAAAGCGGCCCTTGCCCGTCAGCTGCAACACTTACGGTCCCAGTGTGTCGTATCCTTGCAGGCTGGCACGGTCCAGTACATCTTCTTCAGCCAGTGATGGAGGTACGGGTAGTCGTGCCGTACCAAGCCGTAGTTTGTCTTGAAGGCCACGACGTAGACGGGGTCGTACCGGATGATACTCGTAAACAGCCTGTGAGGAAGGGTGTCAGTGTGAGGTGAAGCCAGCGGCCACCTTACAGCAGCTATCCCTGCGCATGCCACAGCTGCCAGGCGACAAGACTCACCGCACATCCGCCTCGGTCATGGCCCCGCCTACGAGCCATTCCCGCCCATCGCTCAACAGCGCCTCCACGCGCGCCATGCCCGCCACATGGTCCCGGATCGCCACGTCGTACGCCTGCTGCGTCGTCGCAAACCCGACCTTGTACACGCCCACGTTGATGTCGCGGTGCACCCACGCGTTTGTCGCGTCAATCTCGGCACGCAGGTGTTCCGGATACAGGTCGATCGCCGATGCTGGGAGGGAGGCCGGGAGGATCGAGTCAAACCCCGAGGCGAGGGAGCGGACGACCTCGGACGACTCGTTGTTGACGATTGTGGCCTCGCGCGTGTCCCACAGCACGGGGACCGTGTACCGCCCGTCATACGTCGGGTCCGCCTTGTGATATAGGTCAGACAGCTGCGTCGTGCTGAAAAAGGGCATGGTCAGAAAGGCGTTCGTTCATGGATCCAACCGCTTCCAGCTCACCCATACACCTTGTCCACTGTCGCGCCGGGAAAGTCCCACACGTCGCGTTCGTCGTTGGGCACTTTTCGATCCGAGGGGACAAAGCGCCAGCCGTCTAGCAGTTGTGGGTTGGCAATCGATACATCTAGAGTGTACCGTCAGCACTGGCGCACTGGGCCGGCGCGGTAGAATCAGGCCTCAGCAACCCCCCATCGCCACCATGACGTGACCCCAAGCGACGTCACTTGCATATGAGTTGCGTTTGGCGGCGCGCTCCCACACCCCACCCCACCCCAAGGGACACAGAGACAAGGCCACGCTCGGCTGCTGTCTGTACCTACCGATAATGTCTTCGAGCCCTTTGAGCGCCCACACGATGAGGGCGCGGTGCGCCCATGGACATGCGTACGACACGTACAGATGGTACCGGCCTGTCATATCGTGTCAGCTCGGTCAGCCGTTCCCAGACCCCCAGATCCCCAGATCCGCAGGCAGGAGCCTTGCGGCGTTCACCAGCTGGACACACCCGAGAGGGTGACCCGTACTGGCGAGCGGGCAGGAGCTGGGAGCTGCACCCCGCCTCCCACTCACCCTTCTCTGGCGGGAACCGGCCGCCGACAGCGATGTAGTTGCGAAACTTTGATTCTCGCATCTTGAACGACCCGTCATCGTTGCGCACGGCCATGGTGGTCACGGTCACGGGATCGCTGAGAAAAGGAGATGAGATCGAGGTCAACGAGGTCGGTCACGACTGCACCGTGTGGTGCAATGTTGTTATGGTGGTGGTGGTAGTGGTGGTGGTAGTGCAGGTTGTCAATTGAGTCAATCCAGCCAAACCTGCAGATGAGTGAGATGAGTGATGGAGTGGATCGTACCTGCGGGTGTTGTTGCGGCGCACCATCAAATGTCTCCCATTCGGATTCTCTTGGTTCCATGATCAGCGTCTCTCCGTCGGTCCAGGCCGACAGTCGATTTCTGTGGGCGGCACTTGGGACGCCATGGGGGCCTGGGTACGCCTTTGCGCAGCCGCTCAAAGGCGAGGCCTTGGGCCAAAAGAGGAGAGCCCACAGGAAGCAATGGCGGCGCGGGACAACATGAGCAATGACATCATCATCTGCATCGGCGTGCACTCCCGCGACGGCCCACAAGTGGTAAACAGCTATACCAGCTGTCGAGGAACGGCAAGTGTCTGGAACGAGCCCATTCGCGCAATGCCATGGTCTTGGTCTCTGTCGCAGGCCAGCTGGACTAGGCTGGTCTATCGGACGTGTCTGTACTGAGTACTATGCCACCTTTCTGCTGCTCCATAAAATACATTAAGAGACTGCCGACCCGGTTCAACCCGCCCAACTGGCCTCTGACTCGTACTACACTCATTCTCTATGCCTTGACCTCGACCGCAGCAGCCTCCTCGGGCTTGGCGCTCTGCGAGTAAATGTCGCTGAGGCGCATGTGGACATAGTCGCCCGCAGTCATGATCTCGTAGCGGTTGGGCCTGTCCTCGGAGACACACGTAGGGATGGGGTCCATGACGACGTCGTGGTCGCACCCGAAGAAGAAGGGGATCGAGTAGCGGTCGCGCTTGAGGGTGGGCAGGACGCGGTGGCGAGTGGACACGAAGATGTCGTCTGGAGAAGGGAAAGAAAGACGTCAGTTTGTTTTCAGCGCCCATGGCGATTTGATTTCAACTCACTGGACCAGCGGGCAAACTGGTCGCCAATGTTGATGACAAAGGCGTTGGGCACGTAGGTGGCGTTGACCCAGTCGCCGGCGTGGTTGCGGACCTGGAGGCCACCGACGTCGTCCTGGCGCAGGACGGTGAAGCACTCAAAGTCGGTGTGGTCGCCAATACCGGGCATGAGTTCGTCGACCTGCCTGTCACCGAGACCGGGGTAGAAGAGCAGCCTCATGATGGCGGCAGGCAGGCGGGTCTTGTCGTCGAAGAAGTCCTCGGGGAGGTTGAGCGCCAGAGCAAAGAGCGGGAACAGGCGCTTGCCGAGGTTGAGGATCTCGGTGTAGTACTTGAGCGAGGTGGCCTTGAACTCGTCGGCAGCCGGGTAGAGCTCGGAAGTGGGCCACTGGTTGTCCGAGTGACGCAGCTTGCCGCTGTCAGTGTTCATGGCCTCGGGCATGAGCGAGGGGTCGAGGCCCAGGTTGAACGCCTCGTGGTAGTCGCCCTTGTTCTTACTGGAAATGGTCAGCTATGTACGATGACAATCCCACAGCTGGTCCATTGATGACAGGGACTGTATGTCGGTCATGGTCACCACACTCACGGGTCATCTGCGACGTGTCAGCACAGCTCTCACAAGGACCAACAACTGCCACTCACTGTTCTCAGTCAAGAGGCCCATGTAACCGCGGAAGTTGTCCGACTTGGAGATGTCGATCTGAGCGAGGGTCAATACCAAACTGCAGGTGAGGGGCACGACCTCCTCAACTCACAGACTTCTTGACCTCCGCCGAGGTCTTGAAGAAGGCCTTGCTAATCTCAAACGTCTGGTCCACGACAGCCTCGTCGACGCCCGAGTTCTTCACTGAGCACACCATCAGCACATTGTCGCACCTCCGATGGGCTCGGTGCTGGATAGGTGCGGTGGGTGAGATCCGACGAGGTCGGAGATCGGGCCCCGGGGGCGAGCACGAGGTAGTTACCGATTGACCTCCCACTCAGATAGCCCACCGACACCAGCAGCGAGCAAAAGGTGCTTACCGTAGAAGAAGCCCACGTTGAGACACGCGTCGCGGACCTGCGAGGCGAGCGCCTGGCGCTTCTCGAGGTCGGGGCTGGTCGCGTCCGTCATGTCGCTGGCACACCCCGTCAGCATCCAACGGTTGTGTCGCGCACATGCCTGAGCGAGCCTTACATGACGGGGAGGGAGGTGAAGTCCTGGGCCGCAGCCTTGTCAGCGAGAGCAGCGAGGTCGGCCATGGTGACGAGTAGTGGGTTGAGTGAAAGGTGATGGAGAGAAAGGAACAAGGTCAGAGTTCTAGTTAACAGTATCTGCCCCCCCCCCCCCCCCCCCCCCCGCACACTGGCCCCTAGCGACCGGGAAATTTCAGATCACACATGGTGGGTTCGGCGGAGCTGGCCGACATGTGCCGCCTAATACTCGCGCGTTTGTATTCTTCCACAACACAGTCAGGCGCCACCAGGCTGCGAGCTGCGAGACCCTACGCGCCAGCGCTGCAGCGCGATTGCGAAGGCGCTTAGGAGGAGGAGGGGGAGGGGGGGAGGAGACCCAGGAGAGCTTGGGGGAGCACGCGCGCACCCGCGTGTGTTCGTCGGCACAACGGCAGGTCCGTAAGGATACAACTCGGTCCGACAGGACAGAGGAACGCGTTCATTGGGTGTCCCGGAAGTACAGGCGAGCACCATCCGGGAGGGAGGCCAGTCGCCCAAAAGATGCGAGCAAATCACCACAGCAGCTGTTGACTCGAGAGGTCGAAACGGACCTGCAACGGGTTTTGGACCGGGGGGGATGGGTGGGGAAGAAAGGAACTGGCGCTTCTAGTTGCGTTCTATCAGGCACATGAAAGTACGTCAATGATCAATAAACGAGCGCAGATTCGTTCACGATAAGCATAGATCAATTCATGTCCGTGAAAGGCGCGGGATATCAGTCGTGACCTCGTTACCAGATGGTGCCGGGGTCCAAAGGGAGTGATGTTGATGGGGTTGGCCAGCCGAACGCGACAGGGGACACCAGACATGCCAATAGGACCGCACGAGCAGGAACACGACCACACCCTTCGACGACGCAGTCGTCCCCAACAGTAAAGCCCCTGAAAGCGACCATGGCGTACAGAACAGAACACCTACATTACTCGCACGCAAGCTTATATGGGCTATACACAATGGGAGTCTCTCGTCTCGCTGGAAATCAACCAGATTCTCTACTCTATATACCAGGCGACGGACGGCGCACCACGCCTAGCTCAGCTGTACGCTGGCGGACCGCCTGTGGCGCCAAAGTAACCCGGCGGGGCCTCGTGCTGCCGGGTCTCGGCGCGGGGGAGGGTGTGGGTATGTGTGTGCTGGTGCTGGTGCTGATACTGGACCTGCTGGTGCTGGTGCTGGCCCGGGATCATGCCAGCAGGTATACCGGGGAGGGCGCCCATGATGGATCCCACGCGCGAACGGGCCACGCCACCGACAGCTTCGGCGGCCTCGCTGGCGTCAAAGGACGGGGGGTGGTCGTGCTCGTCCTCGGCGGGCTGTTCCATGGGCGCAACACCCATGGCGATCGGGTCGCCGAAGGAGGGGGAGAAGACGTTTGGTGGCGGGGACTCGAAGGCGTGTGCGGCGTGGCTGGTGGCAGCGTGCGTGCCGAATCCTGGGAGAGCAGGGAGGGACGGCTCGTCGATGCCGGGGGGAAGGTCGTCTTGCAAGTCGACAATACGCGTGCCCTGTCCCAGACCCAGCTGCTCCATGAGCTCGGCGGGGTCCGGGAGGGTGTCGCTTGGGGCGAAGCCGAGACGCGCGACCATGTCGCCCATGTTCACCACACCCTCCTCGCCCTCGGGAGGGAGGTCCATGGATCCACCGACGCCAAACGAGGCAGCAGCAGGCGGAGGCGCAATGGAGAATGTTTCGTAGCCGTCATACTGGAAATGTCAGTTGAAGGCGCACCCGTAAGACAACTCACCTCGACCCAAGTCGAAAGCTCGCCGGTCAGAGACCCACGACGGACAGGGAGATCGGGCACGGGGTCCTCTGGCGCGTCAAACGAGACGGGGACGAGGTTTTCGCTGGGCACAACGTGGTTGAGCAGTGGCGCGGCGCCAGAGCGCATCTGCGCCTCGCTCTCGTTAAAGCTCGGCAGTGCCGAGTCGCCGCTACCACCGGCTCCAGCCGCCGACGCCGAGGTCGTACCGCTAGGTCCGGGCGCGTCGTCAAAGGGAGGCGGCTCGTCAGGCCCGCCGCCTTCAGCGGCGCGCGTCGTGCCGGCCGCACCGACAACGTCACGCCCCTTACGGCGGTATGCCTCACGTGCGTCCTCGTCATCGAGGCCATCGGGTTCCGCGGTACCGAGAGCTGGCACCAGTCCGCGCTCAATAACGACCGTCCTGGGCTCGTGCCAGACGTTTGGGCGAATCGTGATGCCTTGCTCGACGCTCCAGTCGCCCTCGGGGGAAGAACTGCCGCCGGGGATGGGGCCGACGCCAGACTCGGTCGATAACCCGAAACCGAGCGTGGCGCGGACCACAAAGTGGACGTTGTGGTACTGTGTCCGTGCAGAAATCTCGCCCCCACTGGCGCGCAGCCCCGGGTGCAGCAGGGCAGTGGGCAGCGTGAACAAGAGCCGCAACGGTGGCTGGCCGCGTCCGGGATATCGCAGGCTCTTGCCACTGGCGTGCATGACCGTGGTGTGGGTATGGGTGTGCGCTGCCGCAGCGCTTGGACCGGGTGGCAAGGGTGTGTCGACCAGGCGGATGAGCTCGACGCGCATGCGACGGAGCGGACGCAGCGTCTCGGCGGGGTCGGGCTGGGCGACCAGTCCGGCGAGCCCGGTGCGCGCGCGCGGGGTCGGGCGCACCTCGACACCAATGTGCAGCGCGTCACCCACCCGCGGCCGCTTACATGCCAGCAAGAGTCGGGTGCACACTCCGTCGCGTTCCAGTGACGCTTCGGCGGGCACGGCCTCTTCTCCGGCTCCGAGCGCCAGGTCAGGCGGTGCACCCTCGATGCGGACAATCTCCGTCACCACCTCGCCAGAGAGCAGACGCAGGCGGACCTCCACTGCCCATACCACTTCACCTGCACTTCCCAGATCCAGGCTGGCCGGGAGCGGACCGCCGTCTGGCAGCGCGGGTGGGAGCGGCACGGCGAACCTGTGCGAAGTCGGGAACGGGCGGTCCGTGGTTGATGATGAGCCTTCAACGGGTGGCGACACGGGTGGGGGGTATAGTGTTTGCGGAGGGAGGGGAGGCGCGAACACGTCGGCGTCGGGACGGCCTGGTAGACGATCAATCAGGCGCGCGGCGACGGTCCTAGCTCAGTCAGCACACGGCGTCGTCGGTGTAGGACCGAACCCATCCGGAGCTACCTGCGTCACCCCGGCAGTGGTAGTTCTGTCAACAACTCACAAGCTCTCTACTGAACGCGTACGGGCTTCTCCCAGCCCCTTGACATACACCTCGCCTTGCAGAGTGCGGCCCCAGAAGAAACTCGGAGCGTCTGGGAGGGGCACGACGAGGATCTGCGGCTGGGTCGGCGCGTAGGTCGGCGGCGCGCCGGCGGGCCCTGGCGGTGTGGGTGAGGGAGCATCGTCGGGTGACACGCCAGAGCCCGACGCAGGCGGTGGCGGTGGTGGTGGTGGTGGTAACGTCGACGAGGTAGATGCGTGCAGTGGTGGGTCGGCCATTGTTTGTGGTGGCAAAGCGAAGTGGACGATGACAAGAACGTGTTCCCCGCGAGACCTACTGCGCCAAGTCTCGCTACCTACGTAAACCGCGCAACCAGATACCCCTTAGAGGCAGACGCGGCAGTCGTCGTCGCCGCCGACCCCAGAAATACCCCACACCCATTTTCTAGCTTTCAGAAGCGGTGCACTCTGCTGTCATGCATGTTTCACCCAGTTTTACAAGCAGTCATATGTATGGTAGGCGGTGGCGGTTGTGCATGGTAAACAAACGACTAAAAGGGAAACGTCTAGTGGATGTTGCGCAGACGGTCGGTGTTGAGCTGAACCTTGACCTCGAGGTTGTCCGTCTTGTCGGTAATGACACCGATACGCGTGTTCTGCTTGCCGACCTCCTCGCCCATGGACGTTGCCAGCATCTTGAGACGCCTGGAAATGTCCAGCGTCTCGTCCAGGTTCTCGTCGAGCTCGTTCTCGAGCTCGTCGTCCGAGGCAGTGGCGTCAAACTGGAAGCGCTTGCGGCCCTCGGCGCGCGCCTTCATCTTACCGGCAACGGGGTCCTGGCCGTATGTCCTGCCACCGGCCGCGGCGTTCAGACGACGGTTCGTCTCGGCCACGTCCTGCATGGCCTTTTGACGGTCCTCGCGCTCCATGTTGTGGCGGTCCATGATCTTCTGCTCCTGCGCCGCGCGCTTGGCATCCTGCACACAACGTCAGCAACGGTGTTGTACAGCGGCGCGAGGACCTCCCACCCCCCGCAGCCAGCACGGGCCATGTAACCATTCGCCCCCTAGACTCCACTCACCTTGTTCCACGTGATGGCGGGTCGCAGGATGCTGCGGTTGAGCGTCTTGAGCTCGGCGGCCTTGTCCTCGGCACGCTGCGAGTTTGCCTTTGCAATGTCAAGGTGGCGCTCCGAGTTTGCCAGCATTTCTGGAAAACGATGTCAGTCACCTTGGGTCTTCCTCCGGCCGGAATGAATGAATGCTCACGAGACTGCTCGCCGAGCCTGGCCACGGTACCGCGGGCATTGTCCTCAGCCTCACGAGCGAGACGGAGGGCGTTCCTATCGTCGGTGTGTCAGCGCCGTGCACAGTTTCAACACGAACAACCCACCTCGTGCTCGCCAGCGAGTCCTGCTTGGTCTGGCGCATGCTCTGCTTGATACCCTCGACCTCCTCGTCCTCGTCAAAGTCCTCCTCCTGCTCGCGGCCGTCGTAGCCCCACTTGCGCTCCACAGCGGGGGCAGGAGCCGCAAAGCCACCAAACAGCTCGTTGCGGGCAGCGTTGTTCTGCTGCTCGCCGGCACTGCCGTAAGGGTTGGCATTGGCGCCAGCGCCGCCGTACGGGTCACGGTTGCCACCAGCCGCCGCGCCGTAGGGGTCACCACCACCGCCAGATGAGTACGGGTCACGAGCGGCACCGCCGGTGCTACGAGCCGCGTACGGGTCGGCGGCACGGGCCTGCTGGCCGGCGGTAGGTGGGATAGGGGGGATGAGGGGGCCAGTGTCCTTGCGCTTGAAGAAACCCATGGTGATTAGTGGTGTTGTTTGAGGAAGAAGGTGTGATGGGAAGCTGGCTGTTGGACGGGTCAGGACACGACGACGACCTTGTGCTCGGGGGGGGGGGGGGTCTGTTCCCCACGGTGGTACTGACAGCAGTTGGTGTCGGGCCGCAAGTGGGCGTTGTTGAAGGGGCGGGAGCGTTTCGGGTGGAGCGGGGGTGGAGGTGGGGAGGTGTGTGTACTGGGCTGTACGTGGGGAAGACGCTATGCGTGAGGGGCGTTGGAAGGGGTCGATGTTGAACTATAAGATGTAGAAGGAGCGAGAGAGTGGACGAGACAGATAAAGTAACGATGTGTGTCAGAGACAGAGATATTGGGATCCGATCGCGACCTGTGGTCAGACGATTGAGAGACGGTGCAATGAGCCGGCACAGCGGGGCACAGCATCGGGGACACATGTGAGGATGACACCAGTATCCCCCCCACGTGGCAGAATGGAGATTACCTTGGGCCACATTGTCAGGCTCAGTTTGTTTGGTGTGTTACACTTGCATCACTCGTCCATCCCTCTCCAGTACGTCCAGCACACACACACCAACAGACAAACCAAAACAAAACCATGGAGTTTGGCGGCCTCCCTTACGACGACTCCGTCCCAGCTCCCGAACCAGCGGCGGCTGGAGACATGGACATTGACCACCCCATGCTCGACCGCGCGCTGGATGACTTCCCGGCCCCTCGTCGCGGCAGCGGCAGCGGTGATCGTGCCGAGAGCGGCCCCGTCCCCGAGCACGTCCAAGGTCTTCTCGGTCGCATGGGACGTGGAAAGGTCTACCTCTCAGAGGAGAGTACCGGTGTTTTGTTTCACGATGGAGACAAGAGGATCAAGCGTGATCCCGTGAGTTTGTTTTGCTGTTGGAGCGGCAGAAGAAGGTGCTGATGGCAGCAACTTGCTCGTCTCGCCGAGGAGCTTGACAAGCAGGACCCAACGACTTGGCTGGGTAAGTTGCGTACTTGTGATCTAGCTGACGACCAGCGGCTATCTCGGAACAGTCGACCTCTCCTATCCGCCCCAACGCGCTCTTCGTGTCCAGCTCCCTCATCAAGCACCTTTCGACTGCCAAGGTGTTCACTTGGTGCTCTGAGCTCGGTGCTACTGCTATGGGTGGGCAGCTTTTTGCACGAACGTGTAGCTGACTGTTCAGGCATGGAGTGGTTGAACGACACGACTCTTGTCCTCCTCTTCGACACTCCCTCTGCGGCCCTTCTCGGCCTCTCGATGCTCGCAAAGGCCGGCTTCGACCCAACAGAGGGCGACGACCCGCTCATGGAGCGTGCAGCCCACGGATTCCCACACATGCTTCTTCCTCGCGCCGAGCCCAAGCCGGAGCCTGTAAAGCCACGTGCAGGCGACGAGACGATGGCCGACGAGGGCGCCGACGGCGCCGAGCCCACAGCCACCACCACCACCACCGACGCCGACGTCGACGCTCCCCCTGCTGAAGAGCCCGTGCGCCGTCGTGGACGTGGTGCCTTCTCCGCGCGTGAACCGTCTGGATCGGCCCACGGCGCCTTTGACCTGGCCCCCCTCGCTCCTGCCAAGCGCGAGCAGGAGTTTGCTGAGGGTGTCGACCCGTACGCGCGCGTCACCATCCGATATGCGCTCGAGTCGGACGCCAAGCAGAGGCGCGATGCCAACCAGTCGGAATGGTACGCTCGCCACGGTCGTACGGCTGGCAAAGAGCGCGCTCCTCAACGAAGGGGTTATGGACGCGAGGGACCCGTGGAGCTCAAGGACCGCGTGGCTACGGCCGGCGAGGGACGGGAGTTTGCGCGCCGCATTGGACGCGAGAGGGCCGCCCCATATGCCAGGCCTGAGAGGCAGAGGAGGTCGAATGTGTCCGACCTGGATGCGGACCTGGAAAGCTTTGCTGCGCGCCGCGACGGGCGTGAGGATGAGTACCAGCCCCGAGAGAGGAGGGAAAGGGGTGGCGGTGGAGGGCGTCGTGGGGAGCGCAGTGAAAGGAGGCCGAGGGGTAACAGGGAGGATTTGGACGCAGGTGAGCTAGTTATTTTCGTCTGCTGAATCTGAGCTGACATGTCTACAGAGCTGGACGCCATGTTCTCCGCGCGCAAAGAGGAGTAGGCGTTTTGAGTCTTGTACGAGTGTAGCTATGGTACAACCGGCCGTGATGGTTATGGCTTACAGCATGTGTCTGACTTAGCTTGCTTGCTTACACGACGGTTCTCATGATAAACACCCCTTTCCTTTGTTCAACCCTACCCTGCTCAATCTTACGCTGTCCATGCCTGCACTGGCAAATACCCAGGTCAAGGCCCGATCAGTACTCATTCCGCGAAGATCGCTGCGCATGGACAACAAACCTCACGCTTGGGAAACAGAGGCCACTCGCTACGGTGTCAAGCGACTCTGAGCCAAATACCACACACTGAACAATACCGCCGAACCTTGGGCACCGTCGGTCCACCATTCACCGATGGGAAACCCGACGTTTGGGCTATCTATAACTTAGCGAGGCTTCGGCCGAGACCGGTATCTAACACGTCATGCAGAATGGGGTGTACCCCGTCTTCCATTCGGCACACATCTGGAAGCAGAAAGGGGTTTGCGCCTGCCTCGGATATCCGATTACGCCGTGTGGTTGTCCCTCTTTCGCTCGGTTATCGGTTATTATCGTACCACCACTGTTGCATCTGGCCGACCCACATCTGTTCGGGCTGTGTTTGTTGACAGACCCCAGAAAAGTGATGCAACAAGTTGGGCACCGCCGCAAATGTGCCCCCCGAGGAGGGCGCAGGCAACCAGTACCGTTTGAAGGGCCGGGTTTACCGCGAGTGCATGTTACAGTCAGGCCATTTCATTCTCCGCAGGAGCGATCCACACCTTCTACCCACTTTACTCAATTTACCACACCCGAGTCTGGGCCTTCGGTTCGCGCTCCACAACACCGCCACTGCTCGTTTCGAGTATTCCCGACCGATCCACCACTTCCCGACGACCCGATACCCTGTTCCGACTATCCATATCCGACATTGACCTTTCTGGGTCGAACCACTCAGACTGCCTCGCACCCAGCTTGCTCGCTAACGTCCGGGAAACACAGACATGCTGCGCTGGCGCCCTTCCTCAACTGACTCCTCACTCCGGTACTCGGGTTGACAGTCTTGGGCTCGTGAGAGATATATAGGAGGAGTTGCCAGCCTCTGTTGGGCTCTTTCATCATCAGCTTCTCGCCTCGCTTCTTTCCCAACTTCTACCCCCACTCACAACAAACTCCACCACAATGCGCTTCACCATCACCTGCGCTTGGCTCGTCGCCTTCCTCCTCCCGCTCGTTGCAGCCACCCCGCTCCCGGCTCCCAACCCCGAGGCACTTGGCCTTGCCGAGCCTGACGCCAACCCCGGTCCCAACCCGGACGTGACCCGCATCAACCTTGCCGCGCGCGCCACGCCCACTGCCGGGCCGCACAAGGGTATCGCGACGTTCTACAACACCAACATTAGCGGAAATCGGGTCGCCTGCGGTGGCACCTACAACTGGAACCGGCCCGTGAGTATTATGACTATTTTGAAGCATACAACTGACATTATATCCAGATTGTGGCCGTCACCTGGCCCGTCTTCAACTCGTGGGGTACCTCTGCCCCTCGTCACCCCAACGACGCGCCGATCTGTGGCCAACACGTCAAGATCACTGGTGAGTAATGAATCAAACACGCCGCCCGCACCCGCACACGAGCACACAGCCATGTAGCGTGTGCAGTATGCGGTCGTGTGGTGTGCCTACGCCTGTGTACCTGTCAACGGCCTCCCTTTACTGACCCACACCCCCCAGCCAACGGCAAGACGCACCTTGCCGAGATCCGCGACATCTGCCCGACCTGCGGCGGCACGTACGACCTCGACATGTCCCCGTCCCTCTTTGCGTACTTTGGCTACACGGACCACCACGGCATCTTCCCCATTACGTGGGAGTACGTCTCGGGCAAGCAGCATCTCCCCAACCTCCCGATCCCGAGCTGGGCCCGCCCGTACTTTGTGCGCACGGGCGAGATCTAGGCTGGGGTTCTGGCCTCTATCTCTCTCTCTACCGCGCGAGCGTTTCTTCCAGTCCGAGGAACCGAGATTCTTGGCGTCATCCGGGTCAATTCGTCGTCATCAAGAGAAAAAAGCAAAATGAAAATAAAAGGAAAGGAAAGCAAAGGAACGGAGGCAAGGACGGACGGGAACAGTGGTGGGAGGGCCACGAGGGGAGGAAAACATGTCCATACATTGCGCCTGGTAGGGAAATGCAGCTTTACATGAGCTGCATTGCGCCCAAGACAGAAGAGATGAAATCAAACTTTGGAATGTAGACACCTGGACCTGGGTTTCTGTTGTCAACGGAACGGAAATCCACATTCGTCGTCGCGTGTATCCACGTCCTCGCGTCCCCGTGTCCCCGTGTCCGTCCCTCTCAACCACTACCTTTTTGGCCTTCATTCCCCGAAACCGTATCACAGGACAGAGGTACAGAGATGCACACGCGTGCGCAACGGCTCAAATTCCGCGTGCCGCGTGTGTTGTGTGTGCCTCTTACACGTCCGTTGGTGGCGCTTTCCGTTGGGCCGGGTTTTCGGGGGTGTTGCTGTCTGTTGGCCCCAAGCGCACAACACTGTTTTGCTGAGACAAGAGAAGACAGACACCACAGCCGCAGACAAGTGCTTGCACTGCGCCATGCCCACCTTTCTACCCCGTTACGGACTGTGCACTCGGTATGCCAAAAACATAAAAGGAGGGTAATGATCATCACGATGGCAGGCTGCGCCAGGCAGTCATCGCTTGTCTATGTATAACAGCCCATGTTTATAGCTGAACTAATCCCTGGAGGACCTTAGACCTCGTGGGTCTGCTGGAAATATGGGTCAAAGTCGCCGCTGACGGGGAGGCTTGGGAGGTCGCCCTGGTGGTCGACGTACTGCCAGCTGACGGGGAAGGTGCCCTGCGCGATGGGGTCGTTGGGCCAGAGCGCCTGGAAGAGACCGGGCGACATGTCGAGGTCGCGCTTGTTCTTGCACGACCCGCCAGGGCAAATGTCCTGGATCTGGGCGAGCTGCGTCGAGCTGGGGTCGTCGGACTCTGCAGGATGCATGTCAGTTTGTGAAGCCTCAACCAGAAGACCGAGAACAGAGACGTACTCCAAATGCTGATGACCTTGCCACAGACGGGGGCGCCGTTGGGGAAGCTGGGAGCGCCGTCCTGGCCCCACGAGTTGAAGACTTCCTCAGAAACGGCGACAACCTGCGTACGTGTTAGCGGCAGTGTCTGGATCATAGGCGAGCCTGGGCGCTTGCTCATCAACTCACGGGAATGTCGTTGCCAAAGCGACCACCGCAAGCCGTAGCCTGAGTTCCGAGGTTGTAGAATGTCGCAATGCCACCCGAGAACGGGCCAGAGCCTTCGGGGTCGTTGACGCCCGAAGTGGCTGGGGACTGTTGGCCGTCGCTGGAGGCGGCGGCGCTCGTGGCGGCCGCGTCATCGGTCTGAGTGGTCGAAGGGGATTCCGAACCCTGTGAGGCATCACTGGCCGCAGCATCGGGCGTAGCCTGGGCATCGGCGCTGGCAGACTCGGCGGGAGTCGGCGTGGCCTCAGCTGCAGGGGTGTCGACGGCCGACTCGGCGGGGGTTGGCGAGGCTTCAGCCGCGGGGGTATCGCTACCATTGTCACCACCGGAAGAGCCGTGGGCCTTGCACCCGTGGCCGCCGTGGCCACCGTGACCGCCGCGCTTGTTGTGGGTAACAGCGACGTCAGAGTTGGCGTTGGGGGTCGGAATGGCAGCGATGAGCGGGAGGAGGGCGAGGAGGAGAGCTGAACGCATCTTAAATGAAAGAGTGGCAGTGGGTGTGGCGTGAGGAGGGGCTGCTGGGGGACGTTCTGTGGACCTGGACAACGAGAGTTGGAGATGGGAAGAAGATACGACTGGGTGGCCGAAGTTTACGCTGCCTGAGCGTTTAAGACTGGTAAAGAAGGGAGGTGGTGGGAGTTGGTGGGAAAAAGGAAAACAAGATGACCTTTATGTGTTGACTCTGTGCGTCTCAGTCCCTTTGGCGAAGGTCACCAAAACATGCGCGTCGTACTTGGAGACTGGACTCTGTGCAACTCCGGACTTTGCGCACAGCATCCTAAAGCACTTGCTTTTCTCCCCCCTCCGCGGCGTGTAAGCTGCATGTTCCTGTGCCGGGCACGGAATCCGGCGGTTTCGGAGACCTACCGGCGGCACTGCCAGCCACCTGTTGCCGACTGCTTCGCAGCGCGTGCTCTCTGAGGGCAGACAGAGATGACGAAGTGTATATTCGCGACCTTGGACACCGTCGGAGACGTTGGTTGTGTTGCTGCCTCTTTGTTATTCACCAAAAGCTGGTTTGTTTGTTTGTTTGTTTGTTTGTTTGTTTGTTTGTGGGATGGTCCTGTCGTGCTGCCGTGAGAGTGTCACATCAGGACGACAACAGTTCCCGCAAGTCAGTATCTGTGTCTGTGCATAGCCAGAGCTCCAGGTACACCAGAGATGAGAGAAGTGCCAGTTTCATGGCAGAGGTTCCGCAGTGCAGCGCGTGGACGCGTCCCAGCTGGCCACCGCCAAAAGCCTCCAAAGACGCCGATGGGAGTACAAGGTTCAAGGGTTGTCGCGTCGGCGGTGCTGGCTGTGTGTCACGACGTGTTTGTGGGTCTGTTGTCTAGGTACAGCTGTGTTGGCGGGAGCGCGTCTTGCGTACTGCAGTGGTGCTGTAGGTGCTGTACGCCAGCTGAGGAGCGACGACGAGAAACAAAACAGGGGGTTGCAAGGGGTCGGCGGCAACGCGTTGGTCGCGTAACGCCAAGAGATCGAGCGATGTGCCACACTGTCGATCCGTCGGACTGAGAACAGGAGGGGGGACCAAACAGAGATAGTCCCCACGCAACATTATGTAATATTTTAAGATTATGTAATTATATTATATTATGTAATTACAGTGATTTATGTAATTGCTCACGCTTAGGTAACAAGTTGCTCTGAAATTCAACATAGTATGACGTGTTGTAAAAGTGTTGCTATTGTATTTTTGCTCTGACCGGCGCGTTTTTTTTTCTGATACGCGGGGGTGGTGCCTCCGGTGCCCGCCAGCCCAGCGCCAGCCAGGCCCCCCACTTGCGGCCTGGTGGATGGGCCCGACCTGCGCTTGGCTGGAAGTTGGTCGAGGGTGCTCGAACATTAGGCGCATTGAGAGGCTTTAAGCCGTCCGAGTCGCCTGTCCACTCTCCCTCAACCACAACCCCGTTGGAGATACCCCCATCCTCAACTCCATCTCTTAGACCTCTCCCCCTCCCTCCTCCCCTAAAAAGTACTTCAATATGGCTGTAAGTATCCCCCCACACTCGACACACCCGACAGCGACCACCACCGGCACCCGCGGAGCAGTGCCGAAAAAAGATGTACACACACATCACGCCTGCTCCACGTCGTGGAAATAATTGCCTGTCGGGAATCTCGTCACAAAGAAGCAAAGAGCCTCCCCGCTGACATGGTGTCCAGTCCGTCGTCGGTATTGATTTCGGCAACCTTTCGTCCAAGATCGGTGTGGCCCGTCACCGTGGTATCGACATCATCACCAACGAGGTGTCGAACCGTCAGACTCCGTAAGTTGTTGTCGCTGGCGTGTCCGCCATCACAGAGCAAGTCGCTGACGCACGCCATCACACTTTTGCTCCTCATTGTTCGGTCCTTGTTTTTACTCCGCACACTCGCATTTGATCACACCATTCCATTGATCCAGCTCGCTCGTTTCGTTCACCCCCCGCCAGCGTCTCATCGGCGAGTCGGCCAAGACCGCCGAGACCTCCAACTTCAAGAACACTGTTGGCTCGCTCAAGCGCTTGATCGGTCGCTCGTTCTCGGACCCCGAGATCGCCGAGTACGAGAAGAAGTTCATCAACGCCGAGCTCGTCGACGTTGCTGGCCAGGTCGGCGCCAAGGTCAACTACCTTGGTGAGCCCGCCACCTTCTCCTACTCGCAGCTTGTCGGTACCTACCTTGGCAAGCTCCGTGACACTGCCGCCGCCGAGCTCAAGCAGGCCGTCTCGGACGTTGTCATTGCCGTCCCCGGCTGGTACACCGATGCCCAGCGCCGTGCCCTCATGGACGCTGCCCAGATTGCCGGCCTCAACCCCCTCCGTCTGATCAACGACACCACCGCTGTCGCTCTCGGCTACGGTATCACCAAGGCCGACCTCCCCGAGGACGCTGAGAAGCCCCGCCACGTTGTCTTTGTCGACGTCGGCCACTCGAACTACTCGGTTTCCGTTGTCGCCTTCTCCAAGGGCCAGCTTACCGTCAAGTCGACTGCCTACGACCGCAACTTTGGTGGCCGTGACTTTGACTACGCCCTTGTCCAGCACTTTGCCAAGGAGTTTGACGCCAAGTACAAGGTTGACTGCTTCTCGTCGCCCAAGGCCATCTTCCGTCTCACCGCTGGTTGCGAGCGCCTCAAGAAGGTTCTCTCTGCCAACGCCGAGGCCGTCATCAACGTCGAGTCGCTCATGAACGACGTTGACGCTTCGTCGACCATGAACCGCGAGCAGTTCGAGGCCCTCATTGCTCCCCTCCTCAACCGCTTCAACAAGCCCCTCGAGGAGGCCCTTGCCAAGGCCGGCCTTACCGTCGACGAGGTTGACTCGATCGAGCTTGTCGGTGGCTCTACCCGTATCCCCGCCATCAAGGAGCGCATCCAGGCCTTCTTCGGCGGCCGCCAGCTCTCGTTCACCCTCAACCAGGACGAGGCCATCGCCCGCGGTGCCACCTTTGCCTGCGCCTCGCTCTCGCCCGTCTTCCGTGTCCGCGAGTTTGCCGTCCACGACATCACCCCTTACCCCATCCAGGTTTCGTGGGCCAAGGAGGCCGGCAACCCCGACGAGGACACCGAGCTCGTTGTCTTCCCCGAGGGCAACGCCATCCCCTCGACCAAGATCCTCACCTTCTACCGCCAGGGTCCCTTCGAGCTTGACGCCAACTACGCCAAGTCGGAGAACCTCCCCAAGGGCACCAACCCTTACCTCGGCAAGTTCACTGTCAAGGGTGTTGAGAAGACCGCCGCCGGTGACCTCGCCTGTGTCAAGGTCAAGGCCCGTCTCAACCTCCACGGCATCCTCTCGTTCGAGGGTGCTTACGCCGTCGAGGAGGTCGAGAAGGAGGAGACCGTGACCGTCGGTGAGGGTGAGGACGCTGTCGAGGAGAAGAAGATTGTCAAGAAGCTCCAGCGCAAGGGCGACTACCAGGTCTCGGCCCAGTACAACTCTCTCCCCCAGAACGTTGTCAACGACTGGCAGGAGGAGGAGGGCAAGATGCACGCCTCGGACAAGCTCGTCATGGAGACTGAGGAGCGCAAGAACGCTCTCGAGGAGTACGTCTACGACATGCGCTCGAAGCTTGAGGACCGCTACAAGCTCTACGTTGTCCCCACCGAGAAGGAGACTCTCCTTACCGGCCTCGCCGAGGCTGAGGACTGGCTCTACACCGAGGAGGGTGAGGACGCCACCAAGTCGGCCTACGTTGCCAAGCTTGACGCCCTCAAGAAGACTGGTGACCAGATCGCTCTCCGCTGGAGGGAGAACGAGGAGCGCCCCAGGGCCGCTGCCGCCCTCCGTGAGGTCTGCGCCGAGTTCCTGTCCAAGGCCGAGAACGGCGAGGAGCAGTACTCGCACATCTCGGACGAGGACAAGCAGAAGGTCATTGAGAAGGCTGCCACCACCAAGGACTGGCTCGAGGGCCAGCTCTTCCGCCAGTCGGAGAAGCCCAAGAACATCAACCCCGTCATCACCTCGGAGGAGATCAACAAGCGCAAGGACGACGTCCAGTACACCTGCGCCTCGATCATGAACCGCCCCAAGCCCAGGGCGGCCAAGGTCGAGACCCCCGGTACCGAGACCCCCAAGGAGGAGGAGGTCAAGGAGGACACCATTGAGGAGATGGACGTCGACTAGACGTTTTAAAGAGTTTGTCGATTTACGTAGAGAGCTGTGTACGGAATAGATGCACTCGATCATGTCTGCAGGCCATCATCATGAAGCGGTTAGTTGCACGGTTGCATTTGAACATCGCGCGTTTAGACGTGCACACGCGCCACACGCCACATCCGCGCGCAGCGGGTTTTTTCCCCGGAGGCAAATCCCCCCCATTTGAGTTGGCGTGTTAACGGGGGTGCGTGAATATACGGTGTGTGTGTCTGGCGGCGCGGCGTGAGCGGGAGCACCACACACACAGCAGGCGCGCGCCTCGTCACATCAACGGCCACTGCCCCCGCCTCCATCGCTCAACAGTCTCTCTCATCCGTCCCTCTCTCTCATCACATTTACATACAACCTCGCAGCGTCTTACTCTCCCCTTTAGACCACGCACACCCTCTGCCGCTGCGCGCACGCTAGTTACCCACCGCTCGCCCCCCCGTGACCCTCTTCCGTCTCGTCTCGTTCGCGCGCACACGCCTGCGCGCAATCCCTCCCACCCCCACACCCCCAGCGGCATATCTCACCCCGCGACCATGTCGTCCCCCTCGGCCCAGGCGGGCTCGCTCTACCCCATCCACCTTTTGATGGATGAGCTCAAGAGCGACGACGTCGTCCTCCGTCTCTCGTCCATCCGCCGTCTCAGCACCATCGCCCTCGCGCTCGGCCCCGCTCGTACCCGCGACGAGCTCCTTCCTTTCCTCCAGGTGTGTACTCTGTCTCTGCTGGCACACAGTGAACGCGATTTGGGAGGGATATGGCATGCGCAAGTATAGTCGTGGGAGCAAAGACTCTTTTGATCGCGTTTGAGCGCGCTGAGAGTGCATCTGCTATCATATATATATGGCCCGCGGCTGTTCTCATCAGCCCACAGCTCTGGCAACGTTAACAGTGCCCAAACATAACCGCAGTACTCTTTGCTGACAACCCCGACAGGACCAGCTCGACGACGAGGACGAGGTGCTCCTCGTGCTTGCTGAGGAGCTTGGCTCGTTCACCGAGTACGTTGGCGGCAAGCAGTTTGCGTGGACCATTCTTGGGCCCCTTGAGAACCTCGCCGCTGTCGAGGAGACGCTTGTCCGCGACAAGGTGAGTTTATGCTCGCAACATGGGAAACTGACAACCAGGCCGCCGAGTCGATTTCGAGCATCTCGACTGCCCTCTCCGCCGAGCAGATTGACCAGCACTTTGTGCCCCTCCTCCGCCGTCTTGCCAACGGTGACTGGTTCACGTCGCGCACCTCGGCATGCGCTCTCTTCGCTGCTGCCTACCCCAACGCCTCGGCCGGTGCCCAGGAGGACATGCGCCGTCTCTTTGCCGGCCTCGTCGCCGACGACACCCCCATGGTCCGCCGTGCCGCTGCGCGTGCGCTCGGAGTGAGTACAGTTTTTTTGTTTTGTTTATGTCACAAGACCGTGTGGAACTGACCAGTGTTTCCTAGCCCTTTGCCAAGGCCGTCGCCGGTGTCTCGACCCAGCACCAGCTCCTTGTTACCGACATGATCCCCCTGTACCGCCGCCTCGCTGCCGACGACCAGGACTCGGTCCGTCTCCTGACCATCCCCGACCTGATTGCTATTGCGTCCAACCTTTCGGCCGAGGAGACCAAGGAGCACCTCCTTGAGCCCCTCCGCGCTTCGGTTTCGGACAAGAGCTGGCGTGTGCGCTACATGGTCGCCAACGAGTTTGTCGGCCTTGCCGAGAGCGTTGGCCAGGACATTGTCCGTGACGAGCTCGTTGTTGCCTTTGTCGGCCTGCTCAAGGACAACGAGGCCGAGGTCCGCACCGCCGCTGCCGGTCAGGTGCCGGGCTTCTCAAAGCTCATTGACCGCGAGGTGATCCTTTCGCGTATCCTCCCCTGCGTCCGCGACCTCACCGCCGACACTAGCCAGCACGTCCGTGCCGCCCTGGCCATGCAGATCTCTGGTCTCGCTCCCTTGCTCGGCAAGGACGCCACCATCGAGCACCTCCTGCCCCTCTACCTCCACCTCCTCAAGGACGAGTTCAGCGACGTTCGCCTCAACCTCATTTCCAAGCTGGAGCTTGTCAACACTGTCATTGGCATTGACCGCCTGTCGCAGGCTCTCCTCCCTGCCATTATGGAGCTTGCCGAGGACAAGCAGTGGCGTGTCCGCCAGGCCATCATCGAGTACATTCCCCTGCTCGCGACTCAGCTCGGTGTGCAGTTCTTTGACGACAAGCTCGGCGCCCTCTGCATGTCGTGGCTCGGCGACACTGTCTTCTCGATCCGTGAGGCCGCCACCATCAACCTCAAGAAGCTCACCGACGTCTTTGGCGTTGACTGGGCCCGCACCACCATCATCCCCAAGGTGCTCCAGATGGGCGAGCACCCCAACTACCTGTACCGCATGACGACCATTTTCGCCATTACCACCATGGCCCCCGCGCTCAACACTGCCATTATCCGCGACACTGTCCTCGACGCTGCCCTCCAGCTCGTCAACGACCCCATCCCCAACATTCGCTTCAACGTGGCCAAGTGCCTCGAGACCCTGGCTGCCGTCCTCGCCACCGACCCCGAGGGCCAGGAGCTCATCCAGCGCCGTATCGAGCCTACCTTGAGAAAGCTGCAGGAGGACTCGGACGCCGATGTCCGTTATTTCGCGACAAAAGCGTACGACCACACCACCGGCGACGAGCGGTCAGAGCCCATGGTCATTTCGTAAAGGATTTTGTCGTGCCCACCACCCCCCTCAACATATCCTAACGAAATATTCGACCTCTTAAAGCATTTGCACCACCAGCAGCATCAGTCTTGATCCACCAAACGCCGTAGACGAAAGAGAGAGAGAGAGAGAAGCCGGGGGCAGATCAGCGGAATGGGGGAGGAGGAGTGAGGAGTATACAAATGAGTCGTCGCAGCAGTTTTCAAACCACCCCCACCACAGCCTTTCCTTTTAGTTCATGTTTCGCCCGCGTCAAAAGTGATTACAATACCCACGGACGATTCAGGTCGTCGGCGCAGAGATGTAGAAGTGTCCCAGCAAGTGTGGAGCATGATGGCAGCAGTGGTGGCAAGTGGACGATGAGCACGATGCCCTTTAGGAGCCGAGCCAGACAGGGATGAGCTGCTCTCTCGTTTTCATCCAACAAACATCCTGCCCAAACTGATACCATGCTGGAAGCACCCGCACATCCTGTCTCATGCATCTCCCATTTGACCAATGTTGCATGCATGTAGACAGTCATATCGATATGACTCGTTGACCATCTGGCCCCAGGTGGTTGGTCCGCCTTTCGAGCGCCACAGGCCAATATTCCGCCTAACCCCGGGTTACCGCTGGGCTCGCTGCCGGTCCCTCGCTGCTCGCTGCTCACCGCCCGAGGACGTCGACCACCGTCAACGTCCGTCGACGACCAGCTAGCTAGCCCCCCTCGCACACCCAGCTCGCCCACCATGTCTCTCCTGCGCCGCACACCCCTCCTCTTCCGCTCCGTCCCCTTCCTCGCGCGCGCCGCGTCGTCGTCCATCGCGTCGGGCTCGGCTCCTGCCCCGCTCAACCTCGCGCCCGAGCCCAAGGCGCCCGGCCAGTCGCCCAACGTCGCCACGCCCTGGTCCGAGAACCAGGAGCCCAAGTCGGCCGCCTTTGCCGCGACGCGTTTCGAGCAGACCAAGTTTGACCTCCAGCCCGACGGACTCTCGGCCATGGGCCTCGTGAGCGAGCAGCCCATCACCATGGTCCACGGTCGCAGGGCGGTGTGCAACGGTGGTGAGTGGCTGGAGATGGCGGCTGGAGGCTGGAGGCTGGAGGCGATGGAAGAGAAGAGACAAGGAGGGACAGAGAGAGGGAGGAGGGGACGATGGGAGGGTGGGGTAGAGCGATGTGTGCGTGGTTGTGGCCGACAACACGTCGCTGGACCGACAGGTCGAGATATCGACATGGCCAACTCTCCGGACCTCGGGCAACCAAGGACCGGGTAGAGGTGGCAGACATGGCGTCAATCTGGAAGACCCAGCTGCTGGTGGGTCTGCCCTACAGCTGCAACCGCTCCCGATTGCGCCTGCCTTGGTCTCTGGGACGGAGACGCCAGTTGCCAGATACCCATGACGTCCTCCCATCTACCCTCCCTTCCTGGGCTTCCTTACCCCGGTCTGCCTTCAGCCTGATACCTCAAACATCGCAACCAGTATCAGACGCTGACCAACGTTACAGGCGGCGGTGCCCTCGGCCACCCCAAGATCTATATCAACCTCGACAAGCCCGGAGCCCGTTCGTGCGGCTACTGGTGAGTTATACACCACAACACCCGTCTCTGGCCCAGAGACCACCTACCTGGGCCTGGGACTGGGTCTGGGACCGTTGAAACTGCCCTTCAGAGACTTGCGCTGACACCTACCAGCGGCGCGCGGTACGAGCAGGAGCACGAGCACTAGGTTTATTATGCATTGCGAGTAGAGAATCGGCGGCCCACAGCAAGCACGCGATTCCGGGCGTGCCATTATGCTCTTCTCGTCTCTGTTCCCGAGTCTCGCTCTCTCTGCGGCCTGGTACTCGGGCTCGCCGTGCACACACAGCTGGTCTGGCACCCGCACTGGCCAGACGGCTGCTGCCTGGAACGTAACGGCTTGGGGGTCTCGAGACGAGGCTTGTGGTTCGTGTCCGTAGCACGCGGGCTGGCGTTGGGGGTGGTCCTCAGCCTTCGGATCTCAGATGTCTAGTTGGGACGCACTTCCAAGGCAACGGCTGAGAGACTACCTGACCACCTTCTGAGACTGTTCATGCGGAGGCACACCAGTGTCAGAACGTGCAACAAGGTGCTATATTGTCACGCCTGTGGCTCCAGCTCGAGTCTCACGATCCAGCCTGGGGTTTGACGGTACAAGTCGGACCAAGCTCATACAGCCCCGCTCAATGGCCCGCATCTGACGAACCGTTGTCACGCCTGGGACGCTTGTGCTCCGGACTTGTACATCTCAATTTTACAGCCCTACACAGAGCCTCTTCCCTCCATCCCTTCGACGGGGGCTACACCATCTCCGTTCTCAAGTATACAGTATACGCCCGCCCACACCCTACGCGCGGTTGTCCATGACAAGGGCAGTGAGGGCCAGCGCCCATCCGCTGATAAAGGCCAGGTAGCGGACGTTGTGGAGCTTCTCCCACTTGTCCAGGAGGGCGTTGGCGTGCTTGGCGCGCGGGTTCTCGTCGCCGGCCACGCCCGTGTCGAGGTCGCCTGACTTGTGGATGTCGAAGAGCTCGCTGTTGGTCGGCGCCAGGAAGAGCACCGTGTAGGGAACCACGAGGGCGGAGCAGATGGCGCCGGTGACGGACAACTTGCGGACAAAGGCAGAGGGGTGGTTCAAGTACACGACGGTGCTGCATGCGGCGGTGAGGGCGACGGAAGCCAGAGCGGTGACCTAGAGGTGGGGGGAGGGGGCGGTCAGTGACGAGTCCAACCAGTTAGACAGCGGGGTGGGGGCAAGGAAGGTCGCGGCATGGTTGGTTGGTCTCTCCTGGCGGTGCTCATCGAACCAGATCGAAACCAACCCGCCATGCACCCCAGTCAACTGTATACTCACAGAGGCCTTCTTGAAGAACTGGGTCCAGATGTCAACCTTGTCCTTGACGCGGATATCGATAGGCCCAAAGCGTCCATTGAGGAGTGGAACTACTCCTACAGCGGTCGTGCTAATGTTGGAGAACAGCACGTTGGATGTGACGACACTGCCGCCAATCAGTGCGTAGGTCGAGAGGGTGAGGTCGAGGCCCATGTTGAGTTGAGGTAATGCGCGAGAGAGAGTGTGTGTGTCTCTGTGTGTGAGGAAGATGATGTGAGAATGTTGTGCATGAAGACGTCAGTGGCCCAGTGGCCAGTGGCCTTTTGTAGTCCAGGACCGGAGCTTCCGCCCTTCCGTCTCTTCCCGCGTCACATGTCTCCTTGGGCCAGCAGTGATGTTGACCACAATAGTGGAGCGCATGAGAAGACGACGCTTGGACGAGGAGAACGCGTCACGGTGCCGAGGCCGGGTAACTGTCGTCAGCGTAAACCAGCCGATTGTGGATCCTGGATTTGTTATACCAATTACCGCCGATTACCGGCTTTAACGTCACAGAGCCGTACCGTGGTTCTTGGCCGGGATGCGATCATTTGTCGAGTTCCCTCCCAAAAGCACCTTCCTTGTCGTTGACTACTGCATGTGACGGACGGTTACATCCTGGCCTCGCTTCTTCCTGTTACACTACGCACCTACGGTCCTCTACACACGGTTGTCCATGACGAGCGCACCGAGTGCACACACCCAACCGCCGACGAACAAGATGTAGCGCAAGTTGTGGCGCTGCTCCCACATCTGCAGCAACTGTTCCGTGCGCTTGGCACGCGGGTTCTCATCGCCTGCGGCACCCGTGTCAAGGTCGTTGGAGTCGTAGATGGCCTGCCATTCGGCGTTGATCGAGCCCAGAAGCAAGGGCTTGAACGGGAGGAGGAGGCCGAGGAAGACGCCCGACGCAATGGAGACTTTGCGGACGATGGGAGACGGGTGGTTGTAGGCGACGATGGTGGAGCAGAAGGCGTTGAGCCAGACGGATGCCAAGGTCATGGCCTGGTAAGTGTCAGTTGGGGGGGGGGGGTTGTGCCCATTGCGGCAGGCGGACGTTGCAATCCTACTGCTACAGGGCCACTTCTTGTCTGGCTGTGCGGAGGCCGCAATAGGACACCGAGCAGAACATATCCCGCCACTTCGCCAGCGACAGCCTCACACTCCACACACAGAGAAAAGACTTACACCACCCTTCTTGAAGAATGTGGCAAACATGTTGAGCTTGTCCTTGGTTCGCAGGCCATAGTCACCGAACCGGCCGTTGAGAATGGGCAACGCTCCCATGGTTGAAATACCGAGCGTGCCGAACAAGACGTTTGATGTGATCACATTGCCGCCAATGAGAGCGTATGTCGAGAGGGAGAGGTCGAGGTGGCCCATGGTAAGAACGTGCAAATGAGTAATGAAAATGTGGGAATGGGAACGGTTGCCGTGCGGGAAACGCCGGGGGGGGGTCTTGTTTATACGACGTCCGGAACAGACTTGTGCTCTTGCTGGCTGGCAACCAGGGGAGAGTATGTACAGTACTTGCACGCCAGTAGGCCAGTGGCCAGTGGGCATACCTGTTGCCGGCAACCCACAAGAGACACCTTTTGGTTACTCCGAGTTGCTTGATCATCACGACACCGTATACACCGGTCCGTAATGGCTCCAGCCCATGGCCACACCGGTCCAACGTCCATCTCGGCACAACAACGGTGGCAGCGGCCCCGGTGGGTGGGTCTCGGTGACGTCATTGTCAACACGTGGCAAGAGCAAAACAATCTGCCTCCGTGCTTCCTCCTGCTCGGTGCCCTCGTGGGTGCCACGTGTATTTGGTTCCGCCCGCTGCCCGGTGGCCCTGTGTCTCTCCAAAAGTCCTCCTGGCGCCTCCTCCTCGATGGCCATCATCGGAAACACATTGGGTGCTCTGCCTCTTCTGTCCACAACGTCGTCCACCGCACCACCCCTTTCGGCGCCTGTCACTGCTCGCTTCGAAGCAGGAAAGCGCGGTCAGACCAAACATCAACGTGTTCCGTCTCAGCTTAGAGCCAGCGCGCAGGCTACGTGCCTCGTCGCAAACCCTCTCGCGTGCTCGCTCATTCACCACTTCCACACCCACGACCGCCAAGGAGATCCCGATCAGTTCCCTCCCTTCCGTCAACAACGTCCGTGTCGACACATTCAATAGCCTTCCCACTGCCTCAGTCTCGCACACCACCTCTGCCGGCGGTCTCTACAACTCGGCGGCCACTGCCTCAACTGTTGCATCTGGTCTCCTCACCCGCGCGTCGTTTGCAGCGTCTCTCACGGCGCTCGTTTCATCGTCTGCCTCCACCCTCGCATATTCACCTGCGCCTATCTCCCTCCCCGCGAACGTTTCCGCGGGCAGCGAGCTCATGCCCAGCGCCCAGACACCGCGCTTCCCCTCCACCCCCGTCTCGGCGGCCTACGACAACTCTTCGCGCGAGCACCTATCAGCTCGGCGCCCTCCTTCTCCTCATCCTTTCTCCTCGTCCTCTTCGTCTTCTGTGCTCTCTGCAGCAACCCATCGGCCCTCTGTCGACTCCCTAGTTCACCCCGATCGTCGTGCATACGTCACTCTTTCTGGCGAGCAGCAGCAAGCGCAACAGAAACGACTGGCCTCGATCCCCATTCCCAAGTCGGCGAGCTCGGAACTCCCATTTGGGTTCCCTAAGTGAGTGTGGCAGCCCGTTTTGACCGTGTGCAAGATAGACCACGGGTCTGACGCTTTTCACTAGCTACAAGCGTAGTCTGGCGGCCTCACCTCAAAGGGCGAACAACAGCAGCAACAACCGCTACAACAACACCAACAGCCAGCCTGTCGCCAAGCGCGCCAGATCTGAGAACAACCAACAGGAATCTATGACAAGTGGTGGACGTCGTCGCCCCAACGGGGCCAAAACTCATGCGGCCACCCCACGCGGTCCTCCTCGCCCTACTCCAGGCCAAAAGCAGCTGCCTGGTCCTCTGCGCTCGCACGACTACATTCTGAACGAGTTCAACCGCGTGCCTGTCAAGGAGCAATGGGTGGCCAACCCCAAGGCCCCTCTGTCCAACTACCTCGGTGGAGGCGGTGGAGGTGCCAGCATTGAGGGCAGTGTGTTCAAGTCCGAGGAAGGTATGGTGGACGGCAAGAAGGTCTTTCGGTGAGTTGCGGTGATCCATGGCAACGAAACTGACGCAACAGTGTGACGGTCGTTGCCAACACTGTGCTGGACATTATCGGTGTGGGAGACGCGTCGTCGCGCAAGGAGGCGGAGAAGCTCGCAGCACTGAGCGCAGTGCTCCAGCTCGCCGCCGCTGGTCAGCTTGACAAGAAGGCTGCCGCCGCGGCACAGGCCACAGGGGCTTCGGTCGTTCCGGGTGTCACCGCAGCGCCAGCTCCTGCAGTTGCCGAGTCTGTCAAGTTGTCCGATGGCACGACGATCTCCTACGACAGGGCACGCCAGTTCATGGAGTACTACTGCGTCCGATTCAAGTTTGGCAAGCCCGAGATTGAGTACTCTACGTCATCGACTCCCAAGGCCCCACAGCAACGTCGCAAAAAGGGCGGTGGTGGTGGTGGTACCACCGCCATGTGGGAGGCCGTGATGTCTGTTGGCGGTCGCAAGATTGGCATGGGTACGGCGCCAAGCAAGAAGAATGCGCAGATTCGGGCCTACCTTGACGTCACGCAATACCTCGAGAGCTGTGATCAACAGTTGTGGGCCGACTTTGCCGAGTACACCAAAAAGGACCCCTATGGCAACGCAAGCTTTGGCCTTGCTCCGCACCTCGTCTTCCAAATGTCTGACGCCCTCAACGAGGACATTCAGGGCCTCTGTGGTGACATCCGTCACTCTCTCCTGCACTTCAACGCCCCCCCAGCCAACCAGGCCATGGCAGCCTTGCCCCACGCCCCATCATGGAGCGCCGGTCGCCGGTTCTTTGGCCAGTCCGATCTGAAGCAAAAGTCGACATGGCTGCAGAACAAGCTGCTAGAGTACGAAAGCGACCCAAAGCTCGAATCCATGCGCAAGACCCGCGCAGCCCTGCCCGTGTACTCCAAGTCGAGCGATATCCTTGCCAAGATTGAGGTGAACGACGTGACGATCATCATGGCTGCGACCGGTTCGGGCAAGACGACCCAGATCCCGCAGCTCATTTTTGACGACTACATCAACCGTGGGCAAGGTGCTCAGTGCAACATTGTGTGCACCCAGCCCCGCCGTCTGGCCGCCACGTCCGTCGCTGAGCGTGTCGCCGATGAGCGTGGAGACCGCATTGGCGAGCAGGTCGGCTACCACGTCCGCTTTGACGCAAAGCATCCCAAGCCCAACGGCAGCATAACGTTCTGCACCACGGGTATCTTCCTCAAGAGGATGCAGTCGTCGCTCGGCCAGAATGCCGACCCAGACTCGATCGCGTCCATGGACCAGGTCTCGCACATTGTCGTTGACGAGGTGCACGAGCGTGACATTGACACCGACCTGTTGCTTGTCGTGCTCAAGCGTCTCATTGCGGACCGCAAGGCTCGCAAAAAGCCACTCAAGGTCATTCTCATGTCCGCCACCATCGACCCTACCCTCTTCCAGTCGTACTTTGCCGACGTCCGCGGACGTCCCGCACCCGTGGCCGAGATCCCAGGCCGTACATTCCCTGTCAAGCGACACTTGCTCGATGACTATGTGGGCGACCTGACTAGTCTTCCAGTGTCAATGGGCGGTTGGGTGTTCCAAGACGCAAAGGTGAAACAGTATCTGGAGCAGGAGCTCGGCACCAACCCCGACCACTTTGACAGCAAGAACGTCGCCACTGCCGAGCTGGAGATTCCCTACCCGCTGGTGGCACTCGCCATCTCCCATGTGCTCCGCCAGACCGACGACGGCCACGTGCTCGTCTTCCTTCCTGGATGGGACGAGATTAAGAAGGTGTCTGACATTCTTCTGGACGCGGCCCGCACCCGTCCCCTGTACGATACCGACTTTAACGACACGACAAAGTATAGCGTTCACTACCTGCATTCGTCCATTCCCGCCTCTGAGCAAAAGGAGGTGTTCCGCCCGCCTCCCAAGGGTGTGCGCCGCATCATCTTGGCCACCAACATTGCCGAGACCAGTGTGACCATCCCCGATGTGGTCTATGTTGTCGACTCTGGCCGTGTCAAGGAGAACCGTTACGACCCTGACCGTCACATGTCGTCACTCGTGTCTGCTTGGGTGGGCTCGTCCAACATTGGCCAGCGTGCTGGTCGTGCGGGCCGTCACCGTCCCGGAGAGTACTATTGTCTGGCGTCCAAGCGCCGTTTCGAGTCGCTGGACCCGCACCAGCTGGTCGAGATGAAGCGCTCCGACCTCTCCAACGTGGTCATGCACGTCAAGGCGCTCAACCTTGGCGAGGTCGAGGAGGTGCTGGGCCAGACCATCGAGCCCCCAGGAATCGACCGTGTCGTCGCTGCACTGGAAACGCTGCACATGCTGGGTGCCTTGGATTCGAACAAGAACCTCACCCCGCTGGGCCGTGTGCTCTTGCAGCTCCCGACCGACCCTGCCATTGGCAAACTTTGTCTCATGGGCTCGTTCTTCCGCTGCCTCGATTCGGCTCTCACGCTCGCTGCCATCCTGTCCAGCCGCGACCCCTTCATGTCTCCCATTCTCCTCAAGCAACAGGCCAACCAAATCAAGGACTCGTGGTCGCCCCGTGCCTTCCGCTCAGACCCGCTGGCCACTGTCGCCGCGTACAACGTGTGGTCTAGCATGGACGACCGCGGCGAGTTTGCCTCGGCCAACAGGTTTTGCAATGAAAACTTCCTGTCAAAGGCCACGCTCCTTTCCATCAAGCAGATCAAGAGCTCGCTCTTGCAGTCGCTTGACCAGGCCGGCGTCATTGCCGTTTCGGCGGGTGGTGGCGCGGGCCGCATCTACCGCAGGCAGTCGGAGGTGCCCATGGCCCTCCGTGAGAATGACAACTCGCTGCCCCTGCTCGCGGCGCTCATTGCCATGACTGTGGCGCCCAACTTTGGTATCAAGACGACCGAAAAGACCTGCCGTACCGCCCAGGACAAGCACGTGTTCATCCACTCTGCGTCGGTCAACTCGAACAAGCGCGACGTCGGCGGTCCCGAGATGCCGTCGGCGTCGTTCAACCCTGCCGAGAAGCGTCTGTACGCCTTCGGCGAAAAGCACCGCAACGTCGCCCCCGGCGGCACCACTGCCATCACGCAGATCCGCAACGTGACGCGTATCGACCCGCTCACGTACCTGCTGTTTGGTGCTTACGACGTGGCCGTGACGTCGCGCGGTCTCGAGTGCGACCGCTGGCTGCCGATCACGGGCGACCTGCACGCGCTCGACGACGTGCAGCGCCTCAAGACGCTGCTCGACATGTGCATGCTGCGCGTGTACGAAGGTGTGGGCAAGTCGCTCCTGCGCGGCCGCGACGAGCGGCACGCGGCGTCCCGCAGCGTCGTGGACGTGCGCCAGGGCTCGAGCCGCATCCGCGCCGGCCAGACCCTCGACGAGGACAAGGAGAACGAGTCGGACGACGAGGACGACGCCGCAGACACCGTCACGGCCAACGGCGGCCAGCCGGGCGTGAGCGGCACGGCGCGCTTCCAGGCCGAGCTCACGCAGCGCGCCAACCGCAAAGTGGAGCCGCTGTCGGGCGACGAGATCCGCGAGCTGCAGATGCTCACGACCGACGTGGTCAAGATCCTCGAGGCGTACGCGCACGAGCGCGAGGGCTCCAACAGCACGTACTCGAGCAGGCCGGCGACCCCGAGCAACGTGTACCGCCCGCCGCCTGCGAGGGGTGCTGGCGGCGGTGGTGGTGGTGGCGGCGGTGGTGGTGGTGGCGGCGGTGGTGGTGGTGCGAGGTGGTGAGAGGTGGTGAGAGGTGGTGAGAGGTGGTGAGAGGTGGTGAGAGGTGGTGAGAGGTGGTGAGAGGTGGTGAGGAGCATGTGCATGTGTTGAGAGGAGGATAGGATGTCCAGGAGACGCAGCGAGCTCCTGTTATTCCGTTATGGGGCCGGCGTGTCGCCCCCGGCGCTGCTTCATAGATTTGCGCGCTGTGACTAGATGCGACTTTGCCGAGAGCATGTATTTTCTGACCACTGTGGGATGGAGACGCAGGGGTCGTCAGTTGTCCAGTATGAGCAGTCACCGTGCAATACAGAGTCACATCAGTGAGACTCGAGTGTGGCATTCGCACCGACTTGGTGTTACTGGGTCACTGGCCTCGCCTAGTCGCCACGCCCCCATCTCTAGACTTGTTCACAACGACATGTGCTGCGGGCTCATCATACCCACATCCTTCCACGACAGTATGGAAAGAGGCCAAAAGGAGAAAACGACAAGCCACCACATAGCATGCACCAGAATATATCCACCAACCCCCAGCCACCCATCTCCCTCCGGTCCCGCCGTCGGTCCCGGCTGGCGCACGAGCTCAAACCGTCGCCTCCCGCCAGCGACGTCGGCAGCGACAACGTCAATCCTGAGATTCTCTGCGCAACGACGAATCTTCTGGGCGCCACAGTGGGGGTTGCGGTACGGTACGGCCGTGGCCGCGATTTAAACTGCCCGCGTTGCAAAGCTGCAGGCAGTCTTGAACACGTACATACCTTGTCGTCACAACGCAGGTGCCAGGACGCACGAACGCACGCACGCACGCACGCAACGACGATCCATGCCTCGACGACCAAGTTCGAACGCGTTACGACACGACTATCTCGCGCGACGTCTGGCGTCTGGCGACATCGTGTGGAGAGCGACATGCGGGCCTGCGAGGCGGGGGACTTGGCAGGTTGGCGGGGGGTCCGTAATCGCCGGATACCAGCGCAAGACGGGGGAGACACAGGAGTGTTTTGGTGGCATGTGGAACCTGGAAGATCGACGAGATCGACGAGCGAGGGGGCGAGTTGGCGAGGTCGACCACGCGTCCAGCGTCTAGCGAGGATCGCGTGCTGACGACGGGAAGCGCACAGAGCCGCGACGTTGTGCGCGCGCGTGGTGGGTCTGTCGCCGGCGTCTTGGCCTCGACCTGTGGCATCAGTGAATCAAACAATTCAGCACACTTGTACACCTGCCCCCACCGCCGCCGCCTCCGACAAAAACGGAGCGATATGGACAGATAACGTCGGTGGTGGCATGTGGAACCTTCGTGCCAAGGGATCGACAAGGGATCGACGAGGATCGTCACCACGATCGGCCACTGCTCTCTCTCACCTCCATCGCTCGCTGCGGGGACGAACAATGAGAACCGTATTGTTCTATGTCTTGTGCGTGGCGTGTCGCCTCCTTGTCGCCACGCGCTCCACCGGCCCGTGGCCACGGGCACACATCTATTTTGGAACAGCATGGCAAAACCCAAACACGACCAACGCGGTACAATGAATATGGCGTGTCCAAACACCATGGCCATGGTGTGAGTCAGCTGGGAATTGGGGGACGGACCGCTACGAGCGAGGTCAAGGGCCGCAAAAGTGGCAATTGCAGCGCGCAGCGACATGTCTCGCCCCGTGCGACACACTGCGAAACACACAGACTGTGGTCGGACGATGATGGATCCGTGAGGCCTTTGTTTCGTTCGTCCATGTGTCCGTCCTCCCTTCTGTGCGACACTGGAGCGGTCCGCCACTGCCGTCACATTACCCCCACCGCAGTACCGCTGTCGTCGACGCTGTCGCTCAGCCACGAGCCACGGGCCACGAGCCACGAGCCACACGCCACCGTCCGCACCGTCCGCTTCCGAGCGTCGCCACCGGCCACCGGCCACCGGGGCCGGGGCGATCTGGGTCCAAAGTCCAGTCCACTGGCCACACATCCACAGATGTCGTACGCGGCTGGCTGTGTTGGGATCTGGCAGCTGGCGCGTGAATTTGGCGCGTGATCCGATAAGCACACCAAGCGTGCTGTAAGGATCTGGAAGAGCGTGGACTCTGTCGTGTGACCCGACGCCAAACCATAAGCTCGACGCTCGACGGGTTGGACGGGCTGAGAGCATTCGGAAAGATGCGGACGCTAGCAACAGACCGTATACACTGCACTAGACGACGATGTGTGGCACCAACGCTCAATCTCGACTGGCCTGCAGATCACATACCCCCCGCATGTCCTGTCACCGCAGATCTCGCTCGGAGCGGCTGGAGGGCATAGACAGCGCTAAACGAGCCCAAGAGAGAGGGCTGTTGGAAATCGAGGAACATTAACAGAGTGTGTTACGTGTTGGAGCGAGGCACAGCGGTTGCAGTTTGCTGACACATGCTTACCGGAGGCACTTGGCACCGGTGGGGAATGAGCACGAGGAGCAATAGAGTCCAGTCAGCCTGTTCCAACCCGTGCCACTACTGTCTGAACCTGGCAACGGCTCCACCGCTCGGTGCTCGCATGCTCTCGGGCTTGCTCTCGTGTGCTGCGACGACTTGGGGGCAGGGGCATGGGCGGAAGCGTCGCAAGGAGACCAACATGAGACTCAGACTCTGCCAATAACCATAAACCTCGATGCCTAGTTCGCCCTGCCCGGCTCCGCAGTCGTCAAAGCCGGTCAAACGGAGTCGCCGGGCGAGGAGGATGAACTCATCAACCTCTTGCTGCCACGACTCCTCCCCGTGACTAGCTTTGCAAAGGACAGAACATGCACGCACAAACGGAACACGGTCGCCGAGCCCGCTCCGGCCTGGCTCGGCCATTAGAGAGAGAGCGAGAGAGAGGCCAGAATGTGGGGGAGGATGTGATCATCGTATCGGTGGCGGTGCACGTTTGTATTGTCCGAAGCGAGTAGTGGAAAGAGGTTCACCATCCCTACACCGCCATTTGCGCCACGGGGAAAGCAAGCCAGACGGGGACGGTCTGCGCCATGGTCATGCCATGACCGTGGCCCTTGGGCCTAGCCTGCGATGCAAAAAGGCCTCCCGCTGGCGTCTGGAGCGGACCATCACCCCGTTTTAGATGGGGAGGATCAAAGAGAACATAGGGAGAGGAGAGGGAGGGTGTGCCGACGCAAACGCAGCCGAGACACGCGACCACCCACCGAGAATGGCGAGCCCATGTTAAATGGCGCAGAGACGGCACGGGTGGCGGAGAACGGCGGAGAACGGGTGGTACGGTCCGTGTTTTTCTGTTTTGTTTTGTTATTTTGCTGTACACTAACCCTCACGGCACACCCAAAACCCTATGAGCGCTGCATTCCTGGCGGCGCACTGGCATTCCGCAGCGCGCGCGAGAGAGAGAGTTAGAGCGCGCGAGAGGGCGGCGGCAGTGGTCAGCGGCGCCGCCGCCGCCGCAGCCCGAGGAAAGGTGACAGCATCTGCTGGCTGCCGGCCTCGGACACCACACACCCCAGCAACACCGGTCATCGGGCCGTCGGGAGTTGGGAGATACTCTGGCATTCCTCCCAAAGGGGCCGAGGCGATCTCTCTCATCAAATACCAACGACCTCACCCGTCATGTCCGTTCGTACTCTCTCTCTCGTACGGCGGTTCCTCGCTGAAACCCTGCATGGAAAGAAGACCCTGCAGCGTTTCGGTTCCGACTGTCAGAGTGTTCCAGGCGCTTTGCGGCAGAGAGGGCAAGAGGCGACGTGTCGTATGCACACATGTGGGATATGGGGGTGCCAAGAGACGACCGATGACGCGAGAGGGTTGACGGTGTTGTCGCAGTGGAGCCGCCATTTGTTAGAGTAGTGGAAGTGGCCGCCCTGTTGCAGATCACTGCCACGTCCGATCGGCGTCCGCCTTGTGGTGGGAAAACGAGGCGGACGGCGGCGGCGTGGGATGGTTGGCAATGGCAATGGACGGCAAAGCGCAGGTGGCACAGGTGGCACACCCCATGTGCGTCCCCAACACTGCTCTCATGCTCATGTACAGAGGAGGGTGTGCCCAAGTGAGGTGACTCGCGACGCTCCCAGCAGCAAGACCTTGCCCGTGTGCGCGCGAGCCGATCTGACCCGGAGGTGCGATCTTTTCGGAGTCGACGCAGTCAGTCGGTGTCGGATCTCTGTGGACGCGGGCATTGGGATCATGGAGAGGACGACGACGGCAAGAGAAAGATGACGAGAGGACAGACGAACAGGGAGGGGAGATAAAGAGCAAGCAATCCGCAGCATACCGCGAGGAGGGAGAGGGGGGGCGACAGGCGAGAGGGCTGATTGCTGTGTACTATTCCTGGCCGAGCGCGGGGGAGATGACTCACACTGGTACACTGAATTGGGAAGCACATGTGCAATGCAGGCGACCGCCCGAGAGAGGTGTCACTGCTGCTGCTGCGGGCAAGAGGCGCTGGGAGCGGCAACGTTGCGGCGGGGCGGGGGCGGCTGTTTCGCGCGAGTGGACGTCCGTTAGTGTCGTTGTTGGGCCGAACTCGACACGCAAGCATCCCATCGTTTGACATAATTCAATATCAACCGCACACACAACAGAGAGAGAAACAGAGATATCAGCTCTCTCGTCCTCACTCTCACTCACTCTCTCACTCTCTCTCTCTTCTCTTCACCCCACACCCCACCCTCTCATTCCAGCCTCCGTCCACCGCCGTCCACCACACCGCCTGAGGCCTCGGCTTCCCACACAAGACACCTCCACCCCCTCCACCTTGCCTCTATCTCTGTCTTCCTCCCGTTCCTCCTCCACCAACCACTCCTCGCCACCATGGCCGACTCGGCCCCAGAGAAGAAGAAGAGACGTGAGCTCACTTGTGCCAATAGCTGCTGACCCCCGGCCAGGCCAGAACGTTGCATGCGACTCGTGCCGTCTCCGGCGTGTCAAGTGAGTATCCCATCACACAAGCTCCAGGGCACCGCCCCCAAGCGCCCTGCCCCATGTGCAACAACGGCGCCGTCCACTCGCTGACCGGACGCAGGTGTGACATGCTCACACTCCTCACCGTCAACGCCGACCCAGCGCGTCCCACGCCGCCTCTGCATGTCCTCGTGCGCGAGCAGCCAGACGTCTCGTGCTCCAACTGCATCGGAAAGGGCATCCGCTGCACCACCAACCAGATTGTCAACCCTTCCAAGCCCAACAAGGGCGGTCGCCGTATCGAAGAAGCCAAGCGCAAGTATGGAAGCGACGGCGCCGAGATCATTGGCGGCCGCACACCGTCTCCCACGGGTCCAGGTGGCGGTGGTGCAGCAGGCCCAGGTCCGGTCGTAGCCTCGGCGTCGGGCTCGGGCTCGGGCAACGGCCTTGCGCCTCCTCCGATGCATTCCGGATCCAGCACCACTCCGACATACCCACCCACACCCCTGCCCCACATGAACTTTCAGCTGCCACTGCTGGACCCGTCTGCAATGGACGGCGCACCCATGCTCAACCCTCTCGGTGGCGGGACCACCATAGGCGGGTTTATCGGTGGGCCATCGCCGGGATTCATGCCCTTCCACGGGGGTTACGACTTTGCCACTCCAGCACCCCTCCTTCCCTTGGTGCCCCCTCCTGCGACACACAGTGGCCAGAGCCACAGCAACGTCAATGTAAACGATACGTGGGCGTCCTCTACCCAGTTCTCCTTTGATACGATGGGTACCGACATGCACTTTTCATCGGACGGGTTTCAGGCGGCCTGGGATGCCCTTGTCATCCCACCTCCCGGCGGCAGCAGCAGCAGCGCCAGCGCCAACGCTGCCGCCGCGCCCCACCTCGTGCATGTGGCACCACCTCCCGTTGCGCCCGAGCCCGTGTCCCCTGGAGATGGTGCCGGTCTCTCTCCCTCTCCACCCGCGCAGTACCCTCTGATCGACATGGAGTACACCTTTGACCCGCGTACCGACTCGATGGTGCCGCGAAGCGGGTCTGCCACGCCTGGACCCTCGTCGCTGACCACCGCCATGTCGTCTCGTCCCAGTTCACGGTTCTCCGACCCCACGCTGGCCTCCGACGACGAACCACTGGCCGGCGGCAACAACATGACCAACGCTGACCGGTACCGGCTGTATCAAGAATCGTTCACTTCGCCCCTCGACACCGCCCTCGTCAGCCGCAAGCGCACCCGCGAAGAGGACGACTCGGACGGCGGCGTCATTGAAGTCGACCGCAATGGTGACCCGTACGCACTGTGGGCGCCCTCGGAGCGCACCGTCCGTTGGGGTCAGCGCGAAATGGTCGCTGAACGTCTTGCAGACCGTGCTCTCGGCCGTGAACTCTCCCGGCATCTAGTGCGAGTGTATTTTCAAGCGGTGCACCTCACAATGCCGGCGATAAGCCCAGAAGCCTTCTACATGGATTGGCAGAGGGCTGGTGAGAGGTCCGACCGCATGACGCCGGCTCAGGAGACGCTCTGCGCAGTCATGGAGGCGTGGGCAGCACGCTTCTCTGACAACCCCGTGGTGGGTGGCGATACGTGCCGGGATACAGGCTGACACTAGATCCTAGGTCTCGACAAGTCAAAAGCAAACTCCGCACCCAGAGGTATGTCGCGAGGTGGTGGTGAACATGTGGAGAGACGCCTCTGCTGACTCGCCGCCAGTGATCACCGAGGAAGGGCAGGTAAGGTGTTGGACGTTATCACCGGGGGCCCATCTAACGCCCAGTTTCTCGTTGGAACCGCTGCCCGCGCACACTGGGGACGGGCACGACTGCCCGTCTGCCAGGCTCTCCTTGCTCGAGCTCGCAAGCTGATCGACATGCATGGCCTCCTGCGCGTACCGTCCGTGACGGGCGTGCAGGCCCTGTCGCTCTACTCGCAGCTCCAGCACATGTCCGATACCCAAGATAACCTGTTAGAAACAGAAATGGAGAGTACGTATGCTGATGACTCTTGAACATTGGTGCTCTTGTGGCTGACGTGGCCGCAGATGAGATGATCCACGCGTCCATCATCAACCAGATGCAGCGACTCGGTATGGGCTGGAGCAGTGACTCGTTCCACAAGCCAACGTCCTCTACCGAACTGCAGACTGGCAGGACGCCCATGCCACACGACGCTGCGGCCTTTAGCGTTGCCCAGGAGCGTATCAAGCAGAGGAGGCTGTTCTGGACCATTGTCGTGGCCGATGCGTTCTGGGCAGCAGGGTCCGGGGCAGAGCCCAAGGTGTAAGTTGTGTGACTGTGTAGCTAGCATCGGCATCTGACGGTCCACACACAGCCCCGACGAAGACGTCGAGACGTCTGGCGCGTGGCTCCTCAACATTGACGAAACGCTCGGGCCGTCGACGTTCAAGGCCCTGTCGTTTTTCATGAATGTGTACCACCAAGCTGCTGTCCTGGGGCGTTCCATCGCCCGCAAACTGTCCGTCCCAGCTCGTCGCCCAGGCAGCATCGACGTGCGAGACTTTTGCAACCGCGTCCGCGGTTATTGGCGAGAGATTGTAGGTTACCAGTGTCAGTTGAACTGCGTTGACCCACGCAGCGTGACCTCTACCGCAACCTCAACGTTCGCTCGGAAGAGTACCTGTCCATGTGCGAACACGAGGTGCTGGGCTTCTCTCCCATTCACGTGAGTTACACATACCGCTGTGTGTTTATGTCACTGACACCTCTCAGCACCTTTCCAGCCTCCGCAGCTCGTGCTGTTTCCTCCTCTTGATCCTCCACCAGCAGGTCGACGAGCAGCTCAAGTTTCGCAAGACGTTGAAGGGAGCATATGTCCGCTCCGACTCGTCGCCCGACTCGGCTCCGCAGGCGGACCACCTCCAGCTGCTGGAGGACCTGCACTTCCAGAGTGTCGACTCGACACTCACAATCGCCCGTGCCACGGTGCCACTCTTGAGTGTTAGTTTTGCTGCCCGTTTCGCCAAGCTGACAACCAGACTCTGCACCCCATGGGAGTGATGCAGGGCGCAGCCATGATGCTGCGCTGCTGCCTGGCCACGACCCAGTTCCTTGCCGTAGGTCGTCTATATACAAGCAAGGTGTATTATCTGCTGACCTGACAGGAAATTCCTACCAACGAGCAAGGGTATCCCAGCACCACTGTGAGTATTATTTATTTATTTCATTTTGTGCTTTTCGCGTTGCTGACAATCTGAAAGACTGGCGGAAACGGGTGGACGTGGGACGTCAAGCAGCAAGAGGTCCAAGTTTGCGTCGAGTCGCTGTACCAAATGGTGAGGTGTGCTTGAGGTCCCCACAGTCAACTCTCAATGCTGACTGCCACCAGGGATGGGCGTGGGCCGACGTCGCAGAAGTCATCGACCGCGTCATGGTCACCATGGAGCGTCTGCACCCGACCGCGGCCGAGTTTGCCACCTTTGCCGAGGCTTCAAAGCCTGCGTCGTTTGGCCAGGTGGCGGCGCAGCGCCAGCGCGAGCTGGACAGGGACACGAACGCCGTCGACGCTGCACTCCGGCTGTGGCCACCACTGTACGTCCCCTTGTGCCTTGGTTTACCCCCCCCCCCCCCCCCCCCCCAGCGTGCTTGCTAACCATGTCAGCTCGGTACCCACCGTTGTCGGTGCATGGAGCCGCAACGCCATCCTCGAATCGCCCAACGGGTCGTTTGAGCGTAGCGAGACAACACCCAGGCTGGAAGCGCGCGCGATGCAGCGCGTGATCGACAGCTATGGCGCCAAGGAGCGACTCGAGGCCGCCAACGGCACCATGAACGGCACGCTTCCCCTCCGCACCTCCGCCGCTGCCGCCACCGCTGCCGCCACCGCTGCCGCCGCCGCCACGGTCTCCACGGTCCCCACAGACTCAATGTCCATGTCCAGTGGCAGCGTCGGGACCACGCCCGCGTCAGACGACGGGACGACAGACTATACCAAGGGCCGGGCCCGGCCGCTGGGCATGACCCCGGCCATGATGTGGGCGCTGGAGCGCCCGGCGCTCGACCACGTCGCGGCGACCGAGGTGGCCGCGCGGCGTATCCAGCGGTCACAGGTGTCGCGGTCCACGACACCCAGTTTGCCGGTCATCGTCCCGCGGGCGGCCGACGAGAGCAGCAGCGGCGTGAGTGTTGGTATGGGTGGGGGCGTCGGCGTCGGTGTGGGTATGGCGCTGGGCGCAGAGATAGAGTCGTTTCTCGAAAGTCTTGTATCATCAGAATAAAAAAAAAAAACAGCAGGCCCCCAAGAGTCGCGTTAACAGTCGAGAGTAGTGTTTTATCTGTGTAAACTGTGTAGCTGTATGGAAATGTGAATTGTGTTCTCTCTACGTTGCCTCGACTTGCTCTGCTTGCTGTCCACAACAAAAAAAATCGGTGCATCTGTCACTCGGTACACGCCCGGCCTCGCTGGCCGCTGTCCTGTTCCCTCGTCTCTTCCCTTCGCTCCTTTTACGCGGAAACAGCAAACTCGAGCCTGTTGCCAGCATAGTCGCGCGCAAAGAAACGCGACGGGTACTCGACACCCTGTGCACCCCTGTCAGTCACCCCGACGTTTCTTTTTTCTGCCCACCTTTGCGCCCGAGTTCTCGGCGCCGGGGGCATCGCAGTCGGTCGCGGCGCCGAGCACGCCCGTGGCCTTGTGCTCGAATATCCGCTTCTGGAGGGCCAGCAGGGCCTCGGGCGTCTTGAGGGAGAAGCAAGGGTGGTTGCGGCCGGCAGTGTCGACGGGGCCAAAGGAGATGTGTACCTGCGCGCGCGGGGGTGTGAGTCAAGGATGTGCGGACAGACACGGTGGCCGAGTCATGGAGTCACGGAGTCGAGGGGGCAGTGGTGACAGGTGAGAGGGGTAATGAGTGTGATAGGGGGTGAGGTTGGGCAGGGGACAGATACCCCACCCCCCCGGACCCCCGCCGCGACACGAAATCAGGACGCAGGAGGCATGTGTGTACGCACTTGTTGACCGGTCGTGCCGACGCTGAACCTGTAACATGTGTCAGTCCGGGACAGCGGAACGGCGGGTGGGAGGAGAATGACAAAAGGAGAGGCAAGAGGCAGAGACGAGAGGCTGGCGCGGGACGTTGTTGGCAACACAACACACCACAACAATCACGCTCTCCCTTCCCCTCCCCTCTCCCTTCCCTTCCCCTCCTCCACCGACACACGCACCATCGCAGGACATCCCTCTGGAGCGCGGGGACGGGGTCGTTGTAGAAGCCCAGGACGTTGCCGTAAAACTCCTCGGCGGCGGGCAGGGTGCCCTCGGGCACCGAGAGGTTGATGTGCTGGATGGCGTACGGGGTGTAGTCCATTGTGGCTATGTGATGGAATGTGAGTGAGTGAGGTGAGTGAATGAGGTGAGTGAGCGAGTGGGTGATTGGTAACGCGCTGCCGGAGATAGGGTGTGTGTGGGGGGAGAGGAATGTGGGGGGGTGGGGGAGACTCGGACGGGCCGGTCCGGCGGGCCGAACGAGGGATGGTTTATAATAGCCTCCTAATAGAAATGGGCCGCTTGGTGGCCGATGTTGTTATCGGGATTCATGCCCGTTTCTAATCAGATTGATAATCGGGTCATGGCTCCGTCACCCGCAGCCTGCAAGCTATAGATAGACGCGGCAGTCCACGACAGATGGATACGTTTGCAGTGGTCGACCTCTCGGTGATGTCCTCCGGCATTGACGGGAATCAACACTGTCGTCCTCGGCCAACCTCACGATCTCCCCCGAGTAGCCAGCGACGACAACACGGCATTTGGGCAGTGCCAAGGTGGCGACACGCCACACACGACACCACATGCGGTCGGGGTGGAGCCGACGTGCTTAAACCAAAAGTGGACATGGAGGCTGTGTCAGACAGACTCGAAGTGGACGTTTCTTTTCACCCAGCAGCATCTGCGAAAGAGGGGATAAACCAGACAAGGGAGTCACCTGCACCTGCGCGAAAAGTTGGAAGCTGAAGGCCGAGTCATCCACTGGCCACTGGCCACTGGCCACTGAGTCGACTCGCTCTCCGCTTTCCTCGGACACGGCCTGGCAGCGCTGGCCGTGTCTCCGGGTTTCGCGGAGGGACCGTCGCCAGAAGCTGGAAAGCTTGGCTTTGTTATGGTCCCCCGGGTGGTTCCCAGAGGCCAGAGATTGATTCCCGAGCCCACACGAAACCCACAAACCTGTTCTTCGGGACGCTGCGACGTATGTACGTCGAGGCGACCGCATTACAGGCTCTGTTCCACAGGGTGTGCGACAAGGGGAACCGACGACGGAAGCGAGGTCGCGGGGGGGGAGGGTGGTCTGCCTTTATGCTGTTGACCTGTCGCTCCATGGGACAGTGCTTGACGTCACTCTTGGGGGGTGCGGGTGCGGGTTTGCATCCGAACCTGATTTTTCATGCTTATTCCTCCTGGATGAGACACACAGCCGCCGAGAGTGGCACCCACCCCCGCTGGCCGCTGGCTGGCGGACGGGACGTACGAAGTCGTGTCTGGAATGCGATGCCAGAGAGGCGGTGGTGCGGCCCGCTGCGTGGTCCACGAGTTCACGTACACCCCACTCACTCCAACATGAGCACCACTGTACCGCCTCGAGAGTTTTGGCAGTGCATTCGTTCAACGCTCGCAATGTTCGGGCACGGGGTGGGCTCCATGTTTAAGATGCTTCTAGCCTTCTGGTGTGCACGTCGGAGGGATGGCAGCCGAGTAAGCGACCGCGAGCTTGCCGCCCCCCTGTGTTGGTCCTGTTGTGGTCGTCCGTGTCGGCCAGGCACAGAACCATTCCACCGCGCACGTTGAACGTGTACAGATCCAGTGCCGTGTGCTTCGTTCGGGGAAGGCAGCAACGGCGAGAAGCATAAGGTTGGACGCCGTCACAACCGCCAGTCCCCTGCTGCCGTACACTTGGCGCACCGAGACGGCCGCTCAGGTCTCAAACGGCGACGACAGGAGCAGCCGAGACAGATGTTGTCACCTCCTCGTGTGCATTGTCGGAATCTGGGGCAGGCAGGGTACGTGTATGACATATGACACGCACAGGTGACACACCCCCGACGCAGGACCTGGACGTGTACGGCAGCAAGCAATCCTCTCGCTCGGATGTGTAGAGTGCGTGTGTCATGGGGTCGATCGGCCGTAGGTGGGCTTTTGCCTCCGCCGGCGCGGGAACGCGAATGACCACAACCTCCAGTACTCTTGCCAGGCAGGCATCCAGAGGCACCGCAGTACAAAGTCGGCGCACCACGAGCGGACGTGCGTTGGTGCGCAAAGGCCTGACATACCTGAACAAAGGAAATCATGGATCCAAGGGACATGGCTTCTCTGGGTCTCTGGGTCGCTGGGTTCGGCGGGCAAGGGGCAGTGACCGGTGGACGGGATATCCATCTTGTGACGCCGGCTGGGACACTACTCGCTACACTCGTTCGGATAGGTCACAACAGGGTTTGTGCCAAGGCTGATATAATCTTGGAACAAAGCGCCCATGGCGCGTGCACAACCCCACTTGCCACTCATCCACTCCTCGCACCAACTGATGGCATCTGGGAACACCAGCTATCGTGCTGCTTGACTTGTTGGCCACACCGCTGCTGGAAACGGAAACCGCAACGGCAAACACGGCAGCTCGCCCGGCATTTTGCTTTCCCTCGTTTTCTGTCACCACCGCGCACCTACCAACCGTCCACGCCTCGCTGACTATTCGCCCTTCCCCCCCCAAACAACCCCCTCTCTCCACAACCTTACCGCCAGACACCTGTCCTAAAACGACTCGCATAACCCAGAACACGCACGACGGGGCGCCGCGACTCGCCAAACTCAAGCGGCAGAGCGTCCCGAACCCGCCATCGACATTGGTCACGTCGTCGTCGTCGCAGGTCGAGGCCGACATTCCGAGAGAGCTCGGCTTGTCGGCCATGTTTGTCCTCACAGCCGAGTGGAATGTAAGTGGGCGTGTGGGGATCGTGATGAGGCTTGGGCTTTGGGTTTGGGCTTTGGTTGAGTGGGTAGGTCGAGGCAGCTGGGCAACGCACTTGGGGGAGCGTCAGCCAGGGGTGGACCACCACCACAACCATCAGTGGCCCCAGCACGGTTCACCGTCACTGTACTGTCGAGGCCGACCAGCGAGCAGTAATCCACGTTCTCACCGGTCGCAATGTCAGGTGGTGGGCGATCGGCCTCCACAACGCCTTGCCTTGGCCCGGAGATTGCGGAGTATTACAGAATGATCCGACAACCACGGACCTCGATAGCCTTTGGACATGGTCATGCGCCATAAACCTCCACCAGTGGGTGTGAATATCGGGCACAACATGGTGTGAGGGGGGCTGTGGATCCTCGCAGTTCAGCTCCTCGTGACGAACCAAGCGAGCCACACCCACCTGCAGTTGCAAACACCCTCGCCTGGGCGCTTACATGCCCATGTGACGTCTTAGTTTGGCGGGGATGGCGACTGGCCTTCCACCCTCAGTGGTCCCCTTTTGGCATGTCGAAGCGCAGCGGCGAACCAACACCCTGCGCTATACAGCCGATACCAGTGCTATTTCTGCTTGCTCCCCGCCACAGCGTCTGCTCCCCAAACCCAATCTCCGCCACTGAACAGCCCCTATCGGGCTGCCGAGCGGTGCGGAGTGAGGCGTGGTTGCCGATCTGCCACCTTGTTCCCATGCCATACCTGCCCAGCCTTGTTCTTGTTCGCTGGTATCCATTCTTCCCCTGCTCCATGCTCCATGCTCATTTTCCAATGACCCGCTGACATCCGCCAGGCGCTCATCACGTACGCGTCCGAGAGCGTCCAGGAGATCCTCGGCTACGAGACGTACGAGCTGCGCGGCAAGACGAGCTACCTCATCTTCCACCCGGACGAGATCATGGCGCTCAAGGAGGCTCATTAGTGAGTTTTCAGACCGGGGTTTTACAGGCCACAGGCCACAGGCACTTTGGTCGTGTGGCAGGGGTAGTGAGAGGTGAGACGCGAGATTGCAGGCGACGTTCTGGGTGCTGGTCATGCGTCGTGGAGGGGTCGGCCAAAAATATCCCCAGAATGTGCGTTGAGGGCCGACCTAACACGGGTCGAAGTGGTCAGAGGGAAACTCGACATGACCTGTGTCACAAGCCAGTTTGTATGGAAGATGCTCGCCCGCGGGAACCCCTCGTCGGCATTTATGGCAGCACGATCTTGTCTCCAAACGGAGTCGCTGGGTGAAGGTAGGAGGGAGGTCCTTGCGGCCGTCGTTCGCACCCACCTTTAATGTTTTCGGTATTCATCGAGAACAACTGCCTCTTGCTTTCTTCGAGACCCCATTGGCAGTGTTTCTGGCGCAGCCAGTCCCCTCCTGGCTGCGAATCCTCCTCGTTTTTTATTTCTTTTTTTTATGATTATTGAGTGAAAACCAAACTTATTCACCCCAGCAACGCCCTCGTGCAACAAAAAGTGGGGTGTACAATGTTTCTACGCCTGTTACATCAACAAGGATTTTACGTCGACTGCGCCGTCACCTAGTAAGTAGACTGGAGGTAGTGTTTTATTGACCCCCCTCCCAGCTCGACGGTGTACAACCTTATTGTCGGGACCCTCACGCGCGCAGTCAATGGCCCCAACCACTCTCGTGAGCCTCTTCCGCTGCAACCAAGTGCGATGTAAAACTATATCCCGCTTAGAAATCGTGACTCGGGCTAACGAGCGCAGGCCTCGCGGCGACGGCGCGTGAAGTCGTAGAACTCCGAGGCGGCCGCCGGCTGTCTGTAAGTCTTGGAATTGCCGTGTCTCTACCCTGTTCACACCCCAACCGCGTATTTGCTCTCCGGCAACTAACCGCTCCAGAATCTAGATCCCTGGTCGAGCCCGCGTCTGCAATACCCTGGCGAGGTACCGCCGTGGATGCTCGACCCCGAGAGCGAGTGGCCACGGCCCGAACCGATCCACCGCACATTGTTCCTGCTGGACAGGTTTACGGATGCCGTGCGAATAATGTTTGCGTCAAACGAGCTGATCGTTGGCGAATCCGATGCTGTGAGTTGAGTGGTGGAGTGTGTGTGGCTCCCTGGTCTCGACCTAGAACCCACCCTAGGCCATCGCTCTCGTCCAGTCTGTGCGGCTGCTTGTCGAGCCGTACCGTACGGTATACCCCTATGGCCATTTCCAGTAAAAACCGAACTCCACTGACACGTCCGTCAGCTCAAGGACCAGTCGTTCTACTGCATCGTCCTCCCGAGCGAGCGTGCCAAGGTCCGCCAGTGGGTCGAGTCATCCAAGACGTGGACGCCGATCGTGTACGACAATGAGCGGACAGGCGGGTACGGGTACTTGTCCTTTCACGTTCTGAGAGTAAGCGTCTCGTTTGACAGGTTCGGTCCCGCTCGCCACGGTCACCAGAGTTGAGAGTGGCAGGTGGTAAGCTGCAGACGTGCAGTCGACAGTCGACAGCATGCCAGCCTTCACCGTGGTCGGCGCTCCAGCATGCTTTGCAGTAGCTGACCTCACACTTCTTCCAGGTACCCCAAATTTTACCTGCCGGCGAGCCGCTGCCACCTACAACCGACGAGCAAGTCATCGGCATGGCTGGCCAAGAGCTGATCCCCATCGAGGGGATCTTTACTGCATGCAGCGACGGGATCGCGTGCGTTATCGGGCCCCTGCCAAGGGAAGAGGTGTGATCTGGCGCACAGCGAACGGGCGAGCCGAGGACGCCGGCTGCGCCTGGCAAGTGCGAACCGCGGAGCGGCTGGGACCGGGGCGCGTGCAGCCACGTCTCGTGGCTGAAAAGATGGACAGGCGCACAATGCCACGCCAAGTGGACTGTGCGCCAACCGCACTTAGCGCTGCCAATACGGACACTGGATACGCTGGTGGCACTGCGAGAACTTGATGGGTGGCGGGTGGAAGGGCACGGGGGGGGGGGTATAAGAGGACAATGGTTGCGTCGTGTTGTGACCGAAACCCCGTTACGCGACAGAGACGGGGCTGGGACGATCTGGGTTGTACAAGGACACTGTATCTGTTAACATTTTGCATTCTTTCTCTGCTTTCTGTGGTATTGACGCTGCCGTATATCTCGTATTTGCGGCGATTTTTGCCACTTTTTCCACCCCAAGCTTCCCTCTAACAAGCATGTACATACCCTTCGGCAGTCTCTATGAAGGCAAGCACGGGCGTGTGGCGTGCAGTTGTTGTCGAGCGCGACCGCCGCATTGACCGTGAAGCTGTCTTGCGCTTGGCCGCACACGCTAAAGCGAATCTGGAAAGAGCATCACAATCGAGTGATGTAGTTGAAAGACGACGAGGACGCCATGCGAGCCCCACCTTTTGAATCAAGCGGCGACAAGACTCTGCCACAACAGGCGCGTCTAATGCGTTCGTTGAGACTGGTACGGATGTGCATCACGCTGCCACTATCGTACTGTGCCACAACCACCATCGGCACCATCGACCACAGCTCTCGCACAGCCGAGGCTGTTATCCGATATGGGCCCATACGTCAACGCGCGTCAACTTTTTTGGGCCGAGGCCGAGGTTGCAGGTCCCCTTCGGTGTGGGGCCATGTGTCGGATCTGGCAAACTGGCCGAGCCAGCGACGAGATTGCGTAATCCTCCGGCCTCCGAAGTTTCTTGGCTCTCGGGGGTCATATCTCATGTTGCTATCGCGCATGAAATAGCCACTTGGCCTCTTTTAACCTCTTCGTCTTGCGTGCACGAGGGGATGGACAGGAGAGCGTCAATGCGGAAGTGCGAGTCGGTGGGGCGGTGCTGTGTGAGTAGAAGGGACGTGGTGAGTGAGGCTGTGGCTGAATGTGAGTGTCCGTTATCGCGTGCGCCCAGGCGTTGTTCTCCTGGCGGCTGCTTGTTTATGATATCCAGGCCACTCGAATGGTACTGTCAACATGTCAGAGCGATCAGAGCGTTGGAGAAGAGTAGATGGAACATGCTGGATGTTGTGGTATGGCATGTGGGTAACGAGGAGAGTGTTAACAACTTCGGATCCGATGGGGTGGACTACTCTTGTGCTCTCACCGTACGGCCATTTCCCCCTCACTTTCCCACGGGTGCCCCCCCCTCTTGTGGCAACCGCCGCTTCCGAGGGGTATTCTCCCACGGTGTCCCTCGATGGCCGTCGGCCTCGCCGTGCGCGCGATGGGCCGACTGTTGCTTGCTGCTGCCCCGGTGGTGGTGGCTCTGTTCTAATCGACCCGTCTCACCCATTTTTATTCTTTCCTCCACGACTAGAACACAAAGCATTTGGGTGCGTGTATAGTGTCCGTGTGTCTGGCAGTCGGTCGTCTCTTATCCCTTTCCTCCACCTCCTTTCTACCTTATTTTTCTACCATCTTATCGACACATTGTTGGGCCTCGCCTTCTCACCCTTCCAACTGGACACACATCTCGGACCCGCCGTCGGTTCCAGCCGCCGACAGCGCCAGTGCAACCGCCGCAACCCCCCACCCCCCACACAACTCGTCCCATCGACTCCTTTTTGCTCGCTTTTGCTTTTGCCTGCGCTTTCTGTGTGACGCCACTGCCGCTCTCTGCCGAGTCCTGACACTGCGCTTCCGTCAGCGTGCCGCAAAAGGACGCATCTCCACGCCCCCCCCGACTTCAACATCGTCGGTCGTCCACCACACTCCCCCTTGCCCGTCCACCACATCCACCACCATGCAGGAACCCACCCCACCCTACGAGGACATTCTGGAGGACGAGACTCTGGCTCCCCTCAAGCGTAACCATGCGTGTCTCCAGGTGAGTCGTCCTCTTGTCTTGGGGCCGTGGAGCCACTGCCGGTTTCGGTACCGATTTCCACGCCCCGATAACAATGTGACGTGAGTCAGCAACTGACCCCCATGTCCCTCAGTGCAAGAAGCGCAAGGTCAAGTGCGACGCTGTCCGTCCAACCTGTAACCCATGCATGCGCTCGCACGCGCACGCCCTGCGGTCCGCGCAGCGTAACAAGAGCCGCCCACCTCCTCTCGTGTGCTCATACACCGAGGGCGACGAGGAGGAACTGCCGGACGATGCCGGCATTGTGGTTGATGCCGAGCGCAAGAGGTCGTCGGCAGCAAGTGTTGCCGGGGGTGCGAAGCGAGCAGCTGTGGGCGACAAGATGGGCCGCGAACGCGACCGTCGTGCCGTCGAGGACAAGGACACACTAAAGGCGCGCATTGCCGAGCTCGAGGCGCGTATTGCCGCACTCACCACCAACGACACGGCCGCAACCGGTCAAAAGCAGTTCCCCACGCCTGAGAGCAGCATTGCGGGCTTCACCTCGACCAACCCTACCAACAACTGGAACATGCCCATGAACGCGTTCCCTGTCCCACCGCCCACACTCAACTCGGAGCCTTCGTATGACGCGCCGTTCGTGTCCGTCGAGACCGGCGCGCCAGGCCAGTTCCAGTCGTTTGACTTCTCCAACCTGCTCATCATGCCCAACCACTGGCCCAAGAACCTGCCGTCGCCGGCCGTGCTCGAGCACCTCATCGACACGTTCTACCAGTGCGAGCCCCAGTTCAGCCGCATCGTCCACCGCGGAACGCTGCTTGCGCGTCTGAAGATGCCGCCCACCGGCGACGGGTTCCCGTTCGCTGGTCTCCTCCACGCCATCTGTGCTGCTGCTGCCCCACATACTGCATGGACCAGCTCGCGTGCACCCGCCGAGCTCGAGGACCTGCGTAACCGCCACATCAAACTGGGCATGGACCTCGAGCTGAGCGAGGACTTTGCTTCCGCACAGACCGAGGCGGCCGAGCGCTGCATTCGTCACGGCACTGTCATGTGTATGATGGGTGGCGGCCAGTTTGTGTTCGACGTCACACGTGCGCAGTTGATCCTCACCATCTCGTACCTCAACCAGGGCATGGCCCTGCGCGCGTGGATGGTGTCGGGCTCACCGGCGCGTCTCATCAAGCTGCTCGAAATCACCAACCGCAACCGCCGCAAGACGGACAAGCCCGCCATGATGAGCCCACCCAAGACGGACGTGGAGCGCGAGGAGCGGCTCGCGACTGTCTGGGTCGCCTTCTTGCTGGATTCGTGCTTTTCGGCCAATTCGGCATGGGCGCCCAGTCTCGATCTTGACGATATCCGCGTGCCCCTGCCAGCGAGCAGCGACGAGTTTTTGCAAAAGTTTGACAACTCGGGCTACGTCAAGCCCAACCCGCAGACGGCGCACGACCCGGACCTCTTGGTCAACCACCCGGTCCCGGACCAGTTTGTGTTTGTGGTCAAGTGTGAGTGGAAAAGAAAAGGACCGTGAACAAACAGCTGCTGATGTTACCCCGCAGCCACAATCCTTCTTGCCAGGGTCGCAAAGTGGATTCGAGAGTGGCAGCAGCGCGTGATCCAGCCGGGCGACGAAATGAAGGGATTCCAGAGCCCCTCGTTTGTCAAGCTCAACGGCGAAATCGCGTCATTCCAGTAAGTACCATCATGCCACAAGAGGTCCAGGTTTCTGACATCTCCTCCAGGATGAGCCTGCCGGCGTCTCTGAAGAACATTTACCGCCTGGTCGATGCCGGCGGCAACAGCACCTTCAATGCCGAGCTCATCAGCATCCACCTGTATCCCAACCTGTCGCTGTTGCTGCTCCACGAGCTGTTTGTCGACTGGAAAGGTCCCGAGACACCGTCGCTGCGCCAGATGCAGACGGCATTCGAGGCCGTTGTGGGCTTCATCCACCTGGTCCCGTCGCAGATGGACGTGTCGCACATGATCAACCCGCTCATTGCCTTTTCGCTGTTCAACGTCGGCAAGATGGTCAACCGCTTCATCATCCGTGCCAAGGAACAGGAGCAGTATGCGCTCGCCATGCGGTGGAACACGGACCTCATGGCCGTCGTCAACCTGCTGGAGCGGTACGGCGCCAAGCACGCGCTCGGCCACCACCTCGTCCAGTTCCTCAGCAACTATCAGAAACTGTACGAGAGCGGCGTCCTCCTCGAGCTGGACTGTGCCGGCGGCGACGCCAACTACAACACTCCCACGCACAACGTCGCCTCAGCATGCGAGGTTCCCGAGTCGTCGACGCGCTCGTCGGCCGCGTCCGCGTCGGGCGGCACCACGTCCGCGAGCCCCGCAGTCAACTCGGTCGGCCAGACGCCCGACAGCAGCATCAACACCGACAGCATGGACGGCCGCGCGTTCGGTATGGGCAGCCGCAACGGCAACGGCGGGGGTAGCGGCATGGGCGCCGGCGCGTTCTCGGGCGCCGGCGGCGCAATGTCCAACGGGTTCGGCGACGCGACGCTGCCCGTCTTTGGATCCCAGACGTCGCCGACGTTTGACCCGTCGCTCCTCGACTTCCTGGACCCGCTCGCGGCGGCCCAGGTCTCGGCCGCACTGGACAGCGCGTCAAAGGACCCGAATTACCTGCCCGACCTGTTTGCCGGGTTGACCGACACGACGTCGTTCAACTGGAACACGCAGCCGGGCGCGTGAGCCACGAGAATGAGGACCACGGCCCTGAGCGAGGGCAAGAGGAGGGGGGCTTTGTGAACGACGGTTTGTCGACAACGCACAGACGCCAAGACGGCCTAGAACCCAATCGTTATTCCGGCAGTAATGTGGCCCCCTCCGGACTTGGCAGACAACGACCGAGGAATGTGCCAGGAGACACTGGGGCATTTGCCTGAGTGAGTGGCATTTGCCTGAGTGGCAGCCAAATACGTTCCCAGGGGCCCCGACAGGTGACCGAGGGAGGGAGGGAGGGAGGGAGGGAGGGAGGGAGGCAAAGACGTACGAGTAAGGCGAGGAGCGTCTGGGGCAAGGCAGTCCATCCACTCCATCCGCGAGCCAGAGATCCCAGAGAGCCAGAGAGGGTCGAGGGGACAGACTAGAAAAAATCACCATTTACTTCTTGTGTACTGTAACGCTTTTTTTGTTCTGAATTGTATTTATTTCTTCGCAGCAGGCTGTACCCTTTGTTTGTCTACCCTTTCGCAACAGTAACGATGGTGCATACAGTACAGTACATTGCCGGGATGTGCGGCGCGGACGTGCTGGCGCCGACTCGCGACTAACCTGCCGAGCCGAGGGGGACCTGCTGCTGACTAACCACCACCGACAAACAATCACACGCAGGGAGTGAGGGTGTGTGTCTGTGTCTGTCTCATTCCATGATGAATGCGGGGGGGAGGGAGGGGAGGGGGGCACACGGGATAAAGATGTTGCGCAGCGATGGGTTTGTGGTAAACTGTGACCGGACCGAGTCTGGTCTGGCCATGAGGGGCATATCGGGAACACAGGGTGCTTGCGTGGCCCGTAGTTGGTCGCTGTGCCTGCTCCGAAAGTCCGTGACGCCTGAACGACGAAGGCGAGAGAGAGGAGGGGGGGGGGGGGGGGGGGACACCGAGAATGAGATGTGGCAGGGAGCGAACGAGAACGAGAACGGACGGTTCGTGCGGCGCTCACGGCCCGGAGAGAGGCCAACGTTGAGAGGATTTGCAAGTGCAGTGGCACACCAGGAGCTGCAGGTGAACTCCATGGTCGTCCAGCGGTGTGCAAACAGCGACACCGGCGACACCGGCGCGATTGTCGTGCGGGGGCGTGGAGCAACGTTGTCGCTATCTATCAACCAACATTCCCCACTCCCCTCGTCGTCAGTGCCACTCGGCACGCTAGAGCAGGGCGTGACATAGAACTGGTTCAGGCGCGATCAGGCGGCGAGTGGGGTCTCCCCGATCTCGCTCCTGCCTTTTGCCTGATTTTCAAAATCGACTGTTCGGCGGCATGAATCCCAACATGCCGCCTACACCCAGACCCTACACTCTGCCTTGGCCCTACTACACCCTCTCCGGGCGTCGCCTTGCGCCTTGCAGCGTACTCTGTAGTACGGGGCATGTCTCCCCCGCGTGGCACCGATAACAGACAGCTGACAGCCGGACTACCGCGCTGAGTCACGGCGATGTGTCACGGACACGACGAGCAGGACGCCGGCGCAAGGTCTCCCTCCACGAGGGGGCAGGTCAGGCGGCGGACGCCCGCCGCCCGCCGGTGTGATTTACCTCACGAGGGTGACGGCAAGGGTGAGGGCGACGGCGATCGCCAGCTCAGTCGCCGGCCCGGTGTGGCCCCCGCGTGGGTCGGCGATTGGCGATTCGTGGGCGGCGATCGCATGCCCGAGGTAGAAGGTTGCAATTACTGGGCCCGACGCAGAGCGAGGCAGAGCGGGGCAGAGCGGGGCAGAGCGAGGCAGAGCGAGGCAGAGGCCATGCGCAGCCGGCGTAGCGCTGTGGCACTCGTGAGCGCCGGTGTGGGCGACTCTTTCTGGAATGTAATGTGAGTTGAACGAGAAACCAGGGGCTGGACCCGACACCGACACCCACACGACCTGAACATTGACCCGGTGACCTCTTGTGCCAAGCGTTTCCAGCATGCCATGGTAAACAAGAGACGAGACAAACGGACGTGCCCTCTGACATGGCAGCTGCATAGCCGAGACCGAGACCGTCCCGGGGTCCACTGTGGTGGGCCACGGGGCGCGGGCTTGGCGAAACGATGCGTCACCTGGCGCGCAGCCAGAGTAGCTGCCACCTACTGCTGCTGCTACTGCAGAGTCACCGGCTGTCCTTTCTGTGTTTTCCCGAAGGTACGAAGCGAAGGAAGGGTACGTGGAGACCAGGATGGCGCTCTGGGTAGTGACTGTTCCCGAACGCGCCATGGTGAGATGCCTCGGTCTCGTGCGCAGGAGACGACAGCCCCAGCTGACGTGGTGCATGATGCCATGCCACCAGGAGCCACGGGGGGTGGCCACCGCCGCCGCGGCTCGCTTGGAAAAGCCACGTCGTGGTGTCCAGCCCAGCCCTTCCCAGGCTGTGAACCAGAGTGTGTAAAATAAGAAACGTTTTCCCGCGTCAGTTCAGCGCTGCTGATCGTGGTGCTGGTGCTGGTGGTGGTGGTGCTGCTGCTGCTGAGCCTTGATCATTTCCTTGACCTCTGCCAGAATGGCCGTTTGTCTCCGAAGCGACAGCAATACGCCACCGCCACCGACGGGGTTAGTAAGGGGGTAGTGCAGCGTCTGCCGCGTCTGGTACAGCGCATGAGCTTGTGGGAGTGCTTGCGAGGGGGGCAGGAGCAGGGGGTGCAGGCGGGCAGGTACGCGAAGAGAACGCAGTCGGCACATGGGTACGCGGGGTACGTGGTTCTCGTCACATGGCATTCGTTGTGTGTGTGTGCTGGAACTGGAATGGCCGATGGAGAAAACGACATGACGTTTGTGGCAATTCCCGTTGTTGATGGCCAGTTTATACAAATTCCAACATGTTGGAACGAGGGCGGTGTGCCCTTGTTATCTCCTGGATGATCCCCCGCGCGCTGCGGCTCTGAAGGGTGTCGTTTCCCAACGGACATACTGGCGGCGGCGGGGGACGACGAGGGGACACGAAGGGGGGGGGGGGTATCTTTGATCCTGAGGTGCCGTGGCGCAGGCGGCACTGACGTTTGCGTGGGACGTCAAGAGCGTCAGCAACACATGTCAGTGAGAGTTTGCGTGTCGATGGTGAGGTGTCCCCCCGCCTCCCCTGGAAGCAGTCTCTCCCCCCCTGTACCTTTGTCGTCTACACCCAAACGTCTTCCTATGCCGCGACCCAACACCCGCTCGGCAGACTGCGAGACCCACCTGCTGCATACAGTGTGGCGCGCGCCGTTTGCCTGCCCCGCAAGACCTGCCAGACCCGCCGTGCCCGCCACTCTGAGCGCCACAAGGCGTCCTCTTCCTGCGTCGTCCCGCCGGGCGACTGCCCACAGATCCAAGACATGTACCACCGGCACACAGTTATGCCGAGGTGCACACCCCCTCGTTCGGCACTTTGGCGGCGGCAGTGCCCTCTGGTCTCTAGCTTTTCTAGGCCTCTCTCTACACGGGCGCTGGTTCCCCGCAGCGCTGGAATTGTTGACCGTCGGGGACGGGACTTCTAAAGCCGCACGCAGGTGCAGCAGTGGTTGTGAGCCGAGCGAGGGTTGCAGGTTGATGGCATCAGTGATGGAGAGAGAACAATAAGCACTGGAATGCAGGATGCAGGTTGGGCAGGTTGTGCCCAGGACCTGGGTGCGGGGCACACACTTGTCTGTCGACAGAGACGAGTACGGGCGGGCGGGGACGAGGGCGACTGAGCGAGACCACAATGGAACAGGAGACCCAGACCGAGGGAAGCGACAAGGTGCCTCTCTCTCTCTCCATGCCTCGACACAACCCTGTGTCCGTTCTCTGGCCCCAACCGGCCCGGCGGTACCGCGACAGCGGGCGACGACATTCCGTAGGGTTCAGCCAAGACCTTGAAGGATCCCAGACCCAGTGCTGCACCAGAGGAACGCAAACCTCGCTGTGGCGCCGCTGTCGCTCACGGATGCAGACGGCCAGACGGCGAAACACCACGGCTGGGGGGCGGGCAGCACGGGCGCCGCGCAAAGGGCAGAGAGCAGTGATCAGTGACCCAGAGTGAGAGAGAGGAGACATGCCTCTGCACGTCTTTGCTGGTACTTTTGGAGAGACGCCACAAGACGGCCTGCTGCAGCGCTTCTAGCAGACAGAGTTGCGAGCGTGATGAATATGGGGTCGGGGCTTGGCACGGCGGGCTTGGAAGCTTTTTACGCGGGAGGGCTCTGGCCAGAGCATGGGGCCTGGCTGGGTACCTGGGTGTGTCGGCGTACACAAGAGTAGCAACGTGCCCAGTCTGCTGTGGGTGGGTGGGTGGGTGGGTGGCAAAGGGAACGCTTCTGGGCGGGCGAGAGGGGCCCTGCGAGGTAGGCTGCAGATGCAGGAGGTGCAGGAATGTGGGAGGCTCGTCGGTGGCCGCCGGTGGCATTGTAGGCGGAGCAGTAGGATGTGCCCAGGCAGAAGGAGACACATGAACTGGACAGCCAAAGCAGTGGTGGTGGTAGTATGGTGTGGCCCACAAGCATACGCAGCTGCTGCTTTCCTGTTTTTGCACGGCTCTGTGGCAACAGGAGCTCCTCGTCTCTGTGCACTCGACCACGCACACGTCCACGAGGGCTGCAGTGGTAGAGAGAAACAGAAAGAGCGAGAGAGTGGACACAACGCATTTCGAACCACCACCCACCGAAACCGACTGTGCCCATTTCCCTCCGTCCCCCCACTCCCCTCCCTTCCTTCCCCCCCGCCCACGCGCGCCAACCGACGAACGGGCCGACTTTCGCACCTTGACCACACTCAGATCCACCTCGTACACCATCCCATCTGTCCCACCCCCTCGTTCGCCTGTACGCTCGCCAGTCACAACAGCATCCTCCTCACAGCATCGCGGCGTACAAGCATCACCCGACCCATCCCCCCCTCCCTGCGCAGTCCCCCACCACCCCTTCCTCGTCACATCCACGACACAGCACGCCCCCCCTAATTGTTCGCCGCTCAACATCGTGCAACGACACACACCCCGCACGACTCTGTTTACCGTCTCGTCGCCAGATCGCCACCGTGAGTCGGGCGGCTCGTGCGCGGGAACAGCGCAGGAAGTAGGCCGAGGGGCACACAGGCATGCAGGCAGCAGACTGGACGCGGCGACATTGCTCTCGGAACGAGGACTGCGCCGGGTGCGAGCACATGTGGAGGACGACGAGGTTGTCTTTTGTGCTTCTTGCGCGCGCATATCTCTCTTCCTCCTCCTTCTGCTCTAGTTGCCTGCTTCCCCTTGGTGTGTCGGCGTCGCGACGTCGCCAGGGGGTCCGTGTGTGTGATGTGTGCGCGCACCCAGTCAGGTCCGACCGTCGACACTGGTCGAGCATCTGCGGTCGACGGCGTTGCTGGCGTCTGCTGGCGTCTGCTGCCCGGCGTGTTCTTTGAGGAGGCGTTCTTGAAAGTGCGATTGCTGATGGAAACCACAGCCTACACGCGTGCGAGCAGAGCAAGAGCCTCGTCGGTGTGCGCACATCGTTCTGACCATCACGCCCGTCTGATTGTTCGTGTGATCTTCGCAACACCAACACCAACAGTCACCTCCCCCCCTCCCCTCCATCCAGAACTTGCATATTACGTGCACTCGGTGACCGCTTCTTGGAAACACCATCCCCCCCACCCTCATCAATCAATCAACACACACCATCTCACACCCCCCACCCCCACCCTCCACCCAGTCCTCACCCCCACCCCATCTTGGCCCTCCTTGATCGTTGCAGCCTACAGCCTTAGTCGCTTGGCCTCTTCGACCATCGGTACCAGGTACCATCTGCTGTCCACGTCTGGGTAGATAGGATCTACTACTGGTGAGCAACACTTGAGCGCCGCCTTTTTTTGCGTGCAGCGTGTGGTGGCTACCCCGTCAGTTGCTCACCTCGTTAGGCACAGGTGGCACACACTTGCCCCCCTTCCTTGCCCCCTTGGTCACCCCCCATCCACCACCACCCCACCCCAGTACGCCGGCAACATCGGCCGCCACCACCACACTTTCCATTCCTCGTCCTCCCACTCCCACCTCGCACGGCCGCCGTGCTGGACACTGCGTTCACCACCAAACACCTGCTACACCCAAAGGCACTGCCTCCTCCTTTACCCCTCGCATCACCGGCTTGTCTCAATCTTGTCTCTGCCAGCTGTGCCACTGAGGCCTTGGTACTCGCCGAACAGCTGATCGCGCGTCCACACCCCGCGTCCGCCTCGCCGCGACCTCTGTGCGCCAGATTCTCCGTGGGTCGACGCCGCCGCCGCCGCCGCAGCCGTTGACGTCTGTCCGCACGGCTTGCGCGCACGAGCCACCACCTCCCATCACTACGCCAAACAACACTTTAGCAACTCGTTGTTTTCTCTCCATCACTCCTCCCTCCCCACCCCTCCTCCACATCACACCATGAATGCTCAAGGAGGACCTCTTCCTATGCTGGCACAACAGCTCAACGCCAGTGCCCAGTCCCTCGCCTCCGCCCCGCGTGACGCCAACACCGGCAACATCAACCCTGGCACCAACGCCGGCATGCCGTACCAGACCTTTACCGACTACTCGCAGATGATGTTTGCCGGCGAGCCTTCGCGTCGCGCCGCTACCCGCAAACCCGTCTACTCCTTTGACGCCGCTGCCAACAATAACATGTACACCAACCCTCCACTCATGGTACCCGTCGCACCCATGGCCCCCTACCAGCCCACCTACCTTGACCAGATGCAAGCCAACCAGGCGGCATTAGCGCAGGCAAAGCGCAAGATGGAAGGCTACGACAGCAGTCAACCTCCTTCGCTGGACTCGGCCTCCCACGACACATCTCTCACCGAGTCTCCCACATCCCCCCCTGGCCCTTCTAGCTCGGCAGCGCAGCAGATTGGTTACTTCCCCACCTTCCCCGTCGGCTACGGCGACTTCCGGCCACCTCAGCAGCAGCAGCAGCAGCAGCAGCAAGGCTTCAACTTTATGCAGCAAAAGGTTGGCGACCCCCTCGGCCAAGACTACACCAACGGCGTCCCCATGCCCATGTCCCAGTCTACCCCGCAGTCACGGTCCACACCGCAGTCTGTCCCGTCTGTCCCGTCTGTCCCCAAGACGTCACCACCCGCCACCACGCCTAGCGAGGACATCAAACCTGACATTAAGCCCAAGAAGATCCCCCGTCCACCAAACGCTTGGATCCTCTACCGCTCATTCACGCTCAAGAAGATCAACTCTGGCGACGTCTCCCCAGAGCTTGAGGAGAGGATACACAAGGCTATCGAGGATCTGAAGGCCAAGCGCGCAGCCAAGGCGGCCGCAAATGGCGAGGTCGTCGACCCAACCAGTCAGTCTGGCACGGGTTCCGGCTCTGGGTCAGACAACCCCAAGAAGAAGGACAAGAAGAGCGCAAAGGCCACCGACGCCCTGCTCTCCAAGAACGGCAAGTTCGGCCTCGGCAGTCTCCCTCAGGCAGACATCAGCACCGTCATCTCCAAGCTGTGGGCCACCGAGGCGGCCCCGGAACGCCAAAAGTTTGAGGCTGAGGCCGAGAACCGCAAACGCCAGGTGAGTTACTTTTTTTGTGCCATCCCAAACTCTCACTGACACCCTCAAAGCACCAGGTCAAGTTCCCCAACTACAAGTTCCAGCCTGTTCGCAAGGAGGAGAAGCTCGCTCAGCGTGCCGAGAAGGCCCAGCTCCGCGAGGACAAGCGCCGTGCCAAGGAAGCCCGGGTCGTCGCCTCTCGCGCTGGTGGCCGTCGCCGTCGTGGCCGTGGTACCACACCCTCTCTGGACAACGACGCAGCTCACCACCTCGGCCTGGCGCGTACCACCTCGTTGCCCGGCCCGTCTCAGATTCCCGGCCAGGCTCCCCTCCCCGTTGGCGTTCTCCCTCCTACCAACCCCGACTTCTGGAGCCAAGCTCCACCACTCGTCATCAACGAGGACGACCAGACGTTCGATAACAGCACGTTTGCGTGGAACAACTTCAAGATGGCCAATCAGGGCCTCATGGGCAACAACTCCCAGCAGCCGCAGCAGGCCATGGGTGTTCCCGTTCTGCCAGACTACATGATGCGCCAAGAGCTCGTCGACCTGCCAATGGAGTTCGCCCTCCCCAACGTCAACAGCAACCAGCAGCAGCAGCTCATGTCTCAGCAGCAGGGCCTGCAGGATGTGTTTGGACAGCAGCAACAGGGCCAGCAGATGCAGCAGCCGAACAACGAGTTCATTTTCGAGCCTGTTCAGCTCCCCAGCCAGTTGGCGCCTGCCTTCTCCACTGGCCTGCAGACGACCGAGGAAGACCTCGCCGCCATGTGGTGTCTCCTCGAACCCTCGTCAGATGACAAGAAGGCTGCCGCTCTCAACCTCGACTATGGCACTGGCACGTTCAACGGCTCGGGCGTCCCCGCCACCATCCTCGAGAACGACTTGGAGAACATGCCCATGGGCGACTCGGAGATCAGCAACATGATTCTGAACGAGTGGCAGAGCGCCCAGCAGGCGACGGGCGACTATGAGGACCAGGGCTACTACGACCCCCAGTACGACGGCAACGACCAGGTCGGCCTCACTGGCGGCGCCGGTGGCGTTGCGCCCACCCAGGCCTTTGGCGGCGACGCGGCTGCTCCCCGCCCCACGGGCTGGTTTGGCAATGTCTTTGGCAACAACAACAACAACGTCAACAACACCGGCACCAACTTCAACGGCCCGGTCCCCTTCTCCGCTGTGCCCCGCAACATCTCGTCGTCGTCGGGATACCCCCAGCCCACGCTGGACACATCGTCGTTCATGATGCAGCCCGCTACCGACCTGTTCGCCGACTTTGTTGAGCCCGACTACGACGAGGCCATGGCCGCCGCGGCCGCCGCTGTCCCCGCCTCGCTCCCGCCCGCGCCCACTGCTACTGGCGCCGCCCTCCAGCGCCCGCGCAACGTTGGCGCCTCGTTCGAGGCTGTGGCCTAGGCCGTGCGTGACAGCAGTCACCGACACTTGGCGCGAGGACATGCCCAGACGAACACGGCCATTCCGCCAACCCCTCCCTCCCCCACTCTCGACGCTGGCCTCTGCCGCCTTCCTGGCGTAGCGGCGGGGCACAGTGCACCTTCTCCACAACACCGCAGCGGGCGAGCGCACAGGTCGGCAGCGCAGTGCGCAGGCTGGCGACGCTGGTTCGAGGCGGTGGCTGGAGGACGGGATAGAGTGAGAGAGGTGGGTGGTGGATAGTCGTGGGCGCGCGGGTGTGGACTGGCGACGAGGACGAGGACGAAGGGGAGGAGAGGAGAGGAGGGAGCGATCTTGTCATTGCGAGAGAGAACTTGCCAGTGTGCTTGTGCCAACCGCTATAGACAGAGGTTAATCATATATACATGTGTGTGTGTGAGACAGAGAGAGAGAGGCGGCGAAGAGGAAGAAGGAAGAAGGAAGAAGCAGCAGAAGACAAGGTGTAGGTAGAGCAGAACATCCACTCGCTGCGGGCGAGTTGTAGCGTGTGATTATGCATGTGGACATTTTGTACCCGAAAGAGAAGGCTTGGGTAGGAGGGTTTGCGACGGATGGCACAACTGGGTGGGCTGCTGTTTGGTCACTGTACCACCACTGTCCTCACTGTGGAGAGAGCATATGGGCGTGGCCGTGTGGGGTTGGTGATGTGAGAAAACGCTGAATGAATGCTAAAGGAGGTGGGGGCAACTGCGATGTGCATATCAGACAAGTTGCACAAGGCTGCAGGAAGAGACGATGCCCAAGAGAGAAGAAGCACACGCATGTCACGTCGCCCACTGCCGCGGTCTCTGTGCGTCTGGGTCGATGTCGATGGCAAGCACAAAATCAAAAGGGTTCCAGGTTCGAATCACATCAGCATGGTTTTCGGCGCAAAAACAGTAGTGTGTATTTCGGGCCAGCGAGAAACACACTATGGACCATTCGCTATGGGTGCAATCGGAGGACACACACTTTAGCCTTAGCCACCACATCACCATCACCTCGGCGAGATCAGTACTCACATTCTGGAAATGAGCTATCAGCAGAACCTAGGGCGAGTCCTTGTCATGCCTGTGGCAGAGACGAGTCGGTTGTCGCCAACGAGAAAGCGGTAACAAGCCCGGGTATCCAGTGCACCAGTGCTGCGACCGCCAGTTGCCACTGTACCGCTGCCACTTCCACTGCTGCCTGCCTCTTCAATTCCTCTCCTCTCGCCACTCGGCGAGCCGTCCGCCAGCTATTCCAGTCACAACTGTCACTGGCGGTGGCGAAAGTGCGATTAGCGTCAGGCCCCGGTGGCCGGTGGCGAACGTCGATGGCAGCCAACTTGTGGGGTTTTCAAGGTCAGATCGCTCAGAGATCTAGAGACCGACACACCAGGAGGTGAGTCTCGCGATCCCCTTAGGCTGTGAACATAATTGTTCCAGCTGCCCACTTGTGTCGGTTCATAGCTTCTTTCCCCCGTTGTGTCATTAGACACACCCCATGAAAGCTGGCCAAATGAAAGCTGGCCTCGCGATCGCCGACGACGTCTCCGGATCTCCTGCTCCGGGAGTCCTCCCCCACCTCCCAGCACTCCACCGCCCCGTATCCCCTTGCGTCTGCAATATCGCCACCGTGCCTACGACATTGTGGTACTGTGCACGACTGCGACGAGCAAGGAGAAGGGGGAAGGGGTGGCAACACAACTGCAATAACCTGCGGTCCAAGTTCTAGACCCAGAAATGATCTTGGCACAGCAGAACGAGCACGACGCAGGGGGGAGGTCGCCTGGCCTGGATCTGGGGGAATACACGGGGATGTGGGCAGTCCTTTTGGGATGGGGATCTCTGAATGCTCAGCGCCACATTTCGCGGATCGCGGAATAAGGAAAGAGGAGGCCATGAGCTGCTCTTCGGCTCCCGCAGTGACAGCCCAGACTGCTCATTTAGGAATTAACTTGGTATGTGACAGAGGAGTTAAGGAGCTGACACGGAATGCACGGAATGCGAAGAGGCTCTGAGGAGTATGTCGCGATGCACAGGGCCTGGGGGCTCGAATACCCCCAGCCGATCCCATTACACTTCCCATTTCTAACAATACGAACTAGCGTAACTACTAATTCGCAGCAACGTTCTTAACCCACAACCGAAATTAGCTCCCGCGGCGACTTTGCCCGGCGTTCTCGTGACGTCAGCCCAGGTGCGGCTCGTGCAACAACATTCTTGGCTCTCGCCACCGTCACACCTTGGTCGCCATCACACACCTCTCCACTCGTCTTTCCATCTCTTAACCCCCATCCGTCTGCAACACCATGGCGTGTAGGTCTCCTTCCCGTTCACGCGTACCACGATTGCGCTGACAGACAGGCATTCCCCTCGTCTGTAAGTGGTCGATTCGGACACTCCACACCCCCGCCGCGTTGGCCTTTTCGCATTGTTGTGTGGTTTGCCAGGGAGACGAGACACAAGCGAGCTGGTCCAGCTGCCGAGGTGCCGAGGTGCCAACCTCCTGCTAGCACCAGTTCCCTTGGCGCAGCAATTATGGACCTCGTGGCGTCCACTGGACTGGCGCTGGTGTACGACGCAAGCGGCGGCGTTCACATCAGCCAGCCTTGGACGATCGCCCTTGCCTTGAAGGGGGCTGCAGACTGTGGGATGTGGACTGTGCTGGCGAGTCGGCAGCTCCATGGGGTATTGAGCTTCGAGCGAGGACGGCACCTACAAGCCGCAGGCCACATCCCCCAGTCCAAAGTTCGTGCGTGCGCCCACAACTGGCCGTCATGGGCGACTTTGGGCGTGCACCGGTGTCAGCTGAGGACGCGGCGGCCGGACACTGGCCGCCTAGTGAGGTAGGCACATACCTCGGCCTGCCAGCGACACTTGCATTCAGTGGGCGTACCGCGCCGTTCTCGTGGCCAACGACGGTGAGGTCACCGTGCGTGCGCAGTGCGTCTTGGCGCTCCCCCCTCCACCCTTGCACAGCACTCTGCGTCCACTTCCCAGATCGTCTTCTCTCCTTGGGCGTCTATGGACACGGAGAGAGCAGGCTGGGGGGGGGGGGGGGGGGGGGGGGGGGGGGGGGGGGGGGGAGGGGGGGGGATGCCAGAGTGGCCTGCATGTCGTGTGGAGAGGCAAGGCAACACCGTCCACTTTCCTCCTGCCACACACCATCCTTTCCTTCACAGACATGGCCCACTGGACAGTCACGCTTGCGGAGGTCGTCAGGTGGCGGCGGCACACCAGGCAGCGAACATGCCTGCGCCGTCATCGAATTGTGCCCGAGTCGTGGCGTGGCGGCTGGCGGCTGGCGGCTGGCGGCGCCGGTGTCACAAGCTGGGGCTATGGGGGTATGAGTGAATGCCAGCCTAGACCTGGAACCACAGGTACCTCGGTGTGGCACACCGCCGCCGCCGCCGACGCGGCCGCCACCAAGACCCCAGCGCGATTCGATAAAGACAGACGCCGAGACCGAGACCGAGACCGCAGATCCCATGATCTGTGAGCCCATGGTCCGTGTCTTCTGAGTCTCTTCTCTCGATCGCTGCCCCGTGCGTCGTATCTACTTTGGCCCCCACCGCAGTGTGCCAGGAACCCGGCGCCACGTCTTCCAGTCTCAACACACAATCTGACCCAGCCGGCCGTGTGGCCGCCGCCACACCACACGATCTCGAACTTGATGTGGGATCTCGGGCATCTCGCCGCTAGCCGGCTGATGTGCCGCTGCTCCTGCTCCTGCTCCTCCTGGCATGTGTTAGTGGCAGCCCATTTTGGCATCTTCGGTGGGAGTTGCCGGGCTTTTCATGTCCGTCTTGCGTTGGGTGGAGTGTGGGCTGGACGACAACTCACGGTCAGCCCGTACACTTCATGTCAGGCATGGCGATTGTTCCGTCCTTCTCTGCTGGCTTGTGACGTGCATCCCTGTTCTCCTCCCCTTTCGTCTACGCACTACGATCGAGACTTGTGCTGACGCCACAGTCGGGTTCCCCACCAAGGTAAGCGACTCGTAAATGGCTCTGGGTCTGGAACAGTCTGGGTCCGGAACAAGGTGGTTGGGTTCTGGCCATCCATCAACCTTCTACGCGACGGTTTCAAGACAGAATTGCCATTTCTCGGGACGACGTGAGGATACCGGTGCCCACCTCGACGCGCAGCAACTACCTTGGCGAGCAATGTGGCGGCCGACACGATGGGCATATCCCACCTGCTGCCGCTCACCATCATCTTGGGCAGTTCCACTCCGCCTGCGCCAACACGACCTGCCCACCTCTCGAGTCTCCCGAAATGCCTGCACGGATGTTCTCTCGGCTTCACTTTATTCCGTTTGAACTGGAAGCTGTCTCCACCACGGCATCACGGGATGGCGGAACGTCCAGTGTCGTTACTCCCCGTCCCCATACTCCAAACCGGGGGCGATGGGCTTCGTCTTATAGTGGCAACTCCCTCATTCGTTTCCCAGGAGCCAACATGGATCCCGATTTCCACTGCACTTCGAAGCAGGAAATCGACTGGCGGACCAGTTTCGACCAGGGTACCATGTTGTCGACCAAACCTTTACCCATGCCCATCCTGGTGACACCCGTCCCCGGATAGATCTACGAAACGTTCCGAGAGCACCCGCCAGGGGGTTTGACATTCGTTTCTCCTGCCAGGTCCTCCGGCAGTAACAAGAGGAGCTAGGTGCCATGTCGGGGCCGTTGCCGTTTCTGGGACGATTGGACGCGTTAGATCCGTCCAAATGTTCCCACCCGCACGGCGTCGTACACCCATTTACCGCTCTTAGCCGTCGGGGGGCGTCGTCCATCTAGCTCCACGCCGTTCCTTCTTCTTGGAGCAACTCTACGCGTGGCGATATCGCGTTATCCGAAAGACGATAACCCACCATGACCCCTGCTGTTGCCGATTCCACGCCGCGATTACCCACTGCTGCCGAGAGTCTTGTTCCTGACAGTCCAAACAGATTAACCAGGATGCGCCAGAGCCCGGTCGCATGTGTCCTCATTGCCACAACGGTGAGTGAGCATGCAAGGATCGAGTGGATAAGGTGCAGGCCACAGCTGGACGTTGTCGTGGCGCCTGGCCAACATGTTAATGCCACGACAAGCTGCTTAGCCGGGATCAGCTCGAGACAAGGAGCTAACGAGTCACAGCCGCGGTTGTGGGCGCATCGTCACGCACCTGGTTTGAGCTCTGCTGGATCCCCCTTATTCCCTTCTCGAAGAAGCATATCTGGCTCTGCACGGTGTGCCGTGAGTGACGAGGTTACAGCGTACTGTGAAACCAAGCTGACGCCACGCTCTTCCAACAGGGTGGCAGATGAAGAAGGGCGACGGCTACGATCCTCAAGTTCCCCAGCAAGGCATGGCGACGCAGCAGGCGGCCGCGTATCCGCCGCCGCCACCACCAAACGCGTATGGCAACCAGGCAAGTGCGTACGGCAACCAGTATGCCAACAACCCGCCGCCGCCGAAACAGTAGTAGCAACAGAGCCCAGCGGCGACCCCTTGCCAAAAGTGTGTTTGTGGTCGGGCGGCGGTAATGGTTATAGTAACGAGGCCCGAAGCTGTGCGAGTGGCGGTCGCAACGTCGACGGCGGCAACGCCCACGCATCGAGGGGAAGGGGCATGCATACACGGTGACTGCGATGACAGGACAGTTGACCGCTCGTTGGGGTGAGTCACCACTGGCCTCTAAATGGGGTCATGACTGCGGCCTGAGGAGGACTGTGCGGCGGTCGTATGGGGGAGCGTGCGGAACAGGATCAGTGGCGACTGACGAGAATGGGACGTGCTCAGGAGGTGGATGGAGTAGGTGAGGCAAGCCATGCGTTGGACGAGACATGAAAGTCATGTCCCTGCTGACATTTCATGGACGAGAGAGAGAGAGCGAGAGAGAGATGACCGGGCGGTAGCTGTGGAGATGGACGACCAGGACAATGATGGGCCACAGAGAACACGAAACAACGGCGTCGCGACGCCGCCACCGCTCGAACCTGCTGTAGATCGTGCCACAGGAGCCCGGTCTTGTCCTGACAGCCGCTGGCGGCAGTGACGACGACCACGTCAGCCGAAGACGAAACCGAACCAGCGAGTCCCTGGACCCACCCCCTCCCCCTGGCTCGCTCACTTATCCCCACTGGCCAATCGTTCAGTCATCTCGACTGCGCATGAACGCAGGCCGACGGCGTGTATCCCGCTCCCCAAAAGCCACCAACCAGCTTGGGGGGGCATTGGGAGTCCAAGGTAAGGGTTCTCTGGGGGGAACACGCGTTTCAATGTCTTGGCGAATACCCAAAACTGGTGTCCACGGACTCGCCGAGTGAAGCGAGGCAGTTTCTGCCATTCGACGGCGCTGCGCATTCTAGGACACTGGAAAGTGGACGGGGACGCCTCATTGATCACTTAGCGCGGAGTGGACGGGCACAGTATAGGGTTCTCTACTGTACTGTACCGTCATAGCTTTTCCCCCCCTGAGCGCGCTGCCTCGGCGACGCCCCGCCGCCAGCAATGCCGGACCCCCATTCCCTCAGGGGCAGCACACTCGGACATGGGCCACTACTAGCTCTTGTTGTGGGTCACCGGGGGCCGACCAGTCATTGCGCTCATGGTCTACGTCTCTCCATGGCCGTGTTCTCCTCGCACCTGTCCGACGGCGTCGGAGGTGCGGGGCACGCAAGGGGTAAAAGGGAACAGCAGCAAGCAAAGCCTGTACAGCAGTTGGGGACGAGCGGAATGGGTGCTGGGGCTGGGGACCGCCGTGGAACGCCACATTCTGTCCAACAAGGCCAGCGGGGGTGGAGGTCAAACGACGAAACGGCGCTTCATTGGAGCCCACAAAAAAAACACCAATATGCTGTCCATCTTGTCGCTTCGGTCCTCGTCCTCGCGACAATTTTTCCAGAGTCTGGATCGTCCTATAGATCTGGTACGCACTGCCTCGACGCATGCCATGCCACGTCATCAGACAAGCTCCAGCCCCAGCTCCAACTGTGTTTTTTTTTTCGTAGCGATCTATTTATTACTGTACCGTTCCCTTTTCGCGAGCCGCGATGTTCAGTCTCGACCTCGGAGCTCCCCTTTGTATTGACACAAACTCGATACGCATTCGCGATCGCGATGGCTCCAAGGCTCCGAAGCTCCGATGTTCCGATGGAGCGCGTGATCCCAGTTCAGTCTTTGAACCCTTTGATGGGGTCGGGACAAGTGGGACACACTGGCCCACTGGCTTGCCCTGCAGCAGCAGCGCCGCGGGAAAGCCGGCGCACAAAGCACAACCGGTGGGGCCAGCGGTGCACCTCGGGACCCGTTCCCTTGGTAGGTACGCAAATGGACTACTTGTCTAGCGATCTCAGTCAGTCACTACTTTGTGTGGGCCTGTGGGACCTTGCTCTGGCCGCTGCAGCTGCAGGTGTTCCAGATCGTCCCTTGCGTCCTCTGCCACGGCGTTCCCGTCGACCGCTCCGGCCACTCTTCATCTACGTCGCATATGACGACCGCTCATGAAAGCCATTTAGGCTTGATTGATTGAATTCATCTCACTTTGGGTAATGTATTTTTACACATTTTATCGGGTCAACTGTACCTGGGCCCACGAGGCTTTTAAAAAAGTACATCATCAGCAGTCTCACCCGAGTAAGAGATGGTGTGGGGGTGGTACCATTCAGCTGCCCGCCACACATGTCCCCAAAAGCCATTGCAGGCAACGAAGATGCAGAGCCTGCCCAAATGTAAAGAGACGCAGGGAGGCGGCGCCAACATGCCAATACAACGTTAGGCTAAGGAACCGGAAATAAGACATCCGCCACGTCAGGCTTTTGATCGCAGCCCTGGGTCATTCGTGTACTGTACTACAGTACTGTGGCGCTGGTGCCGAAAGCAATGTGGATAATGTGGGTTCTGGTGGGATGGACGGGTGGGTGTGCCGTCAGAGCCCACGCCGGGCGTCCGTTGAGGGCCACAAGAGCAATTATCTTTGTCGCGTGGCACCCATTCTAATCTTGTGGCGACCTCGCAAGCGTCGTGGCAGTGGTCGTGTGGTCCAGCAGACGACCAATGTGCGCAGTCTGTGATCCTGTGAACTTGTGAAATAGCAGGGGAGCGAAAACCCAGAAACGGGACGCGAATGGGGACCCGACAGCGTTCCGCAAGGCCCAATATTCCGCCACGCGGGCGCGATGTGCATCGCGCATATGAATGTTGGCGCCGTCGGTTGCGTGGGAGGATCATCTGGTGTCCAAGTTTGCCTTCCCGAAGGGCGAAGGGGACGTCTCTCCGCGCAAGCCGCACAGCAACCCAGTCGCGGGCACCTGCGGGCAGCGGCGGGCACATGCCACGCCGAGAACAGAGTTTGTGGATGCTAACGATGTGGCACGGGTGTGGTACTCACACCCCCCGCTGCCCCTCTCTGCTTCCCCTCGCGTCGCATTGCACTGTCGCTGCCTTGCTGGGGTGGAACCGGGGTCGAGGTTGAGCGTTCGAGGAACAGGCCGAAGCGCACTTCGCACTTCTGCATCGTACCTCGCGACCGCGTTGTCTCCCGCGCGCACATGCTCACGGAACGACTCTGTGATCTGTGCATGCCGCGCAATTGTCCCTTCTCCTCACGCACTCGCACTCGATTTGGCCTTGACCAGGTCCCCGCAGCCCTCGTCGTCGGGTCTCTGGCACCGGGAACGTCGTTTTCGCGCCGCCGCGCCACGCTGCCACTTGGCCACACCTTGACTGCTGCTGCTGTGTGTGGAGGGTGCGCGAGATCTCGGGCCTGGTCGTGACTGGCAAAAACAGGATGCGAGTCGGTGGGTGACGGCAACGTCAGGGTTGTTGGGAGGGGAGGAGGAGGGTATCTGTACATACCCGCAGCTGCTGCGCTGTCGATCCTGCCCACTGCCTCATCCCACCCCTGCGTCCCCTGTCGATGCCGACAGCACAGGCGACACATGCACCACGAACACACAACGTCTGTCGGTCGAGTAGCCGGGGGATGACGCGTATGTACGCCTGGCCTGACCCGCGTGGATGGAGGCGATCGCCACATTTCCATCCCCCCACGACACACGCACAAACACAACTAGCGCAGCTAGCGCACACTTTGGCGTACGCGCACGCTCCGATCCGCGATTGCAGATCGTGCGATCCCCCAACCCAGACTATCACGATGCTAAACAGGACGGAATAATGTAAAAATGTCTCGATACGCTCTACAGGCGAGCGCGCGCGTGGTGCCAAGGGCTCCAACCGGGCCGCAGGCGGGCCGGCGCTGGTCGACATGCACGGGAAGGGGGAGGCTCCAACAGCTGAACCCAGAGCGAGTGGAGGAGGGAGAGGAGTAGTAGAGTGTGGAGTAGAGGCCGTAGAGGCCCACTTTCAGTCCGGTTGCAGACGGCTTGGACGGGATGCTCGCACAGCTGCAAATGTACGTCGCGATGAACTCTGTACCTTTATGAATGGCCGTTTAAAGTGTTAGTGGCGTCGCGCGGCGTTTGAAGTGTATCCAAGCGGCCAGCGGCAGCATTTGGCGCGCGTGTTCGGGAAGCGCAGGAACTGGGACATTGGACTGTGCGTGTTGCGTTGGTGCGTGTGAGGCCGGCATCACGCTTTACGACGACCCGATCTAGCTACCTGCGAGCTGCTGCTGCTGCGTCCACTGTCAGGCTAGACTAGCCACCATCGCTACCGTGTGCAGCACATTGTTGCCCGCATGGCTACGGACCCCTCTCCCGATCTCCGGGGCTACGGGCGAAATCTAGGCAACACCGTATCTCGGGATAAAAGTGTCGGCATGCCGCAACACCTGGGCTACATTGTCCACAAACGCAGACACGAATAGCTCGGTGGACCGCAAATGGCCAGACCGAGGCTGAGACCATAAGCTCGGCGCCGTCGCGTACGCGGTGGTACGCCGGGGAACCGAGGCGCTGGCGCTGGCGCCCTGCGGACGACACTGAGATTGAGATTGAGATTGAAGATTGAGCCAAAGTATAAGGTGCGGCGGCACGAGAATACATGGGCCAAGCAAGCGCCTTGTACACCTGTCGCACGGCGCATGCCGTCAAGGCCCATGGCAGTCGCCACCAGACACATCTGAGCGCCTATGCCGTACGCAGCCAGGTGCTGCTGTTTACCCGGGTAGGCGCAGGGTGCGGGCAGACTGCGGACGTCATCCCGGTCGACCCTAGCCTCTCACCTCCTGGCTCTTAGCTTCGCAGTTCTCGCAGTTCGCGCAGCTGCAGCTCGGGACGCAGATCTCGTTCGAGGGCGGTTGTCGAGGCCATGTAGCCGTCGCAGCCATCCAAGATCTCGATCTACAGACCCACCTAGCACTGCAATGCCAGCACTTTTGCAGTACACATAGGAACGCAAAAGCACATCGTCAACACGTCCCCGGACGCCGGAAATCCGCGTCGCCTGCACCACCCACAATCCCCTCTGTCCCCCCTCCCTTCCCCCTTGCCACATGGCGGTGAAGCCCGCCCGCCCCGGGGGGCGGTGACGCCATCAGCGACCGGCGATGGTCTCGGCTGTGTGTCGCGACCTGACGTCGCGGGTCCAGGTCTCCTCTGTGTCTCTGATTATCGGCTGTTTCGCCGTGAGCAGACGCCGCGGCACAAAAGGCGTCTGGCGTCTGCGGGTGGTGTGGGGGCCTGTGTGTCTCCCTCGGACAAAAAGTGGGTGACGAGAGGCAGTGAGGCGTAGACGCGACCGACAACGACGACGACCAACGGACCAACGCCTCCAGGCCGTAAGGCTTGATTAGGCTGGACTGCGAACCCGTTCTCTGGGTCTCTGGGTCTCTGGGTCTGCGCGTGCACGGGCTCGTACCGGGTCCAGAGGCGGTACGGGGACATTGGACGGCGCAGGTGGCCTTGCGGCCCGCAAGAGGCTTACGCGGGGAGAGACCGCCGAAAGATTATTTTTGGGACTGCGGCATGCGCTTAAAAAAAAACAGAAAAGAGAAAAAAAAGGTGGAGGGGAGAGAGAGGTGTGGACTAGCTTGGGTAGTGGCCCAAGTGGGTGGCTTGGGATCCCGAGAGGTCGGTATGAACCGAGGCGAACTCGGGGATGCGCGAGAATGTCAAGGGGTTAACCTAGATGTTCATGGCGGGCGGCCTCTCCAGGGTCACCGAACGGCGAGAGTTTGGTGGCTGTGGACGCCGACCGCCTTTATGCGCGGGGGCACGGGCATGAGGCGTTGCGGAAATCGAGGTACGTGAGAGACGCGTGGGTCACGAAAGGGAAAGAGACGAGGACGAAGAGGAGCAAAGAGGCCACAAAGAGAGTGGTGGTACAGAGAGGCCAGTGGCCACCCAGTCCGCGCGGCAAAGGCCGACAGGGGGAGGGGGGGGGGGTGATCAGAGCGAGGTGTGATTATGGCCAGGGACCCGCTGCCCGCCCAGGGAAGCAAAAGGCAGAGCAGAAGAACGGTGTGGACGTGAGCACACGCTCTCGGATGCATGTCCAGGTCCAAAGAATGGTGAGCAATAAGAGCAACATGCTGCGCTTTTGCATGCATGGCGTGGTGTAATGTCTCATGTGAGGGCGGGTTTTTGTCCTTTCTTCTTGTGCACATACTGGGGGTAGTCATTCGATTGAGAGAGCCCAGGCAAGAGTGGCAATGAGTGGCATATATGAGTGTGGTGGCCCGTGCCGTGATCAGAAACGAGGGAGAGAGAGCGAGAGACGAGTGGTGGTGGATGATCCACCACCACACGCCATGAAGCGGCGCCCCCACCGAACGTTGCTGCGCCTGGCGCCCCGCTTGCATGCCCTGCGAGTGAACTTTACAGAAAACTGTATATGTAAAGGAGGGTGAGATGGGGTTTCCCGGGGTGGTGGGTGGGGAGGGGGGGGAGACAGCGCGAGGGACAAGGACAGAGTTTGAGTGAGACGGAGAGAGCGAGAGAGAGAGAGCGTGGGTGTCTCTCGATCGCTCGCTCTGGTGGGTCTCGGTGGTCGGTGGGATGTTTAGGGTTAAGACCAGGCCGGCAATGGCACACAGGGCAGCGTCAAAACGAGGTACCAAACGAGGCGCACGCACTAAAACGACAAAGAGAGAGAGACAGCCAGAGCATGCGCGGGCGGGTTCTGGCGGGAGAGAGACAGAGAGACGGGGGAGAGGGAGGGAGAGGGAGGAGGGGAGAGAGGGATGATGGAGGATGATGGACCTTTTTGGCAGAACGAGTGAGCGGTACCTGTGGCCTGTGGCCTGTGGGACTGTGCTTCCTCTGTCGGTCACGACTCGCGCGCGCGCGCGCATGCACGCACGCACAGCCAGCACCAGATCCAGCCAGCGTTCCAGCGTTCCAGCGAGGAGGCCCCCCCCCCCCAGCCAGGACACACGGAGAGAGAGCCCAAGAGCCAGCCCAGGCCGTAGCCGCAGGGGTTTGTAGTTGAACCCAATGTCTGTCCATTAGTGAGATCTGAGACCACACACACCCCCGTCCAGACCATCTTCCTCTCTCTCTCTCTGTTCGACGTTTACTCACAAACGCACACCACTTCTACCCCCCTTCGTCCCCTTCGTCCTCCCCTGGCACCTCAGCATTCATCCATCCCCTTCCTCATCACTCTACCCCCTCTCTCTCCGCCACCCACCCACACACCCCAGTCCCGTTCGACCTTTGCACGCTTGCAACATCGCCGCTGGCAACTTTGGACACTTGCCATCCCCACAACCACCCTCACTTACTTGCCAGCACCTCTCCCGCCGCCAGTGTTGATCGCCGTCGGTTGAGCAACAACCCCCCCCCCCCCCCTCTCCCCCCCTTCCCCCACAACATTCGCGTGTGAGTGCACAAGCACGCGCTGCAACAGACGCACAGACCCACCCGCGTTTGGACTGTGCTCGACACCACCTCTCGACTGTTGCGTCCTGGACTAGTAACAAGACGTTACACTCTTCCGACAAGACACTACGCACCCACCACACCCCCCCTTAGGCGCACACACGCATAACACACACACACACACGCCCTCCACCCACACCCGTCTTCCTCTTGTTTCAACATTTCCGCCTAAGCTAGCTCCCTCCCTCATCCTCCTCATCCTCCTCGTCACCACCACCACCGACACTCTCCCCGCCGCCGCCGTTTCCAACCGCGCAGCAGCGCTACACAGCCGGTCGCACCTGCCGCGACATGCACCCCCACCACTGATCCACGTTCGCCCACTTGCAGTCATCCTCCCTCGGCGGCGACGACGACTGGCTCACCTGCGTCCATCGCCGCCGCCGCCGCCGCTTACTCTTGTCCCGGGCCTAGGCCGTTGGTCGTACCGTCCACGCCTGTGCCAATCTCCTTCTGCACGCGACGCACTCGGCGTTGCGAGTCCAGCGTCCCCGGTGTCCACTACCAACCTTGGTAGAGAACGAGACCAGCCCGTCTTCTCCCTCTCCCCTTCCTCCCTTTGCGTCGATCGCCGTCGGCGCCTTCCCTCTCAGCCATGGTCCCCTCCCCATCTGGCCCGGCAATGGCACAACAGCCAGACTATGGTCACCTCCCGCAGGCCCAGTACCAGCAGCACGCTCATCCTGGGCCTTCGCAACCCGCAGCGGCGCCGCCCGTCGCGGGCGCCATGTCCGCGCCGTCATCCAACAACAAGCATCCTTCGCCTGTGCACATGGACTACTACTCGCCAGCGTCGACTAGCTACCTCCCAACCCCACCACTGGTCCACTCGCACAACCACCCTTCTTCCCTCCACCACCACTCGTCTGCACAGCGCAATGTGCTGGGTATGAACAACCTTGCCATCGGGTCCCCTGATCCTACGGGCCGCCGCTCTAGTGACGCGTACAGTGATCCCTACAGCGTCCGCCGAGACAGCGACCAACATCGCGGAAGTGAGCCACTTATTGGCACACCACCAGAAGACGATGGTCGAGTCGGTGTGGAAGACCCAAGTAAGTTTAGATTCTACAGACAGACGCTGACTCGTGTCTAGCCGCAGAGCGTTCCTACACCGACCTCAAGGTCCTAGGCGACGGATCGTTTGGCACAGTATGGCTCTGTGACTGGCGCTCGCCTCTCAAGCAAGATGTGCTACTCTCAGCCATGCAGTGCGGGGCCGGCGCTCGACCAGAATGGTCTGGCAAGCGTCTCGTCGCCTTGAAACGCATGAAGCGTGTCTGGGAAGGTGGATGGCGTCAAGCACGCAACTTGGGCGAGCTGGTCGTGAGTGCTCCTGTTGCCACCCAACAAAGGCCGTCGCTGACAACCGCCCAGTCTCTCCGTTCGATCCCTTCGCACCCTGCCGTCATTCCTCTGTACGATGCGTTCATCTCGCCACGGTCGCGCGAGCTCTACTTTGTCTTTGAGTGCATGGAGGGCAATCTCTACCAGCTCACAAAGTCGCGCAAGGGCAGGCCACTGGCAGCAGGGCTTATCGCCAGCTGCTTCCACCAGGTCGTGAGCGGCCTGTACCACATCCACCAGTACGGCTATTTCCACCGTGACATGAAGCCAGAGAACCTTCTGGTCACCACCACCGGATTGTGCGACTACCTGTCAACCTCGGCTCTCAACGAGATTAACGCCCGTCGTGCCTCTGGACAGACCGATGACATTCAGCTCATGAGCGGCAAGATCGAAAAGGACGTCCAGGTCATTGTCAAGCTGGCCGATTTCGGTCTCGCAAGAGCAATTGCGTCAAAGCCCCCTTACACGGAATACGTTTCCACTAGATGGTACCGCGCGCCGGAAGTGCTATTGCGATCGACCGAGTATGGCGCTCCCGTGGACATGTGGGCCCTGGGCACTATTCTCGCGGAAATGGTTAATTTGAAGCCTCTTTTCCCTGGTGTGAGCGAGATTGACCAAGTGTACCGCATCTGCGACACTCTGGGAGACCCAAGCACCGACTATGGTTATGACGAACGTGGTCGTGCTGTCGGCGGCGGCGTGTGGACGAGTGGCGTCAAACTGGCAAAGAACGTCGGCTTCAGCTTCCCCAAAAGCAAGCCAGTCAACTTCCGCAGCCTCTTCCCTGCCCACACACCCCAGTCCCTCATTGACTGCATCGGAGGGCTGATGCGCTACAACCCAAAGTACCGCATGACCTCGGCGCAGTGCATGGACCACGCATACTTCCACGAGACTCTCCCCCACCTCCAACACGTTCCCCCACTTCCTCGCATCCCGTTCGCCCAGGGCCAGCCTGTTCCGAACCAGCAGGCGCAACCCCGCCCAGTACAGACCGACATCAATGCCGCGGCCCGCCCAGTGCCCCAGCCAACCCCTCAGCCCCACGCTCACCATGTCGAGGCACGCCCACCACCCCCGGTCTATCCCACTGGAGACATGCGCGCCCTTCCACCACCAGTCGAGATCCAGACCCCGGACAGTGCCCCGGTGCAGAACGGCCATCCGCCGCCACAGATCATGTACCACCGCCCGCCGCCCATGCACCGCGAGGGCTCCGGGAATTATGGCTCGTCTCCGCTCGTGCATCAGCTCCGCGAGCTCGACCTCCCCACCGAGGACCTCGCCAGTTATGGTCAGCGCCGCTGGGCCGACGAGCAGGCTCTCAGCGCAAGCCGTCGTCCCTCCGCGACTGTGTCGGTGTCGAACCACTACGACGGCTCCACCGTCGGTTCGGCCAACTCGTCCAACCCGGGCTTCAACCCACATGCGCTTTCGGCAACCAACCTCCAGCGTGTCCCGTCGCAGCAGCAGCCGCATCAGCAGCAACAACAGCATCAAGTGCCAAACCCACACGTCGCTGCCTATGTCCGCCAGCAGCAACAGCAGGCATACCAGCAGCAGGCGTTGCGGCAGGTCACTCAGTCGACTCCCAACTTGACCCCAGCTCCTTCGGGCCCTTCGACTCCGCGTGTGGCGGCGCAGTCGACCATGGCGTTGACCGGTGCGGTTGCTCAGATGCAGCACCCTCAGACGCACCAGTCGCACCAGCAGCCGCGTGCACCCCCGATGGCCCAGCAGTCCAAGCTCGCACTGTCGGGCAAGAAGAAGAAGTGGGGTCTCAGCTCGGTCTTTGGCGGCGGCGACAAGAACGACTCGTCTTCGGCCCTCGCGCCAGTCGACGAAACCGGTTACGCACACCCGACCTCTTCTTCATCGTCGCTCAAGCGCACCCAGTCTGGCCACTATGCCGACGAGCGTGCGCTCCAGCCCATTCCGCAGATCACGCTTGACCCGAAGAAGGCCAAGAAGGAGGCCGAGCGCGAGGCCCGCGAGCTTGCGTTGGCCAAGCGCGAGGCTGCCGAGCGTGCCCAGAAGGAGCGTGCGCGTGCAGTGCTGCAAAAGCGTTCGCAGCTGCTTGCCCAGAACAGCAAGAGCAATGGTGCCGGTGAGATTGAGTTTTCAGAGCCTCCGCCCGCTTCCCTTGCCGCAAAGCAGTCGTCTGGCAACTTGCGAGGGTACCCGAGCTCGCATGCCGCCAAGTCGGCCGCGTCTGTGGCGTCTGCACGCTCGCACACCAGCGGCGTCTCGCCTTACGGTACCCATCTCGAGGCGTACGGCAGCGAGAGCGGCCGCAACAAGGCTCGCAAGACGGCCGAGGACGACGACCACAGCAGCATTGGGCGCACCTCGCTCCAGAGCCGCAGTCTGTTGTCAGTCGGCACCGTGGACAGCGACCAGGCGTCTCGCCGTGGCGAACACTGGGGCGACCCGTCGCGCCGCGCACCTTCGATGGCGTCGGCACACCGCCACCCCAACATGCAGCCACACTCGACCACGTCGCTCATGACGCACTCGACTGCCTCGCTCGAGTCGCAGTTGGCCTCCCAGCTCGCGCGTCAGGCGACTGTCGCGTCCGCGTCCGACTCGTCGCTGTCACTAGGCCGCCGCGCTGGCCGGTCCGTCTCTCAGCACCAACAGCTCCACCTCGACCCGCGCTACCGCCAGGCTGAACTGCCAGGAGCGCCGCACGCTCACCACCACTCGGGCATGCCGCACCCTTCTGCGCCGGGCGAGAACCAGATGCTCCCCAGCATCGACACGCTCCTCCCCGGTCTCGACGCGTGGGCTGAAGGCCCACAGTACACGCAGATGGAGATCAACCCAATGTTTAGAATTCCGTATAATACAAAACAATGAGTTCCCCCACGGCACGCCATCCATCAACAACCGAGTCCTCACTCAAAACTGTACGTTGGCAAAGCGTGTTCCGACGACTTCCTTTAGCTGACGCCACAGCTCACCGGTCTTGTCGTCCAGCGGACCCCCGTCTCTTGTGTCTCTCTTCTCTCTCTCGCGGAGGTAACAGACATTGCCTGTGTACACCACCCACCACCACGTTTCCGCACCCCGCACCCCCCATGCCATCATAGCTCGACAGCATTCACGAGCCTCACTCCCCCACCACATGTTCATCACGGCGCAATGCCGCTCCATAGTGCGATGCATCTAGCGCCGCATGTGACACTGTACAATGTGCCCCAGAGCCAACAGAGCATGGCGAGCAGAGCGAGAGCGCGACGGCGAGGAGCAGAGGGGTGTACAAAAACGCTACGGCGACAACAACTGCTACTGCCACTGTACTCCACTTTCACCCCACCCGTCTCGCCGTTGACTGATCTGACAAAAGGGACGAGGCTAATTGGGCCCCATGGGTTCACAGTGGAGCAGGCGAGATACAATAGGAGCATTCACACCGCAGAGGAGGGGGCGGCAAGAGGGTACAGTACATCACGCACACCAACCGCCCAACGGTTATCGACGGGTGCTCTGGGCATATGGCATGTGGGCATCCGCGCGCAGGCTCTCTTGTAATCTGAATCAGGCAGCGTGCCTGTTGGATGGTGATGAGGTGTGAGGGGAACGTTGCACCATTGGTGCCATCGCGGAGGAGCGGGTGAATGTGTGGGCGACTGCCTTTGCCCCTGTGGGAGAGGGGAGCCTCGCTCCTCCCGGCATCCCCGCGGTCGCATTTGCCTAGTGGGGTCTCGCGGGTGGGTCGTCAAGTTGATCGCGCCCTTTCCCATGCGTTCCTCTCCCTCGCAGACTACCGACGACCCGAACGTCGACGGATCGTTGACGACGGAACTCAGCGGAAATCAGAGCTAGATGCAAGTCTGCATTCCAATGGGGTGTCCAACTTCCCCTCTGTCCCGTCCTAGCGCCGATTGGAAGTGCAAACGCGCTGTGTCCACAAAACCAGCCAGTCTCTACCGTTTGCCTCTGCCGCGGTTCCCATCGACACTAATTGCCAGCTGTCAGGAAGCAACCCTCGCGGGACTTGGCGGCGTTCGATTAAAAAACAAAATTGGAAACGGTCACAGCCATAGCAGTTACCAGCCGCACAACAAAAAAGACGGCTCCTCCTCCTAATGAGCCTCCTCTGCTCTCTCCTAATGAGCCTCTCTGCTCCTTCTATTCGAGCCTCCTCTGCTCTCTCCTAATGAGCCTCTCTGCTCCTTCTATTCGAGCCTCCTCTGCTCTCTCCTAATGAGCCTCCTCTGCTCTCTCCTAATGAGCCTCTCTGCTCCTTCTATTCGAGCCGCCTGCTCTCTCCTAATGAGGCATGATAAAACAATGGCCGCCTGCTGATATTACGTAAATGATCTGTGCCATTCCACTTTGGCACACCCATATCATGGCGGGGGATAGAGGGGATGCGTTTTCTGCTGCTTCCACTGCGCCCTAGTGTCCTTTGCCGTACCCGGGCCTTCTCCTCTCCATGTGTATACATGTATATAGGCAGCTGCATACACCTCCTCTGTTGAGAGATTTCTACTCTGCCAGTGACCAACCGTCCAAGGGCTTAAAACTGCACCAGAGTCCAACAATCGTATCCGCCAGCTCACAGGCCACATCGGGGTCGGGAACAGTAGTCACCCCCACGACGGCAATTGCTCAGCTATCCGAAAGCCCGTCGGTATGGGGTGTGAGCGGGCAGCGGGTAGCGGGCAACTTGCTTAGTCTGCCTTCCCAGATCCACTCCGAGATCTACGGCATGCCGCATCTCGTGAATGTCGTACTCGCTCAGCGCTACGAGACTGCACATGGCGCTAAAAGTACCGATCGTACCGAGCACGATGGAGCTGCATAGTGGAGTCTGGAGTCGAGTAGGCCTGTAGCTTGTAGACTACTTACTAGGGTCACGGCGGCTAGCAAGCGGACGCCGTGTACATAACATTGCTTCCCAGTGCATCGACGGCGACAGCGACGACAGCGAAAGTGGGCCGCAGACTCGGTCATTTGGCCGGTTGGCCAGGCGGTGCTGCGTCGCCGAGACTGTTCTTGTCTTCGCTCGCCTCTGCCTCAGTACTACAATGGCTAACCCCTCTGACTCGCGTACGTGCCTTCTGGGGCTCTCCGATCGGTCATTTAGATAGTCTTTCTGTTACCTAAGAAACATGTTCAAAGGGGTCCATCATTCAAGTTGGATGACATAACTGACTTTCGTATGATGACTGTTTATCAACCTACATAAGATCAATCTCGTCCGTCGGCGGTGTCCTATCGCCCGCTGCAGCAGTCTGCAGCTCGAAGGGAGGATAATGTTGCACATGAATGGTTGGTCATTAATCGGCGAAATTAGCGATGCCGTCCGCTCGTCTTGAGCCGACCCAGGGAAGTAGTCACAGCAACAGCACTCAATGCATAGATGCACACTGCACATTACCGCTCTGCACATGCCGAGTAGAGGTCACAACCTCTGGTAATCTGGTATCTCGGACATTTCACCGACCGATGACAGCGGCGGGCCGTTGTGTGGGACATGTTGTGGCATACCCAGGCCTTGGCGACTCTCACTCACCAGCCCGGACGAGCCTCACCCATACTTGAACACAACTCAGGCGCTGACGGCATTTCACAGCACCAGTGTACACGAAGACATGTAACATTAAGGCTTTACTACAGTGGCCCGCCGGCCAGAAACCCAATCCAGTCTACAAAACAAACATCGAGAACCGCCACACAACCTTTAGGCAGCCGTGATACGGCCCTGGCCGAGCTTGTCCTTGCCCATGGCGCCGTACTTGGCCTCCACCTCGTCCTGGACCTTCTCAATGCTCTTGAAATACTTGACCGTCTTGACGCGGAGCTCGGACGTGGCGTCCTCGTCACACACGACCAGGGCCCACTTGTGCGTCTGCAGGGCCGACGCCGTGACCATGTGGTTGACGCTGCCCTCGATCATCTGGCTGAGCGCCAGGGCCTTGTTCTGGCCAGTGACGATGAGGACGACCTCCTTGGCGTCCATGACAGTGGCCACACCGACGGTAAGGGCCATGCGCGGGACCGATGCGAGGTCGTTGTTGAAGAAACGCGCATTGTCAATGATGGTCTCGTACGCCAACGTCTTGATGCGAGTGCGCGACTGCAGCGACGAGCCGGGCTCGTTGAACGCAATGTGGCCGTCGGCGCCGATGCCACCGAGGAAGAGGTCGATGCCGCCCACAGCCTTGATCTTAGCCTCGTAGTTGTGGCACTCGGCGTACAGGTCCTCGGCCTCGCCGTCGAGAATGTTCGTGTTCTTGGGGCTGGGGTATGTTAGCCAAAGGTTCTTGGCATCGCTCGATTGAGTCGCCTGCCAAGCGCAGGAGCGAAAGCACGTGGTAGCGGTTCGGAGGAACACTGCCCGACACACGAGGGTGGTCTCCTTCACTCGACAAGTAGACAGAGGGGAAGAGGGGCACACATTCAACCTCTAGTGTGTACGTGTGCGGACATTGACAGAGAGTGACGATTGGGACGACCACTAGCACTTTGGCATGACCAACGGCGGTAGTTACCATCAGGTACCTTCACCGAACTCCAGGTCCACACATCGGTGCCTGCAACGTCGTCCACACAGCCACCCAGTTGTCCTTCAGTCCAAGATCCGTCCGCAAGGATCGAGCCCTCAGTAGGACGCGAAGTGATGCCGGATATCGCCGGCACACGTCGGCCACTCGATTGTTCGGTGCTTTTTCTCCACTCCACACCGAGGTTGCGATCTGTTACTCACTTGATGTCAATCAACGAGAAGAAGTTCTTGAACATGAAAGTGTGGTACGACTCGGGGTGGTCGCGGGCAATGCCGACGTACTCGTCCATGTTGACTGTAAGGCATCAGTTACTGCGGCAAGCGGCGAGCGCTGTGGAGGCTCGTTGGAGCTGTGTGCTCTTCCACACGTACACGAGACAACGTCCTGCGTCGACGTCAGCCACTATTCACGCAAAACTGCCTGGAGATGAGGTCGACCCGACCGCATGCGGCATCGGCACTAGTGGCTCACGCTAGCCGCATGCGTCGTTCCACCACGGACGTTCACAACCACCCACCTTGAACGACACCTTGCCGGCCTTGTGAGCCTCGACGAGACGCTTGTACACGGGCAAGGGGGACGAGCCAGTAGGCAGGCCGAGGACAAAGTTGGGGTGGCCCTCACGGGGCACAAAGTCGTTGATACGCTTGACGATGTAGTCGGCGATGTAGGAGCCGACCTGCTCCTTGGTGTCGCGGATAGTGAGACGCATGGCGAGAGAATGGGTTGGGGGAGATGGGGTGTTTCGAGGGTGAAGTGGGTGCGTGTGGGCAGGTGAAGGGTGTGGGGGATCTGGGGCTTTGTATTATCTAGTCGTTTGCCATCGAACGTGCTCTCTCGCATCCAGAGCGTTTGAGCACACTTTGCAATGTGCTCCGCCGGATGCGCGGCGCAATGTCTGGCTCAACATGCTGACGTTTGTCGGCACACTGCCCGGCCGCCAGCCCCAAAGCCGAGATCGCAAGATACAACCGGCGTTCTCGCCGCGGAATCTCGCGGCCCGTGCCACGCGTCCCATACAAATAGCCACGTGGGACGGAGATCTGCCTCCAATCCGTGTGTTTCTGCGCACTAAACCCCCCTCTGCCGTTGTCGGCCAACACGCCGGCTGCACCGACACTCTGTCGGCGGCCTCGGCGGGATCGGCGTCTGATAACACGGCCCCAAAGCGGGGGTGGAGGGGACCGTCGTCAATGTTCCACCTGCATCTCACTAGGACCAATTGTTGCGCCCAAATGCGGGCCAGGCGACGACATCAAAAGCACAGTCGTTGACACCCCCTCCTTTCTCTCCATCCCCCCTCTCATTCACCAACTCGATCATCTAACCACGATGCCGGCCCCCGTTCCCACCGACATTATCCGCTTCACCAACGGCTACATTGCCCTGGCGGACGGCACGGCCGTCAAGGCCGACCTGTTCGTTTCCCCCACCTTGGGCAAGATCGTTAGCGGCCAAGAAACGTTCTTCTCGGCCCGCCTCCAGCCGGCGCGTACCATTGACCTTGATGGCGGTCTCCTCGCACCTGGCCTGATCGATGTGCAGATCAACGGAGCGTACGGCGTCGACTTTTCCGAGCTCGACATTGCGCCTGGTGGCGAGGATGTCTACCTTGCTGGACTCGACAAGGTTGCAGAGCGCATTGTGGAGACTGGAACAACGTCGTTTGTTCCTACCATTATTACTCAAAAGGAGGAGCTGTATGCCAAGGTGGGTAGAGACGACGAGACGGGATGATCCCCAATCTCGGCATTTGATACAGATCGTCGTTGCCGACATTGTGCTGACACGCCCAGCTCCTTCGCCTTCTCAGCCCCCGTTCGTCCCCCAATGCCGCCCACTCGCTGGGATACCATGCTGAGGGCCCCTTCCTGCACCCCGAGCGCCGCGGCGCGCACAACAACGCTCTGCTTCTCACGGCCTCGACGATGCCCCCCATCGAGGCGTTTGACAAGGTGTACGGCGCCGAGGGCCTGGACCAGCCGGGTGTCAAAATGATCACTGCGGCCCCGGACGTCGAGGGTGTCATGGCCTGCGTCGAGAACCTGACAAGCCGCGGAGTGACATTCTCCATCGGCCACTCTGACGCCGACCTCGAGCAGGCTCAGCAGGCCGTCGACCGCGGCGCCCGCATGATCACCCACCTGTTCAACGCCATGCCCCCAATCCACCACCGCGACCCGGGCGTCATTGGTCTGCTCGGCGACACCACTCGCAGGCCATACTTTGGCATCATCGTCGACGGCCTCCACTCGCACCCCAACACCATCCGCATCGCATACGGCGCCGCTCCCGACCGCTGCATCCTCGTCACAGACGCCCAGTGGATCATGGACCCCAACCTTGCCGACGGCGTGCACCACTGGCGCCCGGGATTCGCGTTCCGCAAGGAGGGCCTGCGTGTCGTCATCGACGGCACCAACACGCTCGCCGGCTCGGCCATTCCCTTTGCCGAGTGCGTGCAGAACCTCTCCAAGTGGGCCGGCATTACCCTCCCGCAGGCGCTCGTGTGTGCGACCGCACACCCTGCAGCCATGCTTGGCCCGCACGTCGCCGAACACAAGGGCCGCCTCGAGGAGGGCTTTGACGCCGACATGTGTGTGTTTGACTGGGACGGGCGCGTGCGCTCCACCTGGGTCATGGGCAAGGAGGTCTTCCGCGCCGCGGACGTGTGTGACGGTGACATCCTGCGTCCCCGTAACCAGGTCAACGGCAAGGCGTAGAGGCTGTGTAGGGATATAGAGTCATCGTGTGTATGTTGAGTGTTTCCTTCCGACAAGGGGAGGAGCTCGTAATTTAGGGCTTTTGTTAGTGCTTCGTCACTGTCTCATGGATTAGAGTATCGATCAGTAGTGTATGTTGTTGGACGTGCGTGGAAAATTTACAGCGTTTCATCATGATGAGATGGTGAGGTACTCATATGTGTTGTGCTTGTTTATCGCTATTTCTGGGATATTTGATTGAAACCCTACTACAACTCTCCGCCACCCCTTCTTCCCGTTGGGACTGACCCAAAACTTATCTTAATAAATACCAGCAGGATATTCTCGTCGCTGTTACTATGCACCGCCGCTTCCAACATCTAATAGACGTAACGGAACTTGGGGTTCTCTTTGTCGGTGAGGTCCATAACCAAAGCGTCGACGCCGTCGGGGACGTCGGTAGTCTCGCCCGTCGCGGCCATCCTGGCGTCGCGCCTCTTGTTCTCCTTGTAGTAGTAGAGGAACAGGAGGGCCATGACGGCCGCAGCGAAAATGTTGCAGAGAATAATCGAGAGGAGCGCAGGGCTGTAGCGAGGCGCATCCTTGGAGCGGAAGGTCTGAGGGCCGATGAGACCGCCAACACAGGCTAAACGGGGGCTTTGTCAGCTGGGATTTCGACGATCGACGTCGTGCGTGCCACAGCTGGACTCACTGGCAAAGAAGAACATGCCTGAAGCCATAGTCTTCTTGGTACGGCCCGCAACGTTGGACGAGATGAACGACGTGACGGCCGTGGTGTTGATCGCCCAGGTGAGCATACTTTGTGGGCGTCAGCTGGTGGTATGTTTTCAAAGCTCGATCAACGGCCCGACTACGTACAGGTAGTAACCGGCAGCACGTGGGATGGGCTTGCTCTGAGGGAAGGCGTAGATCATAGCCGCGCCCGTCATGGAGACGATAGACGGGAAGATGGAGATGAGGGAACGGCAGCGAAGCTTGTCGCCAGCCCAGAGGCAGAGAATGGTGAAGGGCGCGACCCAAGCCTGACCAATACCCATCAGGAGGGCCTCCTGGGTGCCGAAACCGAGGCCAGTGACGAGCACAGCGGCGAAGCTGAAAATGTTAGCACTCCTTATCACTTGTGGGATGCGGCTTGACTCACTTGGTAATGCCACCGCCGGGAATGGCCGTCAGAAGGGCAACCAGGACAAAGGCCCAGATCTGGATGTCGGCCATTGCCTCCTTGACCTGCTCCCATTTCCAGTCACGGACAGTAATGTCCTGGCGGGTGTCGGCGGTACGGAGGTGAGCGAGGTGGCGGTCCTTCTTCGAGAGCCACCATGCCTTCTCGGGGTCGTCGGGGATGACGAAGACCCAAACAATGCCAGTGGCAATGGTCATGGAGCCGAGGATGAGGTACTCGACCCTCCAGCCGACCATGCCCGTGAGATGGCCATTGATCTGAGCGTGGAGGAGACCGTACGCGACGGCAGAGCCGAAAATGAGGCCCCAGGTGTTACACGAGGACCAGATACCGGTGCGCGTACCCTGCTCGTGGACGCGATACCACTGGGTGGTGACAAGGACACACGCGGGGGTCATTGCGGACTCGAAGAAGCCCAGGAAGCTGTAAGGGTCGATGGCGTCAGTTACCAGTTACAGAAGGGGGGCGTGCAGGTGTCCCGTGCGTATTCCTCGATATCACAAAACGACAACAGATAGACGCGCCAACCATGTGTGGCACTCACAAACGGACCACGAGGAGACCGGCAAAGTTGTGGTGGCAGATGGTGATGAGCATCACTACAGCACCCCACATGATCATGCAGGTAGCCGTGACCTTTGAGAACGACAGGCGCTGCTGCAGGTAGACCATGGGGTACGATCCCAGCAAGTAACCCAGACCTGAAAAGGCGGCGGTCAGCGCCACTCGCGTCTTGTTTTACATCGGATTTCCCGAACGTGGTGTGTGCTTTACCCCGGTGGCGCTTTGGCAGGCTCCGAGAAGCCTTGGAGACACGCCTGTGGCTAACGGAATGTGGCCCCCCCTTTCGCATTCACCAACTCACTGAAGATGGTTCCAAGCCAAGAGTATTGGGACAGGGTGATTTGCGAGTCGTAGATGAAGCCTGTGGGGGTGTCAGGCCGACATGTCTCGGGCAAGAAGTGTTATGTTGCTCACCCATGATACTCGAGTAAGCCAGCATGGTCTTGTCGAGGAACTGGAGGGCAGTGATCACACCGAGGATGGGCATGAGGACCCAGTCGATCTTGCGTTTGATGCGCTTGTTGTCCTCGGGAGACACCTCTGTGGGGAGACCCATGGGCTCGAGGTCGGTCTCATGGAATCCGATGTGGTGAGGGTGATCGCTGTGCTCCTTGTGCTCGATGCTGGCGGCAGCCTTCTCCTGTTCAATGTCCGACATGGTGGTGGCGGAATCTGTGGATGGCAGGTGTGCAGAGGCGGGGGACGGGGTGTGTGGATCAAGTACCGGATTGAGGTACGCAGCGATGACAGTGGAGAGTACCGATACGTGACGGCCCCGGCGAAGAGGAGAACTGGCTCGGATAACACCAGACAATCGGAGGGTGGGCCGTTAGCTGTTGTTGTTCTTTTCCCCGCACTTGTCTTGTATTTAAGAGGGCCGGGGAGGGCCCCACGCCATGCCTACCCTGGACGCGAGTTGCAACATGACCTTCCCAGGTTAGCACGCACGCATTGCATGCCCGCGCTGGAGGCGGGCATGCCGCCACGGAGAGGAGGTTGCCAAACGAAGGCGGGGCGGGCTACTGCCTTGCCGGGTAGACAATGCGCCGGTGGGCCGAGTAGGGGGAGCGCAGCTCGTCAGCTGCGAGGGGGTCTGTTCCCTCCTCTGTCTGTGTGACATGTGAGCATGTTAGCAACCTCCTCCACAGATCCTGACGTGGTCAGTCTCGGCTACCCCCGATAGAGTACATGCCAAGCGGCAGATGCCGCTTCGACCGCGTGTTGAAGTGACATCGTGCTCTCTTCTGTGGCCGTGATAATTAACGAATGAGTGCGACGTCTGGTGGTGGCATGGGTAAACATGTTGCCAGACAAGAACGTCCGTCCTCGGAGTACCACACTTGGATCGCAGCATGATAATCAATAGCATTGCCACTGACGCGCAAGATGAAGAGAGTAACGTGTGCAACACCCACATGCAGCACTGTTTGTGGTGTGGATGTTGACCTCTGGAGGAAAGGAGGGAAGAGGCATTGGTGGCCAACCTGTCCTACCAAATCCGCTCTCTCTTGGCATCATCCAGCGCCACAGACGTGTTTATGCAGTCAGATGACTAGCTTACAGGGTCAGCGAACGCGGCTCAGTGTGGGGAAAGCGTTGCTCTCATGCAGGGTAGAGGGCCTCCATCCCACTCTGGGCTCTGTCATGAGATCTCATCTGCCCACATTGCGCGGTGAATGAGACGTCCGACACGCCCGGATATTCATCTTCCGTGACACAAACACATTTTGTGGAGTGGCGTTGGAAAACGTCGTAGTCTGAACGATGTGCGTCAGTTTGGCATGCCCGGGCAGCATCCCTTGCGCAGAGGAGGATGGTGCACACTGTCTGGCGCAGGTACAGACGCAGGCAAGGCAGGCAAGGCAGGCAAGGCAGGCAAGGCAGGCAAGGCAGGCAAGACAGGGAAGGGCACTTGCAGGCAGGCGCCGGTACGCGATAACCACCTTTGCCGCCTGCCGCCGCATTGTCGTTGCCGGCCTGTGACGCCGCTAAGATCAAGTTAATGACATTGGTCGGCTTGGCGCAGCAACACGAACACCTCCCCTCTTGGCCACTTGCCTGCCGAGAGCACTATTCTTGCATGCACACGGTCTCTCTCTCTCTCTCTCTCTCTGGCCGCCCGCTTCTGGGCCTTGCGGATAAATGGCTGCCTCCATTCCACAAGGCGTTTCTCACCTCTAGCCATGGCCGGGGGACCACGGGGTAGCCGGCCGATCCGGGTTATCCCCAGACTTGCAGAGGCTCACTCACTCAATGATCACTGATCCACTGACACTTGGATGCCGCGTGGGGCACGCTGTACCATCGCCGCATCACACCACATCAGCGCGTGCCCGATGTCTCTCCCTGTTGCTCAGTCTCTCCTTGCCGCTCTGGCGTATCCAGAGGCGCTAAAGCTGGCGCTTGTGGCCTCGACCTGGACGGCACGTGCACACGCGGTGCACAGCGCTTGTTCGGCGGGGGTCGGGCCGGGCCGTGGTCAGGTTGCGTGATGTCCGACAGCAAAGTGGCGAGCTTGGGGATGCATGTTCTGTCAGGCTGATGACCATATGCATGTGTGTTCGTTCATGCTCTGAACGCTTTGAGCTCTCTTGACGCCAAGTTCGGCCCGGGAGGCTGAGGGACTGACGTGAGCCATATCCTGTCAATCTGGGGGTGAGCCAGAGGCCAGAGGGAGGCTCTGGGCTTGGAGGGTTGGCAGGTCACAGATCACAGAGCAGACGCTTTCACCAGTAGCCGTGGCGGCCTTGCCCACTGTCTGCGGGGACTAAAGAGTGGCGATCAACGCCAATTCCAAAGTCCAGTGACCCCACACCTCGCTCGCGCCTCGCAAGGCTCGTAACGGGCCACAAACGGGATATTGTTCCTACTTGGCGATCGATGGGTGGTGGGGTAGTGGTCACCTGGACACCTGGTCGCGTGCGGTGTTAATCCGAGCTTTGGCTGAGGCTCACAGAGTGGTCGCTCGCTCGGAGAAACCCGACGCCAACGGAATGGGGATGAGAGGAATAAGTTGCCAAAGAATGGTCGATGGGCTGTCGGTATATCACAATGCCACTCGAATGGGCGCGCTGATGGCAGGCCGCGCGCGTTCACAGACCACCGCGCGCGCTCACGAGTGGGCACGCCCCGACCGGCGGCCAGGTGGTGGGGCTCCTATCTCTCCCCCACATCTCTCGACGTTCTCGGCGTGCATGTCAGACATAGAGATGGAGGGATCACTTGACCTATGACTGAATACCCCTACCCCATTGCAGACTCGGTAAGAGGACATCAAGTGTCGACGGGCTCATCGGCCTCGTTGGTTCACGAAAAACGCCACCTCACCCGCTGGAACAAGCCACATATGGCCGCCATCTCGACCGTCCCCATAACCCAGTCTGGCCCGCCTTGATCGCCCATGAGAAGGATATGCTCCTGGTGGGCCGCATTTTTGCTCTCATATTCACCCATTTGGTGCACAAAGTTTCCTGCTATGACACCTACCGGTAACTGTAAATGCCGCCGAATGTTGATGTTTTTAGTGCGACGGAATGGAGTGGATGAGAGGCACGATGGCAGACCGCCACACGCCAACGCTGGTCCACAGCTCTGGCCAAAAGGTGCACGTTTATACATCGTTTGGTACCTAGCTACACTGGTTTGCTATATGCGTGGATGTATGATCACGCGACGTACTGGCGCTGATCCAGAGTACGTTGGCACACACGCTGTGTTATGGCGGTTGTGTCGATCTCATTCCATCAGACAAAAAAGGGCTATATCTTATCTTCGGAACCGACGCGCGAAGCCGACGGCCTTCAACGGCCATTGTTGCCCTCCCCTCGGACATGATTGAGCCACCTATTACAAGCACTGCTGTTCACACCGGAAGCTTTAGGAAAACTGCGCCAGCTGTTCTGAATACCCTCTTAATGTCTGGCCGGCGGTCCGCGCCACATGGGACGGCGGGAGGCCACCGCCCGCGAGCATGTCCGAGACGTTGTTGAGGAGTGGGATGGCCTCTTCGGATTGGAAGGGACACTCGGCGACACCTTGGTCCTTGATTGCGTCGACGAGCACGGATCCTGCGAGGGTGATCATCTGGACGGGCGTTAGCGAGATGCAGTGGCCAGAGAGACGGGTGGTGTAGCCGGAGGCCTAGCTCGCCCATTGTTTCACTCACCGACAAATAACATGGAGGGAGACTCGACAGCTCCTCCTTTTGCGGCCAGGCATTGCACTTTTCCAGGAACCCAACTGCGGCCTCGACGCCGTGTGCCCACGCCGCAGCGCGGAGACGGGGGTTGCCGCCCAGGCTCTTGGCCGACGTGGCATTGACGAGCATGCGGGCAAACTCCCAGAACAGGTTGATGTGGCGCATCCAGTTGGGATCCAGCTGGTGACTCTCGAGGTCGGCGCGCCACCACTCAAGGCTGGCGTTGATGCTCGATGCCAAACGGGCATGGGCGCCCACTTGGGCAGCGACATTGGAGCCTGCGACGGCGGCCCCGTGCTGCGAGCGACGGTGATACCAGTCCCGCAGAAGGGTGATGAGGCGCGCGTGGAAGGTGAGGAGGATGTCGTGCGGGCTGTAGCGGTCGCCAGGGAGGGGAGAGTCCGGGACGAGGACGTGGCAGTAGGCCATGGGGTCGCGGCGTGGTGGTGGCGGGTTATCGCGCTGGAGGGCCTCGGTGCCGTCCACAATGTAGCACAGGAGCCAGACGCGAGCCATGTCCTCGCGTGTGGCGTCGCGCTTGATGGGCAGGAGACCGCAGACCTCGCCAAGCGTCGGGGGCAGCGGGACAGTAAGCGACGTCCACTTGATCCAACCCCGCGCCCATTTGAATGCCGACGACGCGATGGTGGCCGCCTGGTCGCGCTCGGTCATGAACGTTGCGAGGATACACGCGCCGACAATCTCCTCGGGGCCGATACCAAGCTCGGGGTCGAGTTCCTCCTCGCCATCCTCGTCCTTTGTGCGGGAACCGCCACCAAACGACGGGTCCAGCGTACTAATAAAACTGTCGGCGGGCGAGTTGATGAGCAGCTGCGTGACCTCGCGAGCGAGAAGAGGGCGATGTTCGTGTGCTTGTCCCACGCGCTCTGACGCAACGAGGCACATGACACTGAGGATGAACGGCGTAATCACACTTGGACCTTGCGGGATGTATGGAAACTTGCCAAATTCGAGACGGTAGCCGAACATCCATTGCCCCAACTTGGCGTGGAAACTGACGGTTAGCACAATTACACCTAGTCAACCCACTAGTTGACGAGACCCAGGGCCTCGGTGTTGGGCAGCAGACCACGCTTGACAATGTTGGGGCGTGGGTCAGCCGAGCCCAGCGTGTCTGACATGTTGGGCACTGGCGCCACGATGGCGCTGGAGGGAGACGCGTTGGACCGGGGACCGTTGAGGAGACCAAAGATCCCCTGCTGGCTCGGGTATCCCTGTCCCTGCCGGATCTGCGAGCTCGGGGTGCCCGAGTCGACGATGGACACACTGAAAGTGTTGTCGACTGGGGAGATGGAGTTGAGCGCATCGGGTGTGATTCCAGTCCCCGAGGGCTGCGTGTCTGGCCCTGCACTGAGCGTGCTGTCGGCCCGTCCGTTTGTGGGCGGCAGGGCATAGCTGAAGCCAATGTCGACCTCGCTGAGGGGAATCTGCGGCACGCCGGACGAGAACGAGAGATCGGTCGTCGAGCTGATACGCTCAAAGCGCTGTTGCTGCGTTGTGTGCATGTCGGCTGGGCGGACGACGCCAGGGGGGACGACTGCGGGGTAGTCGGCCACAAACTGGGGCATCTCGGACAGCTCCCTCTCGTCGTCCTCATCATCTTCTTCCTTCTTCACGCCCTTGCGGCGCTTACGCCCACCGTCTGCCCCCAGCGCGCGATTGCGCTCCGCTGTCCATCCTTGGATAACGGCGAGGTCTCGGTCGGGTGCCTCAAAGCGAGGAAGGGGAGGTTCAAAGGGCGGCACGGCACCTTGGGATGTCAAGTGGTCGAGAATGTGGTGGACGGCAGCGGAGAGGTGGGCAAGGTGACCAATCGCACTGTACATGTCGCTCGTGAGGGTCTGTTGCCAGTCCTCGTCCTGGAGATGGTCAGCCGGTGAACACAGGCCAGCTTAGTCACCCGCCTCCGCATTACTCACATGGCCACGAGGGTAGAAGATGCACTTTTCCTTGCGCGCGCAACAACGCACGCAGTCGGTCTGGTTCTCTTCGACAATGCATTTGAGCTTGGCGCGGCGACAGTTGGAGCACGCCTTTTGCTTCTTCTCGCGGACGAGGATGCTTGGCGGTGCGTCTTTGGAGCTCCCGTCCTTGTCCTTTAGCGGCGGGCTACTCGTCTTTTCGCTGCTGCGCCTGTCGCCGCCGTTCATCGCACCCGAGTCGCGGCCGCGTTTCCGTCCGTTGGCCGCTCCAGAGGTGTTGGTGGTGGCCTCAAAGAAGTCGTTGCCTGGCATTTGTGGACGAGGGCCCGGGGCAGTCGGGGACAGGTTGCGCCCGATAGACGCCACGGGCGACAGAGACGGGTGGTGGAACCCGTCGGCTCTGGGTAGGTCTGTCATGGTTGTGAGAGGAGGAGCGGAGAGGAGCCAGTCGGTGTTGGTGGATGTAGACCTCTAGCCAAGAGACAAATGTACTAGGGGGGGTGAAGAGGAGAGACGCAGTGGAGGGCAAACGGATCTGCTTTCTTCCCTCTCAGGTTTCGGCGCAATGTGGATTCACGCGAGATGACGCAAAGAAGACACCGGGTGGGTCGAGAGTGTGCGCGCGCTGGCGGTACAGGACACCAAAGCCTGGCAAGTGCGATAAGGATTGATGGCTGTGTGCGACACGGCCGAGACGTGAGTGCAAGTGTGCAATGGAGGATGGCGATAAACGACAAAGGGTCGTCGTCGGCGTGAGCGGCGAGATAGTGGGTGGGTGTGGGGGTGGACGGGGTAAAGGGGTGTATATCTCCCTTTGCGTTGCCGGAAGCGTGTGTGGGCGCTTAGGCGCTAAGCTGTGGAGAGCGAATGGGGAGCAAACTAGTGGGGGATGGTAAGACAGACAGAATGGTTATGAAGAGGACGACATGCCCGGAGCTCGCTGTCGACTGCGTAAAAAGCGAGCGGTGCGGGGGCATGCGGAGGTGGGTGTGTGGGGCAGAAGGCCTGCGAGGGCACCACATGAGCGCGCAACAGCGAACAAGAACAGACGAGAACAACTCATCCGGCGCTAACCGGCGTGCGCACGCACACGCGGGGTGGCCAAGTCTTTTGGGCTTTTCGGCCAAAGCGCCGTTCGTTGCGTTCATAACCTCCCCGCATGGCCCCACGGGTCCTTGATATCCAAACCTGGTCGTGCTTTGGTCTGACGCCAGGTCGCACCAACAATGGAGCCAACGCATAGCTCTATCCACGTAACAGACACACAAGAGGAGATGAAGACTTGGATGGAATTTTTGAGGTGTTGTGTGCGTGCGCGCTCGTCACATTGATCACATTCGTTCCCCCTTGGTCTGCTCACTACTACATGGTACATGCCGCTCTCTTTAGCAGCGGGCTTCTCCACCTGCACTCCTCAGCCGAAGGTCCGCCGAAGGTTTACGGGCCCTCACGTATACGAGTTGCACACGCTCTATGCTGCCTTGTCCACGACCTGGCGCTTAAACTCGTCAAAGTCGACGACACGGTTCTCGTGCCGTGCCTTTTCAGCCGCAAAGACCGTGAGGTGGCTGTTGAGAATGTCGTCGGGGGTGACACCGAGGAGGGACTGGTCGTCGTTCGCCACTGCAGCGACAAAGCACTCGGCGAGCACACCGTCTCCGCCGCCGTGGGCGCCCACGCCGTTGTCGGGGACGACGGTGCGGCTTGAGCGTGAGAGAAAGTCAAAGACGGTAAACGTGTTCATGTCGCCCACGAGCTCGCCCCGTGTGCCCTGGATGACGGTGCGGCGGGCACACTCGGCCTCGGTGAATGCGCTCATGGTCATGTTGGCAGTGACGCCGCCGTCGTACTCGATGTTGACGACCTGGTGGTCGACCACGTCGTTGCCGGCCTCGTAGACACAGATACCGTACGGACCCTCCTCGAGAGCGCGGGTGACATTCTCCTTGGTCACGTCCGTGTCGTGGACAATGACGCGGGCCCAGCCGACCCTGCGCTTGCTGTCGGGCTCCAAGGCGTCGAGGTAGATCTTCTGGGCAGACCACACGCAGTCCTTCTCGGCCTTGCAGTCGAGGCAGCGCTTGACGTCTCCGGCAGCCGCGGGTTTCTTGGAGGGCTTGAAATGCGCGACCGAGCCAAACGACGAGATGCGGTTGGGCTTGCGGCCATCGAGGTAGTATGAGAGGATGTCGAGGTCGCTGGGAACGTCAGCTGTGAAGATTGACCACATCAAGCATTTCAACTCACTGGCAGCACTTGGCCATGAGGGCAAAGGTAGTCTCGTGCTCCTTGCCCCAGTTTCCGCGGACGAACGAGTGGGCAAAGTGCTCGTTGCCAACGGGCTCCATGTGCTGGATGTTGACAATGTCTCCGAGGACGCCCGAGTCGATCACCTCCTTGACCGCGCGGTTGTAGGGCGAGTACCGGAGGACGTGACCGACACCAAAGATGAGTGGGTGGCCAGTGGGGCTCGTACCAGCGCTGCCTTGGATCTCCTTGACCATGTTGACGCAGTCGGAAATCTCGGTGGCCATGGGCTTTTCGCACAGGATGTGGTACCCGAGCTTGGAGAAGACGCTAACGGCCGGCGCGTGCAGCTGGTCCAACGTGGTGACGAGGACGGCGTCGGCGAAGCGCGGGAGCTTGGCAACCTCCTCCCAGTCACTGAAGAGCCTGTCGTCGGCGAGGCTGGAGTGATGTCAGTTGAGATAGCTTGCGGGAGGGCTCCAGCAGAACGTACTGGTGCTGGCGAGCAAAGATCTTGCGGCGGGCCTCGCGCGGGTCGGCGACAGCGACGACCTTGGCCAGGTGTGGGTTGTGGAGAGCATAGTTGGCGTAGACAACACCACGCTGACCGCCGCCAAGGACGATGAGGGTGACGGGATTGGACTGCTCGGTGACCATGATGAGAGGCAACGACGTGGGATAAGAGAGAGAGACAGAGAGAAACAGAGAGAGACACGGGTGTGTGAGGCTGCGTTGCGTGGGACCCGAGGACGTGGAACCAGATATATACGTGTTGGCTGTGGGTGGGGGAGAGTCTACACACGACAAACTCGACTCATCAGCAATACACAAACGATCAATGGCCCAACAATGGACCGATCACCTAGTGGCCGGTGGGACTGATGCGCCATCTTCCCCGACATGACTCTGAGCTTATCGCCCAATCCAAACGCAGACGTTGCACCTCTCCCCCCGCAAGCCCCACACAATGCACCGTGTCATGTGCCACCTCGCGGCCGTGTGGGCAAGCGCGCCGTGCTCGAGCCAAGCCATCAGCGCAGCAGGTGGCGATGAGACTACGAGAATAGACTAACCTGGGCAAGTAAGCGCGGCCCCACAATGCTAGCAACGACGGCAACAGGCCAACAGGCTCGAGAACGCAGAAACACGAACGACGACCTTCTCGCGGGAAACTTGGTGGAATTGGTGGTCATCATCGCTCAAAGCCGACGTTCAGGACACACGGGCACTTCCGCCGCTTTCGCCGAGAACATGTTTTCCATCTGTTTGCCCTGCACACCTCTCTTTGATCCGCACAAGTCTGTGCCAACCTCCCCCGCCCCCACTCGCCCATGCCCGCGCCAAGACGGAAGGGAAGATCGTGTGCCTGCTGTTGCAGGTTCAGACAGAGCACGAGCGCTGCGCGCTGGGCATCAATCAGCTTGAACAGAAGAAGAGGGAAAGAACCCGTGTGGGGGCTGCCGGATATATGGCGTGTCCCGCCGGATGTGGCCGTGGCCCGCAATATGGGATATATGCCGTTCGCGCCGTCGGTGCTCTCTACGACACTCCGCCGACGCGGCCAGTCGGTCCGACGGGGCAGGTGGGGGCTCCTGTTCCTCCATAAGTGGCACCCGGTTCAGAGCCGGGCACGCCGGGGGCGACGAGCAAGGTGCTGAAGTGAGGAGCCGGAGCGCTGTGGCGGATATCATGATGGTGGTACAGTAGCGTTCAGGAGACGAAGTCTACCGGTAGGTCGGTCACACGAGCCGCGACATCCTATATCCTGCTCCTGCACACGCCGGGAGTGGTTACGACGGGTGTGCCAAGAGGAGTGATGACTGGGCGGGTCTCCTAATGGGGAATGGGTTAAAAGAGTCCTGTGCGTTAGGCATTTTTGAGCCCCTACCTTGTTGGCATCCTTGCACCAGAGACGGCTCTGCCAACCTGCCACCACACAAGCATAACTGCCCATAGTGTCGAACCAAGCCCACCCAAGTCGCCGTCTCCCTGTTCGTGGCTTGGGTGGCTTGGTTCGACATTGTTGGGGGTTGTGCCTCTAGTGGTAAACGTCTCCGGTGGAAGGATCAAAGGTGGGGTTACTGAGCTGAGCGAGCCCGCGGCCGGCGGCAGTCAATAAGCTGAGAGATAGATGGCACATAGGGTTGCCAGTGGGGTATGCTTCCTCGTAACATCCGATACGGACACTTTTCTATCTTCGTCTAGGCCTTGAGGTACTTGGCATGGAACTCGACGTGCTCCGGCGAAAAGGTCGAGATCTATCCGTCAGCGATGATGTTCAAGGTAACAGGCACAAGGCTCCATGTGCGCAAACGGGGATATGCAGCCCATATCGCACATGGACTCAGACTGCCACAAACCGCCACTCACAAAGTAGTACGAGTGGTCGTAGCCCTCCTGGCGCCTGAGCGTGAGCTCGCCGCCGACACCGCGGCCGTCCGCCACACGGGTCTGCTGGGCCTGCTCGAGGGCCTCGGGAGTGAGCTGGCCGGCGATCAGGAACTGGTCCGCGGTGCCGACGTCGACGAGGATGTGGAGCGAGCCCGCCTCCGCCTTGGTCGAGGCGAGGAGGAAGGAGGCGTCGTGCGGCAGCCACTCGGCGGGGGGAAGCGAGCGGGTACGCGTCTCGAGGTATGCGGTGAACGCGCCGATGCCCCAGGGGACGCGGGAGGGGTTGCTGGGGAGTCAGCTGAGCACGAATGCCGACGACGCGGACAGCTGGGTGTGGCGGCCAGTCGCTAACTGCCATAGTGGCTGAGGTGCAGGTGAGCGCAAAGCAGCCACAGACGAACAGAGTTGACTTTTTGCTGAGACCGCAACTCACGTAATTGGGGAGAAGGCCGAGCACGACTTGAAGAGACCCGGGTTCTTCAGGTAGATGGTGAGGGCGCCGTGGCCGCCCATCGAGTGACCGGTGATGGACCAGCGCGAGAAGTCCTGAGCAGTCAGCGCGCGAGCTCTGTGGGTTTGGAGGCATGAAGGGCGGTGACGCAGCTCGGATCCTTCACGGATTTGCAGCTGGGTATCACCGCCGACTTCTTGCTGTAGATGAGGAGAGAGAGGAGGACAGCTTTGAACAGAAGGAGTTGCAAAGCTGCAACCGCCTCCTTACCTGCTCTTCACCCCAGGACAGCAAATGGTATCGGAAGTAGCGGGAGAAGAGGGCAATCCAGCTCTGATTGCCGCATGACATGTGGCGAGCTGAGCCCTCTCTGCACACTCCCTCCTCAGTACCGCCGCCAATAAACACAGGCGAGTCCCACTCACCAGACCCAAGTTGGCGGCCTTGAGGGCGTTGGGCAACTCCTCGACGACGTAGGTGTACATGTTGTAGTGCCTCTTCCACTTCTCGGCAGTGGCGTCGATGTAGAAGCCGGCGCCTGGGGATCGTCAGTCCTTGCTTCAGAGGTCACCATGCCCGACGTGTGGGTATGGGGCATGGCGGAGAGAAAGGAGGAAGGTGACGAGGGAAGGCAAGCAAAGGAGGGAAGGAGGGAAGGCGGGGGAAACGTCGCCAAGGTCACCCCATAAGCCCGCCTCTAGCAGAGCCCAGAGTACCACATATCCAGGGAGAACCATGGCTGTACATCACCATCACTCAAATCGCACTCAGCATGCAGTGATAACCAGCCAAGAGCCGTATCCACAGCGCTTATCGAGTCCTTGGCACATATCCCAGCTGAAGACTCCGACGATCGGAAAGTCCTGCTGCCCACAGGTCGTCGCGTACACGCCCGCGCCAGCATCGTTGTCGTGGACCCCACCCCACACTCCCGATGGAACCCCCCCCCCCCCCCCCCCCCCCCCCTCCCCACGGCCTCTGTTCACCGCCAACACCCGCCATCAGGCGGGTTACTCACCGGTACCAAGCTGCCAGTCGTCGTCCTCGCCCTCGACGCCGGCGCCGCGCGGGCTCGTGTCGGGAAAGACGAGGGCGATACCCTCTTTACCAGCCGTGTTGAACATGCCGGCCTTCCACGCCGCCGTGTCCTCGGTACACGTCAGGCCCGCGAGGTAGAACAGGACCGGGACGGGCGCCTGCGCGGCGCTGTCGGGCACGAAGACGTTGACAGACGCCGTGAGCGCGCCGAGGGACGCTGAGGGGAGCGTATACTTTGTGATCGTGCCGTTGGCGACGCGGTTGGAGGCGGTGGCGGTGAGAGTCATTTTGGGCAAAGGATGCAAGGTTGTGGTGAACGGGAACAAGAAGAAGAAGAAGAAGAAAGGAGTGGGCGATGAGGAGATGGGTGGTAAGCACCTGTGGCCTGTGGGGTCGGGTTACTCCGTGTCGGATCGTAAAGTGGAGGCATGGCTTGGCTCGGCATATTCAGGCAATGTGCGCGATCGTTCGCTCATTGTCGGCTGGGTCCATCACAGCCTGGAAACATGTCCCTCTTCGGATGCGAGTGCAGCAGCAGTGTCCCGACGATACATAGACCCCTAAGCTTAGCCCATACCTTGGTGCGCTCCTAACTTGGTCTCCAGGGGACGCGTGCCAAGACCACTGTTGGGGCCGCAGCGTGTCAGTCGAGGCCCGGGGGTCGCGCGGTGATGTCATTGCTCATGAAGCGTGGGAACGCTGTGCGACGCGTCCACGATCATTGTCAATAAAAGAATCACGGAAAGATGGCCCCCATATGAGAGCGACGCGACATGCTCGGCAAGGTGATAACCAGATAGTGTGACTGGCATAGTGGATACCAGATGCTGGAAGGCATGCAGTGGCGCTGGCCGCTGGCTCTGGGCCCCATTGTACAAGCAACAAACTCGATGCACAACTGCAGGCAATCTACATCTTGGCTGTAGCCCTGCCCCTGCCCCGACCCCTCGCCCTACCCCGTCCTCGTCCTGTCCTCCCCCTCGTCGCGGGCCGAGGGGTCGCCAACTCGTCGTCCTTGGTCTCCCCGTCACTAGCATCCTCGGCATCGCCAGTACTCAGTGGACTGGTGGGTGCCGTGCTGGGCGCACCACTGGCTGCCGAGGCGGCCTCGTGGTCGCTCGCGCTGCTGGAGGAGGATGGCGGGTGGTCGCGATACGTGAGGCTGTGGGACTCTCGGTCGGCGAGCATGGCTTCGACGCGGGTGGCGGACGTCGTGGAGCCGGCACTTGGGCGGCGGGGGCGGTCCGGGTCGAGGTCGTCTGGCGCCGAGACTGTGCTCTCGGTACGCACGTCAATGTCCTCGAGGAGAATCTCAACTGCCGCGGAAACGTCTCCCTTTGTACGCGCCAGAACACCAACGACGTGTGCGTCATCGAGGCCGTGGCCGGGAGGCAGCGACGCCAGGACCTGGGCGAGACGCGAGTCCTTGCCGTTGTCGGGCTTGCCGTCGAGTTCGGGGACCGGCTCGCCACGCTCCCTCCGCGCTGCCTCGCTCACGTCTCTGGCATGGGGCACGGCCATCGAGTCTGGAATGTCGGCAGGGCCGGAATCACGTCCGCGGCGGATACTCTCGTAGTGCTCCGCCTCGGCGAAGAGGGCGAGCCACAGCATGGCATGTCCTGGGCGAGCGGGGGGCACAAGACCTGCCAGGGCGGCGGTGTATTCCTCTGTTGGAGCCTCGGTTGTCGCCTCAGGCTCGGCTGCGACCTTTCGCAGGACGGTGGTGGAGGAACGGGTGCGGCGGCGAGTTTGCGGGGCCTGCTTCTCGGGCTCGGCGGTAGCGACAACAGCCGTAGGGACAGGGGTCATGCCTGGAGCGGGTGGGCCGACGTACTCGACGGTATAGCTAGTCTGGGCGAGGATGACACGGATACTGCGGCGAAACACTTTGGTAGCTGCTTGCAGTTCAATGTGCGAGCCATACACGCCTGCACCACGCATGCGCTGGACGTAGCCATCATATGTCTCGCCCTCGCTGAGGAAACCGGCGACGAAATCACCCAGTTCCCCCCTTGCGCGTTCGAGGTGGTCGCACACGAGCTTGCGCACCTCGGCGTGCCGGCTCTGCTCGCCCCACAGTTGATCGGCCAGCGCACGGAACAGGCAGTTGCCGTCGGCGTTCACGTCCCGCAGCGTGAGCTGCAGTCGCGCGACCTCGTGCTTGATCGCGACACTCTCGGCTGCGATGCTCTCCAAAGTTGTTGGAGTGGCAGAGGTCCGCCGGCTGCGCGTCGCGCGGGCCGAGCGAGACGCGCGGGGTACAACATTGGAGGCTGGTGTTGTGCCGCCGCCCCGTTTGGCGGCGCCGCGACGTGGCCGACCGCCGCCAACGAGACGTGGAACCGCAGTCACCGCGGGGGTGTAATCAGTGTCCTCGTCGCTCCAGCGTGTACGGCGCAGCTTGCGGGGCGGGGAAGACGGCGATGGTGGTGCCGATGTCGATGTGGACGCCGAGTGCGAGGCGGAGGAAACAGACTCGCGGCGACGACGGACGGCACCCGTGCTGCTCCCCTCTCCACGCGCTGCCGGGTCAGGATCGTACCCGAGCGGGTGTGTCATGAGATGGAGGGGTGGGTTTGGGGGGTGTCGTGTCGTTGTAGTGTGGTGTCGGTGTTGTGTGAGCCGTTGTTTGTCGTGAGGGGAAGGGACGTGAAGAGGGGGGGAGGTATGCCGGGTCAAATGTCCGTGAGCTGGCAGACGTCGCGGGGTGTGTGTGTTGGAATGCGCGTGAAATGACGGGTTGCAAGGGGTTGGTTATGCGGGGTGGGTGGGGGTTCTGCCCTCTGCCTGGGCTGTGGGTAGTTGCACGACGCGTTGTCGACGGGGGTGTGTCGGCTGGGTGTGTGTCGACGTTGTAGGGAAGACTAGTTTTGACCCAAAAAGCGTAAACGACGGCGCGATGGACAATGCGTTGTGTGTGGCAACAAACGAGAGCGTGCGCGTGGGTGCCAGGGGGAACGAGGGGTTGGGTGGCGCCGCCGTGGCTGAAGCTGGCGGGGGTGGAGAGAGGGGTGGGGGTTGGGTGGGGAGATGGGCCCGTGTGGTGGTGGTGGTGGGTGGGCCCGTGTTGGTGGGAGAGACGGAGAGTGGGTGAGAGATGAACCGCGTCGCAAGCGGTGTGTGGACGGGCGAGAGAAGGTGGGGTGCGACGATAAGATGAGGGTGGAGACACACACACCCCGACGAAATGAGCGAGAGAGATCTGCCTGCGCCATTACACGGGGCCAGCTTGGCCACCGTATGCTGGGATCGTTTTGGGTGGTGGCTGCAGTGCGGCGGCGCGGCGGGTGCGGGCAGGGGGGGGGGGGGGGGGAGCGCTTAAAGCGAAAAAAAAAAATAACTTGAATCTATTTTGTTGTTTCCGACGTCACGCGACGTGCCCGTGGAAACATTGAACGCCCCCAGGTGCTGATGACGTCGGCCGTGCAAAAAGCTGCAAGGCTTGTGATCTTGTGATCTCTACCGGCTACCGGAACTCGTGCAAATTACTCCGGCGCAGGGCTTGGACAAATGGTGGTGGTGCGACTGGGACACTGGCAATTGATAGTGGGTTGTGGAGCCAAAAAGGTGTGCGTAAACGTCGATGGAAGAAGCGAACAACTGCAAAGCGATGTCTGGTGCCACCTCCCCAACCCCTCTGCAAATGCGTCAAAATCCTGACCAAGCCCGAGCGAGATACGCACGCCTTGCTTCTCGGCTGCACCATCGGCCCGGAGCTTCTGTACACTGATTGCCACCGAAGCCTGCATCTACTGTAGCTCTAAGGTAGGAGGGACAAACAACTGTCGTGGTGGGTGGCATGACCAGAAAGTGGAGGTTGCGCTAGGGTCTAGCTGCTCTCTACTTCTTGAGCGCCATCTTGCGCCTGCGAGCAGCACCAGCCTTGCCGAGACCGGCCTTGCGCTTCTTTTCCTCCTCAGCAGCGCTGGCGCTCTCGTCAGCAGTAGCCGTAGCCGGGGTCGACGCGCCAGACTCGTCGCCCTCAGTCTCGCCCTCTGCCTTGGCACCCTTCTTGCCCTTGGCAGCCTTGTTGGCACCGCGCTGGCGCTGGGCACGCAGCTCGGCAGCACGAGACTTGCGCGCGGCAGGAGTAGGTGTGTCGACCTCGCTGACGTCAAAGCCAGCAACAGTGTCCTCCTCCTCGTACTCCTCCTCCTCAAAGTCCTCGGTGTCGACGCGGCGGCTCTTGCCGCCAGCACGAGCGATGAGGGCACGCGAGAGCGTCACGGGCCAGGTACGCGAGAACGAAGGGAGAGGAGCGAGGCTGTCGAGAGGGGTGGCAGTGCCATCGTCGTGAGGCTAAGCACAAGTCAGCGAGGGCTTTTCGTCTTTCGCGGCCCGGAACTCACCAGCAGGACCTGGTCACCATCAACAACAAGCTCGAGAACGTCGCCACCAAGGCCGCCCTCAACCATGGGGACCTTGACCTTGCGGCGGCCCTGTGCACCGCGAGCAGCCTTCTGGGCAGCCTCCGTAAAGTAGGCCACACGCGCAATGTCGCGGGTGTAGTTGATGCGGAGGACGAGGTAGTGCATGCCGGCGGTCAGAGCCGCAATGAATCCAAGAACGAGGCCGAGTCCCGGACGCCAGCGGCTGTAAGCATAGCCAAAGCCCTTCCAGGTGGGGACACCGTTCTTGTAGAAGAACTGTGGGATGTTAGCTGCGGGTCTCGTTGGGGAGAAGCGTGTGATTTAGCTGATGGTTGTCCAGCTGGGTTCGAGTGGATTCAGCTGTCCCCGACACGCCGTGTCCCGCTGGCCACTATCCTCTTTAGAGCATAGGGTAATGATACAGGTCAACGGACACAGGGAGCTCGTGATCTGCTGTTGCGATGCTAACCACCCAACAGCATACCCTCCCTCGCGCCCGCTCCACCTGCATAACAACGGCTGCGACCAGCTGCCGGCACCTTGGTGTAGCAGTACCGTGCAATACACAGCGACGGAAAACTGACAGACGATCGTGATGCGCTGCTGTGACCTGTTTGTGACAAACAACAGCAGCCACGACACGTACAACCCTCCGTCGCAGCACAGCACGACACAACTCTAGACCCGTGCTTCCTTCCTCGGCTCATGCTGCACTCGTACTCACGTTGTACCTGTCGCGCTTCTCCGAGTCCTTGAGCACAGTCGAGATCACGACGAGACGCGCGTACCGCTCCTGGGCGTGAGGGACGCCGCGGTTCTTGTCCGGGTGCAGGTCGCGCGAACGCTTGCGGAACGCGCGCTGGATCTCAGCAGTGGTGGCGCTGGGCTCGATCTGGAGCTCGGAGTAGAACGAAGCGTCGGGGCCTGGAGGTTGATGCCCATTCCATACAGATGGCAAGTAAGATATGATGATGTTGGGGAGAGAGAAGACACCGTCAGCACACACTGTACACGAGGTTTGGGGGTCAGGTTACAACCCACCGACATCCTTCCTGAGCGCCGCGACGAGGTCAAAGATTTCATAGTCGTCCTTTGTCCACGCGAGGGCGACGGCCGAGAAGGCGAGCGCCAAGAGGGCGAGGAGCGGCGCGGGAAGGCGCATGTCCTCAAAGGTTACTTTAAGTGGGCTGTGGGAGGTGAAAGAGTTGGTGACAGAGTTCCGCGCTGGCGTGAATATCTCGCTTGACGCGTATGGACGCACCCGACGTGGCGAAATGTCCTGGCCAGGGGGTGGATTTTGACGGAGATGGATCTCCGCGTTTCAAGCAGCAAGTTCGCGCTCACCAACCCATCCTTCATCATCCAACCTAGTCCAACAACAACAACAATAACAAACAACAGTCACCATGGTTGTAAGCTTGGGTGTTCTCATCTAAGCTGACACGCAGAAACTCCTCGTCAAGATTGGTATGGAGCTCGAGAACGTCGCTAGCGTCGTTCCCGAGGAGCCCTACGAGTACTTCTTCAACGTGCGTCCCTCACGAGCGTCCCTCTACCACTGAACCAAACTGACCGAACAGGTCATGTGCACGTCGTGTCGTGAGGAGCACCCCAAGGTCGTCTCGTTTAACCAGACTGTACGTCTTTTCTTCCGTTACACGGGCTCGTTCACCTAACGGCACTGCAGGAGGAGCACGAGCTGTCCGGCTCGCGCGGCAGCGCGCACTTTGTCTGGCGCTGCGGCAACTGCAAGGTACGTCACCTTTTTCGAAATGGCAGAAGCTGACATCCAGCGCGAGCAATCGTGCTCGTTCGCCTCGCCCTCCGCCTCGTCCAAGTCGACCGCCGCCCTGCCCTACGCCGCTGAGAACGCGCAGCTTGCGCCGCTCATCGCGCTCGACTGCCGCGGCCTCGAGGTCACAAAGTTCCACTTCCGCGGCCGCTGGATCGTCGAGACTGCCGAGGGAACCAAGTTCGAGGCCGACCTCGAGGAGGGCGAGGAGAGGTGGGACGACTATGACGAGAAGACTGAGGAGCCTGTCAGCATCAGCGAGTTTGTGAGCGCCGTGTCCCGCGTCTAAAGGCGTGTGGGTGGCCGCCCGCGCGGCGCTATGCTGTCAATCTCGTCGTCTGTCCATCGCCAGAATCCCTTCGGCCCGACAACAAACCCCACACCCCCGGTCCTCGTCTCGTTCGGCAACTTGCACATGCGCCAAGCATTGCGCAAGTCGGCCGACATGACATGACCGGCCCGGGGGCGAGGGTGGGTGAGCGAGTGCCGAGTCGTTTGACGGATGAGCTGGACCGCGAGGAACCCCCCGGGCGAGATGGACGGATGAGCTGGGTGGGCCCCGTGTTGGATATACACTTTTGTTTCTAGATGATAATGCGATTAAGTGGATGATGTGCCGACAGAGATACAGAGGTTTAGCGGGTGGGTGTATGTGGAACGCGGTTGGGCAGGCGCGGTGCATGCGACGGGCGACGGGGTCGTGGGATGCGAGATTATCGGCAACCTCTGGCCATTGACAGCCCAGGCTCTGTTTCCGCCACGAGCCTGTGTCCGTGGCTCGTGTTGCCCCTGGATACGTACCCAGGCGCGTGGTGGAGCAGAGTGTCTGGGAGCTGGCGCGGTGGAGTGTGTGGTCGTGTACCGAGTCGGTGACTCAGACCGTATGAGCACGAGGGTGGAGCCTGATAAGATAATGGGTACAGATGGAGAGAGTACGCAGCGCCGGTGCTGCGCTCTTGTGACCGTGACTCTTCTGCGGCTCTACGCACTCTGCTCGCTTCGATAAGGCTCCATATCAGTCATGCAAAGTCTCTGGAGGTGAGAGTGTCACACCACTGCCTTCCAACCGCCCCACAAAAATACAGAAGTGGAACAGAATACTCGATGGTGATATTTAAGTGCTTTAAGTGCTATGATTTTCTATAGCAATAAACATGTCCTTGCACCTAAACACGATGCCTTTAACGCTTGACAGTTTGGATGGCCCGCACACACGTAAGAAAATAAACCTGCCACTCGCAATCCCATCCCCAATGCCGGCTGCACCCTGATGTCGATGTCCACGTCTACTAATGCTGCTGCTGTTTCAATGCTGCTACTGTTTGCGGTTATGCTTCATGACCTGCTTCTGTCCATGCCTATGTGCTGCTATACACTATCTTTTGGGTTTCCGCTTAGATGGCGCCCTTGCCCCACTGGGCAGCGTTGGACGCGAGCTCGACGGCCGCGTTACCCCAGTCCTCGCCGTGGTCTAAAGTCAGCGCAAGCGTCTCACAACAGAACCGGTTCGTGTGGGAAGGAGAGTGTGCCGAGGGAAGGGTACAGCTTCACCCCCCACCTGCACACACTCTCCAATTCCCACTCCCCAGTGCCAGCAGAAACTCACTGTGGCCCTTGTTCTCGCCACGGCCGAGGCCGGCACGCTCGAGAGCCTGGTCGTCGGTAAGAGCGGTAAGGACACCAAAGACCACGGGGGTACCGGTGTCGAGCTGGACGCGCATGAGGCCGTGGCTCACGGCGTCACAGATGTACTCAAAGTGCATGGTCGAGCCCTTGATGAGCACACCGACAGCGATGACGGCGTCAAACTCGCGGACGGCCGCGGCAGTCGACGACGACTCGGGACCGGGAGTGCCGGTACGGGCGGGGTCGTCAACGAGCGAGAGGAGGTTGGCAGTAGCGCCGCCGAGGAGCGAGGGAGCGGCGTTGGCGGCCTGGGCCTTGCCGCCAGCGATGAGCCTGGAGACGGTCAGTGAGGTTCGTTCATGAGGTAAGGTGGAGGGAGGAAGGGAAGACAGGCGCCGGCCGGGCCGGAGCTGCCGCGTAGTAGAACATGGTCGAAGAGGGCAAGGACAGTGAGGCTACATCGAGCTCCCAGTGGCAGCTATCATAGAGCTCAGTCAAATGACTCACTTCTGGCACGCAAATGGCAGCTCGTAGCTGCCTGGCACGGTCTTGAGGACAATGTTCTCCTCCTTGACGCCCTGCTTCAAGAGAGCCGCAATGGCGCCGTCCACCAGGGCCTTGATGACCTTGTCGTTCCAGCGAGCGTGGACGATGGCAATGCGGAGCTGGGAGGCACCCTCAAAGGTCTGGGCGAGGGGCTCGAGGCCCTTGATAGTCTTGTCTGCCATGTTTATCGGTGTTGTAATGGAACGTCGAGGAAGGGAGAGAGTTCGTGCGCGCGTAAGCTGGCGTGTCATTTCATTGGGATTGCGGTCATTGACGATGGCGTGGATATCACGTGATAGGGATTTACGTAATGAAGAGCTTGTCTCTCCTTATGTGATGGGCGCAAATACACTTTTTGGATGGCATGCCCACTATGTCTCCCACATTCGAAAAGAAAAAAAAAACGGTCTCTGCCCAGAGATCTCGCCGACTGGCTCCGGGGCCATGGTGAGCGTCTGCACAACCTGACCTGAGAGAGAGCGGCCGAGCGGGCGAGGGGAGCGGGTGTGGTGTTTTCAGGACGGGTTGGGGTCCAATGGCATTCTGGAGGCAATCGGGCAGGCCGCACGGTAGAGTCGAGTTGACTGCACCGTACAAGTGATCCGCCCAGCCAGCGCCAGCAAACCGCACTCAGGAACTCGAATGCCCCCCCGGGTACTTTAAAACGCATCGCGCTGGCCATCCTTTCTTCTTCTCCACTCACCTCTCCACCACCATGTCTTTCTCTCGCTCTACGCAGAACGCCCTCCGCCAGGCCATCCGCGCCTCGGCCCCCCGCTCGGCTCGCTCGTTCACCCTCATGGCCCGCGCTGCCCCCAAGGCCGCCGCTGCCGCCCGCACCCTTGGCGTGAGTCCTCGCTGTCGCTGCCTACCCCACCCCCGCCCCCGCGCGCACGCGGAGTGGGAACAGGCATATGCCGCCCATGTTTACAGTACGCTGACTTGATCTCCAGGCCACCCGTGGCATCAAGACCCTTGACTTCGCTGGCACCAAGGAGCAGGTCTACGAGCGCGCCGACTGGCCCCTCGAGAAGCTCCAGGAGTGAGTTTTGCACGGTTGTGAAAGCGGGCTGCGGGCCGTTTTTGGCAGGGGCTGGGGGGAATGGACTTTTTCTTTCTATGGAAAAAGTCCAGCCCCCCGGAGGCTCCGGTCCAAAATGAACCCTACAACCCCGCCTTTTGCAGCCAAATTTCAGGACATACCACAGCAAAATGGCAGGCACTGATACCACCTCGCAGCTACTTCAAGAACGACACCCTCGCCATGATCGGCTACGGCTCGCAGGGCCACGGTCAGTCGCTCAACGCTCGCGACAACGGCCTCAAGGTCATCGTCGGTGTCCGCAAGGGCGGCGAGTCGTGGAAGCAGGCCCAGGAGGACGGTTGGGTCCCCGGAGAGACCCTCTTCGACATCCCTGAGGCGATTAACAAGGGTACCATCATCATGAACCTCCTCTCGGACGCCGCCCAGTCGTCGACTTGGCCCGAGATTGCTCCCCTCATCACCAAGGGCAAGACCCTCTACTTCGCCCACGGCTTCTCGGTCGTCTACAAGGAGGACACCAAGGTTGTCCCCCCCGCCGACGTCGACGTCATCCTCGTTGCCCCCAAGGGCTCGGGCCGCACTGTCCGCACCCTCTTCCTCGAGGGCCGTGGCATCAACTCGTCGATCGCCGTCTTCCAGGACGTCACCGGCCAGGCCAAGGAGAAGGCCATCGCCCTCGGTATCGCCGTCGGCTCGGGCTACCTCTACGAGACCACCTTTGAGAAGGAGGTCTACTCGGACCTCTACGGAGAGCGTGGTGTCCTCATGGGCGGTATCCAGGGCATGTTCCTCGCCCAGTACGAGGTTCTCCGCAAGAACGGCCACTCGCCGTCGGAGGCCTTCAACGAGACCGTTGAGGAGGCTACCCAGTCGCTCTTCCCCCTGATCGGCAAGTACGGCATGGACTACATGTACAACGCCTGCTCGACCACCGCTCGTCGTGGTGCCCTCGACTGGGCCCCCAAGTTCAAGGAGGCCAACCTCCCCGTCTTCGAGGCCCTCTACAAGTCGGTCCGTGACGGTTCGGAGACCCGCCGCTCGCTCGAGTTCAACGGCCGCAAGACCTACCGCGAGGACTTCCAGAAGGAGCTCGACGAGATCGACAACCAGGAGATCTGGCGCGCCGGCAAGACCGTCCGTGCCCTCCGCCCCGAGGCCGCCAAGGACGAGCTCTAAGCTACTCTTCCACTATAGTAGTTTAGCGTTGAGGTGACAGTTGGCCAGCAGAGTATCGGCAGTAGTTTTTACAAAAGGGAAACACCCGTTAGACAACGCTTGTAATCCCCTAGGCATGCATAGGACAGGACAGCAAACTAGCAGAGGCATGAGCATTTTCTTCTCTCGCTGATCTCGGAGCAGCAACGTGATCCGTGACTGACGAGAGCGAACCACTTTTCCACTTTTCTCTCTAGAAGTTTGGGCCTGGGCTTGACTGTCCAAACAACCCTGACTTTGGCCTTGGCAGTGGGGGTCAATAGCCAGTCGCAGTGGTGCTCCCGCCACAACCGGCCGACGAGTGTCAGGCTGAGAAGCAACGTTCTCGGCACAACCAACAGCATCGTGTAAAGTGCACGGGCATGCATGCATGTGGTCGCTCAAGGCCACAACACTGTACACGTATATATGAATGTTACAAAAGTGGCACTCCACCAAAGCGGCAATGCTGGTGGAATGAAATGTCCGTGGCACTCATGGCCGTCGGTACGTTTCTGTCGCCTTTCCGAAACGCCCTGTTTCTCCCTCTTACTTCTCGTTCTGCTCCCAGTCCGGGTTGTACGTGGGCGGGAGGTCTTCGACCTCGGGTTCCTCGGCGGGGTCGGCACGCGTGAGGGCGCCGGCATCCTCGTGTCGCCTGAACCCGCCGGCGGGCGCGGTCGAACGGGGCTGCTGGGGATCCTCGAGGAGGCGGGAGACGTCTGGGTTCTGCGCCGCCATCTGCGCCTTGGTGGGGAGGAGCTGGCGCGTCGTGCTGCTGCTGCCGCCGCTGTAGGCCGTCGGCGCGTCGCTGCCACTGACGCTGCGCGTGTCGGCAGTGTTGTGGCTGAGGGCAAACGACGAGTGGCCATACGATCCGGGGCCCAGGTGCCCATGGCTGCCACTGGCAGGGTACGTGCTCGAGTCCCAGCCCGAGCTGGACGAGGTGCCGGCGCCAAACGTCGACTGGCGCGGCGGCTGGCTGAAGTCTTGCCCGCCGCCCATGAACGGCGAGATGGGAGTCTGGGGGACCTGGTCATTCCTGTTGAAGGAGCCCAGAGTGTGGCCCTCGGGCGAGTCGGTGTAGCGCATGCCACCACCCTCATACAGGTCGACGTTGCGGCCCTTGCGCTTGGCCTGGTGGTTCTCCTTCATTTCCCTAATGTTGCGCCTGCAGCAGAGCCACAGAAGCAGGGCGACGACAATAATAACACCAGCGGCCGCACCAATGGCAATGCCAGCGATTGTACCCGTGCTCAACGAGCTCTTCTCAGTCGAGTGGCCTCCAGCGCCCGTGCTGTGCGCGTTTGAAGCAGTCGTACTGGGCCAGATCGACGAGGTGGTCGACGTGGGCGAGTTGTCATTCATACAGCTTGTGCTGCCCTTTGAGATGAGGATGAGCTCGGACACGCCGCCGTGACGGCCCTGCGCGTCCCAGGCTCCAAACATGACCGAGCTGCCCGCAGGAACGTCGGCTTGAAACGCTGTAGTCCCATCAGCATGTTTATCCAAACGATTTGCTTTTTTATACTCACAGACATTCTTGTTATCGCCGGTCGAGTTGAAGGTGGTTACGTCACCGCCCGGGATGACAGCTCTGAATTGGACCGGCGGATACACCGTGCCACTGTCAACCGCCCAAGAGAAACTCATGGAGCCACATTGCTGATAACATGGTCAGTAAACCCCCAAAGTCGCGGCTCTAGCACGTACCGCAATCTGACCGTCTTCCGGGGTCTGGTCGAACCTGAGAGGATCGCGTTAGCCTCCTCCGAAACGGTCGGGCTCTCCCGTATTGCCGTCGGAACTCTTTTACTCACGTCCACGCTGGGGAGGCCGTAACCTTGGTACACGTCGTGTCACCGTTCACCGCAGGCTGCACTTTGTACATTGGGCTGGCTCCACCGGACTACGCAAGCATGTCAGCTACCACCCTGATCCCGCGTCGCGCGCTCCATCAATGGTTGAACAAACACTCACAGCCCAGCCACTCGCGTCCGACATGATGAACACGACGTCAATGTCTGCAGCATCTGTCCATGTCAGTGCATGCACCTTCCGTGGCCATAGGTAGCTGTCCACTCACAAGGCAGCGCCCAAGAGAAAGTACCACTCCCATCGGTGTTGATAGCCGACGCGGGGATATCCACCTCTCCCGCGCTCGAGTAATTGGCCTGGGTGTACCGTTCAGCATGCACACGCACCACGAGACCCCGCCAACGACACGTACAAACACCATGAGCTTGAGGGGAGTCTGAGCTCCCGAGGTCCACGAGATATTTGTTGGCCCACATTCGGTGATGGTCGCTTTATCGACTTCGAACATGTACCCAGCAGAGACGCATTGTGCCACTGCCAAGGCAGCCGCCACGAAGCCCAGGCCGTGACGCATGGTTGGTTGGTGATGATGAGATCGCAGTACCAGCGGAGCGAAGAAGGGGATCAAGGAAGGATGTGCTTGGTCTGATGAGGAGAGACTTTGTAATGGAGCGAGTGTTGTCAAGATGTTGGAGATGCGAGACGCAAAGACAACCAGACGGCCACAGACTGACCAGGTGGGAGCTGGGTGAGTGGGATGAGCCAGTTTGAGAGTCTTGGCTCTTTTCGGCACGACCGGCATACCTGCCACCGCCTCGCTTTCTCAGGAGCGCGGGGCGAGAATGCGGGGAGCCTGACAGGTGGAGAGAGAGGTACGGTAGAGCAGCGCAAGTAACTACTGAGGACCTCTGCTGGTGAGCCAACTGTTTGCGAGCCGTGAGAGGGGTCAGACGACATCGAAACGACCGGGGATGTTCAACGGCAAGTGGCACTGCCCTGAGTCGCACGTCGTCCACGGCTTGCTCTACGACCGCGCTACCACAAAGATCCATCCAACTCCCCCCCACACAAGCAGTATCTTGCTGCGTGTGGCTGTGAAGACAGCTCCGTTCCGCCCCTGTCCATACATACCACAGGACACCGATGGATGCATGTCAATAGAACACCATGTTGCACTTGCACCACCGCGTCCGGTTTCACCGGAGGAACCACAATTGCCACGAAAGCAGGAGGGGGGCATGGTCCCCGTACCTAATGTCCCAACGGAGGCCAGCTCTGCAGTACCTCTTCTACGACACAGAGTTGTGTAGGTCCAGCCAGCAAGGAACGTCGCCCCCGTACTGAAGCGCACTCGCGAGACGTTCGCACCCACCGGCGGCGTTTGCACTGCCTGCCTGCCTGCCTTGACGGTCGCTTGCTCATGTGCCCGGGAGTTTCTCACGGCCAGCGAGGTATAACCTCACAAGGCACTTGCCTTGGCAGCATCGGTCTCTATGGCCCTTGGTTCTGCAATTGCGCCCAAAACAGCCCTGCGGTCACGACTCGGGTGTGGCGAGGATCTTGGCAAAGGAGAGATGCTTATGCTGCATACAACGTAGTGGGTACTACGACTGTAGAATGATGACTGGAACAAAACAACAGGAATAAGATCACGGATCACGGACGTTCCAGATCGGCGCGCGGTAAACCTCACCGCCACACAGGGGTCGACGTGCGGGGATGCTTTCATCGTGCGAGACCTTGTGACCCAACTGCTGACGCATCTCAACCCCCGGTTTCACGCGGAACACAATCTTCCGACCTTCTTCAGCCTCAGTGGTGCACTGCATGGGAAAGGGTTCTGCAGCGCTTTCCGGCCATGAAGCGGTTGACTGTTGACATGTATTCTGGCCTCGTGCTACAGTATCATGATACCTCGATGCTCAGACTTCAGAGCTACTCTGTGACGAACGTTATGTCACTGCTGGGCTGGTGAGTTGCTCGCGAGTATGTAACAGGGTGGCCCGCCCACGACAGTGCATGTGAACGGCTCAGCGATGTCCTCGGCTGCGCCGTCGGCAAAGGTGACAAGCCCGTCCAAATCGACCGCCACGGGACGCTGTTGCAAAGAAGAACATGCATGCGTTAAGCAAGTATACAAGATCCGTGGCTGGCTGACATCAGGTGCCCCGCAGTGACCGGCAGTGGCATCCAATCCAGGCCACGCACCTCTCCAGCACCCTCTCTGCGAGACTCAAGTCCAGGCTATACAGACCAGCGATCAGCGCTTGGGCCTTTGGCCTAAGATTGCTCCTCGTCGCTCTCTGCGGAACGATTCTTAGCCGCGTAAGCCGCGGGGCTCATGTCCACTTCGCGCATACCAAGCGCCGAGATGACACCGATCACCGCAAAGACGATCGAGCAGATGAACACGGCCTGCAGTCCTTTTTGGTATGACTGCGTGGCGGCGAGTTGGAGCGCGGGAGGCAGCTGGCGGATCACGTCGGACGACCTGCGGATTTGGGCAATGAGCTCCGGGGCGTCTGGACCAGTGATGCGCTTGGGAAGCTCCCTTTGCAGGATTGCCTGGGTGAGGGCTCCCGACAGGGAGACGCCGAGGACTTGGCCGGTCGTGCGGAACATGTACGAGACTGCGAGTAAGCTTCTACACAACGCAAATGTGATCGGACCACTCACGAGACGTTGCGACCGCGACGTGTTCACGGCCAATGTCGGCAATCAGGCCCACAATAGTGAGGGTGGAAACCGAGCCCAACGAGAACGCCATCGGACCAAACGCTGTCCACAGGCTCCATTCCGACGTGTCGAGGTCCCAAGTCGACAGCATGCAAGACGAGATCACGGCAAAGCAGCCAGAGAAGAACGTAAGCCAGTAGTACTTGCCCGTGTGGCGAACTAGGAAGCCATTGCCCAAGGAGCCCAGCGCACCGAGGACGGAGTTGGGAATGAGGTGGTAGCCAGCGACAGAGGGAGTCATGAGGCGGACGGCGGTAAAGTACAGTGGGACGGTGTACATGACACCAAAGGAAAGGATCGAGATGGACAAGTTGTTGATTGCCACCGCTACTGGGGTGCGCTGGGTCAACAGCTCGACAGGGAGGATGGGCATGACGGCAAACTTGAGTTCGACGGCGAGGAACAAGACGAGCGAGACAGCTCCGGCCACAAAGAGACCGACGATGGTGGGATCGCTCCACGCGAATCCTGTAGCCTCGTCGATAGAAGATGTCTTAAGAGACACAGCCATGAGTATGCTGCCGATGCTGCAGGCAAGGATGAACGAGCCGAGCCAGTCGACCTTCTTGAGCTTCTGGACGGTGGTCTCCTTGAGCACAGGGGTGCTGCTGCCCGAGTTGGAGGGTGACGGGATCGTGTAGCGCACCTTGAAGAAGATCATGGTGCCGGCAAGAACAAGCATGGGGACCTGGAGGTAGAACGCCCAGCGCCAGCCTAGGTTGTCGCTAATGATACCACCGATGGGTGCACCGAGACTGGAGTGTCAGTATACATACGGTACTCAAAGAAATGCAAAACTCACCCGGATCCCAAGCCGAAGAGAATGTTTGCGTACCCTTGGAAGATACCGCGGTGTGTGATGGGCACGAGGTCACTCGTGATCGTACTCGCCACCGAGGTGAGGCCACCGCCACCAATGCCCGCAATAGCTCGTGCCAAGATCATCGCATTCATGGTCGGCGCAACAGCACACATGATGTTGCCGACAGTGAAGAAGCTGAGGGCGATGAGGAGTGAGGCCTGGCGGCCAAAGATGTCGCATAGACGGCCATACAGGGGGGTGAAGCAGGAGACCGATAAGAGGCTGTGGGAGTCAGCTTGAGTTCCGGTTGACGAAGCCCACTATGCGGTGCCCAGCCACGACGCCATGTTAAGCGCGTTGAATGACGACGAGATGGTGCCCAGTAAGATCGCAACTGGCCAGTTAGTCACCATCATTAAAAGCACTTAACTCACCAATGGTGCCATCAAACGCGCTGAGGAAAGCGCATGACCACATCGAAATACACTATGCAAGTCAGCTATCGAACGTTACGGGTTGCTGCCAGCAGCTGACTCACCAGCACCCAAAAGTCAAACTGGGAACACCCAAGGGCTGTGGGTCAGCTATCACGCTTGCAAGGTCAAGACGAGCATGTGCTTACTCACCGTCATGTCAGTGATCAGTGCCCTACGAAGACGTGGGGATCGTTGCTTACCTGGGACATTCCTGCGAGGTTGTAGTGCTTGATATCGGCGACCGGCGCGTCTTCTGCGACGTGGGTGACATACTCGAGTGTCGACTCGCGCTGGAGCAGGAGCGGTGACCGCTCAGTCGGGGTCTCCTGGGAGAGTTGGGTGGTGCGCGACGGCATGTTGATATGGGCGCGGTCTCGTGTTTGACTTTCTGTAGCAGTGACGATGATGGGAGGATGAGAGGGTGGAGGTGGACGGGCACGTTGCGACGAGTGACAATGGGACGGTACCGTGTAAGATAACAGTCTTTCTGGAAGACGATGTGCTCCACGTTTCCTTTAACGAGGGATGCTTTTCGTTGTCGGCCTTGGTAGATTGGAGAGACGGAAGCGTTTACAAGTGGGCAGAGCGAGCTAGAGCGAAAGTGTCGCAACGACTGAAGCACGGGTTGCACGAGATGGCTGTGATACGCGTCGGCGAACGCCGGTCCGCGGCAACAACACGAACAGGCACCGGTGGGGTGGCGCCATGCTGGCCGGCAATGGTGTTTCTGTGTCGTCTCGTTCGTACTGCTTGTCGGTATCTGGTATTAGTATTTGTCGGAAGAGAAGAGTGGCCATGTAGACTCTGGGCAGCTCATGATCCACGGATCAACAGATTGACAGATCTACCACCTGCTGATTGCTGAGACAGATAGATAACGATTCATGACCTGACAACTATCAAGACTTCAGGGCAGTCCGGACCTCCAAGTATCGCCAACAGTGTTCATGCCCCAAGCATAACTGCTCGAGTCGTGGACAGTCGTGCGCCGCATGTCTCGTTTATACTTGCCCTCGAACGCACCTGGGCAAGCGCGGTGCCTGTGAAGCCCCAGTCAGCAGCTGAGCATCCTCACCTCTCATCCTCCCCTCAACTCCACTCACATTACAGCGCAATTGTCCCAGACGACCATGTCCGTTTCGTTATTCCAGTGGACTGCGCAGACATACTTGTCCTGTGTGGCGTGGTTGAGCAACGTCTCAATTTCCGCCTGGCCTTCGGGGATCGGGAGCTGGTCGACACGGTACGCGTGGTTGGCAATGTACATGTTCTTGAGTGGTCAGCAACATCGTCCGTGCCACAGCGACAGCTGCTCACGGTGCGTCCACTCGGCTCATGGACTTGAACCAGCTTGTGCTTGCCAAAAGGATGCGATTCAGGCAAGAACTGTATACAGCACGTCAGCCACAAGTCTTCTCTGTTCACAATCAAGTGGCACACATACCTTCGGCTCCTCCAGCAGCGGGTTACCGGGGTTGGCCCTCCGCCTCGAGTGGTGCTGGCTGTGCCACAAGACATAGTCCTTGACGCGCTCCTTTGTCTCGCCGTCCAAATCGTCATAGGCGGTACGTGTGTCAGCAAACTCCGTGTCACCGCCCGTGCCCTTTGGTGGGAGCTGGTGGGAGAGGAGAAGTGAGATGCCGGCGCGGCGGGGGTTGAATGCCGAGTCGACATGGAAGCTGCCATCAGATACCACAGCGGGAAGTCACTGCTTACAGCTGGTTGCCTGTAAGGTAAGCTTCGGTGTAGATTGTATTCATAGCTATACTCACCTTTGCCCAGGATATCCCTCTGCGATCCGGGCTGGATAATGTTGCCATCGGCGTCGACGTTTGACACGTCGAACAACTCATCATACTTGAGCCGGTTCACCCTCCCAAGCTTGTTATACGGAGTAACGTCGTCCAGCTCGCCCATGAGCCTCGAAAGGGCAACGTGTCGGTCATCATCGAGCCCCGTGTTGCGGAACACGAGGACACCATACTGTGCGAGACCCTTCTTGATGTCATCCGCCAGTTGGGGGGTGATGTTGTCAAAGTCGGCACCGTGGACTTCTGCCACAAAGGTCGGGTGGAGCGGGGTGTACGTCAGACCCGCGGTGTTGGTCATTGTGAATGCTGGGTTTGTAGCCTGCGAAGTGTGGTGACGGATGAAGAGGCATGAGTGGGCATATATACTTGAGACAGCGGTATAAGACGGCAACACGCAGCCCTCGTGACCGCAACAACAATGCCCGGTGTCCACCGGCCCGGCTCCGTTCGCGTACCTGCCAATATGCAATGCCCCGACCAAAATACGAGATGGGGCTGCATAAATGCGAGATATGGGCATGAAATGCGAGATATGGGTCTGAGATGCGAGATACGTGCTCTCAGATGCGAGATGAGCCTCCCGGGATGCGAGAATGCGATATGCGTCTATCAGAAATGCGAGATGGAGAAGCAGGCCATCTCGTAAAATGCTGTTCAAGAGCAAGCAACGGCAGTCCAGAACGCCAAGGTTGTGAGTTGCGCGTTCTGGACAATCACCGATGTCTCAGGCACAGAACAAGAACACATTTCCATGAACGCCGATGTTCGTTTTTTGCAAGCACAACTGCATCCAGACATTAGATCCCCTCCAGCAATCCAACAGGTAGGTTGAGGGACATTGAAACCCCTCTTTTCTTCTATGCTGTATCCCTGCCCATCTAGATTTTTAAGCCAGGACCTCGATGTAAGGGGGGCCAAGGTGCTTGCGGAAGACGGTCGAGAGGGCCTCGACGACAAGCAGAAGGACACCACCACCGGGAGCGAGACGGAGGACCTTTGGCGCAAAGCCCTTGTACAGGGCACCGAAGCCCTCCTCGCGAGCGATGCGGATGAGAGCGGGGTAGGTCCACTCGCCAGTGGCGTGGAGCTGCAGACGCGACTTGACGACATCGAAGGGAGTGTTGATGACAGTACCGATGAAACCACCGACGGTACCGGCGGCGAGGTTGTTACCCATCTCCTGGTTCTTGGACTGGGCCTTGGGGAGGAGAGCCTTGATCTGGAAGATCGAACCGAAGTAACCACCGTTCCACCACCAGTGACGCCAGAAAGTGGGCTCCATGCCCTGGTAGATACTGGCGACGTTAGAGAGATGCTAGCCGATATCCTAAAACACAATATTCCACTCACCCGAGGAAACCGTTGGTCTTGATGACCTTCTTGACAACGTCGAGGGGGCCAGTGTAGGTCGAGGCCTTGTCCTGGAGACGGATCTTGACCAGCTCAAAGGGGGTAACGACAAACGACTCGGTGGCACCGGCGAAGCAACCAGTGAGGAGGGCAATGCCCTGGGTGGTCTTCTTCTTGCCGCCGTCAGTGAAGATCGAGCCCCACCAGCCTGAACATTAGCAAATGAAAACAGCCATCGGCGAGAATTCGGCGCTGCGGCGCATTTCCTCGCTGTTGGTGAAACTAACCGTTGGCACCGACTGACAGAGTTAGCTACGGTTCCCAGTACGTTTTAGCCAACTCACACTTGATGGCACGCTTAGGTGCCTCCATAAGGAGGGGCGAGGCGATACCGCGGTAGAGACGGGCAGGACTGTGACGCGTCAGTCATGTCGTTTGAGTGACGTGGGGGTTGAACTCTGAACGCCGGCCCGGGCCGCCGGGAAGGGCCACAGCAGGCGGCGTTGTGGCTTGGGCAATGCCAAACAGCCAAGCAGCGGGTATGTCCTGCTGCGAGCCCTTGGGGACATGCCGCCGGCCTCAGAGGTGTCAGCCGGAGCGTTTGAACTCACCCCTCCTGAGCGATAATGTTCTTGAAGGTGGTGACCATGCCGGCGGGGTTCTTCGAGGTGTCAAGCTGCTGGCGGGTCTTGACGACATCGAGGGGGTAAAGGAGCTGTAGCGGTCAGTAATGGCCATGCAACCAGCTCAGAAAATAACAAGCCGCGAGCTGGGGGGGGGGGGGGGGGGGGGGGGGGGGGGCATCGGTCGCGGTGACGAGTGTCGGTGGGTGGTAATAGCAAACCCCGCGGCACGTTGCCGCGGCGGTGCTGAAGACCAGAGCAGTGCGATGCTACCGCGGGAGAGCCCTTTCGTGCTCTGGTCCTCACACGACACGGCAACAAAGGCTGCACGATCATGGCTCTGGGCTACCCGCCAACACTCGACCCCGACCTACGCCGGCACGCGGTTACGCACCAGGAGCTCAGTCACACCTGCAAACGTCAGCATCGAAACCTCGACAAAATCCAAAATCCAGACTTACCGGCAATGGCGCCGGCGGTGAAGGTGTAACCAAAGGGGAGGGGCGCTGTAGTTCAGTCAGCATGCTGGTTCTCGCAGGTAAAAAAGTGAAGATGGCGATGTATGAGAACGAGCAGACGACGGCCACTGCATTGCACGCAAGTGAGGACCGGCTGCAGCCGAGCAAAAAAGACCACCACAAGCTCCAACCGCGCATAGCGGCAAGCAGTCTAGCGCGTATACATCGGCGTGCAAGCCGCCAGTAGCTGCTTGCAAGGCGGCGCAAGCACCCTTTTTCTTGGAGGTGCTCGTGTGGTCGTGTGGACTGTTGGAGTGGGGGTGGAGTGACCATGACGGAGATGTCGGGGCCGGTGTCGCATACCACCTGGCCCCCAACCTCCAGTTCCACGCGGATGGTACTGCAGGCTCCTCTCGCATCACGGCACGACGACTGGCCAGGAAATGGTACGCACGGAGGGGCTGCTTCGACATCTTGGACCTGGGACGATGGGGGGGGGAGTGGTGTGTGTTTGTGGAAAAGGGAAAGCGAACGGGGTGGGCGATAATGGAGGCGTTGCGGAGTCGCTCGCGTCCAGAGTGCGTCCAGTCTAAAGGGCGCCCGCGCGGCTCGTCCGCTCCTTCTGTCTCGCTGAGCCCAACTTTCGTGATCCGAATGTGAGAGGGATGGGGGCCCAGCCCGCTTTCCCGACAGCGCGGAGGTGCCGACCGTAGTGGTCTCGAACGGAGTTGCACTTCCGGCCCGAACACCCCGGAATGTCCGGATCTATACATGGCGCCGATCCACGATCGTGTAAGCAGTGTAAGCATGCATGCACTGATGGTGGGCTGTCATATGGTCATGTTCGCGTCTCTCGAAACTGGCGAGCAGCCGACAGCATACAGGCAGAACCTGTGCGCGCCGTGTGGCGCGCGTTTACAGGGCAGGGAAGCCGTCGTCGCCTAGCTCTGACCCTTTCAGCGCCGTTGCGCTGCTGCGTGGTGCAAATGTGCCCCACGGCGCGATCTTTCGAGACCTTGCTCTGCCCCGCATGCCCCGCAGATCCGTCGCACACCGCAGCCAGTTACATTGATTACATACGATACATGTAGTCTTACTCATGTAGACCCCGCCGCCCCCCACTGAACAGCCCATGTGTCTGGGTCTTGCAAGAAGAGGGCTTCGCAGGCCGCGTCCGCAGGCGCCTGGTTGGCATGAGCATCGTTCGGGTCCATGTTGACGTCCGTGGCCGTGGCCTCCACGCCGCCGCCATCGGGTTGATCAAAGAGGACAGCGAGCCATGCCTCGAACTGCACATCGTTTGCGCTAGGGACTGGCGGCAGCGGGTAGCCAAGTGCGTCGTTGAGGTCAAAGCTTGCAAACTGAGGCATGCTACCGCTGGCGTCCGAGGGTGTGGAGAGGACCGGGGGTATGGTAATGCCTTGTGGCACCTCCGAGGCTGAGGGCGTGGGGATGGGCATTGGGGCCACGGTCATCGGCGCCATCACCACACTCGGCTCCACGGCCGGGAGGAAGTTGAGTGTAGAGGTCACTGGTGCAGAGCCGGGAAGAGGCAGGCCACCGGTGAGTGGGAACCGGGCCAGCGACTCGCGCGCCTTGGTTACCAGCCTACGCGTACGCTGCACGAGCGCACGGTTCTTCGAGTTGGGCCTTGCAAGCGCTGTCCATTCCAGAACCGCAAGGCCTTGGTCAAGGATCGACATGCGGTTCTGTGCCAAGGCCGGGTCCGAGGTTCTGCCCACCAGGACCGCTTGGCACAGAAGGACCGAGAAGAGGTCTGCTGCGAAAGACTGTGGTGTCAGTTATGGCTCCGTACAGGACGTGCGAACTCACAAACCAACGAGTCATGCTCTGGTCTTGGCTCAGAATACCCCGCACGAGGTCAAGCATTCGTTCGCACACCTCAATGACTGTGGCGAGACTCAGCTCGCCGCTCTGGCTTCCGGTCAAGATAGCACGCATAAAGCACGGGCGGTGGAGGTAGACTGGGTCGTTAGCGGGTAGCCAGAAGAACGATGAGGTACCCACAGAAGACCATGCAGATGTGCGTCGCCATGCGGTACTGCTGATGTGTGAGACGCTCGGGTGAGACGGTGCTGGGATAATCGGAGCTGGTCGCGAGGCTTGGCGATGGCACAGGTGCCGGTGAGACGACCACAGTCGGTGCCCCCGGTCGCGTGAGCGGGAAGGCCTCGACAGGAAAATGTGCGCAACGGAGATGAGGCGGGAGGTCGTGTAGGAAGCGACGGAGACCGGCGTCAATGTCCTTGACACCAGAGTACTCCGTCTGGCCAACAGTACACCAGAAGCCAAACACCCGGGACATGTGAAGGCCCAAGTTCCATTTGTGAACGAAATAACCGTCTCGGTGTGCGTCGGTAGGGTACGGGGTATCGTAGTGGCGGACGTCGATGGAGCCCGGGATGAGGGCAGTGAGGCACTGAAGGTCAGTTGGACGTCCCGTCTCCACACTATTCAACTTACATGAACGCGTTCAAGAGCCAGCAACTCATGCCAGATTCTCCTTCGCCAGTCAATCTGCTCCGTCGTGAGATGGGCAGGTGCTGCGTCACGGTGATAGCCCGCAATGACAGCGAGCTTGACGCCCAACCCCACAATCGTAAAGATACCGTCAATCAGGCGCTTGTCGTCGGAATTGATAATGAAGCTGCCCAAGAGGTGCAGGCAGACCAGACTGCTCAGTGTTGTCTCGGTGTAAAAGTTGCCAGCCACGAGACAGCTGTACGCTGTCTGGTGGTAGTCGACGGCGTGGAACTCTGGCGCCGCACCAGCCGCGGTGGGGTCGAACAACATCGTCATGGCCTGTACAGCAAACAGGACAGCCAGGTCGTGGGGGTGTGCACCCTCTGGCGAGTCGTACACGCTTGCGAGGACAGTATCAAAGAAGGCTGGCGTCATGGGCTGAATCCTGGCACAGTGTCAGTGTTGCCATCGACTATTTGCTACCTACCTCCACGAGGTCATCTCGAAGAACTTGTCAAACATCTCCTTGGCCGCTCTCCGACTGCAGAGCATGGCGCGACACCTGTCGAGCAACACTCCTGGCAGATGACCTCTGCCAGTCAAGCTCACGCCGCGGGTACGACCCCACGGTGGCCGCCAGAGCTCGGCATCCACCCGCCGGCTCCTCCCCAGGTGCTCTCCGCCTTCATTGTCGCTCCCTTCCTCGTCCTCGCTCGCAGACGGCGAGCTCAGGTAGAAGGCCGTCGTACCCATACCGGCGTACCGCTTCGTCTGCTCATGTCCCAGAGCCAGGCGACCGAGCATGGCGGCCATGTCCATCCCCGACTCTGTCAACACGACCGAGTTGCCACCACTGCCAGAGGTACCTGTGGTTGTGGGGTCGGTGATTGACGAGCTGGGACCAGAAGAGAAGACAAAGCTCGGCCGCCGCGTCACTTGCTCGTCATCGTCGGCACTGGCACAGTCTCCAATCTCATTCTCCAGCCCGTGCTTGCGCAGTGTGTCCTCGAGCTGGCTGACGCGTGCCGTGAGCTCGGCAATGGTGACGCTCTTCGGCTGGGTGACTTTAGACACCTGGCACGGGGAGTAAGCATATGTGATGACGTCTCCCGTTGAAGGCCAGCTCACCTGGTTGGGACAAATATGTGCCAATCCTGCGAGGCATCAATCAGCATTGGGCTACATCTCCAGTTGGTGCAGTGCTTGACATGGTGATCCGGCGCATGTGCCAGCAAGGAAGACGAGCACGAGCTGTGTTTCATAGAGATCGACAGCTCGCGCATGGTTAAGCCCGACATGCCTGCCTACACCGGGGCCGCTGTGGGCAACGAGGACGGACGCACCTTTCTTGACACACTCGCTACATGGCCAGGAGCGATTACCTGCACAGTGGCGTCAGTGGGCAAGCTCTTGGCACAAAGGGGACAAGGGCGAGAAGGTAGAAGACACCCATGACCCAACATCCGCCGCAGCTTCCGGCCGGGCTGAAAGTGGTCCAGTCGGCAAAAGGACTCCGACGCGCAGCCAGCCGACACTAAGCTAGCCCACTTACACTTTGACTTGGTCCTACGACACTCTTCGCAGTTGAGATGGATGCGCCTGCGTTTCTTCTTTGCACCCAGCTCGGCTTTCGGTGGGTCCATGCTGCACGTGTCGCGCGTCTCGTGATCGCGCGTTCAGTTGCGGGAACGACGTAGAGTCTCGGAAGAAGGTTGCGCGCTGTGAGGGCGTGTGGGGGGTGGGGCGCGGGGGTGTGTGGGTTTTGGATTGCCGACACAAATCTAGATCACCGGGGGCTCTGTGCGTGTGTGGGGTATGGGGGAGGAGGTGTTTATCCAGCGAGTAGTCGCTGTGAGGGGCTGTCGTCCGTGTCAGACCGATAAACGGGCGCACGGGGTAGTTGGGAGAACGAATAGTCGACAGTGCAGAAGACACATGCTCACGAGATCGCGCGACAGAGGCACACACTCCCAGCCGGGTTCTCGGTCAGGTGGGGGAGATGGGTGGGGAGCAGGGAGAGGGATGAGGAATGCCTGGATTTTTGCCTGTTAATCCCGGACCGGGCCAGCGGCCAGCAGCGGCAGCGGCGACCATCCCGCTGGTTGCCCATGCTTCTGCCGCTCAGTGCCGTCCCTGTATCCAAAGGCTTGCCAAGCATTGAAGGCAATGCATGCAATGGCCCTGGTCTTGAACAAAACACATCCATAAAACTCTATGCACAGTAAAGCCAAAAAGAAACACGCTGGAGCTCTCGACTGAGTTCAGGTATTAAGAACAGGTGGTGTGGGAAGGCAGACGTTGCCCCGCGTCCCAACGGAATCCGCAGCAGCATCGTCGATTGGATCCGGGATCGTGGAAGCGCAATCCACTTGCCCTGGCGCGAGGCTCCCTGCTTTCCCTCCGACATGGTCTCTCCACGTCCGTATCCGTCTCACCCCCCCTCTCATCCGCAAGCAGGGGCTCCCCCTCCACAGGTCTGGATTTCACAGACCTAGATCAGAGTAGTCCACCATCCACTAGCGTCGTCGTTCTCGAGAGCCACGAGCGCATTGGACCACACGTCCTCGTTGGTGTTCATGGCCCAGACGTCTGCGCCGGCGGCTCCGTCGGGAACGATAGGGAGGGACGGCCACAGCTCCTGCGCGGCAGGCAGCGCCGCGTTCGCCGCCGTGACAGTCTCGTCGATGGCAATGTGCTCAGCCTTTGGCGGGGCAGCGGGCGTGTCGATAAACCTCCTCAGGAGAGGCACACCACGCTGCACGACGAGCGAGTTTGTGCCGCATTCCCAGAGCGAGTCGATGAGGCTTTGGATCTCGGTGATGAGCTGCGCGCGCATCGCGGGCGACGGCGAGCCGTGGACGAGCTCGGTTGAGAGGACGACACCTGCGAGGACGGTGTAGGACGCAATGGGCCAGGAGCGGAGGAACAAGGGTGGCACGCGACGCTTGCGCTGGCGAAGAATCTCACGAGCGGCGTTAAGACACGCTTCGCGAACCTCGATGAACCGACGGTCAGTGTACGCGCGGCCGAGGAACGAGCGGTACACGAGAATGGTACCAGCGGACATGAGGAGCGTCCAGATGTAGCGCGAGTGCGGGCGATGGTCGTGCGGAGCGTGGAGGTCGATGACCTCGTCAAACATGTCGCCGTCGCTGTTGTGCAGGCAGGGGAAGTCGTTGTAGTTGGCCACAAGCGCCTCGGATGCCGCGTTGGCAATCATGTACTGCTCCTTGAGCGAGTTTGCGTCCGCAAACGCCTCGGCGAACTGGCGGAAGATGCGGTAACGCCTTCCGGCAGCGATGAGGTGAGTGACGACAGTGAACTCGGTGAAGGGGCGGTCGATCACACTGGTATCGGTAAGGTCCTCAAAGTTGGCATTGAACGGTTCAACCGTCATGCCTTGCGGGAGACGGAGACCACCGGTGTTGGCAAAGTCTGGTCGGCCTTCACCCAAACGCAAAAGTAGCCACAGACGGCGACCCATCTCGCGGTTGATGAGGCCGGGCGGGAGGTTGTTGGTGTCCTCGGGCTCGGGACCGAGAAGGTGGAGCTTGAGGAGCTGGGCAATACGAAGACCGACGTGAAGCAGAGACTCGGTATACGCCGACGCTCCAAAGTTGTAGGAGACCATGGGGAGAACCACAATGGCCTGGAGCGCCTCGATGGTGGGGTTGGTCGACATGAACTTGGACCTGTTGAGGGCCTCGAGACAGACGTCAAACCAGAACGCAGACAGCGAGGCAGTCTCCTCCACCGATAGACCGAGCTCGGCCGCGAGAAGGTCGCCGGAAAAGTACATTCCGACCGAGAGGAGGGAGAAGTAGTAGCTGAGCCAAGCGTCGCCCTTGCCGCCATCGCGGCCGTCGCTGACAGCCGCGATCCACTCGTCGTGCTCCTGGAGCCAATGGGGGACGTGGCTGGCGCAGTGGAGGAAGGACATGTACTTGAGACTGGCGCGGACGATGACCATGCTCTGCGGCGCGGTCGGGAGCAAGGTGAGCAGGTCAGCCTGGGCAAGGTCGGTGGCCTTGCGGGAGGGAAGGTCTGGGAGGCCGCTCATGGGCGACATGGGCGCCGGGCTACCAAGGTCGCGAGTGCGCGGGTGGGGCGACGAGGGACGCTCAGAGTGCACGGTCGGCGCAGCCATGACATGGACGAACGGTTCGAGAATGTCGGGGTCGTCCTGGCGCGAGCGCTCCACGGGGACATTCGATCCACTTCCCGAAGCGCTGCGCGCGGCGCCGATGAGGTGCGCAAAGGCATTGCTGGGCGACTGGGTATCGCTTGGCGAGTCTGCCATTATGGATGCCGGGGTGGTCTTTCCAACTGAAGAGGCACCGCCGTTCTCGAGCTCGCGAATGCGGGTCTCGAGATCGGCGACGCGACGGCGCAAACCGACATTCTCGCGCTGAAGCTGGCCTTCACGCAAGAGACGGATCTGGTCTGCCGTGAGGGGGGAGCGATGGGTGGTGCTTGGCGCATTGACAAGGCGACCACGGACGATGGCTGGTAGACGAGTACAGGTCTCGGGGTGACCGCGCCTGATACAGTTGTCACATGGAATGGCCTTGTTGCATTTGATCCTGCACGGTCAGCAATCTATCAACGCCAAGCCCAACCCCGCCACGTTCGTGTGGATATCCAAGTACCCCCGGAGGAAGAGTTGGTCCATCCGGGAGCGGGGGGTTCATAGAAAGACAAACGCCACCGGAGAAAGAGGGAAGACTCACTTGCGTTTGGTACAAAACGCGCAGCTGTTAGATGCACGTTGGCTCACACGAGGGCCGTCCAACGACGCCGAGGTGGCGCGTGACGATCCGGCGTCGCTGCTCATGCTGATATCGGACCGCTACCGTCCGATGCTTGAGCGGACCTTAGGAAGATGGATGACGGGTGTACGGCTGAGATGGACGGGCAAGGTGTTGGGTAAAGGGCAAGTGGGAAAATTGGCGCGCGAAGAGGCGAGCAGAGACGAAAAGGGGGTGGGTCGATCAAGGAATGGGACGTGAGAAGTCCTAATGGACAATTCTAATGGACTTACAAAATCGGTCTAATAGTATTTGAGTGCCACGCGTTCTGGTGCGAGTCGGCACTCTCGCCCTCCGCAGCAGGGACGTGTTTGTGTGTTGCATCTACTTTCATGGCGTTCTAACAACTACACCTGCGAAAACAGCGGCCACGGTGGCTTGCATGGCTTGCCTCTTGGTCTTGGGGCGGCACCACGTCTCAACATCCGATCCGCAGAACTGAATCGATGGCGCACCCAAAACTTCACTCTGATGGTGTGGCTGCGCGTCAGAGACACTGCCACCACCACTGACAGTCTCCTCAATACTCAAGACACTGAAGACAGCGCGTGACACGAGACAACAATGCCAAGAGGGATCTCCGCAAACAACGGGCTGCAACACGGAAGATCGCGCATGAATGAGCTCATGGTGTGCCGCCCCCGCCTGGAACCTTACCGGTGGACGTGGTGCGGGTAGTGACGTCACAAAAGGCGAGGCGAGGTGTTGTGCTCTTGGGGAGGATACACACTACAGAGCGGCATGGGGAGAGCAGACCCGTTTTAACACGTCTTCACGCCCCCCCCCCCCCCCCCCCCCCCCCAGCGCCATCATCTCGCTTGTCTCATTGTCTCTCTCTCTTCAGCACACATCTCGCCACCCACACACGACTTGCATACGACCATGGGTTTCTTCAGCAAGACCGCAGAGGAGAAGGAGGAGAAGATCCTCAAGGACGGTAGGTGTGCCCGCGGGCGAGGTTGTGCTGACCTGTCAGAACAGAAGGCCGACGACAAGCACCTGCGTCAGGCGCTCAAGGACGTCGAGAAGGCCAACAAGGCTGAGCTCAAGGCTGCCAAGGATGAGCACAATGCCAACGAGGTGAGCGTTCGGGTGGCTCTTCAAGCTGACCTCCAGGACCTCCAGAAGGCCATTCGCAAGGTAGACAAGCTTGTTGCCGACATGAACAAGCTGCAACATGGTGAGAGCGCCGCGTCTAGTTGCTAGCGTGCGTGGAAAAGGACACCGTTTGCTGACCTATACTTCAGAGCATGAGACGGCCGTCTCGGCCCGTGACGCGCTCGAGCGCGACGTGGAGCAGACCCGCCAGGAGCACATCCGTCTCCAGGGCGAGACCACCGCTGCAAAGGAGCGTCTCGAAGCTACCCAGGCCAAGGTGTGTAACGACCCGTCCCCACCCAGTGGATGTGAACACGAACACTGACAGTGTCCTCAACCAGGTCAACGAAGCCGCCACCACTCGTCACCAGCGCATTGGCGAACTCACGAGCCCCAAGGCTGCGACCGCCGTCGCCGGCGGTGCGGCTGCTGGAAATGGCGCGGCTGCGTCCGCCGAGGAGCGCGAGCGCGCGCAGGCCGTCGAGAACCAGACCCCCGTCGTGACCTCGGCCCCCACCGCGCCGTCGCTTCCCGCGCGCACCGCCGAGGCTGCCCCCTCGGTCCCTGCGCCGGCGCCGGCTGCGTCCCACCAAGTCCCCGGTGGCTTCGCCGCGTCCGAGCCCCAGCACAGCAGCGTCGGCGGTATCCCGGCCAGCTCGGGCATTGCCGGCGGCGCAGCCGCTCCCACCCCCATCTTGGCGTCGTCGGGTATCGCCCAGAGCTAGGCCGAGACGGTGATTGGCGCCAACCACGTCGCGCCACCCGGACATGTTGCAGTGGCTCACAGCGTCGGCGCCGGCGTGTAATGGGCAGTCCTGTGGTGTCTGACGTACTTGATGGCCTGGTGTCTTTGGCATGACCAAGTGGCGTGAAAGGAGAAGGAGTTGAGCGATTTCTCAGAGACTCGCTGCGGCCTCGTGTTCCCCTCGTTGAATGTTTAAAGCACATTAATGCAGCCTTGATCCCAGAGAGAGACACACGCGATGTGACGAGATATACGTGTTTGAGCTACTGTTGCATGAGATTATGGGTGTGGGTATGAAGATAATGAAGGCAAGGGTGGAAACGCAGTACACAGGGAAAGAAAGCAAGGACGCAGCAGTGCAGCCGTTGGGGTGCCCTAGTGGACCCACTTGCCGCCGAGACCCTCGGACCACTGGGCGAGGTTGGCGCTTCCGGCGCTCTTGAGCTTTGAAGCGGCGCCGGCACCGGCGTCCAGGCCGCGGTGGACGCCGAGGCCCGGCCCACCGAGGGTGGTGAGGTGGGGCTCGGCGCCGAGGGCGCGGAGGTTGGCGAGGAGCGCGTCCAGCTTGTCGGCCGGGAACGAGTCCGGGATGAGGGTGACGGCACAGCCGCCGCCGCCGGCACCTGTGAGCTTTGTGGTGAGGCCAAACGGCTCGGCGGCCGTGGCGGCGACGACGGCCTCGAGGGACGCGTGGGACACGCCGAGGGTGCGCAGGTGGGCGTGGTTGACGCGCATGAGCTGCTCGAGGCGGCCGACGAACGCGTCGCGCTCGGCCACGACCGAGCCGTCCAGCAGGCCACGGGCCTCGTCGCTGATGGCCTGGATGTCGTCGAGGATGGGGTTGACGACGTGGGGCTCGGCAATCTTCTTGGCGCCGACGCCGGCGACGAGCGACTTGGTGTCGCGCGGCACCTTGGTGTTGGTGAGCAACAGGCGGATCGAGTCAAAGCCACGGATACCGTCCAGACCGCCCTCCTTGCCGTTCACCGCACGGGTGAAGGCGACGGCACCGCCACGGACGGCGACGGCATTGTCAATGCCCGACGGGTTACCGTGGAGGACCTTTTCGGCGAGGAAGGCCCACGAGTCGACGAGGTCTACAGAGGGGGCCGAGACGCCCTCGTGGCCGGCGACGGCGACGTGCGAGTAGGCGATGAGGAGGGACGAGGCCAGGCATGCCGAGAAGGCAGCCGACGAGCCAAGGCCGGCACCGATGGGGAGGTTGGCCGAGACGGTGAGGGTGACGGAGAGGCTGTGCCGAGGGTCAGCAAAAGAGGAAAGCAAAAACAGCGCTTCAAAACAACCTACGCGTTGGCACGCGAGCCGGTCATCTCCATGTAGACGTAGAGGAACGCGACGCTGGCGCTGGTACCGGTCTTGGTGGGCTTGGCGTCGGCGACAATCTTCTCAAGAGCCGAGAGAAGGGCCGCGTCGAGCTCTGCCGAGGGCGCGGTACCGTTGCGAGCCGGGACGAGGTCCCACGGAAGCTCTGAAATGTTCCAAGCGTGGTCGGCCTCGAGGTCGGGAGCGGCAATGGCCACCTGACCGTCCCTGCGAGCGGAGAGGACACCAAAGCAGCGGAGATTGAGGGACGTTGCGATAGCAGTCTGCATGTTGTAACAACATATGAGATATTTTTTAGGAGGTTATGTGAGATTGTATTCTTCTGTCTGATTTTTATCTATGCCTTGTCACCCACCACACCGTGAACCACTGCGTGCTCGCCAAAGAGAATAACCTTGCCGGGGGCCGAGACGACAATGTCCTCGTCAATAGTCTTGTTCTCGCCGCTGATGGCAAGTCCCTTGGCAACGCCCTGGAGGAGCGAGTCGGGGCCGTCGGGACGCTTGAAGCCGGCGGCGCGGGCGAGCGACCACTTTTCGGGGTCGGCCTTGTAGAGAGCGGCGAGCTTGTCGGCGGTCAAGAGGTCCTTGCTGACGGCGGGGACAATGGCGCCGGCGATGATGAGGGCGCGCTCGAGGTCGTCGAGCAGGTCGCGGGGGTCCTCGATACCGACGCAGAGACGGATCAGGTTCTCGGGGAGACCACGCTCGGCGCGGACAGCGGCCGAGATTGAGGCATGCGACATGAGACAGGGCATCGAAATGAGTGAATTGACGGCACCAAACGACACCGAGACACCCCACAGACGGGCAGCGGAGACAATGCGCTCTGAAAGCTGCTTGTCGCCAGTGACAAACGACAGGACGGCGCCGGCGCCCGAGGCCTGCTTCCAGTGGATGTCGCGCATGGGGTGGTGCTTGAGGTTGGGGTAGTGGACCAGGAAGCCGAGGGCGTCGAGGTAGTTGGCCACCAGGTGGGTGTTGGCCTCCTGCTTGTCCATGCGGAGCGCGAGGGTCTTGATACCGCGCATGAGCAGGAACGAGTCAAAGGGGGCAAGACCCGAACCCATGGCGTTGATGTGCCATGCAATGTCCGAGGCGAGCTTGGGGGTACCCGCGGCGATGATTCCGGCCATGAGGTCGTGGTGGCCAGAGAGGTACTTGGTGCCCGAGTCGTACACAAGGTCGGCGCCAAGCTCAAGAGGGCGCTGGAGGTAAGGCGACATCATGGTGTTGTCGACAACGACAATGGCCTCGGGGTTGGCGGCGTGGACAGCGTCCGAAACAGCCTGGATATCGGCAATCTTCAAGAGAGGGTTCGTGGGAGATTCAAGCAAAACCATCTTCACCCTGTGAGTTAAGCATCTGCTGCGGGCAACATGGTCAACCTAGACACCTACTTGTTTCCAGCACCCAGGTGGGGGAGAACGGCAGACACCTGCGTAGTGTCGACGTGACGAACGTCGACGCCGCCGTGCGACTTTGCGTACGTGAGCAGACGGTTGGTGCCGCCGTACAGGTCGTCGCCGGCAAGAACAGTCTCTCCGGGCTTGACGAGGCGGAGGATGACGTCGAGACAGGTCATACCGGTGCTGAGGGCAAACGCCTGCGAGGCGCCGTAAAGACGAGCGAGGTGCGACTCGAGGCCACCACGAGTGGGGTTGCCCGAGCGGGTGTAGTCATAGGGGCCGTCCATACCCTTGAAGGTCGCGGTCTGGAAGATGGGGGTCGACGACGCGCCGTACTGGTTCTGCGACGAGTCGGCAGCGACAACCTGGGTCGCAAAGTGCCACTTTTCAGCGCGCGTGTCAAACGACTCGACCTCGGAAGGCGACTTGGAGTCGAAGATGGACGTCGCGAGGGACGACTCGCCCGGGGTCGAAGTGCGGGTCGACGACATGGTGGTGATGCGGGGGAAGCGCGTGTGTTACGCAGGAGAGGGGAGAAGGACGGGTGGGGGAGGAAGAGAGCGAGGGGGTGGGGGCGTAAGAAATGTGCTTTGTCTATAACCAAAACGGTTGTGGGGTGATAAAGAAAAAAGGAAATGGGACGAGGGACGATGGGATAAGACATCACGGATGTTACCGATGCCCATCACACCACCACCCCACCGCCGAAATGGCTCCGGTGGCTCCAGCGGTTGCGTGCTCGCTCGATCGCACGACGGCACGACTCGACACGACAAACGGGGGCTGCTGCGGCCGGAGGGATGGATCGACGTAGAGTCACCGCACGGGAGGGGGATTATTGCGTCCTCCCCGATAAGTGTTCTGTGCGGGCCGTAACTTTACACCTGTCATTCTATTCCCCATTCCAAGTGACTCTGATACCACTGCCCCCGCCGACGCCACCCAGGTTTCGACCTGCGAGGGTCCTGTGTGGCGGACTGGACGCGCCGACGCGTTCCAGGAAACGGTGGTCCGTTGCGCGTTTGCGGTTGGGCGAGAGCGGTCGCGGTGGCCGGCAGGTTGGGCAAGTTGGGCAGGTCGGGCAGGTCGAAAGCGCGCGAACAGCGCGTCCTGGGCGCGCGTCGCACCGCGCGCCTCACCCCTTCGCGTCTCGTCACGTCCCCCCCCATGCGTCTCCTTTCGCTCATGCACATACCCCTTTCCACTCTGTCGCGTTCTTGTTCTTTGCTCTTTGTCCATCATCAATCATCTCTATCGCTCTTGAGCATTCTCTCGGTTGTCGGTTTTTATTCACTGGCCTTGGCCTGTTCTCTCTCTCCCATCACTTCCCAACCGCCCGTCACACACCTCTGTCGTCATACCCCCGTCACCACATTCCAAGAGGCACCGCCCCGGGTCGCCAGACGTTTCTGCGTCACTCATCATCCCCGCAACGCGTCTGCAGCGGCCTCCCAGTCAGGTGAGTACAGCGTCCTCGACAGGTAAGTACTGCATCCACGACCTCGTCTCTGACGTCGTGCACAGGTGTCTCTCTGTCTGACGTCTCTTTCTCTCCCTCTCTCCCTCTCATGCGCGTGTCTCTCTCTCTCTCTAACCACCACAGCGAATTAACCAAAAGACGTATAACATATATACACCTCTTCTCTTCTTCTCACACTACTACATGATTCTCCGCTCGATCCTGTACACTGGGAGAAACTCAAAAAAGGGGGGAAGGGAACCAAGCGACCGAGTCGAGCCATCAGCCATCAATCAGGCAAGACGGACGACCCCGGCCATGGTGCGAGCCATGATATCAAGAGAAGTGGGGGGGGGGGGGGGGGGGGGGGGGGGGGGGGGGGCGTGTCTGTTTCGTGAAGCAAAGGTGGGTGGGGGGTATCGAGGGGGAGACCCAAAACGGTATTCTCTCTCTCTTTTAAACAAAAAAAAAGAAAAAAAAAAGAAAGAGTCATCATCTGGAGAGGTCGTTAGCTGACTGTTCCTCGCCTAGCGTAGCTCTCCTCTCTCGACTCACCATAAAACGCAGGCAGCAGCAGTAGGCCTACACGCCCTACTCGTCGCTGCCGAAGCGGACCGCGTCGTCGGCCACCTCGACCTCGGTCTCCTCGTCCTCCTCGTCGACGGCCATGCCCAGCCCAAGGCCACTGCGCGAGCCCGAGCGGATATGGCTCAGGCTCCCGCTGTGGTTACGCCTGTGGCCGAACGGCGAGGGCGAGACGGGCGGACCGCCGCCGAGGGCGAGCCCGCTGCCGAGACCCATACGCGCGGGACGTTCCGTGTTGGGACCGCGCCGCTCGGCGGTGAGCCCCTGCAAGAACTGGTGGCGGGACGCAATGCCGTCCGAGAAGGGGATGCGGTGGCCGCCCGCGCCCGCAGGCTGCATGGGCGTGTCGCCGGCGATGAGGACGCTGTTGGTGTTCCTCGACCGGCCCATCAACGGCGTCATGGCGAACAGGCTGCTGAACTGTCCACCCATGCGCGGGTCCGTGTCGAGGTGCCTCGACGGCGTCGAGTTGACGTCAAAGATCGAGTCGTCGACGCGAGGCGTGGAGAAGTGGTCGACCGGGTTGCGAGGCGGGGGTACGGGGGTGCTGGGCTCCTCGGCACCACCACTGATACCCCACAGGTCGCCGCCGTACGACAGAACACGGCCGCGCTGCCTGCTGCTGCGGCTGGGCGAGTTGGGGGTGCGCATCTCGAGCGGACCACCGCCAGCCGCACGAGCGGCCTCGCCGGCAAACATGGGCGAGGGCGCCAGGGCGACAGCCTGGTTACCCCGGAACGCAGACGAGCGCGCCGCAGACGAGTATGCAAAGGCGGACGGTGTGCTCCTTGCTGGTGTCGAGAGAGTCGCGCGACGTGCCTGGGCGACACACGGGTCGCATACCCAGTTGGGCGCAATCTGGACCTCGTCGAGGCCTACGCAACCAAGATGGTGCCAAGTCTTGCACGAGCTGCACGAGATCATCGACCCCGTGGGGCCGGTCTGCTTGCAGATACAGGCAACGACACCGGACGGGACGATGAGAGCACCACGAGGTGCGCGACGGCCCTTGTTGAGCGCCGACAAGAGGGCAGCGCGGGCGTCCGAGGGGTTGTTGTCCCACACGTTGCAAGCAGCAGCGGCGCCAGTCGCAGTCGGACGAGGACGCGCACGGATCGCATTCTTGCCCTTGTGCTGAGGGAAACGCGCAGCTCCATCGTCATCATCCTCGTCGTCCGACGACGACTCGAGGTACCGCCGAAGCAGCGTCGTGCGCTCCTTCTCTTCGCGGAGCTGGCGTGCAGGACGTCCGCCGCTTCCAATCTTCCAGGGGGGCTCCTCGTCGGGCCAGTCGGGCCGCTTGGGCGGCCTCGATCCGGGTTCGCCATTCACCGTCCATCCGTCCTGGTCCTCGCCGCGTGTCTCCTCGACAACTTTGGTGCCCTTGTCGAGTCCGACAAAGGCGAGCGCGAGGTCCTTGCGAAGCGCAACACGGCACGGCTGGCCCTGGCCCATGTCCAACTTGATGGAGAACATTGGCTCGGAAGGACGCGCAGAGGGGTTGAACGCTTCCAGGCGACGATCGGTCTTGGTCTGCTTTGTTCGTGGAGTGTCGTTGACATCGGCAGAGGGTGTCTGAGGAGCCTTCTTGCCGTTTGGGGTCTGCGGCACCACAGGCGTTGAGGGACCATCCAGCTTGTTGTCCAGGAGGGCCACGTCCGACTGCAGCACCTCGGTGCTGCCCAACGTGGCCATACCCGAGGCGTTGATCGACAGCGTCGTGGCCCGCTTGGTCCTGGGAGGACCGCGAGCCGGAATCTCCTCGACGGCCTCGGCGCCAGTCGCAGCCTGGACGAGGCCAAGCTTGCGGCCCTCTTCCTCGGTTGTGGTGACGTAGACGCCGTGCTTGGGTTCAACGGCGGCACCCTTGTCATCGGAGAGAAGCGGGTTGGTCCCGCTGGGAGTCGCGACGTTGCCACCAGTCGACGGCGGCGTCGGTAACTGCGATCCGCCAGTCAAGGGTCGTTTTGAGGAACGCGAGTCTGAGACGTCTGGTAATGATGGCACCGAGCTCTTGCGAGGTGTCCTCAACTCCTCCTTGAGGTTGGACGAGCCACTGCGCTTGCGCTTGTGCGTGCTAGTGGTCGAGCTAGCCGAGGCCGTGTCCCACTGAGGCGCCGCAGGGTGGCTGTATGAGGAGGGATCAAATTGCTGCTGCTGACCAGGGTACATTTGCGACGGAACGGGGCCGCCATACTCGGGCTGGTGACTCGGACGACGGGAGGGCCTGCTGGCACAAGAGCGGGCTGGGTGTAGACGTAGAACCCGCCGGGCTGGGCGGCGGCGGCGGTGGGGGGATAGTAGCCTGGCACGGGGCCGCCGTTGGCGTACACTGGATACGCAGCGGGAGGCTGCCCCATGTAGGGCGAGAGTTGAGGCTGCTCCACTTGAAACCCAGTGTTGATCTTTGGGGGACGATTCATTCTTCGGCGGTCAGCAGCGTCCTTTGTCAGCGGGGAAACCCACTTGTCCTTCTTTGATGAGCGCTTCGCACTGATGGCGTAGTGCTCGGTGATGAGCTCCTGCTTAAGCACAGGGGCCGAGGGAAGCTGGGCGTTGGACTCGAAGATGACGCCGCCGTTCATGGTTTCACCAGAGAACGAGTCCGAATGGGCGACTAGAGTGGGTCAATGACTGGGACGCAAGGAAGGCCAAGGATGTGAGGAGGGGGAGAGAGAGGGGGGTGGTGGAGAGGGAGGCGGAGAGGTACGGCAGAGGGGGGGGGGGGGGGGGGGGTCGACTTGTCGCAATCACAGCCTGTTGACTGTAGCTAGCCGGTGATCAATGCAACACAATGGCGGTGATGATCAGGTTGGGGTGGGAGACACTTCTGGGGCCGCGATGGGAGGAGAGCGCCCAGGAGGTTTGCGACAGTGTGACTCTCGAGATAGGTAGCGATGCGATGGTGGTGTTGGTGGTGATGGCCAGTTGTTTGGAGCGAGCACAACCAACAATTTGGGCGCAGGTTGACGATGAGGTGGGCGGTGGCAGGCCGAGGAAAGGGAACTGGCAGGGTACGAGAGGGAGAAAGGAAGACGACGAGGAGGGATGGAGGGAAAGAGAAGGGGGAGGGAGGACAAAGGGGACAAGGACAAGGGAGGGGGTGACACTCACGCAAGTCGATACGGGTGAAGCCTGGTTCGACGTTCGCGCCCAATGGTCCTGCGTCGGTTTCGTGTGTAGAGCTCAACGGAGAGGAGAAGGGAGAGGGGATAAGGATATGTCGATGTCAACGACTGCGATCCAGCCAAAGTTGGGACAGCGAGGAGCTAAAGGCGGTGGCTGGGAGTGGGCGTCAGGGGTCCCTTGTCGTCCCGATTTATAGAGAGAGCGAGACAGAGAGGTAGGTCGTCGTCGACTTGGACCAAAGACAGTGTGAACGTGTGCCCCGCCGGACAATGCGATAGTCGAGACTGATACCCAGAGTGGTTGTAAAGAGGACGGTGCGATCTGGCAAGGTGGGGGTCTGAGAGAGGGGGGCTCGGGAGCAAGCAGCTGATCGTACAAGGAAAGGTGATGAGAGGTACAGGGTATTGTCGTGCGCACAGGCCTTGCAATCGCACAACCGACGGTGGGGGTGGGGTTTTGTGTCGAGCGCGGCTGGAAAGGGTTGGAGGCCGAAGCGTTGCCGGAGACGGTCGATAGAAACCTAGACACACACCGAGTCTTGGTGTGTAGTGTTGACGTGAAAGGTAGAGAGAGAGCACTGGGTGCGAGAGGAATGGGCGACGGAAGGAGACGGAGACGGAAGGATACCTTGCTCTGACAGGAGAGAGAGAGCAATCGGTGCGAACAGCGGCGGCGGCGGCGGGGGGAGGGTCGAGTTTGGCAAGGGGGAGGGGGAGAGGGTTTGAGAGGCAAGAACGGATGGAAGATTGTGTTTGGGTGGCGAAGAGGACGAGGCCGTTTGTTGTGGAGGGAGGGAGCGAGGAAGGGGGAGCGATGGATTGCGATGGAGAGCACAAGTGACTGGACCGGGCACCCACACGTACGGAGGGAAGGATGTGGATGTGGATGGTGCTGGCGGCTGTGGGTGGTGGGAGTCGCGAGTGGTGGGCCCTGGGCGGGGGGTGTGTGGGTGTGGGTGGCCTGGGAGGCGAGGCGAAGCGCGGGACGGACGGGGGGTGGGGGCGAAATGACGGGCTGGCTGGCTGGGCTGGGGGGATCCGCCCAGGCGGGCCAGGGGAGGGAATATACCAGGGCTTGAGACGACGACCCACAGTGCAGCTGCAGGGACGGCACACACACACTTCTTACACACTGGCGGGAGAGGGAAAGAGGTCACTCTCTTGTCAGGGTCCAACAACAGGACATGGACACCACTCTCTGGCGCACCCACAGCTGCCATCCTTGTGGTCACTCTTCGTCTTCTTCTCTCCTTGTCAATTGCTTTGGGCTAAACAAACGACCTCGTTTTTTTTGGTACATCATACTTTCTCTCTCTCTCTACAGTACAGTCCACATATATCCCCCGGCTTCCCCTCTCTGGTTCTGTCGTAATGTAACACACACCTGTGCCCCCCCCCCCCGCCGCGGAGGCGCATTCCCGCTCCCCACACCGCTTGCACCCACATCGTCCGTCGTCTTTGAACAGCCCGCCGGTGTGACAGTACGACGTCAGGGTGTGGGTCCATTCATCCCATCGCCTTTCTAATCCACGGCCCACGGAGCCACGGGGCTTTTGGCGCGCCCACCGAGAGACCCCCCGTTCAACAGGTGTCGGCGGCGTGTCATGGCGCGCCCACGGCGCGTGTTCGAGAGAGCGAGAGGGCTTCTGGCTCTCTGCGCTCTCTCGCTTCAACCACCTTTTTGGATTCAAACACATTATATTGACATTAACAACAGGGCACAGCTAAGGATGCTTTGAGGGGGCTGGCTGTAGGCGCAGAATGACAGCACACACGCACACCGAAAAACCCTTCTCGGAGGTCTGGAAACTAGCTCGGAATGGAGCGCGTTGGCTCATGACGCGCGCACTGGGGCCGGATGCCTGTTGAATTCGTTTAAACGCGTCGTCGTCGTCGCCGCCGCCGTCTGAGGCATCTGAGGGTAACTGCCGACTAATTGTTTCCCACACTATGCCCATTAACCTGGTTGACAATCAGATTGTCATGCAATGATCTTCTTTCCTGGAGCGAAAACCCAGTCTGCAGAATAATCTGTGACGGGGGTGGCAAAAAAGCCCAATGATGCCTGGTACCGCAACCTGGGTGATCCGATGAACTGACTGCCTTCCCACGTCTCCCGCATGGTGACATGTTCATTGCGCGTGCCGTTGTGGTGTCCCGCCTGGAGCTCCGGAGACCAGGTGGCCAGGTATGCAAGAGCGCAAGAGCGCAGGCCGCAGGCGGCGATGACACACTGCTCATTTTCCAGCCTATATGCGCGGAGACTTTCATATAATTGCCGTATTAGGGAAAAAAAGGACACTCTCGCCCACCCGCGTCACATTGGCGCACCCAGCCAAGCGCGACTGCCGCACTGCCGTGCGCGCAGGTGGAGTCATGTTGGCCGTGAGCTTGCGGCACATGCCGTAACATTCAAGGCCGCCTAGCCGACGCTGCGCGCCGCGCGTAAATGGCAGCGCGCCCAGAGGCCCGGCACGTCGAGAGACCATCCCGCGCGCAGGGCGCGTAGGGACTGTTCAAACCCAAATTCACACTGCAGAGCGCAGACCATCGCTGCACTGCGCACTGCTGCAAAGCGAACTTGACGAGGCTGCAGGCTCCAGGCGCGCGCAGCTGTTTAGGCTCGCATTAGGTTTGTTCGGTAATCTCGGCACGTCCGCTCTGCACATGAGGGATATGGGGAAGAGGCCATTTTTTGTCAATATCGTCAAACTCATGGCCGCACGCTGTCAAACGTAGCGTGGTAAACGGCAAAGGGGCGCGCAATGCGATTGTACGGTGCAGCGGCCGAGATGAATGACACCATGTCATGTACTCGTCCACAGGCCACAGGCGCCTGACGCGGCTAATGGCGTCGCTGTGCTCACCGTCGTGATACGTTCACTGGAGACGGTGTGGGGTTTACGACAGCGAGGTGCTGGGCGCGACAGGACGTCAAGGGGAAGGAGGTCGCTCACGACCTCGGCGCGGCGCGATGACACGGAGCGGGTGGGTACTTGCACAGACAGCTCCCTCAAGACGGACATGGGCTCCCGGACGGGTGGAGTGTGAGCCTCCTGTTTTGCGCGGCACATCGCGCGGCTGCGATGGGGGGACATTGCTGGTTGGTAGTAAGAAGCGTTGGTCAGGAGTAGGATGAGGTCGAGGATGGATAAAGGAAGGACGTGTTGTGCGCGTGGGTGTGCTCAGGCGATCAATCAGGCGTGTCCAGAGATCCACACAGGCTGCCACGCTCGTGTCTCGCGCCTTTCCAAACCACACTCACTGTGCGTAGCTACCCAGCGACCAGCGAGACGCGGCCAGCAGCCACGACGTACGTCTGGCGTTCGTTCTCAATGCTCTTCGCAGGTTCAACACCTGCACTGGTCGGATACATTGGGGTTATGCCAACAATTAGCTTCAACGCTTTGATGGAAGGCCAAATTGGGTCTACAGGCAAGCGCAATGCAAAGCCCCAGCTTGCACGATCACTGTAAGGAGCTTTGTCGCTTGCAGCACTCACCAGTCTCCGGCCTCGAATGTTGATGAGGCGTAGACCGAGTGCAACGACGCCAGCCTGTCTTGGCCATGGTCGAGAGACAGTTGGACAGGAGGCAGGAACTGGAACGCGTCGCGCGTGGGCATGTCTCTTGATCTCTTGGCTGCAGGTTTCGGGTCTAGGGAAATAACGGCCCAGTATATACAATCGCAACCCAGGCGCGTAGTTGCATTAGGGCTCGGTAATCGTCGGTAACTCCGTCGATCCATATCTCGCTCGGCGACTCCTTTCGCGGTCATGACCGGATCATACTAAGCGCCATGCCCACTACAACTACACCCAGGCCTCTGTTACCGTTTGTTGCTCTTGTCCACTATCTCTACGCCCAACAATGACATCCGCCGCTTCCTCGTCCTCGCGCGACCTGACGGTCCTCACTGCCTCGGATGTCGACACCGTCCTCGCCAAGATGGACCTGTCGCTCGCGGTGGCCGGCCAAGCCCAAGTCTTTGCCGCGTACTCTAACAAGGACAAGAAGGATGAGGGTGGGTTGGCTGGTTTTGGTGTTGGTGCCCCCCCTCTGACAATGCTGATCATCTAAAGCACCTGGTGTTGCTTCCATACAGCTGCCCCTCCGCCACGTCCTCCAGACTCCCGCCCAGTCCATGCTCTTCATGCCCGCCCGCGTTCCGGGTACCACCGCGATCAAGATTGTGTCTGTGCCAAAGGGTGGCAGTGACGGCCTCCCTGGCACAACCCTTGTGCTGGACGAAGTGAGTGGCAAGGTCCGCGCTGTTATCAACGCTCGCCGCTTGACAGCCGTCCGTAACGCTGCTGGTGAGTGAACCCTCCTCCTCCTCCCAACATGTCTAAACACCTCTCAGGCTCCGTTCTCTCCATGAAGATTCTCGATCCCGAGGGCAAGAAGACGCCCCAGAACATGGTCGTGTTTGGCTCTGGCGCCCAGGCCGACTCGCACGTCCGCGCCTTTGTCGCCGCCTACCCTTCCATCAAGACCGTCACCGTCGTCGCCCGCCGCTCCACGCCGCGTTCCGAGGCGCTCGTCGCGTCGCTGGCAAAGGCATTCCCAGCCGTCAAGGTGGCGCAGGGCGTCGCGTCGTTCTCGGCCGGCACCGCCGAGGCGGGCTTTGACCTCTCGGCCACTGTCCACGCCGCCGACATTGTCTGCACCATGACGTCGTCCGAGCAGGCCCTGTACGGCGCCAAGGACATCAAGGCGGGCTCGCACCACTGCCTCATCGGCTCGTACAAGCCTCACATGCGCGAGGTCGAGGACGAGCTCATCCAGCGTGCGGGTGTGGTGCTCGTCGACTCGCGCGAGGCGTGTGGTCACGAGGCGGGCGAGCTCCAGAACGTCACAGACGATGACCTGGTCGAGATTGGCGAGGTCATCAACTCGGAGCATGGCGCCGAGGCCAAGGTCAACTCGGCTGGCGACGTCAACGTCTTCAAGAGCGTTGGCCTTGGTGTCCAGGACGTGGCTATTTCGGCCCTCATTGTGCAGGAGGCGGAGCGTCTGGGTCTTGGTACCATCGTTCCCAACTATGACTAAAACATGGCAAGGTGATGTCGAGGGTGCCATAGAGAGAGAGACGTGTCGGAAGATCAAAGGTCGATGCATACCGCCGAGCCCATTGAGTGGTTCAGACGGAATAACATTACGAGATTAGGTGACGCCCTTTGGAGCCCCAGGTCTCGAAATAGTCTTGTCCATTAGCTTAGCCGCGGATGGAATGGGGTTTTCTGTTGTGATGCCGCGGGCGGAGGGGGCGGAAAGCACGTTCCGCCGCGTCGTTCACACTTGCATCCTCACACTCAACCATGCCAGCCTACGACCTAGAGGCAACGGCGACAACACCACTGTTACGGCGCTCGTCGACAGACAGCTCGGCGCGGTCCAAGCGGGTTCGACGCCGGCATCGACCACGCCGCCCCGGTCCACCGATATACACGTACCCGGCCATCTTCTCCCTCTTCTTGTTTGCTCTCGCGACCATTGCCGCGTGGGACATCTCCGTGGGCAAGTGCAAGATTCCTGGCCTGTGCCGCGTCCTCGGCGGCATCCAGGAGCCGTTGGAAAAAGTGTGGATGCGCAACGCAGGACCCTACGCGCCATACATGAGCCGCGGCCACGGCGGTGGTGCCGCCGGCTTGCCCAAGGGCTGTAAAGTTGACCAGGTGTCCATTGTGAGTCTCGTTGCTGACGGAGACATCCCACTCACGTACCAGCTCCACCGCCATACGGGACGGTACCCTACGCAGGATGCCGGCGATCGCACGCGCTTGGTGCTCAAGAAGCTCGCCAACCGTCGCATACGAAACGTGCGATCAGAATATTCATGGCTGGGAACGGCCGACTTTGAACTGCAAGACTGGGACATGGGCCAGCTCACCAAACAGGGCCGTCGAGCGTGAGCTTGGTAGACTGCAACGGCAGCTGACATTCCAGTGCGTGGGACTCTGGTCGCACCTATGCGGAGCGGTACGCATCCCTCTTCCACCACGACGGCATCTTTGCCCGTTCCTCGCGCCAACAACGTGTTGTCGAGACGAGCGAGTTTTGGCTCCAGGCGTTCCACGGCCACCCGTTCGACGGGCCTGTGCGCGTCCCACCCAATGTCGTCATTGCAGAGGGCGAGGTGAGTGTCGTGGCCTCGTGGCCTCGTGGCCTCTCTCCACACCGAACCGTCTACTGACAAGCAACCACAAAGGACCGGAACAACACGCTCTCAGTCCACAGCTGCCCGCGCTTCAATGCGCTGTCACCGCCAGCAGGCGAAAAGGAAAAACGCGAGATTGCGCGTCTACTCGACCCGGCAGTCACGCGCTTGAATGGCATCTTCCAGCCCAACCCGCCTTTCGACGTCGACGACATTGGCCGTCTGGCCGACCTGTGTGGGTTCGACTCGCAGGCCAGCGGCGAGAGCTGGAAGGGATGGAGCCACTGGTGTCGTCTGTTGAGGAGAGACGAGTGGGAGGTGGCTGGATACGTCGCGGACGTGGCCAGGTGGTACCGCGTCGGCGAGGGAAGTGTGAGTCCGCTACGGGAAGTTCGGAGAGTACGCAAAGCTGACAATCACAGCGATTTGGCAAAATCATGGGTGTACGTTCATGCTGCGCAACCCGCCCCGACAGACAGCTGACATTCTGCAGGCCGGCTGGGTCAACGAGCTTCTCGCGCGCCTGACGGATACGGCGCCCGTGGACCAGACCACCACAAACCACACGCTCGACGACGATCCCGCCACGTTCCCTCCGGGCGGCAAGCGCATCTTTGTGGTAAGCTATTCTGCCTTGCCTCACATCTGACACACGCGACGGCAGGATTTCACCCACGACAACGAGATGATCGAAATCCTCACTGCGATGGGTATCCGCAAGATGCGCCGCAAGCTCCCCATCCGCCACTTGCCCGATGACGAGCGGCGGTTCATCCTCTCCGAGCTCATCCCCTTTGGTGCGCGGTGGGCCGTTGAGCGGATAGAGTGTGACGAGTCGGACCACGACCACCAGCAGCCCGTCACGGTGCTTGCTGGCGAGCATCCGGGCGCTGATGGGGACACGTCCCAAAACGGTACAACGACAACGAGCACCTACGTGCGCCTTCTCATCAAGTGAGTTTTGTCCCGCTTTGGCAATGGTAGGGCGCTGACGTCCAGCGACCACCCGGCACACATTGACCACATGGCATGCCGCTCCTCGGCCCACTACTCGCACTACCTGTGCGAGCTCGACGCATTCATCGAGTCCCAGGCTTGGGCGACGGACGATGTCGACTGGGACGACTGTCGCTTGCGCAAGTGAGCGTACACATGCGTACATGTGGTATGTGCATAAAGGTTGTAGGTTGTAGTGTACTTTGGTTCTTTTTAAAAATACGTTTTTTTTTATGTGAATAATGTGATATGGTGATGATGATGCGAGGTTTATCATGCCTTGTCCTGTGCTGTCTCGTTGAAGGCGCGCAACGTCGCTTCTGCCGTCTCCAGGAAACTGGCAGGCATGCCCGCGAGCTGAGCTGCTTTCTGCATTTGTCAGTTTCCCCTGCATACAACCGGCGTCAACTCACAATGGCATGCGAGTTGTAGTTGATTCCCGGGCGCAGACGGTACGAATAGCTGAACGCGCCATCTGCCTCGTGGACGTCGGTACAGAAAAAGCTCACGCCCGGCCTGACGTATGCCCCCTCTGGGATGGTAGCCACGCCACCGCAGTTGTTCACGGGTGCGCCGAGCATGTGCGTGAGTTCGTGGTAGTGCGTTGCGAACAGCGTCCGGCATCCGACATGTTGCAGGATATAGTCGAGGGTCGCGTACGCAATGCTCACGCCGGCATGCAACGTGGTTCCACGACCAATCTCGTCCATGATGACGAGCGAGCGCGGCGTCGCCTGCTTGAGGATCGCGGCCGTCTCGACCATTTCGAGCATGAACGTGCTTCTGTCGCGGAACAGGTCGTCGCGCGCGCCGACGCGGGAGAAGACGCGGTCGACCACCCCGAGCGACACGCTCTCGGCGGGCACAAACGAGCCGCTCTGCGCCAGGATGGCAATCACGGCCGTTTGCCGCAGAAGCGTGCTCTTGCCGCCTTGGTTGGGCCCGGTGATGACATGGAGGCGGGACGTATCAGTCATGCGGGTCGAGTTCGGTGTGAACACGCGGGCCGTGGCGAGGAGACCCGTCTCAACTGAGGGGTGTCTACCGTCGACAATGTCAAGTCCAGTGCTGCGTTGTTAGCTCGGCTGCAAAAAAAAAAAACAAAGCTCACCCATCGTCGAGAACCGGCCGGGTGAGACGCAGGTCCACTGCAGCCTGGGCAAACGACGACGACAGGTCAATCTCGTCAATGAGCTCGGCGTTTTTCTGGATCATGTCCGCGTGCTCAACCACCATGGCACGTAGGCGGTTCAGCGCACGCGACTTGGCGAGCTCGAGCTTCTCCAATGCCTTGCCCATCTCGAGTCCCAGCGACGACCATTCCTGAGCAAGCGTCAGACGACTGGCTGAAGGGGTAACCAGTGCAAACACTCACGCTGTAGACAAACGTCTTGCTGCCTCTGGTTTCTGAGACCGAGCCGAACAGACCAGAGCGCTCCACGCGACCGAGCTCTGTCTTCTTCTTCACGTTGACAAAGTAGCCGCCCTTGTCGTTTGCGACGAGCGACAACGTGTCCGCCTCGAACTCATCCTGCAGCTTCTTCTGCAGCACCTCGCGACGCTTTGTAAGGGTCTTGATGCGCTTGTGCAAGTTGGTCAGCTCGGTTGAGAAGCTGCAACGTCAGCTAAAAGACTACACAGTGCACAGACACACCTCGGCTTGATCCACCAGCGTTGCCTTTCAAGAATATCCTTCCTGCGCGCCTCCTCCTCCTCCTTCAACTTCTTCTTCTCCGCCCTGGTCATTGACACCTTGGAGGTCTGCGTCATGGCGTCTCCAGCAGCTTCCGCGCCGTCGTCCTCTTCTGGCGTGGCGATGCCGCCACGTTGCACGCCCACCTCGTCGATAGACGTCTCAATCACATCCGCGAGATCTGAGAGTGGCTTGAATGTTTCCAAGAGCTCATTGAGCCGGTCCACGCCCTCGGGTTGGCCGTGGGGCGAGTTGGCTGGGCTCTGCGGCTCCATCTGGACGTGGATACGGATGACGTGCAGAAGCTTTTCGACACTCCGGATCCAGAGACCGACGTCCCAGACGTCTGTCCCGTCGCCGCGGCTGGCGCGGAAGCGCTGAATGATGCGCATGACGTCGACAATCTCGCGCAGCTGGTCTCGAACATCGGAACGCATGTTCTGGCGATCGGCAAAGGCGGCAACGAGCGCCAGTCTCGAGTTTATCTCAGGCAGCGAGGTAGATGGGGCAGAGAAGGTACGGCGGAGCAACCGGTGGCCTGAATCGGTGACTGTACGCGAGAGGGTGGAGATGAGAGTTCCCTTGACACTGAGACCGGATATTGTGCCGCTAGCGGTGGTTGATGGGGCAGAAGCAATGAGGCCGCCTGGGCGAAAGGCAGTCCGGATCTCGAGAGCCTGCAGCGTGGCCGCGTCAATGTGCATTTGGTTGGAGTTGGACTCGACGTTGAACTGGTCCGGAATGGTCGGCATCGCACCACGCAGAGCATACTCGAGGTGGTGACGGAGAAGAGAAATGGCCTCACGCTCCATAGTGACCAGACCTGGAGGTGGAAGGGGAGCAGAGCGTTTCTTTGGCTTCTTGACCATTGGCGATTCCGTCAAGTCAGGTCGCTGGGTAGCGTCGGTAAACGAGACGTGCACACCCAACACGCGAAGAAGATGGAAAAGGTTGCCTCTTGGCCCCTGTGCGTCGGCCGCCGACTCGCCATCGAGCCATTCGTCGCGTAGCCGTGAGTCAAGAACAATCTCACGAGGTGCGATACGTGCCAGCTCGTCCTCGATATCCGCAGTGGTGCACTCCTTGGTGAAAAACTCGCCGGTCGACACGTCCGCGTACGCAAGTTGAAGGGGCTGCGGGGTCGCCTCCTCCTCCTCGCCTTCTACAGCCTTGGGCTCGGGCCCAAAGGCGACAGCGAGAAGGTACCGGCTCTCACTTCCAGTAATCCACCGCTCGTCCAGCAGCGTTCCAGGCGTGACCACGCGCGCGACCGAGCGAACAATCACGGCATCTTCTTCTGGGGGGTTCAAGGGGTCCTTTTCCTCATCGATGATGGCAACCGTATAGCCGTAGTCGTTGACCAAGATCTTGAGGTACTTTTCTATCTGGTGGATAGGGAATCCAGTGAAGGGGAACTGGCCGTTCTTGTACGTCTTCCTCGTCAGCTTGATGCCAAGGACCGACGACACCTGGATGGCAGGCTCAAAGTAGGACTGAAGCGTCAGCACAACGTCTAGGTATTCAGTTTTTTACCTCGTAAAAGTTGCCAACCTGGGTCAGAATGACACAGTCCGGGAATCGCCTCCAGTTGTCCCACACCAATCTTGACAACATGGTGTCGGGCACCTTGTTCGCGCGGACTGCTGCATTGTATTCCAGATCGTCTTGACTCAGTACCTCAGCTGTTGCGCAAAGTCAGTAATGGTTCGTGAGAGAGGGGTACGTCTTTTGCAACTTACAGTCACCCTTCTTCCCCGCGGCCTTCCTCTTTGCCTCAGTCTTCGTGACCTCGCGGTGCTTTGGAAGGGGTTTGACAGTGTTGCCTTCCGGATCGAGGAGGTTGATGGGCAGCTCTCCAAACTCGATGACTTGCTTGGGACCCTTTGCCTTCTTCTTCACAGTCAAGGTCGACGTATATCGAATGGGCAAAGGCGCGAGCAGAAATGGTGAAGCGAGTGCCGCCCGGGGTCGGGCAGCTCGCCGCGCAGACGGACCTAGGCGGGGGAGCATGACGCGCGCCCGACTTTAGGTCGTCACGGACGCTGCTCTTTTAAGACGAAAGGGAGGTGCTGGAGGCAAAGCGAACAAGCTGTGTATGCTTCGGTTGTCAGTAAAGCTCTTGACGCGCTTCCTTACCTGCTTGTTGCTTGCGATGTGGACGATGGCGGAGAAACGAGAGTTGATGACGGTGTTGGTGACCTCCTCCACTTTTCCAATGGTTCAGGCACGGTTCAATCCAACCTAGGGACGGAACGTCTCGTCTCTCTCTCTTACACTCTCCTCACCAGAGTCTCGCTCTTGTTATCCCCCACTCCTCTCAACCGGATCCATCCTCTCAACGCAGCCCCTCCGACCCGGCTCAGTCGACTGCCAAACATGGATTCGGCAAAGGCGGCGTCAGCCTCGTCGTCTTCGTCCCCAGCGCGCGAGAATGCTGTCAACGTCCCCGAGACTGAACGCTTCACTGGCGAGCCTCAAGCCCCGTATGACTACCACAGCCTCGACGGCCGCGACCCAGTCATCTGTATTGACAATGGTGGGTACTATTAGCGCGTTATGGAGTGCTGACAGTCTCGCAGGCTCCCACTCGTGGCGCGCAGGCTTCTCGACCATGGACAGCCCGTACATTGACCGTCCCAACATTGTCTCCCGTTACCGGGAGCGCAAGCTCGGCCGTAACACTCTTCTTTTTGGCAACGACGTGGAGGTCGATGCCAACTCGCGCTCCCAGAGCCGCACCATGTTTGATGGTGACATGCTTATCCACGGCGACCTGATGGTAAGCTTTCACTGGGTGAGCGAAGCTGATGAGTGTAGGAATGCGCCCTCGACTTTACCTTCCTCACGCTCGGCATCGACTCGAACAGGATAGAGCAGCCCATCGTCATGACTGAGCGTCTGGCGAACCCGTTGTTTACCCGTGCTAGTGAGTCTACTGCTACTGGGTGCACAGACAGAATCATCGGAGAGCTGACCGGCAGTGACCTCGGAACTCCTCTTCGAGCTGTACGGGGCGCCTGAAGTGACCTACGGCATCGACTCACTCTTCGCTTTCTCACGCCACAAGCACCGCGACGGCTTATCGATCCACATGGGCCACAATGCCAGCACAGTCATTCCGGTCGTTGACGGCAAGGGCGTTCTGACCCGTGCGAAGCGGTAAGCTCCTCCTTCAAGCCTGTCCCCATTTTGGTTCTGACTGATTCCCAGAATACCTTGGGGCGGATCTCAGTCGGCAGACCTCCTGCTCAAGCTTGCGCAACTCAAGTACCCTTCTTTCCCTCTCAAGGTCACCCAGAGCCAGGCTACGGTGAGGTTTTGGCTAGTCGTTCCCAAGCTGACTCTCCCAGTTCATGTACCACGAGACCTGCTACTTTGCCTCGGACTATGACGAAGAACTGCGTTCCTTGGCCAATCCTGCCACGATGGAAGCTAAGACTATGGTTGTTCAGTTCCCATACAACCAGCCTGAGGTTGTGGAGAAGACTGAGGAGGAGATCGCGGCTCAGCTTGAGAGGAGGAAGGAGCAGGGCAGGCGTCTGCAGGAGATGCAGGCCAAGCAACGGGCAGAGAAGGTGCGTGTTCTCACTCTCGGTAGAAAACTGACGGCCAGCTCGCAGCCAAGGTGGCCGAGTTGGACGAGTACAAGATGCTCGTCGCCGAGCGTGGATCTTTGAAGAAGGCCGACTGGGTCCAGCGCATTTCGGACACCACTCCCTTCGAGACCGAGGCCGAGCTTGAGGCTTGGATCAAGAAGACGGAACTCGAGGTTAGGCGCAAGCAGAAGCGCGAGATGGGCGAGGAGCCCGAGCCCGAGGAGGAGCCTTCCTTCCCTCTCGCCGACAGGCCGGACGAGGAGCTCACCGAGGAGGAAATCAAGGAGAAGAGGCGACAGCGTCTTATGAAGGCTGGCTGGGAGGCGCGCGTCAAGGTCCGCGAGGAGAAGCGCAAGGAGAGGGAACGCTTGGTGAGTTTTACCATATTGGGATCTGCTAACCCCCCATAGGAGGAACTCCAGCGTCTGGACGACGAGGAGCGTGTCAACAACCTCCCAGGATGGTCTGCTAAGCTCAAGGTCGAGCATGTCAGCGTCATTGAGCGCATGAAGGAGCGCAAGAAGCGCCGTGCTCAGCTGGGTGACCGCAAGTCCGCTGCCGCCCAGAACCGCATGAAGTCCATCGCGTCGCTTGCTGCCGAAGGCTCGTCAGGCAAGAAGAGGAAAAAGGGCGACGAAGGTGCGTACACTGGAAAGCTGGGTAGCTCTAATGATGCAGAGAAGGACGACGGATTTGGTCGCGACGACTCGGATTGGGCTGTCTACCGCGAGATTGTCGCCGAAGACGACTCGGAGGCTGAGGAGGACGACCTCGCCCAGCTCCAGACCATTGAGAGCAAGCTCTTGGAACACGACCCTCACTTTACGGACGACCACACCCTGGAGGGCCAGGTTCGCGTCAAGAATGCGCTTCTCAACGCCTTTACTCGCGGTGACGCTCTCGGCCGCTACGACCCGGACAACATCCATCAGAACTACCAGATCCATCTCAACGTCGAGCGCATTCGCGTTCCAGAGACCTGGTTCCAGCCATCCATGTTCGGTGTCGACTCTGCCGGCCTCGGCGAAGTCGCTGGTTGGCTGCTTAACGGCTTCGACGAAGATGTCAGGGCGCGACTCATGCAGGTACGTAGCGTCATCTCCGATCCTCTTCGAAACGGGAAGGCCGCTGACATGACACAGTGTGTTGTCCTCTCTGGTGGCTCTACGAAACTGCCAAACCTGTTGCCCCGAATGCGCAACACTCTCACGCCTGTCCTGCCCTTCCGAACCCCACTCAAGATCTATGGCGCCCTTAACAATGCTGACCCACGTCTCGAGACGTGGCGTGGTATGGCCGAGTGGGCTAGCACTTCAGAAGGAAAGGCCGCTCGTGTCACCCGTGCCGAGTACGACGAGTATGGAGGCGAGTGGGTCAAGGAGTATGCCTGGGGCAATGCCGCACCGTAGTAGATGAATGTAGCTCCTGTTAGGTCGTTTTTGCCACCTCAGATCTCAGAATTTGCTTCCGTTGAATCGTCGCACCTTCCCAAACCCAGTCAGCTAAACGTTGTTGGTTCTGCAACATCCTCATCTTCCCCAATCCTCTCCCCATCGCTTTATCACAGGTCAAATGGGATCGGCTGCATCCACGATGAGCGCCGATCCCCGCGCTTCTGCAACTTCCCCAAACGAGAACGACACATCCAGTGCTACCCCCGCTCCTTCTCGTTCTCAAATGCTTTCCTCCGAACCTTCCGTCCCACGCATATCAACAGCCCCACCACCACCACCGCGCCCTGACGTCGCTGCTCTTCGTGCTGCAGCCCTCAAGTCCAAGGCGAAGAACGATGTGACTCCTTCCCCAGCGCCGACGTTACCGCCCAAGCCCGCTAAGAAGAGTGCCAAGGCAGCCAAAGCAGCGCCAGCCAAAGCAGGGAAGTCGGCAAACAAAGCCAGCAAGCTCAGCAGCGAGGTCACGCTCAGCACCTCCGAGAAGGAGGACGGTGAAATAAGCGACGACAACGCGCCGGGGCCCAGTGCTCCTCGTCGTGAGGCTATCACAAGGTCGAAACCGCCCCCGTCCATGCCAAAGGCCAAGACTTTACAGGCCCAGCCTTCTGTGGATCACATTGTCACGCCAGGAGTCGCTGCTTCTGATTCTGGTATCGTCCGATCTACGGTCTTGACGATTAGCAACACGTTCACTGGTGCCACCGCTACCTCGTCCTTTCCAGGATCCCCGTCGGCCAACGGTGAGTGCACGCCGCCTGCAACAACCGCTGACCTCTTAGGCCTCGCAGAGCAAGAGTGGTTGAAAGAGATCCGCGGCTTCCTCCACGACGGCCTAACTCCCAAAGACCTCGTGGCCCAGGGCGCACCGACCCACCTCGTTGCCAAGGTCTGTGAGGACATCGTCGCTGGGACCAAGCAACGCAGGGCCCTCTGGAACCAGGTTCGCGAACCTGGGCGCGAAGCAAGCGAGAGCCCCAGTGTGGCCAGCTTTGGCAACGAGGCTGGTCCGTCCCGTCCCAGCTCAATCCGCTCGCGCAGCTCCAGCCCAGACATCGCAGTTGCTGTTGCCATGGGTCGTACCAGCTCGGAGAGCTCAACCGAGGCCCTCATCGAGCGCATGATTCCTCCCCAGCCGTATGTGCAGCCGTCGGCACCCCGTATTATGTCGAGCTGGACTCCCAACGCCGCGGTTCCCGGACCAGCCTCGAATTTGAGTCGCCCCACTTCAGCTACTGGCGCTATTCACATTGAGAGCTACCGCCCACTCCCACGTCCCCAGGTGCCCACCCCCGTCCTTGCGCCTGCTCCCCAGCATCTGCCGCACAAGGGGCGGCGGCGTCGTGATCTCGACCATGCTCACCAGGCAGACGCTCTGGCTACGCTCAACTACGGTGACGACGATGAATCCTCAATCCCTGCTCCACCATCAGTGGCCCCACCTCCTATCCCTCCGCCCCCACCTGTGCCGGCCGAGCCTGCACACGCAGCTGTCCCCGAGCGTCTGGGCCCTTCCCCAGCCGACTTGATTGAAACGCGTCGACGCGCCCTCCTCAGTATGCGCCGCGGCAAGACTGCGACTCCCACAACACCTGTGTCTGCAGCTCCCACACCGCCTCCGCAGGCTGGCCCATCCACGGCCGTCATGGCGGAAGCCGCCAGCCTTGAGCGCGAGATCCTGGGATCGACTGCCGAGGTCCCGATGGACATTGATGATGAAATGGAGGACGGCGAGATCCCCGACGATCGTCCAGAGCCAACACCACCGCCTCGTGTTGCCAGTGCGACAAGCTCGTCAACTCGTCGTGGCGTCAAGCGTCCCCATGCCGAGGACATGATGGACAACACGAGCCGTCCTACCACAACCGCATATCGCCCTGCACCGCCAAAGCGCCGCCTCTTCTGTGTCCCGCCGCCCGCCAGCCGTCTCCTTATACTTCTGGATGACGATTCGGACAGTGACGACGAACATGAGGACGAGGGTCTCCGCACAATCTCTATACCCGTTATTGTCATTCCTGAGCCAGTTGACGAGGCTCGTCTCTTGGCAGAGCGAAAGGAGGCAGAGCTCCGGGAGAAGAACGCCAACATCCTCCGGCTGAAGGAGCAGATTGCGGCCAAGCTGGCTGCAAAGAAGGCAAGCGTAACAACGCCCACGGGAGCGTCGACCCCGACTATCGAGCGTCGTGTGGCCGATGCAGAGGAGGCCGCCCAACGTGTGGGTGTGGATGGTGTGGCCGCGGACGTTGTGCACGCAGCTGTCCTCGCTGTCGCTCAAGAGAGCAAGTCCAAGGGCGGTACTCATCCAGACGGTGTGTATGTGTACTTGGTTCGTGGGGCTGATCGATCGCCAGATGACGTGCCCATGGAGGTTGCCGATGCTCCAGGTTGGTCGCACAGCCCAAGACGTGCCCTCCCAGGCCGGTACACTTTGCTGACCCTCGCAGACGCAACTGCGTCAACGTCAGGTAAATGCTCCTATACGGTGCTAGACTCACAAACAGATGCTGCGACCACTTCGACACCCTCGTCGTCGTCGGTGCCCAGGTCATCGACTGTATGTTTCTCTCCACTGCATTGCTGAGCGTCAGGCCTTCCGACCATACAAGCCTCTTCTTTCTCACTATCCGCAACTCGCGTCAATTTCGTCTGCCGCACTTCCCCACCTCGCCATTAACTTACCCGCCAGTCACAAGTCGAACGATGACGTCGACTACGTGGCCGGGTCTACTCTACTGACTCGCCAACTGCAGAACGACCCATCGTTGGCCCTCTGTCGCTCAGAAGCCGGCGGTGGTCACTGTGCCGACTCTTCGTGTACGGACCTTCATCTTTTGCGCTCTTGAGCCAACTGGTAAGCACTTTCTCCGAGCGGCTACACTGACTGCCAGATGCCGACATGACCACGTACATGAAGCAGAGCTTGACTATGAAGAGGGGAGACCGTGAAACCTAACAAATCGCCATTGCTGAGGCACTGGCAGCCTCCTCTACAAACTTGAGCAGAAAAGCTCTATAGCCACCCACACGCCCAAGGGGCTGACGTCCCTCCTGGACTTGACCGCTCCCAAGGTGAGGTGAAAGTGAATTCCCCATTTGCATTGGCGGCAAACGCTGTGCAACCCAACCCAACCCCATGTCATTGCAGCGGCCGCACTCTTTTCTGTACTATGATAGGCCATTTGACACCATGCACATTGTCTACTGCTACCGCTGAGCCGCAGTGCTAAGGAGGCACAGGAAACCCCTTGTCCTGTTGACAAGTCTGTGTGTGTTTGTCCTTCCTGTCCACAACACAACCGCGCCCCGTCCGCAAACGCCCTGCTTTCTGGCTGCGTCGTACACACATACAGATCGAGGCCCTAAGGAAACCCAGCCCAGAAAGGAGCCTGCCGGGTAACTAACTGTTTTTAACCCTTTGGAGGCGCAGCCAGCTGGACCGATCTGAAGAAAGGGGGCTTGAGTGTGGGAACAGAAAAGGAGTTTTGCCAACGTAAACAGACGAGGTCAGTGCGGTGCCAGGTACAACGGGGAATCCAAGACGCTGCCGACTTTGACTGAAGGCGCTTGGGGCGTCAGCAAGGCGTCAACAAGGCGTCAGCAACCGGCCGCACTCCCTCCATGACGTGACCCCATGTTATTGCGGGCTCACAGTTTGAGTGGAGTGGCGGACGCACGAATGGCATAAACGCATGGCTTGCAACGTACAGCAGTACTAAGGGAACCTCTCTGGGTCCGCAAAGCACGCTGCCCACTGGTTAGTCACCATGCGGCCCTGTACCCCCCTGACAAGTGGGCTAGCATCCCTATATAACCATTTGGTTAGTGGAGAACGTGAGCCCGATGACATACGACTGCGAATGTCTGAAAGGCCAAGGTCAGGATAGGTTTAAAGTTGGTTGGAGTCAGCAGCAGGGACGACGACATGATTTGAGACCATGGCGGCCCCGGTTAAGGGTCAGCCTCGTTCAGCCATATGGCAAAACCGTCCACCGTTTCCGTGGGCCGCAGGTAAGACCCCATCCCTGTCACTGGTTAGTCACCACCTACAGTATACCCCCCACACCCTGTACGAGGCGTGCGAGGCGTCGGCGGTTGCCGCCGCCACTCCTGATGGGTGTGCTGGCTCATGGGCTTTCAATCATGGCGCATGGCGCTTTGGTGCTCGGACACAAGTTCCGGCAATCGTTCCGATGGAGGGGAGAATACCCAATCAGCGGAACCCATCCATGTCCGCAACTTGTCAAGAGACCACAATTCGCACTCGCAAGGCTGGAGGAGGGGCCGGAGGGGGATGTATGCCCCGTGGCGTAATGAAACAGCAGTTGGCATGTGAAGTAAAAAATCGCTGCGCACAAGGACGAGCGATGGGATGACCTTTGGGTTATTCGGGCCGCCGAAATGGGCGTCTCCTGTCCCATAGGAGAGTGAAGTGCTTGCGCACTCGGCCAACTGTCCCCGTCCGTAAATGAAGCATCCTGGCGCACAGTCCCGAATGTAAGGGACCCTCATCCTTTTTGGGAGAACGTGTTGGAAGGCGACGGCGATGCCGAAGCCATCTAGCGGCCGGCAGAGATGCCGTTCAGGCTGCCGGTTGCAACAGTCGAGGGGGACGTTGCGCCGCAATTAGATGAAGGCCAGTGCTTGCGGCTTTCATCAGCCGAGATCTATTAATTCAAGGAGACAGCAACGGGCCTGGCCCGGTACGACAGGTCACCGGAAATGGGGCCCAGGAAGGCCAGGAGCTGGAGTGGGGGAGCCAGATTTATGAACGGACGTGGACGTTTGGACCTGTCGTGAGGGGAAGGTGTGGACGTGTGGCGACCAATGCGAGTCATTCAGGAAAACAAGAACGGCCCTCGCGCCGAAAGGATTGCGGTTTACCGCCAGACAAGACGTTTGAACAATAGCTCTTTAGTTTATGAGGCAGGTGATAATCAGGGTGATGCTACATCCCATGTGTCGCGCGACCGCGGGGTGTGGCGTGTGGCGGCATGGCAGGTCGTTAAGCGAGGGTTACGGAATGTTGCTCCATGTGGTATCTGCCATCCCAAAGTATGGTTTGCGGAATGCTTCCAGTCGCTAGATCGCTAGCCCTGCGTATCATCCATCGAGTGGCCCAAGTGGCGCCACAGCAAAGCACGTTTCAAAAGTTAGGCGCTTATTGCACGAGTGGAACTAGTCGAGATGACAGTGTTGGTGGTCGACACACAAATAAGTGTAAGAGAGCTCCCTCATAAAGACCATGACTGCCCGTGTCTTGGCGCTCCACATTACCTGTCCGTGTCGCAGTATGATGAGCCGCAGTGGTTCCAAAGCCGCCACTAGCTCGGAACGGGCATATCAGAACTAAAACATGACATGTCAGAACAATATCACCGGCGGCCATGGATCCATGGAGCCTGAGCGGACACAGATACACTGGGATCTTGACGAGATCTGGTTGTCGGTGGACGCCACTCTGTGTACAAGCTCCGAGGAGATTTCCGCAGGCTCCGTGTGGATTCATTTCCAGATGACGTGTGATGACGTTGGGGGTTCATAATGGGGTCATACCCAAATGGACATGTGGGTTGTGACTCACTCGCTGGGCAACGAGCACTCAAACGCAAACGCCACCCCGTGCTGCTGCGACAGCGGACGGTATGAGCGACACCAATTATATGAGGCCGTATGCGTTAATTAATTGCTTGGGAAAAAAAATTAGGTTGTGCTGGAGCGGATCCCACTGCACTGTTTGGGAATCGACAGTGTCACTTGTGTCGTCTGATGGACGGCAGTGCAGATGCGATATGGTTGGTGTGACTTTAAGCAGCGGCCCGTCCGACTTCGCTAAACGAAGATACTTGAACTGAGGCCACGATTACGGTTTGCTTCCCGGTAGTGCGTCGCGGAGCCCGGTAACGTTTACGTCCAACGTGGCCTGCGTCAGGAACTCGAACTGGGTGGGGCCAGTTGACGAAGTAAACCAAAACTTGGTGAGCAACATGCGTGGAAAGGCCACTGTGACCAAGCTGTGGAGCTGCTGGCATGAGAGTGTGTGGGGGAGTTGCGATTGATGGAGCTGGTGTTTTAATGCGCCAAGGCTGGTCTCGGCAGCTCCGTTTGGGGTCCGTGTCTACACCTCCTGTAGGCACGAGTTGCAGATGCCCTCCTCCTTTGCAAGACAAGGCACCAACGCTCTCGTTCTCTTCCAGGGTGCGGCAGCATTAGCCTCGGTTCTGGAGAACTTTGGCTCACCCCACGAGGCCCCCTCTCATTGTTCGACGGGGTTGGGTAGTGACGATGCGATCTCGATCTCGTTCATCATCACAGGCGACGCGTACCATATGTTACCTATCTTGACGACATCCGCCTCGTATACGGGGTCACAAGGACAGGACACGACGTTCCCTAGTGCGCAAATGTCCGCCCCCAGAGTGTCGGCAGTCGGCCAACGGTCGCATGGTAGCATGGTCGTGGAGAATGTCACGTGTCTTTGTGGCGATGTTGGCATGTCAATGTTGGCACTGGCCGTCGCCGGTGTGAGGTACGCAGGCGGCGTCGACGAGGAATGCCAGTGCGAGGCCTTGCGAACCGACCACTCACGAGCCTCAGAAATGGGGATAAACTGACACCGGCTCTGCATAGTTGCCGAAACGCGTCACGAATAGACGCAGGGCAGACAGCGGACAAGAATGGGAACCAGGACAGGCCTTGTACAGCAAAGGTGGGGCCGGTTGTAGACCAGCTTTGAGTGTGTGAGGGAGGAGAGTAGTGCGTGTACAAACGCGGCGATGACCCCCCTCTGTTGTCCAGCGGAGACAGTAGGGAGTAGTTGACGCACTGCTTATGCGCGTTTGCATGTTTGCGAGTCGTCACCCGAGGGAAGGGCAAGTTGAAGACGACTGACCGTGCAGTGTTCCCCTGTCACAGTGGTGTGAAGCACAGGGCAAGACAAGAGGTGGCTCATGCGCACACGCAGACGTGACCCCCCCCCCCCCAAGGCGATGAACAAAAAGAAGCAATGTGAAGGATGGGCAGGAGGAAAGAACAATGATGAGCAGGAGACAGTGGGAGATTGTATCAACCAGCCACTATATGGCCACTCTATCGATCCGACATCGCTGTCGGTAGGGACGGGGTTGCGGGGGCGTCGCTGGATCGAGCAAAAGGCCACGCCGCTACACGCCCTTCTGTGTGAGATGTGTCGTGTCTTGTGCAGGTACAGGTACAGACGGGCACAGCGCATCATGGTGATGAAAGAAGGAGGTGGTGGGCGATGAAGAGAGATGGGAGATGAAACAAAGACACACGGTCGAACAAGTCACACGGCCGTGCTGGGGACGGTTCCCCCAAAGACGTCGTTGTCGCCCGTGGTGTGGTGGCACGGGAGAGCAGCAGCAGATGTGAAGGGCGCTGCAAACGAGCACAGATAGATGGACACGGTTGCTATGTTACGCATCAAAGGACGTGAAGAACGGGGGGGCCAAGGCGTTTGGTTGGAGCGCAGCTGCCGGTGGAGAGAGGGCTCAAAAGGAGATGTGGGACACAAGGTTGATTAAACGTATTACCCCCCCCAAGCCCCCACCCCCCACCTCCCCCCCAGCCGGCCGTCCACCCACTCTTCTTCCACTCACTTACTCTCCGACACTCTCTCGCCGGCAACCACAAACCACCTTTACGTATTTACGTCCTCGCCGGCCATCTTCCTTCTTTCGTCTCCTTCTTTATCCCGTTACTGTCCCCACACCCTCTCAACATTCCCGCCGTTCCAACGCGTCCTACTACAGCATCAACAACAGCCTGAACCGTAAGTGTCACTCCGGACCATTCTCCTCGATCTTCCATCTCAGCAGCGCACGGGCCACCCATCTGCCAACACAATGGACTACTGGACTACCGGTCCATGTCTGGCTCTGGGTTCTCTCAGCGTGCAGCTGTCCGGTTGTCACCTGGGTCACTGCCAGTGCTGCCGCTTATCGCTTCTGCTCGGCCGTCCACGAATACGTTTGCCGTGTTTCTCGTGTCTGGCCAACGTGGCCCGGAGCTGGCTCGGCGTGGTGCTCGTGCAAAGGCCGCGGCCTGGTTTCTCGATCCGCATTTGACCTTGCGCGCAGGTTGCGACCGACGGACCGCGTCGGCAGTGTCAAAAGGCACGCCACACAATCGCCTTTGTGGTCCTTGCCAGCGAGGACTCTGTTCAGTGTTCCGTTCTCCGCCTCCTCTTTCCGCACAAAAACAACATCCACTGCTGTGAGTAAAACTGCCTTTCCACACCCATCCTTCCTTGTCTGCCTGTGCACTGTTTCTCTGTTCGCGTATCCTTTGCATCACCCGTTGGCGCCCGCGCGTGCACGCCACCCCCTCCTTGCTTGCGCGCGTCGGAACCCCCCCTCCTCCTCCCTCACGCCCCAGGGGTAGGCGCCGAGAATGACCACTGCGCCGCTGGGTGTTGTTTACGGGCCACCACTGCCGACAAAGGGTATTGAGTAAAGGGGGCGTAAGCCATGCTTCTTCAGATCGGTTTGGCACACGCGTCGCCTGCGGCCGGCCCTCCCAGATCATCATTGAGGGGGTGGCGGAGGTCGTTGGGTGCGGCGTGCGCTGGCGCGGTCCACAGGTGCGATGAACTTTGGTGAAGCGTAGCGCGCCGTGCTTTGGCTGCCCGTATGGGCGTACTGCATGAAATGCCCAAACGCGAGAGCGCGTGCGCGGGTTGTGTGCCGTTATCGAGTCCCGGACACCAGGTCCGAGCCGAACTATGGCCGAGAGACGGCGCTCCACACGGCTTCAGCTTTGATGGCGCAGCGCCACCTACATGGCTGGGACCGGGGGGTGTGGACGGAGTGTGGTCCGGTATGCGCCCACGCGCACCTGAAGGCCTGAAGGCGGCCAACCAAGGTCACCTAATAGACATCCACAGCCTTGGTCATGTGGAGTGGTGTGGTGGAGGTCCCCTCACCGGTGCAGCAGCTTGTTACGTGCCGGTGACCCCGCGCCGTCTGTGACTTTGGGCTGACAGCCAGTCCTACCGCTGCCGCCTGTTGCTTGCTGCCCGCGCAACCTTGTGGTCCACGTCGCACGAATATCAGCCAGTGAAAAAGCCGGGACTGTCTCTTCTGGATCTCGGTGCAAACGTCATTCTCGTTCAGCGGCGCCCAGGGCCGTGCGGGCCGCTGAACCAGTTCATTCTTTCATTCATAAGTGAGTGGCGAAAGGGCCCTCGGGGTCGTTTTTTTTGCGACTACTCTGCTTGGGTCTCATCCACCACCACCTCATAATGTGCTTATCCATACAGCGCACCCACCGTTTGACCACCAGCCCGCTTCTACAACCCACCACTTGACTGCAGCGACCCGCTTCTGAGTGACACCCTGGTGAGTTGTGCCCAGGTGCTGTCCCTTCCCACCCGCAAACCCCCTGTCTCCCATATGGAGAACGCCATGCGCCAGATCAGACTCTGGCCCCGCCCTGGCAAGCGCCTGGTCGAGGCGCGGCACTTGGTGTGGCGTTTCTTGCCCTCCATCCCCCCCACCCCCCATCACCAGACGCACCAGACGGGTCCACCGCAACGTGGTCTGAAAGTCGTCGTCCGTTTCCATCATCTAATCCATCCTCGTCCCTGCCACCCCCACCTTGCTCCCTACTCCCGAATCGCCTGTCGGCGCCCCCCGCGCCAGCCATACTTACTTTCATTTCAGTGTCTCATTTTAACGACGCGGCGATTTAGCTGTCCCGACGGCCGCTACTAGCTAGCTCTCGTGAGCCTGTCTGCCGCCTGTCAGCATCCCGCCCCTGGCACCAACACCTGAGGGTCACCAAAAGCTGTCTTGCGATATCCTATATCCTAGTCTTCCCTGGTTCAGGCGCTGCCCAATTCCAGCAGCCTGGGCACTGGAACACTCAAAGCCTATCGTACCGCAACATCCCTCCTTTTGTCCTGCGTCATCCATTCTACAACACAAGATTGTTCTTAACACACCTTCGCTTGCCTTCACGGCACCCAGGCCGACTTTGCCGACAAGTGCCAACCGGCGCTTGTGAGCGAGGCCCAAGCCGAGCAAGCTGCGCGTCATTCAACGCTTCCACAACATGGATAGCGACGACCTGTCTATTGGCGGGTCCTCCTCGCCGCTCCGTCCCGCCCAGTCGGGTCCATCTCGCAGGCCGCGGCCACGCTCCGAAATCGACCCCACCACCCCGCGGCACGCTCCTCCGGTCGACGCTGTCCCCCATCATTATCGCCCACAACCACCTGGTCACTTCTATGGATCACCAATAGACGGCGGTGGTGGATCAATCAACATCTGGGCCGGTTCCGACCCTCGTACGCGTTCCCGCACGATGGACGTGGGGCCAAGCGCGAGCTCTACCTTGTCCGCTGCGTCCTCCCATTCCCTCTCTGGACCTCGCGACGCGTACGCAATGTCGAGGAATCTGTCGAATGACTCGCAGAGGTCCGCTGCCAGCCAAGGTTCACAGCGCTCGATGCAGTCGCAGGGCTCGGCTCCTCCCTCTCGTCACCCCTTCCTCTCTCCTGGAGGTGCTCGTCCATCCACTCGCAGCGACTCTCCAAGCCGCCGCGAAGTCAATGAACGCCCGAGCCAGGCACCGACCCACGCCTTGTCGGAGCCCGCCAGCCGCAGCAGGTCACCACCGCGGCCCCGCCGTACTCGCGTGTTGATGACTCGCATGCAGTGGACAGCTCTCACGAGCCTGTGGGATAAGGTGAGTCCCTTTGATGTTGTGATGTTGTCCTTCTCTCTTCTCCTTCCAGGGGAGGGGGGGGGGGGGGGAGAACGTGTCTACTGCGGGAACCCGGGCCGTTTGTGGCTGACCTGGTGCTCGTCCACCACACCAGACAATCTTTCCTGCAACAAATGAACGTGAAGCATTGGCTCAAGAAATTGGGTTGACCGCCCGCCAGGTGCAAGTGTGGTTCCAGGTGCGTTAGATAACCGAAAGGACCGTTGAGTGTGGCAGAGGAGATCCTAACAAACTCCGCAGAACCAACGACAAAAGCGTCGTCGCGAGCGCGAGATTGACGAAGCCAACGCTATCAACCTTCCCTCGGCTGGCGACATGCCTCGCACCGCCGAGGCGGCCCCGCACTGGGCTGGATCCATCTCAGGAGCTTCAAACTGGTCAATGCAGTCTGCACCAGCCCACCTTCAGACCATGCCGACGACCGCACCCCGAGCTCTCCCTTCCTCGTCCATCCCAGTGGTTCATGGACGTCCACCTCCAGGAGGTGGCCAAGTTCCACCCATGTCGCACCTCATGTACCCTCCTCAACCGCCTCACTCTCCCCACATGGCACACGGACAGCTTCACTCTCAATCCTCTCCAATCCATTACCCGGGCTCTCTTGGCCCTCAACCTGGCCACCATCCTTCACAATCTTCAGCCCAAACTCAGCATCACTCTGGACACTATCGATACCCCGATGAACGCAATGCGCGCTTGCCTCCGCCCCCGTCACAAAACTTCCAAAATATTCCTCCACCGCCAATGGGAGGCATGCCTGGTGAACAGCCACCAGCACCAGGGCTCAACTATGGCGTACCGGTAGACAGGTGGGAAGGCTGGGGCGTACCACGTTCTCATCAACCTCCTCCTGCCAGTCTCGATGGGGTTGGACCGACCAGACCTAGGTCGCGCTCGTTTGCCACTGCCGGTCGTCCATACCCTGTTCCCGCTCCGGTGTATTCCCCATCTTCCCCAATGCAAGACCACCCGGCACTTGTCCGAGAACGGGCATCTGCCAGTTCCTCTCGTGTCAACACCGCTCGCACACCGCCAGCGCAGGTTACCATGTTGACCCGCCTCGACACTCGCGACGACCGCCTGGCCCTCGACCGCGTGTCGGCATTACCGTCACAGACCCGCTCTCCGCCCTCTACAGCGACGTCGCTACGAGGGAGCTCCGCTGCCCTATCGGCCGCGGTCCGTGCTTCCACTGGTCCAACCCAAGGCAGCAGTGTTGGCATCACTGCCCCAATGACGGCACAGCGCGTGTCGAGTCTTCCACCGTCCCTGAGTGCGTTGGTGCTCGATCGTCCCGTCCAGTACATGGGAGATATTCCGCCTCCACTGTCCCCTCAAGATCCCAGTGCGTCATTGCATGCGCTAGTGCTTGAACCAGAACCCATCAGTTCGCCATCATCGACACGGGATGGTGGTGACCAAGGGGGCCGTCGCTCGTCTGGCGACAGGCCAACAACACAGCCAACGTCGGCAACTCTGCCCAGCCTGGCTCACTTGCTCAACTAGGGTGAGGACGAAGACACCCACTCATGTTTCGCCCGCGTGTTTCTCATTCTTGTTCATCCGCCATGTTCAGTCATGACCGTCAACCTCTCTCGGGGTAGACCCACGTTCCCACACATCCTTACGCCTCTCCCTCAACCCGCCATCCTTCGTTCCCACTGCCTGTTCCTTTTCTTTTTATCCTCTCTCCCCGTTTGCCGACCTTTGCAGCGCGAGCACTAATTCGGCGCTGTGTCGGCGCTGTGCCTCCTGTACCATGCGTCTGTAACCGCCATTTCCTACCCCATCGTCCCAATCTCTTTCTATCAGTGTACACACTACTAGAAGCGGCACCCGGCATATGCAATGTGCATAATGTGCATTCTCCATGACACTCCGGCTTCGGCGGAGGGCAAGTCCTTGAGGGGTTGTGGGTGGAAAATGAGGAGCAATAGCCACAATTGAAACAGTAGCGGCCCGACCACTTCCAGCGCTTGGCTGTCGCACTTTGGACCCTGGAAAGCACGCCTCCTTGCCTCGCAGGAGGTGAAGGCAACGAGGGTTGTGATGGAGTGCGTTGTGGGTGCGCCATGATGCCTTGTGTGACCCAATCTGATTGTCCTGTTCGCCCGCCGCGCGGTGCCAGACCGTGCGGACTGCGGACATGCGGACTAGCTGAGCGGGAGGAAGAAAAGGAAGCACAGGCCCAAGGACAAACAAGGGAAAGAACGGTGGCACAAAGGTAGGCAGAGGAGCAACGACAAAGCGGAGGAGCGGAACCGTCACGGCTCCTACACCAGGCACGCTTGGGCAGTCCCCGTGCACGTTGGCGGTTGCACAAGTCACCTGGGCGTGGGGGGTCACATCGCCCATTTGTTCAAATTGCGGTAAGCGGTTCAGCGGCGCCGTCTCTCCAAATGGGTTGAGGGAAAAAGAGGAACCGCGTGAGGGGGCCATCGGAGGAGGATGACCAGAGCTTAACTCATGCCCGCCAGGCACTGTGGCAACCCGGGCATCCGGCACAGGGCATGGGAAACCCAAGTCACAACCCACAGATCTATTGTGGACGTGGCGACTCACGCACGAACTCACAAATATGCAAAATCCATATGCTCACCCTTTTTTGCACACTCTCTGTCTGCCCCGTCCGATTTCCACGTCCGCTCATTACCACAGTTGTCACGCAGAGAGAGAGCTCCGGTGGACACGATCTGGAGCTGACGTTGCCTTGCCGTTATCAGGGCCCCCGCCGCACACTCTCGTTGGCACCTTCCATATTGCTACGCTAACAACTTCGGCAGTCTCGGCCGTTAGTGGCCAGTCAGTGCTGGGATAATTTCCGACAGGAGGCGTCGCGCCCAAAGGTCGTACACCTAGGGAAACCAGATCTCACAACAGACGCGACGTAGCATGCCGTCCACTCTACAGGACCGGTCCGTTTTGCAGGACTGGGAAGATCGAGACGAGAGCCGTTGTAATCGCTCGACGTCCTGGACTCTCACTTCTCTCACATTTACTCGCTCTCCCTCTCTCTCAGCTTATGGTCGGGACACTGGCGAACCCTCCATTCGCCACACCTTTATGACACCTGAACGGTCGGCACTGACAACACAACTTGAGAACGGTGTCTCTACCACGCCCAACGCACAAATCGCGTCATAGTGGGGCCGGAGCGCTTGGCGTTGCGAGTTGGCAGCATGGCCGCGGTTGGAGTCGGCTGGGCTGGTCCCCAGAGGTCTTGCGTTGGGGAGAGTGTAGTAGAGTTGTGGGGTCGCAGACGGAGACCCAGACGACTTGAATACAACGTCCTTTTCGCGAGGAGAGCCGCACAGCACAAAGCCGTCGCTCACACGTGCCAGATCCCAGTATCGGATCATACGGTCGTCGCCTGCCGTCACCATCCATCCAGGTCTCAAAGGCTGAGCGCGCTCCCGGTCGGCTGCACCTCCTCCACCTGTCGAGACGTCGTCGTCGCGTGCAACGGGCGCAGTGAGGGATGCAAAGCCTTGTCCAACGAGAAGGGATTGCACAGAGGGAGTCTCGTTTGAATCGGCAGTGACTGTGGGGAGGCCGCCACGACCTCCTGCCAACTCGGCAATGAGTTCAGATTTGGTCTGGAGAACGTCCCTGCCGGGAGGAGGAGCGGAGCGTGACGAGGGTCGGGTTGTGCGCGCCTCAAAGGCCTCGACAAGCTTGCCGGTTTCGATGTCGTAGGTTTCCACAAGCGGAACATCGGCGCCACCGTTGCCACCATTCGTGTCGTTGTTATCGTCGCGATCAAGAGACACCATGACCCAGCGTCCACGACCGCGCGACGGATGAATGGCACATGATGTTATTCCGCCGCGAGCAGCCCAGCTCTTTAGCAACAGGCCAAATCGCAGGTCCCAAAGGCTCAGGCTGCCAGTAACAGTGCCAACAATTAACCAGTGAGGGGTAGGGCACACTGCGGAAATTGGTCCGAGCTCGAGAGGGTGTTGCAACCGGGTTTTGATCTCCATTGACCTCATGTCGAGCACGGCAATCATGCCAGTGGTCGTCACAATAAGCAAGGAGGATTCTGAGAGTCAGCATCAAAGTTTTGGGGTTCCGAGCGCCACCATGAGGCTGGCTTGAGTGACTACGCATGCAAGGGGGTCCGTTCGCAGCCCCCCATGACGCGCACCCTCTAACAGCGTTTATTTATTTATTTTTGCTTTTCGTCGAATATATTTCGGCCGCCTCATCATCAACACGGAAAATGCACTTACCTTGGAGGTGGGAGATATGTGTCACGTAGCCGTCCTCGTTTGCTGTGCGGAAGGTACGGATACACTCGATGCCGCGGTATTTGTTGTTGGCCGAAGATCCGCTGGTGGAGACGTACACTCGTAGGACGTGGACCTGCCCGTCCTCAGATGCCGCTGCCAAGCAGTGGGTTTCTTCGATGCGGCACATGGCAGATATCGGTGCGTCCATGCGGTATGTCAGCCGAGGGCGGCCTGACACAGAGCGCTCCAGGCGAGCGTTATCCCAGATCATGATTGAAGCGTCCTCTGATGCTGTGGCAAAGAAGAGCTGGTCTGGAGAAGAGACAATAGCCGTGACGGCACCGGTGTGATGGGGTAGATGTGCAATCATGGTAACAAACTGCGGCGTAGAGGACTTGGGCCTTGGTCCTCGTTTCCGGTGACTTGCAACGACTCGAGGTCCAAAATCGAGCAAAGGTTCCCGATAATTTTCCAAGTCGACTTGTTCCAAGAACGCGCGAACACCGGGGTCGGCTCCGTCGTAGGTACTACTGTACGGGGCCAGAGATCCATTACCGGCACCAACCAATGTTCCGCCGGCGCCAGATGCACCTGGTATGGGCGTACTACGTCCAGAGTGTGGTGGTTCATCATGGATACTAGTTGTGCCGAGAGCGGTGGTGTGAACAGCGCCGACTGCCGGAGCAGCCTTCGAGTCCAGGCGATGGCGACCGGGCCGAGGGAGTGTCGTTATATCCATGGCAGATGAAATGGCCGACTCGGAAGGGCTACCGGGGGTGGGAACGTGAATCGCATGTTCACTTGACGGACGACGAGCCGGCTCCAGTGTGATGAGGCGCTTGCGCAACTCTTCGACCGGGCTCTCACTCGGTGCCCCGCCCCGGTTGCTGCGGCTAGCAAGCGATGTTCGACGGCTTGGAGTGCTGCCACCTGCTCCCTCCTGTCGCAGTCGCTTGAGCTCCAGTTTGGCATCGACAACACCGATGGTTCGAGGAGAGAGGAATACAGTTTGCGGAGTGACGCCGAGGTTGATAAGTGAGATGGACTTGCCAGATGTGAGCGCAGCCTCAGCCGGTGTCGAAGGGTCTGATCCTTCGCGACTGTATGTCAGCTCAAGACATCGGATGGCGGACTCACGCTTTACTGGCATGTGCCTGCTTGTAAATAAAGTCGCGAAGAGCGACAATCTTCTTTTCATCCTTGGCCGAAATACCTTTTTCGCGAAGATGCTGCAGGTCACCCGACGGTTTGCCGGTGGCTGCCTTGGTGAGAGTAGACTTGGCGGTAGAGCGCGTTTGTGCCACCCTCCAAAAGCCAGGTGGAGAGTCAGCCAACGCGGCAGACTTGGCAATCTGGAGTGTTGAGCGTGAAAGCTGCAGGGTCAGCGACACTCAAATTATGCCATACGCACAGGAGGAAGGAGAGCGCCAAGGATCGAGTCTTCGTCGAGGGACACAATGTCAGAACGCAAAGTCGTGCGGACCGAGGGGTAGAGAATGCACCACACGTCTGCGGGCTGAAGGTTGCGTGCGGCTGCAGCCACGAAACCAGCAGCATTCTGTCGAATCCAGCTGTTGGGGTGGTAGAGGAAACCTTGCACGGAGAAGAAAACGTCCCACAGGCGCATACGGTGGAACAGACCGAGAGAGGTCAGGGTTGACAGCGACAGAATAACACGAGCGACAACGGCTTCCTCGGGGTCTGCTGTCAGCTATCCTATGTGAATAGAGTAGTAGCTCACCTGCAAGCGCTTGAAGAAGAAGAGGTAGAACATATTCGTCAATCGCTCGGATACCGATGAAGGCGCCAACGGCTACAATGCCGTCAAAGAAGGCCAGACGGAGCTGCCAGTCACGGTCATTGAGGTAGGTCATGATGTGACTCAAAACAGTCTCGCTCGACTTTTGGCGCCCAAAGAAAAGACACAAGTCGTCAATGGAGGCCAACATGTTGCGCTTGACGTTACTAGCCGTGTCCACGAGGAGGGATGTTGCTTGTTCTTCCACCACGGACTGGATCTCGGCAAGCATTGAGTCGTAGTCGGCCTCTGCAATCTGCGGGCCGTCGCTTGACAGGGTCGGTTGGGCCACTTGACTGAGCTCCAACATGCGGGTGGCGGCATCGGCGAGACGAACGAGTGCTCGAGCGTACGTCGCACGTACGAATACGTCGGGGTCATTGGTTAGACGCTTGGTCTGTGGGAGGAGATACTCTGGGATGAATGTGGCGTTGTGCAATGTGATTGACTGCACAGACTCGACAACAATGACCAGTGTACGACAGGCCTCAGCGCGGACAATGGCCACCTCGTCGGATAGAAGCTCGACAACGAAGGGAACGATGCGATCCACTTTGTCTTCATCCATGAGATAAGGGCAGAGGTTGAGGAATAGCTTGAGACCGTGCAGCCTCGAGCTGGGCGAGAGACAGTTGCGGATTGACGCGGTGACAATGTTGAGTAACAGAAGAGCTGGACCATCTTGTCGTCAGTTACGCCGACGCAGGGTTACAACTCACTCTCGCTCACGCCCTTGCCTTCCAGATGAACACTAATCGAATCCCACTGCTCGAGCATGCTGTCAATCTTGGACCCAGGGGTTGTTGAAGCTCGCCGAAGGAAGTCAGGTTCGGGTGTATCGGGCAGCTCGGCGAGCTCGGTGGCATAGTCCTTGAGGAAAGTGTAAAAGTACTCGGGGAAGATGGTACCACGGTAGGTTGCCAGGACGCGGTCAAATGAAGGACGCTGCGATGGCTCTCGGGAGAGCATCTGCGCAATCATGGACTTTACGTCGACGTCCTCGAGATTGTCAAGGATGCCTTCAAGACCGAGGGTGCCGTTGCGATACGCGAACAACTCGCTGAGATTGAACACGGTTCGTCCATCGGTCCACGTCTCGGCGAGAACGCAGCCAGCAGAGAAGACGTCCATTTCCTCTGTGATCTTTCCGTCGCGCTTCTCCCACGATTCAGTTCCACTCGCTGCGTCAGACGTCTCGGACGCTGCAGCTGCAAGTGCAGCTGCAGCCGCTGCGGCCTTGTCCTGGGCGATCTTCGAGTCGGCAGTGTAGAAACGCTCAGGCGCAATGTAGCATGTGCGCCTTGCTGACGTGTCAAAGAAGAAGGAGAAGTCGGATGGGTCGTCTAGAGGAAGGTATGTGGGCTTGAATGCACTCGAAAAGTCGGTAACGAGGACGGTGAGGTCGGACGTGATGAGGACGTTGTCCGACTTGATGTCGCCATGAGCGACCTTTGACGTTCGCGCGTCTCGGAGACAAGTGAGAAGCTGGAACGCAATCCACTTCTTCTCAATGTCCGTAAGGTAGGGTTGCGTACTAAGGAGTCAGTAGAGAACAATGGGGAGAGCCAGTCCTCACCTCAGTCGGTCATACAAGCTGGAGCCGACCCACTGTCGGACAAGGTATCCGGCCTTCTCAGTCTCGATAAATGTCGCATACGTGTTCACGTTGGACAGATGGGCCAGCGCATCACGTTCGCCTGGGACGTAAGTATCGTGACAATCCAACTATACCCACTCTTGAGACGCCGCTGGATGACGCGGAGCGTCATAGACGCATCTGGCTTGATGAATATCTTGAGCACCAACGGACCATACTTGTGTCGGGCAACGATGGTTTTGAGGAAGCGAGATGACGACAAGCTGCACAGCAAGTTCAGTAAGGGTTCTCCCTCTGTCGCTCTCCAACACCTGCACTTACCTCTTCTCATATGAAATGTCGTTCCCTAGCTCGGAGACGTAAGAGTCGAGGGCGGTCGAGCTACATGTGTCAGGAATTGGGGAGGGGCGAAAGGAAGGGCAGCAGTCGTCAACGGCCGAATGGCCCCAAGGTACTCACGCCCGAGCCATGGATGAGATGTTTCCCATGCTGCCTCTCGCACCCTCCGGTGAGTGTATTGCAGAGAGCTAGAAGCAGGAGGTTGGGTGGCGAGATGGATGATAGACAGGAGATGGTTGGAGACGGTGTGACGGTCGCGTCGAGGTATGAGCGGCGACGTCAAGCTGTGGGGCCCAATCGGTCAACGGCATGACGTGTGTCGTGTGATAACACGCCGCCTGGCTACAGGTTCACCACTCTATTCCAACCAATTCTGTAACAACAACCCAAGAATGCATGCGATGGTAGCGGTGTTCTAAATGCAGAGAAGTGAGAGAGGTCTAGTACTACAGAGTGGCCATTGGTTGGCCGTAAACAGGGTCGACCATGATGCGGAGCGTGTCGAGGAGCACCTCGGCTCCCCGCTGGATTCCCCACACACTGACCTGACGGATGCGCTTGGAGTTTGCGGCTTCCGAGGAAACGTGGTACGCCATAGCGGCATAGATTTGGTCCGAGATGGACGTCATGAGACCCGTCTCAAAGAGGGTCCAAGAGCCGTCAAAGTCGGAAATGTCGGCAGCGACCTCGCAGTGGATGGGGACCAGGGTGCGGTTCGCGTTGATGAAGGCGACAATGGGGCGGATGAGGGCATTGTTGGTCACGCTCAGGTCGCTCGTAAATACGGGCACAGCAGCCTTCAGGTCACGGAACCGGAGGTCAACGTCGATTGTGACCTGGGGCTTGTCCTCTAGATGCTTGCTGCCTTCGGGGGCACGCAGCGCAGGACGCGCGAGACGGTGCTGCCCGGGGAGAAGGTTGCTGTCGCTGGCAGACACAGTGTCGTGCATACGAGTGTTCGAGTTGAAGTTGTGCTCGCCAGCGGCGTCGTCGGGGTGGAGACCTGAGGTGGTGATGCTTGTCACATTGCGACCAATCTCCTGAAAGATAGCTTTTACGTCAATGTCGTCATCGGGGTGAGCAGGGAACTTGATGTCGAGCACGGCATCCAATTTGCCAGACGTAAGCCACGCCATTGGGCCCTCATGGCCGGACGCGTACTGGGCATGTTCGATGGGCAGGCCGTCGATGCGGAACCGGGCCATGCGCTTAACGTTGTCGTCGACGAGACCATGCGACTTGCCGAGCTTTTGAGGCATGTGTAGACTGAACAGGCAGTTGTCATACTGGCCCGTCATCTGCTCAGCACTCATCATGTCGTAGAAGAGCCAGCGCTTGCGGAATGGGCCGTACGTTGCGTTAAAAATGGACACGTTGTACGGCCGCTGGCCACCGGGCTGGTACACAGTGACGAGGAAGTCTTCGACATGGAACGATTCCAGCTCGAAATCGCCATTGTAGGTCGGGTGTCGCCAGGCGGCGGGGTCAAGGTTTAGGGACATGTCCCACCAAACCGACCTTCGGTCGATGACTCCACGCACGCCCTTGACCGTTGCGTCTTTGACCAAGCCCTTGCCGTCCAACCACCTTCGCAAGCTAAGGGTGACCTCTACTTCATCAAAGTTGATGTCGAACATTGTGTAGTTGTCAGCCTCAGCTGCTCGTGGTGGATGGAGATATCCTTGGTCAATATCCGAAGATAAAAAGGCGACGGGAGAAGGGGGCTTGGCGGTGGCGGTCTTGCGCTTGTTACCGTGAGGCTGATCGTCGCTCTCCGCAAGAGCGTTTTGCGGACGGCGGGAGACGTAGACGTTGCGGAACGCAATCGTGGAGGCACCCCATCGAGGAACGATGGCAGACTCAAAGCTGCACCATGGTCAACTTTGGAACACACACGTCACGCTTACATTACGGTGACGCCAGCGGCCGAAGTTAAATAGTCGGAGATCCAACGTGCCACATATTCCTGCATCGACAGCGAGTTGAGGGTGGCGATGACTGCAGCGACGAATGTGGTTCTGTTATCAGCTCAATTCAATGAAAGGGAAAACGCACGTTCCAACAAGAATCCACAGGGCTGGCAGGGATCAGATCAGCTACTAGTCGGTGTACAGGGTGTGTGTGGCACAGACAAACTCACTGTTTCCGACAATGAACCAGCTGAAGAAGGCACTCAGGTCGTCTGTATTGAACCTCCGCCATCCACGGATAGTGAACCACTTGAGACGAATGCGCAGTCGCTCCCACCAACTGTTGGCGGCGTTGAGCAGATCTTCTTTGGTGGGTCGGTGGACAACGCCACCAAGCTCCGAGGACCGAGAAATGAGACGCCTGATGAACGGTACATAGTCTTGAGCGACTTGTGGTGGATGCAGAGCCTGTTTGGCGGCAGGTAGTGGGACTGGCGGTATTGGCGGTTTACTGACCGGGCCAGTCGCATGGATACATTGCGGACATGGCCCTTGCTCCGGGTCTGTGGGTTTGGAGGAGTTGTGCCGGCGCGAGCTTGGAGGGAATCGTCGAGGAATAGCAAGCCGTGCTGGCGCAGGCGAAGGTGGTCTGGAGAAAGCCTGCTGTGTGAAGAAGGCATGGATAGTGAGGTATCGCTCTGCTCTGGGGGATGATCGAACAGCAGTTATGGCGGCGCGCGAGGTGCCCGCTCGAACTGGCGCGAGGTAGACAGCCTTGGTGAAAGCGTGCGCCACTGGGCGCGCCGCCTGCATTTTTGAGCAGTGAGTCGCGGCCAAGCGGTAGCGACTGTATGAGGGGGACGGGGATGTGCCGTGTCGCCCTGTTGAAGAGCTTTTGAGGGGTTGAGAGCCTCGAACGAGTTGAGCTGGAAGATAGGTGGGAAAGAACAACGTTGGTGTGTGATGGGTACCGGCGAAACTCTGACGTACACCGGCGGCGGCGGCAGCAGCGGCGAAGCCTCGGCCCTCTCTCTCCCCGCCAAGGCGATGGCCGGCGAAGGGAGAGAAACGTACGCGGGAGGGAACGGTGTGATAAACCTACTTCCGAAAATCCCCGTGGTGGAGGTCAAATACGTGTGAATAATTATTTCCAAGCTTTGCCACCGTGCAGTTCGGCTCCTGGTTTCCAAGATTTCTGAACGATGGTGCACAAGGACTCCTTACACCACCCCTATCGTGCATAACAACAGCTTGCACAATGGAGTACGAACCCGACGCGGCTGGGAGTGAATCCTACATTCTCTGTGCCGACTGTGGCACAGTCATCTCGTCCGCCAACGGCGCCGGTCTCTGTGAGTACCACCCACCCCACACCCCACTTGCCTGCCCCCTTGGCATGACATGCGCTCGGTCATCTTTGTAAGCAACAGTTCTAACAACCAGGTGTGGGATGTCTCCGTAACTCGGTCGACATCACTGAGGGTATCCCCAAGGAGGCTGTTGTCAACTTTTGCCGTGGCTGTGAGCGCTTCCTCTCGCCTCCCCAGACCTGGGTTGCATGCCAGCCCGAGTCGCGTGAGCTTCTTGGTAAGTGTACTGGACTGTTGAATGAGGCAAGCACTCACCGAGCCAGCCCTCTGCCTGAAGAAGATTGCCCGCCCATTGCTGAAGGTCCGCCTCATCGACGCTTCGTTCATCTGGACTGAGCCCCACTCGCGCCGAATCAAGCTCAAGGTCACCATCCAGAAGGAGGTGCTCGCCAACACTGTCCTCCAGCAGACCTTTGTCCTCACCCTTACCGTCCAGACTGGCCAGTGCCCTTCGTGTACCCGTCTTGCCGCCAAGAACACTTGGAAGGCGTCCGTTCAGCTCCGCCAAAAGGTCACCCACAAGCGTACTTTCCTGTTCCTCGAGCAGCTCATCCTTAAGCACAATGCCCACAAGGACACCAACTCGATTGCCGAGAAGCGTGATGGTCTCGACTTCTTCTACACTGAGCGTAACAACGCCATCAAGATGTGCGAGTTCCTTGCCAGTGTCGTTCCTGTCCGTTGCAAGGGCTCGGAGCAACTCATTTCGCAAGACACCCACAACGGTACCGCCAACTACAAGTTTACGTACTCGGTTGAGATTGTCCCCATCTGTAAGGACGACCTTGTCGCCATCCCCCGCTCGCTCGCTCGCTCGTGGGGTAACATTTCGCCCCTCACCATTTGCTCGCGTGTGGGTAACTCCATGCACCTTCTCGACCCCATGACCCTCCAGCAGACCGACGTTACCGCCCCTGTCTACTGGCGTTCACCCTTTGACCCCCTTGCATCCGTTTCCGACCTCGTCGAGTTTATTGTGCTCGACATTGAGCCTTCGGGAGTCCAGCGTGGCAAGTATGTTCTTGCCGACGCACAGGTGACCCGCTCGTCGGGCTCTGGCCGCAAGGAGGCCGATGACGACGGAATGGGCGACGACGGTATCTACCACACCCGCACCCACCTCGGCGCCTTCCTGCAGCCCGGTGACACTGTTCTCGGCTACCACCTCACCAACTCGAACTTTAACAACGATGCGTTCGAGGCCCTTGACCAGAGCCGCATACCCGACGTGATCCTCGTGAAGAAGACGTACCCCAACAGGAGGAAAAAGTCCAAGCCCAGGAACTGGAAGCTCCGCTCGATCGCCAAGGAGGCCGAGGATGGCACCGAAGGCAATGTCGGCCGTGGTGCCCTTGGCCGTCGTGGTGGTGTGGACCAGAAGAACGTCGAGCGCGACTACGAGCTCTTCCTTCGCGACCTCGAGGAGGACCCCGAGATGCGTGCCGCCGTCAACCTGTACAAGGCCGACGAGGCTGCCGCTGCCGCCGCCGCCGACGACGAGGATGGAGATGTGGCTATGGGTGGTGCTGTCGCTGGTTCGGGTATGCGTGGTGGCAAGCGCCGCGGAGGCGCTGCCGCCCAGGCCGCGGCTGTTATGGAGGTCGAGGACGACGGTATGGGCAGCGACGACGACGAGGAGGAGGACTTCCCCGAGATCCAGCTGGACGAGCTGCTGGAACACTTCGAGGAGATGGGTGTCAACGACGACGACGGCGAGGAGGTTCTTTAGGCGTATTAGATTGCGTATTTGTATGCACATCACTACAGACTGGAAGAGCGCTGCAGCATGACATTTAACATGGTCACATTAACATGAACGCAGTCGTATAAAGCCCAAGAACTCGGCACATGGTCATTCGGTTATGGCCTTCTGCAGTCAGCATTCGCGGGGGCAGGAAAGCTCACCTAACATGCTTCCGCATCCACGGCATGGCCACAGCGCGAATCTTCTCTCCTTCATGCTTGCAGTCTGGCACAATCTCAAAGTCATACTTGATTCCTGCTTCGTCCCAGCTCTTGGCAAGCCCCATCGTCACGTCAAATCGGGAATGCGCCGTGCGCGTACCGTCAGGCTGGACGGGGTGCCAGGTATCCTCGGCGCCGATCAGGAGCTGCAACTTGAGGTCCCCAGACTGTGTCTGGCGTGCGAGCTCGGTCACGTCAATGGCACGTCCAGAGGTCGTCAATGGCGCATTGACGATACCCTCTGGCCACTGCAGAGGGAGAAGCGGAGTGGCGCGGCCGGGTGCGCCGACCGACAGAGCGTGCAGGCGTTCGGGATGCAGGTAGAAGAAACGGTGGGCAAGCTGCGCTCCGCCCGAGAAGCCCGCCATGGCAAACGTGGTAGTGTCGACACAGCCCCATTCGCGAGACACCGTGTCGATCATCTGCAGGAGGATATCGTCGAACCGAAGTGTTTCGCCAGCTGCGTTGACCCACTCCAGACGCTTGTAGTTGTCGGGGCCGTCGGGAAACTGCAAAGTCAGACAAGGGCCATGTGTCTGCGTAATCCCAAGCTAGCTGTACCCACCTTCAGGTCGCATGGAAAGTGAGGAGACAGAACCACACACCCTTCCTCCTCGGCCAAGTCGGCCCACCAGTCACGCAGCTTCTCGGCGTCACGGCTCGAGTCGTGGATGAGGACCAGGAGGGGGAACCCCTTTGGGCCGGGACCACGGCCAGGAGCCTTGCCCCCAGTGGGCGAGACGGTGGGCGCCAGCGGTGTACCAAGACCATTACTCTTTCCAGCTTCACAGCACCCATCCAGGCTGACGTCCTCGCCCCTTGCTCGACGCGTCACGGGATGAGAGCGCGGGACGTAGAGGTAGAAGCTGAAGCGCGGATCTTGGGGCAGGTGGAAGGACGCTGTACGCCGTGCGGCCATGAGGAGGGTGAGGTGGCCTGGCGGTGCTGCATAGAGCGTCGAGTCCGATGCCTTGCAGGGTGTTGCGTGGGCCATGGTGGAGAGTGATGTGGGCAGACTGGTCAGCCGGAGCCAACAAGTTTGGAGCAAACGAGTTGACATCCGTTTCGGACGAACGGCAACAGACGGCACTGGGTCGGATATCTCCGGCAACTAAGCAATTAGCAACTCGCGGTCTGGTGTTGCTGACTGTCAAGACTTTGGCAATGTTTCCAGTCGTGGACAGGTGCAACTGGTATCGACAGAAAATAAGACAAGCGGCATTCAATATTCAAGCCTATTTCTGTACACAAAGACGGCTTAGGTGATTCTTACAACTTGTGCCAGAGTGAATATTTCAAGGACGTGTAGACCACTGCAGCAAGCACTCCCTAGCTGAAGAACATCTGGTACCCTTCTGACAAGCTGTGTACAAATCCTGCCCACATTGGAGCGGCACCATTGTTTCTCCTCCATCCCCTAGTGGTCTGTTCAGAACGAGAGATGGACTAAGGAGACTGAAGAGACCACCAGGAACAGGGATATTGATTGGTTTGGTGAAGTTGTCACCGTCGCAGATGTGCGTGAGCTCAGTCCCAACGCAACAAGGAGGTCTAAGACGTCAGCCATAGGACTTTACCCAGTGTACTGCAGAGCTATAGCCCCAGGCCGGGCTCGCCGAAAACACACTATGTCTGGATTACTCAGCAATCGGCTCGCACAGTCGGTTTCTCTCACTTGGCTTCTGAAGATCCCCTCCACCTTGCGGTGCTCCGCAGTCACCATTCCAACCTTTGCACTTGCCTTTCCAAAACATCAGCTCACCGCTGTCCTCAATGCACCCCAGCACTGCTGCCGACCTCGAAAAAGGAGGAGATCTTGCGATCTCGTACGACAATGACATGATTCGAACATGTGCTCCCGAAGGAAATTGATTTCGAGTCAATCGCGTTAACCACTCCGCCACATTGCCGCCGATGCTTGTTCTGTGCATTGCATGATGTTGCGCTGCTTCGTAGCTACCGATGCATGCGAGTTTTGAAGCTCTAGGTGGTCTGTGGACTGAGATATGGACGGTTTTGTAACGGGGTGAATGGTGCGGATGAACGGAGTAAGTGCCACTAGTGCGGATCGTTTTTTTTTGGTGGGCCGCGGGTGGTGTGGCCAATCTGCGGATCTGTGTGCCCAACGGCAGACGGTTACGGTCTCCTCCCAGCGATGGCAGCTAGCACTGGTGGACACTACCTGACTGTCAAGCCCCCCTTGAAGCCTACCTCCCAGCAGCCCCATGGCCCATACGTCACCACACTGCAAACCTGTTGCTCCACCATGCAAGGAATACATCATGCAAATATCGCCGCCGACCTACATCTAGACCTAGACGGCCTCCTAAACAGCCACCTGGGCCACGCCATCCGTGACGGTCTTGACATCGTCGTCGTCCTCGGCTGCATCGTCGTCCTCTTGGCGCTCGCCATCCTCCTCGGCCTAGCGCAAGTCAGCAAACACATTGTACCTTTATTCACTCACGTAACGAGCAAGCATGCGGGAAATGTCCCACTCCTCCTCGACATCGTCCTCCTCGTCGGCGTAGAGCTCGCTGCCAAACTCGAACATGTCCTTTCCGGTCATGCCCGACATCTTGCCGGCAGCGCGCTGGAGAGTCTTGGCCTTGTCGAGCGCCTCCTGCTCGGCGGCCTTCTTTTCCAATCGCGCCTTCTTCCAGGCAGCAAAGGTCTCGGGCGTGCAGGGGGTAAGAGGGGGCTGGAGCTTGTGGCGCTCGACCTCGACAAAGTCCTCGAGCGAAATCTCGTCCTTGACCGCCTTCTTCTCGTCCTTCTTGAGGACGAATCCGGGGGGAAGAGCGTGCTTGTACATGCAGTTGTCACCGCCATTGGGGCAGATCCAGCTAAAATGTAATGTCAGCGACGCCCTGCCATGTCGTTGACCAGCACATGGCGCAAAAGGACACTCACAACCAACCATACTTGCGGTCCTCGATCGCCTGAACAAAGAACTTGCACACAATGTCGGTGGTGGTACGCTGCTTCCGTGCGTTCTGGTTGACGACTTCGTTGAGCTTGGCATCGTCCCAGTCATCCATGGTCTCCTTCTTCTTCTCCTCCTCGCCCGCGCGCTTGTCCTCGTAAATGTTGACCTTTTCAACCTTGCGCTCGACATTACGGTCGTGCGAGAACTTGCACTTGTTGCCTGAAACGTTAGTTCAGACAACGTGTTAGTAGCTCACCCTTGGTACAGTTTCCTGCCTTGAAGAAGACACAGAGGACAGTCTTGGGGTCTGTAACCGTTAGCATCACTGGAATGACAGTGTCCCCCACGCGCTACTCACCGGTACCGAAGGCGACCTTCTGGATCTGCTGGGTCGGGGTGAACAGCTGCGCCTCCATCGCCTTCTTGGCGGCATCGGCCTCCTTGGAACGGGCGCGGTCCTCGGCCAGCTTCTGCTTGGCGAGCTAGGTCTGGTCAGCTAGTGCCGTCGAGGCACACGACGTGAATGTCAACCCACCTGCTCCTTGTTCTTGCCGGCCTGCGACTGCTGCTTCTGAACTTCCTGGATATACTTCTGAACCTTTGTCGACTTGTTCTTGTTCTTCATACCAAAGGCTGACGCACAGGTTAGCTCAGTGCTTCAATGTGTGTAGGGCAACTTACTCTGCAATGTGATTGCCAGGTCGACGAAAGGGGCGCATATGTGAAGGAGGCACGGCGTCAGTATTGGTCGTCCAAGGCAGAACCAACGAGCCGCCATGCTCAGGCATAGCAGTCTCAGAAGTCTCAGCAGTCTCCACGCACCTTGTCATCCTTGGTGGCTTGCTTCTTGGGCGGCATGATGGATAGAGGTCTCGCGGGACGGTGTCAAATGGAAACGAAGGGGCGACAACGATGTGCCAATGTTGTAGGAGGGTGTGAGAGTCCTGATAATAGGGCTCTACTTTTGGGTGTCGCTAAAGTGATATGCGTTCTTGCGTTGCCTGGGGGGAGCTCTCGTACAGCTGGGGCGTGGTAGTGGTGGTCGCGAGCGTGGAATGGAGGGAGATCTGTGGTCGCTTGACATTCAATGTCTTGGTCTCTCCACTTTGCGGGTTTGAGAGGGCACATTTTATTTAGGTCCCCGTTAATTTTCACTTGGGTGTGGGTGGAGGGGGTCCACCGCAGCCGCCGTTGTGGCCACTGGGTGTGTGTGGGGCGCACGACACCGTCACCCGCGCGCATCTCTGCTCCTTCCCTCCTCATCTCTTTCTTCATCTCATCCACCTACACATCTCATCGCATCCACCCACCACCATGCCCCCCAAAGCAGACAAAAAGGATAAGGTCGTCACCGTCAAGGGCAACGAAGGTGCGTGTTCCTCCCAGTTGCTTTCGCCCCCGCCACCCGCGTGACAGCAAAAGCTCACAGCTTCCAGCCGAGGAGGTAAGGCCCAAAAGCACCCATGCGCCTATCTAATCACCCTTTTAGAAGATCCTTGACTACATGCGCGGTGTGAGTCACCCAGCGAGGAGCGCTGCTGACCTCAGGCGAACCGCCCTTACTCGAGCAGTACGTTGGATTGGGTTGCGGCAGTGCCTACCTCGTGCTTGGCTTTCTTCCAAACCCCACTACTGACCTTCCTTCCCTCAGCCGATGTTCACCTCAACCTCAAGAAAGTTGTTAGCAAGCCCGAAGCGCAAAAGGCCATGACGGCGCTTGCTGGTGGGTAGTGTTACCTTGCTTGTGCTCAACCGACAGAGAAAGGCTCCCTCACGGTCAAGACGTACGGCAAGCAGACCATCTTCGTCTTCAGCCAGGTGAGGTCAATCAATAGCATCGAATGGCTAACCGCTCTAGTCGCAGTTGACTGCCCTCAACCCCGAGGACATGGCCACCCTCGATGCCGACACGAAAAAGGCCAAAGGAGTAGCCGATAAACGCCGCAAGGAACTTCGTGACCTGCAAGCCAGTGAGTCGATTCACCAACAGACGGTGACAATGTGACACGCAGCTGATGATCAGAAATCGGCGAGCAAGAGGCTCTCCCAGTCACCACCGACCTGGTCAAGACCATTGAAAGCGTCACGGCTGAAGTGAGTAATGGAAGGGGAAGGGGGCAGATCTGACAAACAGAATGACCTCACCATCAAGACACTTGGGCCCCTCCGCGGCGAGACCGCCGTGGCGCCCATGACCGCCGACGAGATGATGGCAATTGACGTCGAGTGGGACAAGTGGAAGAAGATGTGGGTCGACCGCAAGAAGGTGTACAAGAAGTGGGTCACGCTGTCGGCGATATGGTAGACTAACAGTCGCGTAGCCTGATCGACATACTGGCCGAGTCTCCCGCATACAGCAACAAAGAAGACTTGGAAGATACAGTTGGCGTGGACGACGACGACGACGAGACAGTTGAAATTGAACGCGGCGAATTCTTCAGGCCACCCACGAACACTGTGCGCGTTGGACTCGCTAAGCGTCCCCTTCCCTCAGCCATGTCAGCCTCGGCACCCGGCGTGGCGCAGAGCTTGTCAAGCGCAAAGGCTTCCAGCACACCCACGTCGACCACCAAGACTAAGCGTCCTCGTGTCTAAAAGTGGCCAAAGGGAGTTGATCAGTGAGAGAAGGGAACGAAGGATATATCAGCACGGGCAAACCAATGGAACGATCGGAGGTCGGAACGGATATGGCCGGCTGACCGAGGTCAGGGTATAGCCCAGCTTCCGACGGAACTGGTGCGATTAGCAAAGACTTCGCTCGAGTTGCGCAGCGCCCTGGGGGAATAGGGTCGGTCGCTGTCTTGATGATGATGCATCGGCCCTCCATATCGCGCGATGGTCACGTATAAAAAAGGACAGAACACAAAGTGGGGAGAACGACTCACCAATGCTCACTCGCTCCATTCTCCACTCACTCACACGTACCTCTACACTCCCCAAGTTTACTCGCTCCGTCACCATGTCTTCCGCTCCTTTCCTTAACGCTCTCGAGGTGAGTGTGTTTTTCTGTCTGGCAGTTAAACAAGATGGTACGACTGGTGATTGACACGTAACTCCAGGTCCGTCGCTCGCAGTACGCCCTCAGCAACAAGGCCTCCATCTCGGACGCCAAGATTGAGGAGATTGTCCAGCGTGCCGTCACCCATGTCCCCTCGTCGTACAACACCCAGACCTCGCGTGCTGTCGTCGTCCTCGGCGAGAAGAACGTCCAGCTCTGGGATGCTCTCTGGGAGGCCCACAAGGCCAACCTCCCCGCCGAGCTCCAGGAGACCTTCAAGGGCAAGTTCGACGGCTCGTACAAGACTGGCTACGGCACCATTGCTTTCTTCGAGGACCAGGCCGTTGTCGACGCTACCGTCGAGGCGCAGCCCGCCCTCGCCGGTATCTACCCTACCTTCACCCAGAACACCGCCGGTGCTCTCCAGGTCATCGTGTAAGTACAATTGAACAGTCTGCGACAACATTTATTAACAATGCCCAGCTGGACTGCTCTCGCCAACGAGGGCATGGGCGCCACCCTTCAGCACTACGGCCAGTTCGGCCCCGCCAACGCTGAGGCCCTCGCCAAGTTCCTCGACATCCCCGCCTCGTGGAAGTCCACTGGCCTCATGGTGAGTAGCGCTGAGCCTTCCCCCTTGACACTTCAAGCAACATGGCTGACTCTCTACAGCCCTTCGGTGTTGCCGCCGAGGGCGCTACCCTCCCCGAGAAGGCTTTCCAGCCCATCGCTGAGCGTGTCAAGGTCGTCGCTTAAACATAGAACAATATATGAGATAGTAGATGCAGTATAGCATGTTTATCAGTACAGAGTCCAGCGTCTGAGCAGCTGACCAAGGCTTGACGATGCTACGCAGTCCGGACCTGCTATGGCAAGATGAGCAAGAGGAAGGAATACGTGCCACGGAAAAACGAGAGCCACGTAATCACAAGTGCTCCGTAAGCCCACCGTGGATGTCAGCCCCGTCCACAGTGCAAGTGCTGTAAATAGAGACATTGTGCAGTGACACACATGTATACGTTGTCGAGGCTGCTTTGTTTACTGGGGGGAGCAACGTGGAGGCTCCAGCACAACAATTGACGTGCTGGGCGAATTGGTAACCACCGAAAACCGGGAGGATGTGTCCGTTCTTCCTTGTGACCAGTTGCCCGCGTGGATTCTTGGGTGTGCCTATCACGATCGTGTAGAACAGTAGAACATATCGCTCGTGTCGTCACTCTCCCTCGTTGCCCTTCTGATGCAGGGTCAAGGATGCTGGGGCCCAGCCGCAGCACCTCAGCTTCGTCCTCCTAGAATAGTTGAGGAAGAATAAGAACACTGATGTTGAGCCATGTTCCGGCCATTCTACGGGTGTATGTGAACTGATGCATGCTGTCCCGTTTCAAGATGAACCACACAAAGCGTCGGGACCAGCTCTGCCCCTACATCTTGACAAAGAGTTTCCTGCTCCTCTGAAACCTCAAGAACACCACAAGACCAGCAGCACCAGCGGCCATGCCGCCTGCCCAGAACACCGCCGGACGGAACGCACGCGCTCCAGCATCTGTACCGCCATACGCTGCGAGGATATAGCCAGCTGCAGGCGCTCCCATGAGGTATCCAGCCATCCAGCCAGTGACGATCATGCCAAAGGCCACAGCTAAGCGCTGCGACCCCATGACGTTGCCGACGACGGTGGGCATGATTGAGAAGAAACCGCCGTTCGAGGCTCCGTTCGCCAATACAAACACGACGAGCTCGGCAAAGCTCGTGGACGTGGGCCACAAAACCAACAGCGTGACTGCAGTGATGATGAGACTGATGCACAACGTGTTGATGGGGCCGAGGAGGCGGTCGGAGATGAGGCCGGTGAGGATACGCCCAACGGCTGAGGAGAAGTTGAACAGACACACCAGAGTCGCGCCCATGGACGTGCTCATGTGCAGGCTCTGTGCGTACAAAGGCAGGAAGAAGGGTGGGACAAAGAGAGGAAACGTCGCAAAGGCGCCGGAGACGAAGAGGAGGACAAAGTCCCAGGATTTGAAGAGCGACCTAGGCAGTGTCAGCCACAGGCGTATCCTTCACCACCACCTACCAATCAATAAACCCAGCCTTTGGGAAGCTGGTGCGCTCATGGATGAACCACGCAGCCGGGAGGCAGCACGCGAGCATGACCAGGCCTACGAGGCGGAACGTCCATGGCACACCGAGGCGTTTGACGGCCGCTTCGAGGGCGAGACTGATGACCGCACCACCGAGACCACCACCAGCGTAAACGATACCGATAGCCGTACCGCGCTTCTTGCTAAAGTATTGCGCTGGGGTGATGGAGATGACCATGAAGCAAAAGCTTACTCCGACACCCATCATGACTCCCGCAGTCACGAACAGGGCGGCGACACTGTGCGTCGCAAACCCGGCGAGGATCTGGCCAAGGGACATGAGAATCACGCCTGCGATAGCCATTGAGCGCGCTCCAACCAAGGGCAACAGGCGCGAGTTGAGCATGGCGAGCGCCGAGAGCATGGCGACTGCAAGCGACCCGACAAACGCCAATGTCGATGCTGGGGCCAGGTCGGCGTCCACAAGTGCTGCCTGTAGCACACCCCACGAATACGTTGTGCCGACGTACCAGAACGCAAGCATCGAGCAGCACGCGACCATTGCCCACGACTCCCACCCGCCGTCGGGCACGAGCGCGTCATACTGGCGCGACTGTTCCATGATCAAGTCGGCCGCAGACTCCTCTCTCACAGTGACGGTGGGTAAAGTGTTCTCGGAGCCTGTGGGGATGGACGGCGCGGGGTCTTCTCCCGTCGCGATGCCCGACATCTTGCCCTTGGCATTGTTCAGCGTTGACAGTTCGAGTTCCTCCTCGGCCCGCTGGCGCGCTTCGTCTGGATGTGTCGGGGTCGCCGTCATGGTGCTGGTGGACATTGTGCTGTCTGCGGAGCCGGGGAAAGTGACAACGGGAGAAAGACGTGGGTACCAGAGTCCGTCGGTAACTTAAGTACGTTCGTGTGCCTTGCTCGACTCGGATCAATCGAGACAACATCAGCCGCGGTAGTCTTTGTCAGTTGGCGATGCCAAGGCTGGGCTATATCTCGGTGACTCGCTGGACGAGTCGTGTTTCTGTTGCCCTGTGTACTTTGATCCGAACATGAGTGGCTGAACAGCCATGCTTGGTCAGCGCTGTGGAGATAAGAGGAGATGAGAGAGGTGAACAGCCGACCGGCCGCCAGAGCGACGTGCAGCAACAACAGCAGGCGTCGCATCCAAAAAAGAAATGTTTCGACAATGACATGATTCGAACATGTGCTCCCGAAGGAAATTGATTTCGAGTCAATCGCGTTAACCACTCCGCCACATTGCCACCTATGCTGTGTTCACGCGATGCAGAGGAGTCTGGGAATGCAAAAATCATTGCTCTACGTGCACTGTGGCATGAGATATGGGGTGTTTTGTGCCGTCGATCGTGCAAATGTTGGAACAAGTGGGGGTGGTGGACACTAGTGCCACAACGCCGATCACGGTGCCACACTGCCGATCAGTGGCAGTCGTGCCCTCGTGCCAGGCGCCAGGAGCCACGGCCACAGGCTACATGACCACAGGCCAAGCGGTACAACAACAAAGGTGTATCTACAACTCACAACCATCGTTCACAGCACGTCCAGAAATCGTCTGCCCAACCAGGGAAAGCCCTTTTCGTACACCGGGTGTCATCCTCAGTGCGCCAATGCCACCCTCACCTCGTGTGGCATCTTTTGCCTCCGCCCACGACTGCGGTGGGGCGTCGACGTCTGCTTTCCACAAACACGAAAAGAGACACTCTAGGTGAAGCTGCATGCATTGCATGGGCGGAGACTACATGAACACGTCGTTTCATGCATATGCTTGGCTGCACGGACGGGTGTGTTTACGCATGAAAAAGTGCCACAGCTGTGGAAAACGCCGCCCGAGAGCGCCCCATGTGTCCCCTGCATTATACTCCCGCAAATGCCCCCGCTCCTCTGCCCGCAACAACCACACCCCCACCGTTGACGTTGATTGCACCTGGGAGCCGCCGCTTGTGCCGCCTATTCCAACTTGCTCCAGGCCCATCCTCCACCCCCGCGTCGCCGCATCCTTGTCCCCGACGCGACTACCCACAACCCACAAACAACAACCCCTCACACCCGCGGCCATGACAGACGCCGCGCCGTCCCCGGCAATGGCATCAAACATGGCGCCGTCCCCGTCGGCCGCCATCCCAGGCCAACACCCAGGCGCGTTCCCTCCAGGATTCCGCCCTCCCATGCCAGGACAACAGATGATGCCTGGGCAGCCATCCGGTGCCATCATGATGGACGACGAGAAGAGGCGCGAGATCTTGGCCAGCCTCGAACCGTCCCGCGTCAATGCACTCCGCAAAGTATGTTGACACGTGCCGGATGCTTTGCAGTTACTGACCTAGATCAGCGCGCCATGGAGCTGCAACAGGCCGGGCACACTGCTCAGCAGTCGACAGAGCTCGCGCGTACCCTTGCCATCCTCAACATGCACGCCCGTGCCGTCCAGCTCGAGTCGGAGAAGCGCAAGGCGCAGGCGGATGGCGAGGCTGCACAGGCTGCCGCTGCCGGACCAAGCTCTGGTACGCGTCTACATACTGGCCTTTTCGCTCCAGACACTGACTGACCTCTTCTTTCTAGCTACCGCCAACCAGCCCGCTGGCCAACATGTCGCCCTCACCCCTGCTCAGATCGCACAGGTCCGCTCGCAGGCTGCATCCTACCACCTCCTCAGCCGCAACCAGCCGGTCCCCCAGTTCCTCCAGCAGGCCGCGCAGGGCAACTCGCCATCGACTCCCACCAGCGCGTCTGCGACTTCGGACGCCAGGATTGTTGACAAGACGGTCGAGGCAGTCGTCGAGGCAAACATGCCCGAGGTCCCCTACGCCATGGAGTTTGACCAGTCGTCAATCGTTTACCCATACAACGCATACATCCACCCTTCGGTCTATGCCAACCGCAAGTTTGACGACGAGGTCACCAACCCGGCCACCAAGCAGCAGCGCCTCCTCGTTCCCTCCATCACCCCATCGGGCCTCGACCCATACCTCTTGATGGAGGAGCGCAACCGCTTTGTCGAGACGCGCATGGGCTGGCGTATGAAGGAGCTGGAGGAGATGGCTTCTACGACGGGTCTCGGCGAGCCTGGCGCCGCCGGGGCTCCGGGTATCACCGACGACGAGCAGCAGTCGTCTTCGTCCAAGCTGGGTGTCCAGGCTCGCATTGAGCTCCTCTCGCTCCGCCTTCTCGGCAAGCAGCGCCTCATTCGTGAGGACCTTGTTCGTGCCATGCACGGCTCGACCCAGATCCCTGCGGACCGCTCGCAGTTCCGCCGTTTCCGTACCCACACTCTTCGCGACGCCCGCGCGACCGAGAGCGCGGAGAGGAGGCAGCGTACCGAGCGTGAGCAGCGTGGCAAGCAGCGTCACCTCACATACATCAATTCGATCACCGACCACGGCGTCAACATTACCGCCAATGGCGACACCAACCCCCGTGGCTCGGGTACCGACAAGATGCGTCGCCTCGGCCGTTGGGTCGTGCGTTTGCACAACGACACTGAAAAGGAAGAGCAGCGTCGTATCGAGCGTCTTGCCAAGGAGCGTCTCAAGGCGCTCAAGAACGACGACGAAGATGCGTACCTCGCCCTTCTCGGCGAGGCCAAGGACTCGCGTATCGGTCACCTGCTCAAGCAGACCGACCAGTACCTCGAGACCCTTGCTGCCGCTGTCGTGGAGCAGCAAAACGACGCTGTCCACCGCGACGGTGCCCACATGGGCATGCCGTTCGAGGTCGAGGAAGGACCCGTGTCCGAGGCCCTGTTTGGCGCTCGTCGTCAGGACGGCGAAGAGGACGGTGCCGAGGCTAGGGAAGGCAAGGTTGACTACTACTCGGTCGCGCACAAGATTCAAGAAAAGGTCACGAAGCAGGCCTCGATCCTCACGGGTGGTACCCTCAAGGACTACCAGGTCAAGGGTCTGCAGTGGATGATTTCGCTGTACAACAACCGACTGAACGGTATTCTCGCCGACGAAATGGGTCTCGGAAAGACTATCCAGACCATTTCACTCATCACCTACCTCATCGAGAAAAAGCTCCAGCCCGGCCCCTTCCTTGTTATTGTCCCCCTCTCGACTCTCACCAACTGGACGCTCGAATTCCAAAAGTGGGCTCCCGCCGTCCGCACCCTTATTCTCAAGGGTTCACCTGCAGTCCGTCGCGACTTGTACCCGCGTCTCCGTGCCGTTGATTTCCAAGTGTGCTTGACGACCTACGAGTACATTATCAAGGAGCGCCCTCTGCTCGCCAAGATCAAGTGGGTCCACATGATCATCGACGAGGGTCACCGTCTCAAGAACATCAAGTCCAAGCTGTCGCAGACCCTCAACGAGTACTACTCGACTCGCCACCGTCTCATTCTTACCGGTACCCCTCTGCAAAACAACCTGCCCGAACTGTGGGCCCTGCTCAATTTCGTGCTGCCCAAGATTTTCAACTCGGTCAAGTCGTTCGATGAATGGTTCAACGCACCGTTCGCCAACACTGGTGGCCAAGAAAAGATGGAGATGAACGAAGAAGAGGCCTTACTCGTTGTCAAGCGTCTTCACAAGGTGCTGCGTCCCTTCCTGTTGCGTCGTCTCAAAAAGGACGTCGAGTCGGAGCTTCCCGACAAGGTTGAAAAGGTCATCTACACCAAAATGTCGTCGCTCCAGTGGAAGCTGTACGAGAGTGTCAAAAAGTACAAGACGCTCCCCACCGACTTGTCATCTGGCAAGCCCCGTCGCCAGGCCAACCTGCAGAACGCCATCATGCAGCTTCGCAAGATTTGTAACCACCCCTTCGTGTTCCGCGAGGTCGACGAGGACTTTTCGGTCGGCAACCACATCGACGAGCAGATTGTCCGCACGTCGGGCAAGTTTGAGCTCCTCGACCGTCTCCTGCCCAAGCTCTTCCACACGGGCCACAAGGTCCTCATCTTCTTCCAGATGACCGAGATCATGTCCATCATCGCCGACTACTTTGACTACCGCGGCTGGAAGTACTGCCGTCTCGATGGTTCTACCAAGGCCGATGAGCGTCAAGCCCTTCTCTCGACCTTCAACGACCCAGAGTCGCCTTACCAGGTCTTCATCCTTTCGACCCGTGCTGGTGGTCTTGGTCTCAACCTGCAGTCTGCCGACACGGTCATCATCTACGACACTGACTGGAACCCTCACGCCGACTTGCAGGCCCAGGACCGTGCGCACCGTATCGGTCAGAAGAAGGAGGTCCGCGTCCTCCGTCTCATTTCGAGTGGGACTGTCGAGGAGCTCGTGCTGCAGCGTGCCCAGGCCAAGCTCGAGATTGACGGCAAGGTTATCCAGGCCGGAAAGTTCGACGACGTGACCACTGGTGCCGAGTACGAGGCGTACCTCGCCAAGGCGTTCGAGCAGCCCGGTGACGATGACGAGGAGGAGACCAACGAGCTCGACGACGACGAGCTCAACGAACTCCTTGCTCGTGGTGACAACGAGCTTGAAATCTTCCAAAACATGGACAAGGAGCGCATCGCACGCAAGACGGCCGAGTGGAAGGAGACGGGCGGCAAGGGCCCCATTCCACCGGCTCTCATGCAGGAGAGCGAGCTCCCGCCCTTTTACCGCCGCGACATTGGCCAGGAGATGGCCGAGCAGGTTGTCAGCGAGGAGGACCAGGGCCGTGGGCGTCGTGTCAAGGCCGAGGTCAAGTACACCGATGGCCTTACCGACGACCAGTTTATCAACGCCCTCGAGGACAGCGACGACGACATTGAGTCTGCCGCCGAACGCAAGCGTATCCGCTCTGAGAAGAAGGCCGAGCGCAAGCGCCAAAACGAAATCCTCATCCAGGCCGAGGCAGAGGGCAAGCCTCTTTCGACTGTCATCACCCAGCTCAAGGCCGAGGCTGAGGCAGCGGTACCCGCGACCCCGACTTCGCACAAGAAGAAGCGTGGACGCCCCAGCAAGAGCGCCACCCCGGCACTCGAGGAGAGCACCCCTGCTAAGCGCCGCAAGGTCAACGTCCCTGGTGCTGTGTCGTCCGAGGAGATTGCATGTGTCAAAAAGATCTTTGACGAGGTCAACGCCCTCACAGACGAGATGACCGGCGAGCCATGGAACATCTATTTCCGCAGCCCTGTGGACCGTAAGATCTACCCCGACTACTACACGATCATTGCCCAGCCCATCGCCATGTCGCAGATCAAGCGCAAGTTTGGCCAGGCCCAGTACGGCCTCAACGCGCTGTCTGCCGACATCAAGCTGCTGTGGACCAATGCGCGCACGTACAATACCGAGGGCTCATGGGTCTACAACGCCGCCGACGAGATGGAGGCCTACTTTGACAGGAGGTTTGCCGAGGAGATTGACAAGTACTCTCCGTCGGGCGGCAAGGCCGACACCAACGGCACCAACGGTGACTCGACCGAGGGCACCACCCCTGCTCAAAGCGGCCAGAGCACCCCCATGTACAAGGGTCCCGCAGTTGCCACCAAGATCAAGCTCAACATTGGCGCTTCCAGCCGCCGCAATGAAATTGTCAAGAGCGACACGGAGGAGGAGAGCGAGGCCAACGACGACGACGACGATGATGATGACGAGGACGACGACTATTAGACAAATGTCGTCCCCCTGTTGTCGTTGAAAGGTGGTTTTTGTTCATCGTTGTCCACACTAGTCGAGTGCATCGTGTAGAGAGGAAACACTGGTAGCTTATATAGTCGATATGTATTTCGAGAAAAGAAACCCGTAGCAGCACGAGTGAAGGTCAAGTGTCACAGTTGCAGGTCCTGACCGCCTGTAATCCGCAGTCGACACAAGGGGGGTACCGACCTGACCGCCCGTCAGACTGCTTCAAAGCTTTCCGTTGCCAGTCCGGCCACCCCATTAGAAACAATCCTATATTGTCGGCTAACCCCGAGCTTTTCCAATCTTGGCACAGCGTCGCGTATTTGTGGCCACTCCGAGATCCGCCCCGACTCGATTCAACCCCAGATCTCCGGCCTGGGCTTGTTTTTCTCCTTTCGTCCCGTTCGTCTCTTTCATTCAAACTTCTTCTTCCAACATGACGGTCGGCGCTACCACTGGGGTCCTTCCTTCAAGGCTCGTCATTGGCGTGCTTGCGCTGCAGGGCGCGTTTATTGAGCACATTCACTACCTCGAGCGGTAAGCCGACGAAGAGGAGGGAGGAGGGAGATCTCGGGCGCGGTGGGGTAACTGGGGCTGACTGGAATTCAACAGCCTCGATGTCAAGGGACACTACATTACTGCGCTCGCTGTGCGCAACCCAGAGGAACTCGAGGTTAGTATCTAGTGCTTTTGGAATGCTGTCTCGGTCTGCGATCTGGGTCTGTCACCTTGGTCGACGACAGCGTGGTCTGTTTCGGTACGCGCCGAAGGGGTGACATACACGCATTTTCCACGCCCCTCTCAGGCCCTCCCCATGCCTGTACCACGTTACTGACACTGTAGTCCTGCCACGCGCTCATCATCCCCGGTGGCGAGTCGACCGCCATCACACGCGTTGCGGACCGTACCCCCGGCATGCTGCCCGCATTGCAGGCGTTCGTCGCCGACCCGTCGCGGCCCGTGTACGGAACCTGCGCCGGCATGATCCTCATGGCCGACGCAGACGGTGTGGGCGGCGGCAAGCGCAAGAACGACGGCAGCGCATGGGGCGGCATGACGGGACTGCGGGTGTGGCGCAACCTGTACGGTGGTGAGTAGAGAGAGAGGCAGAACGATGACCAGCAAGCGAGAGGCGGTGCTGAGCGTTCCACAGGCCAGCTCGAGTCGTTCGAGTTTCCGCTCCACATCCCATCGCTGTCAGAGCCCCACCGGCCCTTCAACGCCATCTTCATCCGGGCGCCGGCAGTGCACTCTCTCAAGCAGTCCAATGCCGAGATTGAGCGCCTGGCATCGCTGCCGCCAGACTGCGTGCCGGCGCCGCCGCCGGCCGACTCGCCGCTCGGCGAGCCCGATATCGAGACCACCCCCGTGGTCATGCTGAGGCAGGGCCGTAAGCTCGTCACGTCCTTCCACCCCGAGCTCAGTGGCGATACCCGAATCCACGAGTACTGGGTCAAGCACTGTGTTGTTGCTGCTCAATGAACTACGCAAATTAGATTAGAAAGAGCAGTCACGGCCGCCTCAACGGCGACCGACAGCGGCTGGAAACTACCTACAATAAACAGCTCTATAACAGCCATACCAACCTTGTAACTCTCCCATCTACCACCACCCAACCCCACGTCTACCTCCTTTCTGTTACTCATATATCGTGATGCATGTGTACGAGGATCATCGTCTTGTCCAGAACACTCCTATCGCTAAACTCTAACGAAACAAAGAAATAAATAAAAGAGCACCCCACAACCAACGACACTTTGCTCGCTCTAGCTTCGGCCCAAGGCGTCGCCAAGAGTCCTACATGTCCTGGACTTTTGCAGACGGAGCGCCGTGTAGAGACATTCTTTCGCACGGGCACTGCGGCCCTGCTTGTCACACGCCGTGGCCAGCGCGAACCATGCCTCGGGGACGTCCCACCCTTGGTCCTCTGTGAGCTGCCACAGGAGCGAGTGCGCGAGGTCCGTCTCGCCCTGGGTGAGGAACAGGCGGCCGAGGGAGACGACAGCGGGCGGGTAGTCGGGGCGCAGGAGCAGCGCCTTTGTGAATGCCTTTTGCTGCGAGTCGCCGTCCACGCTGTTCCCGCCGGTTTGGTGGGCCGCGCCACACTCGGCCTGGTGCAGGAGACCGAGCTGGACCCAAACGGCGGGGTTCTCGGGATCCTGTGCCTCGGCCTCCTCGATGGAGACGAGGGCCTGGCCGTGCTTGCCCGCACGGCGGAAGGAGGCGGCGGACATGAGCCAGAGGTCCGAGAGGATGCGGAGTTCAGCAGCGGTGCGGCTCACGTTGCGTTTCGTGGGCGGCGGTGGGGGCGGGAGCATTGCACGGGCACCGTGGTAGTGCGAATGAACGGCAGTGGGGGCAATGGACAGGGCGACAGTCGACGTTGACGCGGTGCGTATACGGTCCAAGCCGATGGTGGGTTCGCCACGTCCGCTGCCGCCGCTGCGCAGCGCCGAGGGAGCACTGGATGCGCGGAGACCTGGCCGAGGCCCGCGGGCGACGGAGGGAACGTGCAGGTGCTTGGGGAACAGCTTTTTGCCTCCCACAGAAATCTTGACGCGGCGCTCACTGGGTCCCTCTGCGTCCGAGGGGTTGGGAGATGAGTCGCCGGCGGAGGAAGGGGTGTGGATCACGGGCGGGGAGAAGGAGCCAGTACCGGCACTGGAAGCGATGATGGAGGGAGGAGGGGGTGCGCGTACGGTTTGAGCGCTGTCGCCAGACGCCGGGGTGATGACATAGCTGCCGCCGAGGTCGTGTATAGGCCCAGCTGGGACACTCATCATGCTACCAGCACCGGAACGAATGCCAGTTGAGGCTGTAGAGCGGGGCCGGTCACCACGGTCGGTGCGCTGCGAGAAGAACAGAAACAGCTGCTGGTGGCGCTCCAGCGCCACCTCTGGTCCGTGGAGCTTCTCGGTAATGACATTGAGGGTCATGCGGAGCTGGATGACAATTTCCAGTCGGCTGAATTTGGATGGAGGGACGGCCTCTGCAGTGACGGGTGGGCTAAGCTCGCCACTGGGGAGGAGGAGGGTGTGGATGTGCGGTGGCTGCTCTGGGAGACTGCCCTCGGGGAGCAGGTCGGCTTCGTCTGCAGCGATGGTCTCATCGTCCGATTCCCAGAGGGCAACGCCAGTCTCGCCGGCCTTGGCAGCGTCATTCCAGTCGCCTTGGGCCGTAAGAAGAAGCGCCAAGAGGTGCCACGCATGGACGTTGTGCGGGTCCTCTTCGAGCGCCGAGCGCACTGCTTCAGTTGCGGGCTCGATTTGGCGTGCTGTGGCATAAGCATACGCGAGGTGGTAGTTGTTTTCGGCAGAGTCGGGGTCGAGGATGGTCGCAGCCTTGTGGTGTGCGATGGCCTGCGCCTGGTACTCGGGTCGCTGGGTTGGGCTGGCAACTGTGGTAGACATTGCCAGGCGGACAGTGCCCTTGCACGCCTCCACCTTGGAAGCCATCTGGGGGCTCAATCGGTGCCTCTTGGCGACATCGCCAGCCAGAGTGGCGTAGCGCCACGCGTCCACTGGGTCGTTGAAGTGTGATGCGAGGAGCTTTGTACCAGCGAGGAGAACAGTGACAAAGTGCTCGTCCGTCTCTCCTTCCTCGGCGTCGTCATCGCCGTTCGTGACGGCAGGTGGCGCAGCAGTGCCATTGGCATCCGCGACGAGCTGCTCGACAGGCTCCTCAGTCTCGGTGGGGCGTCGCTCGAGCTTGAGCGGGTTGTCCGGATCGTCGGTCATGCGGCTCTGCAGCACCAGTTCGACGTAGAGCTCAAAAGTCCTGCGGGCCTCGGTCGGGTCTCCAGAAGTACACAAGAGTGGGACGAGGTGCCTCAAAATGGACTGTGACTGGAAAGTGAGGTTTGTCGCCCACCACAACGTAGCAATGGCGTCACTGGCGAGCTGTGGGGCGTGATCGGGGAAAGCAGCGGCCTGAGCAGCGAATTCTGTCACGGGCATGTTGACCTGCCCGGCACGTGGGAACTTTGTAGTGTCGCCCAGCAAGCGCTGTCCACCGCGAAGCGCATCTGACACTTCATTGCGCCATGTCGCCCGGCCTGTACGGCCAGAGTTGTGACCAGTGAGGAGGTAGGGTTCGAGTGCCGTGGTGCCCGGCGCCGGGTAGGAAGACTGGAGGGCGGCCATGTAGAGGGCGAGCATACGCTGTCGCTGGATCGCGCGGAACGAGCCTGGCCAGTTGACTGCCAGAGCATGGTAGGTGCGGAGAATGCGCAACGTGTAGTGCGTATCGGATCCACGCGCCGAGATCACAGCAGCGCGCGTGAGGGCGGTCGAGACATGTCGGAGAACTTCACGCTGCGAATCAAAGCTCGGCACTGGAGGCTGCTTCATGTTTGGTGGCATGAGGTAAGATGGCGCCTGGAGCGGTGACGTCGAGAGCTTGTCCAAGAGCCCGACAGCTTCAACGTAGCACTGGAGCGCGCGCGTCGGGTTGGGGTTGCTGCACAGCTCGAGCTCGATGCCTTGGAACGTCCGTGCGCGTATCCGCTCAACAACGGCAGCGTCACCATCGACCATGCCGACCGAAGGCGCGGCCCAGTCAAAGCGATCATACGCGGCCAGGGCAGCATCGTGATCGCCGAGGGCGTGGAGGTGGTACGCCAGCGTGAGCGCGGCCGATGGCCGTTCGTTCGGAAGGAAGGTCGAGCCCGAAAGCGCCGTCTCGAGTGAGCGCACACCTTGCCGCAGCTCGTCGACGTGCGTCGTGTCAAGCACCCAGCCCCAGCTTCCACCCACGGTCCAAGCCGAGCCGCTGGCTCCGTCCTCGCCGTCCTGGTCCCCGACGGCCATGTACCCCGACCGGAGGTGTGATGGCGGGGCGGCTGTCGCCGCCCCGTTAAGCACTGGGGGAGGACCACCAGAGACGCGTCCAACATGCACATAGGACGAGGCTGATCCGGAAGCTGCCGTGTCATGGGACAAGCCGTCACCAGAAGAGGCCGAGGAGCCGATCTGGTTGCTGGAAGTTGCAACGTGATACGATGAGCTGAGATCGAGAAGCGACACGGTACGGAGGTGGTTGACGAGCGCAGTGTCTGTGAGTGGTTTCGTGAGCGCAGCACTTGGAGAAGGGTCTACAGGACAATACTACTCACTTCCACCGGTGTGCTTGCCCCACTTGCGCACGAGCTCGCTCCACGAGAGCGGGCTGCCGTTTGGAGCAGCGCCCGGGCTGTCCACTGTCCATGCTCCGCGAACGAGGACGCCTGCCAGGTTTGAGGTGTAATGCGCCGCCTTTGGGTTCTGCATTGTCGCAGAGGGAGCGAGCGGCGCCATTGTATGGCCCTTGTTGATGGGTACGGGGGGAATGAGGTGGAGTGGATAGTTGTAGAAGAAGAACATGAGCAAGAGTGCCAGTTAGACGCAGAGACCTCTCCCCCGGCAGAGCAGAGCCCACGCCAGCCCAGGGTATTTCGCGCGCAGTGACGCAGCCAGTGCACCCACAAATGGTGTTACGTAATGGCTGGTGGGAAACGTGTGTGTTGTGCTCTGTTGCCGATCCCTTGGATTAGAAAAGGGGCAATTACAAAGGCCGTATTTATTGATTTAGCACCTAATACTAATTCTCCTAATGAACCCAAGAGGGCCCCACTCACTCGTCCGAGTTCCCCGCCCGGACAGGTCGCGTGCCTGGCTGTCGGTCCGCTGGAGTCGATTCAAGACAATGCCAGTGGTTCGGGTACATGCCAGCACAGAAAAGAAACAATCTCTCTCGACTCCCTTCAACACCCACCCTATAACCTCTCGTAAAAAGGTAGGCCATACAAGACAACCACACGAACTGCCACTGACACAGCACCAGAACCACCCCCCCATGTCCGCGCCCATCCCCATGAACGGGCGTCCCAGCGACAGCGCCGGCCCCAACGGCTCGCTGTCGCCTCTGGCCAAGTCGCCCCCTCACCAGACCACGACCATCGAGTACGCGTCGTCGGCTCCCTTTGCGGCCTCTTCATCCAAGCATGCCCAGGACGGCACTTGTGACGAGGCTATTCCGGACCACCTCTACTCCAAGCTGCCCGCCCACTACCTTGTGCAGGGTGCCGGCGGCAAGGTGCCAGACTACCTCCGCATGATCCTTACCTGTACGTCCTGCTCGCACGACCTCGCAACATGACCTGACCATTTCCCAACAGCCAAGGTCTACTCTGCCCCGCTCAACCTCCAGGAGACGCCGTTGACGTACGCTGCCAACCTGTCCAAGCGCCTCGGATGCGAGATTTATCTCAAGCGCGAGGACCTGCACCCCGTCTTCTCGTTCAAGATCCGTGGCGCGTACAACATGATGGCGAGCTTGACTGAGGAGGACAAGAAGAAGGGTGTCATCACCTGCTCTGCTGGAAACCACGCGCAGGGTGTGGCCCTGTCTGGCGGTGCGCTCGGCATTGCGGCCACCATTGTCATGCCCGTCTCGACCCCGTCCATCAAGGTCAACAACGTCCGGAGGTTGGGCGGCAAGGCCGTGCTCTTTGGCCAGGACTTTGACGCCGCCAAGGCCGAGTGTCTCCGCCGTGCCGAGGAGGAGGGTTTGACCTTTATCCCCCCGTACGATGACCCCTATGTCATTGCCGGCCAGGGCACGATTGCGATGGAGATTTGTCGCCAGATCACCGACCCGACCAAGATTGACGGCATCTTTGCTGCCATTGGCGGTGGTGGCCTGACAGCCGGTATCTCGACGTACATGAAGCGCGTTGTCGGCCCCAACTCCAAGGTCTACGGTGTCGAGACGGTCGACGGCGACGCCATGTTCAGGTCGTTGAAAGCTGGCCACCGCGTCGTTCTCGACGAGGTGGGGCCCTTTGCCGACGGCACTGCCGTGCGTCTGGTCGGCGAAGAGTGCTACCGCGTCTGCAAGGAGAACCTCGACGGCATCCCCCTTGTGAACAATGACGAGATCTGTGCCGCCATCAAGGACGTGTACGAGGAGACGCGTTCGGTTCCCGAGCCCTCTGGAGCCCTTGCCCTCGCCGGTCTCAAGGCGCACATCCAGCAGAACGACCTCAAGAACTCGGGCAAGACGTTTGTTGCCGTCGTCTCCGGTGGAAACATGAACTTTAGCCGTCTCCGCTTCGTTACTGAGCGCGCCGAGATTGGTGAGGGCCGCGAGGTGCTCATGTCGTTCCGCGTCCCCGAAAAGCCCGGCTCGTTTATCAAGCTGCACAAGTACCTCCTCCCTCGTGCCGTCACCGAGTTTTCGTACCGCTACTCGGACTCGAAGGGCGGCTTCATCATCTGCTCGTTCACCCTCAAGGCGTCGAGCTCCAAGGCGTCGGGCCCCACGCCCGAAGAGCGCGCCAAGGAGGTGGCTGAGATCATCGCCGACCTCAAAAACCTGGACATTGAGTCGATGGACCTGAGTGACAACGAGTTTGCAAAGTCGCACGTGCGCCACCTCGTCGGTGGCCGCTCGTCCATCGAGCACGAGCGCGTGTTCCGCTTCGAGTTCCCCGAGCGTCCTGGAGCGCTTGACCGCTTCCTCACCAACCTCCACCCGGGATGGAACATTTCCCTCTTCCACTACCGCAACCACGGCGCCGACGTTGGCCGCGTCCTTGTCGGCCTGCAGCCGCCCCCCAACGGCGTGGCCGACGATGAGGAGCTCAACGACTTCCTCAACGAGCTCGGCTACCCTTACGTCGAGGAGACGGATAACGTCGCCTACCGCAACTTCCTCTGTGCTTGAGTTGGGACCTTGGAATAGAGAGGCGTGCGGGAGAGAGTTGTTAGAGTAGTATCATCCATTTATGCCAGATTGTCACCATCACGGATGCAGTCGGGTAGCGAGTAGCAGGGTATGACGTGACTGACACCTGGTGGGCGCAGGGAACGAAGATGCACGTCGAGTTGACAGCTTGGGGGGTTCGAACGATATGCCATGCGACGCGCACGCGGGGGGCTGCCTGAGACCCAGATCGAAAGTCAGATCGCTGGCCGCTGGCCGCTGGCGTCATCGCTCACGTCCCACCATCCATCATCCTGCAACCACACCACACACCATGGCCCAAGCATCGTCGAGCTCAGGACCGCTGTATCCCGTCAACGGGTTTGACGTGGCTGCGCTGACGGGCGCTACCGTCGTTATTGTAAGTTTGCCTCGGGATCCGCTCACGCAAAACGCGCGGTGGACGTCCTCCACCGAGCACCTTGGCCCACGGATGTCCGCGCCGTTCCCTCGCAGCTCTGCGGCCATGGATGCTCCAGCTGGTACTGATGCGAGTGCATACTGACGCACCGCAGCCCGCCGTGTCCCTCGGCAACGTCCCGCAACTGACCGCCGACCTGCTCGTTGCGTCCCTTGGCCTGCGCCGCGTTGCCTTCCTCGGCCGCGGCGACACCGTCGCGCCCTTTGCCGGCCGTGGCGAGGATGGGGTCGTGACTGGCGGCCTGGAGTGTGCGTTGCAGCTGTGAAGCACGTGAACTGTACAATAGCTGACAATGCAGTGTACGGCAACGACGGCAAGGTGTTTGTTCTCATGCAGCGTGCGCCGACTCTGAAGGTGAGCTGCTTAACTTGTATACGCGCTGTGGTAGCTGACGCCCTCCAGTCCAAGAAGGACGCGCACATTGAGCTCATTGCGTCCTTGGTCAAGACATACCGTGTCGGCCTCGCGCTCGTCCTCGCGTCGCTGGACGCGGCCAACCAGGACGACGCTCAGCTCCTGTATGTCCCGCCGTTCCCCTTCACCCACCAGATCCACTGACACCATGCCCAGCACGCCGCACCAGGCCGTCCTGCCCCCCGGCGCAGCCACCAACCCCGTGCTCGAGCGCCTCGCGCACCTCCCAGCCCTCAAGCTCACCCTCGAGACGACCCCGCCCCACCACGCCCCACACCCCTCGTTGTCGTCGTTGGCGCGCCCGCGCGCCGCGTCCACAGTGTATCCGCCCTTCCTGCCCGGCGCGGGCCTCACGCGCCGCGTGCTGGGCGCGCTGGCCGACACGGCCGTCCCCAGCGGCGCGGTGACGGCGTGGGTCGTCGAGGGAGACAACAGGGGCGACGCGCATGCGCTCGCGGGCGTGGCGCTCCAGATCCTCGGTGTCGGTGGGTGAAAGGGCGTACAGTGCGTGGTGCTCGCTTGCTGACCCACTTTACAGAGACGGAGATTGTCGAGCCGGCGTCGTGGGCGGGCCTGTTTGGTCCTGGCCAGGGATGGAGTGGTGGGTCCAGCATGGACGCGGAGATCTACGGGTGAACAGAGGGTTTACTACGATGTACAGGGTACTAGTGCGGGTACACGGGGGCGGAGTGTGAGTTGCACACGCAACAAAAACGGTGGTATTGGTTGGTGTGCCGAGAATAACACGGTGGTCGCGGACGAGGATACGGGCTGTAACGAGCAGAGGACAGTGACCAGCATGACCAGTGTTCCCGCATGGCCAGCACACGGCCTGTGTAGGCGAGTGTCTGGCTGCATGGCTGCTGGCCCCCATAGCCACAGGCCAGTCTTGTGCTGTTGACGTTACAAACAAGCATATCCCCTTCGGGGATTCGAACTGGCGCTTAAAGTGCTGTTCTCTTCAAAAACACCTTAACGCCAAGGAAGTGATGTTTGATTACGTAATATAATAAAAGCCACTCCTGCCCCGATTGTCTCCCACTTGGCCACTTGCAGCGTGCCCATGAGCAGCTGTGACGACCCAGCCAAGCATCCCGGACCGCTAGAGCTGAGAACCGAGAGCCAGCTAGCCAGCGGCCAGCGGTGTGCACAGATTAACCAGCAGCAAAGGAGCGGCGATTCCCGACGTCCTGACGCCGTCAAACAACACACTTAAATTGTTCTTTGGGCTGCGCGGCGCAGGTCCGCAGGTCCGCAGGCAAAGCGAAAGGCCATTTATGGCCCGAGAGAGGGGGGGATGGGGGCACTAACCAGGGCCTTTGCTGTCGCCTTGAATTGGCCACAGGCCACAGGGAGGGGGTAAAACGGCACCGGTCGAGAGACAGAGTGGGTGGCGTCCTTTGCAGCTTGATTTTAGGCCGATGTGGCGGTCGCGTTAAGCGTTAAAGCGTTATTGCCAGCCTTCGTACATGACTAGCGAATTTGGTGCTAATGTGTGGATGCCATGTCCGATGTCCGCTGTGGCAGTAGCGGTCTCTCCTCTTGGCCTCTCTCTTAGCTTGGGCGGCTTGTCACTCATCCAAAGATGGGAAAGGTGGAACGGTGCCACACAAACAAACCCGTTTCCATGGCCACATGCCTGCTAGAGAAGCCAGAGCTGCAGGCCGCGGGAACACTGGATTACTGGGCCTGGTACCGTAAACGCGTCTGGGAGAGAATGCAGAGGAAATGCAAAGGACACTGGCACACTGGCACACTGACCAAGCGGAGACAGGAAGGCGGACGAGGAGAAACGGGGTTTCAGTAATGAAGCTGGGGCGTGGAGAGATCTCTACTGATGGTGTTTTTGGTGTTGTTCCAGGCACACAATAACAAAAACTGGACTAGAGAGCGGGGGGACGTGACAAGTGTTGCCGCTGGTCGGCTGGTGTGGAGCGATTATTACCACCGACGGCGGCTTGGGGGGCTGACTGAGTGGACAAGCGTGTGCATGGTGCGTGTGATATGGCGAGCAAGAGAGAGAGCGAGAGAGAGTTGGAGGGATGTTTACACGTCGACAAGGAGAGGGAAGGCTTTTGGAAGCAGAGGCTCAACCCCCAGGGCCCAAAAGGACACCTCGTCGCTCTTTCTCCCCGTACGCCCCAGAGACACGCAGCGCGCGTTTGTATGGGTCGACTGCCAGGCACGGACAGACCTATCGACCCCTAGGGTGTGTCGGGCGGATGCGCCAGGCGCGCGCCAGGGCTGCTGGGCGAGCTGGGCGGGGGCGGCGCGCGTTGTCGACGTGCAAACCGGAGGGCGGAGGGGGGGGGAAGCTCCCAAGAGCATTCACGCACACACACACCACACGACACACACACACACACACACACCGCGACAACCACCGCTGCTACACAACAGCAACACAAATCTCCCTCATCTCCATATCTCTTCCCCCGTCGCCATCACTTCATCCCCCACCTCACATCTCTCCCCCTCCCTCTCTCCTCCCACATCCTCTGCCCAACCCTCTGGCACCCCCCATCCATTCCCTCTCCCTCCATCGCCTCTACCCTACGCCACTCGATCTAAACCCCCAGCGAATCCCGTTCCCACAAGCCCGCAATGGCCTCGCGGTTCGGCGCTGCCGCGTCGCCAGCTGCCGTCTCTCATGGCGGCGGCTTCTACACAAACGCCCCGGCCATGCAGAGCCTAGGCAACGTATCCATGCCCAGGCCCGGGTACATGCGCCTGAACTCGAGTTCTCCATCTTTACTCCCTATGGCAACACCAAACGGAAACGGCGCAGCACCCGGTGGTCCTGGCGGTGGTGGACCTTCTGGAGCAGCACCAAACAGCAATAACAACAACATGTCGGCGCCCACGGCGGCGTCGTCGTCGTCACGAAACCAGCAACAACAACCCAACGGCTCCAGCTCGAGGTCGCATCGTCCAGACAAAAAGGACACAAAAGAGGTCGCTTGGGTCCACTGGCGTGCGCTCAAGGACTTTTTGGCAGCATGGTCGGCCAAAGGTGAGCCCACCGAGCACCACATGGTGACTATGGGGTATACATGCTGACCACCAACCCACAGAATCTCCCAGTGCCCGCGCCAGCGCTCGCGAGAAGCTCACTCGTCTAACTCGACTCCAGTTCCTCGAGCTCAGCACCGACGTTTACGATGAGCTCATGCGCCGTATCAACGTCGACCGCGGAGCGTCCGACGGGGCAGGTAAGTTGAAAAGGGTTCACGCTACATCGCATTGCACAACCCAAACTGACCCGTCACAGCACCGTTCCTACCTGTGCGTGACGACTTCCACCCCAAGCGCAACCAGGCGCGACAGAAACTTGCTACGCTGCCCAAGAACCGTTTCAAGGACCTTGCCAGCGATGTCTTCTTTGAGCTGCGTCGCCGCTACCCGGAGTTTGATGACATGGACCACCAGCAGCAACTGCCGCAGCAGGCAGGTGCACCGCAGCAGCACCAACAGCAACAGCAGCAGCAGCAGGTGTACGATGAGCCGCCAGCACCGGGACCCATGGCTCTTGGCGGTCTCTACCAGCAACAACCCATGCCGCAACAAAAGTCGGTTGGCCACAAGGTCAGCAACTCTGTGAGCTCTGTACACTCGGCGTCCGGCACGCGGCCGACGCATCACCGCAAGGGCTCGTCAGTGGGCAGCAGCGGCGGGCGAATGGAGCAGCTGGCCAGCTCCTCTCCCAAGGGCACGGCAGCAAACCTTACAAGCGCTACCAACGACGTCGTGGTCCCCAACAAGAGCCGACTGCAAGAGGAGGAGATTGAGGTCCCCTATGCGCGCGACACGATCATGGAGCTGTCCCCGCCCACCAAGGGCGAGCCGATCGGCCCCAGCGGTCTGCGCGGCGACTTCCGCTCCGACTCGCGATCAAGTGCCCATGGCGGTGCGGGCACCACCGAGACGGCCACTTCCCCCACGGGCCACACCGACGACGGTGGTGCCCAGTACTTTGACCGCATGTCGTTTGCGTCCAACGTGTCCCGATCAAAGGGTATGGGCGAAGGGTGGGAGGACCAGGAGAACAAGCTGCGGGCCGAGTACGAGATGCGTATTGTTGGCCTGGAACGCCGCTTGCAGGCCGCCGAGACGGACAGGGACGCATTGGCAAAGGAAATCCAAGAGGAACGCGAACAACGAAAGGACTATGAAGACGAGGTGCGCGGTCTCAAGGAGCGTGCGACCACCCATGCGTCGTCCCTGCGAAGTGTCCAGCACGAACTGGACCTTGCGCGCGACGCCCACGATGCCGTCCGCGGCCAGAACGAGCAGACTTCGGTGCAGGCTCAAGAGGAGATCTCGCAGTGGCGCGAGCGGTGCGAGGGCCTCGAAGATGAACTGCGCAGACTCGAAGACGACCGCGCCGACCGCGCAACGCAAATGGCACGCGCGCCCGCCGTCGACGACGCGGTGGTGACCGAACTCCAGTCCGAGGTCCGCAGCCTCGTGGACGAACTGAACAACCTCTCGCTCCGCAACGACGAGCTCATGTCGGAGCGCGAACGCGAGATGGAGGCAGCGGCCATGCTCGAGAAGAAGGTGGACGAGTACAAGCAAAAGTTTAATGCTGCGCGTACCCAGCTGCGCAACATCAAGGCCACGTCCACCATGTTCATCTCTCAGCCCCTGACCGACGACCACCTCCCAGCCTCGCCCGATGGCAACATTGCCGACATGAACGTCTCGGCGTTCCAGCAAGCCATTGACGGTCTGCTTGCCGCCGCACGCTCCAGCCAGCCGACCGGTGTCCTCCCGGCCATGAAGGCCATCGTCGAGACCGTGACCAACATTGGCGAGGACGTAAAGTCGTTTGAGGAGGCACCCAACCTCGACGTTGACGTCTCGCGCCTCGAGCTGCTCAAGCACGAGTCGACCACGCGCCTGTCGTCCCTCATGACTGCGGCACGCAACCACGCCATGGCCTCGGGCCTGTCGCCTGTCTCGCTGCTCGACGCCGCTGCAGGCCACCTCGCTGCCAACGTGGTCGAGATTATCAAGCTGCTCAAGATCCGCCGCACTGGCAGCACGCGCGAGATTCTTAACCAGCGCATGAGCATGAGCATTGGCGACATGGTCCGTCGCAGGTCCATGATGCACGGCAACACCCCCGACGAGGAGGACGAGGACGACATTGCTACCTCGCCACGGGAAGAGCGTCTCCGCGAAAACACCCGCGCGAACGGCAGTGGTGGAGCAGGTTATGGAGCGGTGCCGACCATCACCTCTCCTCCCCGGGCCAACCTCTCCGCCGCACCCCCCTCGGCGTACGACGCACCTGGTGGTCTCCCCCAGTTCCGCATCAACAGCTTCCAGTCCGCCAGCTCCACCGCCCAGCGCTCCGACTCGTTCTCGCTCGAACGCAAGGGCTCCACGGCATCCGCCGCAAGCGACTACGATGCCCCTCGCTCCCGTCTCGTCGAGCACAAGCATGAAGCGTCGTTCTCGTCGCGCAACGCCCCGACCCCGACCCGTGCGCCCGTCAACCCAGCCGACCTGTCCGGCTCCAGCCACTCGCGTGGTGCGAGCCTCGCGTCAGCTACGAGCGACTCGTCCGCGCCCGGTCCGGCAACCACACACGACCACGGCGGATACGAGCGCTACGCTCCTTACGGCCAGCAGGCCTCGCCCGACGGCAACGGCGCCGCAGGCGCGCCGGGCGCCGGCGGCAGCGACCAGGAATGGGACGACCTGAAACCGTACCTCAACACGCAGTCGTCGACGCTCGTCAACTCGATCCAGAACCTGCTCGCCGCCATCCGGACGGGCGGGCAGGGTCCCGCGCTGAACGAGCACCTGTCTGAAGTGATCGCCATCTCGACGTCCATCGTCGCCGTGTCGAGCAACGCCCTCCCGTCCCGCCTGCGCGCGACGGGCGACCCGCTCCTCGCCGAGCTCGTGGGCAACACGGACAAGCTGAGCGAGGCGCAGCAGACGGCCGCGAACGCCGGCGGGTTCGACAAGCAGCTCCGCCAGGGCATCGCCAGCGCGAGCTTTGGCGTCGCAAAGGCCCTCAAGGCGCTCATGAAGGTGGGCGAGTGAGAATGGGTGTCTTCTTGAGGTGTGGTTTTTAGATTTGGATTCTTCAGTATAGTATACACAGCCGCGCCAGCCGGCGCTGCCAGCGTGCAGACGTTTGGGCCGTGGTTTCTTTTTCTCTTTTCTCGTTTCTCGTCCCTATGATCCCCCCCCCCCCCCCCCCATCCCCCTCCCCATACATACGTTTTTGGTGTTCGCTCTATAAACTAGCGCCCTCCCCTTTTCGGCTAGTAGTGCGTTCTTGGACTATGCTATCTGGTGTCCGCTTTCGCTGTGGTGCTGGGCAGCTGTGGGCTCTCGGTCGGGCGTGCATGTGGACGGGAGTCTTGGGGCTAGCGGTGTCAAGCAAGGTGTCGCCAGGTATGCGCAATCTATAGGGGCGTGGTCGGGTTTCGGAAGAGGATTCAAATCCTCTCGGAGCCACGATATACGATGCAAGAGAAGCAAAAAAGGACAATGACGGAGCTGCTCGAGCTGGCCAGCTGGAGATTATCGAGACAGAGGGGTCACGCATGCACATGCATGCGGATATCGTTCGCCCCGGCTGCCCGCCCAGGCCGCCCAGCTGCATGACGTACATGGCGCCCAATGCGTAGGACCGTTGTTTTGATGGTATAAACAGGCCCTCTCTCCAATCTGCAAGTCACACTCCTCTTTCCCAACCTCACACCAAAGGCAACACTGTCCCGGCCCCATGGCATACTCCACTGGCAGAGTCGCGCGCGACGGCTTCGAAAGCGGCCACGGCCGGTTCCTCGTACACGGCAGCGAGCGGGTGGAGGGCGCCCGTCTGAAGCAGCTGTTTATCCCCTGCCTCACCTCTGAAGCCAACAAGCTGCTTCGCGACAGTCACAATTTCGTCCGCGCCCAGCTGCAGCACTATGGCGTACAATACGAGGCGAAGGAATTTACTGGACAAGGCGTCCTGCTGCTCAAGAAGGCCCCCAGTGCGGGCAAGGTATGTCCCTTGGCCGTTGTTTACTTTGTTTAGTTTACTCTGTTTACTTGCACACCGCGGCGTGCGCTGATCACCCGACTAGCTCGACAAGGTGCCCGCGCATATTGAGGCTCTGCAGATCCAGATGCACGCCGAGTGGCTGGATATGCAGCCGGCTGAGGACCTTGCGACACAGCCAACACTCGCCATGGAAAAGTACTTTTTGGACCACACCGGCAAGCCCGACAGAACCAAGACTGGCGAAGTCATCGGGTTTCCGCTACCGGTCCACAGCAGCTACCGCGTTAGCCAGATCTGTGCAGCCATCGACAAGGTTCCGGGCCTCCACTACGCAAACGGACATGGCCCATTGACGCAGACGATCTACGCAGGCTGGGATTACTACGCCGTGCATGCCGCCGCAGACGGGCATGCCGCCAAAGAAACTGCCGATGCCGACGAAGAAGCCGACATGCGAGAGGAGGAACGCGATGCCGAGCATAAAGCATACCTTGCCGAAAGCAAAAAGAGGCGCCTCGCCCCTTCTCCTGTGGGCCAGTACATGGTCGACTGTACCGCCATTGAGAAGGGCTGGGACAACACCGATAACCTCACAATGTCTATTCGCGAGTCGGGCATACCAAACGTTTATCAGGCCGACTTTGACTTTGGCATCCTTGAAGGAGTCATGATGCTCAGCTCTGTCAAAAGCGCTCTTGCCTATTTCCTCGACGACGACGCCAGCGACGATGAAAGCGGCCCTCCTGCCACAGGCTCGAAGCGCAAGGCCACCGGCCGCGGCGGCCCTGTTCTCAAAGTCGCAAAGACCACTGGGGGACCGCCTACCAAGTTCTTCCTCGTTCTGAAATGCAGGGAGACGGGGGAGGGAGTGATCAATCCCACTCCCGAAAAGGGCGAGATGACCTTCAAGGGGGCCGACATGGCGAGCTTAACTGGCACGGCCACGCTCGATTGCGATGGGTCCGACGTTCCTTTTTCGGCACGCAAGATTTCCAGCTCTCCAGGCTCGTCGCGCGACAGATGGGAGAACTATTCCTGGGCCGCCTATGAGGGTGCGCGCGTGAGTCGTTGGCATTGATTGTCGTCTAGCACGGAACCCACTGCCCATCGCCCCACGCGCCCTACTTTCACCGCCACATGGGCAGCCCACGAACCGCCACTTCCGCACTTGCATCGGACTCGCGTATCTCCTCTTGCGGCGCGTCCGGGCGTCCCGTACTCTCCTCGTGTTCACAACAACTCGCTATCCGCCTCTAGATTCTCCTTCTCTCTCTTCTCCTGCTGTATTATCGCCGCCACGCGCTCTGGCTCTGGCTGTTGGCATGTACTTGCAAAGCACAGCCCCGGCGAGTCCCATTGCAAAAGGTGTAGACGTGTCATGTTTCCGTCACCGCTTTGGCGTGGCAGGCGCATCGCCGGTCGCATGTTGTATGTTCAGTCAGTCACATCACCATCTGTTAATTCTGTCAATGTGAATGAATGCACACTATAACGCAGTGACTGTGACTATTCCATCCACCTGCCATGCGGCTGATCTGCGTTATCTTGCCATGTAGCTACTGAGTTCTTCCAATTCGCCCACTTGCGGCATGGATCTTGGATTCGGTCGGTGTGAGGTCTGGCCAGAGGGTGTAGGTGGCCAGGTTGTGAGGTCAGTTCAAAATGACGCCTTTGTGGCGGGCGGCGATGTGTGGCAGGGACACTCTTGGGGGCGACAGGTGTGTGTCTTCTCAGTCTCGCTCACTCGTCCTTCAACATGCATCGTCCCTTCTGTGGTCGGATGACTAGTGTCTCGCTTACCCTCCTGTTTCCGTATCGTACGTGTGTGCTGACCGAGGGCATCATTGTGCTTGTGGTACGTGTTTCATTCCCACACGCCTTTGGCAACCTTTGGGGTTTGAACAACTCCCCTCACCTCGTGCGGCTCGTGGTTTTGTCACTCAATAAGACTGTCCCCCAAGTTACTCTCTCTACCTCCATGTCGGAGAGCCCTACGCCACGCGAGCAGGACGCAGCGGAGGACGACGCGGACAAGGGGGAAGACCAGGACACAGGATTTCAGGCGCTCACGACGTTTACGTTTCAAGCACCTGGGGAGTTCCTGCCCGCCACGACCAGGTCCGTCCCACTCCAAGATTCAGCCGCCTTGGAAGCGGCGAGCATGCGTTCCATGTCGTTCATCGAGCGGTTCGGGACGATACGGGAGCGCGTTTCGACCATGGCCGCCTCGGACCCTGGGTTCATGGACAGGCAGGTGGCTCTCGGCCTCGTCGACAGCGTTCGCGACACCTGGCCGCGTGTGCTGCAAACCCGCATCGACACCCATCTCCTCTATCCCGGTCTGGGCCGCGAGCGCACCTTTTACCGGCTGTGTTTCGACTTTCTCGTGCTGGTGCGCGTGTTGAATGGCCTGTTACAGCGAAGCAGGCTCGGCGACCTCGTTCTGAACCTGCACGGGTTTCGCATGCCGGACCACACGCCCACACTGGCATTTGTGCTTGTTGGGCGCCAGTGAGTTAAGGGCGCCTACGGTGGGGCTTGGGCGCAAAACACACTGCGGCTATTTTCAAGCGTGTCGGAAGGCCGCAGTGTGTTTTTCACTTTGAAAGGCGCAGGCGCAGGGCGTTGTCCTGCTCGTCAAGTCGATAAGGCTCACAATGCATATTTCGACGTCTCGGCCCTGCTCGCCTCTCATAATCTACAGATCATGTTCACGCAAAACAAACCCGTTTAAATTGTCAATAATCGGGAGATATTCAAAGCGCCACACTGTCCCGGCCAAGTGATTGGGACTGATGTACTGATGGCCCGATGGCCACCTCTTGCTACTGTGCCATGCACTTTCAGATGGAACTGTGTGACTGTTGTGATCTGTATGTGTCTGAGGTTGACCTGGTGCCTCGTGCACGATGATCCGTCTGCGACAGTCACCACGCACAGCCCGCCTGCCCGCCCCGCCTTATGGTGGAAAAGATGGGGCACACAAACACTTACTTTCAACAACATTTCTTTCAACTGCCCACACTTCTTCCTACCACCCATCAACTACATTCACAATGCCTAAAACGGTCAAGAAGCGCAAGACCACGGTGGAGCCCAAGCGCCGCGGTACGACACATTCTACCGCGGCCAACAAGTCAACGCGAGCCGACGCTGGCACTCCCGAGTCGTCGTCCAGCCCCGCCACCGAACCCGAGTCCATGTGCCAGTCCAAGCTCGAGAACAAGAACCACAACCACAACCAGACCGAGTCCAACCCCAGTGCCACAACACTCTCACCTACACCACTCCCCACAGCCACCGCCAGCCCCCTGGTCACGACCGAGGAAGCCAAGAAGGCCAACTTTCTCCAGCTCATCGCGACCCTGCGCGCCCTGTGGGACACCAAGACCCAGCTCCTCGCCCTCGAACGCCGCACCACGCCTCCCGCAGAGCATGCCGAGCGCGCAAACGCCATGTACAACTACTTTCTGGGCATCGCGCGCGAATTGAACCGGTTTGCGTACCGGAAAGGATGGGATATCCGCGTGAACATGGACGATTTCTGCTGGTAGTGACGGGCGGGTCTGGTGTGTGTGGGTGGCAAACACAGGGAGGGATGGGAGGGATGGGACAGTCGAGATCCTCGACGACTCATGTAGCGTATATGTAGCATGCGGGAGGGAGGTGTACATGGTCGACTTGTTGTACGTACGCTCTTGGCATCTATGAAAGACTCAGGCGCTTGACGCGGTTGGATGCTGGGAGTTACTGACAACTGTGCAGCAGCTGTTGACTGGACAGGCAGCATCCGCGACACCACAGGCCACAGGAGGCATGTTTGTGTCCACACGCCGATCAAACACCCGTACACGCCTTCCTTCACCAAACAGACTGGGCTCGATAACCCACCTCACACCTCGCCATCGCCCACTCTCTCACAAACAATCTATCAGCAATGGGACGCCGTGACCCCAACAAGAAACGCGACCCACCACCGAAGCCCAACATCGACGGCACCGCGCCATCCACTCGCATGACAACCTCCGCAGGCCGCACCGTCCCCAAGCCCAAGCCCATGCGCCAGCTCACTCTCCCCTCCTCGCCAGAAAAGAGGGACTTCATGGTATCCGTGATGGCAAGGATGCACATGAACAACACCCCTGTCACCCTCCAGGAGATCGAAGACAAGGAGGCCAAGGTGCTTGACCTTGTCGCCAACCTCACCAACCCACCTTTCCCCTACTCGGGCGCTCGTATGAGGGACACATTCACCAAGGCGCACACGACGCTCCACAAGCTCTGGCAAGAGACCGCACAGTACCTCGTCGCCTCAATGCTAGCGAGTTTGTGCTTCGTATTACCCAGGCCAGCGCCAGAGGTATCCGGAAAGAGAGAGAGGCGAGGGGCGTGGAGACTATGTGGAGTAGCTAGCTGCGTCTATGCAAAGGGCTCGCGTCTGGGTGTAAGATGTGGTGCCACAGAGCTACAGAAGCCACACGACAATGCAGCTGCACAGCTGCCTGGCAAGTTGAGACGGAACGCGTTGTTGTTATTCTTCTTCCTCCCTCCCCCTGTGCCCTGCCTTCCTTCCCACGGCACGCGTACAGGCTGCCCACCACAACCACCACTGCTGTCGTGCACTCTCTCACCAACAACATCCAGATGCCGCGCAACCACATCCAGCATCGAAAGCCTCGACCGCCGGAACCCAGCCCCACGCCAACTACGACCACAAGGGCTAGACCCACCGCACCGCCCAGGAGTACACCCAAGGCCGACCCCAAGCCCGTCTCGGCGCGATCCAAGTGCACACCGCGCGCAACGACATCACTCGCGGCGGACATTGCGGGCCTGCGCGCACGACTCGCCGCGCTCCTCGCCGACGTCCGCGCCACACCCACCGTTCAAGTCCACCGGCGAGACGCCGCTGCCAACAAGGCCAAAGCCACGTTCATGGCCCTCGTCGCCACCCTGCACGAGACGCGGGACCTCGTGCGCGCCGTGTACCCGCGCCTTGCGCGCGACGACAAGATACAAGTCGGCGCGAGCCTGAACGCGACGCTGGGCGAGATTGTGCCCTTGCTCAATGCCGTGGCGGAGCGCAATGGGTATGGTGTGCGCCTTGACCTCGGCGAGTTTGTGCTCTGGCTCCCGCAAGGGCGTGGAGATGAGTGACACACGTAGGCTGCTGCAGCGTCGGAGGGGTATGCTTCTGACTCTATTCATTTCTCGCCAAATGTCTATAAGTTGTTGTCTCCTTTCAGCCCGTCCGCTACCAGTACCGCCAGGGTGTCTCGGTGCTCTCGTCCGCCTCGGCCCCGCTGGCCAGCGCCGCCATGCTCACGTTTGGGCTGGTAATGTCCATGCCCATGTCCGCGTCGGGTTCCGTAAACATGGTGCTTGCGTCCGCGTGCGGTGCGTCCGTGGGCCACTGCGAGCGCGGCTGGAGGGGCGTGGCGGCCGGTCGCTGGTGGCGGGCAGCGTGCAGTTGCAGGCCGCTGTTGTTGCCCGAGGGCGGGCTCAGTGCGTTTGCAGAGAGCAGGCTGATGCTGTGGTTGGTGGGCGAGAGCGCGCCGCCCAGTGACCGGCTGGCGACGGGCGGGGAGAGGTATGCCGGGAACGACTGGTGGCTGCCTGGGGGAAAGGTGGTGGGCCGCGGGGAGCGCGGGGCGGCGAGCGGGCGCGGACCGGCGAGCGTGCTGGTCACGGACGAGCGGGGCGAGAGGGGATGTGTGGGTGACCCCGAGGTCGGTGGTGGGACCGCGAGGGTGGTGGATGAAGACGCGAACACGCCGTGTCGGTGCTCGAACTGGCCGTGCGCGAGCGGCTCGAGCTGCTGTTGGATCTCGTGCGCGAGCTGGCCCTGGGGCCAGCCAGATGACGAGGGCAAGGGAAGGGCCTCCTCCGTGGGACTGCTGAGCTCGCTGTACGCCGCTGCAGTCTGGGCGAGCGCGTACGCCGTCGCGGCGGCCTCGAGGCTCGGACTCGGCGGGGGCGCAGGCGACGCCACGCCCATCTCGATATCCATGCCCTCGTCGCCGGCGTACTGGTCGATCTGGACGCTGAGGACCATGCTGTCGAGCGTGTGCCCGTGCCCGGGGAACGCCGCTGCCTCCTCGTCGGCGAGCGACTGGGACCAGCCCTCGTCGCCGTCTGCAGGCCGCCATGCGGATGTCGGGCCGCTCGCAGAGCTGAAGCTCCCGAACGGGCTGGGCGTGCTGGCAACCGAGACGTGGACGCTGTTGATGTCCATGCCCGTGCCCACGCCAAACCAGCAGGCGCGCTTGCCGCCGCCGTACGCGCCGTCGTCGGCGTGGAACTGGCGCTTGAGGGCCATTGTTGTTGTTTGTTTGTTGTGGGTGGTGGAGGTTGGAACCGGGGGAAGATTTGAACGCGACGGTCCAACGAATGTCTGCCGCTATGGACGACAGTTATTCGCAGAGCCGAGAGCTAAGTGCGCGCGGGAGGAGATGGTGTACACCGAAAGGAAGCAAGGCTGTCGAGGTCCCGTTCTCGGCGATCTCGGCGGGTGTGGCTTAAGAGGCTGTCTCTGAGCTCTGTCCGCAGGCCAGGTGATGACGATGTTGTTGTTGTGCGTGTCCGTGTGCCGAAGGGTGTGTCCGCAGCAGTGCGTGCGAGCTGCGCGAATGACAAGGACAAGGGGGATGGTGAGTGTTGAAATGTGAATGTGAAGATGAGAAGATGTGAAGATGTGAGAGATGTGAGGGAGATGTGTCGACGCAAGTGTCAGCTGTTCTTCGACGATGCAGAGCTGCTGCTCGATGACTCGTCGCTCCCTCCCAAAACATTACAGGGCACACGCTCTCCCGGACGGTGGCGGTGGCGGACAGTACGGGTGAGGCCAGCAAAAGGCCCTAATGACGAGCATCGTACCGCTCTATATCCTTGCCGTGCAGCTTTACGAGGTCCCTCGTCATGCATGTGTACATGTGCTTCTATCCCATCGTCCGAAGATCGCCTACAACGCAACCAGTTGTTATTCGCTGCACGCGCTGGCGACATTGGACACATTCCTCGAGGCCGACTGCGGGAATCCGGGACGAGTCACCACAAATTTGACACCTTAGCCGTGCATTACAAACTGTCATGGCCTCCGGCTAATAGCCCGTGCTTGGCGTATTTGGCGCAATAGGTGTGGGCTTCTCCGACAATGACCCGGCGAGAGCCCTTTCCGCCTGAGACGGCCGCGGAGAACAGGGCAAACGCTGTAAGAAGCAACGGAAGACCTGGCAGCTGGCGAGGGTACGAGGGTCTCTCATGGCCGCGTCGGCCACCACCGCTACACCTCTCGGCACACACGCAAGCCGTGCGAACGGCCGAGGCGCAACGCGGGGAGACGCCGAGAAATGCGAGAAAATTGAGAGTGCGTAACAACAGACAGATTTGTGTAGCCACACGGCCCACGGCAAAGACACGCACCAACGCCCCCCGGCTTGCCACCGAGGTCAACGCGCCACGCCGTCACCTGTCCGCTACATACGGCGAGGGGAAGGGGGTTGAGGGCGGAGGCCATGAGAAGCGGGCACAGTACTACTGTAGTAGTGTAACCATGTGCGGACCCCGGCCCGTGTAATCGTTCGAGAAGATCCGAGGAGAGCCCTAGGCACACAGAACGCTGATGCATCAGCAACACATGGCATGTTCGTTCCCAGTCCCACCACGATATCACCCACACAATTCCACCCCGACATGGATGTTGTTTTCGTCCTCGGCAGATCTGTAGCTCCACACACTCCACTAGCTACTAGGCCAGCTCCACATGCACACGAATAGCATCGCGAGAAAAAAGACCACAACGAGAAAAGACCAAGGCCCCGGGCCTCGGTTGCACGCTCTCGTTCGGGCTTGTCTGTGTCGGATCGGGAGTTTGGTGGACATGCCAACTTGTGGGCTCCACAGTCAACAATAGCTCTTGGTGACTAAACACGGGGCAGGCTCGCCCAAAGCGCTTCCAAAGCGTTTGCGTCAGCGTGGTGGCCGTGGTGGTGTTGTGCCACTCAGACCAGCTGTTGAGGCTCTGTCAGAGGTAGGTGGCTGCACGCATCCTGTCGATCCCATGAGTCGCGGACGGCTGAGGGAAGTGGCTGCACAACGTTGGCCCTGCCTTTTGCCTCCCTCGGTGCCACCGAGACTGGCTGAATGGCCCGTTGGTCGTTGGGCTCGTCAGCACGGCCGTCCCAACCCTGTGGCTGCAGGTGGTCATATATGTATACCCTTTGCAGACGCATGTCTCGTCCCATGTTGTAGACGACTGTGTCGCCGAGCGGCCAGCCCGGGTGTACGCAGACGGGCACGTCGCCGTGCTGGCCAAGCAGACCATTGCCACCGTGGGCTATGCGGGACTCGCCCTACATCCCGACATCCTGAGTGTGGTCAGGACTTCTCAGTGTCGGCTTGCTTTGCTTCTGTCCTTTGTGCCTCTTGTCGCCAGTGTACCTCCTGTCCAGTGGCCTGGACTGCTCTGATCGGGCTTGCATGCAGCTGCCAAGGTCGGCGTTGAGGGCACTGCGTGGCGCACCGCACTGGCTCGTTTATCGCTGGAGGGGGGGACGTCGCTGAATGCCAAGACCACCGCAGAGCTTCTCTCACTTCGGCTCCCATCAACGAACCGTCGGTGTTTCGCCCCAGCCCCATCCCAAGGCCAAGCGACGTGTTGTCATACACTCTGGTGCACTGACGTGGTCCGGCACACGCGTATGGGACGCGGGGGGACGTGTTGTGACCGTTGCGAGCAATGGCAGTGCATTTTGTTGGCAGAGGAGTCTTGGCATATAGGGGCTTGGGGCATGGACCGCATTTTCGGCGACTGACACTCCGACTCCGTTGGAGAGGGGCAGCCACGACGGCAAACCCGACAGCGCTTGTGTTTGTGTTTGCCGCACAGCAGAGGTACAGACAGAGTGCAAGTCATAGATCATAGACTTGCAGCGAAGCGATGTGTGGCAGACGTGTGTTAGGTTAGTTGTCCCCTTATGGCACCGCACCCATCGTTCCGCGACCGCAGCCAGTGCTCTCTTCTTTTTCTGTTGAACATGTCATTGTTCTGCCTATGCATACAGTAGAGGAATCGCTCGCTAATAGTACAAACACATGACTGCCCACCCCGTCTCTCTATACAAGTCTTCTTTTTACGTGACACAGTATCGAAGACCTAGAGACGGTCCTTGCGCTCGGCCTCGCGGACGCCCTCGAGGAGCATCTCGAGGCCCTCGGGACGGCGCGACGACGCAGAGTCGGAGCGGTCGCGCGGCGAGTGGGGGTGCGCGTGGGGGTGCATGCGGTGGTCGCGCTCGTAGCCCATGGGTGGGGGCAGGTGGATGCGCTCGCTGCTGGCCGACGCGGGCGGGTACTGCTGCCAGTATCCGCCGGCGGCCGGGTGGGACATGCGCGGGCTCGAGTCGGTGCTGGGCGCCGAGTGCGAGAGCGAGGGAGTGCGTTCTTGGCGCGAGAGGTCGACGGGGGCAGCGGACGGCATCTGGGCCTGGATGGCGGCGAGGTTGAGACGCGCCTGCAGGACGGTGAGGCGGGTCTGGACGATGGCAGTGAGGCGCTGGAGGGGTGGCGTCAGTAAAAAAGAAAGAAGAGAACAAATGTCACCAGACGGCAAACACTCACCTCCTCCTCGGCCTTCTTGGCACCGAGAATGCTGATCAAGAGATCGCGGTCGCCCTCGCCAGAGCGGCGGAACGAGTCGAGGATGCTAGCGAGCGACGCGGGGGCTGCGGGCTAGAAAAAAAAAGCGTCAGTATGTGGTGATCGACAGAGGTGGCGCCACTCAGGCCCGCCGAATGTTTCTTTTTGTGCAGTGGAGAGAGCACAAAAACATACTCACGACATCGTCCCAGTAGTTGTCGGCAGCGTCAAAGGACGCAGGAGAGGGCTTGGCAGCAGGCGGGCTGACGCTGGCATCACGGCGCGAGCGGGGAGGGGAGGGGGGCAGACGGTCCTCGGCGGCGGCGGCGGTGCTGCGGCCACGACGGTGCTGCGACGGGCCAGCTGCGTAGGGGTGCGCGCGGCTGGGAGCCGTGGCGTAGGCAGGAGCGGGGTGCAGAGAGCGCGGTGAGGCGGACATTGTGGGAGAGTGTGCGGTGGGTTGTGGGGGTGGGGGGCAGTGGCAAGAGACAGGCTCTGTGGTGATGGTGGTGGCAACTCGGAGGATGAGGATTGTTGTCTCTGGCGAAGTGGAATGTGTGAGAGAGAGAGCCAGTGATCCAGTGATGAAGAAGATGAGAAAAGTGTGGATGTGAGAGAGGATCTGCGTGAAGAAAGAAGAAAGAGCTGCCTGCTCGATAGATATGTATACGCGGGCAGCACCCCCCTCCCCTTCACCCCCTCCCCTCCTCTCCCCACCACCCGGGTGGCCGGCACAGAGCAGTCTCTTGGCATGACTCTTCGCCGTCGACCGCCCGCCTGGCTTTTCCTGGCATGCCAAGACTTGCGTTGGGCCGCCTTTGGAGTCAGGCACTCTGGCCAGCACAACCAAAGATAGAATGCCCAGGTCTGTCTCCCACTGCGCAGGCAGTGGCCCAGGCTTCGGGCGGGCTGCTGCTGCTGCTTGCCCTATGCATGTGGTCCAATGCAGTGAGCGCAGCGGCGTGGAAAATGCATGCATGGCTTTTGAGAGACAAGTGACCACGGTGTTAATGTGTGACACACTCTGTGGGTCCCCCCGGTTGCTCTCGCCATTTGCTGCTGGCTGGGCAGGGGCCTGCGGGCGCCGCGGCCGCGACACACATTACAGTGGGGGCAAATTGTATTCTTGGCATGTTGGTCCATTTGGTCCATGTTGTGCCCGCTCCACCCACACGAGCCCACGAGATGCACACACAAACCCAGATGCAAGTCTTGGCCAAGACAGACACCGCGGCCGCGTTGTCTTGTCGTGCCGGTAGAGAGCTTTTTCACCGCCGAGGCCGTGCCCGAAGGGCAGTGTCCACGGGGTGCAGTATTCTCGGCCCAGGTGGGCCAGTGCCAAGCCATTAAGCTGTCGAACCGTGCAAGCAGCAGCCCACCACTGGTCGTACACAGACGACAGATATGGCGACGGGGGGGCGCGGAACGCGCAGTTGATCCTCTCCTTTGCTTGGCTCCGCAGTTGTTTTCAGGGTGTGCTTTCAAAATGAACAACAAATGGCCTCTGTGGCCCGCTGGCCGCTGGGAGGATCCAAGGAGAGAGCCAAAGAGCGCTTCCTGCGCTTCCTGCGCGGGCCTGGCGGCCACCGCGCAACTTCATTTTGGGAACAACTGCCTGCGTGTGCATTTGTGCCAAGAAGTCCAGTAAAGACCAACCCCGTATGCATGCTGTGGAGCCAAAACATAAAGATAGCACCAAGAAGCGACCTACAACGCGCAGCGGGCAAGTGTGGCTAACTCGTCGGGGGCCATGTGTGTGTTCCGTGCGTGCATATGGTGTCTGAACACGATACCTTTTTTCTTGTCCATCGTCATTAGGCATTATTGCCCACCAAGGCCACCAGCACAAGCACCATCGTGTCCTTCATGATGGCCCTCCACGCATCACACCAAAGTAAGAGCATTGCTAGCGCACCAACGGCGTATGCACGCAGGTCTTGGCAGAGACCAACCGTGTGCCAAGCGACGGGCTTTAATGCGGCAAGGCCGACCGCAACACCTTGGCACAGTGCAGCAAGGTCACTGGCCAGTGGCGCCAGGGAGGGACCGGACTTTGGTTGCGACGGCGCTCGGGTCTGGCCGAGACCTCTGGGACCAAGTTGCTCTTGCACAAAGTATGACAGCAATTGCTATTAGGTCATCATTATCATGCTCATCCACCGCTGTTCACTTTTGTCCTTTTCCCCTTTAGGCTCAACTCCACGCCGGTCATACACTGCTTCAGCTCCAGACAGTGGCCCAGTGGGTTCTATAATTGGTCGTCGGTGACATGGCAGCAATGTCCAGAACAGTCGCTACCCCTAGATGTCCCTTGGCTTGGCATCGGGGTCGACTGTGCCATCTGTTACGTTTTGGCGCACGCCGGTTGGACCGGTTGGAGCGACCGTTGGACGCGCAGCCACAGGCTGCTTATGAAGATGCGTTTTGAGGGCAGATTACCAGAGGACCTGCGCGGGCTAATTCCAGAATAGAACGAATGGAAGTGGGTCCCAGGTGGGTTTGCCTGTTTGTGTGCTGTTTTTGGTGCCGCCAAGCAAGGTGTCTCGCACAGCAAGGGGAGACTGTGGAGCTTGAAAAGAAACACGTTGGAGTGCGCAACTCGGCCGCGCTCGGCACAGGCGATACACGTCGGCATGGCGCGGCATGGCGACATTGCACTGGGATCGACCGGAATGTTAGACACAGACCCACAGGCCACAAACCTCCTTCTCAGCAGAGCAAACGGTTTGCTCTGCTCAGTGGCAACTTTGTACCCAACAGAGCTGTAGCCTGTAGGTTATGCCTCTTAGATTATAGTTGCAAGACGCGCAAGAATGCCATGATGCGATCACACGAGCAGCCTATGCAGCCCAATGCCAGCGGATCTGCACCCAACGACACGTTTTATGCCTCGACCACCCCTCGGAATCGAACCACGTCACTGGATCGACCAGTAGATGTCACGTGCATAATGCGGGAGTATATTTGATGCCGCCCAATGCTCATTTGTAATTTACCAACAATTAATCGGCGTTGAAACCAAATGGTAATGCTTTTGATCGTCCCTGCCATCCCTTTAATCTCATCTCGCTCTGTTCAATCCAGAGCAAGGTTACGTGTCGTCAGTCCCGGGCCTACCAATCTCAGGCCCCTCACCATGCTGTGCAGGCCTGTTTATATTGTCGTCATCGGCTCATAGGCCTGCACCGTCCCTCGTGTGGCACTTGGCACACTCCTGCCAAGGTCTTGGCTGACATCGTTAAGTGTGTCTTATCGACTGTCAAGCCTCTCGTCTGACGCTCTGCCCACCTCCAATGACGCGATTTGGTCATCTGCAACACACGTTCATCCCCGCGTAACCAAGACCCCCGCTCTTCCAAAGCGCACAATCCGATCTAGCACACTGCGGGCGCCGGCTGCCGATTCACCGGAGACTCGGATACAGCGAGATTCACAGTCATCACTCGTCTCCTCATGCCCCCCAGGCAACAACGTGCACCGCCCCACTGTGCAATCTGATGGCCGCGTTGAAGGCTAGCGGTGCCAAGTGTTTGCTAGAACGTTACCAACGATATCGGTCGTCCCCGTCATGGCGCCGTCACCGCGTGTGTGTCGCGGAGCCAAGAGGGCCCCCGGCACACTTGGACAGGTATGAAAGGCGCTCAGCTGACCTGTTCTTACGCTCTCTCTCTCTCTTCTTACCTTTTACATTTCACCTGCATCACTCCACGCATGGTCATACCGAACCCCCTACCCGACTCTGAGCCCGAGCCCGATATACGAAGCCATCAGTATGGCAACACCTCTCAACCACAACCCGTCGCCACTGGCGGCCCCGGTGGCGGCACCCACCCTCCTTCGCCTGCCTCAGTCGTTATTCGTCGCGCCTCGGCGCCGTCCACGATAATTGAGGACGATGGTGACGAAGTTACTACTGACCCCACGCCCTGGCAAAGCTTCAAGGTAAGAAAAAAGCGGTGTGCGGGGTTGTCAGGATTGTTGCTGACCCAACACAGAATATGCTGCGCTGCCAACCCGCGCTCTTCGCGTGCCCCGTCATTCTCCCCATTGCCTGGGCCTTGCACTTTAGCCACCAGAACGCCATTGCAGTGTTCATCACCAGCTTGCTCGCGATCATCCCTCTTGCTGGTGGTCTAAGCTTTGCGTAAGTTGCAGCAAACAATGCCGGTGGCCAACGACTGACAGCACAGAACCGAGGAACTCGCCACCCGAATTGGTGACGCCTGGGGCGGTCTCCTCAACGCCACGTTTGGTAATGCGGTCGAACTGCTCGTCGCCATCCTTGCACTCGTCAAGGGTGACCTCGACATTGTGCAGGCGTCCATGGCCGGCTCGATCCTCAGCAACATTCTGCTCGTGCTGGGAATGAGTTACTTTGCCGGCGGTCTCCGCTTCCACGAGCAGCTCTATGGCGTTGTCGGCGCCCAGACCAACATTTCGCTGCTGAGCATCACGGTCGCCGCCGTCCTGCTCCCGGAGGCGTACCACCTGGCATTCCCAGACTCGACGCGCGGCAGCGGAAGCGCACGCTCCAGCGCCGCACAGCTGTCGCCCGTGGAGCTCAGCACGATCCTCGCCATGTCCCGTGGCTTGAGTTTCATCCTCCTCTTCGTGTACGGTGTCTACCTCACGTTCCAGCTGTACACGCACGCCTACCTGTTCAAGACTGTCCGCGAGGCAGCGCACGCCCTCCCGCCCCCAAACCACGCACACGTCTTCCCGCGTCCCAACTGGGTCGCGTCGCTGCGCACCGTGCCCACGCGCGACACGTACCAGGCCGGTGACGGCACCTCGCCGCGTCCGGGCTCGCCCATCGTCCGCGCCCCCACCGAGGTGGACGGCGACTTGAGCAACCGCGCGTCGTTTGCCGCCATCCAGGGCTCACACTCTGACCTCGGCATTGCGACGGCACGCGCGCGCTCGGGCTCGGCACCAGACGCACACGCCGGTCACACCCACCTGCAGAACCTCGCGCTCCCCGACGCCGACCTGCGCTGGCGCGAGAAGCGGCCCGACATGGACGTGGACAGCACCGGCAGCCCCGTGAGCAGCCTGCAGGCCATGAACACCCTCGTCGACGTCGAGCGCGGCCACGGCCCTGCCGTCCACCAGCGCCTCGTCCTCCCGCACCCCGAGCCCAAGGTGGGCAAGGTCTTTGCCCTCGTCTCCCTCGCAGTGTTCACCGGTCTCGCGGGCCTCACTGCCGAGTGCCTCGTGAGCTCCATCGACGGCCTGACCGAGGAGACCAACGTCTCGCGCGAATTCGTCGGTCTCATCCTCCTGCCCGTGATCGGCAACTCGGTCGAGCACATCACCGCCGTCACCGTGTCGCTCAAGGACCGCCTCAACCTCTCCCTCTCCATTGCCGTCGGCTCCAGTATCCAGGTATCGCTTTGTCTCCTGCCCTTGCTTGTCCTGCTCGGCTGGGCGATCGGCCAGCCGATGAGCCTCCTGTTCGACACCTTTGAGACCATCTGTCTCGTCGTCGGCATCATCATTGTCAACTTTGCCATCACGGACGGAAGGACCAATTACCTCGAGGGTGCAGTGCTCATGGCGGCGTATGTCTGTATCGCACTTGTCTGTTGGTTCTACGACCCTGTCCATTAAGTGAGGAGGAGGAGGAGCGCGCCTGTTTCAACACACGAGGCGGCTTTGTAGTCTTTTGTACCAAAGCAATGCAAATACGTATGCCTGTGGTCCTTGCTTGTTACTGTGTGCCGGGCCGTTAAGAAACAGTGACGGGAGGAAGACGGGTTGGTTGGGATGTATGGCCCAAGGGCTCCACTTTGGGTGCCGGTGCCACTTCAGACCCCCAAGAGTCATGCCTCCCAACAGGCCTGCGCGTCCAAGTGCGCCAGTGTCTTCATCTTCTACAGCACCCCTTGCTTCTAGTTCACTATCAACATCTTATGCGGGCCTCTACATGATCCACCCCTCACGCTCTCCAAAGACACGTCCCCCACCCCTCCTCACGCTCACTCCTTTCCGGGACCACCCTTGCTGAGGAGCTGCGCAACAATGAACGGCTCGACCGTGTCCCTGTGGAATCGCGTTAGAGCCCCGTCCTACGCTGCCCTACGAGATGTCTGTACTTACCGCCACGCGGCTTCACTCTCGCTCGCCGTCTTGCCCGGAACGGCGTCGCCCCACCGCGTGGCCCCGTGCGCCGAGACGTGGCGGAACAAGCCGACGTGCTCGGTGTTCGTCCACTGCGCTCCTGATGCTGTGGGCGGCGGAAGTGGCGGAGCATGCGGAGCATGCAGTTGTGGGGAGAACAGGTCGTCAACGAGGGCTGGCACGGGGACAGACACCTGGTTGCGCGGCGGAGGCATGCCCGTGTCGACCCGTGGCCGCTTGTTCGAGTTGGCAGCAGTGTCGGCCCCGCTGTTCGCGCCTACGCTGGGAGGGGGCGAGTCCGTGCTCGCCGGGGGCGGGGTGAGCGAGTCGTCGGTGGAGCGCGCACGCCCGCCGCGGGCAGGGTACGGCGTATCGGGTCGAGGACGCTTGAGGGACCTGGAGAGCGAGCTCGACGTAGCTTGGGTCGGTCCGGAGGCGGGACTCGGCAGCGTAAACGACACGGAGGACGAGTCTTGCGTCGTCGGGGTGATGGGGAGTGTCGGCGGGGTCTGCGGGGGCGCCGGCATGCCGCGCGACGTGCCTTCGGTCGTGCGCAGGTTGAGGTGCGGTCTGGATGGTTTCTTGTGGCGCCTGGAGGTGGTGGGTGTCTTCTTGGCCTGGCGAGGGGGCATGGCAGGTGGTGGGATATGGGTACGTGTTGCGGGTTATGATGACGAGTGTGCAGTGGATGAGAATGGATGGACGTTGGGGCGTGCGAGTGGTGTGTGTGCGCGTGTGCTCGTTTGGGAGAAGGAGGAAGGGGCGTCGAGCAGACACACAGACACGTCACTGGCACATCCGAACTGTTCTCATCATCGCAACTGCATACATACAACTAAGATACGGTGGATGATGCTTGGTGGTCCATTGCGGGCTGTTTGGCTGCCACAAACGCCGCCACATTGGACAGTGGCAGGCTCAACTGCAGATACAGGTCGTTTGCATGTACCTCGGCCCCGTACACACTGCTCCAAACAACAATGACACAGAGTGTTTCTATGCGTGTGGTAGGCGAGGGTCGCAATGGGGCTCTGGACCCTCAGAGCATCCCCGAGCGACAATGAAGGGGACGTCGAGCTCAGTGTCGCGCACGATTTGGACGTAACCAGTCATCTCCAGGTCTCCACCGAAGGCCTTCGCCGGGAAACAGGATACATGTGAAAATGTTGTCCAGCCCAGCCGGGCAAACGCTGAGGGGTATACGGAGCATTGCTGGTAGTTGACTAAAAAGAGTACAGAGACATGGGCAGACGGTGAGTGCAACTGTGCTCTCTGGTCGAGCCGCTATGGTTGCCAAGGAAATGGCACGGTACACGTCAGGCAAATGTTAAAAAGTGACACACAAACCCAGGCATGACAGTGCGGCCAATGTCCATACTGTTTTCATCCTATGCAAGTGCATACGCCTCATCTCTCCTAGATCTAACATAAAAAAGAAAAGAAAACCGACACCATACCTACAAAGACTCTACCAGCCTCCAAGAGCTGGCGATAAAAGGGAAGAGATCCTACCCGAGGACAAAAAAAAACCCACAAACGCGACACACAGCAGAGCCAGAGCTCGTGCCTAGCCTACCCCTACTGGTAGCCGTAGCCCCCTTGGCCCATGTATCCGCCCATCTGCTGCCCCGGGTATCCGGTCATCTGGGGCATCATGCCGGGCATGCCCATCTGGCCCATCTGCATCTGGGGCTGCTGCTGCTGCTGCATGCCCATGCCCATCATGCCCGTCGGCTGCATTTGCATGCCGGGCATGCCGGTTGCCTGTGGGTAGACCTGGGGCGCGCCGTTGTAACCGGTGGTGAGGGGACGGAGAGCGTCGTACTTGTCTGCAACAGTGTTAGCTACTTGGTTGCTCCGAAAAAAAACCTAGCTACTCACTGGACGACTGGGGGTTGGTGTCCTCGGACCTCGTAAAGTCGGTGCGCTTCATTGCACTGAAGATGTTGGACGGGGCGAATTGGTCGCCGCCGCCGCCACCGGCACCAGTCTGCTGAGGAACCTGGGGAGGAGGCATGTTGGCGATGGCGTTGAACGCAGTCTGCTGCTGTGGCTGCTGCTGCGGCTGCTGGTAGCCAGGGAAGCCAGTGTACGCCGGCTGCATGGGCTGCTGGAAGCCCGTCTGCATAGGCTGCATGTACCCGGTCTGCTGGACAGCCATGCTGTTGCCAAACGGTGACTGAGTTCCGGACCCGCTGTTATGCGTGGGGACAAACATGCCGGTCATGGCGGGCTGCATGGGGTTGAGAAGACCCTGGTTGACGGGGAGGGGGGCGAGGGGACCGCGAGGAGCGTTCGGGTCGGGCTGGGGCGGTGCCATCATCTGAGGAGCGGCAGTCTGCTGGGCCTGCAGCTGGGCCATGGGCGTGGCCGTGTTTGCTGCACCGAGACCGTAGCTCGAGGGAGGGGCCATGGCAGGCTGAGGTGTGGTGGAGGCACGCTGGGGGATGGGACCTGGACGGGCGAGTTCCTCAAACGCGGCGCCGCCGGGAGCAGGACCGGTGGAAGCAGGACGCATGCCCTGGATCTGAGCGAGGAGCGCGTCGGTGCCGTTTGCTGGCGCCGTAGCGATCGACGGCGACGGGGTTGCGCGAGGCGGCGCAGGCGAGGCGGGCTTGGCGGCGGGCTTGATGGTCCAAGCGTCGTCGTCAAAGCCAGACTTGGGGGCCTCGGGCTTCTTCTCCTCGGGAGGTGGGGACATGCTGATGCTAACGGGAGGCGTAGCAACCTTTGGTGCCGGAGTGGGCTCGATGGGCTGCAGGGACATCTTGCGGAGCTGGTCACCAGCGGCAGCGATGGCGCCCGTGTCGACAGTGTCGGTGATGGTACCCCGGCGCTCGGGACGTCCGCGGCGGGTGTTGTTGGCGAGCTTGCCATTGGGACCGGTGAAGAGGCCTGGAGCAGCAGTGGCACTACCGCCAGTCTCCTGCTCCTGCAACTTGCGGGCATACTCCTCATCGTTGGCAGTGTTGGGCGCCGCCTTTTTGTCATACTTGACTTGAATGTGCTTGCGAACACGGATCACGTCGCCCTCACGCAGACCAAGCGAGCGCATTGTAGGCGGGTCGAGGTCGACGAGAATCGACTCGTCGATACGGTCACGCTCAAAGTTGGCTGCGTAACGGGTACAGTCGTCCATGGCGCATCCGGCCTCGAGGAAGAACGCAAACCAGTCAAAGGTAGGGCGGCGCTCGCGAGTAGACTTGGGAGGCGCGCTGCGACTGGCACTCTCTTGGCTCATTTGCTGCGACGGGCGACGTGGGGGCTGTGTCCAGCCGAGGGGCACGTCGTCCGAGTCCACGGTGCTCTGGCGCTTCTCGCGGTCGGCGCGGCGCGACTGCACGCGTTTGACGTATTGCGCGTCGTCACCAGACATCTTGCCGATGGGCACCTCGATAATGACACCGTTGGTCTTGTGCAGCCGCAGCTTGTCGCCGTTCATGCCCAGGAACTCGGCGTCGACCTTGAACTGGCCCGTGCGGTCGCTCCATGTACGAGTGCGCTGGGGGTTGGGCTTGGGGCGGTTGTTCTCGGTCGGACGAGGAGCGGCACTCTTCTCGCGGCCAGAGGGCAGGCTGCGTGCAGCCTCCTTGACGTCGTGCGGTGGCGGACGCTTGCTAATGGCAGGGGGAGCATGGTTGCGTGCTGCCTCGCGCCTCCTCGCAATCTCCTCTTCGCGCTGCTGACGGGCGTGGTCTGCCTGCTGACGGGCTTGCTGCTGGCGCTTGGCCGACTCCTCGGCCTCAATCTCCTCGGCCAGCTGGCGGTCGGCGGCCTCTTGCTCGGCACGCTCTGCGGCTGCGCGCTCGATTGCTCGACGCTGCTCTTCCTTGCGGGCAGCCTCCTCCCGACGAGTCTGCTCGACAGCAGCAGCGGCGGCGGCAGCCTCAGCCTCGGCCTTGCGGCTAGCGGCCGCGTGGTCGACAACGGGGGCGGCAGCTGCAGCTGCGCCACCGGCAACCAGCTCGACGTACTGGGCCGGCACAACGCCCTCCTTGCCCTGCGCGTTGCGAACCTGCCACCACTCGTCATTCTCCTTGTCCACGATAGTAAGGACTTCGCCCTCGTGGACGGTGAGCTCGTCGTCGCCGTCTGCCTCAAAGTCGTACAAGACGTTGGCAGACTCGACACGAGGAGCCTTGCTGGCGCCGCCGTTGAGTGCAGGAGGGAGCATGCGCGGGGCGGCGGGGCTGGTTGGCTCGGGTTCGGAGAAGCGCACCTGTTTGGGCTCGGGGATCGGGATAGGCATGACGGGCGGGCCAGGGGTGGGTCCGGCCTCTTCAGCCGAGTCTTCCTCCTCTGCAGCCTCGTCGGCCTGGATCTGGAGCGCCTCGCCAGCAGCCTGCTTGCTGGTAGCGAGCTTTGCCAGAATCTCCTTTGTCGTCTTGGCGCTGCCCGTGTTGAACTCGAGGGGCTCACCGAGGGACGAGACGGTCAGGACAATGACCTTGGCGCCAGACTGCTCGACGTGCGTCAGGTCCGTGATCGGGTACTGCTTGACGGGAGACTGTGCAGGTTAGCTCCGTAAACAGTTCGTCACCCACCTTGTCCGACTCGGAGGCGAAGAAGATGGCGCCGCCGCCGACGCCGAGGGTACCCTTCTTCTTCTTCTTGCCGTCGAGCTGGGAAACGGACCAAGTCTCGACCTTGTCCTTGCGCTGCAGCTCGCGCTGGAGCGCCGCTGCACGTGCACGCTCTTCCTCGGCACGCTGAGCCTCAATCTCTGCCTCGGCGTCGGCGGCGTCGGGGACTGCAACACCGTCGACGGCGTCAAAGGGCTCGCAGTAGTTCTTGGGGACGAAGCCCAGCAGCTCCTCGCTGCCCTCGACGCGCACGAGCAGCCAGTCGTCCTCCTCGTCGTACACAATGAGAACAGCGTCCTCGTCCATCGTGAGCTCCTCGGGTGATGTCTTCTCATATGCGTAAAGCGCCCGAGTCTGGTTCATTGGCGGGAGCTGCGAGGCGTTAGCTGGACACTTTATCAGCAAGCAAGCTCACCTCCTCGACGTAGGTGAAGGGGATCAGGCCCAGAGTACCCTCCTGGCCCTCCACATCCTTAGACTTGGCCTTCCACCAACTGCACAGAGCGATAGAAAATAAAGGTGACAATAAGGATCGGGCGGAAACATGTTCGGAGCACCGCAGTGTTGGGAAGGCGGGTGTCAGCTCCGAGATCACACCTCTGGGACGTATCGGTCCCGCACGTACTCATCGTCGCCCTTCTCCACGATATAGAGGATCTGGTCCTCCTTGAAAGAGAGCTCGTCGTCGGGGTTCTGGGCCTCGTAGTCGTACAGCGCCTTGACGACACCGACGTAGGCCATGGCGCCGAGGGGGTGGGTCGATCGATGGCTGGCCTTAGCGGCGGAATGGGTGGGGCAGTTGTCTTGTGTTTGGGCAGAGAAAAGGCGATGGTCTCTGCGAGCAGGGGTGGGACGTCGCTAGTCGTTACTTGTAGAGTGAATGTGGGTAGTAGTGATGAGACTGGATGTGGAGATGAGATGGGGGAAGAGACAACGTTGGACGAGCACTGGATGGCCAGACGAGGATGCGGTGGAGACACAGGGCGGGGGGGGTGTCAGTGGGCAGGGCGGCCGAGAGAGCCAGCCGGGGCGCGCGGGGGTCATGGCGGAGGGTTGAGCCACGCGGCAAAATGGGGGGACCATTTGATTTACTATTGCGCCCCGTTTGTTACGACACACCTATGACGATCTTGGCACCACACATCGAATACCCCATCGCCTAGACAACATATACAACAATATCCCACACCATGTCGAGGCCAAATACAGGCTCATCAAGACCCCTGGGAACACACTCCAAGTCCGCAGTTGGCGCTGCAACAAATCCCATCTCTGCAATGCCAGTCAACGCTCCTCGCCGGTCCGCAGGTGCTGTCCCAGGTATTGCCCGTGCCGCCTCCAACCTCCGTCAACTAGGCTCGTCACCAACATCAGCGGGCCCTCTCACCTCCCTGCCGGCCCACTTGCGCAACTTGTCAACCCCGCGCATCCCCTCGCCGCTGGGCAAGGGCACCCCGCACACTTCGTCGAGGCAGTCCTTCCCAGCACGCACATCCAAGACGACTGAGAAACATGTCTTCCTGCCGGAAGATCCGCAGCTCGCTCCGCTCCCAAGTACGAGCGGCGCCAGCGTCGGTATTCCTGGGCGTCCCCGCTCATTATCCAGCTCGTCGGTAGGCGCAAGCGGATTGCCGGGCTCGCTGGCCGGTCGTGGCGTGTCGCCGTACCACCAGGACGAGCGCAACGAGGCCGAGAAGATGAACAAACGTGAACGTACAGAGGCCGGTCTTCCACGCCTCACGGCGTACAGTACGGCCGAGGGATATCGCCTCAAGCTGCTGCAAGCGTTCCTCAAGCGTGAGCACGGTGTCGCTGTTGTGCGCGTCTTTGACGATTGTATCTACGCGGTAAGTTACATGGTTCTTTGAAGTCCATCTGACACCCAGGTCTACCACCTTCCCCTGCTCCCAGGTTACGGCGCAAGCACGCGTATACGCTCTTCGCCCGCTGTCAAGTCCCCCGGTGGCGTGTCCATGCTGGAGCGCATGACCCATGCCGAGGAAGTGGGCTACGAGGATGAATACTTTCCCATTGCGCCCGAGGACGCCGCGGTGGCCCCTCACAACCCCCACGACCCATCCGAGTACATTCTCAGCCACTCGCCTCCCTCCCCCGTCCCCGTCCTCGACTCGATGGACTCTGTGATGGAGCACCACCGCGCTGCTGCCGAACATGACATTGAGGAACACATGGGCGAGCACGTCACGGTCGTGGACCTTGGCGACCGGTCGCGCCAAGACATTGAGCGCGGCCAATACGAACATGACCACCACCACGAGGACCTGCCACGCGATGCCGCCGAGACGCAGCTGTCGGATGCGCACCCGACCTATGTCGAGCACATTGCCAGCCCAGACTTGGATCAGGGCGAGCTGCAACAGCAGCAACAGCACTCCCTGCGCGGCCTCAAGCGCTACCCTTCGCCTCCCGGCCGCCATCGCCGTCGTCGTTCCCGCTCGTCCCAGAACGTCGCCGAGGCCGTCTTCTTCTCGTACGGTGTCAGCGTGTTCTTTGGTTTCCAAGCAGACGAGGAGCGCACCATCATGGCCGACTGCGACGCCGCTGGCGTGTGGCAGCACAGCATGGACGAGGATGACTGGGAGGTCGACGAGTTCCACTATGTGTACGACAATGAGGCCGAGTCGCCGCGCATCTACAACGACATGTTCACCTTTAAGTCGCGCTCGCACCTGTTCAAGCTGAGCTTGGCGCATGCGATTGCCCAGTCGACCAAGCTGTCGATCTACGAGGCCAACATGCAGGAATCGCTTGAACTGACCGCGTCGTTCCCCAAGGAACTGAGCATGACGGGCCACCTCCAGCTCGACCGTATCCAGGCGCTCAAGATGACTGGCCGTCTGTTCCGCTTGCGCATGGACGTCAACCTCATCGGCGGTGTCCTCGACACGCCCGAGCTCTTCTGGTCCGAAGCGTCCCTGTACCCACTGTACGAGGCCATCAACCAGTACCTGGAGATTGGCCCGCGCGTCCAGGTCCTCAACGACCGCCTCGCGGTCGTCGGCGACCTGCTCGAGATTATCCACGACTACATTGACCAGCGCGCCATGCACCGCATCACGTGGATTGTCATCATCCTCATTGGCGCCGCCATCGTCGTCGCCTGTGGTGAAATCATGGCCCGCCTCGTCTTCCACTCCATCTCGCGCGACAAGGGCGACTTTGTCATGATCAGGGGCACGCGCGCGTTGTTGGGTATTACAAAGTTTAACAAGTAGACAACACCACACCTCCTACCTCCATACCACACACTTCTTCTTGGGATTTCCTAACCCCCTTCATGACCCACTACCCACAAGCACGGTCCACATTTCGTTGTCTAGCACACCCAGCTAAACCCCGCTGGGCCCACATGTAAATGCACCTTTGTTATAATCTCCCCCCCAAGCCCTCCTCAGGTGGGCGCATTCCCCCGTTGCTCTCATATTATCCGAAGTGCTCGGTGGGCAGAGCACCGCCCGCGGCGGTACCTACAGTAGGTATGTACCTACATTTGCCCCCCCTGCTTGTCGTCGTACTTCACCACCTGGCCCCCCGCTGGCCGCTGGAAGACAGGAAACGGTGCTGCAAAAAGGGGGCAGCCCCCCATACCCCCCCTTTATACGGCCCATACGAACCCGCTCGGCTGCCCTACGACCTCGTACGGTGTGCATCTGCCGCCTTCGTCGCGCTCTTCTCCTCTCTTCTCGTCTGCCAAAAACCCGTTGCGTGCAGTATGCAGATGTGCAGATGTGCAGATGTGCGGGCTGTACTGACCGCCTCCGCGCGCGCGCCCGCGCGCGTTTCGCACGAGCGACGACGACGAGAAGGCACGCATTCGACGCTGGCTCGCTCGCTGCTGGCTGCTGGCTGCTTGCTCCTCGCTCCTTGCGCCGTGTTGGTTTCCGTGCGGCGGTGTCTCGGAGCCCGTCAAGTGGCCGCAGCGGTTCAGACCAAGACACAGACGATACAGAAAAAAGGTTTTGAGCTGAAAAGTGACGGCACGACGCGGTCGTTGCTGCGCGCTGCGCGGGAGGCAAGGCGTTAAGGCGTGGTGTGGGTGGGTGTGGTGGGTTTGGTAATTGCGTGGCGTCCTGCGCGTCTTTCGGTCCCAATGGGTGCCTGTCGCCCGTAGCCAGCCGGCAGGATGCAGGATGCAGGCTGCAACGAGGCTGCCGCGTGCTGGTTGCGTGGTGCGGCCTGCGGCCATTTGGGCGACAGGATGTAAACACGAGCACAGAAGACTACGCATAACAATGGCACGCAACGGCAACCGGCGCAGCAACCGGCGCGTACGTCTGGAGAACGAGGAGACATGGGAAAGGCAAGGCAAACACGGCCGAGGCTCGAGGCTCGAGGCGCGCAAACATGGAGCATGGGGGGTAAGGACCGTGGGTTGCATGTCCGGATCATCAGGTCTACTAGTCTCCACGGCAATGTCCACGAGAGATGATACAATAGGGATCGTCTTCAGATGCACGCAGTGTAGATTCTGCGCGGGTGGTGTGTATGTGTGAGATGATTGTTCTACAAAGATTTCGGGGGGGAGGGGGTGAACCAGGGGGGGGGGCAGGCAGGCAGGCAGGTTGCCCTGGTACACGCCGTGATCGTCTCGTCTCGTTCTCGACAAGCTCGCGAGAGGCTCGCGCTGGCACAGCTCGCTTCTATGACGCGGTGTGGTGTCTTTCAAGACCAAGAAGGAAGGAAAAAGCTCAATCACCTGGCTCAGTTGCCGTTGGCCTGGTCCTCTGTGATGCTCGAGTCTGGGAGGGCGCTCGCGGGTAGCAGTGTCTGGGTGCCGACGACGCCGTCGCCGACAGTGATCCACGACGCGTTGGAAGGGACGCCATCGACGACGATGAAGAAGAGGGCCGGGCCGGGCACGAGGATGGCTGGGTTGGGCGGCATCTGGGCCACATGCAGGACGGCGCCTCCGTCGTCGGTGGTGGTAAACGAGGTCATGAGCTCGACGTGGCGCTGGCCCATGTTCATCGAGTGGGTGGAGAATCCCGTGCGGATAATGACGGCGTTGGTGTTGTTAATGTTCAACGTCTTGCCGCCGAGGTCGGCCTTGGTGAGGGTAACGTTGAAGTAGTCGCCGCCGTACGTAATGGTCGAGGGCATGCCGCTGGGCTTGGGACGCGACTTGTCATAGTAGTCTGGGTAGAAGATCTCGATGGACGAGTCGGTGAAATAGGTGTAGGTGCCATTGTTGGGAATGTAGTCTGGGTTGGGGTTGGACCCGGCGACGGCGACGGAGCCGTCGGGGAGAAGGACGGCACTCGAGTGGTACATGCGCGCAATCTTGGACGTGGCGGCCTTTGACCAGCGCTGGCCAGCGGGCTTGGACTTGTCGAGGTAGTATGACTGGTACTGCGGGTTGTCGGCGTACGAGTGGCCAACGGCCCAGGTGTCGGTTCCGTAGCCAGCAGTACCGGTACCGGCACCGTTGACGAAGAGGAGACGGCGGTCCGGGAGGTTGATAAACTGGCCCATGGAGCGGCCAGCGTCAAGCGCGTCCTCGGTGTACCAGTTGGCGTCAACGTCCGGGTTGATGGACACACAAGATGTGCTGGCTGCGTAGGTCGGGAGTTGCTGCTGAGCCGCCCAGTTGATGCTGTCGCCGTAGTTGGAGCCGCCGCAGAAGATGACCGACGCAGTCCAGTTGTTGGCAGGAGTCATGGCGAGCATGGTGGTAGCGGCAGAGGCAGGGTAGACACGAGCGCAGTCTGGAATGTTGGCGATGGGGTACTCGACGTTGTTCTTGTAGTCAAAGATGACCGCCTGCATGTACGCCTGGATCAGAATGTTGCCCGAAGGCAGCAGCCAAACAAGGGGGAACAGGTTGAGGGGCAGGGTGTCCTTGAGAATGTTGAGCGTCACAAGCTCCCAGTTGGCCTTTGGGGGAAAGTACTGCGGATCCGTTAGCAACCAACCAACCAAACCAACCAAAGGCCCTTGTTTTAATGCGGGGCTCACCTCGTAAGTCGGGTTGTCCTGAGAAGCGTCGTTGACATATCCACCGTTCTGGCAGCCGCCAAAGATGATGGCGGTGCCGTCCTCGAGCGTCTCAAGCGTAGGGTACCAGCGCTCGGTGGTCATGTAGTTTACCGAGTTGTCGACCCACTCGGACTGGCCGTTGTTGTCCGGGTCCAGGATACGCACAGCTTTACGGCCGTCGGCGTCGCCGTAGACATTGTCGCCGCTCTGAGCAGCACTTCCAGCCGCACCAGCAGAGTCACCGTTGGCAATGACTGCCTGGTTGCCACCCACGTTCAGCCACGTTCCGTTGCCAAGCACCGTGCCGCCGGCGCAAAACGAGTTGGACGTGACGTCCATGGCGCGTGCCTCCCAGGTGGTGAGGTCGACCTCACTTGCCCATGCGGGGTGGCCGTTGATCTGTGTGGGGTTTGTTTTCGGTCTTGTCCACAAAGTACAGTTTGTTGGACGCGCCCAAGAACAGTTGCTGGGCAGACACGAGCGAGCCTTGGCCTACTTGCACCATGGTGTTGGCGAGCTGAGCGCGAGCGCCCTGGGCGGCGAGGGTGAGGGCGACGACATGGATCCAGGTCGCTTGTGGGATCATGGCGGCGGGCGTGTGTGTGTGCGCAGAGCGATGCGCCCACAAGGGAGAGAGAGCGGAGAAGAGGAGGGGGTGAGGATAGAGAGATAGGGAGGGAGAGAGAGTGTGTGAAGAAGAGAGTGAAAATGCGAGGATGGGTCCGATGTAATAGAGACGGACGTGCTGGTGGGAGGAGGGGGAGGGGGGCGTTGCGTTGTTGTGTTCCCGCTTCAGCCAGGGGGGTGAGTGAGGTGCGAGTTTTGATAGATCCCTTGTTTGGCAGAGAGCTGTGCCGGAGATGTCGGGGTATGCAGCGGCAACGCGAGAGAGACAAAGGGGGGGGGGGAGTGCGTGTGAGTTGGGTGTTTCCCAAGAACTGCTCAGAGACTCTGTTTGTGTGTGCGCGCGCGCGCGTGCACTGCCCTCTGTACCTCTGTCCGCCTGGGGGTGGGAGGTTTGCGGTGTTCTAGAGTGCATGAAAAGGGTTCTCTCTGTGCATGTCTGAGGCTGTACAGGCACCACACACGCGCTCGCGCGCCGCGGAGCTGCTAAGGGGCCGGGATGTGCGGCAGCGTTCCAGGCTTCCGTCAAACGGCAGAAGACAGGCAGAGCACCTCTCGCGCATCGTCCCTACAAATCCCTACAAAACAGCCCGAAAACGAGGTGGACAAGCCATTTGACCCCCCCATTTGGCCCATTTATTACATTTAACGGCAAGTTCTATATTTGCATACAGGTGGATTTTATTTATTACAGCCACCCACATTGGCTTTTTTTAATTATCCATATTACGTAAACTGTTTACTCCACCGGGCTACCCGTTGGCCTTGACGCGCGTGACGTCATTCCGCCGCTGCACCATTTTGTCTCTTTTCCCTCTCCCCTCTCCGTCCCATCGGGTGGCGCGAGTCGGGAACGGTTCACTCTAGCGAACAACCAGACGAGAGCAAAAGCCCACAGTGTGCCAAGCCGTACAACGCCGCCTCTTTCGTGCGTCTTTTGCCGGCATATGATGCAAAAGACACCCGCCCAGAGCCAAAGCGAAACCATGACTCAATCGTATCATCTCGCTCCTCCTCTTCTCACATCCACTTGTCCGTTGTCCAGTTTCATTCTTCTTTTGAAAGACTCGCTCTCCTACACGACTCTCTTCTAAACAGAGACAGCCCCCCCTCTTCTTCTTCCCCCTCACGACCCCCCCACCCCACCGTTTTCTCAGCAACCATGAACGAGCGTATGGTCCGCATCACGCATGCGATCATCATGTCGTTTACCCTCCTCTTCGCCATCGTCACGCTCGGTATCAGTGCCGTGAGTATCGAATGTTTTCCAAGTCCAGTAGACAAGACATTGTTTCCAAAAAAACACGTCCCCATGTTTCGGTGTAATCGGCACCTCGCGCCTGCAACAAAAGGCACTCGTAGAGATCCCACCCGGGTGGGGTGGGTGTGGGTGGCGCTCTCGCTTGCTTTACATTGACTCCACCCGAAACATCCCTCTACTCCGTGCCGCCCACCGAATGTCTCGCACAGTGTGTTGACAAAACTCTAGAGCCTCGTTTCCATGTACAACAAGGAGGGCAACCCGGCGCACCACGGCACACAGTACCGTGACCGCATCCGGATCACGCTCGTCGGTGCCGTTTGGACCACTGTGTTTTCGCGTACGTGTTTTCTCCCCTAGAGCCATTGGGCCCAGTGGTGGCGGTTTAACTGACCATGGGCAGTTGTCCTCCTCATCGGCTTCCAGACCGCCGGCCACTCGGCCGCGTGGGGTATCATCACCCACATGGTTCCCATCGTCATTGGGTAAGTACAATACGCGTTCGCATGCCTGCCCGCTTCTCGCAACGTGGTGTGTGTGTGACCACCCGTGTGGTGGCGACCACTAGCTGGAGGCGTGGCAGGTGGCATCGAACGCGGAGCGACACTGACGGACCCCAGCTTCCTCCTGACCCTCATCGGCGCCTCGTCCGTCACGGCACTCACGAACACTGTCGACTGCGGCAACAAGGACCAGACCTTCAACCACTGCAGCATGGTCAAGAACATGGTCGTCACCGCATGGATCGACACGGTGGGTACTTCTGGCCACTGGGCCACTCGGCGGCTTTCGTTGCTTTTGTATATTGAACTGGGTGCTGACATCGCCGTTCACAGATCTTCCTGTTCATCGGCGTCGTCCTCCTCATCATCATCGCGTTCCACGCACGCGCGTGGGGCGGAGCCCGCCGCCAGAGCCTCTACGTCGAGTAGGAGCTGGGGCTGGTGCTCGCCAAGCGATGCGAGTGCGCGAGCTGGCACTCGCATCGCTCGGCGGGGCGTTAATCCCGTCGTCTCATCTTGTAGCAACCAGCACACGAGTGTTTTACACAAAAGGACCAAGAAAAAAAAAGAAAAAAAAGAAAGAAAGAAAGAAAAAGAACGAAAGCAAACCCACACGCCGCGTTCCAGTAAAAACTCGTTTCCCTGGGCCCCGGCCCCATTACTCGTCGCGCCCACACCACTCCCTAATGTATCCCGTCCATAGCTACGTAGCCACGCCTAATGCATGACCACCATCTTGAACCAGCAAGAGTCCCCGACGCCAAAAGGCGATTTGTTCCCCCCCTAAACCAGAGTCCCCAACTGCAACTGGCCCACTGCAACTCGCCTCTTTGGCCCACTGCACCTCGCCTCTCTGGCCTCATTCACGATGCAATAATCACATAGACATTGAACCCGGTGCGCGCGCGACTTGTTCTCTACTTGGGATTTTCCAAGAAACCCACACGGACGGACCCAGTCCAGCCAACACACGGATCAAAAACGCCAGCACACCCATGTCAGCGTGCTGCTGCTGCTGCTGCTGCCTACTACTCTCCAGATCTCCAGAACACTACCAAGCCCGTTTTCAGTTTGCTGCTTGTTGTTGTTGCACAAATGGTTTACGCCTCGACCTTGTCCTGGTACACCTTTTTAGCGTGGGCGATGGCGTCGTCGACCTTGTCAGTGTTGGAGCCGACGCCGGTGGCCGACTCGGGCTTGCCGCCGCCCTTGCCGCCGATCACGCCGGCGACCTCGGTGAGCCACGCCTTGGCGTCGAGGACCTTCTTCTCGAGCACGTCCTTGGGGATAAAGTTGACGTGGGCGACCTTGCCGGTCTCGGTGTCGGTGGAGAAGGCGTACACTGCCTTGCCGAGGTTCTTGGCCGCGTTGACGGCGGCGGTGAGGGTCTTGGCGTTGCCGTTGGCCGAGTCAAAGTGGCCGACCATGACGTTGTCGTTGGGGTTGGAGATGAAGAACGACTTGACAGAGTCGGTGATGACCTTCATGTCGGCGGCGATCTGGGCCTTGGCGGCCGCGGCGAGCTCGGCCGTGAGGACGTTGTAGCGCTCGGTAAGCTTCTGCTTGGTCAGAAGCGAGATGCCGCTCTTGCCAAGCTCGCCGGGGAAGGGCTTGAGGGCGGCCTCACGCTCCTTGGGGTCCATGGCGGCGATGCGCTCGAGCTTCTTCTCAAAGTCGATCGACCGGCGCGAAACGTCGGCAGCCTCGTGGCCAGTGACGGCGACGATACGGCGGATACCCTTGGCAATGGACGACTCCTCGAGGATGATAAACTCCTTGATCTCGTCCGTCTTGCGGACGTGCGTGCCACCGCAGAACTCGATTGACGAAGTGGCCCACTTCTGGTCCTCGAGGTTCTGCTCAATCTCCTCCAGGGGGTAGAGGAGCGAAACAACACGGACAGGGTCAGGGTAGCGCTCGCCAAAGACGGCACGGAGACCGGGGATCTTCATGGCCGTGGCGAGGGGAAGGTCCTTGGAGTAGACGGGCGCGGCCTTCTTGATCCAGTCGTTACAGATGGCCTCAATCTTGCCCAGGTCGGCGCCGGCAATCGACTTGTTGTGCGAAAAGTCGAAACGGAGACGGTTGGGCGCAACGAGCGAACCCTTCTGGTCGATACCGTCACCGAGGACCTCGCGGAGGGCAAAGTTGAGGACGTGGGTACCAGTGTGGTTGTTGCGGATGGGCCAGCGACGGAGCTCGTCGTAGGTGCACACAACGTCCGAGTCGACCTTGAGCTCACCCTCGACAAGCTGGCCAATGTGGAGGACGTAGCCGTTGAAGACCTGGACGTCCTCGACCTTGAACTCGGCCTGGCCATCAATGGCAATCACACCAGTGTCGTACTCCTGGCCACCAGACTCGGCGTAAAAGTTGGTCTTGTCGAGGAGGAGACCGAAAGTCTCGCCGGCGGGCACCTCGGAAGTCGAGTCGAGGAACTTGGACTGGTGGTAGATGGCCTTGACCTTGGCGTCAACGTCCTCGCGGCCGTACTTGAACTGGTCGTCGGTCTTGGGGACGGCGGCGTTGGCCTCGAGCGCACCGAGGTCGTGGACGTCGAGCTTGACACCGCCAGCGGCACCCTTCTTGGTGCCGGCCTTGGAAGCCTCGAGCGAGACGAGACGGGCCTTCTCAAAGGCCTCCTCGTCAATCTTGAGACCACGCTCCTCGGCCATGATCTGGGTAAGGTCGGGAGGGAAGCCGTAGGTGTCGTAAAGGCGCCAGGTGTCCTTGCCCTCGAGGGTCTTGTGGTCGGTGGCAAGGGCGGCCTCGGCGTACTTGTTGAAGAGGGCCTCACCACGCTTCAAGGTGCGGGCAAACGAAGTCTCCTCCTCGTCGAGAATCTCCTTGAGCTCGGGGACCTTCTTGGTGACCTCGGGGAACATGTCGCCGAGCGAGAGGACGACAGTGTCAACGAGCGACGAGAAAAAGGTGCCAATCTCGACGTTGAACTTGGACGAGGCGTAACGGACACCACGACGGAGGATACGACGGAGGACGTAGCCACGGCCGTCCTTGTCGGGGACACCACCGTCGGAAATGGCAATGGTGAGGGTACGGATGTGGTCGGCAATGACACGGTAGGCAGTGTCAATGTCGTCGACGTCCTCGGCACCGAGCTTGCCGCTGTAAGGGCGGGCACCGGTGAGCTCCTGGATCTTGGCAAAGATGGGGGTGAAGCAGTCAGTGTCGTAGTTGGAGCGGACGTTGTGGAGGACCGAGACGAGACGCTCAAAGCCCATACCAGTGTCGACGTGCTTGGCCGGGAGAGGGCGGAGGTCACCGTTGGCCTCGCGGTTGTACTGGATGAACACATTGTTCCAGATCTCGAGCACATCCGGGTCGTCCTCGTTGACGAGCGAGGCCGCGTTACGGCCACCGATACGGTCAAAGTGAATCTCCGAGCAGGGACCACAGGGGCCGGTGGCACCCATCTCCCAGAAGTTGTCCTTTGCGTTACCGGGAAGAATGTGGTCCTCGGGGACACCGAGGTCGCGCCAGATCTGCTGGGCCTCAGTGTCAGGCTCGAGGCCCTGCTTGGCGTCGCCCTCAAAGTAGGTCACGTAGAGACGGTCCGCGGGGAGACCGTAGACGCGGGTGAGGAGGTCCCAGGCCATGGTGAGGGCGCCGAGCTTGAAGTAGTTGCCAAACGACCAGTTGCCGAGCATCTCGAAGAAGGTGTGGTGGTAGGTGTCCTTGCCCACATCGTCGAGGTCTGTTCAAGCATGAGCCCACGTTTGGAAGCAAGAAGGTTGATGATGGATGATAAGCGCGTCGGGGTGATGAGAATGCGAGTCGACTCGCACTCTGTCGCCCCGTGCGCGCTGGCTCCATCACTCAGAGAGAGATAAACCCACCATTGTGCTTGCCACCGGCGCGAATGCACTTTTGCGAGTTGACGGCGCGGACGAGCTTGGAGAGGTCCGACTTGGGGTCGGCAGTGCCCAGGAAGCAAGGCTTGAACTGGTTCATACCCTAAGAAAAAGGTGTTAGGTGCCCATTCGCCACTCTGATGGCCAACATGCTACTTACAGCGTTGGCGAAGAGGAGGGTGTCATCGTCAAAGGGAATGACACCGGACGAGGCCCAAAAGGTGTGCTCAAAGCCGGGGTTCTGGACAAAGTAGTCGATAAAAGTCTGACGGACCTTGGCAGCGGGCCAGTCCTCGGGGGCAGGCCACTTGGCGGGAGCGGTGGTGGGCACCTTGGGAGCAGAGCTGGCCATGGACATTGTTGTATGAAGCCTGAGGCTGGGGGACGAGACGATGATGCTGTTGTTGGAGGAGGAAGGACGCGCGAGAGGAGGGAAAGAGCGAAGTAGCGTCGGCAGTTGATGTCTAGTGCGGGCCAGGAGCATCAACCCTTTGTGTAAAAAGAGACCGCGAAGGGGGCGTGTGCGCGCGACGTGTGTGAGGGAGGAGAGGGGAGAGTGATGGGAAGTGGCAAAGCGAGCACAAGGCAAAAGGCAATCAAATGGCCCAGACGGCTCTAACTTTGGCGCGCGGCGGCAGGCGCCGGCGGGTTGGAGCGAGAGCGAGTCGAACTTATCGGACGGGGGAGGGATTTACTTCCGTCATGAGACATCCACGTGCATGCCACGTGACCAGGTGCGCACGTGACCACCGCCCGGCGCTATAAGCGATGCACTGATCGCCTCCTCCACTGTCTGTCATACGTAGGACCCATTCTTCTTTATCTCGCTCGCATGTATAGCCCCATGGTTTGACATACGGCATGGAGACACGGATTGTAAGGGGAGATAGAGGACGGGACACTTTGTTCAAAGGGGCCGCCGCCGCCGGAGCAAAAGCGCGGCGTGGAGAGAGAGACAGACAGACAGACGATGTGTGGTTGTGCCTCGTTCTCCGGCTGTGTCACCTTGGACAAGGAGGGGTTGGTGGGGGTGGGGGTGCTGCATCGTTTGATCCCTTGCCTGAATCGTTCAGCACAGCAGGTAGGACAGCAGGCCAGTAGGTGTATGGACAAGCATGGTGAGGACGTTGGGAGGGAGTATGCATATGGGTTAGAGGAAGAGGAGGGGGGGCCACAGCTTTGTGGACGGCGTCCAGCATGGTGTACGGGGCGGGGTCAAATTGGCACTGTGGTGTGTGTGTCTGGGTGGTGTGTGGTTGTATGGCGGGTGTGTTCCTTTTGGCTTGCGCGCGCTGTGCCCTGTGGCTCTCTGGCTGGCATTTCCCCCCGCTTGGTTCTTCTTCTCTCGTCCCCCCACCCGTCCGCCCCGCCGCCTGTGGTTGCTCTGTCGCCTCCCGCGCTTCATTCCACACACACACTTCGACCCCCCCCCCCTTATACCACACGCCTCCTCACACCACCCACCCACCACCACTCCCCCTCTCTCCACCGTCAACACTCTCCACCCACATCACCACCCCCCCCCCCCCCCTCCCCCAGTCCTGGCACGCGTCAGTGCATAGTCGACCCCGGGGCAACACCGGGTGCTCGGCTACAGGTCCCAACAGACGAACACACACACCCACACACCCCGTTCCCCGACCACCCCGCACCCTCCGCTGGCACTGCATCGCCCTCCTCAGCGCCGCCTGCCCCTTACTTCCTCCCTCCCACCCCCCTCTTTCGACACCACCTCCAGCGCCCAACAACGTCGCTTGCCCATCGCCGCCGCAACTCCTCCCCTCCCCCATCCCTCCCATGTCCGGCCAGCGGTACAACGTCCCGCCACCTCGGCGGGACAACGCGATGCCGGGTGGGCTTGAACGACAAACGGCCGCGCTCGACCTCAATCCGCACGGCAACTCGTTTGACTCGTCGGCCCCAGACGCGTCCTCTTCGTCTCGTCGACCCTCGGGAGCGTCAGTCAACTCGTTGAGCGCGTACTCTGCGCAGCAGCACGGGTCCAACCCTCCGCATTCTCCGGCGTCCGTCTCATCGTCCGGGACACACCCTTGGGCAACACCTCGCATGGACGATGCCCAGTGGACAAACAGCCCTCAACAGGTTGGTGTCACCCTCCCATCGACAACACAGATGCCCATGCCCTCGGTGCACAAACATGCGCTGCCGCGCATTGCGACCTCGGCGCACGACGACGAGTCTGAGACTGGCCCTCGTAGCGCACCGCCCGTGTCGAGCCCACTCGCTGGGCCCAACCCAGCCTATGCCCAACAACAACCTCTGCGTTCCGCGTCGTCGCCAGACCCTCGTCCACAGTCCAACCGAGGATCACCAATGACCTCGCCCATCGACCCACGACCAAGCTTTTCAGGACCACTGCCCGGTGCGATCAACACAATGGTCACCATGGACCAACATGCACAGGCCGCCTCTTCCTTCCCAACTCCGCGCGGCTCGTCTTTCCCGACCAACATGCCCCCAGCAGGTGCCATCCACAACATTGAGGGCATCCCTACGCCGCGGCGCTCGGATACCCCCACGTCCATGGCTTCGGCGCATGGGACGGTCGTGCCAGTCGGGACTGCACCCGGTCCACCACAGACCCAACCAGTACCACCCACAGCAAAGCGTTCCGGCTCGGTTACCTACTGTGCAAAGTGTGGCTTGGCAGTCCGCGGCCAGTTTGTGCGCGCTTTACATCAGGTCTACCATCTCGACTGTTTCCGCTGCAAGGTGAGTTGCGCGCGCGCCCGCGCGCAGGCGATGCGCCGAGAGGGCAAAGGGCGAAGGGGCGGCCCGAGGCGCGCAGTCTGCGGCGCTGGGATCGCGCAGACCGGATGGAGTACGTACTGACACCCCAACCTCCCAGGACTGCGACAAGGTTGTTGCCCAAAAGTTCTTCCCGGTCGAGGACGCAGACGGAGGCCAGTACCCGCTCTGTGAACGCGACTACTTTGCGCGTCTGGATCTGATCTGTGGCAAGTGTAACCAGGCCTTGCGGTCCAGCTACATTACCGCGTGCGGTGAGTCATGAGTCACGCACCCCGCGTTTCCGACCAGCAAAGCACGTTTCCGCTGACAGTTATTCCTCTGTCTACAGGCGAAAAGTTCCATGTCGAACACTTTTCATGCTCGGTCTGCGACACTGTGTTTGGAGCAAGCGACTCGTACTATGAACACGGCGGGAAAGTCTGTGCGTATTACCACACAACAACAAACAAGAGAGACCCCGTGCGCAGATCCCAACTGACCCGACCAATCGCAGACTGTCACTACCACTATTCAATCAGCTTTGCCAACAAGTGTGTGGGCTGTGAGACTGCTATTCTCAAGCAGTTTGTCGAAATCAACCGCAACGGCCGCGACGAATGCTGGCACCCAGAATGTTACATGATCCACAAGTTCTGGAACGTCCGCTTGGCGTCGCGCAACTTTACGACTCCGACAAGTACGACACCCGTGTCGTCGTCACTGTCCTTGCTCGAGATGAGCAGCTTGAATGCTCAGCCGATCTCGCCATCTCCGACCGTGCCATCAGCGAGCACCAGCCCCGCGTGGGGGACGGCTATGACTGCCGAGGAGCTGAAGGACCGCCAAATCGCCATGGAGCTCAAGGTGTCGCAGATCTGGCTCGTCCTCTCCGGGTTTGAGGAGAGCTCGGCTGCGTGCATTGGTGAAATGCTGCGAGTCGTCAATGAGCGTAAACTCCTCGACGTCATCCTCCTGGCCGAAAAGTTTATCCTCCACGTCGAGACGCTGTTTGCCGTCATTGACGACCTCGAGGCGCAGTTTGCGTTGGCAGGTGTCAAGGGCATGTCCCACGCGCGCGAGGCCAAGCAACTGTGTCGCAAGCTCGTCAACTTCTTCTCGATGCTGTCGCAGATCTCGCCACACGGTGGTGCAATCCCGAACATGCAAGAACTCCTCACGCAGGTCACCCAGTTGGCGCACTACCTCAAGATCCTCATCCGTATCGCATTGACAGGTGCCATCAAGCTCGACCGCGAGCAGGGCAACCCGAACGCGATGATGAACGCCCTCGCGCGCCTGCATCTCTTGTCACTAGACAACGCTGAACCGTCTCTGACAAAGCGCGGTGACCACCCCGAGCCCAGTTCGCCCCCGAGCCTTGGACTGGTAACGAGAGCCCCGACGACATGGCCAAGCGCAGTTTCGACTCGTTGACTCGCCACCCAGAGGGATTCATTGCCAGCACTCAAAAGCTGGCGTACGGGTACCGCAGTCTTGCAGTCGAGACTACGGGCGAGACCACTCTGCGTGGACCGCAGGACGACCGGTTCGTGCCGAACGACGGTTGTGTGCGGTGCAATGGCGCCATCGAGGACGACTGTGTGCGACAGGGCATGTTCAACCGCTGGCACTCGCACTGTGTCGAGTGCAAGACTTGCGGCGACAAGGCGAGCAACCAGCGGGACACGGACAGCCCGCTCCTGGCGCGCCCATCACACCAAACGGACGACGAGTCGCAGTCGCATGATGGCCACCACCACGAGCTCAAGGTGGTGACGCGTCGTCGGTCCCCGCGTGTCGGCGATTTTGCGTACGAGCCTCCCCAGGTCCAGTACGCGGCTGCCGACATTGTGTGGTGCAGCCTCCACCGCACCGCCTCATCCATCGCTGGCTTCCAGTCGGTTTCTCGCCTGGAACAGTTTGCATTCTTGCTGCATGTCGCGCTGCGAAGGCTGTACCTGCACTTCCGGGAGCACCACGGTATCCCAAGTGCAGTCACGAGGACCGAGGCCGGGCAAGACGTCAAGCGCGTCAAGTCTGTCACCTTGGACCGCAAGCTCTCGTCGACGGCGCGCTTGCCACAGCGCTCTACGGTCGTGGAAAGTCCCGCAGGGAAAATGGCAGACGAGAATGGCCAGGTCGTTGCTCCGCGGGAACCACTGGCGCCGCTCATCGTCCCCACCGACGAGTCCGAGGGCCCCGCGTCGGCCACGGTCGACATTATCCGACCGCCATTTGCGCGCAACAACACAGGCGTCCGGATCGTGTCAGAAGCCCAGTCCGAGGGTGCCTTGTCCGACGCACCGACCCAGTCGTCCAACACGCTCGCGATCCCGGCCAGACGTACAAAGGACGACGACGCGATCACACTCAACGACATTCCCATGCTTGCCAGCCGAAACACGGTGCTCGTCCGCTCGCCACTGGACGCCATGCCCCTCATTGCCCAGCTGCCGTCCTTGCAGCAGCTTATCGTTCGCCACTTTGCGCTTATCCAGTTGCAAAAGACTGGTCTGGGCCACCTGATCGACGTGGACGAGCTGATGGAGCTGCTCGACGTGCGCAAGAACCAGTGGTGGAACAAGCTGTTCAAGAACAATGCCAAAAAGGACCAAAAGCGAAAGGGTATCTTTGGTGTCCCCATTGAGATGCTCGTGGCGCGCACTGGCTCCGACTCGCAACGCGGTGCAAGCGACACATACCTGTTGCGCGTCCCCGAGTTTATTGAGGACATTGTGTCCACCATGCGCCAGCAGGACATGGCCATTGAAGGCATTTTCCGCAAAAACGGCAACATTCGCAAGCTGCAGATGCTGTCCGAGGCCCTCGACAAGGACACGTCGGCGGTCGTGCTTGCCGACGAAAACCCCGTCCAGCTCGCGGCGCTGCTCAAGCGGTTCCTGCGCGAAATGCCCGATCCCCTGCTCACGTTCCGCCTGCACAAGCTCTTCTGCGCCGCGGCCGTCATGCCCAACGCCGAGGACCGCAAGCGCTGCCTCTTGCTCCTGGTCACGCTTCTGCCCAAGCCCAACCGCGACACCCTCGAGGTCCTCTTCGTCTTCCTCCGCTGGGTGGCGAGCTTTTCGTACCGCGACGAAGAGACCGGAAGCCGCATGGACCTGGCCAACCTCGCGACTGTCATTTGCCCCTCGATCCTCTATGCAAAGGGCCAGAACGCCGCTCGCGACGAAAGCTTCATCGCCATCCAGGCCGTCCAGCAAATGCTCGAGGGCCAAGACGACATTTGGCGCGTGCCCTCCGAGCTCACGTTTGTGTTGCAAGAAAACGTTGCCCAGATCTTCCAAAAGGAGATTGACCTGCCGCCAAAGGAGATCCACAAGCACTGCGCAAAGTACCTCCAGGCCCGTGGCGGTGCTCCCCCACAGCACACCGTCCACCCGGGCCGGCCCTCTGCCGGCAGCGTCTCGGCGCAAGGAGGCCAAGGCCCACCGTCTGCGCTCCCGTCGGGATCCATGCGCGAGCTTGCCCGCGACCGTCCCCCCGACCTCCGGTTGAGCGGATACAGGCCTGAGGCGTCGCGTGTCGGCAGCGGCGGCCCCAGCGATGGCGGCTTCTCGCGCGACGGCGAGATTGCTGGTCCTGGATCCCTTCGCGCCGCCCCGTCGCCCAGCAACAACACCTCGCGTCCCACATCGTGGGGCACGGGCGGTATCCCCGGCGGCGTGCCGGGATCCAGCACTCCCACCAGCGGCAGCGCCGGCGTCCTCGCCATGCCCATGCCGCAGATCAACGGCGCAAGCGTCACGTCCCCGTCATTCCCGCCCGGCCCCGGCGGCATGCAGCACCCTATGCCTTCGCCCGGAACATGGAGGGGACCGTTCCAGGGCTCGGCGGCGAGCAACGGTTCGCGCCAGAGCTCGCGGGGATCTGCACCGCCCAGCCCCGGTGTCCAGCCTGGCGATGCTGAACGCCGAAGCTTCCAGATGGAGCGGGACAGGTCGCGCGAGCGGGCGTGGACGCCGACGACGACCGACTCGCACGCGCACGCCAGGCAGTAAACGAGTCCCGTCAATATCCGCTTTTATTCTATTCCTTTTCTGTTGCGTCCCTTATTACGACCAGACCAGACCAGACCAGACCATCTTTTCTTCACTCCCCCTCATGGACTCTTGCGAGCCGCCTCTGTCTCTGCATACCCTCTTCCAGCCAACCCTCCTTCCCTCCACCCACGACGTTACGCCCCCTCGGCCTCCGCCAGCTCGCCACCGGCCAGGCTCGCAGTTGTCTCCAGCTCCTACCGCACCCCCATTTTCAACCACCTCCCGTCGATCATCACATACCCTCCCCAGCCTTTGTCTCCACGGTTCCCTCACTTGCGCCGCCAGCGGGGCCCGCGAACCGAGCAAAACCATCCCCGACCACCCCCCTCGCATTTTCGATATCCCGCTTTATACCAGATCCCCCATCCCCATTCCCCATCCCATCCCATCCCAACCCAACCCAAACCCAACCTTCCCCGCCCCCCAGTCTCCTCCGCCGCCGCCGTCACTGCGCCCAGCGCGCATATCAGTAATTCCTCTCCTGGGAGAGTACTTAAAACGAGCGTACCCCTCTTTTTTTTGCTAAAGTGTGCCCCTACTACCGAATATGCATCGGTTGCTAGTGAACGTTGGTGAGGAGGACGAGGAGGAACGGAAACAGCGGTGGAGGGGGTTTGACTTGGGTAGGGCGTTTTTAGGCGTATTGGGTTCCTCCCCTCAGCCGTGCATAGGTCGCCAGTCGGGCCCACTCACGACCCGAGTCCGGCTGTGGCCAACTCTATACTCGACCTCGACCTCGCACCCGGAAGCTTCCATGATAGCAAGCAGGACGCAGGAGACGCGGCGGGCGGTGGCATCGCCCCCGCCGCCGCTGATGTGTTGGACGGACAACGACGCGAGGCACTACCTAGGCGGTGTCGCTGGCTTTCACCGCCACCGCCATTGCACACGCCATATCGCCATACTGTACAAAGCCCCCCACGTCCGCATGCCCGCGCATACAATACAGGTTTTCGGCCGCGTGTGGGCAGGTTCCGCGGATCCGTACCGTGAGACTTTGTGCAACCAGACAGGATCTGTAGGATGTGTGTCGTTGGACAGATGTTGTGGGTGGTGGCGGAGAAGACGGCCGCACGCGTCCACAACCCGTCGACCACGGGAGGGAGGCGTTGTGGCCGAGCCATCTTCATCTTGGCGGCGCACAGGCTCTGCTCTGGGTACAATGAAACTCGGTGTCGTCAGGAGCGAGGGAGGACGGATGCATGCCCGCCGTTGATAACGTGTTATCAACGGGATGACAGGGGGTGAGGGTTGTGGCTGCGTATGTACAGTACACGGTTGGTTGTGCGAGTGTGGGAGGGCCGCAGCGTGTTTTCCTCTGGGAACGCCAAGGCTCTGCCACTCATGCACGCAATGTAGTAGATGGGCGCGGGCGAAATGTCAAGGCTGCGATAGCCGGTGCATGGCAGGACGCTTAGAGAAGAAAACAGTACTGCGCACTGCGCATTGGGAGCGGTTAACTGCACGATCCGGGGGTGGACGACATGGACAAGCGTAAGCGAGCGAGCGTGTGGCACATCTCTAGTGTGGGCGCACGACGAGGTGTGGCGATACATTCGCTTTTTTTCGACCAATTATGGAGCTATACGTGTGCTGCAAGTGACCCTCTGGTCCCACGAACACTCAAATTCCATGTACCTCTTGCTCCCTGGATGCATACCAGTGTAGAGTGCTCACAGCCACAGTCTGTACATGACTTTCTTTGCCTTGGCTTGAACGACACGACAAAGTGTGGGAAACGCAGTGAACGGAGCCAAGTCGTCCTCATCTACTGGCCAGCACCGACACTCCCACTCATTACGTCCGGCCACTGGAATGCACAAGCATTCGGTGCATTGCCCATTACAAGGCGATGAGCAGTGCGTTTGGGCGCTGTCCGCTGTGTCTTTACAATTGGCACTTGGCAACCCCGGCAGTGAAGCGAGCGAGTGGCGAGCGAGTGGATAAAGCCTCGCTCTGTCCGCCCAGTCGAAGAGTTCTGTGGCCACCTCTCCCCGACTCTGAACTCTTAGCCCCTACCACACTCCCTTGAACCACCTTCCCCATCACCACCTCCAAACCAGTATGCGCTTCCAGTGCCTCTTCGCCCTCCTTGCTCTCCTCGGCACGGCCGTTGCCCAGGACGACACGGCTTCCAGTGACGCGACCTCTGATGAAGGCGACGTTGGCTCTGACGACCTCACGTTGGCGACTGAGACCCTTGCGCCGACGACCACCATCTCGATGCCGCCGACGATCGAGTCGGGAGCCTGGAACATTACCTACTTTATCGCGCCGACGCGAAACAACTACTGTGAGTACGAGAACAGCTTGGGTCCCCGGCCCAGCGCCACACTCAAGCAAAACGCCTGCTGAACGTCGCACACAGGGGTCAACGACAACGTCAACACGGCAGCCTGGCAGCCCCTCAACGTCGCTACCAACCTGATCCTCACCAACTCGAACACGAGTATCATGTCGCAGTCGATCGTGCTCGCTCAGAACCTCGAGCCAGGCCAGGGCAACTTTGCAGGCCCCATCTCCAACCTCGTCCCTGGCAACAACTACATCCTCTGGCTCACGGTCGCTGGTAACCCGTCGCGTGAGTGCTGAAGAAGGGTGGCAGTGGCACACTGTCTGCACAGACTCTCTGGGGCTCTGCATACCACCGCCACAAGACCATAGCCACCCAGTCCACTGACAACCCTGCAGAGAAGCTCGCCCAGACCCAAGGCTTCCACATCAAGGCCAACTCCACCGCCGCCATCCAAGTCATCCAGTCGGCCTCTGCCGCCGCCGCATCCATCACGGGCGGAGGCGGTGGTTCCGTCGGCGGTGCCGCGGCCACGGGCGCTGTCAGCACCGGCGCCGACGGCAGCACCACCCCCGACGGCGGGTCGACCTCGGACCCGGCTTACACGCCGAGCACCAAGAGCGCCGCGACCAGTGTGGCGGGCATCTCGGCCTCGGTCGTGGGCCTTGCTGGCCTCGCGCTCGCGCTTGCCCTCTAAGAGTTTTTCGAGGAACGGACATACATGACCCCACACACCCTACATAGTTCTCCGTTTTGAGTGCCGAGTGAGATGAACACACCACCATAGTAATGCGTAATCCGCCTTGGGGCGGTAGAGCTATGTACATACTGTGACGGAAAGTCGATGGTCCAGCTCGAGCCAGTCGTGGCACGTACCGCCGAGCCAACGTCTGTACATAAACTGCCCACGCTGTCACTTTTAGCACGCAGGACACGGGCTGAAGCATTACGTGAGCGCCGCCTCTCCACGTCCTGTGAGACTGTCGGCAAGCCCAGGATCACAGGCGATGCCGTACTTGCATCCCTTCCAGGTCCTGCCTGGCTCGGCGCGTGATGGTCTACATTCCAGTCCCGACCCAGCAAGTGGGATGAAACGCCACGGACCCGTCCATTACGGCCACCATTGCTCACCAACTGCCCGCAGTTGCCGCAACTGGAACACCCCCACCTGCCCGCGGCCGCCGATGCACTCGTTGCTGCGAAACACGACACACAAGGACCCACAGCTAGCGTTTCACACCTTGCCACCTGTCACTTCTTCACCCTGCTGCTGCCACCGTACCACCGGCATGATCGACGCCCGTGCTGTCGGGGCCAGGTCGGCGAAAACGTCATGCATCCCCCCTCGACGTGCGTGTTCTGTCACTAGCTCTGTGTCCCCTCGTGCGGCCCCACACATTTGCCTGAGCGAGCGATCTTGCGGCCCGTGTGTTGTTCGGCTCGCAGCTGGAAATCAGGGAAGGGAAGCACTCCAGCAACGGTGGCAAGGAGGACGCGCAAGGCAGCGTATGTACAAGGAACCGCCAGCCCAAGGCCAAGGAGATGCCCGATCGAGAGATCGAGCCTGGAATAGCCAGATCCAGCGGTGCGCATAGCCGTTGGCCCGTTCAGGACGCTGCAGTTCGCACCCCCGCCCCCCCGTTCTCCGCACTTGCTACACCCGGACGGGTGGTCTCCATATACTGTACGACGACTTGGTGATGGAAAACTGCCAGCAGGGACAGGGGAACATGGGCAGAAGGGGTCATGTTGCGATAGACGTGAGTGTGTGGTGGCCGAGGGCGTCTGCAGCGTGTGTCCTGGAAGGGCGACCCCTCGCTTAAGAAGATCGCCAGGGAGCATGTCAGAGATCAGATATCAGAGAACAGAAAACGCTCGTGTGCTCGTGCTCGCATGTGTTCCCTGTGGTGGGTAAAGAGCAGTTGTTGGTTGAACCAAGGAAGACCTGGTGGTCTCGTGGTTGCCAGTTACCATTCAGACACCCCGTTCGAGCCACGGCGTCTCAGTACACCCACAGCGTCCGCTGGCACAAAGTTTACGGCGGCGGCGAAGGTCCCAGTCATCGTATAGCCCTAAGCGGGGACTGGGCATGCGCTCAGCTGGTACTCGGACTGTGGTGTGGAGCTGTGACTGTTGCGTCATGGCGGTACCACCGCACGATGCAGGTACGCTTGTACCATGCAGCGCCACGCCGTCGTCCACCTCGACCCGGTGCTGGCTTGAGCTGGAGGAGACTGGGGGCGGTGATGGATGCTCGTGGTAGTCGTCCGTCTATCCCGGCTGTTCGGTATGCGATCCATACACATACCTTGTCGTGGGAGGGCAACGCATCGGAGTGTGGTCGCTTGGCTGTAACTGTCGTACTCGGGTGTGGGAACCATCTGAATTGTTTATTGGTAGCCGGTGGGAACGACGAGTCCCGCAATGTCGTGTGGAACACCGAGTCGCTTGTTGACATGCATCGCTCTGTCCTCTGCGTTACCTCGGCATGTGACTGTGAAGGAGAGTGCCATGAACCTGCAGACTCGATGCTACTGCATCAGTGGGCTGCCAGCGATCAGGTGACGAGGCAAGAAAAGTCACACGCGCCGCCACACAATGTGCTTCGTTTGCCAAACATCAACATGACAGAAGGCACGGCGGTGAAGGCACCGAGACGCCATCGTCCAAACATGCGCGCCGCCGGCCCCCCCCCCCCAGCTCCATCATTCCCAGCTCGGTGTTGCAAGTTATACGATTCATGCTCTAGCACGCTGCGCTGGCTATCCCCAGGCGCAGGCGGCCTACTTGTTGCGCGCAGATGCGCATGCGGGATGCGTTTACTGAGCAGAGTCAGCATTGCACAAAAGCAGTGTCACTTCAACTCACCAAGCTCTCCATCTGGGCGACAACCTCGTCGAGCTCGCGCTTCGACTGCTGGTACTTCTCGACAGCGTCCTGTAGGGGGCGTTAGTGCAACTGGTAGGCAAAGACGTCAAGGAGGATGGGGACGGGCACCCAGTACACAGCCATAGCTCCGTTCTGTGCGTGGAGCACGCCATGGGCGCACTCTGTTCACAATGGGGCTGATGGCCGGCCACCGGCGGTGATTCGCAGTGCCCCATCTTCTCCAGCACATGCACTCACTCCGTACTTCTTCTCCCACTCGTCCCTCTCCTGCTCGGCACGCTGGACGGCACGCTCAAAGTGCTCAGCCTTGACGTCGACCTGGCGGAGCTTCTCGGTGGTCTCCTTGAGGTCCTTCTCGGCCTTGTCCAGCTCCTCCTCGAGAAGCTGCACCTTGCGAGCGAGGTTCTCGCCGGTCGTGCGGTGGTTGTCGCCCTCCTCGGCCGCGCCCTTGAACTCCTTGACCTTGCCCTCGGCCGCCTCGAGCTCCTCCTCGGCAAGAGTGAGCTTGTGCTGCAGCGACGAGAGCTCCTGGTCGCGCTCGAGGAGCGACTGGTTGAGCTGGGTTGGTTGTCAGTCACCGTGCTTCCAGCATCGAAAGCTACGGCTCCGTGGTCAAGCGCGCAAAGAGCGGGACCGCGGTGGAGCGGTGGCGTGCATGCAGTCGACGTAGCTTCTCGCCGCCACCGCCGTCGTCTGGAGCCAGCGCACAGCGTGTTCCCGTCCCCGTCTTCCCTCCCGGATCACCACGGAGCACAAGCAGACGCACCTTCTTGTTCTCAGCCTCGGCAGCCTCAGCGCGGGCCTCGGCGGCCTCGATCTTCTGGCCGAGAAGGGTGAAGCGCTTGATGGGGTCAGTGTCATCACGAGACGGTCCGAAGCGCGGGTTGCCAGGCGTACCTCCTTGATCTTGTCCTGTGCAGTGTCAGCATCGCCACGCGCGCGCGCACAAGTCAGACGTCGTGGGAAACAGCTGGCAGGCAGGGAGGGCGTTCCAGCGCACAAGGATGCGCTGGACCTCGTGCAGCAGGTCTCCGTGTCTGCAGTGTCTCGACTGTGTGTTGGACTCACCATGGTTTGGTGTCTAGAGAGATGGAGGGGTAAAGATTAGGTGGTTGTGGAAAGAGACGTGGAGGTGTGCGGGATCATGAATGAGCGGCGACACTGGGTCTCCAGAGGGCCCAAGCGCGCGTCACACGGTGGGACCAGCGGCCAGCGCCAGCCGCACGCGCGTCTTGCGTTGCGCGCACGCGCACAAGAGAAGGCATGCCGGGCCATTTTGCTTCCGTCGAACCCGCGCGCGCGCGCTGAGTGTGATTATTACCCGTGTCTCATTTTTTGGCCATTTATCCCGTCTCCTGTCTCTCGCACCGCGCCAGCCGCCCCACCAGCCAGCCGCCAGCGACGGGCACGCGGGGAGTGCAGACACCCATCTCGCGCGCTTCTCCCTTTTCTCTTTTCTCTATGGTATCGCTCGCACCTTGACATCCCCGTCTGAGTCTTCTTTAACAGCTGTGGGGGGGTAGTCGAGGCGCGACCGTAGACCGACGCTCGCGCGGGGCACCCCGCAGGACGGACCGCAAACACCCCCAGAGGGCGGGCTCGTCGTTGGGGTTTGCCGACATTTCGGTCCAAACGTCCGTTGGATTTTACACCAAACACGTTGTTTGCGCTGTTTTTTTCTTTGTCGTGGTTCGCTGGATCGCTGGATCGCTGGGTATCGATGGGCCATGGGTCCGGCAGGGCGCGCGTGTCGCTGGTCCTTGTCGTGATGGCTCTTTAAATGTCGTCGCGACGGGACCTCGCGTCGCGGACACGCGCGCCATGTACCGGTTGCCAGGCTATTCGCAATTAGGTGTGGTAGACCATCCATGGGTCTACCACCTGGTCTATTCTCATGGTGAGTCTTCGCATCACAGTTCGGGGGTGGGGGGACCGTGAAGACGTTGTGCCAATCGAACCGCCTGGCCACGAATTAAGCTCAACTCCTCTGAGCGTCTGGCCCGGTTGAACCCTGCTTCCCTATATACTGTACCTACGACGACCAGAAGTTCTGACGACCCCTCCAGTATCCCATCCTGTTTTCTGGGTTCACGCCATGTCGTCTTGCGCACACTTTGGGGTACTATACTTACGACCTGGATCGTCGCTCGTGTAATTTGACAAACTCAAAACCACCTGAGTTGCGTAAAGGCTGAAGTCCTAAATAACGACACCTTGCCGGCAGTGTCCAACCTATTCACCTCCACCAGCACACTTTCGAAACGTCGAAACGTATTTCGCCAACGTGCGTCTGTGACGCGACGTGAAACACGACTGCCGAGTCACAGCACGTCTCTCCCTGCCGGCAGACGGTCTCCCCTCCCTCTAACATACTCAACATACACTTGTTACAGCCATGATCGGAACCACGGAACCTCCCTTGCCCTTTCCTCCTTTCCTTGTTCCCCCTCCTTCCTCTCCTTTCCCTTCCTCTTCGCCCTGTCCTCCCACACTACATGCCACTCAATCAACCACCCGACCCGTGTTGTTACGGTCGGTGTGCGATAAAATGGGTGGCAAGAATAACCATCCCAGCCTGCAGATCGCTCCTTCCTTTCTTTCCTCTATGGAAGCTATTCCGTGGAAGGCGCGTTGTTTACGGCCAGGACATGTCTTGTTACTGGGACTGTCTTCGTCATATGTACCTTCTGTCGTTTTACCCTCCAAACTCATGATGCAATCCCGTGTACCCGTGTTCTTCAGACACTGTTTCCCCGAGTCCCCGGGGTCCCCCGTGTGTGTAATTCCGAACATGTTACTGGTGTCACACTAACACACCCGCTGCCCCCGTCGTCCCCGAACAGAGCAGGTGATCTACGTCAGCTGTTCCCCAGCCGCGCCAGCCGCGCAGTAGATCGAGACTTGTTCACTCCAATGGAATCGGGCCTTGTCATGACGTCTCGGCTAGTGTGGCCGTGGTTGAACCTTATTTCTATGTAATGATCGCCGACGGCGCCACAGCAAATTAGCTGCTGCGCTACAGAAGTGACCCAAAGGACCCAAAGGACACTATGTATGTACTTGTACTGCCTCGTCACGTTCAGAGTGGCCGTGTCCTCGGGCGGGGATCAGCCGGCAGGAGATGAGGAGACAGAGATGACAGCGTGTGCTGAAGCATCCTTTCATTGGCTTCAGCGGAATGTGCTGGTTGCGGCGCTGCCCCCGCTGGCCGCTGGCATACCTGATATGCCATGGGTTGCACCACGTTGTACCACCGAGCATAAAACGACGCCACGACAGCTTGAAAGCAACTCTATGATGACGAACGGATGGAACGGAAGCGTCATGTCACTTTAGGGAGATTGCGCATAAGGAGGAGGCGTACATCGCGATTCAATGCCAATCAAGGTTCGCCTCGGATGCGCAACTATGTCTGGAGCACGAACACGTCGTACAGAGGATCTGAGGATCTGCTTTATAATAGGCAGAGTACAGTCCCCTGAGACAACACCTTACTGCTGAATGCGTGCTGCAGGGAGTGAGATTTGTTTCTGACTGGTTGAGATCCTTTACGAACGGCCTACCCACCCAAGCGCTGGAACGACACTACTGGCCCCAATTTTTTCTCTTGGCTCCAAGCCCCCGCAGCATCCGGATCGGCAAGAGTCTCAAGAGGGGTGGTCCGGCGAATGGGTTCGTGATACATGCCCCCTCGGAATCTGCGCACCATCTACATTGAATCGAGGGCACTCCCACGCTGCACCGGGGTTTTTTGCTCCACTGGAATCCATTCGATCGAAGGTTCATGGCCTCGGGTGGCGTACAGCTTAATGGTTCCCACTCTTGACTGGGTTTTGCCTTCTCCCTGTGTCGTCGAGCTGCGTACGCGGATACGAGACTGTCCTCACCGCGTTTCTCCTTGGGAATTGATCGGGAGCAGAGGACAAGTAAGGGAGCATAGAACACGGCGTCTGCGGAAGAGCGCCGTGTTCTAGGATTCCAACACTCCTCGATCCTCGGTGTCTTAGGTCGCGTGCGCCGCCCACGCGCCTCGTTCCCTCGCCGGCCACACAGCAATCCTTGCCTGCGAAACCCAACCACGTCCACAAAAAAAAAAGACAGAGTGGGTGTGGTGCAAGGCAGACGTTGTCTACGGCCGTGGTCTGAGCGGCCGTAGTCGTCGAGTTCCAGACGCAGCTGGGTCAGCAAGTAGGGTAGAGGCAAAGCACCTCTTGAGGTGGCGGCGCCGGCCGAGCAGGACAAGTCGACGTGACTGACGAGAGGCAAATTCCACGGCGTTCCTGCCAGCTTTAGTTTCCCGGGCAATGGTAACCACATCCGTTGACAGAGGGCACATGCCTCGTGCTCAAAAATATCATCCGGTTATCCGGTGGCTCTCTGGCTGACGCGTGCCCAAACCCTTTCGCCAGGTTGCAGCGTCCCGAGAAAGTCCACCTAGAATACATTCCCCAGAGAGGCTGAACGGGAACGTAGGTGTAGGGCCACGCCTTTATGTTGACCGTGTTGTTGCTCGGTTGTTGGGATTGCTTCGTTGTTCGGGTAAACTGGTCTTTGCCCTGGGATAAACAAGGCATTGAGCGGGGAGATGACGATGATATGTAGGTCAACATGATGTCGACGGCGCAGATCAGTAGAGCAAAAAGTACAGCTCCCTTTTACCCGGCCGTCGTTCCGAGAGCCCAAAGACGTCGCCACCATTTCATTTCGCGCTTTTCATTCATTAATGTCTTGGACCAAAGGCATTGTGGCGTTCGTCATCAGCACTTTTGCCCGCGCCGATAAAGGATGGCTAGGGAACATGACACCTGAACCCACAGATGGCGTCCTGGAGCCGGCGTGTGCCAGCGCCCTCACCATCGCGCCGTTGGCGGTGGTGGCTGCCGTCTTGGCGTTCTACCGAGAGACGCTGCATGCCTGTGCACTCACTGTGGGCGGTGGACGCGCAGAGGCTGCACGTGGGGCCAGTGTCCGCGTCCGCCGGCAGAGGCTGGGGACGCGGGAGAGGGTGGTGGAGTCGAAAGGGTGGTGGTATGCCCACAGTACCACAGGGCTGACGACCCGGTCAGCGTAGGCAGCCGCACCCGGCTCCATGCCCTGGAAACCCTGCCCAAGAATAACATTCAACGTCAAAAGCTGTGGTGTTCTGCCTGCACCGAGTGGGTGCCGGATTACAGGATCACAGGACGCTGGCCGCCGGGCGGCCTCCCGTCTCCCTTGCCAGGTTCATCTCGATCGGGGAGTTTTTTGTGCCCAACCTACCACACCCGGGCCACAAGGCACACGACGCGCAGGACGACGACATGCCCGACAATGATGCAATGGAGACGACGAGAGACAGAGAGGGAGGAGAGAGGGGGGGCAACTGGCAGTTGTTCTCTCTCCTCGTGCAGCAGGTTCTGCTCCCATGCGTCGCACATATGTTCGATTACAAAGAGGTGCCACCCCTGGACCACGGAGAATCAGAGGTGGACCACGAAAAAAACAGGGGCCTCGTGAAGGTGTCTCCCATGGCCATTGTGCTGCTGCTGCCTTGGTGCTGCCATGCTGTGGCCATTGCTGCTGCGCTGCCGCATGTTGCCTGTGGGGTCAGCGCGCTATAATTCCAGGCTATGGGCACAAACGCCCGGCCGCCATGCGGTGGTCACCATCGGCGCCTGTTTCGGGCAGCCCCCGCCGCGCGTAGCGCCGTAGCCCCGGACGTGCCGTGCAGGCAAAGACACGGCAGGCTTGCCCACAAGGTGCCCGTCGTATGCTGGAGGGGGGGATGAGGGACAGGGGCCGAGAGAGGGTCCGGAACCGATGGTTGGCTGCTGATCACCATATGATCGTCTATGGGCCTGCGACAGCAGAGGCAGGCCACAACCGACGAGAAAAGACGGTTCATTCCAGAACAGCTCAAGAGAGATAGATGTTGCCCTCTCTTCTCTCTCTCTCTCGTTCCCGCTCTAGGCGTCCCGATACTGCTCCCCCTCCTCCCCCCGCCACTCCCCCCCCCCAATCCCACATACCCTTGCCGGCCTCGCAGCCGTGCAAAACGCCCGCTGGTTTTTGCGCGACAGTCATCAACAGCACACCAGCCTGTCCCCCCGTCGGTCCGTCGCCTGCGACTCCCTCGGCATACCAAAAACCCGCTCAGATACCCTCTCCAACCGCGACCGTCAACGTCTATAAGATCATACCTACTCTCGGCCGGACCGACATTCCGCCCACATATCCGTGCCCAACAGGACACTTTCCTGGTCACACCCACGTTACCACTTTTGGTCCTCCGCCTCTTTCCCTCCCTTCCCTCCACCTTTCACAACCGCGCTCTTCGTCGTTTGTCATCTCTCTGTTCGCTCTCGACCTTTTCGTCTTTCCTCCCCTCTCTCTTTCCTCCCCGTCGTCCTCAGTCTCCGTCGTCGCTGTGCCGCTCCCCGACCGAGTGGAACACTTGCCGGATTGAGTTTAGTACCAGGTCCCAGGCCCAGCAACTGCAGCTGCAGTGATTTTCTGCCGTCCAGTCCGTAACTTGCAAGTTACATCTGTACGCGTATAGCGTCGTTTCCCGCTCCGCCACACCCGTACAGGCATCACCTCGCTCTCGCCGCTGCACCACCGTTTTTTTCATTCAAACCCGCAACCTGGAACGCGCGTCTGCCACGCCCGGGTCCAACCAAGGTACGTTTTGCGCACCTTATCCATCCACCCATTGCGTTGTGGCCGTTCCTATCCGTTTGTCCTTCCGCTCTCGTAGTCTTGCTCCTCCCACCGGACCCACACTCTTTGTAACTCTCAGTCACGCAGACCCAACGAGTCGGCTCACGGGTCATCGGGGGTGCGGAACCTCCGTGGAAGACCCAGACACCACCTCGGGTTACGCATATCAGGCAAACAGATCAGACGTCAGGCAAACGGCTCAGGCCAGGGGTATCCCGGGCTCGGGTTCGTTTGCCCCGGCTCTCTCTGTGTCGTCTTGTCTCCAGCCAGTAGTGGGTTCTGGCGGCACTCGGGGTGTTGTCTTTTTAGGACTGCGTACTGTTTCCTGCCTCTCTCCTGTTTGAGGTGTGCCCAGCTCCTGGGTCTTTGCTCCTAGATCCCAATGGCTCCAGGGCCCTTCCCTCGAGACTCCGGGTCTTCCGGGTCGACACTCTAGGTGTCCAGCCAGCGAGCCAGACAGTGGACAGCCAGCTGCAGCCAGACAGCATGACACGTTTTGTGTCTGCATTTGTCCGTCGTCGTCGTCGTCTGATCGTCTGGCTGGCAAAAGAGGCCAAATCCCATCTCGTTTTCCCTTGCCATGTCACGATACGGGGCCCAGGGGGTCGGGTCGGGTATGCATCAAGGGGGTACACCACGCGCCAACATGCCCTCCTCCTGGCCTGCCCAGCTTCCGCTGCTGGGAGCACGAGGTGTGAGGTGGGTGGCAGGCCAAGGCAAGCAGACGAAGAGATCAAGGCAACGCACCAGGCGTGTCCTTCCTCTGGCCTCTGCACTGCCGGCCAACGAACCGCGAGGTGTGCAGCGGCTGCTGTGCGGAGCGTGATCCCCAGCGGCCGGCCGTCGTCTCCCTGGTTGCGAAATGTCCTTTGCTGGGTCTGTCGCTTCCCCTCTCGTCTCCTTCCTCTCCCCCGCGCGCGCACCCAAATTACATATCCTGCCCCACCCGTGTACCCAACAGACCGCCCAGTCTGGTGCAAAAAAGCAAAACCCCAGCGTGCTTGCCCCGAGTTGTCTGTCCAAGGGCTGCACATGCCCAGCCCAAGACAGACCATGGCACCCGGGGTCTCGCATTTGCCACCTGGCTTGCTGCGCCAACATCCCCTTCTCGGGGGGGGCGGCGCCTCCACACGCTCGCTCTCTGCTTTCGGTCCTCGTCATTCATCCATCGCCTCATTTGCATTCTAGACTTGCTCCTTTCCCCACCTTTTGACACCGCCTTGTCCACAGCCCACCTATCCTCTTCTGTGCACTACGCGCCGTCCAGACTTCTGGACACTTGAGCGTGCTGCATGTTGCGTGCAATCCACCCCCCACACCGCAACTAGCAAACCAATCTTTCCCGATTCGATCAATCTGGCTTGAGGCTGCCCAATTCCCCTTTCCAAAACCCCTTTCCAACTTTCTCTTCCGAACAACCATTTTGTTGACACCGCTCTTCTTTCCTCCTTTCCAGGCCAACGCGAGCATACAAGACGGCACCGCATCCACATCGTTTACCGTGCTCGTGGCTGAGCCGACGGCCACAGCACGGTAACTCGCTGGGTACATCATGAACGTCGGCGGGTTTGCCATCGGCACGACCCAAAAGTAGGTAACGCCACGGCACGGTTCACCTTGTTTGCGCGCTGACAGCCATCTTTCAATCTTTCAGCACGTACCGGATCACGCCGATACAACAACCAGAACGTGGTCCGGTCATGAATGCACCACTGTCGCGTGTGCCAGTGGGTCCACCGGTCATCATCCAGCTCGACACATGGGACGAGGCAGGCGAGGTGATTACACCGTGAGTGTGTGACAATAGGTGTCCAAGAGTGGTAGTGCCTTTCTATGTCCTTGGCCTGCTCCATGGCCAGGCGGCGCTGCGCGCTAAGGGTTTTCCAAAACGTCCAGTTGAGGCTGATCAGGATTCCTTTACACCAGCTATCGCGAGTTGCCCTTCCTCGTCTGCCACTTGACGTTGCAAACACCAACCGGAGAGGACGCACAGTCGGTCAGAGAGAACGAGAATTCAACCCCAGTGCCAACACTATACGGTACAACGATCGCATCACCCGTGGAGATGAAGGACCAGAACGGCGAGGATGGCGTCTACTTTGTCTTTCCTGACATCTGTGTTCGATTCGCGGGAACCTTTCGTCTCAAGGCGTACGTGATGCGGATAACGGGGTAAGTCACGCTCGCGGACGGACGAAACACTTGGTCCGCAGGTGAACACATGGGCTAACGTTACTCCTGAAGTGGACCAGCACTGGACATGTGCATCACCGAATCGTTTGACGTCGTGCCAGAGCAGGAATATGTGGCACCAGGTAAGTGTCGTTGTCGCCTAAACCTCCTCTACGCAGGAGGATCAAGCACCTACACTGTAGGTGCTTGATCCTGCCTACAGCCATTGTCTCTATATGGCTTCCCTAGAATCCTTCGTGCTGACACCTGAAGCAGCTGTGACAGAGCTCACTCAGCACTTTGCCGCGCAAAACATCACCAGTTTTGGTCCACAACCTATGCAGGGAGCTGGGGACTGGTAAAGGAAAACCCAGACGCCCCCATGCCCTTGCTTCTCTTGTGACTCGTCGCCGACCGTCCCACACCCTCAGCCCTCGACCGACTCCTCCGAGGCTGGCTCCTCCGCCTCCGCGCGCAGAGGCCGCGTAGCAGGCTTTCGGACCCGACTCAGTTGCATCCCCCTCTCACACACAACCAACCCAACCCCTACAGCCCCCACTCGCCGGGGTCTCCGTGCGCGGAGATCTAGAGCTACCACCTCAACCCTCCCGACACGACACCGACAGAAGGCCACAGCCCCGCTTCCAATTGCCTGCATTGTCTCGGGAATGTTTTGGACATCCAGGCAAACACCCCGTGCGCTCCACGCGGATGTACCCTGGGACCCCATTGCTGAGAACGGAGAACGGGCGGTAGGAATTTTGGCATTCTCTCCTTCCCTCGCTATTTTTCAATTCTCTTCTACTTCTGGCAGACTTTGGTACCATAGCGGGGCTGCGCCTTCCTGTAACACGTACTGTAGCGCACTAGACCCGCCAGTTAGCTTAGTGTATAATCGGTGATGCCAGATCGCCGCCTGCCTCTTCCCTGTTGCCTCCTTGCCTCCTGTCCTCTCTGTCTGTCTCTTTCTGGCTCTTCATCGACTGCTCGCTCACTTTCTAGGCCAATACCTCACCCAGCGCCACGCACATTTCTGGGGCCACTGCGCTCCTGGGCTGGCATTGCGGACGGTGGGGGTTGGGGTGGCGGACGGTGCTGCGGAGGCCTCATTGGATCCAGGTGAGCTGTGCGTGCATGGTGCGGACGGCCAGCCAGGTAAGCTGCAGCCAGCAAACGGGGTCACGCAAGCCACCACTCACGTAACAGCAGGGACGTCAAGGACCAGCACGTCCCCTGTGGGCGCCCACGCTGGCGAGCCCACTGCCCCTGGTGCTCTCGGGGCCCCCAGAACCAGCTCTTCGTTTTCTGGTTTGTGCGCGTGGACCCGTAAAAAGTGGCGTGGCGTGCATGCGCGGCCAGGCGCCCAAAGGACCCACAGGATAGGATATCGTCCACCTGCGTGGCACCCACTGGGCCGGGAAAGGTGTTCAAAGGCGACGCAACAAGGCGCCAAAAGTGGTGGCCAGTGGGCGAGTGGGGCAGTGGATAGTGTGGTATGCTGCCCCCCCCCCCCCCCCCTCCTCCCCTTCGTCCCGCAACGGAGTCAGCACGCTATCGGAGTGGGTCTCTTTGCCCTGCCCCTGATTCACTCTGAGACTCGTCTCATTGAGATCCAGGACACGCCTTGACACATCCGAACAGCACGAACCATGCAGTGGCGTTGAAAAAAAGACCAGAGGACTGTGACATTCAATGGTCCACAAGGCCGTATCGGGCCTGCGTCGGTCGCTGCACGTTTGTCCGATATATCCCAACACCTGACGGTTAGCTTCACAGATCACATTCAACAGGCCAAACGGAGCCGCATGAGGGACTTGCCTTCGGATGGGGGAACTTTCGGGCACCAGCCCGAACCGTAAGGCAAGCCTTTGCGCCACTCTCTGTGTCAGCTATCAGCGACGTAGTGCGCACTGGTGCTTTTTTGTCGTTTCTTTCAAAGAAAAATATAGAATAGAAAAAGCTCCTCGGGTCCAAAAAGTGAATTCTAGTCCTGGCGTAACCGCGATAGCGAGCGACGACGATGAAAGCAAGCTGCGCTACCTCCTTGGAGACTGTTGTCGACTCCGCAGCACCACCACGGCCCAGACGAATACCTTGCCGCCAAAGCTCTCTGATGTGCCGCGTGGTTGGTGTGACGATGAGGCAAGATACGTCGGCGAGGCTGCAGGTGTCATGCCTGTGCGCAGTCCTGTTGCTCGACCTCTTCATCGGTACTCGCACATGCGTGACCTTGTGTGTGACGGAACACGTCGCTGCCGGTAGCGCGAAATGGATGCACTGACCAACTTGGCACTACGCCGTAGCGATCACCGCCTGATTCATCGGTGGCAAACAGTGCACACGGGGCCACTCTGCATGTCTTGTCGATTTATCGCCAGAGTATGACAAGCAAGAGGCACCACACGGCTGTCTGTCAACAGTCACCGACTTGCGACCACAGCCCCTGGGCGTCAGTATGTCTCGGGTCGGGCTCCGGGGAAGCCAAGGTGGCGTACTCAGGTTCGTCCAGAGACTCGGGACAGGACTGATCGTGTCGCAGCAGCGGTCGACGTTTCGAATCGACCCAGCAATTCGGGAGGATGACAGTTTGGAAGACACGGCGAGGAGGAAGAACACCTCGCGTCCCAGAGACGGAGGTGATCCGTGCCCAGCTGGCAGTGTCCAGCTGCTTGGCCTGTGGCCTGTGGGCTGCCCGAAAAAAAATGTGGCTTACAAGCTCGCCCGCCGGCTGTGCTCTTCCCGCTACCTCCCCGTACTCGTGCACAGCTCTTTTGTCAGGACCGTATTTTTCACGCTTTTGCTGTTCAATACCCGTGAACGGAGGGAGAGGAACACAACCATTAGCTTTGGCCGATGATCGGCCAACGTACACGTTCTCCCAAAGCCGTGGCGCCGATCCAGACCTCACGTCACTCGAGTGCTGTCCTGTGCCTTGCACGGTGTGCCTTTTGGGACCTTGCCAGGACCTTGGCCCCAATCGTTTGGTTGGACCCCGCGCAGTACATCCGATCCGCGTATGTGACCACGTCAATTGGTGCCGCTGGAATAGACCTCCCAAGCTCTCGGGTGATGTGTCGTTACCGAGAACGAGTCTGGTGCTTTTCATCCAAGTGGCTCGTCTCATACACAGCTGGTGTACCTGGTGCGTGTGACTGTCTGGGCGGCATGTACTGTACCTGAAGGGTGTCGCATTCCGGAATGGGCAGGGGGAGAGCAGAACATGGAGACAAGGACACCTCGTCGTTGACAACCGAGTGGAGGCCGGGCACAAAAGTTGCCACCAACGTGCGCCTCGAGTGTCTGACGCTCCAGTCTCGCTCCAGACAGAGCAACAAGCTTGTGAGTGCCACCATCCAGACCCAGACGGCCTTCGGTTCGGCCTTTGAGAAAGCACCCACGTACTGGTGTCACGCACCATAACGTCACTGCCAAACCAGGGGATGAAGGAAGCAAGTTGTGGGTCTGGAAACTATTCCCATCAGTCCGTGTCCGGACCTGAAGAGCTCAAAGGAGAGGCGATGAAGACGATCCATAGGTAAGCAGGATGCAGCGGGATGACACTCTCCACGCAGTTACGGCCCTTACAGGTTACTGAATCATGTGGTAATGGACCCAGTATCCTACGTGGCGCGGCAGATACTTGTCCGGCCCTTGCGCGTCGCAGTGACAACCCCAGTTGTTCCCCAGTGGTCTCGAGTAACGACACAGTGGCTGAGGCCACCCGGCTGTTGGTGACCCAGGCACACGCACAGCCGATGGTGACCCAGAAAAAACCGACCCAAAAGGAACTTTTAGGCGGGGAGAAGCGCTCCACATCAACCCCCCCCTTGTTAGCGAGCTGCCCACGTACGGCCATCCATTCCACACCACCCGCCAGTGCACAGTGAACGAAACATCTCGACAGCACACACTGATTACTGACCCCGTTTACTGGGTGAAGGGTAGGCTGTGCGTCCCTCAAGCCAACGACGATCACTGTTGTGCCGAGACAGCCAGACGTACAGGATAGCGTGTGGCGCAGGATAATCGACACATATAAAGTTCAGAAAGTGGGCCACCGAGCCCTTACCCCACACGCACCCCAGTGTGCGCCGTCGGTCGCTGGTGTCATGGCCACAGACGCTGCGCCGTTGTCAAACACGCCTACCCCCCCACAACTCGAATGATCGAAACGCCTGTGCGGCTTTTGGTCATGTGCGTGGGAGTCTTCTCAATGTCTGGAGGCATAACGCCACAAGACGCCGCAGCCGGCGTACCTCGCTGCAAATGTCGCACAGTGTGTGGTCCACACCATATTCGACATGCAGTCTGTCCTCCATGTCCCGGGCACGACGTGCTCGCCTACATCTTCAAGCACGCTGGCGTTCAATTGCAAAGAGGCATTTTACTGTATGGAGAACGTGCGTGAAGTGATGACTTGCGCACTGGAGCCTTGCAGTCACCTTGCCGTTCTCCGGAACCTTTCGCATGGGAACATGCCGTTGGGGGCTGAAGTGGGCGTCAGTCTTAAATACATGTTCTCCCCTTTGGCCATGGCTGAACCAGCTCAAACGTTGCGTTGTGAGTGGAGATTCTCGCTCAGCGGGATGAACCGATAACCACATCGGCTGTTCGGGTCACCCTATCACGGCGAGTGCAGCCCGTCTACAAGTGATCAGGTTTGTTAGACCGTGGATGGTTGACGCAGAGTCATGTGGGTTGGATAGTCGAACGGTAGAAAATACGACGAAAATCATTTCAAGTGATCCGCTTCGATCGCCATGGGGCCCTCGTGTACATATACATCTTGCGGAGGTACCGCCAGTTTTTCCATCACGTCCTGGAGAGCGTCAAACATCCGGTCAGCGAGCCTTGCCGGCATGGATATTGAAAAAGCGAAGCCTGGACCCAGTCAGTCGATCAGACGACATGGTTTGGATGTTAGCTGATCCGTGCCTCCTTTCACCGAAACTCGACAAAAATAATTCGCTTTAAATTCAAAGATTATTTGAACACCGTCCTCTTTTGGACAGCAAGTCGAGGCAAGTTCCTTGTAACGCTTTCTCAGACACTGGTCTCCCCATTACCACCGCAAAGAGGTACTAGAGGGCCGAGAGGACGAGGACGACAACGCAGCCGAGGATACCCGCAGTCGGGACGCCTACGCGCAAGGCGTCGCTCTTCGCAGCCGAGGTTCCAGCAGCTGCCGCTGCCGCAGCCGTAGTGCCAACCGCTGCAGCGGTGGAACCACCGCCGGCGACAGCTGCTTGCGTGGTTCCCGAACTTCCACCGGCAACTTGGGTGGCAGTCGTAGGTTGAACTGCGGCGGCAGAGGCGACGGCCGCAGAGGCACCAGCCGCGGACGCCGAGGCAAGAGCCGCAGATGCGGATGCGGCCGCAGCTCCAGTTCCCGTGGCGTTACTGTCTATAAAGTGTCAGCACTCCTCCTGGCACATACGGCTTTCTTAGGTCCTGTCAGGACTCACCATCACAGCAGCCGGTGGGGTCGGTCGTACAACAGTGCGAGCCCGCGGTACACGTTATGGTGAATCCCGCTGTCTTCGTCAGTATGTGTCTCGCTCTTCAAGGCAAACAAAGGACCTACCGCAGCATTCGGCCCCAGGAAGGGCACATTTGGTTGCGTCGGCGGCGCACGGTACGTATCCAGCCTCGCAGCCATTGGATCCGGAGCAGTCTTTCCCATTGTCGCAGCATCCAGCTGTACCATCTGACTGCGTGACACAGTAAGTGCTGAGACAGTTAGCTTAGGCCTCAAAGAGGTCAGGTTCTCCACATCGTCGCGGCAGGCTTCGATAAGCACTCACCCAGCTGCACAAGATTTGCCGGTGCCAGCTATATAAATCAGTTACTGAAGCGACGCGCAAGTTGAGAACGGATCACTCACGACAACAGGTCGCTCCCGGCGGGGCACAGAAGCTAACGTCGGTCGAACAAATGAACCAGCCAGAAACGGGACAGATGATGGTGTCGCGCCTGCCAAGGGAGAAGGAGCGGGGGTCGACCTCGCCGCCGACGGTCGCGTTGCTCCACGACCGGGGGGCGCTGGCCACGCTGTGAGCCTGGGCGACGGCGGCAGCGGCGACGGCAATTGTGAGAAAACGCATGGCGGGCTGAGTAAAGGACAACGTTGGTAAGGTCGAAGGGCGTCTGTGGCGTTGAGAGTTCAGGTGGACAGATACTTCTTGGAGTGGTGTTGGGAAGGGGCGAAAGATTGAGTGCGAGACGAATTCTGCTGGGATGGGTGACTGAAAGTTGCCCCAAAGACTGCGCCTTCATATACTCATCAGAACTCCTCCATCAAAGCTTGGCAGGCCACCGAAGAAGCACTTTGTGTCTCGTCTGGCCAGCCTCGGCGCCGCTACACCATTGCAGCACCGCCCAATGACCGGTAGCCGACGGGCTTGAACATGGCAGGAACGACATTCCATTGTGTGTTTCTACCACAGTCACAACCTGCTAGCGGAGTGTCGCGACCCACCGTTCTGCACAGGCCCTCGCTCGGAACAGCAGGGTTGTGTTCCACGGGTACTGCGGTGCTGCGCCTCAGCACTCGACACAGATTGGAAAGCCCGTAAGCATGAAAGTGAAGTTGCCAGGGACCACTGAGAGGCACTGGTGCGCCAACCGCCTCTGGGTGGCACTCGGTGCACAGGGTTCGCGTTTAGAAGTTGGCTTCTTTCTGGGCTTCCTGCGCGCCGGACCCCCCTTCGATTCATCGAATACCAATGCCTGGCCACGTTCTGTTTCGTAGGCGGTGCCACAGCCGCCACGGGGAACAGATAGGTACCTCGGTGGCAGCGGTCTTGATGGGTGAGGCCCCCGAACCGAACAGTGACACTACTGTCACTCTCCTACACATTCGACCAACTTACCCCAAGCATAACATGTCAAGTGTAAACGATACACGCACTGCGTCCCCTTTGTGTCAGAATGCACAGACCGTCCACTGCATGCTGCTTACTGGCGAAGCCCAGCTCGTGTGCAGCGTTCCAAACAAACAAACAAAAAAAGCCACACACTGGGTACTTTCTCATGAACAGTGCCAAGCCAAGTGCGACTGATGAGGTTCGCACACCAAGGTTCTAGCCAACAAGTGGGCTGCCCCACCGACTGTCTGCCAAAGATATCTCATGAAGATAGATACGGGAGGGATGTGTACCCGATGAGGTAAGGTGTCGAGCCTGCTCAGACCTCTGCCTGAGCTTCAGTCAGACTGGCTTTACAACACCGACACCGACACCGCACAGATAACGACCCATGTACCGCCCCCGCATAGCCTCACCGTATCAGCACCGCGTATGGCGGCGGCAAGTTGGGGCTGTCGTTTTGAGGATCCATTCGCGTCTTGTAACGCCATGTTTAAGCCACGTTTTGGCCGAGGGTGCCGCCGACAATTGAACAGGCTGACAGGAAGCCATGGGTTCACCGGTCTTCCACTTGAAATGCATCGAGCTGTGATTGCAAGTCCTGAGGGCTCCTTCAGCTGGAAAGGCACGACAGCACGGCCCCCCTAGCGAGCCCAGACTTTGGGGAGTTCAAAGGCGACTTGGTGGTCGTGTGTTTGTCAACAGTTTAGGAAACAAAATGTGTATGGCCTCAAGACCATTATCGCGTTAAGCATGAGGCAAGGAATGAGATAAAATCAGCCCAAGATACACGCTGCTCATGCACTTTGTGAACTGCCTGCGCATGAAACGTGACAACAACAACGTGGATACAATGACGTGTCATTAATAATCCCGGTATCACTTCTTCCCACAACGTGACTGACTTCTGTGTCATTTGACCCCGCGCACGTCACAAACACGGCGGGCCATTCTGAACAACAACACTGGGAGACGCAGCGACACAACACAACACACCCACAACACCCCCCGTCTAGTCCTGTCACCTGCTGTGCCGAGCCCACCATGGCCGAGCTGAGCGAGCATGAAATCCTGTGGAAGTAGGTCATCGTCGCCATCACCCATCACTCACATTTCAGCACCCCGGCGCTCACGTCCCTGCGTCGCCAGCAGCTTGTTAGCCTGTCAAAGAAGTACGGCCTGAGGGCAAACGGCAAGGTGAGTCAACCCCCGTCATTCCCCGCCCTTCACAGCCTGATTCACGCTAACCCTCCGCCCAAACAGAACACTGAAATGGTTCAGCGGCTGCACGAATGTGAGTTTGTCTTTGTCCTTCACACCATCCACAACCACTCACTCTTGCAGTCGGCCTTACTCTCACACCTGACGCCAAGACTGCGTTCAACTTTGCCGCCGCGACTGCCGTAGACAACTCGAGCCCGACCAAGATGACTGCGACCCGCGATGACGACGATGTGCAGCTGGCGTCTTCCCCGGTGCGCCACTCACCAACAGTGGTGACCAACACATCCAGCCTTGAACCCCGGGTCGAGCGGAGGATTGGGTTCCCATCAGCGACCCCAGTTGAGGCGCCCGTCAAGCCATCAGTCCGGTCCCCTCGAGTCCGCGAGTCCGAGACATGGGAGCTTCTCGACACTGCCGACTCGAGCTTGATCGAGATGGAGATTGACACTGGGGACGAGTCAGCAGGCAGCACCAAGTCGTGGAAGACGGCCACCAACGGCAAGGCGATGGACGACTTCAACCCCAGCGCCAAGCCATACGGAGAGCTCCGCACTGTTGGCTCAATCAAGTCTTTTGCTAGCTCGATCAAACGCAAGGCTTCGCGCACCCTCTCGGGCTCGCGCTACAAGGATGATGGGCCAAGTGTTGTCCCCGGTGCTCCTCCGATATTCCTCGCTCATGAGAACGAGCTTGAGGAAGAGGAACAGGAGATGCTCCCAGGATCCCCAGCCTCTGCCATCGGTGTTGTCAAGCGCCACTCGACCATGTCACTCAACCATCGTCCGAGCACCATCCGTCTCGTGTCTCCCTCGGCCGCTCTCGTTCTGGAGGCGATCAAGTCACCGTCGCCAGACTTCTCTCCCGCCATCGACGACGATCTCCCACTCACGGGACAGAACTCGATGGAGCTCATCAAGAAGCGCCGCTCGGTTCAGCTTCAGGCTGGTCGCTCGCCGCGCAAGTCAGTTCGCCCTTCTCCACGCAAGTCGCGCGTCCGTGCTTCCATGCCCCTTTCGCCAGTGGGATCCTCCTCCGCCCTTGCCACTTCCGCCTCGATTCTGAACGTCTACCCCTCACTCCCTGACGTCGACCACCCCATGACCCCCATCAAGCAGGTGGCAGCGTCCCCAGAGGTCCCCGGTTCGTACCCCAAGAACCCAACCTCTCCCTCGTTTGTCTTTGGGGCCGGCAATGGTACTACGAGCGCAGACTTTTCGGATGCCGGCATGAAGCTCCTGCAGGAGATGCAGGCCAAGATGGGTGGCGCAGGCAGTTTCAACACCGAGCTGCTCAAGGGCAAGCGTGCTGAGGTTACCAAGCTCGTGTCTGTCAACCAGCGAGTCGGCTCTGGTTCCTCATCTGGTGGCTGGGGCCTGTCGTCCTCAGCCAACGCACCCAAGGACCGCTTCGCAGAGATTCACCAGCGCGAGTTCTCCAAGATGCAGTCCATCTCCCAGCTTGGGGACAAAGCGCGCTCGACCTCTGTGGGATCCGCCAAGGTCAAGACCGACGTGCCCATGACTCCCGGCACCAAGCGCAAGGCTTCCAACCCAGAGCCGATCGTCAGCCCCGGCAAGCGCAAGCTGGAAAGCAACTCTGCCTCCCTTTCCACCACGGTCAATGGCCTCCCTGCGAAGGCACCCGAGGCCGACGGGGAGGCCCGTGGTGCCAAGCGCACCAAGGTGTCTCTTGTTCACAAGGCGTCGACTGGACTCAAGTACTTCAACTCTCTCCGTGGCGGCTCGTCTACAACTGCTCGTAAGGACACCACTCCCAACCGCATGCGTAGCAACCTGCGCGGCAAAGAGAGCCGTCCCCGCTTCGGATTCCTTTCCTCGAAGGCGTCTGTGCAGAGCATCGACAGCACCACCTCGGATGACTTTGTCAAGATCTCTGGCCCGGATGAGACGTCTACCAAGGGCAAAGCGCCGCAGATTCCTTCAGTCGTCGCCACCGAGCCTACTCCTGGTACTCTGCGCCGTGCAACGGTTGTGCAGGCCAACATGCAGAAGAGTCTTTCGAAGCGTGCGCCTATTCCCCAGTTTGGTCCTCCCGTCACCAAGGTTCCGCTCAAGGACGCCGACGACGACACGGTCACTCGTCCCGCCCTGCGCAAGACGTCCACTCCGTCCACAGCGTCATTGAGCCGCTCGCACCGCAGTGTGGAGCTGAACCGCACTGCATCGGGCGATGACCTCAAGGGCAGCTTCAAGTCAAAGGGCTTCCCCTCTACCGTCCGCGAAGGCGCTGCCACTGCTCGTGACACCCCGCCACGATCCCTCTCGTCTCGACCATCAACGCTGTTCGCCCCTACGGCGTCGTCCATGGCTCGCATGCAAGCGACGGTCAAGCCTCCTGGTGCCTCCGCAACTGCCAGCCCAATGCCTCGCCCTCTGCCCCGTCCTCCCAAGCCTTCCGGTATTCAGATTACAGGTCCCCAGATTGCCACCACGACACCATTTGGTGCTGCCAACAGCCGCGCCAACCACCTGTTCGAGAGCAATTTCCACCTGCCCCCCAAGGCTGGTGACAAGCCCAGTGGCCTTCCAAAGATGACAAGCTCCCCCTCGGCCGCCTCCCTGCTGTCCCCGCGCAAGCGCCCTGCGGCGGTGACGAGCAGTCGCCCAACCATCTCGTCGCCCATGCGTCTTGGTACCCTCAAGTCTCCGGCTCGCGCTAGCCTTAGTGCGCAGCGTGCGCGTGATCGCGCGTCGGGTGTCGCAGGCGTCAAGGCGCGCAACCACGATGATGCTGGCGTCGCCCAGCGTCGTGCAGACATCAAGGCCAAGCACGACCGTGTCCGCGAGGAGCGCGAGCTGCGCAGCATGCTCGGTTAAATGCTGTCGTCTCTGCAGTGAACTTTCGGTGAAACCTCTCCCAAGTGCCCAATCTTCCGCCCGCCCTTCGCCACTTTGGCACAGCGACGGCCGTGTCCCTACATCGCGACCCCTCAACATACCTCAACCTACCACGCCGTGACCATGTGCCCAGTCTCGGCTTGCATGTGCCCGCCCTGCACCCCGTCCCCCCTATTTGTGACCCGGACTAGTCCTCTGGGCCTATGTAACATAGCAGCCCCCAAATTGTGTGCATGTAAACGAAGAAGTCTCTTGATGCCATCACGGACAGTCATGGGGAAATGGTACACTAATGTTACAATGCTCGCCTTCTCTGACATTTTCCCAGTTTTACACTTGGTCACCTCCCTGCAACCGATCAGAGCTCGGGGTTTCAACCTCACGTCGCAGGTACAGCTGTCGCCGTCGGCACAGGGGCCACGCCTGTGGTCGCCAGCCCGCGACAGAGCACCATGCCGTCCTGCGCACCTTCGCAGGCCGGGTACCACGTTGGTGCGACCGAAACTCTGGCAGGGGAGACGACACGCGCTGTCGGGTCTGCCGTGCAGATAGGAGCAGTGGCGCTCTGGCCGCGGGTGATAGGGGAGAAGGTCGCAGTGGGATGGGACACGGCCTTGAGCTGAGTAGGGTAGTTGGTCAGTGCAGCTCAATGAGATTATGGCAGCTGGTCCGATTATGGCAGCTGGATCGTAGACTCACCACAACGGGGACAAACCCGCCAGTCTGCACCTGGAACCTAGGGTGTCCCGTGGCCATGAAGAAGGCATTGATGACACCCGAGTGCACTGTGATGCTGATAAACGTGTGCGGGTCCGTGGCGAAGATTTCGTTGAGGACAAGGCGGAGGCGGACGGCCTCCTGCGTGTCCGTCTCCTGGTAGACGGGGTCCCAGAGCGGGTCGTGCTCCGTGAACGAGGGCTCAAAGGTGTAGTCCGGGTACGTCTCTGCGAGCAGAGACTTGGACGAACGCTTATCGCAGGTGTGCAGGCCGATGATTTCGCGGAGGTTCTCCTTGATCTGGATCACCCAATATAATATTCAGCTCACAGGCCTGGTGGCGTACATCACAGCTGGACTCACCACCGGACGGACACCCTTGTCAATCGTGATGTCGCTCCACGTGATATTCAACGTGCTCGCCGACCGACGGAGCGGGCTCGAGTAGAATGACTGAGGGATGGGAACGCCATCACTTATCTGGTCTTTCCATCCTGCGTTGGCTGCAGCGGCCTGGTCCTCGCCCAGAGGGGTGAGCTGGGCGTCGGGTCCCTGTGTGTTAGTCGGGTTCCACAGTGGCAAAACACGTGTCGAAGCCCCAGCATGACAGATGGGCCCCATTCCCCGACCAAAGCCGTGGTCACGCTCGCCGTGGAACTGTCTATCCATACGTGTGCGACAGCAGTGTGGACCGTCGATTCCACAGCTTGGAGGCGTTGGGTGCAACCGTTGACTGGTTGCCAGGCGCACGTTCCATTCTCACTCACCCAAGTAAGCTTCCCATCGCCGTCCAGTAGTGACCAGTAACAGTTCCACGCAGGCGTGCCGTACCGGCTCTCCGCGACATTGTGCCAGCCCTGGCCATGACGCGCGATGAAGATGACCTTGTACGTCGTGTGCTCGTCGGCATCCTCATTGAGCGAGGTAATGAACCTGCGTGTGAGCATGCGTAAGACTTGGAGAGAGCGGTCCGGGTGAGTCAGATGCCCATCGTTCACCCACAACCCCGCCGAAACACACTTTGTAAAGTTCTTCCACCTGCCCGCGCTCTTGTCGAGCAGGCCGAAACTATCTTGGAGCATGTCGTACCCCGTAGCATTGAATCCCGGGTCGGACTGCACGAACAGCCCCGGAACGACAGTGTAGTTTGCGGGCGCAAGTGTCTTGCCGCCATAGGAATCCGCATCATGTCCGGCGCGGTGGTGACCGAACGGCAGCGTCACTATCGCTGCAAACAAGGCGAGCACAATCGCAAACATGGCCGCTGTCGCAGAGTAGGCTGCGAGGCGAGCGATGCGCAAGTGCGTGGAGACGGAACGGAGGCGGGCGTCGAGGAAGAGGCTCTCGTCGGCGTACACGTCGCCATCTTGGGCGTCTTGCTGGCCTACGAGGAGCGGGGTGGCTTCGTCCACCCCTGCGGCTGTGTCGGGGCCTCCCTTTTTTGGAAGGAGCATGTCGAGGACTTGTTTTGAGGAGATGGTGGATGAATGTGTGGTGGAAAAGAGTCGACGGCGGTGTAGCTTGGCGTCGTTTAGATCCAACGAACTTGGCCTGGGTGGCGGATGACGTCACCGCAAACATGGTTGTTCCGTGTATACCACTCATCCCATTTCAGTAGAAAGTCTGAATGTGTTGTTCTGACATTGCTCTTCATCTCTTCTCAGCACTCTAGACTAATACATCCATCCTACGACAATGGCAGGATTCGGCCACAAGCACAACGTCCACAAAGCCTACAAACCCATGGCGGCCCAGCCCCAGCTCGACGATGACATTGTTCACCCAGCCATGGAGCAGGAAATCAACCCGGGCCTGACGTCGGCAGGAGAGCCCATTTCGCGCGTCGCACCTGACATCAACCCCGCCAACGGGGGGTACGTCGAGGACGGCCAGCAGGCAGACACATCCCCTGGTTCTGGGGACGCTGTCGGCGACAGACACGTGTCGTTGAGGGACAAGGTGGGTGGCCATGAGGGCAAACTGGCCGTGCAGAGCTGACGAGTTTGGGGACAGATAGAGGGCAAGGCCGAGATCTTCATGGGCAAGGTCACGAAGAACGAGGCAAAGATCGAAGAGGGTGAGGCCCGTCTCGAGGGCGAAAAGCTGGCTGGTTAGAATGGACACATTTTGCATTATTTGCGACCCCTCCTTATCTCGACTATAAATAAGAAGCGTAGCGTACAAGGAATAAGAAGTGTAGCGTACAAGGGCATCGAGCCCGATCCTCCCTGTATCTGGAGGAGTGATGGAGACAAGAGTTGACAAAGGATGGGGATGGGGTGATTACTTATGGCCAGCACTTCACACGTGTATCAATACTCCTAACGATCAAGACGAACGGCGAGTTACAGCCTGTCAGAGGCAGCGTGCGCACTGGTGTTGTCCGACCCCGAGGTACTGACCTCCAAGACATGGACGTCGGCATCACGGTCGAGACTCTTTGTGCTAGCGTCGTTGACAAGCGTCGTCTCGGCCTTCTCCTCTTCCATGTCAGGGATGGTGTCCAGGCCGGGAATGCCGGCGTGGCTGAAACCCATCTCGGCCTCGGACAGGCTGCCAGTCTTGTCCAGGACCCCAGGACGGTTGATGGACTTGTTCGACTTGCGCGCCTTGTACGTCTCGAACACGTCAGTGGTGACATCGACCTGGATAGCTTGATCTCCGGTAGCGGGTCCGCCACCCTGGAACTGAGTGTGTCAGTGACCACTCGCCAGGAGCATGGGGGTGTTAAGTGTATTACTCACGGTGGTGGTATTGCCCAGCGTGACGTTGGTGGGCGCCAATTTGAAGCGCGAGTTGAGGGAATAGAGCAATCCGATGGCGTACAACGACGTCTGAACACCGATAATCAATGGACCGAGGAAAGACCAGGGTTGGATGACTTTGGAGAGTGAGCATTATAGGTGAACGTGAACGGTATGCAGTCAGACAACACTCACTGTATTCGCAGATGAAGAAGATCGTGAGCAAAGTAGGTGGAAGCTGAGTGAGGAAACACATCCTAGACGGGTAAATCATATGTCGTCTGCCCGTGCCAGAGTAATAGAGAAGGACGCACCTGACCAGCTTGGTGATCATCTGGGTACATATGTCAGCTGCTGCCTGTTTTCTGTCCAGTTGTGGCCCCACCTTGTCCGTGTAGGACCAACCCGTACGGGTTTTGTAGAGACCGTACGCGATGGTGACAGTAATCAGAATGTCGGCAGCCAAGAGACATGAGATCCAAATGAAAACGGCTCACAAAACGTCAGAACTGTTCCCCTTGCAAGGCGGACGGACATTAAACTTACGGACACGGATTTTATGGGCTTCGAGCTCTGAGGCGACTGTCAGGTAGAGGAAATGGTTGTACATGGCGCCGACAAAGGATCCGGTGATGAGGACCTGTGAACAAGTCAACGCCGGGCCTTTACTGAACACACCAGCAGTCGACTTACAGCTGAAATACCAGCAATCCACCAGTTCCGGTTATTGAGACGCCAAGCGCGATAAGCGAAGAAACTCTGGACGATGCTTGACGCCAGAGCATCCATGACTGGGAACCAGGACCTGCCGAATCAGCGCTTGTGTCTTTGAGGTAACCTGTACCAACAAGTGATACACCTCAATGAAAGGCGCGTACAGCCCAAAGTTCTTCACAAACTGACAGCTGTAAGCGCTCCCCATTTCGACTCAAGTTTGTTTCTCCGCTCACGAGGTACCACATCCAGTAGATCCAGTAGACTGCGAAAAATGAGTTTCAAATTTAGTGGGGGTTTTTTTTTCAACAGAAAGGAGACTCACCAACGACAGCGACGTTCAAGATCGTTGTGGCAGACAGAATGAGTTGGATCCAAAGACGGTCGCGTTGTTTGCGCTTAGATCCCATCAATGTCTGTCATCGGAACGTCCCCCTCACCTTGAGATAAGTGAACAACATCATGGTGTAGATGCCACTGATCAGGTCAGCTATCTCTTGCGAAGGCACATGTGGGTGGGGGGTTCGTACAGATTGAAGCAGTTGATCACGAGGCCGACAAGAAGGCACGCGAGCGAGAACATCTGGTCGTTAGCTGAACCGGAACGCGGAGCGTGGGAGTGGCAGAGCCTAGTTGCTGCAGGCTGCAGATTGGCTGAGCTCACCTTGGTCGGGGCAAAGACCTCGTCTGCCTGAACTTCAAGCGGGTCGTTGGGATTCCAGCGAAGAGCGTGCAGAATAGGTGAGACCGATGACATGGTGGGCGCAGTCACTGGATGAGGAATTGAGCGAAGAATTGCGGGGTTGCGAGGTGGGTGGGTGGTGGATGCGAGGTGGGTGCGTGGGGCTGGGGTAATGCCAATACCACGGCAAAACGAGCCACGAGTAGAAGCAGAGGTGGAAGTAGTAGGACGAGCAACCAACGGCGGCGAGCGAGCCACAAACGAATGATGGATTAGATGGAGGAAGAGGGAGGAGGGACTGGAGCGTGAGTGTCTGCCCTCTTGCCGGGGGGCATATGTATATCCAAACCAGGCGGTACCGTCGTCACATGTGTCGTGATGAGTGGTGAGCGTCCTCGCCCCCAAGATCCAGGTCCACAGGTCATCAAACGTCAAAGGTTCAGGCTGATGTCCATACGCCACATCAACACCACTAAAGTACACAAGGATGACGCTGTCCCATGTCACATTCCGCTAGGTGCTTCCAAACGGACGCGCGCGGACGCACACGAGACAGGACCGCTTCCCTATGTACACATGCGCACAACACAGTGGCGTCCCGGAATGCACGCGAGCTGTTTGGATGGGAACGTGGGCGACTGCGATATGCAGCGTGAAATTCTCATGCAGGATTGATATTCTCAAAGGAGGAAACCCGCCACAATCACGATTGTCATCGATTGAGGAAGGCTTGGCGCAAGCTATTCGTGCGTGAGAACTCTTAACACGGATCAGTCGTCGTTGACAATGCGCCAGAGAAGACGGCTAGATTGAGCTAGGCTCGCGTGTCTCTGTCTGTCACCGGAGTCGAGAAAGCGCAAAACGGAAGGGCTGGCCCCTCGAGGATTGCAAGTCTCGCCGCCCAGCTGCCGTCACTTGTTCTCACAGGAATGTGAATGGCCTCAGGTGATGAACCCATTGTAGTATGGTGATTATGGTGGTGCATTAGCACACGCGTAGGCGCGTGGTGGTAGTAGGTTATACGTTACTCTAGTATACTCCCGTGTACATGCTCTCCCCCAGGCCTTCCCTGGTTCACAAGGCCAGTGGTTAGGGGGTGGAGGTGGCCGCCTATGGCTCAAGGAAAGATGCCAAGATACCGCTCAACCGAGACGAACAGGATCGGAATCGCGTTGGTGGCAATGTATCCGATGCCGCCGTAGACAATGACCTTTGTGAGAACTAAAACGTAAGCGCAACCTCTCACAGATAAGCTCACCTTCTGCATCGTAATGCTGCGTGCCACGCCTGGGCGCCCTGTGCGAGTTACCAGCAACGAGATCGAGCTGGTGCTTCTGCAAGGAGGCAATGCCGTTTGGACGCGAGTTGGAGCGGACGCGCATGCGAATCACCTGGTCATCACTTCCACTGCTGTTGCCGCTCATGGTGCGCGCCTTGGCGCCCTTAATGTTCTTGGCAGTGGGGACAAGAGGGGAGGGGCTGCGTCTCGCTGGGGAGGAAGAGTTCGAAGCAGAGAGATAATCCGGGTCGGCGGTCGCCAGGCGTCCGAATGAGGGGACGGTATGGATTGGCGCGTCGGCGACGCCCTTGTATGCACTGTGGAGCGTCAGAAGAAACGCCAAGGGTATAGATATAGAATAGTTAGAAGCTTCTTTGCGCCGAGGTCACGAGGACGGCTCGGAACGGAAGACAGACTCACGTCGCGGCCGTGTAGAACCTGCGAGTGGGCAGAGGGCGATCAAACACCTTGGAGGCGAGACGGAAGACGGTCGGAAGCACACGGAGACAGGTAGACTTGATCACCAGACGCCAGACGAAGATGAGGGTGATGCCTGAAAGCATGTTAGCAAGAGCTCATGGAGACGGGGTTGAGCTCACCAATAACAATGCGAAGCAGACTTGTGAGGACGCCCCAGACGGGACCGTTGGACCAAACGCTGGGGCCGAGGTATGTCGGATTGCGAGCAAAGTACAGGTGCCCGAGGAAGGAGCCACAGATAACCGCGATGATTGCGATCGCGTCCTCGAAGCACGGGCAATCGTCTGGCGTCTCAGGGTGATAGTGCACGAGGGCGAGGGTGAGGGGAATGGAGATTCCAGCGACTGGACAGCGTTAGTTTGATGCGGGTTAACAAGAGGCCACGGACAACCCACCCCAAAGAGTACCCGTGTTGACCCAGGCCTCAGACGCCTCGCCGACAAGCTGCCATGCGAACCAGCACACAGTACCAAGGACAGTGCCGCCGATGACATCGACTATGATTGTCAGCTCATGGACCGCAGCACCAGCACTAGTCGTGGCAAACGTTTAACTCACAGGTCGAGTGCATACCGGTGTACAGCCGTCCAAAGGCAATGATGGCGTAGTAGGCGAACAACGCGACCCAGCCAAAGGCCACAGCCGTATAGCCGATGACATCGCGGCCCTCCCAGAACCACTGCCCCACCAGGAGAGCGATGCTGATGGCGTTGGTGCTGTGCGACGAGGGGAATCCATATTCGCGATGGTGTGTGCTCATCGCTGTGGTGTTGGTCAGCTGATGCACTGCACTGATGCACGCGTATGCCCGAGTGGAGCGACTCCATGTGTGCTGGCCAGGATGCTCCACGCCACCGCCGGTCCCTCTGGCGCTCATGTATCGTCGGTCGGACATGGCACGGAGGGTGGGCAGTGTGGGGATCGTGGGGCCGCCGCTGATCTGTTGCGGGGAAGAGCATTCATTGGACGCGCGGTGATACCTCGCCGCCCGTCAGGACAGCGGGTATGCATGGCCGGCATGGCCAAGACGGCGACTGCAAACAGCAAACAGTAGCAGGCCCCTCTTTGACGAAGGTGGACACGGGAGAATGGGACTCACACAGCCTGGTTACTGGCGGCGCGTACGGGCGCGGGGTGCACGCCAAGTCCTTCGCGACGCAAGACGCGTAGATGCCAAGGCCGACAACATGCAACAACCTGGACGGGGTCAATACAGTCTCTCTTCCCATGTACTGTGTTGTCAACGTACCCGCGACCCTTCTCTGGCAATCCGAGGAAGAAGAGCATGGGGAGGAAGGCCGTGAAAAACGTGTGAGCTAGTAGTGTTCTGTTAGCCCCCTGTCCTCCTTTTCTCTCAGATCCATCGCTCGCTCCCTTGCTCGTCGTCTGGTGCTGCTGCGCAGCAACAGGAGCAAAAACATGGAGACACTCACTGCCAAAGATTGCGCTCCAGAAGAAGAAAGTGTCCCTCTGCGGCGTCCGCAACGTCTGTTGCCAACGGGCAATGCGCGCACTCTCGTCCGGCATGGCGCGCACAATGGCCCGCCTAAACGCCTCGCGCACTGGATTCAACGCCGCTTCATACACCGACTCTGGCTGGCATCCTGGTTCGACGCGCTGGGTAGTGATTTTGGGCAGCTTTGGGTGGTGCGCTTTGCCCAATGGCGGCTGGGTGGGCATGGACGTGAGGTTGGACGGGAGGGCGACACCTGCCCGTGTGGGTATTATCGGCGCGTAGATTTGGGGTGTCGTCGACTTTGTTGGGTTCGAGGGCGACGAGCTGGCCGTGCTGGACGTGTCCGAGTCGGTCGAGCTGGAGCGCGCAGGCAAGCGACTGGGCGTAGAGTGGCCGTTGGCTGCCGGGTTCAACGAGGACGTGCCCATGGCCGTGGAATGGGTGTGTTGGGTGATGGCGTGGAGGAGAAAGGAAGCGAGATTGACAACGACAACGGAGCCAGCTTCAACACGCCGGAGACCGAGACGGAACCGGTTCACGTTTCAGGCACTGCGCAAACCGGGTCCAAGTGTCACCACACCGGTCACCGAGCGAACGGCTGCGCTTTTGTCGGCTTTCCCGATGGCCGATGGACGCTCGTGCGGAAAACCGACCTCTTTCGTGATGCAAATATGAAGTGCATGGCCAAAAAAAAGAAGAAGAGGAAGAATAGAATCATTACCCAAAGCCCACGTCTACAACAACTACTCTCCTCTCACTCTTCTACTCCAAAGGCATCGATTCGAGCTCCTGTCCGAGCCGCTCCCACGCCGTTGCCTCAGCCGACGCCGCGGCCGCCTCGCCAGCAACCCAGGCGCGCCAGCCAAGCGTCGCTTGGGCAGCCTGGCGCGAGTGCAGGACGACGGCGAGCTCGTGCCACATGCAGGCGCGGATGAACACTCGGCGGGCGAGCAGGTTACTGATGGTGGAATTATCTTGCTCGATTGCTGTAAGAACGAGCTTGTCAGCCAACACTAATCTCGGACACCACAGCACGGAAGAAGGTGTGCCTACCAGAGACATGCTTGTGAACCTCCTCCTCCCAACCGGGCTTCTGGGCCGAGCGCAGGCCCTCAATCTTGCCCTGCCTCCACTCGACATTCTTCCTCAGCGCGTCGACGTTGTCTCGCGAGAGCCGCTCATGGCGCACGAACAGGTCGCGGAAGGCAATGTACAAGTCGCGCTGGGACTTGAGAGCTTCAATAGCGTTGGCCACCATTTCCGTTTCCTGTCTGTCAGCTGCCACCGGCCTGAGATGAGCTCACCCTTTCACGCTGCTCTGCGAGCCGCGACCACCCATCTCCCACAGCACCGAGCCCACGCCCAGTCCCCTGGCACAGGTCACAGCATTTGCCACCGGGGACGCAACGGTGGCACGCACCCGGCATGTCCTCGGCCACGGCCTGGAGGGAGACGGCGAAGCGCGTCGCCTCGGCTGCGCTCATGTGCAAGCGCTGGAGCTCACGCTCGGCCAGCGTCACCATCTTCTGATAGCTCGAGATCAAGCCCGGGATACGGTCGTGCAGAACCTGTAGCTTGGCGTCCAGGTCGCCTGGGATGCTCATTTCCTGTGCGGGTGTGAGGCGCTTCGAGGCTGACTCCTCCTCGGTCGACACCTTGACGCGTTTGCGCCACGCCTCAAAGTTGAGCTCGGTCATGAAGACGTTGAGAGCGCCGTCGTCACGGATAACGGGGTGGTTGACGACTGCGTTGAGGAAGCGCTGCAGTCCTTTTCTGGTGGGTTAGTGGACACCAGGCCCAAAGCACCCACCGTCGTTGCTCGAGGAAGACGACATCAGGATTCAGGCGCTTGGGCGGAAGCACAGGCAGGAGACGGAAGGGCTGGGGGTCAGCTAAAAACATCCTGTGGGTGTTCCGACAGCTACTCACATAGCGCTGCAGAAGTGTGTGGTGGAGCCACACAAAGTCCGAGTAACGACGAGACAGCGCATCAGGCCGCTTGTCCGAGACGACACGGTACTTTTGAAGGAACCATCCTTCCTTCTCCGACACAAGCCCCACCTCGACGGTCTCTAGGCGGCGCCAGTATCCGCGCTCAGCCTCGGCGTCCGGGTTGGCCCCGTTCGTAGGGTTAGACGAATAACCATGGCCGTTGGTCTCGGTGTTGTAAGTGTCGGTGCCGGGGGCTGCGTAGCGCGGCGCCGTGTCCCAGGGCGAAAACGTCGACGATACATGAGCAGGTGGCGGCGGGCGAACGGGGCTGGCTGCCGGCTCGGCAGAGGAAGGAGGTTGCTGCACCTCGACGCGGGGGCGTGGGAGGGAGCCGACGGCGGCGTCGAGAGCCACCAAGGTGAGGTCAGCGTCTGCGTTGGACTGGGCCAGAGCGATGAATGCCAGAGTGGTGAACACGTCCTTGCGCTTGAGGAGCGACTTGTCTTTGCCTGTGATGTGGACAATCTGTAGTGGTGTCAGTTGCAGTTGGCAGTCACGCAGTCAGGGCCCAAGAGGGAAGGCGGGCAGAGTGGTGTGGACGGACCTTCTCTACTGTCGACGCCGGCAGGCCGGCGGTGGCGAGCATGCGCTGGATGGCGGGCAACGACACTTCCCCGCTGTGCGAGGGATCAAGCTGCTCCATGACCGAGATGTACATCATTGGCGGATCCTCTGTGCGGATTTAGCGTCAGCATTGTCCCAAACTCGCGTGCGCGTGCGACCAAGGACGGTGGCTTGTCGCTGCCTGAGCAACTGCAACTCACCGATAAAGGCGTCCAGAGCAGAGAAGCCATTCGTGGTGGCTGCCTTGCCAACATCTGGGACCGCTGGAGCTACAGCAATGGCCGACCCGGGGCTGGCGATACGTGTTGGTGTAGCACTCTCGCTCCATGGGTCGACCTCGCTAAAGCCCCCTGGTCGGGCGAGGGGATCAGCGAATCCCCCGTCTGTCGAGTTGACAAAGGACGAGGCCATTAGCGAGCTGCTAGCTCGCGACGTATTACTGAGAATGTGAGCTTGTTATCTGCGATCACGCTCAGCTTACAACATGGTCGAAGGGGTGGTGGTGGGAGAGTGGGTAATGTAACTGCGAGACACGACGAGATGCAGCGCAGCAGGAATGGCGATGGGCGATGACGAGCGTGCGCCGCCGACCAGGCCGACCAGCCAGGCCACACAGCGTGCAGAGCCGCCTGAAGGGCCAGGGCCCAGGGGAGGCCCAAGAAAATGGAGATTTCCGGGCATGTCCGTCTTTTCAACGTCATTGAAATCCGGCAAGGCACACGCGCGACTTGCCCGTCGCCGCCAGCCGTTACAAGGCGGAGGGGGCTCTAATTACCCCACCGCGTCAAATGACTCGCGCGCTCTTGTTGTTGTCACTTGTCTGCAACTCCCATCACAACACACCACCACCATGGCACCCTCTCGCGCGCCAGACGCTCTAGACGAAAAATCTTCCCAGCCACATGCCTGGACCATCGCGCGGGATGCGGCAGTAGACGCCGCGATTGCTTGTCATGACGAGGACGCGCTGGCCAAGATATCAGCCCAACCTGGCGGCTTTGGTTCCCAGTCGTCGAGACGAAAGGCATGGTGAGTTTCCTCTTGCCTGTGGTTACTGACCATCCAATTAGGGTGGAGCTCCTCCATGTTGATCACCTTGCGCGGAGCAATGGCCACGATATTCGAGAGCCGACACCCGATACCGATACAGAGGGAGTACGGGTCTTCCCGCCGCACGACGACGAGGGTCAAGTGGGGCTGGATACGAGTCGCTCGTTTGTGACATACCCAAAGGGTGCGTAGCTAGAGTATTTATTGACGTTTTTAGCTAACCGTACCAGGGTTATCAGACTCGGACAAGGCGGCAATGCAAGAAGACTTACACGCCCTTATCGTCTCTGTCCTCCAGCGCCACCCAAAGCTGAGCTACTTTCAAGGCCTGCACGACATCATGACGGTGCTCTACTTGACCCTTTTGACTGAAATTCCTCGTCCTCGACCACACGTCGAGAGCCACAGCGATGAGGATGAGGAGACGGTGCAAGATGAGAAGAAGCCATTCAAGGCCAAGGGCAAGGTCATGACCCCGGAGGACAGGCTCGAGTGGGGCGAGCTCGTGCGTGCCGCCGAGGTGGTCACTCTGTGTCGTACACGCGACGCCATGGGTAAAGGTCTTGGCCCGATGATGGGCATGCTGAGGTATGTGCAATGCCTGCGGACTGAATGGGTGTAGTACTGACGGGAAAGGCTACTACGCCGGCTGCTCGCTGCCGCCGATCCGCAACTGTACCGCATCTCTGCTAGGTGAGGTCTCGTCCTTGTCCTCATTCTGACCTCTCAGCATCTCCCCCGTGCCAACCTTGCCCTTTTTCGCCCTCTCGTGGATCCTTACCCTCTTCTCCCACGACATCGACACTCTCGAGCCGGTGCAAAGGATATTCGACTATCTCATTGCACGCAACCCCATCTCGGCAATCTACCTCGCCGTAGCCGTAGGTTAGCAAATCCGATTGCTGCTGACCTATACAGATCCTCATGTCCAAAAAGGCCCAGATGCTCAAGCTCGCTCGCGACCTCGGCCCCGAGGTGACCCACGACCCATCTCTCCTGCACCCGCTCTTTGCGCGCCTTCCCCCACTCTATCCCGATACGCCAGACAGCCCCTTCCCTCCTCCAGACTTCACTGCAGGCGAGCCGGCCCCGCGCGACGAGCCCAACCCATATACCCCCATCAACCTCAGTACGGTGTTTACACTCGCCGACGGGTTGTTGATCAAGTATCCCTGGGACGGACCGCGGATACGCGGGCAAGAGGTGTTTGGCCCCGGCAGTGTCGTGAGCACCTTTGACAAGGAGCCACGGGCCAGGCCACGAGGAGACAACAAAGAGCCAGTCACGAGTGACAAGGACGAATGGGACGAAAAGCAAGGACTGGACGAGGACGCGTGGACGCTGTCGGACGCCGAAGCGGCGATTGACAACGATGTGATCCTCCCAGGCGGGGACGCGATGGACGACGACGAGGTCCTGACCGTGGCCCGCTGGTCGCCGCTGACACCGTTGTCGGCGTTCGTTGGGCGTGTGGGCCTCGGCCTAACCAGCGGAGGCAAGGGCGGCATGGGCCTCTACGGCTTCGACAGGCTGGGCACGGCCGTCGCCGTGGGTGTCGTGGTGCTCGGTATCGGCGCAGCTCTCTTTGGCTGGCGGCGTCACACCGACCCCAGCTGGGCCCGTTTCTGGGGCCTGGTGGCCGGTCAGTGGGTAGTCAAATCGAGAGCCGCAGTGAGTCCCGGTGTGGAAGGAGTGGCGAGGGGCTGGAACACGGTCGGAAGGTATATCGGCCGGACGTTGAGGGACGTGTTGTAGATACAAGCAAGTGTGTATGCAGGGCCGGGAGAGAAAGGCAGGAGGCCATCCCGTAATCTCAAAGTCGGTCAAACAAAATCCTGCTCAGCAGCCCTTCTGCAGCTGTCGAAGGTTCGCCACATGTTTACCTTCAAGCCACTGCTCAATCTCACCAACGTAACTCACCCGCTCATGCGAGCTCACACATCTTACTCATCTTACTCATCCAGCCATTTCTAGTCCACCAATTATGTCTTACTTGTCCACCGGCCACGCACTGGCTAGCCTCTCCACGTGGTGTCCCAAGTGTGCTCTGAGAAGCCCATCATGCTTTGGAGCTGGTGTCCCAGAAAGCCAGTTCGCGAGTAACGAATGTGGAGCAGGCGGCTCCTCACTTCTGAGGAAGACTGACGGACGGGACTCGCCAAGGATCACGATCTGTGGCCACCATCGCCCCCCGATACTCGAGACTTGGCGGTGCCTGTTTCTTGGTGACCTCTCTCTCTCTCCTGTGCCTGCAATGGCCTGCAATTGACGGTGTGTACCCCCTTGACGCGTGTCATGGGCTCGGCACGCACCGCCCCGACACGACGCGATGGAGGAGACAAACAGTCTGTTATCGCTGGCGCCGCTGTTGATGGAACGGACGTCTGGCCGGGGGTGGCGGTTGGGGATTGGTGGTTTGGCAGCAAGCTCAACCGACAGGCGTCCACCCGGCGCCTGGTGCAATAGGCAGCTGGGCCAACCTGCCACCACGAAGCATTCTACTGAATAACATACCACTTGGAACTGAACGGACGCCAGACTTCAGCCATCCGCCACGCGTCGTGTTCCCTTTCTTCTGGGCTCTGGGCTCTGAGGAAAGTGGGCAGCGATCGCAGCGAGCGACGCGCCGACTACGCACCCCTGCACCGACTACGCATCCTTGTAGTCCAAACATGCCAAACATGCCAAACATGCCAAACATGCCAAACATGCCAAACATGCCAAACATGCCAAACACACGTCAAACACAACAAAACGAGGCCCCAGAATGTGTGGTTTGGACAATTCATTGGTATCCCCTGGGCTGGACCCGACCAGGGTTAGGGTGGTGGACGATTAGAGTTGCGAGGTGAGGTCCAATGGCCAATGGCCAATGGACTGGGGCTGTGACTCAAGACTCGTATTAGACTCGTAATGGCCGTAATGGCCAACGCAGAGCGGGTCAGATGCTGTGTTTCCAGCTTGCAGCTTGAGGACCCCACCCCACCGCTGGCCGCTGGCCGCCGGGCGGTGGCCGTTTGGGTTGTATTGGGAGTCAGGAATCGAATGCAAGGACCGGGATCTCGTCACAGGATCACAGGGTGGGCAGACCTTACTGTACCTTAACGGCCTTGGAACGCACAACGAGCGCGTGTTGATGGACCAGCCTGCTGCACGCGCGGTTTCGCAGGCTTGCACAGCCCACAGGCCACGGGTGGTATTTTCGGACGATGCTGGCCGACAAATGTGGCTTCCAGCAGCAACACGGCTCTGCCATGCTATTCGGGTACTGGTGATGGGCCGGGTGTGCTATGGTCGAGCTTGTGACAGCATATGCACATGGCTGCTGTGTCGTTTGCCTTGTTGACATCCAAGACTAGCCTGTTTGAGCTGCGTTGCTTGGCACTTTGCCACCATGTGCACGCTCTGGCGCTCTGGCGTGTGATCTGTGAGGTATGCGGCTGCGTGGTCTGGCAATTAATTGGCCTTCGATACGGTTTAGACGCTGAGGAGAGCCTAGGGAGATCGGGTTTCGTGCGTACACTTTGTACTCTCGGGACCCATGACGTCGATGGCTCCTCTCGTTGCCGTTTGGGTGGCGTCTGGCGGCAACTGCTGGCGGGCGGGAAACGCACAAAGAGAGTCTCAACCCAATCCTTCTAAACCTGCAGGACAGCAGCAGGAGCTCAGGCGGACACGCAAAAGGAGAGACAAGATAGGAGCTGCAGTACCTTTTGCGTTTACCCTTCCGTTTGGGCTCGCAGACCCGGTTCAGGTCAAGGTCAACACTGTCCTCTGGGCGGTGCACACCACCAAACGACACCTTCTGTGAAAGCGACCCCCCACCATTGCTGCACACAAGCGCGCCCGGCAGAAAGAAGCCCAGGAACTCGAAGCGAGGCAGCGGCCGATAGCGAGCGAACGGTAATTGACCGGTGACTGCGTGTTGCTGAGGCAACCACCAAAGGACGAGTCCCATCCCACCACACGCTACCCCCTCTCCCCCCCGGTCCCCGCAACTCAAACGGCTGGGTCACATCAGCGTTACATACCGGCTGTCCACACCCCCTTCTCGTCATTTTCTTCCCCACAGTACACCTCTTCGTCTTCCACTTTCTCGTCTTCGTCGTCCTCTTCTTCATTGCATTCGCCAACCACCTGGTCCCCCAAGTATGGGTGCGACACGCCGGCTCGGCTCTTCTTTCACAATGATCACGGCTCTCGTCATGGCTGCTGCCGCCATCGCCCCGGTGGCCAGCGCGTTCCGCTTCAACGCTACCTCGCCCAAGCAGTGTGGTGACTGGACGGTCACCTGGTAAGCACACCCCAGCTCTCATGTTCGCCAAGTGTAGCTGCTGACATGCTCTAGGGACGGCGGTACTGCTCCGTTCTACCTCGTCATGGTGCCCGTGAGTTTTCAGTGTTGTGCTTTTTGGGCGAAGCGGTGCTGAAACTAGCCGAAAAGACAATCACAGTCACGGCCGGCCGAATCATCAACATGTCCCTTCCCGCCGACGGCTCCTCTGTGCCGTACTCGCACACGTTCACGCTTCAGCAGCCCGAGGGGCTCGAGTTCATTGCTACCATGTACGACGCGGACGGCTTTGGCAGCGGTGGAGCCAGCGAAGTTCTTTGTGCGTTTCCCCTATGGTGGTGGTGTGCTGTGCTGAGACAGGGTGGCGTGAGAGTGTGGCGCTGACCTGCGTAGCGGTTGGTTCCTCGAGCGACACGAGCTGCCTCAACTCGTGAGTCTGGCCACATGCAAACAAGCATGTATGTATGCTAACACGTCTGCAGCACCGTCAATGCCGACTTTTACTTCTCCACCAGCCCGGAAAGCAGCCCAGACTTATGCGAGGGCATGACCATTACCTGGAACAATGCCGCCGTGGATCCTGTCAACCTGTACGGTTTGATCCCTGGCGGCACTGCATGGGAGGTGCCTATTTCGGCTTCCCAAATGTCGTCGAGGAGTGTGGACTGGACGGTCGACGTCGCAGCCGGCACCACATTCTTGCTGCTCATGAGCGACGCTGGTACATACGGCACTGGCGGCAGCAGCTCGCTCATGACCACAAGCAACAGCTCTAGCGGGAGCAGCAGCTGCATCAATTCATCGTCGCCGTCAACAACACCCGTCGTGCCTTGGACCTACGCGTCCACGGCCACGGCCGTCTCGTCCTTTACGTCGACGCAGTCGACGAGCAAGGGTCAAACAACTGCGAACCCCAGTTCTTCCGCAACATCCTCTGCCGCGAGTAGCAAGAAGAGCAACACGGCAGCAATCGTTGGCGCAGCAGTGGGCGTTTCACTCGCTGTGATCCTCGCATTGTTGCTGTTCTGCTGTTGCCGTCGCCGCCGCAACAAGGACGTTGAGGGTGCCGCGCCTGGTGCGTGGGCCCCCGTCAAGGAAGAGCGGGAGGGTAGCAACAACGAGCGTGCAAGCGGCGGTGGACCGACTGCACCCACTGCACCGACTGTCAACGAGAGGCAGGGCCTGCTGGATCGCCTCTTCACCGCAGGTGTGCCTTCGATTGGTATTTCGAGCCACTCTCGCACTGGAAGCCGTACCGCAAGTGGCAGTGCTGCAGACACTCTCAACCGTGGCAGTCGCGACTTGTCGGCCGTTGCAGGCATGCCGTACGGAGCGCCTGCGCCGTCCGTCTTCACCTCGGACTCGCACAGCGAAATCATCGAGGTCAGCCCCTACCCGTACACCGAGTACTCGGACCACCCTCCTCCCTTCTCCGCGCACGAGAGGCGGCGCAGCGTGTCGTCGACGGACAAGGCGCCATTGTCCGACGCGCAGAACAGCAACTCGACCGACAACAGCAACGACACCAACCCCGAGAACCCCTTCCGCGACAGCAGCGACCTCCCGCCTACACTCCCTCCCATTGGCTCGAGTACACCGTTGTCGCCAGTGCTGGACGACGACGAGACAGACACCGAGGCTGTGCGCCGCAAGGCGGCCCTCGGCGTCGGCGGCGTCACCCGCCCCACGGGTATGCGTACCTCTGACCTCCTCACGCTCTCCGAATTCCCGGCCCCGGCCGCGCAGGGCACTACACCCTCGTCGAGCGCGTCCAACGGCGCCGACCCACGAAACAGCGTGCACAGCGCCGAGCACTGGATGGCGCTCACGAGCGACCCTCCCCCCTCGTACAACCCGTACGACAGGCTGCGCGCAGCCAATCCCGACGACCACGCCGACGACCGCTCTGACGAGTAGAGTCGAGTCGAGTGAAGTCGCGTCGCGTCCGCCCAGTTTCCCCAAGTATAGTTAAGCAAAACGAACATTTTAGTCAAAGCCCTTATAGGCTGTATCAGTACGAACCCCCACCAGACCCCACCCATCCCACATCAGACTCGTATCGTAACACACACGATGGACAGTGCCACATGCATGAGATTCGCTTCATTGGACGCACTGGGTGCCATGCGTCTGCTTCTTGATATACACTGTAGAGGAACACCAGTCGGTCCAGTGGGAAACAACGGTGATGGTGTCAGCCGTACGGCGCACTGTGACCAGGCTAACAAGGGAGAGAGGTCAAGGTATCTCTGCCACGACGTGGCGCGATGGGGGCCGAGGACGAGGAGCTGCGATAGAAGAGAAGAACCATGAGCTGGAAGATCAGCCTTGATTGTCAATGTGAAGGAGGTATGCGCATTTGTGTCCCAGGGGTGCACTGATTATCGGCGGTGCTGTCGAATGTTCATCAACATGAAGGCGGGGTTCGACGGCCACGGAATGATGGTGATGGGAGTGTTAAGCTGCACAGACAGGGGATTAGGGTAAGTATTAGACCTGTCACTTACGACTGATGTGGGTGACTGGACTAATAAGCCCCGCCGTTGATTAGAAATTCCTCAGTGCCACCTTGCGGCGTTATAAGCTACGCCTTCGAGCCCGCTTGCGGGCTGATGGATCGGCCCCGTCGTGTCGTTGTTGCAGTTCTGGCAGCGTGCCGGCCCTGTGCAGTAATACACCAACACCCTCCGCGTCGTCGTCGTCGATACACCCTTCGTCGTCGTCGTCGTCGTTCTATCCACTCTCTATCACTCACTTCGGTACACGCCAGCGCTTTCGCACAGCGCACCCAGCGATAACCGACTTGCAGCGAGCACACAGCTCTCTCTCGCTTCCCCCCCTTCGATCCTCCCCCCACACACACGCTAGGACAGTCCCGCGCCACAGACTGTTATACTTAGCCTTGCCCCCCATCTTCCCCCTTTCAACACTCTCCCCTTTACAACCTTCGCAACCACGACCTCGGTCGACGAACAGTTATTAGCAATGTCGGGCAGCAGGAGCATTGTAAGTTGCCCACCACTCCCTCTGCCAAAGTCAACAAACCCTTTCTCCCCCATCGGTCGGCGCAGATCGGCGCGCCGAGTGGGAGACTCCCCGCTATCGGACTACAGAAAGCAGGCGTGGTCCCTCCTCGCCGAGTCAACGAGATAATGCCTGCGGGCACAGGCTCGCGTGCTGGGAGACCTGAGCGTATGCTGTCTTCTCTTGTCTTGGTCACGCTGGTGCACACAGACCACACTGGCATTGGCACGTTTGGTGCGCGCGGCCGGAGGGCCGGACGCCGCTCTGCGCCGCCCTCGCCGCCCCGGGCCTGGAATAACACTGGCGTGCGGCCATAAGGACCGCACGGCGCGCCGTGAAGAGCACGCCGGCAGCGTCTGATGGCTCGTACACTGGCGCTGTCGCCTCGACCTGCGCGGACCGTGCTCTTTCTCTTCCCCCAGTTCAGTTCCTCGCAGACAGGCAGCTAACGCCACAGGCCCGCGTGTACCCCGACGTGAACGAGAAGCTGGGACGGTCTTGGTGGGACTATGGTGCGTCTGATGGGCAGCGGCGCGGCATGCAGCGCCCAATGAGCCCCCCTCTCTGCGTGCAAGAACGCGGCGGTGGCTCTTGGATTGATCAACGTGAAACAATTTGCTGACCCCATCCGCAGACAACCTCGTTGTCACGTGGGGCGTGCAGGACAACTATGAGATTGTCCGCAAGGTCGGCCGCGGAAAGTACTCTGAGGTGTTCGAGTCGGTCCACCTCCCCACCAACCAGAAGTGCATTGTCAAGGTGCTCAAGCCTGTGAAGAAGAAGAAGATTAAGCGCGAGATCAAGATTCTCCAGAACCTCGCCGGTGGCCCCAACGTCATTGGCCTGCTGGACGTTGTGCGGGACAGCCAGTCCAAGACCCCGTCCATCGTGTCCGAGTATGTCAACGTGAGTATTTTGTTCATGTCACAAGCAAGTCCCGCCTTGCTGATGCGCCGCCCTCCAGAACACCGAGTTCAAGACTCTGTACCCTAAATTCACCGACTTTGACGTCCGTTTCTACATCTTCGAGCTGCTCAAGGCTCTCGACTTCTGCCACTCCAAGGGCATCATGCACCGCGACGTCAAGCCGCACAACGTCATGATTGACCACGAGAGGCGACAGCTCCGTCTCATCGACTGGGGACTTGCCGAGTTCTACCACCCTGGCACCGAGTACAACGTCCGTGTCGCTTCGCGTTACTTCAAGGGCCCCGAGCTCCTTGTCGACTTCCAGGAGTACGACTACTCGCTCGACATGTGGTCGCTCGGCTGCATGTTTGCCTCCATGATCTTCCGCAAGGAGCCCTTCTTCCACGGCCACGACAACGCCGACCAGCTTGTCAAGATCACCAAGGTCCTGGGTACCGACGAGCTGTTCAACTACCTCGAGAGGTACGACATTGACCTCGACTCGCAGTTTGACGACATTCTTGGCCGCTACCCCCGCAAGCCCTGGTCCAAGTTTATCACCTCGGAGAACCAGCGTTACATCTCCAACGAGGCCATTGACTTTTTGGACAAGCTCCTGCGCTACGACCACCAGGAGCGCTTGACAGCGATGGAGGCCCAGGGCCACCCATTCTTCACCCCTGTGAAAGAGGCGGCCAAGAAGGCTGGATCGGCATGAGACGACTACATTGTCCCCCGTACAGTGCCGACAGCCGCGCCGTCATCCATACCTCTTATCGGTGCTCGATGATCTTTTTCCTCCCTGGGTTCTCAGTTCCTCCTCCCCCCCTCCCCACCCCGCCGCGTGTCCCCTTGCGTTTTTATTCCACTCCACCCACCCACCTACCCCCCGTGCGCGCCAGTCGGGCCCCACCGTACTCGGTGTCTCGTGCTGCTGCATAGAAAGAGAGCCCTACACGTTGTTTGTCGCGTGGTGTGTGAGCGAAGAGAGACTGGCTACTGGGGCGTCCTATCTGTCCATTGACCACATGCATGACCCCCGTACTGTTGCGAGCGTAGCGCGCGAGAGAGAGAGTGGGAGTGTCAGGGAGAGGGAGGCGACAGGCGTAATGTGCGAGCATAAGCATAAGCGTTGATCGAAAGCGTAGACGAAAGCGTAGACGAAAGCGTAGACGGAGTATCGTGGGCCAAGTGCGTTGTGTCGGACCGGCGGCTGCGCGGTGTGACGGCGGCGTGTGCGGTTCCTGGGGCGGGGGGTGGGTTTGAATGAGAGGGGGAAGTCGTCGTCATGGGCGTGTGTGTCAATGTGTGTGTGTGCGCCGGCCATTTCTCATCCCATCACACGTCACACACAGTCACCCACCCCCTCTTCTCCTCCTTTCCATCTTCAACCAAACACTTTCCCATCTTCCATTGCTCTCACGCACACGCTTTCACGGGGGACGACAGTACGACAAGCAACAGCCCAAGACACCCACCCCTCCCACGCGCGACTGTTCCCCCCGAGACCAAAAAGTCTTGGGTGCGGTGAGAACCTGGGACAGACTACGGACCAAACACAGCCCCAATCCCTAGAGGACAGCTCTGGCCACCATGGCCTACATGTACTCCCCAGAGGGGGCCGGAGTGGGCAAGCGAGGAGACGACCAGGACGCGGATATCATACGCGAGTTCAAGGTAGGTGCAGCCGTGCATGCATGAGACACACCAGGGAGGGCCATGACGGAGGTCGCTGGATCGCGGGATCGCTGGCTGTGGGTGGCTGTCGCGCTGTCGGGGGATTGAGATTGGGCACACATGAGCGGCCGCGTTGTCGTATTGGCGATTCCAGACGCCTCACAAGCGACATGGTTCCGAGGCGGTGCATGCATGCATGCAACGCGGACACGCGTGCTGGGCGTGCGCGGCTCGCGACCGCGACCATGCCATGGCTATGACCTGTACGCTCGCCGCTCGCGGGGCCAGTTCGCGATTCCGTCGATCCTTGCGTGCCGAAACGGAGCTGGGTCGCAATGTTGCTTGATACTGCAGGCTGACACACTTCCCAGCGCAAGCTTGCAGAGGGTACGCTGCCGACATGAGCGAGGAAGCTGACCAGCAGACGAGGGGTACATCGCATACTTCAACGAACGGTGAGTCCCAGCCATCTCCCAACAGGTCCGACACAGACGTCTACGTGGACACGGACCGAGAAATACGGAACGGCGCTGACGGAGCCCCCAGGATCAGGATCGAGCAGGCGTACATTGACGCGCTCACGAAGCTGCACGGCAAGACCGTTGGCGTCGATGCCCTCCATGATGAGTACGTACTGTGACAACGCTCACGTCTCGGCGCGCGCGAGGGAAGGCGACGGTGGCTGAGGCCGAGGACGTTGGATCGTCTGTTGGGCATGGGCATGGAGTGCCAGGCTCCGGTTTGTGCGGTGGTGGTCGCTGCGACGGGCAGGCTATATCGACGGGCGTCCCGATGTCGCTGTCGTCCTCGCAGCTCGGCACCACTACTAGACGCTGCTGTTACCTCGCCAACATTTCCCTGCTCAGCTGTATATGGAAAACCCCAGCTGACGCGCTCCCAGTGTGACCCATCGCGGTCAGCGCTCGTCGGCGCGTACAGCGTACATGGAGGTCCGAGACTACACCCAGCGTGAGATCGATAGCCGCGAGGCGCTTGTCAATGCTCTGCGTGAGGATGTTGTCAACAAGCTCGCTGCACTGCGGGATACCCAGACGAGGATCCGTAACAGGATCAGAGAGGATCTCAAGACTGCCACAGAGGTGAGTCGAGGAAGGGTTTTGCGTGGGGAGAATGCGAAGTTGCGAGGTTGTCAAGAGGTTGTCAAGAGCAAGCGCTGTCGAGGATCCACTGCGCAAACATGAGCGTCACAAGCCCAGGACTGGCTATTGCTTGGTTTATCGCACACCCATATCTTGCTTCTCGCTCCACGATTCTCTTTGGAAGGAACTGTGACTGATCCCTCAGGCATACGAAGACTATGCGTTCACAAAGGTCCCAAAGCTCCGGCGCTCGTACATGGTCAAGACGTCGTCTATCGAGGAGTACCGCAAACAGGAGCTTGCTATTCAGAAACAGCAGCAGCTTTTGTCTGAACCGTCTCCGTCGTCGCCGCAACCCGAGAAGCCGCACCCGTTCGCCCTGCCCGCGTCCAGCAGTGGCAGCGTCGCGTACAGCGGCTACGCTGCCAGCCAGTATGCCGCTTCAAGCACCGGCCACCACGCGGCCAGTGCCAGCGGGTCCGACACTCCCCCTAACGTCCTGCCGACCACTCCCACACCCACGCCATCGATCCCCCCGGGCATCAACTTTGCCAACCAGCTCGCTGCGCCCGACCAGAGGCGAGAGAAGCTCCTGACCGGCCGCGCCCGCTCGGGTTCTGCGTCGCTCGCGAGTGCCGTGGCTGATGGCCGTTCCAAGGAGGTGTTCCAGGACATTGCTGCCCAGGGCAAGAAGGGATTCTCGGCCATCATGCAGCGTTTCGGTGGTGAGCGCGAAGGTGCTGCTCCGATCGAGCCCATTGCTATCCCCGTCGAGATGCCCTCGCCCGCCAAGCACGGTCACGGCCATGTTCATGGTCACGACCGCCAGCGCAGCAGCATCTCGCGCAGCGCGAGTGTGGCAAAGGGAGCCAAGATCAAGCGCGACGCCAGCGACGCGGACAAGGCATACCGCGAGGGCGTGTTCCACTGCGAGTCTCTGCGTCTTCGTCGTGAAAAGCTCCAGCAATCGGCCATCACCTCGTTGATGCAGTTCAACGACGACCTCAATTCGACCCTCCAGGTCACTCTGCGCGCGTTCACGGACGCGACGCACGGCACCGCCGCGACTCTGGCGCAGGCGACCGAGGTGGTCAGCAGCAGCTTAAAGGACATCAAGCCCGCGGCCGATACGATGCTCTTCCGCTCCAAGCTCCCCATGCCGGCCAGGCGTGCGCCGATCCTTTACGAAAACTTCTATGTCGGCCCCTGCCACTCGCTCATCTTTGGCGTGTCCCTCACAGACTATGATTTCGCCCGTGGTGAGGGAGGTGACCACGGTCGCCTGCCACTCATTGTGGAGAAGTGTCTCGCCGAGATCGACGCGAGGGGTATGGGTGCAGAGGGCATCTACCGACTTTCCGGAAGGGCGGCGACCGTCAAGCAGGTGAGCTCTCCAACTCTGTGTAACAGCTGACAATGTCCAGCTGGTGCAGGACATTGAGCTCGACGAGAATACATTCACGTTCAAGCTCGAAGACGACGTTTACAGCATCGGTGTCATTCTCAAGCAGTACCTCCGCGAGTTGCCCGAGCCCCTCTTCCCGCTCCCTCACGCAGAACGTGTCAAGTACACCGAACACAGGGGTGAGTACAGCATGACATTGCACGTTGTCATGTGCTCAGAACGGTCGCTTGACACCGCTTGTTGTGCTGTGTGGAAGTTCACTCACTGACGTGGTCCCAGAGGCTCTCATGGAGAGCAGCTTCGCACCTCTCCGCGGTCGTCTCCGTCGTCTCCCACCCATCCACCAGACGACCTTCCAGGCCATCATTGAACACCTCGCCCGTGTGAGCTCACGCGCAAAGGATAACAAGATGGACGCCAAGAACCTCGCTGTTTTGTTCAGTGAGTCCAGCTGCGATTTTTTCATCAATGAGACATAGCTGACCTTCACTCTAGACGCTGCACTTTTCGGCCAGGACCAGGTGCCGGCCACTGGCAACGCGCTCACCATGCACCTCGAAAAGGACACCGTCCTCGAGGACCTGATCACATATTCTGATCTTGTGAGTACGCCACGCCTGATGAGCAAACACCTGTTCCCTGCGACACTATTGACACTGGCTGCAGCTCTTCTCGGCTCCCTCGCTCCCCGAGTCCAGCGCCTCCACTGCGTCGGGTGCCCGTGTGCTTACTACGACTCCGGAGCGCAAGGGTAGCCGCCACACGAACGTCTCCATCGGCCCCGTGCCCGTCTTCAAGGACGCCTCGCCGACCGAGTCGAACGAAGCCCTGTCCGCTGGCCAGCCTGTGCTCGCACAGCCTGTCCCAGTCGTTGCGTCCACAGTCAGCGCATTCGAGTTCAAGGTGACGGACGACTCGCCCACAAGCGAGTTCACCCCGGACACCGACCTCACGCTCCTCTACGACCCAGCCATGATCCCCCAGTCGATGCGTGACATTGTCGGCGAGGCATACCATGTCCGCCCGCTCGCGAGCGACGACTTCCTCCGGTCGCATTTCGGCCTCCTGTCCAACCTGAGCACGAGCCCTCCCCTCGCTCCGTCCGTATACATGTCCCTCTTCAACGCCTTGAAGGGATGCGACGACACATACTACATCACCGTCATTGTGGCTCGCGCAAGCGACCAGATTGTGGCAAGTGGCACAGTCGTCAAGGAGCGCAAGTTTATCCACGGCGCCGGCCAGGCTGCTCATATCGAGGACATTGTGGTGTCACCCACTGTCCAGGGCCAGGGGCTGGGCAAGAAGTTTGTCATGGGCTTGCTCGAGCTGGCCACGGCCTCGCTGGGATGCTACAAGACGATCCTCGACTGCCAAGAGTCAAAGGTGCCGTTCTACGAAAAGTGTGGCTTTACACTTCGCGGAAGGCAGATGGCGTACTATGCACCCACAGACGAGCTGGGCCGTACCCAGTCCGTGGGGTCCATGCGCGCCCTCACGCCTGCCGCAGCTAGCGGCGACGGTTCTACCCCCGGATCCACCACTCCGGATGTCGACCACACGGCGGCCGCCGAGCTCGAGGTCCCCGAGAACCAGGACGACAACGAGAGTGTTGCCGAGACGGTCGAGACGAGCGCGTCGGGCGTCACGTATCACTTTCCCGTTGACGCTTTCTCGGGCCTGAGCATCAACACGGGCGGCAGTGCGTTTGGTGGCTCCTTGTCGACTGGTCGCGCGAGCAGCAGTGGCACAGCCACGCCGTCGTTGCTGCGTCCCGAGGGGGACGCATCGACGGGCACGGCGTTGTAAGTGGCGATGCTACTGTGGTTGCAGTGGGGTGGATGGGGAGGGAGAGGGGGAGGGGGAGGGGGAGCGTGTGGCGGGGCTACACCATTCGTGACTCTGCGAGTTGCAGCATCCGTCAACCGCTCGTTCCAGGACCTGGCACCCCAACAGTCCAGGTCCACCCGCCAACCGAACCGACCGCAGCTGGCCAAGATACCCACATCACGTGCGTGCCACCGAAGCAATCGCACACGCCATCGCCGCACCGTCGCCACATTACCACGCAGTCGAGGATCGAGGATTTACATTCTGTGCATTTGTGTGTTGTCTCCAAACCCCCGCGCGCCACAACGCGTCAGGGCGGACGGCACGTAAGGACACTAAGTTGTCATCAAGGACAGGCAGGACCTTAGGACCTTTGGGATGCTGGAGGAGCAGCAGAGCAGAGGAGGAGAGCGGGAAATACATATACATACAGAAACGTGCAGGAATTTCATGCAGTAGAACAGAACGCTTACCGTGCCGCCAGAGCCGTGTCGCGGCACAACGCATCATGTCGCATGTCCGCACGCACCTTGTCCCCCATGTCTCCTCGGTGTGCCGCGCGGCAAAAAGGCAAAAGGGGCAGCAGAGACTAGTCCGAGACACGCGCTAAAATCGAGGAGAGATATGTGTACCTCCGGTCCAGATCCTCCAAAATGTGCCAAAACAAATGTATTCAATTGAACCCAGCTTGCACAACTCAATTGCAGGCCCGCGAACCCTCGCCACCTATCCCCCGCAACGTCCAAGGCGCCCGCACGCAAAGGATACGCCAACGATCCCGGTGCCGATCCAGGTGGACGAGGCAGGCAGCGTGCGCAGCGTGCAACGCCCCGGCGGTGTCCTGCGGCCTGCGGCTTCACTCGCCACTCGCCACTCAATTCCCACCTGGGTTAGATACTATTGACTCTCGATGTGCCATTCATCGTGATGCGGGGGGCGACCATGGGCCATGGGCCATGGCACGCATGGGCATTCCGGCGCCACCCCGTTCTTGCTCCTGCTCCGCGCCGCTTCTCGCCTCGTCGGGGTCGCCTTCTCGGAGCACCAGGGGATGCGTGCGGAGCGGAGCCGGCTTGCTTTCCCTGGCCCAACATTTGATTGATTGTTCCCGTTCACCGCGTCACCCGGCGCCATCCCGGGCGTGCCATTCAGTGGCCAGTGGATTGGTGTGTGCTCGCATGTGGCATGCCCTTTGTTTTTTTATGAATGATTAATGCCATTGACATATTTGGTGTTTTGTGCACCTGTAGAATGTGTACTTTCATGTCGGCTGTACGGCTGGGCAGGGCTTTTTGGCCTCTGGAGAAATGGGAATGGGACTGGAACCGGTGGCACTGCGGTTCCAGCATACAGGAATTAATTCAAAGCATCAGGAAAGGGAATACCGACGTGGCCGTTCGAAAGTGATCAGTGACCAGTGACCGCCAAGAAGCCTCTGCTGCGGGAACGCCGGATTCTAGGACGAGGAAAACAGTTTACGGTACGTGTGCTTGCGACGAGAATTGAGTCGTGCCGGGGGCCGTCTCAATGCGCATTGCGAGCCAGAACCAGAAAATATTAGCCCCTCGCCACCCATTGATGCTCTCCTTTGATTGCTTCCCGGGTGGCGGCTGGCCATGCTGGCCAAACCGTTGCCACGTTGCGCGCTAGAGCCGCTGGAACCAGTCTAAGGAGGAACGCGCCGAGACTTGTTTAATGGCGAAGCGTTGTTGGGAGACAAGTCCGAACGACAAAACACATGTGTACTGTTGTCCGACAGCCGGTCAGGCCCCAATCTTGAGCAGTAAATGGCAATCAAAGCTATTAGAGGGGAGCCCCGAATCTGGGATCGCAATGCCACAGCCGAACATCCACTGTCACTACTCGTTGAATTTTAAGACCATCTATGGTATGTAGCCCAGTCAGTGATCCAGTGAAAACCGGATCTGTTGTTAACGTTAGCCCCGATTGTGTACTAGTGTCGGCTGGATATACGTACTGTACAAGCGTTGAGGGCCGAGCTGCAGCCAGAACAAGTCGCGTCGCGATGAGCTGCGCTAGGCTAGCCTGCACGAGGCTGGTCGACGAGACAGTGTCCTCGACAACCTCGGACACGGCTATCGACAAGAACAAAACAGGTCTTGATCGTGTGCACGACAATAAACAAACCTGCACAGTCTCAGCCGTGGTAGCGATCTGCAGTCGATGAGATCCTAATAATTTCATGACAACCGAGGCTGAACGCAGCGTTAAACGAGTACAAGATCGAGTATAGTACAAGATCGACTATGGACGAGGCCGTGTGCGCCACATTGCCACCATGCATGCGTGCGCGCGCGCGCGGAACTAAACTGGACGCAAACGGCGAGGAACAGATAGCGAAGTGCAATCAATTGTTGTTGGCTGTCTCGGCTCGGTGGTAACTTTATGTCGTAGTAGTGGCCGGCTGGCTCTTGTGCCTCGCACATGTCTTGGTCCGACGTTTGTCCGTTTCCCTGTCTCGGCTGGGGGGTGGACGCATTCAAACGTTGGACCTACATTGACACTTATGTGTCATCGATGTCTGGTCCTGATGTGGGGTCCCATTGAGAGGGAGAGAAACAGAGACAGCGGGGGGGGGGGGGAAGGGCTACGCAAGATGGCAAGCGCATACAACACAGGAACCAAAACAGGACCGACGAAGGACCACGACACCGAGTTGCACGAGTGTTAGAATGCGGACCAAGGTAGAGGCACCACCTTATACCGATTTATTCATGAGTGTAGCAGGGTATCGGCCCCGAACGATGTCGGACAACAAGGTGACATCCTCTTGAGTGGTCGTTGAGGGGGCCTTCGTGAGTGACTCAATTAACAGCGGACCCATCTACAGCATTGTGCGTCGGGTGGATCTTGCCACACGACGTCAGCTGCGATTTTACCGAGCCCAACCCTCATCTTGGTGTGGAACAGGGCTTGAACCGGATGCCAGGTAATTTGGTATGACGACGCAGCGACAGAACCAACGGCATGGTGGCACCCTCCGCCCTCTGCGTCGAGGTCAGTGCCACGCTCACCAAACCTAATCGTGCAACATTTGTAAGTTTGAAACCAAACGGCCTGCCCGTTGTCGTGTGCACCACAAACGGCCAGGGATCCAGAACATGACCCGATTCATTGTGATACTGCCGTCCGAATAACCTCCAAACCGGCGGAGCCTCGGGGTTCACGTCGTTCGTCTCGTCTGGTACGGTACGCACCGCTAACATTTTACTGATTTTAAGAGGGGGGGGGGGGCGGGGGGGGGTTCCATTCGTAGTTTTGCTGCCAAGACAGTCGAGTCGGCGCCTGCTCCGCCGCTGGCGCGCTGGCGGTGCGCGGGCATGCAAAAACCCATATGGTACATGTATCACCACCGGCCACCGGTCTTCTGAAGCGAAGTAAGACCGCGTAATTGTGGCACTGAGCAGCACGCGGGTGGAAGATGGGTTGCCTGCGCCTCACTCATGGTTATGGGCCGAGCCCCTCGTGGCCACCTTGCGCGAGCAGTCGGTACGTTTTTGGTTCTCGAACACATCTGCGTCCGATATCGGTCTGCACGCGGACCCACCGTTGGCAGAGAGCACGCCCCACACGCCACGGTGTTCCGCTGCTCACACAAAGCACACCTGAACCATACGCCGTGCAATAACAAACACCGCCCAGGTCCCTGCTTCAAAGCCAAATAACTGTACAACCCCCCGAGAACCCAAGAGTCTTGGGTGGGTGGCTCCAACGCCTCTGCAAGACCCCCTTGCCCAAGACATGCAACCGCCATTCCCCACAACTCACAAGAGGCGGCCGAGGCGGCGCCTCGGCCCGCGACGACTGATGTTTGTTGTGCTCTGAGCTGGGCGGATGTGGCCGAACGCGATCCGTGCACCGTCGACGACGATCAAAGTTTACGCTCAGGACAGATGCAGGAGCGTAAATGATGGGGATTGTCGTCTTGACGACGTGGGTTGTGGCACTCGCCATGAACGCCGAGCGTGCCCAGCACATCTGCATTGGGCAGGTGCTCGGCGGCGGCGGCGGCGTTGATGGCGGCGGCCTGTCCCCCGAACTATGTTGCATGCCCCTTCAGACGCGACACGACCTTTGCACACATGCGCATAATGCCCGACGCCGAGAGGTTCGGTGTCCCTGTGGTGTGGCATTGATTCGCTCCGAGGCCGCTCCTGGGCCCCTTGCATGGCCTCTACACTCAAAACAAACGCGTCCCCGAGACGGGGTGGGATATGGCGAGTACCTTTGTCCTCCCGATGGCCCCATACCCCCCACCCCCTCCTGCCCTGTGAGTAGTTCCTCCTACTGTGAGTAACTGGCGGGATAAACAAGTTCACCCGGTGGCCAACACCCGGCCTGTGCCGCTGGATACCGGGGCAAACTCCTCGCCCCAGTGGCGCCGCTGCCAGGGTGCCACATCGGAGGCGAGGGCCGCCATGGCGTCGGCGCATCCCGACTGCCAAGCTGCCGACAGACAGGAGGTGGAGGGGGTTGCGAGGCTGCTGAGCCAGGGATGGGGAAGGGGACAGATTAGACGTGGGTTTCCGACGGCCACTGAGGTCAGCGACGCCGTTATTGAGGAACGTGAGCGTAAACGTGCCCGCCAGCACCGTAGCCATGGCCTACAAGGTCAGATCTGCGCCCGTGCGCGAGGCGGTGGGCGGTGGTGGTGGCACTGGAGCTGGCGCGTGCTGGATTCGAGTTGAAGCAGCTGGCACGACCGGTCGAGCCCGTGACCTTGGCATGGCCATGTCGGGCCCCGACTCGAGTGTATGTGGGTTATGACGGTCGTGCGGCAGAGGCGGTGGCAGTGGGTCGATGCCATGGTGTCATGATGTAATGGGGCCACTGCTGGAATAAGCGAGAAGCGAAGGGCATAGGCATAGGCAAAAAGGCAAAAGGCGATTGTCGAGGTGAAGGCTGAGGCGAGGGAAGCATGGTTTCCGAGGGCTGGTCATCAGTGCGCAGAAGCATAGAAAGTGGGACGACGTCAAGCCAAAAGTGCCTTGTAGCATACTGGCACAACGTAGTGGCACATGGACGACCGCAGCCATGCTTCGCGCAATCTGCCACCAAGTCGCCACCAACTTGCACACATTGGTGGCATATCAGTGCCGGAAGCCAAAGCCGGAGCATTTGACCGTCCAGTTGGAACAACAAACACCGGTGGCCGGTGGTCAAGTCCGGCATGACCGCGGAGCCACCGAATACCCATTCCGCAAGACCAAGGCCCACATTTGAGAGCAAGTCACTACCCCAGTCGAGTTAAGCGCAAGCCAGCGGCGAGGTGGGTGGTGGTGGCGGCGGCGCAGTACCCAGTCGACCGTTAGGCAGACGTTTTGCCTGCCTTCAGCACCGCAGCAGCCCCACAGCCCCACCAAGCTTGTCCACTGTGCCAACGACCTGTGCGTTTGAGGTATGTTCCCCGCAATAGACGCCGTAAAACCAAATAAAGGCCAAAGAAAGACCAGCACAGGACTGAGCAGTGAGGGCTTGTGGAACGGGATGCTGCACGGGCGCACGGATGTGCCTTGCGCACGGTCTCGGTCGTTCGGCAGAGCTCGGCAGGGGGCGGATGCTCCTGCACCACGTTTGAGGGAGGAGTCATGGCGATAGAGTGGCGACAGCAGTGGAGAGACGGACAGTGGTGCACGGATCTCTGCTGGATGTGCGCCGTAACGAGGCGTCGGCGACTGGCCGACTGGTATCGAAGGTTTTGGTGGTGGCAGGCAGGGTGGAGGAGCGTAGAGCTTTTTGCCTGTTGGAAAACATGGCAGCCTGGGTGGTGGTCTCGGGAATGTGGCTGTGGACACAAAGGCGCAGTACAGGCGAACATAGCGCAACATGGCGTTTTCCACGACCACCACCGACATCATCGCGACCAGCTGGTTTGTGAGGCGCTTGGTTTGTCAGACTACCACATCGGCATGTGACGGTGCTGCTGGCCAGTCACGGGATCACCATGGCGATACATGTGGGCAGCTGGAACGGGGTGGAACAAGTGGCAGCTGACTTGGAACAAGGAAAAATAGAAAAACCAAACCCGAATACGCCCCCACAAGGCATCGGTTCGGCAGGCCTTGGAAACAAACCAAATAAACATTCTGGAACCAGACCACGAGATCCGTGTGCTTTCCTTTCATTAATCTTGGACAAATGAGATCCAGGTGTCACACCGCCAGACGGCACTGGTCGGTGGTCTGTTCGGCCCCCCCCCCCAAGTCTGTCGTACGTCCGAGGAACGTAGGGCACCGCCGCGTACGTGTGAATGAGCTGCAGGCCTGTGAGGTGAGACGCGAGATCTAGCACCCCAAACGATTACGTCGTAGGTCTTTCCATATCGCTGGGTCACGGAAAGTGTGCCACAGCCACTTTGTTGGGGAGGCAGTTGGGGAACGGAGGAGGGATTCCAGTCCCGCCTGGGCCCGCGGCGCAATGATTTAGAGTTCTGCAGCAGCTGCATGTCTCGTCCGACTTCCGTCTTGCGTCTTGCGTTGTGCGTTGTGCGTTCTTCCGTGTCCGTGCCTCTGTACCACTCTGAGGCTGGAGGGGAACAGCGTGCAAAGGCTTCTGTGAGGCTGAACAGCAGCGCAACATTGCGCGCCAGTGCACCTCCTTGACAACGGCAAAGGCGCTGGAAGCCGTTCTACGTACCGCGACATCGCGATCGGCCGCGGTGCCGGTCGCCTGGTGGGCAATCTTTCCGAACAACAAGTCATGGCCAGTGAGCTGCGTCGCATTTGTATTTGTTGGGGGATGCATCGAGTGTGCAAGGACCGTGCGGGGCCGCTACTGCCCAAGATGGAAGTCCAGACTCCAGAGAAGTTTGTACCTCAGGCCGCAGAACGTGGGGTACAGGAGAAGCGAGAAGAGAGGGGGTCAGATAGGCCGGGGCTGGACTGGGTTGGGTTGGGGTGGGGGGTATGAGACCTACGGTGGGGGATCCGGGCGATCGGTGGCGTACGTGGATGACCTGGACTGCGCACCAGGTTTGGTTCTGCAGGTCTCGCCTACGGCCACCTGCTGATACCAGATTACCTACATACACTACTGTGCGACATCTTTCCGAGCGCTGCTAGCGATGGTGGTACATACGTACTGTACTGTACATACGTTTACTCACACACGAGGCAGTCGCGAGTTGTGCGTCTGCGCCGTTTCGGCTTGATTTTGGGGGATTGTTCCAAATTGTTCCAAGCGGGTCTAACCGCTGAGGCTGGCTGGGGGGGCAAGCTGCCACACAGTACCAGAATTCAGAAGGCCAAGGCTGAACGCATTGATACCGCACAACCGCCCCTCCTGGTCATGCCACAACGTCCAATTCTGGGCATTCTAGGCCTTCGAGCGGGAGGAACAGTTCTTGGCTGTGAGCCGAGGCGTACATTGCATGGTGTTGTTTTGGCAGAGAGTATTGTTAGCCGCGCGTTTTGCGCCTGGGCTTGGGCTTGGCGTGGGCGTCTTGGAACCAAGAATCAGCATGCCTTCGGTGGCGGGTGTTGGGTGGCAACTGGATGCACCTTTGCAGAGGACCAGCCTGGCGCTCGACGCAGAAGCACGTAAAACAGGTAAAATCCGTAATAAAAAAATACATCAACATGTTGTTGGGTGGTCAGGGGTGTGGCGGCGCCACAGTGGCGGATCACGAGTCCAGCTCTGGTGGCAGGCGGGAGCGAGGCTTTGTTGTGCAGCAGCACATCGAGGTGGCGACGCACAAAGTTGTGAATGCTTTCCCCAGATATGCACGATGTATAGAGTGGCTAGCCAGCTGTGAGTGGCAACGTGCAGCGCATGGCTTTGACCGTCAAGGGCCGCATACGGATTGGATTGTTTTGGTCAATTTTATAGCTGGGGAGGTCCCTGGGTCTTGAATCGAACACTGTTTCCGGCAGTGTCGGGCGGAATCCCCGCAAGACCCGGGATCTGCCTAACCCCAAGAAAACCCCCAGACTGACATTTGTCTGTTTGTGTTCTAAAGCAAGATACGTGTTCCAGTGCTGTTCCAGGGTGCGGCCCCCGCCCACGTCACATCTGGGGGGGGGGGAGGGGGGTTGCAGAGGCACCACGATCCAGCGTTTCTGCCTTGATACGACGCTTGTGCCAGCAGCTGTGCCACCAGCCAGGACACGCCACCCTTTGAGCCACCGGCAGCCTACGGGCATTTACTTTGAACCCCAATGACGCGCGACACCCGGTTGTCCACCAAATGGCCCAAGGAATGGGTAAGGAACAACAGCCGTGGCACCCACAACACAGGGACAACTTTCCAGGATCACGTCGGAATTCCAAAAGCCCAGCAGAGCAACCGGCCTACGAGGGCCATGCACACGAGGCTTGCAGCCTTTCAGGGAGGCAGGAGGGACAGCCGCTCGGACCCATTATGGGCCGGGAGCGAATGCGAGAAAGCGCTTGGGTGCCCAGGAGGAGAAAACGACGACGACGACGACGACGAGCCACGGAGCAAGGGAATGAAAAAAGGCAGGAGCTACCTCCTGGGAGCCCTTCCTCTCCCTGGAATGCTTCCAAACTGAGTCGTCCCCCTCTATCAATGAGCACCGCTCTCTCTCTCGCAACTGTCGCAGGTCAGCTGACCCGCCCTCATTGTGTGATCCTGCGCGCAGAAAAAAAAGGAGTCAGAGTGAGGGTCCAGAACAGTACGACGACGGCCGCAACAAGCTACGGATCTGCGCCGTACTTTGGCGTCCCACGTTTATTGTACATCCCTGTACACCCCTGTACACGGGGAGCCGTGGCAGACCCCCCCTCCGCGAGCCGCAATCGATCACAGCTGTGGTGCATGTATGCCTTTGCATGCCCGGCTGACTGCGATCGAGCCAGGAGAGACAGGTGTGGGCCAGGATCCAGTATGCTATGCGTCAGTGCCGTGCATTGCCGTGCTGGGCGACTGTGCGACTGTGCAAACGCTTCGAGGGCAGAGAGCTGGAACGAGCCAGACACACACACACCCACAGACACACCACGGGCCATGGGGCTACACCAGACAAAGGGACGCAATGTACCCATCCAGGCCACCGACATCCCAATGCATACACACGCGTGTCCACGTCTACACGCGCCTCTGTTCGTGTATAGAGGAGGGGGCAGGCCGCTGTCCGCATTGGCCTGAGAACAATAGACCAGCCATGCCATGTGCACTAGCCCCGAGCGCGTGAGCCAAGACTAAAGAATTGAAACATGCCTCTGGGCGTCGAGACAGAGCGAGAGAGATTTGTGTTGGGCCCATTGGGCACAGCCGTGTGTAGGCAGTGGAGCGAGCGCGCGACCGTCCCCACCCACTCTCTGTGCGAGTCAGCCCTCGACACGCACACCTCCTCTACATTAGGCCATGTCGGTCAGAGACGCGCGCGCGTGTCCAGAGTCACACTGCAGCAGAGGCTGGCCGACCGGGGGGGGCCTCTGCCATTCTTTGCCTGGTCAGGAGCTGGCCCCAAGGACTTGTTGGCCCCAGGAGGACCCCAGGAGGCAGCCCAGGAGCTCCTTGCCGCAGCGCCTGACTCAAGGCTGGACGTTTGCGGCGCCCGCCATCTCATTGACCTCGTCTGTCAGGCACTGTTATGGGGCAGCCCCCTCCTCGGCAAGCCCAGTGAAAAGCGCCACTGACAATTCTCGACCGCCGCGCGAGTTATCCCTTTGCCAACACACGGAGGGCGTTTCTGGCGCTTGAGACGTGGTGGTTGCTGCCTGCAGGCGTGTGCAAGAGGCGCGGCGGGGGGAACCTCTGCACAGGGAGGGTCTGTGAGAGAGAGGGTGGGGTCTGCAGGCTCTGGCGTCTCTCTCCATACTTGGCAGGAATGGGCCCAGCGTCTGACACCGAGATCGCCAGACAGGACACTGTCGGGGGGGAATCCTCTTAAGCACCATGTCTATCGCCAGTGGCACCCGCGCAACCCCCACTCGAAGCCTTTGAGTACCCACCCATACGCATAACGGACTACAACCACAACCATTTACCCCCCTTCCTCTCCTTCATCATCTCCCACTCTCCCTCCTCCTCCCTCCTCCTCGCCTGTTCTCAACCCCCATCGCCGGCTGGCCCGTCACGACTACACACCGCCCGCAGCTCACACACGACAGCTGCGCTGACGCAAGAGCCCCGCCAGCCCCTCTCCACACACAACCCAACCCGTCTCCTCACGCCCAAGTAATATATCAGCCAGCCCCTGGCACCTCCAACAACACGACCATCTTCGGACGCGCCCTATCTCTTAACACGACCGAAACGCCAGTGCCCCCCCACCACCTATCCCACAATAACGACAACCCTTCCCCCCGTACAGCACTGCTATCTCACGCCAAACCTTTACCCACTCCACACTTCTCCACCACCACCATGCCCGACAGCTTCACCTCCACTGGGCGTGACCTCGTCGGCCACCGCATCGACCACGGCCGCTTTGAGCTCGTCAGCGTTCTAGGTGTCGGCGCCTACGGTGTCGTCTACCTCGCCCTCGACGTCCGACTGCGTGCACAGAACCCCGCAGGCCCTCCTCGCTGGGTCGCTGTCAAGTGCCTCAGCCGCCACGGCCTCGACGACCGCCAACGGCATTTCCAACGCCGCGAGATTGCCTTGCACAAGCTCGCGTCTGGCCACCAGAACATTGCGGCGGTGCAGAAAGTCATCGAGGAGGACAAGTACATCTTTGTCGTGCTCGACTACTGCCCCGGTGGCGACCTGTTTGCCATGATCACCGAGCGCCAGCGATACGTTGGTGACGAGGAGCTTGTCCGCAGGGTGTTCCTGCAGATCATCGATGCCGTCTCGTACTGCCACTCCATTGGCATCTTCCACCGCGACCTCAAGCCCGAGAACATTCTTTGCTCCGCCGACGGCTCGCGTGTGTTCGTCGCCGACTTTGGGCTGGCCACCACCGAGCGCCTCAGCACCGACTTTGGATGGTGAGTTGGCCGCGTTACGTTATGCCACACATGTGAATCACTGGTGCTAACGCTTCACCCCAGTGGCTCGACGTTCTACCTGTCTCCCGAATGCCAAGGTGGTCTCTTCGACCCCGTCGAGGCATACTCGACCGCGCAGGCCGACCTTTGGTCGCTCGGCGTCATCCTTGTCAACCTCGCCTGTGGCCGCAACCCCTGGCGCCAGGCATGTGCCGACGACGACACCTTCCGGGCCTACCTCGACGACCCAGGACTGCTCGCCACCATCTTGCCCCTGTCCTCTGCCTCGTCCACCATCCTCGCCGGTCTCTTCGCCCGCAACCCCGCCGACCGCATCAACATTGCCCAGCTCCGCGCCATGGTCGTTGCCGCCCCGAGCTTCTCGACCACCCGCCCGCAGCTTCCTTCGCCCGCGCCCAGCCCGAAGCAGTCCATCTCCCAGATTGCTGCCCACTCGCACTCGCAGCACTCGTCCGTCTCGGGCTGGAACGACGCGTACCCCTTGCAGGACATGTACCCTCCTACCCCGTACGAAATCCCTACCAACACCCACCACCACCCCTTGCACCAGTACCGTCACGTCGACTCGCACTCGTCGGGCACGCCCGCGTCTACACCAGGCCTCATCGACAGCCACATGGACCCATTCGCCACTGGGCGCACGGCCAGCACGTCCTCGTCGGACTCTGTTCCACCCACGCCTGAACTGGGCCCCATCACCGTCACTCGCGCTGTGCCGACGCTGGCGCCTGCGCCCGAGCCACGATGGGCGACGAGGGGCGGCAAGGCCCGTCGCGACGACGTTCACTACGCCAACGTTAAACACCACCACGCTGGCCGCAACTCGGACGTGGACAACCTCGAGCTTGTCCTTGGTGCCGCGCCGTTCGTTCTGTAAAAGAAAGAAAAACGCGAAACAACAACACGCACCACCACGCCAAAACGACACGGTTGCTCGCGCGCGCGTGTGCACCCGTGTAATGCCTCAAACCACCACCACGTATAACTGTACATTCGTTGCTTTACTGCTTCCAACAACCACACCAATTTGACTCTCAACATCAATGTTCCAGCCACAAGAGCCTCTGCGCTCTCCATTGTATCACTTAGACCATAGAAACATGCCTGTTGTCCCGATGCATACAATCACAACCAAACACACCAAATGGGGCACGTTGCAGCTCGGCCCTGTGCACAAAGGATCTCAAAGGCGGGGTGGGGGTATAGGGCTGGTCGTTGGCTGAATGACACCGTTGCCGTGGTGTGGCTCTCGGTAGTGGCATGTCTGACACGCCGCCCCGTTCGTCCACCTACCCCCCGGTGCTTCAGAGTACCGAGGCCACAATCAGCCCGCAGCCTGCCTCTCATCCAATGGTCAACACGCACGCACCTTACAGGCGACAAGCAAGTACGCGCCCGCATCCTCACCAAGCGCTGCTCCTGCTTCTGCTTCTGGCTGTCGTCGCTATCGGACGCCACAGATGGCCACCACAGTCGACATGTCTGCCACCGAACCCCCTCCAGTGCCACACAGGAGCCACCGCCCCGCCCCGCCCTTGCAAAACGCACGGAAAACCCAAATAAAACCGCGCCGCATTACATCCTGTTGCGATAACGACTCCAAGGCCGTCGATGGCGAACGTCCCATGGAATGAAGAGAGGCCATGGCGCGGCGGCGGAGGCGCGGACCGGAGCCTCACAGGCGACGACGTATCGCGAATCGCGTCTCAAGAGACGGAAAAGCTATTCCGGAGGGCCCGCGAGCGAGGGGGAGTAGAGGGATGAAACGATAGCGACGAGAAGCAGTGCGCGCGCGCAGTGGCCACCACATCCCCTCGCCACCAGGTCTGGGATGCTTCGACGCCCACGACTGCCAGGATCCTGGATGGCCATGGAATCCAGGACACGCACGACACGCACGACCCCCAGACGCCCAGAGAGGTCCGAACAAAGTCTCCGGCGACGGGCTGACGGCACACGGCTGCACACGGCCCGTCACGCCGTCGTGTGCCGTCTCCTGTCCGTCGCCGCTCGTGAATCTAATTCTAGCTTTGGGATCTCTGGATCTATGGGATCTCGGGCCCTCCGGATGCGTATTTTTTGGGTTATATCCTAGTGTCCTTTTGTCCGTAGAACGTGGACGCCGTGGGCCCGGTGGTTATCGCCATAGGAGTATGCCGCTTTCAGTTCGCTCCGGACTGGCCCCAGAACGCGGGGCACTGGACGTCCTTTGTCCCTGTACAGTCACAATCCCAATCACAATCTGTGCATGCCCCCACCCCCGGAAAGCTGACGTGAAGGACGATACGTCCCGGTAATCCCCTCTCCTCCCCGGCACAATGTCCAGTTCCGGAGCCATAGCCTGGGTCAGTGTCATGGCACTTGTCAGCCAGACCCTTCCCCTCTGCCACAGCATGCACACTGCTGCATGCTGCAGGTCTGACCTACGCGTCAACCATAATACGGCGCCACGCCCGCCCCGGCACGCTCCACAGAGCACACCCACGTTTCGCCCCCCCCTCCCGGTGTCTGTCTACACAGCCGCTCCTTTGTGGGTGGGTGTTACCAAGGGCAACGCCGACGGCCGTGTTCCAGCTCCAGCTCCAGCTCCCACTCCAACTCCGGTGCCACTCACTCACTCCACAGCACACATGTGCGTACGTCCTCTCATCACAAGTGGGCCTGCGCGGGGGGGGGTCACGTGTGTGCTGCGGCGGGGCGCGGGGGCAGCACAGTCGTAGTTAGTGTACATGTATCTCTTGCTCGCGTCCGTGTGTGTGGTCCCTTCAACGTGTGTTTGAGGCGGCCCCCAGGTCCAAGCCAGCGCCAACGCAAGCCAAGCCCAAGACTAACGGGCAACCGGCAGGGTCTGCAAAGCTGACTTGGCCAGCGCCGCGAGAGGGCACCCGAATAGAAAACCATTGCACCATTTGCCTTGACGCACCCCCCTCGCGGCGTACGGCTGCCAAAAGAAACAGGCGACACCCCTCTGTCACACAAACAACACCGCCCATTTGGCGTTCAGAACGCCACGCCTCCCCCACAGGTCCCAAACCTCCCCCCAGCGAACACGTACGCACTCGTTTGGCCACTGAGCCACTGACCCAGAATCAATCGTTTCAGCCGCCATGTGCCCACAATTCACACGCCGTACACGCCAATGCGCGCAAAGGTGAAAAACAAAAGAGAGGCAACGTGTGCCGCTAGAAGACGTGAGGCGTCGGTCTCGCTCGCTCGTTCCCAGTCTCAGCTTGCGACTAGCAGCCACGACGACGACGACGTGTGTGTGCAGTGTGCAGTGTGGTTGGTTTGTTCGTGGCGTGGCGTGCGCGGGTTCCTCTGTTCCTCTCCTCTGTTTTTGTTTTTGTTTCCCTTCAGTCTGTTTTCCCTTCAGTAGTGTCTCGAGTGTCACACAAAACCCTCACATTCCTGCTTTCGCACGTAGTCACACGCTAAACCCCCACCTTTTCCACCCCCCCACCCTTCTAGAGCCTTCTTCGGCGTGCCGTTCGCTGCCGTTTCGGCTCCACCTAGTTGAAGCGAAGGGTGGAGGTCTACCTCTGGTGCCCACCCGAGTAAAAGGGGGCGTTACGGTACTGGCGAACGCACTTGCATTCGGGGGGAGACAAGGAGATCAAGAAAGAACACAAATGAGTCTACCTACATACATCGACACAGACTGCCCTACGCCGTTACTGCTTATTCCTCGTCCACAACAATGTCCGCGCTGCCCTCGCCTTCAGAGGCAGCAGCGGGTGGGGCCGATTCCGGTTCCGGTTGCGGGGCGGCGACGGCGGCGGCGGCGGCCTCTGACACGTCGGTCGGTGCTGGTGCTGGTACTGGTGCAGGTGCAGTAGGAGCCGCTGGGACAGCAACGGCAGGAGCAGCGGGAACGTCGGCATCAGGCGCCTCGGCGCGAGGCTCCTCTACAGGTGCAGCTGCAGGGACGGTCTCCGCCTCCGGGACAGGCGCTGGAGTCTCCTCTGTCTTGGCGGGTTCAGCCTCAGTGGTCTCCTTCGGCTGAGCCTCCTCAACGGGCGCTGCGGGCTCGGCGGTCGTGGGCTCTGGCACAGCCGGAACCGCAGGCGTCTCGGTAGCAGGAGCAGGCTCATCGGCGACAATGGGCTTGGCAGGGGTCTCAGTGGGGGTCTCTGGGACGGCCTCTGCGGGGGCTTCAGTGACGGGAGTCTTCTCAGGGACGGGCTGCTCAGTCGGAGCACTGGCGTCGGCCATCTCGATATCGCCGTCGACAGCTGCTGCAGCAGCAGCAGCAACAGGCTCAGACTCAGCAGCGGGAGCAGGCGCGTCGGCGGGGGTCTCTGCAGGTGCCTCGGCGGTTGACGCCTCAGCAGCAGCAGTGGTGCTTGGCTCGGCGGCCTGCTCGGTGTTCTTCTCGACGTTGGCGGCCCAGTTCTTAATGTCCACAGGGTCCTTGGTCACGCCGTGACGGTCGCCATTGATAGCCAGAGTGGCCGCAACAGTTGCCTCGGCGGGAGGAGCGGGCGCAGCCGAGGTAGACGCCGCAGGCTGGACGGCTGCTGAGGGCGACAGCGAACGCCGCCTTCGTGTCCTCGAGCCGTTCGACGCCTTGGATCCCTCGCGGTGCGACTGGCGGTGTCGCCTGCCACCAAGTCCCTCGTCCTCCGAGTCGGACAGCGACGCCTCGTGCTGCTTCTCCTTGTCCCAAAGGCGCACTGGAGTGTCAGTTGATGGTCCTTTTACGGCGTTAGACAACTCACTTGGTCTCCTAATGTCCTTGTCCTCCTCGTCCTCCAGCTCATTGTCGTCCTCGTCGTCGTGTGCCAGCTTGGGCACCTGGTGAATTTGAACACTGGGAGCGCCAGTCTTGTCACGCAGCATCTCAAACACAGTCTCCTTGAGTTTGTCAAGGTACTCGCGCGTGTTGTGGTCGGTCATGTTGGACGGCTTGACGTCAAGCTCATAGTCGGGACCATAGTACTCGTAGTACTCGTTGTTGGGGATCGCGCCACCGAGCTCGACACCGGCAGCCAGACCCGTCTCGTAGGCCCATGTACGCGAGACCGACTTGACAGTGTAGCCACCACCACCGAGCATGAGGAGCGGGAGGTTGAACGACTTGATGTACTGAACACACGACGCGTGGCCGCGCATAGACAGGTTGAAAGAACCGAGACGGTCACCCGAGAGCGAGTCGGAACCACACTGGAGGACAATGGCACCGGGCTGGTACCACTCGATAATGCGCTTGATGACAGGGCGGAAGATGGTCTGGTAGTTTTCGTCGCTCATGCCATCGCGCAGCGGCACGTTGACGGCGTAGCCCTTGCCCTTGCCAATACCGTGGTCACGCACGTCACCAGTGCCGGGGAAGAATTCACCGTACTTGTGGAAACTGGTGGTCATGACGCGGTCCGTCGTGTAGAAGGCCTCCTCGACACCGTCACCGTGGTGGACGTCAATGTCGACGTAGAGAACACGCTGGTGGTAGCGGAGAAGCTCGAGGATACCGAGGACAATGTCTTGTCGTTAGCCAAGAACGTGCTCGCTCTCCCAACTCACCATTGACGTAGCAGAAGCCGCTGGCCTCAGCCTTTTTGGCGTGGTGGAGGCCACCAGCCCAGTTGACCGCAATGTCACATTTGTCACGGGACAAACGAGCAGCACCCTCTGTTACGGTCAGCTGTGTTTCCTTCCCAGATATCGCAGCTATCACGCACCCATGGATCCACCGGCCGAGATGGAGCAGTACTCAAAGAGCCCATCAAAGATGGGGCAGTCGTCACCGACATTGTCTGATGGGTCAGCAGCGCACCGATTTATTTACCCACATTTCACCTGCTCCTTGGCAAACTGGTGCTCATTGTCGGGGGTGATGCGGTGGAGAAAGTCGACATATTCGTCAGTGTGGAACTGAGACATTTCACGCTTCGTCGCGGGTTTTGCCCTCTGAAATACCATTGTCAACACGCGGAACAAAAGAGGCCCTGCAAACCAGGCGGCGGGCCAACTCACAAAGATCTCCATCTGCTTGTAGAGGCCATAGTTCATGACGAGCGAGTGACACATCCTAATACGCGTAGGCTTCATAGGGTGGCCTGGATGGTCAGATGCGCGCTCGAGGAAGGCGAGGAAGGGAGGGAAGGGGTCGTCGGAGGAAGGCGGCTCATGTTCAGGTCACTTACCCGGTCCATAGTGGTAGTTGCCAATGTCCGAATCGAAGAAGTAGCACTTGGAGGAGGTCAGCAGCTGGACGAGGGTATCGATTGTGACGCTGTAATCGCCCACAGACGCGCATAGGCAAGCTGATGGAGGCAGAAAGGGTGGATGGGATACTTACCACGCGCTTCTTCGACTCGCCCATGATGGGCTCGACGAGGCCCGACATGTTGCTGGAACGAGCAGCAAATCCAGGCGGGGGGGGGTTTAGGTGGTGTAGGTGCTAGGTATCCTTTTGAAGACGATTAGAGCGCGACGCTGTAGGTATCTAGCTGGCTGGATGTATGTGTAAGAGATGGGTGGGTGGGTGAGGTTTGGGCCCATGGACATGATCCTTTCAGTTAGCAGAGTACGCCCCCCGCGCGTCACCGACCAGCCCATACAAACAAGGCACGCCACCTGCGCTATATCGCCGTATTCCCGTGGCCACCTAACGCTTGTGTTCAGAGTCGGATGATGTTAATGTCATGGACGCACGAGTAGACAACAACAACAACAAAGCATAGAGCACCGCCATGTCGACCTCCAACATCGACGCGCTCCCTTACTACGACAAGCAGGTCGAGGACCCAGGTGCGTAGAGCTTGTTTATCCTCTAAATCCCGAGCTCGTTCTGACACTGTACAGCTGTCAAGGCCCGCGCCCAGGCGCTCATCGAAGCCGAGCTGAGGTCGACCCCAGTGGTCAGCGACGATGACCCGAGGTTGCCGGCGAACGTTGACGTCTTCCCTGTAAGTCAGCTAACCGTCTCCAACTATGCTGCAGCTGACAGATTAGAAAAACGCCGCTCTGGCATCGCTGTTGGACAACTATGCCGAGGAGCCGATCCGCGCCATCGATGCGAGCAAGTACAACCCCCCCAGCGTGGCCGAGGGCGCGAGCTTGGAGGAGCTGGCGGAGGCTGTGAACAGGGGACGGATAGGCGAGGGTCACATGTCGCTGAGGTGAGTTAACCATACACGATTCGAGTAACTCGTATTGACTTGGCAGGAATGAGAACGTCGGCGTGCTGCAGACCTACGGCCCCAACGCATGGCTGGTCCGCAACTACCAGCTCAACTCGCAGCTCACCGAGCTGCAAGGCACCCTCACCAACCTCAAGGAGCAGGTCACCGAGGTGAACCGCGCCCGTAGGGTGTATCAGGAGGAGCAGGGCGAGCACCTCGGCCGTCTCGAGAACCGCTGGGGCGACCTCGTGAGCAGCTCTGTCCAGCTCGAGATGGCGTGCACAGCCATGAACAGTGAGGTCGCTGGCCTGCGTGAGCGTGAGGCCGAGCTGCGCGCCGAGGTTGAGGCGCTCGAGGCCCAGGCATAGGCGGGTGCCGGAGCCAGTAGAGGATTAGTAGACACACAGACACACAAGAGACAGCTCAACCCTGTATTTTCTGTAACACCAATGGTCATGCCACGAGCATATGCTGTACATCGTCATCTCCGCCTGCAAAAAAAACATAAACAACTCTTCTTCTAAGTGTTGGGAACAACGGCTAGTCGCCGCGCAGCTTCTGGACACGCTTGAGGACAGAGTCCTTGAGGGGGTCTGAAGGAGGTAGATGTTAGATATGGCTGACGTTCGACAGCGCTGAGCCACTCACCGTACGGGTGCTCCTTGGAGGGGATCTCAAGCAGAGCAGGGAAGGCCGCCTGGTAGCGGTCGACAGTGGGGCGTATCCGCTCAGCGATCTGGACCGTCAGCACGACTGTCCGTGGAAGGTGGTCTACCGCGAGTATCAATGACGCACGTGCTGGTTGATAAGGAGGATGGCAATGTCCTTGCGGTCCTCGGTGAACTCCTGGAACGCAGCCTCGATGACGTTGGTCTGGGTCTCTGCAAAGACGTTAGCAGTGACCAAGAGGACGGTGATATTGGTTTGGGGGAAGGTGGCGAGACAAGGGGGGGGGGCGGCATTATCGCAGTGCACCCCACGGTTGAGGAAGACTCGGCGCGTAGACCTCCGCGGTAAACCCCCCATCTCTGCAACTTTCTCTGCTCCCACAACGACAAACTGTACGCACTGCCGTCGACGATGACAAAGTTCTTCTTCTGGTGCTCGTCAACGTTGCCGATACCGGCCAGGAGGAGACCAGTGACCGAGTCCTGGTTGTCAGCTCAGACTACGTCGGCTCCGACAGCTCACCTCGTCTCCGATGACGGCAAGAAGGTTGCGACCCTTGGGGTTGGACGTGGGCGCGCTCATGGCTGTTGACGTCGAGCGTGCGTTGTGGGAGAAAGAGAGGAGTGAGGTGGATGTCGAGATTGACAACAGACCGCGCGGGAGGAGGCTGGGAGGGTGTGTCCCGACGGTGACGCTGCGAACGGGAGCTGAATGATGGGCCTCAGGCACGCACACCCCCCGCTCTGCATCCACCATCTCCATCTCCTCCATCCCCCTCCGTCTTCCACCTACATTCATCCTTCTCAACACCTCGCCAGCGCATCATGACAACGGAACTGGGTGTCCGTGATGTTACGGGCCGTGCAGTGGTGCGCGCAGTGCCCCCAAAACGCGTATGTGTAGCTTTGCGGACAAGATCAGGCTGACATTAGTGGGCTCGCCTCGTCGTTGACTCTACGGCCCGGGACGGCCTCGATGGCCCCGCAGCAGAGCGTGCAGTTGCTGGTGCGTGTATACCATCTTGACATGGCACTGATATCAGATGGCCTGCTGCACCACCTCGTCAAGCCCGCGGCCCCTGCGCTGCTGCTCAGTTACCTCTCGGCAGCACTGGCAAGCGGAATTGTCACTGCTCGAACATTTGCCCTGTCGCTGCTCGCGCACCTCCACCGTGCCGAGGGCACCTCTGTGGTCGACACACCACAGCTTGCATCTATTGCCGGAACCCTTTTGGCCAACCCCACAGACCTGGGACCAGGCGAATACCTGCCTTCCCCCGTCTCGCTGTCGAGCCTCGCTGATGTGCCCGACGTCGGCACGAGCGCCTCGGCGGCCGCCGACGAAGTGCCGGCCCTCTCACTACTGATGCCTTTGCTTCGACTGTGTGCCAACGCTCCCGCCCCCGTCCCCCTGCTCGCGCTCGCTGCGCGTCTGGCAGCGTTCATCCCTCCTCTGCCGGCACCACCATTCGATGTCGGTCTCGAGGCGGCCCAGCTCTCGGGCTCGCTCCCAGAGGATGTCGCCACACCCCTTCGCGAATGCCTGGCGGGACTCATGGCTGACCTGCCTTTGCCTGCTGCAGCCCCAGGTCCACCAGCTATCACGCTCTTTGATGGCCCGCTGGCTGGCCCAAATGGATCGTCGTTTGGCGATCTTGGCGCGTCCCTCGCACCATTGGGAGGGCCCCTATCCCTCCCTCTGCCGCAAGCAGTCGCCTTCCTCATCGAGTATGCGCACCGTGCACACGGTTGGGTGCGGAATTCGCAGTACGCAACGAGCCCGCCTACACCACCAATGCACCTCATCCAGCTCATCCGTCTCGGCCGCGCGCTCACGGCCGACTCGCAAGAGTTCCTCGCAGCGCTCCTTGACGCCGCCATCACACGCGTCATCTCCAGCTGGTCTCATGGGCCATTTGCTGCGGTTCGCCCCTTTTCATTCTTCACAGACGAGCTGCCGGTCCTGCTTCGGTGGTGGCGTGACAACTCGGATCCCAAGTGGCCGTTCCCGCAAAACTTGCAGGGTGCGCTGGGCGATGTGTTTGCGGCCCACTCGTCCCAGCTTGCAAACACATACCAGGCGCTCAACTCGATCTATACGGCCAAGTTTTCGCAGTCGGAGCCCGACGACGAGGCCGGGCCGTATGTCCAGCCTGACGGGTGGTCTATGCTCTCCATCGAGGCGACGGCTGTGCGCCGCTATGTCTCACTGGGGCTGTTGGATGACGAGGCGACGATCGCTCTTACGGGAAGCGCGGTAAAGGCGACTCAGAACGGCGAGTCGCTGTTGGAACGACTGGCCACGTCGTCCCAGTCCCATCTGGCCGCCCTGGAGTTCTTTATTCCGTACGCTGCGGGCGCGACGCATGCGTTTGGGTCAGAGCTGGCAAAGGTGAGCCCCTTGACAACTTTCGTGAAGCTCACTGTCCAGTGCATTGCGAACATTGCTCAACAACCGCCGCCTGAAAATCTCTTTATCCGCCTTGCCGGCTCTCCCTCCTTGCTCGGCCTAGTGTCCGCGTACATTATGCCAATGACACTGCTAGACCTGCTCACGACCCATCTCCTGGACCGCGCAGAAGACGAGGTGATGCGTGCAGAGGACCCACAAGGCAGTCTTATTCGCTTTGGCGCCGGTGTAGTGCTCGTCGAAGCAATCTGCGCACAGTTCGAGGTGAGTGAGTCGGCGGTTTCCTCTGCTAACTCTCAGCTTCCACTCCCGGACCTCTTGTATGACGCTCGGCGCGCGACCAACCTCGCAGACCTGCCCGAGGTTGAGCTCAACCACCTGAACGGCTGGATCAAGGCCCTGTTCGGCTCGGACGGCATTGACGACGAGATTGTCATGACTACGTCGCCGCAGAACCTGTGCCGCTTCTCGTCCACCATCGTGCAACAGTCGGTCGTGGCTGCCATGTCTGGCCAGATTGACCTCGACACACTGCACAGCGGACTGTCGTACTATGCCCAGCCCCTGTTGAGCTGGTGTCTTGGCAGCGTTGTCGGCTGGTTGTGTGCTGAGATTGAGCGCCAGGGATTGTTGTCCGGCATGCACCTGAACGTCCTGCAGACACTTGTCCTCGACTCGTCCTTCCCCGAGCCGTTACTGCGAGTAAACGCCAAGGCCATCAACCACCTCTTGGAACAGACCACGGGACTCCAGCAGGTCCTCCAGAGTTCCAACTTTGACCATGTGGCCGTGCGTGCGCGTCTGCAGGCTGTCGGGTCGGCCGATGGCGGTGTTCTTATGCCAGAGACCCCACGCTCGCCTCCTTTGCCGACACTACGCAGCGAGCTGCAAGCTGTGCGCCACTTGGACCTTGCTGCACCAGGCTGGGTCGAGCGTCTGCTTGACGCTTTGCGATCCTCACTCAGCACACACGGAGGACTCAAGACAGTCGAGGCAGTGTTGACCGACATTCTGTACCCGACCCTCACAGACGTGGAGGGTACCAACAGTGACCCGCTGGTCCAGTTCCTCGCCCTCATCTCTATCCTCCCCATCCCGCGCGTCTCCCCGGTGCCAATCGCATTCACCATTGTGGACGCGTACCTGCCGTCGCTGTTCGGTCCACGATCAATCCTCATCCCGCCCCTTCCGCCACTCAACCCCTTTGTTGTCAACATGGCCGGACAGCCGAACGAGACATTGCCACCACCACCGATCGAGGTGGCTGCGCGCGCACTGCATCGTCTGCTGCGGTTGGCCCTGTTTGCTGCAGACGCCGAGAGCGACGCTATTGCCAACACACTCGCGTCCCACCTCGCCGACGAGCTGGCGTTCCAGCGCGCACGTCCCGACGCGGGCAGTAAACGCAAACGCGTTACCAAGGGCCCCGGATCAGGCGAGCCGCCCATGAGCGCCGACCTGCGTGAGATGCTCAACCAGCTGAGTGCGGCGTTTGAGGCCGATGACGAGGTCAAGGCGCGGTGGCCAGCTCTGGGCGCCTAGAATGGAGGTAGAACTGTAGTTTCTCTCTCAACCCCGTAGCCTCCCACGCTATGCTGCGGCGTGTAGCGTTATCATGCATTCATATCGAAACCAACAAGCAGGAGATCCAGACTTGTTCCAAAAACAAAAAACCCACATGGGGTGAGTGTCGGCTCCGAGCCAGTGTTCTATCCGGGGCCCTTTCAGGTCCGTGGCCGCCGGTCCATTCCTCTGAATATGCGCCGAGATCAACGTCGACGCCGCATCGAGCCCAAGATCAAGGCCGACTTTGGTTCCCTCGTCGTTTGTTTCTTTACTCTTCTCTCGTCTCCTCACACTTTTTTAATCACACCATGCCCGTCGTCGAAGTTCCTGCCGACCTCATCGGCTCGTCTGGCCTGTACAACAGCACCGACCCCCTGCTGCGCCGGTATGTTTAGGTTTCCGGCCACGAGCACAGGCTGCGGGGTAGCCAGAGTTCTCATATGTTGACGTATTCTCCAGTCTCCGTCTGGAAGACCAGCAGGGCTCGCCCATCACCGACGTCGCCAAGACGTTCAAGGACGTCGAGGTGCTCATCATCTACGCCGGCAGTGCCGAGGGCGCCAGTAAGTCGTGGCGGGCAGCACGGATGGAACGATCTAGATCGACAATGGGGGCGCGCGTCGCGGGTCCAGTGTGCGGCGCCAAGTTGCGGATTCGTGCCGGTAATGACCCGGGTGGCCATTGTTTTTGGCCTTTGGGCGTCTGCTGGCGTACGAGCTGGCCAAAGCTGGCACAGAGTGCTCGTGCTCGTGCTGGCCACCGCTGGTGGGCAGGATGTGTACGTCGAGCTGGCCTGCATGTGTGCTGCACGCCCACAGACACGACGCTCAAGCCCACAGTGTTGCCAATACGGCGACTTGGCCGATCCGCGTCAGCTTCTTCGAACTGGTCTCCCTCAACCTCCCAGACATGGACCCACAACTGACACGTATCCAGACAACGTCGTTGAGCTGCACAAGAACCTCAACCACCTGATCAAGCATCAAAAGGTAGGCCCTTTTACTGCCAGCTATGAGTCTGTCAAGCCACCTTAGCTGACACCACTGCAGTCCGCTGCAGTCATCTACTGCTCGACCGACGTGGACGCCAAGCTCGCGCTGGCCGTCACTGCCAGCCAGCCATGGTACCGCATGACGTTCTTTGACGACTCGGACTTTGCCCCTCTCGCCCAGGGAGCTGCTGAGGTGACGGATGTCTCGCGTGGAGAGGACTTTGTTCACGCCGGTGTGAGTGCAGGAGAGATGAGCTTGCCAAGTACTGTACGTTCCAGAGCTCACGCTTGCTAGGAAATCGAGGTCGAGGCCGAGGTCGTCCCCTTCGGTACCACCGAGGACCCCCAGGATTATGTCCGCCCCCTCTCGCGCGCGGCTGTTGGCATGACCATTCGCGCTTACGCGACCCCAAGCATCGCCATCTAGTAAGCTCTCCTGTGCTCTTCTGGCACTCTCATAAGACTAACTCTCCAGCAACATTCCCAAGCACCGCTTCCTGGCATACAACGTTCGCGACCGCGCCTTTTTGCCCGAGCGCGTGCCCAAGAACTACTACGAGTGGAAGCAAGGTGCCCCCGAGAGCTTCAAGATCTGGGACTTGGTCCACCACATGCGTTACCAGATCATCGCGCTTGTCCTCTTTGCCCTTTACCAGCTTTTGATCTTTGTTGGTGGCGGTGAGTACGATCCAGTAGAAAGGCAAAGGACTGCAAGCTGTTGTGGGAGTTGCCCCGTCAGCTTGCTTGTCTCGGTCGACTGAGCCAGTTGCTACTTGCGGAGACTGCAGCTGACCATTTCCAGAGGAGTACAACTTCATCCCCGGTCTCATGGACCAGCTGTCGTGGCGCATGCGCCAACTGGGTGCGCCCATCGAGGCCCCCACGCAGCTGTCCGACTTGGCATCCAAAGCTGCCGACCTTGCCGCCGAGGTCACAGGACACGTCGAGTTGTAGCGTGTCATTGCCGTCTCTTGGAGTCTTCAGTGTCTATAGGGCTTAAGTATCTGTATACGTGGGTAATTTATATTGAGCAACGAGGCTGCACCTTGGAGAATTGGATCTTCACAGTCCCATGCATCCCCTCCAACCTTCTACTGACAACTACTGACTACCAACCGATCCTTACGCCTTCTCAACCCAGACCTGCACGTTCTTGCCACCGTCAATCTTGTCCAGGGTGTCGCCGTTGGCAGCGTCACCGACCGCCCACGAGGGCTGGTACGGCGCGCCGGCACAGATGCTCGTGATGATCATCTGCTTGGCGCGGTCCTCGTCGGCCGCCGCGTTGTTGTGGAACAGCTTGTCGACCTCCTCGAGCGTCTTGCCCTTTGTCTCGGGAGCGATGAAGATGGCCCAGATACCACCGAGCAAACCGAAGGCGCCGAAGAAGATGAAGGTTCCGTACGGCGCGGACTGCAGGAATGGTGGGGTAATGAGGCCAATGATAAAGCTGTAGCGCGTTAGTGTGGGGCCGGAACTGAAAAGAACAGCAGACGTACTTGAAGAACCAGTTGGTGCAGGTGGTGATGGCAACGCCCTTCGCGCGGCGCGAAGACGAGTGGACCTCGGCAGCTGAAAATGTCAGCCAAGAGCACATTGTTGCGGGCTTGTTTCCTCTACTCACGCATCGTCCAGGGGACAGGAGCCCAGCCGACTCCGTAGAAGATCATGAATGCGAACAGGAAGGCAACACCGACCCAGGCCTGGGTGGGGTGGGCAGCCCAGTCCTTGGAGTAAACGCCTGGAGGAGGTTAGCGGTATGTTCCTGCGGACTGCTTCAAGGATTGTAAAACATACCGATCATGGCAGCGACAATAAAGTGCGACGCGGCAATGAGGAACGCGCCGTAGATGAGAGGAGGACGACGGCCGACCTTGTCAAGGAGGAGGAAGGCCATGACGACGGCAACAAACTGGGCAACGTTGAGCACGCCCGAGAGGGTGATCTGCATTTCGTAGTCGAGGCCGAGCTGCTCAAAGAGGGTGGGCGAGTAGTAGATGAGCTGGTTTGGTCAGTATGTGTGTACATTTATTAATCCAGCAGGCCGCTCACAGCGTTGATTCCTGTCATTTGCTGGAAGAACATGAGCATCACGCCGATCATTGTGCGCTTGATGACACCGGGCTTGAACATGTCGACCCAGGCGGCAACCTCGAGCTTGACCTCGCTCTTGAAGTCTCCGCCCTGCAGAGAAGGGTGGGCAGTCACAAGCACGTCACGGTTGCGAATGGCCTCGGCACGGATGCTGATCCACTCGGCCTGGACGAGGGGCGACGTCTTTGGGAGGCGGCGGAGACGGGCGAGGCTGTCGAGTGACTCCTCGTCGCGGCCAACCTGGGCGAGCCAGCGGGGAGAGTAGGGGAGCGACCACAGGAGAGCAGCCAGGCCGACGCAAGGAGCCATTTGGACAATGAAGGGGACACGGAAGGCCCAGTCGCCGGACATGTGGCGCGTTCCGTAGGTCTTTTACGGTTAGTTTTGTTCTTTTTTGGGGGAGGGGGGTTTTTCCCCCCTTTTTTCTTTTTCTTCTTCTTTCCACCTTTCCCACCTTCGATCACACTCTACTCACTATGTAGAACATCACAACGATGCCAAATACGATCGAGGCGGCCTCTAGGACGAGGAACGAACCTCTTACGTTGGGCGGGGCGATTTCTGAGATGTACATTGGAGCGGTTGACGACAAGATGCCGATCCCGATTCCGCCGATGAAGCGGCCGACGACGAGGGTCGGAAACTGGTAGGCCGCGGACTGGATAACACTGTAATATCCGTCAGCTATGATAAGCTGGAAATGGGAGAGAAGACGTATACCTTCCAATGACAAACCAGACCGAGCCGAAGACAATGGACGCCTTGCGGCTGTAGCGGTCGGCGAAGAAGCCACTGATGATGGCACCGATGAACGCACCGAGCTCGAGGAGACCGGTCATGACACTGTGCGAGGTTGTCAGTCTGATAACTGCGCAGTGGTGCCTTGGGACTCACCCCTTGTTCAGACCGGCCTTGGAGTTTGCGTCCTTGTCAGTCTCGGGGAACTGGGTGAGGAACTGCTTCATCGTGAGGACAATGGAGAGGATACCCTGGTCGAACCCGAACAGAAGACCACCAAGACAGGCGCAGGCCGCGGCACTGAGGACGACGGGGTTGGAAAAGACATCCTTGACACCATTACCACCGAGAGCGTTGGCAAGGGCCTCGGGGTTTTCCACATAGTGGAGGGTGTCCGGGTCGAGCTGGACACCGAGCGACTGGAGGGTCGGGACGTTGTCTGGGTCCGGGGCGTGTCCGTTCTTCTTCTTTGGCGCGGCGGCCGAGTCAATGGAGCTGGTGGTCATCGTTTGTGTGCCGTCCAGCGGTACTTTGGGTCGTTGACAAGTGGTCAGGAGTAGGAGGAGGGGCTGTTGTTATACTGTTGGTAGCCGGTCGCTGGCGATTGTTATGGCTTGCTGGGGATATCCTGTCCACCAAGACCCGGTGTATATGTACATTCTCCAGACGCCTCCAAATGGCTTTACACGGCCCCACAGTCATTTCAACCCGACCCCCGGGATGGCAAGGGGGATCTGGACATGCACCTCCGTGGGGCCTGCGGGGCCTTCACTCACCAACTCCACCATCTCCGATGTCTGAAGAACAGCTCACGGCAACGCCGCAAGTTTGGCGAGGTCTGGGGAGCGCCACTGCAGGGTGGACGAGCCGTGGTGGGCCGGAAATCGCGGCCGGAACAAAGTCGTTTAGATCATTTTGTCCGATTGTCGGGAATAAGAACTGTAGGGGTCGGCGTCCAACTTGGATACCGAGAGTTACCGCACCACCATAAGGGAAGAGGAGCACGCACGTCCTCTGTGCAGTAGTGGTATGGTGCATGCGTACCGTAATCCTTCGCGTGATGGTTTATCGTGGGGAATGCAGAAGCGATGGTTGCCGTGGAATCAGACATATGTGGCAATGACCAGCGCCGCCCCCTGCATGACGGTTTCCTCGCTGCTCTTTCCTCTCAGCGAGTTCCCAAAGCCCGACTGCTACAGGTATGACTAGTTTTGGCATTGGCTTGAATAATATTGCTACCAAAGGTCCTACCAAAGTCTATCGGTGCCTCCTCGTCCACCCATTCAAACCTTTCAGTAAATCGATCCAATTTCGGCCGATTTTTACTCTTTTATTTTTTGACCGCTCTGTCGTTATCTTGACTCATCCTCTACCCACATTCCCATACATTCCGGACCGGTAAGCGGTATCACCCCACTTCACAGGTTCATACTTGGCAATATACATGCAGGCCTGGATCGGAGAACAAGGACGTCTCACGTATTATCTTGCCCACATGTCCAAGCTGAACGTCCATGTCTCCGTGATCTCCGACTTGACGGGGGAACGCTGTGGTGGGCAGGGCTGTTCCTGTGAATTGAGATCTAGACAGGCTTGCTCGCTTCAGCTGTTGCGGTCCATTTCGACATGTCGCGGTGCCGGTGGCCCCGTTCATTTCCCCGATCCGCCGGAGCAACGACGTTCTCCTCTGCACATCAGTCTTTTATCAACACACATGTATCGACGAAGGTTCAATTTCGGTTGGCCACAAACGGACGTCGTCACCCCATTCCAGGCGACTCGCGCGACTGTCACGCAAGCTCAGATCGTGGCATGTAGTCGTATATGTGTACAACAGGAGCACCTACGTAACAGTAGTGTGGCGTCAAGACTTTCAGTGGAGGTACACCTGCTGGGAGAGCAACGGTTTCGAGTGGGTGGCAGCCAAGTCGGCCAGGCGCCTAAACGCGGCCATGTCGACCCTGGCTTTAAACACGACAAAGACGTGCGTCGCGTCGTGGTCTGCCACCTGCTCTGCCTCGGAGCAAATATCGAATCCAGCAGCGCAGTGTGTGCACCTCAGCCATATCCCGCGGATCTGGTCGCTGTGGATATCGCACAGCGTGTCCCTATGCAACACGTGTTTGAGGTATGCGGTCGGGTCGCGCGGGTTGAGGACTGCCGTGGCTGGGACCTGTCCCACCCGGCTCCTGTACAGCAAGGGCAGGAAGGGGAAGGGCGATTGCAAGGGGATATGGACCGGGCGGTCGAATTTGAAGAAGACGTGCCGCGGGTCGTGTAGGCGATAACTCCTCAGCTCACAGATACTGCACAGGTTGTACGGTTCTGGGTCCGAGGGACAGTTGGCGCACTGGTACCGTCTGCCCATGATCCATTCGTTGCAGTTTGCGCAACGGGCATTGTGGTCCAGGTCGTCCCTTACCGTGAGGACAGTGGCATGCGAGCGGAGTGTGCTCGGTGTGCCGCGCCCCGAAGCCTGGCTGGGCGCTGTTCCGCGGTTATCGGCGGCGTACACGGTCTCGGTGTCGATCGTCGGGGACGATGAACGCGACGACTGCGACGGCGCAGCGGGCACCATGGCGGTGCCCATGGCCGACCTGGCAACGGTGGACGAGTCCTGTTGGAACCAACGGTCGCGCGCACGGCGGGACACTGCCTCCACTTCGGCGGAGGCGAGCGGGATCGGGATCTAGAGGTCAGCTGGTGATCCGCCAAGTCCAGCTGCTTACCTTCATCATGATGTGATCGGCAGTATGCTGACCGTCGCCGGGAGCGCTGACACCTTCACACTGGATACACAAGTCCCTGTTGTTAGCTCTACTCAGACATATTGAGCTCACCATGAGGGACAAACAGCGCAGTGGAAACGCGGTCCAACAATATCTTGCAGACAGCTGGCCAGTTAGCATGTGTAAGTTAAAACTGAGCGAAACTCACTTGTGGCAGAATGCTCCTGGATGGCGCACCGGACGCGTCTCGACGCCGACCCGATCGCTTCGCCCGCCATTCGATGGCGGGGGTGTGAGTTGTGGTAGCGGTTTATCCGGTAGAGACAGGAAGACGTGCACGGGATGGATCTCTTCCACTTTCTGGTAACCTGTAGCGTTAGACACCAGGCCGAGGACGACACAACGCACAAGATCGGCATAGATCAAATTTGGGACAAGATACGCCTGCGATGTCAGCTGTGAACGTCCACGCAGAAGGATTCCTGAGCTCACATTTGAAGCGGTTGTGGAATAACACGCTGCGGCAGATTGTACACTCCGAGTCTTCGGCGTAATCTGACGGGTCAGCTGGTCCGCGGTCATTGCTTGGAACTCACCAACATCGATCCAACCTTCCGCACCCCACACCATCTCGCGGAAGGTGTGGCGCAGCCTGGACCGCTTCCTCCTCCGTCCATTCGCGTCGCGGTCTTCGCGGGCGGCTTTGGCCGCCGCCTTGGCGTGTGCAATGCCGTGCACCTCGATACAGCCAGGACACAGCTCGTACCCTCGGGGAGCGTGTGTGCGGCGTTCGTCAAAGGGGCTCATATCGAGCGAGCTGAGAAAGTGTGGAGAGGTGGGGGACGCGGCGCTGCCGTTCGTAACTGCCAGACTGGTACGACTGGCATTCGTCGAGATGGACCCGGAGCGCGAGCGGCCGTAGGTCGACGTGTACACCGTCTGGCTGCCAGCGCTCGAGTCGGGAATGCTCGTAGTGCCGCTTGTATTGCTCGAGTGGGAGCGCGCACGCACCCATCCCGCCGTACCTTCGGAGGATGTGTCGTCGCTCTCGGTTGGCATGCGAGGCGGTACAAAGGGCGCCTTGCCGGCGGCATTGACAGTCCACATATCACCCTCACCGCAAGCGGTGCATGCGTATCGCATGTACTCGAGGCGGATTCCGCACGCCGAACAGTCTGGAGCGAGAATAGGTGCACCCATTGGCTCTGGCGTGTGCGCGACCTCGGTCCACTCGGGTGATTCGGGTGGCGACAGTCTCGCAGTCGTGTTGGCCGACATGTACGAGGTGGACCGGCTGGGCCCGGCGATGGACTGGGCGTCAAACTCGGCGTCAGAGCGCGACCACTGTGACTGAGTTTCGGTCTGGTAAGAATAATAGTAGCGACCACGGGCGTCGCGAACAAGGGCAATGTCACCCAGGCTCTCCTCGTCGCTCAGGCTCTCGTCACTGTCGTACTGCCTGTCGCTGATTCGTAGTCTTGGGAGGCGCGAAGCGAGTTGGCTCTGTTCGCGCAGCCAGCGAGAACCCAACTCGGAGCTTGTGAGGAGCGACGGCGGGCCCTCGTCTCGGTACGGTTCACGGTACTGTGACTCGTGCTCGTAGGCGGTGGGGTTCGAGTTGAAAATGCGGTGCGAGAGCGCGCCACCGCCGCTGTACGCTGACGCCGCCGCGCGGGCGGAGGAAGGTGCCAGCCGCGGTGTCATGGGCGAAGGGAGTCCAGCCGTGTCGTTCTCCTCGGACGCGCCGAGGTGGTCATCGACCGCCTCGCTAATATCGGAGACAATACTCCTGCGTCCAAGCGTAGACGTGTCGTCCGCACCACCGCGAGAATCGCGAGTACTCCTCGACGCTCGTGACCTGTAGCTCCTCGAATCGTAGGACCTGCCGCTGCGCGAGCTATAGCTGCGTTCCGAAGGGAAGCTGGCAATACTGGACGTGTCACTGAGACTCGGGCCGTCGTACTCGACGACCACGTCGACGCGCATCGCGACCTTGGGTGCAGGAAGGGCCATCCCAGCTCCCATAGCTGGTGATGCACCATGGTCGTCATCCCCAGAGACGAAATACGCAATCGCCTCTGTAAGGTCGTCCTCTGACTTGATGCTAAACTCGTCGCCGTCATCGTCCGTGTATGTGAGGAAGAAGCGCCATGCTGAGAGAGCAAAACATTCTTCTACCTTGAAGAAATGTCAGCCAACTGTAATTACTTTTGCTTGTTTAACTGCTTGCTGCGGAGTCGAGTGCGAGACCAACGGCGTTGACCTGCGGCAAGCACTGCAACCCGCGGTTCATGACTCACCCTTGTGCGCAGCGACTCTAGTCGACATGTTGCCGCCGAGGGGAACTGGACTCGGCGCGTCGTACCGTCGTACCCGCATCTGACCACGAGTGGCCGGTTAGGCCGGCCAGGTATGTCACCTTGGGCCGGCCGCTGCATCCTGTGCTGGCGGGGGGAGGGCGAGGAGGGGTGTGTGTGGTATGGGCGATGGATGGATCGTTACGAAAGCTGGAATTCAGTGAGGAGGCGTCTTGGCTGCGTGAGCCCCACACTTGGCGTAAATGACAAGCTGTTTTGATCCCGTTGCCTGTGCACTTGAAGCGAAACCCTCTATGCTCAAGCAGTGCATGTATCTCCTGCTAGACCCCGTGCTGCTCTCCCACTCTTACACACCCGTACGGTACTCAAAAATGACAACGAATACGAAAATAGAAGACAATCTCTAGACGACAATCTCACACGCGGCTCGCCAGGAGCTTCTGGGCATTCTGAACTCAACCCTCTCCACTTTCTTGTCCCTGCACTCAGTAGCCATCGAGCTCGGGCGGCTCCTCGTTACCGTCGTTGACGCGCGTGTCGACCAGCTCGCCCTTGTAGCCCATACGCACGGCAAACCTGATTCGCTCCTCCCTTTCGAAAGTGTCAGCCAAGCCAGAACAATCTTGCTTTGTTTTTCTGCTCACCACTCGCGGAACCACTCGCCCTCGCGACGTCCGAGAAGGTAGTGGATACCCTTGGGGCCGTGGAGCAGGAGGGGGTTACGGGGCACCTCTGGGTGAAGCTTGAACATGGCCGGGAGACGGTCGCGGGCCATCTCGATGGTCTCCTGCCTGAACGTCGCAGGGAGCGGAGGGTAGACCTTCATGCCGTCTGAGAGGAGTTAGACCGCCGCCTGAACCAATAAAACTTACATGTGGCTGTGGCGACCGAGTATGGCCCACCGCCGTAACGGTTCCAGCGCTGCCAGATCCAGATGATGGGGTAGATGAGTGTGATGACCAGGAAGAAGAAGACGATGGGAGTGTAGATGGCCTCGACGAGACGGTTCGCGGGGCGAATAACCACCTGTTGCTGTTCAAGCTCGATCATGATGCGGATGTTGGCGGTGGGCTGGTATCCTGCCGAGATAATGGCACGCTCAATCGCTGTACGCAGGTTCTCACGATCCCAGCCCCATACATTCTTGGTGAGGGTAAAGCTCTTGAGCCATCCTGGGTCGGAGCAGTACTGCTCACACCACGCCCGCAAGAGACGCTCGTGGTGGTCTTCGCCGTGAGTGGTTGATCCGAGGAGGGCCTCTTCGTCGGTGCCGGCGGTACCTGGACGCGTACCCAGCGCGATACGACCGGGAGCGACGCTGCCCTCGGCGAACAGTTCTTCGTTGCCCTCGATGGGCGTCCACGGCGCACGTCCGCGGGTGTAGAGGTTCTGTCCCCACCGGTCCCACATGGAGACTTCGGTGCTGTTGGCCTTGCGTCCGGTCATGCCAGAGATGAGAGCGCCGGCACCAGGTGGCGCGGGGCGGCCGTACGTCTTGGACAGGGAACCGCGGTACGCAGGAATATGGGGGCGCGTCGCGAAGAGCGCGACATTGGCCTTGTTCTCTGGGTGGTCATAGACGGGACCCAGGTTGATAAAAAAGTCAAAGTCGGTGACCTGGTAAGTGGTACCAGCTTGAACGGAGCGGGGCACGCCGTTTTCAATAACCGTCTGTTGGCGAGTGGACACTTCGGTGCGTGTAGCGTAGCACCTGATTTTGACACCAGGAGCGCCGAGGGTCTGCGCACGGATAAAGTCGTACAGCACATTCGCTGTGGGTTAGTGCATGCTCACACAAATAACCCACGGTCATTGAGCTTTGGGTCCCAGCTCTCGTTGCGACCGCCGACGACGCGCATCTCGATTTCGGGGCCGGCGTCGATGGCATCGCGCGTGATCATGGGTTCGGCATGCGGCGGGCCTGCGAACAGGAGGTCCATGGTCTCTGGCCACTGGCGGCTTGGGGGAGCCGCCGCAGCCGACGACGAACCAACTCCATCGGGGCTGATGCTGAGGGGATAGTTGGAGCCGCGAGAGGGACCGCCCGTGACGGAGACAGACTCTGAGATTGAATCGTACGCAGGTGGGACGTCGTCGAGGAGGCCAAAGCCTGCCGAGGTGGAAGGGGAGCCCGAGGTCGTGGAGGAGCGATTGGCCTCGTATACCATTGGTGTTGGAATGGGGATGGATGGATGGTGTGTCTCGAGGAAGCAACGGTCTGAAGCCATAAATGAGGGTGACGCGTGCGTCCACATGGGTGCGTCTTTAGAAGGCGGTGCTCGCGGATTCCTTCGGTTCCGGTCGACTCTTTGTGGGCGCGTGGCTCCTTTATGGACTATGCTGACGTGTAGGCTCTGAAATGTCCACGTCTGTTACGTGTCAGGCGCATTCGGGAACGGTCGAGCAACGCGACAAGCATGTGCATCAGGTACTTACACGCGCCGAGATAATGCATATACACGACGAGCACTGGCAGACAGGCAGCGAACACTATAATGAAATCGCCCTCGCCTGCGCAGGCCTATGACGTCACGCGGAACCACTCTTCAATCTGACCGATGGTATCCATCAGCCCTTGCCCATTCATGCTCAGCTGGATCGCCACTGCGTTCCCACTCATCTCGGTTCATGGCCAACGCACCCGGCATCACCTTCCACCCCTTGGGTGGATCGACTACTGTCAACTGCGTGGCCACGCCGAGGAGCGGTGAAATAAGAGCGTCCAGTTGGCGGCCAGCTCCCTCCGTCCCACCACTGCTGGACACGGAGCGGACGGGCGAAAACCGCATCTTACAGACAACGACGAGTTCGGCGGGCTTCTGATCTTGATTGGTGTTCCCGAGGTCGATGCTGAGCGCATCGGGGTCCCAGTCGGACCCTCGCACATAGTGGATTCGCAGGACGAGCCGACGAACGCCGCTGGGAACCTTGAGCGGGGCAGATGGCTCGTGGGCGTCTATCGGGAGTAACAGCGTCTTTGGGAACAACTCTGGTGGCCATGTCACGGCCTGTGACGGCATGTGGGAGCCGGAGACGGCGAAGAACTGTATCGTGTCGGCATTCAGGCCAAGTTGTTGCACAAGCCGAAGGCTATCAGGATTGACGATGTATAGATTGTGGATGTGTTGCAGCGCGTCCCTCACGGCGGCGTTTAGAGGCTCCACCACCAGCGGTTCGTCGTCGTCCTCGCCCCCGATGTGCACTACTTCTGAACCCAGCGCAATGTCATAGTACTTGCCACTGCGATGATATCGCATGAGAGGTGCACAGCGGTCCTGGGTGTAAATACACACCGCCCTCGAGGCACCGGGGCCATAGATTATATCCTGACGTTCTGGGAGAAGGCTGACCATCCCACATAGCCTTCGGTCGACGGTTCTCTTGACATGGTGCGAGACGAGGCGGAGGGGCAGGAGGGAAGAAGGCGGGGCATGAGCCAGGACGAGATCAAGCAAGTGCGGAAACGCACTTGCGTCGAGCCGCGTCACCGGGGGATCGCTCGTACCAGGGTCATCGTTGACATTCTGTGTTGTTGTTGTTGTCGTTGTTTTTTTTGTTGCTGTTTTTGCTTTTGAAGCTGCGGTGCCCATGACAGAATGAAGATGGACAGAGTAGAGTCAAGAGTTGATGAACACGAATGTGCCCATCGAGACTTGGCGCGTGACGCGACTCTTTCTCCGTTTCCGGTACATGCGTTCGGCTATATCCGGTGCCCGCCGTGCGGTCTTGGGTGGCGCAGTGGGTTTTTGCCTGCATCTATTCTGCACACACTGCCCTTACAAATTACAAGTCCTCAACAGCTCCTGCAGTACAGTCCGTGTACATTACTTGTCCATACTTTACTTGAGCCGTGCCATGTCGTGCTCCTGGGCACATACCCACTCCCGCCCAGCCGTCCATCCTGCGTCACTCCACGGCCAATCGTCTGCGGTCGGCTTAACTGCCTGTCGCGGCGGTTCCCAGCCCTCGGGAGGGTCGCTGATGACCAGCCGCGTCTCCGGGTGAAGATAACGTTCCAGCATCGTATCTAGACCTTGCCATTCCTCAGGCTCAAGGGTACCGGTGTCCAAGTCGGGGTCCCTCTTGTCGAAGCGAACGAAAAGGTCCTCCAGGTGTTCGCCTTCCCCGAGATAAAGACGGAGCGCGTCCGGGTTCCATACAAGCCTGGGGAACCCATGCTTTCCGTACAAGACAGTCAGTGCTACACGTTTAAGCCCACGGATTGTAAAAGGGCAAGAACGGGCATTGCACAAGACGGTGACTATCAGGGTGGACGGAGAGAGGCTCTCGGGCCACTGGAAGCCGCGGTATCCGAGGTCGACTTGGGTCGTCTGCACCGTTTCGGCATTCACACCTAGGGATTTGGCAAGGTCCACGTCCATGAGCCACGAGAATTCGAGACAGCGGATGTGTTGTAAAGCATCACGCAGGTCGGCGTTGGCTGTGAGCGGGGTCCCGTGCTTGAGGATGTAGAGGTCGTCCACTTGTTCCCCTTCGAGAGCGATCACATAGGGGCTGTTCATCCGAGGTCGATACTCCCAGGAGTTTTGTCGACGCAAGTCATGACGGTACAGCAGCGGATGGAGACACGTATTGGACGAAGAATTCATGTTGAGTGTCACAACGCCAGCGTAGTGGAAACTGTGATAGTGAACCTCGGGTAGTTGAGTGAGAATGCGCTGCTTTTCGAGCTTGACATTGACGAACAGGTTCCTGTCCACTTGCTTCTTGAACTGACGACATACGAGACGATACGGGAGGAGATCCTTGCCTGGGACTCGTGCAACAAGGTATGCAATGATGGTGTCGAGAAAGTGGGGGAACGTGTCCGTGTCTAGGACAAGAGACCAGTCTGTGTCGAGCACTGGAGTCGGTTCAGAAGTTGAGTCGCCATCGACGGTGGTCATGACGACGTGAGGCCTAGTGGTGGTAATTGGGACACATGAGGAGACGGTATATAAAAGAAGACTGCAAGACGCGGGGTGGCAAACAAAAGAGATGTTGCGGGAGAACACAGTTGTCCTCACATGACCGCACGGATCTATACATTGAAGGCACGATGAACAAATACCACGATGAACAAATACAAACAAAAAGTGACGTCGGGATTCAATTCCCCCGTCGGTTCGCCAAGTGTTTTTGGTAGAAATGTGACGCGAAAAATGCGCCCGTCGTTTCCTTTTCATCGTCCATGATGCGCGAATCAGATCACACTGGCGCACTGGATACAATGCCCGTCATCCTATGACAACTGCATCATCGGACCATCGGCGTCTCTGCCACAGATCATCAACGGCTACGCACCAGGCCGCCAGGCTTCAAGTTTGAGATTTTTGTCGCTGACGTCATGGCCTCGTTTGCGGCTGCCGCAGGTTTCACAACAAACGAGTCCTCTGCTGTGTCATATGGATCCGGCACCAGCTTGTGGCCTCTACGTCTGCGTCCCTGTCTCCACCCAACGCAAAAACTTTCACCGACGCGTGCACAGTGTTATCCACACCGGCCAGCACCAGGGCATGCCGAGTCCGAGATACGCAGGCCACGGCGGCCGGCAGTGATCGTCGTCACCTCCGTCCACCCCGTCCCGTCGCTCCATGGGGTCGGTCTCTCGGCCCCATCTCTCCAATAGTGCGGTCTCTTCCCTTTTGGAGGTCCATCCTGGAGAGACCCAGTCGCCTGATCGCCTGGGTGGGTCACCCGGGCTGTATTTGGGGCCTCGAGGGAGCAACGGCCGCGGTCTCCGATATTTTCCCGGTTAGCAGACGTCGGCTTTCGCCTTGGGCCGCGGAGAACCAGCAAAGAGAGTATGACGGCCGGTATGCACTCGGCCACCTAGATACTAGGGGAAGGAATAGATGACGATGACCATGGAAGTGACGACGATCTGGAAGATGGTATACCCGACTTCTCACCCCTCCGTGTCTCAAATTCGTGTACCAGAACGAGGCTCATACCCATGCTCCGATGACCGGTCTCAAGGCCGACAACGACCGTGACTTGGCGGTGCGAGCTTTGCAGCGCAGTAGTGTGGCCTTTGACGGGTCGGGACCCGCTCCGCCCCGTCTCCGCGTCGTCGCTCGCCCTCCAAGCTGGAGAGAAAGACCGCGCCGTGGGGCTTTTCGACCCAGCGCCATGGGGCAGATGACCTTGTGGCGGGTCCACAACTGTGTGCCAGCGGGGACTTGGGGCCGACAAGCGGGGGGGAAACAGACAGCAGGGGGGCCTCGGTTGCAGTGAAGGACTTCGTCTCGCTCCGGTATCACGCGAACACGACGTGACCTGGCCTCGTATGGGCCCGGCAGTGCAGGTGTGGGATAGGGACGTTGGTGAGGCAATTGACGACGAACCAGTACGAGCTCTAGGACGTCGGCGTCCCTTTGTCACTCCATGCCTGAAGGCACCTGGAAGAACTGTCGCGTAGGAGTAGGGGGAAGGATCACACGATCAACCCCTCCAGCCGTTCGCACTTGCTGTCCAGCCTCAACGTTACCATCTACCATGGCCAACGATGGCAAGTTTGACGCTGAACAATGGTCGATCCAGTCTGCCATGAGTAGCAGTAGCTGTGCTCCCAGGTCACTACCAGTTGCGGTGTACTCGTAACTGCATCGTCAGCCACCACCTGCCCACTTTGCAGACCCCCCGTTTACATAGCCGTCGGCTTGAAGTGTTTGGTTTTGTCTGCTGGATCGCAGGCACTTTGCACGGAGGTTCCTTGATCCCTTGAGCGTCATCGTCCCTGGGAAGGGGCTGAGTTAAAGATACCCATGTGCTCAAGCCATCCACGCCATCACAAGCCACGGCGCCGCCAGTGCGCGTTATCGCTGCTGCCCATTCCTTCAAAGAAGATCTCTATCAAACGCGTGCGCTGCCTGCCCACTTCGTCGACAAGAAAAATCCCGGTGTTCCTCCTTCCCAACCCAACGACGCTGTTGGAGTTGGCTTTGTGCATCAGAGGTGTGCTGCGCCTTCCACAGCGTGATCCAGGTGCACGCAGGTGGTGCTGGCCCCTTACGCAAGCATTTTTCTTGATTTTTTTTTTTTGCTTGCGGTGAATGACCGCATACATGGCTCTCGGCCGAGGAACCACCCAGGGCCACGGCGGACATATGGCGGCGGCATTGGACATGTGTCCTCCTTAACCTGGGTTTTCCTGACACACGTGTCCAGCTCGCCGGCGGCAATGACGGTGCCACCGTAGTCATCAAGGGTGGCATCGGGACGATGGACCCTGCGTACCAGTCGTTGAAAGGTTTCGTCTACCTTTCAGCGACGTCTTCGCCCTCCACCCCCTCCAGTCCCCTCCAGTCCTCGTCCGACAATTCGGGCGCCGGGACTCCGACTCCGGGGACTCGTGGAGTTTGGAGAGCTGGCAAACTGGGGTGCGCGCCGTGGGTCCCCCCTATATCTATCTGGCTTTTGTGTCCCACCTCCATTGTTCCCCACGTTGTACAACCACCCATTCACCACCACCATGCCCACATCAAACAAGAAGGCGCTCACGCTATGCCTGTTCCAGTCGCTCGCTGGAGTCATCTTCGGTTGGGGAAACTCGGAGGGAGGTGTCCTGGTATGTACAGTGAAACCCGCTTGCTGGGCGGGTCGTGTGGGCATGCCATGGCCGCGACGCTGACACGAGTTCTTCTAGTTTAACATGGACAACTTCAAGGAGCGTTTCGGCACCTGTGACGCCGCGGGCGTTTGTGCTCTTTCTACCACTCGCCAGAGTGCTTTCACCGGATTGCTGTCTCTCGGTGCCATCTTTGGCGCCGTCTGCGCTGGTACCATTGCCGACAAGGTGAGTTGCGCAGCACATAGTGTCAATGCTGACGTCAGATTGGTCTGCGTGTTACCTGCATTCTCTTCATCTGTATCCACATGATTGGCGCTGCCATTGAGGTGAGTTTTTTTCGTCGTTTTCCGACACCTTCCACGTCACTCGCTGACTTTTCGTCCAGACTTCGGGCAAGGTGTACGAGCAGATTTACGTTGCTCGTGTGCTCCTTGGTCTTGGTATCGGTGCCACCTCTGGTCTTGTTCCCGTTTTCCAGGCCGAGGCCAGCCCTCCCAAGTACCGTGGTCTTGTCACTGGAAGCTTCCAGCTCTGTGTCACCATGGGTATCTGGGGTGTCTCCATGTGCGGCTGGGGTATGTCGTCGTACAAGGGTGCCATCAGCTGGCGCCTCACTTCGGGTCTTGCCATGGCCTACGACGTCGGACTCCTTGTCGGTTTCATCCTCATGCCCGAGAGCCCCCGCTTCCTCGCCAAGAAGGGTCTCACGGACAAGGCCCGCAAGTCGCTCGCCAACCTCCGTGGTGTCCCCGTCGACTCTGCCGAGATTGACGCCGAGTTCGCCGAGGTCGAGATCAAGGCTGCCGAGGACAAGTCCCGCGGCGACGTCAGCTACAAGGAGTGCTTCAGCATGAAGGACCGCATCCTCTGGCGTGTCATGATCGGTGTCTGCGTTCAGATCGGTCAGCAGATCACCGGTATCAACTTCTTCTTCTCGTACGGTGTTCAGTTCGCCCAGACCGCCGGCCTTTCCAACTCGTACATCTTCCAGATCATCCTCGCCTCCGTCAACGTCGCCATGTCGTTCCCTGGTATCTTGCTGGTCGAGCGTGCCGGCCGTCGCCCCGTCCTCCTTTACGGTGCCGCCCTCATGTTCGTCGGCCAGATTGTCACCGGTTCCGTTTCCAAGGCCTACCCTGAGAGCAAGGTCGCCGGTGATGTTCTTATCGCCTTCACCTGTGTCTTCGTCGCCTCGTTCGCCGCTTCGTGGGGCCCTGTCGCCTGGGTTGTCTGTGGCGAGTCGTTCCCCATCCGTCTCTCGTCGCGCTGCGTCACCATCGCCACCGGTGCCAACTGGCTGATGTCGCTCGTCATTGCCTTTGCCGCCCCCCAGATCCAGGCCCGTATCGGTACCGGTATCACCTTCGTCTGGGCCGGCTGCCTCGCCCTCACTTTCCTCTTCACCCTCTTCTGCGTCCCTGAGACCCGTGGCATGTCCATCGACGAGGTCGACGAGATGTACCTCTCGCGCGTTCCCGCCTTCAAGACCAAGGGCAAGAAGGTCGACGACCTCACCCTCACCCGCACCAGCACCCAGACTGTCGCTGGCGAGGAGAGCGACAAGCACACAAAGTCGGCTAGCCACCACACTTAAAAGGATAGACTATATTGCACGGACGGAGTGTTTGGTCGTGTAGGGCTGCGGCCCGAGCGCGCCAAACGCCCGCCACATCTGTTTTCGTAGCATTTTTCAATATTATCATCTTCACATAACATGCATACATTCATTTCTACTGTCAACAGACACTGTATCCACTTGCAGGTGGCTCGTGGTCACTGTCAATCTCATCCTGCTATTCAGTGCCGGGTCCGAGTGTCTCACGGTTCGGCACTGGACTCTCAGACCTTCTTGTTGTGCTCTTGCCAACGATGTTGATATGAATACACAGAGCAACAGCAGCGCAGAGGCCGCACAACCTCACGTCATCTCCCCCTACCGCGGCGCCTTTGCATTGATGGCTCGACCCAATCCATATACAGACTCTGAGCCGAGTTGCAGAGCAATTCTCCCACCACACATGGACATGCCCTACTTCACTCACTCCACGGCCCGCCTCCGACAGCCAATCCACGGCCGCCACACGCGGTCACCATGTATCCCCTCCCAGCTAATCTCCACGGGGTCCGCGTCGCGGTTCCACATATCGAGGGGGATGACCTCTGCGTCTGGCAGTGGCCCGTCCCGTGGCGGGTCGATGAGCGTCAGACGCGTATCGGGTCCCATCAGCGGCTCGAGCATGGCGCTCAGCCCCGCACTGTCGCTTGGATGGCTGATACAGCCGCAGACCGTCTCCGTTGGTCTCTTGTGGCACTGGACCACAATCTCGGGTATGCCTCCCTCCCCGACGTCGAGGTCGAGGGCGGCAGGGTCCCACGCGCTGCACTCCCAGCCATACGTCAGAACCAGGACGAGCCGGCGAAGCCTGCGCAGGCGGAGCGGTACGCCGCTCTCGAACGGCACGCTCACCCACAGCACCAGCCGCGTCGGCGCCAGGTCTGTCGGCCAGGTCGGGACAGGTGCCGCTGCAGCACGGGGGTTATGCCACGAATGCCACCCGCGTTGCTGGGTGTGGTGTACGCTGAAGATTGAGACGGTGAGAATCCGGACCGTGGCTGCACGCACGCCCAGGGCAGCGGCCTCGTCCAGGTCGCGGACGTGGCCCAGGTCGAGGACCTGCACGTGCTGCAGCGCATCCTGCATGTCGGGCACGTACCGCGCGGCCAACCACGGGTCGGGCGGCGCGCGAGCGTTTTCGTTTTCGGCGTCGTCGTTGCGGTCGCCGCACATCGCTCGCATGTGGACACCATATGGATCGACGGCCGGTAACATTCCGGCTCCCCGGGCCAGGAGGGGGATCCGGTCGCCAACGTTGATGTGGAGATTGCACATCCGCACGCCTCCCATCGACCGTGCCGGCGCGATGGTCGTGTGGGAACATAGGCGCCGGTCGATGACGACTTTGAACCGCCGCGACACGAGGCGGAGCGGGGTGAGTGTGGATGGGACGTGGCTCGGGAGGTGGTCCAGGACGAGGTCTAGGAGGTGTGGGAAGGCGCTGGCGTCGAGGACTGGGTGGTCCATGTCGACTGCGCCGTGCATGTCGCTGCGAAAGGTGGTTCACAGTGGACAAGCAGAGTTGTGTCGAGTAGATTGTGCCAGTGGGGCCGAGCTCTGGGGGTGCCTGTGATGACGTGACGTCCGGCAATACCCGTCCACCCGTCCACCAGCTGTCTTGTGCAGATTATTACAATGCCGGCTGGCGGGCTGTATGCATAAAGTATAGAACGTGTGAACATGTGGTGACCGCTACCAGTCGCTGCTACCCATGCTTCCAATGCTGCCAATGCTCTCGGGTGGCTCGGGCGAGTACGTGTCGGCAGTGAGTTGCGTGTCGTGCGTGATGGGGTCCTGCGTGGTGGTGAATCCAGTGATTTGAGTGTCGACAATGTCGTCTTGGGACCCGTCGTCGTAGTCGCCCACATCCATATCCTCTTGAACAGAGCTCTCCAGCTCGTCTTCCTCGACCTCCATGGAGTCTGAAGCTGGCACAGGAGTCTCCCGTTCGTCGTCCTCGTTTTCGTCCGAGTCTCCGTCGCCAGCTTCCACTCGTTGGTCCTCAGTAACCTCCTCTGGGGCCTCCTCAGCATCCACCTCAGCGTCCGCTTGGGATTCCACCTCATCTCCCTGCTCCCCCTCTCCGTCATCTCCCTCCCAGCCTGCCTCCTCCGACTCCTCCGACTCCTCCCCTTCACTCCCAGTCCCACTCGCGACCCACTCCTCAACACCCTCGTCACTCTCCACCTCCATCTCGCTCTCGTCGCTGCCAACAAGCCAGTGGCCCTCCCCCTTGCGGGCCTTGCGCCATCCAAGGGTGTGGCGGACTCGGACCCTGCCACCCTCTTTGAACGTCGACGTGCGTGGGAAGAGTTCGGTACGGCGGCGAACTGCGCGGCGGTTGCGACGGGTTTCTTGGATCGTTGCAATGAGGTCTCTGTATGCTGTAACACTTGTTAGCACTCGTCCAGCTGTATGCCGTTTGTTACAAAGCTGAAATGGGACTCACCCTGTTGAGCGTCGCGCACATCCTCGTCCTCGTCCTCGGCCTCTGTGGCGCCCGTGTCCCTCCGCTTGCGCTTACGCGCTGGCTGGCGCTCCTTGGCATTGACCCACGCGGTGCCGTCAATAATGATTCGGGTGTCGTTGTCAACGACTGCATGGTCGAGCTGACGGGACACGGCGTTGTCGAGCGCCGAGTCGGCCACGTCCAGAGCATCGTCAAGTGCCTCGTCCTCATCGTCTGTGACTGTTGAGATGATCTCCCACTCGTCGTCGAGCGGGTCCACGGCCGTCTGGGCTTCGGGCAGGTTGGAAATGTCCGGTGGGACAACGCCGGCGTCCATCCACGAGGTGAGGTCGTGCTCGACAAATGTGCGTGGGGGGCTCGGGGGTCTGCGCGCCTCTGATTGAAGCGGAGACCGGGACCGAGACCGAGACCGGGACCGAGAGGAAGACCGGGACCGAGAGGGAGAAGAAGACCGAGAGGGAGACTGGGAGCGCGGACGGTGGGTACGGTCGGGAGTGACGGGGTTGGCGGTACTGTTACGGCGACTGCTGCGATCTGGTGTGCCGGCTTCACTGCCTATCCCCGAAAACTGCTTTTTGGCCTCGGAGAAGACCTCCCGGGGTCGCTTCTCGCCGCGCAGAGCGATCGCCCCACGGACATGGGCGACATCGACTTCTTCGGTCTTGTTCTGCACCGCCTGTTGCTCGGCAATGATGACGGCCTGGTAGACGAGTGGTTTCAGGTAGGCGAGGACCTCGGTATAGAGCTCGCCAAGGACGGGGAAAGAGATGGCGGGGGCTGGCCTGTCACTGTGTGCCTTGGCGTAGGCCGTGATGGCGTCGCCCATGTGGGCGTAGTTGAACAGCTCCCAGCCCTGCTGGGTGAGGTAGCGATCCATGCCCAACTCGCCGAGACGGACAATCTCGGGGTCGTGGACGGCGATACTCTCGGCGTGCTTTTTGCGTTTGGCACCGGGTCTTGATTCCAAAGCCAGGCTCTTGTCGGGCTGTCTGCCAAACACAGCGTCAGGGCCGCCGCCCTCGGTGATCTGGTTCTGGGTCATACCCTGCTTGAGGAGAGCACGGAGACGATACTGTTGACGGTTACGTTTGCGGTTGACAAGGGTACGCAACCTCGCACGCTGGGCGGGCGTACGCTCCTTCTTGGCAATGGCGTCGAGCTTTTCAATCTCGCGGTTGTCCTTGACGATCGGGTCCTCATCGTCGTCTGATGAAGACTCCGAGTTGTAGATTCCGACCAGGTCTGTCGTCGACTTTTCTTCAGAGACCTTGAGCAGGCCATCTAGTGTGGAGAGCTTGTCGACGTCAAGCGAGCCTCCGTACTCGTTCAACAGGGTCTCCGATGAGGGCGCTCTCTTGCGTCGTGCGGGAACCGCGGCGTCGGTAATGAGCCGATCAAGTGTTTCGCTAAACTCTTCCTCAATCTCCAGCCAAAGGTCGTCGACAGAGTACGCTCCAGTGTCAATCAAGTGATCTCGCCATTGACGAGACTCGTCGTGCTGGCGGATGCGATCGCCGAGGTGTTGCTTACCCCACCGAAGGGCGGCGAGGTATTCCTCCACCAGGGCGACCGACTTGGTTCCCACGTCGAGGGAAATGAGATCGGGGCGAAGTCGCGAGTGCCGCGCAAGGGCAGCAAAGAAGAGGGCCTTCTCGTCGGACGTCCACAGGCAGTTGCTTGGAGGAATGACAGACCACTCGAACTGGGTGTGGGGCAGGTCATTGTGGGCGAGCGAGAGTCTGCCGTCGAGATGTGCTGCCGAGCGCTTCATGTGTCTGTCCAGGTCGGAGATGTACCATTTGAGACCTGGCAGCTCGGCATCCGTGTCAGTGGCCGATGCCTCCGTGCGGGAAGGACCAGCCTCTGCGTTGTCTGGAAGGGGCGTGTGTGAGCTGGTGTCAGAGGAGGGCACGCACCTGGCATGGGCCGAGAAGCTGTCGAAGAGTCGGCGCTGTTACGGGGCAAGGTCGTTGACCCTTCGTCGCCGTCGTGCATGCTGATGTTGCGTGACAGACGACGCCGGAGGGATGGGGATGGATGATGTTGTTGATGATTGTTGTGGTCAGAAGATCTGAAATTAAGAGGCAGGAACTGCGTTCCGTCACCTGGGTGCGTGCCTGGAATTCCACTGACCACTGGCCACTCTGGGACGGGACGAGGACGCCAACATCATCATCATCGTCTCCCTCTTCCGTCTTATCACATCTCTCATCTCCACAATGCCCAACATTAGGACATTCCAGAGCCTCGTAAGCTGAAGTAGGCTTTTGTGTCCCAGCTGACAATCAGAGCCGCGACCAGACGCCACCACCCCGCAACGACCGTGAGGGCGCCGAGCTCTATGCCGGTGGCGAGCGCAGGTTCGTCTCTTAGTGTTTCCTTGCTCTCTGAGGCTCATACACTGACGTTTAGCGGCCTTGCTGTGCAGAACCCCAACGACCCCAGCGCCGGAGGTCCGGCTGGCGGCGACAACCCTCGGAGCGTGGTCGAGAACATTCTGCAGCAGGCGATGAAGTGAGCTTCCTCATTCGTGTCGTGCGTGCTGACAAACAGCTCTGGCCCTCCCTCCGGCCGTCCTAGCCGCTCGGCGACCCCTCACGACTCGTGGGGTGGCGTGGGACACACTCTGGGATCGGATGAGGTCGAGAGCGTGCCTGTGGGCGAGGCCCCAGCCGCCGCCGCCGATGAAGGCGAAGTGCAGCAGCGCACGCTCACCTTCTGGCGCGATGGCTTCAGCATCGAGGACGGCGAGCTGTACAAGTACGAGGCTCCCGGTAACCGCGAGCTGTTGGCCGCCATCCAGGCCGGCCGTGCGCCTGTCTCACTCTTCAACGTGGCCTACGACCAGCCCCTCGAGCTCGTCGTCCAGCAGCGTACGAATGAAGACTACCGTGAGCCTCCCAAGGCCCCCGCCAAGCCATTCAGCGGCGGCGGCAACCGTCTGGGCTCTGTTGTTCCCAGCGTCGCTGCTGCCAGCTCCTCGCTCGGCGGTTCGTCGGCCCCTGCTCCAGCTGCGGCTCCCGCGGCGTCGTCTTCGACTCCAGCTGGTATCAACCTCGACGCGTCAAAGCCGGCCACCAGCGTTCAGATCCGTCTCGGCGACGGCTCGCGCCTCGTCGCCCGCGTCAACCTCGACCACACTGTTGGCGACATTCGCGCGTTTGTGACCGCGTCTCGCCCTGACCCTCGCCCATTCGTGCTCCAGACCACCTTCCCTTCCCGCGAGCTCAAGGACGACGAGACTGTTGACGGTGCCAAGCTCGCCAACGCCGTCGTCGTTCAGCGCTACACGTGATAAGAACTTTAGAGTAGTAGATTACTCGGACACGGACGTCTCCTTTTACATGGTTGTGCATATGGGATGGTACATAATGATTTTGTTGCTGCTGCTGCTGTTTTACATGGCGTACGCGCCGCCCTTGCCGTGTCCGAAACGGTCGTTGAGGCCACGCGCGTCCTTGATCTTCTTCTCGCGCTCTTGGTCGGTGAGCAGACGGCCCGTGATGCCCATGTGTTGTGAGTGGTCCCAGAACGCAGGCTCCTCTTCTTCCTCGGCGGCCTTTTTGGCCGAGTGCTGGTCGAGCAGAGACTCTCCACGGCTGTTTTTCTGCACAGGTCAGTGGTATCCTTGTGCCCAGTGCACCCACCGTGTGCCTCTCGACGCCGTCGCGGATATCGCGGTCGCGCTGCTTGCGCCGCTTGCGCTCCAGCTCGTCGTCCTCCTCTCCGCGCTCTGGACGACGCTTGATGCCCGCCACCTCGTCTGCCATCCTCTGCGCCTTTTCGGCAGGACTCTCTGTCCACCCCCGCTGCTCGTCGGCCGTGACCGCGGCTCGCGAACTCTTCTGGAAGCTCGTAGGCCGCTTGAGCGGGTCGATGTGGCTCAGGCTACCGCTCGTGGGCGGGACCAGCATCCAGTCGTCGCGCTTTGTCGGGCCCTTCTTCGTGCTGGCCTCGGCGCGCTCGGCGGCCCACCTCGCCTCGCGCGCCTTGAACTCTTCCGCAGCAGAGAGTTTGGGTGCGGCGGCCATGTCGCCAAGACGCGGGCCGACAAAGTCGTCGTCGCTGTCGTCGTCGTCGGCTGGCGGCGGGGCGGGGCGGGGTGCCGGGGCGCGAGCGGGGATGATGGGATCGAAGGCAGATGGGCGAGAGGGTCCAACGGTGGGGCCAATGGAAGGACCGATCGAAGGGCCCATCGAAGGCCCAGCAGAGCGCTCGTCGTCGCCAGCCGTAGGCGGCCGCTGGGGACCAATGTCGCGCGTCTTGGGCTGCTCCTTGCGCTTGGCAGCGAGGTGGGGCGGGAGGGCGGGGCCAAAGTCGTCCTCCTCCTCGTCTGACGGGGTAGCAGCGCGGCCACCTGAAAGGTGTGGTGGGAGCTGTGGTCCGATGGGCATTGTGTAAGTGATGGAGAGGAAGACACAAGAGAGATGGCAATACAGGTCATCTTCAAGAGACGGTTCAATGTTGACATTTATCCAAGCCGCCCTTTTAATCTGTTAACAGCAGTCTGTAGCGTTTCTGTAGCGCCATGCAGTGAGCCGATTGAGCTGTGACTCTTGCATGTGTGTCAGCTGTAGAGCGCCACATGTGAGACGCAACGTGCATACGCGAAAGGCAGGGGACCCGAGCCCGTTGGCCACCCAAACTCCTTCCATCGCCATCTCGCCATCTCCCTCCACCGAGCGGCGGAATTTCCAGCTTGCCGAGGACTGTTTTGCTCCGATTGATCCGAATCCCATAATCTTATCCAACCCACCTGAAAAAAGCGAACAGTAAAGAACAACAATGTTCGCGCACGTCGGTCTTGCTCGCGCAGCTGCACGCGCCAGCTCGACGTCTCTCTCGTCACGGGCGTGCTTGCGGTGTCAGCCCGTCTGGCGCCGGTACGCCTCGGCGGCTGCTGGACCTCAGTGGTTCACAGAGACAGAGGAAAACAATGCCCAGGTCCTCGACGCTGCCAAGGTCAAGGTGGACGAGTGTAATGCTGCTCGTGGACATGTGGTTGAGGTGGGTTATAACTGAGGAGCGGAGTTCATTCAGCTGACAGTTGAACAGCCCGGAGACGATATTGCAGACCAGCGAGCGCGGTCCAAGATCATCAAAGAGTGGTCTGGCCTGACCGATGCGTATGAAAAGTACAGCGGCATTCGCAAGGTGGGTATATCCTTGTGCGAGTTGCCAAACACTGACACTCCCAGGCTCTGGTGGACGTGCAGCCACACCTCTCCGACCCGGACGCGTCCCTGCGCGAGCTGTTCGAGATGGAGCGCGACGACCTGCTCGTGCAGCTTGACGAGGCGCTCGCCGCCCTCCCGGCCCTCCTCCTGCCGCAAAGCGAGAGCGCAAGTCTGCCCGCCATGCTCTCGCTCAATGCCGGCGTAGGCGGTTCCGAGTCGGGCCTGTTCGCCGAAGAGCTGGCCCGCATGTACACGCGCTTCGGCGAGCGCCGGGGTTGGAAGAGCGAGGTCATCTCGCAGACCGAAGGACCCGTGGCCAAGGGCGGCGGTGGGCTGCGCGAGGTCACGATCAAGTTTGAGCCCCCACCGTTCACCGAGGACGAGCAAGTGTTCGGGCTGTTGAAGTGGGAACGTGGCGTGCACCGCGTCCAGCGCGTGCCGATTACGGAGCAGCAGGGCCGCGTGCACACGAGCACTGTCGCCTGTGTCGTGAGTAGCTGGTTGTGCCCAGGGAGTGCGTCGCAGCTAACCACCCAGGTCCTCCCCATTTACCCCGACACGGCCGACGCACCGCTCGTGGACCCCAAGGACGTCAAGTCGGAAGTGATGCGCTCGCGCGGCGCCGGTGGCCAGCACGTCAACAAGACCGAGTCGGCCGTGCGCCTCACCCACCTCCCGACAGGTATCAGCGTGTCCATGCAGGACTCGCGCTCGCAGCACCAGAACCGTGCATGGGCATGGGACATCCTCCGCGCGCGTCTGAGTGAGCGCAAGCGGCAAGCAGAGGTCGAGGCCAAGCGTGCGAGCAGGCAGAGCCAGGTGGCCAGTGCCGGACGCAGTGACAAGGTCCGCACCTACAACTTTCCCCAGGTGAGTTCCAGCTGGCAAGGCTCATGAAGCAGTGACGTAGCTGACGATTGCAGGACCGCCTTACGGACCACCGTATCGGCCTGTCCCTCACTGGTCTGAAGGAGATCATGGACGGCGCAGGCCTCGAGCACGTCGTCAACGCGCTCAACGAGGACCTCGACACCCGTCGTCTGGAGAGCATCCTCGCAGGCGAGGGCGACTTTGACGAGTAGACAACACGCATACGCATAGTAGAGCATAGCATAGAGATCTTCATAGCATGCACACCACTTTTACATTGGCCACAAACGTGCGATTGATGGGATATATCATGCAATGAAGGGTTACAACAACACCATCTAACTAAAAGATTGCCTCTCTCCACACGTCCTAGTACCCGCCACCATCGTAGCGCGCGTTGGCGGCCGTCTTCCTCCTCATCTCCTCCTCGAGCTTGGGACAGTCGCTGAGGCCGTGGCCCAGTCCACCACAGACTGGACAGCCGCGGAGGACGCCACCCTGGGCAGCGCGCGGGTCGTCGATGTCGAGCAGGAACTCCGGGATCCTGTCATGTCAGTTAACGAAAGAAGGACAATCAAAGGTTATCTGACTCACTTCTGCTTGGCCTCCATGAGGAGGTACTTCAAATCCAGCAATGTCTGCTCGCTCGTGTTCATGTTGACAAACGTCGTCGCCACTCCGGTCTTGCCGCTACGGCCCGTGCGGCCGATCTCGTGCACATAGTCCTCAATCTCCTTGGGCATAGTGTACACGATGACGTGCTGGATCTCGTTAAAGTCCAGGCCCTTGGACGCGACACCCGAGGCGACCATGACGTCCTTGCCGCCAGTCTTGAACGAGCGGATGGCGTACTCGCGTTCGTCTTGGGCTGCACCGGGTCAGTACCATAGACATGTTGACAGACAAGCAGTACTCACTCTTACTACCGTGGATAGCCACGGCCTCAACGCCCTTGAGAAGGAGGTACTCCTGGATATCGTCGACCTCGTTCTTGTTGTCGCTGAAGATGATGACGGGCGGCGGGGTCTTTTGGAGACATTCCAAGAGATAAACCATTTTGGCCTCCTGCTTGACGTACTCGACCTCCTGGATGACGTCCATGTTGGCGGCACCGGCACGGCCGACGTTGACCAGAATGGGGTTGATGAGGGACTGCTGAGCAAAGTCCTGGATCTTGCGCGGCATGGTAGCGGAGAACAGGAGTGTCTGGCGCTGGTATTTAAAGTGACTCATGATGGAGCGCACGTCCTCTTCAAAGCCCATATCGATCATGCGGTCCGCCTCGTCCATGCAGAGGTATTTGCAGTTGTTGGCATTCAGCCTGCCCTTTTCCAGCATGTCGATAAGACGACCGGGGGTCGCGACCACAATGTGCACACCTCTGTTGAGCGCGTCGGCCTGGTCGGCCATGTTGATGCCACCGATACACAGCAGGCTGCGGAGCTCGGGATAGTCACCATCCGCCTTTAGCGCATCGCACATGGCCACGCAGCCCTCGTACGTCTGCCTCGCCAACTCGCGTGACGGGCAGATGATGAGTCCAACGGGGCCCTCGCCGCGCGTGAACGGGAGCTTGGCCTCCATTTCAAGGCTCTGCATGATTGCAGGCAGCGTAAAAGTAAGGGTTTTGCCAGAACCAGTAAAGGCAATACCGATCATGTCGCGGCCAGAAAAGCTGGGCGTCAGCAGAGAACACACATGTATAAGGCGAGGGGGGTTGAACTCACGCGGTGGGGATGCCTTGGATCTGAATCGGCGAGGGGGTCTTGATTCCCTTGCCGGACAAGTACTTGAGCAGTGGCTTGGGAATCTTCATGTCGGCAAAGTGCTCAATGGCAGGTGGTGGGTCTTCACCCTCGAGGATGATGGCGTGCTTTTCACGGACAGCCTGCTGCTCCTCGGGGGACAAGTTGCGGATGTAGTGGGGTGGCCGCCAGGATGTCTTCATGCTATCGGTGTACGCCGTCCCGTGGGCGAGCTCCTGCGCGCCGGCCAGCTTTTTCTGCGCACGCTCCATCTCGGCAAGGAGAGCCGCTTCCTTCTCCGCCTCCTTTTCGGCCTCGGACTTGCGTGCGTCTGGACCGTCAGCACACGGTCACCTTGATCTCAATCTTACCTTCAATCTCCTTCTTGCGCCTCACCTCCTGCGCGGCCTGGAGCAGTGTCTTCTCCCTACGCGTCTTTTCGCGCTCCACGCGCTCCATCTCCGCCTCGTCCGCAGCCTGCCTCTCCGCCTCGGCATCGAGAGCGGCGCTGCCTTCCCGTGATGCCTGGGTAGAGTTGTCGCCGCTCAGCAACTTGACCTTTTTCGCTTGCGGCAGGTGGCGTCCGCCGACTTGTGCCAGCAGCGCGGCGCGGCGCTTGGCTACCGGCACATATGGCTTGTAGTCTGCTGGCACATCGTATGCGTCCTCTGTTCCTTTTGCTGCTGGTGCTGGAGGCATGGTTGAAGTGGGTGGAGAGTGGAGACAAGGTGGATGTTATTGTTCAGCAGCGATCAAGAAAGAGCACAGATCGGGCCGTTGGCGGCATTTATCTGCGCCGCCCATTTTAGGTTGGCCGACTCCGACACAATACAACTTCGGCTGCAAGAACGACAGGTTGGTGATGCATCGATGTCTGTGGTACGTATTGTATACATGAGGCAGCTGGGTAGCTGCGTGAAGTGTTGAGGTGTGTTGTTGTTGAGGTCAATGGGTGAATGAGGCGAGTTGGGGAGCTTGCAGAAGGTGCTCGGGCAAGCCCTCGAGGTTGCCGGCTTCGTCTTGAGGGTCAAGAAAGGACGACTTGTGGGGCATTGCCAACACCCAGCTTCGAGCACAAGGCATTAGTGTGAGGGACATGCTCCTGGTCGACATGGTATGGCGTCTAGAGCCTCGAGCTGATCGATGGAATGTCGCACTCGCCAATGACGCGGACGTTGGAGTCAAACCGCGTCCAGTCTGGCCGCCCGTCCTTCCAGATCTTGACCGCACCGTCAGCCCAGCCCACATACTCCAACGTCCTTCCTGCAGCACTTACACGCGCAATGACCTTTCCGCGGACGCTTGCGAGCGGTACAGGCCCATAGTGTCTCGAATCCGTCGAGCTGGACAGGTTGTCGCCTGCGATCCAGATGTAGCCCTTTGGGATACGCACATACTTGCTATGGCCCCACCGGTCTTGTCCCGCGACCGACGCCATCTCTCCATCGTCACGTCCTGCACTGCGCTTCCGGTCCAGCGAGTGCCGAGACGGGTCCCAGACGATGCCGTCCCGCCGCGGATCCATCTCCACCAAGTCGCCCTCAACCCCAATGACCCGCTTGCACACATAGTAGCTCGGGTCGGTCGGGTTGTCGACCACGACCAGCTCGCCGCGCTTTGGCCGGCGTTCCAACTTGGTGCTCCACCCGCCCCATTGGTGTAAGGGACGCCAATAAGACAGGGGAGTGTACCAGACGACGTCGCCAAAGTAGTTCATGGTGGGCATCATGGAAACGCCAATAGTGGGGATGGGCGCTCCGACAGCATCGAACGTCAGTCGGATGGCGCACATGAACTGGCCGCTGACGAGGGCTATGAACCCGAAGTTACGGCGGAAGCTAGAGGCGCACCTCCGTAGACGGGAGGTCATGGTGAGTGGTTGACAAACGATGGAGGTGGACGGACGTATCGCCCAAAAGAGTGTACACCGGCGTCATGAGGTTGACATTTTGCTCCCGTCCAAGCAGCAAGCAGCCTCCTATTGTCTACCACTTTGTGATGCATAATCTACAAACCGCCCCTACTCGCCATTGGCCTCCGCCAGCTCCTGCGCGTCGAGTGCCATCTGCGCCGATATGACCTCCTTGTCCGTCTCCAGTTCGCCAATCTTCTCCATCAAGTCGCGGCGCTCGTCATTGAGCTCTGCATACCGTGCTTGCAGATCGCGCTCGCGACGCTCGAGCCCGGCCACCTCCTCACGCTTGGCCTCGAGACGGGCAGGCGCAGCAGCCTCCTCCATCGTCCGCAACATGCTGAAAGTCGCGAGTTCGCGCTGCTGCGTGCGAATGTCCTCCATGGCGGCGACAATGCCGGCACGCGCCTTGCCATTCAAGGCAGTGTAGCCGCCCAGCTGCTTGCCGAGCTTCTTCTCGGCCTTGGCGGCACGGGTCGCGTCGGCGACCATGCGGTCACGGCTCGAGCCGACCATGGAGGCGTATGCGGCAGCCAGCTCGTCCTCAGACAGCGTCGCGGCCTCGACCCAGCCGGAGACGGGGGAGTAGACAAGCTGCTTGGATGACGACCACGACGATGCAAAGGCAGTAGGGTCCTCGGCAGCCTGCGAGCCAATCACGACACGGATCTGCTCGTCGTTGGCGCCCGGAAGGCCGAGAGCGGTGGCGAGCTCAGAGTGAATAGCGGCCTTGGCAGCAGCGACAAACTCGTCCTCGGGCATGTCGTAGTCGCTGGCCAAGTTGCCTGGGTTGCTGGTGCCTGGCAAGGGGTGGGCGAGCGAGTCGTGCTTGACAAGTGCGGCGACCTCGAGGTTGATCATCGCAATGGCGGCAGCGAGACTCTCCTCGGCATCGGCAGTAGCAGCAGTGAGCTCACGGAACAGGCTGCGAGTGTCGACGTTGGCGGGACGGGGGAGACCCTTCTTGACGACCTGGGAGCGGCGCTCAAGCTCGAGACGCTCCTCCTCCTCGCGCTCAGCCTTGAGACGAGCATCACGCTCAGCGGCATCTTCCTCAGTCATCTCAACCTCGTCATCCTCCTCGTCGTCATCCTCCGGGTCCTCGAGCTCGAAGTTGTTCTCGGGACGAGGGAGGGCAGCGAAACCGGCCTTGAGGGCACGCTTGGCATCCTTGACGCGGCGGCGGTCGTCAGATGGGGTGTCACCCCAGCCGCTGGGGCGCTGGTCGGTGTTGATGCTAAGGTTGTCACGAATAGGGGTGCGCAGTGGGGTCTGGCCCACACCACGAGGGGTAGAGGCGACACCGTTACGCGCTGGAGTAGCCAGGGGGTTGGGCGTCGAGGCAATGTGTTGCCTAGGGGTGGCGCTTTCAAAGCCCGTACCGGCCTCGTCGTTGGCGCTGTGGAGGGGGGTGTTCTCGTCGCCGAGGAGGGGAGTCTGGGTGTTGACGAGGTTGCGGAGGTGACGGGCCTCGGCGAGGACGTTGTCCTCGGCCATGGCCACGCGTGGCGTGCGAGTCATGCGCGCCTGGCCGAGGGTGTCGTAGCTGTCGCCGACAAGCCCGTCGGTGGCGTCGTTGGATCCAACAAGGTCACGAGCAGCCTCGCCTGCCTGGCCAATCTTGACAATCTCCTCGAGCTCGCGCTCGCCAACCTGGGGGGTAGGGAGGTTGAGCTTGCGGCGGCGGATAATCTGCTCCTGCTCCTTGAGCTTGCGGATCTGGGCTTCGCGTTGCTGCACAAACTGGGTGGCGGTACCGGCCTTGTTGTCGTTGCCCTTCTTGCGCTTGGCGTCGCGGCCCTCGGCCTCCTCGAGCTCCTCCTTGCGCTTTCCCTCGAGGGCACGCAGCGACGAGCCGACCACGGGCGCGTATGTCTTGGAACGCTCCTCGGCAGTGTCGTAGAATCCAGGTGCGGGCTGCTTCTCGAACGGAATGTCGGCATTGTAGTCCATGCCCTTCTTCTTGGGCTTGGTGCGGAGGTTGATGCCCGCGGCCTTGAGCTCACGCTTCTTCTGGAGGAACGCGACGCGACGGGCCTCTTCGAGCTGACGCTCACGCGCCTTGCGCTTGGCCTTTTTGCCCTGCGTGTTGGCGAGACGCGCACGCGCCTCGGACAGCATCTCCTTTTCGTCGTCGTCCATGTCCACGGGGTCGGGACGGGCAGGGCGCGTCTCCGGGTCGGGGTCGATCTCGCCCTGGCGCAGACCGCGCGCGCCGTCGGCAGGCTTGGACGCGCCGTCAACGTCGCCGTCGCCCAGGCCAAGCTCGTCCTGGTCCGCCGCCTCGGCATCGTCGAGGAGCTTCTGGTAGCGCTCCAGACACTGCGTGGCCGTACGGCCCACAATGGGGGCAATCGTACGCCACTGCGTGGGCATCAACTTGGCGAGATGCAACAGCTTCTCGTCCTCGGTCTTTGACCACTCGACCTTCTTGATGGAAGGATCCAGCCACTCGTACCATCGCGCCTTGCACTGCTTGGGGGTCTTGCGCACCAGAAGCGACGAGATACGGGCCCACTGGTTCTTGCCGTACTTGGAGATGGCAGCCTTGAGGATCTCATCCTCGGTGTTACGCCACACACCACCCTTGATGATGATGCGCACCATCGTGAATCAACTGCTCCTTGGCTCTAGCAAACAAGGTGGAGCACTGGCGATGTCTGCAGGGTCGCAGCGGGTTGGTTTCGCTCCGTCGTTCAGTCGGCGCGAGCTGGCGAGTCGTGGATCGGGCTGCTGGTTGGTGATGATGATGACGAAGGTGGTGGTGGATTGACTTTCAACATCGTTGGGTGGCGGACGAGCTACGGTGGGCGGCGATATCGGCGTTGTGGCGTGTGGCACAGGTCTGGTTGAGTTGTAACGACCCAGTAATGAGGGGCTCATACCCACCATGCATGGTATCTATGCATGCACTGAGCATGCTGGTGAGTAATATACCATCTGTTAAATGTGACATGCAGTGTATGTGGGGGTTGGAGGAGCACAAAACTGGAAACGGACGCATGGGACATTGGTGACTTTCAATCATAACAATCCATGCAAGATCCCATAATCCAGACGAGCTGGCTGTGCGTGTCTATCTATAGGTACAGTACAGTGCGTACACCAGCCCATCCCTCTCTAAATCTCATCGTACAGCGTGCAGTCTAGCGGCGCTTCTTCCTCTCGTTGGGGTTCTTCCTTCCGTGACCGATCGAGGGCATGCCGCGCGTGTCGTGACGGCCCTTGCCGTTGGAGCCGACCGAGATAATCTCGGGCATCCACTATTATAATTATGTGAGCGACCGCTCAGCCAGCTCCAAGCATGCAGTGTATGCAACTCACGTCGGGGTCCATCCACGAGCCGTCGCCGCGGATTGCGCGCTTCTCCTCCTTTTGACGCGCAATGTTGTTGGAGTGGACGGCATCCTGCCACTCGAGCTGGTCTTCACGCAGAATGAGACCTGAGCCACCCTTCTGCTGGCCCTTTGCGCGGCCCATCTTGGGGTCGGGAATAGAGTACTTGGTACCGCGGAGGTGGTACTGGAAGTTCTTCTTGAGGTGGATGGTCTGCTTGCCAGTCACTGCGCTGGTCGAGACGGTGGTGCGCATGAGCGAGGCGTTGCCGCACGAGGGGCAGAACCGCTTGCTGCTGTCCTTACACAGCTTGAAGCAGGCGTGGCAGCGGAGAACCCACGAGCGAACTTTTGAGATACGCTTGCCGGCCTCGCCGACGAGGCCGAGGCCCATGCCGAGCAGAACGTTCTGGACCGCGTAGTCTCCGGTCATACAGGCCGCGGCCAAGGGAGCCTGGGCGGCGCGCTTCTCGTCGGGCAAAAGGCCAAGGTCGTGCGAGCGGTGCTTCTGGACGTTGGAAGGGGTGATCCACTCGCCGCCGTCGCTCTCGTCGTCCTCGACCCAGCCGGGGACCTCAGCGGCGGGGGCTGCAGGCGCAGGGGTCTCAGCAGGAGTAGCCTCAGTGGCAAGCTCAGAAACACCCTGGGTGATCTCCTCAACAGAGGTCTTGGAAACAGGAGCGGCTTCCTCGGCAGTCTGCTCAGTCGGTGCGGAAGCATCGGCCTCGGCCTCAGCCTCAATCTCAACCTCGACCTCCTCGCCCTCCGACTCCGAGTCCTCCTCGGCGTCCTTCTTCTCCTCCTCCACCACTGGCGGGACACCAGCCAGAGGCGGCAGCTTCTGTCCCGGAGCGGTACGGATACGGGCGTCACCGTTGACGGCAACCTCATACTGGTAGGTGAGAGCGACGACGCTCATGTCGGTAGCCGACAAGACGGCAAAGTCACCGGTCTTCTTGGCGAACGCAATGACCTTGGCCATTGCCTCGGCCGAGGGGGCCTCGACGCGCACATCCAGGCCAGTGAGCTTGAGGTGTTCCCAGTGCTGGCGGGCCTTGGGGTCACGCAGCTCGGCAAGGACCATGGGAGTGGTGTGGAACGAGCTCGACAAGTGGCGAAGAGGGGTGAGGGACAGGAGGGGTCCGGCGTCGAGGATCAAGTGCTTGATGCCGGTCGAGGCGGGTTCCGGAGCGGCGGACGTCGAGGGGCCCGCGCTGGACGGGCCCGCTGTAGCTGCAGCAGCAGCTGCGCTGTAGGAGAAGGCCATGGTGTGTGTGTGTTGTTGAGTAAGCTGCAGCAGAGGTGATGTCGATGGACATGGAAATAATTGAACTTTTGCGGAGTATTGAAGATGTCCGTTAAACAGATTACATAATATAATGCAGACATTACCTAATGCCAATATTATTACGTAACAATTTAATGCCACTTCCTTGCCCAATTAAAGTGGGTCTAATTTCGGCCGAAAAACGCGTCCCCGTTGGCGGCGATCAACTGCTTGTGCGGTGTGTGCGGGGGTGGGCGATGGGCGAGTTGGCCGTGAGTCGAGCGAGCGCACCTGTGGGCGTCATATTATAACATTTACAGCCTCTTTTTCTTTCTCTTCCTCTATACACCACCAACACACACACACAAACAAACGAATATGGCTGCTACGACGTAAGCTACCTGGGATCTAGAGCATGGCGGCTGACAGATAGCTTCAAGATTACCGTCCTCGGCGGCGACGGCATTGGTGGGTAGCTCGCCAACGTCCGGCAAGACGAGTCCACGAAGCTAACGTCTCAGGCCCCGAGATTGTCCAGCAGGCCGTCCGCGTCCTCAACGTTGTCACTGAGAAGACCCCCACTCTCAAGCTCGAGCTCACTGAGAAGCTCTTTGGCGGTGCCGCCATTGACGCTACCGGCACCCCCCTCCCCGAGGACACCCTCAAGTCGTGCCAGGAGGCTGACGCTGTTCTCTTCGGTCAGTATTGAAGTGTGCCGCTACTTGAGTCTCTTCGCAAGCTGGTATCACAGTCTCGGAAACACGTACTGACGTTGCAGGTGCCATCGGTGGCCCCAAGTGGGGTGTCGGCCCTGTCCGCCCCGAGCAGGGTCTCCTTGCCCTCCGCAAGGCCCTCGGTCTCTACGCCAACATTCGTCCCGCCAACTTTGCTTCGGAGGGTCTCCTGAAGCACTCGCCTCTCAAGGCCGAGGTCGCCCAGGGCACCGACATCATTGTCGTCCGCGAGCTCATCGGCGGTATCTGTAAGTCTATCTGAGGTGTCTGTCCCCTCCAGAGCTAACGATACAGACTTTGGTGAGCGCGGTGAGGCCAACGAGGAGGGTGTCGCCTTTGACACCTGCACCTACTCGGTCGGTGAGATCCAGCGCATTACCCGTGTCGCTTGCCAGATTGCTCTTGCCGCCAACCCCCCTCTCAAGGTCACCTCGCTCGACAAGGCCAACGTCCTCGCCACCTCGCGCCTGTGGCGCAAGACCTTCGAGGAGGTCATGACCAAGGAGTACCCCCAGCTCCAGTACGAGCACCAGCTCGTCGACTCGGCTGCCATGATCCTCGTTGCCAACCCCCGCAAGCTCAACGGTGTCGTCGTTACCGAGAACCTCTTTGGTGACATTATCTCGGACGAGACCTCGGTCATCCCCGGCTCGCTTGGTCTCCTCCCCTCGGCGTCGCTCGCCGGTGCCCCCGACGCGTCCAAGACCGTCCAGGGTATCTACGAGCCCATCCACGGCTCGGCTCCCGACATTGCCGGCATGGGCATTGCCAACCCCATCGGCACCATCCTCTCGGCCGCCATGATGCTCCGCTACTCGCTCGGCCAGGCCAAGGCTGCCGAGGCCATCGAGGCTGCCGTCCGTAAGGTCCTCGACCCCGTCGAGACTGGCGGCTTCGACTTCCGCACCAAGGACCTTGGCGGCAACAAGTCGACCACCGAGATGGGTGACAAGATTGTCGAGGTTCTTGCCACCATCCTCTAAGCAGGTGGAAACACAAAAGGAAAGGGGGTGGCCAGCGCGGCCACTACCAGCCAGGCCGAAGGTTTTGTAGATCAAAAGGTGGCAGCTCTAGAACGCAGAAAGCATGGGGTTCAGCAGATGCATTGGTTGTCTAGTAGTACCAGCTGGAGTGGACACGTACGAGATGGGCTACTCGGCCAACTCCGAAAACTCCGTCAGACCCGCATGATAACTCGCGACTCGAAAGACGGTCGTTACGAGATGCTAACCGAGAGCTACCTTTTGCTCTTGTCACCATTACCTGTCGCCTGTGTCCATTGTCTGTTGCTCTTGTCACCGTCTCGCCCATCATGACATACGACCTCGCTCCGCCGCTCCCAAAGACAGCTACCCCGGCAGACTACAGTCGCATCCACTTTGACCCCTCCGAGGTGCCTCCCAAGCGTATCGTCGGTCTGTTGGCATGTCAGCGTGAGTCACCACTGCTTTAAACTGTGCTTACTAAGTTTAGGCGACCCTCTCCTGCGCTCGCTCACCTCGCGCGTGCACGCCACGTCCCCGGCCTCTGCTGCTCCGCTTGCCCAAAAGGGCAGGGAAAAGAAAAAGAACAAGTCTGCCGCGGCGACACCTTCTGAGACGCCTGGCGGGTCCGGAACGGCCACGCCCGTAGGCAAGCTCTGGGAGGTCGAGCTGGAGGACACTGTCGTGTTCCCGGAGGGTGAGTTGGGATACCAGCTGTCGCGCTTGTCGTTGCTATCAGATATGCGTGTGGTGTACTGACTTTCTTCCAGGTGGAGGCCAGCCATGGGATACCGGCCGCATGACGCTCACCGACGCCAACGGTACCCCCCACACGTTTGCCATTGAAGGCTGTGTGCGCCGCAAGCTCGACGCTGTGCACCTTGTCCGCGTCCCCGACGTCTCTCCCATCGCATTCGACACCATCGTCGGGCAGGAAGCCACCGTCGAGGTCGACTGGGACCGCCGCACCGACCACATGATCACTCACACTGCTCAGCACCTCCTGTCTGCCGTCCTCGACGCACGCGGTCTCCCGACCTTGTCGTGGGGCATGGGCGCGCACCCGACCACCGAGGCACCGTACGTCGAGCTCTCGCGCGGCCTGACGTGGGCGGAGGCGGCCGAGGTGGAGAAGGAGTGTAACGACTTTATCAAGCAGAACCGCAAGGTCTGGATCGACGTGACCGTGCAGATGGATCACACGGCTGTCAGCGACCCAGAGCGTGCGAGCGAATTGGAGAGGGAGAGCAGGGGTATTCCAAAGGACTACGCTGGGGTGAGTACTTCAGGCGTGGAGACCATGCTACGGCAAGCGGTGGTTGTGAACAGTTTGCCCCTCGACAACCACCATCTGCAGCCTTCTACTCGCGACCCTCCTTGCTGACTCTGACTAGGGCGTCATCCGCCACTGCGTTATCGACGAGATCGACCGCAACGCCTGCTGCGGTACGCAGTGTCCCGAGCTCTCGGTCATTGGCTTCCTGCACGTTCTTCCCCCCAGCGCGCCATGGACAGCCACCGAGCCGACGTCCAAGGTGCCCACGCGGCTGTTCTTCGTCGCGGGCCCGCGCGCGGTCAACCACCTCTCGCTCGCGTCCCGGTGGCTCTCGCAGGCCGGACAGGCGATCAACGTCGGACGCGCTGACGTCGTCGAGCGCATCACCAAGATCGAGACCAACCGCTTCGACACGGCCGAGCGGGAAAAGGCGCTCAAGGCCGAACTGGCAAAGGTTGTGGGCGAGGCCGCCGCGGCGGACCCTGTCGCGTGGGTCCAGCGCATCGTCCCCGCGAGCCACGACTACGATTTCCTCTCGGCCGCCGCATCGGCCTATCTCGCCGTCCGGGAGGAGGGCGCGATCGTCCTCACGTCGAGTCCGCCGGGGGTGTCCCCGGTCCTCCTGCTGGTGTCGTCCAAGGACGAGGCGCGGGCCAAGAGCCTCTTCGAGGCTGTCAAGCGCGCGCTGGCGGGCGACGACAAGGCCCGCGTGAAAGGTGGTGGTGCACGGGGCCGCTTCATGGCCAAGGTGGACGGCAAGTGGGGCAAGGCCGAGATCGAGGCTGTCGCCGCCGTGGTCAAGGATGCGGTGGGCGAGAGCGCGTGAGCACAATACCCTGCTTTATACGTCATTGCGAAGGGCCCATCGCATCCACTGACATCAATTGTACGAGTCCTCTACGTGTCTGGGTGTTGTATGCATCGCCATGGCCACCCATCTTCTCGTCAGTGACCTGGCCGCAGATCCGCAGACCAAGCGCGCGGCGGTTAACGGAATCAAAATTCAACGTTAAACAATGCATGCATGCTCTCAAGAGGCATCGCCGTATCTGTGTAAGAAAAGAGAGCCTCGGATGTCGATGCTAGCACTGCTGCAGACAGTACCAGCGAGGTAACGAGGGTATGAGGTATAGAGTGAAAGAGAAACGGAGATGCATGGTATACTAGCGGTAGATGGTCTTTTATATGGATAGCGCTTGGGGGACTGCTGACATCATTCGGCGGAAGCAATCTGGTTACGTGTTTCTAACAATCTGGAAATTATCAAAACCCGTTAGCTTCCCCGCTAAGTTGGTCCTGGATAGTTGAATTCTGTCACTGGGAATTTCAGAGTTCGATCCCGGGAGGGCGATGATACAAAAATCACTGGCCAGTGGGAGCTTGGTGGCTCTATAAACTACACCACGGAGCTGGGTGTCTCAATACCACACCCGGGGGAGGGGGCTCATTAGGAGGAGCGGAGGTTACCACACAATCCACAATCCACAATCCATCCACAAAACCTAAGAGAGCAGAGAGGCTCATTAGGAAAGAGCAGGCGGCTCGAATAGAAGGAGCAGAGAAGGCTCATTAGGAGAGAGCAGGGAGGCTCATTAGGAGAGAGTAGGAGGCTCGAATAGAGCTCAGCGACTACTTTTTAATCATGCTCAGACGAATTGTTATTATTCTGCAAGCCGATCAAGTGAAATGGACCCTTGCGGCCGTGGCGATTGACGGACGGATGGAGACCCCGGCCGTGGGTGAGGGGATGGATCGGACGACGCCGTTGCCAGCCTAATTCACCCTGCCCAGCTGCCTCCCAGTTCATCCGGTCCTCGCGTTTTCGCAGTATGCTTGTATGGTGTGGGTCATCTCCAGGCCTCCAGGATGGGTATCCCCTCATCCAGGAGGGAGACGTCGTTTTCTGCGAGACGGAGAGGAAGGCAGAAGGAAATGGCAAAGCAAGAAGGCGACCGTGCCCGTGGCCCGCAAGTGGGCCTCCACCCGGCATGCCCGGCAGCACGCCTGGGGACCCGCCGGGACATATTAGCCGAGGGGTGACGTCCCAAGGTCCGACCCGATGTGTTGCATGCCGAACAGCGAGCAGGCCACACACTCTGCGTCCACCACATGGGACACCACGGGCAACGAACAAAGCTGACATTTGCCAGCTGCGCTTTGATCTGCTTCATACTTCGCACTCTATACGCTTTCGCCTTTCATTCCCATTCCCGCCACCACCACCATGACCACACGCGTCGTCCTCGCCCGTTCCCTCCGCCCAGCCGTCCGCCGCGCCACTGGCGTGCGCGCGCTCGGGACCCCGCGCGCGTTCACGAGCTACAACGGACCCGTCGCGGGCCTCACGCCCGAGCAGGAGGAGGTGAGTGAGCGAGGCGAAGCAGTGCAGTGCAGTGTTTGGGTAGTGGTCCCCTGGTCCCAGTGCGAGCAGCCGGCTGGCGGCAGGCGACCCGTGAACGGTGAACGGGCGCTTGCCGGTCTTCGTCGGGCGAGCTGGCGAGCTGGCGAGCTGGGACTGCCGTGTGGTGGTTCAACGTCGAGCATTCTGCTGACCACAGTGCAGTTCCGTGACAACGTCGCCAACTTTGCCCAAAAGGAGATTGCGCCGCGCGCGGCTGAGATTGACAAGAAGAACAAGATGCCCGCTGTGAGTTTGTCGGTGGGCAAAGGTGTGAGCGGAGCGGGGGCGCGTGTAGCTGCTGTGCTTCATCTTCTGTGCAGCCGCCACCGTCACGGTCGCTCCGCTCCGCTCCTTGCGTTGTATGTTGGTGCCGGAGCTAATGTTTCAGGACCTCTTCCCCAAGATGGGCGACATGGGACTGCTGGGTGTCACTGTCCCCGAGGAGCTGGGTGGTCTTGGTCTCGGATACCTCGAGCACACGATCGCAATGGAGGGTAAGTCATGGATCTGGATCTGCCGCAATACTACCCAACTGCACCGCATACTGACGTGCTCGCAGAGATCTCGCGTGCCAGCGCATCCGTCGGCCTCAGCTACGGCGTGAGTCCCAGCTAGCGACGACGTCGATGTCCCACCAGCTGACACGCCCAGGCCCACTCCAACCTCATGGTCAACCAGCTGCGCCGTAACGGTTCCGAACCCCAGATTGCAAAGTACCTCCCCAAGCTGCTCACGGGCGAGCATGTCGGTTCGCTGGCCATGTCCGAGCCCAACGCCGGCTCGGACGTGGTCTCGATGCGCACGCGCGCCGAGCTCGACAAGAGCCACGACAAGTACATTATGAACGGGTCCAAGTGCTGGATCACAAACTCGCCCATTGCGTCGACGTTTTTGATCTATGCAAAGTCTGAAAAGGACGCAAAGCCGTCAAAGGCCATTACGGCGTTCCTCGTGGAGAAGGGTATGCCTGGGTTCACGGTCGGCGAGCCGCTGGACAAGTTTGGTGTGAGTAGGAGAAGGGAAGGAGTACGAGGGACGGGACGGGAGCCGAGAGGGCCTGCCATGGCAGTCCCCACCCCCGTCAGCTACCATTGCTGCGTCCAACCAGCTGACAGTAACCCCTCTCTTCCAGATGCGCGGCTCGCCCACTGCCGAGATCTTCTTTGACAACGTCGAGGTGCCCGCCGAAAACGTCATTGGCGGCGTGGGCAACGGAGCAAAGGTCCTCATGTCCGGCCTCGACTATGAGCGCCTCGTCCTGTCCGGCGGTCCCCTGGGCATCATGCAGGCCGCGCTCGACATGACCCTGGGCTACACGCACGAGAGGGAGCAGTTTGGCCAGAAGATTGGCACGTTCCAGCTCATGCAGGGCAAGCTGGCCGGTGAGTGCGGGCGAGCCGGGGAGGGCGGGAATGCTTGTGGCGGTGGCTGGGTCTGCACTGCCGAGGACCACACAGCCATGGTCCATTGCTTCGCTCTGTTTTGCTTTGCTGTTTGCTGACATGACACCCGCCTCTAGACATGTACACCAAGCTCTCGGCATCCCGCGCGTACGTGTACGCCGTCGCGCGCGCCGCCGACGCCGGCAAGGTGTCGCGCGAGGACTGCGCCGGCGCGATCCTGTACGTCTCGGACCGCTGTGTCGAGGTCGCCATGGACGCGCAGCAGTGCTTTGGCGGAAACGGCTACATTAACGGTGAGTTGCGAGTGTCAAGTGCACGAACGGGTAGAGCTGACTGGGTGTTTCTTCCACAGACTACGAGGTCGGCCGCCTGCTCCGCGATTCGCGCCTGTACACTGTCGGCGCGGGCACGCAGGAGATCCGCCGTGCGCTTATTGGGCGTATGTTCAACGAGGCGATTGCAAAGGGCCAGGACCACCTCTGATGAAAGATGGGGAGAGGCGTGCATGTGAGCAAGCGCCATAGCACGCGCGCGTGAATGTGGGAAGTGACGCGAGCGTGAGCATGGGAGCAGCGGGTCGTCGGCCCCGGGCGAAGGCAGATGTCAGAGAATGTAGACACAGACAAGTTGAAATGCACAGAAGTTGTACGCCGCGATCGCGCTCGTGCTCGTATATGCTCTGCATGGCTGTGCCGCGCCCTGTATATATGATGAGATTCCAGTGTGTTGGGGGCTGAGAGGGAGAGGGAGAGAGACAGAGACAGAAAGGAGACTTGGTGTTGAGGGGGAATGGGGGAATGGGAGACGATGGAACACAAAAAGAAAGAGCAACAAAGAAACGAAAAAAAAAGTTATTATCGCCCTAATAACGACCCATGCGCGCGAGGAGGTTCCTGTTTTGCTTTTTGTCTTTTTTGTCTTTTTGTTGGTCTGGGCACACGCCGCGCGCGCGCCTACTGCGCAGCGCCCGCCAAGTTCTTCTTCGACTTGGCAGCGTGGGCGAGACGGCGCTGGTGGCGGCGCTCGATGCTCTTGTCCGAGTCCCAGTCGACGTCGGCGGCGAGCAGGTCTGTCTGGCCGTTCTTCTCAAGCTTGGAGTCGAAGAAGCCGTCGCGGTATCCGCGGACGATGCGCTCGAGGAGGTCCGAGGTGGAGATGGCCGGGGTGCGGCGCGTGGGGAGAAACTTGCCCTCGCCCTTGACCCAGGCGTAGACGTCCTCCATGTCCTTTGACGGGTAGACGAGCTCGTCGTGGGCAATGTAGTCGATCTGGTACTTGTCCATCCAGGCCTGGTCGACGACCCACGGCGCGTCCGGGAGCACCTCGTCGACCCAGCGACAATGGCGCACGCCCTCGCAGCGCTCGGCATGGGTCATGGCCGGGGCCGACTTGTGGCCGGCACACAGCTGGTCCGAGCACACGCCGACCAGCAGGTGGACGCGTGGGAACGACATCTTGGCCTGGCGCAGCTGCAGCGCGTGGCCAAAGTGGAACAGGTCGTACACGCCGTCGGCGTAGATACGCACCGGCCTGTCCTGGGGAGGGGGGTTTGTGCGCCACCACCGCTCGACGCCGTCCTCGATGCCCTCGCCGTCGATCGCACGCTGCACAAAGCCGCGAATGTTGTCCTCGCTCACCTCCACGGGACGTGTGTACATCCTCAGTGGGCCCGCAGCCGACTGGGGGTTGCCCTGCTCATGTGCGCGGTACGGGTGCGCGAGCGACACCGAGTCGGCGACGGGCACGTCGGTCGGATGAGAGGTTGTTGTGTCGGCCAGACGCGCGCGCGACGCCTTGGGAGTAGGTGCGCGGTTCAGTTGGCCGGGAGTCGCACTGTTGGCGCCGGGCGTGGGCGACGACGGACGCCGCAGGTGTCCAGCACCGCCGTACGAGGGGTGGATGGGGGTGCCGACAGTCGACGAGCTCTCAATGTCGCCATCGTACCTGCGCAAGAGTCAGTATTGGGTATGGCCCAAACTGCCGTTATCTCGGAAAGAAGGACCAGGCCCGTCTCTGGCCCCTTCCGAGGTCAGACGGCGCCAAGCTTCTGTCTCCGGCACTCGCCAACCGGGACGCAACCACTCACGTTGGGGACTCGAGACCCTCGCTCTCACTCAGCTCCTGGCGCTTGTCGCCGCGGCGAAGTATGTTGAGTGCGAGGCCCATGGGAGCCGGGTGACGGGCGTTGCCGCCGTGGAGCGCACTCGGCGGTGCGGGGGCGTTGAGGCGTGGCGAAGACGCGGCCGATGGGGTCAGCGAAGGCGCGTTGACCGAAATGAGCGACGCAACGTCCGACACGTCGTTGTCTGCAATGTCCAAGTACATGTGCGTGGTGTGTGTGTGTGAGAGTTGTGCATGTTCGGGATGCATGGCGATCACGGCGAGCAACGAGAGCAGCGGCAGCGCGACATGGGCGGTGCGTGGGGGGGCACACAGAAACAGTGCGATTCACGCGGTTCACAGCACATGGTTTCGGAAGAGATGGTCCAGAGATGTGGGGGGTTCAGGAGACACGTCGAACGGTCGGCGTCAGCTCTTTTGCCACGGCACGTGGATTCTTCTGCTGCTTTTGCTTGTGCTTGTGCAGGCCATGCTCACCCTCTTCGCTGGCGTCCTGTGAGCTGTCCGGATCCCGTCCACGGCGTCCTTCGACGCGACCGTCGGCCCGCCTGTGCCGTTTCGGCTGAGCACTGCCGATTGTCGCCGACATGGCAGTGGCTGTTCCTCGGTGTTGTGGGGAGGGAGGGAAGGGGTTGGTAAAAGAGAGGGGGTGGTGGGCGGTGTCGCAGAGGCAGGTAGAGTGTGTGCAGATGACCGTTGCTGCTGGCCGGTGGGGTCTTGTGCGCGGGTGTGGGTGGGTGGGTAGGTGGTGGAGAAGTGACGAGCGGCGAGAAATGGGTGGCCCGGTCGTGACGGCTACAAAACGCTGGACGAGAGAGCATCCACGCGCGGCGGCGGAGGAACATCCAAAGAACCGGGACGTCTGGTTCCCCATGACGACAGTTGGGAGACACGGAACGAGCCTAATCCCCAGAAATAGGCGTGTGTATCCAATTCCCTAATTTCTCCGTCCCCGTAGGCACGCAAACGCCGCCGCCACCCACAAAGAGTCAAAACAAACGCGCGACTGTCTTCTCCCCCTCACTGTCAACAACATCCACTACACCATCCACAGCCATGCCGCCCCGACCAGCAGCAGCAGCAGACAACGACGACTCGTACGGAGTTGAAGACTCGGCAAACAACTCTTCCGCAGACATCCAGTGGCGGGCACTGACGTGAGCTGAACGTCGCCCTTTGCGCACCAAAAGCTGACCACCCACTTCACCAGTGCCGTCGTCGCAGATGTGTCGCCCATGCTGGACGTTCACGACGAGCTGGGAGACGTGGCCGCTGCCGAGGCGGCCGTGATTGCCAAGGACACGGAGCGCGGCGCCATTGTCGACAGGCTGCACGACGAGCTGCGAGGTGGGTCCCCCGTTTCCGTCCACCGTGTTGTGTCCATCCACTGACATCCCAGTTCTCGCAGCACAGCACCACGCAGCGGCCGACGCTGCCCAGCGGCCAAAGGGCACACCGTCAGCGGCAGAACACGAGGCGGCGGTGCGGTCGTTGGAACACCAGCAGTACTCGGCCGGCAAGCAGCTCAACGAGGAACAGGGCAACGTCGCCAAGCGCGAGGTCGAGCTGGGCCGCGTCAAGGCCGAGCGCGACGAGGTCCGCCGGTGGGACGTGGCTGCGGGCGCGGGAAACGACGGCCAGGTGTGAGTAGAGGGGGAGAGAATGGCCGACGGGACAGTCTGTTGATTGACCGTCAAACCCCGGCATGCCCTCGTGGGTGAACACCACTGACGTTCGTAGGATCCGCCTCCAGCTGTTCGCGGGCATGGGCTTCAAGCTCGCGTCGGAATCGCCCGTCAAGTTCATTGTCCGTGAGTACAATTACAAGTACACAGCACCAGGCGTGCTGTCTGGCCCCGTCTGTTGAGACTAACCACCCCTCCCCTCCAGGCAACGACGCAAAGCCCGACGTACACACCGTCACGCCCCCGCAGACGGCCGACCCGGCCCAGAGGGTACACTATGCCAACCGCCTCTGGGACCTGGCCGGTGAGTGAGCCGGCGAGCGCGAGAGCGCGAGAGCGCGAGAGCGCGAGAGCACGCCAGTACGCCAGTACAGATAGAGGGGCACAATGCCCTCGCGGCGGTGACGGCGCAGAGGAGTGTGTGGCGCGGGGTCGGTTGGCGGTTGTATCAACACCGATGTATTCTCATAATCCGTGGTCGTCCGTCCACCTACACACACGCGTGCGCCTGTGCATTCATGTGTTCGGGCTAGGCAACTCGATAAGCGACATGGCGGACAGCCCGGCCGTCTGCTTCGCTGGAACAGATGCAGGATGGCGCGATGTCGATGCCGATATTTGCTTCTTTCATCACTTCATATCCGCTCGTGGCGCCTCATGCCGAACATCCGGTTCTCACACACTCCCCATTCATGTCAGTGATCGCTTCCTAGGTGCCCGTGCAGCTGCAGCGATTGTTTTTTTTTTCGTGGCGGTTGAAGCCATACATTTTAAACCAGTGTACCGGCGGCTCTATAGATGTCTAGTGGGGTGCTGATAGAGTACCGGGGGTATGCGCCAAAAAGTGGGTGGTGGTGGTGGCCCGTTTGGGGGGCAAACAGACCACACAACCACCCACGTTGCCTCCCGCCGCAGCGGCCCTTATAAATGGGGGATAGGACGCAGGGGGTTGGGGAGGAGTGATGGCGGCTAAGAGGGGTAACAGTGTTGGTGTTGTGTCTAACCATTGGGGGAATGTGTTTATGCTGGGGGTATGGGATGGGTGTGTGGAGGAGAGCGAGGAGAAGGGGGGTTGGCGCGCGAGGTGGAACTCGCGCGTGGGGCCCGCGAGGAGCAGGGCGTCCCAATGAGGGGGAGAGGAGCTAGAGGATGAGGAAATGCGAGGGGAGGGGGGCTAGTCTAGGCGGCGCATAGGAGCAACTTAGAACTTGAGGGTCTTGGGCTTCTCCCACGAGTACGAGGGGTTGCCGAAGTGGCCGTAAGCAGCGGTCTGGCGGTAGATGGGCTGCTGGAGGCCGAGCTCCTTGACAATGACACCGGGGCGGAGGTCCCAGTTGTTGCGGATGATCTCGACGAGCTCGGCGTCCGACTTGTTGCCGGTGCCGTAGGTGTCGACGAAGATCGAGAGGGGCTCAGCGACACCAATGGCGTACGAGAGCTGGACGAGGGCGCGGCGGGCGAGGCCGGCGGCAACGAGCGACTTGGCGATCCAGCGGGCAGTGTAGGCAGCCGAGCGGTCGACCTTGGAGAAGTCCTTGCCCGAGAAGGCACCACCACCGTGGGCACCCCAGCCACCGTAGGTGTCGACAATGATCTTGCGGCCAGTGAGACCGGCGTCACCCTGGGGACCACCAATGACGAAGCGGCCCGAGGGCTGGATGTGGTAGACGACACGGTCGTCGAGGAGGTTCTTGGGGATGACCTTCTTGATGATCTTCTCAAGGATCTGGGCACGGAGGTCCTCGGTGGTGATCTCCTCGGCGTGCTGGGTCGAGATGACGACGGTGTCGACACGGATGGGGGTGACAGCACCCGACTCCTCCTTCTTGTACTCGACGGTGACCTGGGTCTTCGAGTCGGGGCGGAGCCAGCCCATCGAGCCGTCGCGACGGGCCTCGGCCATGGCGGCGTTGAGCTTGTGGGCAAGCATGATGGTGAGGGGCATGTACTCGGGGGTCTCGTCGGTGGCGTAGCCGAACATGATACCCTGGTCACCGGCACCGTGCGACTCGAGGTCACCGTGGTCGAGACCCTGGGCAATGTCGGGCGACTGCTGCTCAATGGCGACAAGGATGTTGCAGGTCTTGTAGTCGAAGCCCTTCTCCGAGTCGTCGTAGCCAATCTTCTGGATGGTCTCACGGATGACCTTCTGGTAGTCGAGCTTGGCCTTGGTGGTGATCTCACCGAAGACCATGATCATACCGGTCTTGGCGGCGGTCTCACAGGCGACCTTGGAGTTGGGGTCCTGGGAGTAGGGTTAGTACATGGACGGTGGCAAGGAAATGATGCTGGCGGAGCCAGGCTCTTTTTTTTCCTCTCTAAAAAAACACTCACCTCGGCAAGGCAGGCATCGAGGATGGCGTCCGAGACCTGGTCACAGATCTTGTCGGGGTGGCCCTCACCGACCGACTCGGAGGTGAAGAGGAAGCTGGCGGAGGGTTAGCTGGGAGTCGATGGATGGGTGGGATGGGTGTGGGTACCAGGCGCGGGTAAACGTGCGCGGCACCGTGGCGGTGGAATTTTCGCGCCGACGCGACTGGCCCAGCGCGATGGGGTGGTGGCGGCGGCGGCGTTGTGTAGGGGGGGGAGGAAGTGTGCTACTCACTGGCCGGGGGCGAGGGTGGCGACGGGGCCGGTACCGTTGACGACGTTGGTCATTTTGGCTATAGATGGGTGTGGGAGGGGGTGAAGGGGAATGAGAAAGAGAGATGGAAAGAGAGAGATTGACTCGTGGAGGAAATGGGGGGGGCCATGAAATACGAAGCCGCGCTGGGCGGGGGGCGGGCGTGAATGCGTCCGTCGCCAGCCCCGCGTACGACCCACCGGCGGCGGCGGCGGCACAACCATCACGCCATCGCCATCGAACGACACACCACACACACCCACGTTCCATACACCGTCCCCGGCACAGCTCGTGCACGACGGAACCAAAAATTTCGTCCCAAATCAATCTTTCAGTGTCCACGGTCCCTGTATAGCCCCATACTAGAGCCCCACCCGCCCCGGCGCCGCCCACAGGTGCCGGCCGTGCAGACTTCCCCCCAAACCAAGGGTGTGTGGATTCCTCCATGTGTCCGATATATGACATGCACAAGACGATACATGACATCAGAGCCACAGGTACTTGCGTGGAAGAATACGGCTGTACACGGCATACGAACATTCAGTCGGCTGCCAACGATTAAAAAACAAAAAAAAGTCAGCGTCCACCACGATCGTGCGTCCCTGGCGGCCGGTGCCAGCCAGCCACTCACCTGCAGATACGGTACGGCCAGCTGCGCGTGTCAGGCCGCGCTCTCCAAGAGTACCACCATGCCACGACGACCCGATACACGTTGGTGGCCCCCGGTGGACAAACACCCTCGAAACGCCTCTCGCAAGCTGGATCCGGCTGGACGGCTGGAGGCACCAACGCCGCCCAAGCCGCACCACGCCACGGGCCCCACCCAAATCCCCCGCCGGTCCCACTCACCCTGCAAAAGATATCCTCCTCGGCAGACGCGGGTATCGCCGTGCCGTCGACAAACCAGCCTGCGTTGCGTGCTGTCAGTGGCCAGTGGGAGTGCGTGGAGGGTGAGTTGTGGCCCGTCGTCGAGAGAACGTACTGGAACTCTGTTACCATGCCATCGTGTCAGCACTGTTACCTGTCTCCAAGCCACACAAGCCATCTCACTCACCGGCTGCCTCTGTCCCATCCCGTACTCGTTGAGTATCAGGCCCCTGCGGTGGCGGCGTCAGTCTGAGCCAGCGAGCGAGCGAGCACACCATCGGGTGCCGCCATGCGACGTGGCCCCCCTCTCATCGACGATTCCAGAAACACAAAACCCAAACTCACTCTTCCTTGGCACGGCTACGCAGAATCTTGTTCAAGAAATCATCGGCAGTGTTGCCGAGCAGCATGTACGCCAGGCTGTCTGTCGGCCAAAGGCGGATGTCAATCTGGCGATATGGCGACGACGCGTCGAGACGCGTCAGGGCAATGACTTTGCGTGGGTCCACAGACGGCGCGGTTTTGTGTTTCACTGGCGGCGGGGTCAGCATGCCGCCGGTACGGTGCTTCACCGTACTTGTGTGGCCCATGAACAGCTTGGCCGGGTCCAGCACTTCGGCAGCTTCAAGCACGGCGGTGACCTTGTCTAGGAGCCGGCCCGAGTGGTCCCGCGCGTTCTTAAAGGAACTGTTGTCAGCTCTCTCAGGTGCAATGTCAGCTCACTCGTGCCACACCACTAGGTCAATGTCTGACGACACAGCCTGGCCGCGCCTGTAGCTGCCAGTGATCTCAAACCCGTCTGAGCCAGTTTCAGCTCCCCCCGTACAAGTGTAGCTTACGCACACTCGTCGCCGAGCGCGTGCTTGATCTTGGCGCGGTGCAGGTCAATCTCCGCGCGCGGGATCATGAGCTCCAGGTCGTCCATGTGCTCGATGGACAGCTGGCGGTCAGCTGAACCCATGAAATGGTGAGATGACAGCTCACCTTCATGGCTTCAGTAATGGTCACGCTGCCCAGCTTGTCGGCGTTGATCACATCCTCAAACGTGCGCGCACCCGCGACCGCACTGCCGCATCAGCGCCACCCCAGAGAGGAGCACACCCTCAACGTACATCTCCCAAGCGCGCTTTTCGCCAATGTTGTGGATACGGAGGAACGAGGCCGCGGCGCGCATGAGCGCCGACAACCGCTCCAACTCGCCCACCCGGCCCGTATCGACCAGCTCGCGGATGAGGCTCCATGCACGCCCGTTCTCCGCGGGCAGCACCGTCTCCACCTGCGCAATGGACAGCGTGGGGGTGGTGACGGGACCGAAGGGTACCAGCTGCGCGAGCGCGCGGCGCGCCTGCGTAAAGTCATTGCCACCTGGTGGGTCAGTCTCGCGTTGGCGGAGGGCACCCACGGGCCTTGTTGGGGCCAAACTCGAGTACGGCGGCCTTGTCGCGCAGAGCGTCCAGGAGGAGCTTGGTGGGGAGCGTCACGGTGTCGTAGTCTGTATGTGTGGTGTCAAAATGTTGATTTCATAGCAAAGCTACAGAGGACGTACCGATCCCCCATGCCTTGCGCAGGTCCTCGAACGGCTTCTGGCGAGCGGAATTCGTTGGGATCGACGTGGAGAAGGCGGCAGCCCCAGTAGGACGGCGTGTCGTGGTGGCAATGATGGAGTGGATCTGGGACGGGGGAGGGAGCCGTGTGGCCGCGTGGTGCTTGACGGCCGCGCGCGCGCTGAGCTTGAGGGTGTGGGTGAGCATGATGGTTATCAGTTTGGTTGGGATGAGAAGGTGAGTGAAGCGGTGGACACGGGGCGCTGTTTATGTGCAGTTGTGGGTGATGAGAATCCAAAGGCACTCGTGTGTGTCAACATGAAGCGGTGATGGTGGATGGCGGATGGAACGCATCAACCCGGCCTTCTGAGGCATTACGAGCTCCAAGCCGCTGTTATTTTGTGAGCGAGTGGGGCACGATAGTAGGGGACATGTTCCGGGTACCACCAGTGGCCAAATGCCGTGCATGACAGTTCCAGAACCATGAACAACAGAGGTCATCCTCAATAGAAACCCCCAGGAGCCACTTCTGCCGCCACTCCAGACTCGAATCTTACCCCATCCGGCAATTTCACCACGTGACCCCGCCCCCGCATCCATGTCCAGGCCGTGACGCGACAAAGGTTGAAACGGCGCTCACCACCATCGACGACGTCCAGCTCACCACCACAACCACTTCACCCCCCAACCTCGTCTCGTTACCCTCAGCCATGTCCAAGGGAACGCGCTTTGTCACCATCGCGATCCCCGCGGTGGTCGCATACCTCCTTATGCTCATCAACGTCCTGCCCGTCCCGTTCGTGTCGGCTGAGACGGCCGACCAGATCTTGCCAGTGGTGAGTGCTGCTGCTGTGGAAGAAGACACTTTCTGGGAGGGATACATATGCTGACTGTTGATCCTCCTCACCTCGCTCGTGCCATTGCCATTCTCGCTCCTCCTCTGTCGCCCCCGCTTTCACCTCCTCTCGCCGCGCCTCAGATCCCCTGGTGGCTGCTCGTCGCGTTTGGCGCCTTCTCACTCACCTCGCTCGGCCTCGGCCTCCTCCGCTTCCACGACACGCCCGAGGCGTACGAGAGCCTCCTGGCCGAGATTGCCCAGGCCAAGAACGAGCTGCGGGACCAGGGCGTCGAGGTCGACTAGAGAAAAGAGCGAAAAAGCACCAGTCGCCGGCCGCTTTGCACACCCAACAACAACACACCTTCACGACGAGCCCAGGCTGCGGACGCAACCGACCATCTGCCCCGCCCGCGCCGTGTATGTAGCAGATAGAAGACATGAGAATTGTGGTGGTACATGAAGAAATGGGAGGGGAAGGACGTCTACCAGAGAGGAGGATACTACGAGAAACTAGGATACGGGAAGGGGGGAGGAACTAGGTGGTGGGTCGGGAGCACGCCTACCCGTTGAGGAGCTCCTGCATCTCCTTCTGCATGCGCTGCATCTCGGCCTCGTTCTCCTCCTCTTCCTCGGCCTGGGGTTGGGTTGTCAGCTGCGGTGGCTCTTGCTCGTAGTCTCCCCAACTCACAGGAAGGTCGGCGCCGACGCGGCCTGCCTGGCCGAGCTTGCCGTCCGTGAGCTCGAAGAGCACCTTGTCGACCTCGGCATCGGCCTCCTCCTCAATCTCGTCGTCGTCGATCCCGTCCAGCGTCTCCTCCATCATCTCCTCCATGATACCGGACTGGGAACGTTTCAGCATGAATATCGGGGCCGCCACACCCACCTTCATCATCTCCATGCTCATCTCGCGCATCGTCGCGCTCAGCTGCGGCAGCTTGACGAGCTGGTTGGTCGTCTTCATGATCTCGGTCGACTTTTGGAACGCGCCCGTCACCTTGACCATGGCTTGAAGAAGACACCGTCAGCAGAGGAACAAGAAAGAAGACTACGGTCCCTTTTCTGGGTACCCACACAGCTGGTGCTGGAGCTGCATCTGCACACTGCCCACGCGGGCCTTGGACGAGATGAGCCGGTCGCGCTGCTTGTTGGCGCGCACAATCTCGCGCGCAATTATCCGTGCCGACTTGACGTCGTTCTTCTTCGCCAGCTGCTTGAGCTCCTGGCGCGACTTTTGCGTTGCGCGGTCAAGCTGCGGGGGGGGGGAGAAGGGGAGGTGGGTCAGTGCCAGATGAGCGGAGAGCGGGGGCGAATCTGGCGCGCGTGGTCATGACTCACGTTGAGGACCTCACGGTCGAGCTGGCGCGTCTCCTTGCGCAGCTTGGCCTGCCAGTCCCGCACCTTCTCCTCGGGCGTGGGGCCGTACATCCAGCGGTTGATGCTCTTCATGGTGACCAGTCCAAGGTGGGGTCGGGGGGTGACGCGGTGTCTCGAGGGCGAGACGGGTGCAATGGGATAGCGGGGTCCTGGGCCCGCACTGGTGGGATGCGAGTGTGACAAGTGGGTCCTTCTGGTAGTGGAGCGATGGGGTACGACTGTTGTGCTGAGAGGTGAGTGACAGTTTGAGTGGGCAGGCGAGCGATAGAGCCGCCGTCGATGGTGGATATGGTACGTTGGGTGGCGGGGCGCTCTGAAAGAACGGAGTTACAACTCCGTCCCACGCGACGTCAGGCACGGCGCCGCATGACGGTGTTCTTGTGTTGATGAGTGTCTGTCTGTCTCTTGACCATCCGCTCTTTCTCTCATATCCTCGTGGGATCTTGGGTCTCCACCTCCTCCTTGCACGTTCAACAGGGTCGTCATGTGGCTCATCACGGTTATCGGAACCGTACACGGCCAGCAAGGTATGGACTTCCCCTTCCCCCACCGTCCTTGACGCGCTGACACCTTTTGCCTCCCAGAGTACACCTTTGCGCTCGAGCACGGCCGGACGTACACGCTTGGACGCGAAGCGACCAGCGACATTGTCCTCAATGACAACCACATGCGTATGAAAGAAGGTGTGCTCGAAGTGGGCCACTGGGACCCTTCAAACGTGAGCTTGTAACAACCCTGCGTCGGAGCTCACCCAGCAGCACGCGACCCCGCCTTCCCTAGCGTACAAGTCGGCCCCGAAGAAGAACGGCACCTTCCACGACGCGATCGTCGCCTCGTTGCTCAACGAAAACGCCGAGTCGACAAGCAAGGACGACTATGCGTTTGCCACCCACGCTAGCGAAGGTGTTGTCGAGCTCGAGAGCGCCAAGGGTGTCCAGATTAACAAGTACTCTTGGTTCACGTGAGTGCTTCCCTTTTGCGGAGCTGGGCTAATGGCAGTGCCTACTGGAAACCCCTCTACTATGCCTTTGAGACACGCTTCACGGACGACGATCTGGCCATGATTGACAGCTTGAAGCGCTACTGTGAGCTGCCTCCCCCGCTGCTCAAGCTGACACCCCCAGGCGTGTCCTACACCTCTACCGAGTTTCCCCGCGACAACCTCCCCAATGTGGTCGTCACCCCCTCCTACCGTGGCTCCATTAGCTGCTACCATGCGATCGTCTTTGGTATTCCCATGGTGTCGCTCGAGTGGCTCACCATGCTCAACGCTCGTCTGCGCAGGTGCTGGAAGAAAGTCGCCGACTCGGAGGACAGCTTCTCGGTCCCCGACGTCGACGACCCAGACTACCGTCCCACGTTTGACCCGACCGCCTTCAAGGGCGTTCAGACAAAGCCCGAATTCTGGTACCCTCCCCGCCCCGAGAACCACGTCATGTTTGCCGATTATAGCGTTGTCGTCCTCAGGACCAAGAAGAGTGTGAGCTGAGGAGGAAGTGGTGGAGCCATCAGCTGACGTCAGTTTGTGAAAGAGATGAACCTGTTCCGGGCCATGGGCGCAAGCTGTTCCGAAATCAACTTGTTCAACCCGCTGCTGGAGTCGGTCGCCGACTTGATGGCTCGCATGGTGCCATTCGAGAGAGCCGCGGCCGAGAGTAACAGACTCCTAATTGTCGTCTACTATCCGTCGTCCAAGCCGGAACTCGTCGAACGGGGCGTCGACTTTGACGCTGTCGTTACGGTACCTCTCAAGGCGTGAGTGCGATAGGTATTTGAGCGGTGGGCTGACCGTCAGGAAGGGTATCCCCATCGTACAGGGCAGTGTCATGTGGGGCTCTGTTTATGAAGGAAGCGTCAACGCGTACTTTCGCAGTAAGTTGCTGTCCTATGGCCACACCTGATGCTTTTTAGACGTATATGCGCTTCAGCCTTCTGCGCCAGAGCCCACTCCTGCAGAGCCCATACCTGCAGAGCCCACTCCTGCAGAGGCCGCTGCTGCAGAGCCTCCGCGCCGCTTAACCCGTCGCGCTACGTCTCGCCAGGCATCGGCGGCCCCATCGCGTGCACCCTCCCCCACTCCACCCGACGTCGTCCCTTCCACGTATGTGGATGACAGTGCTCCCAAGACCGCGACTCCAGCTCAAACAGAGGTCCCAGCGCCTACCCCAGCGGCGTCTACCTCGAGAAAGGTGAGTTAAATCGCGGGATATTCCTAACTCGCAGCCCTTGAAGCGCCGCGCTGGCCGCGATGCCCCCAAGCTTGACCTGGACGACGACTTGATGGGTGCACCGTCGACTCAGATCTCCTCGTTGCAGCCTTCGCGTGTCCCCGAGACGCAGCTGCCCAGCAGCCTCCCTTCTGCCTCTGTGGTGCCCGATTCCATGGACGTTGACACACCGGTGAGCTTATTGGCGACTATATCCAAGCTCATCTCCCAGCCCACATCCCTCCAGCCATCTGCTCCGCCCGCGAGGTCGTCTCGCCTTCTCAAGCGTCGTGCAGGTGCCACTCAGTCGACGTTCCTTGACGGTGTCGACACGACGATCAACTATCAGGAAAAGCTCGAGAGGGAGGAAAAGGACACACAAAACCGGCAGCTTTATGAAGAGCTCCGCCGCGGCACGACCAGCACTCAAAGCGTCGTCCAAAACCCCCCTGTACAGAAGCGTCGCCGTCTCGAGCCTGTCGAAGAGTCGGCCCCCGCCGAGGCAATTGAGGTGGACGAGGACGATTTCGTGACCAAGGCTCTGCGCAGTGCCCGTGTCAAGCGCGAAAAAGTGTCTCCCGTCAAGAAGCGCACGGTTCCGCCCCCTGTTGAAGAGGAAGAGCAGGAGGAAGTGGAGGAGCAAATCGAGGAGCCCGTCAAGCCCAAACGTGGCAGGCAGGTGGCCGCCACCAAGTCGACGTCTGGCAGCAAGTCGCCCGTCAAGAAGCCCGTCACCGGTGCCAAGGCGCGTGAAGTCGACAAGGACGAGCGTTTCCTCCAGGTCATTGCCAAGGCGCGCGGCAAAAAGGGCATTGACGAGCTCGACAAGGAGTTTAACGAGCTCCGCATTCTCAAGCCTGCTAAGGGCAATCGTCGGTGGGAGGCGCCCGACTATACCATCCTCGACGACTTTGACGAGATGACGCGCGGCAACTTTATCACCATTGTCAAAACGGACCTGTTCCGCAAGGACCCGCCCAAGGTCGCCGCCGTGGCCGACGACGGCAGGCCCAACTACAAAAAGTTTAAAAAGAAGGACGTTGTGCGTCGCGCGCCCATGCACCTTGTGCTGGCTGCTCCGACCGCACAGGCCGAGATGGGCGAGCCGTACTGGGCCCACGAAGCGACACAGAGGCACAAGACTCAAGGTTCGCAGGGGTCCATGCTGCCACCAACCATCGGCGACGAGTTTGACGCGCCGACCGTGCCCAAAAAGCCTCAGCGTCAGCGCCGTCTTCTCTCCCAGATTGCCGAGCACGATGACGACGACGACGGCGAGGACATTATCTTGCCGTCCGCGGCGCGTCGCCTCAACCGTACCCAGTTTACCCAGAGCGAGGTCCCGCCACGCAGCGTCCGCAGCAGCCGTGCAGGCAGCGCCATGTCCGACGCGTCCAGTACAACCGCCAGCGCCGCTGCGCCGCCGCCCAGCACGCGGCCCCAGCGCGCCAAACGCACCACAAAGCAGATTGTCGTCGACGATGATTCCGACGACGAGGTCTTGTTCACGGGCACGTCGTCGTCGCGCAGCACCCGCCCGCGCGGTAGCGCTGCTGCAGGCCCCAGCGCCAAGTCGAGCACGCTGGCGGATGAGCCACCCGCCACACGCGCGACGAGCACGCGCTCGACGCAGCGCACCACGCAGGCGCCCACGCGGCGCAAGTTGCTGGTGAACAATGATGATGACGACGACGACGACGACGACGCGGTGAGTTGTGAGGCAAGTGGACGATGCGCTGACTTTAGCTATTCTTGGGCGTGCAGAAGAGGCGCAAGGTGGGATAGGCGCCGGTGCGCGGAAGAGCATCCCCAAGTGGGGGTACTCAGGTGGTGGAGCTCAGATTGGGAGCACGTACGGCAAGACGCCAGGACCTGTATATTGCGCAAGCGGACATGTGTATAATAGTAGCAATGCGTATCTGTGACATGTGGTGACTGTAGATGCAGTGGGTCGATTGGGCTTGTGGCGGATTTCAGCGCTACAGCAGATGAACTGCCGGATGAAGGGCGCCACACAGGGCCTTGACTGTGTTTGGCAGAGGTTAGCGCTTGGTGGAGGGGGCCTAGAACGATGGAGAGGTAGAATGTGGAACAAGAGGTTGGAGGACATGTAGCTGGGAGCAACAAGCGAGCAGAGTACATGGCTGAAAGGACGCCGATGCAGGGGACCGCCCCATTCCGGAGGGACCAGACGTGCCATACAGGGGCACAGCTTGTTTGGAGCAACCCCGCCGTACCTGATATGTGCAGGCGCATGTCATGAGCGTAAACAGTGAAACGGATGTCCAAGCACAAGTCCCGATGAGCGTCGGCCGACACTGTGCATCGGACTGCCTCCTTTACAGTACCGCACGTTCAAATGCACTGCGCACCTGTCAACACGTTTGGCGGAACCAAACGCACCACCCATGCACCATGGCGCCATTGCCACACGACGAACATTCCGCAAAACGCCGCCGCTCCAGCCGTCTCTCGCCCCTCCGCTCGCACCAGGTGCGGGACTGCCGTGCTGGAAAATTCATTCTTCAGCGCGTCAGCATTGTTTCTTCATCACCCAAAGTCAGTACTCGCGGCGGTTCTACCACCTGCATACTCAGCTAACTCGACCGCAGAAGTTATCACCATGGCTCCCATTGGCAAGCTCCACGGTTTCGCTGGTGTGTATCTTGGAAAGCGTCGGGATGCTCGGATCGCAAGGTGAACAAGGGCGCAGAGAGTGAAGGATCCCCAATCACACTGTCGGTGTATTGAGACCTTGCCTCTTGCCTTGGCCTTGAGGCTACACCTTCAATCCGATCCATCCTGCTCGCCCACTGTGTCCCATTTCTCGGGCTAACCTGTCCCCAAGGCAACTCGCGCTTCCGCCGCGCCCTCGCTGTCGCGACCCTCGCCGGTCTCGAGGTCGAGACCGACCCCAACTTCACCATGAAGGACGGCGCTTGGAAGACCGCCGAGTTCCTCGAGAAGTTCCCCTTCGGCTACCTCCCCGCCTTTGAGGGTGCCGACGGCCTCAACCTCCAGGAGTCGGGTGCCATCGCTGACTACTGTAAGTGTCTCTTCGATTCCTTCGTTCTTTGTGGCTGTGGTTGGGCGTGTCACTATGGTGCACGTTCGCATGATGAGCCTTACTATTTCAGTTATCCCTGTCTTAATTACAACCTGTCGACAATTTTCCGCGGGTGGTACCGCATACCTCTGATACCAACCACACCACACTTGAACTTTTGAATGTTTTTTTGTTACGGTGCTGACGCTGTGCTTTTTAGTCGTCTCGCTTGCCCCCAACGCCAACCTCGTCCCCACCGACGCCAAGGAGGCCGCCGAGGCCAAGCAGTGGCAGTACTTCGCCGACCAGGAGCTCTTCGTCAAGAACGGCGTCGCCCTCCAGCTCATCGCTGGCCGCCTCCCCTACAACAAGCCCGTCTTTGAGGCTGTTGTTGCCGGCCTCGTCGGCCGTCTCGAGACCCTCAACAAGGTCCTCGCTGACCGCACCTTCATCGTCGGCCACCGTCTCTCGATCGCCGACATCTTCCTCGCTACCGCCCTCGCTAGCTGCTTCACCGGCATCATCGACGCCGAGATCCGCGCCACCGTCCCCAACGTTGTCCGCTACGTCGAGACTGTCATCAAGAACCCCAAGCTTGCCCCCGTCTTCGACAACGGCAACACCCAGTTCATTGAGAAGCAGCCCGTCTTCGTCGCCCCCAAGAAGGAGAAGGCCCCCAAGGCTGAGAAGGCCCCCAAGGCCGAGCAGCCCAAGAAGGAGAAGAAGGAGAAGGCCCCCAAGGAGGTCGACCCCGAGGACGAGCCCGTCTTCGCTGTTGAGGAACCCAAGCCTAAGAACCCTCTGGATTTGCTCCCGAAGAGCACCTTTAACCGTGAGTAGTTTGACGATGTCTGAACGAAATGAGTAGAGAAGGAGAAGGGGGGTGACGAGGAAAATCGCCGAGGCGGAATCAAATTCACCGGGAGCGGCGAAATTTCGCCGATGTCGAAACAAGTCGCCGATGCCTTCTTCCACCGTCACTTGTGCTAACATTCTTCAGTGGAGGACTTCAAGCGTGCCTACTCCAACCTCGACACGAAGGGAGCCGGTGGTTCGCTCGAGTACTTCTACAACAACATGGACTGGGAAGGCTACAGTGTTTGGCGCTGCACCTACAAGTACCCCACCGAGCTTACCCAGTGAGTTCGACTGTTTGGGTTTTCCCTCAGCTGTAAGCTAACTTGTGCGCAGGGTCTTCATGTCGGCCAACCTCATCGGTGGTCTCTTCGCCCGCTTCGAGGCGTCCCGCAAGTACCTCTTCGGTAGCATGCTCGTCCTCGGAAAGAACAACGATAGTGCCATCGACGGCGTCCTTATCCTCCGTGGCCAGGATGCCCTCCCCGTCGTCTCTGTTGCCCCGGATTTCGAGTCGTATGAGTTTACCCCGCTCGACGTTCGCAACAACGAAGAGCACAAGAGCTTCTTTGCCGACGCTATGGCTTGGGAGCTGACCCTCGACGGCCGTGAGACCGCCGACGGCAAGAACTTCAAGTAAACCCGCCACTTGTAGCCTGCAGAAAGAGGGAAGAGCGTTACACTCGCCCTTCTGCTTGTTTTTATGATATACGTAATTGTGATATAGGTATGCACGTATACGTCATATCCGCAGAACCGGGGGACTCATAGCTCTCGTTTGCTATCTTTAGTGACCTTCTGCACTGCGGGACGATTGCGGGAGAACGGAAAATGTGACGTATGGTGCTGCGAAACGATAGTTAGTAAGACGTTGGTGTGTGGGTGTGGAGGATCGCCGTGGTACCATTTGCCGAAAGTATCGCCATGGGCGTCGGTCTTGCCTCGCGTCCGCCCAGCGTCACATCTTAGACAGCGTAGACTAATCATATATGTCGCCTCTGTGGCATTCTCGTCCCACTTCACGACCTCCGAGTGGACCAGGTGGTCGTGCGTGGTGGTTGCTGACTGTGTTGGCGAATACACGTCGATTTAATCGGATTAAAGTGCATCCGTGATGTTCACACCGTCAGCAGTGCGTCCAAACCCCCTGTTCCGCAAGCTGCCACGATGGGATGTAGATGTGATGTGATGCGGGGAACATGTATGCATTGTACATCTCAAGCTTCATGTCTACAGTTGCCATCTTCCAGATGGGTGTACCTGTCGGGGGTGTGGCACCAACCTGTCCTTTGCCCTCACCCTCCCACCCACCCACTCGCGCCGGACCGCATCCCACAATAGACATTAGGCGAGGAGAACGCCCAGCAACGCCATCTACCCAGGTGATCGAGCGACATGCATACGGAACCGCAATGTGCTTCCCCGGTGCAGCGGATAGATGAGGAAACAGAAGCTGAAAGGACCGGAGAATCAAGTGGGGGTGATTTTTCAATCCGTGCCGTGGCATCACAACTACCAACGCCCAGTAACAAAGTTGTACGACTAAAATGCAACGAAGATCAATCGCTGTCGGTATCGTCCATGGAAAAGGACGGCTTTGTTCGACGCACAGGCATCCTCTTCCCCTGCACACGTCCAATCGCAGCAGCAACCTTCTCTGTTCCCTTGGGATATGGGGCGTGCTCAGAGACGTGGCGCAGCAACTTCTCGGCGAGCTCACTGTTCCCCGCAAAGACGCCCGACTTGACCTCGGCCATGAGCCTGGCTGTTGTCCGCCTCGCACGTACTGAGCTCCAATGGTCTCTGTTCTCTGTGCGGCTCACCCACGTGTACACCCTGGGGTACTGCTTGTCAATGGAGACTGGCTCGCCTGACCGTGGGGTTGGCTGGCTTGAAGCCAAGCCAAGCACCAGCTTTGCGAGGCGGGAGCCTGCGAGCCACATCGTCCGCGTCGCGCACCTGGGCGTTGATGAATGCCCCAAACCGCAGGTTGAGACCTGGGTCGAAGCGGACCAAGATATCCCTAAACGCCTCAGGCGAGACGACCGATACCTTGCGCGATACACCATTGTGTAGGACGATGGGGTGAGGCTCGGTGGGGAGGTGCAGCAAGAGGGAGAAGGATAGGGCCATAGCGTCTTGATCAGACTCAAGGACGAAATCCAGGCAGCATGGGACGTTCTTGTGGATGGGGGAGCGGATGGCGGCGTTGATCATCTTGTAGTCAATGGCGGAGCCCTTGAGGGGTAGAGGAAAGTTGTTGAGCGCGTCGGCCAAGCCCATGCGAACCCTTGCTTCCTGCTCCTCCCGCTGAGTGGCATGCTCAGTAGCACGCATCTCAGCAACGCCACGCTCTCCCAGGTGTTCGACATCCCAGTACACCTTGACGGTCTTCCAGAATGTCGCGCTGAAAGCCACGGCATCCCTGATCACACCCTCTTGAGCGTAGAAGCAAAAGCGGCAGATGCTCTGACCGCCCTGCCGTCTTGTAGGTGCGCCAGGTGCGTTCGGCGACGCTAGTGGTGAGCGAGATTCCCCCTGTTCTGACTGGAGGGAGTTGAACAACCTACTTGGTGAGACCGATGCAGCCTGGGTTGTTGAGGCCAGCATCAGCGCAGGCTGTCTGAGCACGGCGGTTGGGGCCCTTGAGGATCTGTGATTGTGAGAGGTGTTCGATAACCGCCACTCACCCTCTGGTCAGGACGAAGATCCTTGACCGACGGCAAACCCTCGGTTTTGGCAAGCTGCTCGATTGCCTTCTTCTGCGACTTGCGAGCGTCGTAGTAGTTGGTCTGGCAGGTTGTGCAGACGGTGAGGTGACGACTGGGGAGAGTTGGTCTTTACGGTCTCCGAATCCAGTGTCAACTCACCCATCGCCAAGATCCACTGCATTGACAGCTGCGTGTCTGCCGTCGCAGAAGGGGCCGGTGCAGAGGTAGAATGCGGACGCGGCCTGGACCAGGGTAGCGTTACACCTCAGCAGACTGGCTTGGCGTTCTGGGGCAAGATGGTGCTCGAGCTCGGAAGCATCCATCTGGAACCCGCTGCAGAATCGTTAGTGACAAGCCAGATAGCGGCAGATGGTAGGACTCACTCCAGGGCAATAGCCGCCAGCTGGAAGCAACGAGGGCACATGATTTTGCCGGTACCGTCTGCCTCAGCAAAGGGCGAGCGGACGACAAACTCGGAGCGGTAAATGCCCTCTGGTCCCAGGGAGCAGCCAACATCCTGTAGGTCAGCCAGTATATGGTTTGGAACACTCACCTGGCAGGCGGTAAGAATCGCGGCGTTGTCAGCGGCGGTCAATGTCTCGATCTGGTCGCGAAGACTGGCGCGGGCGACTGTCACGACGGTGCATCATGGACAACTGCTCGTCAAGGCCATATGAGCGGACCTGCATGTTGCGGATGTTGCCAATGGTGTACGCGGTGACGACATTGAAGAGCACGTTGACGAACACGTCCGCGTGCTTGCCGAGGACGCGCTCGGGGAGGGGTGACTGCATGTCAGTTTCGTGCTATACATGGGAGGTTTCCTTGCAATTACAACACATTGTTTGACCAATCCTCGACCCACTCGCGGATCGTGCCCCCAAAATCCATGTGCCACTGCTCGCCGTTCTGGTCGGCCTTGCGAAGGATATCCTTTTTTACAGCGCCGAGCGATGGCAGGTTGCCCCCCTGAATCGCATTCTCCACGAACAGAGCACCCGAGTGGTCTGACGCCACTCGGATGCCAAAGTCCCCACACCCACTGCGTAGCTGTGAAGGTGCGGTTGATGTCGCCATGGACCACTGCGGTCACGACTGAGGGGATTGTGGCGTGCAGGCACACGGTGTATGTGGTATCATACTGGTCGATGAGGGATAGCGGGGTCGCCATGGCAGGGTTGTGGTCGTCAAACGAGTGAATTCCTTGGCCTTCTCTGTGAAAACCCAGCGACTGTTGAACTTTCTGTCCTGTCAGACAACCATCGCGGAAGTGGACATACATTGCGAAGGTCCATGAACATGCTGTTCCGGGGGGGGGGGGGGGTCTTTGTGAGCTTGCTCTTGTTTTTGGCGCTGGTACGTTTACGGCTTTTCTTGGGGGGGAGGAACCACGGACTGATTGAGCCAAGGGTCACAAGAGGAAAACAAACTTTCAGGTCAAGCTGCGGGTTTTCTTGTTGAGCCGGTCGCAGATCTTCTGGGGATGTGTCTGAATGAAGAAGAATGCAGAGTGAAGACATAAAAACGGAAATTACAACGTAAATAGCGATGTAAATAGTATTTACATATTTGATCCCGAGTGTGGCACACACCAACGGATGGTCCTGTGCTGGGAAGCATGGCACAGAAGGGCCTATGTCTCCTCCTTTACACGCACGGCGCGGGGGCTACCGACACGTGAAGAACCGGGCGCTAGCACTTCCCATGGAAGTTTCACACGCGCCCGTGTTTCCTTGCTTCCTACACGACAGCGGGCGCTGATGGGCATAACAACAAAGCATACTGCACCGCAATGAGCGGGCGTTGCAAATCGATGTCCACAAGAGGTGGAAAATGGAGAAGGAAGAGAAGACAATGTCGGGTGATGCGAGGGGAGAGACAGAATTTCCATGCACGAGGCGGCGAGGTGAATGTGGCAGGTAGACCGAGGCTGTGCGACTGTCCGACTTTCCGCCCCCCACGAGGCTCGACGCCCAGTACATGGCACGGAAGTGGATCCAAGAGCGCAGCCCCTCCGCCCCCTCGGTCCCCCCTCGCTCCATCCCCGTCGCTGGACACCGCCCTCCCGTTGTCATGGGAACACGAGGACCCGGTGGTCATATTGCGTCTCTTCCCATCCCACAAGCTTCATTGTTCGTCTCCTCCCCCACCCTACAACACATAAAAACTGCTCTTTCATCCCGCTCTCGCTCTTCACTCCTAAATGGTTCGCCACTCTCAGCCACGCAAAATCAACCACCCCTTGCCACTCTCCTACCACTACTACACTTCTATCATGTCCAGGCGCACCGACTGGACACCTACCATCCCGGAGCTGGTCGACGTACGTCTGGCGCGTCTGACACGGACACAGCGACCACTCCCAACATCATCGCCTCGCACCGCTCGAGCCCAGGCCGCCGCTGAACGGGCTAGCAGCTCGTCTCGCGACAGCCTGGCGTCATCCCCAATCCCTCCCGTGGTCACCGTACCGGCCGAAGCAAAGCAGGAGCTCGCCGAGGCCTCACTTCGAGACCAGTTTGACATTCCCGAGGATGAGGCCGAGATCGCGCACCCTGGTCCGCAAGAAACACTCACCACGCGTACCCGTACCTCCCCTCCTGCCACCAGTGTTGCCCACACGCTTGCCGCGCTGCCGACGAGTGAGCCCACCACGCCTCGTCGTGTGCACCTCCCCATTCACATTGGCAACCGCCTCCTCGAGCTTGCGCAGTCGACGAGCGCCATTTACCGGGTGGTGGACCGTGCACGGTGCCAGCTGGGCGGTACTGGCGTGGTCACAGCTGCGCTGTTTAGCGAGAACGGCGTGTTTTCGATCTTGTCGAGGTGGGGCGCAGAGCTCGCGATTGTCGAGACCGCCCGCGTGGTACTCTTCACCGCGGACGCCGACGATGGGCTGGGTCGCCTTCTCGAAGACTGCTTGGAGCGCGGTGGCGCCATTGTTCTTCTCGACTCGTCCGATCTTGTGGCCAACACGGCCCTCTGGCACAAGTGCATGTCGGAGATGGTGCAGACCATGACGGTCGGCAAGGACGCGGTGCTCGTGGTGGTGCAGACGCACTCTGGCAGCAAGCACGACACGACCACTGCCGCGCCACTCGTGGCCCTCTTCCATAGCCGCAAGGTCGTCGAGCTGCCCGAGGTCGTGCGGAGCGTATCCACCAACCTGTCGACACCTTGGGGACAGTACGCACGACCGGCGAGTCGAGCACGCATGCTCGCATCTCTCGCATCGGTCTACCCCCACTCGCCCGAGGTCCGCAACGCCGTCCTCGCCCTCGACGACCTGCGCAAGGGTCGCCCCCTCGAGAACGAGACCGCCATCACTGGCGGCGTCGACAAGAGTGTGACATTGGAGCGCCTTGTCCCCCTCTCGCCCGGTGCAGTCAAGCTCGCTCGACCTCTCGGAGTGGTCGATCCGCTGTCGGCAATGGTCGTTGATCGCATGGTGCGCTGCGGCTACGGTCTCGCCCCAGGTGCCGAGAACGACATCGAGAACAGGGTCACGGCTGCCATCCTCTCGGGCGGTCTCGTCCACAAGAACGTGGGATCGGGTGTTGATGTCATTTCCAACGTCCTCCGCCGCCGAGGTGTTCACAGCGTCTCGACGGCACTCCTTGTTCACGCTCGCGGCGAGGTCCGGGTCTTGGACTACTCGTGTACGAGCCCAGACGAGATGACCGACCGACAGCTGCAGCGGTATCTCGAGGTGGTGGCGGGTGCGACCCCCATTCGAATGTCCCTCGTGGTCACCCAGGACGTCTTCGAGGGTGACCTCACCGGCGACCTCCTCGTCTCCACTGCCCAAGGCTCCTAAGCCAGGCACGGACCTTGACGAGATCCTCCAGTCATACCCGTTCATCGTCGATACGATCAAGAAGTACCCCGTTCTCATCTGCTCCCCGGCTGTGCGAGCCGAGACCGTCGACCACCTGGTCACTGAGGCGTTGAAGTTCTTGATAGCCTCAGACATTGAGTCAGCGAGGCTGGACACCACAACGGCTCAATGTCTGAGGCTATCAAGAACTTCAACGCCTCGATGCTGAAGCGCGACGTTCTCACCCTCGAGGAGAGTGGAACTACGAGGCAGGTGGTGAACGAGGCCAGGAAGCTTGCGGGCAGACATTTTAAGGGCCCTGTGCGTACAAGGGATCCGGAGATGCAGGCTTGGGAGGAGCTCATGCGTGAGAGGAAGGGAGCCCAGTGAGCATGTCAGTACTACAGGACAGTAGCATGTTTCGATGAGCAGTCGGTCAATATGTACATACATGCAAAAATGACCTTGGGCTAAAACAAAGGGATTTACATGAAACCCGCCGTACATGTGTAGAATGTCCAGTGGCCAGTGTGGCACTTTGTAACCAGCCATAAAACAATACTTGCTCCCCCCGCCTTCCCCCCGACCTTCCCTCCATCTGCTCTTCCACCTTCCCCGGCCTTCCCCTCCCCCTCCTACTCAAAACCCTTCCATGACCTCCACAGTCTCCACCTCCCACTCTCCAGGCCCCAGTTGACTGCGGTACTCTTCCTCGGTCAAAAACACAACTTTTTGAGCGGCCTGAGCAGGCGACGGGAGGCGAGGTGCACGGTAAGGCGAGGGGTTACCTTGCGCCGTGATGTCGTGGAACATTGTGCTTGAGACATAGTCTTTGATAAACGCCTGCACTGGGTCGCGCTTGTTCTTGGCCTTGCCCTTATTCTTGTTGTTCTTGGATGTCTTGTTCGTGGCCATCGCATATTCGCGAGGGCGGACGGAAGCGGTTCCCGCCACGTTGACGACCTTGAGCGAGTGGAGTGCGCTCTGGAACGCGACCATGATGAGGGCACAGGTCTGGGACAAGAGTTGCTCAAAGACCGGGTTGGCGAGCTCCTCGGACACGACCTCGTTGACGGTTGGCCAGATGATGACCATGACGAGACTGGGGTTCACTCCGGGAATGTCCTGGGGACTGCGGTGCACGATGGGGTTGTACAGGTCGTTGCGCGGAACCAATGGGACGGTGTAGACGCCGGGGACGCTGTCGGGTCCCCAGTACATGGACAGCGGGTAGACGATGCGCGTGACGCTGTCGGACAGGCTGATGCTGAACCAGTCTTTGGCGCACGAGTCGTGGAGCGGGAACACGACAATCTTGGTGGGGGACTCGCGCATGAAACAGACGTTGTGGAAGCAGTGGTTGTCCAGTTGGTCAGGTCGCATGCGCACGACGCCGCTGTCGACTTCAAGGTATCCGATGACATCGGGAGTGAATGGTCCGCAGAGGTCCTTGGTGCGCGAGTTTAGGAAGATTCTATCGCGGCAGATCCGTGTCCAGCGGTCGGAAGGAGTCGTCGGGAGCTGGAAGCGCCATTTCGCATAGACACGAAACGACATGCCGTCGGCCTGGACAATGTTGGCATACTCGCCCTGACTGTCGCTACCCTCGGTGATCTCAACGTGCGAGCAAAGCTTGAGGATGCGGTTTTGGATGGCGGTGCACGTGTCGAGGAGAGCAACACGGGTTTCGGCGTCGGAGAAGCTGACAATGGCGTCGACGATGTGGGAGTAGGCGAGGTGGTCAATGGTGAGCTTTGGAGTGGGTGGCGCGGGGGCACAAGATGCCTGGCCGGCCTGGGTGGCGACTTCCAGCAACTTGGTGGCGATGGGGACATTGTTGGGGTCGAGAGTGAGCGCTCTCTTCAAGTCGCGTATGGCTGCCGCGTGCTTTCCTGACGCTTGGCGTGCCACTCCGCGACGGTACAGCGACTTGACAGACAACAGGTGACGCACGTCTTCAATGTGGAGGGCATTGGACGCGTCCAGCTCGGCTTGGTCCCACCTGGGCGCAAGTCAGCAAGTTGGTATGCTCCTCGCATCCTCACCTCTCGAGCTTGAGGTTGACCATGGCACGGTTGCCCCATGCCTTGTCGTCATGGGGGTTGTGCTTGATGGCATTGGTGTATGCGGCCTCTGCGTCTGTCCAGTTTCCTTGAGCAAACGCGGCGTTGCCCTGGGGTTAGCTGACATTGAGTGGGTACAACCTACAGCCTCGCGAGCTTTGGTTGAAGCCGCCTTATCCTTGTCGGTGGCAAACGGGGAATCCTTGGGAGAGTGGTCGCCCATGGTGGGACCGGGAAGGGTGGGTTGGGACAAGGCAAGACCCATGTTGGTGTTTGTGTGAGAGTTGAGTTGAGGGTGGAGTCAAGTTGACGGTGCAAGGATGTTGTTTGGGGTGTGGGTGCGCTGAAACGGAAAACACACTGCGCCCAACCTCCACCGGTCGGCAGGGATCCATAATGCGTTTACGATGGCCTCTGGGTACTGCTGAGCCCAGTGCGCCAGTGCAAAAGCGCTGATGCTTATCACCATTACAGGGTTTGTTAAGAGTGTTGCATGCCGGGCTGAGGCTTGCACCCAGGCGACCGGTATGCAGCTCTGGGAGCGAATCTCGCCAAACAAGTGGCAGCTCAAGCAACAATCAGACTCGGAAGACTTCTCGCCACACCACCTTCCCCCACCGGGGCACGTTACAACACTTGCATAGCAGTAGTCTTCTCTATTGACACATGTTTCTCTTTTACTACGACCCTGCGCCCAGCGCCGGTCTCCTTCACCCACCACCCTTCAACGGACTCGGCATCGGCTGCCAACCGCCATGCCTCTGCATCCTGGTCCGTCCACCGCCCATGGTCGGGGCGATACCTGACCGCTCCCTTGCACGCACCTCCTCTGCAATCTCCTCGACAATGTACAGCGGTTTACTCCACTTGTTCCGGACGTCTGCGCCAAACTGGCACGTCGCCACAATGACAAAGATGAACGTGGACGTAAGGAGGAAGCAGAGCAACCATGTGGAGCAGATGGTGGACAGTACAAGGCTGAAGCGTCAGCACAAACGAGCCCCCTTACTTCGAAATATACATACTCGCACTGGCCATCACTGAGGTGATGGACGGTAAACACTGGCTTCTTGGCACCGACCGTCAGGTTTGCCGCCACCGGACCCTCGTTTACCGACGCTTTACACGCCGCATAACTGTTGTTGTATCCCGGGGGACTGGCGAGGAGCCACGTCATGGACAGGATCATGCTGCCAAACGCCATGCACGTGGCCATAAAGAGGGCGGTCACGTCCACTCCGAGGTAGACGAGCGGGATAAACGCCCAGTCGCGGTCGGGGCGGATAAAGGAGATGATGGTCGTTGGGAGGAGGTAGAGGACGAGAGTCAACGACACGCCCATGACCCCCCGAGCGGCGCGTAGCAACGGGGGAGCTGCTTCCAGACTGTCTATGCAAGGTGTCAGCAGGAACTGTTACTACAGGAACTGTTACTACAGGAACTGTTACTGCACGGACTCACTGTACTCGTATATACGGTATGTCTCTTTCACATGCAGTTCGTATGCCGATGTACCCAGGGCGTAGAGTGCCACCAGCAGCGAGGTGGCGTACAGTCCCAGACGGATGGTGGACGGCCGCATGCTGCATGTACGCGTCGTGATGTGCATGGTGAGTAACGGGGGTGAGTCAGTAGCAGTGAGCACCACTTGTGCCGTCTATATATCGACTTGCAGCTGACCACCCTCAAAAAGCGTGTTATGATGCTGCCAAGTGCCAAGACCAGCAACGATGGCTTGGGTGGTCAAGTAGACCGGGGAATCTTGCATCAGAAGACATGTTTCTGCGACCCCCGTTTGTGGTCGATGTAAGGGAGTGAGACAGGCGACAGGTGCACGCGAAGGGTGTGCCAAGAAGCCTACAGTAATGGTGACCAGGGGGTGTGGTGGGCGCGTGGTGGCGCGAGGTGATGTCTGCCAAGGGCCAAGAACGCGGCTGGATACACGTCCAAGACGACCCAAGATCCAAAGAACGCGAGACGCGTCCTGTGGCCAGCACACCAGATCTGGGTAAACTTGCACGTGGAAACCAGTCGGTTAGATTACCCGGGAGCCATATCGGTCATTGTCATATGCATCGACGCGACTTTCTTCTCCAGCTGCGGCGTCCGCACTGGGATCTATGCGGATAACGTCACCTGCGAGTCACCGACCACTGAGGATTCGGATGTCTCGACGCCTCCATTCCATCGATCCTATTGTACGCGGCACGCCATTTGGCATATATCCCCTTCGTCTCATTTGGCACCACGGACCGCCGCCGTGCAGTTGACCTCGGGCAGGCAATTCTTTGGCGCTCGCCGATGTTGTCGTGGGCCCATCGAGAACCCATGTGCCCGGCTCGTCCCTCTGCACCCATTGACGCGCCCACGGCCGACTGGCAAGAGTATGGCCGCGCACGAAACGGCTACCAGCTACGAGAGCTGTTACAATTAGAAAAAAGAACGACTGTCTGTATTTAGTTTGGCCTAATGGCCATTTCATTTTGCAGATTCCGAAATCGGAGAACCCGGGCGTATAAAGAGGATGCCGTACGCCTCCGATGCGGGGAAACTTGCCGAAGTCTCGAGGCGAACGCGAGATCCATGGCGCATGGGTCATTCACCGGATCGTCGGATCGCCCACTGCTGGAGAGTGCATTGGAGATGTGGCTCTCTGGATCTCTGGCCACTGCCGCATGCAGGGACCGTTGTTGTTTATCTGAGATCGACAACAGGGAAGCAATGGAAGGACAATGGCGACGGCGAACAGAACGGGGGAGAGAGAGACCTGTTGTACTGTTGCGCCTGTTGTACTGTTGCCGGCGAATTTGACGAACGCTGAGAGTCTCTGCCAGCTGCCAGCTGCCAGCTGTGCCAGGCACATGGCACGCGGTGGACGTGGACCTGGCTGGGCACCCCATTTCAGACCAGACAATGGAGCTTTGGTCCCTTAGTGACGACGCCATGTTAGACCCTTTCCTGTGAGACATGCCTGCGCAGGCTTGTGACTGCCTAGCGACAACCAGCGGCGACACCAGCGACACCAGCGACACCAGCGACGACAGACTCGATGCTAATGAAATCCATGAAGGGCGGGCTATACTTTATACAGACAAAAACTAGCTATGCGTGGTGACAGTTGGTAAGACCGATAGCTGCGCTGGGAGCTAGGGCGTATTTTGTGTTTGGTTGGGGGGGTTCTAAGAATGAAGGTGTTGCGTTTTTACAGGCTCGACTTGACCTCCATGGGCGAGAGGACGTGGATCTTCTCGGGCTGGGTGAGGCTGCCGCCCTGCTCGAGAATGTCCTTCCACGAGTGGTCGGCGGCGCGCTTGGGCTTCTCGCCCTTGGCGTTGACACCGGCGAGGACGGCCGAGACCAGGAGGACACCGACGGTGAGGCCCTGGGCCCACATACGGGCCTGGACGAGCTTCTGGCTGAACGTCTGGTGCTTGTTGCGCTGGACAATGCCAAAGGCGATACCGAGCGAGGCGACCCACGAGCCACCAATGATCGAGTACTGGTTGCGGCCCGCCCAGTCCTTTGCCTTTTCAGTGGTCGAGAGCTTGTTCCAGCGCTCCTCGGACTCGTGGGCCTGGCGCTCGATCTCGGTCTTGCCGACCGAGTCCCACATGTTGTCCGAAATGTAGTGCTCACCGGCCTTCTCGGCGAAGACGGTGGCGACGGGGACGATCGACATCATACCCAGGAAGACCTTGCCGGGGAGGGGGAGGGAGCGGTAGGTGGCCGAGCGCTTCTTGAGAAGGAAGTGGAGAGGGGTGAACATGGCACTGCCGACGACGGCACCCTTTCCAAAGTTGGTGACGACCTGCTTCATGTACGTGTTGGCACGGGTTTGCTGGTGGGGTTGTCAGCATGTTGCTTATCATAGACGCGGGGTGGTGTTGTTGTTGCACTCACGTCGAGGTAACGGGTCTCAGAGTCGACCGGCTCGACGTAGACGGCGGGGGCCTTGTTGCCGCGGACGGCGGGGTCCTCGACGACGTAGGTGTTGTTGGACGACGACATTGTGTGCAGTAGTCTGGGTGGAGTGGTGGTGGGAGTGGTGGAGGAGGGTTGGTGTTGTAGAGTGTGTGGTTGGGAGAGAGATGTGGTCGAATGATCTTATAGTTGATCCGGCCGTAAAAACAAACGGGCTGCCATGACGCTGGCAAAAGCGCGGCAGCAGTGTGACCTTTTGCTCCTCGACTCCTCCCCCGTCGCCTCCGTCTCCTCCGTCCTCTCCCCTTTCCTCCCACCGGCGGCACTGGACATCACAAATTATGCGCTGTTCGGATTTTGTTCCCTGACTGGAGACGGCAGACCCACCCAGGCGGCCAGGCTCTGTCTCACGCGGCTCACCCAGCAGGCCAGCAGAGCTCCAGTGCGTGCCAGGTGCAGCGCCGTTGCTCTGGCATGTCGCCCACCACTTTGGCTGAGCCCGACCTGCTCCGCAATCTATCCCCCGGCTTGTCCCGTGCCCAGGAAGCGGGCATGACAAAGCATGACCCGCGCCCGCTGCGCACCCACCCGGTCGTCTCTCCAGTTGCGACGCCCATGATCTCCACACTATCGCCCTGCTTACCAGGAATTCCGAACAGGAGTGTGCCAAGTCGCCATCAAAGCCAAAAAAGACAGAGCCGTACAGTGTGGTAACAATGGGGATGGCCGTATTACTTGCTAATCAAACCAAACCTGCCTAAACCAAATGCCAAAAAATCAGTGTACCGGTCCGTCCACCGGTCCGGTCCGTAACCACCCGTTGCGCGTGCCTTGTGGACTTGCCTTCATATCTCTACCACAGCCAAGCTACAGTATATACCACCGCTCTCGCCACCCAAGTGTAGCGAGTCCGGACGCGCGGCATGCGACGCGGCGCTAAACCCCGCGGAGCCGCCGCCAAACCCCACACTCTCGCTCTCTACCTATGTACTCCTGTCACCTTCAGATTAGAACACACTGCCCGTGCGCAACTGCTCGAGCTTTTTCAGCACCTCGCCCACATTCCTGTCGAGGTCGGCTGCAATTGCCTGTTGCTGGGGGTACGGCAGCAGGTTGAAGCTCTCGCACAGGTCACCATCGACCACGGACTTTACCGGGGCATAGTAGCCACGGTATGCCAGGTGGTCGCGGCCGACCAGCGAGGTGTTGAGGGAGCGAATGTGCTGGGGAGCAACGTCAGCAGAGGAAAACATGCTTTGTAAGGAGAGGGACGTACCATCTCCAGCGTCGTCATAAACTCGACGTCGTCGTTTGAGATGAACGGGATCAATGCACCCACGGCGCCCGAGACGGTGGTGTACACCACCACGTCGCGGCCGCCAGGCGCCACAGACACCTTGTTCAGCGACGTGACAACGGACCCGACGTTGTAGTGCGCCACAAGGTCCGTCTTGTGCGCCGCGCCCATGAGGAAGCCCTTTTCGTGCAGGATACCCGCACCCGTGGGGTCGTCGTCGACTTTCTCAGACACGCGCTCCTCGAGGCGGTTGATGAAAATGTTGCCAAACTTGTCGGCGGCGCAGACCGTGTCATAGTCAACGTTGACAACAGACGTGAGCCAGCGCGGCTGGCCGTCATCGGCAAAGATGAGCAGCTGGCGGGTCGGGAGCGAGCGGTACACGCAGAAAAAGGTCGACTCCTGCAGGTCGCCGACGATGATGCGGGCTCCGATCACGTTGATGGTGGCCACACCTGTGGGGAAACCAGTGTTCTCACACTTGCGCAACAGGGCCTTCTTGCCCATCTCGTACAGGCGCAGGCTCTTGCCCACACCGGCGAGCAAGTAGCCCTGGAACGCGGCCAGCGCCAGGGGCACGTCGTCTGTCCTCGTCTTGTGCATAAACTCGAGTGTGCGGCCGGCGTCCCGGATGGCGTAGACGCGAATCCAGCCCTCCTTGCACGAGCGCGGCACAAACGTCGTCTTGACACCGGTACCGACCACGAGCGTGGGTTCGCCGCCCATGCGCTCAAAGTAGCACACGGCCGCGGAAAACGCCGCCTCGTCCTCGTCGAGCTCGAGCGTCTGCACAGTGTCGTTTGTCAGGGGGTCAATGACGCGCACCAGCGACGCCCAGTGACCGGCTCCGGCTCGTGGCCTGCCAAACTCCTCAAATGGCAGCTCTAACAAGGACGTGTCGACCTTGTCGCCCGCAGCCTTCTTCTCAGACACTATCCGCTCAATGGCCTTGGGGCCGTACGTGCGGTGGTCGGCTTCAATGGTGTAGAAAATGGGCGCATAGGGGTAGCCGACAATCTTGCGCGGGGTGTAGGTCAGGGGGGTCGAGTCTTGCTTGAGCTTTTCACCGAGTTTTGGAATGGTGAAAATACGCAGCGTGTTGCCCGAGATACCAATCAGACCGTCGGGGCACATGCTGGCAGACAGGTTGCACGCATACTCGAGCGTGTCGTAGATGAGCGGCTGCGTCTGCAGCAGGTCCTGGTACGTGTACAGCAGCCAGGTGCGCGACGAAAAGGCCATGACGGCGGGCGAGCCGTGCACGTTGGACCGCACGATACGCGGTGGCTTGGCACCGAGGAAACGGAGACGCGTGTCCGAGAGCGAGCCGTCGACAGGGTCCACCACTGTGCGCAGCAGCACACCGTTGAGGAGACCAATGGTCAAAAACATGGTGGCGCGGTTCTTGTCGATCGACGTGTCGAAAATCTCGGCCAGGCAAATGTCCGACGGCGGCGCCGTCAAGGCCTGCAGCGACAGAGTGTCGAGGGTGCTGTCGGGTTCCAGACTGATGACATGCACAGTCTGGTTGTCACAACCAACAGCCAAGAACGGTGTCCTCATGCGGCCCTCGGGCAGGTCTGCAATGGACACACACGTGGCGTTACCTGGCAGACTCTTCTTCTCGCCATACTCGCTCAGTGACCCTTCGTCGTCGAGCTCAAAGTAGACGAGCTCGGCAGTGCTCAGGGCAATGACCACTTGACGCGGGTTGGTCGTGGCAGACACAATGGTGGTACCAGGAGGAGCGGCCCACTCGTCAACGCGGTCGGCCGCGCGAATGTGTCGCAGACCGTACGGGTGGACTTGCAAGAGACCGGCGTGTGCGAGCTGCTGGACAGCAAGGGTGGGGCTGCTACTCAAGAAGCCAGTGTCGCTGACCTCTTCGATCGTCTCCCCAATGCTCAGCACAAGCGTACCGTTGGGGAACGACAGCACAATGTACGAGTCGTACTCGTCCTCTTCGTTGAGCTTGAGTGTCCACACGGCATTGGGCACACCGGGGAGCCCCGACGAGACGAGTACGTTGACGTCCAGACCGTGCTTGAGCGAACGGAACGTCGAGCGCGGGCCACGACCGCACGCGGCGTAAATCTGTGGGGTGTCGCTCGCATTCCCCAGCAGGTTGACGACCTGGGCGTCGAGGATGGGGTCCAGCGACGAGACATTGTCCACTGCCAGCATGTTTTGGAGCGGGCGAGGCGAGAAGAACGCGTACGGCAAGGGGCCCTCGGTGTCGCCATTGTTCTTGTAATCGGTCGAGGACCACTCTTGCTCGTCGTCGTCGTCAGCAAGCGACTGGAACTGGTACAGGTGCTGGTCGCCAAACTCGCTCGCCACAAACAGGTAACCGCTCTTGAGGATACACAGCGACATGGCCACGGGCACAGTGTCAAAGTACTTGATCCGCATCGCCCGCACGTCCTCGCCCTCGTGCTCGATCGTGACCTTGTACAGGTCACCGTCCTCGCTTTGGAGGAGGAAGAAGAATGCGCCACGGATCTTGTGCGTGACAGCAGCCACGATAATGAGTCCTCGGGACGTCTCGCCACGCTGGGCGAGGGGGTTGCGACGGCGTGGGATGGGCACGCGGTGGGCATCGGCGTCCATGTGCTTCCAGATAATGTGGTCTTCAGTGCACACCAGCACACCCGAGGGCCCATCAAACCTGTCCGTGTTGGCGTTCTGGCCACCAGGCACCTGGACCAGCAAGTTGGCGCGACGGTCGGTTGGCTCGCTCCACTTCCTCACGACGTGGTTGAGACCCAGGTCAAGCTCGTAAAAGGTGAGATACTTTTCAGTCGTCTGCATCGCCTCGCCACTGGGGTCACGGTCGGCCTCTCCATAGTCGATCTCGAGGGCCGCAAACATGGGGTTGTCGTAACCAGTGTCCACGCCCACGAGGTTGGTCATGATGGTGTGGTTCTTGTGCGCCTCGAGCGGCGACGAAGGGAACAGCTTGCCTTCTGAATTACGGTTCAGAATGTAAACCAGCTTGCTCTTCTCCACGGCGCCGTACATGACACTGCGGCCCTTGGGGTCGACCGCGAGGAACTGGCCTGGAACCGTTCGCCTGGATCCAGACTTGCCGTACACTTCTTGGTACAGGCTCTCAAAGTGCGGAGTCGGGGAAATCACAAGCTCGACAATGGACAGGCGGCCAGAGTCGGAGGACAACAGGATGTAGTCCTTGGTCATGCCCGCGAGTCGGAACGCCGCGACGTTGCGAACGGTGCCAAAGGCCTGTGGCTTCGTTAGCGACTGATGAGAAGATGGGGGTCAAGGAATACAGCAGCTGTGGAGTCTGGGCCATCCACAAGGAGAGGCCAATGGAACATTGTGCCTGCACGCCGTTGCCACCGCCATGTTGATCCAAAGCCTCACCTCGGAAGTACAGATCGAGTCCACTGCGGTGCGTCAGCTCTCTCCATCCAGATACACAAAGGCGGCCACCACACATAAGTCATCCGGGAGCCAGGAGAGAAACAACAACTCAGCCAACCGCATCACTGGTACCTCCTCCTCCACTACTACTACTCACACTGTCCAGTCGACGGGTTGAGCTTGAGGATCTCGAGTCTTGTGGCGCCGTGCACAACCAGAATCTCCTGTCCCTTGCCCGAGAACGAACCAACGACGGCGTTGGACACCGCCGTTGCGGGCTGCAGGGTGAGGTTGAGGAGGTGCATCGTATTGATGCGAGAGGTTGCGGGGTGGGCGGAGGTTGGGGTATAGATGATCGAAAGTTGTCGATCGAATGTGTGTTCAAGATGATGGTTGAAGCGCGCTCACACAAGTCGCCGGTGGATTAGTTTTTGGCAATTCTTTTATTTTATCCCAACCACGTAAACAAGCTTCAGCCATTAGGAAAGCTCCTTTCTAATGCGGGTCACATTCTTATAGACAATGTCATATTCTCTCGTACATCTCACAATCTCTAGGGTCCATGGGTATCAAACGATGGCCGAGTAACACTTGCCAAGACCAAAAAATACTACTGCTACACACTAACAGTCCTCGCTCTAGGACGACTTGGGGGCGGCAGGAACAGCCGCGGGCTGGGCAGCAGTAGGCTGAGCAGCAGCGGGAACGACGGCCGGAGCAGGAGCCTGGGCGGCCACTGGAGCAGCGGGGGCAGGTGCAGCGGCCGTGGCAACAGCAGCAGCAGCAACTGCGGCGGCGGCACTTGCGTTATGGGGTGGGACATACTGGGGGATGCCAGTAAAGTGCGGGTACGACGTGGGCCATGTGGTCGAGGGGTTGTCGCCACGTGCCGCGGCAAGGTCGCGGTGCATCATCTCGATTGTGCGGCTGGCCTCGTTCATCTGACTCTTGAGGTGGGCAATGTAGTCGACGGCCTTGGAAAGAATCTCCCACTTGGAAGCCTTCATGCCGCGGTCGGCAGGCAGCGCCTCGCGGAGCTCGTCAAAGAGGTCGCGCATCTCCTTGCGACGCTTTCGCTCGGCGAGCTTGTGGCTCACACGGAGCTCGGGCGAGCGGGAGAAGGGAGTCTCCTTCTTGTCCGGAGGAGCAAGACCGTCGTCGTCCTTGAGCTGCGACGCCGAAGCCTCGCCAGAGGCATCAATAGCCGGCGACGCGGCTGCAGAACCAAGAGTCTCGGGGAGACGGAGCTCGGGAGCACCGACGGCACCGACGGCATGGACAGCAGCAGCGGCTTCACCAGCGGCAGCGGCCGCAGCAGCCACAGCGGCAACAGCCTCGGCCGACGAGCGGACCGACGAGAGTGCGGGGTCCATGGCGATCGCACCGTCACGCTTGACCTCGGCAGAGTCGGTGTTCATGCCCTCAACAGGCCAGTTGTACGACACTGGGTACGCGGCAATAGGGCGGGGGTGCTGAACGGGGACAGTCTGGAGAAGACGACGCTCAGCGGCTGACATGCTGCTGTAAGGAATGTCTTCATAGTCGTCGAAGCGACTCCGGGGCTTTTGGTCACGGTCTGAGATTTGGAGGTTGGGCATGCGGTCAAGCGCGCGGTCGCGGGGGTCGATAGCGGCCATGGTGGGCGAGTCAAACTTGTTTGATACAGGTGTGAGAGGGAGGATGATGTCGTCGTCAAACGAGCGGCGGTGGCCAGAGGGAGTGTAGTTGCGCGGCTCTTGCTTAATGTAATGGGCGGAGGACCGGCGGGAAGCAGACTCGGGGGTTTGGTAAGGGTCGGTGGGAGAGACGCTGCGAGAGTACGAGTACTTGTTGAGATCAGACAAGCGCGCGCTGTGGCGTTCAACTGTGCGAGGACCCGAGTTGCGAGTCAGAGGGGGAGGGCCCTTGGTGAGGGATTCGAGGGGAGGGAGGACTCGAGAGTGACGCGTAGGCGTGGGGAGTCGAGGAGTTGACGCGACTGGGTGGGGTACCGAGCGGGGCCTGGGTCCGTTAGTAAAGGCGATGGGTGGACTGCGGGGGTGGATGCTTACTTGTAAGGGTGGTACAAAGCCGGGTGGTGGTGGTGGTGGTTGTAAGAGGAGGAAGAAGAGGATGGGGGGGAAGGGTACCGCTGATGGTGATAGTGGGCCGGAGCCTGGTGGTGACGGTGCTCGGGGTACCTGTTCATAGACTGTGGGCGCGGCCCACTGTCAGTATGTGTGTTTGGCGGGGTGGATGGGTGGATGGGGTGGGGGATGTGGACGATGACGAGATGGGATGGATGGATGGTGGAGTGGATGGAAGAGCGAGTTGGGCCTGGATGCGGTTGGTGGGGGTGGCAGACACGAGGGATCGCGTTTGCGGGTTTTCCCCCTTTGGCCCGCCGAGCCAATGGGTGTGGCGGCCAGGCAGCATTCAGAGATATTCAGAGGGCACCCGTGTTGCACCATGGCCCACAGCTCCTCGACCTATGCATCTCCCCCGGCACTCTAGCAACAACACTCACGGGCAAAAGTTCAATGTTGACACCGGAAGTCGTCGAGGTGGGCGCGCGAGGTGGAGGACGACCTGATGGATGGCGCGCGAGAACAGCGTGGTCGTCGCGTGGTGACTATCTCGCGTGGCGGAGATGGGTGTGGTACGTGTGGTGTGAAGGACCACTGTGTCGATGCTCGGGGGGTTTTTTTTTTTTGTTTCGACGACAGTGCTGGGGTTGTCGGCCGGCGACAAAGAGGAGTTGGATAAGATGGTGCAGTGGTGGAAGTGTATGGGTTGTTGAAACAAACGAGGATAAAAGGTTGTTCTGGAGGTGTCAGTAGGCAACGCCTCGCCGGGTGTTGGCAGCGTTGTCGTGCTGCACCACCGAATGCGCCGTGTACCATTGCCACTCACAAAGGCACCTGATTACTGTGTGGGCGGGTGTGTAGAATGCAATGGACTGTTCGTGCTGTTGTATCCTCTAGGGGATGTCAAGATGTTGGCTAAAAGCTGTCAGCATGCATGCATGGCGAGGCGACGATCACATGCCCTCAGCGAGCAACGAGGGCCCACATGCGGGGGATTTCAGGAAGAGGCAGCAGGGTGCGCCAGGATCGATCGACGGCTCCCTCTACCGCGCCACACTCCCCGAAGAGGTACCGACTTACTCAAAAGGTTGTGCTCGCACTGCAGGTGTGCAGGTGATGGCTGTGAGATGAAGTCGTTAAACGCGGAGGAGAAGTGGTTCAGATAAAGCAAGTTGGTTGCTAGGCAAGGGGGAAAGAGTTGGTTCGGTGGAGCACGGTCTTTTAAACAAATATTAGGGGTTTGGTGGTGATATCAACAAAGTTTGACAACTCCATAGGTGCGTTTGATACGTGTCCAGGGGACGAGCCTCTGCTGCGACGGGTGGGTCACAAAATCTCTGCTTCAGCGTCAGTCCGAGTTCCACTGGGCAGGCGGCGTGCATCGCAAAGAATACTGGACGGCGAGGGAACACCAAGTGGGACTTCGGGCACGCGCCACGCCGAGATGCCGACACCGGAACCCTTGGACCTATGGCCTCATGATGCGCGCACTGCGTGCGTCAGTGGACCCGCAACAGCCATGCGCGTGTGTGCCAACGTACTGACACTCTCCGTGCGCAGCGATAGTGGGTCTGCTTGGGGGAGACGGCAGCACACGCAGCCAGAGTCCGTTCAACGGACTGCCAACAGGATTCCAGGAAAGGTGCCTGATCGAGAGGCACAAGTGTGAGCTTGAGCCCGACAGACTGCTCCAGCCGAGTCTTTTCGGAAAACGGATGTCGTTGAGCCCAGCGGCCAGCGACCACGGATCGAAAGGGCCCTCTCCCTCCCCCCAAGGGAGACAGGAAACGGCAGGCCCGGATGCCGGTGGGACCCGTCTGGTCAGGGGGCGGCTGTATGTCACCGTACACGTATGGTTTCGAGCCAAATAATCAGCAAAACCTAATTGCCACAAAACTGCCTCGGTCAAACCAACCACTACTGGTCACAATGCGCGTCACGCAAAGATGTGATGGAGAACATCAGTCCACTGTGCCACCCCAACATCGTCAGAGTCCTGAATCGTGAGCCGTCCCGCAGCATCCCATCTACCGTATGGACGTAATCCAAGCTCCCCCAAGAAAGCTTGCAAACGACCGCAGCGTCATCGGGTACAACCCTCCACATGCATCGTTTTCATTCGGTTGTCAATCCTCTCAATCGGTTGTCAACGGTTGTTTCCCCACGAACGTTAACAGTACTGGATCCAAGTCGCGACTTTGTCATTGCAATGTCGCCTGTGGAGTTTTCTTGCACTAGTCTGTTCCAATGGGTATCCGCAGAATTGCCTTCCCTTTGTTAGCTGGTTGATCTGCGCGATCTGCGGGTCGTCAACGGTCTCGTGGTGGCGGCGTCAGCCGTTCTGAGATGCTGGGGGACCTCAAACATGTGCTAACGAGTAGCCCCGAAGTGGCGACCGGAAAAATCATGTCCGAAAGCCTGTCCTCTGGTCCGAAAAAAGACGTCGCTCCACCGCGTTCGCGCGCGTAGTGGCCGCCGGTGTGGATATGATTGGATGTGGCTTGCCGATGTGTTTCCGGTAACCATTTGACCGCAAGAGACACCGAAGCGCTAGGATTGCGACGTCCGTGCAGGGAGGGGCCTCCGTCCCCTTCTGTTCCCAGTTTGGCCGCTGAGCGTGCAAGGATGCTGGTACGCTGACATAGCTCACCTGAGGTGAGCACATCGTGCACTCTTGGGGTGGCAAGTTCAACACTCGTGGATCAGGATGAAGAGGAACACACAGGGGACGAGGCCCGAGAATTTCCATCCATGTGGCCAGACAAGTTGGCGCTCTGTAGATCCAACGAAGACCACGACTACAACCGGACACCAGCAAGGAACAAACCCTCTGACATGGCACGATTCCGCATGCTTGGTACGAGGCAACCAAAGCGCCGTTTCTCTTCCACCGCCTACCACGACCATGCGGTTCGTCCGTTGACCAAAAGTGAGGACACCGTGCGCAAAAGGTTCCCAGCCATGTACATAACGTGACTATCTCCGCAAGCGAACAACAGGGTGATCCACGTCGCCCCATATTGTCGGCGGTGGCGAACACGGATGGCAGGGTGTATGGCGTGGCGCTCCTTGAACGGACGCCACACTGTCGATCGTTTCGAACAACAGTCTGCTCCACGGTCCACGAAGCACACTATGTCTGGCCATATGGCCATGGCCAGATGTCACTCCACATGGTGCCTTCCCCTACCAACCGGATAACTTCTTGAAATACTATGCACACGTACGAGGCCGCGTAGGGGAATGAGACTCCCACTGGGCGTTCCCTGGAGCACTGGAGCGTTCGAAGAGCTGTGTACGTATGTGACGCATGATTGGCACATGACTTGGTCTCCACACCCCGGAGCGGCGAATTTGCTGAATGGAGAGGATTCTGTGTGGTAACGTCCATTCGGCTCGCTAGGGGGAGGGGATCCCGTCCACTCGACCGGCTGCCGGACCTGTAGGTCCCGGCCAAAGTATGCTCCTCTGCGCAGCATATGACAAGAAAACCTTAAAAGCATGCCGTCTTGTCAACCCGGAATAACGCTCGGATTCGGGCCGTAACCAGATGTGCGTTGGCGATGTTCGGCTTGTTTTCGGATCGTTCGCTGCATATTTTGTCTCATTATGTCATTATCGATCTCTTGGTCGCCGCGCACAGTTCAACAGAAGGTAGAATGCACAGTCAAAGGACGAAACAGGTGGATATCTGTCTCAATGTCCTCTCTCGCAGTGGAGGGTGCCCTCCCTTGTAGAACAGGGCGGCGATCGTTTGACTCGTTTGTAATTCGGCTCCACATGCGTGTTGTCCTGAAACACCGTTCACGGTACGGTCTTTGACCTGCGTCACACTGCTGCAGAGACTGTCTCCAAAATGTCATCTGATGAGCCGTGTGCAAAACTCGCTCATTGTTTGTATTTTTGATGTTTGTATTTCTGATTGTTTGTATTTCCTGCAAAATATTTCGAATAGCGAACAAGGTTCGAGGCAACCTAACAATCACCGAGATAGGCAAGGCGTGCTGGTGTGAGTCACACATACCTTGACAGCGGTTTTTAACTTTGCATAGACACATCGTCCTCGCGTCATCTCGATGTGAACTCGCTCCGGACGGCTGTTGACGGTTGTTGGGTTCCGAACCTGCCAAGAAAACAGCCTGTTGCGATGGAAGACGTCGCTCCAAGTGGCTCCAACAGTGTTTGTGGCATTCCCCACGCGGCCACTTTGCGCAGCGAGCGACGAGCCCGCTCAGGAATTGTGTCCACGTCGGCCAACTTCAGCGTGCGTGAAGTGTAGGTGGACGGCCACCGCGTAGGGAATGGACTCAGTTGCGCGGGGAGTTTAATTGACCCTTGGCACTGTCATCGCTCGTGGCTTTGCGGCCATTCTGAGGGCCATTGCCGGTTGCGGGTATCGTCTGCCAAGTGTGTGCCAGTACCGGTACCCACAAAGTCACCCGACCTGTCAAGGCCATTACGAAGCTCAGCCTTTGGAGCTCCGAGGAATATCCTCGACCGGACGCTTTGGAGCTCCTTGGCATTTCCTCGACCGGTGCCATGCTGCCACCGGACACGAACTTTTGTGGACCACCTGTGGAACTCCAACAGAGGTAGTGCCTTGGAACTAAGGACAAACAGTTGTCCTTGTAGGTAGGAACCTGTTCATCAAGACATCAGCACCTGAGGCAGGGATCGATTGGGGCTATCAGACACGATGCATGATGTCTTTGTGGCGGCTGTGCGGTGATAGAACGTCCCGCACCGCACCAACCCATTCCAGATGCCGCGGTATGAATTAGAGGGGTCGTCCTGGATTGTCAACTCAGGTTGACTTTTGTGAAAGTGTTACTGGAGTTGCTTGCTTCGGTATACGCATGTGGAGCGGGAGATGCAGAAAGGTTGACGATGGTCGTCGACATGACAAAGCCCACAAAACCTGACAAGTGGTTGGGATTGATAAAACATTCACTCAGATCACTCCTTGGCTTGTTAAACGGGATCCACCATTGTCAGCATGACAATCTGATAGCGCGTCATCACACGTAAGTATGGGATGATGCAGCTGTCGCTACCTCCACATGTTGCAATCGTGCTGCGTTGATCATTGACCATCGAAAGCCGCAGGCAAGGCTCAATGGGTGCGATCCTAAAGTCCGCCGACGCCGTCTTATGTCCTGCAGCCACCTTGCCTCTAAGAAAGGGGGGCCTAAGCTGCGTTGTCGCGTGCACATCGCCAAGCCCCTGAAGGTGATCCGTGAACGGAGCCCGTCATTCTCGACATTTTGTCACCATCTCTATGAAAGAGCTGCAGGCTGTAGGTAGGCAGTGTACCTTTCCCTGTCTCGGCATCGCGCTAGCAAACTGATTGCACGATGCCCTGACGGCATGTCGATCCTCGACGTCCCTTGGATAGCAGGGATACATTCTTGCCCGTGGGGGTGGGGGTGGGGGGAGGACAATGTTCAACCGAGTTCTTTGTCACTGTATCGGCCGAGTCGGCACGATGATCCAATTCTGGGGCACGTTCATCGTGCCGTAGGTTGATCCTGACAATTTCCGTAAGGTGGTACACCCAACCCCACCGTCACTGCCTGGTTCGCTCGAGTTTCCGTCGGGACAGTAGCCAGTATTGTAGGGTAGGTAGAAGCATAGTCTGGCCATGCTGTGTGGACGCACCAGGAGCAAGGTGGATGAACTTGTGCACCTTGGAGATGTATATGAAACGCATGAAGGACGGGAGAGACAAGGTTTGATGACTGCGGCGTCGCTGAGTGAATTGTCATCCGTCCTCCGATGCCCAAACAGGTGCTGCGGCAGACTGCATGTCGTGTGTCGCTTGCTGCCTCGCTCGCAGCCTTCGCTCGTTGTTTGATCTAGAGTTTTTTCGTGTCTGATATCGAAGGTCCCAGGTCGTTCTTTGATTTGAGCGAGCAACACTGAAAACGCTTCTCAACAAAATTAACACATATCTGAAGGCCTTACTCAAACCCAGGACACTGGCCCGGGACTGAGCTTCTTTCGCAGTGCAGTACTGAGCATAAGGCGTCCCAGAATCTTTCTAAACGCTCTTGTTGGGATTCATTTAGGTAGCACCTTTTCACGCCCTTCAACGGACGACCTTCTGAAAGGGACCACACTCATCTCGACTGCACTTTGAAGCGGCTTTAAAGCGTAGTTATAGCAGACAGGACCGATGAGGCGAGTAACTCATGCGACGAACAAACCCTCGTCCAATTGGTCGCCCCGAGCCTGATGCACTGTTGTGTTTCGAATCTCCCTAACAGCCATCCATTCTTTCATGGTGGGAGTAATGTGAGTAAGGCGAAGGGCTCTGCAAACGACCCATGCTAGCCTGTGGGCTTGTTGAAGCTCCATTTTCGGCAGTGTTGCGTCCTGTACTGTTTGGCCAGGAAGCCACAACGCAGCCACTGGCCACTGGGGTGTTCACTGACAGTGGCTGGGACACCTCACGCCGCCGTTGCAGGGATCCGCGGCTCTACCTCGCGGTTTCCACCACTGCCTGCAGTACCTCTGCAACACCCGTTCTCGTCTACCAGCCTCATGCGTCAACATGTCGACGTTGCGATCGGAGAAGACCGAAAGGACCGGTCTTGGGGTGCTCAATCAAGACCTTCTGCCATACATACAGGGCCTGTTCCACCCCGCCATGACGCCCCCGCAGTCCAGCCTGGGGCCCACTAGCAAAGTTCCTCTCCACCGCTCGGAGTCGGGCCGTACATACATGTGGGCCATTGGGACATACTAACTGTACACGCGGTATTGTGGTGAGCAACGGCTTGTTCGTTGCTTCATCTACGCGTCTCGGTCTTTAGAGGCACAGCAATGGACGCGAGACGCGACTTGGCAACCCCGAAAGGCACCGGTTCCGACTGTCATGTTCTTTCACCAGTGTTCACTAGATACTCTGCTGGTTGAGCAGCAAAACAGCGGTTGCTAATGACAGACGGGCCGCCGGCTATGCAGGTCCTTACTTACACAGGCCAACATGCCATTGGACATACGAATGCTTGGACGCCGACGAGACCAAAACAGACGCGCCAAGACACGCACCCCGCCTCCACAAACGCCACCCACGGTGGGCATGACGGCGGCGACCGCCGCACATGGTATCCCGCTTGCTGGGACCACATGATGTTCAGCGGGATCGCGGTCATTCACCACCGACGACACTCCAATTGGGAGGAGCACTGGCGCACTGGAGAGTACAGTGCGCGCCTCGACCATGTTGCTAATTCTGGCACACTGCGCGCGCCCAACGGCGCCCACACAGGGCGTGCTGCAACGGCCGCTCTGTTAAAACGACCCGCACGCAACTTCTTCTCGCACTTCCCGACCATTCGCTTGGACACACACATCCATTTGCCCGCGATGCTCAAGCTCCTCACGACCCTCCTCGCGACGTCGATGGTCGCGTCGGCGTCACCGGCGGCTCTCCGTCCCCGCGATGGCTGCTCCATTACTTGGAATGGGACGGCCATTACCGGCACCATGGACGGCGCGGCCTGTCGCTACACCATTCGCTACGGTACAGCCAAGCGCTGGGAGTACCCAGTTGCTGCGACCAACCAGAGGTGAGTTCTGGTTTGTTATACCAGGTGGATCACGGACTCGACCGCTGCTCAGGCAGAGCCGTCCCAGCTAACTGTTTAGTGGACAGGATGCGGCAAACTTCCCATCCATGTGCCCCCAGCCTGTCGCCGACGAGCTCGAGTCGGCGCTCTCTACACCCGCTGCGCAGTCCGAGGACTGTCTCTTCACCACCATCTACACGCCTGTGGGCAGCAACTCGACGGACCTGCCTGTTTTCGTCTGGCATCATGGTGGCGACTACGTCGAGGGCAGCGAGTCGGACAAGGGGCTGAACGGCTCGGCTCTGGCTTCCGAGTCGAGCATGATCGTTGCTGTCATGCAGTACCGCGTTGGCCTCCTCGGATTCGTCCCTCCCAGCGTCGCTCCCACCTCGGCAGATCCCAACTTTGGTCTGCGTGATGCCATCCTGCACCTCGAGGTTATCCGGGACAATGTTGCTGCCGTCGGTGGAAACAGCTCGCGAGTGACTGTCGGTGGACAGAGTGCTGGCGCGTCGCTGATTAGGAGTAAGTAACGCCTGATTATCCTGTGTGAAATGTCTTGACTGACGAACAAAACAGCCATGTGGGGCGCCCCGGCCGCACAGGGCCTCTTCCACGGCATGATCATTCAGTCTGACCCCATGAACTTTGGAACTCAGTCTGCGGCAGACGAAGCCGGCCTCCAAACCCTGGCCTTCACTAATGCCACCCTCACTGGCAACTGCACCACCTTTGAGTGCTTCCAGAACATCTCCATCACGGACATGATGACCATCGAGACCTACGTCATTAGCAAGGCGTTCGCCAATGTTACTGGTGTGCCCATTGGCGAGACGTTCCGTCCTCAATACTATACCGAATCGCTTCCTCACGACCCATTCAACTCGCTCTTCAACAACGCTTCAAACTTGGCCATCAACCTGACCACCGTTCCCATCATGATCACGTCCATCAAGAACGAGTCTGGTTACCTCATCGAGGAGTTCTTCTCCTCAGCCACAGCCGGCAACGAGGCACTCTACGACTACGCTCTCCAAAGCCTCTTTGGCGACGAACGCGCCGCCATTGTGAACGCGTCAGGCCTCTACCCCGTCATCAACGGAACGGACGGTCTCCGCCAGGCCCTCGAGATCGTCGTCACCGACGCGGCGTGGCGCTGTGTCACCCGTGAGACTGCACGCCGTTTGGCCGGTGCCGGCGCGACCGTCTACCTCGGCGAATGGCTGGAAGGTATTCGCTACACCTTTGGCAACGGCTCGTACTGCACGCAGGACGGCGTCTGGTGCCACGGCACCGACGTCTACCCGACTTTCAGCGACGGACCCGCCGGGTCAAACACCACGTTCGAGACGTTGGTACGTAACTACTGGACCTCGTTCATTACCACCGGTTCGCCTGCTAGCGACGCCCAGCCCTGGACTGCATTCACTGCCAACGGAACCGACGCCGACGTCCATGCTATCGGCGACGGCCCGATGGCTACTTGCCCCGCCGACTTTTGGGGAACAAAGGTCCAATGGGACTGGATGCTGTACTCGAGCAACGAGACCGGCACCATCGGCAGTGCCACGACTAGCTCGGCCACCACGGCCACCAGCAAGAGCGCCGGAACGGTCAACACCGTCAAGGTGCCGTTCATAGGTGTGGCGGTTGCAATTGCTGCTGTCGGCTGTGGCGCGCTCCTGGTTTAATAAGGAAAAAGCATTGGCCTCTCGATTTTTATAGTTTTGCTCTGGGTTAGGTAGGGCATGTGACCACCAGTGAAGTGAAGTACACCGAGTCATCCCATTTCGCAGAAGCCGTACGTTAAAAGAGTCCACTGGGTTGTTTTGTTCCTTCCCGGACTCTGGGCGCACGGTCTGTGAAACCACTCCTCGAATTTTCTCTTCATTTTTCTGATTTTAGCGCGCCTGACGACGGCTTTACTGGCAGGTCGATTGTCAATGTATCTCCTAAGGCTCTCATACATTCGGCTTGCATATCGTTATCTAAACATTTACACTTATCTGTCTACATGTTTACACCTCTATAACAGCGTACACGGGATCATCCATGTCCTCCACGACGACATGGTCATCCTCGAGCTTCTCCAAAACGTCAGGCAGCTCGGGGGCGAACAGGGTTTCGGGGGTCGCAATGGCCGTTTCGGGAGTAGCGCTCGACGCCGGCGTGTGGCGAGAGCGACTCGGAGTCTCAGGAAGGTCTTCGCACTCGGCGGTGGGGAGCTCGTGTTCGCGCTCATCGGGCTCAGCAGGGATGGAAGTGAGGCGGGAGCTGAGAGCATTGGCGTCCAGAGGGCTGGAGGGCAAGTCGGGGGTGTCGTCCGAGACGGGCTCATCGACGTCAGTCGGGTCCGACTCGTCAAGTACCGGGATGAAGTCGTCCTCGTCGGCGCTGAGGGGAACAGCCAGGCCTTCCTCCTCCTCCTCCTCCTCCGCGATGGAGGGGAGACCGCATGCACCCCAGGAGAGCGGCTCGGGGACGGTGTCAACCTCGATCAAGGACGGCCCATCGTTTACAGTGTCTTCTTCTTCCTCCGCAATGGCGGGTAGACGGAATACACCCCAGGTGAGCGGCTTGGAGGCACTGTCACCCTCCAGGATAGGGATGAAGTCGTCGTCATCCTCGGCGGTATCGGGATCCGCAACCAGAAGCAAAGAGAGGGAGCCGGCACGATGCCATCCATTGTCAAAGCTCGGACTCATGGGGCGCGAGGGGACGTCGCGGGAGGAGTGCGCATCATCATTCGAGGAGTGTTCGACGCCACTCGACTCAGCCGGCTCAGGGGAGAAAGCATAGTCCTCATCAAGACAAAGACCCGGCAGTCGGGGCAAGGGAGGCGTCGACGGGCTGCATGGTGCCGTCGAACACCCCGTGAGAGTGATGCTCGGCACCAGCAGTGTGGTGGAGGGCATGGCAGGACCGACGTTCGAGACCCACTGCTCGCCTGGCTCGAGAAGGTGCTCCTCGCCCGAGTGCATGTAGGCGATCTGAGACCCGTCATCCTGTCGTTCGATCACCACAGGGTCGTTTAGGTTGACAATGATGGCGATGGGTTGGTCGAGTTCCGTCTCATCGTCGGTACTGTCAGATGAGGCTAATGAGGAGATCACGTTATGGACGTAATTGGACGGCTCCTGGGCATGGACAGTGGCGGGGATAGGCTCATCGTCCACATTCGAGCTCAAAGTGCGGTCGAGTGTCGCTGCGCTCTCCTGTGCCGAATCACTCTCAGCCACAGTGGCGAGAAGCCCCTCGATACCGCGAGAACTGAGCTGCAAGGCCAGTCCATTGCATTCATCCAATGGTTCGTCCAGGACGGTGCTGTCGCCGGGTACGGGGAGGATAGTAGCTTGAGGCCGGGGCAAAACAATGGCAGGTGGAGCCGGTGCTGGAATGTCGGCAGGAGCAGAACCCAGGACAAGCAGCTCGTCCATAGAGGGTCCTGACGTGTCCCCGAAGGGCGCCTCCGAAGGCGAGTCCCCGGTAACACTGCCCTCAGGCGTGGTTCCCCAGTCGATACTGCTCTCGCTGGGTGAAGCCTGGGGTGCATCCCCGTTGATGCTGCCCTCTGGAGATGTCCCCCAGTCAATGCTGCTGGCACTATTGGGTGGACTGTCGTGGCTAACGTCACCCATGTCGACGCAGCGACCAAAGCGTTCGGATTCGGAAGCCGAGGAAGGTCCAGTTCCAGGAGACGCCCAACGTGCAGCCCGCACGGATGCCGCTGGGGTAACCGTCACAACCTGAGGCTCAAATGAGGCCATCGTTGGGCCTTCCGCGATGGGCAGAACGCAACCCTGGTAGGCGAAAGGACTGAACAATGGGTCGGAGACAGTGACCGGGGAGTTGCGACCAGTGGAGGACGGCCGGGAGTCCCTGTCACCGCGCAGCTTGCGGGACAGCGTGGCGAAGGAGAACGCCAGCCTTCGCGTCGTCTCGCTGATCTCAGAGACCTCACTCTCAGCGAATGACCACGCTGGCGATAGACGAGGGAGGTTTCTGTCGTTGCGGAGAAAAGCGACGTGAGTGCTGCACAGGTGCGGGAAGTCGTCGGGTGGCAGCTGCCTCGCCGGCGCCAGACCCATCACACTCTTCCACATTGAAAGAAGCTTGGTCTTGGATGACTTCGGTTTGGGCTTCTTTGCTGGACTGGCGGGCTTGGGGGCAGCGGGCTTGGGAGCAGCGGGCTTGGGAGGAGCGGGCTTGGGAGCAGCAGGCTTTGGTGCAGCGGGCTTCGAAGGGGACGCTGGCTTTGGTGCAGGCTTGGGCGAAGTGTTCGAACCACTCTTTGGTTGAGCCTTTGCATCACTCGGCTTGGCGGCTTCACCCTTCGCCGGCGCTGTAGCCTTCGCAGGACTCTTGGCCGCGGCAGCCTTCTTCTGGCCGGCCTTGACTGGCGTCGGAGCCCCGGCAGCACGAGGAGCTGGAGGCTTTGGCGTCTTTGGCGCCGGGCTGCTGATCACCGGTGGCGGGGGAACGGCATCGTCAAGAGCGTCAGAGGGCATGCAGCAGCAACAGAGTGCAGCCCGCAGACTGCGCCGCTTCCGCCCGCCCTTGATGATCCGGTGCGCTTCGTCGGGTGGAGGAGGAGGACCAGGAGGTCGAGTCGGGCGTGGAGCAGAGTCGCTCCACTCGACATTGGTGACATGTTGGCGCAAGTTTGAGAGACTTGTGGCGAATCGGCTAGCCTTGATGGGTGCCGAGGTGGGTGCCGCCGTGGGCTTGCTGACGGGTCGCTGGGTGGGCTGGTTGGTCGGTGGCGGCTTGGCAGCCGGGGGTGACTTGGGAGCTGGAGCCTTGGGTGCAGGAGCCTTTGGAGCAGGGGCCTTCGGGGCAGGAGCTTTCGGGGCAGGAGCCTTCGGGGCAGGAGCCTTGGGAGCAGGAGCCTTGGGAGCGGGAGCCTTGGGAGCGGGAGCCTTGGGAGCGGGAGCCTTGGGAGCAGGAGCTTTAGGACTAGGTCCTTTCCCCGGGGGAGGAGACTTGCCAGGTGTGTTGCCAGGAGGACCACCTGGCTTCTTGGGGCCCCCCTTCGCCGCAACGGTGGGGACCTGGACGGCCTCGACTGCCCGGCAAGTGAGGGGCTCGCCGTTAGGCTTATGATAGTGCTGGTAGTCGTCCACCTCCGCCACATCGCGATGGCTGCCGCTTAGAGGCATGTCGTTGGCATCAAATTCCTCAGAGACAGCGTCATCCGCCACCTTGGTTGCCGGGCCCTCGTCCATCAGATCGGGTGGAAGCGCCACAGACTCGGAGAAAGGTGATGGTGCAGTCGACGGCCTAGTGGAGGCATCGTCCTCGGCGCCTGCAGAGCTGCGGGTGCTGCTGGACAGCTGCTCGGCTGAGTGGCGGCTGCGGTCCGAGGCGAACTGGGGGCTTGACATCTTGGCAAATGTGATAGGTTGTGGGATCCAGGTGTCCAGCGTGTCGGGCACTTCAACCTGGTCGCGACGAGGCTCGAAACACAGCTCGGGGAGCTTCCAGGAAGCTACGCCATCGTCCACGGTAATCAGAGCGCCATGTGCGGTTGATCCTGAGCGAACGTGCTGGGGAAGTTTGGGAGACGATGGCCTGGCGGTGGTCGAGGGCTGAGGGGCCGAGGGCGACACAGTTCCGGCTGCACTGTCTCTGACACGGGCGTGGTGGCGGCTGTCAACCGTGTCGGCGTCCCCTTCTGACGCCACATCGTCGTTGGCTCCATGAAGAGGGCAGGGCAAGAACGTGGCTGTGGCATATCGCCATACCTGGCGAAGATGGTTGCGCTGCTGGGTGCGGGTCAAGCTGTCCCACCAGTCCTCTGCGGTGATGTTGGTGCGATGCCGGCGGCGTCGCAATGTATGGGCCACGGCTTGAGGGTATGCCCTGCGAAGTGTGGGCAGAGCTTCCTCCCACCCAAGAATGATCTCCGCAGTGAGGGCATGTAGCTCGCACTTGAGGTCAGGCGGGAGGCGCGTCCCGCCATTCATGTAAATCTCAGACCAGCGACAGTGCAGGGGCCAGTTGGTCTCCATCTGGAGCAACGGGGCGGCACGGCGAGGGTTCTTGATAATCTTCCAGGGGGGAATGTGGCGGCGCGAGAGTTCATCCAAGACAATGTGCATGACGGGGGCAGGGCTGTCTCCCTCTTTGATGGTCCTGGACGGCCGTCGCTCGTGGCGCTGATAGTTCGGAGGGAGAACGAGGGCCTGCTCGGGTTGCGGGAGCGGCTGTGTGACCTGGACGGTGTCACTGGTGACCATGGACACGGCTTCCTTCAGACTCTCCATAGTGACGGTGGGCACAACGGCAGAGTGCTCGCCAGTAGCAATACGCATGCCCTCCGCCGGAGGAACACCGAGGTCGTCGTGGCAAGCCGTGACATGGGAGACGGAGGTCGCTCGTGGAAAAGGGGATAAAGGTGCAGTAGCGTGGCTGGCGATAACCGAGGACACAGCCGCATCCACCACCCTCAGCTTGGCCTGCGAGACCTTTGCACGAAGCTCGCGCATCCTCTCCAATACACTCTTTGCAGAGCGCGTGGTCTCGACCTCGGGCTGGACAGCGGAAACGTCCAGCTCTGCCGCCGCCATCTCAGAATTGATGATGCCCGCGTGTAAGAGGATAGCCCAGTGTGGAGGCCTGCCCTGGTCGTTGAGCTGTTGACATATACGGCCCATGTGAGTCGAAGCGACGTTGCAGGAGACGGCGTACTGGCGTTCGGCAAGTCGGAGTCGTTGAAGATCCTTGAGTACCTCGGCGGCAGCGCCATTGACGATTGCCAAAGAGGATGGGATACGTTCCAGTGCGGCATCAAGAGTGGTGGAGAGCGTACTGGGTGCGCGGGCACGTCTGCCAGCCGCAAGATCTGCGACGTACGTGTCGGTGAGGTAAAAGTTGAACCAGTTGGCGATGGCTGCGCCGGCCTCCTCCTCTGCAGAGCAGAGTGGTTGGGACCAAGAGGGGTGATCGGCGTCGTGGTGCCGCAAAAGGTTCTTGGATCGCTCAACACGAAGACATCTGAGTGACTGAAGTGACTCCCGTCTGGATGCGTAGGTTTGGGCAAACTGGTCACCAAGATCGGGGTCAACGAGGCTGGTGTAGGCGGCTAAGATATCAGCAGAGGATCTAGAGTCTAGCGTTAGACGTACCAGCGATGAGACGGTACCGTTCACATGCCTCTTCATAGGGAACCTCGCCACCACGACAGACCACATCAGGGTGGTATGCCACTGCTGCCTTGATCCATGCTGAAGTCACTGCCCGCCGTCAGCTCCACTTGACAGCAACCGTGAACTCACAAGTTTTGGCGTCCTTTGGGTCTTCAGCGGAGAGGCCCAGAATGGCGTACCAGTTCCGGAAGACCTGGTCGGTCGTCATGGTGCGAAGGGTTGATGATCCAGAGCAGCGATCCGTAGAAGTCACTGCTGATGAGGGATGATAATCTCTGTGATGACCACTCGAGTCGAGGTCGCCAGGACCCCAAGTGCCACCCAGTGGGGCATTTAAAAAGCAAAGGAGGCTGTAATGTCGTGGTGGTTGATGGCGATGAGTGCGAAACAACGGTTGCGAACATTGACTCCCAAGGGGGGGCCGTTGTGACGCAAGGGCCCATCAGTGACTGTGACTTCTTTTCTGTGTTTGTTATTGTTCCGCCCCGTCGACGCCACCCGTCCATCAGACGCCAGACAGAGGTCCCAGGCAGCGCGCCCAGGCGGTGCATGGTGGGAGAGTTTCATGCATTATAACGTGTCTCGTGTTTCAATCACACAACGGATTGTCCACAGGCTGGACACGCAGAAGGCGATGCGAACGGTGGGCGAGAGTACCCCTAGCGGTCAGCGTCTGCCTGCGGGTTTGGCCTTTTGGCCCAGGACTCACCCACTGCTTCACGGCCCACCGCATCCCACACCCCTTGCACTTGAGCTCGGGCACAGATCGCACGCGGCGAGCGGCGAGTGTTCCTTGTGGAAGGGGCTGGAACCGGTGGGCGTGGAGGGCGAGCACCAGTTGAGAGTCGTATCGGGCCCTTGCAGCTGGGTTGGTGAGGACATCATAGGCCGCTGGGAGTGAGCTCAAAGAAGGAACCTCACCGGAACACGATGCTCACATGAAAGGATGTCAACCTGCGAGGGGTCCTCGTTCAGGCGAAGGAGGTATGCACGTCGGACTTTTGTCAGCTCAGAGATCACCGATGACAGCCAAGCTCACTTTGCACCGTCCGGGCGTCGCTGGTGACGTTGAGGAGCGAGTACAGCGTTTGAGTAGGCATTGAGCACGATCATTGAATGGTATCCGAGTCGAGTCTCTTGCAGTTATACACGTTCTCGTCTCGCCGGTGTGTGTGTGTGTGTGTGTGTGTGTGTGTGTGTGTGTGTGTGTGTGTGTGTGTGTGTGTGTGTGCCAGTGTGTACTGGCTGTGCGCACAGCATCGAGCCTACAACTGCTCACTCAACTGCGGCTCTCCTCACATGATTCAAAGTCCAAGAAGCGTGGAAAAGGAAGGGGCGATTTGGACCAACATGATCACAGAATCCTCATACCATCTGAAGAGTCAGCTCCTCGTTTCTTAACCACCAACGCTTTGAAGCTTACCAAATGAGTGAAAAAGGTCAAAGGACGTGGATGTTGTTTGCGGTGGCTATGAATAGGTGGCAATATATTTATCCGCGGATCAGCCGGCCTTCCGTGACGTCGGCGGGTTTGTCGCCTTTGGTCTAGCTAGCTCTGTGGGAGTCTATGCATCTACACTCTTCCCCATCGACCATTCCACCATGCCGCCTCCTATCACTTTCCTCGCCTTCGTAAGTGATCACTATCCTTCCCCCCCCTTCCAGTCCCATATCCTCACCTCCCAGCCACCTCTCCTCGCGCTGTACCCGTTGTCCTACGTGGTCTGGCTCGTCCGCACCTTGGCCCTTCCCATCCGTGTCAAGACTCCCAAGCTTCTCAGTAATGGCACACTGGTCGACCCCACTGCAACGGACCCACCGCTTGTCAAGCATGTCGGCAGCGACCAGCTGCCCTTTTCCGAGGACGTGATTGTGTGGCAGGCCCACCGTCTTGCCATCTTCAGTTCTGACCCGGGTAGACCATTCTACAATCCGTTCACCAACGAGGGAGACGCAGCAACGGCGCCGCATGCTCGTCTTATGCTCTACGACCTCGACAAGCGTACTGTGCGCCAGCTGGAGATTGGCAATTGGCCAGAGGGGCGTACGCTGCACTCCCTCGGCCTCGGTCTCAAGGAGGATGACAATGGTGGTGCAATCCTCGCAGTGGTCAACATTGGGGCTGATTTCACGGCGGTCGACATGGTCCGCCTGGCTCCTCCAACTGAGCCCAACGACGGTGATGGCCCAGCCCATATCACGGCCACCTACCTCCACTCGCTTGAGAACCCCAAGATCACCACACCCAACGCGGTGGTCCCGCTCTCCGAAGACCAGGTTGTCGTGACCAACAGTTTTGGATTCAGTCCCAAGACCCACAAGGTTCTCAACACTGTCGAAACGATCCTCGCGATCCCAGGAGGCAAAGTGTATGCTCTTCGGAGAGCAGCCGGGTCGTTTCCAGGTATCCAGTCATCGTACGGCACGTTTGGCGCGCAGACCACGGCGACTTGCGAGCTCGTCGCCGAACGGTTCGCGTTGGCCAATGGCATCGCCGCGAGTCCAGACGGCCGCATCCTCCTTGTTGCCGGAACCAACTCGGACGATGTGAGCGTGTACGATGTCGACCCGTCGGGTGCTGGCCCCGGCTCGGGGTCTGGTACCGGTGCGTTTGCGCCGCGCGTCCATTTCCGCGAGACGCTTCCCGTCGGCTTCCTGCTCGACAACCTCCGCTACGTGCCCAAGGACGCCCAGGCCCAGCAGGCAGAGGGCTACACGTTCCTGGGTGCAGGCCACCCTGCCGGCCTGGACGTTCTCGCCGCGACAGAGTCAAAGGGCAAGAAACTCGCCGGCTCGCGCGTCGTCAAGATTCACATTCCTGTCCACCGCCCTCCGCCCTCGCTCTGGAGGTCATTCACCAACGAGCTGTCGCGCTTGTTTACGCGGGTGCACAAGCGCGTCGAACTGGTGTTTGCCGACAGCGGCGAGCTGGTTAGCACCTCGGCGACGGCTGTGGCGTTTACGGGCAAGACGGGGACGGAGGTGCTGGTGACTGGTGTATGGGACGGGCGTGGGCCAGTACACCTGACAAGCGTGGACGTTTAGAGGAGAGGCACAGTCTCCGAGCTGGAGGTTTTGCGCATTCATGTTGCTAGACTGCACGATGTAACCGGAACCCAGCCTGTGGGTTGACAAAACCGCTGTATGCTGGTATGCTGGAGTGTTTACCTGGTGCGAGATCGCGTCGCCCCAGCTCGTAGGTGATAGCTCTCAAGGGCACATAAGGGTTGTGACGCGTGCGGCTGGGTCCGACGGCCGGTGAACCAGTGTGCAAGTGGCCAAGTGGGGCGTAAGTGGGCTGAGAGTGGCAACGGGCGGCACGGCTGCCCTCAATAGAAAGCAACCGCGTCGAAAGGGACCAGACCCGTAATGAAAATTGTGATTCCGCTAATAGCCGTAAATGGGAAACCTAAATTCATTACGAACGTCGCAACCGGGGTTGTGTTGCAGGCAATAACGGGCGAGATGCACAGACGCTCCCAGTCCGGCTCACAATGCGACATTTGGTGCGAAGGTAGGAGCTTAGGACACGCGCTGGACCACGTGCATGTATGCACCATCGCCCTCTGAGCGAGGCACGCACGTTACGTGATAAGAGTTGCAACCACACCCGCACCTCGGCCTACCTCGCTGGTGCGCTCCCGCCTGCACCCAAGCTCTTTGCAACGCGCTCCACAGTTCTGGATACCAATGGGTAGCATACTGGCCCTAGCGGGCACTCTTAATAAACGGAAAAGAACGGTTACAAGGGAGGAATTCCGACACGAAGAAGACCATCTTGAGCGACGCCGAGGCCTTTGGGAAGCGAAGGGGCGGGGTGCGCGTCTAGTACGCGTCGTCCTCCTCGAGATCGTCGTCCTGCGAGTCGATTCCAACCTCCTCGTAGTCCTTCTCCAAAGCCGCGAGGTCCTCGCGGGCCTCCGAGAACTCTCCCTCCTCCATACCCTCGCCGACGTACCAGTGGACGAAAGCACGCTTCGAGTAAAGGAGGTCGAACTTGTTGTCGAGACGAGCCCAGGCGGTGGCGATGGCGGTGGTGTTGGACAGCATGCAGAGCGAGCGCGAGACCTTGGCGAGGTCGCCGCCGGGGACGAGCGCGGGGGGCTCGTTGCAGATACCGAGCTTGAATCCGGTGGGGCACCAGTCGACGAACTGGATGGTGCGCTTGGTGCGGACGTTGGCGACGGCGGCGTTGACGTCCTTGGGGACGACGTCACCGCGGTAGAGGAGACAGCAGGCCATGTACTTGCCCGAGCGGGGGTCGCACTTGACCATCTGGTTGTTGGACTCGAAGCACGAGATGGTCATCTCGGCAACCGAGTTGGACTCGTGGAAGGCCTTCTCGGCCGAGATGACGGGCGCGTAAGTGGCGAGGGGGAAGTGGATACGCGGGAAGGGGACAAGGTTGGTCTGGAACTCGTTCAGGTCAACGTTGAGCGAACCGTCAAAGCGGAGCGAGGCGGTAATCGACGACACAACCTGGGCGATGAGGCGGTTAAGGTTGGTGAACGAGGGCGAGGCGATGCCAAGGTTGCGACGGCAAATGTCGTAAATGGCCTCGTTGTCAACCATGAACGAACAGTCCGAGTGCTCGAGGGTGGTGTGGGTGGTGAGGACCGAGTTGTAGGGCTCAACAACCGAGGTCGACATCTTGGGGGCGGGGTAAACCGAGAACTCGAGCTTGGACTTCTTGCCGTAGTCGGTCGAGAGACGCTCAAGGAGGAGGGCACCGAAACCCGAACCGGTACCACCACCGAACGAGTGGAAGACGAAGAAGCCCTGGAGACCCGAACAGTTGTCGGCGAGGCGACGGACCTGCTCGAGGACCGAGTCGACGAGCTCCTTGCCGATGGTGTAGTGACCACGGGCGTAGTTGTTGGCGGCGTCCTCCTTGCCGGTGATCATGGTCTCGGGGTGGAAGAGGCTGCGGTAAGTACCGGTGCGGACCTCGTCAATGACGTTGGGCTCGAGGTCGACCTGAGGAGGGGAAAAGTCAGTCACGACTGTCCGCCCCCATCACTTGTTTCATGTCAAGGTACGCACGTAAAGCGAACGGGGAACGTGCTTGCCGTTGCCAGTCTCCGAGAAGAAGGTCGAGAAACCGTCGTCGTTGTGCGAAGGCGAGGTCTCGGTGAGACGACCATCGGGCTGTTGGTTCATGTCAGTTGGAGAACAACGTCCATGCGTCGCGCCACGCCACGTCGCGCACGGCGGCGGCGGCGGCGGGACAACTGCGGGTACGTACGCTCAGGCCGTGCTCAATGGTGTAGAGCTCCCAGCAGGCATTACCGATCTGGACACCTGCCACGTCAGCGAAGGTGTACCATGTACACGCGCCGGTCATGTGCTATAGCGGCGCGCATCGCATCAATATAAACGTACCGGCCTGACCAACGTGAACCTGGGAAAGTTAGCCTCTTGCTGTGTTTCCCTCTTTGTGGGGGCGCGCGCGCAGGACTTACGGAGATGACCTCGCGCATTGTGTTACTGTTGAAGAGTTAGACGATTCTGTTGGTCCAACAATGAGCGATAGAAGAGGGACGGGGTTGGGAATGGAGTTGGGTGGGTCGTTGGGAGGAATATGGGTAACGGTAGGAAGCGGGACGGCCGGGGGTGCGAAGTGAATGGGACGAAGAGGTCAGCGTGACGGGCGGCGGAGGCGTTTCCGGTGGGGGAGACACGGAGGGGAGGGGGGCGAGTGTGTAGTAGGGGACGTGGTACTCACGATAAAGTAGTAAGGTGGTTGTACGAACCGGGGGCAAGACAGTCTACCTTTTGAAGGTGGAGAGTGATAGAGGACTGATGGGAATGGCTGTGGACGGGGCAGACGACAAAGGACAAGAGGGGTCCGAGTGTTGTGCTCCGACCGTGGGTGGGTGCAGTGGCCCCTGGCTGGCTGGCTGGCGCGTTGGCTGGGCACAGGCTCCTGGCTGCTGGCTGGCTGGCTGGCTGGGTCGCTGGCTGGGACGACGGTCACTGCCCCCGCGCGCGCCCGCGCGTCGTCGTCCAGGCGTCCCAAGCGCGTCAACACGCGCGCGCCCCTGGCTCCCCGCGCCAGGCCCACACCCCGGAACTATACGGCGTTATAACCCGTGGCACCGCCTTTGTTTTGGACGCGTCACGCTCAAAGCTAATGCCCTAATGGTCACGTTACCCCGCGCTCTAATGTTTACATTTCCCCCGTCTCTAGGCTCTATCACACACCACCTATACACACACATACCCCTCACGACCGCTCAACCAGCCATGAACGCATGTCCGCAAGCACACGCTGCCTCTTCTCGTCGTCCGCTTCGTCAATGCCTACTTTGAGCATGACTGTTTTTTTAACACGCCGCTGTCAGCACCGACCGCTTCTAGCGCCATTTTTTTCCCTTTCATCTCCCCCGCGCCCGAGCCTCCACTCTCCACACGTATCCGCCCGCCTCTGCCACCGTCGTGTGTCCACTCACCATGCTCATATCCGTCGTACAGCTGCAGCGACTTGTCCTCATGAGGGAGACGAGGGAACAGGCGCTCAGTACCGTGGTGCGAGGTCGCGCGGTCAGCAGTGCCGTGGACAATACGAATGGCTGGGACCTGTTAGCTATCCGGATAGGATTCCTAGCTCACGGATATCAATCTGTTCCGCATTCTTGTGCAGCTCGGTCATGCCGTCGAGCAACGAGAGACCCGTACCGACGCGCAAGAGGCCGTGGTAGCAGAGAGCTGATATGTGTCAGTGGAGGAAAAGGTTAGAGGGATGGTAGAGCAAGACCACTCACGATCAGCGAAGAAGTCTTCCTCGACACGCGGGTCGTCGGACACATTGCCTGCTGTCAGCTCTGAGACGTTGCCCGGGAAGCTCACCCCTAACCGCCTTGGCGAGGGGCAGGACGCCGGCAAAGTACTTGATGCCATGGGCAAGGTACTCGATGACGCCCGACGGACGCGACTCCTTGGACACTGCGCGGGTAAGCAATGACGAGGCAACTGCACCCACCCTCGACCATGGGGCAGAGAACAAAGGCGCCGAGGACCTGCGGGACGGGGCCCTTGACATCCTTGGCGGCGTCGACGGAGGGAGAGTCGTCCTCGGCCTCGATAATGGCGGGGGGGAACTTGAGGGCATAGTACATGACTGTCCAGCCGCCCATGGAACTGAGAAGCCCGTCAGCGACGTGCCCGCGTGTTGTTTGGTGACACTCACGCTCCGCCGAGGAAGACCTGGCGCTGGCCACGGCCGCTCTCAATGTCCCATTTGGCAACGTCCTTGAGCACAGTGTGGACCGCAGAGGGGAGAAGGTTGAGCGAGGGAATGTACGAGTTGACGCTGGCACAGTTAGTATGTTCAGATGTGACGAGTGAGACAAACCCAGTGGAGCGGCCATACTGCTTTGTCAGCTGAGTGGAAAGTAAGGATCCAGCTCACAGATGGGAGGTCGGGCAGGATGACACGGAAGCCAGCCTTGAGGAAGTGCAGCACGTGTGGGCAGTAGCGCAGACCATAGTCGCTGAGGCCTGGCGGGTCAGCAATCCGAAGACCATCAAGGACCCCACCATGAATAAGAATCAAGTCCTTGCCACGGCCCTTGCCGCCCTCCTCCCATCCGCCCTCGGGCTCGCTCTCCATCTCCCAGACCGAGTAGAAGATCCAGCGTCCACCGTGCTTGTGGCCTGCCGCAATCTCGTCCTCGGTGAGCTGGACATCTTCAGAGTGGACAATGTCAGTGGTCTCATAGGCCTCTGCCCAGGTCTTGAACTGGGCTGCGGGCTTGAGAAAGACGCGGCGGAACGTATGCTTGACTTCGGCGTGGTCCACGAGCGACCCGTGCGGCTTGTGGTGCGGGAGAAGGTAGCGTCCGTACGCTGTGTGGGCGGGTGGTATCAGCATGTAGCTCTATATTGTCTTGTTCATGTTGGGCTGGGGCCAGTCGCGGCGCCATGTCTGGCCCATGAAATGCCGAGTGGCTGGACACGGAGGCGGGGCCGCGCCCACACACGCATCCGACACGAGGACCGAGACGTACTTGGGTCGTGGGCTTTGTAGACGCCGGCGGCGGTGAGGTAGGGTTCAGAGACCTCCCTAGCGCGAGCGTGAGCGAGGTATTGTAGGGCGAAGGCTATGGCAGTAGACGTACCATAGGGGGTTGTGGAGCGGCATCTGGGGAGTAGAGGGTGAGTTGGATGTAGGTAGGAAGATGGACGTTGGTGACGACGACGACGACGGCGGTCAATGTTCCGGCAACGACGGTCGATTACGCATTCATTGCGACAACAACGCGGCGGTGGCCGAAATCACCCCTCCTGGCAAGCCTGGCACAGCTGGCCGCGGGGTTCGATTCATGGCGGGGCCGCGCTTTTCGATCTGTAATTCTGCGGATGGGGACACGTTTATAGGAGGACACGACGTTACACGACACCGTTGCTGCCAACCCCGAGCGCGCAGCAATGCACCGAGCAAGCGAAGCCAAACCGAGACGCACAACCGAGCAACAACACGAGCAACAGCAACGCGCGCAGGAGGGACGCGGAATAGCTGCGTGGACAGAAATGGCCGACCCACACACAGCAAAACTTTGGGCTCGCTTAGGCTTTCCCGCCACTAAAATAATCAAAATGGATAGAATCGAGTCCATCGGGGATGAAGGGGGGAAGAAGGGAGAGGCTGGCAGGCTGGCAGCTGGGCAGCCACGCAGCCAGGCATGCCCCACATCGGGGTGGGATCGGTGGGTCTCCGAAACACCCTTTGGCTCGCCACTTCAGTAGCATGCATACATTGAACGATCCAAACTCTTCATCCCCATCACTCTTCTCTCTCTCTCTCACTTGCGCATCTCTTCATCCCGCCGACGGAGACACATACCGGCCCACACCGGGTGCACAGCTAATCATCCCCCCTTCTTTTGCCCCTCGCGTCGCCTTTGCGACCGTGCCCCCCGCCTCCACCTCCCCTGGTTCTCCGCACAACCTTGTCTGTGACGAGCGCGCGTCGGGCTGCTTTGCCATCCTAGCCGTGCTTTCCACCCGACACATCCTCTTTGTCTCTTCCTCTCTCCATCACACACCCGTGTACTCTTTCCCATCACCCTACACTACACGGGCTGGCTTTGTCATAGTGCAGCAGGAGTGCATTTTTCACTCACACAAACCCTATCAGCGCTACCCCGCACTTTTGTGAGTGGCCTCCCTCCATCATTCCACATTCCGTGTCCGCGCGTTTGGATAAGGGCTGTGTTCGTCGTCAAACAAACACGATGGCAATGGCGGGGCTGCAATGCCGAGGCGTCATGCTCCCGGTGCATCACACAACGCAGGCCCTGTGACTTTTTTCATGGTATCGCAACAATGGAGGCTCCCAGATCCCATCCATATACTGGCAGACTGTGTGTGCAGCCTGTCCCAGCGCGACCTATTTTGATGTGGGATGGGGGATGATGGGCTCTGGCTATATGCTGGTCGCCTCTTTGATCTCTTTCTTTCACATCCGTACCCGTCACCATCATCACCATGGTGTACCTTCCCCAAGCCAAGCTGCCTGCAACCCGTCGGCTGAACGACGCTGACCCTCGGGACCAAGACTACTTCGCGCTCCACCTCCACTACCTCGGCCAGTGGACACCCCCTGACATTCCTTCCTATCCAACCACCATGGCGGCCACTCAGTCCACAGTCAGGCCGACAGTGAGTAGTCGTTTGCCTCACATGGGTGTTCTTTCATTTGTGTCTGACAGTCGCCAGCTGCCTCAGCCCAAGGGAGTCCGTTACATCGACCCCGATATCGCCTCTCCCTCCGGTTCGGAGACTCCACCTGCGTTCCCGCCCGTCAACGCCGAGCCTGCCGAGTACTATGGCGGTACCCAAGTCTACTCGCGTGCTCGCACTCTCAGCACTGTGGGTTGTTTTGACGTGAGCTGGCACTGACATGCGCAGTCTGGCGCCATGGGCTTCACAAAGTCTCGCCCCATGACCATGAATGGCGAGGTCATCCAGCGCAACCGCCGCCTCTCGCACGGTTCGTACCCTTCCGGTTTTTTTTTTCCAATGCGATTGTTCCCAAGCTAAACGCGTCCCAACAGACGAGACTCCCACCACCCCCCGCCGCTTCCTGGTCGATGTCGAGGAGACCATGCGTCTTGTTCTCGCCCAGGAGGACACTGATAACAAGTGAGCACGCTATTCGCCGGCCGAGGCGTCGCTCCGGAGCTTACATTCCCTCAGCTGCCAGATCTCCATCCACGACTCGGGTCCCAAGCTCATTTCCCTCGGAACTGCCTCGTCCAACGCTTATCGTACCTGGGATGTTCGCGTGAGTGGCGGTCGGATGCACCGTCGTCCCCCCCATAGCCTGCTGACTGACGGGCGCAGGGTAACTACATGCTCTCCAACCTCCTCCAGGAGCTGGCCCTCGCCCGCGACTATGGCCGCCGCTTCATTGTCATTGACGAGGCCCGCCTCGCCGAGAACCCCGTCGACCGTCTCTCCCGTATGATCAAGAATTCGTTCTGGAACGCCCTCACCCGCCGCATCGATGCTCAGGGTATCGAGGTTGCATGCAATGACCCCAAGAACCGTGCCCGCAAGCGCAACGCTCGTATCTATGTCCCCCACACCGAGCTTGAGATGCTGGAGCACTACCGTCAGATGTGAGGCCACGATGTGTGACGGGCATGCTAACCTTTCCCAGTGCCAAGGAAAAGCCCGCTCTCCAGCTCGAGGTTATTCAGCTGCCGCCCGTGCCCGACGACCCGGAGTATGTCAAGTCGCTCAACGAGAAGCCCGGAATCCTCGCTCTTGCCATGAAGAAGGGCGCCGACGGCAAGCTCGAGGCACTTCCGTTCGTGGTGCCCGGTGCCCGTTTCAACGAAATGTACAACTGGGACAGCGTGAGTACCCCACAGGATCCCAGGAATGACGTAGCCATGCGGCGCCGCTGACGCCACAGTACTTTATGGCCCTGGCCCTCCTTGTTGACGGTCGTCTTGACCTGTGCATGGCCATTGTCGAGCACTTCATCTTCCAGATCAAGCACTACAACAAGATCCTTAATGGAAACCGCACCTACTACCTGTGTCGTGCCCAGCCTCCGTTCCTCACCGACCTTGCGCTGCAGGTGTTCAACCAGCTTGACCGCAGCCAGATGGCCGAGAACAAGCAGTGGCTCAAGCGCGCCATCCAGGCCGCTATCAAGGAGTACCACCGCTACTGGATGGTCGAGCCGTCGCTCGACGTCAAGACGGGTCTCTCGCGTTACCGTCCCGTTGGCAAGGGTATTCCTCCCGAGACTGAGGCCTCGCACTTTACCCACATCTTGCAGCCGTTTGCCGACAAGCGTGGCATTTCCGTCAACGAGTACATTCTCGGCTACAACGACGGCACGATCCAAGAACCCGAGCTCGACGAGTACATGCAGCACGACCGCGGTGTGCGCGAGTCGGGCCACGACACGACCTACCGCCTCGAGAAGAAGTGCGCCGACCTGGCCACCGTGGACCTCAACTCGCTCCTCTACAAGTACGAGATTGACATTGCCTCGGCCATCGAGTGCATGTTCGACGACGAGCTCGAGATGGAGGAGGAGTTTGACCTCTCGCCCTGGCCCATCACGCCCGAGGCGTTCGCTGCTGGTGCTCCCCGTGAAAAGTCGACGAGCCGCCCCATGAAGAGTGCCGAGTGGTACGCGCGCGCCAAGGCGCGCCAGGCCAAGCTCGACGACCTGTGCTGGAACGAGGGTCACGCCATGTACTTTGACTATGACACCAAGCTCGAGCGTCAGGCCCCTTACGAGTCGGCCACGACCTTTTGGCCCATGTGGGCCGGCTGCGCGAGCGAGAACCAGGCCCTGGCGCTTGTCTACAAGGCCATGCCCAAGCTCGAGGTCGCTGGCGGTCTCGTGTCCGGTACGGAAGAGTCGCGCGGCACCATTTCGCTCGACCGTCCCAACCGTCAGTGGGACTACCCCTTCGGCTGGCCCCCGCACCAGATCATGGCCTGGGTCGGTCTGCAGCGTTATGGCTTTGAGGAAGAGGCCAGCAGGCTCGCATACCGCTGGGTCTACATGATGACCCTGGCGTTTGTCGAGTTTAACGGTGTGGTGGTCGAGAAGTCGAACGTCGTGTCGCTCTCGCACTTTGTCGAGGCCGAGTAGTGAGTACAGAGTGGTTCTCCAGTGGCCGTGCTAACGCCTTCTGCAGCGGTAACCAAGGCCTCGACTTCCGTTACGTCAACCGCGAAGGATTCGGCTGGACCAACGCGTCCTTCCAGATTGGTCTCCAGTGTCTTACCACGGGCATGCGCCGCGCTGTTGCTGCCTGCACCTCGCCATGGGACTACTTTGGCTTCCCGGCCCCGCAGATCGACAAGGTCCTCCCCTCGGCCCCCGTCCCCGACGAGCACGCGCCCAAGCCGCCCAAGCCGGCCGAGCGCCGCGCCAGCGACGTGCGGCAGGTCCCCACTCTCCAGCAGAGCATTGCTCAGCTCAAGGGCATGAGCCTCTCGTCGTAAACAAGAGCCCCACCCCGTCAGTCGTGGGCGGGCAAACAACAGCTTCACCCGATCACTCGCCCGGCACACATCCCCGGGTATGGTGGAGCAATGGACACAAACCAAAGCAAAGAATCCGTTTCGTTTTTTTTTTTTCATAAAGAGAAGGTGTGGAGCATGTGGAGCGCAAAGAAAGAAAGACCTTTTTGCGCATCCCGCCGTTTCCGTGGTTTCGGTAAACGCGTTGTGAGATAGAAATTTGTGCAATATTTAGAATTTGCATGCAGAATGCCTAGTCATATGGGGGTGGGAAGCGGGCGGGGTTGATGAGTTGGGTTGTGGATAGGTACAAAACCGGCGTGGTACAAGAAGCGTCGGGGTTGGGATGAGCTCGTGAGGAAGGCGGGGTTTCCGGCCAGCACGGTTCACCTCTCTGCCCGCCGCATGACTTGGTTCTCACGGCGTGTCTCTGCCATGACCTCCCGTACCCGAAGCCATCAGAGACGCATTGGAAGCGCCATCATATGCCAAGACGGGCCCCGAACCACGCCGCCACCTGGGCAGGCGTTGGGCGATCACTCGGAGAACCAGAACCAGAACCAACAAAGTCGGACTCGGATTTCCATCACACCCCGACGTGGCCATCAGTGGGTTTGGGCGATATAACGGGCTCTTCCCCATGCATCTGGCCATCTGGTCTGTTCTTCCCAACTTGTCTCTAGTACTACTCACTGGCATCCACACTTTCACTTTCACTCTCACTCTCAGCTCTGGACACTTGGCACCACAGCTGAACCTTTCCCCGCCGCCACCCACCACACCAACATGGCCTTCAACCCCGTCCTCCCGGCCAACCCGGCGTGGACGTACATGTCCGCCGACGGGCGCATGGTCGCTGTCCCCAGCCGCGCGTTCCCGCCTCCTCTGGCTCCGAGCTCGGCCTCCATCTCCTCCAGCATGGTAGCGCAGAACGGGAGCGCGCAGAGCTCGGTTCGATCGGGCCATCACTCCAGTGGCAGGAACAAGAACAAGAACAAGACCAACAAGGCACCCACCAAGCCGGGGATGAGCAAGATTAGTCCGTTGGCAACGCATCGTGTGTCCGCGTTCTACTGGCGCTGACCGGGCTGTACAGCCGAGATTCACTCGGACGACGACGAGTCCACGCCCCTCCCGGGCCCGCAGTACAAGTCGCTCTCTAGCACGCGGGCGGGTACGGCGCTGTGGGCGACCACGTCCGTCCCGCTGGACGGGTCCCTCGGGGTGGTGCCCAAGGGCGCGGTGGTGGGGCACAACCCCGCCGACAGGGCGTATGCACCCAAGAACCCCAGCTCCAACCAGTCCAAGCACTCCAAGTCTAATGGCAAGGCGGTGGTCACGGGCCCGACGACGTTTATGGTCCCCGACAACAGCTTTGGAGGTGGCAACAAGGGCCACGCACGTATCGTGAGTGAACCCAAAGTAAAACGTGCAGCCGCATGAGACCCCGCACTGACCAGATGCACAGAAGGGCGATGCTCCCAGTCAGAACCGGGCGGCCATCGAGGCCAAGCGGGAGAGGACGACTACCAGGACGACAAAGGACAAGGCCATCAAAGGGTGGACGACAAACGCCCTCTCGGCGCTTTCAGAGGTGCGCAGCCACCGCCGAGACGCGATCATGGACCGCGCAAAGAGGTATACCCTCCGCGAGGACCGGGGTACGGTCACGAGCAAGGATGTTTATCGCGCCATTGACAGTTACAATGCCGACAAGAAGAAGAGCACGGACAAGGACTAGGAAGTGGACGGTGCCGGATCGGAGCCACGGTGGCGGGCGAGTGGGGTGTGGAAGTGGTCTGAAGGCCCCTTGCCACCAGTCCCTGTTCTCTCCTTACACCTGCTACCAACTGCTGTGCTCGAGCACACACTGCTTCATATGCCACATATAGCCTACTGTACAACTGTGACTTCCTTCTTACTTCCGATCCGAACCACACCGCGCTCGTGGGCTACAAACACGACATTCGTTCACTTGTTACCGACCAGATTAGTCTTGAGAGTCTGGCCAAGACCGACGGCATGGGTGATGAGCTTGGTCACCTCCGAGTTGAGGCGCTTGAGGACCTGGTGGTCGACCATGTACTTGCCCGTGAACAAGGCGCCGGCGACGAGGGAGAGGACAAAGACAAACTTGCGGAGACGCTGGCGGACCGCGAGGCGCTCGGCACCCTTGTAGTCGGCCCACACTGGCCAGAGGTTCTGCCACCACATGCGCAGGACGGTGCCCGGGTAGTGGGTGAAGATGCGGCCGTTGCCCTCCTTGCGCCAATAGTTGGCGACGCGGTTCCAGGTGGTCCGCTTGAGCTCGCGCTCGATCCACGCATCGTACGCTTCGGCCGCGGGCCGCTTGACTTCGAGCTTGGGGATGCCGTGGTTGCGCATCGCCTCGACCATCTGCGTAATGTACGCAGCCTGGATCTCGAGCACGGTGGTGACACTGCTGTGGTTGACAACCCAGTTGTTGCCCAGCATGGTGTAGAAGTTGGGCATGCCGGGGAGGGCGATCTGAACCAGCCGTTAGCGGGGCCACACCTTTTGTCAACGAGTAACGGTCACGTACACCGTGGTAATAGGTCAAGTTGGCCTTGCCGTCGTAGTTTGCGGTCGAGTCGCTTTCACCCTGCACCTGCACATCGATGTGGTCGGCGTCGAACCCGGTCGAGAGGACGACAATGTCGGCCTTGATCTCGCTGCCGTCGTCGACGATGACACTGTCGTGGTTCAGAGCCTCGATGCGGCCGTACACAGCCTTGCAGTGGGGCCGGTTGATGGCAGCGAGGTAGCCGTCCTCAAACACAAAGCGCTTGGCCATGAACGGAAAGTCGGGGACAATCTTGTCCTTGAGGTGTTCCGGGGCACGCGCGACCATCCAGTCGCCGAGGTCCTGCCGTGTCAGGTTTGTTGTATAGATACATACAGCTCCAACTTACCTTCTCCATCTGCTTGCGCTTACGGCGGCCTTCCTTCTCATACTGCCAGTGGAAGTGCGTGTCCAAGACGCCGAGCATGAGCGTGCGTTCCCAGCGCTGGAGGAATGGGAAACGAGCACGGAGCGCACGCGTACTCTCCGAGACGGGAGACGAGTTGCGTTCAGCTGCAAACCCGCCGTTGACACTGGGCATGAGCCACTGCTTGGACCTCGCAAGAGACACGACGTTGATCTCGGGGTCGAGGCCCAAGGTTCCGACAATCTGGATTCTGGCATGGTAAGTTTTCCTGTCCACTAAAACGTCACCACCCACCCGCTGCAGCCGTTACCGACGACGACGACGTTCTTGCCGTGCATGGCCTCGTTGGTGAGGTCCTTTGGCCACCGCGCAGCGTGGATCACGCGGCCGCTAAACTCGTCCTCTCCCTTGACGGGAACACGTCGGGGCTCGGAGAAGAGACCGGTGGCGCTGACGAGCACCTGGGCGTCGACGATGAATTCACGGTCGTTGACAATGTCGCGGAGCGTCACATGGTACAGGGACTGGTCAGAGTCCCATTCGGCCTTGACATAGTCGTGCTGCAGGCGGAGGCGGTTGGTCAGACCCTGGGTCTTGACAATCTTGGCCCAGTCTTGTAGCCAACAGTGTCAGCTTTGGATACCTGACCTTCCCTTCTTGGGCTACCACTCACAGGCCTGAATCTCCTTGTGGTCGGGGTGCGTCTCGGTCCACTGTGAGTTCTGGAAGCGCGAGTGGCTGTAACCAATGGCAGGGATACTGGCAAGTCAGGACAGAACCATGCCTCACAGCTGAGACAAGTCGACCGCCACCACCCGGGGACGGAAATGACCGAGATCAGACTCACTCGCAACGGCATCCCCTGGACATTGTCAGCAACGGCCAACGAGGTGTGTGCTGTAACCGGGCGCCGGACTCACGGATAACGGTTCACATACCACGTCCCACCGACATCGTCCTCGCGGTCAACGAGCTGGGGGGACGAGTCAGCACAATAATGCGATTATCAATGACCGGCACCCCCCAGTCCCCGCATGCCCCGCACGCATGGTCGGTGGGGGCCCGTGAGGGCCGCGGCGGACTTACCAGCCAGTTGGTCAAGCCCTTCTCGTCGAGATCGAGCGCAAGGGTGATGCCGCCAATTCCCGCGCCGATGATGAGGACGGACGGGTTGAGGAGGGTGTTGATCTGGGTGGCCGCCGAAAAGGCGGTGGGCAGGACCAGGGCGCTTCCTTTCTGGGTTCCGTCTGGCATGGTAGTGTGCTCTGGGTGGGCTGAGTGGATTGAGAGGAGTGGGCGATGTACAGATAATGTGAGAAGAGCGTTCTAGCCTTTAAAGGGGATGACACGGGATTATCAGCCGCATTGACTGCCGCTGCCCCGAGCTTCGAGACCACAGGCCACAGGCCACAGGAGCACACGAGTATACTGTACACGATACACACGAGGACGTGGGCCCCGTTGACGTGCATCGATCACGAGATCCGCCCACAGCTCTGGGTTCGGTTAATGGGGACAGCCGTGTTCTCCTCACGGGCATCCGCGACGTCGTGCCGTACAGAGTGTCGTGCGTAACTCCCTGCTTGACGCTGGACTGGCGGACGGCTTGTTGCTGTGATGCTGCCAGAATGCCAAGGTCATCCCATAGATCGGCCATTGAGAGCCCGAGCAGTCACCGCGGCACACCTCGCACACACGGGGTTCGGCATCCCCACCGCCGCGGATGCCAGCCGCGGAAACAAAATATACATGTTATTCCGTGTACTGTACATATTTACCTCCGTCGGCTAATCCAACGGGTCAAATGCGGAGGGCCCCTGGCTGGGGGCGCGGCGTTCAATGTATGCTTTGCAAACCTAAATAAACAACACACTAGTTCTCGTCCGTTTGCGTACACAATCAAGCTCACGCATGGCCGCTTCATCCAGGAACCCAGGCGGCTTCGGCTTCACCATCCGCGCGGCCGCGGTGGAAGACCTGGCGGCCATCACCGCAATCTACGGCCACCACGTCCTCGCCGGTGTCGCGACGTTTGAGCTGGAACCCCCGTCGGTGGCCGAGATGACCGAACGATATGACAAGACCAGGTCCTTCAACATGCCCTACTTGGTCGCTGTCGGCCGTTCAGTTCCAGATGCTCCGGAGGAAGTGGCTGGGTACGCGTACGCCGGCAAGTACCACCAACGGATTGCCTACGAAAACACAGTCGAGGACAGCATCTTCCTCTCGCCCAAGTTTACCGGACGTGGGCTTGGCCCCCTTCTTCTGACCGCCCTCATCGACGAGTGTACCAGCCTTGGATACCGCCAGATGATGTCCCTCATTGCCGAGCCTGCGGGTGCTGGCGCTGCGAGTGCGCACATTCACAAGAAGATGGGGTTCCGTACCGTTGGAACCCTCGACAAGGTCGGATGGAAGATGAACCGATGGCTGGATGTCGGTCTCTTTCAGCGTCCCCTCGGCCCGGGGTCCATCACGCCCCCTCATACAGCATAGACTGCATCGTGCGCCCAGCCGATGTATTATACATAACCAGAGCAATCAACGATCCCTAAACGGTCGTGGCCGCCTCCTCGTCCTCGTCCCCGATCTTGCGGTCACCCACTGGGGCGCCGCTTTCAAGCTGTGCGATACGAGCACCAACGCCAGTGGTTTTGGCATTCTTAAACTGCCATGCCCACAAGTTTTGCTGCGGCTGTCAGTTACTGACCGTATGCCTATCACTCACTCCGAATAGCTCGTCGACTTCTTCCAGACTGCGTCCTGCGAGCTCTGGAACAAAAGCGAGACTGAACAAGAATCCCGCGATACAGATTCCCATGAAGATGAAACCGACTTTGGCGGCCAAGTTGGCACCCGGCTTGCCAATGAGGTACGGGACAGTAAAGGACACGACAAACGCGGAGAGGACATCGAAGCTGGTGGCCAGGGCCATGGTCTTCTTTCGCAGGTGGCCTCCCAGTTCGGACGCGATCAGGTCTGGACCGTCAGTGGAACCGTGGACGGGGTGGAACTCACAGCACAGGACATTGACGCCCATCTTGTTTCCGACAATGACAAACACAAAGCTCGCGACCATGGTGTGGATCTGGCTCGAGTTTAGGCTTCCCTTGGTGCCGAGGCCCCCAACAACGCCGTTGAAGATGGCTGCAAGAGCCAACCCCACAATGAGCAGAGGACGACGTCCGACCACATCGCACAAGAGGACGCCGATCATGGCACCGACGATGCCCAGAGCCGTGAGCATTGTGGTGTACGTGAACGACATTGCCCCAAGGCCATAGAGCTTGAAGAATGTGGGTCCATAGAGATTGATGAGCTGAGTTCTGCATCACATTAGCTCACACCAGTACCTGCACCGGGCCGCCAGACCTACCCGCCAGACTGCTGAAAGAAGAATATCCAACATGCCACCATTGTTCGCCTTAAGCCGCCCCCTTTGATGCGGAACAGGTCGGCCCACCTCCCCTTGTCCATCGAAAGTTCCTGCTTGATTGCCTCGTCCAGCGCTTCGGTCTCGGCGAGGGTACGGCCGCTGAGCACGTCTCCACGAGGACGAATCTTGTCCAGCGCACGAGTGGCCTCCTCGCTGCGGTCCTTTGCGACGAGCCAACGCGGCGATTCTGGCATCGGTCAAACCAGAGACTTTCACCCACGACTCACCAATACAGAATGGCACAAGGACGAGAATCAAGACGGCTGGGATGAACTGGACCCCGACAGGAATGAGCCATCCGAGTTTCCTAGTCTCTGTGGCATATGCCCGACCCATGAGGGCACCCCAGAGGTTACCGACGGAGACGATGACGACAATGGCGCCGCCAAAGAAGCCGCGCATACCCGCTGGGCTGATCTCTGCAATGTATGCAGGTGCGGCGTTTTCAGCCAAGCCGACGGCAGCATAGGCAATGACGCGGCCGCCCGTGAACACCTGCCAGTCCTTGGCCGTCATCTGGACAATGAGGCCGAGGCACTGGACCACAGCGACAATGTACATTGTCTTCTTGTAACCCAGGCGTTCTGCAAGAGGCGCAAACATAAAGGTACCAAATATCTTTCCAGGCCAAACCACCGAGTTCATGGTCGACTTTTGCACGGTGGTGAACGCATGGTCGCCTTTCACTTCCGGTGCGAATTCCGAGAGGAACGCAGGGAGAGCTTGGATGGAACCGAACGATCCTGTGTCGCTGCATCGATCAGAACTGGTCACAGGGATTTGTTCACTCGATCACTCACATGCCGAAGAGAAGGTCGCCAAACGCAAATGCCACTGTACAGAAGATGAGGTACGGTGTTGCTTCCGTCCACGCCACCTTTGGTCGCCCGTTGAGAGCCATGACTGGAGTGTACCGATAGGGAGCTGCGGACAGGAAATCGGAAGGCCTCATCCTCCCACGCTGTTGTCTTATGCTTCCAAGGGCATGCTTGAGACCAAGGTGACAGACACAGAGCACGTCGTACGTGCTGCGCATGGCGATCATGTGAACGCAGCTGTCGCCAGGGGAGGATGTTGCGGTCATCTCGAATTCGGCAACCAAATATGAGATGGGACTCGGCGTGAGGGCCGAGCACCTGCAGGTACACAACGTTTACCTCGTGTCATGTGGATTGTAGACGCAAAGCGACACGCAACAGTTGTACGACGTCGGTCAAATCGCCGGGAGTTGATCAAATCCCAGCAGTGATCACGTCTTCGGTGATGTCCGACAGAGTGCCTTCCCGTCCTATTTGTCCGGGCAATGAGCGTCGAGTGCTTTCAACGATCGATACCACTCATGGCACCCAAGAACATCCTCCTCCTCATTGCCGACGACCTGGGCAAGTATGTTGGCTCCTACGGCTGCAAGTCTGTGACCACGCCGTCTCTGGACAAGCTCGCATCTGAGGGTTCCCGTTTCGACCTGGCCTTTGCGAGTACGGCGTCTTGCAGTGGTAGCCGTTCAACATTGTACTCGGGCCTCCACACTCACGAGAACGGACAGTACGGCCTAAACATCTTCCGCACGCATTTCCAGACGTTCCCACACGTTGAGACCGCACCACTGCTGTTCAATCACGCCGGGTACAAGACTGGCATCATTGGCAAGGTCCATGTCGGCCCGGATGTTGTGTATCCGTGGAGTCACCGTGAGGAGAGCGAGACACGGGATGTCGCCTGGGTCGCAGATCGTGCCGAGGCATTCTTCAAGACTGCCGTGGACGAGGACAAGCCCTTCTTCCTGACAGTCGGCTACGTCGACCCACACCGTGATATCACCACGCGCGGCAAGTTTGGCAATGAGGGCGACTACGATGCGCGCGTGACCTCGATCGACATTAAACCAGAGGACGTCGAGGTGCCCAGCTGGCTCACGGACCTTCCCGAGACGCGCCAAGAGCTCGTCGAGTACTACAAAGCGATCCACCGTACTGACCTTGGCATCGGTCTTCTCCTCGAAGGTCTGGAGCGGCAAGGCCTTGTGGATGACACGCTGGTCGTGTTCCTCAGCGACAATGGCCCGCCATTCATCAACGCCAAGACGACTCTCTATGACGCTGGTACATGTCTGCCTCTCATTGTCAGGAAGCCTGGGTCCAAGGCTGGGGTCGCCAACCCCAACATGGTGTCGTGGATCGATATCCTTCCTACCTTCCTCGACTGGGCCGGCTTGCCACTCGATTACTCTACGAGCTCCGCAGCAGGGCCAACACACCAACACCCGGGATCAGGGTACGGTGGAGAGTCGACCTCGCTCCGCTCCCCTCCGCGCCTCGGCCACTCCTTCCTCGCACACGTTGACCGCTTCGACGTCCTCCCAGAGACGGAATGGCAGCACCACGTCTTTGGCTCGCACACCTTCCATGAGCTCCACAACTACTGGCCGACCCGCGTCCTCCGCACCCGGCGGTACAAGTACCACCGAAACATTGCGTGGCGCCTCGACTTTCCCTTTGCCTCGGACCTGTACGCAAGCTATACCTTTGAAGGGATCCGCAACGCTGCGGATCCAGTTATTGGCAGCCGGACGTTGAAAAACTACCTCTTCCGCCCAGCCGAAGAGCTGTTTGATCTGGAAGCGGACCCAGACGAGGTCATCAACCTTGCTACGGACCCTGCACATTGCGACCTGCTCGCCGATCTGCGCTTGCAGCTGGAGCAGTGGCAGCAGACGACACATGACATGTGGCTTGTGCGTGATGGGTGTTCGCTCGAGATGGTTCAGCGATACGGCAAGGACGGGCTTGTGTTGCCTGACCGGTTCGACATTGATGCCGACAAGCCCGGCCTGGCTGGTGTCACGCTGTTGAAGGGGATTGAAACCCCTGTGCTGCAAAAGATTGCCTAGAGAGATTACATTGAATGATACATTGTGCATGCGTGACTTCTACCTCCTCTCTCGTCGAGGCGGCTTTAAACCTTTCGGGGGTCGACGAGGATCTTGACTGCCGTCTCGTTCCGGTTGATAAGCGTGTCGAATCCGTCGTTGACGAGGTCTTTCAGGCCAATGACGCTCGTGATGAACGGCTTGAGGTTGACCTTGCCTTCCTGGACGAGCTTGATGGTCGCGGGATGGCTGTTGACGTACGCAATAGTCCCGCGGAGGTCAATCTCCTTGAGGACCAGCTTGGTCATGTCGAGAGACGCCTTCTTGCTCCAAATCGAGATGACAACAATGACGCCTGTGGGCTTGACGGCATCGATGAGCGTGTCAAAGGCTGGCTGGACGGATGTAGCCTCGAAGGCAATGTCGGCGCCGCGGCCGTGGTTGAGTTTGGCGACCGCAGCAGGGACGTCGACCTCGCGAGGGTCAAAGACGTGGGCGGCCACACCAGTGTCGAGCGCCGTTTGCCTGCGGAGAGAGGATGGCTCGGAAATGGCGACGGTGATACCCTCTGCCTTCAAAACAGCAGCGGTGAGAAGACCGATGGGCCCAGCGCCAGTGATGAGCGCAAAGTCGCCGGCCTTGCCACCACTGCGCTTGAAGGCGTGGTAGCCCACGGACAGGGGCTCGATGAGGGCAGCCTCGTCGAGAGGCACGTCACCGACCGGGTGGACCCAACGACGCTTGACGACAATCTTCTCCGAAAGACCGCCTCCGCACCCGCCCAGACCGATAAAGTTCATGTCCTTGGATAGGTGGTACGCATTGTTGTTTGCCGTCGTGTCCACTTCGTCGCGAATGATGTATGGCTCAACGACGACACGGTCACCCACTGCCAGGTCCGTGACGCCCGCACCCAGCGCGTATACGACGCCGCTCATCTCGTGGCCCATCGTCAATGGCAGGCACTCGCCCGAGATTGGGTGTGGGTGGCCTGCGCGTGGGATGAAGAGTGGGCCTTCCATAAACTCGTGGATATCTGTTCCGCAGATACCGCAGTATGCTACATCGATGCCCACCGTACCAGGCTCGACCGAGGGTACGGCCACGTCTTCGATGCGGATGTCCTTTTGGTTGTGATAGCGCGCGGCTTTCATTGTTGTACGCGTCATGGTGATGAGTTGGATCCCGAGATGGTCAGGGAGGAGTTGTGAGCTGGATGGTGAGGATGCGGAGTCAAGAACAAGACGGAGAGCTGCTTCTATAAGTACTTGGGAAAGCGATGAGGACCGAGAGGTGAGGGTGCCTATTGTTGTGGTGGCGTGAGCATGGCTATGCCCCGTGAGATGCCGATCCATCATCCACCGGCCTAGCAGGTATAGCCGATTGCCGATCGAACCCGAGTGCGACTTGGTACTGTAGATTCTGCCAAACGTACTCAGTGTGAAGAGGGGGATCGCGGTACCGCCTGGATGAGGTAGAAGGTCAGCAGAGGTGGACAGAGTAATGGAGCAGAACGACAAGTCTCCATATATGCGCGCATAACAGACCCTAATAACCAAACAAGCAATAGGCATTGGCATAATCGCACTTTTCCTAATCCGAAGGCCGAAATCCGGACACGAAGTCAAAGCGGCCAGAGGGCAACACCCGTCGCGCGGCCGCCCACACATCGACACGAGCCCTGAGCGGGACCTGTTTGCACGCGGTACTCACGTTCCAGACCCTTTACATGACGTAGAATTAGGGTAAATCAGGTTCCGTCATGCGCGCCTAAATATTGATTCCGCTGACGCCTAACGTTTAAACGTTAAAAAGGCGTAAACTAATTACGTAACAATACTTTTGCGTGCCTAATTGGGGGCCTAACCTGCGCGCCTTTCCGCTGTACAGCACGCCTAACCTACCGCGGGCGGAACCGCGGAACCCAGGAACTCTTCTAACTGCTGACATGACCCATATCCCCGGTGCACATGCTTCTTATGTCAATTCATGGGTAAGGAAGAGCCTGCAGACCTCCCACGGGCCTGCCTCTCTTTTTTTTTTTTTTTTTTTTTTTTTTTTTTTTTTTTTCAGCCGTTAATCGGAGAAATGCATTAGCTCGTGGCTTTTGGATTACAACAGGGTCCATTAGTTTGTCACGTGTGGCGGACAATTAATTAGAAAACAGCATTAGAACCCAATTTCGCCGGATTTTCCCTGATTTATTATTATTATTATTATTACTGTGCAGCACTCGTTACGTTCAATCATCTTCCATAGTCAACTGGGCTATATAAAGTACGATGGTGTACCCCCAGGCTCTATTAGGCAAAGATGAAAAGAACTAGTTAACTTTGACTGTGTACACGATTTCTTTGCTAAATGTCCCGGTTGACGTCGTCCAACGACGATAAACCGTGTTACATGATACGGGCGGCCTTCACGGCCGCTGTACCGCGCCGCTGGAGTGCAGCAGCGGCACTGTCACGCTTGGAGAACCAGCACGAAGGCTCAAGGAGCTTGAAGACGCCCGAGGCCGTGCACTTGGTGAGACCGCCCGAGGGCAGGCACATCTTGATCTCAGTGGTGAGGGTCTTGGCAAGATCGGTGAGGTTGCACTTCTGGATGAGACAGGTGCTGGCCTTGAGCTCAAACTTGACACCACAGAGGCAGTCGGTGTCAAGAGGACCGGAGCAGCCGGCAGCAGCAATGTTGTCAATCACACAGGCCTGGGCGCACGAGCCAATGCTGTCGAGGTCCGGAAGACCGAGGTCGGGGCACAAGGAGCTCTCAAGGTCGAGGGCGGCAATAATGTCGGCCGTGGTGCACGAATCGGTGAGGCAGCTAGCTGCGGCATTGGTAAACGCCTCAGTACAGATACAGGCGGTGTCCGTGGGCCCAGTGCAGCCTTGCGAAGAGATGGCTCCGAGGATACAGGTAAGCGAACACGTTGAGAGCGTCGAGAGGTCAATCGAGGCCGAGGAGGAAGTTGCTGCAGCTGCTGACGAGGTCGGGCTACCAGTTTGTGAAGCGCTGGATCCGGTGTCTGAGGCTGGGCTGGACGAGGCGGCCGAACACGTAGACGACTGGAGGGCGAGGGCGGCTGTCACATCGGCCGTCCCACACGAAAGCAAGCAAGGAGTGACCGCAGTCTGATATGCGCTAGTGCACACGCAACCGGTATCGGTCGCAGAGCTGCACCCCTGGGACTGGGCTCCGTCAATCAAGCACTTTGAGGCACAAGCCGACATTCCGGTAACGCTGGTTTCAGTAGCAGCTGCTGAAGACGTCGTAGACGGCTCTGTTGACCCCGTTGAGGCCTCCTGAGTCTGCGAAACGCTTGCTGTCTGGCTAGAAGAATCCGACGTCGGCGTCACCGACACCGAAGGGGCAGTCGAGCTCGACGCTCCATTGCAGGTCGACGACTGAAGAGCGAGGGCGGCCGTCACATCGGCGGTCCCACAGGAAAGCAAGCAAGGCGTGACCGCTGTCTGATACGCGCTGGTGCAAACACACGATGTATCCGTTGCTGACGTGCACCCTTGGGAAGTGGCTCCATCGATTAGGCACTTTGAGGCACATGCGCTCATTCCGGTCACCGAAGTCTCGGTTGCTGCTGCGCTTGAGGTACTGGAGGCCTCAAGATCGGTCGTTTGCGACGTTGGGGCCTCGGTCACGCTAGCACTGGTTGGCTCCGGGGTCGTGGCAGTTTCCGTCGAACCGGCTGACGTTGAAGCCCCGTTGCAGGTAGACGACTGGAGGGCGAGGGCAGCTGTCACGTCCGCTGTTCCGCAGGCAAGCAAACAGGGTGTAACAGCTGTCTGATAGGCGCTGGTGCACACACAAGAGATGTCCGTCGCCGAGCTGCACCCCTGGGTCTCCGCGCCAGAAACAAGGCAAGCGGACGCGCACGCTGAGACGCCTGCCACCGAGGTCGTTGAACTCTGGGCTGACGAAGTCTGCGAAGCGGTGTTCTCAGGTGCCGAAGAGGACGTAACCTCTGTTGGGGACCCGGTTGAGCCACTTTCAGCGGATGTGGCAGTTTCCGACGAACCGGTAGACGTCGCTCCATTGCAGGTCGACGACTGGAGAGCGAGAGCAGCGGTCACGTCCGCTGTTCCGCAGGCAAGCAAACAGGGTGTAACAGCTGTCTGATAGGCGCTGGTGCACACACAAGAAATGTCCGTCGCCGAGCTGCACCCCTGGGACTCCGCGCCAGAAACAAGGCAAGCGGACGCGCACGCTGAGACCCCGGCAACGCTCGTAGTCGCTGCCCCAGCCGAGGACGTCTGCGAAGCAGTTCCTGTCTCGGTCACAGAGCCTGCCGAGTCCGTAGCTGTGACGCCGGAACCGGACGAGGTAGTTGTTGCTCCGTTACAAGTCGAAGACTGGAGAGCGAGGGCGGCCGTAACATCAGCTGTTCCGCACGCAAGAAGACACGAGGTAACTGCGCTCTGGAAGTCCGTGGTGCACACGCAGCTCGTGTCGGTAGCAGAAGAGCAGCCAAGCTGTTCAGCACCAGCCACGAGGCAGGCCGAGGCGCAAGCTGAGACCCCCGCCACACTAGTTGTCGATGGCCCGGCGGAGGATGTCTGTGAAGCGGCTCCTGTCTCGCTCGTTGAGCCCGAAGAGTCGGTAGCTGTAGCGCTCGATCCCGCAGACGTCGTAGAAGCTCCACTGCAGGTTGACGATTGAAGAGCCAAGGCCGCTGTCACATCGGCGGTGCCACAAGAAAGGAGGCATGAAGTAACGGCAGACTGGAAATCCGTAGTGCACACGCATCCTGTATCCGTGGCGGAGGAGCAACCGAGCTGCTCAGCACCAGCGACCAGGCAGGAAGAAGCACATGCTGAGACTCCGGCCACACTTGTCGTTGCCGCTCCGGCAGAGGAAGTTTGGGACGCCTGGGATCCCGAGTCCGCGGAGCTAGATCCGGGCGACGAGGACCCCGATGTCGCCGTTTCCGTTGCGCTAGATTCGGCAGCCGTCGTAGAAGCTCCACTGCAGGTCGACGATTGGAGAGCCAGGGCCGCTGTAACATCGGCGGTGCCACATGAGAGTAGGCATGAAGTGACAGCAGACTGGAACGCCGTAGTGCAAACACATCCTGTATCCGTAGCAGAAGAGCAGCCGAGCTGTTCAGCACCGGCCACGAGACAGGCCGAGGCACAAGCTGAGACCCCTGCTACCGATGTCTGGGTGGCACCTGCAGACGAAGTTTGAGTGGCCGAGGAGCCGCCGTTCGATTGGCTCGAGCCCGATTGACTCGACCCGGAGCCGCTCGACCCCGTGCTGCCGCTAGACCCGGAGCCGCTCGACCCCGTGCTGCCGCTGGAACCGGAGCTGCTCGACCCCGAGCCGCTTCCAGAGCTTCCGGAGCCGCTTTCTGACCCCGAGCTAGAGTTCCCGCAGCAGTTGCAAGTGCACTTGCAGTTGGTCCCAGTTGAGGTCGTGGCCGGCTGGCTGCTCGAAGTTGTGGTTGTCGCCACAGTAGGCTGGGCGACATCGACAGCGGAAGTTGAAGAAGAAGAAGAAGACGAGCTAGAGCCCGAACAGGTAGAAGATTGAAGCGCGAGGGCAGCCTGGACGTCGGCGGTGCCACAGGCAAGCAAACAGGGCGTGACAGCTGACTGATAGGCACTAGTGCAAACACAGTTTGTGTCCTCGGCTGACGTACAGCCTTGCGAGGTCGCGCCATCGATCAGACAGCTAGAGGCACATTCAGACACCCCGGCAACGGAAGTTTGGGCGGCTTGGGCAGCGGACGTAGAAGTGGCGGGTTCGGAAGTAACGGGGTCCTCGGTCGGAGCAGCTGTCTCAGACACGCTCTCAACCGGGTCGGTAGGGGTTGACGAGGGGGTTTCGGTGGTGCTTTCGGCGACCGTCGTGACCGCGGCAGTCTCGCTGGCGCTGGTGACGGCCGACGACGACGACGAGGAGTCGCAAAGTTCGGACTGAAGAGCGAGGACCGCCGAGATGGCGGAGCTGCACGAGCTCACGAGGCAGGTAGCTGCGCTGTTCTGGAACGAAGAAGTACAAACACAGGAGGTGTCGCTGATACCTGTGCATCCCTCGGCAGTGTTGGCAGCCTCGAGGCAGGTAATGGCGCACGCAGGGAGAGCATCGTAATCAGACTGCGCACTTCAATGTCAGTGAAAGTTGGAGAGGTAAAAGCTTACTCGGCCCGGGCAGTCTTGACCGAGGCGACAGCCGTGAGGGCGAGGGCCGCCCAAAGCTTCATGGTAAAGAGTGTGAGGTGGTCGGAGATGGGGCCTCTAGACTCTTCATATGTGTTGTTATATACCTTTCAGATACCTTTCAGAAGAGAGGGATCCCACACCGGGTATGTCTCTTGGTTGACCGGGCCTGCATACTTGGTCTGGCAGTACCAGGTTTGGTAGTGTATGGCTTGGAACGAGATGCGTCTGCACCGGTAACATGTCGCCGATGTTGGTCATGGTGTTGCGAGAAGAGTGGAGAGAGAGCCACATCCACTTGTGGTCTGCCGGTGAAGGCACCCCGGAGGGCGGGGACGGCATGCCTAAGGTGCCTGTTCCGCGGCGCATACGATAACTTAGCGTACTCTCAAACATCTTCCGGGGCACTACAGTATGCATGCCTCGTGCAGCGGGGGACACAATGAGCCCCTCTTTGCCCAGTTGGGATGCCCAGAGATCGAATGAAAGATTCCCTCATAAAAATAGACGGCGTTGACGCGCACGCGCGCACGCTCAGCCACACGGAACGCCACACATAAGTTGACGAGGCCGCGCGCCACGGGGCGGGGTATAGTTCGAGTCTTGCTTTCCATCGTCGTCGTTTGTTTGGTGGGGCCTCCGTTGCGTATCCTTGTCAGTACGTGTTCCACGGTAATAAACTGCACCGGGTCTCCTGAAAGGGAACCAGCTCATGATGATGGTGATTACGGCAGGTGGACACATCATACTGTGCTCCCATTAGATGCAACATCCATGATCCTTGATCTTTAGCGTGTTGGGCATGCGGGGGTCGGCAAATGCCCCGCATCATGTGGCGCCGCGGGGGACCAGCAGGTCCATGCAGCAGCTCAGGAAGAGAACGGAGACGGCCTTGACCAAGCCACCGGCGTCTTCAGCTGCTCTTGGGCCCCATCCGTGACCCATGAGGGGACCCACCATCAAGGCATTCGTGGTAATTGCTTCTGCTCATGGAATGAGCGGCTCCATAGCTGCTCGACGCCACAGCCCGGGTGGGGGGACGAGGGCAACATGAAACGAGACTAGTGCCTACTGAGGTTTGCGTCCAAGGCGGTAATGACCGGTCGCCTAATGTTCTGTAGCTGTCAGTTGCCAGTTGCCCAGTTGCCCAGTTGAGGTGGTGTGCATGTTTGGAGACCGCCGACCGTCTTGCCGGTTTGTCACATGATGTGGATAAGACGGGAGCAGATGGCTGTTAGCACGGGAGTAGATGTCCGACAATGGTTCGACGACGTTGGTGGCGCGTTGGCGAGAGGGCACCATGTCTTGTTTGGTCCCAGGGTCGCGTCCCGCAGTTTGCATGCTCGTTTATCTGCACGGTGCACTTCTCCAATACCGTGGCTTTGACCATCCGCAGGCTGCTGCAAAGTAGATCAGAGTTCTCCCTCGTTGCGCCACAGGCGAGCATGATTGAAAATGCAGCAATGCGAGGCAGTTGTCAACCCGTGACCCTCGGCTCCATCGGTTGCGCTGGGCCTGTCAAAAAAAGGGCACTCCGGGGCACCGGTACATTGGATCTTTTGGTTGCCGGAGGCACCGTACCATGGAACGCGAACACGTCAACGGCGCTCGTTAGTTTGCTCACCCGGCCTCCTCTGGGCTGGACTTCGGGATTGCTTTTAGACTGTCCGGAAGCCCATGCCGTACCACTACTGTATCTGGGCCCACACTGCACATTGGGCCACACTAGAATCTTTCGGTAAAGGATCGGGGGCCGATCCACCCACCACTTTGAGACATTTTGTGACTTCATCTTGGTGACAATACATAGTGATCGACCCACAGCTGCTCCATTGATCCATGACAGTCGTTATCCAAGATGGAGGGAGGCACGACTGGCCTCCCGGCAAAACCATGTTTTGCCCGCATTTACGTTCTATGTTTACCGGGTGGTTTTATTGCGTTCACTGAGCCGCCAAACGTACCTCGTTTACAATGTGGCTCCACCTGATGTCACCACTGTCCACATTTCCCTAGACTCTTGCCGGCCAGGCCGAATGGGTTCGGACGCTCGAGCAATATAGTTCGTTGCATGGATACACAGTTCTGCCCGCAAACCAATTTGGGATGGTGTGGCGGGTCGGCGCGCCTGGAGTCTGGGAGCGAGTAAGGCATGTGCTCTGTATCCCGGGATATGAAATGGCTCGGTGTGGATGTCTCTATCTTGCTCCAATATGAGAGCACCCCAATTTTTGACTGGACGGATGTGAACGTGTCATTTGACTTACTGGAACCTTCATCGCATGACGCTGTTTGCATATTGGGAGTGCTCAATAACAAATAGTTCAGGTAGTTGAGTGTCCATACGTAGGTGGACTGAGAAGAGTTGAACGATGATTTGGGACCAGAAAATAGCGGCCGGTACAGATAAAACAGAAAAATAACAACAATTCCCTATTTATGTCTGTAGGAGGTAACAAGCGTCTCTTAGCTCCAAAACTATCATGCTGATCACCATCGCATATGGGCCAACAGTTCTGGATTGGTCTCTAGATGCTGAGAGTCTCTTCAAAATTGTCAATCGTTGGACACGACAGGAGGAGTGAAACAGAAATTCTCCGACATTTTGGTGCTCGCGTGTGTGTAGAGGGAGGAGAGGGGTGGGGGGGACAGGTATCGAGCAACTGTCGGCGGAAATCCAGGTTCGACGTATCGGCTTTCCGGTAACTACCAATTTTGTGGCATTCCCCGTTCCTGTGTAAAAGGACTGTGCGTCCCGGTTGTATCTGCTGTCCTGCTCCGGATGATCGGCTGACCCGGCAGACTGCCGGCGTGGCGTCCCGCAATGGCGGTGGAGCACCGTGGCGCTTCACCGGGCTGTGCTGACGGCGAACGACTCCACGCACGGCCACCGAGACATGGAGTTCCACGTACAGGTGTGGCGGTACGCGTCTGGGATATGCTTCTCGCGCCCATGGTATTGTTGAATGGCTGATACGCGTGTCGATGAGGCTCGCAAACCCCTTGTTGCATACTTTCGGCGGGGCTTCGAGGCTTCGGAGCCACTTCTGCTCCGCCCGATTCCCGGCGTCAGCAGCCTAGACTAGATGCCAGGAATGCGACTGACATGCACAGGCCTCCTGGCTTCCTATTCCGTAGTTCTGCCCCCGAAAACCTCCACCGCAGAAGTCCATCCACGTCTTCGTAAAAGTTTGAGGCGTTGTCTTGCGAGGCTGACACGTTCCGAGATGCGTGTCCACTACGCGTCCATTACGCGTTTCAAGTGCCGGTATGGGCTCGTCATGGGGTCCACCAGTTGCCTGTCAGGTTGGTCATCTTTGTCATGTGGACAACGGACAATCGCGCTCCAAGGTTAACCGGCTTGGCCTGGTGCTGTCGGTCACGAGAGAGAGATATCCTTGGGACACCAACAACATGTCACCCACGAATTAGCACGGATACGTATGTATGTCCGCTGGATGATGCTCATTTTCATATCCCTCAGCCAGACAAGCATTGCTGATTTGGAATACGGCACCTGGTTGAACACAAGTGGGAATCGACAGTGCACTTGGGCAGGTGATCGGATCATTGTGTTTGATCCAGTCAACCGGAGTCAACCCATCCTTTCCCTGGCACCTACTTGTCATTCAACGTTCCACTCCTTCGTCAATACCTTCATTTCAACACCATCATTGCCATCATATAGTCACTCGCATGGGTCGCTGCCATTAGACTTCCCCACCCTGGGCCTCAGCGACTTGTAAAAACAAACCGCCTTGTTTCCTTGTTAAACGAGCTGCACATATGTACATGAGGGAGCTGGGTTCATACGCTACAGGATACCAAGCTATACTGACATGAGGGTGTGGTGGGTACAGGGGTGTGCTGGGGGTGGTGTATGAGAGTCTTGAGCGTCGTGTTGGGCTGCAGGTGGGTGTGGGTCCAGTCGGCGGCCGGGGCGGCGGCACGTGCAACGAGGGGCAACGACGTGTTTCGAAGGATACTACGTCCTTCGGGGTGCGAGTGACCAACAGAGCGTCCTTAAAAGGCGCTGGAACGAAGGTGACTAGAGAGGGGGCTGGATTGAGTTCGGGAAGCTGGAGGTCGCCTCCGGCTGGACGGGGTAGGGGAAAAAGGTCGTGACGGAGGAGGGGGGAAGTCTTGACGGATTAGGGGTCGCGCGAAGTGCTGGCCGACGCCGACCATGTTTTGCAGCGAGATCACCTCGAGACGGTGTCGGACGCCGAACCGAGCTGTGCCTGGGTGTCAGGCGGAGATTGTTTCTGCGGCGACTGGATGGGATTGTTCACTGTGTATGTATGTACATATGTACGTCACACGTCAGTTGACGCTACCTTCCCTTAGTTTCTCATAATAACTCACCACCGCCAGTGCCAACAGCACCAACCGCCGCACCAGCGCCGAGAGGACCAGGCCCAGGCTGCTGCATCTGACCTTCAGTGGTTGTCAGCATCGCTATTGCGACCGCGGGTTGAAGATGTATGTCAAAAACTGATGACTCACCTTGCCTGGCGCCCATCATGGTCATCATGTCGGCCATGAACTTGTCCAAACGCGCCTCCAAGGCCGTCAAACGTTGGCCAGTGGCCAGTGGAGTCATCTGGCGCTTGTGCCATGATGGGGGTGGGGGGGGGGGGGGATCGAGAAGTGGTGAATGGGAGAAGGAGGCCTGAGCTCAGTGCTTGAGGACGGCCCAAAGGACCCTGGGGAAGGAGGGGGGTTGGCGAAGAGGATGTGATGGAGAGAGAGAGAGGTATGGAGAGAGAGAGAGAGAGAGTGGTATGGAGAGAGACGGGTGGTGATATGGAAGGAGTCAGAGACGGTATAGAAAGAGAGTATATGGTGGAAAGAGAGAGAGCGAGCGAGCGAGTGTGTGTGTGCAGAGCGGATGGAGAGAAGAGAGAAGACAAACAACAGAGGCAGAACTGGTTATGAGGGTTGACGGTGTCGAGTGACCGTTTACGTAAAGGGTGGCAAATGAGCCCGGCGTGGCCACCACGAGCCGTACCCATCATTCCTTACGATGGTCGTACTCGCCACACTCGGCGTGTCCAAGCGCCAACCTCGCAGCTATCATGTCTGCGGGCACTGAAATCATGGCATACAGACCTGTCCCAATGCTGCTGCCCTCCACAGACTGACATTTTCAGCGGCATACAACGTCTCCGAGGCGACCTGCGGCGGCTAGTGATGTACGAGGCCGGTCCGATGAATACTTGCCCAGTGTAATCAGTAGTGGGGCGTGGGTTTAATAGGTCTGCATTGCCACTCTAGACGCACAGGATGCAGTCACAAGCTCACATCCATAGCTCCTCGTTGCCTGCGCCCAGCTGCTCCTCCTCGAAGCCGAGTTGTTCCTCCTCATTCGCACCGAGCTGTTCCTCCTCCTCAATACCGATGAGGTGCTCTTCCTCGCCGCCCATGAGGTACTCCTCCTCTCCGCCCATGACCCACTCTTCCTCAATGCCCATGACATCTTCCTCTCCGCCGTCCTCGACACCCGACGAGCTGGATGACGGCGTGTCGCCGGTAATGTCGTGGTGGTGGTGGTGGTGGTGGAGGCTGTGGGGCTGGTCGTCGCGGTCGTGGTCGTGGTCGCGGCCCTCCTCCTCATCGGAGTCGAAGCTCGACGGAGGCGGGGTCTCGGCGTCGCTGGCGATGGAGCTGGCCATTGGCGACGTGACGTACAGCTCCGCCAGGCCGGGCAGCTCCTCCTCGTGGCCCGCGGCAGGCGGCTCCTCGTTGCCGTACGCACCGGCCTCCTCCTCGACGGCCCAGTCGACGTCCTCGTCCATGCCATCATCATCGACGGTGATGTCGGAGGAGCCCGCAGGGGCCTTGAACGGCACGAAAGCTGGTGGGAGTGCTGCCGCAGGCCAGAGGTGGTCCGGGATCCCCGAACGAGGGAGGGCAGGCGGGAATGCACGAGTGAGGCCCGCGGGAGTGGGCGGGACGGGGCCAACGACGGGTTGGCGGACGGGGAACGGCTTGAGGCGGACCGCCGCCTGCTCGTTGAGCGAGTGGAGGCCGGACAGGGTGGGGATGCCGTAGTGGCGGGCCCAGGCGGGGAGACCCTTGACGAGGCCGAGGAGCATCTGGCTGATGACCTCCATGATGAGGGCGATGCCGCGAATAAGGTTGACAATCTTCTTCGACGCCGCAGGCCGCTTGACGGTCTTGAGGTCGACCTGGAGCTCGTCGACGACAAAGTGGAAGAGCTGGTACGCAAGGGCGGCCCAAAGAAGAAGCATGGGGCGCCAGTGACGCGTACCCTCGGCCCAGTCGCTCAGGCCATCACGGACCAAGCGCCGGTAGTGGTCGCGAAGCGCTTGGTGGTACGGCGCCTTGTCGGACGCCCAGGCGTGGGCCTCGTCACGGTCGTCGTCAACGGCGCTGCCGGCGTACACGCCCCGCACGCCAGTGTCGTCCTCGTCGCCTGCGTCGAGGTAGGCGGCAGCCAGGCCGTTGCCCTTGGCAGTGTCGGCCCAGCGGCAGGCCAAGTCGTGGGGCATGAGCTCGTCTCGCGCCTTGCTCAACGCGAGCCATTCAGGGCTCGTGGAGAACTTGACGCGGAGCCTGGCGAGCTCTTCGTCGGTGGCGTTCTTGAACACCTCCTTGACAGGCTTGCTCGAGGTCCTGTGAGCCTCATGGATACACATGATCGCGCGGTAGGAGACCTCGTAGCCGCTCATGTCGACGTGGTGGGGAGAGGACATTTTGGGAATATCGAGTAGAAGACGAGCAGGAGGAGATCTGTGAGGCGAGAGCGAGAGGACGTTGTAGAATGAGAGCGAGAGGCGTAGAGCGCGAGCAAGAGGCATAGAGCGAGAGCGAGGGGAGAGTAAAGATGCCAACGTTGCACGTCCCCCTGCTCAAGGTGTACGGCGTCTGGTGATGTGTTGAGCCCATGGTAGTGGTGCTGGAATTGTTTCCGCTTGTTGTCTCTGTTGGGCGTCCTCAGAAGACATCAGTGCTCAGCGCATCTCTATCACTTTAGCACTCTCCTCTCAACAATCGCTGACACCCTATCACCGTCTCAAACAACCAGAATGCCATCCGGAAAGCGCTCCCACAAACTCCAGTGCGTATTGCGCCTCACCAAGATATATGACTCTGTTTGGTGCGCGGTGCTAACGCACTTGCAGGAGCGGCGACAGCGGTGCCGCGCCCTCGACAACGTCCGCCAAGGCCGGCAAGGCCAACGACGTCTACCCTCCCTACCCAGTTCCCCCCGGCTACAAGCCTCCCGTGCCACGCTCCACCGCGGGGTCGCTGCCCGGCCGTATTCAGCAACTGCTCGATGAACGAGAAGGTGACTGGAAGCCTGGTATGACCCTCGCCCAGTCCAACGCCCAAATCCGCTTCAAGCTCACGACGGGCGTCGGAATGGTCAAACATCTCGAGGGCCCGTCAGTCCCTCTCTTTGCGCCCAAGGGAGAACGTAAGAAGGGCAAGCTCAAACTCCCCCAAGACGTCCTCGACGACATTGTCGCGCTTCCGGCTGGAACCGTCCTGTCTTGGCTCTTTGTTGGCGACCTCGTCGTCGAGGATGTTACCCTGCGTGTGTTCAAGGACGGCGCTGCGTGGAAGACCCTCTGCCAACGTGACTTTCCGGACACGTCCGAGCGCTACCGATCGCCTCGCGAGTCGTTCAACACGCTTGTCTCGCTGCTCGCCACGTACCCAGTCCTGTCCAAGGAGCAATTTTTTGGAAACTACAAGGACGACGACGACAACCACGACTACAAGAAATACGGCAACAGGGACGACGGCAAAGATGAGCGCAAGCGCGAGCGCGAGAACTAGGGAACCGAATCCACATGAATGCTGGCCGGGAGCGACATAGTGTTCATATAGGTCTGAGTGGAGGCCAAGGTCAACCGCCGACAGTGGTACATGACATATATCTGTAGTTGGACTTGTACTGTTTGTACCCGCAGATGTATTTACACCAGAAGGAGATCTCAGCGGTTCTTGGGCGAAGCCTGGGTGAGTTCCTATGTGCGCCCCACGGAATCAAAATACACCCCCTCTCATATCCGGTATTTAAGTGATAATTTCCGTATTATTCTACTTCTCTCTACGACCTCTGCATTGTTCGCCACTCCCACAAGATCTATGATATATGAACACCATAGGTGCGTAGGGGTGGGGACTCTCCCCCACCGATGACGCCCCAGCACAGCAAGGGCCATATCAACCAACACTTCCACAGTCCCACTAGTCCACAACACTGCCCCCCCACCCCCGTGATGGACACCATGTACATGATTGCGCCCCAGTCGTATGGCTATGGTGAGTTTTCGACAGGCCCTCTAGTCTAAGCCGCGGTCTCAATAGAGATGCTGACACAACCCAAGGGACCCCCGGTGCCGCAGCTTGCTGGTCCTCACGGCGGCGGCTAGGGGTGCTGGTGTGGCGGTGGTGAGTTATTATGAAAAGCGATGAGAAGGCAGCGCCCAAACTGACGTGTGACGTAGCCAACAACGAGGTCGCTCAACCTCCTCCTCCCACACCCTTCCGCCCCAACGGCCAGCCCGTCGAGCACGACACGGTGCCGTCGTCCTTTTTCCACGCGGCTCCGCCCTCGCAGACCGATGACTGGGACATGCAATCCCTCGTCGCGTCTTGCGAGAGGCACCAGCTCGCCGCCGCGGACCGCGGCGCCCACCCCCCCTCGCCCATCACCTTCTCTCCCGCGCCGCCCTCCCTGACCTCGGAGCCAGCGGCGACGGCGTTTCCGACCGTGCGCTTCCCTCCCTCGTCGCCCTCCCCGATGAGGGCATACCGAGATGCTGTCCTGGTCGCCGAGGCCACGGACAAGGCGGTCGCAGACCGCGAGGTCGCCATCAAGAACATGGAGGCGAAGCACGTCGCCGACATGGCCAAGCTCGAGGAGAGGCACGCCCGCGCAGCTCGGGGCAGAGCGTGACGCTCTCGTCACCCAGCACCAGGCGACGCTCGCCCAGCACCAGGCGACCCTCGCCCAACACCAGGCGACGCTCGCCGAGGTCAAGGGCGAGTACGCCCGCGTTCATGCCTCGCGCGCCAGGGCCAGGGCCAGGCTCGACGCAGCGGAGCTCAACACTGCCCGCCTCCGCGAGGCCTTGGACGCTCGTGACACTGAGCTCGCCGCGGCCACCGCCACCAACGGTGCCCTCTGCGCGCGGGTCGCCGACCTCGAGGCTGAGCTCGCGGCCGCCCGCGCTGCGGGCGACGACGACGATGACGACGACGACGACGACGAGCGCGACTCGGCCTACGTCGCGCGAATCAAGAGGCAAACAAAAGCCTTGTTTGTCACGGGCATCGGCAGGGTGATCCGCAGGCCCCACTTCAACTTGCTCCGCCTGTGGGGCCAAAAGAAGACGAACGTGTCCCTCATCCTGCCGTACGATGCCACGGACATCGTGACAAAGATCTTCGACGACGACGAGGAGCCTTCCCTCCTTTTCGAGGGTGATCCAACAAGGCCCCGCAATGTCAAGATCCACATCTTCGGTGACGGTGTACGCAAGTACACCTTCACCTACAGTGACTGCGCGAAGTTCGGCGCCCGCCGTTCCAACGAGCGCACGTGCGTCCAGTCGCTGGAGGAGGTGTGCAAGAAGCTCGTCGAAATCGACAGCCTCACCGCCGCCGAGATCGACGCTGGCAGGCGCGACAGCGCCCAGAGGGTCGCCAGGTACGCCGCCTCGCGCCTCTGCCGCCGCCCCTGCCGCCGGCCCATCACGCGTCCTCCGCTCTGCGCGATGGGCGCCATCCCCAGGTCCTTTCCATCCCCCCTCCCGGACTTTTTTTTCGTTTTGTAGCATATTGCATTGGAGCTACGCCTCCTTCATGACTCCACCACATGCATGTACAGATAGATCCCTTATGAGAGCAACTCTTCGTTGCATCCACTTTTACAGTCGCCATTGAGGCTGACCTGAGGGGACACCACTCAGACCCGCACCAACGCGTCGAGGCACAGCTGACGGTGACCACCATTTGTGCCATTCCCTATAGCCTGCCACAACCCTCCACTTGTGCCACTTGAGCGGGCTAAAGCACGGGTGAAATCAAGTTCGTCTTCTCATCGCTCCTCATGGCATCCACATCCCCATCCCAGGTGCACTGTGTTGAACGTTAAAACAAAAGGCTTCAATATACGAGCGCCGGTGAACTCGTCACAGCCTCTTTTCAGAAATACCATACATACACTAGATCATTGGTGGGTCTTGCGAGATCCCCAAGAACCCTACATCCCAAACAGCGTCCCACGGCAGCCCTGCAAAGGCGGACGAATCTACGGGATCGACGGGTGCTCCAGCATTTCCGTCCCCTGCTGGGACACGGCCCGGCTGGGCCAAGGGTGAGAGCGTGTTCATCGCGCCCGCCAGCATGGGGAACCCGTCCCAAAAGTCCAAATGTTCCTTGAACGGCTGGATCGGCTCCTGGTAAGCAAACTGGCCCTGAAAAGCGTCAGCAGATGTGCGTATTGTGGGCCAGGTGAGGCATGTACGTACAATCTCATCCCACCACTGGTCTGGAGTGGTCTTCTGCTGCAACGGTGAAGGTCGAGGGCCGTCGTCTGGTTTGACCATGGGCGTCATGCCCAATCTGGACGTTTGTCGCGTGGGCGACGACTCTCGAGATGGTTGGCGAGACTGATGAGCCTTGTCAAGAAGAGCGTGGATGAAGCGTGCGAGATATGCCGGGTGGGACTCCTGGTCTCCCCTCGCAGCCTCGCGGCACACAATGACCACTGTACAAGTCAGCTATCTGGCCCAAGACCTCAAAGCGTAAAGCCTTGGACTCACCTCTGGTAAGCTTCCGCATGACGCTGGCCTTGGCTGGCGAGTCGAGATACGACATGAACCGGATCAAGCGTACAGCGGTGGACGCAACAGCGACCGAGTGGGCGTCCTCGATCATGGGCATGATGCCCTTGCGCGCAAAGCCTTCTACGACGACGTCGAGCAAGTCGAGACTGGCCGACACGCATGCGTGGAGGAGACTGATACGATGCTTGTTTGGCGCGAGCGATAGCGACGTGCATTCCACCAACAGCTGGAGGGCGAGGCTGGCAAACTTGTTGATGCTTTTCGAGGTTGAGGTAAGCTGAACAACCGAGTCGTCAGCCATGAGGGCCTGGTTGGAGCGATGGTGATCCTCGAGGACCCTGCGCAGCCCAGACCTGAGTACCTCGTAGCTGCCCTTGCAGCTCTGGAGCTGTCGCACTTCCGAGGTGAGCAGGCTGGTCTTGACTGCAAAGTCGAGTTGGCCGTCCGAGGCAAGGGGATAGGGGATGCTGCGGATCCAAGAATCGACCTCGGGCGCCTTGTGCATCATGGAGGGGCGGTCCGACAACTGTGTTAAAGTCGAGTCGAAGCAGAAGAGGGATATCCAAGTCCTCTCACGGTCGATTGCCAGCCTTGCTTCGCGCTCGTCGCTCGGCAGCCTCTTCCGGCGAGGCAGGTGCAAATCCAGCTGGTACCCAAGCCTGATAGCGTGACCGAGACGGAGCCAACCCCTGCCGTCGGTGGGTTTCTTCCAGTAATGCAGGATGCAGATTGCCTGGACGAGCTCGATGGCACATACACAGTCCGATATTGCGCGGTTGACCAAGCGATTGGCGACGGCCAGGAGCGTTTCGTACATCTCTGGTCGGAAGAACTTGCACGAGATCGCGAGCACAGCGGTAAAGAGTTCCAGTGACGCGCCACGCGTGTACGTTGCCGTGTGGATAGTTGGGTCGAGAAGACAGACGCATGTTTGCAGCTGGTCAAAGTAATGGTCAAACAATGAGTCGCACTCGAGTGTGGACAAGAGGCCCATGCCAACTGGGTCCTCGCGCGGTGCGACAGCGGTTCCGGCGCCGCCATCCGTCTCGTCCACGCCAGTACCCTTGCGTTCCATTACGCCCGCAATGGAGAAGATGGAGCGATCGGCGACATCATGGTACACCGAGTTGGCTGGCTTGCCGATCTCTGGGCCGTGTGGACGGCGCACTGGACCCTCCTCTGGACGATCTGCATCATCCTCCAAAGAGCGTTCCAGAGACGAGCTGGGTGACCGAGTACGCTCGTCGCCATCGTCGTCTACGTAATGATGCCTGTCGGGGGTGCCGAGAATAGACTGGCCATCGTGGCCGGCTGGAGAGATGAAGGAAACTTGTCGGTCGCCAGGCTCGGCGTGACGGCTCAGACGTTTGCGTTTTGGTGGACGTAGGGGGGCCACCGCAATGCGCGAGTCGGAGAGTGCGCTGGACACATCGCGAGGATGGGCGGCAAGAGGCTGGACAATTGACCCTTCCTTGCGCCGCCGACCGCGCTGGTGGGCTTGATAAACACAGGGGATGGAGAGGCGCGTGCAACGTTGACATATGATGGAGTTTGGGTCGGCCGACTCGACGCACTTGCACTGCAATCAGTTTTAGCATGTTACCCGACATCCAATGTAGTTCTTGCGCTCGTGTATCTCACCTTGACAGTCCTGCAGGCGGTGCAGCTGCTGTAATGGAGTCAACGATATGGACCCATCGGCGTCTTTGCGGAAGCTAAACGTACACTTTGTTGTCGCCGTTGGGTGTCCTTGTGGGCTTCAGAGCCCTAGGTTTGGGGCTCGCGAGACTGGAGTGGCTCGAAGGCCCTGCCTCGACGGACCGCGAGTAGATTTCCATTGGAATCGGGACTGGCACCAACGTGTGTCGTGTCCAGCGTCGTCAGCGTCGGCGACTAGATGGAATGTGTGGAGGCAGAAGGGGGAGTTGGGTGTGTGAACGGCGATACTGTTTTAGCTCCAAGTCGCCGGCGAGGAGGCGCCGGGTCGCCGGCCGACATGTCCGTGTGGCCCCCCGACCCCGCCGGACGTCGCTCAAGCGTCCACCTGTGAGGGGCTTTGGCGGCGCCTCGGACGTGCGGGGGCTTGGTGCAGCACATGCATGTGACTGTCTCCGTGCTTGGCGTCGGTGAAGGCAGTCAGCTGTGCAGGGCGCCGCATCGTCAAGAAGGCGGGGTCTCCAGTCCGACACATGCCAAAGTTTTCAACATTCCTCACACACTGGTTCGTCGTTTGCTGGGAGCTTTCAGATCATATCCAAGCCTGGCTAGCCTGGGGATACCGCACGCGAGTGAGCTGGCTACCAGCGCTGCGGACTATGTGGTCGAACTGTGAACAGTATCATGCTCCACAGACACACGTGTGCTTCTATAGTATGAGGCTCAGGCGAATCGGCGGTGGAGCCGCAACTGCCCAGGCGCTTTCAGATCAGAATCCGACCCCCTACCACAATGGATGAAGATGCACCTGGCTCTCAGCAAAAGGCATCGTCTTTTGGGCAGCTTCTGCAGACCGGTGAGCCGCCCTTGCTGAAATGTGACGCTCAGGGTGTTCGTCTTCCGTTTTCAATGCCGGGACGAGAGACGATTGACCGTTGAACCTTCTGTCTTCACTCTCAATCTCTTTTTGCGCAGGAAATCAGCGGTCCAAGATGGGAAGCAGGAAGGATATCATTGTGGGTGGTATGGAAACAAGCTGGTGGGGTCCCAGATCCGAAATATGTTCGGAACAATCTGTTGGAACGCGGTGAAATCCATTCCGCGCGGACAGCTCGGGATCATCAACGAGCCACCATGTTCCAGCACCTCCAGATGACCAACCGTCAACCCCTCGTGCAAAAAATCAAAAGGAGAGCACCTCACGATGCTCATCTTCTCCGCCAGGGAGTTGAACCCTGCTCTACCGCGATGATCCTATTAGGAAACTCTCTAATGAGAGGCGGTTATACTAACCGATATACTAGCGAAGATCTTATATTAGTATTGGTTTTCGTTCCACCGACTTCGGTGAGGATGACGCTGACATGCTTGTGAGCCCCCTCCGTGGCCATGAGGTCGACCCAAGTCAGTTCCGGCACGTTGAAGTGTTTGGGAAGAGGCTTGTTGATGATTGAGACAAGGATGGATGAAGCAGCTCATGTTCAGCAGACGCCGGGACCTGTTGCCAACACTTGGACATTGTATCCATGTATATTCGCTCGAGTGGTAGTAATACAGTCGTTAACAGCCTGCAGCTAGCCTTGGAATGTCCGGTCTGTGCAATATTCCTCGTCTCGGGTCGGGTCGTTCAACTAAGACTGGAGGAAAGGCGGTTTACTGGTTGGGACCGGTCTGTCCGTCCGGGAGGTACCAGATTTCCTGGGTGTCGGCAACCACAGTGTCCATGGTCATGAAGTTCGAAGGTCCTGAACCGTCCCAGAGCATAACCTGGCCGCGGACGTAGTCGATGGCATACACGTTTGACTGTTTGAGGACGGTAGCGTCGGGCTTGGAGTAGACGACGACGGGTGAACCGGGCGCCTTGCTGAGAATGGCCTGATACTGGGACGAGTCACTGGTTGAGGCGCTCTTATAGCCCATGAGGGAGGGGAAAAGATCGTGGCAGTAACCGTCGGGACCAGGAAGGAGGTCCCAGAATGCGACAAGGTCTGGGTAAGCCGTATCGTAGGCTTCGGGCCACCACCGACCGTCAAAGTTGAATGTGGCGTTTGTGCTGACATCAAACGAGATGGCGCCCTGGTCCCGTTGGGCGAGAGGCGGTGTAAAGACGACGGTGACGTGTGTTGCGTCTACCGACCCACCGACACTGAGAATGCGCGCCAGTGGCCAGTTGGGACCTGTACTAGCCAAAGCTTGGAGGTAGGCAGTGAGCCAAGGGCCAGACGTGAGCACTTTGTTGATGTCGGTTCGACTGGTGCCGTCTTTTCCTACCACAAGTGGTGGAGGGTTGTGGCTGGCTGGAGCCGTGCGATTGGCAAGATTGGTGATGGGCCTGAGGTTGTTGGTATTGACGCTGCTGTTCTCAATAGAGAGGAGAGCTGGGTCGAGAGTGTAAGCCGGTGTGGCGTCCCTGGCGCTGTTGACCGGGGCTGCAAGTGAGGTACTGCCGAGGGTCAAAGCGAGGGCAAGGAATGAGGAGAGGCAGGTCATTGTGATCGTCGGTGTGTTGCGGATGGTTAGGCATGTGTGTGTCTAGTGTCCTTATATACATCTGCACCATCTTCTCGAAAGACTCGCCATTGCGATTCTCTGGGTTACAGGAACCCGTGTCCTCATCTGCAATGCAATATCAGAACAACGGAGCTCCTCTTGGCAATCGCCCATCCGTTAGAGTTCAGGAGCACCCAGTAACGTGGCGGGAGGTACAGTAGCTCAGTAGCTGAGTAGCCTTTCGTGTACGCATTGTGGTTAGCCCTGACTCGTACGCTAAAGGAATCCAACTGCCGCTCGTTGTCCACGTCCTACTGAGTAACCAAGTGCTTCCCGTCGTTTCCCGGCAGCAACCAAGTCTCTGGATCTCTGGATGGTTCACGGCCGCCGTTTATCGTCCACATTGGCCCCATAATGTACTGTACAGCCTCCGTACCCGACATGAGCTACAGACAGGTTCCTTCATGTATTCGTGTTTCCATGTGTACCCCATAGCATGGGCTCGTGCCTCTCCGTCCCGCCACACCGTCACTCTCCCCGGATGGATTCTTGGATACAGGAACGTAGAACGGGGGGAGCGGTCTTCATGTCCAGCATGTCCAGCATGTCCAGCATGTCCAGCATGTCCAGCATGTCCAGCATGTCCAGCATGTCCAGCATGTCCAGGAAGCTGAACATGACAATGCGACGCACGCTGCATATACTCTGGAGTGCGTCAAGGGGGCATATGGTTCATGAGTGGGGTTTTCTGCCTGCCACAAGACGTCTGGTGCGGTACTAGGATTCCCTCCGTCCTTCCCCCAATACGCAGGTCCACATGTCACGTGACCGGATGGTCTCCATTTGGATACTGCGTACACAATACGGAGTACTTTGACGGCTTGCATGCGCATGGGAGCAAGAGCAACACCGCCACGGATGGCCGTGCACAAGTGAGGGGTGGGAGCTGACGGAATGAGGCTAAGGGTTGAGCTGAGAGAGTGGACGGGGAGAGTAAGCAGTGGACACAGTGGACGGCGCACTGTGCATCATTCCACAGCTCCGCGACCGGCATCAGCGAGGCGATCACTCGCGTTGAGCCATTGACATCATCGTCCATCTGAATCACCTGCGATACGATATTATTCATCCCACTAGTCCAGTCGCGAAAGCGCAGTGCTGTGCAGTCGGTTGTTGTGAGTTGTTGGCCAATGTCGGGTAATGTGAACATTACAACATTACAAAGCGTCCCTAATACCAATATTGGCGCATTAGTGAATGTTGACGTCATTCCAAGCACAGCGCGCATCGCCTCCGTCGGCACAACCGCATCGCCCCCCGGACGTCGACGCGTCGGCACATCTTGCCAAGCCCACTTCCTGCACTCGCTGTTTCACTTATCACGTCGAGTTGTTTCGTTGTCATCGTCACAAAGTTCTCTCTCTCATCTATCACTTTACAACACAACCATCAGCATGGGTATCGGTGCAGCCCTTTGTATGTGCCCTATCGCGTCGTTAGGAGCCGCAATGCTGACAAGGACCAGTGGTCGCGGGCCTCGCGTTCGTCGTCGTCAAGAAAATGGGCGATAACAGACACAAGAAGCAGCAACAGCAGCAGATGCTCCAGTATGGAGCTCCCGCAGGCTACGGTGGCGGTGGTGCCTACCGTCCCCCGCCTCCAAGCGGTGGAATGGGTGGAATGATGGGTGGAATGATGGGTGGCTTTGGCGGCGGTGGTGGTAGTGGTGGTGGTGGTTTTAGCTCGGGAAGCCGTGACATCAACGCGTCCACTGGCCAGCCATGGAACGCTACCCCCGGCCCCGACTACAACACTGTTCTGCAGAGCCTTATCGCCACTATCAACGAGGTGAGTTCACACAAGCTGTCTTCAGATGAAGTGGATGGTACCGTCTCGGCATGACTCAGCTCGGCTGCCGGGTGTCACCCCACGAAGCTACGTGGTCGCCTCCTCTGACTGTCGTGAGCTATGGACTGACCTGCCCAGCGTCGCATTGGTGGTTTCTTCCCCCAGGGCGTGGAGTCGATTGCCCAGCGTGTTGTCCAGACCGGTGCCGTCCAGCGTGTCGCTACCGAGTGGCGTATCCCGCAGGACCTTGCCATTGACCTAGTCAAGCTTGCCCTCTTCGATATCGTTGTTCTCTGCGACGACTCGGCAAGCATGCGCAACGGAGACCGTATCTCAGACCTTCAGCAGTAAGTCGGGCAACGGACCCAGCTTGGTAGCTGGTTTAGCTCACACCGTGTAGGGTTCTTGCCAAGGTCGCGTTTGCCGGTACTCTCCTCGATGACGACGGAATGTGAGTGTTAACACAGCAACTTCATCTGACAGCCCCCAGTGAGATCCGCTTCGTCAACAACTACATGCAGGGTAACAGGATCAACTCGCAGGACGCCGCTGTCGACATTGTTGACAACATCAACTTTGACGGTGCCAAGCCTCTCGGTACTGCCATTGAGCAGAAGATTCTCCAGCCTATGGTTCTTGCACCTGCCCGCCAGAACGCTCTCCGCAAGCCCCTCCTCGTCATTGTCATCACCGATGGCCAGCCTACGGGCGAGCCTTTTGGCTACCGTAAGTACCTCATGCATAACAAAGAGGCCAAAACGAAACGAAAACTAACGTTGCCAGTTCAGCAGAGCATCGTCAACGCTGCCAACCAGCTCAACTCGACCCCGTACGGCCCCAAGGCTGTCAGCTACCAGTTTGCCCAGGTCGGTACCGACATGTCTGCAACCCAGTTCCTCGCTGCTCTCGACAACGACCCAATGGTCGGAGCCATGATCGACTGCACCTCCGACTACGACATCGAGTCTCAGGAGATGCTCCAGAAGACGGGACAGCAGTTGACACCCATCATGTGGCTGATGAAGCTCATGCTTGGTGGTATTGACAGCTCGTATGACTCGCAAGGTGAGCTGCAACATGCTTCGACACTCAAAAGCAACCCAGCTGACAGACAGATGGATAAATGGTTTCGACGCGGCGCCGTCCCTGGGTTTCACAATGTCCGACCGAGTAAACAGTCACCTGGGGTCTCGACTATATACACGAGTCACGTATGAAGTACAGTATCCAAACCACTGAACTCGTCCCATTGTAACGTGCTCGCTCGTCTTGTCTTACAGTCCCCACTGTCACTAACTGCATATCACTTGACCTCGGCACTATGAAGTCGCAAACGGGTCGCCAAGGAGGGTGTCGTACAAACCAGACAACGAGTTATCCAAGTCCCACGTGCTTGTCTGAGCCGTGCTGGGATGCCATAGGGACTGGAGGAGCGCCTCTTGCTCTCGATCAACGGACACGCTCTGGCCCGATGGGTCTAGTCCAAATTGCAAGTCGACGTCGTCTAGCCGTGGCAGGCCCGTGATCAAGAAGCCGAGTCCTGGTGCCTCCGGAGCAGCTCCACCGTTGGGGACAGTGCTGGTGGGGGCTGTCGGGGAAGTGAACGCCGCAAAGTCGAAAGGTGGAGCCGCTATTTCCTCTGGTATCGTATTGGTGGGCCCCATAACTGACGTCGAAGCTTGTGAAGGGGCTGCTTGTGGAAGCGGCGCGCTGCCAGAATGGGCCTCAGTGCCACCACTGGGGACGTCGTTACACCGCCACTTGGCCCCAAGTTGCAGGAGCAGGTTGGCAAAGCTCCGGACGAGATGCTGATCATCTAGTGACGAGGCGAGCATGGCCTTGGCCGCACGGTCCAGCGTGTCGAGGACCGTCTGCTGGCCGTGCTCTACAACGCCCGTGGCGAGAGCCTGGTTTGGTCAGCTTGGCACCACTGTGCGGAAGATAAAGCTGACCTTGTACAGGAATGTTGCTGCAAACATGATTCGCTGCGAGAGTCTCGATGGACAGTACCGCAGGCGATCATTCTCAGCCAGCACAGTCGCGGTGAGGAGACAGATAGACCGGGCCGAACTGAGCGCTTCCAGCAGCCATGGCCCCTCTATCATATTCAAGAGAGATGGCAGCGAATAAAAGTACTCATCGTTGGCCTGTGAGATTAGCCGTGGTTTCCATGCTTGTGCTCACCCGGCGTCTTCTGCGAATCTTCTCTTGCAGAGAGCGGAGAGCAATGGCATTTGCGTACAGGACGAGATAGTCGATTTCAATTTGGAGCAGTGCTGCCTCGACAGTGTTCTGCCCTGCCAGGGTCAGTGCTTGAGTGAGTGCTTTCTAACAAACGTACTGAGAATACGGTACATGTTTCGCCTGATCGTCTGCACCTCGATCCTTAGACTACGCAGGAATGGCTCCCACAAGCCTGTCGACAGCAGACTGCCGGTTATCTCTTTGTGTGGATCTGCGGTCAGCGGAATGCCCTCTATGGCAACTTACAGAGATGTTCCTGGATTGTCCCAAGCAAGCAGGCAACATATGCCTTGGATCTAACGTCGTCCTTCCAGCTGTCGTCCTGACTCAACTCGGCGTTGCGGGGAACAAGACCGGTTACCTTCTCCCACCAGCGGATTGACATTTCTAACGATTCAGCGCCTTGTTACATATCGCCAGCGGGCCGGACACTCACGCCCCTGCAGAACAGCATTTCGACCAAGGCGCACCGAGACGCTGGGGAGCGGTCAGTTCTGGATTTGGAAGGAAACCTGCCCAGCTAAACACCTACTGTCGATCGGCGTTGTACGCGTACGCCCATGCCCGGAGCATCCGATTCCCCTCTGGCGAAGGTGGCTTGCGCTGCCCATCGTCGTTCACACTGGTCATGGCATTGTGGAAGCCCATTTCTTGGGCCATCCGAACCGCCCAACCTGATAGTTGTTAGACCGGTTGCACAATTGGGTGGGCCCCTTACCAATATGGTTCCAAGAATAAGCGTCATAGCGAGTACTCGCTCTCAGTGCCTCGGGCTCCTCGTCAAGTGTGCCGTCATCTTCTCCGGACTCTAGAGCGACCAACGGCCATTCGCTCATGAGCAACAAGGCTTCAATGGTGCTCACATGCCGGAGGTTGGAGACACCATCCAGCGTTCGAAGAAGCTGCTTGCGGACCCAGTCGGATATGGAGCGGTGAAGCTGAGATGCCCGAGCTTCGTACAAGATGAGCGAGTAGCGTGATGCAATGGCGATAATGACGCCAAGAAGAATCGATTCCGTCTTGATCATCCACGACAGGCGGTCGGCGCGAAAGGTCTGAGCAGGAAGAATGGGGTACAAAGGACTCATCTCCAGTTCAAAGCTGATACCAGTCAGTCATTACCGAGAGTATCAACTCACAAAGCAAACAGAGCCTCGGCCTCCTCCACGCTGAGTTTGTTCTGCTGGACAGGTGCCCACTTGTCCCACCACCAGTCGCACTCCTTCCTTGACGGTTCCCGGGGAGAGCGTTTGGAATGCACGCTGCTAGCATTGGCCAGAATACGCAGAGCGTCTTTTGGGTTGTGAAGCCTCGAGTAAATGAGAGCTTGGTCTGCCACCGTCGAGTGGTGAGAGTGAGGCCCTACAGTGTGCTGGTCCTGCTGCGACGCAGTCGTTCCAAAGGGGTCGGTCCCGGGGTAATCATGCAACATTATCGAGTCGTCCATGTCACCTGTTGGGGATGGTGATCGGCTCGTGGAGCCTGTCCGGCTGACAAAGGGGGAAAGGGATGCGGCAGACTCGCCCATCCTGGCTCGACTCAGCGGACGAATGCTGCTGCGTTGAATGGCTGCCGGTGTCCGGACGGGGTTTGGTGGAGCTTGTTGACAATCTCGCCGCTCACGTAGGCATCGTTCGCATCGTCCGTCCCATGGCCGATCTGGGTCTCCGAAGCTGCACTTGAGCTTGCGCTGTACAAGGTATCCAGGTCAGGTCTGCCTTCCCAGTTACGAAGTAGGCAAATGGCTCACCGAACGACACGGGAAACAAGCCTTGTAGGTACGCCTCTGGCGCTTGCTTGGTTGGGGCTGCCCCTGTTGAGATGGCCCTTCGGAAAGGAGCGAGGGAGGCATTGGGAGATGTGTGGGATACGAACAATCGCAGACTGTGCGATAGCTGGTGGAGCAAGTCCGGCATGGCGGGCGGCCACTCCGTGTCCCTGCTGCGCCAACTCTCGCTATCTTTCGGCACCTCTCGGGTTCCTGCGGCCCAGTGCGGGGAATCAATCCACCGCCCGCATCTGGGGTAGCATCTATTTGCCCACTTTGCAGTCAGGATCTTGAGTCTGCAATCTCCGTGCGCAGGTAGGCCACGGGTCAGTCAACCATGTAGTTAAAAGAACCACCAAGGGCCAAAGGGCTGACTCTTCTTCAAGCAAGTCGCCCCCGCCCTGCGCCCCATAAGCTTCATTTGCAGCAAGCCTCCACCAATGTCCAACTTCCCCGACGAAAAGAAGTACCCAGCGGAGCTGGATGTCCAAGTCAAGCCGGTATCAGACCACGACCAAGAGAATGAAAATAAGGATGCTGTCTTTGGCGCGATTACGGAAGATGGACCAAACTATCGCAATGTAAGCCGTCCCCATGTGCCAACTTTGTGACTGACGCTACCCAAAGGTAGGGTGGATTGGCACCACTGTCTTGCTCCTAAAAGCGCAGCTGGGACTGGGAGTGCTTAGTATACCCTCAGTGCTGTCGACTCTGGGGTTAATACCCGGTGTAATCTCCATTCTTGCGATCAGCGCTTTCACCACATGGTCAGATTATGTTATCGGCACCTTCAAGCTTCGTCACAGAGAAATCTGTAGGTCCCTGACCAGATGTCATGGGCAGGGTCACTGACAGTAAAGACAATCTGGCCGACGTGTTCAACCTCTGGTTTGGTCCTACGGGACGAGCTATCGTTGGCGTGATCTACTGCGTTTGTAAGTCTCCTTATGCCTTGCTTCTTGTCTGTCTATCTCTGTAGCCAAGTCTTGTCACCTCCTGACTCCGCTCAGACATGATATTCTGCGCAGGTTCTGGAATGCTCTCGCTGTCCATTGCGTTGAACGCCATCTCCGTGCATGGAGCATGCACTGCGATCTTTGTCGTTGTCGCGGCTGTCGCAGTGTGTTTCATCTCCAGCATCCAGACCCTCGGCAAGATTCAATTACTAGGCTACATTGGCGTTGCTAGCATCGTGGTTGCTCGTGAGTGGAGACCTGAGTCGGACACAAGTTCTTCAACTCATTCCGACAGTGCTCACCTTGACGGTCGCTGTTGGCGTCCAAGAGCGTCCTTCTGCTGCCCCTCAGACCGGCCCCTGGGACAAGAAATTCGTCCTCTTTGGCGACCCCACCTTTGCCGAAGCATCCAGCTCACTGGCCGCCCTCGTATTTGCATTCTGTGGCACCCCCGGGTTCTTTGGCATCATCTCCGAGATGAGAGACCCCCGCCTGTATACTCGCGCGGTCTGCATCTGCCAGTCTTTCCTGACCGCCATGTATATTGTACGTCCTCCTTCCCCATCTGTCCAAGCTGACACAGCAGACGGTGGGCGTGGTCGTGTACTACTTCTGCGGCCAGTACGTCGCATCACCGGCCCTGGGCAGCGCGGGCCCACTGCTGAAGAAGATATGCTATGGGATCGCCATTCCCGCCCTGGCCGTCAGTTCGCTCATCGTCACCCATCTTCCCGCAAAGTTCCTTTTTGTGACCTTCATGCGTGACTCGCCGCATCTTAACAAGAACACTCCCAAACACTGGATTGTTTGGCTTGGGTGCGTCATTGGTTGCACCCTCATCTCCTACGTTATCGCCAGTGCCATTCCCGTATTTGGTGGTCTTATCAGCCTCATTGGCGCACTGTTCGGCACGTTCATGTCCATGCAACCCTACGTAAGTACTCCTACACCAACATCCGGTTCAGGTGGCTGACCTGTTTCGGGCTTTCATGTGGTTCTACGACAACTGGCACCTGAGGAAGAATGCCACGCTGCAATGGCGTGCCCTCGCTGCTTGGAATGTACTCCTCGTCGTCGCTGGCACATTCCTCATGGTTTGCGGCGTGAGTTATTTGGAGGTGCCTGTCATCCAAATAATGTCCAGCTAACATTAACAGACCTATGGGTCCATCATGGACATTATCACCTCGTACAAGGCCTCAGGAGGCTCCGCTGCGTGGTCGTGTGCCGACAACTCCAACTCTGTGTAAATAGTCGATGATGTGGTGAGCCGGAAAATGCGGATGGAACGGGCCGACGATGAGTACCGAAATTGTAGAAATGAATTTGTGAACGACGACCTTGATATGAAGCGATCAGCGAATAGATGCACGGTAGAGTGTGCATGCTAGATGACAGTCAAAATGACCCAAAGCATGCTCGAGGGCATCAGGGGCAAGAGAGAGACCACCAAGGGCAGCACTGCTTCCAGCCTCTCAAACCTGAGTCATGCTGCCGGAGGATTGAATCTCTGCAACAAAGCCCTATGTTGGCCATCCATCGCTTGATAACCCCGCCTGGTCCGGAGGCGGCTCCCAGCCTTTCAGTTATGGTCGTGATACCACCTCTCCTCGAAGTTTGGTTCGTTGGCACACCTTTGACCTCCTCATTTGCACCCAGTAGTTACACCCAATGTAAACTGCCACGGAGCCGTTAACACACTCGTAACATCCGCGAGTTTAAAGATCCATTTACAATAACAAGGACGCTGACTATGAGACATGTTCCTACCCCTATCTACTCTTTTGCCTCTTCCTTCTTGTCGTCCGTGTTGTAAACCCATTGCGGGGGGTCCTTAACCATGGGCTTTCCGGTGTAGGTGCGTGTGTTGATCAGAAGCGCGGAAAACTCCTCGTCACAGTGGAATGGGCCATGGACCATGCCGGGAGTACGGCAGCAGTAGTCTCCTGGCTTGAGCCATTTCTTGGCTGTGCCGCAGTATGCAGTTCCCGAGAGGACGTAGACCTCCTCACTGGTGGAATGTAAGCTGGTGCCCGCCAGTAACAGCTTACGTGAAGTCGTGGCCGTAGGAACCGTCGCCCTTGTAACCCGCATGGAGAGTCTGGATGATAGTCTCGTTGCCAGTCTCCTCACTGCCGCTTGGTTAGCCTGACTTTGGGCCTTTGAAAGGAGATGAAGACCTACTCGTAGTTGAGCACGTATTCTGTGACTAGAGGGACGGGGTGGCGAACAGGCTGCTGGGCAGCGGTGGTCCAGTACTGGAACGGCTTGGGGCGGTCGACCATGGTGTTCAGAGAATTGGTGCGAGATGAAAGAGTAAGGAGTAGCAGTTGTGTGGTTAAGCACCGTTGCAGGCGTGCTCGGTATTTATGATGCAGTCATGTGGTCAGCTGCAGGTGGGCAAACAAGGACCTCATGACTTCATCGTTCCCCGAGGGATGCCGAGTGATACCGAACCAAGAACCAAGAGGCCTTATCGGCTTCTCCGCATTCCAGGAACGATATCATTTCGGCATCTTTCGCCAACTTGCGTCAACTTCCGTTAACGTTCGTCAACTGTGGCATGGTGGGCTGCCCATCTTACGCAGTATCTTGTCAACCTACCGGGATTCCTTTAGGGCCAGGTGCCATATGAAAAGGTGGAAGTGTACATCAACAAGCGCTTTCCCAACAAACAGACAACGCAGTTCATACACCCACCCACAGAAACTCCAAGCCGACGTCGCCAAACAATGGACCTCACTGACGCCACTTGCGTTCCCACCGGGGGCCAATTCCAACAGTGAAGCTAGCCTTCACCTCCAGCTTGATATCCGTACTGACTTGATCCAGCCCGGCTCCTGCCATGATCGACTTCTCGTGGGCGCCACCCCTCTACGAGCACCCCGTGCACCACCGCCGTCCCGTCCGGATCGCCGCTGTCGGCGCTGGGTTCAGTGGCCTATGTGCCGCTATCCACTTCCAGGAAGGACTCGAGGACTTTGAGTTGACCATCTACGAGAAGGCAGACGATGTGGGCGGAGTCTGTGAGTGCCAAAATAGATGGACAGGTGTTGACCAGGTGTCTAGGGAACGCCAACCGGTATCCTGGTGTCGCGTGCGATGTCCCCTCACACAGCTACCAGTTTTCCTTTGCCGAGAACACCCAGTGGTCCGCATACTATGCGCCCGGACGCGAGATCCATCAGTATCTCCGCAACGTCGCTTCACAGTATGACTTGAACAAGTATATCAAGGTAAGCTGGGAGCGTGTCCGCGATAGGACACTTGATCTGACCCCGTAGCTTCGCCACAGTGTGCGTTCGGCCACATGGGACATTGACCAAGGTCAATGGACCGTCGAGGTTGAGGATCTCGCCACAGGCCAGGTGTTTACGGACACGGTCGACTTTGTGGTCTACGCTACAGGGCTCTTGTCCAAGCCACTGTGGCCTAACATTCCAGGTTAGTCTTTCTCTCATATGGCCGCTTGACTGACAGATATTAGACAAGGAGGAGTACAAAGGGACGTTGCTGCACTCGGGTACCTGGGACGCGGCCGAGTTCGAGTCCCAGCTTGGGTTCAGTTGGGGGGATAAGCGGGTTGGCGTTATCGGAGCGGTGAGTCCCATGTACACAATACTGTGAAAATAAACTGATGGACTCAGGGTGCCAGTGCTGTCCAAATCGTGCCATACCTTCAGAAGAGGGCCAAGGAGGTCATCAACTTTGGACGGAGTAAAGGTGGGAGACTGAGGTGCCATTACCGATAGTGCTAACCAACAAGTGTGGTTGGCCTCGGGCTGGGGATCCAAGATGCTCAGCGCTCTGCAGCCAGACAACGATGACGGCCGAAACTGTACGTTTGCATTTCCTTCTCTGACGTCCTTAACCTAACCTTGGCAGACGTCTTCACCGAGAAGCAGAAAGAGCTGTTCAAGGAATCGCACACATACCGCGCGTGGCGTGCCGAGATTGAGCGTGACCTCGGCTCGAGCCACCAGCTCACCCTTCAGGTGAGTCTACTCCGATACAGAGCGTAATCTAACTCTCCAGGGAAATCCCCTCCAAGCTGTCTACAAGGAAAAGCTTACTGGCCTCATGACCAAGAAGTCGCTGAAGAAACCCGAGGTGGCCGAGGCCCTCATGCCCGATTTTCCCGTTGGGTGCAAACGCCTGACCCCGGGCCCGGGATACATTGAGGCCCTTTGTGAGGACAACGTGAGTTAGCAAGCGCTGCCCCATTTCCCAGAGCTGAACCTCTCCCTCAGTGTGATCTGGTCACCACCCCCATTGAGCGATTCACACCCAACGGCATTATGACCGCCGACGGAGTCGAACACGAGTTTGACATCATCGTCTGCGCGACGGGATACAACGTCAATGGTGTCCCTGGGTTCCCGATCTACGGTATCGGTGGTGTCAATATCCAGGACGCGTGGATGAAGGAATCGCGCACATACCTCGGTCTCTTCTCAGCGGAGCTTCCAAACCAGTGAGTTGAGGGCGACGTTAAGTACCTTGAACTGACTGCCAAGCTTCCACATCCTTACCCACCAGTCCGCTGTTGGTTCAGGTTCTCAGCTCGTTGTCCTCGAACGTCAGTGCCAGTACATGACCAAAGTCATCGCCAAGTGCCAGCGGGACGGATACCGGTCTATCGTGCCCAAGAAATCAGCCGTCGACGATAACATGAAGTATGCGGACGACTACTTCAAGCGCGCCGTCTACTCGACCAACTGCAAGAGTTGGTACAAGGTTGGACAAGCCGGTGCCGCGACTATTCGCTCCATCTGGCCTGGTTCCGGCCTGCATTATTACCAGGCGTTGAAGCACCCTCGGTGGGAGGACTTTGAGTATGAACGAGCCAATACGCACGACCATTCGATGAGCTGGCTCGGCAACGGTGACTCGCTGCCTGGCATTGACGGCGCTACGGTTTATCACGACATGCGGTCGTTCTACAAGGTGAGTCGAATCATTCATTCTGAATTCTCCGCTGACACCTCAGTCGCACGTCACTTTCAACTAGGGTTCGTTCGTGTTGTATAGCTCAAGGATGTTGTCAGGCAGTAAGAAAGACTCAAGGGATACATTGGGTTCAATGGTAGAAGAAGACAAATGCAAGTGTTAGCTTTTTATTCTGCAAAGCTGGTCTGGTCCGTGGCGCATGGATGGGGCGGGGACGAAGAGCCAAGTCCTCGGGCCACTATCATCCATCCGCATATCAAGGATTTGGCGAGGACTGTGCGCAGAAGAGGAGACAGAGCCACAGTCGTACCGTGGGTTCTCGCCCTGATGCTGCGTCAGAATATGATCACCCCCTTGGCTGATGCCATCAGACGCGTCCACCCGCCCGTCACTCAGACAAGCCACTCCAGTGATCGTCATGGTGTCCCGCGACCCCATGCGACCGGTCAGGCTGCTAGTCAGACAGTCTTTTGTGCTTGCCTGCACATGAAGGTTGATCGAACGAACATGTAGAACATGACACCTACTGAAAGGTAAAAGGCTATTTGACGTCTACGAAGGCGATAGTAATATCCAAACTACGAAGGTTTAGAAGCACACACCAGCCCACGCCAACTTACCGTTTACCTTTCTCTTCTTCTCTTCTTCTTTCCCGACCACTAAAGACATGGGAATAAGCCCCCCCACAACACGACGAGACACCTACGGAGACCGGGGGGGGAGGGAGACGGGGGTATAAACAGGCTACGGCGATACGGACGCTACGACTATAGGCGCCTACAGACTATTGACAGAGTTATGGAGGAAGAAAAAGGTTATCTGTATTTTGTTACAAATTAAAGGTAGTTGGCAGCCATCTCAAACACACGCGGGAGGAAGCTGCCGTCAGCGACTTGTTGGGCCAAAGGAAGACTTACGCAGCACCGACACCAAGACCAAAGATCATGGCACCATAGGCCGTGTTGCGGACCACCTTGACGACCGTTGTGCCCTCAACGCGCTTGTTGGTCTTGATGACGCGCTCCTTGCGCGTCGAGCCGCTAGGGAGGGTGGCACCCTCCTCCTCCTGTCCGCGCTTGGCACCACGGCTGCCCTCGGCCTGCGCACCGCCAGTCTCCTCGACCTCGTCGCCAGCAGTCGTGCGCATCTGGAGCTCACGCTTCAGGTCACGCACGAGCTGCTTTGCGGACTCAATCTCCGCGTTCATGTCAATGTTGGCACCGACGGGAGCAGTAACTGTGGTGGTGGCCTCGAGGGTGAGGTGCGTAGGCTCCTCGGCGGGGGCAGGGGCGGCGGGGGGAATGGCGGCCTCGGTGGCGGCGGTACGGCGGGCACGCTTGGAAGGAGGGGCAGCGGCGTCGGGAGCAGTCATCGAAGGGGCAGCACGAGTACGAGTGGCCTCCGTGCTGGCGACAGGGGTGCCGCGGCTACGAGCCAGCTCGTCGGCAGCCTGCTGGGAGCGCTGCGACTTGCGGTACGAGACGCTGGGGTCGGGCTCGGCGCGCGAAAGGGCGAGGACCAGGTCGGCAATGCCGTAGGCGGGCGCCAGGTGGATAGCGAGGTTGCGGGGAACCCTTCGAGAAAACAAGTCAGTCATGGTTGGGCTGGTCCGTGCGCATGGACGAGGAGACATACCACTGGCCGGCAAGACGGACAGCATCCGACTCGGAGCCGCCGTTAGTGTCGCGAGTGTCATAGGACGAACGAACCTGTAGAGTGTCAGCATGGCCGCGTTCTTGTCCCAAAAAGCTCTGTACCCAGTCCATCTCGCGCTTCTCGTCTTCGTCCGAAGACCCCGGGAACGCGACCTTGTACATGGTCGTGAGCGAAACAGCGTTGGTGTCATAGCGGCGGAGGATGAACGCGTGTGTGCTGCGGCCGGGCTGTAGTTTTTGCCATCAGTATTGGTTGGGGCGCGCAGCTAGAAAAAAAAGAAATAAAAAAAAGAATCAGTAAACCTACAGTCTGGACCTTGATGCGGCCGATGACAATCTCCTTTTGCTCGCGAACAATAGTCTGGAACTTGACAATAGTCGCGTCCTCGGTAACTGAAGGAGCATGTCAGGAGGCTTGTGCGAATGGCAATGTGGGTGGCAAAAGTCGGGGGTGACAACTTACGGTCAGGGAGGTAGGGGTTGCGCTTGTCCTCTGGCAGACGGGGACGGTTAACGGTGGGAGGGGTGGGCTGGTTAATGTCGATGCCAGAGTAAGGGGGTGGCGGGGGCAGGGGCGCGTCGACGCCGCTGGCGGCGGGGACGGTGTTCGAGGGGCGAGGCATGATGGCAAGAGATATGCAGGTGTCGAGGCTTGGGGGGCTCGAGGTGGTAGTGGTTGGGAAGTGGATGGATGTTGTGAACAGGGATGACAAGGATGTAACAAGAACGGGTGGGGGGACACAAGTGACGGTGGGGGCAATGGGGGTGGAACGAGACGGCGTGACTGCACTGGGCGCGTCCTTTTACGTAACCATAACATCCTAATACACTTTGGGCATTAGGCCCAATAGGGTTATACGTTTAAATACAATTAGGAACTACATATCGCCGAGAAGCTGTGACTGTGGCACTTTGCCACCCGTTAAATTACGTAATTTGAAAACAAAACTCTGCCGTGGGAATCTTGGCAGACCTTGCCTTTACGTAATATGTGATCTGTAGGACAGCGCTCAGGGCCGGGCTTCAAAATTCGAACGGCCGTCTGGTCCACCCACTTGTAGTCAGGAGAAGTCTTGCAGCTTGCCTCGACAACAACCACCCACCACCCTTATCCGCTCACCATGCCCAAGTCCAAGCGCCAGCGCGTGACAACGCTCTCCAAGACCCCCGTGCGCACGACCAAGGCTTCCAAGGTCGCCCTCGTCAACGAGATCCGTGCCAACATTGACCAGTTCGACCATGTCTGGCTCTTCTCCGTCGGCGACATGCGCAACGAGGGCCTCAAGGAGGTGCGCACCCAGTGGCGCGGTACTGGCCGCTTCTTCTTTGGCAAGACCCGTGTCATGGCCAAGGCTCTCGGTGTGAACCCCGAGACTGAGCACGACGACGGCCTCGGCCAGATTGGCAAGGTAAGTGGTCACGAGACAAGGCAACAACAACACACACTTGTGAACAATGCTGACGCTTTGTCCTTAGCGCCTCCGCGGACAGCTCGGACTCTTCTGCACCTCGCACCCCGTTGACGAGACCAAGGAGTGGTTTGAGACCTGGACCAAGAAGGAGTATGCGCGCATGGGTGCCAAGGCCACCATGGACGTTTCGCTCCCCGCCGGCCCCCTCCTGACTCCTTACACCGAGGACGAGTCGGGCGACCCCTTCCCCCACTCGATGGACCCCCAGCTCCGTGCTCTCGGTCTTGACACCACCCTTGTCCGTGGTGTCCCCTCGCTTGCCAACGCGCACGTTCTCTGCCGCAAGGGCGAGAAGCTTTCGAGCGAAAAGTGCCGTATCCTCAAGCTCCTTGCGATCCAGATGGCTGTAAGTGGCTGATGTTGCTGGGTGGTCAACCACTGCGAGACAGAGGGCTGACGCTTGTTTACAGGAGTTCCGTATTGTTCTGGGCTCGCACTGGACCAAGGGAACTGGATTCGTCGAGGGCGAGGAGCTCGAGGGCGGTGACGAGGAGAACGAGATGGACGAGGACTAGACAACCTGTACAACAGCCTACTGTACGCTTTTACTTGCATATACCGTACACTCTCGTTTCGGGACACTGGTCGCAGCCAAAGCCAAGGGCCACATTGCAACTTAACAAAGGCAATGGGGACAATACTGACTATAGGTCTCATGGCCACTGACGCCAAGGCGACGTCTCGAGAACCTTTACCGCCCGTGCAACGCAGCCCCACGGCAATCAAGATACTTGGGCACAAGTCCTCGCAGCCCAACAAACCGACGACAGAGGCCGACATGTTGCCTTCGGGTCTTCAGAGGTTATGATGATCGAACTTTGAGCTGATACCCTGGCCACCGTCTCGTTGGGAGCACTTCGGCTTGCTGCGGATAAGTATGCCGTACCACCCCGGCATCGCTTCAGACCTGCCATACCGCTACCCACAGCAGCCGACGTTCGGGTTTACCAGAACGCTGACACGGCTGGGTGCTCGCTCTGGGATGGTTTCAAAGCAATAGCCTCGGCTTGTTCTCGCTACCGTTTGGGAGATGCCAAAGGCTTGATGGCTGATGAGAATGACAACGATAAATGGGCATGCACGGTAAGGACCACAAGAAAGCCACAAAGCGTGGTGGTCATGTGCAGTCGCCAACTTGGCACACGCCAGATGCGCCACAGCCGGCACATGATGTGCAATGTGACGGCTGTAGCTCGCGGCTTCTAATCCTCAGTTGTGACGATGCGTCAAGTGTTAGGGACACGGTGGTTGCGTACTGTGGTGTGCTCCACGGCACTAATGTGCATACACGCTATCGTCTAGGTGGTCTAAGTAGTGGGTTACAGATCTGAATGTGGGACGAGGGGGATGAGGGACTACAACCAAGGAGGTACAAAACACATAAACAAAAACAGAAGACTGCAAGCCGAGGGATAGCAAAAGGATGAGGTAGTGGCACACGCGCAATTATGACTGACTGTCGTTGTCGAGGAGAGCCATGAGCCCCCCCATGGCCGCGACATTGCCGTGGCCCGAGTTGATACTGCGAGTAAGGTGGTACTTGAGACCGTTGGCCTGCTTGTATACCTTGCCACATCCTTCGATTGGGCAGCGGAAGCGCTTCTCCCCCGGTGGCTGCTGACACGTCAGTGTGAAGAAGCATGGTGGTAGTCAACTCACGTCCTGGCTCTCCTCCTGTTCTTCCTCCTTGGCCTGCTTCTCGGCCCTCTTCTGCGCCTTCTTGAGCATCTTGGCCTGGGCGAGCTGCTCTGGTGTGACGCCGACAGGGAGCTGAGGAGTAGCCGGTGTCGAAGCCGATGATGACGTTGACTGACGCGGTGTCGTCGGTGTGGGAGGCTGCGCTGCTGGCGGTGGCGGTGCGTACGAGAGGACACTGGGCGGCACACATGCAGGCGGTTGCATGTTTGTTGTAAGGGTCCTGAACGCACCGGTCCAAGGAACATTGGTTCCCGGCTGGAGGTTGACACTGAGACTTGCGACTGAGGCTTGCTGGAGGAGGGCACTCGGGGTGACTGGGCTGGGCTCGTCCATTTCAATGTCCATCATGCCAGGCGTTGTCGGTGCATCACCGTGACCCATGGCACCCATGGACGGAGTGAAGGAACGCTTGGCGATGGGAACAGGCCCCTGGCCAGACTGGACAGCGTTGATTGCAGCCATGCGAACGTCAGGGTCGAGGCCGGCATGGTGCTCCTCATAGCTTAATGTTGATCAGCCCAACTGGAACCAATGCCCACCACTGGATTACTCACTGTTCCAACAACTCGTGCAGGCCCGAGAGCTGCTTGCCACAGCACGTAAAGTCCTTGACGTACTTGGCCTCGAGCTCACGGTCCCGACTGTCGGCTGTTCGGCCAAAGCTAGTACCCAGAGCACCGACGCTGCCCACAAAGCTACCACTGCCGAAGCCTCCCATGCTGCCTGGCGCCCACCTGGGCGGACTAATGCTCATGGCCATGCTCGACGAGTACGGCGATGAGCCTGTCTGTGTAGCCCCAAGAGCGAGCGCAGAGAAGGACAACGGTGCTCCAAACGATCCTGGATGGAATCCAGAGTGGGGGTTTGATGACGGAGACGCATTGCTGGGTGGCGTGCTGTTGCCAAGGTCAGCCCACATTATGCTCTGTCATTCAGGACAACACTGCAGTCGCTCGTGTCCGGGAACCACCATGTGAACCATACGTACCCATTCGCCTGCATCATGGTGCTGAGGCCGCTGATAGACGAGTCACCGATCCTGGACGGCCCCGCCTGGGCATTCATGTCACTGAAGCTGGTCTGGCGAGGGAAGCTTCCGCGAGGAGGCCCACCATGGGCAGTTGCTGGGATTGGCAAGAAGCTGGGTGTCTGTTGCATGTTGGGCAGCTGGGCGAAGGGCGTCCAAGACGGATGTGGTCGCTCTGGTTGGGTTGGGTGGCTACTGTGCACACCAAGCTTGTGACGGCGAGGGCGTTGAGACAACTGTGGTGGATGATGGTGATATTGTTGTCGAGAATGAGTGGCTCGGATGGATGCTTGCCCAGTCTGGCCAGTCTCCCCTGAAGATTTGTAGCCAAGAATTGCCGCTTGGGGGAATAATTCGCACCCAGAACCGCTCTCGACCGCTCACATGTCCCACCCCCTCGCGCGACCAGTCGTGTGCACACTGCCCGTTTGGTCTCCTCATACCCACAGCATGTCCTCCTCCTCACAGCCAGCTGTGCAACTGATCTACCACATGAATCCTGCCTTCAGGAGCATATGTTGTGCATGCATGTATAGATGCGTTACACCATACGACGCGCCATGCGGGTCGCAGGGCACACACCCTTCTCCGATGTGGACCACCCGGTGGCGTGCGAGAGCGCCAGATCCCCATACCGCACGCAGCAACAACCGCACACCCAAAATTTGATCCCGCCTGCGTCATCGCCACCCAAGTGCCGGATTGCACGTGACCTCCCTCCCACGTGGTCTTATATCATGCAGCGCGCAGCGCACAGCGCATATGCAGCCTGGGGGCTCTGCATGAGTGTACCCGTACAACCACCGTCGTCCAGTTGGCTGCACTCGTCTTGGCCTCTCTCCTATCTCTCTCTGTGCTCCTCGTCGTCGCACACATCCCACCGGCTGGCCCGTCCACTCCCTCCCCCCCTTCTCCCCGGCCATTACCAGGCAGACATTGATTGACCCATGGCAACAGTAACGGAAGGTAGATACCCTTTCCCAAACCTCACAGCCTTGACTCACACACATTCCCAGTCCTGCAACGCCTGGAGGGCTTCCCGCAGGACCTTGCCTCATCCCTCGAGATCGGTCCCAACGTCGACACCGCCGAGCTCATAGCCTCACTCGACAGTGTCGCCCACCTCAATCCTGAACCGGAGGCGCGCAACTGTATCGTCCAAGTAGCCGCCAAACTGCCATCAAGTCGCGTGCTGGAGGACACGGAACTGCTATGGGCCCAGGATGCGGGACCGAGCGTGCCAGCAGTCACAAAGCACATTGTCGCCGCGATTGACGATGGGACGTTTGACAAAAGGAAATGGGTCCTTGCTGCGGCCAAGTCAGACTCGTTGCGTTCCCGCGACGTCGCCGTCACATGGGGCCGCGAGCATTTTAGCGTAAGATAAGGGACACACCAACCCGATGCTGACGGACTCCAGGACCTCCTCGCCATCTGCAAGGACGAGTTCGCCGACCCAGCATTACGTGCTGGTGTCCTTACCGTCATCCAGTCGATTGTCCTTGCGGTGCCATACTCCCCCGAGACACCCATCGCTCAGACACTAATGTACCAACTGGCCCGCGACGACTTCTTCCCTCTGGTCCTCGACTCACTCCTGTTCGACACCAACCACCAGCTCTTTGTCCTCGCGCTCTCGGTTCTTGTGACTGTTCTCCCCTTTGCCCTCCAGGTCCTCATCACCCGTGTGCCTCTCCTAATGGTCGTGCTCGGCCGAGCCATCAGCTGGCGCGACCGCCCCTTCATTGACGCCGGCCGCCCGGCCATGTCTGGTGCGACCTTCACCCCTTTACCAAACCCTTCCCACAACTGGGTCATCGCCACGTCCACCACCCACCAAAAGGACCCTCACAGCAGCGGCGACATGACCGCTTCATCACCCATTGAGAAAAGGATCGTGCAGCTGCTTCTCATCGCCCTGTACGGTGCCTGGCCGTCCAATGTGTTGGCCTTCACTCGCGACGCCCCACGGTACCTCGATTTGAAAGACGTGGAGCCAGTGTACGCCATCCCATGGGACGACGTGTGGGAGCAAGACCAGCTGGCCGGAAAGCTGCTCCCCTTGATTGCCGATTTCCAGCTCCACCCCTCGATCATCACCCACACGTCGTTGGGCGAGCTCCAGGATCTGAAGCGTTGGGAGAAGTACGACCCTTCGGAATTCGTCTCCATGTGCCACTTGCTATCGCACAGCACCGAGGATGACATGTTTGATTTCTTCAAGGTGCCACAGGTCCAGCTCGACCCTCAGCCTGCCGTTACGGCGGTGGATGCAGAGACTGGCGTGGCCGCGACGGACGACATTGGAAGGTTGAAGGAAGAAAATGAGCTGTTGCGCTTGGAGGCGCTATACACTGAACGATTGAGGAAGCAGCTTGTCTATCGTGAGTTATCAATATCTCCCCTTCGGCTAACTCTCAGACATTGGTCGACTGCACCGCAACTCGCTGCGCTTCAACAGCGACGAGGCCGAGATCCACACTTTTGTCAACCGTCTCAAAGAGCAGGCCAAGTCAATTTCGACCCTCACCGCCGAGCTGTCCCAGCAACGTACCGAGGCGTCACAGGCCCAACAAAAGCACGTGAAATGGCAAAAGGAGCTGCGCGATAAGGTCTCTGGGTTCCGCGAGGAGCGTCGTAACTGGCAGACGGAGGCTTCTACACTGCGTAGCGACTTGAGCGAGGCGCACCAAAACCTTGCCAAGCAGCGCGACGAGCTTGCCGACGTCAAGAACCAGCGTTTCGTGCTCCAGAGTCAACTGCTTGAGGCCACGCCCAAGCTCCAGCACATTGCCGACTTTGAATCAAGGATACAGCAGCTCACCGACTCGCAGCTTTTATGGTGGGTTTCTGAAAGCAACAAACAATGCTAACTCCACAGGGACAGCGACGTCCAAAAGATGCGCGATGCAATCTCCCTGGCGCAAGCAGTTCAGAGCCGTTGCTTCGAGCTCGAGGGCATGATTCAGGCGCGCGACAACATCTGCCGCGAACAGGCAGAGATGATCCAGCATCTCGAGAACCGCGTCGTCATTGCCACCTCTGTGCCTCCCACTCCTCCCGTGTTCGAGCGCCCGCCGACCCAGCCAGAGGCTGCCGACGCGAGCTTTTACATCAATGTCGCGGAGAATGCGCGTAAGCGTGCCGAGAGGCTCGAGCGCGAAAACCTCGAGCTCAACGTCGAGGTGGAACGGTTGCGGCGCATGTCGATCGCCAATGCCGCTACCGATGCGAGCAGGAGTCTACTGTTCGGCGAAGGATAGCACGTTCCTACACCGGCCTCAGTCCCTCCCAACACACCTAGAACGTTGCGGATCGGAAACGACGACCAGCAAGTTTTAACGAAACCAAAAATACACACAACTGTATGCGGGCGCACCCGAGCACCCCATCTTCCGGCAGCTTTGAGCGCCAGATGATCTCCCTATCGACAGAGACGTAACCGGTCCAGGCATTCAATTTCCATTGGAGCGCGCGGTAATGGAAACCCACCACATACATGCCGCTACTTATGCATGAACTCAAGTAGCACAAGCTACACACGCGACTGCCAGCCTACGGTGTCTTCTGCTGACAACCTTGCTTCCTTCTAACGTACACACCGCTTCAAGCTTGGTTCACACCGTGGCGTTGAGGAGATCCATGAGCATCTCCTCACGGCTGTAGTGCCCCACGGGGTCAAAGTCGAGCTTGGCCCCATCAATGAGACTCAAGTCGAGCTGGGATGTTAGTCTCCTTGCCAAGAGCTCTCGGTCTCGGTAACTCACATCCGCGTAAATGATTCCTTCCTTGTCCCATAACGGCCCGGCCAGCACGTCGCCCAGAGGACCGATAATGGCGCTCCCGCCGCGGGACCACACTTCGGGGATCTTGTCTGCGCATCCCAGATGGGCCTTGTGTTCTGGGTGGGGCTGTTCTGCGGATGGTGGATAGTCGGCTGGGAAGTCGGTGGCGGCGTGGTATTGGTTGGCTGCAGAGTTAGCCAGAAGGAAACCACATGAGAAGCAGGTTGGCACACGTCTGTCGCATTTTCCAGACCGGGGCCGGGTGCAGCGGCAGTGCGACGTGTTCCGGGTGATGGAAGCGACTGGGTCGCGAGTCAGCAGCACTGAGGTTGTTGGGGTACCTCGGTTCGGCGCCACGTTCCGCTCCCAGGAGGTAATCGCCCAGCGGGGTCTCTCCTCAACGGGCTCCAGCGCTGTATCCACGGCCAACTCACCAGTTACCACAAAGCACCGGCCTTCCTGTGCTATATGTTGCATGGACGGCAACCACGTCTGGCGCCCGTCGGCTGTGGGGGCGAGGTAACTGCGCGTCAGTCCGCTGTGAGCTGGAATGAACTCACATCTCGACACCCTTCTTGTACAGCAAGTAGCGGGCGAGGGGCATAAAGTCTTTCTATCAGCTACCATCTCAAGAGTGTCCGCAGCTAACTCACTCTCCCAGCATATCAGCCCGCCAATCTTGCCGACAGGAGTAGAAACCACTGGCAAGTTGTCTGTGCCCTCGCTCTTGGGCTTCATACCCCCGTCCTCTGTTCTCTCGCGCTTCAATCCAGTCGGGTTGGTCCTCTCGCCTTGGTTCCACACAATCCTCTCGGCGGCAGTAGGCTGAATCTTGCGGTGTTTCGAGAGCAACATGCCCGTGGGGCCGAACAGAAGGTTGGTGCACCACAAAGTCGAGCCGACGTTGGCGGCCTCTACGACACCGACAGATAGATAGAGGGTGTACTTGCGTGCAATCTGGGCCAACTGCTGGAACGCCCAGTAGTCTTGGTCTGGGCGCTGCTCAGTGGATGTTGAGAGCCAGTCGCGGCCTTCGGCTCCGTGTGGGACTTTGACAGAGGACTGGACGACTGTTAGCCAGTGGGAGAGCAATCGAGATGAGGGGGAAACATTACATCTCCGACATGGCCAGTACCCACCTTGACGTACCGCCCGTACCACTCCCTGCTCTCCTGCGTCCTGCTGCCGATCCGGAAATCGAGGTGACGCGGGTACGCGCTCAGAAAGGCTTCTGGCAAAACGACAATCTCGGCGCCATTCTCACGAGCGGCAAATACGAGCGAGCGGAGCTTGTGCAAGGACTTGAACAGATCATAGGCTACAGGAGCGGCTTGGACGGCTGCGACCCGGACGTTTGTGCGGGGAGTGGCGGGGCCGGACGCGGACATGATACCTGGCTGGAGATGTGGGAGTGGCGGTGGCGGATGCGACAAGATGTCTTCAGCCAAGAAGGTGGTCCCAAGGCTTGGTACAAAGACGGAGCGAGGATCTAACCTTTGCAGTAGGAAGTGAACTGTATGTATGGTGAGGGTGAATCAGACGGGGGGGGGGGGGGAGTGGGCAAGAAACGATGGCAGCACAAACGACGATAGCCCAGTATTATGAACCACTCGGCAACATTGAGGTGGAGGCACCGGAATCTCGGCAGACACGCCGCTTTGCGCATCGAGGCCCCGCGTTTGTCATCTTCCGTGGCACGACGCCAATTGTGCCCGCCTGTTACGCGAGTACACTCTGCGCTCTTCTGCATGCCCGGGCCGGTGTCAAAGGCCTGGAACGACGCGCCAGGGGGATGCAAATAGCAGATGAGCCGCCGAGGCGTCAGAGGAGATCTGGGCGTAGGTACCGGGCCGTTGCGGTGGCAACAACTGAGACATCCACTCGTCCATCGATACCTCTCCGCCGATAAACAACATTGTCGACACCACCAGGTCTCTGAGATGCCAACTGGCAAAAGGAGATGCTTGCCAGAGACATGCTTCAAGGCCCTCGCCGGGATTTGAACCCAGGACCACTTCCATAGCTAGAGAACGGAGAACGAATCCGAATTGGATTAGAGACCAGGACTGGACCCTAAGAAAGTATGATAGCCACTACACCACGAGAGCCGCTTGCAAGGCAGTTCGCTGACGTAGGGAGAGGGAAGTAGGGAGGTAGTTGACGTGGCTCGTGGAAGATTGAGTTGCTGGGGCAGCAGATGGCAAGGTAGTCGACACGCGACTCTGCCTGTGGAAGTCGGAAGGGTTGGCTAGGCTCCGATCGCCCATGAGCGGTAGAAATAACTGGTTACTCTGAACACGGTCATGACATTGGCACTCTGACAGCTCCATTCGGGCGCCTCAGGCCTTGAATGCTAAGAGTTTGACTATATCTCTGTTATGGACGTGCATGTGGTCTCCGCAGCTCATCGTCGGCAAAGCTGATTATTCTGTGGCGTCCAAGAATAACCATCACGTTTCCAATAATTATCCACTTTAATAAAGCAGTAACAGTGCTGCCCATACGTCTTGTTGCCCCACACGATGTCGGCACTACTCTGATTAATTGGTTTTGTGAAGGAACACTTAATGTCGTTAGCCGTAACCAACTACGGCCAGGAGTTAACACGAATGTCGTGGCTGATTTGACCCACTCGTCTCCGACAGGGCAGTTTATTGTGCCTCAGAGAACATGTTGAACAACCTCCAAGAAAATGGTCATTGAGCTGGAATCGCAGAGGAACATGAGGAATGACAGTCGGTGACAGCTCGTATAAACAGTCGACACTGAAATTCTGGGCCCCGGCAAAACCCCCTTTCGCATTCATTTTCCTATCATGAAAACATGGACACCTGGTGATGAGTGACATGCAGCTAACATGCAGTTGCCATTGACATTCAAGGGTTACGATCGTCTAACGATAAGCATAAAGGAGCCTTGGACCCCGGTAACTGATAACTGACTTACTCTCACTCAAAGAACTGTCAACAAAGTGCCAGGTTTCCCCGTCCGCAGTCGCTCAGAAAAGAGATCAGAGACAGAAGTGCCCACAGCCCGTCGTATGTCACCGCGGCGGCAGCGACAGGCAGCGTTACATGTTGCATATCTCTGGCTCGCGCTCTTGGCTCGTATGCTCCTGTGAGCAGGGCATATGGCATGTGCACAGACCACACGACAGCGAACAGATCAAAAGCGACGCCAAATTGCCCCAGTCGCTCGTATTGCCGTCTTTCCGGGTGCGCGGTCATCTTCAGGGTCTGACCGTCACAACAAGAGATCTGAGCGTCGATTTTGGGAATCCCATATCTTGTACTGTGTCGTCCCATAACACGATGCGCAGGTAACTTTACTCGTCCAACTGTCCCGTATACCCCCCTCACCACCACTCTCCACCCCGCCGCACAACATGTATACGGGTCTCTTTGTAGGCCAGCCGCCGCCATCCATCCCTGTGCTCAATGCGTGGCTCGACGACCACAACGTCCAACGCGTCGACGGCGTTGAGATTGCACCCATGGCTAGCGGCTCCGGACTACGGCTGGTGGCGACTCGCGACCTCGATGTCGGCGAGACGAGTACGTCCACGTCTGGTTGACCCGAAGCCCGGCTCACGACTGACAAATGGTTCCCCAGTCTGCAAGATTCCCAAGTCTGCCCTCTTATCGACACGAACTAGCCCGCTGCCGATGCTCTCTCGACCGTCCAGCACGACGACATCGCACACCATTCTCGGCCTGGCCCTGGCGCTCCTCCACGAGCTCCGACTCGGGGTAGACTCTGATTTTTGGGGCTACATACAGTCTTTGCCGCGAGAGGCTGTTCCCATCCCGACTTTGTGGCCCTTGGAGGACGCTGGGTCCGACGCACAGCTCGCCATCCCGTGGCTGCGGGGCACGGAGGCCGAGCGCGATCTCAGGCGGCGCGAGCGCGAAGGTGTGGGACTGGTGAGTAGGGTACTAGAGATATCGAGCGCGAACTAGGCTAATCTCTCTCAACCCTTTTCCCAGGTTCACTTGCGCGCATTCTACGACGCGGCCCTGCCCCACCTCCCACCAACACGGCTGCACGCTGAGCCCTCGCCCTTTGATGCGTTTGCCTACGCCTTTTCTTTGGTCAGCACACGCGCGTTCGTCGTCGACCTGTATCACATGGTCGCGCTGTGCCCGTTTGCCGACATTCTCAACCACTCGGCCAACAGCCATACCTCGTTGGCGAGCGATGATTTCGTGTGTCACAAGTGCGGGCAGCTCTCGAGCTGTGACCATGACGTGCTGGGTCCCAACGACTTGCCTGCTCGACTGGAGCATGTGAGCCCCGCCGAGGTTGAGCGTATCGAGCACGAGCCCGACACCGTCGACATGTACGTCGAATGGGGCGTCCCCGCCGGCCGCGAGGTGATGAACTCGTACGGCGAGAAGATTGGCGAGGCTCGTTTGCTCGTCGAGTGGGGATTCGTGCCGGGCTCGCGACCGGCCCCTCTTGATTCTGAGGACGAAGAGGACGCCGACAACCAGGACCTCGAAGACGATGCGGATGAGCACTTTGCCGGCGACGGCGTGACATGGGACATTGACGAGGTTGTGGACGAATCGCTCGCGCTTGAGTGGATCGAGAGGGAGGAAGGCGACCCCGAGGCCCTCCTGCTCTTCCCTCTCGACGCGTCCACTCCGACGACTGCAGAGGGCTTCGCGGACGACAGCGCACTCATCTGTGCTCCCTCGGACCGCGAGGGCGTGTACCACCTCAACTATGCCGGTCAAGTCTCGCTGCGTATCTTTGGCGCACTCCACCTCGCCGAGACAAAGCGATTGGGTGACACCAACTCCACTTTAGTCTCAGATATCAACCACCTAGAGGCGGCGTGGGAGCATATCCAGAACAGCGTAGATGTGCCCACCCTCGCACCGACGTTACTGGCCACTGCCAAGGCCATGAGGGCGCTCATCGCCGACCGCCTCGACGGTATGAACCGTCCCAAGCTCAGCGTTGGGGACTTGTACGATTTGAGAGAGGTGGGTATCTGACTCTCAGACGCGAAGCTAACCCACCAGGACCTTGCTCCTGATGCCGACCTCCAGGCCATGGCACTGACAATTGTCATTAATGAGGTAGCGCTCCTCCGCTCGGCTCTCGAGCGATGGGATGATCTGCTCCAGTTTGCGGGCGACAAGGACGACGACGACGAGTAGACGGACCAATGTTCAACATGCGGACTCTTCATACACATACGTGACTATAATACAGCACATGGTAACCTGGGTTAATGGTAAACAAGAGAATGAGGTCATGCACAGTGGGGAGGGATACAAGGATTCGTGGTGGAGAAGGGGAAGGGGAAAGGACTGGTTCAGTCCGAGTCGTAGCGTCCGTCGGCCTCGGGGTTGCGTCCGCGGCCAAGGAGGGGACCTTGATAGTAGGACCTGCGAGGTCAGTTGTGCACGCATCCGCGCGTCCGAAACTCACGAGATGTCGCGCACGCCGCTCATGCCAAGAACGCTGGCCATGTTGAGGCTGAGCGTCAGCGAGAATCTTCGGTGTGCGACTCACTATCCCTTGGAGCTGGTGGTGATCTGACCATTGGGGTCACCCTTGGTAGCGGCAGGCGTCTCCCAGGCAGCACGGCACCACACACACGTAATGGGACCGCCCTTCTTGCGCTGGACGTCAGTCGCGTGGTCGTAATGTAGAGAACTCACCGCTGCCGAAGACCACATGTTGAAACACTGAGTGTGAAGAGCTGTTCCCATGAGTTCAGCTTGTAGAGAAATTGCCACTCACGCTTGCCGCAGCCTTGAGCAGTCATGTCGAACACCAGCTGGCCCCTGTCGTTTTCCTCGGCGGTCATTTCTTCGAAACAACTGTGGAGAGTTAGTGCCATGATGGAAGACCTCGTTCAACTTACACGGGGCAGTCGTCACCGAGAGCAGAGAGACGCTTGCCATCATCGTTGCTGGGCTGTGGGGCAGCCTCGGACGGACCAGCGTCATCGTCGTCGGTCACAACAGCACCAGCAGCCCTGAGATACGCCTTGCGCGCCTCGTTGGACGCACTGGCGGAGGCTGTATCCTTGGCGCTAAGGGCCATCGCCACTTCGTCCGGCTGCCATGTCAGCTGCATATTCACCGACTCTTAGTTGTGACGCACGAGGAGAGCCTTCTGGTACCAAATGTGAGACGAACGGGGGACCTTGAGGACCTTCAGGCTGAGAGTTAGCTTCCCAATATGATCTTGCACCCACAAGATGAAGATCAGGTGTTTGCAAGGGCAATTGCCCTTCAAAGCGTCGGGGCAGTCGCATGACATGATGGTAGAGCCAAGGGTGATAGTCTAAGGGACGTTAGAGCTGCCCTTTCGTCTCGTCGCTCACATAGACGTTGCCAGTCGAGCCGGCGACCTTGAAGATCTCCATACGCTCATCGCCAATGCTAGCGTCGATGCGATCAACCATGAACTAGAAAGAGGTCAGTTAGACGCATGCTTTGAAAACCTCACCATGCGCTGTGCCATGACACGTTCCACTGAAAGCTAGTTAGAATGGAGAGCCCACGACAAGATGAGACGTACTACGTTCATTAATGGAGATCGGAGCCCTTTGTAGGTTAGCCAGCATCCGTTGCCAACGCATTACCTACTTCTTGCGAAAACGAGCGCTGCGCTTGGGAGCATCCTTGTCAACAATGGGCTTGGGTTTCTTGGACGTGGACGCCTGGTTGTTGTTGAGGTCTTTGGTATCGCCCGGGGTCACGAGCTCGTCACTAGCTGGGCCATCGGCAGTGGGCTTTTTGCGCTTGACGCGAGGTGGGCGAGTGTCGAGGGGGGTACCGTCTGGAAAGCACTCCTTCTTGTGTCCCATGTTTGAAGGTGGGTGATTGGGGTCGAGGTCAAGGATATGATGGGAAGAAGCAAGGACGCCAAAGTGCGCGTCATATTGTTTTGGCCAGGTGAGTGGACTGTCAACAAACGCGGGGACCCCGCGGAAATTGGCTCCGTCGCCTGACGTCAGGCTCATACGCTGGTCCGTTCACGCGCCGTGTGTCTCGATGCTGCAACGTTGTGGTCTGTCTTCCCTCGTCTGTCTTCCCTCGTCTTCCCTCGTTAATCACAAGAAGCACAGCCCTTCCCATCAACTTCTATTTCACACTTATCCCATCACCCATTCTCACTCTAACGTCTGACACTTCCATTGCCATTGACCAAAGGCTCTCACCACCGAGAGCTGCTCAGGTGCGTGTTGTACGACCCACCCGTGTTAACGTTCCTCAGCCCGCATTCGTATGATACTTCCCCACCCAGACCGCCAGGCGAGGTTCAAGTCGAAGAAGATGAAGCGTGGGCGCGGCGTCGTTTTGTCCATCACTCCCGTCACCCCCAGCGTCCTTCCTGTTACCGTCGGCCACGCTTTGCCTGAACCCTCCATCCCTCCTGCTACCCCAACCTCTCTCCCTCGCTTCCCACCGCCTCTCCCCATCGCCAAGTCGTTGAACCTGCGTACCAAGAAAGAGAACCAAACCGCTGCAAACATCATGAAGCAGCTCCTGGACGACGACAAAGGTGACGAGCTCGCCCAAGTTCCGCCAGAGGAGGCCACCCTCGACCTCGCCGGCCACGCAAACACAGCCACTTCTGCCGCCACTGCCTTCCCTCCCCGCCCATACTACCTTCCTTCCAACCCCAACGGGCTTTCTTACATGGAAGGCAAGTTCCACGACGAGTATCGCGTTCCCCTCAAGGCCCTTCGTAGTCTCGAGCACTTTGGCAATGGCGATCAGGAGGAGCTCTGGAAGTCTCAGTCCAACCACCTGCTTTTGGGACAGACAGTAAGTGGTACTTCGCGCATTCGTTTGTTTACCACTCAGCCTCAGGTCAAAGACCACCAACCCCTTGCTTCCTCCGATGACCAGATGCCTTCATCGGACTTGTCCGAAGCGGAGGACCTCGACCTGGAGATCCCCGAAGACTTCAGCATGCACGACGAGGTGGCCGCCATGGATACCCCCGAGGAGACTCACAGGGCTACCCAGCTTTTCGTCAGCGACGCCGGTTGCGATATTCCGATGCCTCGCGCTGATGAAGGCGACTATGTTCCCCGCGTCTGCCTGGACCCCGATCTTCCCCCGATGGCCGTAGAGCACCCGGCAAGGGTGTGGAATTCCATGCTTCACGCGCTCTCCGCGGAGCTCCAGCCTCTGATTAGGTGGGCGTACGATGAGGTTGAGATTAACGCCATCGGTGAGTGCAACTATCAGGGACGTGACCTTGTTAACGAACCAGGCGACATGGGTTTCCTCGCGCACCTCACTCTCATTCTTTCCCCTTCGCACCCGGCTGTCAGCAGTCACCCGCTCTCCAAGTTTCTCCCCAAGAATCGGTACGAAAAGGAGTACCTCGTCGTTATGGAAGCGCTTGGTGGTATCAAGACTTGGACTGGGTCTCCCAGAAGGCTCAAGGTAGGTTTCACAGTTAGATTCCTGCTGAACTACTCAGGCCGACGCTCAGAACACGACCTTGACCACTTGCATTGCTGAGAACGCGCTCGCTTGGGTCCATGCGCCGATGATGGCCGCGGTTCCCGAGGACGAGGACGCCCCGCCTCTCCCACCCCACAAACCCTTCCCCGTTCTTCTTCAACCTGGCGTCGAGGTCGAGGGCGGGATGGAGAATATGCCTGGCAAGGCCACTCTGGTCAAAGCTCTCGCCGCATTCCCTGCCGATAGTCACGTCTCCATTCTCATCGAGTTTGACCAAAATGAGGACACTGGTTGTAGGTCAAGTTCACGCAGACCCTGCTAACCTCTTAGTATATGGATCGAGCCTCCTGGTCGGCGTGGAACCCGAGGTCCAGCGCTACATCGAACCGTGCTACCACGTCACCACGGAAGCGGCTCAAGAGGCTGCCTGTCAGCGTGCCTTGAACCTCAACGTTGTTGAATTTCTCGTTTGGCTCGGTGCTGGGGCTGTTGAGGAGGACGGTGACTCGAATTCAGGTTGGTGGTATGTGTGTTGATGCTTTCGCTCATCAACCAGCTCCGCATCAAGTTGTCAAAGCTCCCACTGACAGTGAGCTCACGACCAGGGCCAATGGCACGAGCGACACCGTCGATTGGCAGAAGCAGCTTGATTGTGAAGTTAACCGCACCTTTGTGTCCTGACCTCCCAGACTTCTGCCAGCAATCGGGCCTGACTGCTCCCAAATACAGCCAGACTATGGTAAAGCGCAACGGCCAGCCGACCCTGTTCATTGGGCTCGTCAGTGTTGACGACGAAAAGTTTGAGACCAAGTGAGCGGAGTGCATTATCTGCTCGTGTCAGCTCGACTAACGACCCAGGACCACTCATCCTAGCCTCAAAGACGCACGTCAGGCTGTGGCCTTTGAGGTGTTCCGCGACCACTTTGGCCAAGAGCCCGAGGCGATGCTGTGATCTCTTTAGCGTCCTGTTGAAGTGACGCTTGCGTGTGTGCTTTTCTGTTGCTGTTATGTTGTATCTGTATGACTGTCCCCACAATGCACGCGCGCTTCATGCACAGCCACTGTTGCAACCAAACCATTCTCGTTGTCTGGTTCTGTTGCCCGTTGTGGTCTCCTTGGGTTGGACGATGACGTCCGCTGTGCCTGAGCTTTGATGGGTGGCCACACGATCCCTCCCCTAATTCAGAATTCGCCGCCCAACTGTTCTGGTGTCTCTCCTCTCATTCACAAACTATTCCACTACTCTGCCACCTTCTATTGCAGAGATAGGAGACATACACAGCATAATGGACACGCCATTGTCCACCGCACTTGACGTGCTCGCCACCGCGACTAGCACTGCGTGGGAGGCCGTCACAACTGCCATCGACGAATTACCTGGCGCTGTTTTAAACGACACCAGCCCGATTACCATCCCTCCCACACCGCCCGACGAGGTCTACTCTGAGGGCAACTATGTGGTCGTGAGTTATGGTTGCCATGCTGTACTGCTGCGCAGCATGAAGGTCTCTGTCGTATTGAGGCTGACTCCGGGCGCAGAACACAATCCTCGGCCTCCTCATCGTCCTCGGCGCGTCCGTGCTAAACGCCCTCGGCCTGAATATCACCAAGCTCGACCACCAGCAACAGCAGGCCATTCCAAAGCGCGAGCGAGGAAAGGAGTATCTCCGTCCACTGTGGCTCGCCGGCATGGGCATCTACATGTGAGTTATGGGACGATTGGCTGGCGTGGTGATGTCCGGAAATGCCGTTGCGGCGGCCAAGCCCCAAGCAACGCCGTTCCGCGGCCGCCGGTCACCGCCAGCAAAAGTCTCGGAGACAACGTCGCCCCTCCTGTCCACCCCTGGACCGCACGGTGCACAGCACCGAACGATGAACGCATGAACGAAAGAGCATGCGGGTACGCTGGTGTGCTCGCGTGCCGGTGGACCGTGCATCGCGTAGCCGGCACCACTCACTCACTGCATTGGGGTCGACCGGCGCAGACCGTTTGGAGCTGACCTCGGCACAGTGCGTCGCAGGTGTTTGGCTCCCCACTGGCACTGCGGTACCTCCGCCCGGACTGGGTGGCGCCGCTGGGCGCCAGCAGTCTCATCTTCAACTTCATGTTCGCGTACTGGCTTGTTGGCACACGTGAGTGGTCGCGTGCGATGCAACGTGGAAAATGGACTGACATTGGCTGTAGCGGTGACGACGTCGGATATCCGCGGAACGGCACTGATTGTGTTTGGTGTCATCCTCATTGTGGTGTTTTCGAGCATCAACCATGGCCTTAGGCAAGACCTGCCGATTGAGGAGTAGGTTTGTGGGGTGAGCGTCGACTGACCCATTAGACTGAACAGACTGTGGACGCGCGGCTCTTGGATCTCCTACTTTGTCCTCTTGATCGTCTTCACCTTTGGAACCTTCATTGTGGCCGACCTCCTCGCCAAGGTGTCGTACTCGCGCAACTCGTTCTCCCCTCTTCCCTCTCCCACCCTCGGTCTCCCCACCACCACTGGCGGCCGTACGGTCCCCGTCGGCAAGTGGAAGCAGCGGTTCATGGGTATTGTCGCGCGCAGGAAGGCCATGGAGTACACTGTCCTCGCCTACCTCGAGCGCATGTTTGCTCGTTCGGACGACGCGCGCGTGCAGTGGCTTGAGGGTGTGGCGTGGGCCGTTGCTGGCGGCTCTCTCGCGGGCATGTGTCTGGTGTTCACAAAGGGTGTGGTCAAGATCTTTTGGAACCCGGGACACCCGCTCGTGCACCCCAGTCCGCTCATTACCCTGCTCCTCACAATCATCACTGCCGTCCTTCAGATCATCTGTCTGAACAAAGCGCTCAAGTGCGCCGACACCGTTGTTGTTGTGCCACTGTTTTACGCCGGATACACTGTATTTGGGTGGGTAAATGGTTTTCGTTCACTTCTAACCCATCAGCTTTGTCAACTCTCTCATCTTCTACGACCAGACGGGCGCGTACGCCACCTGGGCCCTCGTTGCGGTCTTCCTGTCCATTGCTGTCCTCATTGCTGGAGTCGTGAGTTGCAAAATCCGTACAAGTGCTAACCCTTCCCAGGTCCTCCTCTCGACCAAGTCTACGGCCAACGACCCTGCCAACCAGAACCAGCAGTCTGCTGCTCCCCAAGACCCCGGTGTCCGACTGCGTCCGCGCGACCATGTCGTGGCCGACGGTGCCTCCACGTCGACCTCGGCCAACGCAGCCAAGCGTACCGACACACCTGAGCCGGGCCAGGACGTGCTCTGGGAAGTTGGCAGTGTGAGCGACGACAGCGACGACGAGGACGACAATGAGAGCATGAAGGCCGGCAAGGGTGTTGGTGGCATCAAGGAGAGCCACGGCGAGCGCGGTGGTCTCTTGTTAACCCTCGACGAGGAGGACCAGGCGCATCTCAACGCAAACTCACATCACATGCAGACGACACCGCAACTGGAGAGTCATCGGCCGCTGGCTGACGACGATGAGGAGGACGAGTCCGAGGCCTTTGGCGACTATGCGCGTGTCAGCAGCAGCAGGTAACGCATCGCGATCTAGTACCAGCGAGAACAGACAGTATAATTTAGACAACCAGCACACTTTAGAGGGGTATTGCAAAGTGCATTTCCGGAATCCATATGTTGTGTTATGCAAATCTGGACCTAAAGACAGACAGGAAGACTCAGGGGGATCTCTACGCTTTAGTTGGCCTGGAGACCGCTCTCCTCGGCCTGCTTGGCCTCGGCAGCCTCGGCAGCGGCCATCTGGGCCTCGAGCTCGGCAATGGCCGGGCCGTCAAACTCGTACTCGATGAACTCGGTCGAGAAGGCGTCAACGGCGCCAGCCTCGAGGACGATCCAGCGGTACTTGAGAATGTCGTAGGTGACGACGTCCTCGGTGGAGATGACCTCGATGTTCTTCGAGTTGCGGACGGTACGCCAGAACTCCTCAATCTCGTTCTCGGGCTTGTTGGGGCCGTGGATGAAGAGAATGGACAGGTTGTCGCGGGGACCGAAGCGCTGCACGAAGAGACGCTCCGCCTTCTCCTCCTCGGCGGCCTCGGGAACGGCAGCCGCATCGCTACCGTCCTCGACGGTTGCGGTTGCCTCCTCGACAGCAGGGACAGGGCTGACCTTCTTGGGGGCAAGGGCGAGGTAGCCATCGCCGAGGGCACGCAGAGCGGCGTTGGTACCGGCCCATTTGCCCTCGTTGAGGTTGCGGACGACGCGGAGGAGACCGGAGGAGAGCTTGGACGACAGAGCGGTACGCACACCGAGGTCGCGGACCTTGCGGGGCAGGTCCTGGGCCCAGTCACGGTTGTGCAGCGCAAAGATGGGCGCACCACCACGACGAGTACCCGACGAAGCGTCACCGGCACGCGCCCTACCAGTACCCTTTTGAGGCAGGAGCTTGCGGCCCGAGTAGGCGACAGTCGAACGAGTCTTGGTGCTCTGGTTACCGGCACGAAGGGTCGAGAGGTACCAGACAACGTTGCGGTGGAGAATGTCACGGCGAATGGGCTTGCCAAAGACTTCAGAAGGGAGGAGGACGGCCTTGCCCGAGCTGATGGGCGCGGTAGGGGTGAGCGAAGCGAGCGACGACAGTGGGTGCTCGATGGGCTCGAACGGGTTGGACGGCTTCCTGTGCAGGACCTCTTAACGTGGTTGTTAGCTGACTTCCTAAACAAGAATAGTCCAGCCGACTCACCACCACGCGTCAGCAGCGACTCGGACACCTCTTTCCTTGAGCCGGCAAGGTCCTCGAACACCAGGTTAGGAGGAATGGCGGGCGACTCGGTGGACTTGCTGGACTCGGCAGCGGCGGCAGACGAGGCAGCGCGCGCGGGGGCGACGGCAGCAAGGCGGCTGGGGCCAGCAAGCGCAGCGCGAGCAAGGGGGCGGGCAGGTGCGCGAAGCGCCTAGGCAGTCAGCAAATGGACACCAGCACTGGTCCACAAGTCTCATCGTGGCCGCGCCGAAGTTGGTTGGACAACTTCGTTTGGCGGCTCCTCGAGGCTCATTGAGTCCAGGAAAAAAACACACCTGGGACATCAACGGGGTCATGCGAGCGGCCGACTTCATGGTGCGCGGCGGTCGGGAGTGTCGGCGCGGCGACGGAGTGGGGTGTGCTGTGAGGGAGGCGGAGGTCGGAGAGCAAATAGCGCCAGTCCGCAACTTTCAGATGGCCTCCGACAGTGCTCAGACGGGAGCATTTCACCGGGTGGAGGCGGACAGAGTGGGTCACTTGGCGACGTCTCCAGTCTCCAGTACACTATGCATGGGGTGGGTGGGCAATGGAGCAAGTATAGGCTGGCAGTGTAACTCGTGACGGCCGCGTGCTGCGAATGCAGCAAATAGCTGTCATGTGGCCTGTGGAGCTCTAATGTTATGGACAGCCAGTTATGGACCACCGGCCACGCGAGCGTTCAGACGGCAGGTGAGCAAGTGGGCCAGAATCGTGAGTCCGATATCAGGAGGCAGTCGGTATGATGCACTGTAGATCGACAGCCTGCCAGTACCAAGGACATGACAACGGCTGGGATGTGTAAGAGAGACCGAGGTTACGACGTACAAGCAGCATTGTGGACGTGCGACCACTGCTGACGGACAGGATCCCTCCAACAACAGACATCGCCATCCCCCCAACTCTGACATGTGTGTAAGGAGGACTTCGGGATTGCAATTTCTGAAGGGCTGCTCATACAGGTTGCCCCAGCTCCCACTCTGCTGTTGAGCATGTTTGCCCAACAGAGACACTGGGTTGCAGCGCTGCCACTGGTAAAGGACAAGGTCGCTTCAGACGACTGGGAAGTGCTATTCCGTTTGTCCCCAGCCACCGTTGCTCGGACCTTCCCCATATCGATGGAGCTCAACCAGCACCCAGTGAGGTCAAAGACATGTTGGAGAGTACCAGGTCAGGTCACCATGTGGTTGTGTAGAGCCGTGGTCTGGGACCATGGGTGGCACGACAGGCCCGAGTTGCTCCAAATGACACCGCAGGCGAGCCGGGTTGGGTGAGAGGACGGCATGTAATGGCGACTAGGGCGTTGTACATGGTGCAAGACAAGGATGTGGGCTAAAGATCAAGGGCTTGGTAGGAAGTAGGAAGATGGATAGAAGGGACCCCGAGTTGACAAGTGGACGCATGTATGCGAGAGTCCGGGGCCACGAAAATGAAGTAATAGTAACAAGGGAGATGCAGGAGATGGGTGCGTTGTTTACAAGTTGAGACCTTCCCATCAAGGCCGTCCGTCGTTGGCGCTGGCCCACTGCTGGCTCCGTCCATACCGCCATATCCCTCCTACACCACCGTCACCTCCGTGCCCTCCGTCTCCATTCTGCATTCATTGCATTGGGCGCCATGCATATGCGTTCATGAGTGGGACATGCGCTGTCGTGAACCAGTGCGGCCAGGTCTCCCACGGTACAACCAATCCATCTGATCGTCCCTTGCGGAGTTAAGCCCGAGCGATGCCAGGGCCCGCCGGTGACATATCGCCGTAACGCCGACCGGCCGTTTGGGACGCCCCTGGGTGTGTGCACTGTGGCCGCCGGGTGCTCGGTGGGTGGTGGTGTGTCGAATCGTTTGGCCATCGTCTTGAAGTCTCCCACAGCAAGATCGTGAGTGCCAACGCAGCCGCCTACAGCGACGAGCACACAACCGCCGGAATACGGAGCTGACGGTATCCCCCTCGCCGACCCATCCATCTTCGATTTCTTGAACCTCTCGCGCGCACCTGTCGAATTTCGCGGTCTCTCAACATTTTGGTGTCTCCTGCACTTTCGATCCGTTTTGTGACCTTGTTCCCCCTCCCTCTCTCGCCTATCCTCCTCGAATCGCTCGTCCCGTCGCTTCTTTCGCGAAACCCTACGCATTTCTCGTCCTCTCCCTATCTCATTTGTGTCGGCTTGGATTTATCCCCCTTTACAGAAAATGTCGGCCGTCCAGACCTTCGGCAAGAAGAAGACTGCCACCGCGGTGGCCCACGTCACCCCCGGCCGCGGCCTCGTTCGCCTTAACGGCTCCCCCATCTCGCTCGTGCAGCCGTGAGTATCGCGCAAGGATTGGAAGATTGGAATTGGGAGACCAGGATTGGGGGCCGGAAGTTTTGAGGAACGATGGAGGCTTGAGAACCGGTGGAGGGAAAGGAGCGATGGCACTGGGATTGCGTGCATCGAGAGGAGAAAGAGAGAAACGGGACTCGCCATCCAATCTTCCCTACTGTTTGTGGACGCTGTGCTGACAGGTCCTCCTAGCGTCCTCCTTCGTTACAAGGTTTACGAGCCCATCCTTGTTGTCGGTGCCGAGAAGCTCGCCAACATCGACATCCGCCTCCGCGTCAAGGGTGGTGGTCACGTCTCGCAGCTCTACGCCCTCCGTCAGGCTATCGCCAAGGGTGTTGTTGCCTTCTACGCCAAGAACGAGGACGCCGCCTCGGCCCTTGAGCTCAAGAAGACCCTCATCGCCTACGACCGTACTCTCCTCGTTGCCGACCCCCGCCGCGCCGAGCCCAAGAAGTTCGGTGGTCGTGGTGCCCGTGCGCGCCGCCAGAAGTCGTACCGTTAAATACCTCGCCCAGAGGCGTTTACCTCGTGCGCACTCTGCTTGCCAAGGTCGCGACAGCGTGCTACGAGGTGGCGGGTGTTTATCGCAGCATTGGGGTATGTATATCATGACCTGCACTTTGCACTGCATTTGGGTTTTGGCACTGTAAACTGAGAAGCAAAAGAAGGGGTGCATTGAGGACGCGAAGGGGGTGTGTGTGTCAGAGCGAGACATGTGTGGTGTGATGGAGACTGCGGAGGGGAGACACTGATGGCAAGCGGGGCAGCATTGTTCGTCGTCTGCAGACAATGAACGCTGCCAACTTCCTGGGTGCGGTTGAAACAGATGGGTGGAGAATTGCAGAATGGCTTTTGTTTCCGGGGCAGACGGGGCGGGTCGTCGCGTCGGCGGCTCATGTTTCCAGCACGCTGGACGGGCCGACCAGCCATCATGAGCGGTTGGGGGTTCTTGTCATTTAGGCACCTGCAGTGTCTGCAACATTCATCATCACCACCCCTCCTTCTCTCATATCTGTGCGGCGTGTTGTGCCCACATTGCAGCGCAGAGTACATTACTCCATCACTACGCCTCGCCAATATATCACAGTCCCCCACCGCCGCCCATATCCCTGCTGGCGTCCACGCGTTCCCCCATCCCATCAGCCTCCACACCTAACGCCGGCCTGCCCCTTTGACTTGTTGGGCCATCAGCACAGACCGTCTCTTTCGTGTTCCCTTCAACATCTTCTCTCCCTCGAGTGCATCCCTCTCTCTTTCTCGCCACTGTCCCCAAATATTCATCTCCCTCTACTAGACTCGCTCTGCCAGTCTTTCCCTCGCCTTGTGACACCCACAAACAAACAACACAACCTCCTCCCGCCCTCCGCCCACCACAACACCGTTGCCCTGACGTGTTGAGACCACGTTGTACCGGTATTAGCTTTTGCCCGCGCCGCCGTCGTCACACCTCATGGCCCCCCCACGCAGAACGGCCAACGGCTCTACAACTACGCTCAAGTTCACTGGAGCATCGCCAGCACGTAGCGTAACCGGAAAGAGTGCTCGCTCTCAGACTCGCGACGCCGAGTATGATTCGTCGTGGTGAGTGGTCACATGTGTCTCAGGTCCACAGTCCGCGTCCGCTCGTCGGTCTGCCAGGACTGAACGCCGTCTAATCCTTCGCTCCTGATGCTGATGCCAACCTCCATGTCCCTTCTCTGATACAATTACACTCCATACGTGCGCCACCCCAATACAGCTCGTTCAACGGCTCACGTGTCATCCTCGACCCAAGCATCTACGGTATTCAAAACACCAGCGTAAAGTGAGTGTTCACCCTGGCTGATCTTTTATTTTTTTGTTGTTTGCTCTTTCCAAGTCGCTGACACCCATCACTCAGCATTGCCGCCGCTTTCAATCAGGCGCAGTCTGGTGGTTCATCACTCCCCTCCCCCGCCATCAGGACCGCCGCATTCCAGCATGCGCTCCCCTCTTCGTTCACCGGGCCTGTTGTCGCCCCCGCCGGGCCCGTTCCGCGAAATGTCACCAGCCGAGAAGCTGCAAGATGTCGCACGGGCGGTCTCGCCCGTGAGCTTCTTCCTGCGTGAACCTCTGAACGACGACGACAGCTTCATGAATGGCGGTAACCCCTCGTTCTCCTCGCTCGGCAACTCGTCGGGCGATGCCTCGTACTCGTACCGGGAGGAAGACGCTATTGTGGACAGGAGCAAGGCCGCCCAGGCGTCCTCATCCAAGCCGAAGGCTCTGCCGCGTCAACGGAAATATGCCAGAGCCGAAGACATGCCCTGGCGTCCGCAGGAGGACGCCGACGATTCTGATGAGGGCGGGGGCGCGGGAGTGGTCGCCTCTGGAGCACTGGCAGGGCGTTCGGCAACCCGAGGAACTCGTGCAGAGAAGGGCAAGGGATACCTCGGCACTGGCGAGCTCGGAATCAAGCGTCGCAACCGCAAGTCGGTCAACTACAACGAGGCCGATAGCGCCAACGAGGAGGAAGATGGATTTCAGCGCCAGGCAACGCCCATGGTGGAGTTGACACCTGTCAATGGCCTCGGCCTCCGCTCCCCCACTCCGGTGGGCAGCAACTACATTCGCGGAGCCAGCCGAGACCCCATGGACCGCCGATCCCGTGAGCCCACTGCAGGAAGGGTCATGGCGACCAACATCACCTTGGCTGCCGCTGAGAGCAACCGTGCTGCCGTCGAGTTTGTCGGCGACCTCCTCAACTCGCTGCACTCAATGGGCCGCAAGGTGCAGAAGAAGGTCAGGAAAAAACGGCGGTTGGAAGGTTGTGGGCGCGTTTGTGGCCCTTGCCCTTGCCCTCCGTGTTGTCTGGCTCTACTCTGTCACGCCTTCCTCTCCGACCTACCATGCCCCAATTGCTCCTCCTTCGTCAATGGACGAGCTCGTTGCCCGTCTCACCTCTATCGAGCACGCCCTCTCCGAGCTGTCAGTTGTTTCCGACACGCGCGAGGCCGCAGGCAACAAGGCAGCGCTGGGCATCAACGACCGCGTCCACGGTCTCGAGTCGGCAGTCGCCGACGGTCACCGTACCTTTGAGGCCCGCACTGGCGAGAACTCCCGTGACGTTCGCAACATGCGCGACACGATCAGCCAGCTCAAGGGCGAGCTCAGCGACGTCACCTCGCGCATCGCCAAGCACGACGGCGAGATCAAGAACGTCGACCGCGACATCCAGCAGCTCAAGACTCGCGTCGGTGCTGTCGAGCGCGATGTGCGCGCCGCGCTCGACGACGGACGCCTGAGGTCAGCTCTCGAGCGTATTCTCCCGACCTGGATGCCCGTCCGCACCGATAGTAAGAACCAGGACATTGTCGACCCCCTCTTCTGGGCCGAACTGAAGAAGGTCTTTGTCGGCCAAGGTGAGGTCGAGTCGACTGTTCGCCGCATGATCAGCGACGGCCACAAGACGCCCAAGCAGGGAGTATTCAGCTCGGACGAAGCTGAGCACAAGCTCAGCGAGTTGGCAGACAGGCTGTTCCAAAAGCACGCAAACGAGTTTGTGGCTATTCGCCGCAACGAGTTTATCGAGTTGGTGGAGCAGCAGGTCGGCACCCTCCGCGATGAGCTCCAGGCTGTGCGCGACCGTACCGTTGCCCACCCTGCTGCCCCCCACGCTCCCTCGTCTGTCACGATCAAGACCGCCAAGGGCCAGGACATTACCTCGACTCTTCAGGCCCTCGTCGACGCCGCCTTGCTCAAGTACAGCAAGGACACGATCGCCCTCCCCGACTATGCACTCTTCACGGCCGGCGGCCGTGTGATCCCATCGGCCACTTCAGACACCCTCGTCCTTCAGCAGCCTTCGCGCTTCAGCAAGTGGATGAAGGGCGACAAGAACGTTGAAGGTCGTCAGCCAGCGACCGCCCTCCACCCCGACAACGCCGTCGGGAGCTGCTGGCCGTTCAACGGGCCCAAGGGACAGCTTGGTGTTCTTCTGGCACGACGCGTTGTCGTCAAGGCACTCACTGTCGAGCACGCACCCATGGAACTTGCCCTCGACATGTCTACCGCTCCCAAGGAAATCGAGGTCGTAAGTTTCTGTCTGCGTACCAAGGAGGGACACTACTGATGCGCCAGTGGGCAACCGTCGAGGGCGAAGAGAACCAGGCCAAGGCACAGCAGTACCTCGCGAACGGAGGTGATCAGAAGGCGTAAGTGGTTGCAGTGCTTCAGGCTGTCACAGGGGGCATATCGTTAACCATTCTCAGATCAAGCATCCCCCAGACCGCTGATCGCATCTTGCTCACCACGATCACATACGACGCGTCTTCGTCCGCACCCATCCAAACGTTCCCCGTTCCCGCAGAGATTACCGACTATGGAATCGACACTGGAATTGTCATCTTCCGCGTCGAGTCCAACTGGGGCGGTGACTTTACGTGTTTGTACAGGGTGAGTTTTAAAACAGCAAGAGCCCTGTTTCAACCACAGCAAACCGATGGGCGTGTGCCTTTTATATGATCGCTGACACTGCCGTACAGGTGCGCGTCCATGGAGACGTTGCTGTCGCTCGGGAGCAGACTGAGTAGGAAAGGGGGGATCGAGAGGTGACGACCAGTAACGACCAGACGACCAGACGTGCGAGCGCGAGAGGCATCGGTGTGTAAGGTGTGTGTGAAGTGTAATCTAGCGGGAGCCAAAGGCCTAGACACTGGTGTGTCGGTAGGCAGAGTAAGAGACGCCCCATGCATGTGCATTGCCTCAAATGGTTGTGCTATCTCGTCACCAGTTGGCATAAAGGCAAAGAGTGGCAACACCACAAGTCGATCACAGCCCGCCCATCCCCCAACTGCCTTTGCTTGGCACGTCCCTGCGAGGGTCAGAATCCAGCGGGGACGGTGGGAACTGACCACAAACTCAAACCAGTCTTACACCATGTAACGCTACGTGCTCCAACGACTCCAACGACTCCAACGACTCCCACTCTTTGCTCTCCAACGACTCCCACTCTTTGCTATCGGGTTCGCTCCCATCGCATCGCATATTGATTGGAGTGGGCTTGCGTACCTCCTCGGCTGGGTCGGCTGGATCTCAATAACAATACGCACTCCAGGTCTCGCTCGGGCACCCAACTCCAACGTTTGTACTACTGTAGGTTGACGAGTGGACCGTCGTTGGTGATCAGCAAGTGGCCGGGTGTCACGTCGGTCCACACGTCGGTCCAACGCTAACCAAATCTCCGAGGGACGGCACACGGCACGATATAGGCATTTTGGCACAAAAAGTGCCCGAACGAGGTGGCCGTGAAGTATGTACGTGTTTGAGTGTGTGCGCACTCCTTGCGCTCTGTGTCCCCTCGCAACACGTAAATGCCCAGACTGCACCTCTCCGGTCCGCACCGGTGGAAGGTTGGGGGCAAGGTTGAGGCACAACGCCTACTCGAGTACGAGTACGAGGCGGCAGACGGCCTTGGAGCGGCGTTCATGGACCACGGCATTGCCAGTTAACGAGTGTCACGAGACGCTCGTCTTTTTTTTGTCCGTCTTCTTGGGATCTTTATGCGAAGTGAACTCGAGTCATGTGATGCGTTCACGTGCTTTTGGAGTGAGTTGGCGCAGCAGCTGGCAGGTCCCCCGGACAGTTGTCGTTTGCTCCATCGGCGTCCCTTGTTCCTTGGGATGGAAAACTCTCCTAGAGTTCACGCCATGTACGTCGTCCAAACGTCAGCGGAGCAGTTGTAGAGGGAGTATAGCGTCTCGCAGATCTTCTGATGGGTCCACCGCCGACGCAGATGCCGAGACCGAGAGGGTGTCGCAGGTGGCAGGTGGGCTAGGCCACGCTGCACACGGCCAAACGGGGCAAGTCGGTGCGACAGGCCGCCGTCTCGCATGTACGGCACTGCGCGTACGAATTTCATAACGTGATATGAGGGGCAGGCGTTCTTTCAAGGACCCACACCCGAAACGCCACTGTTGGGCTGCCAACGTTCACGTCAGAAAATCAAGGATCTCGCAATCTTTACTGTGTACGGCATCGGCGACGCCGTTGGCCTCGTTCGTGCGCACTCTCTCTCTCTGTAGAGGGTGGCCAAAGCGGCGTGGGACGTGTCGCTAACCGGAGTGTGTCTGCCATCTACGACGTGCCGCGGCTCGGCTCGGTCGAGGAGGTGTGCACCGAGTTGCCGAGACGGTGATCCCTTCGCAAGTGGCACCAACCGTGGCTTCGTGGCGCCCGCGCCGTGACATCCGCCATATACATGCGGGTCCTTTGGCGTGGACTTTCTGTCGCTGGACGTTGTGTGTTTTTTCCTGTTTATTTGTTTTTCTGGGTAGCCGGAGAGCCCCATGTAGGCCGTGTAGGCTAGGCTCCCTTGACAGCCGCGGCGGCACGGTCGCTTCCATCGCCTTGGTCAGACATCTCACACCACGCATACAGGGAAAGCCTCTCTGCTCGGAAGTAATATTTAAACCCAGTCTAGAAAACCCGCGTCGGTTGTGTGGGCAAGCGATCAAACATGGTCGTAATCGTAACACGTTTGGAAGTTGAGTATCCCTTAGGTCCCGCAAACAGCGGATACACGAGGGGGGGGGGGGGGGGGAGCAGAACGCCTCCACGCCTGACAACGGTGACATGTGCGCCGTTTGTGCCGCTCGGGAAGCTCCCAAACGGGTGGTGGAGAGTTCAGATTACTGTGGAATGTTAAAAGTGGGCAGTGGAGTAAATCGCATCCGAGCTATGTAAGCGCCAGCGTGCACGCGTGGTCATGGTATGTCAAACAGCTTGGGAGATGGCATGGTCCACATGGTGGATGGTGGAACGTGGAACATGGACGGGGTGGAACGTGTAATAGATCCAGGCTATACTAGATCTATAGTTGAGCTATTATCGATCGTGATCATTTCCAAGGTGTGAGGAGGCATGTGCAAAAGCGGACGGCCTCCATCTCCGCCGATTGTCCGCCATACCGCGTGGCGCGACGTGCAACAAGGTCCTGGCCGGGACACGATCGGGAGGCAAATGAGTGGGCTGCGTGGCATGTTCGACACTCCAAAATCAAGCTTGCCAAGATCTCGTGTTCTTTCGTGTGAGAATTGCAGCAAGCGTGCTCACTTTTTTGAGTTGTACGAAGTACGCAAGACAATGGTAAAACACTAGAACGCATTACTAGCATGAATGCGTGACAGCTACGGGATCGGTGTTGCTATAGACGGGGTAAGTGGCCATGGGAACGGGAATGGAGGATGGGAATGAACGAGGGGCCAGTAGTGGGAACCCTTTCACGTCGCGGGACGGCATGGGCGTACCTTGCATTTTTTGGCCTCAAGAGTGCAGGTGTGGTGTAGTGTGGACGCAAAGAGTACCCGACGTGTCATGGTGACTGGCGTAAAATGTGGAACCTAACGTCGCCGTGTCACTAACCAAGCCGAAACACACCAAAGGTGCGACACGGGCCGGCCGATGAGGGAAGATGACCTATGTCAACCTGTGTCGAGAGTGACAGACCCAGAAACCGACAGCCGAGTCACGCATCTGGACTGTGGAGCTGCTGGAATGGGAAAAGGGGATGGGAAGACACGGTTCCGACACGAACATGACGACACATGAACGGCGGCCCCGAGAGGGGATCGATTGGAACAGGCCCATGTCACACAACGCATGAATTATAGGCTGCGTGCGTTTGCATATGGGGATAAACTACACTGTACGAAAGGCTGGGATAACACTGCAGCCGATGCGACAAAGGATGTACATAGGCGGGGGGTCAAATGTTGAGATCGAAAAGAGAACCACCAAAACAGGTGAAAAGGGGCGGTCGACATAGTTCAATGTAAAATGTGTGTTAAATGCCAGAAATGGAGTCTGCGAAGAGTCGAGAACAGGAAACAGGGAGACGGGAGGTATCACGACAACGGAGACTAACGTGCGTGGAACGAGAGAAGCTGGACTGGAGGCTGGTGGGGGGAATGGGGAGTAGTGGCGGCGTGCGGGGAGGGTGAGGATCGCGGGAACAACGCGTTCGAATTGGCCAGCCATGGGGACGACTTTTCACGCAGCACAGACGAAACGAGGGCAATAACGGCATGTGCAGAGCCGAACGCGTCCTCAATGTCCACTTAGGCCGCGTAGTACGACTGCTCGTCGGCACCTGCAGGCGCGGGGACCGTGTTGGGATACATGCCACCGACGGTGGGGGTCATGCCGAGGGTGGGTGAAAAGGCCGTGGCTGGCGAGATCGGGGTGTAAGGGTAGTCGGCCGACGAGCCAGTCGTAGGAGCCGACGCGCTGTCCAGCGAGTCGGAGCGGTGCGCCGCAAACAGTGGCGAGCGGTACTGGGCCGAGTACACGGACGAGTCGCCTGAGCGCAAACCGTTTGCCTGGGGCACCGCAAGATACTCGCCGCCTGTAGGGGTTGGCAGGTGAGGGATCACAGTCGACGACGGCAGCGAGTATGCAACACCCTCCTCAACGGCTGCCAGGTTCGTCACGTCGTTGGCCGAGTACGTCTTTGCGGAGTAGGCTGCAGGGTTCGACCCTTCAGGCAGGCTGTGGCGGCGGATCGCCTTGGGTGGGGACGCAGGGCTCTTGGTTGCATGGCCAGAGGCCGACGACGAGACGGAACCTGGGTCATTCGAGTTGGAACCGGCAGTAGAGGTTCCAGCTTGGGGCTTGTTTGGTCCACGCTGGCGGACAGCAGTGGAGAACTCGCACACGAACCTGCGCTTGGTGCAGCGGTTGCAAGGGTTTCCTCCGAAGCACTGGAAATAGGTGGTCAGCCACTCAACTCAATGTCTTCGATCGCCGGCGCATGCCTGTACGCCGCCCGGGGGGGTGTCGTCTAGTACTCACCCTCGCCTTGCGGATGCGACAGCGCTCACAGGCCTGCGCGGTGCGCGAACGCTTCTTAATCTCGGTAGTTGGCTGACCGTCGGCGCCGAGGATCAGGTGGCCGTGGTGAGACTTCATGCCCATGCCGGGCCCGCCGCGGTACATGGAAGGCGGGGCGTGGTGAGCGTGTGCCATGGCGCTGTGCGGGAATCCGAGACCCTCGACGGCGCCGTGGTGGTGGTTGTGGTGGTGGTGCATGCCGCCAGTAAAGACCTCACCAGGTGCAGCGCAGGATGGGTCCTGGCCCATGAGTGGGGAAGGCGCATAGCCGTAAGCCAGTGAGGAATCGGTAGCTCCGACGGATGAAAGAGCGAGTGCGTTGATTGACCACTGGCTGGAAGGCGTACCGCCTGGAAGAGGTGCGTAGCCACCGTTGGCGATGAGAGGGGAGCCGAACTGGGCAGGGGTGTTGGTGGGAGGGGTGACGAGGCCGTACTGGTTGACGTCTGGCTGGAGGTACATGTTTGGCTGGTGGGGAGTGGGGTATGCGTACTGCGTCGCCGGCATCTGGCCTTGGGCAGCTTGGGGCAGGCGGTAGCCGTTGCGTGAAGGTCCTTGGTTGGGAGCCATGCCGACAGAGAATTGGGAAGAGGAAGGATACGGGTGAGTAGCCATCATGGCCTGTGTGTGGATGTGTGTTGGGTGGGAGTGACTGCTCTTGACTGGGATCACCTGGCGCTCTGATATCACGCTAGTGCGGCGGTGGGTTGGGTGGCTCTTGTCCGAATCGCTTTCGTTTGGGTGATCGGGGGGGGGGGGGGGAGGCGTTTGTTTGATTACTGGCTCGACAGTCGAAAAGACACAACAAGTGTTCCGACAGTATGAGCAATCGCCAAAACGTACAAGGTGGGTTGGGGAGGGGGGAAGGCAAAGCTAGCCATGAGCTGAGCAGGCATCTGTTATGTACAAGGAAGATGCGCGAGCGCGCGCACGCGCACTCTAGCTGCTGCTGCTGCCTGCTGGCTGTCTTGCGAGAGAAGTCCCAAACAGGGATCGCGCACACATTTTGATTACTGTGGGTGTTCTGCCGCGGTCCTCCCCTCGAGAAAACGCAGCGAGGTGTGGCTCCTGAACCAGCGGGCAGTGTGCGTTCCCTACGAGTGTCTCATCCTTAAGCGTCGTCGTTTGACTTGCTCATTTGCTCACCTCTCTCGTTCGCGTTCCCTGCCCCTGGCCAGCAAGCATGCCGTCAACAGTGGCGCCCACGAGGATGGTATGTGGCTTTGGCTTTGTCGCCCCCAACTCGGTGCCACCCGTGGGTGGGTGGGTGGAGGGCAGCATTCAGGCCGCCAGAAGGCCCAAGGAGGCGCGGGCTGGCAGAGCGAGAAACGCGGGTGTGTGGTGGGTTCAGGCAGCCCGCCAGAGAGCCTTTGTCTACAGGAGCATCGACCTCCCCGCTTACCCCACGGCCGCACGCCACGACACGGAAAGAAGTACGCACACGCGCCAAGGACACGACATACCACGGGGGGGGTGTTCACACCTCTCTGCCCGCCCAACCACGGCCACTGCTCGCTCTCTCTGTGCTGACCCCACGCCCCCCGACCGCCCGCGATCTCCCTCCTGCAGCCGCAAAAGGAGAGAGCAAACGTGTGCCAAAGGAAAGAGGTTGATGCTCTTGGCCTTGCTTTTCTGGCTCTCTCGGGCACCACCCTGCCCCTGAATTGGGCCGCCAAGTTTAAAATCACCAACGTCAGTAGTGGGTGAACGCGCCGTCATGGAGAGGGTTGGCCGACGTAAGCGGCGTGATCGTCAGCTCAGGCCAAGGAGAGCCACGGCCCGCTGTGGTGTGCACGGCCAGCTTGGGCTCTCTGGGTGTGCTGAGAGAGCCTTTGCACTTTGCCTTTGCTCAGGGTGGTGTCCAGGGGGTATATTGCAGTCATGCAGTCATGGGCAGAGAACGAAAGCGTGGTCGTTTGTCTCACCCCGTCCCTGGTCACCCCAGGTTAAGCGATCATTTTCATCAATCTCTCGACCGGGGGCCCATGGCTTCCACGCTCTCTTGACGCTCGACACCGCACACATGGTGTCGCTCCTCCGAGCGTCAGTGATCAGTGAATGGCTCTATACTCGTAGCTTTGGTTTGATTGCGCAAAGTGAGCCGCGAACAGCCGGACAAAAGCATCAAGTAGCATGGCCTTCCCAAAGGGTCGCGAGTACTAGCTAATCCCCCACCCACCCACCCCATCTCCCTCTCCCCCCATTTTGGTCACTCCACGCTGCAATCAAGGGTTGCAGAGGACTAGAGGCCCCCCCAACTAGGATTCTCACCGCAACGGGACCGGCGCGTCGTAAGAGCGTTTCAATATGGAACCGCAGCTTCTGGAAACGCGTGCTTGTGGTCCCAGGCCCCGGACTCCGCGGGGCAGGTCGCCGCAGAGTGGTGGGCGTCACTGGCCGTATCTTCGCTCGCATGAGCATGACGCTGAACGAACAAGCAATCGCAGTCGCTGAGAGACCGCAGCGCCACTCAGTCTATCAGTGCGTAATGCGATAGGGGGAATGCACGGACGGACCATTGCAACATGGTCTCGGCTACCCGTGGCCCCACGCCGACAGTGACGTGTTGTTGAAGGGTGCGGGGAGGGTCAACCATGGGATCCTGCAACAGATCAACAGAACAACCAGAAAGCCCCATTCGCATCCAGGCTCACATTCAGTGAATCAGTGGGCGCCCCGAACAGCAGCAGCAAACCCAACTGGGATCACACTTTCACCTGTAGTACTGTAGTACGGTAGCCTGCACAGCCCATTTTACCACCACATCCTGTGCTGGGTTTGTTTACGGCGCCTCCCGACGCCACCTACACCCTCATCTGCATCTGCATCTTATATCTGGCCATCTGGCCATAAAAATCCAGGACGCACAAAAGCGTATCATGCGCGGCCTGGCCAACGCTGGAGCAAGGGCGGGGGAGGAGGGGGGGGGGGCAAGGACGGTCAAAAAGCGTTACCAGGGACAGAAAATGGAGTTCGTATGTCCTCGACTCTGTACGTGTGATGTGGCCCTGCAGGCACCATCCTACTCACGTGAATTCAGGCAGTGCTAACGAGAGAGAACGACGTAGGGAGAGGGACAGAGATCCAGAGAGAGACCCGCTGGCCGCTGGCCGCTGGGCTGCTCTGTGCACTCCACAATGGCGCCGCTCAGGACACTTGACGCATGGCTCGTTCGCATACGTGTTGCACGGCACTGCGCTTGGGCGTGGGTTTGGAGCTTTGGAGGGCTTTGTCTGGGCGAATTTGTCACCCAAAAGTTGAAAATGCAACTTCTACAAAAGTGGCGGCGCCGACCAACCTTCAGCGTGCACAGACACTTTTGCCCTTGCTCGAGTTAAGGATGGCGCACCCGTTGCGCTGTTGCGCTCATACGCCTGAGCCTGAAGACAGTCGTTGACATGTCCCACAGGCTGACGTGGCGCCGCCGCCTCATCTGAGGGCCGTTGTCCCGGGAGTGTCGGACCAGCGTGTCCTTACAGAATGCAGAAAAGGAAAAAAAGGATTGAATGGAACAGGTCTGGACTGGACTTCGTGGGCATTCGTGACCCAGTCTTTTTATGCGGTCAAGCCATCGTTGTGTGTGGCTTGTACTAAATTCATCAACGCTGTGCTGTGCGTGGTTGCGTTGTGCTTGACTACATGTGACATGTAAATATTACAAACCCAATTAAACGGAGGCCATGGCAGTAAAACAGTCGAGAATAATCATTCGTGAGCTCCATTCAGCCCATAATCGAGACACCTGCGCCTACAAGAAGCCTGGCCCGCTCGTGCTTCGTGCTAGGCTGTTGGGTTGGGCTGAACTGACGTATCCTCTGCTGACGTGCTGTGTGCCACCCGGGTCCCCCACCGACCCCACACGAGTCTCGAGAGAGGCTGCCAGAACCCTGATGACCGTGACAGGCCCCGCGCAGGACCCAGCCCCAGGCCCCCCTCCCCCCAAGCGCCATTGGTTGCAATTTTGTGTTGGACGGGACGAGCCTGTTGCTAATGGGGTGGGCGGGAGCACGCTGGCCCCACCCCCCCAGTACATCGCAAGCTTGTCAGGGATGCCTCAAAACTCGTGCATGAAGCGTGAGCTCTCGTAACGGAGCGATTGAGAGGTCGTACGTAAACCACTACTTGTGTTTTTCGTCCCTATCGCCGAGTCTCAATATGGATCCGAGGCCTTGGACGCACGCGGAGGCATCTCCTCCTAGGTCCTCATGCCGTAATGGTATGCATCTGCCCCTGTGCAGTGGAACTCGACACGTCTGCCTGTAGAGGACAACGAAGGTTGGGAGTGCGTCATTGTGGATGTCGACGGCAATGCTGTTCATTTGCGATCCAATTCAGTTTGCCTCTCCCCGTTAATCTCCCCTGGTCCCCTTGCAACACGTCCCCCGCTTTCGCTGAGAGTCTCGACCGCAAGTTGGGGGGTTTTCGTGTCGGTGTGGCTTTCAGCCCCAGTCGTCATACTTCATTCGCGGCGTCGATAATGCAAAGCCTTACGGTGACTGACCGTAAGTGGCGCCGTATTCCCACTGGGCGTTGGCGTATTCCCACTGCTGCTTCTTCATTCCCACTGTTCTCTTTCATTCCCACTGTCAATTCATTCTTCAGGCAGCATGGGGTTTGCGTATAAACAACTGGGTAGGAGGATCTAGTTCTAGCGAGACGACCGCGAGGCATAAATGATTCATGTTCCGGCTACTATCCCCCAGAATCTGACTGCATGGACCCCATCACGTCGTATGCTTGCTGACCTTTGACTACGGGTGCAGAAGTTCTATCCAGGCCCACCTATCTGATCGCAGCGGACAAGTAAGACCGCACCAGAAAAGGGGTTTCGCGTCGTGTCGCACCATCGATCACGTAGATGTACGGCATCACCAACGAGGTGCCATTATCGTGTCCTGCCAACAAGTCCGCTTTGAACCCCACCAGTCTACGCAGAGCCTCTTGCCCTGTCCAGCAAAGATTCGACTGACTGCCCCTTCTTGGTAAATAAAGGCGTCCAGACAACTGAGCACGCCTGTTCAAGGACAAAATCAAGAAAGGCGCGATAGCCACGCGACAAAAGAGACCGATAGAAGCCTTCGGCGCAATAGCCCACCAAGTCCGAGTTGATGCGCAGCCTGGCACTTTTCTGGCCGCTGAGTGGCCGGAATTGTGGAAGTATCGGCCCAACCCGACAGCCCAAAGCTGCGGAGCGCGTCGCACTTGGCCGAAATCCATGATAGCGCTTTGGTTCTTGGCCCCGAGTCGACACTTAGAAGTGACGCAAAATATAGATATTTGATCGCCGATACACGGTTGCGCCCACCACCACCACCACCCATCCTTTCTTCCTGCCCAGCATGCCCTCCATCGACCCCAAGCCCGTCAAGATCAACTATGACGAGTACCTCAGCTACGAGTCCGTCCACCGCGTGCGCTCAGAGCTCAAGGCTCTTCGCCCCTACTTTGAGCTTCCGGGAATGATCAGCGTGCGTCATATCAACAGTGCGATGTGCAGTGGCAGATAGCTGATCTACAGTTTGGCGGTGGCTATCCTCATCCCTCGACGTGGCCTATCAACGGCATGACTCTGAGCGTCCCGTTCGCCAAGTCGTCGGCCTTTGTCCCCGGCTACGGAGGTGTGTTGTTATGGCAGACTCGTGTGCTTGCATGCTCACTTGCCTCACAGTGTCTACCCCCGAGCAGCTCCTCCCTCAGGCTCCCTACACTGCGCCGCTCAAGGGCGAGGCGCTGTCGTCGCACCTCTCGACCGAGCTGCAGTACGGCTCGCCCTACGGTGCCCACCACTTTGTCAAGTGGCTCAAGGAGCACGTCCGCCGCATCCACAACCCCCCCAACGAGAACTGGGACGTCCTCAACACGGCTGGCAACACTGATGCTGTCGACGGCATCTTCCGCACGCTGTGCAACCGCGGCGACTCTCTGCTTGTCGAGGAGTTTGGTGAGTGACTTTTTTTTCGCATGTGATCTGTGATAGCGTCGTCTGACTCTGGACAGCCTACCCCGGTACCCTCACCACCGCCGAGACCATGGGCATCTCGTGCGTCGGTGTGACCATGGACAACGACGGTATCGACCCCACTGCTCTTGACGAGGTTATGGAAAACTGGGACGAGGAGAAGCGCGGTTCGCGCAAGCCCCGTATGGTCCTCATGGTTCCGTAGGTTTCGTGTGGCCGTCGCTCATACTCACCTGCCAAGTACCTGCTCGAACCCTACTGGAAGCACCACCCCCGAGTACCGCAAGCGCGAGCTCTACGCTGTATGCCGCAAGCACAGCCTCCTCATCGTTGAGGACGACCCTTGTGAGTGCTCTCGACAGCCGTGTGGCCGTATTGCTGACAACAACTCCAGACTGCTTCCTCCAGATCCGCCCCAACGGTGCCGACTCGCCTATCATCCCCACCTTCCTCTCCATGGACGTTGACGGCCGTGTCCTCCGTCTTGACTCGTTCTCCAAGATTGTCGCCCCCGGCTCGCGCTGTGGATGGCTCACTGGTCCCACAGAGCTTGTCAGCCGCGTCATGATGCGCTCCGAGTGCAGCACAGTGGGTTTCACCTTGCGGGAGAGTGAGAGCACAGCTGACCCACTCAGCAATGCCCTTCCGGTTTCAGCATTGCAGCTATCAGCACAGTGCTCCGCGCATGGGGCAGTCACGAGGGCTTTGAGAACAACTACCTGCCTTACATCTCCAACATTTACAAGGAGCGTTGCCTGTTCATGATCAACCTCTTTGAAAAGTACCTCCCCAAGTCGACGTGCGAGTGGCCTGAGGGCAGCGGCGGCATGTTCCTCTGGGTCCGCCTCAAGACGGAGGCCCACCCCGAGATTACCACATTGTCGCCCGAGGACATTTCCAACCGCGTGTTCAAGCAGGCCATTGACGAGCGCGTGCTGCTCGCCCAGTCCCGCTACTTCAAGTCGGCCGGCGGCAAGGAGTGGACCAAGGAGGAGGAGGCCAAGCGTATATACCTTCGCTTGTGCTTTGCCAACCCCACGCTCGAGGACATGGAGGAGGGTGTCCAGCGTTTCGCCCGTGCCCTCAAGCGCGAGTTTAAGCTCGAGTAGATTTGTATCTGTGGCGTCGTGATCTTAGACCAGTACAGCACAGTACCTGTGCACCTGTTGCAATGGAAAATACCTTGCCATCATGGATGCCTCGGCAGAATCTGTATGCGCAGTGTTCACTTTCTTGGAGTCGAGGCGGCCATGCTCAATGCCGAGTCGTGTTCGCGTTTCGCAAAGACCAGCACAGCTCGCCACGCTCGCCATGTCGCTTGTGGCGGCTTTCGGGATTGAGCGTCGGCGGGCTGCGGGGTTGCCGAATTGGCCGGCTCTAGTATCGGCGACGTTTATTACGCCCACCGTAACGTCCTGTGTCGTCTCTTTGACATCTACTCACTCACACCTAAACCATCTTACCATGCTCGCAGGCGCCCTTGGCCTTCGCTCCATCACCGCCGTGACACCGCGCGCGGCTCGCATCGCGTCTGTGCCCCGCACGTACCGCTTCACGGTCTCGAATGGTCGCCGGACATTCTCCGTCGCGGCCGGGGCGGCTGACCGTCCGCTCTCTGGTATCAAGATCGTCGACCTCACTCGTGTGCTCGCTGGTCCCAGTGCTACTATGATGCTGGTGAGGGAAGAGCGTGTAGATTGAGCTGACGGGCAGTCTGACCTCGGTGGTGCGTTGCTTTTCGGCCGTGTAATGTCCGTGTGTGATACTGACCGCTGGCAACAGCCGATGTGATCAAGGTGAGCTCGGCTGCATGTCGTACATCGCCAGCTGTCAAGTGCTTACGCTTCCAGGTCGAGTCTCCCTCTGGTGACGATACCCGCGCATGGCGTCCGCCCTCGGCCAAGCTCAAGGAGGGCCCCGACGTGCCGCGCCCCGACCTTCCTCCCGAGTCGGCCTACTTCATGCAGGCCAACCGCAACAAGCGCTCGTGAGTTGTATACTCTTCCGTGCCAAGGGAAGAGCTAACTCGGCAGGGTGACTCTGAACCTCAAGTCTGAGGAGGGCCAGAAGATTATTCACAAAATGCTCGAGGACGCCGATGTCTTCATGGAGAACTAGTGGGTCCGTCATGTAGTTGCTCTAACCCATTGAGCGTCCCCGGCAAGCTGGCCAAGTTTGGCCTCAGCTACGAGCAGGTCAAGAAGATCAACCCTCGCATCATCTACTGCTCCGTCACTGGTAAGCTTAAATGCCGCGTGGTTTGAAAGCTGACGCACAGGCTACGGATCCACTGGCCCATATGCCTCTGCTCCTGGTTACGATGTCGTGATCGAGGCGGAGGCTGGTCTCATGCACATCACTGGCGAGCGCGGTGGCACTCCCGTCAAGGTTGGTGTGGCCGTCACCGACATCCTGACTGGCCACTACGCCGTGTCGGGTGTCCTCGCCGCCCTCATCCAGCGTGGCAAGACCGGCAAGGGTACGTGGGTCGAGTGCTCCCTCTTTGAGAGCCAGATCGCCTCCCTCGCGAACATTGGCGCCAACTACCTCATTGCCGGCCAGGAGGCGACTCGCTGGGGCACCTCGCACCCTTCCATTGTCCCGTACCAGGTGTTCCCTACCAAGGACTCTTACATCATGCTCTCGGCCGGTAACGACGGCCAGTTTGTCACCCTCTGCTCGCCCGAGGTGCTGAACAAGCCCGAGTGGGCCAAGGACAAGACGTTCTCCACCAACGCGAGCCGTGTGGCCAACCGCGACCTCATGGTCTCCCTCATCACGGACGTCCTTTCTGTGCACACCACTGACGAGTGGGTCGAGCGTCTTACCGGCAAAGGTCTGCCATTTGCGTGAGTACAGCTCCCTTTGCCTGTGTCAGCTGACCATCCAGCCCCATCAACAACATTGCTCAAACCTTTGCCCACCCCCAGGCCAAGGCCCTCGAGGTCGTCGAGGAGGTCGACCACCCGCGCGCTGGCAAGATCAAGCTCGCTGCGGCACCCGTGACGTACAACGGCTCCAAGTACAAGGTGCGTCCTATGTCACCCACAGATCACATGAGGGCGCGTTGGCTGATCTTTCTCCCACAGGCGTACCGCCCGCCTCCGTACCTCGGCGAGCACACGGACGAGGTTCTGGCAGAGTTTGGCTACACAGAGGCGCAGATTGCCGAGTTCCACAAGGCTGGAGCTGTGTAAGAGTATGGTTAAGGGATCGAAGAGCACACATGTTGGTAGGAGTAGCACAACGGGTACAAGGGATAGAGCAGCATATGCACCAGATCGCATTGGAATGACGGAAGGAAGATGGGTGACTGGACTTGACGCGCATCGGAGGGGGGAAGGCGGGCCGTGCACACACACACACACACGCACACACACAATAGCCGTCCTTTCTTCCTTCCTTCCTACATCTCTCACTTCTTCTCTCTTCTCTCTTTCTTTCACACCATCTCGCTCTATAAAACACTCATCCTCTCCGGCAACACTCTTGCATCCGTCTCCACAGGTAAGCTATCGCGCGTGAGTTGAGCCCATCCTTACAAGCAGCTCACTCTTCAGGCCATGTCTGGCTCGTCTCCTACTTTCTTCCCCGACGGTCACTTCAGTTCGGTGCGTCCTGTACAGCTAAAGAGTCCCTGCATATAGCTGACCACTTCGTCCTCCACGCTTCTGCTCTGCCACTTTCTCCATTGCCACCGTCACCGCCACCCACACTGCCGCTTCCTACCGCCCACCCAGAACGCCGAGGTCTCGCCTTCCCCCACCCCCATCCCCGCCACCCCCGAGATGAACCCCTTCGACGCTCGCAGGCGCACCATTGACGAGAGCGAGGGAAACGGCTCCCCTGCCTCGGTACGTCACTGTCAGTATCGCCCCGGCTGACGCTAGGCTGCCGAGAGCGCTGCTTCGTCCCACCTTTCGCCTCTTGCGTCCCCTTTCGCTCCCACCCAGGCAGAGGAAGGTGAGGAAGGCAAGGAAGACAAGGAAGGCAGGCGCGAGCCCCAGGTCGCCACCGAGGCGCCCCGCGGCACCCACGTCCACCCAAATGGCGGCGCCTTCCCCACTGTCCTCCAGGTTTCGGACCTCCACTGGGTAGGTGAGCATTCAAGCCGCACCCGCTGACAAACAGTTCACCGTGGATGCCGAGCTCGTCAGGATCGCGGCTGCTGGCGCAAACGTCCACATCACTGTCAAGGACGTTACCTTCCTCGAGCACAAGTGTAACGGAAAGAGCAAGGGGTGAGTTGAGGACCAGCATCCTTCCTTCATTGACCCACCAGCACGGCTTTCATCAACTGCCACACTCCCGACCGCCTCATGCGCCTCATGAAGTGGTTCGAGACCCAGTACGCTGTTCTTTTGCGGAGGCGCATGACTTACATTCAGCGAGTACCAGGGCAAGCGCGTCACTGTCAACGTTGCGAACAACGTCAACGGCAAGCCCCCCATTCCTCCTCCCACGCACGACAAGGACAGCGGTGGTGCCGTCTATCGCACTTCTGGTGGGTTAGCTTCGTCGGTATGGCGTTAACCGACACACAGACGAGGCTGCTCGCGGTCCCCTTCCCTTCCTGCCTACCAACTCGCACGGCGGCGTCAACTTCAACCGCGTCCCCCTCCACCACCGCCAGCAGATGCAGCAGATGCAGCAGGCGGGTTTCCTCAACCCGGGCGCGACCTTCGCCAAGGGTCCCAAGGGCGCTGCTGCCCACCACACGCCAGCCGCGCAGCACGCCGAGCTTGCTCGTGGCCAGTCGAACTGTGAGTTACTACGGTCGTACCTCCTAGCTGACACACCAGCTGCCAGCCATGCCCAGTACAGTGTCCCTGGTGAGTCGCCTCCTGTGTTCTTTTGTTCAGCTAGGACCGTGCACCGGGGAGCTGACAATGCAGCCGACCACGTCCAGGTGATCAACTGGCACCAGCCGCCCACCCAGACGCAGGGTGAGTTCCACCCTCCTCTCTATGAACTGACATCAGACATTCGCCTCATGAACACGGGCGTGGCCCACGGAATCCGCCTCTGAGCGTCCCAAACACCAAATGTATATATTCAAGAAAGCCCTCAACCACGCACACGAACGGGCCACCACACATGACCATTTTCCCGGACACATGACCCATTTTCCCCGATATCGGATAGCTGTACCCCATAGCCACTCGCGCACTGTGCATGTATATGAATGGACGTCTACGAAACAGTGGTCGTGCTCGATTTTCTGAGGAGGGTTGGGGGTGATGGGGTGTGCATGGTGGCGAATGGCAAGTTGTTTCTTCTTGCTGTTGGCTGCAAAATGGATTGGAATAGCGTTCTTTTTTTGTCCGAATTGCTAGCGATGAAAGTTGCACCTCTGCATAACACTGGGACCACAGGGCCTGGACATTTGATCACAAACACGAGGGCGGCGCATGCAAGAATACCGCCAACCACTCACTAGCAGGGCAAACGCACTGTGTTGCAACGTCCTCTGGCCTACACAATGGCCACATCGCCACCCTTGCCTGTGTCTGGTGGGGTGTCCTCCCTGTCAGTGTCTTCCCCTGACGCAAACGCAGACACCAATTCGTCGTAGCTCTATAGTGGCTGCATAGATTCTGGCCAGTAGGTTCACAGTGGTTCTCGCTCTCCTCTCCATCCACACTGCCACTACTAAATCCGGACTGATGGGTAGAGACTGGCCGCGCACACGCTGGCCCGTGGGCCTCAAGCCGGGGCACCGGAATGTCCCTGCCCCCTCCTCCCCCACTGCACTGTCCTCCTCCCTCCCTCCATTCTCTGCACGGGGGGACCGGAGCGCTCGTGAGCCCCCGCTCGCGCTGAACCCCCGACGTCCATGTCCATGTCCCCTAGCTCGCGGCGCGGCCTAGAACATGTCGACGAAACGCTTGGTGCACGAGTACCACTCAAAGTCAAAGTTGTCCGAGGGGTCGCACCAGCACTTGCCGCGTGCGTGCGCGTCGCCCTGGGGACAGTGCTGGAAGGGTTCGTGCTTGTATCCAATGTCGTCAAACCAGTGGATCTGCTCCTTGGGCGCGAGGAGGGCGACACCGATCGAGTGGACGGGTGCGTCTCCCCAGCGCTCATAGTAGAAGCCGCCCTTCTTGTCCAAAAAGTCAAAGTAGGCCTCGTACGCCTCGCCACGCCAAAAGTTGAGGTCTCCAATCTCAAAGTTGGACCAGAAGTGGCACTTGTTGTACGTGTCGCCGCCGTCGTCCGAGATGAACTGCATGGCGTTGTCCTTGGGGATGTACTCGGGGTGGGCCGCGGCAAACTCCTTGGTGGCGTCCCAAAGCGTGGGGATGGTGTCAATGTACTCGTACAGCGAGAGGGTGAAGCCGTAGACCTTGTTCTGGTCCTGCATGAGGAGGAAGGGGTCGTAGTTGATGTCGCAGAAGAAGCGGACGTTGGGCTCCACACGCCAGTAGTAGTCGTACTCGGCGAGGAGAGGGTGCTTGAAGAAGAACTAGGAGAGAGTCAGCTGGGACACCAATACCGCCGAAGCTGAAGCACAACTCACGCCCGAGTTGAAGCGGCACATGTTACGGTAAGGGACCGAGTGGCCGTAAATGATCTTCTTGCGGATCATCTCCTCACGCGACTTGCGGGCCTTGTCCTCGTCAATCCAGTCGGGCTGGTGCCAGTGCTCAGCAGGGATCTTGCCATACTTGCAGGTAGCACTGGTGAGGGCCTGGGTGTAGCGCTTGAACTCGTCGGTAAAGTCGTCGTCGTTGAGGAAGACCCAGTCGTACTGAGCCCAGTTGTTGAAGCGGTCCTCCATCTGCTTCATCGAGAAGAGGAGCTCGCCGAGGTCCGAGTTACGCGCGAGCACGACAAACGTCGCCTTGGCACGGCGACGCTCGCTCAGCTTCTTGCTGCCGACCTTGGCCATGGCGCGCAGGTCCTCGGCGGACGGCTGGCCGGGGGTGTACGTTCCATCAGGGACGTGCGAGCCCGACCACTGGCCCTCCTCGGTCGTCCAGCTCGACGGCAGGAAGCCAAAGCCCGAGGGCGAGGTGTGCGACCGGTACGTCGGGTGGATCGAGAGGACGAGGTGGAGGAAGAACTGGGAGAGAGGGAGAGGGTCAGCAACGAACGGACAGAGGCGAGGCCAGGCGAGGCGAGGCATCACGGAGCGGTGGCACTCCGGTGCAAGTCGAGCAGACACGCAGCCGCACACAGCAACACCACTGCCAGAGATCCGCAGACACCACAGGCTCCAGACGGCCCGTCGTCTCCGGTCCTTTAACAATGTGCCAAGGCTGTGGCGCAGTTGGTGCACACCTGGGTGGAAGCATGGCGCGGTCGCGGCACATCTCCACGCCGCAGTAGTGCCTCTGCGAGACGACTGCGCGGGCGCGGGCGCCGCGAATAGCTCCAGCGGCCCGATTTTGGATTGATGCCAGCGAGGCTTCGCTTTGCAGAGAACGTGGACACGAGACTCACGAGAACGCCAACGGCGCCGCCGATATACCTCCATCGTGGCACGACCATCGTGGAGGGGCGGTGAGGTGGGGAGAAGGGAGGAGGGGGAGGGGATGGAGCTTTTGGAATAAAGCAATCTGGACTGGGTGTCAGCTACAGTTGGCGACGAGACTGCAGTGGCCGCGAGGGTGTAGAAGAGAAAATGAAAGGCGAACGCGACGTCCGGTACTCGCAGTTGCACGAAAAGTGAACCACAGACGAGATGTGGAGCGAGAAGGGTGCTCAAACAGTGGACTGAGAGGCCGCAAGACAATATCCTTGCTCCAAATAAACTGCCGGCGGGATCCACACGCCTGGAAGAATGTTACGACTCTCAAGTTGTCCAGTCCACCGTGGCAGGTGAGATGATGCTGGGAGGGTACCGTAGGAGTTGTGCGTGGTTGGACGGTGGATAGAGATTGCGCAGGTAACACGTACCAGTGGTGTTTTCGTTTCAGCGCACTACAATGGCAAGGAACCGCGACACGCGACAGTCGCTAGTGCGCAGCTAGCGAGCGGGCGACGAGTGGCGAGGGCCCGAAGGGGGTGGTGGTGGTGAGAGTGAGGATGGTATGCAGCGGCGAGGACCTGCTTCGCCGACAAAGAGATGAGGGAGGGAAAATATGAGATGCGAATATACAGCGGTCTAGTTGCACACACACCACGCTGGCACCGCTGTGTGTCTCACCCACCCACCAACCGGCCGACCTGCGACTGCGCGCGTCACTACTAGTGTGACGGTTTCCGCTGCTGCGACTGAGCAGTTTGAGTCCGCCTGTCGCTCCAGATCTCTCTCTGTCTGCACTTCAAGTCGGTGTACCCCATATGCGCAGCACCCTGACACCCGTTGCGCTTAAATGCTTGGGTCTGCAGGCTTTAACGAGCTTTGGCTGCATTGTGCATGCCTACCGGGTGGCAGAAATAACAAGGATGACGCCTAATGCAGTTGCACGCCTTTAAACAACAGGCCTGCAGAAAGAAATAGTTCTCCCACGGTGCGTTCATGTGCACCCTTGTATGGACTCTCCCACGGTAGGCCCCGACTTCCCCGCTCGTCGAGCAGCGGATTCCCATGCTGCCAGGTCCGTCGGCCAGGTCCCAACAACAACAACACATCCTCCGAGACCCCAAGCGGCAAGCGGCCCTGTCACGCATCCCCCTTGGCCGGTGCCGTACTCTGTACCTCCTTCGGTCCACCGTCCGTAGTACTCGTCAGTTGGTGGCACTTATCTCAATCTCTCTTGTTGTTGTTGTTGTTGTTGTTGTTTGCTGTTGTTGTTGTTGTTGTCGTCGCCGCCGCCGCCACGTTCCGAGAGTCGAGGCCCACACAACACAAGCCTCACTCGCCGCTCTGCCGGTGTTTGCAGGACGGCGGTAGGAACAACAACACCACGCTAAACATTCAGTACTCTAGCGAGCTAGTGCTGTGTGCTCTATGTGTACGTGTGTACCGTAATCTTTGCAGCCCGTGTTGGAAAACAAACGAGACACAAACAAACCGTATCCGCGGTACGCCCGGAATTGACCTGGCGGCAGCGGCATCGGGGACTGGCCGGACTGGGGGGGGGACCTGGCGGTTTGCTGGCGTCATGCGACGTCCACGCCGCCTACGGGCGTGAGTGAGACAAGGTTCAGCCGCAGAAGAGGAGAGAAGAAACCGCAACACAGCGAGGTCCTCGTGTTTGGGGGGGTCCCGAGGAACGACGAGGCAGTGCGTCGTCGTTGAGAATTGAGAGCACGACTTGACATGTGTCTTGTGCGCGGCCGTCCATGGCGACCCTGTGGCCTGTGGCCGCAAGCTGGCTCGCAACAGCGCACGTGATGGTTACAGCAGCAGCAACGGAGTGAGTTACGAGAGAGCAGGAAGGGGGCGTGTGTATGGAGATGACAACAAGCAACAAGGGCCAAAAGTGTTGGTATGCGTCGCCCACCGCCCCAGGTTTCGGTTTTCTCCGCTCGCTCGGCGCTGGGCGCTGGGCGGTCGGCAAAAGCGCGTCGCGTGCCGGGACAACAAGGAGATCGAAGACGTGCGTTTTGGGTGCGTGCGTCCTGTTTATCCTGTTTTTTTTTTCTCTTCCACCGCAACAGCGCCAGGCGATTGAGTAGGACGCGACAGATCCCAGTTGCTCCGAGGCTGGCGTCAATACACGGTGTAGAATGTGAATGGGGTGGCGGTGTGGGAACGGGCGCGACTGCTTTTTTCACGCGACCCCGGGTTTGTGTGTTGTTGTGTTGTCTTTTGTTGTCTTGCTTTTGCCGGGCCTATTTGCATATCCCGCTGGCCGCTGGCCGCTTAGTTGCAGCTGGAGATCCTTCGATCCTTTTCACTAGCGCGCGTTGTGAGTGCGGGATTTGAACACGATCCTGGCATTTACGGTTGCGGCATCGCGCGCCGCACTGGGTCGGAAAGCCCTTTGGATGCCTGAAGCGCGAGATGCGTGTCACCAGAGCTGCAGAGATCCCAGAGGGCCAGAGACTAAAAGTGGCGTTTCATCGCGGGCCGCGAGTGTGTGGCCGGGGATCCGGGGGGGGGGACGCGTCGTGGGTGCCCAGGGTGGTGTTTTGGTAGAGCGCGCGTGCAAGGCAAACAGGCAAAGGCAGTGCTCTGCGGGCGGGCGAATGTCGCGCTCGAGCAGTTCTGCGCGTGGTGCATGGATCTCCTTTTTCTTCGCTCGATGGCTGTCGCCCGTCTGTCGCCCGTCTGTCGCATGCAGCATGCATTTCGCTCAGCCACAACCCCGTATGGGCGATCATTCCATCGTACCAGCGGATCAGCGGTTGCACCACAGCAGCAAGAGAGATCGAGATGGTTTGCGTGTGTTGCGGATTGCACGGACACAACAAACACATGCTGCAGAATGACGTCGACACGCTAGAAGCAAAGGGCAAGAGGGTGAGAGGGTGAGAGGAAGGAACGCGGCCTGGCCCGCCTGTGTGTCGCCTGTGTTTTGCCTTTTTCTCTCTCTCTTTCTTTGCTGCAGCGCGGCAACCGCGCGGAGGCAACGACGACCACGACCAAAAGGCTGCGAGAGAGGTGGGGCAGAGAGAGAGAGGCTGCGTGATCCGTGACCTTTTTTGCCTCAGGAGGGACCCGGGGGGGGGGCCAGGTGCACGGCCAGCTCCTGAAGTCGAATGGACCAAAATGGGATGCACGATGCTGGGGCGAGGTGCCGGCGCGCGTCGTGCGCGCCTGCTTTTTGGGCCACCGAGAGGCACCAGGTCGTTGCAGGCCGGGTCTGCAAAGAGGGGGCCAGGAGAGTGGGGAGGGGGGGCATGCCGAGAGAGCCAACGAGAGACCACCAGAAGGGGGGGTCTGGGCCAGGAGAAGCGCTGCAGTAAGGCAGGTGCGCCGGCGCGTGGTTTTGTGGGTGGTGGGGTGGGTTGCTCGTTGTTTGATGCATGGCGCGCGCCCGCGCGTGCCGGCTGGCGGGGAGTGTGTGTGTGTGTTCCTGTTAGTATGGTGTTAGCACCAACACGAACGGCCCCTCGTCTCTCTTGCTTTGCTCGGGTGCCCCGGCTGTATATCCGCTGGACCCAACACGTATTGTGTTAAGCCTTTTGATCCTTTGACAGCATAACCAGTCTGTCCCGCACTTGTTTACCCCTGGCGACAAGCAGCAGCAGCAGCAACGTCGAGACAACACAACAAACCCACCACATCCACGAGACACTCCCCCCCCCCCCGTCTCGCCCTAAACACCAGTGTTTTCCCTCCCCTTCCCTCGTCCTGCTCCGACGCCACCCCAAACGCCCACAACTCAAACCGCGACACCTCTCCCCCTCTCCGTCCGCCGCCCGGGGCCAAAGCGCGCAACCCAACCAACCCCTCCCCCCACCCACCCACACCCACCCACCTACCCACTCTCACACACTCTCGTCGTTGGTTGCGACTGCTTCAATCCTCCTTTCTATTCATCCCTTTCCTTCATCCTTTACCTTTTCTGCCGTCCTCCTTTCGCTCCCTCCTCCCCCCCGTCTCTCTCTCTCTCTTTCTCTATTATCCGTCTCTTGATCTCTTGTCAACGTCCGACCATCTCCACACTCGTTTGAATTCTCCCCACACTCGTTTTCCACAACCCAAACACCACCCACACACCCCACCACACACCACTTTGCTTCTCGCGCCGCCTCGGATTATCAACCCTATCTTCCCCCCAACAGAGTTGCCATCCTTGACCCCCCACCGCGAACCAACAACAACAACTTTCACCTCCCCCATCGCACCACCACGCAACTACGACTCGCGCCCACGCATTCTTCAGGCAGCGCCAGTCCCCCATATCTATACATCTTTAGTTTCCCCTCCTCTTTCCCCTAGTACACCGTCGGTCGCGAGGTAAGTGTCGTTCCGCTAGCTCCACATAGACACAACAAAGGCGCCCCGAGGAACCAGTAGACGGTTGTTCGCGGTCGCGCCTTGCCCGGTCCATCCGTCCACCCCCGGCGCACCACTGCTTCTTTCTTCTTCCCCATTCCCCATCCACATCCAATATCTCCCTCCTCAATCGCCGCCGCCCGGGTGCACTACGGCATTCGCTTCCCTTACCCCGCCATTGCTCGATCCTTGTTCATTTTCCTTGACGTGTTCCCTTTATTGACCAGACGCCCAGACCTCCGACCTCCGCCTCCGCCGCCGCCGCCCCTCCGCACCATGCCGCGCATCCCCTCGCGCGAGGAGCCGTACCACAGTGTCGCCAAGTGCAATAGGCACTGGAAGACGAAGCGCGAGTTTGTGACCAAGGCCGCCAACAAGGCCTCTCACGTCGACGGCAGTCACTACCTGCTCGTCTGCGTTACGCCCAAAGGAAACATTGAAGTGCACGCCAGCGAACACTTTTACGACGACACCAACCAGGGCCGTTCCGACGGTGTTGTCAACTGGGACGTGCTGCGGAAACGCGCCGCTACCATCCAGGCAAAGAACGAGGAGCGCTGGACAGAGGTTGAGCGCCAGGAGAAGCGCTTTGGTGTCGAGGGCGAAGGTGACGATGACGAAGAGGGCGACGACGACGAGGGTGATGTGTCCGTGTCCGACGTGACCCTCGACGGCACTCTTACCGTCACGGCTGCCGGTCCTGGCCAGCTCATGTCGACCTTTTCTGCCGCCAAGGCATCACCCGCACGTCCCATCGGCTCTGTCATTGTCACTCCCGACTCGCTCGAGAAGGAGTACTGCCAGCGTTTCGCCGCTCTCGGCCAGAGCGTGTGTGCCAACATTCTCAAGGCTTGGATCAAGGTTGTCGAGCCCAAGAAGCAGACCAAGTTCCCATACAAGGACAAGAAGGGCAACGAGGGCCGCCCCCCACCCTGGTGGCCGAGGGGCATGCGCCACATTGAGCCCGACCACCTGCACAAGGATGAGCGTCCGCGTCTTCTTGCGTCAATCATCCAGCAAGCTTCAGCCCCGCGCGCCGAGGGCTCGCCAATCTCCACGGCCCCGGACGCCCGCGAGCTCACCATTTCGCGTCTTCACTTTGCCACCGCCGAGATTGGTTCGTCTATTCCTCCCCGCCAGCACTACGAGCTCCGCCAGATCTACCTCATCGCCAAGGAGGTCCGCAAGGCCAACGAGGACCGTCTCCGCGGCCGCGCTGGCTCGGTTACGCGTGAGAGTCCCGATGGCAGCTGGAGCGAGATCACCGTGGATATCTACGAGAAGCCTGCCCCCTCTGCCGGTGGCAAGCGCTCGTACGACGCGGCCGAGTATGACCCCAGCCGTTTGATGACCGACAACAAGGAAAACGTCGAGTATGACCGCCCACTCAAGCGCGGCAAGATGGACGTTCACCACATGCAGCAGCACGCCCTCACCCCACTCGCGTCGCACCAGAACGTCTACTCTGCGGTTCACTACAACGTCGAGCCCCACACGCCACACTCCACTGCCAGCTACGCCGGATGGCCCACTAGCATTACCCCCATTTCTGTCCCCTCTACCGCCGCTGCCGCCACCCAGTCTGCTCCTGCCTCGGCGGCTCCCCTCCCCAGTACCAGCCAGCAGCAGCAGCAGTACTACCGCCAGTTTGTCGACCAGTATCAATCGACCAGCGCGTCGACCCCAGCATCGGCGCAGGCATATGCCCATGGCCAGTACCAGCAGCACAGCCAGTACCAGCAGCAGCCACAAGCCCAGCAGCAGCAGCAGCAGCAGAGCTACGGGTACCAGCAGGCCGTCTACTCGGGTTACTCAGGATACCAGGCCACGACCGGTTCGACGGCGACGGGCGCGACAACACCGGCCGCGACCACCGCGCCCACGCCGCAGTACCACAGCTACTACGACAATGGCCAGACCTTTGTCGGCGACCTCGGATTGAGCGCGTAAATCGACCTCGCCGCCTTGTTTCCTGCCCACCGCCCTTGTGTTTTACGACCTTTCTGCATATGACAGCATTATGGCGCCGTCCACCGTCGCGCTTCATACCCCCAATTCTCTTGCCCCTTTCTCTCTCTCTCCCCCTCTCCCCCTCCGGCGTTCTATTTCTTTCTCTATCTCGCGCCCCTCTCTCGGCGACGGGCCAGCGGGCCAGCCCCGCCGTGCCGCGTCCACACTTTTCCACCCCCCGTCCTCTGGCCGATACTCCGGCCCGCCTGGGGCGGGCCACTTTGGGCTCCAGTATAGGACCCGTGCATTGATTGTACCACTTAGTAAAGGATGAATTTCGTGAAAATAGTATACAAAACCACCCGCCCAGCAGCACGAAGCGACTGCCACTCCACAGTGGATGGATCCCGTCCGCGCCGCCACAGTCACGCTCGCGCTCACGCTCACGCCCAGCTGGCCAAGAGCTTTTACTGAAACACCACGAGAGCGCGGTGCTGTGACTGACCGGCGGCCGGGCACGCTCCGTCTAGAGCCATGCGCGTACCCCGCCGACAGTCCTCACGTCGGACGATTACACACGGCCGGTGGCGAGAGAATCGACCCAACGGCTCGAGCGTGAACCGTCAAACAAACCGAGAGTAGTGGCGGTCGCTGGATCCTACTGTCCCTGCTTGGCCTTGGGGCTTGGCTCTCCTGATCGCCTCTTGGAAAACGTGTGCAAACGAGGTCGAGGCCGAGGACGAGGTCGAGGACGTGCACGCGCAGCCGGCCGCCCGCCGTCCGCCGTCGTCTCGCACCCATCCGCCCCCCGGCCCGGCTGGACTTTGCGGAGCAGCTGCTTCAGCTGGAGGAACAGGCGGGGGGCAAGCGGCGTTCACGGCTCTCCTTTTGCAGGGTGCGCGCGCAAGACCTCTGGCCTGTGGTCGCCGCACTGCAGGGGGGAGGGGGAGGAGGGGGAAAGGGGTGGGTTAGCAATCGCTGCTACTGCTCCTAGTGCCGCAATCACATGTCGCATAGTGCAGAGTCGTAGACGTTGGCGTGAGGGTAGAGCAAGAGGGCCGAGAGGGTTGGGGTGCGCCAGAACGCGCCTATCTATCGCCGGGTCGCCGGGTCGCCCGGCCCGCGCCGGTATACCCTTTGTCGTCTGCTCACGGCTCTTACATCTGGTGGCACATCCACTTGTCCCACTTCATTCGCCGCAGCTACGCGCGAGCGATCGCGGCGAGCGCATGAAGCACACCCCCTCTCTCCCACCCTCTCGCGGGGGTCGTTGCACCTCGCCAAGCTGCAGGAAACAACCGATACAGAGACACAGCGTGCGCATGGGGTCTCACTTGGCCAGGAGACTGGGACGCAAAAAGTGTGCCCCGCAGTCGGCTCCATGTGCTCCCCCCTGTCACCCTTTGCTCTGCAGGGATTCCTGTCGGCCATACCGCCGCCCAAGAAGGGCGCCGTCGGCGTGTCGGCGACAGTTCCGTTTTCCGCTACGTTCTCGGGATGCATCAGAGTCGTTTGGCCGAGGCTGGACTGACGGGTGTGGAGGCGGTGGAGACGGTGGTGTTATCCGATTTGGCGAGGGAGAGAAGAGAAATCAGCCGCGATGATCAACCCGGTAAATCAACCCGTTCGTCCGTCCGAGTCCCACATGTACATCTCAACAAGCGTCGCAGGTAGTGTTGAGCATTGCTCGTCTACCTGACAAATCTACCGGTGGGTCGCTCGTGAGGGAGCGGAGAGGGGTTGGAAGGTAAGTATGGCAGATTGAGTGCCATTCTGGACCATGGATATGCCGATGCTGTCCCACAAGACTGTGCGCCAGAGTGAGCTGGTTGGCGGATACCTTCTGGACCCACGAGGCCTGCGCTCCTGCTCACAAGGGTCCCCACGACGCGAGGCATCAGTCGCCCAGATCGAGGAGGAGGACTGCAATACACTACCCTCGGCGCGATCATGGACAAGACCCAGCGCCAAACGTACGACGCCTGCCATCCCCGATTCCAGCGCATACAAAAGCCACAGCAACGGGACGTGTGGCTTCATGACATGTCCAGGTGCGGTGGTTCCAGCTGGCCAGCGGTGTCCGTCAGTTGAGAAGGTGCATAGCGAACATGACCACGACGCTCGTCAGTAAGACCGTCTGGTGGAATTCTGGAACTGCCAGGCCCCCCTCGTGGCGTTTGTCGTCGTCCGGTGAGCATACATCCCTTCGTGGTGACATTGCTCTCCACTGTGGGTTCCCGCACGCTCACGCAGGGGGATGGGTGTCGGGTGCCCATCGTCACCAGCAGGTATGCAGGCAACGTTGTTGAACCCGGTTGAGGTCCGAGAAACTGCAAGAAAGGGAGAGTGCGACACGAAAGAGTAATTGGACGCATTAGTTTAGTATTACAATGGGATTGGTTTAGGATTACAATCCTAAACCATACACATTCACTATATGCACCCCCCTGTTTTAAACGGTCGACCTCATGTTGGGATTTGATGCCGTTTAGCGCCCGAGACCGATGGTCTTAAGCTGGCAGTTTGTCTTTCAGAAGAGGATGGGGATGCATAGGCGTCTACAGAGCTGCTTATATGCACACAGAAGGGAGGCCCGAGCACTACAGAGAAGCACGAGGACAATGAAGAAGCAGAAAGAGCAGCATTGGTGCAGTACCCTCGTTCTCCGGTCAGCTCGGTGCCACACTGCAGTGGCGCAAGTGGTTACGTAATCTCAACAACCTCACCGCTGCGTTACCCCTACTTCACCGGAGATTTATCCACTATAATTACCAAGTCCCTGCGTGTGTCGTTAACACTGCTATAAGGGTTGCACTTTCCATAAATCTCCCGGCTCCAGCCGGGGTTCGATTCCAATAGAGGGCAGAGCCTGTAGCGCCACTAGCCAGGCCAGGTCATTAAACAAAAGACCGTCCTTGAGGAACTCGACTGCTAGGGTTCGACAACAGAAAATGGCGGCCCAAGGGGGCACATTAGCTTTTGCTAGTCAGGCGGGCAGGCAGTCGAGTGCTGTGACACGCTTTTCGTTGGCACTGCGCCGTGTCAAGAGGACCGACAGGGCGATGGAGGCGGCGTCGTTTTGTGGAGGGATCGCCAGCATGGTCGCCTTTGACGCTCACCAGTGACCAGTGAGTTGTATGTAAGGTCTTTTGAAGCGTATTGCGCGTCCCAAGGGAGCAGGGAGCGCAAGTGAAACACTTGGTGTCGACGTCTGCACGTCCTAGACGCTGCCACGCACATCAAACCAATGCACAAACGAGCGCTTAGTGACCCATCGTTACCGGCTACAAGCTTTGGCATCGTCGTTCAGGGCGCCATCAGAGTAGACTCGATGAGATGATCTGTTCGCTCCCTCGTCGGCCGTCGCCGTTCCCCTCTTTGTCATCTTTTGGTCTTGCACTGCGCTGCACTGGCGCACTGGGCTGCGCCTGTCACACACCATGTCCGAAACGCTGCAAGTGGAAGGGAATGGCATTGAAGGCTTTAGAGTTTTTCAAACCTGGCTTTTTGGCGTCGTTTCAGCATGCGACAGCCGAAGGGACACGGTCGCATGGTGCGGCATGCGGGGCTGTCATTAGCCCCGAAAGGGGTTTGGGGGTTTGGGTTGGAGTTGGGGTTGGTCGGTTGATGCTGATCCTAATGTCTGCGGTCCCTCACAGTGCACAGTCCACAATGGGGCCGCGTACGTTGACAGACAGCAGAACCTGGAGGCGAACACGAACACGAACGCGAGAGCCAGTTTAGTAGGCGTGCCACGGTCCCGTGGCACTCGGTTGGTAGCTTGCCAGCCTCAAATCTGCGGCCGAGAGTGAAGGCGCTCGCTGGCCAGGTAGGAGGGGCACGGTATTGGTGTCCAGTGCCAGTGGCGCGTAAGTTCCGGCCGCCCTTCAAAGACCCCATGAAGACGACGGGGATGAGGAAAGAAGGGCGGCACCATCTGTACGAACACCCCCGTCTGACCGAGCTCGAGCTGGGGTTCCCTCACACGTTTGTTCGTGTTCGGTACATTCGGTAGAAAGAAACGCCCAACGCAGGTCGCCATGGTCAGCCGAACTGGCGTCAACATCGATACGGCCGGCCAGCAAGCCGACTCTTGTGCCACTGGTGGCACAGGAGGCGCGTGCGTCTCGGCCAGACCTTGTGGCCGCCCATGGCGGGCTCCCTGCCCCCGCTGACCCACATATCTCCCTTATCCTACGTTCCCTGCCTGCAATCGGCCACCCACTGCCAGGTCCTGTGTATGCACAGACCACCAAGACCGCAGGAAAACACCGGCTGCGCACGACTTATTTAAAGCATTTGAAAGAGCAGTTGAACAACGTGGGCACTGCGGTATGGGGTGGCTGAGCGTCCCACAGGGAAAGGACAGTTTGGACAGCGGCTACGGGTCGGATTCGTGCTCAGGTCTGCAAGAACACTCCAGCGATATCGCCATCGGCAAGAAGGGGCCGGGATCCCCAAGCATGTCGCAAAGTTGGGGGCTCTGCTGCTTGCGGATACTGCCAAGCGGGACTGCGGCCGAAAGTGGGATCGTCATGCGATCCCCGTCGCTCTTTCGCTCCTTGTTCCTCGCCCTCAAGGTTGACCAGCTTGAGCTTGGCCAGACCCTGTGCTCGCATGCGCATGGTGATGATGAAAGGTCCTGCTCATGTCTGTACGCTCGTGCACCTTGCACAGAAGAGTTGGAGCAAGCATGGGCTTGCTTGGGCAGATACCAGCTTTCGGCACAGGAACGCTCAACGGGACCCTCGCGTGTGCGGGCCGGCGCGAGTTCCTTCTTGGTTCCTCGACTTGCTTCGCTTCAGGCTCGAGGATGACGTCCAGGGCCAGGACCCAGATGACCCGCACGTCAAGTACGCGGCGTGCGACTGACATGGCTTTGCTATGGCGAAAAAGGTGATGTTTTTTTTTACGATGTCACCGGCGCGTCTGGCATATCTTTCCTTGTTCGCCCGCCTTGTTTGTGGCTTTTGCTGTGTGCCATGTCGCCTATCACGCGCCAGAATTCCAGTTGCAGTCCAGAAGGGCTGCTCAGCCTCTGCCAGCCGCATGCTGCGCAACACCACAGGGTAGAGGCGGCTGTAGAGGCGCTCCTCCTTCTCCAGCGTCTGAGTGGAATACGATGTGGCAACCTGGAAATCAATCATGTTCACTTTGGGGGCGACCCCTTCCACTAACTCTAATCTCCACCTCTCACGCCACTGTTCGTTTACATGGGGGGTTGCATGTGCGTGCCCCACCTGTTTTTCCTCAACGGTGGGTTCAAAGAGCGGATTAACCAGGCATACTGCGGGCCAAAAACCTGGCCATCATGATCAGTGATCGCTGCAGATCGGTCCAAACCTTTGTCGATCTCCTGTTTACTTTCTTGCCGCTGCTTCGGTTAGGAAAGGACACGCCTCCCCGCGCGTCCTGGACTGTCAAGCTGACGAAGCTGACGAGGTCTCGGCAACTGGGCTGCCGTTCGCGCCTTGGCCCGCGCAAAGGCCTTGAAAGCCTCCAAACGCCCCCTGGACCGAGCCGCGGAAAAATGCACACCTCGGCATCGATACCCTGCAACTCGGTTCCCGCCGCGGCGCAAACAGAACATGGCCCTCTTACACCTTCAGGTAACTGCTTCATAACCCGGAGCGCGGGCAGGAATCAGCCCTGCGTGCGTGACACGGGTCGAGATCAACACCGAGACGAGGTGAGGTGCACGCACGAGGATCTGGGAGGAGGGAAATGCGGGGCTAGCCAGGCAGTTTGTCACTTGGTCCGTCCAGGTTGTAGGATCTTGAGGTATGGAGAACAAACGTGGCGAGCGGTCTTCACTGCTAGTAGCTTTCTACTTCCCTGTGGCCTCGTTTCGGCATCCATGTTCGGCGCTGGCACGCCGACACGCTGGGCTGTGCCTGTGCGCAGACGACCTACGCCTCTTGTGTCTGTTTGGGCATACCCATTGCGATTAATCACAGGTTACCTTGTCTTACCTTGTCTTGTCGAGGAGCATGCCACAGGCGGCGGTGGTGCCTGCAACGATATTGAGCTACGTTGCCCAAGTACCTGCACAGGGGTTGACGACAACGTCTGAGTGGGGCACCTTTCTGCTAGTGAAGCACAGTTGCCATCGATATCGGTTGAGGGCCATGGGGTGTTGTGTCCACAAGGTTTACATCGGCCCAGCCGGTTGTTAGCGCCCGGTCGTTTGGGTCGCTAGATCGCCAGGCGCCTCTCCGGTTTCCATAATCGCGGCCCAGTGTTCCCGCTTGCTTGGAGCTTGGAGCTTGGAGCTTGTACGTACCGACACATACACCACATTGGATGGTCGCCGAGGATCAGCAGTCCGCAGTTATGCACATGCGGGAGTCCCCGTGTGTAGCTTCGTCTGCTGCCTTCGTGGTGCGTACACGCTGTCCAAACGGGCGGTCCTTCCCGCTGCTGTTGGTGGTTTCGTAATTTAGGGTGCGGAACAAGTGGGATCCAGGTTCCTCGTCGACATACTGTCAGATTTAAGGCATGTCTTTGTTGCTCCGCGGGGCGACGTGCAGCGGCGCTGAGACACGGCTGCTCGGGGTCGAAGCAGAGATCGCAGAGACAGGCGGCCAGGTATGCTTTGTGCCATTACCCAACCCTCGACGCCGGTCCCGCGGGAGATCGCAACTGCCGAGTGCCCCTACCAAGCCTGCAAGCTCTCAGGTTCAAAAACCCCAGTGCCAGCAATCTGATCTGGACCTAGACCGAGTAACCAACCACATGTGTGCAGGTCGACAACAAGACGAACTGGGACATTAAAAGTCACACACCTCCAACATTGGTCCCACACACCCCCAAGGCCTCACTCCACCAACTCCACGCAAATATCTCAGCGCCTCAGAAGCGCCGCCGTCTTTATCTTCTCATTCTCACAGCCGCGACGCAGTGGCTGCTCGCCTCCACCACAACTGCCGTTGCCGGTACCCCTACGTTGACCGGTGTTCGGACAACCTTGATATACCTGAGGCCCTCAGCAAACCCTTCCGGCGCGGCGCCACTAGGACTATAGGACGCCACGGCCGCGAACCGAAACACACCCAGCTTTGTTCAGGTAGCGACTGTTGAACAATCTCAGAGTGAGTAGTAGGCCAGTGTCTAGAGCGGGGAGGCGACAGAGATCCCAGCGGGTGGCATCGGCCCATTTTGAGTTGATGTGTGTTGCCTTCCTCGACCCCACCAGCCTGCGCGCCCCGAGGCGTTTTGTTTTCTTGCGGCGTGCGACGTGAGAGAGATGGTGTCCATCGTACGCCATGTGCTGATAGGAGCAGACCGGCCGCTTCGTCCAACGCGCCGCGCTCGGCAACCTCTCCAGCCTCACAAGCCTCGTTTTGCTCTTTGCACATCACATCAGCCGCGATCAGCCGCCTCTGAGCGCGCCTAGCACCACCCTAAGAGCTGGAACACCCCCCAGCCCTGTCATTGCTGCGCCTGCACTACTCCGTGTCTCGGAGGCTTGTGGCTGCCCTTCAGGTCGCTTGTCCCAGCTTGTGGTCCGTGACGCAGTGTCTCGGACCCTCCGTGTGTGTCATGATGTCCTTGGTGAGTGCCAAAAGGGACGCCGTGCTCTTGAAAACCTCCTGGCTCCTGGATTGCGAGTGCCACCTCTTGTGGCCGCCGTGGTCTGGACAGTGGTGGTGGCTCTCCCCGCCATCGCCCGCAGCCTGTTCCCCGTTGCCGTGTTGGCGATAGATAGCATAAGACGCTGACATTTGTGCTTGCCCCGCTTCTTTCCCATTATCTCTCACTCTCACTCTCTCACATCCCTACACACTTGGCCGTGCGTGCGCGTCCACCACCCACCCGCTCGTTATCGACCCCTTGTTGTGTGCGACACCGTGCCCACCGCCCTATAACCCGACGGTCCACACCCCTACCGACGCTCATTCCCTTCGTCGCTACCCCTGTCCACCCACCCGACCATCACCCTCCCCCCCTCCCGACTGCGGCCACGACTGACGTCCCATTAAAATCTCTCTCCCATCACCATGAACGTTACTTCATCTCCTCGTACTTTGGTATCTGCCACCTCTCAGCAAACCCACATTCAAGTGCCGCGTCCCCAGGTCGCTCTCCCCCACACGCCTCCTCAGACGCCTCCCACCCACAAGGACTTTGGTGCGATCAACGGCCTCACTCCTGCACACCCCCAGCAGCAGCATCAGCAGCAGCCGGTCTTGCCCCACACCCCGGAGCCCTCGCCCAAGGTCGAATACTCGTCGTCCTTTTCCACACTCCCCGGTTCCCACTCTGGTATCGGCCTCGGCATTGGGTTCACTGAAAAGGGCTACACCCGCAACGAGGACCTGCCCATCAACAGCGCGACTGCGTACTCTCCCCAGCGTAGCGTCTTTACGCCGATTAAGCTTTCCAACCCGTACAAGGGTCAATCTCCGCCCGGCATGAGCACCCTCGCCTACCTCCTCCGCGTCCCCCGCCGCCTGCGACCTGTTCTCCTCCTCTTCACCTCGCTTTTCGTCATTGCCATTGTCCTCGTGTCGCGGACCGTCACCGACAGCTCGGGCAACTCGCTCGAGACGTTTATCCGCCAGCGCCAGGGCCTGGCGGCGTTTGGCCGCCGGTTCGTCGACGAGCAAGAGTACACCAACCTCAGCGAGCTGAGGCAGGTCGTCATTGCCGACTCGGCGCGCATCACTGCACACGCCAAGATCGAGTCCCAGCCGTTCGAGTATGAGAGCAAGACGGACGAGCTCCTTGCCCTGCTGGGCTTTATCACTGCGGCCACGGGCAACTCGCTCCCACCCACCATCGACACTACGCAGCCGCTCGACGCCTCGCTCCTCCTTGGCTTCAACCCCACCACCGTCGAGTCGGCCGCCGAGGACCTCGAGTTCCTCAAGGAAGAGGTCAACACGCAGTACCCGCTTGTCCTGCTCGGCCGCCTGCGCGACCCGTGGCAGGGTGAGATGATGAAGCTTCTCGAGCACTACAAGATCTCGCCCGAGCCGCTCATCATCGACGTCGACCTGCGCAAGGACCACGAGCAGTTCATCCCCACTCTGGAGCGTCTGCTCGACTCGAGCGACCTCCCCCAGCTCCTGCTCCTCGGCAAGCCGCTCGGCAACGTCCGTGACATCCTCGCATGGGAGGACGCCGAGTTCAAGAGCACCGTCATGGCCTCTGACGCCGTCTCGGTCCGCTCCCTGACCAAGAAGGACAAGCACCGTCGCGAGAAGGAGCGCCAGGAGCGTGAGCGCCTGCTCCGCCCCGCCCCCATTGTCGAGTAGAGCAACAGCACTGCGCCTACTCGTACACTTCTCTTTTTCTCTTCCATTCATTCCATCATTCCTCTCACGGGACACGACAAAACGGACCGCATCAGACACACACACGGACACACACACACACCACCACCACCATAGAAAACTCGGTTGTAGCATATCTATTTCTTCTTCCTTCCCCAACCCTCCATACACTGATCTTATTCCTTCTCTTCAATGCATCATTCTGCCCCATCACAGCGCAAAGGTTGCTATGCGGTGCGCCGGCACTGGCCACTTTTTCCTGTGCTTGCCCCCAATGTACCCAATGCGCAATATGTGTGATCCTGCCCTCGTTTCAGCCGTCGACGCCAGGGTGCTTACTGCAGCTGGGCAGCAGCTGGTTGATCGGGGCTACCATACTCTGGTGGGTCTTGGCACCGCGCAAACCATCGCGCATAGCGTGTAGCGCGTCCAAGCGGCCCAGGTCGAGCAGGCAAGCAGGCAAGCAGGCAGGCAGGCAAGACAGATAGGCAGACCTCGGCTTACCCAGCCGCGGCTCGCTCGACGCCGTGTGTCAGACACACGTCAGGCCATTTTGCACACAACACACACAAACCCCAGATCTCCCTGCGAGCGTACCCGTGTGCCAACCCTCTTGGCAACCACGGAGCAGGGCCTGGAGCACCAGACGTCCACCAGACGCGGTCAGTGCGCGGCCCGGGGATCCAGAGGACGTGCGGCCCCACCGTCGAGACCACTAGACTGTGATCCCCCTGGCTCGCGCGCAAGGCTGAGCTGCTGCGATCACTAGTTGCTCTGGGGATCTGGGGACCTTTGGGGTGCGAGGGGCCGTGTTCCATGTCTAGGCCATCTTGTGTCTGTGCCAGTCGTCCGCTCGGGCCGTTTTGATATCGCGCTCCCTGGTCCAGTGCGCCAGTGCGGCCAGATTGCGAGGGGGCTTCTGGCGCGACCGGGCCGACAATGGCCCAACGGCCAATGGTCCAGGTTGATGACAGCGGATACAGATCGCACTCTTAATGCGCGAACGAGTGTTGACTTGTTGACACGTTAGGTTGACACTTCACACGCCGTGGTACTTGCAAGGAATCGGCCCGTTATTACTCACGTATGCTTGCGGAATAAGCTTGTTAGTGTGAGTCCCATGTTGTCCACTGACGGTCGACCGGTGGTGTCCGCAACTGCGGAGGCCTGGAGGGCGCGTCTAACCCGCCATCCACTGCTCCCGACCGTCAGATGGCAAGGTTATAGACGTCAGCATGCGGGGCCAGTGCAGTCCTCCACTCGAACCATCACGCTCGTCCTATGAGTGGTACATCTCCATGTGGCGTACAACGCTTGGCGGCTGGAACCCCTGCCTACAATCTGGTCGGTTCTGTCGTCGTCGCCGTCGTCGTCGTCGTCGTCTCCTCCGGCCGGCGTCCTCGTTACTGCATGCGCGGTTTCTCGTTCTTATCGCAACATCGCCTTTGCTTGTTTCCCCTTTTGCTTCTTTCTCTTCACTTCCTTCGGTCGCGTTTCGCCTTGTCGCCTTCGTATCGTCGTACAGTCGGTCACTCGCTCCAACGTGTCGCCATGCCCTGCAGACCGCAGCCATGTCGGAAGGCCCCATGGCCCATGCCCCCATGCCCATGCCCACCGCCAACGCGTACGTTCTCCGGGCACACCACTTCCTCAGTGGTGTTGACCCGGCGCCGGCGCCGGCCAGCGGTGTAGGATGGGCATGTAGAACTTGGCCGACCAGCGGTTCCAGCGCTCGAGGGCATTCATGGGCTGGCTCGCACGGCGCTGGGCACGCTCGCGGCGCTCGCGCGCCTCCTCGGCCCACATGGCCGCGATGGCCGCCTCGCGCTCGGCCCAGCGCGTGCGCGTGATCGACTCGCGGCGCTCCAGCTCGGCGTCCTTGGGCGTGTACTCGGGCAACGTCTCAAAGCCGTCCAGGCCGCCGGGACCGGTGGGGGGCGGGGGCGGCGCGTACGCGTCTGTCGCGGCCAGCGCGGCGGCCAACGATGACGCAGTCGAGTGCGCGCTCGCGTCGGAACCGCGCGACGCCGTGGGCGTGGCGTGTGGTGTCACGAGGCCCGGGTACGACGGGGGCAGGTGCAGGTCGGGATGGGTGTGGTGCATGGCAGTGAAGATGGTGGTGGTGGTGGTGAGATGGACACGGTGTGGTGGCAACACAATTGAGCCAGGCGGTGCACAATGGATATTATGGGAAGCCGGGTGGCGCTTGTGCCTCGGGAGCAGTCGAAATCCAGGCTCGTGCAGCGTGGAGGCAAGTGATCGTGAGATCGTGAAGTGCACGTAATGTTCTCGCATTGTGCTCGTCTGGTGGCCGCCTGCTTGCTACTGCTGCCTCACACATGTACACATGACATACATCAGTTCATTTGTACCTCGACACATGCGGATGTGGAGCAGAGTTGCTACCCATATGGCTGCTTGGCTGCAGGAGGCCGAGATACGGCTGGATCCAATGTCATATGGTGTCATCTGGCGCACACCCCGCAGCCATTCGCACGCCTTGGACCTTTGGGTGGCAACGCAACAAGCCTTCAGCCCCCAGGAATAGACGCTGGCGCCGCAACGGCGCGTACGAAGCTCGCAGAAGCAACCCGTACGTATCCAGTGCCCTTTGCCGTGTGAAATGGACACGGTTACACCCCCACGTCCCACCCCACTCCCCACCCCATATCTGCCCACTGACATCATCATTCGTTACGCCTCCACCGGGCCGGGGTTGGCCGGCCGGCGGTCTTTCTGTCGTCAGCCAGAGGCCAAGTGGTGGCCTGTCGGACGACCCAGGCAATCACACTGTAGATAACTATATACAGACGAGGATGTATACATGAGCACCATGCACAGGGCTTATGGGGCACGACCACGAGAAAAAAAAAGTGGCAAAAATAGACGTCAATCTGCAACCCAAAGGCGAGCTGTCGACTCGGCGAACCACCTCCGACTCAACTCATGTTCCTAGCTTAAGTCGTCCTCCCTCTCCGTCATGTCCTCTGAATGTCCGCCCTTGGCTCTGTAATTCAAACGACACGGAAGCGAGTGGGCGGGCATGGGCGGTCATTGAGGGCGGTTTGTGAGCCCAAGCTATCGGTCTACTCCGTCTGTGGATGTACCATTTCACCTTGCTCTGTACGCCCGGGCGGACATTGGGGTGCGGGGTGGGTCTTGCACGAGGTGCAGAGCTGATACATCCATCTCTGAGCTCTGAGGGAGGGCGCTGTGTCTCTTTGACTCTCTTTCACTTCTCTTTGACCTCGAGTCGCTCGTACTACTACTCCTGGGTGTAGGAACCGCGGACACGAACAGCAGATCCACAGTGGTGATACCGAGCTAACCACTGCGGAATGATCCCCCACGGCGGTCATCCCTCCCACCACATCTCCTGTCCACACCTATCCATATCCAGTACCATAGAACACACACTTCGCCATGCCACGTGGAGCGACGCCGCTCCCCACTGCGCAGGTCGCGGTGCTCATTGGCGTACGCCTCGCCGAGCCCAGTGAGTGTGGCAAAAGGGGTCAACCGGGATGCTCTCTACTGCCTCTTGCCCCTGGTTCTTTCACCATCTAGTTGGATCGCCGGCTACATCTGTACTGACACATTGAACAGTCGCATACACTGTCATCTTCCCCTTTATCAACCAGATGATCGAGGAGCTCGGCATCACAGACAACCCGGACCGCGTGGGGTTTTATTCCGGCCTCGTCGAGTCGGTGTTCGCATTCGTCCAGTTCTTTACCGTATACCAATGGGCCAAGCTGTCCGAGTAAGACCCCCCCTAACCACGGTAATGTTATCCAATCTGACACGGGTGTGTAGCCGTATAGGTCGTAAGCCCGTCATCGTCTTTGGCCTGAGTGGCGTTGCCATTTCCATCTCCCTGTTCGGCCTGTCGCGCAGCTACGCCGTCATGCTGCTCTTCCGATGTATCGCCGGCGGCCTGAACGGGAATGTCGCAGTCATCAAGGCGAGCCTGGGCGACTTGACAGACGAGACCAACTCGACAGAGGCGTTCGCACTGTATGGCATGACGTGGACGCTGGGATCCATCTTTGGCAATGCCCTCGGGGGCGCGCTGTCCCACCCGGCGCAGCGGTTTGGGTGGACGGGCGCGGTGTGGAGCGCGTATCCGTTCTTGCTGCGTACGTGTCGCCTAATGCCAACCTGTCAATCAAAGCTGACGATGCCCCGCACGCAGCATGCCTCACAGCAGGCGTGTGTACCTTGACCGGCCTCGCATTCGCCATCATCGTGTACAAGGAGACGTTGTCATCACTCGTCGACGCGCGGCGCGTGCTGCCTTTGCGTCTGCGTCTGTTCCCGCCTAAACAAGGAGTGGGCCACCTGCGCAGCGCCTCGCTCGTGAGCGACGCGTCGGTCGAGACGCTCGTAGGCAGCCCGACCTCGCCCAAGATCGGCAGCGGGTTCGCCAGCTCCCCAACGGAGTCGCCTGGCGACTATGACTTTGACCCGGACCGCGAGCTCCTCCTTTCACACAGCCAGGCCACCGCCCCCAAGTGGGGGTTCAGGACGCTCCTCCGCCACAGACCGGTACAGGTGTCGAGCCTCACGCTGTTCATCAACCAGTTTGTGTCGTCTGCATGGAGTGCGGTGGCGCTGTTATTCTGGTACGACCGTAACCAGTGAGTGTGGCACGAGAGGGGCAAGGGGCGACATTCTTGACGTTGCCGGCTGACGCGAAACCTCACAGTGGAATGGGCATGTCTGTAAGTGGCCGGACCGGAACGATCCCATCTGTTGTCGTGAGCTCACACCACTGTACAGGCCGCGGCGATCGGCGGCGCCCTCGCCATCAACGGCATGGTCACGGTAGTCAGCCAGCTGCTCCTCCTCACACGCCTGCAGCGCGCACTGGGTCTCGTGCCGGCGTACAGGCTGCTGACGGGCGGGTGGGTGCTGTCGTGGATCATCCTGCCGCGCCTGCGTGACGTGCTTGAATGGGCCGAATCGCCCGTCCCAGGTGGCGACGGCGGGTATGGTCCGGTACGCGGCTGGCCAGTGACGCTCGCGGTCAATGCGTTGCTGTGCTTTACGGCTATTGTCCAGCTCAACTTTTCGCTGCTCATGGTCATTGTCAACAATGCGGCGCCGGACAGGTCCGCCCTCGGTGCCGTGAACGGCATCTCGTCATCGGTCGGCTGTCTGGCCAAGATGCTAGGCCCCAGCATCGTTAGCGCGGTAAGTGTTGTTAGGCGTTGTTGTTGTTGTTGTTGTTGTCAACAAAACCGGGTCGTTGCCCGAGATTTGGGTTTACCGGACCTCTACCGCGTCTCTCCCTGCTGCACGTCTCTCCCTCCCTTGGCTGCATGTCACTGCACGCACTCTGTCCCACATCCCCGGCTCCCCAAGCACCACACACCCGAGCCCAGGCCCCCCTTTGCTCCCCCACAGAAATGCAGGCATGCTGACGCTCACGTGCCCACCATGACATCGGACGACCGCCCATTCCTCACGTAACTTGGCATGACACGCACCACTCTTGGCGACCTGCCGTTCGGATCCATCACACCATTTTTCGCCCGGACGTCGTTTCACGAAAACAAAAATGATCCCTATTATATAGCTGTTTGCCGTCTCGGTCGACAGGCAGCTGCTCGGCGGCCGGCTATGGTGGCTGTTCATGGTCGCGGCCAGCGTGTGTAACTTTGGTGCGAGCCTGCTGGTGACAGAGGACAGCAGTACGCACCGCCGCGTCGTGTTTGACGACGACGACGACGATGACGACGAATGAAATGTTCATGTTCATGAAGCTAGCTGCTAGAGAGACCGACTGGTCGGCGTCCGGGCGTACAGTACATATTTCCGCTGGGCAGAGCCATTTGATCCATTAGTCCCATGATCCAATGATACGATGTGTAAGCCCCGCGTTCTTCGGGTGTGCACCGGCGCACCGGCGTACGGCGTACCGGACATGTTTTGCCAGCTCACGGGATCACGGGGACGCGCGGGGTTGGGTGAGCGAGGCTGGGGGGCCAGAACGAACGGGTCGTGTCCGGCCCCCGTGGCTGGCCGCTGGGTGACAACTCCCTGACGGACACGGCCGGTGAGCACCTGCAATTGAGAGACAGAGAGACAGAAGAGAGAGAGGGAGAGACATAAAGAGAGGTGCACGCGTGTATCTCGGCTGCAGTGATCCAGCAGGGAGACACGCACATCGACCGGCCGTAAGGTTGGGCAGAGCAGTGCGACAATGTTACTGCGGCATAGCACCGCCAAAGTCGTCGACATACAAAGGTACAAAACGAGGTGAGAGTGACGAGTCGATCGAAGAAAGGGCAGAAGGGGGGAGGGTTTTGCCGCGCCAGCTGTGGCCGGCCATGGCCCAGCAAACGGCCGGAACGACGGAACAAACGGCGAGGCAGAGGCCAGACGGCGAGGTTTGCTTGTAGGGAAATGCAGGGAATGTAAAAAAAAAAGACAAGTCTGGTCACCTGGTCGCGAGAAGCGCTGCTGGCTTGTTTGGGGGCCAGCTACAGGTCAGGAGATCAGGAGTTTGCTGCCCACATCGAGTTGGCCAGGCGTGGGGTAGCAGCAGGGAGAGGCCACTCTAGCCACTCTGAACGGAGCGGCAAAATTGCGGCTGCAGAGGGAGAGAGAGCGAGAGAGGAGGCGACGGAGAGGGAGACACAGACGACAATGGCGGGGTAGCCGGCAGAAAGAGACGCCGTTCCCGTAGCGGCGTGCAGTCACCGTTCACGGCAGGAGGGAGAGACAATCCTTGTGGTCTCCATCACCACTCCCATCCCATCACTCCATCATCCATCGCCACTCTCTCTTGTCTCTCCCAGTCTCTCCCGTCACTGTCGTTGTAAACACTGCGCCGATCTCTCGCCGTCGCGCCGTCATTACCCCCCCACGTTGCCCAAACGGCCCGCGCATCCGCTGTTGCCGCCCACCCGTCCGGCCCACCGCCGCGCGCCCGCCCGGAGCCCCCGCATTTCGCACCGCCAGGGGGAGAGAGAGGCCATATCCACACACTCTAGTCTTGCTCTTGTCATTGCTCCGACTCGGAAACATCATCCACTCCATCCCGTCTTCCATCGTACTCTCTCCACCACACCCACACACACCCCCGCGACACTCCTGCGACCCCACACTAGAGCGCTCTCCTCCATCACCACTCTTTGTTCGCCCACCGCCCTCATGATGTATCGCTCTACCCGCGTCTAGTCGTCGGGCGCCGCTCCAGCCGCCTCCTCCTCCTCTTCCGACATCTTCCCCCTCGCCACGCATCGACTCTTCCCCCCTCCTTTCCTCCTCTACACCCCGAAGACATCCTGCTACACGTACACCAACCATGCCCCAGGGCACAGCGTCCCCGAGCGCGAATGCCGCACCCGCAGACCCCGTGGACTGCCTCTCGCCCTCGCCCCCGGCCCCTCGCGCCGCCCGCCCCCGTCACGCACCGCTCCTCGCCCTAGTCCCCGCGGCCGTTCCAGACGAGCCCCCCGATGAGGAGGTCCCGAGCATTTGGACAGGTGAGCGCGCTTACTTGCTCGTGGTTTAAAGACTCCCATTCTGACTTTGTTTGCAGTTATTTCACGCGCCTCGGACCTCGTCAAGGACGGCGAACGTTTGGAAAACCTCGCTTGGAGGTGAGATCCATCAGCCGGCGACTGCTGAGCAGCGGGTCGGCGCTAGCCTAGAACTTGTGCTCACACCTCTCCACAGACACTGGGGCGCGCCCACAGTGGGCCGTAGACGGAGCTCCTCGACACTGACAACGAGTTCGGCCGAGATTGGTACGCCGTCAGACAGAGGGTCCATTCCGCGCACCCGCAGCTTTGAGCGGCGGTCGTTTGCTGGTACACTCCGTCTCCTGGTGGAAGAGTCGTCTTCGTTCAAGGACTGGGTCGAGGACGCCCGTCTGAAGCACCCCGCCTCCCCTCAATCCGGCACAGCCGATACCCACCCTCCTGCCCACCCTTCGTCTCCGGTCGCCGCCGCCGCCACCGCGACGCCGCCTCCTATTCCGACCGTTAGCCTCCCCCACTGTTCGGCGCCAGAGACCCCCGTCTCGCTCGAGATCCGACTCGTCGAGCCGACACCAGTACCCAGCCGCGTTGGTTCACTCGGGGGCAGTCTCGACGCGACACGCAGTGTTGCCGCCAAGACCGCCACCCAGCCGCTCCTTCGAGAAGACATTGACGAAGAAGCGGAAGCGGACCCTGCAACGACCGCCTCGGCTACAGCCCCCTCCGCCCCAGCTGGCCCCGCTGCCCCGCAGCCGCGTGGCCGCCGAGCAGCCGGCGGCAGGAGCTTCTTCATTCAATCCAGTCCCGGCAAGGTGTCGGGATCGGAGAGCTCACCCCAGTCGGCATCAGCGATCCCTCCCCCTGCTCAGGCTCCACCCGAGCCTGAGACCAACCATGTGAGCTCGCAAGGCTCCAACTTTCGCAGCTCGGACGACTCGTCTTCGGCCATTGTCATCAAGAAGAAGGAGAAGCGTCACGTGTCCATGGCCAACATGCGCGGCCGGTTCCAGGGCGAAAAGGCCCGCGCAGCACAGGCCATTGCCGACCGCAACAAGAAGGAGAGCTCGGACGAGTGGGAGGATGAAGACGAGGAGGAAGACGAGGACGAGTGGGAGGACGACGAGCCAGCACAGGACACGAATGACGACCCGCCTGCTCCTCATCATCATCAACCACCACATGCCGCCCCCGAACCTCACCGGCGAGCGACCGAACCCATCATTCCGCAAGCCCCCACACCGCCACGCACAAAGAAGGAGCGCGCAGCCGAAAAGGCTCGCGCCGACGCCCAGCGCGATGCCCAACGCAAGCGCGAAATGTTTGCCAAACAGGCCATCTTTGGTGCCAAGGTCGCCCCCTCCGAGGGCCTTCTCACGCGCACGTTCAACATTGGCAAGTCCATGATCGACCTTACCCAGGCCGGCAGGGAGGACGACCACGACGAGCTGAGGCGGGCGCCCACACTCTCGCACCTCGGCCAGCTCTCCATGTCGCCCGCCATGGCCAGTCCAAGCGGCATCATGCGCTCCAAATCGTCGGCCGCGTTGCCCGTCCAGACAGGCGTGAGCGTGACGTCGCGCTCGCACCTGTCCAACTCGGGAGACAAGCGCTGCCCTGTCGGTGTCGAGATGGAGACGTCGGACGAGGAGTCTGACGACGACTACCTCCAGTCTGAAGAGGTGCGCGCAAAGCTCAACGCGCTGGCGGCCAAGCGGGAGGCGCGCGACCGGGCAAAGGTGCTAGCCGCCCAGCAGCAGCAGCAGCAACAGGAAGCCGAAAGCCTTCCCGCCGTGACTCCGCCAATTACCGCCGTGTCTCCCGTCAATGTGCAAGCGACTCCCGTGCCGGTCGTCCCTAGAGGCTCTGGCGAGTTGGACGAAAACGGCATTGTCCGTCCCCTGTCGCCCACGTCGCGCAGGCGCACGATCATCATGCGCGAAATGTCCGAGTCGCTCAGGAAGAGTAAGTCGGAGATGCTGTGCGGAATGCTTGAAATCCAGCTGACAGTTCCAGACATCATTGTCGAGCGCGAAAAGTCGTCTGGTCGCGGTGCCATGGGAGGAAGCAAGTTTGGCCAGGACCACAAGCGGCCTCCGCCAGGTGTGCACATGTCGCGTTTACCGACGTCCAGCTCGGCTGTCAACCTCGCACAGCTGCACAACTCTCCTCAGCACACGGGCGAGGCCCTCGCTCTCGCTCGCGTCCGCTCCAACCAAGTGACCGATTTCAAGCCGCACAACAACAAGCTGGAGCGCCACAGCTCTCATCCAAACCTGACGGCCATGGGCGACCATGACAACTACACCACCCAGCCGCCGCCGCCTCGTCCAGTGCAAGAGAGTAACAGCCGAGGGCCTTCTCCCAACCACTGGCAGGCGTCCAGTTCGACATCGCCCGAGGCGCGTCGCCGGGCAAACGTCCTTGGCTCGGGCTTCCTGCGGCCGCTCACGCGCGTCGGCGGTGACGGCGAGCTTGGCCGCGCGCGTTCCACTGTGGCGCTCACGACCATGACCTCGCCCACCGCCGAGCCCATGCACTCGTCGCACTCGCCCACCACGCACATGCCCTCGAGCGGATCGAGCGGCGCCCTGCGCTCGCCGCACCTACAGGCCGCACCCATGATGCGATCCAACACGGAGGGCGCCGGCAGCCGCGAAATGGAGCGAGCACGTGTCCGGCGCGAGCTCGCCAAGCGCAGCGAACACACCGACACGAGCTACCGTATGCACGGCTGGTGACCGCACCAACCGACCGAACCACACCACCACCTCCCCCAGAATCCACAACCCACCCAAAGCATGGCGACAACATCAAAGCAGCAATCAGAAGCATTAAACCCAAGCAAAGCAAAGAGCAATCAATTCCCCCTCCCCCACAACAAACCGAATTTGCCCCACCCTTTCCAAAGTAAACAAACAACCTCCCCCCCTTCCCCTAACTGCATGCCCCGGCATAGCCTGCAGGGGCGCACCACACCCCTCCCCCCCGACCGCCGTGTAATAGGCATAAGTACGAATGTTGTGACATGATTGCTATGCTACGTAAATCCAACAATTGCAAAGACGTGGTGGCGGGCGGGAAAAGGGAGGGTGCGACAGTGCCAGGTCCAGCCAGTATGCACTCAACTGACCGAGAAACACATAACGCGGTCAGTCCACTACTGGCGACGGGGGAGTATACTGTGTTCTCGGGGTGGAGGCTCAGTCTGACGGTGCCAGTGGTACAACAAGGCGCAGAGAAACACACTACGCAGCTCGTCAACTACTGGCAGCCGCCAATACTGCGTTATGGCGGCGGACGGAGCGACGCGCTTGTATGTGACGGAGAAACACACTACGCGGGGTGGTCAACTACTGGCACCAGTTCATATTGCGTTTCTGGCTGTGCGGAGGCAGTCTGTGTGCGTGCCATGAGGGGAAACACACTACGCGCAGTGGGTCAACTACTGCACCGGTGAATACGGCGTTCTCTTAGCGGAGGCAATTTCAAAACAAGTTGGCACGTTTGTCAATCCATGTCAACCATGTTGTGTGAACTTGACGCAACCAACACATGCATGGCCTCCGTCCCGCAGTCGTGGATGAAGCGAGACGCACGTGCATGCATGCACGCTGGCCGCGAGCGCATGGCATCACCAGGAGACGCGAGGCGGAGATTCCACGGCGGAAAACCGCCGGCTTTCCTTCCCTCCATCTCCTTGCCTCCCCCCCCTTCCGCAGCCATGGCCAAAAACGAACATTCCCAAGTCCTGCTGAGACCTGGAGACGCTGCTCTACACCGTAAGGGAGTCGAACCCCTGCCGCGTCGATGGCAACGACGCATGATACCGTTTCACCAACGGTGTTGATGATGAACAAGACTGGCAGAATGAAGCGCCTTCGGACGCTGTCGCGCGCGCGGTCAAAACGTTGCCCAGAGGTCGAGATACAGATGGACAAGACACGCGCATGGACACGTCCCGAGTGGGCGAGATGGGTGTTGTCTCTGGCCGCTTGCTCGAGGCGAGTGTGGGGCGCGAACGTCGAGTCGAAGCCAAAGCCTGTCGTGAGCCTCGTCCCTTGTCATTCGCGCGTTAGCCTGTCAGTGACCTCTGACACCGCGCCCAACTGCCCGCTGCTGCTCTTGCTCGCTCTCCCGTGATAAACAGCTAATGCCCTCTCGCTCTCTCTCTAAGTGTATCGATCAAAGTCGACAGGAATACAACACGGCCCGGTCTCGGCGAACCCGCTTAGCTCTTTGCTGCGGGCGCCGAGCGCACGGGGAGGAACTTGATGGCGTGGCTGTTCAGGAATGGCCATGGGGGAACGACGGCCTGCGGGGTGTGAGTACAGAGTATACGAAAGGAGAGGTGTGGGTCCGAGCTATCAGAAGGGGTGAAGGCAGCTCATGTCATCCACCCCACGCCGTCTGAAAGCTCTTGGGAGAGACGGACGTACCAGGATGAGCACCACAAAGCCCGCGAGGAACACCTCCAGGCCGAGGAGGACGTTCGAGGTGAAGAATGAGATGGCAAACGCAATGGCCTGGGAGTCACCAGTCAGCTGCAGTCACACGTCTATGGAGCTGGGGGCCACTCACGACGAGGACGCCCAGGTAAATGTTGGCAGCCCACTCCGCAAAGCTCTGGGTGTAGGGGTCCTGCATAGGTCAGTGCAGTCGCGAGTAGGATACCCACAATGTCACCCTTGAGGGCCGTCTGGACTGCTTGTGGGAGGTACTCCATTGCAGCCGGTGTCGGGTTTGTTGTTGTTGGAACCGCAAGTTGTCGTGAGATGCCTTGTCGCGTCGATGACATCCGCGAGGTTGTGGTGGCCAACCACGTGTCTATATGGGGGTGCCGGATAGACGTCTCAGTTTCGGGCTTGTGACGTCACTCGGGTGGCTCCCGACATTCACCCCATCTCATGTGTGCATTCGTCGGCAACGATAATAGGAATGCCTGGGCATCCAGATCGTCTTCTTCACAATCCACGTCTCCCCACAGCCTCCCTCACCTTTTGTTTTTCGTTTTGCACAAGCCGACAAGACACATTTCGTCCCATTGTCCTGACTCGTTGAAATCAAGGCTCTGTGCCTCGCCCAGCGCTCTCGCGTGTCTGGTTCCGACATTGTGCCATTTAAGGCTCTCCGTTCTGTCCCCGTTCTTGTCGAGCTTGAAGCATCGAGGCGCGCATTCCACAAACATCGCGCTCCATTCTGGATCCAACAAACTAGACTTTTCAACACTCGATTGAGCACCTCAACACGCTCATCTCTGCGCAAAGCCTAGGGCCTCGAACCCCGCAAGTGCCTGCGATCCGCCACCACCCGACGCCAAGACCCGGACTGCCATCTCTGGTAACTTGCTGGTAACTGGCTGGTAACTTGCCACCGGTGCGTCGACGTCTCGCTTCAACTCCACTTGTTTGCCTCCATCACCCTCTAGCGCCATGGACAACCAATCCATTTCAGGTTCCACGTTCGTGACTGCACGTACAGAACCGTACACGCCGTCGTTGAACGACACCATCGAAGCAGACCCGATGGCTGCCTCGACCGCAATCCCCCCGGTCGCGTCTCCCGACAGGGACCTCGCAATCCGCACCAACGCGCTCACCATGGTCGACGGCTACCCCGTGAGCAAGAGTGTGTGGCCGGACGAGCAAGCTACACCTACCAAGCCGCTAGCGAACGGGTTCGCAAATGGCCATGTTGTGGACAGGAAGGGTACCGGTAACTCTGTGGCCAACGGCAATGGCACACCTGTGCCGGCTTCCCCTACGGCACACATGTCGAGCGTGCCCGTGTTCACGACTGGGTCGCGCATCTCGCACGTCTCGACCGACAGCGCGGCGTCCCAGGCGACCATCATGCCGCAACAGGCCATCCCCGTTGTCATTACGTCGCCAGACTCGAGCCCGAACACGAGCCCGTCACGGGGTATCCCGGCCGTTGCGTCTGGAGAGACGCCGCTGAACATGCCTGGTGGTCCCATGCCACCGCAACGCCCCGAGTACGTCACCACGCCGAACATGCGTCATACCCGAAACATGTAATCGTTGTCTGACGCAAATGGACTGACGCCCGGCAGGCTGGTCTCACACCCATCTCGATCATATGTCTCCTCGCCGCCGCCAATCACCACCACGTACGAGCGGCCGCTCGAGGACCCCGTCCAGCGCCGCGCGAGCACCATCTCGTCCCGCTCCAAGAAAGGTTCCACGGGCGCGGCCGTCGCTGCCGGTGCTGTCGGCGGAGTGGCTGCTGGTGCCGGTGCCGCTGCGCTCGCATCAAGGGAGATGGATAAAGTCTCGCGTCCCAAGGAGCTGTCGCGTAATTCATCTAAAGCGTCGCGCCATGGCTCACTCACAGAGATGCTTCCTCCCTCGCCCAGGGAACCCGCTGATCAGCAACACCAGCCGCAGACCAACGGCATCATGGCGGCCCCCGTCACCTCGCCCGAGAGCGCGATCCGTTCGTTGGACGGCTACGGTGATCACCCCGCGACCCACAGCGAGCTGGAGCGCGGCCACGCCCGGCGCAAGCACAAGGCTGCCGTCGCCGGCGCCGCTGGAGCCGCCACTGCAGCGATAGTGGCTGGTACCGTGCACGCGAGCGGTGACCGCGACCCGATCCAGCGCCCACAGTCAGCGCATGCCGGCTCGGTAGCGCGGTACAGCGGCGACATGCCACGTGAGGCCAGCTTTGACGGCGAGCGCCCGCACGAGCGCGACGTGCAACCTCGTCGTCCCCAGTCTGCTGCTGCTGGTACGTTTGGCAACAGGCGCGAGTCGGGCATGTCCCAGGCCTCGACGCTGCCGGACCAGTACGGCCGCCATGTGCTTTCGCCACGCGGCTCGGTGCGCCATGGCCAGCGCCTCCCGCCCATTGCCGATGCCGGCGACCATGCGGACGAGTACGGCAAGCCGAACGGCCACCACGTCGCGTACGGCGCCGCTGCTGGCGTCGCCGCTGGGGCCGCTACGGGCCTCGCCGTGGGCGAAGTGGCCAGCCTCCGCCGTCAGCACGACATGCAGCGGTACCCGGGCGACGACGGCGAAGACCTGCGCGGCACGCGTCTCGTGGACAACGGACCGGTCCGCCGCCACTCGAGCTATGGAGGACACCGTACGCAGCCGGCGGACGAATACAACAACCACGGCTTTGCGGCTGATAACCGCAACGCCATGCTCGGCCGCAGCAACACGGTGCTGTCGCGGGCGACTACGCTGGGCCGCAACGGCACGCTGTCGCGCGCAGCCAACGGCGGCACGGTCGGACGCCGGTCGGGTGCGTTTGGCCGCGGCGCAGGTCTCAGCGTCGGTACCCAGCCCGAGGAGGTCCTTGGACGCGAGTGAGTGCCGTTATGCGCCGAGCTCGGCCTGATCTTGAACCGTGGACTGACACCCCCTCTCCTCCCCCCTTCCAGAGACATTCACTCCCGCGCCGAGTATTCTGAACGCCAGCTCGACGACCGCACCATCAAGCGCCTGAGCGGCATGGAGAAACGCGACGCCAAGCGGCTGTCGAAATTACTCAAGTCCGAGGGCCGGTCGCAGGCACGCACGATCGACGCGGCCATCAAGGACCTCAGGGGCCTCGTGTCGTTGCAAAAGGACGCGATCGGAGCTGAACGCAAGTCGCAGTCACGCCTCGCCAAGTGGACTGGTCGCGAGCACAAGGCGCGCATGCGGTTCTTGAAGGAGAAGGAGCGCTACGAAAAGGTCGAGGGCGAACTGCGCGGCGCCGAAAACGACTTTGAGGAGCGGCGCGACCACGCCGCGGGCCTGACCGCGCAAATTGCTGAACGGTGAGTGAAAATGATGGAGATGAGACGGAGGTGGACGCCGTCCTGTCTCTCGCACCCCGCCGTGCGGACGCACAGCGGTATGGCAGGCACGCGACACGTTCGCCTGGAGCTACTTTGCAGTGGCGCGAAACCGTTTTCCTCGGCCTCGTCGGTACTCGGTATCGCTCCCCTTTCAGGCCCAGTGCAATGCTGGGCAGGGTGAGGAAGACGAGGGACGAGGGTTCGGGTTTCCGAGACCGGCGTCGGGGGGTTACGGCCCTTGTGGCACGCTAGTGGCACCGAGATTAGGTCTTATAGCCGGCGCTTCCATCTTCCATATCTCGCTTGGGATAATAGCGGACGGGGGGAGGCATGTGTGCACAGTCCGCGAACGGAGAAGCTGACACGGCACCGCAGCACACAAGAGGTCGACGACCTGCGCGCCCAAAAGGCCGCCGACGACAGGGAGCGCGAGGTCAAGCTGCACGCTCTCAAGCACCCGGCGTTTTCGTAGTGGGCTCGCTCGCTCGCTCCGCGCGGTCCCGACCCCCTGCCCACATCCTGATAGCGAGCGACCCGCGCGGCCGCAATAGCACACGATCTTTGAAAAAAAAAGAGGAAGAAAGAAAAAAACCGTGACACAAAACGCAAAACACGCAACACGCACGCAACAAGCCAGTCTAATTATTACACCCTGCGTACACGCACACGTCTGCCTTATCGTCTCGTCCCAATCCGTCTCACGTTCGAAACATCCTAGTTGTCTGGCGAAAACGCCATATTTGTTGTCCGTACCCGTACCACCCTCGTTGTCATGCAAAGACCGTCCAGACCAACCATGAGCCAATGGGTTGTTTCATTGTGCGCTGCGCGTCGTCTTCGCTTCCTGTCGTCTTCGCTTCCGGTCGTCTGGTGTCGTCTTGCGTCGTCGTCGTCGTGTTCGTCGTCATGTAGCAGCTTTTTTTCGCACCGTGGCACGGGACTGGAATGTCACTACTGGTGCATCAACTGGCTGGCCTGACACGCGCGCGGTGGGCGTGACAGGAACGGCGTTTGGAGAGCGTTGTTTTTTTTTTTTGGGAGAGATAGGAGATGAGCGACCTTTTTGACGAGATACGACGCGCTACCACGCGCGTTCCCTTTGGGATATGGATATGGATATGCGCGGTTCCGGCGCGCGGTCGTGCGGTGTGGGTGTGGGCAGGGTGACACACCACCATATTCTGCCCTAGCCCGAGAGCACACGGAGAGGGTACACGTGCACTAACCAAGCCTGCAGATCGTATCGACTTGGTGTATTGTACTCATGTTACAGCGCGCACGTCCAGTGAACTTTCTGTTCCTCTGCGTTCCTCTCCTGGTCGCGACCGGCCGGGTCTCCGTCTCCGTCTCCGTCTCCGTCTCCTGCTACCTCTCCCTCTCCTCAGCTCCCCAGTGCAGCGTGATATGATATTGTTTTGACATTGACAATGCGGTAGTTCAACAGGGCAAGCGCGTGCGGTAGAGTACAGATGTGTGAGATGGAGGAAACGGGCAGCCAGGAAAACCAAAAAACAAAAACAGAGAGGAAAGATAGTTGGAGCGCGCGCGCGTGTGCGCATAAGATAAGACGGCGGAGATGGGCGACTGGGCGGGCGACTGGGTGCAGCGTGGTGCCAACGGAACGAAGCTAGCGAGTAGGAGTAGGGCGGACGCGTCGCCAGCTGGCGCTGGGACGGACCCGCGCTCATGACGCGAGACCCATACCCAGGCCAATCCCGCCGCCGCCGCCGACACCGCCTTGCTGTGGTGCAGAGCCGGTGCGCCCGCGTGCAGTCTTGAACACGACCCAGGCGGCGAGGACAATCTTGCCCGACGACTGGCGGAACGCGCCGTCGGCGCCGGGCGTCACGGGCATGCCTGGGGTGGACGGCGTGCCCGGCGTGTCTGGTGGCGAGGCGAGCTGCTGGTTCTGGAGATGGGCGTTGTGGCTCTGGAGCGAGTGCTCAAAGTCGAGGTGCCAGCGTCCCGGCATGAACTTTGCCAAGGCAGCAGCGACGCGGCCGCCCTTGGAGTCGCGCGGCGTGCCTTTGTATCCGAGCGCGGACGAGATCCACACCATGGGCGCGTCGGCGATGGCGTCGGGCGCCATGTCGTCCGGGGACACGCCTGCGCCCTCTGCGTCCCACGAGGCCGAGAGGACGGGCCGGGTCGTGCTCGCCACAAGACCTGCCGTGGCTGGGAGATGCATCTGCAGTGCCAGGACGGGGTTGGGCGGGATGTAGTCTTCCAATAACAAGTTTGCGAAGCGTGACCGGACCATCTCGGACGCGCTGGGTGGTGGCTCGCAGGACATTTCAACAATCTGGTGGACAGTCAGTTGGGCACATGACACCACATGTGGTGGCCAGGCCAGGCCATGGCCAGCACCCCAAAAACTCACTTCCAGGACACCCCCGGGCCGCAGCACGCGCACGGCCTCGTCCAGCAGTTCGGCCCAGCGCTGTTCGGGCACGCCGAGACCGAGGAAACGCATGTGGACCATGTCGAACACGCCCGAGTCGTATGGCAGACCGTTGAGGCTGGTAGTGGGTCAGCATGGTTGCCCCAGCAAAAGAGGTTTCGTGGTGCTCGATCGTTGTGAAACCCGTCCACCAGCTGCCAATGTAGATAGCTACCCGGGCAGGTACGGATTCTGGGCCCCAAGACCGGAGAAACGGCTGGAGGTGGCGTTGGATAAGGGCCCGGTAGAGAGACAAAAGGGCCCACCAATTCAGATGGTAGGGTGCGCAGAGCCAACCGGCCAACCGGCCTACCCGGCGACTGGGATCCAGGACAAGGTGGACTCACAAATTGTACTGCTGAAACTCGATGCGCTTGGCGACACTGCTCCAGATGCCTTCACCCGGTGCAACACCGGCCGAGGTGGTGCGTGCGCGCTCTTCGGCAGCGACGAGGGCGTTCAAGTCGGTGTGGCAGGGGACAATGTCGGTCGCGATGAAGCGCGTCTTGGGCCATGCCAGCGCCTGGGCAATGGGCCAGAGACCGATGCCGGTACCAATCTGGGGGGAACCGGGTCAGCACAGACACACGGGGTTTGGGAGATGGAGAGAGGGGGGCTGGGTTTCAGCCAGACAAGACGAGACACTCACATCCAAGACGGTCGCTGGGGGCCTGTCCTCGACGTCGACAAAGGTGTGGTGGCCGCCGGTGACGTTCCACATGGTCTCGTGCAAGCGGGACTCGAGGTCGAGCACGTCGCGCTCCCATCCGACGCGGTAGACTGTCCGGATCTCGCGACCGTCGCTGTCGATCCAGGTGCGCTTGCTGCCCGCCGAGCCGCGCTTGGGCGGGTCCTCGTGCCATTCAGAGCCACCGACGCTCTTGCTGTTGCGGCCGTAGAGCTTCTTGGTAGCAGCACCGGGCACCTCGCCTGCAGCTGCTGGGTCCCAAGCGGCGAAGGGCGACGAGACGAATGGGAGGACCTCGTCGACGAGCGGGGGTGGTTGTGGTGAGGAAGGTGGGCCCATCATGTTGTCAGATGCGCGTTTGGGGTGCACTGTAGGGGGCAAGTATGCCGTTGGGCTGGCCAGTGAGGGAGAGGGGGGAACGACTTCACGGACCGCGGGGCGTCGGTTGGCGCTGAACATGTCTGCAAAGTCACTTGCTTCGGACGAGACTGTACTGATGGTAGTCATGGCCGAGACGGGGGAGTGAATGGGCGAGTGCGAGTGCTCGCTCACCGAGCGGGGGGCGGGGGCGGGGGCGGACGAACGGGGCAACACGTTGCGCCATCCCCCGCTCGAGACCAACGGCACGCGCGACGACGACGAGCCGCGCGAGCCGCCGCTGTCCTTGGACTTGATCGACGCTGCCGTCTTCTTGGGTTTCGGTGCGACAGGCGGGGCTGCAAACCCGAATCCGCCCATGACAATGGTTTCCTTGCCCTTGGCAGGCGCCTGGCCTGCAGGGCGAATGACAGACTCTCCTAGCCAAGCAGATGCGACGGACGCAGCCTGGGCAGCGCGTGCATCGCGCGCGCTCGTGCCGGTGGTTCCGGTATTGCGACGAGCCATGACGCCGAGGACTCGGATGATGGGGTGGGTGGGGGTGAGATGTATCGATCACTCCTGCGTTGAGAGGACAGATCGAGAAAGAGTGGGGGAACAAGAGCGCGAGTTGCCAGGGTATCCGCGATGTAGTCGTTGCGGTCGAGCAGTAAGTAGCCAAGCGGGGGTTACCAGTTGGTCGATTTCAAAAAGGGGGGGAGGGGGTATGTGCTCAAACAAGCTCCAGGCAGTCCACACAAGCAGCAGCAGTGAGCAATGTCCCCAAGGTCGCTAGGTCGCTAGGTCGCTACGCGGTGTCTGCGTAAAGGATCTAAAACGGTCGAGATCCGTGTGTATTTGCGGGCGTAATCTATGCGAGTGGTGATCGCCTAGCTCTTCGCAGCAGGTTGCGGAGAACGGAGCACAGCCGTCGACGGCCGGGACTGGGGTGGGGGAGAGGAGGGGGAAGGGGGGAGGGTGCTGGCGTTTGTCAATGGCGGGGATTGGCGTTTGCAAGCAAGGACTGATGAGAAGAGATCGAACAATGAGAAGGAAGGGAAAAGGGGGGCAGCGGGGGGTTTGCTGATCAGTGCGCATTACTTTTGTCCCATCTGGCATGGCAACGAGTTGGTCTTCATCTCTCTCTCTCGCACAGAGCGCGAGAGACACCCGCGCCGCTGCTGCCGCCCCCGCGCGCGCCGTTGCGCTGTCCGTCTGGGCCCTTTGCTTCCTCCCAAGCAGCGCATGCCGGCAGAGACGAGCGAGCGGTGGGTGCATACTTGGACCAAGGCCGGCTAGCAGCAGCAGCAGCAGTTGCCCGAAGAACTCGTTCGACTGGCCTGCCTCGCATGCGCTCGCGCTCGACGCCGCCGCCGCCGTCGACGCCGCCTGTACGCCAAAAGGTTGTTCAGGGGAACAACGCACAGGATGTTTGAGGGTGTGGCTCAATGTCTCATATCCCATCATGTACGGCCGACCGCCAACAGCTTTTCTGTGCTGGCCTGCGTATACCGTGTACAGAAGCGACTCTCGCTCTGTGCTCTGTGCCAGATCCAGAGAGCACAGATCGCGTCTCGCCAGGACAAAGAGGCCCAGGAGTCGGTGCGGCATGCAGCCAGCACACCAGAACACCTTGCACCTGCGCCTCTTTCTTGGCTCTCCCCCAGGATCCCACAGCCTCGCAGCGCGCTAAAAAAGGTAGAACAGCTGGTATCCATGTGCGTGCATCACCGGTGTACCGGTGCCTCTGTTCATTTCAACTCCCAGGCCGTCTCGTAGCAGCGGGGAGACCAAGCACCTGTTGCATCCGGAACGCAGTGATCGCAGTGACTCACCCGGCCGGGCTGCCTCATGTCTGTTCCCCTTGATTCTCTCTCGTAATGCGTTCCGTCGCCGTTCCTTCCACGCTGTTTTTCTTCTAGCCCGCTCGCCTCCTCTTCACATGCCGTACAGCTCTGCACGCAAGCGTCGTCCACAATTAGGCTCTGTCCCGGTATCCCTGGGGCCTGGGGGCCGTCGGTCCCCCACCCGCGACCTTCGCAACAAGTGCGGCCTCGGTGTGGAAACCCGCACCCACCTCGCCCCGCTGTCTGCCGTGTATGCATGCCCCAGAACAATCGGCACTAACCAAACCTAACCGCACACCGTCGGGACATGGGGGCTATAATCCAGGTCTCATACCACAGATCTCATGTGCTCCCTTGTCACAACACCCATCACATACCTCAGGCGTGTTCTGTTCTGCAACACCAGACACACACACACAAAGAAGACGCGTGCCCCCCCACGCGTGCAGCGCGGCGTTGAGAGCTTTTTCTTTCTTTCTTTCTGCAGCACGCCACCGGGGGGCAGCGGCGTCCCACCCGGAAAAGGCACGGCTGGCGCACATGCGGGGGTTCGTTCCCATCGATCCATCAATCCATTGAAACTCGGTCACGCTCAGGAAAATAAAAATCATTATTTCGGTGTCTCTGGCATACCTCACCACGCAGAGGGGGAGGGGAGGCTGCCAACGCGGCGCGCCCGGTGTGCTCTCGCACCTGAGCCTGAGCTGGGCACGTTTGCTCGCTGTCTCGCTATCCCGCCCTCGCCCCGACGCGCGCGCCGCTTATACAAGGCCGTGCAGCGCCTCTAGAAAGCGCCTTCCTCCGGCCACCCAACGCCATCGTTCAGGACGGCGAACCAGGTGCGCGCGCCGGTCGTATCGGGCCTGTACAGAGCGCGCGCACTGGAGAGGACCCTTTGACCCTTTGAGCGCCAATGCTCCGGCGGCAAACGGCCCTATTCCTGCATTCACAGGCTGCACGCTGGTACGCCGGTACGCTGGCTTTCAGGCGAGACCAGGCTCTCGCTGCCTGCACTGCTGTAACCGCTGCTGGCGGCTGCTCGCTGCCCGTCGGCCTGACCACGCGCGCCGACCGAACACCATGTCACCAGCCACGCGCGCCGAGCAAAGGTCAACGTTTCGTCGGTTGCCCATTGTCAGCCTGCCGTCCAAGACCACCACCGCGGGGGTGCGAGTCGGTCCCGCTCGACACACGGTCTCCTGATCTCCTGGCGGCTTGCAGGCCATGGCTAAGCTCCTGGCTTGGCTGTTGGAGCCAAGACGCAGGCTGCAGGCATGCAGGCATCTCCTCGAGGGTTCGGGGAGGCGCGAGGCGACGTGAAACGGTCCGCGATCCTCGTCACTACTGCGCCTGTGCAGCCAACGTCGCGGCGCCACAGTGCAGTACAGTACACAGTGCCGCCGCTGTGTCGACACCGGGGCAGCGGCCAGCGGTGAGCTTCCAGCAACGCAAGGACGACGGGGGTCCCCTTGCCCTTGTCCTTGGCACGGCTGAGGCAGAGCGTCAACGGACACCACAATGACAAGGACGTGTCCGACATGGCAACTTTGAGCAACTTTGAGTTGATTGTCGCCGGCGGGGTCCGCGGACCGGCAGGCACTCACGCCACGCCGAAACTCTCTGTCGCCACCTTGCACCTGGGCCGAGGTGAACCGTTCACGTCAGCCCCAGTTGAGTGACCGCCGACACCGAGCCGCACCAAGCACCAAGCACCAAGCACCAAGCACCTAGCACGCGCCCAAGTACCCAAGTACCCAGTACACCCAGTACCCATTACCCAGTACCCATTACCCATTACTCAGTACCCACAGCCACCAGCCACATGTCACGACCCCAGGTAGCCAGGTATCTAGTGTCCATGTCCGTGTCCGGGTCCACATGTCGACGTCCGCGTCTGCGCCTGCGTGTCCATCATCCCTCACCGCCCTCACCGCCCTCACCGCCCCCACCTCCCTCACCTCTCGTATGCCTGCATATCTGACCTTGCCACCTGCAGGACGGTGACTCCGGCGGCGTGCTCCGCCGTGACGCGGCGCACGGAGCGCATATTGCGCGCGGCGCATGTGGGTCCCGGAGGGCGGAGGGAGGGTTTGGGGACGCTCGGCGGCGGCGGCGGCGTGAAGGGTGTGCCGGGTGCCGGATGTCCGGGGGCGCCGGGACGGCGCGCACGGTGTGGGTATGCACCAACCCGAGGAGCGAGAGCAGGTCGTGAGCGACACCCATATTGGTATTGTTGGTGGCTATGGGCAAGAACGGGCATGGTTGGAGAATTGGAAACGCATGGTTCCGGAGGACTGCCACTCAAGAGGCGCGATATTCTTCATTCTTCATTCTTTTCATGACTCGGTCCTCCTATCTTTTTCACTTGTGTTCACGGCTGTGACTCGCCATCGAACAGCGGCTCGAGCTCACGGGTGCGGGACCCATCTCGCAGGATCGCAGGACAGGACGAAACGAACTTTGGCGCTGTCTGGCGTCATGTCGCGTGGGTTGCCTCCAACTTGTTCTAATTTCTACCACCTCTCGGGTCGTCGTTTCTGAGCGTCTGTGGCTTCTAGCTCCATGCTATATCCTGCTGCCCGTGCCATGTCGTTCCTGTGTTTCCGGTTTTTTTTTTGTGTTTCTTTGGATTTTCGTTCCTTGGTGCGGTTACATTTCCTGCATCCTCCCGGCCCCGGAGGCCGGACGGTTCCTTCTCCATGTGTTTTCCCTCGACCGTGCCAGCCGTGCCGCGCTGCGATCGCAAGTCGCTTGCGATTCGCAGTTCATGTACGAACTGTTGGATGATACGGCACAGTTGGTGCACCCATGCACCCGCAGTCCGCTGTCGGTTGGTTTGGGCCAGTCCGTCGTGCGTACTGGCGAGCGAGGCACAGAGAGGCTACGTCAGAGGAGACGGAAGTATGGCGGAGAACATGGGCGATACGTCGATCAACATTACCCGCGAGGGCATGTGGGCATACGTGTTTCAAAGAAAATGAACGGAAAGCCGCGCCAGTCGCGGCTGTCCGGCTGCCTGCAGAGCCTGGCTAGCTATGGCTGCTTATTCGCTGCTTGCTGCCAGCTACCATGCTGCCAGATCTCGTCAATGACGACAGAGGCACAGAGCAATCGTATCATGAAAAAAGAAGAAAAGCTAATCCGTCCGGTCCGTCTGCAAAAGGGAGACGGCGGCCCTGGGCCGTAATGTCTGCGGGTTTGTGTCCATGGCCCTTGTGGGCACTGGCTGGCGCACTGGCTCCCGCATGTGCAGGACAACACTATAGCCTCTGACGCGCACGGCGCAGGCTCTTGTTACGTACCGGCGCAGCGAGCGCAGCACACAGTGCGTAACGCACCAAAAGGTGCACCGCTGTCAGAGCTCGTCGATGCGCCGATGCATAGGGACGGGTGCCCGTGTCGCTGGGAGTGTGTATTTTATCGAAATTGCGCAGACGTGGGCTGGCAGGACACCTGCACCAGCAACACCCTGATGCGCAGACTAAATTGGAAGCAGCACAGGGCTGTGGAGATCATCCTTAGGATAAGAAAAAAAAAGAGAAAAAAAGAGAGAGAGCAGCAGCTAACGGTTGTCACTGCTGCCGTCATCGCTGCGTGCTGCTGGAACCTGTGCATGTCCGTCTGCGGCGCGGGGGGGAAAGGTGCATGCGGGACGGGCCGACCTGCGGGCGCATGGAACAGGCCAAGCACTGCTAAGAGCCGTAGCCAAGACCTTGGGTTATTGAATGGACATGCTCTGGCTGGCAGACTGGGCGTCGTCGACGCGTCCTGCGCGTCCTTGAGTCGGGAGTTTTGGCGCCAAGGCCATTCGGCCATTCATACGCGTGCGCGCACGCGTGCGCGCGCAACCCACCTTGCGCTCTCTCTCTCTATCTTGGTGCCAAGGATGAATCCAACACCTGCAGGCAAATAGCCCGGCGCACCACCACCCGCAGGCTGCTGGCGTACCAGGCGGCGACGCGGGCGGTGTCCATGGTCTCATTCCATTGACCTGTGTTGGGCCTGAACCAGCCAGCCTGCCACCCCGCATAGCCTGAACGTTGCGACAGAGCGGGCGAATCGCGTGCGCGCGCAGTGAGGTTCGAGAGGTGGCCAGCGCAGTCGAGGATGGGTACACCCTTCTGGCTCACGGGCTCGTGTGCGCGCCCACACTCTGTGCGGCTGCGGTCCGCGCAGCCCTGCGCACTGGCCCAGGATAAATGCATACGGCGCGTGCCATACAGCAGCAGCAGCCAGCAGCAGCACAGCGGGGGGATGCACACACAGTCTCTGGCGGCCGGCACAGCAACAGGCAGACAGAGGATGGCACGAGCCAACACGGTGGGCGGTGCGCGGCAGCAGCACCAGCGGCGGCGCCGGCGCTGGCGGGTGGCTCACAGATACATCTAAAGCCAACTCGCCCCCCTTCTCTCTTTGTTTCTTTCACCCATCACGACTCTTTCTCTCCTCTCTTTCTCCAACCACCCCAACCACCCCCCCGCATTCTATCCAAAATGTTCACCAAGGTCACCCTCCTCGCCGCCCTCGCCGCCGCTGCCAACGCGCTCACCATCTCGACCCCCGTGCGTAGATCCCACCTGGAGAGAGACAGAGATCTGGCGGCGAAGACGCGCGCCAGTCCGCACGCGTGCACGCGGATCACTGTCACCAGTGTCAATGAGCCTGCAGCGCGTCCCACCACACACTCTCTTCTCTCTCCACCTCATTGACTTGCGCATGCACTGACGTCCGCATTAGGCTTCGCTCGTCGAGTGCCAGCCGGTCCAGCTCTCGTGGACTGACGGCACCGCCCCTTACTACCCCTCGATCATCCCCGGTGGTGAGGCTTCGTCTGCGGCCCTCGTCACTTTCGACACCCAGTCGGCCACCACCTACACCTGGACCGTCAACCTTGCCTCGGGCACCAACGTGTGAGTATAGCGTCTGCATCAGACAAAAGCAAAAAGGTCGCGCAGCGAGGTACGGGCGGGCCCGGCGGCCGGACGGCCGCGGGCAAGGAAGGAGGGGGGATGCGCAGACTTCCGAACCACTGCGTGTTCTTTTTTCGTTCTGGTGTCCACAGCTGCGCTACCCCTTGCCCTCCCGTGGCCAGTAAGCACATGCAGCATGCTGTATGAGACGTCTGTGTCTGCGCCGTCTGCGCTCCTGCGGCGCAATGGCATCAGCGCGTCGAATTCGTTCGCGTTGCCCTTGGCCCGCAGCGGTGCCGCAGTCTAAACACGCCTTCTGGTGGTGGCTTGACACTGGCGTCGCGCGGTTTGACGCGACTGCCGCTTCCAGTGGCCAAGTGGGTCCCGCCGGGGGCCGACAGAGATAACCGGCTTGGCTTGATGTGTGTGCATTGCCACTGGCCTCGCAATCTGTGTCCTCGTCGTTGAGCCTTGCGCGTCGTCCCAGATTCTTTCCACTGCCTCGCTCTGCACCTGCACCCACACACGTACACACACCCGTGTTCCTGTCACTAACGCACCAAACAGCACCGTCAAGGTTGTCGACTCGACCGGTACCATTGCCTACTCGTCGGCCGTTGTCATCCAGGCTGGCTCGTCGTCGGCCTGCCTCACCGAGTCGGTCTCGGCCGACACCGCCGCCTCGACCGGCTCGACCACCGTCGCTGCCGCCGCCGCTTCGTCGGGCTCGACCACCGCCGCCGCTGCTACCACCACCGCCGCCTCAGGCTCGTCGTCGTCGTCCAAGGCCGCCACCTCGGGCTCGTCGACCGCCGCCGCTTCGTCGTCGTCGACCTCGGCCGCCTCGGGCGCCTCGGCTCTCCAGGCCGCCGGTGGCTTCGCCGTCGCCGCCGCTGTCATGGCCCTTGTCCTCTAAATGAACCCAACTGTGGTCTCTCTCGAGACCCCCGCTTAGTTTAGATGTGACACCCCCCAACCCAACCTACCGCGAACATAACTCTCTCTCTCTCTCTCTCTTACAGCTTCATGATAGCGCAGGGGCACCGCACCGCGCCATAGACACTGGTCGCTCCGCGCCAACGATGCACGCTCTTTCCTAGCTTGTCTCTCCTTTTTTTTCCACACCCCCCGCTAGTTTAACCCCCCCTCCTCCCCTTCTTTTTCCTTAGTTGACACGTTGCATCCACTTTTGCTGCTTCGGAACTACTTGGCACACTGCAGCTGGCGGCCGGGGGGCGCATGGGGCATGGTTTGAGCAAAATGGCATGAGGCATATATGGGTGGCAACGACCAACACAAACCCACAACAACAGCAACAACAACAACAACAACAAATCGTACCCGCGCGATCGACTGTGCCTCTCGCAGTTCATGGGTTCATGGCCTGTGCCGCGTGCCGGGTGTGCCGGGTGCCTTGGGGACCACACGGTTTTGAACGGTTTCGTCGTCGGAAGCGTGGCGGACCAGGACGCCGCTGTACCCAGGTGCCCCGTGCAGTGTCGGCGTGTGCATGGACGCCGTGTCTGTGCTTCTGCAGTGTTTCAAGGGGGACAGCGGCGGCACATTAGAAGCACACAAGCACACACAGGCGCACACAAGTACAAGACGGTGCTGCGGACTCTGCATACGCTGTCCAGGCGGCCACGGCGCACGGCGATCAGTTGGCCGCATGGTACGGTGCGTGCCACTGGTGCTCGTCGTCAGAGTTCCTCGGCGTGTACACGTCCCAGCGTCCAGCGTGTACAGTACACGACAGTCGGTCAGCTGAGACGCTGCGCAGCGCCTTCCTCATCGCCTTTGGGAGACACCCAGGCGAACGGTACAATCAAGTTTAGCCTCTTTGCGTGTCCGACTCTACTCCTTGCTGTTCCGGCCTTGCGGCTCGGACCTCGCGCCCCTCTGCTCTTGCAATCCGGTGCAGAGGGCTTGTATTTGTGTTCGCTGCGCCCGGCGTCACTCGCTTCATGGATCACTTTGACCCAGCATCCCGGTAACCCGGTAGTCACCACACGCTCCCTCGCTCGCTTGTTCTTTCAACGCCCCTTCCTCTGTGGACCTGCAATCCCAACCCGCATACCCCGACCCTCGCATCAGGCATATCCCGATCCGATCTGGTGGAAGCGAGCTCTCGTACCGGAATGCTTGTGCCTGTGTGTACCGAAAGGCCATGCTACTCGTTTCGAGTGGGAATGGCAAGTGGGTGGCACACTCGGTGGGCAAAACGTCATTTCCATCTCGTAAGCTGAAATCGAGCGCTGTCGTCTGTGTGTGACACGATCGTGTGGAACGTGATCATGCAATGCACTCATACACTCCTGTACTCGTGCACTGCCATGCAGGGCAATCACACCCGGTGTTGCAAGGACAGGTTCTTGGCACGCTCTGCTTAGCACGTCCCAGCGCGGAAGTGTGGCGGGGGAAAGCCTTGAAAGCCAGCCCAAGTGTGCAAGTGTATCGGCCACAAGCCATGCAACCGCCCTTCATTGCCTGACTCCTTGATGATACCTGTCCCTCTATCCCTCTCTCCTCGCTCTACGAGTCGGCGCTACCCAAGGCTCTGATGCACTGGCTGAGACGCAAACGGTCCACCACCATCATATCCACGCACAAACAATAGGACACGAGAAATACTCCCGCTCGCCACTAGAACCTCCACTTGCCGACGTCACTTTACAACTCGCTCTCCATTTCATCTACTCTCTCCCACCCATCCACCACGCGCAACCATGCCTGCCCCACCACCAGAAATCGGAAAGTTTGACCAGGACCCGCGCGTGCACATTGACAAGGCGACGGGCCAGTACCGGTATGAAGACGAACACACGCACCACGAGTTTGAGTGGACGGGCCGGGCGTGGGTGCCAGTGGTGAGTTGACATGAGCCTGCGTTCCAACTCACACGCCTCCAGCTCGACGAGAACCTGATCAAGGCGCAACAAGCCGCGTACGCCGTGGCAGGCGTGGATGAGAATGTACGTGGTCTGCAGCTGCGATATATCGGCAGGTAACAGCTGACACCACCAGGTGCCCGCTGGCCCAGCACTCGCGCGCGAGGAGCGCCTGAAGAAACGCAAGGCCGAAGGCCCCGAGGGCAAGGCCGCGCCCAAGGCCAAGACATCCGGCGCGTCCACGCCCGTGTCGGCGCCCAAGAAGACGGCCGTGTTCGTGAGCAACCTCCCGCCGAGCACGACGCCGCAGCTCCTGGCCAGCGTCTTCTCCAAAGCCGGTGTCCTCCTCGTCGACGACCGGGGCGAGCCGCGCGTCAAAATGTACAATGACGCAGAGGGCAAGTTCAAGGGCGAGGCGCTGGTCATGTATTTCAAAGAAGGCAGTGTCGACCTCGCGATCACGCTCCTGGACGACACGGAGCTCGAGCTCGGCGGCGGATTCGGCAACATGCGCGTCCGTGTGGCCGAGTACGACAAGAGCAAGAAGACGGAGGGCGCAGAGGGTAAAGAGGGAAAGGGAGAGGGAGAGGGGGCTCCTGCTGCTGCTGGGGGTGCGGGAACTGGGGAGAAGACCGAGAAGAAGAAGCTGTCTGCCGAGGACAAGCGGCGGATGACCAAGCGCATGCGCACGCTAGAGAGGTACGTTCGCTGTCTCTGTTCTACTCTTGCAGCTGACACGCCTTTTAGCAAACTTGCGTGGAACTCTGGCTCGGACTCGGACACGCCCGGCCCGTCCGTCGCGCCCCAGCCGTCGCGCTTCAACCGCGTCGTCGTGCTCAAGGGCATGTTCCTCCCCGAGGACCTGGCAAAGGAGCCCGAGCTCCTCCTCGAGCTCAAGGACGACGTGCGCGAGGAGGCCGAGTCGCTCGGCACCGTCACCAGCGTGGTCCTCTACGACAAAGAACAGGACGGAGTCATCACCATCAAGTTCAAGGAGCCCGCAGCGGCGCAGGCGTGCGTCTTGGCGTGGCAGGGACGGTACTTTGATCGTCGCCGGGTGAGTCAGACTCATAAAGTCAAGGCATCCCACTAACACCCCCCATCCAGATCTCCGCGGGACTGTACACGGGCGAACGCTATCGCATGTCCAGGGGACAAGACGACGACTCGGACGCGGAGAAGGAGCGGTTGGATAACTTTGCGGACTGGCTCGCGGGAGACGAGTGAGCTATGCGATACACTGTGCACACGATGGTACTGCTCAAGACTACTGGGCTGCATACTCGAATGACGCGTCCTTGCTTTCTCACATGCACATGCGCTTTCGGCTACTCTGACACGCTCTGTAAGGCCGTACACAGCCCCTATGGTACAACCTATGACCTCACTCTCAGTCAACTTCGTCGTGGGCCTGGATGAACCGCGACAGAGCCGCCGCAGCGCTCCTCTCACGCATGCTGGTGGGCGTCGCTGGACCCTTGTTCTTTGTACGACGTTCCGCCTTGCTCGTGGCGGGACTCTTTCCGTTGTCCTTGTCCTTGTCGGTGGCTGCGCTGGCGGCGGACGCGGCCAGCACCGAAGCGGGGACCACCGTCTTGAGCCGTTCGTTGCGGATCGCCTTGAGGAGACGGGACTGCTCCAGGTCGTAACCCGTCACGTCGGCCTTGTAGCGCACGCGCATGGTCTGGAGGAACGCAAGCCCCGAACGCGGCGCGTCCTCGAAGATGCCCGGATGGCGGGCCATGAACGCGGCGACCTTGCGCAGCGCCGGCTCGTGACAGTACGGCCAGGCCAGGCTGCGGAGCACCTCCACCGTCTCGGGGCTGGCCGAGACCATGCGCTCGCCCATGGCGGCGTCGTTGCTGCCGTCGCCGCTGAGATCGGTGTCGCGCCACCCGTGCACGGTGAACACGTCCAGCTCGAGGGCGGGGAGGAGGTCTTGGTCGTGGTGCTCGAGGTCCACAATGGCTTCGTCGACCTCGTCGTTGTTGAGGAGGACGCCGCAGAGGCTCTTGTGCTTGAAGAACGCGTCGTAGAAGCCCGGTGGCTCGGCACGTGCAGTGTCGCCGTCCATCGCTGGGGGTGGGGGTGTCCCTGGGGCGGACAGGCGCGGCAAGTGGGATGTGATGTTGGTGGTTGAATGAGAACAAGTGTGAGTGATGGGCGATTCGTGCGCGCCCCGTGTGTGGAGGTGCTTGAAACACGACGTGGCCGCCCATCAAAAGTGGAAAACACAAGATGGCATGTCTGTCGCAGGTTGACAACGCGTAGTGTGTTTCTCGAAAAGTACACCGTAGCCTCGCACGAGAGCGAGAAGAGCACAACTGCACACTACCTACTGACTTCCACACGTATTGCACGAGGCTGACATACTGACATCATACCAACATTGCACACGGTACACGAGATTCAGATGCAAGGAAGGCATATGATGCATAGGCGGGGGAATGTAAAAAACTTGGCCACCCCCCTCACTGGTCCTCCTTGTCCCACTTGTCCTGGCTCTCGGTGAAGCGAAGAAGAGCACCTGCGGCACAACGCTCGCGCATCGTGAGGATGGTCTGCTTGTCGGTCTTCTCGCTGCTCTCGGGGATGTGCTTGAAGACGTTGCTGGGGCGGAACAGGCCCTCGCTGTTTTGACCGGCGGACGGCGCATGGCTGCTCTTGCTGCCCTGGTTCTTCTTACCGACTTCCTTGAGACGGCGGGACTGCTCAGCAGCGTACTCGTCCACGTCGCGCTTGAAGCGGGTGCGCATCGCCGTGAGGAACGTGAACGCCGAGTTGGGGGCCTCGTGGAACATGCCCTCCTGGCAAGCGATCCACTGGGCGAACTCGGCCAGGCCAAACTCATGGCAGAACGGCCAGGCATAGTTGCGGAGGACCTTGACCGTCTCGTTGGCCTGCTCGAGCATGCGGCTGCCTCGGTGGCGAGAGTTGCGGTCGGGGTCGTCGTCGCGCCAGACATGGTAACTTCCGCCTTCGTCTTCGTCTTCCCAGTCGTCGATCCATTCGTCTGCCGCCAGCGCAGCGCGCAGGTCACGGTCTTTGGCGTCCAGGTCCTTCATGGCTTCCTCGTAGTCGTAGACATCGAGAAGCACGCCTCGGCGAATGTTGCTGGTGGGGAGGGGGTCACTGATGCCCACGAACATGCCTTGGAACCCAGCGTTTTGAGGGTGTTGGCTGGCCAGGTTGTGGCTGGTACTGGTGGCCCAGTCGTCGTCCATTGTAGCGGTTGGCTGGCCGAGTTGGTTGAATGGGAAACTGAGCAATGTTGAGGACAATGTCGGTTTCTGTGCGCCCGAGTCGTGTCACCTGCTTATCAGCACACACAGGGCGCAATGACGATGGTGGTTGGCGAACGTGGCATGATCACCATCGAGCCACAAGTGGGACTCCCAGCGCCCAACAGACGTATCTTACAGCTTTAAAAGCGCACAGCGCGCCACAGCGGGACGGACCAAATGCATGCCGCGGTTGGAAGTGCTGCCTGCCTCCTTTTTGGGATATTTTTCGGATTATTACTGTGCCAAGGGCCGCAGTCGCCAGCATGCCAACCAACGGTTCGCCTACACGCTCATACGACGTAGCTGGACACGACAATTCATTTGATAGAACTACTACACACGATCACTGCTGTGACTCGATTATTTGGACGCAAACAAGCATATTACGTGAACTTGCCCGAGCCAGGCGCGTCGCCAAAGTAGCCGACTGCCGGGATATCAAGACGAGGACAGCCGCCCTGGCCCTCGCAGCCATTGTTGAGGACGTTGTTCCCCCACCAGTTGACGCTGTACCCGCCGTGGGGCACCTCGAGGGCAAAGAAGACGACAATGGCGCAAACAGCAATACCCGTCGGGAACGACGCGGCGATAACGTAGTTGTACTTGACCCAGAAGGCCGTGTAGCGCTTGCGGATGTACTGGAAGGAGAGGAGGACGACATACACGTTGCCGATGTAGTATGCCAGGTTGTACGGCGAACCCCAGGTCGAGGGCCCCGCGCAGATCATGACTGGGTGTACCTGGCGCAGGAACTCGGACTTGGGAAACGCCTTACGCAGCCCCCAGTAAATGAGGACGACGATGACGCCGAGCGGGAAGCCGAACAGCATCCAGTTGTAGCGCAGACCGGAGCCAAAGAGACGCTTGGGGCTGAGCGTACCCCAGAAGACGGCCGATGTGAAGAACGTGTGCTGGCCAGGGCAGGTAAACTTGAACGAAGCATCGCGGGTGCACGCATTCTTGAAGCCCATGGCAAAGTTGAGGATTCCGCTAGACACAAAGCAGTAGATCAAAGTTGCCCACAACTGCATGGAGAAGGTGTGGCGCGGAGGCAGCTTGAGGTAGTGGGCAAGCTTGAGGTCGTTGCTGAAGGCGAGTGCCTGGTAGACGGTAATATAGCCGTAGGTTTTGAAGCTGCAGTGGGCGTTAGCTTGAGCTCAACGACGTCAATTGGTCTACTCACTACATGAGAGCGTTTGCATTGCCGGCGATCAGGGCACCGCCAATGAACTCGGCCAGGACATTGAGCGGTACAGCGATACCGGTAACGGCCTGTACGAGGCCACAAGGAATCATGACGATGATGGGCATGATGATGCCGAACACCAAAACAGCAGGCGTAGTATGAGTCGGGAAGGCTCCAACACCGACAAAGCCGAACACCATGGAGATGAGGAGGACGATAAGGTATTGCCATTCAGGCACCTCGGGATACTTCTGCATGAGGCGGAAGTGCACGTCCTCGGCAAGGTCGTCCTCGTCGTCCTCGACATGTCCCTTCTTAATGGAACGCTTAATGCTCTTCCAGAGAGAACGTGCACCGACAATGATCTCGCGCCGGTGGTAGATGGCCACGTAGGTGGCAGTTGCACTGTACAGCGCAAAATACCACATGAACGAGACGACGTAGCCAGCACTCATCCAAGGCTGCGAATACTGCTGGTACTTGGCGTCGTCAAAGTTGTTGTCGGCGTCGAGGATCTTGCTGACGTTGAACGACGCGCCAGTGTTGTCAAAGGCATAGTTGGAGTTGATGGGCAGGTAGCCAGTGTTCCAGCCATTGCCGTACCAGACACCAATGCACATGACGGCGCCGATGAGAATGCCAAAGAACATGTTAAGGATGGAGAAGGTCGGGATGGTGAGGGGCGTGAGCCAGACGGTGAGGTTGTTCCAGTCAAAGGTCGGCCAAGGGTTGAGGCCTACACCGCCGGTCATGCCTGTGACAGCCGAGAGGGCCACGTTGTTTGGCGAGATCCAGGTCATCCAGCTGAAGACCGACATCGCTTGAAAAATGTAGCCAGGGAACCAAAAGTAGAGGAACATGGCCAAGAACGAGTAGAGGAACATTCTCTCACGCGAGGCGGTGAACACGCGGCCAAACGGACCCTTGACGGGCTCGTTGGTAGTCGTGTGGAAGGCCTTGTTTAGGGCAATGACCGAGAACGTCGAGGGCCAAACGGCGACCGAGGGGAAGACGAGGAAGCGGCGTGTCAGTCCAGCCAAACCGTAACCGACAAAGTTGGTGCCCAAGGTGTTGATGATCTGGTAACTGAACTGGCGGGCAAATGGCTGGTTGAAGAACATGGGCATAGCCTGGACGGGCACAATGTAGAACGTGTAGGGAGCGGTAAACGACACGCTCGCCATGATGGTGATAAGCATGTGCTCCTTCTTGTTGAAGGGTCCGGGGTTCTTGAGAGTCAGCATTGTAAACCCAGCTTGTGACCGAGGATGTGGCGTGGAACTGAGGCTTTTGCGTGGGCGCGGGCACATGTGCCACACCCAAGGCTCATATCTTCTCTCCACTCCGCCAACCGTCCGGCCAGTGTATATACTCACCATGGTCCATTTGCGTCCAAAGGTGCTAAACTCGTGTCTCGGAAGCGCCGCCGCGAGGAGGCGTCCAAAAGGGTCTTCATTTAATTAGCTTTTTGCCCACATGGCACCTCCGCAACATAACCGTGCAGGCTCCTACTCACAAGCAATAAGCTGAGCGACGTTGGGACCAATACTGATGGCCGGCTGGCGGAAACCAAACAATGTGTCGATAAAGGAACCAATGGCCGCAAAAATGGTGCCAATAATGAACACGCGGAAAGTGAGGGAAGGCATGGTCGGGTCATCGGTGGGATCCACGTTGGCCCGGACCTCGAGATACGGAGAGTTTGAGGTCGCGAGAATGGCCTCAATCTTCATCTCACGGACAAGTTCCGGGTACTTGTCCGGAGTTTCCATGATCTGAGGGCTCTTGAGAAACTCTTGCATACGCTCGAGAGTGGGACGAGGGAAGTTTTGGTCATTCTCGTGGATCAGGTACAGCTGCTGGATAATCTGCACCACGCGTCAGCCAAGAAACCGTGTTTTCTTCAGCCATGGCAGCATGTACGTACGTTACGGGTACGGTTTAGAGTCATGTCCGAGTACTTGGACTCCAGGTCCTCAAGCTCGTATCCGGTGACATCGAGGTCGCTGGACTTAATCAGCGACTAAGCTCGCTATGGGCGGCGCCTCATTCCTCAGTCTGGAGACGTTGGCACAAAAAAGAATGTGACGCCGTAGCTCCATTTCAACCTTTGTGGCACTCCGTACTCACTGCTCAATGTGCTTCTCCTCTTCGCCGGACAACACCTCCACGTGGGGAGCAATGTCTTTTTCGTTCATCTTGTGGGTCCTGTCCTCGTCGTAGGCGTATACGCCACGGTTGTGGCTGTCCTCGATGTGCTCGACCACATCGGAGCTCTTCTCAGCCGGGGCCTGCATGTCGAAAGTTCAGTCTCCTGTTGGTTCACACAAAGTTGGCGAATGCGTGGTAGGTTTCTGAGTGTCGAGGGGGAAGATATATGTCTCTACCTCGAGGGAGACGCAGTCCAGGAAGACACTTCGCGTCATGGCGGATTAATTTATAGACCAAAGTCACTAGTAGGGAACCCCGCTGTTGAGTTGGCACGCTTTACGGTTGCTGGGGATCATCAAGGGCCCCCACGGGTCCACCGATGCCCCGACGAGCGGAACGCATGTGATGTGACAACCAGCTCAGTGTTCAAGCTTAAGGCACCGAAAGCCACCACCTTCGACGAGCCGCTCCCCCACCTGGGAATGCCATGGGCGGTTGCTTGTTGAAAGCACCGCATGGTGCTGCTGGGGCCACATGGGATCATGAGGGTGTAGTGTAACACATGGGCTGGCCTTGCCGTGTCAGAGGCCATGGCTTTGTTGCCAGAGGCTACGAGACCGGGAAGGAGTGCCACTGGTATGTACATACGTCAGCTGTTGATACACGCGCCCACGGGGTTTCAGGCACTGTTGCGCACTGAGACCGTCTCGATTTAGCACTAGCCGGTCCGGCCGTGCTCTATGCGACAGTGTGCTACAGTCTAGTGGCCAGTGGGCTCCCGAGGACCTAACATCGGGCGCGTATCAGGTTGCCGTTGCAGCGCGGTACAACGACCATCGTGACTGGTGAAGTCTATTCTAAGGCATTTTGCAAATCCGCGCTTACTTGTCCCCCGGGCTTAGGCAGCCAGCGTGGTATATCCCATCGGAAAGCAGAATAAGACTCAACCTAAGTCATTCCAACCAGAGCAGTAGATGGCGGCTGTGGCCGGCTGTGGGGCCGTATCCTGTGTCCTATTATTGGCAGCAGTTGGCACTTGTGATTGACAAACTGTGGCTTTTGTTTTGGTCGCCCATGTGCCCTATGATGTCAACCACCTACAGGCACCACTGCACATCATTCAATAGTTGCACCCTCGTCCTTTCGGAGCACCTCCGTCGTTCAAGCGACATGGCAAATTCCAAAGGAGGCTTGCTAGGTCACTCTGTACCAAGGCACATTGCTCGCAAAGTGGAGGACCTGGACTGGGCTTAGCTGAGTGCCAATTCTGGGATGTGGGGTTGTTTGGAAACGTCGATCTATCTCAACAACGGAGTGGAGCGCTTGTCGCATCGGTCGGCATGACGGCATTGTCCCTGCAGACCGCCATTGAGCAACATGTACCGTCGGCGCGCTGGTGAACTGGCGACGGTCGAGCGTTTACTAAGGCTCAGTTGGGGAGGCAAAGGAGCCCCCGCTGGAATCCGGAACGCGAGCCGCATGACACAGCTTAATGAAACCCCGCATTGGATGTTGGGCCGTGAACCGACCGGACGCCGTGATCGGACCAGGATCGGCCTGACCGGATCCTCGTGTCGTCGCAAGCCCAGCCTGCTTTCGACAAGGCTGCACCTCGAACTTCAGAGCCGTGTTCGCCGTCGGTCGTTTGGTTGGGATAGCCATGGATGTAACCGGGACGCCACAGATCACGCGTTGTGCAACAAATGTGTAGCCGCTGTGGGCTGTGTAGGTCTCGAGGAAACTTTGAGGCTCTGAGAGCACAACTCCAAGTCCTGCACCGCCTGTTGTGCCAACGCTTGTGGCTGGTTACAGCGTGTTCTGGTCGGAAGCCCACTGATGCGTGCAACCGGTGAGGTGAGGCGACGCAGGTTCAATCGATTCATACACTTTTGGTAGCTAGAGTACCTCTGGCTTCAGACTCCTTCCCCTCCTCGACCTTCACGTACAACTTTCCGTCCCAGCTCAGGCGACTTGGGCGGACGACAGCTTGGTCGTCTCTGCCTGTGAAACGTTCCTCCAGACGCGCTCAGCTACCTCCTTGTCTTGGATCGAAGTCTGTTGGCCAAAGACCTCGTCCATCTCCTCGAGGGTCTTGAGACGGGTCTCAGGCAGAAGGAAATCTGTATCAGGTCAGCCAAAGATCTCTTCCAAGCGTCTGTCGAGGTGAGAGCAAGCATGGCGCCCAACCTCTTTCTTTGCGACTCACAGACAGTGAAGAAACCAAGAATGGCAAAGCCGGCAAAGAAGAAGTACGTTCCTCCGTTGGGAATGTTCTCGAGCATGAGGGGACTGACGACACCAATGATGAAGTTGGACATCCAGGTAGTGCTGGTAGTGATCGAAACACCTGTACTCCTGGTCGCCAAGTTGAAGATCTCGCTGGGGAGGACCCATCTTCCCTTCGTCAGCTCTGCTTATTGCGTGTAAAGCCGGAAAAAGAACGTACCCGATAGGAGCCCAGCTCAAGGAGAACCAGAAGTCGTAAACGAAGACAAACGCGATCGCCGCGTTACCGGCTGCCTTGTGGTTGGGCCAGTCCTTGCCGAAGGCAGCGATGAGAGAGCCAACGACAACGAGAGAGAAGCAGCAACCGACAGCTCCCATCATCAAAAGAGGGCGACGGCCAATGCGGTCAAGGAAGAAGACGGCGGGCAAGGTGGACAACGTGTTAACGACACCGTAGATTCCGGTGGCCAACAGCGACGTGGTATTGGGGTCCATTCCGAGTTGAGCGAAGATGGTGGGTGCGTAATAAATTATGGCGTTACAACTTTTGGAGTTAGTTCTCGAGCTCGAAGACCTCAGTAGCCCAGCTTACCCGATAAACTGTTGGTAGAACATGACAACACATCCCATGAAGAGTCGGTGGAAGTTTGACTTGGACGAAAAAAGCTCCTTGTAAGGCTGGAGAACCTTGGCGAAACCACTCTTGCCAACGGCGTGAGCCTCACGGATCTCGCGAGCAGTCACAATCTCGGCCTTGATCTCGATGAACTCATGGATGACGAGAGGAGAGTTGACGGGCTTGGAACGGAGCCAGGCGAGAGTCTGCTGAGCCTCCTCATCGCGGCCGACCTCGACGAGCCAACGGGGCGAGTAGGGCATGAAGAACATGCCGAGGCCGAGGATGATACCGGGAAGAATCTGGAGTCCAACGGGAATGCGCCACGCTGCCTCGGACTGGCCGGTGCATCCTCCAGCAGGAACGTCGTTGTAGGCGTCAAAGGTGGCCTCGCCGTTGGAGATCGGACCGGTGTAGGGAACGTCCGGAGCGCAACGAATTCCACCAATGTGCGATGTCCCGTAAGCGATCCAATCTGCTTGTGTCAGCACAGTTTGTGCACCTGTGATGGGCAAAACTAACAGCTAAAGAGAATCTGACCGATCAGCGACGTTCCATTATGGTTCCGGGTACTGGACTTACACCAAGAGTGATGGACAACTGCTGCAGGGCCACCAGAGCGCCACGCAAATTGGCCGGGGACAGCTCGGCAATGTACATGGGGGCGATGTGGGTCAAAGAGCCGATGGAAAGGCCGGCGATGAAGCGTCCAGCGAACAAGTAGGCCTCGCTCACAGCGCCGGTCTGCAGTGCGGATCCAATGACGAAGAGGATCGTCTGGTACTGGATGTCCCTCTTACGGCCGATACGGTCGCAGATGGGACCGGAAATGAGAGCGCCCAGCCACGCGCCAAGGAGGAGGGTGGAGACGAACCATCCCTTGATGCTGGCGTCCATGTAGACTCGTGGGAAGTCGGCACCGAAGCGCTGGAGTACAAGGACATTGCCGACAACACCTTGGTCGTAACCGAACAGGAATCCACAGAGCGTAGCCAGGGAGGTGATTCCGAGACTGGGAGGGTCAGAAAGAGACACGAATCACGCGACCAGCCATGACTTACATCTTTGGGCTCTTGAAGATGCCGAGGATACCAGCATATTCGACACCAGCCACGTCGTGGCGGTTAAACTCGAAGTCTTGGTGTTCGTGCTCGCCCTTGCTGGAGGTCTTTTCGTCTGACAACGACATGGTGTGTGGGGGATGGAGGAGTTGATGTGGAGCGCCTTGGGGTAGACCCGGGGACCTATATACAAGTAGACGCCGTCTCGTTTTGCCTCCTGGGCGGACTTGTGATTCCGCTCGCGTTAAGACGCCGACTACGGCTCTGTCGTCAGGTAGGCATGTTGTGGAGAGGGTCAGACGACTTTTGGTTGAGTTTAGAATTGGCGGAGAGCTGTAGTCCGCATTTGTTCCAGGCGATGATTCAAACCGGCGGCAATGGACGGTAGTGCCTTGTATCTGGTAACTGTCCGGCACTTCGGCACAACAGCGCGGGTAAAACGGTTACCACTGGCTCTGCCATCTGGGCATCTGGCCGTACAAACTGTACCGTCGGAGTCTATTGTGTTGCGTACTCAGGCCTGAATGGCTGAGCCGCGACGGACATCTGACATCTGACATCCAGTTCTGATCACGAGGGGGCGGCAGTTTGTGGGTCCGCGGCCCGGGTCCGCTCAGCGTGGCACGCGAAACGAGCCACCCGAATAGCCAACTTTGCAGCGACGAGCCCATAGCCACGCACTACTCTACCATTCAGCAGTACATCAGCAGCCCAGCGGAGGGCCAAGGTGCAACAAACCAAATGGGTCGCACGGTCTCTTGCGCTCCCCACTGGCGGAGAACCCATCCCCGGCCACGTTCGGCCTCATTGCCGTCTTTGTTTGGCCGGGAAAGAAAGCCGCGGACACGATCGGAGTGGCACAACCATCATCAGCAGCCTCCCAGTCGGCTCAGCACTGTCCGCTCGTGGAATCCCTAGAAGCGGAGGTGTCGAGCGGGCACTAGCGGGGTGGGCTTGGCCACGCAGGCCACCACTCACTGTCCGTCCTGCAGAGTGGGGGAGACCCTTAATGGTTTCGGCGCAGTCGCTAGGCCGTTGGTCCGCTCCAAAGACCACACCCAGTCCGGCAGAATGTTGCGTTTTTGTGACGGCATCGTACAGCTGATCAACCACGTGAACCAACTGTCATGACGATCATGACTAGCTTGACTGCAGTCTTGAGTGTTGTGCCCAACCATCAAAAGGTTTCTCCAGATCGAAAAGAAAAGGACCGAAATCCCGGGAGCAGAATTCGTCGTGGCTGACAGGTCTCAACTGTCAGTGACCCGCGTGGCCGTTGGTGCACGCATGCACGCACACCAGGACGCATCACAGGCCCGGGCATGTGTGAGCTGGCGGTTGATGGTCTGGACGTCGACACCTGATGACTTAGCACAAAGCGACCGATAGTATGCTCAGTCACAATAAATCGCCCACGCTGGCTTCGCGCTCACGCTTCGCCTTAATCTGACTCCACATATGACCCGTCGTTCTGGAGCGTCATGGTTACGTCGCGCGGTCCTGGCGCACCTCTACTGAGGGCCAAAAACGCAGGGTGATCCCGAACACCACAGCCGAGGAAGACGGGCCGCCAGCTTGGCCAAGTTGAAGGACACGGTCGGTTGCGTGCCCGCAAACCGCTCGGGGTCCGGAAGCTCGGGGGTGGAGGTTTCAGCGGGTAGCGCTTCGGCTTCCTTTGCGACAAGTAGTAGTCAGAGGAGGGACAAGGTTGGTCCAGTTATCATCCGTCCAGCACGGCTGATTTCGACGTCTTCGCCATCCGACGTCTTGGCATTGGGCACCTTGTACGCGATAGAGATCGTGTTGCCGGGAAGCCGTCCAGTCCTTCTCGGAACCTCGTGCAGGCACTCTGCCATTGAAGTGAAGTGCGGTGCCATTTTGAGATCCGCGCTGATGCGGAGTAGCGTCTGGCCAGCCTTTCAGAGTCCTAGCCCGTCTGTGGAGGACGATGGCTGGTGGAAGAAGGGGGTGAATGCCTCGAGGTCGTACTGGGAGAGCTCGCCATACCAGTCATCAAATAGTGAACGCGTATAGGTTTGGGCGATTCCCGCGACTGGGCTCCGGCCGGCTCGTTGTTGTATTTGTTGAGCAAGCAAAACAGATTCCCTAAGATCAAGCCAAGAGCGTCCTTTGGCTGCGTGCCGGTATTGTTATCGTCCCGCTGCGGTGTCGAGCTGGGGGAGCAGTCAGAACGAGAGCACGATGAAATGTTCAAGTGTGGATCCGGACGACTCGGTCCTTGTGGACAGCGAGCACCTTGGTGTGTGTAGTTCGGATTGTATCAGCTCTTGACCGACTTATGCAGGTGGAAGAGTAGCGATTGGGAGGTAAGAAGAGATCAAACAGAACGAGAAGGCATCGAGAAGACATGGTCGACTGGGCCGGTGCGCACGCATGGGCCGACCTGCGTGCCTGCACATGGCTGTGATGGCATGATGTCACATACGCATGGGGCGCACGGTGGCCTTTGGTGCACGCCGGGGCGTGTTGTAGCGAGCGCAGCGCGACGAGTTGGACGGCCGTATTGTACTGGCACAGTCGTTTACTTGCCACTTGGCCACTTGCCCACCTTTGCATGTCTCTGGTTGCCAACAAAAAAACCATGTTTCAAATGAATACCGATGAGGAAGTGCACGGTGGCTCTGAACAAAAACGCTAACGCGTCAGAGCCTCGCTTCTGGCTCTCTTATCTCGTGCTGTCTCGCTTACCGATACCAAGATCACATCCGACGTCCCCACGAAAGCGTTTGCCATGCTCAAGGCAAGAAATCCCCATGTGCATTCCGTCTTGCAAAGTGGTGGCTCGATCGCCAAGTCGGCAACCGGCCCGCATTCCCGGTATGAACTGGTGCCACCATTGGCCGATGCACCGTTCCGCGGCCCTCGAGCTTGACGCACATCCACCGCAGTTACCCAGCCGTAGAACGCCGAGGAGATTGTGCATGCAGCCCGCCGTTGGTCGCCAGGTCCGCGGTCGGGGGACGGCCTGACAGCTGTGACCCGATAGGCTGACGGAGAATGCTGTGATAGAGCCCGAGTCCCTTTATCTGGGTAGAAACCTAAGTCGACGTCGGTTATCCTGAACCCCGGACTCTTTTATGGAGATCATTCGCCAACATTACCCGTTCTGCGATGGACCGTGATCTCCTATCATGCGTGGAAGCGCGGATTTTACCGGTGCTGTGGAGTGGGGTCGATAGTAAAAGTTCGTATTTAGGGTGGAGTGTGGGGAGAGAAGCCGATCTTCCCCATCACAACCCACACTACACACAATGTCTGACCTCAAGACCAAGGAAGAAGGCGTCACCGTCACCAGCCGCGACGTCCACACAGTCGACATCGGCCAGGCCGACGATGCTGCCGCCTTTGTCGCGGGCATGAACCCCCAGGATATCTCGGAAGAAGACATCAAACGCGTCCGCCGCAAGATTGACTTGCACGTCATGCCAATCCTGTACGCAACGCGCGAACCAACCCTGTGGAAAATGCCACTGACTTTTCAAGAATGCTCATGTATTTTATCCAATTCCTCGACAAGAACACACTGGGATCTTCGTCCATCCTTGGAATCAAGACGGACAACCACCTGTCAAGCAGCGAGTACAACTGGCTTGGAACCATCTTGTGGGTGTGCTTTTGGAGGACTGAAACTGACGGCCAGCTATTTGTCGTACCTGATCTTTGAGTGGCCGCAAAACCTCGCCCTTCAGCGCTTCCCGCCCGCCAAGTGGATGGCTGGCAACATTGTAAGCACCTCAATGGACGATTTAAGCTGACCCTGTAGTTGGTCTGGGGTGTCGTTCTCATGTGCCAGGCGGCCTGTCACAACTTTAGCGGACTTTTCGTTTGTCGCTTCTTCCTGGGCGCTTGCGAGGGATCAATTAGTGAGTGCCGACTAATTCAGGATCGTGACTGACTGGCAGCTGCTGGCTTCCTCATCGTCACCAGCATGTTCTACACCCATGACGAGACCGCTCGCCGCGTTGGCTACTGGTGAGTGAGCTGAGCCATCAGACGAGCTGACAGGCAGGTTCCTTATGAACGGCTCGGCCATCATCTTTGGCGGTTTCCTGTCTTGGGCCACTTTCCAGATGGACGCCAAGGTCTTTGCGCCGTGGAGGCTCTTCATGATCATCTGCGGAGGTCTGACTCTTATCACCGGCGCCCTGTTCTGGTTCTTCATCCCCGACAGCCCCATGACCGCCTACTTCCTTACCAAGGAGGAGCGCGTCATTGCTATCCAGCGCCTTGCCCACCAGTCGTCCGGTATCGAGAACAAGCACTGGAAGAAGGACCAGTTCCTCGAGGCGCTCACTGACTGGAAGTGCTGGGCCGTGAGTTATCCGTCGCGACCAGGGCTGACTCCAGTTCTTCTTCCTTGGATCCTTCACTCAGCTCCCCAACTCGCTCTCCAACCAGAATGCCTTGATCATCAGTGAGTGAATCACTTTGCAAAAAGGTCTGACCGATTCAGACAGCTTTGGCTTTAGCACCTCGCAGACCGCCCTGCTGGGTATGGTTTTGGGTGCGATTGAGATCTTTGCAATCCTGACCGCCACCGGGCTGCTCAAGAGGTACCCCAACAGCCGCTCTTACGTGGCTGCTGTGTACTACATTCCCAGCATCATCTCGGCGATTATGATTATCACTCTCCCCTGGTCCAACAAGGGCGGACTCTTGACCGCCATGTACCTCGGCCAGCTGGGTATCGGTCCCTCGTTTGTCATCGCCCTCGCATGGTGCACCACCACCAGCGCCGGCCACACCAAGAAGACCACCGGTAACGCCATGCTCCTCATCGGCTACTGTCTTGGCAACCTGCTTGCCCCCCAGATGTGGAAGGCGCAGTACTCGCCCCGCTACTACATTCCCTGGGGTGTTATTCTCGCCGCCTACATCATCTGCCCGTTGATGTTCATCACCATTGGTCTCTTCTTGCGCAAGGAGAACCGCCGCCGTGACCGTCTCCAGAACGGTGGCCAGCCGGCTGAAAAGTACTTTGACGCCAACGGAGACGAGCTCGACCCCACCTTCCTCGACCTCACGGACCGCCAGAACCTCGGATACCGCTACCCCTTGTAACCCTGGTCCACGTAGATATAGTGATTACCGCGTATAGTGTAATGTTTAGATGAACACAGTTATGGTCTTTCCATTCGAGAATGAAAAGCGGACATGGAAAAACGATCAATTGACCGAAATGCCAAGGACTGGCTTAAGCCACCCTGCTCATGGAATTGGCCGTGTTCACTATCTGTGGGCGCCACCCCGAGTAGGCGCTCTGCCAACATGGACGCCGTCCAGAGTCTGTTGGTTCCATAATCTGCATTCCACTACCTCCGCAATAAACACAAGTACACAGTGGCTACTATATCCAATATTACTTCTCACAAACACACAGGCTTAAGCCCTTCCCTCGAGCATCTGGGGTTCCGACTTGGAGTCGGTCTCGCTCGCCGCGGTGGCGTCGCCGTAGTACTCGGCCTCGAGGCGCTGGACGATGCGGCTCATCATCGCGGCGTCGTGGGTGGCGTCGCTCGACTTGAAGACCTTGTCCATGGCCTCGAGCGAGACATTGCGGGTCTCCGGGAGAAGCCAGACGGCGTAGGCAACACCCATGAGCATGAAGGCGAGGAAGAAGATGTCTGCGCGGGGTGGTCAGTGACTGAATGACTTTTTGCAGTTCTCATGCTTGTAGACTTACAGGTGCCGTAGGTGATCTTCTCAAGCATGGGAGGGACCATGAGCGAGACGCAGAAGTTGGTCATCCAGTTGGTCGAAGCGGCAAGGGCGGTACCGGGAGCGCGGACCGAGAGAGGCATAACCTCGCTGATAACGACCCATGAGACGGGGCTGTGGACAAACGTTAGCAATGGTGATGCACAAAGGGCCAGCAAACAGACTCACCCCCAAGAATAACCAAAGTTGAAGATGTAGAACCAGATGAAAGCGGCAGATGCCCAAGCGGGTCCTGCGGGCCAGCTGCCCTGGAAGGTGCCGGTGAGGGCGGCCACAATGATGAGACAGAGCGCCATGCCGAGACCGCCAATGATGATGAGGGGACGACGACCGAGGCTGTCGATGATGAAGAGCGAGGGGAAGGTCGCGAGGAACATGGCAATGCCCACAACACCCGAGGCGAGGAGCGAAACCGAAGTGTCGCCGAGGCCCAGGGAAGCAAAAATGGTGGGGGCGTAAAACACAATGGCGTCGATACCGGACATCTGAAGGATGGGTTAGCGCCGCTCAAAATCGTGATCCTGTGCTGTACGACTTACCTGCTGGAAGAACATCATGAGGCAGGCAATGGCGGTGCGCTTGAACATGGGCCAAGTGGTGAAGAGCGACTTGACCTGGGCAAACTGGAGGGCGAGGGGCCTGTCCATGTACTGGGGGTAGCGCTGCTCGGCAACCTCCCTGTCAAAGACGGCGTCGGCCTTGATCTCGAGGAACTCGATGCGAATGGCCTCGTCGTCGACGCTCTTGTTACGGACATAGGCCAGGACGTTGAGAGCCTCCTCGTCGCGGCCCTTGCTGAGGAGCCAACGGGGGCTGTAGGGAATGAAGAAGCATCCAACGAAGAGACCGAGGGCCCAAATGGCTTGGATAGCCAGAGGCAAACGCCACGAGATAGAGCTTGTGTCCGAGATATAGTTCGTGCCGAAGCCAATCCAGTAGCTCACCATGATGCCGAGGGTGACACTGAGCTGCCAGGTGCCAACCATGGCGCCTCGAACTTCGGCAGGGCTGATCTCCGAGTTGTAGGTGGGCACAGCCGTGCTCAAGGATCCAACAGCGAGACCGATGAAGAAGCGTCCAGCGAAGAAGTAGTCGGGGTCGCGAGCACCAGCGGTGAGGGCAGCACCAAGCATGCACACCACAGCACCACCCATAATCGACCATCGCCTGGAGAAGCGGTCACAGCAGTAACCGTTAATGAGGGCACCGACCCAACCGCCGAGACCGAGAATACTGAGAGGTGTGTTAGAAACCTAACGCATGTGCCACATAGGAGAGTCGGCAGGCCACCTGCCGACGACCCAACTCACGCAACAGTCCATCCTTTGAAGCCCGAGTCGTTGATAATCCGGTCAAATTCTGGAACACTCTTGAAGGAGGGCATGACCATGCACTGGCCGTACGCGCCTTGCTCGTAGCCGTAGTTCATGCCGCCCAGAGCGGTAACCAGACAGATGGTCAAGAGACGGGGGCTCTTGAGAAGGCCAGAGACGCCAGATGGGCCGGCGAGTTGCTCGCGCTTCTCCTCCATTCCCAAGGCAGTATCCTCTGCATGGGCGATTTTCGACATTGTTTTTGATGTTCCGGGCGCGTTCGTTCGACACCGCCAAGTGAAAGGGTGAACGGGGGGCGGGTTGTGAGGGGGTGGGGGCGAACGGGGAGTGAGGGGGTGGGGGATGAGAGGAGGTGTGGGGCAGACCCCATCCGACCTTATATGTCGTTATGCACCCAAGCACACCCCGCCCGGGGCACCGTTGAACGGTCAAATTCGACTAACGCAAAAACATCTAAGCGTGGAGGCCAGGTCACCGGTGCCTCGGAATCACCGTTGACGGCAAGCACCTCGTGCACAGGGTGGAGGGTACCCATGTGACTCTCAGGTCGTCTGCCAAGATTACCCGAGAGGTCGACGCCGCTCGCCCCTTGTCCCCGGCTTAGCGACCGGGCTCCGGCTCGCCGTCCGGCACACGGCGACTTGAGCACATGGTCGCCGGTGACTGGATGCCATTTTTAGGTCACCGGTGACCAATGGCGTCTCTCTCCAATAGCAACGGCCAGTGGACGGCGACCGCTGGATCGTTGTTGGCGTGTTCCCAGTGCCCCCTTGTGCTTCTTTGTGCTCCTCCGCGGCCACTTCCCCGGCTAGTTCCGGGTTCTGCAGGGGCCCCCGGTGCGAGTAGACGACCGCGCAGTCAATACCAGGCAGTAGAACCGATGGCGCGCCGAGACGAGCGTCTCTTGTGCGGGGTAAAGGACAAGCACCAATGTTGGAAAAAGGGCGCGGTCAGTAGATCAGTTAGCCACAAACAAAAATTGCCATTTTCGGCTGTTCCGACGGAGGCCAGTCTATCTCCGCTTCAGACGTGTCAGTCACGTGATGCATTTGATGGCCCCGCGTAATGACCTATTAGAATGCGTCATCTGATTTGAAGCAACAACAAAACATTTGGCCTGTACTCACCCGCGAACCACTTTTCAAGTCGGGTTTCTCCCCATGGCCTCATGGAATGCAGAGTGTACAAGCACCCATCACTTGCATCACTTTGAGTGTGTGCTGGGCATGGCGGATCGTGGTTTCTGTCGGGTTTCGGCGATGGCCGCATCAACAACGTCGGCACCACGGAGGCTCGTAACCGGTCCAGCATCCACCCGGCCTATCCGCGATATCTGAGCTCGCGTCGACAACATCCCAACAGCCACTTGCCTTTGCCCTTGCCCTTGCACTTGCACTCACACACCCTTACACTCCCCCTATCCCTGCACCCCCCTATAGTGCGATGAGCAAGACCATGGTCCCTGCCACGGAGGCCGACACGGCACGCGTCCAGCGGCACCTGGCTCGCATGCCGTTCGTCGGGGCACAGTTTGCGCCGCACTTCCGCGCCGTATCGGCCATGCCCATGCCTCCTCTCAACCAGCGCGGTGGCCGCGATGCTGAGGGATGGACAGCAGTGTACGAAGCCATTGTTCAGCCGGGTGCGTTGAATGATCTTGGGGGCGTGTGGGGAAAGGTGGAGGATGGCGCTGGGGGAAGCTGCGTTCTCCCTGTCGAGTGTGGGGGTGGTGGGGGTGGTGACAAGCAGGTGACTGACCATTGACCAGAGTGGATCAACGGCCGAGGCGGCATGCACGGCGCTGCGGCATGCTGGATCGTTGACATGTGAGTGTTTTGGTGTTTGGAGATGAGCAATGCTGACTGCTCGCGGTTAGGATCACCGGCACGACCCTGTCACGCATGCGCACCGACACTTGGGGTTTGGGCGGGCCCAGCATTGCCATTGATATGACCTACTACGACCCAGCGCCAGTGTGAGTGGGCAGGCATAGATTGCGGTTACCCGACCGAGTGCAAGCTGTCTTGCTCGGGAAGGAGGACTGTCGATGAGCTGCTCGCCTTTCTGTCGCTGACCCTCTCCAGAGGCACGCGACTGCTTATCACCGCCAGCATCGAGCGCATGGGTGGTGCACTGGGGACAGCGCGGTGTGTAGTGAGTTGCGAGAAACATCAGCCTGTTCCGTTATGGACGCGCCAACGCGTCGACGCGGTTGAGAGGATAGTAACGACCAGGGCTGAAGGACGCAGATTGCCAACGCAGAGACGGGCAAGAACATTGCTGCCGGTCTGCACACGACTATGACCCCTGCTTCGGCGACGCGTGCAGCACAGGCGAAGAAGGTCCAGGCCAAGCTGTAGGAGAACCATAGGCTTATGTATGCACGGGGTAATAATGCTGCGGGGCTATGTTTGTTTGTTAAACGCGTTTCTGGATCTTCATGCAGCACAGCGTGCGGGCTCACCGGGTGTGTCCAATAGCTCATCCACGGCACCCGGGTTTCAAGGCTGCGGGCTGTGACGGGGGAGCAACGACCCACGATGAAGCTGGCCGTGGCAGGCGATTCCAACTTTCCGTTGGATCCATACTGTCCGACGGCATCCCTGGAGACAAAATGTCCCATGGGATCTGCGATTGAGGGTCGTCAACGTGAAGAGCAAGTGAAACAGAGTGCAGTAGTTGGTATTTGGGACCAAGACATGTCTCGAGCTCTAATCGATAGTCTGCGACGACTTTACAGACTCCCTAACCTTGTTTTCTTGTCCCGCACCCTCGTTTCTGAACCGTGTGGTGCCCACCAGTTGCGCCTGCCCTGGGTCCAGTGGCCAGTATGTAGCCTGTGCAGCCCACGGATGCCGTATCCCATTCCTAGTTCCTGCAATGCGGATCGCTTGGCATTGATCCATTGACAGAGGTCATCGTCATCAGTGTTGGCTCCCTGGCTCATCGCCATCGCAGGGACACCACTGGCACCGCTTTCACATATTCACATGGTGATTCTGTGATCTTCGCCGTGGTGCACTTGGGGGGGACTTCGAGTGTGTTGGTGGCATGGCCCAGTGCCTTGACCGCCTGTTACCCATTGCTGCTCCCCATCTGCAGTCTCCCTGCCGTTCCCAGAAGTTGCAGACACCGCGAAGCATCGCCATCTTGCCCTACGTCCGCATGGCAGGTCCGCGGTGAAACACGCCGACTTTGCCGGCCGTGATCATCATTTCTTGTTTAGCTTCTCGCCGGACGCGAGCAAGGTGAGCAATACATCGTCTGCTCCACACGTCCAAAGGGTCCAAGCGTTGCACCGCCATTTCGCAACATGTATATAAACATTCGCCCCCAACACACTCACCACGGTTCTTATCCGTTTACTCACTCTCAACCATGCTGGTCGGTCTACTCACACTCGTGACTGTCCCGCTCGCCCTCGGCGCACCCGCTGGCAGGTATAGGCGCCAGGCGACCACCAAGACCGTCAGCGACGCTTCCTCCCTCAACGGCCAGACGTTTGACTATGTAATCGCCGGTGGCGGTCTTGGAGGTGTCGTCCTGGCGAGCCGCCTGAGTGAAGACAGCAAGGTGTTGCTCATCGAAGTTGGCGAGAGCCAGGAGAACAACGATATCATCACCGGTGAGATTTGAATGTCCCGATCCGCAGCAGTTCGAGGGTTGAAGCTGACTGAGCCAAGACGCCGCAAACTACCAGAAAGCCTTTGACCAGCCTGAACTCGACTGGGCGTACAAGACGGTGGAGCAGTCGGTGGGCGGCCAAAAGTCCATTCGTGCTGGTAAAGGTCTCGGCGGCTCCACGCTCATTAACGGCATGGCCTGGAGCAAGCCCCACGACTTCCAGCTGGACGCCTTGGAGTCGGTTGGCAACCAAGGCCTCAACTGGGCGACGCTTGAGCCATACATGCTGGGAGTTGAGACTTTCACTCCCCCTTCGTCTCAGCAGGTCGACGCAGGATTCACATACAGCCAGCCTTGCCACGGCTACAATGGCCCCGTCGCCGTGGTGTACGAAAGCCTCGTCCCGACCGACCTCGAGCACAACTTGAACGCGACGACACGCAACTTTGGTATGCCGTACCCCTCCGACCTGAGTTGCGGTAACCCCGCCGGTATCTCGCCCATGGCCCACACCAAGTACGCCAGTGGCGGCAGGGATATCCGTAGCGACGCCTACCGGGCATTCCTCTACGAAAAGAACCTTCCCAACCTCACCATCCTGGTCAAGAGCAAGGTCGGCAAGGTCAACCTCGCCTCGGGCGCCGCCGGCTCGACACCCCGTGCCACCGGTGTCGAGTTCCAGAGTGTCGGCGGTTCAGACACCTACACGGTCTCTGCTAGCCGCGAGGTGATTGTCGCCACTGGTGCGATCAGGACGCCCGTTCTCCTCCAGCACTCGGGTATTGGCCCCAAGGCTGTCCTTGCCGCTGCCAATGTCGATCTCCGCGTCGATCTCCCCGTCGGCCAGAACCTCATCGACCAGACCACTTCTACCACGTCGTTCAGAATCACGGGAGCCCAGGCTGGTGGACAGAGTGTCCTCTTCCCGCGCTTCGAGGACATCTTCCAGGGCGACAATGTCGCCACCGCCACCAACATGCTGCAAAACAACATTGACCAGTACGTCCAGGACGCCATCGACAATGGCGCTGCCTCGTCTGCGGATGGCCTGCGCACTGTTCTTGAACTGCAGCGCGACTGGATCCTGAACAAGGGTGCCAGCGTGTCCGAGAACTACGACTACAGCGGCTCGGACTCTATCGGCTTTGACTCGTGGTTCCTTCTTCCCTTCGGACGCGGTTCGGTCCAGATCTCGGACAGCAACGCGTACGGCGACGACAACTTTAAGATTGACCCTCGTTTCTTCACCAACGAGTTTGACACGCTTGCGACCGGTGCCACTGTTTGGTTTACACACCGCCTGACCTCGGGCTCCCCTCTCAACACCCAGATCCGGGGGCAGAACTCTGGTCCCCCCAACGCCAATGACGACCTGAGCACGTGGTCCGACTGGGCCAAGAGCGACTACCGCTCCAACTGGCACCCCATCGGCACCGTTCCTATGATGAGCAAGGAGCTGGGTGGCTGTGTCGACTCGAACCACCGTGTCGTGAGTTTTACCGCTGCGTGAATGGAATGACGCAACTGACATTACAGTACGGCGTCGACGGCCTCCGTGTGGTTGACGGTTCCAACCTCCCCTTCCAGGTGTCTTCCCACCTCATGAGCGTTCTCTACGGTCTTGCCGAGCGCGCTGCCGAGGTTATCAAGGCCGACAGCTCCAACCCGACCGACCCTACGACGACGGTGCCTACGGCTCCCACAAACACCGTCACGGATGATGTCCCTACCCCCACTGGCACTTCAGACCCCGTAGTGACCACTACTCCTCCTTCCAGCTCGGGTGTCTCTCTCCACCCCAACGGCAACACGGGCAAGTGTCTCACCGTCAAGGGCGGCGTTCTCGGCAACGACACGCCCGTCGAGCTCAACGACTGTAACGGCCAGGCCGGGCAGAAGTGGGACTTCTCGGACGGGCTCACCTCCGTCAAGGTCGCCGGCACCAACTACTGCCTCGACACGGGAGACGGAGTGTATGACGGTGCCCGGGCCAAGATCTATACTTGCTACGCGGGCCACCCCAACCAGTCGTGGATCCGCAGCAACAACAAGCTCACCCTCCAGGGCAAAAACTTTTGCCTTGACGACACTGATGGGTCGACCAACAGCGGCACAGTCATGCAGTACTGGACATGCTTCAGCGGCAGCTGGCAGCAGACGTGGACCGCCAGCTAGACACTCTCGCATACACCGAGTGGAGTCGCTGTTTCTTTTCTTTCTTCACCCGCAACGGACAATATCTGGCGCCACGGCCAGACGGTGAGCAACCCACAGGGATTGGTAGAACGACTGCATTAAAATGAACCCTATATGTATCTATGCCTGCAAACACGCGCTCCGAGACCAGACCAGATCAGAAGAGCACACCCCTGACCTGCTCGATCTCGGACACCTTGATGTTCTTGATGAGAACCACAGAGATGAACGCCAGCGCCATGATGGCCGTGCCGGCGATGAGCATGCGGCTCTGGGCCTCGGCGTACGCCAGCTCGATGGCAGTGCGCGTGGGGTCGCCGACGGGGTAGCTGAGCTGGACGTCGAGCGAGTCGTAGATGGTCTCCCAGTCGGCGACGGTGTCCTCGGGGAGGTACTTTTGGAGGTACTCTGGGAGCGTGTTGGTCCAGATGGCGCCCGAGACCGAGTTGCCGACCGCGCCGCCAAAGTAGCCAAACATGCCGAGGAGGGCGAGCATGGCCGCGGCGTCGTTGTGCGAGCCCGCAGCGAGAACGGCCACCTGCTCCACGAGGGTAAAGCACGAGCCACCGATGGCGATGAGGACCTGGGTGAAGACGATCCAGCCGATCGAGTGGCCAGGCTTGCGGAAGTAGATCATGAGACCCGCACCAAGGGTGTACAGTGGCACACCGATGATGACGACCCACTTGAAGTAGCCGGTGCGGCGGATGAGGTAGCCCACGGGGAACATCAGGAGGGACGCGAGAATGTCATAGATCGAGGTAATGTAGCCCGACGTAGAGATGGAGAGGTGGTACACGACCTGGAGGTACGACGTAAAGTAGCTCGCCCAGCAGTAGTAGGCGATCTGCCAGGTAAAGTCGAGGAGGCACGCGCCAATGACGGTGCGGTCGGTGAGGAGGTGGAAGGGGACGAAGGGGGTCTTGGCGACGTAGCCCTCGACAATGACAAAGGCGATCAAGCACACCACGCCAACGACGAGCATGGCAATGATGTGGGCGGAGCGCCACTCGTCGGCAGCAGACGCGGCCAGGGAGAAGGGAAGCAAGAAGAGGGACAGACCAGCCGAGACGAGGAACACGCCGAGGACTGCAAACGTCAGCACTTGCTCTCATCACGCGACAAGCCGGGCACTCACCATCAAACTCGACCAGGTAGTGGACAGTGGACTGCATGAACGTCCTGCCAGACTTGGGCTTGATTCCAACCCCGAGCTTCTCAGCACGGCGCTTCTGGTGCTGAAGGAAGAAGAACATAGGCAGGGACACAAACGGCAGGATGATGGCAAAAGCACCATAGCCCCAGCGCCAGTTGGTGTCGTAGAACTTCTCCGAGAGAGGGGGGCCACCGTACGCGGTGATGATGTATGGCGAGGCGGTGAAGGCGTATGCCAGGCCACGGTTCTTGAGCTGCGACGTGTCGGCAGTGAGAACGTCGACCGCAAAGATGATACCGATGAAGCCGACGGCATAGAAGACCTGGGCTGTCAGTTACGTTGCGCGGAAGAGCGTTCGCAAAACTCACCTGGGCGGCACAGTAAGTGTAAATGTTGGTGCAAGCAGCGCTGAGGATGAGACCGAGAGTGGCCAGGAAGGACATGGCGAGGTAGCCGTAGCTACGGTCCCAGAGGTTGAGCACTTTAGCCAGAACCATGTACGCCACGGCGCTCATGATGTTGGAGACGACGGAGATGACGGGAATGAGCGAGTGCTCTGCAAAGCCCGAGGTGATGTAAGCCGACAGATTGCCGGTGATGGACGACTGGAACGCATTGACGGCATAGGTGAGCCAGAAGCTGGAGAAGCGCGTCAGTACAAGTGTGCAGCGACCACGTCTCTGGGGCTTACAAGACGAAGATGGTCCGGAGCGAGCCCTTTGACCACGTCTGAGTCATCGCGTCGGCCTGGCGCACACCATCTTGATCCTTCTCCCCCTCGTAGGGGACAGTGATGCTCGGCTCCTTGGTTTCGAACACCGAGTTGGAATCAGGTGCCGTCGCGGCTGCCGTCTCGGCGAGGTTGATACCCTGGTCCACCTTCATGGCAGCGAGATTGTGTGAGAGTAGTTTTGGGTGGCAGCGTGGAGAGCCCGTCCCCCGGTTATCATTGTTGTTCTTTTAAAGTCCCAGGCCAAAGTTGGGCGGCGACATGATGGGTTGACCGTGATTCTCAAGGGTTTGCCGCCGGACCTCGGCCGACTAGGGTCTCTGTTGGACAACAAAGCTCAATGTCCTTGCAGCCAGCGCGCAGACTTTTTTATGAGCTCAGGCGCTGTCGGCGCCTATCCACGTGGGCTTCCCCTTGGCCTCACGATGCCGAGGTACTGCGACTTATCGGTGCGGCCTGTGGTCTGTGCCCCACGTGCGGTGCGTGGCATCCTGCCAAGGTCAAGCAGGAAGGAGGAGGACTCGCGGTGCCGATAAAGTGAGCAGCAGGAGAAGAAGACCTCAGAAACGCCTCAAGGGCTCGGCCGATGGGTAAGGTTTTCTCCAGTCCCCCTCTCTATCCGCACTGGAATAAGGGGGCCCTCGTCAGCAGAAGGTCAGAGACGCATCGTCTGCGAGCTGCAAGACAGGAATCAGGGAGAGCGAGAGCAGAGCCCTATCCCCGTTGCCGCCATACCTTTCTGCGGCCCGGGTGCTGCCGTACCGCGATGGGCGGCAGTGAGATCGTGAGACCCGTTGCGCGCGCGAAAACCGCCACGAGAAAGAGCCGCCCAACAATCGGCCGACTCCGTATCAGATACGTAGATTATCGCCCGATTTCAACAAACTGTGCACACCACGTACATTCCGGGTCTGTCGCACTCCCCCTGTTCTGTACATTTCACACCCCATATGCCGCCATCGCTCCACGGAGTTCTCTCGCTGTACCCGCTTCCCAACTCGACATGGCAGCAGCGGCCGTACTTCACCTCTGGTGACCTCGCGTCCGACAAGGCCGTCGTCTTCATTGGTGGGCTGTACAGCGGTCTCTTTGACACACCTTTCCTTGTGCCCTTGTCGAACGCGCTCACAGAGGCAAAGTGGAGGCTGTGAGTGGGGTGCTAAATGTGGTACACCGGTACACGAGGTCCTGACACGACTCGCACAGGGTGCAGATATTTTGGTCGGGATGCTACGATGGGTTCGGGACAGGCGGCATTGACCGGGACCGCGACGAGCTCGCCGCACTCGTCAAGCAGCTGATAGGCGAGGGTAGGTGACAAACGACCTCTGTCCCGAGAGTACACCTAACCGCCCAGGCGTCAAGACTGTCGTCGTCATGGGACACTCGACTGGGTCGCAGGATGCACTCCACTACCTCTCCACATCGGCCGAGCCTGCTGTGCATGGTGCGATCCTCGTGTCGCCGGCGTCCGACCGACAGTTTTTCGAAAAGGACAACGATCCAGTGTGGAAGGAACAACTTGTCATTGCCCAGCGGCTGATCGCTGAGGGCAAGGGCGAGGAGATGCTGGGAGAGGAGATGACCAAGGCTGCCGGTGCGAGGATGACTGCAAACCGGGTTTTCAACTTGATTGGTGTCGGGTATGTTGCGCTGACCCCGCTGCAACACACTGACGGTACAGCGGCCTCGACGACTACTTTTCATCCGACCTGCCAGACGCGCCTGACGGATCGGCGCACGTACACCCTCTGTCGACATCGTTTGGCTCCCTCAAGGTCCCAGCACTGGCATTCTGGGCCGAGAACGACCACTGCAACGTGCTGCCCGACCACCGCGTGCTGCTGCGGCGCTGGGAGACGGCGTCAAGCGGCAGGCTCCAGTGGCGGTTTCTCGACGGCGCAACACACACGGTGGAAGAGGAGGATGCTCAGAAGGTGCTCTGCGACGAGGTGGTGGGGTGGCTGTCAAGCCAGTTCGAGCAGTAGGGAGTGGTAGTGTCCATGCACAAAAGACTATTTTATAAGTAAACTCTATATTCTATATCAACAACAGCCCTTCTTCATCGAGCTCAAACATGACCTTTCGCCAATGCACCTCCTGTCCACCTGGCAACGTCGCGCGGCGACGCCATACCTCCTCCATGAGCCGCAGGGCGTTGCGCGTGTTGCCGAACGCCAGTCCCTCCTCGCCCAGTCTCTCAAACCTGTCCTTGAAGAACATTTGCAGCGTCGCAGTGTCGGCATGGCAGCCCGCAATGACCGTGGGGAACACGAGGGCGCGCTCAGCGCCTTGCAGCTCCACGAGGTCCAGCGCGAGGAACGCGTCCGCGACATCGCGCACCGTGGCGGCGACCTCGACGACGCCTGGGAACGGCCCACTCAGAGTCGTCGCCAGGAGCACCCGCGCGCTGTGGAAGAAGACGTTGCTGACTGCGCGTCGCTGGAGCGTGGCTGGGTCGTCCGACTCAAACAGGTGTCGTTCGCGCCACACTCGCTGCTCCAGCAGTCGTTCAATCGAGTTGGCGCGCTCCACCAGGTCGCGGATGGATAAGCGGCCCACCCCCAGTGCCGTGTCCTTCCATTCTGCCAGCGCAATGGTCTCGGCTATGGCCAGTCGCTAGTTCCATCAGCAACACACTCTCAGAACGCGCCCAGCCACACGGCACTCACTGTAGTGCTGTCACACCCCATGACGGTCTCACGCAACAGATCGCCCATCTCGCCCTGGCTCTGGTCGTCCAGGAGGAGAACGCGGTACAGCGACAGGAACTGGGACGCGGCACCCTCCGTCACGGAGGTGAGGATGTCCGTCCAGACCAGGGGGCTGAGGAGATGGCCCATGCGCTTGACGAGCCCCGAAACGGCCAGCCTAGATCTGTAATAGGTCAGCTGCGTTCCATCACGAAGAAGCCCAAACCTACTCGGGATCGTCACTGCTCCAATGCCGCGAGCCCTGCAGCACCGCCGCCAACGACTTGCGACACAGCTCCACGGCCTCGCGCCACCCCTTTCTGTTCCCGCCATCAAAGAGGTGGAAGCTGCTCACGGACATGGCCGCCACGACCATTTCGTGCGAGCCAATGTCGTTGAATGGCACCTGTTTGAGGCCCTGGATACTGAGCTGGAGCGACGACTCGGCGACTGCCAAGTCTGGGTCGTTTCCATCGGGGAGGGCAGTTATTCGAGACGACGACGACGACGACGAGGCTTGGTTTTGGTTTTGGATGGCTGGCCGTCGCCACCGGCGCTTGGCGCCCATGTGCAGCGCTGCGAGGGCGATCAACGACTCGAAGACGAGCGGGTTGGTGAATGCCAGCCCCGTGACGAGGTCCGAGAGGACCTTGCGCTCAAAGATCCACTGGTACGGCATGATGACCGTCAGGTAGTGGTGGAAGAAGCGCATGTTGGCCGGTGTGGTCGGGAACGAGGTACTGAAGGTGGTGGTCGGTTGGTGGAGAAGAGGGAAATACGTCGCCGCTTGAGGCTGCACCACTACTGGCGGAGCAGCAAAACCCAGGAGAGCAAGGAAGTCGGGATCCACCAACGGGCTGGTGGGTCCCGAGTTGAACGCGTGCGGTGTCGTCATGGCCTGCATGCCGAGGGGATCGTGGACGGCCTGCTGCGCCACGGGGTAGTCGTCCACCATCTGAGACTGCGGAATCGGATAAGCCCACAGGTCTGCGAGGTCGCCGATAAAGTTGGCTGCGGTCTGGGGTGGCAAAGGTAGAGCCTGGAGTTCCATAGACTCTGCAGATTCGACGCTGCCTGCCTGCTCGGCATACTCAGTGTCCTCTGCCAAAGTCTCTTCTGCCATCGCCTCCTCTTCGTCCAGTGACTGTTCGCGGAGTGCGCTCGCGGCCTTGTTGGCCCAATACTCGTTCATCTTGGCCGAGTTGGTGTCCGAGACGCTCTTCTTCCTGGCGAGTTAGTCAACGCCGAGCGATTAACAGCTCACATTCTCGCCACCACACCCGTGACTACCTCCTGCTTGCGCATCCAGTCGGGCCGCTGCGCCGAGAACCCAAGACACTCGAGGCCGAGACGCGTGCACATGGCACATACCGGTCGCGTCTCATCGCACCGCTGAGCAAGGGTCAGTGAAGGGTTCAGGAAATAACGGTGAATGGGCATATTATAACACACCTTCTTGCGTAGCCTACAGGTAAGGCAGCCCGACTTGCTTCGTGTACGCGTCCTCGCCCTGGCGGCATGGGCCTGGCTGGTGCTGCTGCTGGTGCTGCTCCGTTGAGGAGCGTGGGGGGGCGAAGGGTACGAGTCGGCGGGAGATATGGTCTCGTCGGATTGTGAACTCATACGATAGGAGGGGCTGGGAGTGAGGTTGATTAGTCGAGAAAGAGAGAGAGAGAGAGATGTGTGAGTTTGTGAGTAACACCTGCGTGGTACTCGGCGGCGGCGGGCCGCATGGACTCCTTGGCGGCTTCGGCTTACCCCGCATGGCCCGAGCAGTCGAGCAGCGAAAGGCAGGGTTCCGCAGCAGCGGCAGAAAAAAGTCCCCTCGGAGCCGGCCTCCGTGACTGCGGCCTGGTCAGCCACGCCGAGACGAAGAAAAGAGATGGAGCGTTGACAATAATGTACTCGATGGTAAGGACAGTTGGTCGCGACGACCCACAGAGCTAGCGCACTGGTCGTTTGCCGTGCCAGGAAAACGCGGGCTCCGTGGCTCCGTGGCACCAAACAAAGGCTCCGTGGTTTCCGTTTTGCGCGGTCCTTCGGACATTGCGGCCGGTGCGGTCTTTCTGGACCTTCAGCCAGGCTTTCCAAAGGCCAAAGGCGTCTCGGCAGCCCTTGCTTACATACATACCCGTGCGTCTGCAGACGGGCACGTCTTGTGTGTTTTGCCGGCAGTCGTACAGTCGTATACGGTTCCTTCAAACCCGGCGCCTCGCGGATCTCGCGGACTATTGTTTATGCCGACCATATCGCCCGCGGCTAATCTGGAAACGCGGGTCGACGGGGGCCCCATTTACCGGATGATTAGGAAACTGCTCCCGGGGTTTGAAATGACGACTTTCCAAATTCTAATCCCGTCTTAATATTTCCCTCGCACCACTCCACACCACCCTGACCCGACCGCCTCCTTCACAGTGGTCGCAGCCACATATCTTCCGTACTCACACCCATACCACCATGTCCCAGCCCGCCGCCGCCGACCCAGCGGACACACCGTTCAACACGCTTCGGCTTATCGAGCGCCGCGAGAAGCTGGCCGTTATTATCCGGGAGAAGAACGACCTGCAGGACATGCTCTTGGAGGAGAAGATGCAGATCTCCAAGGAACTTCGCGTCTGTGTGCGCGACCTGGCCGACCACGAGATGGAGATGGCAAGGATCAAGCGCGAGCTCCACGCCCACGACCGCGCGGTCCACCAGCGTAAAGTGCTGGAGAGCATCGAAAAGGAGTCGCGCATGGCCTTGGCGGCCGCCATGCCCATGTCAAAGCGCAAGTTTGACGAGGCCATGGTGTCTGCAAGTGCCAGTATGCCGACACAGGAGCGGGTCGCCGGATACTTTCGCAACGGTGGTGTCGCGCACACGACTCTGGCCGACCACACAAAGTTCATGAAGGTGCTTGTCGACCTGCATCGTTCTCGGACCGCCATCCAGTCGCAGTCGCTGGACCAGGCCCACGCTCAACCGCCTCCACACCGCGACTCCACCCAGCCTCCGTTCCACCTCCAAGCGCCCACAATGCGCTCGCCACTTATTCCCCCTCCCCCCCTCCCCGCGGCCGCCCCCGCGTCTGCGACTGTGACCCCCATCGCTTCCACTGCTACATCTCCGGCAACGACCACCAAGCCCCTCGCGGCTCCACAGTCCAAGCAGGAGCAGCTGCGGCTATACGTCATCCGCTGGCGCGAAGTCATCAACTACGAGCGCCTGACGGTGCAGGGCGACCCGTTTGCGTCCTACGAGGCCCGGTCGCTTGGCGCAGCGCGCGCAGAAGTGGCGCTGGAACATATCGAGGCGAGCCTGAGCGCGCTGCATAGTGCCAAACAGCCGAGAATGTCCGCCGCAAACGTTGTTGGAGCGACGGATGCCGAGCGAGACGAGGTCGGCGCGCACGGCACGCACGGCGGACCGGGTACCCGGACCGGCACGGCAGCGTGATCGCCCCGAGCGCAACGAGGAGGGTGGCACAACAACAGAGACCAACAAGATGACACGGCGCAACCCACCCACCAGCATTATCTTTCATGTGTTCCCCAACCCCTGCAACATCCATTGTCCAACCATCGACCCATGTACTTGTGTGTGCACTGTATAGTAAAAAAAACGCATGTGTAAAACGACGATGTACTGTATCACGAGAGCCTCTCCACTGTTTCCTGTTTGTCCGAGATCCTGAGCACCATGGCCGAGATGTGATTGCCAGGAGCAGAGTCCCATCGCCCAGTCAATGTCGGAGCAGCGCGCCGAAGTCAGTCACGCGCCCGCGGGTGCCCGGGTCCACGCACCGAGAAAATCCAATGTTAATCCGCTAATGCAGCCCAGAATGGCCGCGAAATGTCCTGTTCCGCCGTTCCGTTAAATCTCCCACTGGCCACTGGCCACTGGCCACTCTGGGTGCGGCGGGGGCCGCTAAAAGTCCGGAGTAGCATCGGGGCCCGCCTACTGCGCGTACCACACTGCTGTGGCAGGCGTGTATCCTGTGCGTGCGGTCACGTAGCCTGCACGCCTGTTATGCTGGACACGGGTTGTGGTTGTGATGTGAGGGGTCTTGTCGTGTGACGGGGTGTCCCGGTGTCGGGGGGGGGGGGGGGGTGGGCCGACCGTCGGGCAATCACGAACGCGCCGAATGAAATGAGAAGCATAAACCACTGGCCGCAAGCCCCCGCCGGGGGAGTGGGAAAGGCAAGAACCCCCCCAGTCGGTTTCTGGGCCAGTCTCAAGCCATCCCAGACTTGAACCAACTCTGACGCACCAGACGCCAGACGGCCAGACGCAACGCAAGCCACACCGCCCGCCAGCCTCGGTACCCGGACCCCTCACCCCTCACCCCTCACCCCTCCGCCATCAGCCATGTTCTTAGACAGATTAATAATTGTAAGACAACGCGACTACTCCTTGGTTCCCCTTGCATTCACCTCAATTGCGCTTTGTTGCTTCGTTGCTTCGGACTTGTGACCTTCTGGTCTAGAGGGTAACCACTGCTTGCGAGAGAGGGCACGCACATCCCCGTCGGGCCGTCGGGCTTTGGGTTTTTGCTTTTGCTTTTTCGGCTGTTGGCCCCGGGGGGGTGCTCGGAACACTGTCTGCCGATCAGCGGAGAGCGGAGGTGCCCGCTGGTACGTGTACCTCGAGCGGACCAGCGGAGAGAACGAGCGCGAACGAAGAGGAAGGTGGAGGGGGGGGGGGGGGGGGGGGGGGGGCTTTGTGGGCTAATTGATACAGTTGTGCATGCGCATGACACGAGGCCCGACAAAAGGGGGCCCCTATCCGAGATCCCAGAAGGGTTCAAAGAGACCGAACAAGAAACGAAAACAAGTACCCGAAGAGCGCTAGACGCGCTAAAAAGTATAAGGTTGGCTTACGCAACAACAGATTGAGTAGAGGACGGAGCAAGATGCTCCGCTCAATACTTATCAGCGCCAGACCCAGACCATACAGGGCTCAACTACCTCTAGGTCTGGTTCTGGGGCCAGAACGACATGAGCGTGGCCAGGTCGGCGAACGGCAAGAGGTCCTGGGCCATGTCCGCCGAGCCCTGGAACATTGGGTTTGCGGAGAAGAAGTCGAGGAGCGAGGGCACCTCGACGTGCGTGTCCGTGAGCGACGGCATGAGGAGGTCGATGATGCGGAGACAGCGGTCGGCGAGCGGGTCGCCTGGGACGGCGCGCAGTGTGTCGCACGCCAGGCGGACGGATTCGCCCCACTGGCCGCGGTTGGGCGACGTCTGGTCCGTATGCATGGCGATGAGGGGAACGAAGGATGCCTGGAAAAGGAAATGCAGGGCGTACCACGTCTCGAGACGGTTCGGGATACGGCCCTTGAAGAAGCCGTGAATGTCGTAAATGGTATCCATGGCGCAGTCGATGCAGGTGGACGCAAGGGTGTGTTCAATCTCCATGCCGGGCGTGTTGCCCGCCATGGGGAGGCCCTTGAGCGCGCGGTCAAGAAAGGCGCGGCGGTGGAGGATGATACGCAGGTTGGAGTAACGCCAGAACAGCTTGTGGGCCGAAAAATACAGCCAGGGCGTGTCGCCAAACATCTCGGGCGTGGCACGCGACTGCATCCACTCGGGAAGCTGGCCGTACCAGTCGAACAGCTCGCGGTCCAGGTCGATAACTTCTTCTGCTGATGGCGGAGGGGTGGCAATGACGCGGTCGTAGCAGTGGTTACCAACAAGGTGGAAAGTCGATTGCCACATCAACGAGCTGTAGATGGTCTTCTCCCGCGACGGCGGAGGCACAGACGGCGAGTGCGGCGTAAAGTGGCGATCCTGGACATTGTGGACCATGCGCACGTCCGCTTCGCCATAGGGAAGTAGCTAGGTATTAGCTCCAGAGTCACTTCGTGAGCTTACAATTGGACGTCCGAAAGTAATGCTGGCGCCAGAGTCGAAGATATAGACGACCCACCACACGCGGCGTCGAACCTCGCGGTCAAACGGTTTAATGTTCCACAATGGCAGCTCGCGGTGCAGTCCCAGACCAATGGCCATGCGCACAGCAATGCCTAGGTAGGTAGATCCGGCGTTGGGCTTGTTGCGCTTCTGGGCGAGGTTACTCAGCAGCGTAAAGGCCTGGACAAGCACCAGACTGCCCGTCTCGAGGTGGTCGACTGAAATGACCGAGATGGCGCGTTCGAGGAAATAGTCGATAATGTACATTGGCTGCGAGACGCAAAAAGCTCCGAGACCCAAGACGACGTTGTAGAGCACGGCCCATCTGCTGATGTCAGTGGCTTGGTTCTGGGCCCGGGAGGGCAGAGACGACTAGCGACATCCTGGGTTCTAGTCCCCCGAGTTGGCGGTGTGGCTTACTGTTTATGGGGTGGCTGGGCCACAACCTCGTTTACCTGTGCGCGGAACGTGTGTTCGTGCACGATCGGGTACTGGGTATGGTAGTTCTGGAAGTAGCCATCCATGAACATCTGGAGTTGCGCATGTGACGGCACCCAGTTTGCAGGTCCGGGCGGCTCGGATTCGGCCACGGGGATCGACTTGAGCGAGATGCCTCCGGCAGTCATCTGCAGTATCCTCAGAAGCGTCGCACCGGACGCAAACCCCAAATACCCCTCGCCGTCCGGTTCCACGGACAAGGAGGCAGTGCCGTCGTTCTCGCCAACGCGGCCCTGTCGCTCATTCCATTCGTACCCAGAGGCATTGCGCGGTTGGCGCTCGTATGCCTCGGCTGTGGATGACGGGAACTGGGGTTGTTGAGGACCTGGCTGACGCGATGAGCTTGCCTGGGCAGCGATCGGAGGTGGGCGACGGGGGACACTGCCTGCGTGGTCCGAGAACAGGCCCAACGAGCTGGCGGGGGACCCGCTGGGCACGCTAGTGGCAACGATCGGTGTGGTCACGGGACGGTTCTGTATTAATGGGCTACCGCTGATGGTGTCGGACATGGTGTTGGGTGCGGCGAAGATGTCGAGTGGTGTTTGTGGATTGGGTGGTGGTGGCGGTGGATGCTGGCCGCGTTCATGGCTAACCGCCGAGCCAACAGATGCACGGAAGGTAGCCGACGACGGTGCCAATAATGGGGGCCCAGACGAGTCTGTTGGGCTGCCTTCTCTGTCAATATCGACGTGAGGTGCGTGTTGGGCAAGAAGGCGTTCCAGGCGCTCTACGCGACCCTTGACCTCGGCAAGGTACCTTTGCTCTGTTAGTGCTGCTGGTCTACCCAGTGTGTGCATGTTAAGCGCAGAGTGGCGCGACGCACCTCTTGCCTCGACGGGGCACTTCCGGCTGAGGGAAGACACACGTCTTGTCGTACCGTCGACACTGGTTGCATGGATGCACACGGTCGCACTGAACACTGGTGTGAGTAACAGCTAACAAGCAAGGCCAGACACGCGGGGTAGATGCCGGTCGTTGTGGGGGCGGAGTCTGGGCGGACTGCGATGGAGAGGACGGGGGAAAGATGGGATGTGGACTGACCTTTCGCTTCAGACGGCGGCACTCGATGCACTCGCGGGTTGTTAGCTGGATGCGCGGCGGCATGGGTGTTGCTGGGAGAGCAATGTCACATGGTTGCTCACTGAAATCTTCTCTGTGGGACCTTCTGGTGCCTCCTCCGTGTCCGAGAGATGCCTTGTTGATGCCATGGTGGGGCCGGTGGGGGGGTGGTCGGTGTGGATGGATGTGGATGTGGAGTGGTTGTGGATGGAATGGAGCAACAAGAGAGAGAGGGACCACCCACCCAGGGTTTGAGCGGACAATACAAGAAAGCGGACAGAAGCATCTCCGCCCACTCTTTCGTTCATACATTTACCCATTCAACCGCCAAACACGCGCTTCCATACCGCGCCAGCCGCCAGTTGCCGTCGCGCTTCCCTTGGCGCTCGCTGGCTCTCGCTCTCACCCAGTCACCTGGCCCTCAATGCACCAGCAACCCTCCCGCGTTGGGTGCGTATACACGTCCTCGTCGTCTGACCGTCCGTCTCCCCCACCTCCGCTCATCCCTGACACTCTGTGACCTCGTCGAGGCCGTTGTGCACACCGCAACGTGCTGCAGTCGGCGACTTGGGACACCACCAACTCGCCTGAACCAACGTCTCTGAGCGGACACAAGGCCTCCGCTCGGCAACTGCCGGACATGGAGGCCCCGCAAACGCGGCGCACAGTGTGCCGAGCAACAAGACAGAGACAGAGAGAGACATTGGCTATCCCCCCTTGGGGCCACCGGCGAACGCCAGAGTACGCCTGATGCGTCATGTCCATCATCTGCACAGGGGGGGAATGCGGACTTGACGGCCAAGGGGGGGGGGGGGGGGATGTGTGAAGTGCGGGTGTGCTGTTGTGGGCCACAGTCGGGCGAGGCTGCTCCGGGCGCCTCGGTTCAATGGTGGGGGAGCAGCACAGTAGCGAGAGTTGGACCATTTGCCATTTGTGTCTTAAAGCCCATTTCCCAGGCAGAAGAACAAGCACCACCAAAAACAACCCCAATCACAAAGCACGCAATGACTAGCATCGACGACATTGCCAGGCGCCTCCTCGACTCGGCAGAGTACGTGAACGTGAACGGTCCGAGCGTCCAACTGACAGCAAGCTGCAAGCGGCGGCGACTCGTTGTCGGTGAGTAACATTGGGGGGGTGGCCATGTCGTCGATAGCGGTCCCCCGCACACGACCCCCGTCTCCCTGCGTTGACTAACGGCCAGCCATCGGCGGTATCCCGGGCAGTGGCAAGAGCACGCTGGCGTACCCACTCACTGGCGCCGTGAACGCTCTTCACAAGCGTCGCGGCGGCTCTGGCGACGTTGCAGTCTGCATCGGAGTGGACGGCTGGCACTACTCGCAGGCGACTTTGAACAACATGCCAGTGCGTACGCGTTTTTTTCGGGTGGCAAGCCACAGGTCCGCGCCTTGCTCTCCCCTTGGGGTCCTTGTCCCTCGCACATGTCACCTACGCAGCCGCGTACCATACACAAACACACACAATGCATGCTGACCACATCATCTCCATCAGAACTCGGAAGACCTGTTTGCGCGGCGCGGAGCTCACTACACCTTTGACGGCGCGGCCTACACCGCCTTCATCAGGCAGCTCGACACCCAGGCGCGTGTGCCGTTCCCGACCTTCTCTCACGCCGAAAAGGACCCGGTGCCCCATGGAGGCGAGGTCGCGCCCGCCCAGCGGATCATGTAGGTACCTCGAAGAAAGCGATCGAAGACGGATGGGGGGGGGAACGGGGGGAACGGGGGGAACGGGGGGACGTGAAGCCGTGCGCTGGCTGTCGGTGGCGGCGTTGGTTTATTGGCAGGTGGACAGGTGGACAGCACTTTGCGCATGCTTGCCGCGCGTGCCGCGCCTACTTGGTGCCATCGCCTCGCAACGTCGCTCTGGTGGCTGCAAACCAAGACATCGCAAGCGAGCCGGGGGCGCCGCGACCGTGCAGATGAACGAGGTCCCGGAGCAGCGGTGTGCCGGACCCGGCTCGCTGGCTCGGTCATCCAGGCTCTCGAGGCACTTGCAAGCCACTGCACGCCCATGAACGCCTCCGACATCAAAGTGCCCAAAGGCGGGCACAGGATAACAACACCTGCACGGTCGGGGTTTCAGTCCTCTCCTGTGCTTTGGTTTGGGGTGTGTTCCGAGCGCGCTGGTGGCTGCGCAGTGCTGCAGCGGTGTGGTGGCGTGTGACTCGCCGTTCAGTCCGCGGGTCAGGTGGCAAAATAGACGTGCCACTCCGCGGTGTGGGCGTTGCCATGATTGCAATTCTATTGCGCTTCGGCGTCTGGCTCGCGGCTTGCAGATCGGCCGCCGCCATGCTGTATACGCGTCCTTCACACGCCGCGGATTCTCAACTCTGTGGTGCCTCCGGCCCACCCACAGTCGGAGGTGCGGGCCGTGCCGTGGCCCCGGGCCGCTCAGCGCAAGCCAAGCCAAGCCAAGCGCCGCCATACACTCGTGTGCCTACTCCCCCTCGGTGTCTTGATCATATCCCTGCCTCTCCGCCCACACCGGCTGACATGAACAGCATCATCGAAGGCCTACACGCCCTCCTGGACCTCGCCCCTTGGAACAGTGTTGCGGGGCGGTACGACGAGCGTATCATGGTGGACACGGCGACGTCGCTGGCGCGCTCGCGCATCATTGCGCGGCACCTGCGCGACGGAGTCGAGCGCACCGCCGCCGCGGCCACACGCCGTGCCGACGAGAGCGACATGCTCAATGCCGCGACGCTACTGAACAACCTCGTCCCACCGTCCATCACCGTCGACTTTGAGGCGGGCACCGTCAAGTTTGCCGCGGCCGACGACGCGGGGTGCGAGGCCCACACCGAGTGGCGGACCACCGAGGGTGTGCCCATCACGGCATAGAGATAAGAGGCGACGATAAGAAGAGAAAACACCCGAGAGCCACACGCATACGCAGACACAAGACGCAGACAATACACCCTACCCCCCGACACACACATACACCCACCCCCACACGACCAAAGCAGAGATACCGAAGACAAGACCAGACAAAGTGCAAGATCGGCGCAGCAGAACCAGCAAACCAGCAGATGATAAACATAGAATATCAGACGGGACGGACTCTCTCTATTTTTCATATCAAAATTTGATACTTTTTAGCCAAAAAACCACATGTATACCTTTTTACCAACCGCCAAACGTGTTGTTCGCGGGGGGTGCGCCAGCACCGCCGGCACCGGGCACGCCGCGGGGCGCGCCGCCAGCGGCTCCTCCACGACCACCACGGCCTCCGCCGCGACCGCCGCGCTGGGGGCGGCCGCCACGAGCACCACCACCGGGTCCACCGGGCCCACCGGCCGCACTGGGCTGCCTGGGCTGCTGCTGCCTGTTCTGAGCGCCACCGTCTGGCTTGGGCCCGCGCTGCTGCTGGCCACCACGGCCGCCCTGGCCACCGCCTGGGGCACCGCCCTCGTTGGGGAGCGCGCGCACGACGTTGAGGCCCGGCACGCCCTTGAGACCCATCTTGCCGACGGTCTTCGCCAGGAGGCCCGGGGCGCGCCACTCGCCGCCGTCCGACCTGGTCTGGAGGCAGTACTGCGCATAGTCATTGGCGTGGGCCACGAGCTCGGCCGACGACCACTTGAGGTTGCGCAGGTTCGAGTTGTAGTATCCCAGCCAGGCCTGGTACGCCTGTGCCTTGGACTCCTCGGAGACCTGGGCGAGGGCGCCGGCGAGCGCCTGGTGGACGGCCTGCAGCGACGCGGGGTCGATGGCCGGGTACGCGGCCAGGTCAAAGGTGCGAATGGTCTTGTCGTTCAGGAAGAACTTTTCAAACTCGCCAAGAACGAGCACACCGTGGCCCTGCGCGCCGGCACGGGCGGTACGGCCCAGACGGTGCACGTACTGCTCACCGCTGCTGGGGAGGCCGACCTGGACGACACCCGTCACGCCCTGGACGTCGATACCGCGCGCAGTGACGTCGGACGAGAAGAGCACACCGTTGGGCGACGCGCGGAACTGGTCCGTCGCCTTGGTACGCTTCGACTGCGACATGCGCGAGTGGATCTCCCACACGGGGAACGACGTCTTGAGCGCGGTGAAGATGTCATAGTACAGACCGGCAGCACGCGCCGTGGGGAGGAAGACCATGACTGCAGTGTGTCAGCTAGTTGTGCCTAGGCGATGCGGTAGCCTACTCACCCTTGAAGCCGCCGCGCTCAGCCGCGAGGCTCTCCTCGCGACGCAGGACCTCGACAGTGGTGGCGATGAGGTCGTGGGCAGGCGAGATGGCGACCTCCTGGACAACGTGCTTGTGGGCGTTGATGTCCTCGTCCTTGAGGGTCGAGATGAACTCGTGGTCGGGCGACAGGGCAATCGACGAGATCTGTTTGTGTTAGATGGCACAGTGTCCGCAGGCGACCAGCCAAAAGGTGGAGGTGCGCGGGTTCGGCCAAGACTTACCGAGTGCACCTCGGCGGGGAGAGTGGCCGAGAAGAGGAGGGTCTGGCGGGGGACAGCGGCGCGCTGGGGGAGGGCATCGAGAATCTTGATGAGCTCGCGACGGAAGCCCTGGTCCAGGAGACGGTCCGCCTCGTCGAGGACAAGGGTCGACAGCTGCGCGAAGCGGGGCTTCATGTTGGCGTTCTCGAGCAGGTCAACAAGACGACCAGGGGTGGCGACAAGGACATCGGCACTGTAACACTGTCAGCCATCGCGTGCTCACGTCACAGTTACTCGTTTACTCACCGGCCCGAACGGAGGTTCTTGACATCGGTGGCCATGTTGGTGCCACCGACGACGCACTGCACACCCATGCCAGCCGGGAGGAGCTTCTTGGCCGCATCGGCAATCTGGGAGGCGAGCTCACGGGTGGGCGAGAGGACGAGGATGGAGGTGTGCGGCTGAGCGGGAGCGCGGCCGGCCATCAGGCGCTGGATCGACGGAATGAGGAACGCGAGCGTCTTGCCGGTACCGGTCTTGGCCTGGGCCAGAACATCCTTGTTGGCAATGATGGCAGGGAGAGTAGCAGCTTGCACCTGGGAGGTTAGCCTCTTGTTGAGGGAGAGGTAGGGGGATATGGCTCCAAGTGGACAAACACACTGTCTATCACACCTCGCCTTGCCTCAACTCACTTCCGTGCAGAACTCGAAGGGAATGTTCTTGAGGAGCTCGGGGTTGAGTCCGCTGAACGAGGAGAAGCGCACGTTGGTGCCGGCCGACGCGATCGTGCTGCCAATGGTGTTGGGAGTAGCGGCGCCAGAGGTCATGGCCGAAACAGGAGTCATACGGCCCGGGGTGATCACAGGCGTCTCGGTGGCAGGAGCCTTACGCTTGCGGCCTTGCTGGAAGGCGCGACGCGCACCGCCCATACCGCCGCCGCCTCGAGTCGGGTTGGAAGTCGCCATTTTGTTCAAGACAGTGAGAGAAGCCGCAAATGGTCTTCTAATGGTGTGCAACATACGATCGTTGGCGGTGGAAGGTTTCTGAGGCCCGACGTGCAGATCAATCGATCAAAACAATTTGGTCCCGTAAACAAACGCGATGGGTGATATGACGTCAATGTCCACCCCCAGGTGGTGGCAACGGTTGTTTCAAGGTCCCGTATATCAGGTGCGATGCTTGTGAGCTTAACTGGCCCAAAGGACGGCGAGATACAAAATTCCATGAGCATGTTGTCTGATGGAGCTATGCAGTCGGTCACGGGTCCATTCCTCGTCGGTACCCGCCTGCGCCCTCGATTTTAAGTGATTTTCTCATATTTTTGGTCTCAACTCCGCCCCAGCGCTGATCTCCATTCTCACATGGGTTTTCCAACCCCCCACATGCCTCTGGACTGCTCTTCGGCGAGCAGGAGGACAAAAATGACGTTTGACGGGGTCGAACCGCCGACCTTGTGCGCAACGCTTGACTGACTGACAGTCCTAGTGTTAAGCACACGCTCTAACCAACTGAGCTAAATCGCCTTGATGTTTTTCATTCAGCGCCTATCACTATCAGGTATCGTGGACAATCACTGGTAGTCTCATCTGGTCAAGCAGGCCCTGTTGCCCTACTCTCTCGGTCTTCACATGGCGGGGGGCAGATCCCCTGAACAACCGTCCACGTAGAAGTCAGGGAACAGACGCCAGACCTTGGGCTACTGCACCTGTCCTGACCTGACAGCAAGCTGAGGCCGTCACCTATTTAGCCTCTGCCAGCACGAGTGGCCAGTGGACTGCAGTGGCTCTGTAAACTCGTGGACGGGAGTCGCCCCGCCGCCCATTTTCCTGTCCTATCGTACACGCACGACAGCGACCAGACCCGGCCGTCACCTACGTCTTCTCCCCATTCCTCGCCTATGCTGTCGCCCCCAAACGGCTAGTTTCATGCTCCATTCAAGGTCTCACCCCCCCAAAACGTCGTCGATTCGAATTATTCCGTCTTGTCTTGGGGGCAGGGATCTGGTGAACGGTGCATCGTTGAGGAGGGCGAGATCGTGCCATGGTGCGTCGTTGCAGAATGGAGCTGCTGGCCTTACGTGGTGAGCACTGGCCAGCAACTACTGAGGCAATGGCCGCACTTGATCTCCCGCTCCAAACCCCACTGCATGCAGCTTGTGTTTTGTGAACCGAATCCACCTTTTCTGCTTCGTGACCGAGACATCCGCCCATTCGTCAGATGATGGCCAACGCCGGTCGGCATCCGATCGGTGTTCTAACAATCGTTGGAAAATCCCCCAGCAAGCCACCCGCCACGAAGCTCCATCCGATCTCCGGGGAGCGATTCTGTGGAAATTATCTGTTCGTGACACGGAATGGTGGCGCTCGTCTTTTTCCAAGGATTGCGAGACCGGTTACGACGCGTTTTGGATTCGATTTTGTCAGCCAGTACTTAATCAATTTCCAAGGATGCAGAGGGGATCTGAGCGCATTGGTTGGGGCTGTGGTGGCCTGCAGGGGCTGGATAGCGTCTTGTGACCGTCCACTGAGAGGTGGGCAGGGAGCGGTCGGGTCGCTGCACCAATTACCAATGGGTGATAGCAAGGAAGATCGTCAACAAGACAGAGAGAGAGAGAGAGAGAGAGAGGTCTCTTGCCCCGTCGGTGGTTGCCTGGCCAAAGACTGTCTCGCCTGGGCCCTCACGACTGTGGATTCTGGCTAGCATACAAACAGCAGATAATACAGATATACAAGACCTTTACGTTTATTTACAAGAACAAGTTGCGTCCCAGCGCACTGGCGGCCTCGCGCCATGGCGCAATGCCATGCTCGTACCGTCCCTCGCTGTCGAGGACTTCCCAGCATAGCCGCAGGATCTCCCCGGGCCCTTGGTAGTTTTTCCCAAACGACAGCGCAATCGCATACTGCGCAATGTCCAAGAGACGCTGGCGGGTGTCCACGTCGCGCGTGTAGCATGCCACGATCTGAAGTTCGCGTTAGCACACACACACACATCAAAAACACGAATGTGCGTGTCAATGGACTTACCGTCAGGGGCCACTGGAAGCCTGAGATCCCTGCGGGATCGGCGTCCGCGACAAGCTCGATGACGCGCGCGGTTGCCGAGGTAACGCGGGAGTCAGAGAGGTCGACATTGAGGACCTCGGAGAGCAGCATGATACACAGGGCAGACCGGATGACCTGAAAACACGTCAGCGGTGTCGCCATCGAGACCAGTAAACCTACCTCGTTGCCTCGTTGGATACGCTCCGATTTACCGAGGTCATGCACCGTCTCGTTCCAGTCCCAGTTTTCACCGAGGTCGCCCACCATGCGCTCAGCCTCTGAGCGGAGGAGCTGTCCTGCCAGGCTGTTTTGGGTGCCGGCACGAATCATGGCGGCGCGTTTGACGACCATGGTGTTGACTTTGCCGATGAGGAGGATGACGCGTCGGGAGAAACCGACGAAACGCTCGACCCACTCTGGGCCCTCGGAGGGAAGCTCGAGCGTGGGGGACACGGAGGCTGCGTCCTCAAGTGGAGTGCACGTCAGCTGCACCGTGGCGTACATGGCGATGAGGTCGCGGAGGCTTGGGTAGAAGGACGAGGCAGACGCCAGTGGGAGCTCGAACGCACAGCTGGCGTCGATTGTAAACGCCTTGCCGTCGAGCATGTCCGCCATGCAGCGTGTGAAGAACCCCGCGCTGCCGTCAGTTTGTGGACCCCAGTACCCAAAACTCACAGATACTCCTCCGTCTTCCATTGGCCCTCTGGGCATCGCACTCGCGCACGGAGAATGGCACAGCTGGCCTTCTGGCGGCACTTGGCCGCCTCTGCCTTCCACTGGTACACCTTGACGGGGTCGCACTCGATGTTTCCGCGGTGGACATAGGCCAGGTGCAGGAGGCACATGTGCATCCACTCACGGATGGCGGTCGTGGCAAACCCACTGCCAGACGCAGGGAGGGACAGTGTGGCGAAGATGCGCGGGAACAGTTGCGCGAAGATCCAGTTTTGCTTGGAATTCATCGACGAGACGATCTCGTGGCAGCCCTCAAACTCAAAGTAGGACACGACCTTGCGGTCCATTTCCGTTTGGGAAAGGGACGCCAGAGTGAATGTGCTGAGGAGGCGGTTGATACACGGGTTGGCGAGCGCGTCCACCAGCGACGACGACAAGGTCGGCGGGGACGCTTCGGAGGCGGACGAGACAGACACAGAACACTGGAGGTTCTGGGGAACAAGAGCCAGTTGGTTGGTGTTGTCGAGCGGAAGAATGATGGATGCCGTGTTAGAACCCGTGGACCCCGAGGCCGCCGAAATGTTGGCCCAGTCGAGGAAATCGAGTGGGTCTTCGTTCTTGACATCGCACTCGCCGTCCGCTGCGGATCCACTGGTGGACCCACTGCCGCTCGCCCCCGAACCGGTAGACGCGTCGCTAACACCCCACTGGTCGACGTCCTTTGCCCGCTCCCATGCCTGCTCCCGCCCACGGCCACGCAGGGGGAAGCCTTTGGCCGGGTAGTAGCAAGGACGGTCCGTCTCCCAACACCGGCGACACGCGACCTTGACTCCGTCAGGGCCCACGGGGCCCTCGGGGCACTTTACACGCTGAGTACGGCACTGGCGACAGCCGGTCGTCGTGCGTATGTGCACTTTGCGCTTGCGCGGTGGCTGCGCTGAGGAGGCGACTTCCGGCGACGAAGTCTTCTCCTCTCGTGGCGGTGATGGCACTGCTGGCGGGCGGGGTGCAGTGTACGAATGGAGATGAACGTCCCCCGCGACAAGTGGTGGGCCGCATTTCTGGTCCGGGGGAGACACCGACAGCGACAGCAAGGTGTGGAAGGGCGGTGCTGAAGGGGGGGAAGGGTAGGGAATGGTGAAGGGCAGCTGCTGCTCGACAGCCGCTGGGCCAAATGCGAAAGCAACGTCGGCCGTGCGCTTCAACATGGTGTGAGTGGATGAGGGAAAGGCGTTGGTAGGTGTATCGATGTCGTTTGGGGCTGATGGGGTTGGATCAGAGATGAGATGAAGAGGGAAAGGGGAGCGAGCAAAGAGGCCAGAGGACGAATGGCGAGTCCGTGGTCCGTGATCCCATGGGCTCGGTTATGCAAGGCGACCGCGCGCCACCGCCGCCGCCGCTGGATCTGGATGTCGCCCGCTCGGCCGCGTCGACGTGATAACCCGTGTCTGACTCGCCCAGATTAGACTGAGACATGATTGCTAATGGGAATTGGCCGCGGTTTGTAATACAGAGCACGGGCCCCCATGGGGAACACGTCTACCCCATCGGCATTCCGCCAGATTGGTTAATTTGCCATTCCAACACCGAGCCAGATCCTTGGAAAAAAAAAAAGTGGTTGCCCACCCCCAACCTCGTGTGCGGCCCTGGCCTAAGGTGTCGACTGTGGCTCTCGGCTACTGACAGGAAGCGCTCATAGGCTGCTGCTTGACAATTCTTATCGCATCCTTACTTCCGTATCTACCCATTTACAATATCCTATGTCTCATCGTCGCGTTTCCGTCGGTTAGCAAGAAGAGTGTGGACCCTGACGGCCAACTGGCGGCGAGCTGACGGCCGGCTGGGCTTAAAACAGGACCTCGACGGCCGTGACCAGCTCCGTGGCGTCCACGCCCTGGTGCTCAAGCCAGGCCACAGCCTTGTCGACAAACATCTCCCACCTCTCCTTGTCGCTGGCCGCCTTTTTGTGTAGGAACGCAATCGCACACGCCGTCGCCACGAGGTCGGACTTGTTCTGCGCCGAGTCCACAACACGGGTGGTGAGGCTGTCTGCACGCGCACTCTGGACGTTGAGGACAGCTTCGAGCGTGGGGTTCCAGGACCAGCTGCCCGAGAACGTCTGCAACGAGGCCAGGGCCTGGACAGGGTCGGCGGTGTCGACAACCGCGTCGATGGACATCTTCTTGCTAGGGGCTGACTGGTGGTATGGCTGCTGGTGGTATTGCTGCTGCTGGGGCATCTTGAGGTTTTCTTGGGCATAGTTGGGCGGTGGTGGGGGTGCGCAAGCCGCGAGAGAAGGTGCGGGTGCGGGGCATACGGGTGGCGGGGGTAAAGTGGCTTGCTGCGACAGTGGGGCCGCCGAGAAAGCGGCGATGGGGGCAGCGGTTGGCATCGCATCACCTCCCCTCATCCCACCAAAGGCCATGGGGGCTCTCGAGTCGCGATACAGCACACGCGGCCTCGGGCCACCACCGCCGTACATCGCGGAACGCATAACTGGAGGGCTGGGGGCGGTCGCATACTGCACACCGTCAGTGTTGTACAGTGGGGTGAATGGAGTCCACAGACTTGTGGCAGTCTTGCCTCCATTTAGGTAACTCACCTCGTATGCCGGAGCAACCTCGTCATGGACGACCTTGTCAGAGCCGTCTTGGACGGCCACAAACGACGTCCACTTGCCGACAATCTGGAACGTGGTGCCGAGGTCGACGGCCTCGCGCTCGACAATATCAGAGTACCGACCGTCGTACTTTTTCTTCAGGAGCTCCCCCTTGGCGTCCTTTGCAAACGAGGTCCATCCACGGCCCTCCTCGAGCTCCTTCATCTCCTTGCGGGCAGCGAGCTGGTGGATGGTGACGCCGGCCTCTCCGGCAGTGATGGGGATCTCGAGCTCGAGCGGACCATGGTCGCAGGTACCCTTGAGGAGCACCGACTTTGGTCGAGCGGTCGGCCCCGAGATGAGGACGTAGGCCGTAGTACGGTTGAACGGGAAGAGCGCAGGGATCTCGCCTGGAATGCAGATATAACGGGGGCGGTCGACGCTAGGGATAGCGTCCTTGGCAGGAGCGGCTGTCTTGACGTCGTCTTTAACCTGCTTCAAGCGGTTGAACAGCGAAATGGGAGCCTTCACCTTGGCGGTTGGAGGCGACGATGCCTTGGCGTCCTTGATATCCTCAAGCCCAGTGATGGTGAGCGCGTCGTTGACCTTTTCGATAAGCTCAAAGTCGTCGTCGTCATCGGTGGCCATGTCGGGCGTGTCGTACTTGATCTCGAGGGAGTAGTCGGTAATGTGAGGGAACAGGGCGCCCTTGAGCATGCGGATGACCTTCTTGTCCATCTTATCGCCGTTGTCGACCGTCTGCGCGAAACCTCTACCGGCCCGAGCGACTCCTTCGACGAGCGAAGTCGAGGCACCGAGACCAATGCCGATGGAGAAGACACGGATTGCGCCCTTGCTCTCCCCGACGTTCTTGTTGATGAGCTCAAACAGCTGGTCTTGACCCCAGATCTCGCCGTCGGTGAGCAGGAAGACTTCGAGGTTCATGTCCTTGTAGCGGCGTTTAAAGGTGTCCTCCATGGCCCCGTACATTTCCGTCCCGCCATAGTTGGCCGCAAACGATTTAACGTGGGCGACTGCTTCATCGAGTGATTCTTGAGAGTAGGACTTTGATCGCTCCCAGAGGAAAGAGTGTGTGCTGCCAAAACTGCAAATATTGAACTTGATGCCAACAGGGAGTGATTTGAGGAAGATGTTGAGTGCGGCGACAAGGTCCGGAATGGTTCCGCTCATGCTGCCGCTACGGTCGCAGACAAAGACGATCTCGGGGCGCTCGGGCGGGAGGTCAAACTTGGGAACCAGCGTGACCATGAGAGCCTTGGAGTCGAGGGTCGGATGGGTTTCAACAACTGCCGAGGGCTCTCCGATGTTGGAGGCGACCACCTGGACAATGAAGTCCTTGTCAAGAGTCGCCGAACCGAGCGACAAGGTCGCGGACGCCTTGCGGAGGGAAGGGTCGGCATCAGGTGTGGTAGAGGTCGTACCGATAGAGACAGTGAGCGGGTGCGAGGGCGACTGGATTGATTTGATGGCATTGCCTTCTGGCATGTCCACATCGACCGTCACCTCGAGCTTGCCATGAGTGACAGAGGCAGGTTGGAGGCTGCCGGCATCGCCATACCGCGGTACGACAGCGGCGGGGATAGTGAACCTCAGGCCGTCCACCTCGGCATCGTGCTTGAGTTCTCCAATGTATTCGATCTCCACCCGGACGTGCTCGCCGGCGGGTACGTTTCCAATGGCGGTTGTGAAGACGTCGGCAGCAGCGAGCGACATCTCGAGAAGGCCAGCGGTCTCTCCGCGATCGACTGCGTCCTGATACGTCTTCTTGGCCTGGCCGCGTTCTTTGACAACACCGTGCACAGTACGACCGGCGACAGTGAACTGGAACTTGACAACTGAGACGCCGTCGTAGAGGGGGAACACGTAGCGCGCCTCCTTGATCGCGTCCTTGGTGTCATTGACAAAGCGTTGGGTCAACCTAGTTCGTGAGGTAGAGGCAAAGATCGTCGTGTGTGCGGCCACGTCGACGAGCGGGAGGGGTTTGGGGACGGCGCTTTGCCAGGGAGGCTGGGTCGGGTCGTGGATGACCCAGAAACAACCGCACTTGGTCAATGAGCTGTAGTTCATGTTGACGCTGGATGTGGAGGGTGCGAGCTTGGTTGCTGTGCTTGGTGTGCTTGGATGTGTTGAGGGATTGTAGGATGGAATGGGAAAAGCAGAGACGAGGATGCGTCTGGGACCCGGCTTTTATAGACACGTTTGAAGCGGTGCTGGGCGAAGCTGGGCGCTGACAGTGTGTCTGTGTGAGTGGCGGTGATCGGGCGTGCATTTGGCGGCGCAACGGGGGGAACGAGATCTGGGTGGCAAACTATTTGCGGGGACCCCGCGTTCTGCTAATCAGCTCAGGGACCATTTGGACGCGACTTTCTTTTGCCTTTTTGGTGCTGCCCACAGCCGTCTCCGTACGCAGGTGGAGGGAGACACCAGGTCTGTCATAAGGTAACGATCACATCAAAGGTGCCCACAGCCTGCTCAATCTACGAGGTGTGCCATGTTTGGTCGTTGGCAAGTAGCATGTGTCAATGGGCCCCAAGCTGATCGCTGAGTGGAACGCTGGCCGGCCTGGGAAACGTGGGCCGGCTAACAAGAGAACGGTCATGTGAGCAACTTTTGGGGTGCTTGATGTATGACACTTCGCAAGCGTTCAAGAAAATGACTTGCGAGTCGCTTTGTTCCAGACTAGTCACACTGTCTTCCAGCAAACCATTATACTCTGGTGTATTGGTGTGGATTCCTACTCCAATGATAGACAGCTGCTCCGTCGAGAACCGGGGAGAAATCGAGTCAGTGCCAACGGACCCGGAATACTCAAGCATTGCCGTGCCGAAACGTCCTGTACCAACCACCAGTAGCATACAGGCTACAGGCAGAGAGAGGCCTCCAGGCCACAGACCACATACAGGATTATGTCGTTTGGACCTGACGGCTGACGACATGCTGAGATCGTTAAGCCTCCTAAGATGGTCGCGGACACTGCGAAGCCGCCCAAGATGGACATCGCGGCATGGACGTCTGTGGAACACGTGAAGGGGCCAAAGAAGGACGCCGCTGACATCATGGAGCCGCCCAAGGCGGACAAGCTCGTGAAGGCTCCCAAGATGGACACGTTGGACATCTGGAAACGCGACAAGCGTGTTCCTAAACAAATGCTCACGGAACGTTGAGCTGGTGGGGGGGAGGCCAGCTTCAGAAGGGCCGTCCATGTAGTCGGAGAGAATGTTTCTTATCGTGTTCCATTAACGGAAGACTGGCTTGCAGCACTTATCCTTGAAATTAACACAAGGTATTGTACCACATGTTACAGCAGTATACGTAAGTAAACCGTTGTAAGTGCTCTTCAGGATACCGCCGAGTCATGAGCCAAGGCAGACATGCGGAAAAGGTGCCGTCACGCACAAACCTAGCACCTTTAGCATGGTCATTCCGCAATACTGGGTAGACCAGCAGTGTGTTCATCCGCAACCGCTGGGTTTTGCTCACTTGGCCGAAGGTGTGACGCGATAACCACTCGCTGCCGATCCATTCTAGCGGATGTCGCGGTCAAACAACAGCTGCGTTGGGCCTCTTGCCGCCGGAAAGTCTCGCAGTCGCCGGTTCAAGTCGGTGGCTATGGCCAGATGGAATCAGACCCTCCTTCTGCCCGCCTCCGCCATCTACTCGCACTCACTTCAGGAAAAACTCGGACGCGACCGTCCGTTGTGGAGATGTGTGGTGTTTGGTCTGCCAGACGTGAAACACCAACGGGGGATGTTCTAGCCATTCCTGTGAACAATTGAGGCAGGGGGGGCACCGAGTCTGTTTACTGTCTCCCCCAGTGATCAAGTGAACTTGTCAAACGCGACGCCTGTAGCATGTGAGCGCCCATTGAGGACAAGCACGACAGGACACGGTCCCTGCATGAAACATAACACTGCGTACAAAAGCTACGGGTAGGACTCCTGGTCCTCGCGCATCGAGCGCGGTGCGCGTAGTGGGGAAAGTGAGGCGGAAGGATGCCTCTATGGGGAGAGCAAGGCTATGACAGTGGCGGGACGTAAGAAGGGCAGGTGGCAGCCAAACCCCAGCATCGTCGCCGGTCCCACGTCCATTCGCGTGGGCCCGACGCTTAGCTGCCAACGAATTTGCCCACGTTCTCGCCGAACGCGCCCAACATGTTGCCCGCAACGAAGTGCTTGCAGGTAAAGTATACCATCGAGTGCATGGCGTCACCAAGGTCGCCCTTGGTGGGGTCGCAGTCGACGTTCCAGGAGCAACCGATCTGGGTGGTGCCCTTCCAGACCATCTCGGTGAAGTGCGAGTACGCGTTGGCAGCGGGATTGTCAAAGGGGTAGTCCTTCCACTCGCTGGCCCAGCCGTCGAGGTTGCCTGAGACTGCAAAGTCGGGGGCAGTGCCGCTTGCCCACATCCACGCGAGGTTGTCATCGCCTTGGTGGGACATGTTGCATGCCTTGGTGTGGTCGGCCGAATCCTGGGCGAGCGTGGCGTTCCAAACGACCTCGCCCGCACCAAACTCCTTGCGCCACTGGTTGTAGTAACTGACAACCCACTTGCTGGCGTCCGAAGTTCCGGCAATGTCCTCGGCAGAGGGGTTGGCTGTGATCTTGTTGTTCTGGGAGTCGACAGGGAGGGTCGGCGAGCCAGACGCGCCGCCTGAGGCAGCGCCAGTCGAGGCGGCGGCGTCAGTGGACACGGCGGTAGATTGAATGTCCGCAGTGGCCTGCTGGCCATAGCCATCTGTGGGATTGGCAACGTAGGTCTCCACAACGGGAGGAGAGTCGTTCGCCAACGTCACGGCTGGCGAGCCGGCGGCATCAGTCGGAGTGGGGACTGTGTCTGTCGAATCCGACATGGGCGTGGTCGAGCCACCGGCCGCAGAGGAGCCGACAACAGGCGTCGGTACGGGAGCGTTGCCTCCCTTGGAGGGGGTGTGGTGCTTGGAGCCCTTGGAGCCACACGAACCGTGGCCGTGGTGTGCAGAACCGTTGGTGGGGACAGGAGCTACCGCACCAGCATCCGCAACGCCGGTTCCGTTTGCTGTGGCCGCGGCTGCTGCAGCAGTGTCCGCGGCATCAGCCAACGACGGTTCGGCGGCGACCCAAGTGGCGCCGCTGCTAACTGCGTCGCCCATAAAGTTGCCGTACTGCGGGAGGGCTGCAGCCGGAGCCGCCAGGGCTCCGATAATGGTGAAGATTGTTGCAATCTTCATTGTAAAGGTCGAAATCAAAAGAATGTGGGTGTGGTCGGAAAGCGCAAAGAGAACGGTGGCAGACCAGTCTGCTACAGCTGCGGGTAGATTGGGTACAAGTTGGATAATGAAGAGTCGTCCTCCGAGAAGCTCTCCAAGCCGCTCTTTTAACCACAGCGAGCTTTTCGCATGCTGTACTTCTAACAGATCACGGAGGTACCACAACCCCTTCACACTGGAACTTGGCCCCTCCTGTCTGTAGACTTTGAGGGTGGTGACATAACAGATGAACGTCTGGAGCATGCGGTTTGATGTGGATTCTTCGCCGTCTCAGGGATTTGTGCGCATGATGGAAGAGCCGACCCCAGTGCCGCGTTTCGCCCAAGACGCGTCTTGCGTACGCGTCTTGCGTACGCGTCTTGCGTACGCGTCTTGCGTACGCGTCTTGCGTACGCGTCACAGTCGTTCATCTCTCGTCCATTGCGGTTGATGGCCTACGTCAAACGGAATGCAAAGCAGTCGTTGCAGGTTCCAAACCTGGCCAGACTCTGCAGATCGCTGTGCATTCCGTGCGTGTCCCTTACAGTACCGATGTTGTCAGCGTCCAGACCCCGTTCTCTCCTCAGGATTGTCGTCAGTTGGGACAGCATATACCGACCTTGCTTGGTCTGATGGGACGTAGAACTGGGCTGAATTAGGCCTGGCCGGGCATAGTCATTGGCAGGTGCAGGGCGCAACACGAGACACCGCAGACCCGGGGGGTTGCCTCAAACGTGGCAGCAGCTCTCAAGATTTTGCCTTCACAATACGAGACATTTGGCCAACAAGCCTGCAAACACGAGCCTCATGCACCAAAGCATCCTGTTGCACCCATCACAGAGTGACAGACAGGGGACGGTAATCGACATGGTATGGTTATGCAGCTTTAGGCCTGCCCCAATGTCCGTACTCCGCCGCTGAGACTCCGTAGCCCCGACACTCGTGAGGTCTCGCTCGGTGGCACGGCGACTGGTCGCTGATGTCGATGACACAGCATATCACTTCCGATCCGTGTCACCGCCTTTCCCAAGCAGCTCAGCTCGCCCCCGTCGGACAGTGGCCAGTGGGGCCTGTTGGCCGAGCGGTTGAGCAGAAAGAACGACCGGCGGCAAAAACGCGAGAAACGCGTCTGAAACGCACCTGTCCCAACGGAAGCTACCAGAGATCGGAGAGCTCAACACGACTCCATCCTTTCCTTTTCAGGCGTCTTGCCGTCGCCCGACGATGCAGTCGTTGTTTAACTGGTGACGTTTTCCAACAGGAGATGTGCGTCTTTGGGTTATGGCAAGAAGACGACATGCTCGAAAGAGGTCTTAACATAGAAAAGGAGACGTCCCCCTCCGGCGTCTGACGAAAACTGCGCCGCGTTCCGTCGCGATCGTTGAACTGGGGGTTGAGTCAGTTTGTGTATCCATGCTGTCTCAAGAGTGTCTCTCACCACTGCCATAACACCACTCCGTCGGCGGGCGCGGGCCTTCACGGTATTGCATGGGCCATGTATCTGATCATCCGACCCAGGAGTCGCACACTGGCAGTTGTGGCGAAGGGTTGGCGCACTTGGTGCGGGTTGTCTCATAGGCCAGCGACGCTGGCCTATTCCACCAACGAGCTTTGGCACCTAAAGCGAACATTGGGCGACAATCTGATCCTGATTGTGTGATGAGCAGCCTAGTGAGCATTCATAGTGCGGATCGGGCACCAAGCAGCCAGCGAGGACTGAATGTGTTGCTTGGACGAGGCCTCAAGTCCATTCATCGATTCCCTTGGTGAGCGCGATATTGAAGGACATTTGTGGTTCCGGGCCCATCGAGTTGTTTGTCTCCACTCACCAGTATGAACTGCGGCCTCTTGTTTTTCAGAACCGGCGACGGTAATCGCACAAGCTCCTCTCTCTCTCTCTGCATGGAACAGGTAAGCGACGTAGCTGGCCTGTTGACGGCTGAACCGGGTATCCCCACCGGATGTCCAAGCGTGGTGTGTTCCCACTTGCAACTTGGCCCCTCCCATACCTGGACAACCTCCCGCTGCCCGCATTGCGGGTCATCTTACTGGAAGTCGCATAAGGGTCCTCGATCCCAACCACATAGACTGCCCATCCTCCAGGGCCCGGACGCGTCTGTCAGTAGAACCACCCCTTCTTTGTTCTCGTTATCGGCTGCGCACCGGAGCCTTCTCGTGTCCCTCATGTTTCGCTTGTTCGGACAAGCCATAAGATATCATTTACATCCGAGGCTCCGTCTACAGTTGATCAATCAGTTCTTGTCCCCCTTCGTGACGGGAGAGGCACCCTCACCCACCATGACAACGGTGGCGGGTTAATCAACGCCCGCCCTGACAACAAGGATAAGTCTGCTTGGCGGGGATTACCACCCACCACCCTCTGGTACGACGGTCACGGCGAGACTCGCGGCCTCGCGCGGGCCAGCGCTTCGCGTGGCATGTTGATTTCTTATGGGCTTCCTAGTGATGCGGGACAGGAACGTTGCATCAAACCAGCTTTTATTGAACCACCACGCTGCACGCCAACAACGAGCGGCGCAACCTAACGCCCTGCGTCATGCTCATCAGTCGATAAACATGGATGGAAGGGCGGGTGTATCCATGGGACGGCGAGAAGGCGGTCGACGAGGTGATTCAGAGACAGTTCTACACCTCGCACATGTTTCAATAAGTTGCTGGACGGACGCACGGCACCCAGAACTCAAAGACCTTGTTAACCATGCTGGCTTTTTTTTTCAGTCGAAAGGGTAGCCCACGGGCCACGACATCCGGTTAGCATGTGATTTACATACAGCTCCGGACAACGCTCAGATCTTGAGATCTTCGTACCGCGGCTTGGATGTTTAGCTCAGGTGCACGGGCTCCAATGCTTTCCCGAATCCCGAACGGCGTCGGCACGCAACCTCCGCCAGGGCACACTGCTCGACGCGATCCTTCGTTCCTCGCCATCGCGTCATGCCGTATAGCACTTGCGGAACTGATTCCATGTGGCAACCCTCTGCTCCTATATGCACCAACAGCTGAAATACTACTGAAACTACCATCAGGCCCCGGGTTGCGCTGGACGTTCCAGTATGATACTAAAGAGCCAGATGCCGGCATTCGCTGACACGTTGGAGCGATCTGAGTGGCTCCCTGACCAGTGGAAGCGATGTCACACAAATGAATAATCCATATGGGTTGGGCTGTTGTACGAGACACGCTGTCTCTATGCTACTAGCTCTGAGAAGAGCACCCACACAGGAGAAGCGCAGTATCAGAACGGTGCTCGTGACCAGGTGTCTGTATATGCACGCCATTAAGCGAAGACAAGGTTAGTCGGGTAAGGCACTGTGGCCGTGGTTTTGGTGTTTTCCGCCAAGCGTGACATGGAGCACACCATACAATGCGCCTCATAGGCCGTTTGGGGGTATGTGTGAACACCTTTTCAGACATATATAAACCTCTCTCTTGTCCGCTTCCATGCCCTCCCATCTAACCATCCTTCTCCTTCCTGACAACCCGACGACACTCCTTCTTTCCGACACACTTTTAGTTTGAACAATGAAGTTCGCCTCCTTTGCCGTGGCGGCCACTCTCGCGTCGACCGTCTCGGCGTTCCCTTGGATGGCTGCCGAGCACAACCAACAGCGCCGCGGTATTGCTGCCAACGGTCTGTTTGATAACGCCCAAGTCAACAAGCTTGTCGGCATCGTGAAGAACATGGACCCCGCCAAGCTCTCCAACCTCACGACTCAGCTCAAGGCCGGTATGGACCAGGTCAACGCGCAGATCAAGGCAGCCGGTGTGGAGATCCCCTCGGGCAAGCTTCTCGACAAGGACTGGTCCAGTATCACCCAGCAAGACATTGAGCAGGCTTATGGCCTCCGCCAGGGCAACGCCACAAAGCGAGGTTTGGCCCTCTGGGGTCTTGCTGAAGACGACAAGCACCCCTGGTACGCACCCCGTCCAGGTGACCTCCGTGGTCCCTGCCCCGGTCTCAACACGGCCGCCAACCACGGATACCTTCCTCGCTCGGGTGTAGTTAACCCTCTTGAACTCTTTATCGGCACGTGGGAGGCTCTCTCCCTCTCCCCCGATTTGTGCGCCGTCCTTGCAGCGCTTTCTTTCCTCTTCAAGGGTGACCTCACCACCTTGACTCTTTCGATCGGCACCAAACACGGTCTTGGTTCCGGTCTTGCCGACCACGGCGTTCTCGAGGGCGATGCTTCAGTCACTCGTGATGACCACTACTTTGGAAACGACTATGACGCTGTTCCCAGCAAGGTTGCGCTCCTCCAGCGCGAGATTGACCAGTATGGAAACGGCGAGGTGACTCCCTGGTCGCTCGCCCACTCCCGCAAGCGTGCCTTTGACGACTCGAAGAAGCACAACCCCAACTTTGACTTTAACCCTTGGCGCATGATCGTCGCCTACGCGTGGGTCTCTCAGTGGAAATACCAATACTAACCAAAACAGCGAGTCTGGCTTTGTCATGGAGGCGCTCCGCGGCGACTCGCTCACCTTCAACAACGAGCAGATCGACTGGTGGTTCAACAAGGAGCGCTTCCCTCCCGGATGGAGCCGTCGCGCCGTCCCCATCACCATCCCCGAGCTCCTTTCCTGGGCTGCCCTCATCGAGGCCCTCGACCCCACTATCCCCGGCTGGTCCATCTTCGGCGTCTACACCGGCGACATTACCACGTGGTTCAACATCGCCGGATGGTTCACTTCGCAGACCGGCGCCGAGTCCACCATTGCGGGTGTTGGCTGCTCTATCAGCAGCATCTTCCTTGGATGGTTCCCCACCATGATCTCGAACCTCTTCGTGGAGCTCGGCCTCCCATACATTAACGGCCTTGGCTGCTAAACCATTCACGAGCTGCAGCCTCTGGAATGCGTTTAAACTGAATATTTTCTCTCATTCTGTTGAATTACCGAACCACCTCCCAACGCGGTTCGGTTTTGCCTGGCAACAGGACAATGAAGCACGAATGAAACCTTTATTTTTTGCCCATGTTGCTCAGCTGTCACAATATCGTTGACGGCTTCGGTTCCCTCAGGTGTAGTGCCCTAGAGGCCCACGAATAGCCTGTTAATGCCACCACCGTCAGTTCTCGTGGGGTCAGAGATTCATGAGTACGAACAATGCTTCGGCGCGCCAAAGTTGTGTGCGTTTTGAGTGCCTTAATAAAACAGGGTATGGTGATGCCTTTCGGGACGGGACGTGAAACGTTTTGTATATGCCGATGACACAGACAGGCGGGGCGGGACGTACTGATGGTATTGCACGAGGGGATGTGCTGATGCGTGCTTTTCCGTCCTTGTCAAAGCCACGACACGGCAGTGAATGAAACCGATTTGCAGCCCAATTTATAATGCTCGTGCTGATAAAAGGTTGACGAAGCAGCCAGAAGAACTCGCCTCTTGAAACAATCCCCTCAAATCATGACATAGCACACACATGTAATCCCCCAAGTCCCGGCCACGACACATCCTACATCCTACATATAATCTCGGCTTCCTCCCATTTTTCTCCCTCTTTCACTCTGAAACGTACACCTTAGACCTTGGTGTCATCGATTGCCTGGGGCCGGCTCCTGTTAAGGTCCATGCGGACGTGGTCGGTGAAGTGCTCGCTGACGTCCTCCACAAAGTAGGCAGCGATGATGCCCGGGATACCAAAGCCAAGGGTTGCGAGGTAGACGGCCTTGAAGCACTGGGCGTAGCCCTGGTTCATGCCTTCAACAGCTGAGGCGAGGATCGTCGTCGTCATGCCGGGAAGTGCGGCGGCAGCGGTAGTGTTGGAGTCCATGAGGAGGCCGATGAGAGATGCCACTGTCTCGGACGAGAGGCCATCGTCGGCGACTGCGGCTGCAATGCCGGCAGGAACCTTGGTGGGCACGCGCGCGCCGAAGATCGTGAGGTAGATGCTCACTAAAGGTCAGTTTCAGGTTTATCAATCGCGAGGACCCACCAGCAACGGTACCGCCCAGACTGCGGCTGGCACCAGAGAGACCGGTCGCAATGCCAATGTCCTTGCCGTGTTGCGAGAACTGAACCGAGAGGAAGGAGAGGTTGACAATGATGTGGAACGGGAGATTCGCAATGACCTGGCAAGCGATGGCGCCAACCTTGGTGTGAGAGGTAAGGGCCGCCATGCACGCGACGGCCGTGACCATCACAGTCATCCAGAAGAGCATTTGGCGGTTTGTTGGGCCGAGCTTGGGGATAAAAGGGCCAATGAGGCAGCCGCCAGCGAACACGGCGCATCCCGCAGGGAGACCAAGAAGGCCGACACCGACGAGCGAATCGGTGTACCAGAGGGCACTCTGAATTGGCCACAGGGCAATCATGGAGAAGAACACCGTGCCGGCGACAAAGTGGCAAACGATGGGGAGAGTGAAGGAGCGGGTCTTGCCCTTGAACAGGTGGGGAGGAACGAGTCCGTCATCGCCCATACGCCACTCCCAAGCACAAAAGAGAAGAAGGGTGACGAGGCCAATAACGATGGGGAGGTAGACGTGAATGTTGTTGCCAGGGTATGTTCCGCCGGCCCAGATTACTCCCATCAAGAAAACGGACAGACCTCCACTGAAGAGAGCCATGCCAATAAAATCAAGAGAGGCGAACTGCTGGGCTCGAGTCTTGCCATCTTCCGGAAGGGGAGCAGGAGGACGGTAGAACAGAAGGCAGAGGACAAGGCCGACGCCGCACAAGATCAATCCCAGGCGAAACACCCATTTGTACGTGGTGTGCGCGATGATCATATGCGAGAAGGTGGAGCCAGCGAGATATCCCTGCCGAGTCAGAACAGCACGCAACTCCTTACTGAGGTGAACTTACCGTTGGGGCGATACCCATTTCCAAAAAGGCAATCGCCAACGGGCGGTACTTGTTGGGAACGATCTCACACGCAGCGGCAGTCGCTGTTTGCGCGAGACCGCCAGCTGCGCCAAGGAGAACGATTCCTCCAATGAGCACCTGATATAAGTCAGCACATGCGGGCTGTCGGGGCAAGTTGCCTACCGGGAATGTTGGCGCCCAAGCGCACATGGCGAAGCCCCCCATAGCGAGAACGTTGGAGAACGTGATAATCGCTCCCCTGCCAAAGATGTCGCTCAATCGCCCAGAGATTACGAATGCGACGCAAGTCGACATGAGCCAGCCGGATGAAATCCAGCCTTGAACGGAGGTGGCATCGAACTCAGCGGCAATTTCGGATAGCTGACAATCAGTGATCGGCACACGTTTGTTATGATGTTGAAAGGTTGTGAGACGACGTACAATAGAGGGGGTCATATTGCTACCAACTCCTAATTGACTCCCAAAGGTCAACGTCCTGTGAGTCGTTAGCCCAGCCCTGCAATTCCTGGGGTTACATACAGGGCGATGAGAGCCATAATGGTCTTGGGCCGCAAGGCTTTGCCGTTGTCCTCATCAAAGTCTAACTCATGGTGGCCGTCCTCGAGGTGCTCAACTGCACCGTCTTCCTTCTCTTCGTACACTGAGGGTGGTGACATGGAGCTGGGTGGTGCAATGGAGGTGAGTCGCTAGGATGTCGCCCAAGTTGTCGCTCAGGTGAGTAAAGCGACTACCTCTCGGTGGGTGACTAGTTATAGGACAGTGCGCGCCCCACACTCGGTAGATGGGTCCCCGAGGGGATCCCCAAGCTCTCCACCGGGGCTGTGTGGCGCATTGCCGCCGGTACAGCAGGTTATTGCTACTGCTGACTGGTCGTCCAGGCCGCGTTGGCTACAGCGCACCTTGGAAGCTTACGGGGACTGTGGGCGCCTCGTGACTCAAATGCCAACGGGGCGTTGTGGGGATTCAGTATTCCTACCGTGGAGCACTGAGACCCCCAGTTCGTCGGTGATACCCGTGAAGGTATTTGTCTTTTGACAGCCCTGCGTGGAGATGAGTGACCACGTCGAGTAATGTGGGCAACAACGATTGTCTCCACAATCCTGACGGCGTCGCGGCGTTCAGGCGCTGTCACGTGACCTGATGCACATTGTTGCATTGTCGGCAGTCATACATCGTGCGGCGATCTTTCATGTATGTGAGGCGGCATTTACATCCAATAAGTCCATGCGGGTTATCCGTATGGTTCGTGTTCATAATGGGGGTGGTTATGGGCTATTGTTTTGTTCGTTACCAAATATCACGATGGTCATTGCAGAGCCCGTTCCAGACTGCCCCACATTGAGCTTCTCCACGCTCCGCGGTGACTATGTGGGGCTGTCAATACACCCGTTGCTTGTCCGGTGGCATAGCGCACATCTACACACCCATCTCTTACCCATCTCCGGCTAGGCCAAGTGTAGGGCTAAGCAGGGCAATAAAGGCCTGTGGTCTCCGCAATGGGAGGCGCCACAAAATGGGGGGAGACAAATACAGCAAGCCCATAATATAGCAGGCCCCTCATGGACTGCAATAAGGTCGGAGAGCAGCACCCGCCAATCACCAGGATTGAATCCATAGCAATCCATGTTGTGTATGCCATGCGATGCCACATGTATGGGTCTGCTGTACATTACACCTTGTGCACCTTCTCTCCCAGACGGAACATGCACCAGGCCACGCCAACGCTGGGTCCGGAAACGCACCACTCCTCGGCATGAGATTCCGCGATTCCGAAGGTGGGGACACACTTCCCCACCGTTGCCCTTCCCCGCATCGGCCTCTCCACAGCTTAGGCTGCCCCAGATAGTGGGGCGGGGAACACTCGGTACCCCAGCGGTGACCGCTGAGTGCAAGCAGTGTTACTGGACGTAGCCGGCGCAGCATGTATGTTTAAGAAGAGCCGCTGCTTTGAAGTGGAACTCGTACCCACTTACTTCCCACATCCTTCTGAACATGGCTCCTGCTCGCACACTTCCTCCTCCAGTTCTCATTGTTGGCACCGGTCCGGTCGGCCTCTTCCAGGCGTATGCCCTGGCCAAACTCGACGGTATGTTATATCCTCCCCGAGAAGGTGCGAGCACTCACGTCAGTCCCATCTATTATCATCGGACGTCACAAGGAGCGCCTGGGTGCACCCAAAGCACATGCGCTCAGCCCCCGCTCGCTTGAGATCTGCCGCCAGTTTGGCATCTCAGTGGACGAGATCCGCAAGCACCCCGCTTTCCGCGAGGACGCCAAGTGGGTGCGCTTCTGCACCAACCTGAGCGGTCAGGCGGTGGGCCATCTCCCCTACGAACGCATGTCGCTTGATGTCCTTGACGTGTCCCCCGAGATGCTGCACAACATTGCGCAACCCGACTTCGAGGACATGGTCGACAAGCTCATCGAGAAGGAGCCCCACGTCGACGTCCGCAAGGGCTGGACCTGGATGTCCTGCACTGAGTCGACCCGCGACGGTCAGCCTATCGTTGTCTCGGTTGTACAAAACACGTACACTGGCGAGACCACCACAATCGAGTCGAGTGTTCTCATCGGCTGTGACGGTGCCAACTCACGTGTGCGCAAGAACGTCGGCATCGAGTCCGAGGGCGAGGAGACTGGTAAGTGGACAAGAATGACATAGGGTGGAAACTGACTGTTCAGCTGAGACCATGATGACCATCCACTTTAGCGCCGACTTGCGACCTGTGGTTAAGGAGAATGTCGGCATGCTGCACTGGATCATGGACCCCGAGGCTCGTGGGTTTATCATTGCCTACGACCTGAGCGGCAACCAGGTCCTCATCCACAACTTTGACGTGAGCGAAACCGGAACAATGCCAATCTAACTTTGCCCCAGTCCAACTACCACCCGCTCGAGTCCTTTACCGATGAGAAGTGTCTCAAGATTGTCAAGGCTGCCATCGGTGACGATGCGGTGCCTGTCAAGCTGCACAGCACACTTCCGTGGATTCTTCGCCGCCAGGTCGCCAACGAGTACTACCGCGGTCGCGTGATGCTCGCCGGTGACTCCGCCCACTCGTTCCCTCCCACCGGTGGTCTTGGACTCAACTCGGGTCTCGGCGGTGAGTCTTTTCGCACCCGGGCAGCGCTGACAACTAGACGCCCACAACCTCGCCTTCAAGATTGCTGCCGTCCACCATGGCTGGGCCAGCCTCCCGACCGTTCTCGCCTCGTATGACGAGGAGCGTCGGCCAGTGGCACTCCGCAACTCGACCCAGAGTGTCATCAACGGCGTGAAGATCTTCGCCCTACTGAAGGCGCTCAAGAACACGGGCCCTGACCCTGTCGTGGCTCGTCGCGAGATGATGGAGGCGCTGGCAAACCCCGAGCAGGCTGCTCTCATTTCCAAGCTCATCGAGGGACAGGTCGAACACTTTGACAACGTGAGTTTTCTGCCGTGTCCGCAAAGTGGCAGCGCTGACGCCTCTCGTTCAGCTGATGCTCCACATTGGGTACGTGTACGAACCCAACTGGAACCCCGCCAATGCCACCGACTTTGTGCCAGCATACCGCAAGGGAGCTCGCCTCGCGCACGCATGGATCAAGCCGGCGACCAACTGTGTCGAGAGCCTCCCAGAGGTCGACCTGTCATACCTTGCTGGCGACCTTGCCGAGGACAAGGTTGCCCAGTGGAACTACAGCACGCTGGACCTGGTTCCCGCTGCGTCTTACGCACTCCTGTACGCCAAGGACACCGCATGGGCAAGCAAGGCTGCCGACCTCAAGGCCCAGCTGGCGGCGCGCCATATCCCTGTGGTTCTCGTCGAGCACGGCGTGGACTTTGAGTTTGTGGACGCCGCTGCTGGCCAGGCATGGCTCGACGGGTTTGGCCTGGACAAGGGCAATGCCATCCTCGTCCGTCCAGACCAGCACATTGCGGTTGTCACCGACGCCGCTCAGCCTGTCGACGAGCTTGTTAAGGAGGCCCTCGCTACCCTCCAGGTCTGATACAAGTATAAGGGGAAGACGTCGTAACGCCGCTGGAAAGGCCAACGACCGATGTCGACGAGGTCCGTGTTGTATTTGAAAGCTTTGTTTGCATGCAGTCAATGTCGCGGCATACGTCGCTTCCAACTGCGACAGGATATGCCAGCTGGTAGACTGCACAGCTCAGCTGGCGGGACAGATGCTGCGCTGGCTTTGGCCGTAGACTGAAATCGAGCTGTGTTAGCACTTATGTCCGTGCTCATAGACTGCAGTGCAGCGGTGAAGGCCAGTCAAGTGAGCACCCCTGCGACCACCCAATTTCTGACCGAAGTCTGGCTGTGAGGTAGAGCGCGGGCATGCTTGTGCTGCTCCTCACCCTGAGCGTTTGAGTGGACGCAGGGGCGGACAATACATGGGAGTCCAACTTAGGCTAGGAAGCAGGGCAATAACAATGGATGAACAGCTCGGTTGTCCACTCGCCCTCAACTTCCACCCCTTTTCAAGACGCCGTGACATTGATATAGCCCAGTCAGTAGAGAGGTTACGTGAATGCATAGAAGGTTGACAGGGTTCGTGTCCCAGTGCATCACCGGGCCCTCAGAAGAGTGACCAACTGTCACTGAGAATTGCTGGAGGAGTGTACCGGGTGGAAACGGATCGGACAAACCACGCGGCCACGGGGGCGACCACGCAAAGTATGGAAGCGTCATGAGGCCGGTGTGTTCCGTCAGCCATAGCGTACCCCCATGGGCCAAGATTCCAGCAACATTCGGTTACAAGTTAGAGGATGAGCGCCGCAGGAAGTGTCATGCTTGAAGGTCTGTGCGTAAAAACAATGCGCAGCTCACCGCTCCGCCGACAAGTAATAACACCGACGAAGAACGTTATAAGACTACGAGTTCCATCCTGGTCATGTCTGCCCTACGCTGTCGTTCACCGTCTCTAGCTAGTGCTGTCCTAAACCAACAATGCCCGCCTACCAGCAACCTCTCCCAGTGCTCATCGTCGGTAACGGTCCCGTTGGTCTGCTTCTGGCCTACGCATTGCTAAAGCAGGATGGTACGTACATGGCAAATGGCTGGCGCTGACCACTCTAGTTCCCGTCATCGTGGTCACCCGTCACCTCCGTCGCCTCGGTGTGCCAAAGGCACACGCTCTGTCGCCACGCTCGCTCGAAGTTGTGCGCCAGCTCGGTCTACCCAAAACTGCCAGCCCATCGCCGCGACTCCATGTACGTCCGTTTCGTCACCAACCTCGCTGGCCAGCAAGTTGGCGCACTGCCCTATGAGCGTATGACGCTCGACGTGCTCGAAGCTAGTCCAGAGGTACGTCTATTGTTCTTCCCCGGTCCACGGTACCCGGCGTCTAGGAGCTGCACACTGCTCCTGAGCTCTGAAGGGCCGACGTCAGCTTGTCCAGGAATGTCGCCGCTGGTCGTGTCGTCTTTGTCGTGGCTGACCCCATTGCAGATGGTTCACAACGTCGCGCAGCCGGACCTTGAGTGCATCATCGAGTGCATGATGGAGCGCGATTTCAACGTCGACTATCGCAAGGGCTGGACATGGATCTCTCATGAAGAGGTACGCTTTGAAAAACAGTGGCCAGCGCGGAGGTCGCCGCCAAAGGGGAGGGGCTGACGCCACCACGCAGGTCCAACAGGGACCAAACACGATTTGTGTCTCCACCGTCGAGGACACGTTCACTGGCGAGGAGATGAAGATCGAATCCAGCTTGGTTATCGCGTGCGACGGTGCCAACTCGCGTGTCCGCAAGTCGGTCGGCATCCAGTCCGAAGGCGAGGAGACGGCCGACACGATGATGACAATCCACTTCAACGCCGATCTCCGTCGTGTCGTTGGCAAAAACACTGGAATGCTTCACTGGATTCTCGACCCAGAGGCACGTGGCTTTATCATCGCATACGACATTGAGGAGAACCACGTCCTGATCCACAACATTGACCCGGAACGCGACCCGATCGCGTCCTTTGATCCAAACAGATGCATGGACATTGTCAAGGCCGCGATTGGCAAGGACATACCCATCGATTTCCAGTGCTCAATGCCATGGGTCCTGCGTCGCAAGGTGGCCAGCCAGTATTTCAAGGGACGTGTCGTGCTGGCGGGAGACTCGGCACACTCGTTCCCGCCGACTGGCGGGCTCGGCCTCAACTCGGGTATCAGCGACGCCCACTGCTTGGCATATAAGATTTCGTCCTGGTATCACGGATATGCCAACCTCAAAACCATGTTGAACGCGTACGAGATGGAACGCCGCCCTGTCGCCATCCGAAATGCCATACAGTCGGTCAAGAACGGCCGCAAGATCTTTGATCTCCTCAAAGCCATCCGCAACACCGACCCCGACCCCGTCATTGCCCGTCGTGAGATGATGGCAGCCCTTAGGGACCCTAGACAGTTGGCCAAAATCCAGCAAATGATTGCCGACCAGGCCGAGCACTTTGACAACCTCAACCGTCATCTCGGGTACGTGTACGACCCAGCATGGCGCCCGTCTTCCGGTAACATCTATGTTCCCCTATACCGTCGCGGTGCGCGGCTAGTCCACGCTTGGATCAAGCCCCGCACCGCCTGTGTCAATGAGCTCCGCCCCGTTGACCTATCATATCTCGAAGGCGACCTCAGCCGCGACAAGATGGCGGCCTGGCAGTATTCTATACTCGACGTGGTCCCTACCACTGGATACTTGCTCGTGTTCCAGGGTTCCAACTGGGCATTGCGGGCCAGGCAGCTCCAGGTCTTCTTTGGTGGTTGCCGCATCCCCCTGTATACCGCCGAGATCGGCAAGGACTTTGAGTTTGTCGACAAGGTCCGCGCCAAGGTCTGGCTGCACGGTTATGGCTTTGACAATGGCAACGCCCTCCTCATTCGTCCTGATCAGCACATTGAGTCCATTCTTCCCGAGAGACTGCAAATGCAGACTGTTCTCGACGGCGTTCTTTACTCGCTCGGTATTTAGTCTGTATTTTCTTAGATATTTTTAGGCGCTCATGTTGTAGATCAGATAAACTTCGTTGTACCACCAGTATACGACCTCACATGAACTCAAAAGCGGTCCATGATGCTCAACAGTGCCAGGGTATACGTCAAGCTCCCCATATCACATTGCCGCTCATCACGTTCCCGGTCATCAAACTCCTCGAGCCATCGGCGAATTCCGAACGGCCTCACTTCTCTCAAATCTGCTGCCCAGGTGCGCAACTGCCATCTCTACCACCTCTACATACCGGCGCACCTATGCGCTCCTGGTGCAGGTCTGAGGGTAACGCCAAATGTCGGCGTAGGCGCATGGGTTTCTGCTTGGATGAGAATGGCAAGGGGCACATTCCTTGTGCCACCATACTCACGCCCAGAAGCCCACGAGGACCGGGAACTGAAGGGTGTGCAGTGTGAAGCACAAGCCCCTTACGAGCGATGACGCAGACCGAGACGGCTGTCAACAGCATTGGTATTGCATGTTTATAGCAAGTTTTGATACACACAGCAGTTGGTACAGAAACGTTACAAAACGCGTGACTGGATCTCATGGGCAAAGCCAGTGCTTCGTGGCCACACGTGACCAAAGACGCTCAACCCGGTTGTGAGGGCGTACAACTCGTGCGTCCCAAGCTCCATCCCATTCACGCTCACGGTGCCGCTGTTCTCCACAAAGGACGCCCACTGGTCGGAGCTCAACACTCTGGCGCCTGCAGCGTCACTACGTATGGTGCCCTGGCGAATTCCGGATGTCGCGGCGTCTGCGCCACGGCCGTCTGGTCCCCCCGGCCCGGGACGGCTGACCAATCCAGTGGTCCCTAGCAAGGCCCAGTCCGTCGGCTCCTCAAGACGGACGGCAGTGGCGTTCGGTGACCCGAGCGCAGTACTGGCCAGGTGGCGGAGGAAGACCTTTGCAGCATCATAGAGGGACACCGGCAGGCTGAAATGAGGCATGTCGGCGGCGGCGATGGGAAGGCGGGCGGCCACAAGGCGGATGGCGTTGGCGTGCAAGAGTGCACGGCGCCCACAGGGAAGACTGAACCAGTCTGCGTGACTTGAGGTGGGCGTCCGCATATGTACTGCCCGGCAAGCTTTGATACACACCACATGCCACCGAGCGCCGAGAACAAGGGTGTTTGGCGCATCATCAAGGTAGAGCTGGTAGAAACGGTCCAAGGCTCGCGCAATGTCCGGCATCTCCACGCATCCGACTGGCAGTGAAGATAGCGCCTGGCTTTCCTCCAAGTCCATGATGAGGGAGTGCAGGCCCTCGAGCACGGTTTGGGCGGTGAAAGGTGACGATGGCGGAAGTTGGATCACACGCTCATCTGGACAGAAGAGATCGCGGTAGACATCAGCAATAGTCGTGCTGGTGCTACTGGATCGATACTGGGTGCGCCAAGACGCGGCCGTTGAGGCCATGAAGAGGTGGTCATCGGCTGCCACGAGGAAGGGGTTGAGCATGTGCTTGGTCGAGGTTCCGCTGTCGCCCATTGACATTAACAGGCCGTCGATAATGTAGTGTGCGAGCAGAGCGCGCTTTTGTGTTTCCCGGGCAGCCCATTGCGCCCATGCCCGCTCCGTTTCGACCTCGTTGACACCGGAAGGAAGCGGTCGCTCCCTTAGGTCAAGGTCAAAGATGCCAGCCAGCTTGGCCCATCGGAACCCATTGCCGTGAAAGACATGAGCAGTGCTTTCGAGGTCGGGGTGCTGATGTCAACTCAAGTTGGACCCCAAAATGACTCACCCCTGACATCATTGCAAATATCTGGCCAAGAGCTGAGGTGAGGATGAGTTGGGTGCCACGGCATTCGTCGTAGGGGCCTTGGATCTCGATGAGCTTGTCCCACTAGACGTCAGTAACAATCACAGCTATGTCCTTACATTTCCTGCCACTCCTTTGTGCACGAGTCGCCACAGAGCGACGCCCTGGGGGTATCAGCAGGTTATTCTTGCTTTCCAAGTCCTACCTTTTGACGGTCATCCGGGCTGTGCAGACAGAGGGATCCTATCGCTATCATGTTCAGCAGCAAGGGTGCACATGTCGTGCGCACGTTGAAGGTCGGCTGGTGCATAATGGGAAAGACGGGCGTGAACTTTTTCCAGAACATGTGCAAGCACAAGTCGAGCCAGTGAGACGACAAAGGAGACACGTCGTTTGTTACTCGAGTGGACTATCATCAGCTCACTTTCCTTGGTCTTAATCACTCACCAAGTCAGATATCATCAACCTTGCCTCGTTCACGGCTTGCTGGCTACGCGCGACCGGCGCTGGGGAGCGCTCGTTTGATGCTCTGAAACGCTCAGCGCTAGCCATCGGGTTTGCGCGTGAGTACATCCATGACGTGGTCTGTGAATCGTTTTGCTCTAACGACGGCTCGCGCTGGGTGCTCGATTCTCTCCGTGAGAACTCTGACTCGGTGCGGGGTAAGGAATGGTCCGGGTGATGCGACTCGGATATCGGGGGCCGGTTGGAGAACAGGTCAGTACCTAGGCCGAGGATATCAAGAAAGTCGGGAGACGCTCGGAGGCTTGTCGATCCTGGCAGCAGGTCGCACGATAGCAGTTGCCACAGATCGACATCATCGTTTGGAATGTTTGCTGCGAGCGGAACGGTGTTGGTGGGCAGCTGCACGCCACCCAGGCCGAACGGTTCAAACCCACTCCCCGAGGATGGTGGCATGGACTCGTTGACAACTTCTCGCTGTCGCAGGGCATCGGGGTCACTGTGGTTAGCGTGTGTAGTCCAAACCCACTCACGAGAACATGGATGGCGTGTGCACTGTTCCGGGCAGCGAGTGACCATCGCTGGGTGTGCCTCGCTCAGCAGAGATTGGGTGTCCTCGTTCGGGTGGTGACTGAAGTGGCGTCATGGGTTCGACACTGCTTGACCGCTGTGGGCTGCGAACATCGGCAGGAGCGATAAACGGCGACTCGGAGACACGCTGATGCAGTCGAAGGTGTCGCGCTAGAGAATCCTGGCGCGAGAACCGACGATGACAGACTCGGCACTCGTAGGGCTGGGACTTGGTGTCTATTGGTGGTCAGATGTCAAACCAATGTGTACGGTGTGCGGTTGCCGCAGCGCCTGCTCCAAAAGGACATACGGCTACGTTCATGACGCTGCCGGTCAGTAACCAGTCCCTTGTGGTTGGTGGATCGGTGACTCACGATCAGATGTTCGGCCTTGCCAAACGTCCGTTCACAGTGGGAGCATTCTAGTTTGAGACGCTGTCTCGGGGTCTCGGCTTCATCAGGCAGAGGTGAGCGGTGCATGTCTTCCCGCAGCAAAGTGCTGTCGGATGTGTGGTGTGTGCGACGATGGATAAGGCTAGAGGTGGGCGATGGTGTGGAGAAGGCAAGTGGAGAGTAGAGTGGTGTGGAGCCATTTGGCGACTAAATGTGGGGATATGGGCGATCAGGATCCGTCAGCCCCACCAGGGCCACACCGGCCACACCAGCAGGCGGGCCAGCGGGCAGCCGGGATTATACGCGGCTGTTGGTTCCATTTTTGGGTCTTTTTCACCGGCCGTCTGGCCTCAGCAGGCCAGCGGGCCACACGAATGTCTGCAGCCCAAAACCCTCTCTGTACAAAAGTGTGGTGACCAACAACGCCGCAAAGTTGTAGTGAGGCTTTAGGGGCAGCACAAGTCAGTATTTTCTTTTCCAAAAACAAAACGAAACAGAAAACTCTGCAACTTGTGCGGGGCTCGAATCCACCACAGCTGTAAAGGAAAGGTCCGTACTGTCCGCGGCAACTCCTCAGTCGCACAGAATCAATGGGCTCGCCGGCAGAACATGACTGAAAGTTGAACGTCGTCTGTGTACTGGCGGTTTTGGAAACATCGGTTCTGAGCGTATAACCAGCGTGAATAGTGAATGAACTCTAGACAACAGATGGCCGCACAGCTGTGCGACTTTCTCCAAGCGGCCCACTAGTGTGTGACGGGCCCGACGCCGGCCGGCCGGGATTTCCGACCGACTTCATCTGCACGGAAGTGTGCTCAGAAGTGCGGACAGCTGTGTCTACACTTTGCAGTGCGTGGCTCGTGCCCTGTCACTTCTGCACAGATCATAGCATCGATGGTGTGGACAGCCACTAGTCCAAGCCCAGACCTCCGGGGCTGCACGGCCCGCAACCCCAACGAACGTGCCAAGAAGATTGCAGCCCGACGGCCGACGGTCAGCTGGTCCAAGTTGACACGACACGCCTTGGAAAGCTGACCTCAAGTGGCCCGAGTGGGTTTTAGATGTGTTGGGGCGAGACCCGGGCCGTTGACCCGCCAAAGTTAGAAGCTAACCACTACGAGGTGTGGGTTCGGACGATGTAAACAAGGTCGAGCCACCAACTCATGTCTTGAACTCTCGTCGAAGACGCGGCCGTATTGTGCGTAACTCAAGCTGCGGTCGATCTAGCAGCGAATGGCTTGATGGAATGCGACGGCCCGGGGTAAAACTGTGGAGGTGGCGTAAGGGTTGTGCTCAATGACAGCCAACCAAAAGAAATCCTCGCGTACCGACGTCAGAGCGTTCAGGTCCACGGAACAACACCGGAATTAACATGCAGATTCCAGCATGGGACATAGGGGGAGGCAACGAGGGAGTGTGGTTATTATTGCATGGGCTGAAACTGGCCAAACGACCCTCGACGGCCGAAACGGTGCGAGCATCGCCCACTTGCTCGCGTTTATCCTGTGATCCAAAGCGAACCTTGGTCAGCCTTCATGTGTTATCAGCAAGTCCTTTACGGGGGTCTAGGTCGTCCAACACTAGCAAACGACATGGCATTGCCCACAGTAAACACCGTGCACCGTACCGCTCAACAGTAGGTGTGGTCATTCCCGACGCCTGGTTCCTGCCGATAATCCTGAAAAATCAGCCAAAAATCCCTACGCAGCCCCCATGTTTCACAGATCACAGTCAGGCACAAGTCGGACCGAGAGCAAGACGCGCACGCCCAGCACGCCCAGTTTCTCAACCCAGCAATGCACGATTATATGCTTGTAGATTACACGTGATGCGCTTCACTTCGCGCCGTGTGCGAGACCTTGTGGCTTGACGCACGAGGGGCCGCCGGACCGGTCAGCCTGGAACGCCAACCTCGACAGCCCGGAAGCCTGGAAAAGAACACGCAGCCGCTTGGCTCTGTGGACGAGAACTCTCAGGTCATGGGGCTCGAGCGTACCTTCAACCGGCCCGTCGGCCCCCGTCTTTGTGACGAACACTGCAGTCAGAGAGGGTACTGAAACGTCCACTGTGCAGGGACCTCAGCGCATTGAACACTGTTGAAAGCAACTCGGGAGAGGTATATATACACCATCGAAATGGCACATCGGCTTTTTCTCCATCAACTTCACACTCTCTCCCCACCTTCCTTACATCTACGAGCCTACAATGCTCCTCCACGGTCTTCTCGCTGTCCTCGCCGCCACGGGCGCCATGGCTCACCCCAAGGTTGTCGACGGTCGCCTCGAGCAGCGCGGTCTTGAGGACCGCGCTGTTGTTGAGGAGCGCGAGCTTGCTACCCGCGCCTCCACCGCCACCGCCTGCTCGTACACCATTACCAGCTACTCGACTGTCGCCAGCGGTGTCGCCTCGAAGTGCAACAACCTTGGTGAGCATACCTGTGTTCGGTAGTAGCTAACGTGCACAGTCCTCAAGGCCTTTGTAAGATCGCCGCTGGTATTGCAATTGCTGACTTTCAGACCGTTCCCGCTGGTAAGGCTCTCGACCTCTCCGGCCTTGCCACCAACACCAACGTCAACATGAAGGGTGACATTACCTTCGCCTCGGGTACCAACTGGGCTGGTCCTCTCTTCGTTATCAAGGGTACCAACGTCAACTTCCAGGGCAACGGCTACACCTTCAACGGTAACGGCCAGGACTACTGGGACACCAAGGGCAGCAACGGCGGTGTGACCAAGCCCAAGATGGCCAAGATCTCCAACTCGGGTTCTTTCAGGGTGGGTACCACATGTTTCGATCTCGGCTGACGAAAAGAACGCCATCTTCCTCAACACCCCTGTCCAGGCTATCTCGGTCGGCGCTACCTCGCCCCTCACCATTGCCGGTGTCACCATTGACAACCGCGCTGGTAACACTCTCTCTGGCGGCAGCGCCCTTGGCCACAACACCGACTGCTTTGACGTTTCAGCCTCGAACGTTCTCATTGACAGCAACAAGTGCTACAACCAGGACGACTGCCTTGCTATCAACAAGGGCACCAACATCACCTTCAGCAACAACTACTGCAACGGTGGTCACGGTATCTCTATTGTGAGTACCGGGTCAACCACATTTGCTGACTCTCTTTTAGGGTTCTATCCAGAGCGACGTCGTTGTCAAGACCGTCGTCATCAAGGGCAACGCCATTGTCAACAACACCAACGCTCTCCGCATCAAGACCGTCTACGGCGCCACTAACGCCTCGGTTACCGACGTCACCTACAAGGGCAACGCTGCCTCGGGCACCACCACTTACGGTGTCGACATCCAGCAGGACTACGAGAACGGCTCGCCTACCGGCACTGCCACCAGCGGTGTTAAGATCAAGAACGTCGTCTTCAGCGGCACCAACAAGATCGGCATGGCCTCGAGCGGCAAGCAGGCCTACGTCCTCTGTGGCTCCGGCACCTGCACTGGCTTCGACTTCACTGGTCTCTGCTTCACCGGCGGCTCCAAGGGCTCCGTCAGCGGCGTCTCTTCCATCACGGGATTCACCCTTGGTTCGCAGACTTGCAGCTAAGGAGTGACCTTGGCGACAACATGGTGCAGCAAAGGAATGACCAGTGGTCATCCCGAGTTGGCGCCGGCCAAATCCGCTCTTTATAGCAGTTATATCTAGTATGCAGCTCCTTAGTAGCGCCTGTGTGCTGCACGGTTTTGCAATGTATCAGTGTACAAACTCTAATCCATGGCGAACTATGCCGCAGCTTCAAATTGTATGATCAGTTCTGCGATGGACGGGTCAGGAATACTATTCTGTATTTTTAGTTTTGTTTTCGAACCCACCATGGAAAAACTTGACGGTTTCGATGTGTGACGTCAGCTTGATGCGCTCATTAACAGTGTGGGCGCCTAGACGTGTGCCCAGACGCGCTGGTGTCCAGCGTATGATATTTGTCGAGACGTTCCAATAGTGCTTGGTGTCCGTGTTGGCCACTGAGAGGGAGGGTGCAACGATCGTGTTGTCGCCAAATGCGGACTTCACCGCTGAGGCGTAGAGCTGAAACTGTGGCGTGTGCCAGGGGGTAATGGGGCTGGGTTCCGTGTTTCCGAGCAGCTCCAGATAGACCGTTCCCTGTGTGCCGTTGCACAGCTCGTCGCCAAACGAGTTCATTGACAGGTCGTAACGGCGTGCGACAGGGATAAGTGTTTCGGCGACCCGATCGGTATGGTCCCGGACGGACATTGTGGTCTGCAAGGTGAGCCACGATCGAACCATCTTCAACCTTACCTCGATACGCGAGTTGAAGACCACACCGGCTTCTTCGGGGAGTGCATTGTTCTTGACGCCGCCATGGACCACTGTCGCGGCCTTGCTGGTCTGCAGAATGAAACGTGACCGGACCCCAAGGTCTGCGACCTGCGCAGCAATGTCGTCGACAACATCCTTCTCGAGCGCGGAATGCAGCCACCTGGGAACGTTCCGACTCCCATACAGGTCGAGACAGTGCAGGTAGCCATAGTATGGGTTGGTCTTAGTCAGGGCTGGCGAATAGATGTCGGCATCCTCGAGCGCCGAGATGAAGCGTGCAAGGTACCCGATGGACGTGTGAGGTCCCGGGACAGACGAGTGACCGCCAAAGCTCTCGACACGGATGGCAACGTCGGCGTAACCTATGGTAAGTAGGTACCGTTGGGTCAAGACTCACCCTTCTCGGCCAAGGCCGGCAGCGCCATCAGTGGTCCGTACTTGGAATCGAGGCCCATGCCGCCCTCGTCAAAGATTGCGTCTACGCCATGTATGCCGTAGCGCTCTTGGAGGAGAAGTGCAATGCGTGTCGCACCGTACTTTCCACGCGCTTCCTCGTCCTGTCCATAGGCAAGGAGGAGAGTGCGCCTGGGCTTGAACCCGCCTTCGAGCAGGTGCTCGAGAGCAGAGAGCTGTCCCAGGAGGTTAGACTTGCAGTCTGATGAGCCGCGTCCCCAGATCCATTCCTAGATGTCAGTTGGAAACATGACGGTAAGATAGCGGACTCTATCAACGACGTGCTCACGCCATCGTAGTGACCCTCGAATGGCGGGTACTTCCAGCGATCAAGCGCGGTCGACGCGGCCACAACATCGAGGTGGGCAGCAAGCATCAGTGGCTTGGCGTCCGAGGTTCCCTCCAGTGTGAACAGCAGCGAGTAACCGCCAACAACTTGGAGCTTGGCATGTTTATGGCTTAAAGTCAGCTGGACTTTAGTATGTCAACAACTTACACCAAAGGGTACGTTTCGCGCAGGAAGTTGTGGAACGGCGGAAACGTGTCCCAACGGGGATCGCGGTCCGCCATGTCCTCCGGCTCGGGCTCCCCAAAGTCGTCGTAGGCAACCGTTGCGTGGGCAATGGCACCAAACAGCCGCTCGAGGCTGAGGTTTGCGAACAACGGGGTATCGTAGTAGGCCATGGCCGGTGAAGGTGGGACATACTCCGGCTGCGGACACCACCGATCCGACACGTTAAGGGAGTCGAATGGGGCTTGTGTAAAGGCTGCTGCGCACAGCGCGAGCCCTCCGAGAGCGACTGTGACGGCCGCAACGCGCATATCAGGTAGTGGAGTGGTGGATGGTGATAATGCAAGTGACGCCATCGGGCGAGACTCTCGGTCATCTCAATGTGCGGGAAATAGACACCAGACGCTATATCCATGGCTATGCTACAAGTCCTGCCTCCTGTGCCCTCTTACTCATTCACAGGACTCCTGCCAGTGCGACAGCAAATCTCCGAGTGACTGAGGGGGTCCATTGCAGACTTCGGCAAAGGTACGTCCAGCTGGGTGTTAGGAGTGGTACAGCGGGGGAGACGTACTCTTCACGCTACGTCCGTGCTCGTCGCCGTCTTCGCCACCAGCGCCCCAGGGATAGCCCTTGCGGTGACCGGGCAGCACGACAAGACAGTTCCTCTTGATACCCCCGTCCGCCTTATACTTGTTATCTGTGTAGACGAGAGAGTACTCTAAGGCATGAGCCACAATACCAGGGGGATGTACGCACCGTGGTTGGTCAACTTCTGGCCGTGGAGGATAATGTGAAAGCTCTGCTTCTCGCCGTCGCCCTCCTTGATGACCTTGAGTGCATGGCGGAGCTTGGCCTCCTCGAACGCGCCATCCTCGTCCTCGTCGTCCTCCTCGTTGACGCTGTCGTTGTCGTCGTCGCTCTCGCCCTTGCGGTTGACGATACTGTAGCGACCAATGTCCCACACCACTGATGTCAGTTGCGCGCTCGCCGGCCTAGGACAACCCACTGGTGCCCCGAGCTGTTCCTCGTCCTGCGGCACGACTCTCGGATCCTGCAGTCAGCTCCCACGCAAAGAAGCAGTCATACCTTCGACGACAGCGTAGTTGAGGTTGTGCAAAGTAGTCTCAACAGCCTGATGCTGGTGGTGGTCCTTTGTAAGACCTGCTGTTAGCGCCGAATGCCTACAAACACACACCCAAGGGGCCCTTGGGAATAGCCCACGAGATCAGGTCGTCGTCGAGACGGAGGCGGAGATCGTAGTGGTGCGCTGGTTTAAGCATATGAAGTGGAATACAATAACCTACCGGTCGCCTGATGGCGCTGAATGACGAAGAAGTTGCGCTTGGAACGGAGGTGAGACTCCCAGCGGTCTGGCTCTGCTGCGCCGCGCTGTCGTTTGCTGAGGCGACCTTGGTGCACCGCAAGTACGTATTCATTCATCCTTTTGGTGGAGTCAGCCAGGCTGGCTCCAAGATGCGAGTCGAGTACCGGCCGTGGAGACCTTTTGAAAGAATGAGTGAATGTGACAAAGCAAGAGAGGTGTTGATCTCGCCACCGAAAGTATGTACCGAAGCAAAGCCGCGCCGCCCAGTCAACGTGACACGAGTTGACTCACCCCCGCTGATGTCGCGGATCGTCCCGGCTGTCACATGCGCCGGATCGCTATGACTCAATCGTTTGTACGTTTCTAACGATGATCTTGTACCGTGCAAGGTCATGTCATGCGCGAGGATGGATTGCAGACTGCAGCGGTTGCACAGTTGTCGTCTCGCTGGTTGGGTCGTAACGGGAGCGGACTCGGATCACCGACTGCCGAGCGGCCAGGGACAATTAGCGACCAACGGAACCCTGTTCTCCGCAACCACTCCATCACTGATGAGCCCAGACAGTCATCCAGAGGCCACTCCGTCGCGTCGGCGACGGTCTACCAGCATCCAGTTGGCGACGACAGGCAGCTCCAAGAAGCCCCGCGTTGGTTATGCCTGCGAAGCATGCCGTAGGTAGCCTGTAGCACAGAATAAGTTCCACATCACTGACAGAAAGGCAACCGCAAAATCGCCTGCAACGGCGCCTCACCTTGTGCACGATGCATCCAAGATGACCGAGAATGCGTCTATGTCGACAGGCCGAACCGTACCCCCTTGACACGCGTTCGGATGACCGAGTTGGAGGAGCGGTGCGTAACCAAAACGCCTTCGTGAACTGACCCCCTCCAGAATCTCAGTTTATGAGCAACTGTGGGCTTTGGCAATTCCCGGGTTCACTCTGGAGGACGCGTACAGAAAGTACCAAGAGATGGGGGTCTCAGGCGTGCGGAGTCTTGTTCACCAGTACCTCCCTCGCCGCGCAGAAACACGGCCGCACTCTGGCATAAACACGCCCCGTCCTCCCACAAGAGCGAGGTCTCCTGCGGATCTCGACGCAGCCGACCTCACACCGCTCATCGCTGTGGTGCATGACCCGAACGAGTTTGAGTGGCACGAGGGCCAGGTTGCCGGAGCGCTGGACGGCATGGGCGTCGATTCAAACACCGAGGAAGGTGTCAGCTACCTGGGCTTGTCGTCTGGTTCAACCTTTGTCAACGTGATCAAGCGTCTCACGCCAGCACACACACTTTCAGTGTCTCCCGAGAACTTTACGTCGTCCAATCTAGACGTGGAGAGAATACTGCGGCCTACAAATGGAAACCAGTTGCGGCAGTCTACAAAAGCGGTCCATCCGCTCCCTCCCCTGTCCGAGATCCTCCCGTTTGTCGACTGCTACTTTCAATACTTTCGTGAGCGATGCTGGCCTCGCTGAACAATACTGACTCGGAGACACCCTCACACCTTTGGTGCACGAACCAACCATCAGGGCTCAGATTACCGGTGCACTCCCAATCTCTACCAAACCTGGCCAGGAAGTCTTGATCTTCATGGTGTTCGCGATGGGAGCGTTCGATCTCGCTACCGATGACAGCGACCTGGGTCACCAGTATTATGAGATTGCGCACAAAGCTCTTCAGCACGACCTTCTCGAAGAGGGCTCGCTGCAGCTTGTCCAGGGACTGGCCATCATGGCGAATTACCTTCAACGCTCAAACCGTCCCAACGCCGGTCACCTCACCATGGGCCTTGCCATCCGAATGGCTGTGGGTCTTGGCCTTCATACCCCTCTAACCAGTTGGAGGTGCTCGCCACTGGAACAGGAGATGCGGTCCCGTGTGTGGTGGGCCCTGGTGACAATGGAGGCTGGCTGCTCGGTCACGTTTGGGCGACCGCCAGGAGTCGGTCGAGCGCAGCTACGGTCTGTGCCGCTTCCTATCAATTGCGATGACCAGGTGAGTGTCTGACCGAATAATTGTGGCTTACCCCAGTATCTCACCGTTTCAACGGTTGCAAAACCTGCCAACTCGTCCGACGTCACCCTCTACTCGGCTCTCATCACTCAATCGACCCTCGCCCAGGTCACTTGCTCCGTCCACGAGGCGATCCTCCAGTCCCGCCCAGCACCAACTCTGGAGCAGATCAAGGTCTATGACGCAAGAATCGTTGCGGCTGTCGAATCGTTGCCCTCACATTGTAAAGATTGCCCTGGTGGTCCCTACCGCTTTGCCCATTGCGTTCAAGTCTGGAGGGTGCGCGACTTCCGCGCAATCCTGTACCGCCCGATCCTGCTCGCTGCCGCATGGGACACCAGGAACGGAGGCCGGCGGTCCATCACTGCCGCTACACGGGAGGCAATAGAGTGGGTAGATGGAATGGCAGCGGCTGACATTCAGGATCTGTCGCACACTTGCACTGGACAACCTCCACGACATTGGCGAATTCTTCCTTGCCGCGGACGGTTGTTCGACGCGCGTCGTCGAGTGGTACACACTCTACTTTGCGTTCCAGTCTGCTTTGGCTATCCTGTTGTCGGTTGTCTGGGAGCCCTCCCACGTGGATGCTGAGAAATGGCGGAGTGCGATTCACTCGACTGCCTCGTGGTTCCGGCAAATGCGCTCACTGAACAATGTTGGGCACAAGTATGCCCAAATCCTTGAGAACATTGTGAACACGGTCCCGACGCCTACAGAGACCCATGGCCTTGCTGCTGCACTGGAGGCGTACAGTGGGCTTGAGGAGCCTGCCATGGATGTGGACCGTTACTGGCTCGAGATTATGGGCAACGAGCTGGCGCTTCCAAACGTAAACCAGACGGGATGGTGGGACCAGTTTATACAAGCACAATCGGAATACTAGGACAATGTGCATTGGTTTGAATGTAATTATTACTGTTAGAACGCCGACTCGAGCAGCCATCCGCCGTCAATCACAACATGCGAGCCAGTCTGGTACTTGTTCGTCACGACACTGAAAATGCACTGGGCATAGTCGATAGCGTTTCCAGGACGCGCCAGGGGGATGGCCCACTGCTTGCCGCGGAACACCTCGGGGTCGTCGGGCGAGTCGATGACGGTCATGCCCTAGCAGAGTCAGGTGTTTTGTCCAGCCAGAGCAGTTCACAGCTTACGTACAGAGGGGAAGTATCCGGGACAGATGGTGTTGACACGCACAGCCAGGTTCCTGCGGGCAAACTCTGTCGCCATCTGGTCGGCGAGAGAAATGGTGGCCGCCTTGCTGGCGTTGTAGTTGAGCTGACCGCGCTGGGACGTCTTGGTGATACCCGACATGCTCGAGATGACCACCACGTTACCGGGCTCGGGGAAACCACCAACAGTCTTGGCAGCGCAGAGCAGGGGCAAAAAGGCAAACGTGGTAAAGTAGTAGCTGGCCGTGTTGATCCTGTACGTGTCGAGCCAGCGGTCAAATGTGTCGTCGTTGAACATGGTGCTGGAGATTCCTTCGGGGGTCTGTTCCGCGGCGTCAATGTTGGCGTTTCCCTGAGAGACACCGTGGTTGTTGACGAGAATGTTGATGTAGCGCTCTTCCTTGGCCACGGCGTCGCGCAGCTCTGCAACCCGTCAGCTTCTGAACCGCTGTAACCCGTAAGCTGTACTCACTGACAATGCCCTCCTTGGTCGCAACGTCTGCCTGGATGGGGATGATGACACCAGGCCCAGACTTGGGGCTAGCCTGCTTGGCCGCCGACTCGAGGAGCTCCTTCCTCCTGCCGGTGATGTACACCTTGACACCATTCTCGGCGAGCGCAGCGGCAGTGACCAGACCCAGTCCGGTACCACCGCCAGTCACGACCGCCACTTGACCCGAGACATCGAACAGGTTGGCGGTCTTGAGCGCACCGGTGCCGATGGCGGACTTGCCGAGTGCGGTGCTGGAGACAGAGTTGCTGGTCATGGTCGTTGGTGTTGTTGGTGTGGATTGAGTGTGCGTGTGAGCGTGAAAGCGGGCATGATAAGTGCGCGGGCATGCTAAGTGCGCGCTGGACCACCGTGATCCGGGTTGCTGTGGCCCGGCTCGGCGGGATCGCCGCATGTGGTCAGTCAAGCTGAAACCACACTACGGACCACAGTGGTCCGCGGCTGCCCACCGCCCACAGCCGACGGTGACGCAGGCCGAGGTGGGCTTTGAGGCACCCTGCACCCTGACCGTGATTCCGGCGGCCATGTACCTCAACGGCGCGGCCTGATGCTTCGTACACGATCTACCCGGTCGTCAACGTCGTTGCCAAGCTCATAGCCATGGAAACAAGCTCAGCAGGTGTTCCCCCATGAGCCTCGCCACGCCGCTCGAACCGGCGGCAGTTTGAAAAGTGGAACCATTTTCAATGCCGTCAAGCCAGATGATCGGCAGAGATATGAAAAATAACGTAAAATACGTCAAAAATGGGGGCAGTTTGCTCCACACCTCGCTCCACTGGCGATGCCCACCGAAACCGTTGCCGGACATGCTTAACGAATGAAGAGGGTCCTCCTAGTGCCAAGGCAGACATGTGGGGGGGTGCTTGGCTGCGTTTCGCTCCAGCTTAGAATACGCTTGTCACTTCCAACTTCAATTCATATTTCATGGTATGGTTCTTCCTAAGCACTCTGCTGCTCAAAGTGGTCGGGGTGGGACTTCTCCACAGGGCGGCCATCGCGCGTGGCGTAGCGGACCATCTCGTCGTCGTGCAGGTCGTTCTGGAGAATGACCTTGCGGTAGGCGTTGGAGGTACGGGGAGTCGACTTGCGGATGAGGAGGTCGACCTGCTCGAGCGAGAGGCCCTTGGTCTCGTTGATGCAGAAGTAGGAGAAGACAAAGGCAACGCAGCAGCAGCCACCCCAAATCCAGAAGACGTTGGTGTGGAGGCCAGCGTTGCCAGGACCGCTGTTGACGAGGTAAGGGGTCACGTAGCCAATGGCAAAGTTGAACAGCCACTGAGTCGCCGTCGAGAGGGACATGCCCTTTGTGCGGACCTCATACGGATACGTCTCGGACGTGATAACCCACGCAAGGGTACCCCAAGTAGACGCAAAGTGGGCTATGTAGACGCATACGAAGGCGACGAGCGCACGTTGGGCAGCAATGTTGGTCGTAGAGGTAGCGACACCGATGGAGGCGACAACGAACTGGCCAACGGCCATTCCCGCCGCGCCATACATCATCAGGGTCCTGCGCCCAAGACGATCGGCGGCAATCATTCCCGGAATTGTCATTCCAGAGTTGACACTGTTGACAGCGATGCTGATGAGGAACGAGTCGGCGATGCCAGTGTTCTGGAAGAACTGGGTGCCATAGTACATAATAAAATTGATGCCCGACAGCTGCTGCAGAGCCTGGACACCCATTCTGCGAAGTCAGCTGGGCCCCACATGGAACAGTAAACGTACCCGGTTGCGATACGAAGGATGGTCTTGCTCTCGCCCATTTTGAGACAGTCGGCCCAGCTACCGCTGCCACTGTTGCGCTCGTGGTCAAGGTTGGCACGGATCTCGGCGTACTGGTTTTGGACCTCGTCCGACTCGATGGGCTTTCCGAGCAGGCGAGCGATAGACTTGCGGCCACGCTCGTCCTTGTCCTTGAGAATGAGCCACCTAGGCGACTCGGGCAGGATGATTGTACCGGCAATAATAATTGCACCCCAGACGAATTGAACTCCAATTGGGATACGGTAAGACGAATCGTCCGGGCGATCCTTTGTGGCATACACCACGCACGAAGCGACGAGGAGACCGAGGGTGATGAAGAACTGGTAGGCAGAGACGATGAGTCCTGGGAAATGTTTAGCACAGTGTGTCAAAGAGGATGGATGATGTACCTCTCAAGTGCTTAGGAGCACATTCTGCTTGATAGATGGGCACCAGACACGATGTACCGCCGACTCCGAGACCAGCAAAGACACGACCAACGGCAAAGCCAGCGACGCTCTTGCAGGCGGTCTGGAGCGCGACACCGACAGCAAACAAGGCTTCAAACGTAGTCAGTGTCGTATTCAAGAGCAACCGAGCGAGAAGGGCCTACCAATGTAGAAGATAATTCCCCAACGACGACCGATGCGGTCACCGACGGTGGAGCCAAGAAGGGCACCCAGGCAAGTGCCGATGGAGAGGATGGACGTGAGGAGAGAGTCTGTGCCGGTGGGCAGCATCCATTCGCCATTCTCGAATTTGCCATAGACTTTGAGGAAGGGTACCATGGTCTTACAACCAGCAATGTAGCCAGTGTCATATCCTGAGACAACGTTAGTGAGGTTGCCTAGCGAGTCCATAGTGTGGCTGCGTACCAAACAAGAACCCCGAGAACGAGGCAAAGGCGCCCAGTACCACAGCGAGGGCGGGCATGGCGAGAGGTGTGAGATGGGCTGAGAGTTGAGGGTTGGCGTTGGGGGTGGGGGTTGAGAGTTTGGAGTTGGGAGTTGGGAGTTGGGGGCACCGCTGCGAAAGGTGCTTCATATATGGGGTCGTGGAGGAGGTCCCGTGGGGTGGGCGGGGTACTCTGGACCCTTCCATGTGGAGTCGCTCGCAACGCGCGCTGCGCGGCGTTCAGTGCCGTCGCTTGCCGTTCGTCTGATGCATGTTTAGCGCAAGGTACAGTCCGGCTGCTCCCGCAAGGCCAGAACGGACTGCAGTCCAAGGGGTGTGTGTGACGATGAGGCACCATCGCAGCTTGGCGGATTGGAGTTGTCCGGATTGGAGTTGTCCGGGATTTCGATCTAAGTTGCCGGATTACCGAGTTCGCCACACCCGGAGCACAGCGCTCCGGCGGCGTCGATGGGGTGGAGCGGAAGACTGTGGGCCGGTGTTGTTGCTTCCTATTGTGTGTCTTGCCACCGCACGATGTGGTCCTGCATGGATTTTGCTGTCTCGTCGACATTTTAGACATTTTAAAGACTGGACTGCGCATCGATCATCATCACACACTTGTCGCCAGCCACAATGACCGTCAACACACTCGAGTCCTCAACGTGTGTACTCGCACTGACAGAGGGCCCCCCCCGAGCTGACACTCCCAGCGCCCCCTCCGTCGCCGGTCCCGACGTCAAGGTCCTCTTCATCGGCGCGGGCAACATCAACTTTGGCTCGGAGGAAGGCCCCTGGAACCACTCGAAGCGACTGGAGGAGAAGCTCGGTATGCGCCTCAAGGTCATCGGCATTGTGGACCCGGCGGTCAAGCGCGCCGAGGCTGTTCTCGCCGCCAAGTCGCTCGCCCTCGCGGCACCCGCTTACGCCGAGGCGATCGTTTACCCCTCCGTGTCGACCGCGACGGCCGCTCTGGCCTCGTCACCCCCCGACCTCGTTATTCTTGGCTGCCCTCCGGCGTTCCGGGGCACCTCCGACCCCTCCCAGGGCTTCAATACCGAGGAGCAGCTCACCGACGCGTTCCCAGCGGCTGCCCTGTTTGTGGAGAAGCCCATCAGCACGCATCCAGTGGACGAGACGCACAAGGTCGCCGAACTCCTCGAGAGCCGCAAGGCCAACTTGGTCAGTGTCGGGTACATGCTCCGCTACTCGGCTGCGGTCCAAAAGATGAAGCAGATCATCGCGGAGAACAAGCTCGAAGTTATGATGACGTCGGCGCGGTACGTGATGAGCTACGAGCACAGTCTCAAGCTTGGATGGTGGAACAAGTCGGTCGACTGTGGCCCGATTGTTGAGCAGGCCAGTGAGTTTGAATATGTGATCAATGGCACGCGGCAACTGACAAACAGCACACTTTTGCGACCTGTCGCGCTACTTTGGTGGCGAGGTGGACTTGGAGAGCATCCTGGCGCACTCGATCGAGTGGTATGAGAAGCCCGGCAAGCTGTCAAAGGTACACTAGCATACCCTGAGTCCCAAGCTGACATCCAGTTGAACGTCGACGAGAGCCTCGTTCCCGAGGACGAGCGTATCCCGCGGTTCACGTCTGCGACGTGGAAGTACGAGTCGGGTGCCATTGGCCACCTCGAGCACGGCGTCGCGCTGCAAGGTGTCGAGTTTTCCACCGAGCTGGCTGTCTGTAGGTACACTGTGTGCCATGTGTCACCTGCTAACAAGACCAGTCTGCGACGGATACCAGCTCAAGCTCATCGATCCATACAACCGCCCGACACTCTATGTCCGTCGCCCGGGAAACGATGCCGACGAAGTGCACCATTTCCACAACGACGACGCGTTCCTCAACGAGATGGAGACGTTCGTCGACCTCGCAGAGGGCAAGGAGGCCAAGATCCCCGTTCTGAGCAGCTACGCAGACGCGGTCAAGACGTATGAGATGACGTGGGCTATTCGGTGGGCGAGCGAGAAGACTCGCAGGAAGAGGCCTGCAACCGCTGCGTAAATGGACCATAGTGTTGTGATTGCATTAGACGTCGTGAATGAACACTCTTTTTGTAACCTTCTTTCCTCCAACCTGCCTTCTACAGACGTGTGATGCGAATCACCTTGCTCTGGAAGTCGCCCCGCATACGGTACGTGAGACCGACCTGCATGAGCTCGTCGCCACTGACACGACGGTCGTCGACCTCGTACCACGCCTGCGGGTCGAGGCCGTCCAGGCGGACCGGCGGCATCTGGTTGTGGATGACAGCGTCACGGACCTGGTACAGCAGGACAAACGACTTGGTGCCATCCTGAGCGACATACTGGACGGCGGGCCAGTTGGACTCCCACGGGGTAGCGAGGCGATACATCTCGCCTGTGATGACGAGCGGCGAGATTTCCTCGGACAGCGCAATCAGACCGGGGATCTGGGCCTTGTCCTCGTCGCTGAGCTTGTTAATGTCGAGCTCAAAGCCAAAGCTGCCGCCCATCATGGCCACATGTGCGCGGAAGGAGAAGGGCGTGATTCTCTGCGTTTGGTGGTTGGGCACGGCCGAGACATGGCATCCCATGCTGCTGGCCGGGTAGCTCAGACTCGTGCCAAACTGAATGTACAGGCGGTCGTGGGCGTCGGTGTTGTCCGACGTCCAGTGTTGAGGCCAGTAATACAAAAGACCAGGATCGAACCGGCCGCCGCCGGACGCACACCCTTCCCACAGGATGTGCGGGAAACGAGTGGTCAGCGAGTCAATGACACGGTATATGCCCAACATGTACTTGTGTGCGTCGCTGGGGTGGGCGAGTTCGTGCATGGCGCGGTTGTTGTCCCATTTGACATATGAAATGTCTGCACTGGCGAGGATCGCGCCGATGGCGTCGATAATGTAGTCTTGCACGTCCTTGAGGCCGAGGTTGAGGACGAGCTGGTTGCGACCCTCGGAGCGGGGCAGGTCGGCAGCGTGGAGCACCCAGTCCGGGTGTGCCTCGTACAGTGCGCTGACGGGGTTGACCATCTCGGGCTCGACCCAGATGCCAAACTTCATGTTCTTGTCGCCGGCCTTGAGGGCCGTGATGCGCTCGACAAACGGTTTGAGGCCGTGCTTGAAGCGGTCCTTGTTCACAACCCAGTCTCCCAGACCAGCGCTGTCGTTGACGCGCGGGTGAGTGGATCCGAACCATCCGTCGTCCATCACAAACATCTTGACTCCCAGCTCGGCGGCCGTCCGGGCAATGGGGAAGAGGCTGTTCTCGTCCATGTCAAAGTAAGTTGCTTCCCAGTTGTTGAGGAGAGTGGGGCGGGTCTGCAGGGTGTGCTCCGAGCGCGACAAATGGTTGCGGTAGACCTTGTGGAAGGCGCGCGACATGCCGCCGAGACCATTGGGCGAATAAACCGTCACGCATTCCGGGGCTGTAAAGGTTTCTCCTGGAGCGAGCTTCCAGCTCAAGTGCATGGGGTTGAGGCCGATGAGTGCACGAGTGTAGCCACGGCAACACCGTTCAATCTCGGCGGAGAACGAGCCAGAGTACACGAGGTTAAACCCCCATGCCTCGCCGGTACGCTCGGTCGTGCCGGGGCGGACGAGGGCGAAGAAAGGGTTGTACAGGTGCGATGCGTAGCCTGCAAGACTCTGGAAGCTGTGGTTCTGGTCAGCACCATTAAAAAACATCGAACCAGACTCACCCTTGGGTTCCTTGCTCAACCTTGCGGCGGACCGTCATGCACTCGCGCGCCCAGTTGCCGTACTGGTGGATGAACTCGAGGTCGTCCGACGGGAAATCGACACAGATACTCGCCGCGCGCTCAAGGGTGATATCGGCCGAACCCTTGTTCGCGAGCGCCCAGCTCCTCGCCAGCGCGCCGCACCCAAACACCGAGTAGCTCAGCACAGCCTCGACGTCGCTGTACTTGTCCACCATGGTGACCTGGAGCGTCTTGACAACATTGCTGTTACCAAACGTCGCCGGCAGCCCGGGGAGGGGCGGCTTGCCGTCGATGATTGTGTGCGAGCTGTATGCGAATGCGCTGACCGTGTGGCCGCCGCTGCCGGCGTGCGAGATGTGGATGGCGGGCAGGCGCATGTCGCCGCGTCCAACGTCTGGAAACTCGCGTCGGCGCTGCACGCGCATCCACCCGACGACATCCGTGTCGGGTTCCGGCGTCGGGGCGGTGGCTGGCGCGCCGTAGTGGTCGAGCACGAGGTCGCCCACCTCGTTGACATGGAAGATGTAGCTGAATACCGAGGTCGAGAGGTGGAAGACGGGCGACGAGTCGGGCCCCGACACCTTGATTGAAACCGAGTGCATTATGCTGGAAGGGGAGATGTAGGGCATGCGTGAGCGCAAAAGGTAGCAGCCAGGTCTTTAAAGAGCAAGGAAGCCAAGCTTCGATGGCAGCAGTGTGGACGAGGGGGCGGACGGGATGAGGTCCGGGCCGATTATGGAAATAGCCGATGAGCCCCGGGCCATTATGATCGCCGGCGACCACGCCGAATGGTACTGGTGTCGTTATGAACTCTGACCATTTCGTCAAGGCGGGCAGCGTTGACAGCAATGTGGGAAGTGGAGATTGTCCAGATAGTGTCACTGCACTTGTGCAATGTTACCTCTCGTTGTGCCACCAGAGCTATGCCGCCGTTGCTCCCCGCTGGTGTGCCGGCGGCAAGTGCGGCTGTCCTGAATGATAAAGTGCCAATTGCCACAACGTCCCACCAGTTGCATGCCAAGCTTGCCTCCGCCTTGACATGTCTGTCATCTCACACAAAAACTCTACGTGTGGCACAAGAAACTTTGTGTATATATACAGCTATGCTACAACGATACAGGGTACACGCGAACGCGACCGTCACTTCCGACCTGCTTTTGCATTTTACGCGACCTCGGTCCAACCTTCAACGAGCGCGTCGACCGTCGTCGGGTCCACCATGCCATCTTCGCCTGCCTGCGCCTGTGCCTGAGCCTGAGCCTGCGCTTGAGCCTGAGCCTGCGATTGAGCCTGAGCCTGAGCCTGTGCTTGGGCCTGCGCCTGTGCTTGAGCCTGCGCCTGAGCCTGTGCTTGGGCCTGCGCTTGAGCCTGAGCCTGAGCGCGAGCTTGAGCCTGCGCCTGCGCCTGAACCGCCTGCACAACTCCCTCCACATCCATACCCTCCATTCCCAATCCCACACCGTCCTGGGTCTCCGTGGCGGGGTCATGTTCGGGCCACACACCGACCTCGCCACTCGCCCACATCCACGACTCGCCCGTGTCGCGCGGGACGTGTCCGCGGCGCATGACGGGCGGCGGCATGGTGAAGCGCTTGTGCGAGGGAGCCACATGGCCGAGACGCAGCGCGCCCACGGGCTTGGCTCCAGGCGAGACGTTGGCCTGCTGAGAGGCCGGGGTGGCGCGCAATGCCGCCTGAGCAGCGGAGATAGTGTCGAGCCTGCGATAAATCTCATCGAGCTGTGGGCTGCGCCAGGTCGGGGTGCGAACCTCGAGCACCTTTTCGGTGACGCCGTCGGCCCATCCGCCCTTGCCGGCCTTGCCAGTCTCGGGTGGGTTCGAGCCCAATACGTCTAGCCAGTGGGCGCGGCGTTGGTCGCGAATCGGCGCTGCGCTGGGGGAAGTGGCCTCGTCGTGCTCGTCCTCGCCTGCTGACGAGTACTCGGAGGACATGTAGTCGATGTGGAGGGCTGAGGGCGGGAGGTGAACGTCGCCGAACGTCGGGTCGAGAGCGGCCTTGGCCCTGCGTTTCTGTTTCTTTGTCGGGTCAGCAAGGGGGCAATGACGAAAATGACACAACCTACCAAGTCCTTCCTTGCCCAGCGACGTCGGTTCTTGACGTATTTCTCCTTTTTCTTTGCATGACGAGGGTCGACCTCGGCCATGTACCGTTTCGCAAAGTTCTGGAATGCAGTCCTCGCCGCGCCCTGATGGATGGGTCAGTCACCACACCGCGAGCAAGACCCACCTTGACAACCTCCTCCTCGAGGTCCTCTGGTGGCACCTTTGTCCAGCCGGTAAACGCTCTAGCCTCGGCGATAAAGGTCATGCATACGCGGTCGATCCACTGTTGTGTCAGCTGGCATGTTCGGCGGGTGAGTCACCGGTCCGCGTCACCGCTCCTGCACCGTCTCTGGTGCTCTGTCCCAGCGATGGCTCCTCAGGCGCGCAGACATGGTGTCGCCTCAATGACCAGCGGCCCCGCAGAGGCGTCATTTCCATTGATGCACTCACCTGGCTGTTTTGGCCGTCGCTCACACCGGCAGGCCAGTTTGGGACCCAGTACAGGCTTCCCTCGGGCTGCAAGTCGGGTGCCGTGAGCGCCGAGGGAGCCGGGAGGGCATCCTCTGGACCAATGTTCATAGCGAGCCGCATCTTGGTGCGGATAGCGCGCTGCAGCTCGATGCGGCGGCCCTTCTCCACGCGCTTGCCTGTGCCGACATCACGCATCGTGGGTTTGCGGCGCGCGAGGGGCGGCATTCCAGCACCGTGGCCCGGGCCCACGCCGACGATCCCAGGACCCAGCGCGCCGCCCACGCCCATGGATCCGATGGCTGAGCCAGCGCCCGCACCTGGTGCGGACGCACCGACCTGGATGTCGAGCTCTGAGAGGCCGCGCTTGCGGGTCATGGGCACGACATTGGGTGGTGGAGGGCCGACATTGTTGCCGGGGTGTTGTTGCTGCTGCTGGTGTGGATGCTGTTGCTGAGGGATATGGGAGTGGGGGACGTTGCCTGGGTGCTGTGGGTGTTGTGGGTGGACAAAGGAAGGTGGTTGTTGCTGCTGCTGCTGAGCGGCTTGAGCTTGCGCAAAGCTGGCCAGTTGGGACTGGAGAAGGGCATCTTGCACAGATGATGAGACGGGCTGGGATGTTTGTTGGTGCTGATGCTGAGCGTGGTGCTGAGCGTGGGCATGAGCGGCGGCGGCGGCGTGGGCAGCATGGCTGTGTGGGTCGAGCAGGTCGTCGCCTCCGCGCAACGCCAGCGCGCGACGGAGACGGATGACCTCTTGCTTGAGCTGGTCGGGGGTCCACCCGTCGAGAGCCGCGAGCTCGTCGCCCTCACTCAGCCCCTGTGGTTGGAGGTTTGCGAGGGCTGTGATAAAGGAAGCGGTGTGGTCCTCTTCCATGAGATTGTTGGGAAGAATGTTTTGGTCGTGAGAGAGGAGCGTGGACCGAAAGTGAAACCTCGTGCAGCGACCTATTATTATGTGTGCGGCTCGTTGGCTCTGAATCTCTCTCACTGCACCACAGGGCACGACTCGGTGGCGACAAAACACGGAGATGGGAGGCGGCATCTCCGTGGGGAATAGACTGGTCACGTGACTCGTTCCCCATCTTCAGGGCGATTCCCGGCTCTCGACGCGTCGGCGGCGACAAACGAAAGGGACACCACGAGACATCTCCAACGAACACAGCTCTTTCTCGACCTGTTGCTCTTCCCCCGTCTCCCCGCCTGCAGCTCCACAAGCAGCACACTGACACACTCCACTGGCCAGAACAAGACGTTTATCGACGCCTCCACGACCTCGTCTTCGCTTACTCGACCAGCTCCAGCCCATCATGTGGTACGTGCGCCAGATCTCCGTGCCAGGCCGACTGCGTCGCCCCGCAATGACTACTCTCCCCTCCAACCAAGCCGCGCTGACCTGTTTCTGCAGCAAGCACATTCTCAATGCCCAGGTCGCTATCCGCGCCCCATGCTGCCAGAAGTGGTATGACGTGAGTCGTGGGCGAGCTGCCCAACGCGGCGTGTCGTAGCTCTCATTCACCCTTTATACCTTTTACCCGTTTTTGCTGACGCCGCCGCCTTCCCGCTTCCGCTTCCAGTGCCCCGAATGCCACGCCGAGATGCAGGACCACGAGCTGCGCAAGACGATGGAGATGGTCTTCATGTGCAAAAAGTGCAAAAAGGCGTTCCGCAAGGACATGACCGAGTACGAAGAGGCCGACGAGTACTGCCCGCACTGCGACAACCAGTACGTCGTCGAGGCCAAGGAGCCCAAGGCCATGCTCGGTGTGGAGGGCGAGGACGCGCGCGTCGATGCGCGCATGATCAAGGACGACCGCGAAAAGGAGCGCGAGGGACGTAGCCTGTTTGGACGCGACCAGACCCACCAGCTCGACATGCCCACCCAGCAGCCTGGCCGGCCCATGTAAAGGGCTGCTGCCGCACTCATCCCCCCTCTCGTCCGGCGTCCACGAGTGCAAACGAGCACAGAGCACGACCATAACACACACTGTAGTACAATGCATAGCCAGGTCATAATGTCATTAATAAATGTCGACTTTTGCACAGAATCGTACACACACATACACACACGCCGCCGCCGCCGCCGCCCAGGCCCAGCCTGGCAATATACCCCACGAGGCTATGAGCGCAACGCCAGGTTACGCACCTCCCACAGCCGCTTCTCCTCCCTCCGCTCGCGGTCGCGCAAGTCTGAAGTGGACTGGGCGGGGCGCAGCGTCCACCCACGCATCTCGCGGCGGTGTCGGTCCTCGGCCTCTTTGCACTCTGCCCAGAGCTCGGGCGGAATCTCGGTGCCCAGCTGGGGCAACGTGCGCTCCTCCCAGCTCGCGGTCGAGTTGGCAATGCTGTGGCTCGTGTCCGAGACAAAGCGCTGGCTGAGGGCCGAGCCCGTGACGGCGGAGCCGTGGGCGCTGCTGAGACCGATGGAGACGAGCTTGCGGCCGGGCGCGCGTGAGATGGTTCCGCGCAGGTGGTCCTCGTCCTCGTCATCGGCCATACCCTCGAACGGGTCCGGCTCGTCCTCCTCGGGTGGACGCAGAGACACCCAGCACATCTTCTCGGGGTCAAACTTCATGTCGCCCACGATGCGGACGGACGATGGCGCGGTGGTCAGTGGCGAACCGAGCGACGAGCCAGTGTAGTGCGCAATGAGGGCTGGCCGAGTCGACGACGCGACGACGTCAAAGTCGCGCAAGATGGCCTCGTTACCCTCCCACCGCAACGTCTGAGGGTTCCAGGTCATATCGCCGACGACCTTCCTTTTATCCACAGCGCCGAGGTTCTTGATGAGCATAGCCGGTTGCCGGGGTCGCCTCTTGGACGACATTGTCTTCTTGCGGAGCTCGGATGGTTCACCCCTAAGCGTGCTGACCGGAGACTTGTTTTCCAGAGCTGCATTGTCAGTTGAGCCGCCACAAGCGTTGGTGCGTGCAAAACTCACACTTCCGTGGCCTTGCGGACGCCGGGGTAGAGGAAGTATCCACACGGAGATCCTCGATACCTTCCAGCTCGGTACCGTCGCCCCACTGTTTGGTTCGTCGTGTGGCTTCCATGCGGGAGCGGGGCCGAGTGGCTTCCCCGGCACGAGGGAACGAGTTGTGGATGGGCGGACGCATCTTGGCCAGCGAGGACGAGGTGGGCATCGTTAATCGGGATGTAGAGTACATTTGCCGCAGCTGAGGTCCAGTATGAGGATGGGGGTCGAGGTGGTGTGGTGGTTCGGCGTCGGCACGCTGGTGGCCCCCAGCATAAGCATCCTGCAGGCTTGCGAGAGACTGCTTGCGCACGACGGACGGGGATGGTGATGGTGGCAAATAGTGGAATGATTTTTGGGTTCGCAGCCGTGACGGAGTGGTTGGCTCTGGGCGAGCCGACGACGGTGCTGTGGAGGAGGATGGGACAGGTGGCGGTGGCATATCACCACCGGAAATCAAGCGTGGGCGTGACTGTGCACGGTGGATCTCTCGCGTTACAACAAGTGGTGATTCTGGTCGGGTTCGGAGAGCACCACCAGGCTCCCTTGGCGTGGGCGCGCCGCCCGAGACATTGCGCAGCCCCGTGGTGTGTCCGAGCGACGCGCCACCGGCACGACTGGTAACGTTTGGCGTGGGCGACTGGCGACCAAGCCGCTCTCTGTCCCCCGACACTGTCCGCTGCTTGCGCTCAGCTCCGAGCGTAAATGGGACCGGCACGGTGCGCATGCTGCGACGAGTCTTCTCCTTCTCGAGCCGGCGGCTGCTGAGGTCGCTGCGTGGGTTGTCGAACACCAGACCGTCCTCGAAGGAGTCGTCTCCCCGCGCTGTCTCGGTACGTTGGCGTTCTGGGGGTGGCGGCGGCGCATACTGTTGCTTCCGCTTTCTATCGAGGATCGAGTTGAGCACGTTGGTCCGGCGCGCAGCAAAGAGTGACATGTCGGGAATGACAAGGTCGGCCTCAAACCCCTCGTCGTCGTCGTCCATGTCGTCGTGCTTGATGCTGCTCTTCTCATGTGGCTCATCGCTCACACTTGTCATGCTCGTCTCAGAGGTACGATGCCCCGGGCTCTCGTCTCCCCAGAACGCGCCAGCCTTGCGCCCGCTTGTAGATGCAGTACTTGGGGAATCCCAGTCGGTCGTGACAGACGCCATGGAGGCACGGGGGCGCAACACGCGCGGTTGGGCAGAAGATTGGGTAGCGAGGGTGAGGTTCGTGAGATTGAGGGGAAGCACGAGGTCGTCTTCGAGATCGTCTTCCTCGAGTTTCAATGGAGGTGGGGGTGCTCGTGGGCCCTTGATGGTGCCCACTGGGGTTGCTGCCGCTGGTGGTGGGGGAGGAGCCTTGATGGTGTCGTACGCGGTACCGCTGCCTTCTCGACGGCGAGGAGGTGGCAACATGGCCTTGATTGTGGCTCCAGCTCGTAATGTGTCCTGGTCCTCGTCGTCCAGGTCAAAGCCCAACGCGTCCAGAGCGTTTGCGTCGGGCATGGGTTTTGCTCGTCCTGGCGACAATGACAGTTTCTTCAATCGAGGCTCTGCAGGGACGCTGCTAAAGTCGACATCGGCTTCCCATGCCTTTTCGATCGCCTTGGCGCGCGCGCGCACCGAGCCCATGGGAAGGCCGCCACCAGAAACACGTTTGGTTGCTGCTCCCAGGCGCGTAATGGTGCCCACACCGGTGGGTCCCTGTCCAACGACAGTGGCCGTCAGGGAGCGCAAAGACGACGAGGAGCCTCCCGATGTTGTGCGGGACGACGCTTTGGGTGTTGAGGACGATGCGGTGGACGAGGCGGCGACAAGGGCTGAGAGTGGGCCCTTGATTGTGTTGGAAGGGGTGGGAAACGCGTCCGGGAGGTCATCAAAGTCAAAGTCGTCGTCTTCGTCGTCCCGCTCCGGTAAGGGTTTGATGAAGAGCGACATCTTGTTGTGCATTTGCCGCAATGGCGATCCCGAGACGCGTCCGCTCAGAGAATTCCGAGACGATGACAGAGACGAAGGTGAGCCGCCGGACGACGAGAATGACTTGTCGCTCCCCAGATCAAATGACGGGTCCTCTGACCAGTCGTCTGAGGGAGCGGCGTGCCCTCCCGGTGGGGGGATGGGCATGGTGGCGGTGGGTGTATCGGGGAGGTGGGAATGGGGATAGGACTTGTTGTTGATGTGTGGGAGATACGGGCGAGGTGGGATGGGAGATGGACGCGTCTGTGCGAGAGGCGAAAGCGCGTGTTACTCGGGTTGCGCGAGGGGGTGGGCGTGGGGATACAGCCGTCCTAAAGTATGTTGAACATGTCGATGGAGGGTGGGGGAGTACAGTGTTCTGGTGGTAGTGGTGCTGTGATGCGATGGGTGTGATGGCAAATGGGGGGGGGTGGATGTGGATGTGTGAGAGGGATGGATGTTGGACGAAGATGAGAGCGAGTTGCACACCAAGGGGAGGGTTGTGCACCAACGGGGGGGAGAGGAGAGGGGGAGAGAGGTTGCGCACACCCCAGGCTCCAGGCACGGGCAGGCGGCAGCCACAGCGTGTCATAAAATGGGGGGGCGACATTACGGCTCATACAAAACATGAGACCCATTGCACGAAGCATATGGATGGGACAATGTGAGAAGAATGAGGCTCTGGCAAACAACATTAACAACACACATGCACGACACACACATCACACACATGCATCGGCTTCTTATGGATCCCCTCTGCAACTACTCCTGCTCCTGCTTCACGTATTACATTCGACACCCACAGCGCCACTCTCTGCCCTACGCACTCTCGCCAGTCCAGGGGAACGCCCTCTCTGTCCACCCAAGCAGCCGCTCAGCCTTGCTGCAGTCATAGAACCCCTCGTTGCCCTTGTACTCGCGACGGAAGTCTGTAACCTCGGGAAAGTGCTTCTTGACAAGCTCCATGCTGCTCGTTTGCTGAGCAATAGTGGGGGCCACCGTGAAGAAGGTCTCGTGGCCGCACGGGAACTGGCTCTCGGGGACCGTGAGGGAGAGAACGAACGCGCGCGCAAGAGCAGAGTTGGTGACCCAGCCCCAGAGGTCCTTGACGGCTCCCTTGAGCGAGTCCAGAAGCACGGGGTCGTAACCCAGCTCGTCAGTCACAACCCAGTGCGGGCGGATGGTGGCGATGCGCATGTCGGGATACTTGCGAGCGAAAGTCGCACCCTGCTGCTCGACAGCCCTGATTTTGTGCGTCAGCCGGGGGGGGAAGGTCATGTATAATGTATAGCCAACCACTCACACCTTGCAGAGCGAGTAGGCATCCTCCGGGTAGCATGGGTGCGCTTCGTCAAGGGGAAGGTAGTCCAGTCGAGGGTGTTTGGAGAAGACTGCGAACCATGAGCGCCAAACGTCACATTCCACGAAATCGGTGTTCTCCCCGACCTCGGGGCTGACACGCACTCAGTCCGACGGCGTTCACGCTCGATGCCAGTGCGACACGCTTGATGCCCAGCTGAGCAGCGACGTTGAGGGCGTTCCATGACAGTGCCGTGTTGGTGTTGTGGACAACCTGGTGGTGAGTAAGACTGCGGCTTGCGATGGATGACCATATGTTGCCACGTACATGCTCTGGGATATCACGCAGGAGGGGGCCGTCTGGGTTCTTTGGGTCCTGCAGTGAGTAGACGGCAGCGAGGTGGACGAGGGCATCACACCCGCGAACGGCCTCGAGGAACGCGTCGTAGTTGGCCAGCTCGGCCTGCTGGTAGGTGATGCGCTCGTGCAGGGGCAGCTTGCCGTGGGCGAGGTCCGGGTTGATGTGGTCGATGGCGACGACAGTGTGGCCGTCCTCGAGGGCACGCTTGACGATGCCGAGGCCGATATCGCCACAACCGCCCGTCACAGCAATGATCAGCTTTGGAGAGGAGGACATGATGTTAAGAGAGGTCAAGAAGAGACAGGTGACAGGATGAATGGGGAAACGAGCGACGACGTGGTTTGGGTGTCTCTCTCTCTAGACCAATGACCAAGAGGAGAAGGACGGCGGGTTGCGCCGTGTTGCGCTGTCTCAATCTCGGCGTGGTGCCGAGATGTGGCCTGGTGGGATCTTGCCCTCCACACCCCCGCCAAACCCGCCAGTTTCCGGTGCATCCCAGGAGCAACGTAGCGACGAGGCAGCGACGCCGCCGTGTTGCGCACAGGTAACCGCGAGCGCGCTCACATCAGTCAGCCCAGACCGGCCAGACCTCGTTCACCGGTGGGTTTACCCGGCTGGAACCAGCGTGCGGAGGTTCGACGCGCGCAGAGAGGTGGGCGCGCACTGACGCACTACTGTGTCAGTCCGCAGTCGCCAGCAATAGTCCGTCGAGGGTCAGGTTGGGAGGAACACCTGGAGGCTGCATGAAGACGCTTGTGGCCGGTGGTATACAAGAGAATCATACTACACACACGAGCTCGGCCACATCGGCCATTACAAGGGGCACACGGCTGCCGTTCGGTTGTAATAGTTGCCGTGTAATGTGCGGCCCGGCCTTAATCTAGCAAATAGGAAACACAGACGTCGCAGGATATATATATGCCGTGGCCGCCGTGGATGGGCCGCTGTCGAACTTTCTACACCGTTGCAGAGGCCATTGTGCCCGCGCGAACGGGATGGTTGTTCAGCTTGCCGTCAAAGAAGCCCTGTACAGCCTCGAGCGTCTGCTCCGTCGTCTCTTGGACGCCAGTCTCGCCCGCGTTCGTCATGGCCTCTTTGACAGTGACGCCCATGTCGCGTTCCAGCACCCGGCCCACAACGCTCGTCTCGGTCGTGACCGTCATGCTCGTGGTTGACACCGAGGAGGCTTCGGCTCCAGCCTCGGAAAGCACAGTGTTGGTGACTGTCGACGTTGATGATGAGATGGCCTTTACCTCACCGGGATTCGCGCGTCCGAGCATCGACAGCAGCGACGATTCTGAGAATGGAAGGAAGGCGTCAGCCCCGGCCCGAAAACCCAGTGGTTGTGCTTCTTCAATCGTCCTCGTTCCTCGTGACCGTGACGAGAGAGGTCGAGGCCCCCAGATGTACCTACCATTTGTGCCAATTGCCTGCTTCGCAACGGCCGCGGCCTCCTCTCGAATCGCGACGGGGTTGAGCGCCTCATGTCCAGCAGACCGCACTGCTACCGCTGCCTCTGAAGTCGCAGTGGCTCGCACCACTGCCGCGCCCTCGCTGGCCATGATCGAAGCCTCTTCTCGCGCCACCGTCATCATTTCGCGGAGCGCGACAGATGCCATTGGCCCGTGTGGTTAGGAGAGTGTAGAGGGGTTGTGGGCGGCCACTGGGCGTAGACGAGTTATGCAAAGGTTTGAAATGGGTGTTGTTGAGGTGTTAGAGGTGGCGGTTAAAATACTGCAAACGAGGTTCTCGATATAGCATGTGCAAACACCTCGTGCTGCATAGCATGATGTTGAGGACGAAGCCGACAACGAGGAAGGTGGGGCTCTTCCGCGACGGGTGCCAGGTACGCACCCCGACGTCATCGCGGACCCCGCCGCTCCAGCAATTAAGTTATTGATTCCACCCCCTTTTTAATCTCGACTTATATTTCTGGGATTTTATTTGTTTTATCCGCCACGTGGCTGAAAGCGAGGGTTCGAGGGTTCAGCGTGACTGTACTTTTGATGCCGCGCGCGTAATGATACTCTGAACGGTGCTGCTGCTCGCTGAGGCTTGCCCTTGTCCCGGGAGGAGGTCGTCCATGACATTGATCACTACATCCTCTCGCTTCACGCTCATTAGCCACACACACCTAAAGCCAGACGTTCGCGACCACCACGCGTCTAGAACTCGCCATATAAATCTCTCGGCAGGCGCGCTCCTCCCTTCCTCATACCCGCCATGTCCAACTCGTCGTGGCCACCTCAGCTCAAGTTTGTTGATCTCGTGACCCCCCTTCCGTCCGCCAATTAGCACTGACGCGTGACCCCCTCTGCAGAGCTTGGGTGCAAGATTGTTTGTCCAAAGCGACGACAGCTAACAAGGCTGCTGTCAATGCCGAATTAAAACAGGTGAGCTCCTATGGGGCGGCATAAGCTCACCGTTAGATCCTCTTCCAAGCACACCGAGACAACTCTGTCAACACGACAGACTGGTCAAAGGTCGAGCTCAACGCGTGTGTATCTTGGAACTTTGGACTGTGTGCTGTGACTGAACTGTTTCTCAGACTCAAGGCCCAGACGTACAGGACGGCTGTCGCTCCTCCCCCGCCTCCGCCGCTGTCGTATCCTACGTTCGCTGCTCCGGTGTATACCACCCCAGCAGCAAGCGTGACAACACCGACAACACCAAAGAAGAACAAGAAGAAGCGCAAGAAGTGGGTATCTGAGCACAGACGGATCTAACCCACTTAGTGATATCCACACTAATAACGCGACCACCACAACAACCACGACTACATCCACCTTCCCCTCGGCGTACACCTTTGAGTCGGCAGAGGAGGCAGAGGCCAAGGCGCGTCGCCTGGCGCGATTCCAGACCCCGGCCCAGCCCTCGTCGTCGAACGGTACCGGTGTCGGCCACTGGTTCAACCCGGACGAGGATGCGGGAGGGTCGGCTCTGGGCAGCAGGATATCTGGGGGACCCGTGTCTCCGACATTAGGTAGGAAGAAGCTAAAGGGCAAGAGCGGTCTTGGATACTCGGAGGTGCACGAGGCGGATCCCGTGAGTTGATAAGATCCTTTTGTAGGGAGCCTAAACTGACACCCCAGAATGTTATCGACTGGGACGCGTACACGATCCGCGGCACGTCAACCAAGCTGGAGAAGTCGTACCTCCGGTTGACGTCTGTGAGTTTCTGGGCTTGATGGAGGTAGCTAACCCCGCCAGGAGCCATCGCCCGCTGATATTCGTCCTCTGCCGGTGCTTCAGCAGACTCTACAGTTGCTCAAGCAGAAGTGGAGGGCCGACCATAACTATGCCTACGCGGTGGACCAGTTCAAGAGCATGCGCCAGGATCTTACAGTGGGTTTGGCATTTCTCGATAGCTTCTAACCCGTCCAGGTCCAGCGCATCAAGAACGAGTTTACCGTCGAAGTGTACGAGATCCACGCTCGCATTGCTTTGGAAGCAGTAAGTGTACCTCTGTTGGTCTTAATACTGACCTGCTCAGAAAGACCTCGGCGAGTATAACCAGTGCCAGTCCATGCTGCGCCAGCTGTACGAGTTGGGTCTGCCGGGCCACCCAGCAGAGTTCCTGTCGTACCGCATCATCTACTTGCTGCACACTCGCAACCGCAGTGGTAGGTCACACAACATGTAACGGATCGCTCTAACCCATCTAGACATGGCCTCCATGCTGTCCCAGCTCACGCCCGAGGAGAAGGCCGACTCTGGTGTCGCCCATGCCCTCGAGGTTGCTCGTTCCTTGGCGACGTCCAACTACACAAAGTTCTTCAGGCTCTTCCTTGAAGCGCCAGCCATGAGCGGCTACATCATGGACCACTTTGTCGAGCGCGAACGCGCACAGGCTCTCGCTGTCATGTCGAAAGCGTGGGTTCCTCGGTGGCTATGTGGAGCTAACCCGCCCAGTTACCTCACTCTTCCCCTTCCTTATTTGACAAAGACGCTGGCGTTTGAGTCGGACGAGGAGACCGACAAGTTCCTGTCCGAGCACCACGCCGCCATCTACGTCAATGTTCCGGACCCCAATGCCCCCGCGAAGCGTGACCCCGCCAACCCCTGGAAGTCCATCTCCAAGCCCAAGCCTGTGCCCCTTGAAGACCGTATCTGGGACTGCAAGAAGGCTCACCATGCGTGCGCGAAGGGAGTCGAAAAGTACCGCGTCGTGGACATCAAGGGCCAGGTCGACTAAAATGACAGTGGACCAAGTGAATCGTCGCAGCGGTCGGGACTGGTGGTCTCCTGAGGACTGCTGTCCGCTTCAGCACCAGTCATCACGTCTCCGTCTCTTTTCTTCCATCCCCACCACTCAAAAAGCGCACTCACGAGCGCCACCAGCAGCACAGCACACCTTCAGGCATCACCTAAGTTGTTCCCTCCGTCTCGGGCTCGTTTCTCAGGCTCTGGCTCTCTTGCACCTGCACTAAGGGCGAACACGGATAGGACAGACCCTCAAGACCACGGAAATCATGGTAAGGACGCGTCTCCCCCTCTCTGTTTTCTCATCTCTTTCCACTCTTTATCCTGCGTTTTTTTGGCGCTGTTGTACAACCCACCCTGCTCCCTCATGTCACATTTGCATTGGACTCACAAACGGGTGCGACTTGTCATTGCCCGCTGTCGCTGTTCAACCAGTCAGTCTCACTCGTCGCTGACTCCTACTGACCAACCCTCAACGGCGTCTGGTAACGCGACTATAAACATGCATGCGGTTGACGCGGATGGACTGACTATTAACAGATATGGCTCGCCAGGCAGGATGGGTTTGACAACGGGAGACGATTGGGGTGGCGCAATGGCGAGGTCGGGGCGCGAATGAAGTTGTGGGGGATGAGGGTGAGGTGGTGGGTTTACAAAGGCTACACACATGTGGGAATACAAGAGATGAGTCTGGATCATCGAGATCGAGAGAAATAGTAGCAGAGAAGAGAAGAGAGGCGGGTGGTTAGCGGCCTTGGAGGAGCGCGTCCATCGCCGCCGGGTGGACGCCCAGGACGAGCACGCCAGCCGCCTCGAGCGCGCGCGGGACAGCGCCGCGCGTCGCTGGGGGAGACTCGCGCACGCCGGCCAGCCAGCGGCGGAACTTGTCCATCGTGAGGGCCCGGCCTCGGCGGAGGTCGGCTGCGGGGCGTGAGCACACTTTTCTCTCTTCTCCAACCCCCGGTCCTGGAGCGAGCCTCGACTCACCCTTCTCAGCCTCGGCGCGGCGGGAAGCGCCAGCGACGGCGAGCACTGTGTCGGCAGTGGGGCCAGCGGGGAACTGCGGGGGAGGGAGGTGTGCCGTCCTGGACGTCGAGCCCAGTGCGAGGATCGCGGCGCGGAAGAGGTCATACACCCTCTGCACGGCTGGGAGGTGCAGGTCGGCCGTCTGCGCGGCGGCCCTCGGACAGTCGCTGCCCAGCATACAAGGCGGTTCGGTAGCGGCAGGCCCGCACTCGTCTGTGAGGAGGGAGGCCGGGTCGTAAGCCGCGCCGTCGGCTGGGTCGGTGTAGAACAGGTCGTGTGGGAGGCGTGCGAAGAGGGTGCGCGAGGACAAGAGGGCGTGGACGTCCAACACTTGTGGCAAGGGCAAAGGCGGGGCGACGGAGGAATCGTCGTCGTCGTCGTCTTCGTCGTGGTCGTCGGTGAGATCCGACCCGGTACTGGACTGGACCATGCTGTCCACCTCGTCATCGCGCTCTGCCTCGTCGTCGGGAATGAGCTCGACGGCAAGAACGTCGGGGCTGACGGCCACGACGCGCGCGAGCTTGGTCCCCACTACAGCGAGCGAAAATGGCCCGCCACCGGACTGCGCGCACGACGCGGCGAATCCCAGAGCGCGAGCGAGAGCGTTCGAAGCAGCGGAACACTCGTCCTCGGCAAGCAGGGCTCGTGCAGTGGAAGCAAGCTCGTCGACGTGAGGGTAGCAGGCGGCGAAGTCGACCGTGTGGGTGCCGCCGGCGAGGGCGAGGGCCATGAGGTGCGGCTTGGGTGGCGCGAGGTCGTCGGTGGGAACGTTCCCAGCGAGGTTGGTGACAGTGATGCCAGAGGCGGCCAGGACGCGCGCCCAGGCATCGAGGAGGTGCTCAAAACGCTGCTGCTTGTGGCCGTCTTCCTCGATGGTGCTTGTGGACGTTGGTGCGCTGCACGCCTGGTCAAGCGACGTGTCCGTCGACTTCTGCCATCAGCCTCAGTCCTAAACGACCCCGCACAACAGCTATTTCTGACCCTCGCAATACCGGTCGCAGGGTCCTTTCACCTCCCCACATTCCTGTACTCACCACATGGGAATCGATGACTGCCCCGTTGGGCACTTGGGGGTCATGTTTCGCGGGGGCTGGAACAGTTTCGAGCGCGGCGACAAAGTTGCGCCACTGTACAGCACTGGCCCAGCGTCCGAGCGCCTGTCGCGTGAGTCGCCTGTCGGGCAAGGCCGCGACTGAAAGAGTTGCGAGTGGGGCACTGTGTACGCCGCATGCACAGCGGGCGACCAGCGTGCGGTCCGGGTAGACCATGTCAAGGCGAGCAGGACCGCCGCGGCTGTGGGCTGGAGTTTGGGCAGTGTCACTCTTGGCTTCCAACACTGGCGAAAGCCTGGATGTGTTACCGGGACGGCCGTCGTTTACCAAGGCAGTGTACGCTTCCTGGAACGGGGACATGGGGTACATCCCGTGTGGGGTGATGGCTGGGAGGTCGATCGAGAGGAGCTCTGCGCGCGGCGAGGCGTCGTCGAGTTCAAACTCGCCGTCGTTCCAGCGGTTCATGAGTGACGCCAGGCCGTAGGCGAGGTGGTATGCGTCGCTCTCCCGGACCGCGACGTCACGGAGGACCCGCGAGAGGGTGCGGTGCGCGCCTGGTGCGGCAGCGAGGGCCGCAGAGTGCTCCAGGGTGTGGGCACCCCAAGAGCCGGCAGGATAGGCATCCAGTGCAAACTCTTGCGACTTGGCGAGCGGTGAGAGTGGCGATAAAGTGGAAAAGTACGAGAGGTGCAGAGTCGACGCGGGGGAGGTGCTGAGCGTTGCTGGCAACGACAGTGGTGAAGCCGGTGAGGATGTTGAAGAGCATTGCAGGGACAGCAGTGACTGCACACCTGGTGATGTCGCTGGCGGTATCGCTGCGTACGCTGCATACCCCTCGTGTGTCGCTGGCGGTGTCTGGGCGAACGGCGCGTATTGTGGCGGCTGGTGATCGTCAGAGTACATTTCAGAGTACATTGGCGGTGGCGAACGTGGTGCTCGTCTCTTAATGTACGCTCGCCACAGCTTCTGATCAGACGAAGCGTGCCGACGACTGGTGCTTCGCGGTGTGTGTGTGCGTGCGAGCGGTGGGTGCGGTGGTGAACTTCTGGTGATGGCAGTCAAGCCAAGGTCGACGGATGTGTGCCCTGTGAACCCTCGGCTGCGACCGCGGGAATTGGAGCAGGCCAGGCGGCGTCGATGGGTCACGGTGAAGGTCTCGCCGCGCTCGACGAGCATAACGGGATGTGGGTGGAGACGCAAGTGGGGGTAGCGTCGTCCACGTTTTAAGAATGAGAATGTGCCCGATATCGGCAGCGCGCATCCCCTTCGTGGCTCGTGGGCCCGTTGCCGCAGCCACCGGAGCCGCCGCCTCCCTGCCCAGCTTGGGAGCGACCCGCACCGCGCGACAGGCATCTGTGACCGTGCTCTAGCCCTTGTCTGTCCCCAACACAACGACGAGAATGGGCAATGCGCCACTTGCGGCCGCCGCTTCCTCCAGTGCCTCTACTGAATCATGACGGGCACAATCAAAAAGATACCTCGAGGCAGACGCAAAAAGATCTTGGAGCCACGGGAAGGGGAAGACGTGGACCAGAGAGAGGCATCACACGCCAGCCCCTCTCCTGGGGGAGGGTCCCGAGAAGCGGCTGCGGCACGCGGCGTCGGCGCACAGAGCAGGTCGGTGACTAACCTAGGCACCGTCCGACAAACTCCAACGAGGGCAGTGTCCAGCCAGAGACGAGCGCCGATCATGGGCCGAAGTCACCGGCCAACCGGTGGCCTCACCATATCGTGCGTCTCAAGGAGGTGGGTCACAGCTCAGGAGGGGAAACTTATCTCTATTGTGAATAAACAGGGTGCGGACATGCATACACACATCACACAGTACACAGTTGCCCCTGGCGGTGTGTGCTGTTTTTTGACAAGAGATCTCACCGCGGACCCAACCAGGTGGCAGGGATAAGTACGTTTGCTTGAGGTAAGACGTCGTCGTGTACGGGCTGGTTGATGGCTGTCCCACGACATTGGCACTGTCCATCAAATGCTACGGAACATAGGCCCGTGGGCGTTTCAGCCCCCGCAGTTGCCAGCGCCAGCCACCAGGCCACCAGTGGTCAGACGACGTATAACGGAAATTGGCTGGGCCTGGCCGAATTTAAGCCAACATTTAATCGATTTTAAGTTGGACACATTGGACGCGCGCGCTAGAGGGGACCTATGCCGTGCCGTCTCCGGTCAATCAGCATATTAAAAGACCATGTGACCTACTAAGAATGCATGAGATTGATGATGGCCATAACGGGGGCCACTGTCATGGTGCGCTCGCCGCTCGGTGGACCGCCACCGATCGGTGTGGCGCCGGCAGCCTGTGCCGTCGGGAGGGCATTGTTTTCCCTTGCTTGCCACTCCAGGTGCTTGATGGCGACGAACAATCCGTAAGTGGGACATATACAAAAGCTTGGATGCAGGATGTCTTCTTGAGAACCATCCTTCCCACTTCCTGTCCGTGGCGCTGCAACACTGCCCACGCATACACCTAATTGTCGCCCATTTCCAGCTTCGCCAGCCTCCAGATCCAGGTCCCCCACACGCCTCCGGTCGTGTGCGTGTGCGTTTGCCTCCCTGCACTTCCAGGTCCGACTGTATCTCTGGGTCGATGCATTTGTCTCCGAACGTATACGGCCTGAACCGGCACGCCGTGAACTGCGGTGGAGGAAGCTGCGAACCAAAGTGGGTAAGCGCTGGTTCCTTGTCGCTCAACGCCACCTAATCCTAGGAGCGGTGTGGATTATATGGCTCAGTGTCCTCAGCCGCTTCCGGGTGGACAGTAGTAGTACTGTCTGGGGGACGTCGGGTTCCGATTCTTTGGCATGAGGTTCGAGGTTCGGACTTCGCACGTCGGGCGACAAACGTCATTTCCGAACTGACTGTATGGCTGTCATATCCATGTACGCTTGGCATTTGGTACGCCACGCGTTCACTGACATATGCGCACCTGATGTGACTGGGAGACGAGTGCATGAGTTACATACGAGGCCCACCCCCGCCCAGGGGTTGGTGGATGGGCTTCTCCTTGTTCTCCCCTAACTACCTTCGCTCTTGACCTCCTTTGGTGTCTCCGTCTCCTTGGCCTGTGGTTTGTCACGGTTATGCAGTTCTCCAGGTCTAAGCAGCAGTCCGCGGTTGACCGCCAGGAGATTGCCCATGGACAGGACGCCAAGTAATGCGAGTCCAGCGAAAGCTGCGACAACAACATAGCAGTGTTGGAGGGCCGCCATATGTTCAAGGCCCGGGACGACGAGCTGCCGTTGATCGCTGGCGAGTTTGTTTGGTTCAAAAGTATTGTTAAACATCCACCCCAGGGCCGAGAGTGCGGTGAGCCGCCCGAGACCAGCGCCTGCGCGCGCTCAGCTAGTCATACCCAAATTCAGACTTACTGAGGGTTCCGATTGCGCCATTCTCCCTATCCTTGCTGTCGTCTGAGCTCTCAAACTCCGCGTCCGTAACGTTGTGGGACAGACCAATTCCCAACCCAACTAGAGTGGCGAGTGTCATCACACCGAGCCCGTGTGAAGCCTCCAGGAGAGCCACCAGGACTAGCACCGACGAGCCGGTCACGGCACTGAGTTTGTAGGGCTTGTCGTAAACCCGGTACGCCGTAGCCATCGTGCCGCCAATGAAAGTCACCACGGCCAGTGCCGAGAGCGCCACCCCTGCCGATGTCGCTGTGCGGCCGTTCTCTTCCACAACCATGACCATGAGGTACCGCACAACGGTTTCAGCTCCGGAAATGCCTGCTGTTGTCAAGGATGACCCACTGGAAATCAGCGTGGGCTCGGTCGGGAATGTTCACCTACATTCTGGCTCGATTGTCGAACAGCCCAACGGGTACCAGTGGACTAGCGGTATGGGCTTCCCAGATTAGAAACGTGACGAGCAGGATGATGGACGCGACGATGGCCGGTTGGGTTGATAGCCCCACCCTCTCGCTCCCAGAAGACGCCAAGATTCCGATACCAGTACCCATGAGCAGGACACAGCCGACCCAATCGGTCCCTTTGGGCGCCAATTCACTCTCGGTGGAGAACTCGGATGTTGCATCGACCTCGGCGCTTTTGGGAACCCGTACTGGGACGAAGAAGGCGAATGGAAGAGCCAGACCCGCGAGTACGACTTGAGCCCAGAAGACTGTACGCCACGGGTAGTGTGATACGAGGTACCCAATAACGCTTGGAGCGATATCCGCGCAAATGCTGTAGGTGATCGCCTGTCATTTAGTGGACACAACTCAACATGCTTGAACACACGTACGTCGAGGACGAGGACGTAACTGTCTTTAAACAGTTCCATAGATGCCCTGCTGCAGGCATTCCACATAACAGTCGTGGCTAGGCTTTGTGCACCATGAGCAGAGGCGATTGCGAGGACCGAGTCGGCTCGCGCAGCGAGCCACGAGCACGTTGCGCACGAGATGATGCCGATAACGATAACCCGAAGTATAGGGAGCTCTCGAAGCAGCTGGGATGATAACAATCCCAACATCATTGTGGATAATCTAACAGTTAGCTGGAAACGGTAATGGCACGCACGAATATGAACCAGCGTACCACGCCATGACGGAGTATTGTGTGACGGAGTATAGCGGTGGCTGGGTTTTCGACAGGTCTGTTGCGATCGCAGGCCATATAAGCGGGCCGGGTACCGATATGAACGTGCACAGGCAGGTGCCCATGATAATGCAGATGAAGCACATGACCTTACGGCTGTGGGACACCCCATTGTCGCTGCCCCACAAACTTATGGGTGACAACTGGTCTGTGATGGCCTCTGGAGATGTCCTGCAGGCGGACACGGAATGCCCGGTTACTGCGGCTCCAGGTTCTGTCGGTGGTGACAAGGGTGTATCGTCACCCTCGACCAGCCTTGATTTCGTCGCTGGTAGTACCATCCTCAGTGTTGCGGCGTTGGTGATGGAAGAGAGTGCGCTGTGCCACTTCAAGTATGGCTTCTGCTTGCTTGCTGCGCTGACGACAGTGCTCGGCACCGCCAGGCACGGCCCGGCAGCAGTGAAGCAGCCCTCTCCCTGCTGGCGGCAACGCCACAATTCGCCACAAAGGAATGATCCAAGTCCTACCGAAAAGTGTCAGTCTGCTGTGTCCATGCATGCTCGGTGCACGACATCCTGACAGCATTAAGAACCAGCTATCTTGGTTTTCATCTCGTGAGTCACTCGGTAGACGTCGACCTGAGAACCTGAGACCGCCGAGTGGGAGACCCGCCGAGTGCTGGCGGGCAGCCTCTAGCACATACCCGTCGTCATCCAACATGCAAACTGCAAAAGCTATCCGGGTTATGGCGAGGAAATACCACTGATCCACTGAGATGGCACTTCAATCAGTATATACCGGCCTCGTCTGATAGCCGGACAAACAACGTGTGTCAGTAACGGTCTAATCAGAGGAACTGGCACCAAAGGTCGTCCCGCGATTTAGATCCAACGACGCTAACTGACGATGCTAACCTGCGTTTATCAGATCTCAAGCGAGAAGCGATGGTCTACAAGTACTTTATCAACTTGATAGGCGCGATCTGTGGGCGCAGTCCCGTCGTAAGTGCACTGGAGGGAGTACTACATGCCGCTAAGTCGCTCCACCCGTCCGGCTACTTGCCAACTGCTCAGTTTCCATCGTATCGGCTTAACCAAGAGATATGCCCACGACGGTCCCATGGTCTGATAACTGACTTTGTTCAATCTGACCTCCTGCTAACCTCAGTCTAAGACGTAACAACTCATGCTGGTGCTCACTCTGGCAAGCCATGTCGAAGTGGTCCATACAGTAGTGAGGTTATATGGTTTACCGGTCGCTGTCAGAAGGGATATAAAAGGCGACTCTTGAGGTCGCGAATGGAGTCTGTCAGTCTGTCCCAGTACAAGCAACCTCAACAATGAAGTACACCGCCATTTTCGCTGCCTGCCTCGCCGCCACCACCGTCTTTGCGGGTGCCATTGAGTACGTCTCGCCTTCAGCTTCCGCCACTGACACACCAGCCCCAACACCGTCGACCCCTGTATCAAGGGCTGCGTCTCCGACGCTGCGTCGGCCGTCGGCTGCAGCGACCCGCTCGACGCCAGCTGCCTCTGCGGCTCCAAGAGGAACGACTTTACCATCAAAGCCCTCACTTGCCTCCAGTCCAAGTGCCCGGACAAGATCGCCCAGGCTGCCGGCCTTCAGTCGCAGCTGTGTGGCTAAGTCCATGATTAATCATGTTCGCTCCGTACTGAAGATGAATGCAAAGAAGTTGACGTGGAGGAGTAGTGATACATTTGAAGGAGTGGTGATACATTTGCTGCCCGTTCTATTGCCTCATGAGCTCGGTGACGACCTCGTCCAGCTGCTTGTGGATATCAAAGTGGCCAAGCTCGTCGTACTCGTACAATGTTGAGTGAGGCATCCGTTCAGCCATATGCCTGATCATCCGTATTGGGGAGCGGGCGTCCTGCGTCCCGTGCCAGATATTCACCGTGTCGTACATGATGTCCTCGAACCGGAACCCCCAGTCGGTAGTGAGGAGGCGGGCCTCGTCGACCGTAGCTTGAGAGCCCTGCGCGAACCCTTCAAGAGTGATTCGCAAGAGCCTTTCCCTCGCTGCTTCCGGGTCAGCAGCTGCCTCGGGTGACTGTTGGGCTAGCCACGCGTCTATGCGTTTGGCCACAGGGCCCGAGTTTGCAATCCAACGACCTAGGCCGACCATTGTCGCCGTCGTGGCCCTGGCAAGTAGCGGGGTGTTGATTGCCATGAACGAGCCCACGCGCGACACGACTGGCATGTCGTGGATGCCTGCCGTCCAGGGTGGTGCCCCCGCAAGAACGCCTACTGCAGAAAGGCGTTCTGGCATGGCGAGTGCACATGCCAGAGCATATGGTCCGCCTCCTGACCCTCCCAGGATAGCTGTCCGATCCAACCCGAGGTGATCCATCAGCGCGGCCGTGTCCGCCGGCCAGTCGAGGATCCGCCGTCCAGGCTGCGGCGTTGAGATGCCAAAGCCTGGTCGGTCGGGTGAGATGAGGCGTAGGTTGTGCTTGTCAGCGACAGTCGCAATGCCTGCCACCTCGAGTCGAGAGCCCGGATAACCGTGCAAGAACATCAACGGTGTTCCCGAGTCGACGCCGTACTCGGCGTACCCTAGAGTTCGGCCATCTGGAAGCGTAAAAGAGAGGGTATCACGGCTGGCCTCGCTATGGCGACTGGCAGAAGAGAAAGCGCGGACGTGGGGCCGAAAGGCTGTGGCTTGCCGTCCTGCACGCATGGATGTCGGGGAGAGATTGTGTAGAGTCAACAGATCTGGACGCCAAACATGGGCCCAAAGGCTCAAGAGCAACATGACGTCAGCCATAGTGGAGGTGGTCCACGGCGCATAGTGGCGGCTCGTCTACCCCAAGCAAGCACCGCCCTCTCTCCCTGGCGTACAGACTCTGTCCAAGTATTCATCACATGCTTGCTTCTCGACTACCTAGATGTAATCCACTTCTGAAAGCCATCGTAACCGGTGCTGTACTCTTCAAATTCCATGGGGTCCCTAAATGTGCCGCCTTCCGACTGACCAGTTTCGGTGCTGTAGGCCTGGACCTTGGAGGCTCGCTCATAACGTCCCTTGAAGAAGGTCTAAAAAGTAAGCCTCTGTGCTCTCTCCTGTGTGAAATCTCACTTGCAGCCTGCTCTCCAAGTCCTCCCTGTTCCTGCACGGTTCGTCAAATACCACACCGAGTGCCTCCTTTTTGTCAGCTGAATGACTCGTGGGCAGCGTGACTCACTGCATCTTCAATGCTCTGCGAAGCACCCTGGCCCCTAAGGGGAAGCATGGCATGTGCCGCATCGCCAATAAGGGCCACTCGTCCGCGAATCCATGTCGGCAGGGGAGGTACGGTGCGCAGCTGCCACAGGGCGGTTGAGCTTGTCTCCTTGAACACGTCGAGGAGCCACTGCGGGAACCCGGCAAACGACTGCAGGAGCTTGTCCACCGAGCCCTCAGAGGTCCAAGCGTTAGACGTCGTTTCTTGAACGTGCTCTACAATGTCAGCCTAGTACGGGCGAGAGGATCGACTTGCCATCTGGTACGAGTGCCACGATTGACAACACAGTCCCGTTCCTGCACGGTCCCATGACCACCCGCCGGTCCCCGCCGATAACCATCGTCGTAAGCGGCTTCATAAACTGCTTGGCCTCGGGGATGTGCTCAAGGCTTGAGATAGGGGTGAGAATACGGTACGCAGAGGTACCGGTTGGCTGGGGCTTGGGGGCGTTGGGAATGACAATCTCACGCAGTCGCGAGTGAATGCCGTCGGCACCAACGATCAAGTCGGCTGAGAACTGGGCCCCGTCCTCAGTCTCAACAGTGCCGCTGCTGGAGTCGCAAAAGGTGACCTTCTTGTTCAGCTCGACGCGAACCTTGCAGTCGGGGACGGTGGGATGGGTGGCCAAATGAAGCAGGTTGTTGTGCAAGTCTACGCGGTGGAACACGAGACGCGGGGAAACAGAGTCCTTTGGGAGCACGACTGTGACTGTGAGCTTTCGACGCGCATGCTACGCGTACCAGACTTGAAGAGGTTCCCCTTGTCATCAAAAATTTCAAACCCTCCATCTCGAACACCGCCACTGCTGTCAGCGACGTTCCAGGAAAAGAGCATACTTGTTGGCCATGTAGTCGTAGACACCCCATTTACGAAGAATTCTGCTGTCAGAGAACTGATGCAGAGTGCGAAATCAACATACTTTGTAGCGTTCGCTTGGAGGGAGATGGCGGCCCCAACTTCGCGGAGGAACTTGGACTGCAGTGTCAGGTTTTGGTAACGAGGAAGAGACATACCTGGTCAAGAATGATGATCTCACGCCCAGGCTTATGGAGCGCGATCGCCTTCGGTCAGCTTTCAGCGGATGTGCGGAAGATCGTACAGTTGCCAAACCCGCGATGCCACCGCCCACCTGTGTCGTCAGCTCCTTGCCATGGCTCTGGAGCTTACGATGATGATGGTAAACTTGTCGGTGGTCATTGTCGTTTAGTGATTAGTTAATACTACTAGAGTACTGTGGGTCTCTGGATCTCTGGGCCAGGTTCACAGACTCGTCGCTATATACATGAGGCTGCAGCGATAGGAGCCGAAGCAGTGGAGTGGCGGCGCGGAAGCGGAAGGTTCCGTTCCGCGATATTCCAAATAGGCTTTGGCCATGCGGGTGGGCAAAAGGCAACATGCACATTGGTTCGTTGGCCCATTGGCTTAGCAGGACAGCATCATGTTGCCCGTGTCACCGGGATTCACAGCCATGGCGGGGCCCAGGTTGCAGACCAAGCCATGGTGCGTTGCAGGACACCTGTTCCCAAATCGCCAAACCGCGCCAGAGCCACACCCATCTCCACCCGCGGTGGAAATGTCTCCGCGTCGCCCCACACACCGACCTGATTCCCCCGCATTTCGCATGGCGAGTGACCGAACCTCCGGACCACCCACTCCGTCTTGTTGCTGCCCACTCGGTGTCCTCTTATTTCCTCCATCACACTCCATCCCCACGCCATGCCTTCTTTGCAGGCGAGACACGAAAAACGAGCTCATGATACCATGTCCCAACATACCCGGCCGTCGAGTCCAGATGGCAGGTCATCCACATCCCAAGACGGCGAGCCGGGTCAGAGTACCGACCGCCCAGGGAAGAGGATGAAGTATGCGCCCAAGGCATGGTGAGTTTGGGCTCGCCGTGGCTACGCGTCCAGCAGCTGACCCATGGCAGCGAGGGGTGCCGATCCCGAAAGATTAGGGTATGCTGAGAGCCGTGGACTGTTGCTGACTGCAAGTGCTCGGGCGAGCGACCGTGCTTTCGCTGCGCGCGAATGGGCAAACACTGCACCCTCCTCGACGAGCCCGTGGCTATCAGTGTCCCACAGACCCAGACGACCTTTGCCATGGCAAGCGAGACAGCACACCCTTCCTCGACTACCCTGCAGCACTCCATCACCTCCCTCGTTTCCGGCCTCCAGGTGATGGAGGCAAACATGATGGCGATGCGTCGCGCAATGCTCGAAGCCGGCCTGAACGTACCTACCCTCGAGGGTGTGTTGCCCACGGTCGGCGAACGAGAGGGAAGTCCATCACCCCAGCTTGTCTGGGATCACGCGGGGGCCGACTTGTATGCAGGTATGGAGTGGCTTTAGCTGGCATAAAGCTGACATTAGCGGAAACACAAGGTGTTCAGCCTACAAACGCACTTGCTGCTCGACTGGCCAATGAACTGGACCCAGGTAGACCGATTTCTCGTACCAATGGAATCTCTCCTGTCTCTCCGCTATCAGCTTCTGCCGACTTTGCGGAGTCGGCGCGTAACCTGTCCCACACCACGATCGACCAGCCCACTGTGCAAGTCCAGTGCGGGTCCATGACCGTTTCACTACCTGTCGCCTCCAAGCACACCGAATACTTGGACTGTTACTTTGCACAGCTCAATTCCTTCCATCCTACCGTCAACGAGAACCAGATTCGCGAGCAGTCTGACAGGCTTTACGGTCAAATTCTTGGCCGCAGGGGCCACAAGGTCGTCCCTTCATCCTCGGCCCCATTTCTGGCCCTCCTGCTTTCCATCTATGCCAGCACGGAGGCCCTCCAACGCTCCGTGTCACCGCCGACGGACTCCAGACGACCTGGCTACCCATGGTATCGCCAAGCTCGCGACCTTACGGGTACCAGAGAACGCCCTAGCGATGTCAGGGACATTACCAGCGTTCAGACGCTGGTCATCCAGACTTTCTTCTTCGTGTACTCTGGAGACATGCTTGCGGCATATGCAACCATCGGACGTGCTGCTCGCCTCTGTTACTTGCAGGGTATCAATCGACCACTCCGAGCGTCAAGCGCGACACCATTCGAGTTACACATGCGGCAGCGCGTGGTGATGGTTGTGTACTTTATGGACCACCGCTTGTCTTTAAACACTGGCCGACCATACTGCATGCGGTGGGACGACATTGACGTCTCTGAGCCATCGGGCGTCAACGATCTGGACGTCTTCCATGACATGCCTCTCCCCCCAGAGCCAACCGTCAGCAGCCTGCAACCCTACCTCCGATGGTACCTGGCGTTTGCCCACTACGCTGGAGCCACGTATGACTGCATGTCCAGCGGCAAGCTCTCATCGGCTGAGCGTGCGCTGGCCATCGAGCAACTGGACCAGCAACTGGACGCGTGGACGCGTGAATTTGACGCGAGTCCCGTGTTAACGCCAACTGGGGCATTTCTCACAACGCTGTACAGACAACAGCGACTCATATGCCGAACAGTAAGCTGGTTTCGACGTTGACCCAAGCTAACACTCAGCTCATGGTCAACCTGCGTCTTCTCCTCCGACGATCCAAGATTCTGTCGTTGAACTATGACGACACTGCCGGAGCTCTTGCGTCTGAGCTGTCCTGCGACATTGTGTCAAGCATCTACGCTGCGACTCAAGACCCGGCCTGGTCGTCGTCCGACTTTCTCAGGTGTCACGCCCCGACGGTCGTGTTCTCCCCCATTGTCATACTGGCGACGCTCCTCATCCGCCAGCGTGGGCATGTCTCGCACGCCGTCGAGCTCGCGTTTCGCCAGGCGGCACAGCTCATCTGGGACATGGCGAAAGAGTGCATCGTGGGCGGCTACGTCGAGGCCCAGCTTGCCGAAGTCATCCGCATCGCGACCGACTTGCTCAACGAAACGTCGTCATCCGAGCACCAGGTATCCGACACGAATGCCGTCGCCCTTGCAGACCTGTTCTCCACCGAGCTGCAGAACATGGCGGCCTACGGCAGTTTCCCAGAGACGGGCGGTTCACTCGAATGGCTCGAGGGACTCGGAGCGACGGGTGCGGCGACGGAGCTTAACTGGAACTCTTTGTTCATGGGGTTGGAATGAGGGTTGCTGGTGGCCGATGTACCGTTTGACCCATGTCAAGTCGCAACGCACAGACATTGTCAGACGTTCACAGACATTCATTCACACAGCTCGAGTTGCACCATATACATGTCCAAGCATATATTCACATTTCGTTTACTGTACACTTGTTGCGCAGGAACCCCCAGCCTACGCCCGCGCTTGGAGGTACGGGATGCCCGTGAGCTTGTATGCGCGCTCACTGAGCTGTGGGGGCTGGCGCGGCTCGTTGCGTGCGTATGGGCACTCTGTGCCGTCGGGACGCAGACACTTGAGGTGACCGGCTGTCTGCAGTGCCTGCGGCCAGTGCGACGTGGCGAGGTAGGCTGAAAAGCGTAAGTTACAAACCATCACCAGCGCAAGCCCATCAACACAAAAAACCACTCACACTCAAAGGCCTCCTTCTTGCGTACCAGGTCGGCGTGCTCGGCGGTCGAGACTGGGCCGTAGCAGACGTACGAGGCGAAGCGCGCCTGGTTGCCCTGTGGCGAGACGTTGTAGTGCGGGAGACGCGAGTCCCAGACGATCAGGTCTCCGGGCTCGCAGTTGACCTTTTTCCACTCGAACCCGCGGGCCTTGAGCCACTCGAGCCCTGCCTCGGTGAAGTTGTACACTTCGTTTGTCCTGGCGAACAATGAGCGTCTGTGACTACTTGGGTTGCATTGCGTACACCCCACACACACACTTACCAGCGGTACAGCTGTGGCTCGTCCTTGAACAGCTTGTGGAACTCTTCGGAGGAATTGTGCGCCCCGGGGAGGACCATGAGGCCGCCGTCCTTTTCGCCATTGGGGAGGAGGTTGATGATGCCCTGCACGCAGCGGAGACCGGCACGCTCCGGGTCCTGGTCCTGGTGTGCCCACCGCTTGTTGGGCTTGAGGTCCTTGCGGTTGGGGAAGGTGACGTTGATCTGGTCAAAGCTGACAATGAGGTCTTCGGTGTCGAAGATGGTCTCAAACGCAGCAATGACGCCCGGCTCGGCGCGCATGTCCCAAACAAAGTCCTCGTGGGCTACGCCATAGAATCCCAGCATGCCGCGCTCGGAGATGACGGGCAGGTTCTCCTCGCGGATGGTCGAGGGGTCGTTGCGGTCGTAGCCCAGGCCAAACGATTCCAGGTACTCGTGATACCTCTCGACATACTCGGCGGCCTTCTGGCGCGGAATGGCACCCTTCACAACGGCGTAGCCATCGCGCGCAAGGTCGTCGCGAAAGTCGCCGTACGTCGTGGCGCCGCTAAAGTCAAGCGTGTCGATGACGTGGGTGTCGTGTGTGACGATCATTGTGCTGTGGTGTATGTGGCGTGTAGCGTGTGTTGTAGGAGCAGGAGGCGTTTGTTTACTGCTTGTGAACCTGAGTCTGTCGATGGTGGTGGGATGGTTGTTGTGCTCTTGATATCTTCCTTTCTCCAACCCGGACAGCGACATTCGCGCGGTAATGCGAAGGAAACCGGGAACCCGGTTGCCCAGAGCCTCTAAGATTCCGTGGGCGTACCGTGCATGTGCATTCGCGAACCGCGCAAGAACCGCACGAGAACCGCCCAAGAACCGCGGCCATGCTTCTGCAGAACCGCATCAGTACCGCGCTGGAGCAGCAAGGACGTCTCGGCGCCAGGGGTTCCCCACATTGGTGGCGACGGCAACAGACGCGCCAGCCCGGCTGGTGGCGGAACATTCCGCCAATTTGCCGTGGCATGAGCAAGGGTGGGACGCCTTCTCCACCACTTGCTGCTCCACATGTGAACTACACTCTCCTGCCCACTACGGCCACCACCCAATCAGCCCGGTGACATTGGCGAACGCCTTGTTCCCCGGTGCCCCAGATAGATCCCTCGATGCCCTGTGGCCCCGTGGAGAAAAAAGGTATAACCAGGGGCCAAGAGTGACAGTCAGGTCACTCACCCCGCCTTCGGCTTTCGCCAGCCACCATATCCCAACTCATTACACCGAGTCCTCCCACACCCCCTCCCACCCTAGCTCAAATGGAAGAGTACAAGGAGGAAGTCACCAAGGTGGAGACTGTGGCCGCTCCGGTCCAGCAGCAAGTCAATGGCGACATCGACCTGTTCGATGAGACGGGACATATCCGCCTCGTGCCCGTGCCTTCGTAGGTCCTGTGTGCTGCTCTAGGTTGTCTTGGGTGTTGCTGACCTTGGTTTCCAGGGCATCACCTCGCGACCCCCTGAACTGGAGCAAGTCGCGAAAGCTCCTGGTCGTCATTGCTTGCTGCTGGTACTGTGAGTGGCCTCGCCTGCGTTGCCAAACATGTACACACTCAGCTGATGCGTTCTAAAGCCATCATGTCGCTGTCGCTCGTGGGCGCAACGGGTCCGATGCTGCCCATCTTCATAGGCATGTACGTTCCCGAGGGTGTCGAAGTGGCCACCGTCGCACGCTTCGCGACGTGGCCCTCGCTCTTTGTTGGTCTTGGCAACTTTGTCTTTTTGCCTCTGGCGCTTGCATGCGGCCGCCGTTTTGCGTTTCTCATTGCGGCCGCCATGTGCTTGATCGCGACGATTGTCTGCGCCACGTCCAACAACTTTACGACCAACTTCACCGGCACGCTCTTCCAGGCTCTTGGCGCAGGCATCACGGAGAGCCTGCTCCCTCTCATCATCACCGACGTGACGTTTGTCCACGAGCGCGGAAAGTACTTTGGCATCTACGTACGTTGTTTTCATGTCACCTTTGCCCGTTTTGCTGACCCAAGCCAGTGGACCACTCAGTCCATGTTGTCCTCGGTGCTCAACATTGCCAGCACGTTCGAGGCAGAGCGTCTCAGTTGGCGCTGGTACTATGGTATCTACGCCATTGCCGTCGGCATTGGACTCATCCTCGCCTTCTTCTGCTGCCCCGAGACGCGCTTCGCCCGCCCACCGGCATCGTTCAACGGCCAGGTCCACGTGACGGACGAGTACGGAGAGCAGCGCGTCGTGTCCGGCGAGGAGGCGGCGGCATACTCGTCGTACGCAGCGACAGACGTCGACATGACCCCGCTCACGTACGGCGAGACGCTCAAGGTCTGGAACGGCGTTCCCAAGGGAGGCTGGAAGCTTGCCGGCAAGAGTTACATCAGTATGGCGCGCTGCCTCACCAGCCCCGGTCTTCTTTGGGCTGTCATCTACACTGGCATGGTTTTGGCCGTCTCGATCGCCCTCGCCCTCAGTACGTTGTCCGGGCGCTTATACATACCGCGCTGACCCTCCTCGCAGCCTACGGGACCGTCCTCACCACCAAGCTTGGCTGGCCCGACGCCAACACGGGCCTCATCACGGTCGGCGCCGTGCCCGGCGGTCTCGCTGCCAACTTTTACGCCGGCTACCTCATGGACAAGCTCGCACTCCGGAGTGCGAGGAAGAACGGCGGCAAGCACAAGCCTGAAGCGCGTCTTCCCAGTGAGTTGAAGCAAGGGAATTGGCGTTGTCCAGTTTTCTGACCTTTACCCCCTCTCAGTCATCATCGTCCCGACTCTCGTCGGCATCACCGCTGCAACAGTCTATGCCTTTGCCATCCAGTACCCGGAGCGCTTCGGCTGGCCCACCATTGTGGTCATGTGGGGCTGCTACTTTTTCTGCTTTGTCTCGTCCCTCATCGTCTCCACGACCTTGTAAGTGGTGCCACGCCATCGCCATCGTTCTCTGCTCACACGCACCCCTCAGTGCGGTCGAAGTCTGCCCGCAGGCGCCCGGCCCGGCGCTCGTCGTCGCTGTCGCGTTCAAGAACGTCGTGGCCTTTGGAATGGCGTACGGCATCAGCGACATGATCAACGACTATCCCGCAAAGTCGTACCTGTCCAGCTATGGTGTGCTCATCGGCTGCCTCGGTGCCGCCATGCTCCTTGCCATTCCGGTATACTTTTTCAACGGCAAGTGGCGCAAGTCGGGCGCTGGACACATCCAGAACTAGTCTGTGGGCTTTCGGGAGCTGTGTTTTAGTAGTGGTCACAGCAAGGGTGAGAGTGAGAGTAAGGGAGTTGTGCAGAGTATGTGGGGAGAGTTGTGCAGAGTATGTAGTGGCCTTTTGAGGTCGACAAGGATATGCAAGAAGAAGTGACAAGGCCAATGTCTACCCTTGGAATCATGCTCCCACCCCCGTGTCCTCGGGTCCGGTCTTTCCGCTTCTTCTCTCTATGTATCACACATATTCGGCTGTCGGCGACTCCTGTGCGAGGTCGTGAATGGGAACAAGTCAGTCTCGATGGAACGCACCCGTTCTTGGGGTGGAATTGTACCTTTTACGTGCGTGCCGCCACCGGACCAAAGAGGCGCCGTGGCGAGGGTGAACGGTGACGCCTCACTGCTTCATTGCATTCACTGCGGACAGGCGCCGACGCGACCTACGGCAACTTCACCCGAGAGCCCCTGTTCGGTGTTTTAGCATGTCTGCATGCAGACACCACATGGTCGGCGCACTGTACGCATGTACGTGCGCAGCATGCCTCGCCCATGTCCTCGTAAAAATATCACACCCTGCGCGAGCCACGCGCAGCCCTGGTCTGGGCCAGGTTTGGGGGTTCGAGCCAACTTGAGCGCCTGCGGATCTGCGGCGCTGCGCTGAAAAAAGGTCTGCGCGATCTGCGATCTGCCACAGTCTGCGGATTGACAGCCACACGGCCGAAACGGCCCGACTATGAGACCCCGTCTGGATCTCTCTGGATCTCTGGACCCCTCTCTGCGGCTTTGCTGCGAGCTGCGAAGCTGCGAATGCCTGCCTCCGAGTGAATATGCTCTGCGCGCGCTCCGGGCAGCAAAGTTTCCATGGCCGGTGGATCTGTGGCGCATTGCCTGCACATCAAACCCCCTGGTGCCGCACGCGCACATGCACACCATGGCGGCCCCGGTGTCACAGTCAATCTGTGTTTTGAGTCATGTTGCCGCCGGAGAAGGAAGGTTACGGGCGTATGTATGTCACTCCCGGCGGATTCTCGGTTGCTGTCGGACACAGTCGACGACCTGTGGCCTGTGGCCTGCTGTAGAGGCACCGACTGCAGCGACGCAAAAGGCGTACCTCGCGCTCGCAGCTCACACCGCAGGAGAGCTGCGATCATATGCACAGTCTAGTCTGCGGTGGTCGCGGCCCACATGGCCACAGAGTCGACCCAACCTACCCCAAAGGTCCCAAGATCCCAATAGGGGAGGGGTCCAATGTCGGCGCCACTAGCACACACCTGTGCGTGCGCTTGTTCAGTTCGGTTGGGTTCGAAACGCTCCACCGGCCACACACCCCTGAGTCGTCACCCTCATCCCGATTAGGTCTCACACAAAAATATGGGTGTGTGTCGCGGGCGGCGGGCGTTTCATGCAGTGAAAATGCAGTGAAAAGCGCCCAAGCCCCAACAATGGACGCACAGACAAGGACAGGAGCGGCAGGAGCTAGGAAGAGGCGCATGGCATAGTTGATACATGGTTTACCCAAGAGCTGTATAGACGCGTGGAGGGAGTGTGGATGTTGATATGGACGTGGGTCGTTACACAGTGTAGAGAGACATGATGGGTGTGGGCGGATGGCTGGGGTGGTGGGGGGGGGGGGGGGGGGAGGGGGGGGGGGGAGGATGGGGGGGAGGATGGGGGGCGGGATAATGCACGTGTTGCCTGTGGTGGGTGGCCGCAGGGTGGCCATGGGTGGAACATCGTGTTGTTTTAAAGCGAGCACAGTCTCTCTACTGGCCTACTGGCTGACGACGTAGTAGCCAGCCTTGTTTTCAGACTCGGGCGGGACGACGGACGATGCACCGTCAGCGCCGGTGACCTTGAAGATACTGGAGGAGGTGTCAGTTGAAGAAACGTTTTTGCGGGCTGTGTGTTTCCCACACGAGGGGCTGATGCACCAGTGTGGTGGCCGCGGTCGCAGCCAGCCCATCCACACGCCTGTCCGCAAGCACACTCACAGGGTTGTCCCGGGGCGAACGTTTGCGACCCAAGATGTATTTGACCCGTTGGCGGTCCACTTGTTGTGGACCATCATGGAGGGTTCGCGCCAGGCCTCGACGACGCGCTGGCCGACGGTCGACGTCGGCTGATAAGAGTCGACCGAGATGTTGAATGGGGCGACGCCGCCGCTCCATGAGAGGGCAATCTCCTCGCCGACGATGGGTGTCTCGGTCGAGACGAGGAACGAGTGGGGGGCAGTGGACCAGATAACGTCAACGACGGGGTTGTCGGTGGCCGCGGCGGCGGGTGGAGTGGTGGTATCGTCGTCGCCTGGGATGGGTGCGGCCATGGCCACGGACGCGAATGCGAGTGCTGCTGCCAGCAGCGAGACTGTGCGCATGGTGTGTGTGTGTATGTGGTGGATAGAGTGGTGTTGTGGAGAGAGAGGGGTGGGGGATGAAGACACGAGAGAGCGGCTCCTGTATACGTATCAGGGGATGGTAATATACCGCATGCGAGAAGACTGCGTACTGCGCAGGGTGTGCGAGGAGAGGTGGCCTGGGTGGGACGGCGGCGGCGGCGGCAGCGGCGGCAGCTGCAGCAGCTGCAGCAGCTGAGGGGGTCGTCCAGGGCCAAAACACTAAAACCGCTCTCTCTCTCTTTCCCTCCCCTATGGCCCATGGGTGACACCGGCCGCAAAACGTTTTAAAGACCGCGCGCAGGCCGCAGGCCGCAGGCCCCCCCCCCGGCGCCGCCAAACAGCTGCGATGCTGCGACAGGTCATGTCCCATCGGCAACGTCGCTGCTACGCCTACTGCTGCATGCACCACATGCATCGCTCTCAGCAGCACATTGATTCCACAGAAGCACAGCGCGAGACGAGAGCATCGGGCCACTCCCCGATGTGGCCGCTGTACCACTGTGGCGCCAGCACACCACACCGAATGAGCCGATGGAATGGCGACGACACACGAAACAAGAGGGCAGGCCGTCAGAGCACCACCGCGTACCACAGCCACCACGCACCAGAGACATCAGCACCGCATCCGACAATGGCCGTCGGCGCCGAGGGCTGTGCAAACGGGCACGCCGCATCAGCCGCAATGGCGTAAACCGTGAGCCACATGCGGCGCACGCATGCATGCCAAGCCAGAGACTACAGTGGTTGGTCGTGTCGGAAGCTGATGCCTTGGGCCAGTGTGTACCGGAGTTAACGAGCGCAGCACAAGCCCAGCACAGAGTGATCTGGTGCTAGTGGCTAGTAAGTAATCTTATAGTGGACGGGACCCATTGATCCATTGAGGCACATGACTGGACGCAGCTGGCAAAGCTCACGGGTACGCAGGTGCGTCTCCTGGAGAGAACATTCAAGGCCAGCAGAACACAGGATCCCAAACAGCCTCTCCACACCCCTTCGGCAGCATCCATATGGCGCCATATCCAAAGCAGTGGGAGAGCTGGAGAGACGCCACTGTGGCCACTGCCGAACAACACCTGAACAGCCCCAAGGGCCAATGGCGAGCATTTGTTTGGCTTGGCCCCCCAACGCTCCCAGAAACGTGCTGAAGCAAGGCAGGACCCTCTCCTCCAATTGACCCTTCGAGACCTCCCAGGTTTCTCACAACGTTCCCCCAAGCTGTTCCCTGCGTTCGAAGCTGGTCTCTCGCTGCCCGTCACCTTCTCGAAGAGGTCGCGTCGGCCCTTTGGCCCTGCGCCTGTCCCAGTGTCCTTTCCATCAGGTCAGGCAAGAGCCAAAAGGGGACAAGGCGGAAGAGAGGTGTATTCCTGTATGGACTTCGTCCTTGGATATCTTGGCAACGGGCATTGACGCCCTAGTCTTCCATGGGTAAGGGCCTTCCTCCCATAGGGGCAAAAGGTATGCATGCTTCTTATGAACCTGTCACCAGTAACGGCAGAGCCTGTCGGCTTCGAGCGGGAGGCGTCTCCGAATGGTACCATCCCGTACTGATAGAGCAACCTTTCGACAATGGTGCCCATGCTCCATCTCAAGAGATCTCCAGTGCCCGCTTCTGCACAGCATCCAGCGGCGTCTCTCATTGTCAGGATGCCAAGCAAATGGGCACTGGGGATCTCTGATCGCTCCCCCACCGGGGTCGCTTCTTCTGTGAGGAAGATTGCTGTGTATTTCCGCTCATTGGCAAGTGAAGGCGCGGTCCATCAGTCTCAGACAGTCTCAGCGGTTCGTTCTCTCGCTCTCGAGTATCAACTGTGGGCGACACCTACCGCAGGGGGGTGGTGGTGCCAAGTGCGGTTGTGGCAAACGTTCGTCGGGTGCTCAGCAACCCCCAATGAGCCCTTTTGGCCTTGTTCACCAACGCGTAATGTGTCTCTCTGCCTATGGCCTTTTGGCATCTGGTCCCCCGAGCCGTCAACATTTTTATGCGACTGAAATAGATGTAGATACACTTTGTACTTTGATGCTACTCTCGCGGTGTCCCTTTCACCGTCGCCATTAGGGGCCTGCGCTACCACTAGCTTCATGATTTGGTGCAATGGCTGACAGAGCGAGTGGCCCCCTTGCCGAAAGTGCACTCCAGCGTCCAACAGCCAGCTATGCTCTCCAGTATGGCCTCGTTGCTAGCATTCTGGGTCCTCACAGCTAGGAACTGGCAAGCGAAGCTGCGGATGTCATCGTTGACGGGGGTTGGCCATCGCCTCTTGGGCAGGCGTGGGTCGACCACGGAGGGCCTTCCCTCCTCCGACACCTCGTGATGAGGTTCTGGAACCCAAGCTGCAAGCCAAGCTGGACGAAGTGGATGATTGCACTGGCGCACTGGGTGTGGGTGCGGACAATCAACCCCGTGCACCGTGTCTGTCGTGGTTAAATCGTCAGAGACCGAGGGCCGACGAGTTGCTCCGTCACGATGCATGTACCCATGTCGAGAAACACACTACGACTTTTCGCCGTATCCAGCAAAAGTCGTAGTGTGTTTCTCCGAAAACGTCACCGTAGGCGTCGAGAAACGCACTACGACTTTTGGTCGTAACCAGCAAAAGTCGTAGTGTGTTTCTCCGAAAACGTCACCGTAGGGCGTCTCCATGTTTGAGAAACACACCACGACTTTTGGCCGTATCCAGCAAAAGTCGTAGTGTGTTTTTCTTTGAACGGGGGCTTTTTTCAAAAGAAACACACTACGGGCTTTTGGGAAAAGTGGGAACAGTCGTAGTGTGTTTTAATTACCGCGGGGTCGCGGGGTTTTATTTTGTTTTCTTTGAACGGGGGCTTTTTTCAAAAGAAACACACTACGGGCTTTTGGGAAAAGCGGTAGCAGTCGTAGTATATCTTTTTTACCGCGCGGTCGTCCTATTTGAGAAACGCACAATGACTTCTCATCGCCCATACTAAACCGTCGTAGTGCGTTTCTACCAACGGGCACCGTGTGGCCGTGTGGTGGCACCGGATGCGTATTTCAAACAGGACGGTGGAACCTGTTATGCATCTCTCACCATCCTTCCAACTCTCTGGCCATAACCATCACGTTCCCCGGCAATGATCGTCGCCATCATTAGCATGACTGCATGAACACCTGGCGAGTGTATCTCGCTGCCCAACGACGCGACCACTACTATCAACCGGCATGGGCGACAGTGGCAGCGGTCAGCTCTAGCAGCTCTTGCGGTGTTGCGCAGACTTTTGCACGTTGTGAGGAGAGGGAAAAAGAGGCTGCGTTGGAATTGGCGACCTGTGCGCCTCTTTAGCCTGGGCCTTCAAATGTTCTGCCGCAAAAACACTGGGTCACGGTGGGCGTTCTTGGGGGGCCTTTGGGTTGGCGGATCACGGATCGACGCGCGGAAGGATGACGTCGTGGCTAATTGTGTTTAATGACGCGATGTCCATATGAACGATGTGTGAAAATCGGCCTTCCCCAATACGATATCTCCCTCTGCATCGGTTGACCAGCTATGCATGTAGTCAAGTGTGTATGAAGACGCCTAAAAACGTTTGCATGGCGCTACATGACGCCGGCTCTGCCTTTAGGAAGTTTTGGGAACTGGGCTTATTACGGGCAAAGCCACCAGCCACATGCTCATGTCGCCCGTGCAAACCGGGGGCCAGCCGCGCCAACCGGCCCAGGGCGCCCCCGGCGCGTACAACGCCAGTCTCTGAGATTTTTTAGGACGTCATCGACCCCTTTGCGGCTTATGGCGTCTCTGCCACCCAAAGTGATCAAGACATGGTACAACATTGCGCACTTTCGTAGTCAAGTTTGGGGACATGCTGGAGCAAACGCGTCACTGGTGCTTGTCAAAACGATGTACATATGAGGGACCCCGGTGCCGTTACCCGCCCGCAGGCTTGGAGCGCTTCTGCGCTCGGAATGACAGGAAGGATGTCATTCAGGCACGCCGGACAACCCGCAACCCCGGCTCTCTCGAACAAGAGATTTTGCTGCGGCCCACCCCTTTGCATCTCTATCTCTCCACTGTCCACTCTCCATCATCACAGTTATCGTCTCTCACTCAGTGTCCTAAAACCAGTATCACTCGCTTCTATTCCGGCGCCCAACTGCGCTGCGTCACCTTCTTTCACCGCCCTCCCCCGTCTCCCCGTCTCGCCCCCTCCCTCCCTCTCTGCCCGCCTTTCCGCGGCTCGTCGTACCCCCGCTCGAACCGGGTCTACACCACCCACTCAGTTGACTTTGACCACCACAATGTCCACCGCGACCGAGCGCACGCCGCTTAACAAGCCGCCTTCCCCGCCCCTGGCGTACACCTACCTCCCTCAGGAGGAGGACGATGGACGTGAGGTCGAGGTGTGGCGCCCAGGAAAGTCGACGTTCAACCAGACTGTGAGTTGGAGCGCCGCCGTCCTTTTCACGACGCCGAGCGTGCAGGCTGGGGTCTGCGCTGAGAGCATGAGAGACCAACACAACATGGTCTCGGCGCATGACTGCCCGGCAGAGAACTTGTTACACAGCTAGCTGGGACGACCTGATGGCATGGCAGCTGACGCGCAGCTCCTCAACACCCTCGGTGACCTCATCGGCACCGGTCTCCTCGCGACCCCAATCGCGATCGCACACAGCGGCTGGGTCGTTGGTCCCCTCTTCCTCGCCGCCGTCGGCGCCGTGACCCTCTGGACGTGAGTTCTCCTTTCTTTTCTCAGCACACACGCAAGGGAAGGGTTGTGTGGTGATCCGAGCTCGAGGTGGGCAAGCTGGCTCGACTCGACGTTATCGTCTCCGGTCGGAAATGGCCGACCATGCCGGGCTGCGTTTTTTTTTTCTTTCTCAGCGAGCTCCATCCAAAGAGCTGAGCTCGTCTCCTGATATCCTGGCCCTTCGCCGTGGGACCATGGGAGTTGCACGCGAACCTACGGGTGCCATGCTGCTTGCTACCCAGCGCCCACGTTTCAGGCAGGCTCTTCGAGTAGCCGTATTCCCACCTGTGGGCCTACGCCCGCCCCCGCCGATAAGCTTCTTCGCACGACTGTGACTAACAACTTTCTCAGGCTCAAGATCCTCTTGCGCATCATTGAGCAGGACCGCCGTCTGCGCAACTTTACAGATGTTATCGGCTTTGCGCTCGGCAAGCGCGGTGAGAAGATTGTGACCGTCCTCTTCCTGATCGAGGTTTGCGCCTGGGTGTGAGTCCTTTGAAGCTGCGCTAGTGCTTTAGATGTGTCGTTTCTGACGCTCGCAGTATCGCCCTTGTGGTTCTCTTCTCCGACTCGCTGGAGGCTGTGTGGCCTGTCTACACGTCCAACCAATGGAAGGTCGTGGGCCTCGTCGTGGTCATCCCCACCACGTTCCTGCCCCTCCACTACCTCTCCTTCTCGTCGGCCCTCGGCATCATCTCGACCTGGATGCTGATTGGTATCCTGATCTTTACCGGCATTGTCACTCCTCACACTCCCGGATCCATCCGCGAGCCCGCGCACACCGACCTGTGGCCTTCGCACGGCCTGGCCAAGCTCGGCACGGTCTTTGGTCTGCTCATCTCGGGCTTTGGCGGCCACGGTCTCATCCCCAACCTGATCCACGACATGAAGAACCCGCGCCGCGCGGGCGTCATGGTCGACATTGCCTACGCGATCGCCATGGCCATCTACGTCCTTGTCGGCGTGTTCGGCTACCTCATGTATGGCACCGACGTCAGCGACGAGGTCAGCAAGGACCTGGCGCGTACCCCCGGTTTCTCGCCCATCCTGTCCAAGATTGCCGTGTGGATGGTGGCCCTCAACCCGCTCACCAAGATTGCTCTCGGTATCCGCCCGCTCGCCGACATGATCTTTGGCTGGCTCAACCTCCACAAGACCGAGCTCATCCCCCAGACGGCGCCTACCCCGCGCTACACCACCCGCCCCTCGTCGCCTGTCACCGACGAGGACGAGGACAACGACAACAACGAGGATGACGACGAGGAGTGGGAGGGCGGGCACTACGACCCCATGGCCTCGACCATTAGCATCTACGCTGAGAACCGCCACCAGAAGAGCGAGCGTGTCAAGGCCGTCCTACGCCCCGTGATCCGCGTCGCGCTCGCCATCGCGGCCGTCCTGGGCGCCCTTGTGTTCCCCTCATTCGAGGCCCTCATGTCCTTGCTCGGATCGGGCTTTGCGTGCCTCACCCTCATCATCATCCCGGTGTGGGCCGGCGCCGCCGTCTTTGGTTGGAGGTGGTACGACTATGTGGCCATTGTCATCTCGGCCATCTTTGGTGCGTGGGGCACCGTCGCGAGCTTCATGTAGAGGACGGAGCAGCAACAACGCGCGCACGTTAGTTTGGCTTGCTATATAGCACGGTCCCGCCTTTGGCACACCAACAGCAACCTACACCCACCCACAAAAATCATATATAAACACACCCGTAGCCTGCCCCTTCCTTCTGTACCGGGAACGGGAATTACATAGAGACCCCCCGCATGTACCAAAAAAGTGGATCTTGGACCTTGGATATTGGAGACAAACGGGCATGGTTCGGTGGGTCGAGGGGAGACTTCGCCCGCCCGCCGCTTGCCGTATAGATAATGACTGGAAAAAAAACCTCGTCTCTCTCGCGCATTCTTCTCCTCTCCTCTCCTCTCCTCTCGCTGCTCATCCATTCTCTCGCTGTCGCACGGTACGCTTCCCCCGCAACGCTCTTTGCTCTTTCCCTCCATCCACCACGAGCCGAAGAATCACTCTGCCCTCGGACCCCTGGGCTCGCGCGCTCGCTTACGAGGCTGGGGCCGGTGGCGTGGCGCATGGCGCACACGCGCCAGCACCTGCACCTGCACCAGCACCTGCTTCCGCTCACAGCGGCGGCCGGCGCGACGTCGGCCACCACCTACACAAACCATGCACCCGCGCGTCCCGGCACAGACATGCTGTGCGCTGACGTGCTGGGTGCAGGCCATGATGGGCCCCAAAGACCCCGGCTAAGGCGCAAGCTTGGACACGTCGGCAGTGACGACCTTGCCCTCGAGGATGAGCTCGGAGAGGACGAGGCCGACGCCGGGGCCCTGCGTGATGCCCCAGCAACTCAGGCCGCCGCCGACATAGACGCCGTCCACGCCGGGCACCTTGCCGATGATGGGCCGGCCGCGGTCCGGGATGGGGAGGAAGCACGCCGTGGTGGTCTCGACGACGGCGCCGCGGTCGGCGCCGAGCACCGGCGCAATGGCCGTGGCTTGCACCTTGAGCTTTTCGACCATTTCTGGGATGGCGGCCACCTCTGCGGCAGATGCCGGGAGAGGTTCATCGGACGATGCACCGCAGCTGCGCGGAGGCGTCAGCATGTCTGTGTCCCAGTGGGTTTTTTTTTTTCTCTCGCGCATTGCTTTTTTTTTTGGCCTCCCCGTTGCACAAACTTCCGCCAGCATGTGCCTTCAGGCGACGCCGGGTGTGAAGAGCATGGGGAGGCAGGAGCTGGTGTCCTGGACGCCAAGTGCGTTGGAGGGGCGGGGGGTAGGATGACTTACATGACAGTGGTGCCGTCTGGACGCGGGTAGACTTCCGGCTCCGACACGGAGCCATCGGTCAGGGTGAGGTCGACAAAGAGACAGTGAGGGGTAGTGGGCTCTGTTGTGCGGATGAGGAGTGTGTGGGCCATCTGTCCCGAGACGGCGAGGCCGCGCGCAGACGAGGATGGCAGCAGCTCGGATGAGAGCTTGCCGAGCCATGGCCCAGCAGTGAGCGCGATCGTGTCGCAGTCAATGATCCTCTCGCCGCCCTCCTTGAGGTCGACCATGATAGAGGTCGGGTGTCCGTCGTCGAGGGCGAGCGCACGCGCAGTGCCCAAGACAAGGGTGGTGCCCGGTTCGCGCAGGAAGCGCTCGGCGAGGAAACGCGTGAACAGACGAGGGTGCACCTGAGCGGTTGTCTTGTGTGTTCCAAGCGAAGACGAGGCCGACACGGCCTCGCGCGAGAGCCATGGGACCGCAATCCGTGATTCCTTGGGAGGAGGACACGACTCGTCAATCGTCACAGACTGCAGAGTCAGCTTAAGGACATGCAGGCCAGCAGCGGACATACCAAAGTGTCGACAGTGCGGTAACCCCAGTTCTTCGAGCCGTTGAACTGCTCGGCCAGCTTGCGATGGAGGTCAAAGGACATGGCCGACAGACCTGAGGGGTAATGGGTGTCAGTCGTCGTTGAAAACACACATTGGCAGTGTATAGGTGACGCTGCCGTCCCCGGGCATATGCATCTAGTGCATGAGAGGAGCAACAGCTACTCACTGGCTGTGGCCGGACCATGCCAATCGCGCGCGAGAAAGCCGCCTGCATTGCCGGAAGCGGCCGCAGCGACGCTGGTGCCCTCGATGAGGGTGATGGTGGAACCCTTGGGCCGTGCTGGGGAGATGGAGATGAAGTATGCGAGGCAGGTGCCCACGATGCCGCCGCCCACGATGACAATGTTCATGGGAGTAGCAGGAGGTGTGGCCGGGGCGGCGTTCGAAGCCGGTGTTGCCGATGGGCTCACGGGACTGGCGGGACTCGCCATTGTGTGGTGGGCGGATGGGAGAGGGATGGGAGGACGGGGGGTGGGGCGCGAGGGCGGGGGGTACCGGGGTTGGGAGATTGCTGGGATGCGGGAGAGATGTGATGTGGGGCTAGATGTGCAGTGTGCAGGTGGATGGAATGGATAAAGAGGACCATTCGACATGGGATGGCGAATGAGCAAAGCGGGCGGCGGGGGTGTGTGGGCGCGCCAGCCAGGCAGAGGCAGCACAGACGACGGGCGGGTCGACTGCTTCCGTCGGACCCCCAGGCCAATGTCAAACTCAGGACTGCCATGCACCCCCCCGTGTCTCGCGCCTCCTCTCAGCTTCTCGCTCCATACATGCATGAGCACGTACCCCGAGTTATTCAGGAATGGCTGGCACGGTGCGCAATGGTCCCCGTGCATCATGGCCGTGTTTCTGTACCAGACTGCGAGTAGAGGGGCCGAGACGGCTGGCAGGTGTGGTGGCAGTGCTATAGGCTTTAATCCCACACGCCCAGCGGCCGCCACCCAGCTCCCAGCGCTCTCCCAGTCCAGATTTCCCTGCACCGCAGCCACCGTGAGATCCATAACCGCAATGAAGGCCCAATATCGTTCTCATTACAAACAGACGGCGCTGTTAACAAATTCAGTATAGAACGTACAAATTCTTAAACACTGGAAGCACGAGCGGAAACAGTTCCATGGTTCCACCTCACAGGTCACGAGTGCCACCTTCCCTTCCTCACCATGTATACCTGCCGAGGACACGGGGAGTTCGAGAGCTTAAGCAGTAAGCAGCAGCACCTACTTACATGCAGGCGGTCAGCTGTAAAGTAGCTGTCTAACAACCTCGTACTCTGCCTTGTGCATCGGTTCGAGGGTGGTGGTCAAAGTCTCTCTCGTTGAGAGGCCTCCCGCACAACTCAGATGCGTGTGACGTCACTCCGATCACTGCACTGTCTCTTGCCCTCGTGCTCTTCAGACATTTGAGCATTTGAGCACGGCCATCAACTCCCTGCTCCTCACCATCGCCCACCCCACATCCGTTCATCTCACATCCACCCTCAGCAGCCTATTTCTGTACGTCTGCAACCTCGGCACCAACGCCGTCACTGTCACTGTCGCTGACCACTGTCACTGGTCACGTCTCGTGCCCGCCTTCCATCCCACCGCTCACTCCCACGTTGGTCTACCCCGCAGATCACAAACACCGCACATCCACAATGGCCCACCCGTCCCCTTCCATCTCCATCCCCACCAAGGCCGACGACGGAGTCGACCGTGCCCCCGATCTCTCTCCCACCTCCCCCGTCGACCGTAAGCGCATGGACAGCCTGCTGGCCAACCGCGCCACCCCCGGCGACCTCCAGAACAAGGGCATTCTCAAGGGTATGTTGTTTGCAAACGAACGCTCAGTGTACTGTTGTTACGACGGCGAAGAGCAGGGTATCCAGTGCGCGGCCGAACGGAGGGAGAGCTGCTGTATTCACAGCCTCCGTCCCCACCCGACCACCGCCTCCTACCACCCCCTGTTCCCTCGTTGTTTGTCCTCCGTCTTGCATTGTCGCACGCCCCGTTCCCCGTTCCCCACACACTAACCCACAGGCGCCCCGAACGACTCGCTCGCTGCCAGGAAGATGTCCCTCGAGAAGTCCATGCTCGAGGTGAGTGTTAGGCCTGGAGACCCCGCGTATGACACGTTTTAGCGCGAGGGCAGACATCGTGGTGGCGTGGAAGTGTGGCGTGGAAGCGCGGGGTGATGGGGGCCAAAGGCTAACGAAAACAGGACCGTCTCGACAAGGAGCTTGCCGCGCGTCCTACGGCCGACGAGCTCATCAAGAAGGGTATCCTTAACCGTGAGTCCAAACTCCATACTGCCGACCATGTCGGCCCCCGGCGGGTGACGTCGTCGGCGGGTTAGGAGACAAAGATCGCACTTGCTGACTGCGGCTCAGCCAACGAGACGCCTGCCAACGCTTCGACTGCTGTCTAGTCGAGTTTCCCAGCAGGTTGTGTTCGATCCTGTGACGTGTCAAGCGAGTGGCGCGATGGGTCTGTTCAGAAGAAATGAGGCAGTGGAAGTATGAGTATGCGAAGTTGTTGTATATAGCAATAGCAACGTGACGAGAAAACACCATTGCTAGGCGATCAGGCGAGGGCGAAGAGAAGGGTTGCAGGGCGCGAACGGAGACGTCGCCGTTGCGGTTGGACGATGGCCAAACCCTTTTGCGTGGTGCGTCATGAATGCGAGGCAAGGCGAAACATGTTTGTCACTCTACGCATCCCCGTCGGTCCACTTGTCTTCCAACCATCCCTCTTGCCCACCCATCTCATCTTATCCCCCATCTCCATCGCCAAGCAAAACAGGACACCAAGAGGGTAGCCTTGCACGCCGCTTGCGATCCGAGCTGTGCATTCAGTGCCGTCCGGTGGACAGTCCGTGGTTCCATTCTCGGCGGTCTCTCCGCACTTCGGCGGTTGCCCCACAAATCGCCGCGCGGCCATCACCGGTGGAACAAGCGCACTTATCTCCTCCAACACGCCGTCCACGATTACATCTACCCCAATCTCCCATTGCCTGCTGCTGTACTCCAGCATCGTCATCGTCACTCCTTCAGCCAGGCTTATTCTTGAGCCTACTCCTGGCACCATCTTGCGTCGCTCCGCAAACAAACACCCCCACCACTCTGGCTCCTGGCAGCTCTCGACGTTTCGTCCGTGTCGTCCTCCCGGTCCTGGTCCAGCGCCAGTGGATAGCTCCCATCGTCGCGCACAATGAGTAAATCGGCACCCCAATCCAAGATGCCGTCGCCGGCGCGGACACCGCGCGTGTCGGTAGACGAGCGGCGGCCAGCCCACGCAAACCAGCCGCCGGGCATTGTCAACATGGGCATGACATGTTTCCTCAACTCGACCTTCCAGGCAGTGAGCCCCATACCACGACCAACATCCGGCTAGTGTTGCTGACAATCAAACCGTACAGCTGGCAGCCACTCCGGCCATGATTGCTCTACTGGCCAACAACCCAGCGTTGCCCCTTATCCCTTCGCCCAACTCCATGCTGCCTCCTCCGGCGCAAGAGCCACGGCTCACCCCCAGTCTCGGCGCCGACGCGCTCGAGCCCCCGCTCTACAAGCTCTTGCCCGTGAACCGCGCCTTCTCCAACTGCCTGCACAAGGCCTGGACCATCAAGGAGCGCGGAGGGGGCACGAGCGGACCGGGCGAGGGATCCAGTCTACACACTATGACGCTGGCGCCGCTGCTGCGCGAACTGGCAAGGAAGTATGACCAGTACGACGAGTTTGCCCAGCAAGACGCCCACGAGCTGTTGCGGCATCTCTTGGACTCTATGGAAATGGAGGAAAAGGACGTCATCAAGCGCAAAGCAGCCGACGCAAAGCTGCTGGCTGAGAACGCGGAACTACAGCAGCAGCAGCAGCAGCAGCAGCAGCAGCTGGCAGACGCTCCTATTCGGTCCGGGTCGACGGACCAAGAACCGCAGGAACAACCCGCCGCAAGCCTCTCCCCAGCAAACGTGCCGGCGGCTCTTCCGACAACTGTGGCGCCACAATCCCCGGTTCTATCAGCCACCCCTGCAACACCTGTGGTGGAAGACCGACTGGTGCCCTTCGTTGACGTGCTGTTTGGCGGCCTTCTCGCCTCTGTCGTGGTGTGCGAGACATGCAAGTCGGTCTCACACACGTACGAGGGGTTCCTCGATGTGTCGCTCAGCATGCGCGGTGACGATGACCAGCCACGTCTGCGTAAGCGTGACAGGTTCCGCGCAATGGCTTCGCGACTCAAGCCTGGTGTCAAGGTCGGCGGTCAAAAGTTTCCCGAATTGCCGGCGACCATGTCCGAGCCCGAGGGGAGCGACACGGAGCGTGGAGGCGCGGCAGAGCCCAAGGCAGACAGGCGAGGACGACATGCGCATTATCCCAAGAACCTGTCTCGCGAGTCCGATGCCGACAGCGACGGCGTAAGGACACCCAGCACAGCTCCACGAGGCATCAAGGCGAGCTTTTCATTCAAGCGCAAGGGCCTGCGCACGCCGAGCGCCAGTCGCGCGAGGACACCAGCCACCACTAGTCCGTCACAGACACCCGCGACTCTCCCGTCGGCGCCGACGACGGGCGCGTCCACCCCGATGGGTGGCTCTGGGGCCTCGCTGTCAAGCTTCGCTCCCAGCGTCCTCACCGAGCAGCTGCATCAGCACGTGCACCAGGCCAAACCCACACCAGCGCAAACAGCGTATATCCAGCGTATCCTGTACGGACCGCCCGCGGCGCCGGAGACTGCAGACCCGCTCGCCAAGCTGCGTGCCGCGCACGTGGGTGGACTGACTGCCGCCAATGCCGCCAAGCCGTCCGACTATGGCCTTGTCGACAGCCTGAAATCGTTTACAGCCGTCGAGGTGCTTGAGGGCGACAACGCGTTTGCGTGCCACAAGTGCTGGAAGATCAAGAATGGGCATTACCGCAACAAGCGACGGGAACCCGTTTCCGAGGTGCACCATTCGCTGGCGGAGAGCGCCCCACCGTCCATGGTGTCAGTAGTGCACCAGGACTCGACCCTGCTCGAACCTCTCATGGGGGCAGGCGTGCCCCTGGAATCGACCCCGTTGGAACCTCTTCTCAGCCCCCCCATGCCCATCCTCCCCGCTATCGCTGTCGAATCACCGGGAATGACCGTGAGAGAGGCCGAGATCTTTGCACCCGTCCCGTTGTCTGTCGGCCCAACCCCGGGCACTGGCTCGGACGGGTCCCGCCTCGGCCGCTTGGTGAGCCGGTCTCGCAGTATGGTGCGCGCCGCCAGCCCGCTGCGCACATCCAAGACCGCTGCCGATGAAGATAACAGCAGCCCCGATGCGCTGGCCAACCCACACTCGAACCCGATGGAGATTCTCGGCAGCGATCGCCAGCTTGACCGCTTCGACTCGGTCACGTCTACGGGCAGCACGACGAGCTTGAGCACAATGTCCAACGAGTACAACACGTCGAGCTCTGTCGCCGCCACTTCGACCACGATGGTGAGCACGATCGGCACGACGTCGACCTACACCGCCGGCCAGAGCCCGAACGCGAGCACGAGCAGCCTTGGCCGCGGCCAGTCCAAGGACGACGACGACACGGATGGTCTCTCCGACTCGACAGACGACGAGGAGATGCCTGGACCGGGCACGAGTGCGCACATTGGCGGCCTGTTCCGTGGCGGTTTAGGCGGCCGGCCCAGCGTCAAGAGGCAGCAGAGCAAGCACTTTGTCCTCCGCCGCGCGTTCAAGCGCTACCTCATTGCCCAGGCGCCCGAGGTGCTCGTCTTCCACATCAAGCGGTTCAAGCAGACCAACGCGGGGCTGTATTCAAGCTTCTCCAACTTGAAAAAGTAGGTGCCGTGCCACAAACCAACGTTGTGTGCTGACCTGCCACCACCAGGATGGACGACTTTGTCTCGTTCCCCGAAATCATGGACGTGGCGCCCTTCCTCGCGCCCAACCGCACAGACTTCAAGTGTGTGCGCACCCCGGAAGGCGTGCACGCGCCGTACATGGACTGGCCGAGCCCCGACCACCCGCCCGAAGCGCCGCCCATGCTGTACAAGCTGTACGCCGTGGTGGTGCACATGGGCACCATGGTGGGCGGGCACTATATCGCCTACGTCCTGGTCGACCCCGAAACGGTGTTCCTGCCGCCCGGCGAGGGTGGGCTGGGCACGGGACCGGCGGCGGTGGAGCATGCCATCTCAATGCTGATTCTGGAGCCCGAGGAGCGGAAGAAGAAGGAGAAGGAGAAGGAGAAGGAGAAGCAAAGGGATAGGAGGGTGTGGTGCTACTGCTCCGAGTGAGTTTACGGTTTGACAGCTTCGGTATGGAATGGCAAGCTGACGGACCAGTACCGAGGTGCGCTTTGCGACTGTCGAAGAGGTTCTCTCTGCGCGGGCGTACATGTGCTTTGTGAGTATTCAGTTGGGGTGCAATCGACTCTGCAGCTGACAGTATTTCAGTACGAAAAGGAGAGGCCGTAGCTTGCCCCTTGTCTGTGAGCTTGCCAGCAAACGACACATGTTCTACGTCCAACTTCAACCACCCATTCCTCCTTCGACTTTTTTGTCTACCACCACAGTGTCCATGAGCGCTCTCGGACTCGCACTACGTCAATCCCGAACCCCATACACAACCCACACATACAGGCTCATCGGAGACACATTTTCTGCCAACTATGCATAGCCACAACATACACTCACACATACACGAACACATACGTACTGGGACAACGGCGTGTGGTTTTGTGCACCGCACTAACTAAAGCAAACTGGCTGCCCGCACAGAGCTTACCAACACATTCTGTGACAGTTCACCCCACGAGTGCGAGGAGGGCAAAGTGGATACTCTCCCCAGCTACGGGGAGGTACTTGTCGCGAATCACCCGCGCCGTGTCCTGTCACGTTGTCAGCGTGTGCGCTGTGTAGGTGGGGTGTGCTGATACAACGAGGACGTGGGGAGATGGGAGGGGGCGCAGCAATCTAGCTGTGTGCAAAGGCCAAATTAAGGCGGTGGCTGTGTCTATGTGCCGCGCAATCGACGAGAACGATCCACTTGACCGTTCCCTCCCGTTCCCCCGGTTCTTGAGTCTTGAGACTCACCGCCAGCACGTCCTCGCACACGCCGCGATTGAACGGTCCCTGTCGGGGCGCGACGCCGTCCAGTTCCCACAGCGTCCCGTCGTAGGGGACGAAGACGATAAAGTGGTCGCAGTCGTCCCAGTCCTCTGGGCGCGGGGTCGACTGGCCAGCCGCGACGACCGAGTTGTGCGCGTCATGGATGAGGGACGAGGAGCGGAAGAGGTCTGTCCGTTTGGATGGCGGCAGGGCTGGCTGTCAGCAATGGTGAACGTGCTTGCGCAGCGATTCAGATAGCTATGGCCTGGAGAACGAGCAGCAGCTATCTATCGGTTCGCGCGTTTAGGAAACGGACAGACCTACCTCGGCACTGTGCCACAAACTCGTCCAAGCCCGGGGCGAGTCCCGTCGCTGCGAGGGCATGCACGACTGCAAACGTCCCGCATGCGTGTCCTGCGAGTGTGTCAGCGCGACTGCCTCGCTGGGGGATATCGCTGGTCACTGAATGAAGCAAACAAGGGAACGTCAGACGCCACAGTAGCGTTCAAGGGGGCCGAAGAGCCACTAAAAAAAGCCGGCCGCAGTGTAAACGGGCCCGGCGATCAGACAGGCTTTGGGCTACCAGGCCCCTTACAAGGCCCTAGATGGGTGCCGAAAGGGGTCCCACAGAAAGTTGAGTTGACGCGAGTTGGAACCTATCCAGCCCTCTATGCTCTCCAGCAAACTGCCAAACGAGATTGATCGGCCGAGCAGATGGACGTGGACATGGACGATCGGACGCGTCCCTGCCCCCCTGTATCGCTGATCGCTGATGATCGCTCACAGCCTCCGAGTTTCGGCACCGATTTGCCTTTGCGAGCAGGAAGCGTTTCCCGTGGTATTCACGGTGACTGCCTCTGCCCGCAGCTCTTTACTCGAGGCACATGCGGGTCCTTGGGGTTGTTGGTGACGCGCAGCGGTGCCGCGGTCCGCATCTTAGACGCCCAACAGAGGAGCCCAATACACGCAGCGTGCGCTGGGCGCGTCCAGCCCCACAACTGTGGTACTATGGTGTACAACAACACTTGACGTCTCAGCAGTACTCACCGACATTGACCTGTGGGATCCAAAGAGGAACGCGAGGCGCCGAGCTTGAGCTTGAACCCGCGCCAGCCGATTGCACAGGCGCGGCAGACGACGACGCCAAGCCCACATCCGCCGTCAACGTGTCCTCGGCGCCCCGCAACGGTGACGGATGCGAAACATGGGACGGCAGGGGTGGCGAGGAGCTGGTTTGGCTTAGTGGGCTGGGTGGGATGGGAGTGACGGCTGGCGGGACGACGACGGCGACGTGGGCAGCAGCAGCCGCGTCGGCCTCGCCTGGTCCTTCGTCTGTGCGCGCTGCAACGATGCCAGGCGTGTCTGGGAACAAGGCAACAACGGCATGGACGGGTCGAGTCACGAGGGAAAGGGTCTCTGGGTCGAGACCGAGCACGTCCTCAAAGTGGATATGTGGAGCGAGGCCCCACTTCTGCGCATGTAGCGTCAGCAGTGCATGAGGGGGTAAAGGGCAAGCAGCAGGCTCAAGAGTATTGGATGCATATCGAGGGGATGGAGAGGAGGTGCCCAATGTTGACACGCACCTGTGCCAGAGTGGTCAGGACGACAGGGTTGGCCTCGAGAGGAAACCAGACTGCAGGGTTGGCTGGATCGCGGTCCATCGTCGTGGCCGTTTGCTGTGACAATGGGTGTGGAATGGCGGCTGACGGCCAACTAAGCGACGAGCGCTGGACGAGAGGGAGAGATCGAGGAGACAATGGTACAATGATCAAGTTGGGACGAGAGAGCATTGTTGGGGGGCAAGAGAGGGTCACAGTTGAGTGAGGCGTCGCAAGCCCCTGTCGCCAGAGTTGGGTAAAATGACTGTGCGGGGGCTGAGCGGCCGCAGGGCTCTCTCTCTCTCTGGATCTTTGGCTGGGCTTTTTCTCTTGGCTGGGCGGCAACTCGGAGCGGTTGGTACATTGGGGTTGTGGGGTGGATATCATTGCACCGGAGAGACGAGAGCACGACGTCGAGAGCACGGACACGACACAGAGAGACAGAGGAGTGTGCCTGTATGCATACGGGCCCAATGGAAAGGGGGATGGGGTTACCCAACGAAACAAGCATATGACATCGTACGCCAGGCTCAAGGTGGGCCCATTTGGGTGGCTGCCGACTTCCATGCCGAGCCCACCTGTGTGGGCCCCAACTCGTCTTCTTCTCCCCAACCACATTCAACCTTTAATCTTGTCTCCACACTCCACCTCTCATGCCCACACCACTCCCCCACACAATGCCCTAATAATCAACAATGTCGTATCCTGACCGGTCCACGGACGTGCTCGTCACGAGCGCAGTCTTCCTCGGGGCCGCAACCCTGTTCGTCGGTCTGCGCTGCATCTCCAAGTTTGGTATCCGCAAACGCGCAGACTCGGACGACTGGGTCACAATCCTCGCATGGGTGCGTACCAAAGAGAGAGGTGGGGGGGTTGCATGGCATGGTTGCCTCTGTCTGTCAATGTCGGGCGGCGACAACGGTAGTCACGACCACGTCGGCACCGTCGTCACCGCCGTTCATTGCATTTACCGGCGGGCCCCGCGCCGCCATGGCCGTCGGCCCCTCAACCACGGCCGGCGTCACCCGCCGACGTCACTCCGAGCTGACAATCTCCTGCAGCTCTTTACCGTCGCCCTGTCCATTTCCATCATCTTTGCTGCAACAGTCGGTTTAGGCAAGCCAGACGACTGTGAGTCACAACCATGCAGTGCAGTGGTTTTGCGTCAGCCACAAGAACCAACGCTGATCCACGGCTACAGTGATAAAGCCGGAATGGCAGGAGCCGCTCAAACGGGCCGTTTATGTCTTCCCCATCTTCTACCACCTGAGCTCGATGACGGCCAAGTCGGCTGCGCTGCTGCTGTACATCCGTATGGCCAGCGCGCACCCGTTCCTCCGCAACGCAAGCTACGCCGTCCTCGCGATCGTGGACGTTTCGGGCGTCGTCTTGGTCTTCATGAACATCTTTGTTCGTATCGGGCGGCCGCTGGTGGAGGCGGCGGCGGCGACGGGGCATGTCAGACAGCCCCGCCGCTCCAGGTTATCGGACCGAAAATGCTGACGCTCCTCCACAGCAATGCCGACCACTAGCAGCGGCTTGGCAGTGGGACCAGTCTGGCCAGTGCTTTGACCTGGTGACACTGTTCCTCGCCTCGAGCCCCATCAACATTCTCTCCGACCTCGCCATCCTCATTCTCCCTCTCCCCATTATCACGGGCCTGCGAATCGAACGCAAAGAGAAAATTGGCCTGGTCCTTGCATTCCTCTGTGGCGTTTTCGTGGCCATCGTCGATGTCGGTGAGTGGTGGAGCATTGCACCCATTCCCACGGCACGTGTGTTTCGTTTGGGTGACTCGTCTGGGCTTGTGCCGCCAGATCTGAGCCCATGTCCACCCCACCCAGCCACCGCCTTGCCCGGTTAGTATGTCGCTGACACGCCTCCCAGTTCGCATCGCCTACCTGCAGACGGCGCTCAAGGAGCAAATCTCCCTCGGACGCGACCACGTCTCGGCGTCGGACCGACCTACCAATTACTACTGGTACACCAGCTATGGCCTCATGTGGTCGGCCGTCGAGTGCTCGGTCCGTGTCTGCTGCCTGTGCGCGCTCGTCCTCAAGCCGCTGCTCCAAAAGTTGAGACGCGGCGGATCATCTGTGCACAGCGGCGGATCCAAGGGTGTCTTTTCGAAACGCAGCGCCCATTCAGCTGGCAACGGCGAGCTGGGTGTTCCCGCTGGGACGGCGGTAGAGGACGCCATCTTTGGCAGCCCCAAGTCGCCTCAGATGAAGCTCGGTGGCATCCAGGCCATGCTCGAGCCATCCGCAGAGGTGCCCGAAGAAGACACGTTTGACATTATGGCCTTTTTCGCAGCAGGGCCCGGGGAACCAGCATCACCGCGTATCGGTACAGGCGCCCTCAGCACCTCGCCACGTATGGGCTTTGCCAACGGGAACGCCCACGGAAGCGGGAACGGGAACGGTGCCGAGTTTGGCCTTGGTAACTCTCCATCGTCTAGCGACTCGGCCATGGGCGCGCCGTTGATCACCTTGCCAACCCGTATCAGCACCCACCATTTCATCACGGCGCCAGTCCGATGGATCACCAAGGAATCAGAGCCGCCAGAGCTCGCCCAGGCGCCGACCCAGCGGTTCTTCGACGTCGTCCAGATGGGCGGCCGCAAGCCGCTCACCGAGCTTACACCGCGCGAGGCCTGGTGGCCCGTCATGTTTGGTGAGTACACGCGTGCTGGCACTGCAATGTCACAGCCTCTGGTTAAAGTGACCACGCAACGGGAAAGTGCCTTGTTCCTCGGTTGCGCGAAGGGGAGGAGACTCGCCGATTACACCGACGAGGCCAGAAACACAAGTGCTGTGAAAGCTGACGTGCCACCACAGTGTCCATTCTGTTCTTCCTTTGGGGCTTTAGCTACGGTCTGCTTGGCAACCTCACGACACAAATCATGGCGGCGATCGAAGTGGACTCTCCGTCGCGTTCGATTGCACTCCAGAACGCATACTGGATCGGATACCTTATCGGCCCACTCACTGCTGGCGCCTATGTTCTGCCCCACCATGGGTTCAAGGCGACGTTCATGACTGGCCTCGTCATCTACGCATGTGGCACCATGGCATTCTGGCCGTCGGCAGTGCTGGCGTCCTACGGTGGCTTCTTCTTTTGCAACATTGTCATTGGCATGGGCCTCAGCGTGCTCGAGGTCGCTGCCAACCCGTTCATCGCACTTGCTGGCCCCGGCGAGCTGTCTGAATGCCGCCTCAACTTTTCGCAAGGTATCCAGGCAGTTGGTTCGGTCATCTCGCCCATTATTGCCAACAAGTGGCTGTTCAAGAACGTCTCTGGCCGGATGTCACTGTTCGACATTCAGTGGTACTACCTCGCGGTGGCGCTTTTCGTCCTGTTCCTCGCGCTCGTCTTCTTCTACGTCCCGCTCGCCGAGGCCACTGACGACGAGCTGGAGACCGAGACCGTCAACCGACTGGACCGCGCCGGCCTCACCCAAGACGCAAAGGCATTCAAGTGCAGAGTGCCTGCGCGCTGGTTTGCGATTATTGCGGGCATCTTTGTCCTGACGTTTTACGTCGGCGCACAAGAATCTCTCGCCTACTTTTGGACCCCATACATCAAGGCCATCGGGCCCCCAGGCGGTACCGGCGACCCGTTCTGGGACCTGACCATTGGCCACGGGCTGTTTGCGGCCTCGCGCTTCATCGCCGCGGGTGTCTGCTACATGGGGTTTACGCCGCGCCTTATCCTAAACGTATGCTGTACCGGCACGTTCCTGAGCAGCCTGCTCGCCGTGGTGCTCAAGGACGGCCAGGCGGCGTTTGCGTGTATCCTCCTGACCCTCTTCTTCGAGGGTCCCGTCTTCCCGACGCTGTTCGCGACCGTCATCCGCGGTATGGGACGGCGAACCAAGCAGGTCTCGATCGCGCTCACGGCGTCGATCGGCTTTGTGGCCGTGTGGCAGACTGTGACGTGGGCCGTGTGGCGCGACCACGGCGTCCGGCAGGCGTACATTGTCGTGGTGGTCCTGTGCTTCTTTCAGGCGCTGTATCCCATCGCGCTGGCGAGTTCGCCGACGCTGCGCCGGTGGGTGGACCCCAAGTGGTCGCGCGACCCGAACGACCCCCACGACCCGCGCCGCCCGAGCATGGGCTCGGGTTCCGTCGGCTCCAAGCCGCTGCACGTCGAGCACGCCGACGCCAAGCACCACCACCACGTCAACGGCAGAGACCACTACCACCAGCACGACACGCGCGTCACTGTCGACTCGGCCATGTCCACGCCGCCAGACGCAGACGCAGACGCCGAAGACGACGACGCGCCGCCAGACCCGAGCCACCCGGCGCTCATGATCCGCCGCCAGTCGGCGCGCACGCCGCCGCACTATGGCCCAGACGTGCCCGTCGTCGGCGTGGGGATCGCGCCCATCCCGCCGGCAGAGGGCGCCGACCCCACGATGCGCGGCCCCACCGACGACTTTGCGGGCCTGGGCGTCGTTGGCGAGCTCGAGGAGCTGTGAACGCGGGGGGGAATAGTAGTTTGCTCTCCGGAAGAGGGCAAGTGATCGATTGGCACCTTGTTTGTTTTTGATCGTTTTTCTTTTTTTGTACTAGATTTTGTATCTCGGAAACACCAGATGGGTTGTACGGTTTGATGAAGGGGATTGACGACGAGGCAGCTGGGAGTTACGCAGGTAAAGCGGCGGCAAGGAGAGGGACGAGATGTTGTGGTGCCAAGTGACTACCTTTGTGCTTGTTCTCTCTCTGTCTCTCTGTCGGTCTCTGCGATCCGCAGCAGCCTTCTGTCGGCACTGCCGTCCGCCCGCACGCCCAACGCCCACGCCCAACGCCCACGCCTCACGTACACTGATCTGTCCCACGCCCTCGTAAACAAAGAGAAAACATGCATCGCGACCGTACTACAGCTATATATGTGTGTCTACAGCGCATTGTCCTAGAAGGCGAGCGCCGCCGCACCGAGGGCCAGTGCAAGCACGCCGCCAGCGGCACGCGCGTTGGGGTGGGCCGGGCTGCTGGCGAGGCTTCCGGCCGCGACGGCCGTGGTGGTGTTGGCCTTGACCGTGGACGTGACGAGGACGGGCGCGGCGCCCGACGAGCCGGTGCCGGTGCCGGTCATGGTGACGACGACGACAACGTCCGAGACCTGGCTCTGGCTCTGAGTCTGGCTCTGGGTCGACGACGCGGCCGTGTTGGCGGCGTTGGCGGCCGTGGGTGTGGCCGCCGATGACTCGGTGATGGTCGTGACGACGGCTAGAGAGTCAGCTCGCTGCGGGACATTCGGGGGTCGAGCTCACAGACTGCCGGAGTGGGCCGGGCAGCTGTAGGTGACGGGGAGGCGACGACGGTAACGACGACCGGTCCAGCAGCGGACGTACCAGCTGCACTTGGTTCGGCTGCGCCTGGAGACGCAACGGACGGGGCATTGGACTGCGACGACGACGACGACGAAACAGAGGACATACCTGCAGCCGTGTTGCCAGTGTTAGTGTCAGCGGATGCGGCGGCGGGTGATGAGGCGGCGGCCTGGGCCGGGGTCGTGGTCGTGGTCGAGTCTCCACCGGATCCAGCGGTGGTAGGCTCGGCAGGCGATGTCTGGATCGTGTAGCCGGCCGACAGCGAGTCCTGCGACGACGACGACGACGACGAAGACGGGGCATCCGACGACGCCGAGCCGCCAGCGAGACACGACGAGTCGGACGATGAACCGATGGCGACGCCCTGGACATAGTTGGTCGTGCCCTGCGAGTCGGTCACCTGGAACATGAGAGTGGCCGAGCCCGACGCCTGGTTGACGAGCCAGGTGGTCGACGACCCCGACAGACTCGAGATGGTGTCGATCACCTTTTCGTTGTCATAGTAGCCCCCCGTCGCGATCGTGAGGGTCACATCGCCCTAACGAGTCAGCGCTTGGAATCAATACGGGGGGAGTGGAGGTGGCTGTGTTGGTGCTTGCCACTAGCGCATGTGCTCGTCAGAGCAGATGGGACGCTAACGATCAGGGCTCTCTGGATCTCTGGCTCTCGCTATTGTTTTGGAGCGGATCGAAAAGGGCGCCAGCGGCGTATCAGAGTGCACGAAACAATGGTGCGTATGCCCGCGTCGCACGAGAAGCATGGGCCATGGCAGCTGTGTTGCCAAACCGCCAAGCGGTGGCGACGTCTGCAGTAGCGTGCGCGCCGACGGGACGTCTGCAGGTGGGCCTGATGTGACTCCGAAAGGGCGGCATGCGGCACGCACCCGTTGGCGCCGCACTCACACGCAACGCCCCGGCCGCACCTCTGAATGCGTTTCGATAGCGACCGCGCGCTGCATACAACAGTGGCGACGGACAGTGGACTGGGACTCACCACAGTGTTGGTCCACGACACAGTCGCCTTTCCGCACTGGACGACATTGCTCGTCGAGATGGTGATGTTGTTGACTGGGGGAAGGTCAGCTGGGTGTCCTACCAGGGTGCCAGCCTGGTCGCTCCGACGCACTGAAGCTCCCAGCGAGGATGACCGGGGCGGCAGAGACGGGCGCGGCGAGAAGCGCAAGGGCCGCGACGGGGAGAGCCGCAAGCATGTCGGGAGGATGGGAGGTGGGTGTATTAGGGTTGTTGTTGTTGATGGGGACGGCAGAGGATGGTTTTGTCCGTCGTCGCAGACAACGGGTTTGGGTGAAAGCAAAGCCGGGAGGAGGGACGGGGTTCTCTTTTGTCGTCTGAGAGCTTGCTCTGACGGGGGAAGAGGTGGTAGTGCGCCGGGCACAGAGGAGGAGGAGGAGGCGGGGGGGTGAATCGGGAGTGGGGGATGGAGAGAAAGCAAAACGCAAACTATCGACCGGCGCCGCTAAAGGGACAGGAGGATTCCACAAGCGCGAACACTTTCATTACACCTGCGCAAGCGACGACCAGCCATCCCAAGCTTCAAGGGTCCTCCCCCCGCAAAACGTCATGTCCAGTGTCGATCAGCCCCCCAGCCTCCCTCGCTTACGTGCCGCCCAGTGGCCAGAGTGGCTGCCTCTTACATGCATATGCACCTGGCCATTGATGTCCTTTTCTGCAACTGCGTTTGCTTCACGTTTCTTTTGTTCTGTACGTTCGGTGGGAAGCCTTGGAGCCACCAGATCGAGCGTCGGGACGAGGTTCCTCCCTGTGCCTGCACATGAAGGCCAAAATGTGACGTCGGAAGGGGGTGTCGAGATGACCAGAGAATGGTGTCGACGTTTCGACGCTCTTTCACCGACCAAAGCAAGAGTTGATGCCATGTCGGCTGTGGCCTGTGGCCCGGTGGTACGGTGGTACGGTGGTCGTCGCCCAAGTGGCCAGTTGCCAATATGCAAATGCGCTCCACATGAAAGCTTATGACTGACGGAAAGCGTCACGTGTACCATACTTACAGCATACGTCTTAATTGACGACCACTAGGCCACTAGCACATGTCCGCCTCAACTGCGTGTGCGGGCTTGCGACTCCCGCCGAAAGATTGATTAGGACCAGGGCCAAACTTGCTTTTTGCTGCTTAACCTTGTGACAACATTTTGATAATGGCTTGTGCTTTGCCGAAAGTGTCAGCATGGCAATGGTGGTTGTATTGATGTGATGTCGTCACATCAAATGTCCGCCAAAAAGGTGTGGAATGCAAAAACGCACGACCTGCGTGGGCGAATGGCTTCCTCTCTTGTTTCGACGTCCCGGCAAGGCCTCAGTAGATCAGTAGAGTGATGGTCACGAGTCAGACCGACAGGGAGGGAGGCAAAGGCCAGAGTTCAGATCTGGGGCCAACGCAGTTGGTTGCACAGTGCACGCATGTGTGGGTCGTTGTTGGATGAAGCCCCCGAAATATGTTGCGCCAAGACCCACCACACTTCCTTGTCGATAACGGCATTTGTGTGTATGTTCGATAGCGGGACGGCCACACGGCACAGCCAGAAAGTGAAACGAAGTATCCTTCGTCGGCACAGTTGGTACAGAGTGGAACAGCGCACGCAGGCCCCTCTCGCTCATCACGAGCACGAGCAACGACACACCCGGGTGCCGGTGTCGCCACCACCCCAAATGGAGATCTCCACTCCCCCAAGATCAGAGATCAGAGACATTCCACGCCATTCTGTCTCGGACCCCGCGCAGGACCAGCGTCGTTCTCTCCACATGCATGCAGGGTGCGCAGTCAGACGTATAACGTACGTCACTGTGTCACCTATGCATATCGCTTGCAGGATCCAGGAAAGACGGGAAAATGGATCTATCTCTATAGCACGATTGCCGGGCTCTGCCCGTCGTCAACACCGGTGGATCGTGGAGTCAGAGCCTCATCATCACCGCCAATACCCCACCCCGTCATCTCGGTACAGTCGGCACGGCCCATTTGTCCTGGGGTGTCATGTTCCCATGCTCCAGAGCGGTCCTCCAGCTCTCCAGCTCTCTCCTCCCCCTCCCTGCAGCTCCAAGTTCCCTCTGCACCAGCTCCATCGCTCTCTCTCTCCAGACATACCCCATCCGGCCACCACGTTGCGATAGAATAACGGCGGCGTGGCGTCGACTGCGCAGGCACACACACACACTGCACGCACCACCAGCACCAGCACGCACCCTCTCGTCCTCATCCTCATGCCCGTCATCTTCTCTCGCGCGGCTGTCCCACGCACAGACCCGTATATCCTGTCAACTCTAAACGCACGTATGCCCCGCGCCCCAGCGCGCCAGCGAGCTGTGGGCCGAGCTCTGGCCGCGCACGGGTTGGCCCGGCTCGTGCGGGGCTTGTGCTCGCCTTTGTGGAGCCCAGGGACGGTGGGTTCGTTTGGCGCTGGAATGGGGCTGGAGACAGAGTGGCGAGCGAGCGAGCGAGAGAGCGAGAGAGTGTCGCCCGCCTTGGGCCTTGCAGCTCTGTGCTCTCTGTACGTTCCCTCTGTGCTGTTGCTCCAGTGGCCTGTGTGTGCGCTGCGGATGGGTGGGTGCATGGGAGAATCTGGGGCGGTGGGGCGGTGGGGCGGCGGCGGTGGGCGGTGGGCGGTGGGCGGTGGGCTGGGCGGGATGCAAGTGGCGGCACACACCGCGGGTGTCAACAAACAACAAAGAGCCAAGACAAGGTGGCGACGGTGGCGACATGCACACATACACACACATACACACACACACACACAAGGACGGGGGCATGCTTCTGGAGTGGCTGCTGGGGAGGTTAACCGTTAAAGCCTTTGGCCAGAGATTCTGTGGACTAAGGGCGCGCGCGCGAAGAGAGGGGGACGAGGCCAATCGAGGAATGTGAGGTGGCGAATCCACCGAGTGTGGCATTGCCTCGCCTCCGCGTAGCCGTGTTCTTCTGCTTCTTCGTCTCGCTACACACGTCGTTCATTTAATTCACGGCTGTTGGGGCGCACCTGCTGCACCAGTCAGACAACGACTTTGGCCACAGGACAGTTCACACATGCGACATGCAATATGTACATCTGGGCTCTCTCTCCTCTCCGTCTTGTTCTGACTCTCTCTCTCTCTCTCTTTTGTCGACAAACCAACTGCGGATTGCGAGACGGAAGAAGCGCTAGGGGATAAGGACTGGTGTGTGCGGGACCGAGCGAGGGGTGTGGGTGGGTGGGTTTGGGGGGACACAACTAATGGCTACATGGGACGACCGGTCGGGGAGTGCGCGTGCCACAGCACACGGTGCGGCGGAGCACTTCACTGCTGCTGCTGGGGGTACTGCGCCGGGTGGGCAGCGCGGTCATACGCGACGCGCAGGTCGGACGACGAGGGTGTCCTGCTTCCCGTGACGTGTGCGTATGGCAGGTGAGGGTCGGTCGTGTATGCACCCGGTGGAGCGGCCTGGTACGCGGCGTTGGGGTGGCCGGCTGCGTTGGGGTGGGGGTGACCGTTGGGGGTCAGGGAGGGGTCGACTGCCGTCGCAGGGACGTACAGCCCGAGCTGGGGCGGGTAGGAATCGCGCGGCATGGCGGACGCCGGGGTGGCGACGGGCGAAATGTTGACGTAGCTGTTAAACTCGCCGTCGTTGGTCGTCGAGTATGGCGAGACCATTTCAGAGGCCGCGGCCACAGACGCACCGCTCGTGCGGTACTGCGACGTGGTGGCCGTTGGCGACATGTCGACATAGGCCGAGAGGTCATCGCTCACAGACGACGGGGTCTGGTTGACCATGCCACGGTCTTCGGCGTAGGTCATCGAGTTGGTGTGGTGGTGGCCGTACGAGACTTGCTGCACATGCGGGTCCATGGGGTTGGCCTGGAAGTTGAACGACGTGTTGAGGTAGGCAGAGTAGTTGCCAAAGATCTTTTTGAGCGCCTGTTCGAGGTGGTTCCAGGGAAAGACCTTGAGGCCCTTGTCAATGTTGCGGGGCTTGGGGTTGGGGTAGTTCATGATGTGAGCGTAAAAGTCTTGCCACTGGCCTTCGTTCTTCTGGAGCGTCGTGGGCTTGAAGCTCTCCAGGTTGCGGCGGATACGGTTCTTCTCTTCGGTGGTGTAACGCGTCTCCATGAGACACTCGAGGAGGTAGATGGCGTCGACGGACGTGAAATAGCACTCCTGGCGGGCATCGTGGTAGAGGCATGAAATGACAATCATGTTCTGCTGCCAGTCCTTCTCCTCGATGGCACGGAACGAGGCCAGAACGGTCGCATCCTGCCTGCGGCGCTTAAACTCGACGAGGCAGCGACGGTTGGCCCACATTTCAGGCGACCAGTTGTTCTTCATCGTCGACAGGTCGCCCTCGATCTCGAGTTTGGCCTTGGTGCGCATCACAAACGGGCTGGCACCCATCGACGCAGGGAGCATCTGGGTGGTGCGAACAAGGCCAGGTGGGCCAGGTGCTTGCGCAGTCTGGGGCGGTGGCGAGTCGTACACAAACGGCTGAGCGGTACCACCGGGGAGTGGTGGGCCATAAGGGTCTGGAGAGTCATTAGTAAAGCACCCCAGACGGGGAGCCGTGCCACACTCACCGTCTTCGTGACGACGGCGGACACCCCCGCGGACCGCATTCATCTTGCGGGTGGGAGACTCGTGCTCGAGCTTTTTACGGGACCGCTTGGGGGTTCCCGCTGCGGAACGTTAGAAGAAGAAACGATTGGTAATGAAAATGAATATATGGTGTCACACTCACTGGCGTCACCAAGATAATGGAACTCTCCCAAGGGTGAGGTCTCGAGCAGGCCGTGAAACTCGTTGATCGCCTCCAACTTGACAGGGATGCTCCAACTGCCACGAGCGCCAGTGGTGTGGAGGGGAGGGGCGCATGCTGAGAGAAGATAGCTGTCGGTAGTGGCCGTAGGTCCCACAACGGAGGCCTCGACAGGAACGTTTCCAAACAGGAGACGGACGCGGTTGTGGAGAACACCGTTGCGCTCCTGGTCGGGGAAAGGAGGAAAGTTGAGGTCGCACGCGACGTTGATCGGAGTACCTTCGTAACCCGACTGAGGAGACACCTCAAAGACGGTGATGATGGACGCTGGGCGCTGGGGGTGGGTCGGGAGAGGAGGAGCGGCAAACCCAGCCTGAGCAGGGTGCATCGCGCGAGCGTGTGGGTCGGCGGGACCCGGATACCATCCGGCCGCTGGAGCTGGGGCGAACGGTGCGCCGAGAGGTGGTGGCATGGCTGCTGAGGCTGGTGCAGACGTCGAGGCAGACGCAGTCGCAGTCGTCGGAGAGGTCGACGGAGAGGTCGCTGGGTTGGTGTTCGAGTTGGCGGTGGTGGTGTAGCGTGCGTTGGGGTACGAGTTGGGTTGCTCGTTTGGATACATGGGCACGGGTGGGCCGTTGTGGCTGTAAGGCAGCCGTGCTAGTTATGACGGCTATATAAGAGTTTGTTGGGAAGAGAAGGCACAACAGCGAGCTGTCTGTGGTTGAAAGCAGGTGAGGTGAAGGCGCTGCTGGTTATGCAACGCGGGCAAGCTGTTGGGCTGGGAGGCGCTGCTTGAGGCTTGAGGCGACTCCACTTTCTGCCCGATAGCGGCGGAGTGCTGGGGGAGGGAGGTTGTTCTCGCGATGGCTGTGGGACCCGGGGCAAGGATTGAGCAGGTCACACGTTAGGGGAGAGGTGGGGGGCACGAGCAAATGGCAGAGGAATGCGAAATGCCCAGGGGACAGTCCAAGATCCAACAAGAAGGTGTGAGAGCACGGGCTGTCAAGGGCTCGAGCCAAAAGGTTCGAGCACGGATGAAGGACGGGGGCTTTGGGAGTTTGAAAAGAGGATGTCACGGGGGCGCGTGATGGAGTGGGGTTGGTTGGAGGGACGTGCGCGTTGTTATAAAGTCGCTCTCGAGAAGTTGAGAAGATGGTGGATGTGTGCGTGCGGTGTGGGCGTCAAGATATGGGAAGAGGAGTGGATGGTGGTGGCGGTCCGCTTGCGGCGGCCTGAAAGGGGGGGTACGAGGGGAAGAGAAAGAAAGAAGAAGGGGATGAAGTGATGTTGCGACCAGTTGATGTACAACTGTATATGCGTGAGATGCGCTGAGAACCACCCCTCCGCATCCGGAAGGCAAACCTGTCTGCCGAAGCGCCGCCAAGTCAGAGGCGAGAGGGGGGGGGGTGCAGCTGGCAGGCAGGCAAGCAAGCAGGCAAGCAAGCGGGCAGGCTGGTTGACGCGTGAACACCGAGAGAGCGACTGTCGGCTGACGGGCGTGGTGACGGAGGCTTGGAGGCAACAGTGACGGGCCGAGAGAGGGGAGAGGACCGAGAGGAGCTTTGTGTGTAGGTCCAGAGGCGATAGGGACAGGAGGAGGTGAGGGGGGCAGCGTCTGATCGACAGCAGAGGGCCGATGGCTTGCGCGGGGTGGCGGGGGGGAGGGGGGAGAGAGAGAGGGGGTGTGGGTGTGCTCTGTGGGATCGGGATTCCAAGAAGCGTGTGAGAGTGAGAGAGAGAGAGGGTGAGAGGGGGAGAGGGAGCGAGATGGAGGTGACGAGCGGCGTGCTGCCGAGCGTACAGAGCGTGTGCCATCTTTTGCGGAATGCCAGGAGAGGACGGGGGCACGGAGAGAGGCCACGCAGGAGCAGGAGCGCACCAGGGAAGAGCAACGACGACCGACGAGCCCATCTCATCGGTGGCGTTTGAATCGCCCGGGTGGCGGCGGGTGGCAGAGGCGCAGCACAAGGGAAAGGACAGCAAGGAAAAAGAAAAAACACTCTCTCTCTCATCCATCGCTTGTCGCGCGCACAACACCGGCCACGCACGCACCCGGCGCGCGCACCGTGAGGGGGCGGGGTGGCCCACGTAGAATTGCCGGGACATGGGGGTGTGGGGGGAGGGGCGTACAATATGCATTGTCCGGCCAAGTGGTGTGTGGTATCCTCTCGCTGGCCTCTCTGCTGCCACCTCCCCGGCCGCCCGCTCCATTCGATCTTCCCACCATTTGTATCCAGCCCAATGCGTCATTTGCAGCACGGGGTCGGCAGCATCAGCACCAGTGTGTTTAAATCAAAAGCGGGTCGTCGCGCGGCAAGAGTAAATCGTGGGATGGGGCCCGTAATTGTCAGGGCACAGCCCAAAGAAAAGGCAAAAAAACAAAAATGGTCGCCCGCCAGCCCCCCCACCTACCCGGAGAGGACAAAAAGGACGCTACCTCCTCTGGCTCTACGCTCGGCGTCTTCCGCCTGCAGCGTCCTCCAAAGACCGACTGTGGCCTCTCCCTCCCGCTGCTCTGTGCATATACCAGCATGCACGCTCCCCAACAGTGGTTTGGGTTAGTGGGCGATCTCCCGCTGGCTGACCACTTTGCGCACTGGGGGCATGCTGCTTGAAGAACAAGCGAAAATTGAAACGCTGACGTTGGTTTGTACGTCAGCTGCCTGTGGATCTGTGGACCAGATCTCATCGAGGAGACGATAAGCAGCAGAGGCCGGCCGCGAGGATATCCCGTGTCCCCGTTCTCTCTCTCTCCTTTGCCTCCAATGCTCCATGTGGCCTGTCACCCAACAGTCTCCGTCTCTCTCGGACCTCCTCCTCAGGAGGGGCTCTCAGGAGGCGCGCTCGGCGCATGATGCGCACAAAGGGTTGTACACAGGGGATAAAGAGGAGCAGAACAGGGAGAAAACGGTGCCGAAGCGCGGGGTGGGGGGTCAGCTGTGCACAGCGTGCATGGCTGCCTGGGAATGCCCCTATCATATGGGTCGTGCCTCTCGCCTCGTTCCTCCCATCCATTATTCGGGACACAAAGGGATGGTTTGCATCCATCCGGAACAACAGGTATTCCGGAGCGTGATGACGGCAGCGGGCAATGACCGCCGGGGGGGAGGGCCAAAGCATGGGCACAAGCGGGTACACCAACAGCGGCGACCCAGAGCGGTCAGCGGGTCAGCAGTCTCGTTTTCTTGACGTGACTGGCCATTCAAACGACAGCGATGAAAGACCCCCCCGCCCCCTTCCCATGTCCCGCAGGCTGACCATGTACCGCCGCTGACGTCCAGAATGCTCTCGCTGCATAACAGCCCCCCCACCCCTACCCTCGTGCTGGTGGACAACCAGGATCCATTCGCAGCCCAATTTTAGGGCCAAAGAGCAAATGGCCAGGGTGTGGGAGAGGGGGTCACCTGCAGTGTGCGTATGGGGCTTGGGAAACTGGCGCTCGAACGGCTTACAATGGGCAAATATGGCCATCCCCACTCTCTGGATCTCTGGCGCGAGGTGTGAGGTTTGGGCTCCAGGCCGGTCAGATTCCAGGAGCGGCGCCGGACGAGGCGGATATACCAACCGGCGGCTTGGCAGTCTGGCATGTGGGCAAACCGCAAACTGGCTGGCCCCCCACCTGGCGTCCAAAGTATCAGGTTCATCGTTGGGATCTCTGGCCGCCTTCCTGCGGCCTGCGGCGTGTGTGATCGGCCACCGCGGGTGTGGAAGAGAGCGTCGCATACCCAAGCCCCACTGACAATTACCCTTCACCAGCACTCGCTGGGTACACGCACAGCCACTGCCTCGTGCGCGCCACGAGCAGCGTCAAAGGTGCATACGCTTTCAGGTTTAGGCAGCCACCCGGCCACCGGAAAAGCTGTCGTTGACCCAAGTGGCCAAGTGGACGAGAACATCGTCCAGGAGCCAAGGAATGAAAGGTGACCCAAGAGACGGGAACCTTTTGTCGCCGCCAGGACCAAAAAACGGCGACGTCCGTTGAACGTTGCAAGGTTAACGTTGTGTGCCGGCATGCAGAAGGCATGTGGAAACACAGAAGGCATGGATCCGATGTCATGTCGCTACGCACGACGACCATCACGGACTGTAAGTACTTACGCACAACATCTAATGTGCCTGCGCGATTACGTTCATTACGGTGTTTCACCGCGTATCACTGCTTCTCAACAACAGTGTAATCTTTGAAACCCCTTGCCCCCGAGTGCTAATGTGCTGGGTGGGCTGGGTAGGACGACGCCAAAGTCCCATACCACTTGTGGCCGTTGCCAACGCCGTCCTTATGCCACAGCTCTGTGACTTGGCACTTACGACAGTTGAGACCCGCCACACGCCACACGTTCTCAGGCTGTCATCCTCATGCAGGCAGAGTCGTACACATTTACCATGTCAACACCGTCCACTGCCTCGCATCCAGCTCCCCCAGGGTTATTCGCTAAACGAGCAAAGGGGTTAAACTAAGGAGGCATACCACGGCCCATTTCCTCCATGCCTCGGGGCACACGTCAGGCTAACGCTATCTCTGGATCATGGCTTAGCATGGCTTGCTCGCCGTCCGTAATGGCCAGAACGGCCAGAACGGCCAGAACGTTTGTTTAGCGAGGTCAGGTCAATATCCCTTTGTCCTCGACGCCCCACCGCCGTTACCCAGCACTTTTCTGTTTACTGCATTCCGCAACTCAATGTCCAAGCCATGATATCCATGATACGTACGCCAGGCGCACAAACATACCGCAAGTTGCGCGGGGACAACTGGAACATGCCGCAACCCCGCAACGCCGCGCACCCGGCATACCTGCGTACGGCCCTCAATACCACTAACCTGGGTGCGACCCTCTCGGTGGGCGGTGGGCCATTGATCCCTGTGTGTCCGGCCGTGCACACCCCCCATCTGGCCCTGTCTCGGCGTCTCCAATGTCTGTCCTCCCCTGATCCTAGAGTCAATAGCAATCATGTGTTTGTCCGTGTGGTGGAGCCACGTTTTCCCATTATCCAGGCCCTATTGACCCGGATAGCCATCTGCGGGAATTTGGGCGCCCTCGCCTGGTAAAAAAGCAAAAAAGACAGAAAGAAGAAAAAACCTAGCGGGAGCTTATATGAGCAGCAACGCATGTCAACGTCGTGGTCGAGGAACATGGCAGCAATGTTGAGTCGGGACTGCAGCTTGCCGGAACTGAGTTGGCTGAAAGACTGAAAGCCCGAGGACATGGCCGGCGACCAGCATTGTTTGTCCGTCAATGCTCTCGTGAAGCCTCATGTTACCAGTTCTTTCCCACCGATCTCCATTTCATTTGTGGTCATTTGGGCCATGACGAGCTCTCATTGAATCATTAACCATTGTCCGTGCCCGAGTACCTGGTTCCGTGCATGGTGCCAGTGTGGTCTGCCCATTCCACCCCTCATTCGGCCAGTCTGCAGGCTTGGCGTGCTCAATTAGCATCATTCTCTCAGCCGGCACTTGTGCCGTTTCCCGCCGAGACGTCAGTGGGTGTTGGCCTCGGTACAGAGTGCATTCTATATGACGACAGAGCCACGCTGCACTGGGTGGGGGTGCCACAGTCGCGTGATGTGATCAGCAGATGTGAGATGAGATTCAACAAGAGCACGAGATCGCAGCCGACGACGGAAGCGAACCGCTCGGCTCGCAAGGCGCGCGTCGTCATGGATTTCAAAGCCCGTTGGGCTCGTTCTGTACAGAAACAGCCGCTAGCAGCCGAATCAGCTGGGTCCAGAGCATCAATCACGGGTAGCATAGCATAGCGCATCACGTAACCATGACCACACGTTCGATTCCAGCAACCAAAGACGAACCCCGTCTGCGGCCATGGAATCAGCCATTAGGTGCTTTGACACTCCGGATAGGAATGTTAACATGACAAACGCCGTCAAAGCTTGCGCGCTAGCATCTCCGTCTCCCTGTCCAGATCTCCTGCCAACCTACGACTTCCTTATGGCTTGGCGACTAGGACCTACGAGCAAAGACCACTAGGGATGGCCACGGCCGCCCGAGAGACCCCAAAGACCTCGGGCTACGGTCATGTGGCAGCCTGGATCGTGGATCGTGGCCTTGACCCGCATTGATTGGAGGTACCGACTGAGGACGTTTTCGAGGAGATCCGTCAGTTGAACCTACGCCTTTCTGTCCTTCTTACCTACTCAATGCAGAGAGAGCTAAACCTCGGTGTCTCTGGGAGCGGCGACACGTAACTGTACTACCTGAGCACCGCGTCTTCGGGCCAGTTCCTCGCCACGCACAGGCCACAGGTTCTAGCACCTCAGGAGCTCAGGCAACGCATTCAGCCTACCGGTGTGCCACGACGCCGACGACGCCGCCTCACTTTCCCCAACCACGCCCACCCCCGCCCATCGCCGTCTTGGCGGCCCGACACGGCCGGTACACGCCGATGCGCCGGTACGCCGGTCTCGGCGCCGCCTGCGCCGGCCCCCAGTTTAGGGAGCGGGTGGGGGTGTGGAGGGGGGGGGGGGTGACTGACTACTGACATAACTCCGTCCGTGCGGTGCACAGTCCGGTGTTATGCAGACGTCATCCGTCGCTGCGACGGCCCTTGGCGCAGCCTCGTTCGGATGATGTTGACAGTTTTGCAGGCGCACGCACAACTGACGAGAAGGGAGGAAAGTGCGCTCCTGCTAAAGGTGTCTGGTGGTGCTAGGGGCAGGAGTTCGCCACGGCACGACCTCGCGTCAGGTGCAGTGCTTGTCTCGTTGGGGCGGTACACACTGGCCATGGGGCACGAGAGCTAACCAAACACAACAACAAACACTGCCGACCACAAGACCTACAGCGCTGACAGGTCCCACGGCTGCACTAACGCCACACGAGCGTGCTTTGCAGTGGTTCCCCTTACGAAGCGCAGTTAACCTCTGGTCAAACTTTGTCTAGGATAGCCAGGTAAGCATGATCCAAGACATCAGGCAGCGGCGGCGGCAGACCATGGAGCATGCTCTGAGCACTGAGTGTCGAGCCGCAGCCCCCCGTACCTAGGTGGTGCAGCCAGTGTGTGAAACGCAGCGATTGTAGGGATCCAGACTCGGTGGAAACGAAGCTAGTGACGACGTCGGAGGGTAGTGGCGGCGGACGAAAGGTGCCACCGACTGGAGGCCACTTTCCGTGTTTTGGTCGCGTCGTCCGTTGCTTGGCCAACTATCTCCCTCCTTCCACCACGCAGGGTACACCTGGTGCACTTCTCGACAGCTATGCACTGACATGTACCTCATACCCTGCCCGCTCAGCTCCACAAGTTGGACCTGGTCCAGAGGCGCAGTCGGCGTGGCATGGCGTACAGATTTAACGATCGAGCGGCCGAGAGGCACACTGCGCGCCCACTCTGTCGGAGTTGGCCGTGTGCATCAGAGCGAGAGGCAGTAACCTCCTCCCCACATCCCACAGTCCTGTATGTCATGTCCTGCTGCCCCCGTCTGATCAGACGCGACGCATCATGTGCACCTCCCGTGGCGAGCTGTTGACGCCGACGCCGACGCTAATGACAACGCCTCAAGCCAGGCTGTCACCTCCGACGGAGAGCGATGGGGGTGTGGGTGCGAGACACTGTGGCGGTGGGCGTCGACGCGTGCACGAGCTTCCGTGTACCTCGCCGAACTGTCAGCTCGTACGCGCGCAAAGTGTTCCTGCCGTCTTGTTTCGAGTCTCGGGCAAGCGTCGAAGCCACACTCGGGCAAGTACCAGCGTTTGGGACGGGACGCGTCAAGGGTGTGCGGTGTCAAGATTGCACAACTACCTGGCGCCGGGCGTGCCGATGGCGGCCTCGAGGCAAAGTGGTAGGCACTTGAGATACTCGCGCACGCGCCTGGTCGTCGAGCATCCCAGCCTTCCCCCGCGGTCGAGTCTTGTCAGAAGAAGAGACGCAAAAGCAGTTTGGAGGCAGTGGCAGTGGCACTGTGCCCCTAGGAAGCAAAGGACGACGCCGAGGAAGAAGGACGGGGCAGCTGACAACTAAACCGCGGACCACCCAAACAGATTGGCCCGGAGAATCAAGAGTTGGTTTTGTCCAGAAGCAAGAAGGCCGCGCCATGGGAAGAGCTGCTTCTGTCCATGATTCCCCCTCTCGCAAAGATTGTACCTCTCGGACTGATATCTGGGCCCCCGGACTGTGTGTACTAGAAGAAGCCTCGGACTCGGCTCTGATAGTATAAACCCGTAAACGATGACGGATTGGAAGCAGGCCAGGTACCGACGCCCTATAGCCACATTGTGTCGGAAACATGCGGAGACTTGCTAGGACATGGACCCCTCCAGGCAGCTGGAGACAAGGAAGGCGCCTCTTCTCGAGAATCAGATCGATATGGGCGTGTGCAGTTCTGGGAGCAGATCCCTCGCCGGCACCGCGAGGAATCTTGTTGTCGTTACCCAAAACAGTGGCGGTTCCGTCAATGCGAAGTGCGAAACGCGTGTTGGTTTCTATGTAAGCGTCATCTCGGATCGATATTTCCCATTGCAGAGTTGCTGACCCCGAGAAGCACAGCAGTCCATTTGCAAAACGACTTTCCCCGACTACAGACTGCAAATACTGGCAAGGGAAGGTACCGGCACGTTGAGAAGACTTCTCGGCTGATGTGACATGTCGAGCCTGGCCGAAAAGCCACCGAAAGAGACTCACTCCATGGTGTTACCAGACGGCTGGGTCTGTCTTCTCTTTCCATGGTCTCTGACACATCCCCCCCCGTGCCATAACTGCGGGCATCTACATGCGGAACAGGCCAGGTGGTCTGGGTTGGTCACCCCGCTCCACCTGGCTTGGATCGTGGCGCTGTATGGCAGATTCCGCCCACAGTTCCATCAGTCTCTCCGAAGCGCCTCCATCACGCCCCCATACCCTCCCATCAGGTGCCTCCTCGTCACCCGCCCTCCTCCTCCACTGCTTCAACCACTCCCACTCCACAGATTCACTCAGTCAATCACAGCGTCGTCGTCGTCGCCGTTGCGGCTGCCGAGGCCGGCCTGCCAAGAGGCCGCGAGGTATTGCGTACGTCACAGCGCCACGGCACTCACCGCCTCGTGAGGGGGGGGCACCGTGGCTGGGAAGCGGAGGGCAGACCTCGACCTCTCACTGTGGTGACAGGTCGAGGCACGTCAGCGGTACTGTGAGCGCGGTCTCGTGCTTCCTGGTCATTCTTATAGGTCAGTGAGCAACCCCACCGTAGTGAGTGGGGGGGAGCGCATCTGTGGGCCATGAGGCAGATGGTAAAAAATGTGGGATTTTGGCAATTATTTTTTGTTCTCGCAATAATATTTCCCGCCCGTGCGCACGCATTAGAGCTAGAGAAAGAGGCCTCGGCATGGTGCGCACACACTTAGTAGATGGTGCGCACACTTAGCAAGTGGTGAGCACACTTAGCTGTCAGGGAAAGACGTCATTGCAACCACGTCGGTTGGCATATGTCGATACTGACGGGCATGAATGCCACAAGAATATATCATTCGTTCTATCCTCTGCGTCTCCGACTCCCCTGCTACGCAACTCCTGTGCTACAGGTGAGTAAGTACGTGAGTGATGGCCACTCACGCGACGTCTAACCTCCCAAGCGGGGACGAGCGGCTTGTTTTCCGCCCAGAGTTGACGGAGTTGACCTGACCGATTCGAGATACCGTGTGCGCGTCCATCCAGCTCCACAAAGTCATACACGAGTCATACACGTCGCTCAGCGGCCATCAGTTCACAACACCGACACCTCACTGCCACGGCGGATCATTTTCCGTTGAGAGTGACAAAGGCGCAGGGCTGCGGGCGGGCATTCGAATGGGAGACGACGACAGGACTTCCATTAGGTGGTATGCTTGACCCCTGGGGGGGGGGCAATGCATGCAGCAGTTCATCTACCATCAGATCACCAGAGCCATTATAGCATGCCGTACGTCTCTTCAGCATTCATATGCCTTTGCTGTTGACTGCGTTGCTAGCCTCTCTCTGGCTATCCACTTTACCTCGGCAGGTGGTGGGACACAGATAGCCGAGAACGTCACTTGTCGGTAACGCTTTTCCATTTTTCCTTCTTATCTCCATGTCCGGCCAGCTTGCAGCCCCACCTACCACACACAATGTCCATCCGTACACTCTGTGATCAGTATCACCCCACGCCATTGCCGCATTCGACGCTCTCAAGCCGTCTGCACGAGTGGTGAATGCTATGCATAAAGTTGCTTCCCTCTTTTTTTTTCTGCGGATTCGAGTTTGGTGGTACTAAACTCAAATCGTACCCCTGTAAAAGATCACACTTCTCCGTCCCAACACCATAACCTGGACTACCCTCGCCCGAGATCACGAGCGCAATGAGGGTTTCTGGCGGACGGAGACGCCGTGCGTGAGGCGGGTCTGGAAACCGCCCACACACCTCGCCACGAGGAGGAGCTTACTCCTGGATCTTGGCAAGGATCTCCGAGTCCTTGAAGAGGTGGTACTCCTGTTGACAAGTCAGCGGGGGTCCCTGTGCGCAAGAGGGAATGGTCGCCGGAGAAGTGGGGGTGTAGTGAGGGCAGGAGGCAAGTGAGACGGGGGTTGCTGCCGATATCCCCAAACCTCAACCGCAATTGCGAGCCCTGGTTGCCTGGGCATATCACCTCGAGACGCTTCGTTGGCCATCAGGGCTCAGCTGTTTGAACAGACCCAGCTGCCGAGCTCGAACGCTCCAGAATCTGGAACTAGAGTAGAGCTCGAGCCAGTCACGACAGCCAATTAACCAAGGTGTTGGCAGAGTTCCGCCGCTCGAGTCACTCCAGCCTGCACATCCTGGTCCTCACACTCCCCGACAACCGGCTCCAATCCAGAACACCACTCTACTCACCTCCTCGCCGACCTTGATAGGCGAACCACCCCAGCCGGGGAGGAGAACGCGGTCACCGGCCTTGACCGAGACGGGGATGATGGCGCCGTCCTTGTTGGGGGCACCGGGGCCGACAGCGATGACGGTGGCCTCGGGGAGGGGCGACGAGGTAGCCGACGAGGGGAGGAGGAGACCCGAGGCGGTCTTCTGCAGTGGGCGTTAGCGGACGTTGGGAGGAAGGTGATTCGAGTCCAGAGCGAGAGAAGGATCATTGGAGGCAACGGAAGGGACGGGACTAGCCAAGAGAGTGTGGCCTTAGACGCTCCAAGCTGGCCAGTTGGACATTGCCCAAGCAAGCACACAAGGGCAGCAAGCAAGCAAGCAAGCAAGCAGACAGAAGGAAGGCATGGACATGGGCAGCTGCCTATGCCCGCGACCAAACAAGTGGACTGGACCCGCCCAACGGCCAGCGGTTGGGATCGCTTCCGTGGACACGGCGGCTGCCGACACCCGGGCAGATCGTATCTCTAGCCATGCGCTCCCCGGACTGGCAAACCCAAGGTCTTCGCTGCTCGGCCAGCAAGACAGCAAGCTGCGGGACGGGGCTGCGACGGCCAAGGCCGAAAAAGTCCGCGTCGCTGACTTTCTGTACTTTGCGCAGCGACGGCGAGCAACTTTGTTGACCACGACGACCATGACACAGGCGTGAAGGGTGGCCGCTGTCCGATCGCGGTGTCCATCCGTCCCAAGAGACTCCCGCTCGTTGAATCGTCGGCGAGAGATGTAGACTCACGGTCTCGGCCTTGAAGCGCTGGACGAGGACGCGGTCAAGGAGGGGCTGGAGGGCGCGGATCGACTTGAAGGTGGCAGACTGGAGAGGGTGAGCGTGTTGGCCGGCTGTACAAGGTAGGTGTGGTGGGTGCGTACCATTGTGGGCTACAGAAACGGGGGGGGAGATTGTTTTGCTAGAGGGAGAGATCAATGAAGGACGCTCGAGTTCAAGAAGACGGCGAGTGCATGCTCCGTCCGTTCCTCCGACCCCGGCCGCTCTGCAGCCCTCGTCGCTCTCTCGGCTATGACCCAAACGCGCGCACACTGTAGCGCACGGAAATGGGCGGCGAAACTCGACTTTTCCAGAACCTTCCCACGGTCACTCCATTACAGCTGGCTACTCTCTCCGCCCGCTGCATCCCCCGTCGTTCCTCTTTTTGCCGAACAGCTACTTCTTCATCCTCTCTCCAACCCACCACCTTCTCTCTCCCCCCCCTCCCCCCCTTTGTGTCTATCTAGCACAATGTTCGCCCGTACCCGTGCCGCTCTCCCCCGCCCCCACCGCCTGGTGGCCGCCGCTCCCCGCCGTCACATGGGCTCCAAGGACGTTGTCTTTGGCAACGAGGCTCGCCAGGGCATGCTCAAGGGCGTTGAGACTCTCGCCAAGGCTGTCACTGCCACCCTCGGCCCCAAGGGCCGCACCGTCATCATCGGTGAGTCTTTGCAGCAGCGAGGACCCGGAACAGCGCACTTGCTCGAGCTCGTGGCATGCGTCACCTGTGGTTTTTTTCCACCGGCCCTTGTTCTCTCGCTTGCCGGCTACTTTCCGAGCCACGTTCTTCCGCAGAACAGCTATACTGACATTTCTGCAGCTCAGTCGTTCGGTGGCCCCAAGATCACCAAGGACGGTGTGTCGGTTGCCAAGGCCATCACCCTCAAGGACCCCGTGGAGAACCTCGGTGCCCGGTGAGTAACTGGCAGCCAGGACTTGTGGTGGCTGGTTGGTTGTCCTTGCCTTGTGTCCCGCCTTGTGACTTCTTTGTGCTGACTGTGTTTTTCTAGCCTCGTCCAGGACGTCGCCTCGAAGACCAACGACACTGCTGGTGACGGTACCACCACTGCCACCGTTCTTGCTTCGGCCATCTACGCCGAGGGTGTCAAGAACGTTGCTGCTGGCTGCAACCCCATGGACCTCCGCCGCGGTGCCCAGAAGGCCGTCGAGAAGGTTCTCGAGGTCCTCGAGGCCAACAAGCGTGTGATCACCACCTCGGAGGAGATTGCCCAGGTTGCCACCATCTCGGCCAACGGCGACAAGCACGTTGGCTCGATCATTGCCCAGGCCATGGAGAAGGTCGGCAAGGAGGGTGTCATCACCGTCAAGGAGGGCCGTACCATTGACGACGAGATTGAGATCACCGAGGGCATGCGCTTCGACCGCGGCTTCATCTCGCCCTACCTCATCACCGACGCCAAGAACCAGCGCGTCGAGCTCGAGAACCCCATGATCCTCCTCTCGGAGAAGAAGATCTCGGCTCTCCAGGACATTCTCCCCGCTCTTGAGATTGCCGCCCAGTCGCGCCGCCCCCTCCTTATCATTGCCGAGGACATTGACGGTGAGGCTCTTGCCGCCATCATCCTCAACAAGCTCCGTGGCCAGCTCTCGGTCGCTGCCGTCAAGGCCCCCGGCTTTGGTGACAACCGCAAGTCGATCCTCGGCGACATTGCCATCCTGACCGGCGGCTCCGTCTTCACCGACGAGCTCGACGTCAAGGTCGACAAGGCCACCCCCGACATGTTCGGTGCCACCGGCTCGGTCACCATCACCAAGGACGACACCATCATCCTTAACGGTGAGGGCGACAAGTCGGCCATCCAGGCCCGCTGCGAGCAGATCCGTGGCGTCATTGCCGACCCCACCACCTCGGACTACGACCGCACCAAGCTCCAGGAGCGCCTCGCCAAGCTCGGCGGCGGTGTTGCCGTCATCAAGGTCGGTGGCTCGTCCGAGGTCGAGGTCGGTGAGAAGAAGGACCGTTACGACGACGCCCTCAACGCTACCCGCGCTGCCGTCGAGGAGGGTATCGTCCCCGGTGGTGGTACCGCTCTCCTCAAGGCTTCGGCTCAGCTCGACGCCATCGAGGTCGACAACTTTGACCAGAAGCTCGGTGTGTCGATCATCCGCCAGGCCATCCGCCGCCCCGTGCGCACCATTGTCAACAACGCCGGTGAGGAGGGTTCGGTCGTCGTCGGCCGCCTCCTTTCGGACGAGTTCGCCGCCACTGACAAGTTCAACTGGGGCTACGACGCCGCCACCTCGCAGTACCGCGACATGATTGCCGCCGGTATCCTCGACCCCCTCAAGGTCGTCCGCACCGCCCTCGTTGACGCTTCGGGCGTCGCCTCGCTCCTCACCACCTCGGAGGCCTGCGTCGTTGACGCCGAGGAGAAGAACCCCCCTCCCGGCATGGGCGGCATGCCCGGCATGGGTGGCATGGGCGGCATGGGCGGTATGATGTAAAAGAGCTCTAAACTCAAGGCATATTCTTGGACGGCTCAACACCAAAAAACAAAATACTACGTGCATTTAGGGAGGAAGAAGTTTGTAGGCATTATCTGCGATGAAGCACTGCTCATTGGGCGCGCAAAGGAGCACTGTCTTTGGTTACTGTGACGCACCAAGCTCATGTACTGCTTGCTGTACTGCACGTCAGTCCGATCAGTCCTGTTCCGTGTTGTTCATCGGTCTTCTCGGTCTTTCGTCGGGTCTTTCCACATCTAAGCTCGCCCTGGGCCGCCCAACTCGCCCTCGCCTTGCGCTCGCGCTAGCACCAACGTCTCCAAGTTCCGGCCCCGCACATCCCCGCCTGCCCATGTGGCCCAGCATGTCGCGGGTGCCGTACGCCGTCATGGCTAGCGATGCAATGTGTCGGCCGGTACTGGCCTGGCCTGGCCGTCCCTGCGTGGGATGGACTCTTCCCCTTTTTTTTCTGTTGCTGTTTTTCTTTTTTTTTTTGGGTCGCGTCAGTTTGCGCCAGGGCAAAAAAGGTAAGCGGGGAGATACTCGAGGTTTTACCCGAGCTCGACGGATCGACACGGCTGTGGCCCCCCCTCGTCCGTCGGATGAGTGTCGGCCGTGGCAGGCCGAGATTGACATGTGCAGGGAGGGGGGGGGAGGGCGGGGCGATGGATATCCATGGATGCATGGACCCAGTCGAGGCGGTCAGGCGCCAGCCGCGTGTGCACTGACTGCACAGTGCCGCCGAATACCGATATCGCCAGCACCATGGTACTGTGGATGGGGCACCGGTGTCTGCGTCTCTGCCATCGCGGCCCAGAAGCGGGCTTTGGCACCGAGTCGGTCAGCCAACGCCAGTGTCCCCCCCGTGCCCACCCTCTTGGGACAACTCGTCGGCGCCAGCCTAATGGCGACGAGACGAGGGACAGAGGGATGGCGCGTTGCAGGTACTTCCAGTAGTGCGTCATGGTGGTTGGACCGACAGCGGGCCCACAGACGGGCTGGGCTGTCTCGGGTCGTGTCCAAAAGGGAGCGGCGAGTAGATGAGGTCCAGAGGGGTCCAGAGGTCCATAGATCCCCCACACCCCCCGGCCCGCTTCCCCCTTCCCCCCGCCACCTACTTTGAACCTGGCCTAAGAAACGGGTTTGATCGAGATTGAGCATGTGGTGTCCCATATGGGTGCTAAAAGGGCATATGTGTAACGTGCGCGCCCAAGCGCGCCAATCAGGCGTAAACAATACACACGATACACGAGGTGGCATGTGTCAACGCGCACGTCTCATACATGCATGACACAAGCGCGGCGGGTACGCAAACTCGACAAGCGCGCGCCTGAGCTCAGTGTGGCATTTCCGAGACACCACGACCACCACACCACCATGACCGTCACTCATCACCCAGCCTAGCAACACCACCATGACCGTCACTCATCACCCAGCCTAGCGACGTCCACAGCAGCCAGGCGCATTGCGTATCCATAACATGCATGCAAAATCGTGTCGCCGACAGCTAAATGATGAGGGGAGGCGAGGGGGAGGCCGGGAGGATGGGGGAGGAAGAGGTATGGGCAGTGGCGTGGCAGCGTGCAGCGACTCTAGCCTTTGTCTCTGATGTGGGTGGTGGGGGGTTGGATGGGTGAATGGGATAATACAGATAAGAGATAGAGAGAGGTAAAAAAAAAAGCAGCAGAGAGAAAGAGAGGGAGAAAGTGTATGAAGAGACATAGAAACCAAAAACAGATGGCTTTTTTTTTCTGCTGTGCGCTGTGCTCTACGTCTGTCGGTCTCTAGAGGCCCATGACGGCCGAGCACGCTGCCCAGAGCAGGTCGAGCGTCTGGCGGCCGTTTTCGCTCAGGCCTGTGCCGCGCCACTCTTCGTATCCCGTGGGACCCCACGCGCTCTCGCCCTTGCACAGGCCCAGGCGGTCGAGGCCTTCGAGGACGAATTCGACGCCCGTGTTGTGCGAGTGGCACACGGCAATGACGGTCGGGAACGCTCGGCCAGACATGACGCTGTTGACGTTCATCTCCGCGAGCGGCCGTTCCTCGGGGACCGTGGCGGGTACGTGCGGATACGGTTCCAAGGGCGGCGTGTGTGGGCTCGCGGGCTTGCCGGTGCGCAACTGCTCGGTCCACTGCTCGAACCCAATGACGGGCACTTCGGGTTCGGAGCGCAGGTCTTCCGTGTCGACCACCTTGGCGACGATGCGGAACGCCTTGAATGGAAGGGGCTGCAGGCTGCGCGATTCTCGGCGGGTGCGTCCAATGACGGGTTCTAGGTCAAAGTCTGGCGACGGCGTGTGCGGCATGCCCGTGAGGTGCTTGGTGGAAGACAGGCTCCGGCTCTGTGGCACGTCTTGCCTGTTTGCGCGCGGACGAAGCAGTTTCGGTAACAGCGCGAGCGACGACCCATGCTGCTGCGACTCTTCGTGGGTTGGCGACTCGTTGATCTTGAACAAGGTCGACGTCGAGCCAAAGCGCGAGTCGTGGTGGCTGGGCGGGGCGGTGGCGTTGAATGGTGTAAACCACACGAGTAGAGCTTGTCGTGGTCCATCGACAAAGAAGGGGTTGATAAACGGTTGGGTAGCCGCATGCGTGTTGGATAATGGCGGAGACTGGCTCTTGCCCTCGACAGGGATGACCATTGCCAGTGCCTCTTCGGGCACGCCGTCCCACGCTTTGCCCTCCTTCCACGGCTGGCCACCATTCTGCTCGTCCTCGATACCCAGACCCAACGAGCCAAATGGAGCGTCGTCGGGCCAGTCTGCAAGCTCATCGGCAGACTCGCTCGTAGTGTACCTGGCGGACGATCGCTGAGACTGGCCAGACTGCAACGAAGACGCAGACGCCGAGTCGCTCCTGTCGGAGGGTCGGTCGTTGGGCACGGGCAGACTCTTGCTGGTCATCAGACCACCACCCTTGTGGGGCGTTCCGTGGCTACCGTGGCTGTGGCCGTGACCGTGCCCGTTCATGTTCCGCTCTTTCCGGTCCTCATAGTCCTTGACGAGGTTGGACGCGCGGAACAGACCACGTTTGAGAACACCCGACAGGGACGACTTTTGCTTGCCCTGCTTGTCATCCTCTTGCGAATGTTTCCGTTGAGACCGCTTGGGGTCCTTGTCCTCTTTGGGCGGGGACACGGATGGCGGCGACGTGGTGGAGCGGCGGGGAGTAATGGACGAGTGGCGCTTGTTGTTTGGTGTCGGGAGGGCCGTGGCGTCAGAGTCTTCGCTGCCGACACGACGTGTACGCTCCAGCTGCTGTTGCTGTTGCTGGAGGTGTTGCTGGAAGGCGGCCTGGTGCTCTGCTGGAGCCTCCGAGATGCTCTGGCGGTTGCGCGCAGCAGCAAAACGGCGCGACACGCGGCTGCCCCGTGATGCCATCTCGCGTTGCACAGAAAAGGGGAGCTTGACGCCACCACTCTCGGTGTGGACGAGCTTACTGGCAAGCGAGTAACCCGCACATGGCGAGATGACGAGGGGCTGCGGCGCGTTGGGCCCGAGGATGGGCTCTGGCGCCAGACTGGAAAATGCGCGCAGGGGCTGCTCAAACTCAAACTCGCGTCCACTCGTCTTGCGCATCCGCCACACGGCACCCGACTCGACTGACCGAACGTCGCCGTTGGGGTAGATCTCAAACCTGCCGGCGCCGTGGCAGTCCCACTCGGCACGTGGACGAGGACGTGTCGTGTCGAGCGGTCCACCCAGCTCATTGTCGCTGATAGGGAAAATGTCGCCTGACGAGGATGGCGAACATGCCCTAAACGTCCAGTCGCCGCGGCGGTCGCCGTACTCGTCGTCAAACGCACCAACAAACTTGGCAAAGGTGTCCTCCTCCTCGACAATGTCTTTGCGGTATGTCGATGATGGGCCATCGCCCCCGCTCGTGCGGTGCTTGGCAGAGCTTTGGCTACCGGCGCGGCCAAGGTTGGTCTTGGAACCAGCCAGGATAAAGTCAATGTCAAACTCGGACAGGTCGACAGGATTTGGTGGGTGGAGGGATGGCGGTAATGGGGCAGGTAGTGGTTCTGGTGCGAGGTTGCGCGAGTTGAGCAAATGTGTTGCGCGATGGAGCGCCAAGGTGGATGGGAGGAGACGGGGGACAGGGTCGGACAGCGGTAAAAGCGGTGGAAGGGGTCTCTGGGGAGTCTGAGCGTCAGCAACGTCGGCCATACTTTGTGTGACTCACGTCGTCCAGGTAAGCAAGGGAGTCAGGGTGGTCCCAAATGTTCTGGTCGTCAAACGACGAGCACGCTTCTGTTGGTGGTGTGCGTGCGGGAATGTTCATTGGCAGCGAAGGACGCCGACCAAACTCATCCCCCATACCAGGAATCCCGACGAGGCCGGTATGGCTCTGCATCCCCGCCAGGCCTGGCACCGCCGCAAACCCACCGGTCGGCATGGTGGCCGGTGCGGCCGCAGCTGGGGCTCCAGCGCTGCCGTCTGGTGGTTTGTTCATGCGCTCCCAGAGTAGCAAGCTCTGGCGGCGCGTGCTCGCTGGCGATCCTGGTGACACGCCGGACGCTCCACCAAGACTCAGCCTGGCGCGTGCTCGCCGGCTGTCCTCGCCATACGTCGCAGCAAGGAAGGCACGGCGCTGTCGTTCTGCTTCTTCTTGCTCTGCCAACTCGAACGCCGACTTTTCCTTGCGGCGCGCGCTGCCTATTTGCGCGATACGATGCAGGGATCCAGAGGCCGTCACGTCCTCGGTAGCCGCCAGGTCGGCAGCGCGCATGGTACTGGGTCCAGCAGCTGCTGAGCTGGGCGGACATCCGAAACGGAAAGTTTGGTCGATGAGGGGGTCGGCCACTCCTGGGGCAGGGTGCTGGGAGTCGTCCACGCTGCCCCGCTGGGTCGCTAATGTGGGGTTCCAGGCCGCAGAACGCTCTCCAGGCCCCGTCCATGCTCCATAATAGAGGTGTGGGAGTGACCCGCGGCGCGTGTCGCCAATGTGGGCGTTTGATATGCGACGCGTGCTTGAGATCGAGTCCATGGTGCGCGAGTGTGTTGGCAAAAAGGCGTGACCGCCATCGCTGACAGCTGTCCGCCCAGCCAGGCGGGCGGTAACAAGAGCGCGCGTGGGCGATGGTGCGGCCAAGGTCGGGAGGGATGGGGTGAGCGACGAACGGCGCTTGGAGGGGTTGAAGTTTGTTGGCGGGGCGAGGTTTGGCAACGACGGCGTGAGCGACGACCGCCGGCGCGAGCCCGACACACCGGGGCGCGTGATGGTCAGGTTGGACGAGGTCGATGCGACCGAGTCGCGACGAGGGTCCAGCGTAAACTCGCCACCACTTGGGAGGAACCCCACGGAGCGCAACGGGCTCGACTCGTGGCTAACCTGCGACGGGGGAACGGGGGAGATGACGTTGAGACCGAGAGGCGTGAGCGATCCACGCCGAGGATGGTGTGTGTGAATGAATGGGGATGGATGTGTGATAGAGATGACGCTCGGGGTGGGCGGAGCAGAACTCGGACCGTCGAAGTGTGGTGGACTGTGTGGGCGTATTGTCAGCGGACGGAGATCTTTCCGGGGCAACACTCGTCGCTCTCTCTCGCGCGCTCTCTCTCGCGCTCTCTCTCCTCTCTCTGTGTCCGAGGACACGCATCCAACCTCGCAGAGGATACACTTACTCGTCAGCAGGGAACGGCATGGCGCCCGGCATGGCGCCGGGCATAGGCATGGGCTCCATGGTGTCGATTGTACTGTGCCTTGCGTGATGGACACTAGCCGCGCGGCGCGGCGCGAGCGCTGGCAGCGGGTCATACGGCGACGTTGGGGACACTTCAGCCGTCGCATGGGCCGCCATGGCTGCTGCCATTGACGCTGGTGTGTGTAGTGGTGCGGATGGAACTGTCGACGCTGGCATGGCTGCCAAACCCGACGACGATGCCAGTCTTGGGTCGTCGGGGTCGTCCGGCGGCGCCGCTGTCATCGCGGAAAAGGTCCTCTGCTACAAGGAGCCAATGGTGTGAATACAGTGCAAGCCGTGTGCGCACGCGAACACCGCAGCAGGCGGGAGCGGGCAACGGAGAGCGCAGCAGACGGGGAAGGGAGAGGGGGCGGGCCGCGTTTGCCTGCCCCCTTTGGCTCTTTCTGGGCCTTGCCTCGGCGTCGGGATGCGGCGCGAGCTCGAGTCTGGGGCGGCGCTAGCGTGCGCTGTCTGCGCGAACACTAGCGACTAAGCATGCGCGGCCACGCGGCGCAGCTGTGGAAGAGGATGCTGGGACAGTGGGGGGAGGGGAGGAGGAGAAGGGGGGCGAGGAAGACTGGGGGTGTGTTGTATGGATAACGGACTGGCGGAGGTGCGACGGTTGAGCGAAGGGCACAGACGGATGAATTGGCGGCGGCGGGAGACGAGTGGGAGAGCGCGCGGGGGAGAGGGGGGGCTGGCGAAGAGGGGCCGAGTTGGTGCCAGTTGGGGGAGGTTGTGTATGCTTGGGGTGTCGGATGTATGGTGTGGTGTGGATGAGATGGAAGGATGGTGAGGAGGAGGCGGAATGCGATGTGAAGGGACTGGGGAAAGTGCGAACGAGGATGGATGGGATAATGGTGGTGGGATATGGGCACACGGGGGGCGGGGCGGGCTGCGCGGGCGAAAGGCCAGAGGCGTGTGTGCAGAGTGTGCGTCCAAAGTGAGACCTACAAACTGAGACCTGTTGGATCGACAGGCAGAACGCAGAGCCCGCGGCCAGCCCAGGGGAGAGGAGGAGGGGGAACCTCTTCGTCCCTATGCTACAGCCAGCAGCATGGCAGCAATGGCCACATGCATATACGCACCCACCTCGCGTCCACCAGGCCACCAGGGGTTGCACAGGGGGGTCCGCCGTGTCACCGGTGGGATACGCTGCCACTCCCCCTTCTCTCACACACACTCTCTCTCTCCTTTTCGTCTCTCCCCGTCGTCGTCGTCGCCGCCGCCGCCGTCCTTTTGCCTCATCTGCCTCCCCCCTCTCTCCGTTTTGTCCAACTATGGCTAGAATCGGAAAAGCGTCGTGTCCTTGTTGCCCCTCTTGACTCCTTCTCTCTCGCTCCCTCACACCCCCTGGCGGTCGCCGCCGCCGCCGTTGCCGCCAACATCAACTACTGACCACGGAACTCCTTTGGGTGGCCACTTTTTAAACCCAACACACACTTCTTGCGCGTTTCATCCTTTGGAGACGCGGACCTCAAGGGTCAGCATCGTCGTCTCAACGTCCCAGTTACAAAGCAAGAGGTACAGAGGCCAAGGACCTTTTTTGTGCAACATGCGCGTGCAATGAATGACTGTGTCCATGCAGCAAACTAGGCGTGGGTTGGGGGGGGGGGGAATGAACTCTCATGGAGACGGGATAACAAACAGTCTCGGGAGTCATGTCCGACGTTTTGCTCATATGCGCGGGATGACTCACCACTCTCACTCTAGACTCTCTCCTGCATCCTGTGGGATCCCACCGTTGTCCATATAACTTTGAGTAGTGAGCGTCGTCACTGCGGGGAGGCACGCCATGGGTGTGAACCTGGCTACAAACGGGTTCAGCGCTGGCAGCTCTGCCAACAGGCCAACAGGCCACAGGCCACAGGCCAAAGCATGCTGCTGCTGCTCTACTGCACTGTCGAATAGATCGGGCATGGGTTTTCTCGCTGCGTGGTTAGAAGGGTGATGTACCTTGACCTGGCAAGGCACCCACCCACCCACATGAGCGCTCTCCCTCACTGCCCACTTTTGGTCGCCGGCCATGAGCGATCCGCTCTCTCTCACTCCCGCGTGCAACACTGGTACACTGGACGCTCGAGAGGGAGGGTGTGAGGGACCGGATGCATTCCCGTGTGCAGGTTGCTACGTATGCTGGCAGCTTACGCGCACACTACGCAATAAAACAGCCCACAGTGCGGGCCCGGACCACGCTCTCACACCCCCTCTCCCCGTCGCTGCCCACCAAACCCTGTGGCCTGTGGCACACAAATGGCCGTCGAGGCGACTTGCTCTTGATGTAAACTCGGTCTCTCGCGATGCAAGATTGCTCTTTCGGCCTTTTCTGCTCGGTACCTCTCCCTTTCTCCTGTGTGTCCTTTGCACCAAAGTGTCCATCCGGCTAGTCTTTGCTGCTAGGAGGGAAAGAGTGGAGGCATTGCGCGTGCCTCAATGTGGCTACAGGGACAAATGATGGGTTGGGTGGCCCCCACGCTGGCTGGTAATAGTACGCACGCACATGCCTCCTCACATTCCAGCGGCCAGCGGAGAGAGCAAAAACAGCTCTCTGGCACATGCAGCATGCCTACCACAAGCCCACATAGGCGCACCGCACGGCTGAACTCGCGGTACTGCAGCGGCTCAACTCTGGATTAATCTCGGGTTATACAGGGGCCCTTCGCGACCCGCCAACACACTACGAGCGTCCGCACAAATGGACCGACGTACCGGTCTTTTACCGTGTCCTGCGTCGGCTCGTTTGCCTCTTTATCGCAACACGTCGGCTCGTTGGCTCTTGTTTCCTTTCCCTCTCTCTCTCTCTCTCTCACTTTCTCTCACTCACTCTGCTCGCTGCATCTGTCTTCCAAAAACGCTCCTGTACGATGGCCTACACCATCCTCGCCGGCGGCTACCGCCCCTCCATTGCGCTCCTCGCCTTTGACCCGTCCAAGGACACCAGCGAGGCCCTCAAGCTCGTCTCGGACAGCCCGGCGCCCGAGAACCCCAGCTGGATCGCTGTCCCCCCTACGGCCACAGCGTCCACCGGCGGCGATGTCTACTCGATCTCGCGCCCGCTGTACTCGGTGTCGGAGAAGGAGGGCGGCAGCGCGCTGTCGCTCAACCTCGCGGACGGCAAGGTCAGCGTCACTAGCGAAGTCCCTACCCAGGGCGCCCCGTGCCATGGTGAGTATAGGCTGTTGCTTCTCTCTGCTGCTATATACCGTCAGCAATGAGGCTGGGTCGCTGTCTCCAATCTCAGCCGCTAACATGCAGTCCATATCATGAAGGACGGCAAGGGCATCGTCATCTCCAACGTGAGTAACACCTGCAAGGCCGCAGAGCCGTCGCGAGCGATCCCCAGCAGCTTCTGGTCTAGCGACTCATTCGCTTGCCAGTGGCCGCCAGTAAAGCACCTCGGCTGACTGACTCGCAGTACCTCGGCGGCTCGATCGTGTACATTCCCCTCGCCGCGGACGGAACTCTGTCCAGCACCGACATCCAGCGCGTCACTTTTGATTTCCCCTACGCCGCCTCGCCTGCCCCCAACCCGGAGCGCCAGGACGGCAGCCACGCCCACCACTGTATCGAGGGCAAGCGCGGCCTGTACGTCGCTGACCTGGGCAGCGACCGCGTGTGGGTGGTGGAGAGGAACGACGGCCAGTTTGCCGTCGCCGACTACATCCAGTGCGAGCCTGGATACGGACCGCGTCACCTCGTGCTCTCCGAGGACGGTGAGTAGGGCGGCGTTAAACCATGATCATGCGCACATTAGCTGACTCTGCAGAATCCATCATCTACGTGCTCGGCGAGATGGGCCACACCGTCGCCGCGTTCCCGCCACGGCGACCAAGACGTCGGCGCCCCTCGCCACGCCCGTCCCCTTCCTGCCCCCGAGCATCCCGGCCGCCTACACAAAGTTCATGGACGGCGCCGAGCTCGTCCTCAACCCAGCCACACAGGAAGTGTACGCCTCCAACCGCCTGGAGCTGCACGCGTCCAAGATGAACCCGACGCTCGCGGCCTTGGCCCCCGCCGACGTGGCGCCCGGCGACGCCGTGGCCGTGTACACCACCAACAGCGCCACGGGCCTCGACAACGACGTGAAATGGGTCCGCACCGACTGCTGCTGTATCCGCGGCATGGCCCTGTCCCCGGACAACAAGTATGTCGCGCTCGCGGGCATGTGTAAGGGCGGCATTGCGGTGTATGAGGTCAAGGCCGGCGGCGAGTGGACGCGCGTGGGTGGTCTGGCCATTGACAACGTGACCGACTTTGCCTGGCTCTAGAGATAGAGAGAGAGAGAGAGAGGCGGAGGGTGTCTCGGGTCGTTGTTGGGGGGTTGTAGAGAAGAGAGAGAGAGATGCGAAATAAATAAAGAGGATACAGACAATGGCCGCGACACTAACTCGTGCAACATGGAACTGGAACGTGACAGACACACGATTATTTACATGACATGGTAACAAACTCGGTTTCACAATGGTATACACAACAGGCTTTCCTTGAATGCTGCTGCTGTCAGCTTGGGCAGTGGGTGACATGAAGACATACCATCATCGTCGCGGACCGGCGGTCAGTGACCTCTTTACTCTCTCGTGGTTCGCGTTCTGGGTGACGCTCTGGGTGGTTAACAACTACCAATGAATACTACCACTCACCATTTACAGGCTTCTTTTTCTTTTCTTTCACCGCTATTTCGTTATCGCGCTTAGTGGCCGGACCCATCATCATTCACAAAGCTACATGCGTCAGTTGACGTTCTCGCGCTATGTTTAAAACTCACCACAGACTCTTGCAGCAGGGACAGACCACCTCCGCCTCGCTGTGCGCGCGGTAGTCGACCCAGCCGACGTACTGCACTCCGCCCTTTTGGCGGGTGGGTACCTCAAGAACGTCCTTGTCCTCCACGGAGACGGCACTCTTGCCCTTCTTGTCGGGCACCTTCTCGCGGCCCATGTCCTTGCTCTTGCCGCTCCCGCTGCCGCCGGCACTTTTCATGAGTTCCGGGGTCGAGTCCGACTTCCTGTTTGTGGAAGAGGCTGTCTTGTCGGCGAGCGCAAGTGCAGCGGTTGAGCGGCGGGTCCTACCCACCGACTTGGGCTCGGGGTTATCGTCGGCCTTGTCGTCAATGGTGGCCTCGTCGACACCGGCGTTGATGAGTGAGATGCGGTCCACGACGATTCGAGCAAGCAGCTCCTCGGAGCGGCGGAAATCGGCCGCCATGTCAGATGGCGAGGACGGGTAGTGGATCTCCCATTTGGCCTCGGGGACGTCCTTTCTCTCGTCGAGGACCGAGACCTCGCCGCGCGCACAGCGCTTCGCTTCGGCCAAGAGCGTCGAGACAAACAACGTGGGCACCCACTCGAACCGACGGGCCACCTTTTGCTTCTTCTGGCGTCCGGCGGTACGCCTGAGGAGCTTGGGGCCGTTGAAGGGTTCCACTGTCGGAGAGTAGAACACGCGGTGGGTCACACCACGGTGCAGCGAAGGAAGCGTGATGTCGCCCACATGGAAATTGACAGTGTTGATCTTGGGCCAGGCGCCCTGGATCAGAGCAGCAATGGACTCTTGCACTCCATCCACTTGGATTTTGAGCTCGGGTCGGCATCTGGATTTGGCAGAGGTTCCATACGTGTAGGCACCGTCTTGGCCGCGCTGGGACTCGGAGTGCGGCAGGATCACTGCCTCGGCGCACGAGCGCAGGTTAAAGTCGATGCACAGGGACGTAGGCTTGCCCAGGCGCTTCAGTCCAGAAAACTTGTCCTTGTCCTCAGACCCCCAAAGTGCTTCAGCAGCCGACTGGCGAATGACAACCGTCTTGAGTTGAGCGCAAAGGGGCGGGCGCCACCTCTTACCAATCACTTGGCACAGTGCTTGGCTAGCCTTTTCGAGGAGGTCCCAGTCGTCACCTTGCAGAAAGTCGGTAACCTCAATGACCTCGACGTTGGCAAGGCGTTGACGGACAATCAGGGCGGCGACGTGCTCGTAAATGTCGGCCGGGAACTGCAGGCGACCAGGCGTAAGAAGGTCGGGCTCAACGATCGCTCCCAACAGGACCTTGGCGTTGTCGGGGTTCAGGCGCAAAGGATGGCTGGGCGACACCAGGAATTCGACAGCGTTGACGTTGACATCGGCGCGGCTCTTGATAAGCTCTGGGCCTTGAGCTATGACGGCATCGCGTTCCTTCTTCGGTAGGCCTTCAGAGATTGCGTGCAAAACAGCCGACAAGAGGTGAATGCCTGGGGCTGGACTCGTCCAAGGGAAGGTCGTGCTGGGAATCGACTGGGCGGGTGGCATCTTGGCGTTGGCAATGTCGCTGTCAGAGGCTGGGTCGACTGAGGGATCAGGCTTCTGGTTGACATTGTCGCGAGACTTGCTCCGGACGCTGGACGCTTGCCGAGGCTTCTTGGATGCTACTGGCGTCTCATCTTGGTCCTCGAGGGAACGCTTGCGACTCGATGAGGAGTTACGGTCGGCGCGGGGTGCAGTCTTCTCCTCGCTGTTGGGATTGAGCCTTCCAGACTCTTGACGAGGAACAACTTCAACATGGCTGCCGATATCGTCGCCCGAGTCGTCGTCGCAGGTGAGGTCAATGACAGCTGAAGGCGGTCCGGTGTGGTGACGACCTTGGGATGGGATGACGGAAGCTACACTACGCTGGCCCGACACCGTGTCCCTAGAAGATGTGGAGCCGCCAAGACCAGTAGGGACCAAACGACTTGACCTTGGCAGATGGGTCCTGGACGATGAGGTTCTGCGGGGTGCGTCAGTGTCCTGCCACAGCTGGTAGCTGGCCTGATGCCGAGCACTCACGTCGCAAGGTCGTTATGAGACTCGTCCTCCCCAGAGCTGTCTTTCACTTTGCCAGTCCGGGACAGCGCCTTGTCGATGCTGGCAGAGGAACGCAAAGTGGATGGGGAAGGCACCAGTGTACTGCGTCCCAACGGACTGCGAGGATATGAGTGTTCTAGACGGAGGGGCATGCTTGAGGCGCATTGGCTGCCCGAGCCCGTCGAACGATGAATGTGGCGCGCAGGTTCACTTCAAGTGAGCATCAATGACAAGGCAGCGTCAGAACTCACCTTGGGCTGGCATTGTTGTTGACGGTTGTTACGTGATCGCCGTCGTGGGCGTTGGCGCCCCGCACGCTCTGAGCGTTGACCACGCGGAGGGGGACGGGTTCAAGCTCGGACAGTGCCGCGGCGGTCGATGAGGGATGGGGGACAAGACCGATGGCCAGACGGCGTCGAGAGCGAGGAGACAGCCTGGTATGGTGGTCAGACGGTGCACGATCTACTTCATGGCTGATGGGTGACTAACGCGCTCTCGACGGACCCGGGAACCGCTGGCATCGAGGAGGTGGGTTGAGGGAGAGGGGTAGAGCCGGGCGGTGCACCGGTACCAGCGTTCGACGGCGGGAGGAAGGTCGGGTTGCTGTTGCCTGGCGAGCTGGATGGCATGGTGAATGGTGTGGGGGTGGTTGGTGGTGGGGGAGAGGGAGAAGTGGGCGGAGTGGAGAATGGGAGGGAAGACGAAAAGGACCAGGAGGGAAGGTCGATCTGTTGCGCAGGTCCAAGGAAGGCAGAGCGCGTGTAGATGGGAGAAGGCAGCTGAAAGGCCTGGCTCAGAGAACGAGGAGGTCCGTGCGCGTCATTGTTGTTACGTCTCTCCACTTTGTCATCCACTTTCTTGCCACCCAAAGGTCGTCGATTCGGGCCACTGCTCGCCTCTCCCTCGCCCTTGTCGACCTTCCTGCGCTCGTATGCGCACTCCTCATCACGCCGAAAGCCGATACACTCGCGCCCAATGCCGATACGGCTCTCCCCCCGCTCAAGGACTCGGCGTGGAGGTTGGGGGGCTGGCACTCAGTCGGCGCGCGCTCACGTCGTGATGGTACGGCACAGTCGTGCTGACCATCACAGTCTTGACGGCGGGGAATGTGTCCTTGTCCATGGGACACAGACGGTAGACACGGTGACACTCGTCACTCGCGCAGTCCTCTGGGACGGAGCGAACACGCAGTGTCGTCGTGTGGGCGAGGAGGGCACGCTTGCGCGCATTCGACTCGGTGGTGGGATACACACACCAGTCGGGCAGGGGTGGTTTGCGAGGGTCAATGATGCCGTGCAGCACGCCAGGAAGGTTCTTGTCGGTGATACTAAGGTCGGCGTAGAGGAGTGGGGCAGCCAGTTCGTTTGTCGTTTGGCATACACGGAGCAGGACGGCGAGCGTCGCCTTGTCGGCGGGGTCGACGGCAGAAACGATCGCCGCCAGCACCTCGTACGGAAGATGCAGTTCGCTTTCCAGGAGGTTGGCACCGCTGGCGCTGGGCGCGCCTGGGTCGGAGTGAAGGTGGTCGGTCATGGGGGCATATGGGTGTGGTTGGCAGCAAGGATAATGCAAGTTTGATGAAAGGAGACTGACGACGACTGACGACTTGCCTGTCCCCGCTAACTGACGCCGTGGGCGGCGTGGGCGGCGAAGGCGAAAGGGTGCGTGCGTTCGGAATAACGATGCCGGGCGCCCCCGACTCTGCTTATTAAACCGCGACAATGGCGTCAAGCACACAGTTCACATGATGCGAGAACCACATGTCAAAGAGGCCGTCGTTGATTATTACAGTTCTGTGGTGTACTGTGTGTTGAGTGTGTGTACGGGAAGGACCGGATGTCTAGCGAGAGCGACGGCTGTGTGAAGCAAAGGGGCAGCCGGAGGCCGGCTACGTGCCCTCTCAGCAGAGACCAAAAGCCCACAGGCCACAGGAATGCATGAGACGATGCGTGCCACGGCGACGGTGTGGGCATGGAAGACTATGGGACACTGGCGAGGGCCATATGTAGAGGCAGCTAGGCAGGACGCTGTACGCTGTACACTGTCCTTTTTCGAGTTGCAAAGTGCGAATAAAGCGTAATGTGTGCTTTTTGGGCCTCTATCATGAACCATGTTCGGCATCCGGCCATGCGACATCGCCGGCCTTCACGGCCTGCACCACTGCCCACCGCCCACGGGATGCGAGGACAGAGCCAAAGCGCCGAGCTGCATTTGGCACACAGAGAACTGCGGCCTGCGCGGCCGCTGCGCCGCTGCGGTGTGTGGCCTGCACGAGTGTTCAGGCCAGTCATCGAGAGAGGAGACCCTTTTGGGTGCTTAGTCTGGAATCCAAGTCTTTTGCCCCACCCTCACATGCTGTGCATAATATCTTCTTGTGCACTCGTGTGTGGTCTTTTTGCTATCTCTATCAACTCCACCCACCGCGCCGAGCTGCCGCTATAGATCTCGATACGCACGCCACCCACGGCCGTTGCTGTGAAGGCGTTTGAACAACCCCCCTCTCCCTCTCCCTCCCCCCTGGTTTCTGGTGTGTTGCCGCCTACGGCCCCCGCACGCCGCCGCCGTCCACCACCGACACACTGCACAGCAAAGTCGAGCGTGCAACACAACCCACCCCACACACGCTTCCCCCCCTCCTGCTCTTGTCATTCTCTTCCATCCCATCCATCGCACCAACCCCCGCCGCACATCCCTCCACAGCGCACAACCCTCTCCCCGTGCCGGCACTGCACCACGCCCAGCGCTCAGCGCTCGCATCCAGCCCTGCCCGGCGCGCGCCCGGGCCGCCGTCTGAGAGCCTTCCCAACAAGTCCCGGTTTACGCATTGCCTTGCCATCACCTAGACGCGCATTAGCATCACTCGTCTTGCGGCCTCGCGCGCCCGCCTACCCCCCCGCGCCATTACCATGGCCAGCGCCGAGAATCCGCACGGTGGTGTTGACACTTCAGCGACCTCCCCGCCCTTGCTACCTGCTGTTGCCGAAAGAGACGGGAACGAGCTTGTCGCGTCCGGTGTATCGGGCGGGGTCCACACCGCATCAACTGTGCACGACATACCAAGCGCAGGCTCTACACCGCCGTGGGGTACCCAGCTGGGCGACCGTCTGGAGACAATGATGTCCATATCTACGGCTCCGTCGGACTCGCTTCGAACACCAATGACCCCATCGACGTTGGCTCGACCGTTTGAACTGGGAGCCTTGGCTGACGAGCGCATGGTATCGTTTACGCAGTCGCCAGCCACCATGTCTCCCGCTATGTTGACGCACAAGTCCCATCCGTTCCGACAGTCACACTTGCCCAACAACAATACCGACAAGGGCGGTGCTTTCCTGCAGGACGACCACCCTCGTAGTGTAGCGACTTCCTCAAAGCACCGCCCTAGCCCGCTGGAAATCACGTCCAGGGACCCCGTCGACATTGAGGCAGCGCAGCTGACAGGAGGAAGCAGTGAGTGCCCAGCAATGGCTCGCCACGCAACGCTGACGAGGCCAGCGCACAGCTCGCTCAGCAGCGACTTGATGGATCTCTCGACACTGCGGAAATCAGTGCACCAGAACCTCCGCGAACGTCCTCTTAACGTGACCATCACCGACAGCGACGGCGAGTCCATCTCAAGTGGTATCATCTCGCCTGTCGACTCTGCGCCATCCCTCACGGCCGCGCAGACGATCGCACTCGTCCGTTCCTCGCCACAATTCCTCATGGCCGATATCCGACCACTCGACGACTTTCTTGCTGGACATTTGCACGGCGCCGCCAACTTCTCTATCCCCTCGCTCATCTTGAACCGCCTGCGCCATCAGACAGTGGACATTTGCCAGAACACTTGGGTCGATCTCGCCCGTTTCGTCAGCACTGTTGCCGGACAGACCATGTGGGAAAGCATCGACGTTGGCAAGCACGTGGACGTTGTTGTCGTTGGTGACGAGATGGACGAGGACCGGCCTCGCGCCCTCGCTGCTGTGCTGGCGCCACTCGTCACAATCGGTACCGTCTCCGTGCTGCACGGTGGCTGGGCGGCGATTGCAGAACATGCGCACTCGAGTGGCCTGGTGGTCATGGGCGAGCAGAGCGTCAACGTCTGGCCTCGCAGCAGCAGCACCTCGAGCTCAATGAGTGCCAAAACAATTACACCAACACAAGCCCTCACTGTAATGACGCCATCGCCCGAGGACGCGACGATGATTTCGCCCATCGCCACCTCGCCGGTCAACTCGTCGGCGGCACCAGCCCCGAGCCAGACCGGCGTCCGGTCTGTCTCGGCATTACGAATCGGCAGCCCACGACGAACCTTGCCCTCTCTGTCCATGGGCCCATCGCCGACATCGCCAGGACGAAGACCTCCAAGGCTGCAACTCAACCTTGACAACGCAAAGGCTGCTGGCAAAATGTCCATGGCACCGCCTTTGAGATCTGGGCGCCTCAAGCCAGCACAGCTTACCATTGATGTTGGATCCAGTCGACTTTCCCCAGCAAGCTCGCCCGGCGCACATTCCAGCGGGATGGGGCTTACACCACGCGCTGCTGGAATGGACACGGGTGGCTTGCCTACCGCCTATGCGCAACCGCATCTCCTCACGCCCATCCAACCGTCAGCCAACTACCCGACCCACCCTTCCTCTCCCGGTCTGCCCATGTCGCTATCGACGCCGCCTGCACGCGTGCAGCTTCCGATTGAGATATCGACCATCCTCCCCTCGTTCCTCTACCTCGGTCCTGAGATCACCACACATAACGATGTCGAGGAGCTCTTGGCACTCGGTGTGCGGCGAATATTGAACGTCGCTATTGAGTGTGATGACGATGAGGGACTAGGTCTGCGCACAAAGTTTGAGCGATACTATCGCATCCCCATGAAGGACACTGTGGAGGAGTCGGGAGTGAACCAGGGTATCCGCGAAGCGTGCAAGCTCCTCGGTGAGTGGTTAATCGCGTAGCATCCTCTAACTACCCCCAGATGACGCTCGGCTACACTCTGCTCCTGTCTATGTGCACTGCAAGGCTGGCAAGTCGCGTTCGGTGACGGCCGTCCTGGCCTATCTGATCCACGCCAACGCCTGGACGCTCCAGACCTCGTACCAATACGTCTCCCAGCGGCGACGCGGCATCTCACCCAACATCGGGTTCGTTGCCGAGCTCATGGAGTTTGAGGCTGCCGAGCTGGGTCATAAGCAGTCTGCCGGGGTGCATGGCGAGGCCGACTTGAGCAAGTCGCAGCCGGCCCAGGCGGGTATGGGCGGCAACGACGACGACGAGCCGCTCGTCGCACGCGAGCCGAGGGTCGGACCGAGGTACACGCGCGAGTCGCTCCCGCCAGAGTTTGGCAGCGAGCGACTCATCAAAGACGACCCGGCGTCGCCAGTAGATGAGCTGCCCGAGCACACCCCCGATGGCGGCCATGGCCGCCGCGGCCGCGTCTCTCACGCCGACATTGAGATCCGCAAGAACGGACAATGGGTCCACAGACGGTGAATATTTTGCACATCAACCCTTGTGGTGGCGCGTACTGACGCGCACCGCAGGGCTCCCGTGGACCGCACCACTCTCCAACCCGGCAGACGAGTGTCCAAGGCTGGACTAGAGTCGATGGTGGTGCGCCCACTCGCGCGCGCAGAGGACTAGGTGGATATCGCCAGGTATCGCCAGGTATCGCCAGGTATTGCTACTCTGCGACACCTTTGTACCTTGCCCCTTGCACCTGGGCAGCAAAGCCCATGACCGTTAATTCGCGGAGAGCTGAAAGCTATCCGAGCTCGCTCCCCTCGGCATGATCTTGACCAGACAACAACAAGCATTGGAGAGCCTGGGAGAGGAGAGAAGGTGCTTCATCATCATCAACCACTTTGTAACCCTGTACGACCCCTGTACAAGTAGTACACTGTACCCGTAGTGGGCAGACCGTGCTATGCTACTGTATGTCAGTAGTCCTCGTTAGAGAGGCCTGTCCAATTAACAGTCATTTACTGTGCATGTTTTGCAGTGCCCAGCGTGCACCGAGGCGGGTATGGCTTGTCGCGTGTTGTTGAGCTGTGCTGGAGAGGAGAGTTTACAGGACCGGCTGTGCTGCTGTGTCCTCTCCTCATCTGCGCGGCAAGATCTGCCTGGGGCATGTCCATCTCACTCTTCTCTTTGGGCGGAGGCATTCCGTTGTTATGTGCCATGGTGAGAAACCAACCGTGCAGATCAATGTGTGCGTTTAACGACAAGTTTGGTGCCGGTAGTGTGTTTTTTTCCATCCTGCGCGTGGACGGGTGTGTCACGTACGTCTGTGCATCTGGGTAGCTGCGAGCAAGTAGGCGGTGGAAGACGGGGCGGTTCACGCAGTGTTTGTATCCTCTTAATGCATGGGTCCCTCCTTGTGCGATCGAGTGCTTGGCGCCTGTTGAGGGCGACTCAAGAACGCTGTGGAGTGAATATGCCAGTGTGTCAGGCGGCACACCATCGCCAGACCTATCTTTGTCAGTCGTAGGAGCAAGAGGGTTCAATGTCGTTTAATTTGCAGTCACGAATGTGCCCCAGTTGCAAGTTGGGATCTATGTTTATTTGGGGTTGTTGGGTACGCTTGTGCTTGCTGAACGGGAGTTAACCTTAGAACAACCATATGACAGCCGATAGCCTGGCGAAGAAATAGAGAGAGAGAGAGAGATACACACAAATTCTCGTTCTCGGCCTGAAAAAGCATGCCAAGACGAGAGAGACATGCTTTGAGAGTGTAAAGTTTCTGAGAAATGGATGTGCCCTTTCTGCGATATGTGAGTGTGGTATGTGACCCCAGAGCACTCTTTAGGTGAGTCTCTGCACCAAACTCTTCACTTTGACGAGTCCCCGCACCTTTAGCACATGTCCACGGCGCCTTGTCCACTGGCTCAAGACGAACCAATAATACGAGAGCCAAGTGTGCCCTGTCACCGGGCTGAGGTGTTTTTGTCCAACCAGCTTCCTGGCGCAGACAACCCACCAATGGTCGCACAGTCAATGAGGCGTCAGCAGAGGCTTGAGGTTGCAAAGCAATAGCCAGTGTGGCGTTTTGAGTTGTTGGCCAGGTGCAATCAATTCTCTCGCTGTTGCATACATCAATGTGACAACCGTGAGATCTGTGTGAGTGACATCTGGGCCATGTTTGTATTCTCTAGCTCCCACGGTATACCCTGTTGTTGCAACACAACACAATGGAGAATAGCAGCGATGGGTTACAAATAAGCTGTTGTGGCACACGGGCGCCGGCTTAACACGCAATTCCCGCAGTCCGGCAACGTCAGGTACACGGGCGCGGGAGGACGTCGGTGTAAGTTGTCGTCGTCGTACACCCCCCGGTGCACCTTTTTATCGGTGCAGGAACACACCCCCTTTCCACACACTCCCTTCTGCCCGTCCCGCACGGCCCCATGTTGCTATGGAATGGGTGGAGCTGTTGGACACTCTCCTCTACTTGTACTGCGCGCGTCAAGCTCAGAGAGCGCGGAGGGGCCATTTTTTTTGGGCCCTCGTCGGCCCGAGACCCAGAACCGATCAAGCGGCTTTGGTGAGGCTAATGGGCAGGTTCATTCTACGAGCGCGGTTAGGGTATATGGGGTCCTGAAGCGGCGGCTGCCAATGATCTGCAATCACAGCACGCTTCGTACTCTTGTCGAGGGAAAGTCTGTTCGGCTCCCATCAACCGAAACGCTTGGTCCTGCTCCAACGAACAACACAGGCGCGTCGCCATCCTGGAGGAGCGGGAGGGACTCTGCGAAAATAAAGGTACCTCGATGAAGTGTGGGTCGTGAAGGAGTGAACGCGCATGGTGGGTGTGGCAGCGAAACCATGGCGCACACCAATAATAGCCGCGCTAGATACATACCACACGTTGGCGCGCGCTACCATGGTGTGGTCCGGTGTCAGGTAGCATGTCGTATGTCTGCATTAGCAGTTTGGAGACCCGAATCTTACTGATGCTGGCTCCAAAGGCTGCAAGGCTTCGTGGAGCTAAAGGACACACCGGGCCACCGTGTCACCCACATCGGAGCTGTCCGATGGACCTAGTCGTGGCCTACGACAGTCCAGCAGATGGATACCCACGATCCACATGGAGCGTTCTGGGAAGTGCTACGTGCCCCACCTTGCATACCGTGCGACTTGCAGACACCTGGTCAGCCGATGTACAACCGCACTGCTTCGCAGCTGTGCCCTCCTGTGCACTCACGATCGTCGTGACGAGAGGAGCCGGGCTCGCTTGAAGCGAGTGCGGAAACGGGTCATGGAGTCGTTGGTGTTGGGTTGGTGTTTTGTCGTGCGTACCTCGTGTGCCTGTGGATTAACCATTCCATCTTTCTGGGATGCGCGCAGATCGTCAACACCCACGCACCATGACACACATTGTGCTGTGGTGCGCCTAGAGGTTACGGGTTACAGATGGTGACAACAAGAAGCGCTGACGGTGTATTACGTTTACTGACGAGACACAGAACTTGAGGTCACGGGATCACGGGGGGCCGGGGGAGTTCTCGTACGGGGGGGGCCCTTGAACAAACAGAAGCCTCGTTAGCAGCGGTCTGTTCCAAACTTCACCCACAGCAGATGCTTGTCCCGGATCTGGGCAGGGAAAGCCGGAAACGGACACGGAAACGCAACCACACCGCCTCCAAGATTCAGATCCAAGATCGAAGATCCGGGAGTTCTGGACGCAGATCAAAGATTCTGCAGGGTGGACGGGGCAGGCAGCCCACGAGCCACTACTGACATGGCCCCTTCAACTCCCTGCACCACATTGGCTCTGACACATTGTGCCGCTGCACCATCCGATCCCTCCGGTGTACCGGTGTATGTACCAGTGTGCGCTGAGCATATTCGTCGCCTACAGGATCTTGGCGACAGGTCGTCACAAGGCTGTTTCCGTCGGTCGTTGGGCCATCCAGGCAACGAGAACAGTGGGACCACGGTGGAGCGCCCGCGGGCCCCGGGTGGGGGGCCTGACGCGAAGGACGTCAGGGAGGCTCCCGAACATGAAGACAAAAAACTCGCGTCGTGAAAAGATTCGTCCTCGCAGTGCCAAAGTGACCAAGTGGCGAGTCTGCAGTATGTAGCAAGTGGCGAACAAGATATATACTTGATGTATCGAGGGTCGTTGGAAGGGAGGCTTGGTATGAGGCGTCATGTCTGTTCCACTGCCAGGTCGAGGGGAACATGAGAGTCTCCGACATGCCTGTGATGCTTGGATCTCGGCACCCCTTAAACCGCGCGCGCGCGTGGGCATGCATGTCAAGCGGTATGCGCCTCTCGTCAGTGTCTGGGGAGAACGGGGACTGGACACGAAAAGTGTAGGCCCAGACTGCCGTACTGCCACAATCCATACCAAAAGGAGCCGAAACTCGGCGGCAATCTGGATCAGAAATGTAAAATGGTTGCTTTCCATGACATTGCAACTGGACGAGGGTACGACGGTACCATGACCTGAGGCACAAAACTGTACGATGCTGTACAATACAGTACAGTACATAGAGACTGCGCAGTTATGAGAACGACCGAGCAGTGTTGCCCTTTTCACCATTTGCCTCCTTGGATCCTTGGCCGCCGGCAAACGTCCTCTGATGCTCGTGACCAAACCTGTGTGACACACAAAAAGAGTGGACGGCGGCCAGTGGGGGCAGTGGCGCAGTGGGCAATGACCATGTCCATGTCAGCCTGCGGCAGCCGAACTGCCCTTGCTGGCTGGCCTGGCTGGGCCGCTGGCCGCTGGCCGCTGGACGGCCTGGACGGGCTCTGGTTCCACAGGTCTGTCGCATGCCGCCCGCGCCTCATACCCGGAAAGCCCCATGGGTGTGGTGGGCGCTTTATCCTCGGGGGTTAGTACCCAATACCCAAAAAACACGTCCGCTAAACCCTTTTTTTGTCTGCGTCGTTGTGGGGGCGGACGGAAACGGCGGGGCTCAAGGATCCAAGAATGCAAAGACCATCTGATGCCCTCTGATGTCACACGCTTCGCGCACGTTACGGTGGAGCGCGCAGCAGTGAGAGCTTTTTGGCTCCCTCCTTTGCGACCCAAGAAGCGGGTTGTTTTGCGCGGTGCCTCGTGTTCCTGATGTTTGCCGCGTCAGAGCATGGTCGTCGGTCGGCCTGGCCGATCACGAGTCGTCGCTCGTTCGTGGGATGAGGCGTGGGCGGATCCCGGGAACGCGAGCGAAACGCATCATCGCTATCTTGGGAGCTGGGCCAGCTCGCCGCTGCTGGCGTAAACGTGCCATGAGATCATGGGACGGGCACATACCTCATCTCGTAGAGTTTGTGTATCTGCTGTTGCGGTGCCGTATATAGCGGGGGAGGAGGAGGAGGAGGAGGGGGAGGAGGGCGACGCGGGGGAGAGGTCCATGGGTCCACGGGCCTATACCGAGGAACCACCGTGCTTATCTGGAAACAACGAGTAGGATGGGGGCCGCCCGGCCGCGAGGCGAGGAACGTTTTGGTCCGGGACTCTAGCGTCTACGTCAAAGTATCTTTTTGCATGGAGCAAAAAAAAAGTCGGTGCAGAGAGGAGGGTAATGCGGAGACAACAGCGGCGGTGTGTCTGTGTGTGTTTGTGCGGGCCTGGCTGGGTCTGTGCCGTTTATACTGGCGTCGCCTCTCGCTTGCCCCCCACCCCACCCCCCTGCTCCCGAAGCGCGTTGTACGCTGGTGGTGGTTCGGCTGCAGCTTGGGTCTGCATCCGGGGAGGGGGGAGCACCCATGACATGCGTGTTATGTGTACGACATACGACATGCACTATAGGGAGCAACGAAGTTTTGGGTGTGTGGGGTCTGGTGGGATCTCCCGAAAGGACCTAAACAGTCTGCTCAATGGTGCACACCCCCGTCGTCTCCGACCCGACACCTCTAGTCCACAACGGCCAACACCTTTTGCTGCTGTCGTTGCTCTTTTCCTCACATACACACACACAACCGGCTCCATTATAACTACATTAGCTTGTTGGAGCATCAAGGGTGCCGGCGGGTACATACATACACTCGACACCCCCCGTACCGTCACCAAAACCACGCCAGTGCACTGTGCACACGTTTCCCCAACTCGGCCGACGCTGCACGGCGCCAGCAGAACATTCCCAAATCGACTACTCCTTCCTCCTTCCTCCTCCCCTTCTTCTTCCTCCAAACGGTGCAGGCTCCTCCCCAAAGAACAGCCGGCACGCGTGGTGACTTTGCTCCCGATCTTGCTCCGCTGCATCTCCGGAGGGCAGTGAGCCTGATCTAGTAGAGATCGCCAAGCAGCACCCGAGGCTCGCGAGGCGAGACAGCGATAGACGTTGCTTGCGCTGTGGGCACGAGTCACGAAAAGGGGAGAACCACCCAACGAGAGACCAAGTATAGCCAGTTTTCCCCGAGAGCCGGCTGTCGGCAGTCGGGACAGAGTCGAGCCCGCCCTTTGCGGACGCGCGCGCGTGCGTGGTGTGGATGGGCGGGCACGCACGCAGCATAGGGGGACCTTGAGCGCTCCAGCCCACGAACGAGCAAAGGGAGGGAGGGAGAACACGCCAGGAGCACGTTTGGACTGTTGCGTTGGAGAGAGAGGGCGGCGCGGCGTGCGTTCGTTGGTGTAAAAACTCGCCGCTTTGTGTGTTGTCCTGGTCTCTCTCTGTCTCGTCGTCTGTGGTTCTTTTCGTCCTCTCTCTCTCTCTCTTTCTCTCTTCTCTCTCTCTCTCTCTCTCTATCTCCTATATTTCCTCTCTCTCTCTCTCTGTGTCGCTCGCGCGCGACAGGCCTCTACCCCCGCCGCCGCCCCCCCTTTTGCGCTCTCGGCAACGGCCGCCTTGTCCGCACGCCGCCAAGCGCGGGCAGTACCGCTGTACCGCTGGCCACCGCCGAGCTGCCCTGACGCGCCTCATCAGCCACCACCCGCGCACACCCGCCCTCGCCCTTGCGGTGGATGGACCTCTCTGTCTGGCGCGCGACGATCATCGACCACCACCACAACGTCCATAGGACGACCGAACCAACGCCTAACAGCAGCCACTGGGCACAGCCGACCATTTCTCTCTACCGTCCACTGCATCTCTCACCCACCCACAGGCCGCTCATTGGGCAACACGGGCAGCAGCTCGCTGGCTCATAACGTGGCGCTGCCTTGCATCCAGCCCCACCTCTTCTCCTCTCACTCCCCCTCCATCTCACACCACCACAAGGCACACAACACAACATTCCCCCATCGTCGACGCGATTCGGCCTGTCATTGCCGTCCTCGTCCTCCATCCCACCAGACATCAACCTTTTGGCCTGCTTGGACGGGGGGCCCATTAATGAGCGCCGCGCCCAGACGTGGCACCACCATGTCCAGCGGGCCGCGGCGCAGCTCCATCTCCCTCTCGGTCTCTGACATGCTCACTTCCGACGCGCCGCCAGACCGGTACGGAGAGCAGCACGAGGCTGTGGGACACGCTGGGCCAAGCCGCGGTCGCGATCCACACACAACTTCGGCGCCGGCACAGCACGGCCGTGGCGGCCATTACCATCCGCCAGGCAAAATGCCGTCCCCGGACGGTCTGCCGCCGCCCATGCTCATTCTGCCTCATCCACGACACTCGCGCCCACCGTACCCACCTTATTATGACGACCATCGTGGACCTCCTACCCGCCAGCGGTCTGACCCAATGCCCGGTCCGTACCAGGACCGCGAGCGTTTGCGTGGAGGGTACTATGACCCCCGCTACGAGCCGTATCCCCGCCGAAGTGACCACCACCGACCGCCATACCCCGCCGACGACTCGTATGCACCTCCACAGGCCCCCGTGCATGCACCACATGGCTCCCGGCATACACACCATGTACTAGGCCCAGTCGAAATGAGGTAAGTTTTTGGAACCGATAAAAGAAGGCGGCCACTAGCAGTCCGCCGTTAGACACTTCCGGCCGTGTTTCTCACTACTCTGATCTAAACATGTCGCACTTTTACCGTTGGCGCTTTCGTTCCGTGCCCCCGGCCAACAGTAGTGATTCGGTACTGACAGCTAGGCCATTAACCCCACCGGGTTACGGGCCCTCTGGTAGCGCAGGCCCAGGGCCCAACTATGCGGTGTCACCGCCCTCGCTTCGCCCGTCCAGAATCGATTCTCGAGACGGACCCCCACCACCGCCCTCTCGCACACCGCCTCTGTACGTGTCTGCTGTGGTGTATTATTGATACCAAATTTTGACATGTTCCCCCTGGACTGTAGCCCCGTCCAACCTCACAGATTTTTCACGCCCCTCCCCCCCTCTCGAGACACAGGCCGCTGGCCACCAGAGGTCGCTGACGCTTATCGACGCGGCTACGATGACGCTCTTATCGATGTATCTGAGGGATCCGTAACCCTTGACAACGCTGTTTGTGAGTACCGAGAAGCTTGCTATATGTTTGAGTGCTAACGTCGATAGACCGCCGAGTCCCGCTCTACCGCCCAGATAATCGAGAACGACCAGGCGAGCACTTCAAAACTCGTGATGACGACCGCATGCGTTTTGGAGACCGTCCCGCACCTGACTATGGAGATCGTGGTGGCGGTCCGGCAATGGTTGGCCCTCCCTTGGGCCCTCCAAATCACATGCAGCCCCAGCGTCCACCAAGTGGCCCTCAACGATACAACGACTTTTACTCGCCTGCGCCCCAGGCGCAACAGTTGCCGCCGTATTACACGCCCTCGCCCCCACATCCAGGCAGGGCGCTAATGTACCCGCCGATAAAGCACGAGCATGCCACATCGCCTCCTTCGCATGGTCTACCGCTTCTTGGCCGGCCACCATCCGGTACAGGTGTTCCGGCTGCCCTGCAACCGATCATGAGACACCGGCAGATGATCTCGTGTCATCCGTGCCGGTCACGTAAAGTCAAGTGCTCGGGCGGCAAGCCGTGTGACGCCTGCATCAAGATCAAGCGAACGTCTGAATGCGAGTATGAGAAGACGGTCCGACGACGCGGCAAGGGACGCAAACGCTCTGACAAGTCTCAAGATGGCAGGTCTAGCGATAGCGGCAACGACAATGATGAGCCGAGTGGACCGACTACCACCCAAGGCAGCGACCAGCAGCGTAGCGAACGCAGCGGCCACGGCTTCAGTGACACGCAAGGCGGCGAGAGTGGAAGTGATGCCCGTGTTCATCGCGAAGACGGAGCCATCATGATCGACTCGCCTCCCCAACCCCCGTCTGACGGCAAAAAGCGTCGCGAGTCCAACGGCAAACCCGAATCGCCTTCCACGTCCAATAGACGTACAAGGGACTCTGAACTTGGGTCCTTTGGCACCTCACGCAACCGTCGGGAGAGTGGTCCAGACGAGGAAGAGCGACGCAAGCGTGCACGCGGGGAACGGCGTGAAAGCCGCGAGGCTGCCAGAGAGGGTTCTTCCTCGGCCATCCAACCGAAACGCGACCGAGTGGAGCGCCTCGACCACGAACACGATCACCGCCAGCGAAATCGCGACCGTAACCACCGAGACCGCGAGAGGGTACGCGATGGCCACCGGTACGAACCTGCACCAGAAGAGCCATGAGAGACGCCGCACGCCATCATCGTTGCATAATTGCAAGCAATGTCGCCGCCGACACGCACCACGCTGGGCAATTGGAGGGGAACAGCCGGCAAGTGGAAGCCATTGGGGGACCGGAGTAATACGACGAGACGGAACGCGTGTGTGAAGGGACGCCCGCTCCAGTAGAGGAGAGTGTTTTACAGCCCCGGTTTTGTTTTTGTTTTGTTTTTTTATTTTAGTTCTCTCCCGAGCTTTCTAGTGGCACGGAAGAGCAGCATGGCAAAGGAATTATTCTTGTGGATCAACCCAGCGATCGGATGCACCTTTACAATAGTAATTTCATGACTTTACGTGTCCGGCATGATTGGTACCGAGTGGGTTTCCAGTGTGTGGCCTACATAAGACGACCGGTTCACTGGAGTTGGTACCAAATACCAGGAGTGAAATCCAGCGAACGCCGGAATCGCGTCGGAGGGCACACGGTGGCGCAAGATCCCTCAGCCATGTTCCGTAGCCTCCGACCATGTCTCTGCCGCCGACCGTCCGCCGTGGTCTATACGAGGCACAACAGCCAAGGAACAGGTGTGTCAACAGGGCTGTCGGCGGAGGGAGCACAACAGCCCCCCATGTACAATTGGCAATACAGGTCGCCCTCCGCCAGAGACAGGGACCGGCCTGCGGCCCCTCCCACACCCACTGCCGAGGCTGGGGAAAAGCCCTTGGCCACCATGCTGTAAACGTTGTCGTCACGTTAACGCATGCCGCACTCCGCTCCACAGCAACACAGCACAGCAAGAGATCGTCCGGCCATGCAACACTCCCATCCGTTGCGTACGCTGTTCGCCAGTGGCTGCCGCAATACGGCTGACGTATGTCAAATGGGGGCCCGTTCCAGGCTGACATCAGCGGTGTGGCGCCGTGCGGCGTGGCGGTCTGGCAGGGAGAGCACATTGAGGGACGTTTCTCCGCCTCAGACGACGTGTTGGCTGACCACATCCTGTCCGTCTGGCCCCTCCCACACCCCCAACTGTCGTCATTCGCCTCGTACTGGCTTCCTCCCGTAAGCCCCTCGTGCTTTCAGAGGGCGCCGAGGATGCCCTCCCGATCCTGCACAAGTTCACACGCTCCCTGTCCTCATGTGCAAACTCTGCACGGCTAAGTGTGTGTGGTGTGGTTCGCGGGGGCAGCCCTTGGCGCAGCGATGGCGCACACTGGGGTACCTTGGCGCTGGCCAGGCGACGGACATCAGGGGCTGGGTTGTCTTCCACCAGGATCCACCGACCTGAGGTGGGAACATCGGGGACAGACAGCATGGTGCGGGATAGATGGAGACGAGTTGTTGCGTCGCTGCGGGTGAGAGGTGCGGAAAATCACAGTCGTATTGGGTTCTCCCCAGCCACCGTCGGTTGCAGACGCCAGTTTCCAGCCAGTTCCAGGTGTCACCAGTGCTGATTCCAAGGAATGAACGCCAGTGTCAGTGTCACCACGCAGGCCACCGGCCACCGAGTGCCACCGACACAAACCTGCCACCAACCCAAAGCTGGCTTTGGGGTCACCCATTCATCATCCCTCGTCCGCTATTGTTCGGTGTCTGCACAACCTTGTGGCCCTTGTGATGCCTTCTTCGGAGCGGGCAGCCCGTTGGTTGGTCGGGCCGAGGCCACCGACCGTCCGAGGCCAATTCGCACGCCTGATTCATTTTCGTCGCATTTTTCCACTGCAACACCGGTATTCCATGTGGTTACTTGTGCTCGGCGACGCCAGACGTACCACGTCTCTAATCGATGTATCCCAGTCCTCAAGGCTTGTAAGAATGTTCTGCTTTTGAAAGAACGCTGTTCAGAGTGACGAGGATAGAAATTAGGTGCCGGAGATATCCCCAGAAGCCGCAAGCGAGAAGGAGCCTGAATGACACGTCAGTCGAGCCACCATTGGCAAGCAACACTAGTGCATCCATTAGACGCTCCGGCAGCCTCTCTGTCGCACACCACCTCTTCTCCACTCTTAAAATACGCGCCAACACGTCCTCTCTGGGCTCTTCTTTTTTTAAAGCACGTCAGGTGCACAACCGTGACGTGAGCAGGCTGCTCAACGCTTACCGCTCGTACCCTCGTTGTTCCAGTGCTGCACCGACTGTCAACCCATCTGCTAAAACCAACAAAACAAAAATGGTATCACATCCAGCGTGCTCTCCTCGATCTCCCCATGTTCGACAGTGCCCCGTCGCGGCTTGTGCGCGACTGGTCCAAGTCGTATAGCCCCTCTCCTCACATCTCCACCCCCGTGACCTCGGCTCCCTCCTCGTTACATAAAATCGTCGTCACTCCACTCCTCCCTTGCCCCCTCAATGGCCTCTTCAGTGAACATGCCCTCGTATGTGCGCGCCGACTTTTCCTCGGCCCACTTCTTCTTCTGCTCGTCGGCGACGCGTTGCTGAACGTTAGCCACGATTCAGAAAGATTGGGGCGTCGCTGAGCGAAAAGCTGTTCCTCTGGGGTGGCAGGTATTGGCACACGGCTTCCCGTACCTGCCCACTTTGGGATCCGGCTTCCAGTTCCAGTCTCTTCTCGCCCAACACACACCCAATACCAACCTGCTCAATGGCTGAAGCCTTCTTCTTGCGGCCCTCGGCACGCAGACGCTCCTGGCGCTCCGACTCGTGGTCCACCTCCTTCTCGACCTTGGTCTTGTTCAGGCGGTTGACAACTACATTGTCGCGGGTCACGACCTTTACTGCACATGCGTGTCAGTTGGATTCCAGCGTCGTTTTTTTTTTTTGCCAGTGACTAAATGTGTCGAGGACTGTCGGAAGATAACAACCGTCTGCCCTCGCCAACTTACCCCGCTTGACCTTCTTGTCCGCGTGGAAAGAGACCTGTCCCACTGCCATGTCACCGGTTTTCTACGCTATCAGCTACTATGGAACCTTTATGGGCCTACCTTGAGGTTGGTGAACGGGGTCCAGATAACCTGAATGTCAGAACCGTGCGGATGGTAGATCAGGTCATGTCCGCACCGTAATGTTATCCTTCTTGTTACCTGTCTGTCAGCTCAAGCCGTTCGTGAGGACCCAAGCTCACCCTCAATACTGTTTGCCTTTACGAGCTGGGCAGCATCGTTGATCAGTGCGGCAGGGAGGTTGTCCCAATCGCCGTGTGGCTCGCCCTCGGACTGGCGCAGGTAGACGTGTGCGGACGAGAGCTTGCTGTGGGACGTGTCAGAGAGTTATTGAGCACATGGCTGAGACGCACTCGACGTGGAACCACACATCAGTTGGGAGACCGTATTTGAGCAGTTCCTCGTCTGCCACTGGTTAGTGCCAGATCCCATCGCGTATCGGCGTCAACGCACTCTCGACCTTGTCCCGGCCCCTTCGAACGTCAGCTGCTGCAACGGGGTTTCGCCTACATGTAGATGGTAACCGGGGGGCTGACGGCTGTGTTGTCAGCTACAGAGACCATGGTCCAGCTGCATACCTGTAGATGTGAAGAAAAGGACCATTGTGTTTGTGTCTCGCAGGCTGCTCGATGTCAACAATGCCTGTCCTCATAGCCTTTACTCAACATTGCAAGGTGAACCACCTCCACCGGGACGGACGGTGGAATACTCCCGCCGGCGGGCGATATCGCCGCCGTTGTGGCACTCGGCCATCAGTGTGTCGCTGATTTCTGGCTGCTGTTGACGTCTTGCACCAAGCAACCTCCATCCGCATCCTCATCGCTCGCATCACTCACCATGGGCGACGTGCCAGCGGCCCTTCTTCGCCCATTCGACCTCTCCGCACTTCCATATGGAGATGGCGCAGTGACAGAAACTGCGGCCCGGCGTGCGGCCCTGGGCGGCAAGCTCTTCCTCGATCGCCTGCTCGCATTCGCAGACGTTGACGGACCGGCTCTCTACCCTCCCGCCTCGCCAAGCGGCTTCCGTCACCTCCTCGCTGCTATCCATGGAAGCAACGTCGACCGTCTGAAGCGCGACTGCTTTGTGTACTACCTTGCTCGCGATGCCGATGCCGCGGCATGGAGCACCAGCAGCCAGACTGTGGACACTATGGATGTCGATGCCGGCTCCAACCCGGACACCCACCCGCGCGCCGCTGCCTTTGCCCGCGCACGTTGCCTGCCCCGCACCTGGCGCCTGTTCATCGATGGCTACTGGCACCTCGACCACGGAGAGTGGGATCTGGCTGTCGAGTGCCTTCGCGACCCGTCCATCCCCGCCGTCAACTTTGTGCCCGAGATTGTTGGTGCGCTGACCACGCTTGTCGCGCCGCCATCCCACTCGCTCAACCTCGTGCATGCCTTCCTCACTCCCCGTGAGCTGGAGAGCAAGGTGGAGAAGGACGCCGCCCTTCTTGCTGCGGCCTCGGTGGCCGGCATGTCTGCTGCGTTTGGCAAGATCCGCGCTCTCGACGACACCGACGCACGCACCAAGGCGCGCGAGGCCGTCTGGTGCTGGTCCCTCGGTGCTCCCCGCTCCCCAGCAGGAAGGGGAACATACACTGCTCAGCCCAAGGCGCTGCGCGAGCTCCTCCACCTCGCTCTCTCGGACGAGGAGCACGCCCACCTCGTCCAGCTCCTGGCCCAGCCCCCGCGTGACATTAGCGCACCTGCCCGCTCCCTCCTGCACGACCTTGTTACTTTGCGTCTAGTCCATGACGGAAAGTATGAAGAGACGCTTGCTCTCGACAAGGAGCTTGCTGGCACCGACGCCGCTTCTGCCGCCGACCGCCAGCGTCGCCGCGAGATGGTCCGCGAGTTTATTGACATTCTCCCCGAGGCCCAGCGCCGCATCCTCCTTGGCGACCGTGCGGTCGAGCATGTTGCCAATGGCGAGAGCGGTGATGTGGACATGTCGAGATCGTGGATCGATGTCGCTGCCGACCGCTCGGCGTCTGCTTCGGCTTCGGCTGCCGCACCAGCGGCTCCTCCTGTCGCCGCGCCATCGACCCCCGCTCGTGTCGTCGCACCCACGCCGATCCGCGCACCAGCACTCCGCAACATTGCCAGCAGCAACGGCACCCCATCGCGCACTGGTACCTCATCGCCGTTCGGCGGCCCTCCCCGCTTCGCTGCGGCCCCCATTGCCTCCCCTCGACCCACGTCTCCTACGCGTACCATCGGCTCGCCGGCGCCATCCAAGCAGCCATCGCCCGTTCGCGCACCCCGCCTCCTCACTCCGGAGGCTGTCCCTGCTCCTCCGCCAGTTCAGCGCGCTGCCTCGCCGCCTCCTCGCGTGACAGCCAACCCCTTCCATCCTCCCGCCTCATCGTCCAAGCCTGTTCCGGCACGCAAGCCCAAGCGCATTATCGACGACACTCCTCGCCGGTCCAGCCGCCGCCGCTCCGAGGCCCCCGAGGACAACGAGGACACCCTCATGCAGGCCCCCTCCGAACCTCCCATCCCCGAGGACGAGCCTGCGCCGCCCACTCCTGCCCCCGTTGTCGAGAAGACTCCCGCACGCCGCACTCGTCGCGCCACCGCCCATGTCAAGGAGGCTTCTCCAACCCCCACCGTCGAGGCCGACACCACCCCGACGAAACGTACTACTCGCGGTGTCGGGCGCGCATCTCGCGCCTCGACGGCCGAGACGGCCGAGACCGAGGAACCTCACTTCCCGGGCGCGTTTGACGCCAAGCCCCCCCGCAGCACCCGGTCGGCAGCAAAGGCTCACCTGGACGAGCCCGAGCCCAGCGCGCCCGAGCCCAAGCGCGTGCGCGCCAAGGCTGCGTCCAAGCCCACACCGGCATCTACGCCGGCCACGCGCCGCACCACGCGCGCCATGAGCGAGATGACAGACGATGGGAGTGTGGCCGGAGACCTGCCGGCCACGGGCCGCAGGACAAGGCGGACCGTCGCGGCCAGCGACAGGGGGAGCCCGACGCCGAGCGTCGCGGGAAGCAGTGTCGCGGGCTCGCCCACGCGTAGGCGGACCACGCGCGCGGTGAGCGCTACCCCGCGCCAAACGCGATCGCGCAAGTAGACAAAAGAGAGCAGCAGCAGAGTAGAAGAGAGACCCCACGAACACACACATTTATTTATTTTTCCTTTCCACAACCCCACCCAACCCATCCCATCAGTCGTTCTCCTGCTCTTCCTTCTTGTTCACCCGTTCCACTACATACGTAGACGACATTATGCGATCAGGATGCATCATGTCATCGGCAGGAATTATGGGCTCGTCGTAGGGTGGGTCCGTCTGGGTAGCGTCGGACCTCGGGACCCTCGGACCTCTCGACGCCGACACGCCTCTAAGCCACGCGCTGGAGGAGGGGGAGGGATTGGCATTTAAATCTGAGAAAGAAAGAAAAAACGAGGTCAGCGGGGCTCTCTCACATAACGCAGTCTTCAGACCCACGTATTGGCTGAGCCAGCGGAAGCCTTCGCCGTAGCCCTGGCGCATGACGACCGAGCACATGAAGACCTCGATGGGGCGGATGTCCCGGAGAGGGACCTTGCCCTTGCCGGTGGTCTGGTAGAGACCGAGCGAGTGGCGGAGCTCCTCCTCCGAGACGGCGCCGCCGGCGTCGATCTTGTTACCGAGGATGAGGAAGGGAACGTTGGCGAGGGCCTCGATCGAGACTGAGACGGCGTTAGCTGGGCACACGCACGATGGCGCGTTGAAAGGCGGTATGGCCCGTGGCAAACGGGACCTCCTCCTCTACCAGCTGGCTGGTTGTCCTACTCACGAAGCGAGTCGAGCTCAGCCTTGCTCTCGTTGAAGCGCTCGGTGTCGGCCGAGTCGACAAGGAAGACAATGCCGTCAACCTCGGGGAAGTAGTCGCGCCAGAGACGGCGGGCCTGCATGTGGCCTCCGAGGTCGTAGGTGGTGAAGCGGACGTTGCCAATGGCAAGCTCCTCCGAAGTGGGGTGGAGGGTGGGCTGGAGGGTTGCCAGGCGGTCGTTCTTGAGCATGTGGAGGAGGGTCTTTGGGTACGTCAGTACTGGTGCGACGATGACGGCCATGAGAGACTGGGCGCAAGGTGCACACTGCGTGCAGCAGCGCCACCCGAAGGTCTCGGTGATGGCACGAGCGCGAGCGCTTTTGCTTCTCCATCACCGCGCGAAGGCGGGCACCCTCGGTCGCTCCTTTTGCCACTCACGGTCTTGCCAGCGTTGTCGAGGCCGAGGAACAGGAGCTTGGCGTCTATTCAGGTCAGTAAAGCAGCATGGCTAGGGCGTGGTGCGGATCTCGGGAAAGTCGAGGCCGTGGCCGCGCGACGACACATACTCTTGTTCATGAGGCCTGGAAATCACTGTCAGCTACCTCATCGCGAATAGCAAACTAGCTGCAGCAACTTACCGAGCTGGGAGAGAATGTCCCAGAACCAGTTCTGTAGTGGCGTTAGCTTTGCTGTGACCTTTCTTTCTCAATCCCCTGGGGCCCGCGGAAGGTGTCGGATAAGCGCGCGCGCGTCCGTGGACGACCTTGCGAACGCTTGTCGTCTGCCCCGCCGCGCACGGCAGAGGATGCGGGACGCACGAGGATGAACATGGCGGGTCTATGTGTAGTGGGGGGTAAGGTGAACGAGACAAGAGTTCAACGCTGACGCGCCCGGGATGGTCTTTGTTGTTAGAGGTGAAGTGATGAAACAGACGACAGCGTCTCTCTGGTTCACTTGGAGAGGCGTGTGTGGCTATTGTGGCGCGGCCGCGGCGTGGAGGTTCGGGGCCGCTTGCTGCTGGGGGCCGGGCGGTGGGAGGTGGACCGTGGGAATGCTGGGCACGTGGCAAATCCCGCATATTACATATCCCCGCGCGTGGCGCTTTTTTGATGCCGTCTGGAGACCCCGCGCGGCTCCGGACGGTTGAGTATGTGACGTCGGGTTCGAGTCGGGATGGCCGCCAAGCCAGGCAAGGCAGGCTCCGTGACTAGAGTCGGTATCTGTGCTTCTTCTCCTCGCAACAACACCTTCCTCTCCATCCCCCCATCCCGCCATGAGCTTCTCCTTCCCAACGGGATTTGACAAGCCTGTCTGCGTATTGTGAGCTTGCCAGTCGTTGTTTAATCTCACCCGCCCAGCTGCGCGTCGTCCCCGGGCACCAATGTCATCTACACAGCCGCGGCACTCAGTGTCGGCTCGTCGCTGGCCACGGCCAACATGCCCCTCGTGTACGGCGGTGGTCGTCGTGGTCTGATGGGTGGGTGTTGTTTCGGATAAGCGTGTGCAAGCGTGGGCGTGGGTGCAACAGCGATGCCTGTATCCACCTCGACTTGATCCACGAACGTGGCGCAGCCCACTTCCGACCAGCCCACCTTTTACTGACATCTAACCAGGCGTTGTCTCGCACGCGGCCCTCGAGGCCGGCGGTGTGGTCCACGGTGTGCTTCCTCGCGCCCTCGTTGGCCGTGCGTCCGAGGCCACTCCCGTGGCTGGCGCCCCGACCAGCGCCGTTCCCGCGAGCTCTGAGGGCAAGGGCGCGGACCTCCTTGCCGACGACTTCCAGGGCCGTCTTTCCATGAGCGTCGTTGGAAGCATGCACGAGGTGAGTTGCTGCTTACAGCAAGCGAGGTGGTTCTTCTTTCGGACATGTCACCTCGACACTTTCTCTACTCGCTAACAAACCCAGCGCAAGGCCCTCATGGCCAAGCTCTCGACCGGCGGCTTTGTCGTCCTCCCCGGTGGCTTTGGCACCTTTGAGGAGCTCTTCGAGATGGTCACTTGGAACCAGGTGGGCGACCGCACAGCGGGGCAACGTGCCGCGCGCGGCCTGGATGTTCGCTGCCTGTGACAGCAAGGACGAGGCTAACAAATGACCAGATTGGCATGCACCAGCTCCCTGTCATGCTCCTTAACAGTGAGTGTGCAGGTATTTCTTCCGCAACGTCTTACCTGCTAACACACCCCAGTCGACAACTTTTACGAGCCCATCAAGGCCCTGGTTGCCAACGGTGTCAACGCCGGGTTCATTGGCGAGAAGAACGCCAGCCTGATCCAGATTATTGATCTCGGCGATGCTGCGGCCAACGCGGACCCAGGCCGGGCGATGGAGTGGGGTCCTGCGGCCGTCAAGGCGCTTCAGGCGTGGACCTTCCCGGTAAGCTTGGTCCATGCCTAACGGTTAGCTGACGGCAGGCTGGTGCTGGTTACGGCTTCACCTGGTCCGAGGGCGACAAGGTGAGCTTATTTGGGACGGATCAAGCTGACTTTAGACTGTCCCCGTCACCCCCGGCTCGGCCACTCCTGCCCCCCTGGCTGCTGCCGCTGGAATCCCCATGCACGCCAAGTCGCACGCTGCTGTGGCTCCTGTGGCGGCTCCTGCTGCCGCCCCTGCTGCTTTCGCTGCCGGCTCGGCCTTTGCCAAGGGCGAGCACCCGCACATGCAGCAGCTGGCCGATAACCTTGCCGGCAGGTTGTTCAGCTTTGCCGACAGCATCAACCCGAAGGCGCCGACGCACCACACCGTCACTCCGTCTGTAGCTACCGGCTCGTCGACTGCTGTCCCTGCTGCCGCCGCTGTCCCCGCCTCTGCCGCTGTCCCCGCTGTCCCCGCTGCTGTCGACATTGCCGCTCCCATCGCCACCCCGGCTGTCGCCGCCGATGTCGCTCCTGCTCCCGCCCAGACCCAGGTGGAGAACCAGACCCAGACCCAGACCCAGACTCAGACGCAGGCTACGTCCCAGGAGGCGAGCATTTAATACACGATCTCTGAAACGAATATGCATCTGACTTTGAATCTTCTAGCTTCCTCCCCTGTTCACCACCACCCGGTACACTTCCAAGTCCTCCCTCACGCCTACAGTGCCCGTGACTCGCGACCTTGTGCCCCTCTGGCCGCGGCATGTGGCGCGGCTGAGGACGGCCCACGCGCATTTCCGCCAGCGTGACGGTGAGGTGTGGGGGTCGTATCCCGGCGACGAGACTGTGTGGGCTGCCGTGCAGAGTGCTATTGAGGCCAAGGAGAAGACCGGCTGTGGAGACTGGCGGGTGAGTCGGGCACGAGCTGCGGAGGGACGCGTTCTGACAGACAGGTGCGCGTTGTGCTCAAGCCAGCGGTGCCAATTGCGACCATCGAAGTCCAGCTGCCAGACGCCAATGCGCGTGAGTTTGTTTCTGCCACCAGTCATACCCCACTGACCGCCAAAAACAGCACCTTACCAGTTCCTCCCGTCTCCCACACGCCCCACGACGCCGCGCAAGCTCTACCTCGACCCCATCGCGTCGCCCGTCCTCGCCTCCGAGACGAGCTACAGGCTGTACAAGACCGAGCGCAGGCAGGTATACGCCGACAGCGCCGCGCGCGCCGCGTCACGCGGCGCGGCAGGGCCGTACCCAGAAGTCGTGCTGCACGCCAACGGCCTGCTGCTCGAGAGCGTCACGTCCAACATTGCCATCTTGACGCCGACGGCCGATGGGCTGGGCGAGGCTTGGCTCACGCCGGCGCTGGACCCGGCCACCACGCCGTTGTTGGCCGGTACGGCGCGCGCCGAGCTGTTGGCCCGCGGCGTGGTGACCGAGGCGAGGCTGACGGTCGAGGACTGGGAGGCGGCCAGGCGCGACAACAGGCGGGTTATAGGGTTCAATGGCCTGAGGGGGGTGTACGAGGCTGAGATTGCGGATGCCGAGTTGGTCCAAGTGGCGAGGACGTAGAGAGCGGGGGAGAGAGGGAGAGAGGGAGAGAGGGAGAGAGGGAGAGAGGGAGAGAGGGAGAGAGGGAGAGAGGGAGAGAGAGGGAGAGAGGGAGAGAGGGAGAGCGTTGGCTGCGACTTTTTTTGGTAGATGAGTGACCATCTCAACAACGCACAAATGCCACAATGCCACATGGGTCCTTATCTACCGCTCCTGCCCTGCCGCATCGCTCGCTCCTGCTGCCAAACCCCTGCCAGACAGAACAGAGGCACAGACACAAACACCCGTAGTCGACGGACGCATCGACCATTCTGGACCATGATGCAAAAACTCGGGAACCTGCAGACTGCGGCGCCACGCCGGCCCGCGTCGGTGCCATCCATACACATGAGAGGAGTCGTCGTGTTTTTACCCTCTCTACGTCTCCACGACTCCACGACTCCAGAACTCCACTTGAGCTAAACCCAGAGCACCCCGAAAAACCCCCCTGTGCCACATGATACGACCGACGGTCGCAGTCGTTCTAGCGCGCAAACTGCGGCGCCACACCAGGCCACAGAGGCCTGGCAGGCCTGGCCGGGGGGTTGCGGACGTTTACCACTCGTCCACTCAATGTGCCGGCCAGAGTTGTGCCCCGTGTCCTGGTGTCCTGAGGCCTGCACCGCCTGCGCATGCATGTCATGTGTCAAGGGGACAAGGACACATGGGCAGGACATGGGGGGGCACCGCGCGCGCGCGCGGGGTACTGTACTGGAGCCCCTCGCCAGCGGCGGTGGCGAGCTGGCGAGCATGTTGCGCCACGGTAAAGACAGAGACCGTGGCTGTGGTTTCTCCTTCTGGTGGTGGTTCTGGTCAGTTTGGCAATACACTACCCACCGTGGCGCGTGAACGTTATCTTTTGGCCCAGCAATGCCCGACCTCGCTCGCTTGCTCGCTCGCTCGCTCGTACAAAGTCGCCATGGTCGACGTGGACTGCGGTGTTGCGCAGCTGCGCGCCGCTCGCTAACACGACCCCGGGGGGAGGAAGAGAGTGCCCGCGCCCCCCACTCTCCACCGACACTTTGCTATTTTGCGCGCAATGCACGGCTCGGGATTCGGTCCATGCCGGGTGTCGGCAGCGTGTCGCACGGCGGCGCCATGCGCCCATGGACGCCACATCCACATTCCATGATGTGGCGCTGGCAACGCGACGCCGCCACCCATCTGCTCTTTAGCAGATCAGCCAGGCGGTCGTGCCATGTGGGCGGCGCACCATTCTCGGTGTATTGCAGCGTCGCGGTCAGCAAGCAGCGTCAGTCTCACGTTACCCACGCCGCTTCTGCCCCCCTGGGTTCACCTACAAATCCATCACGTACACAATCACTATATATTAAAAGAAAAGAAAAGGGAGCAAAAAGTCTCTCCGAGGGACTCTGGGAACGACGCGAACAATATCAGAGTATTGGGGCTGCGGTTGGGGCGGAGGTGAGGGGGTGTCACGAGAAGGAACACACACACACAGAACGAAAGACAAGGCTGTTTTCGGTTTCGTTTGGGTTAAGCCTTGACGACGCGGTCCTTGAACTTCTTGACGACGCTGGTCTTGCGCTTGACGGTAGCGACGCCTGCGTCGTCTGCGTTGGCTGCACTGACGCGGCGACGGTGGTCGACCATGTCGTGGAAGTCGGGCATGACGGGGCCTACGGGAGGTGAAGGGAGGTCCTTGCGGGGTCCGAATGCCGGGGCCGAGCCACGGCGGAAGTGCTCGGCACCTGCGATCCTGCTTGACGAGGGCAGAGGCAGGGGTTCGGGCTCGAGCTCCTCGACAGCCGACTCGTACGTCTCGGGAGGGTACTCCCTGGCGGGCGAGTTGCGTGTGCCTGTCGCCGACGCCGAGGTTGGTGCCGAGTTGCTGTTGGTGGTGGGGCGGACGGGCATTGGTGGGTACTCGGACCCAGGCGAGCTGTTCTTTGAAGGGGAGCCGGATCGGCCACCAGATCCATCGCGCTAAGCACCGTTGTCAGCCCACGTTGGGAGGTGGGCGAGCGGCGCGCCGGTTCGCCTCGGATTGTGTCCCCCCATGGTCACCCCCGGTCCCACGATCTCTTTCTCTACTCTTTCCACCTCTGTTTTTTCCAATCCCACGATCTCTTCCTCCACCTAGATGCGTGTCGGGACGGCCGCTGGTGGTGTAGCCCCCGTGGGGTGTTCCCAACCAGCGGGGAAGTCGTTGTAGTTGCCGTACCCGCCGTCTGATCCTCCCTCCTCCTCCTCCAGGACGGGGGCATTGCGCCAGCCAGGGCTGACGGGCGGGTGACGACCGAGGGTGTCCGACGCAGCAGACATTGACTGGGATCGTGGACCCAATGCGGGGGGGACCGGTGGGACGTTCTCATCCGATTTTTGACGCACCATGCTTTTGATCTTCTGCATCAGACTCTTGGTGCGCTTGACACCGCCGCCTGGACGGCCACCGACGCCACCACTGCCAAAGCCACCGATAGGCTGGTCGCCCGTTGGCGACACTGCGGTGTCCTCGGGCAGTGGTGGGCTACGCGGCGCGCCGAGCGAACCGAGACGGAGGCCAGGCGAGCGCGCGGCACGGTTGTTGTTGTTGTTGCTGTTGTTGTTGTTGACACTGCCTACGGGGTAGTCGTTGGAGTCGGCAACTGTAGGGACTCGGTTAGCAGCAGCATAGGCAATACCAAGTCGAGCACGGTACGAACGGTCAACAGTGTCCTCGCGTGGCGAAAAGCCAAAGTCCTCAAATGGTTCGGCTGTGGAGGTGGTCAATTCAATGGTCAATGATACAATGAATGGGTGGTGACGCGTCGACAAAAGGCAGAGCCGCCGGCGCGGGACGCGACTTTCTTGACCATGTTACGCGCGCGCGCAAAAACAACTGTGAAATGGCAACTCACGCGTGTCAATACCCCATGCGGCCTTGAGGGCACGCTGCTTCTCCTCACGCTGGCGCCTCCGCCAAGCAGTCTCCTCGTCTTCCTGTGGCGCCTCGCCACCAAAATAGCCACCACCAGAGGTGGGCACCGAAGTCGAGTACTGCCCGCTGAGACCACCGCTGGAGCGGCGGCCAGATGTGGGGCGAGCGGCCGCCGACGCTCGGCGCTCGTGCTCGCCAGTCTTGGCTGGAACGGGGGGTGGGAGGGAAATAGCCGTAGGGCCCGTGCGCGGCTGGATGGGCACGGGGGCGGGGGCTGGGGCTGGGGCGGCGGGGGCGACGGCAAACAGGAGCAGGTGCTGCTGCACCGGCACCGGCACCGGCAGCAGGCGGCCCACCTGGCTGACCGGGGAGGCCGAACGCTTGCATGGGAGCCCGCGGCTGGTTGAGGTTGCGCGACGGAGCAGCAGCGTCGTACGGGCCAGAGCTGTGGATGGTTAGTGTGCGCTCCCAAGAAGAAGACGCTAATCAGGAGAGGCTCACTGATGCCACACTGTTACACAAAGTCAGCACGCGGTCACACGCCCACCATCCACTACTCACTGGCACTCCCAAGACCGGTGGGGTCCCATGTGTCGATGACATCGGCGTGGCGAGAGCCCTTCTTGGACGCAGCGTCCTTGGTCTGGCCCTGGGTGATCTGACGGCGCTCACGACGCTCGGTGCGACGCTCCGCCTTCTTGGTGTCTCGGTCGGCATCCCTGTCGTCGGGGCTCAGACGGGCGGCTCCAGACGACGACGAAGTGTTGACACTGTATTGGCGCGACAGAGGGTGTGGTTTGCGAGGAGAAGTCGCCATGGTCAGCATGTGGGTTTTGGACGTGGGTGATGGATGGATGGCAACAGGGATGACCGTGCGCGACGTTGGATATGGGGGTGTGTGTGGAATGGCCTCGTTCTCCCACTCCACTAGGCTCTTACAAGGCCCGCGCGGTTGTGTGTGCCCTTGCGGTCCGCCGCCTGGCATCATAAAACCACCATCGTCTTAGCGGCTCCAACACGTTTCTCTTCACACACCCCAGTCGTCTTCGGCCTCTGCATGACACACACACAATGGACCAGTTGTTTTAAACGGCAGAGGGGGTAGTGCTTGCACATGCCCGACACCATTTCAAGCAAAGCCCCATATCCCGACTCGGCGGAATCCGCAATCCAAAAGAGAGAGTTGCACTGCGCACTGATATGCTACCACGGACAAGGGAAAGGGAGGGTGCAAGACGCAGCAACAACAACGGAACCACGACTCACAACTGCACAGAGGCCTCTGAGGGCTCTGCGAAGGGGTTCTCGGCCTCTGCCATCTTGTTCTTGCTGGACATGGTCACGGCGTCGGGGTTCAAGTTGGAATGGGTGTGTGCTGGTTGGAAGGCTCCGGGCATGTGTGGGGATGCGGAGCGAGGGCCACCACCTGCGAGGTGCGATGATGACGAGGGCACTGGCTGTGAGGTGCCGTTGCGGTTGATGTGTACGACGTCGCGCACGGCCGTTGCGAGGTCGTTTGGGTCGCTGTACTGGGGTCGAGCGAATGCGTTTGCCATGGTTAGGAGGGGAGGGGAAGGGGGGTGAGGAGAGGAACGGCGCGGAGGGGGGGGGGGGGGGGGGGGGGGGGGGTGGTCTGGATGCCGAGTCTCTGTGTGATCCAGTGACTCTACAAGGGGGTGGTGGTGCGGGTGTGCTCGGCGCGCGCGCGGTTGGTGGTGCTGGGCTGCGGCTGGTCGCTTGCAACGGATGGGTTTGGTTTGAGGGTGGGTGGGTGAGGAGGACGGCGGATTCTCGGGTTGCCCGGGATTGGAATTACGCCGCGTGTTGTTGGGAGAGGAGAGAGGGGGTCTGTGCGACGGCGAGGAGGGGTATGTGTTTGTAGAGAGAGAGTGTGTGATGTAGATGGAAGGAAAAGGGGGTGGGGAGCGCAGTAGATGGAGGAGAAAGGAGTAGCGATGGTGTGGGTTCCACGTTCAAGCGCGGACTGTCGGACCGGGGAGGAGGAGGCGAGGAAGAGGAAGAGGAGGAGGAGGAGAGACGGAGGAGGAGGAGAGAGTGGGGGGGGGGGGGGGGGAAGACGGGGGGCACAGGACGCGCGCGCGCGGTTTGGGCGGGGCGGGGCGCGCGGGGGGGTTGCTGGGTGGGTGGCCTGGGTGGAGCGGGGCGCACGGGGCGCGGTTGGACTGCTGGACGCGGGGGAGGCTGGCAGCAAAGGGAAGAGCCTCGTAAGGGAGAGACACCTGGGATATAGAGGGACAAGAATGTATATGAGGAGAGACGTTGACACGGGTGACAGGTGCACAGTTTTGTTGTTGTTGTTGTTGCTGTTTGTTTGCACGAGGCCCGGGGCCGAACGATGGAGGTGTGAGAGAGGGGAGGAGAGGATGAAAGGTGGAGAGAGTGTGAGTATGCGCGCGCGTGTGTATACGTGTAGTCTGCGAGCAGACACACGGGTGTGTCGAATGTGGTGGGGGGGGGGGGGGCCGGGGCGAGGGCGAGAGACCGCGCGGGGGGTTGTTGGTGGGCCGGCGGGCGGCGGAGGCAAGGCAGAGCGGCAGAGGTGTGTGTGTGTAGTATTCGGGTCGGTCGCATAGGGCGTGGGGCCGTTGGCGACGAGGCAAGGGAGGAGGGGCGATCACACCCCACCGACGGCCACCGACGGCAGTGGCGTGTGTGTGGGTCGTCGGCAGCATATGCATCTCCCTCATGCAAATGCATGCATGCATGTAATCGGTCCATCTCTGCAGCCATGTACAGCACACAGCAGAAACAGAACACAGGGGGAGACAGTGAGGTGCAACAAGGGCTCTAATGCACTATGTGAAAGACAAAGGAGAGAGGGTCCAGAGAAGAAGAGGGGGTTGGGCAAAAGGGAGAACGGGGAAGGGAAGGGAGAAGAAAAAAAAAACAAGGACAACCCACAATCGCAATGTTGGGGGGCATGGCTGCCGCTGTTCACCACAACGTCCTCTTCCCTCTGTCAAACGATTGCTTCTGCCGTTAATCGGGCCCGCTGACATTTTGACATTGCGTGGGGTCTCTTCCCGCGTTCCCCCCCTCCCACACCCGGGGACCCAGAGAGAGAGCACCATGCTGCATGCTGCAATGGGGGGCGGCGGTGTGGCTGTGGCAGCGAGAGCAACAACAACAAGAAGCACCACAATACTGTGGTTTAAACTGGGATTTGATTCGAAACGCACCCTTTTTTCTCATCCCACCGTGTCTCTCGCTCTGTCTCTTTCGGCCTCTCGGCTTGTTCCCCCCGTTGAACACACCTTGGGACGTACGCCGCCTGCACCCTCTCTCCCTGGCCCCAACCCTGGCCGGCCATTCATAACGTTTAACAGTTCAACAGGCAAACGTCCGCGCTCTTAGGCTCTCTCTCTCTCTGCCTCTTTTGGCAGGCTCTCTCGCAGGATCGCAGGACGGTCTCTGCCTGTGCTTGTTCAGCTTTCGATTCAGTTGGTAGAAACAAACATGCTAGCAAACGAGGAAAAAGCCCTGTGATCCTGTAAGCGTGCAAGTGCCTCGTCCTACAAAAAAACATGCATGTCGCTCCAGCCATGGGCCTTACTTGGCGCAACCCTGCAGTCCTGTCGCCGGGGCTCTGCAGTGTCTTGTCACTTGGCAGAGAGGCTTGGAATCGCCACAGAGCCGCCGCAACGCACGTTCATGTTGGAGTGCTTTGACAATCTGCATTTGGCCACTTTGCAGCACGGGGGAAGACTACTGGTATTGTGTTAGGGGACTGACGACCACAGATTCACTGGTCCTACTGACGATGGTACGTCTGGACCGATACGAGACGTTACCACGTACTGTACATACATAATGTACCGCGACAGCAGCACCGCACGCGACGACGCGTAGCAACCTAGCAACCTCTCGGCACCACAGATCCCAAGCCCCTCACTGCCGCGGCCGTTTCAGCAATTCAGCAGCCTGCGTGCGGGTCACGCCACCATTACTGCAAGCTGTTGAGTTGCCGTCTACAGGCGGCGTGTATGCCTTTTTACCTTTTGTTTCCCGTAGAATTGAGACCACGTCCTTCTGCGCTTCTGCTGTGCTGGCCGTGCTGGACCTCCTCCGTTCACATCGCCCCACATGCCTTGAACAAAGTAACGCTTGTGAACCGTATCCCATCACACACACCCAGGAGCGGCACCGGCACCGGCACCGGGTTGGTGCGTGGCGCGTGCGTGCGTGCGCGCGCGTGGACGTGCCGTAGCGCGATGGGAAGCAGCTATTTGCGCTATTCTCAAACGTCCGCAGATTGCAGAGGAGCGCCAAAGGCCACAATGGCCACGCACAACAACAGGCAACAACCACACCTCCGCTTCCGCGCCCGGCCAAAGCCCACCATAACGTATACTTGACGCGAGAGCAAGAAACCCCCGGGGCGGGCGGCGTACTCCCACGAGAGCGTCCGCTAACACTCTTGTCGTGTGCGGTGGGGGTGGAGGTTGCCTTACTCGTGGCTCTTCAGCCGTTTTGGTGTGAGTGAATGACTGAGTGGCGAATGGAGATCAACGCGACCTGCGATCGTTGGCGCGTTGGCGGCAACGTGGTTACCGTTGGTGGCTTCATGGCTTTATTGCTTCGGCAAGGTCGCTACAGCCAAACGCGTCGGCACGTCGGCACCGAACGCATTATTGTTGTCTCGGTCAATATCACAATAGTGCACCAACACGCCGTGTTGTTGACACAAACACAATGTGCCCGACGAGCTGGCTGGCTTTTCGGTGCCACCCGAGTGAATCCTGGGAGCCATCGTCGAGTCCGCCTCCTCCAGCCCCAGCCTCTGGAACCCGGACCTCGAGGGTCGCATGCGCGCGTGGGTGTCACCGTCGCTGTGGCCGTCCTGCCGTGCGTTTTCTGAGCTTGTTCTGGAACCAGGGGGGGGGTGGTAGCTCCGAGAGGTGGTCAGTCCGACACGCCGCTGCACTGGTTACTGGCGTGCCCAGTGCCTGTGTGGCTGTCAGACACGTCCACCCGGACGTTCGCGTCGTGCGTTTTCGTTTGTGGAGATTGAGTGTTGCGTGTTTTGCACCAGTAAGATGAGCATCGAGCAGTCCCGTTTCGACATGTGGCCTCCAGACACAAAACCCGTAACCAAGCGAAAAGGGAAAAGGGGGGCAATGTACCGCCCGTGAATGTTGCATGTGATTGTGTGTGTTGGCCTGGCGTGGCCGTAGACACACGCCCCCGCCCCGCCCCGCCCCGCCCGCGCTGCTGCTGATTGATATGTGTGCTCCTACATGTCCTCCATGCTCCACTTGCTCGCCTCGACCGCCGTGCGCGCGTACGTGTTCTGGGCTTGCAGCCACTTCTTTTCGAATCCGTTGGAACGGTCTGTGTGTGACATGTGGTCAGCCGAGAAGCGATTTTTTTGTCCGACAGACAGACGGCCACCCGACCACCCGACAGGCGGTGGGGGCCGGTCAGTCGTCCAGCTGCACAACCACCACTCACCGACGCCGTCCCAGCGGTATCCCGGGGCGAGGCCAAAACGGTTCTCGGGCCACGAGCCCTTGTACACTGGGATTTTGGGACCTTTCTTCTTGCCCTTTTTGGTCTGAGAGAGCTGTCAGCGAGGATGGCAGCGACACAACTCACTGTCGCAAAGTTGGCGGCGGGGTCGTTCCACCTCTCGACATCCTTCATCTCGCGGTTCATCGCCTCGTCGTCGGCGTACCTTTCCCAGTCAGCACGCACGGAGTCCTCACCAAAAGCACACTCCAACTCACCTCGCGACGTCCTTGTTGCCCATGGCCTTTTCTTCTCTCACACGCTCCTCCCGGGCTTGCCTCTGTGCCAGGCCTTTACTCCACTCCTTGCGCTCGGCCTCCTTCCGCTTCTCCTCCTCCTCGGCGCGGCGCGCCTCTTGGCGCAGCGCCTCGACGTCGAGCACCTTTCCGCTCTGGTCACGGTACACCGTCTGCGTCGGGTCCGGCCCTCCTGGTTCGGGCGATGGCGAGCGCTGCTCGGCAGCCGTCACTTTCGCCTCCTCTGCGAGCTGCTTGGCCGTGCGCAGGCCTCCGCGACGCTTGGTGAGCTGCTGCTTGGGCTGCTGCTCCTGGGCGCCGGCCGTGGTGGTCGACGGGCCGGCGTCGTCCGAGGCCGCGTCGCGTGGCTCCTCCTTGACGCCTGCGGGAAGAGGGAGCGCAGTGGCGCCGACGGTCGCCCATGCCGACTTGCCCTTCTTGAACGTCGCAATGTCTTTGCCAATGACTGTGGCGTTGCGTTAGCACAGCATTGCCAGTGGTGAGGGCGGCTGCAGAAGTCGGGACGGAGGTGGCCAGTTGAGGGTGGAAGCACAACCGCGCAACTGCCCCCCCCCCCCCCCCCCCCCCCCCCCCGCCCCCGCCCTGCAGCTGCAGCTCGCTCGCGCGCCAGAGCTCACCTGGAGTGTCATCGCCTTCCATATCATCGGCGTCCTTCTTGCCCCAACGCTCGTCCTCGTCCTGCAAGACGAGACCGCTGCCGCTGGCCTTTGATGAGCCGCCGACATAGTCTTCATTCTTCCTCTTCCGCTTCTTCTTCTCCACGCCGGCGTGCTGGAGGATGGCGTCCGCCTTGGGCCCGGACATGTACCTGTTGTCGTTGTCAGCTGGGGATCTATCCGGACAGAGGTGGCTCAGCTTTGCCACGTACTTGGAAGCGAGGTATGTCTTGAGGTCGGGCATGGTGGAGGAAGGGAGGCGGGGATGGAACGGAAGGGTGGAGGAGGGAGCGGACAGGCGCTTGTGCAGGAAGGGGATCAAGGGAGCTTGCGGAGAGTCCCGAGGTGTGCACTGTGGGCAGCTATGCAGCTGGCCTGTGATGGAGGATTGTTGTTGTTGTTGTTATTGTCTTTGTATGCAGCATGTTCAGGACGGTTCTGGCTGTGATCCATGGATTATGATGACGGCCGCGTTGCCACCGTGCGCCTCAGTGGCAAATCCCGCAAAGACCGCCACCCTGGGCCGCGGGGGGAGATGAGCCCGCCGTCCAGGGTGGTGGACGCTGGCTGGTGCTGGCTGGTACACGCTGGGTGGGCCGTCCTGGCTGGCCGCTCGCTGGCTGGCGGACACTGGCTGGCTCTGGCTGGCTGGCTGGCAGCGCTTGCGTGCTGGTGGACACATCCCTTCAACTGACATCTCTGCAAGCACCAAGCAACAATCCCCGTCCTTCCCCCCCATCTATACCACTTCCACCCCTCCTCCCCCCCACCCCCCACTCCATTTTGCACAGTTCCCTCAGCATCTCTCGCATACCACGCACTCGGCCTGTCCCCCAGTGCGCCCCGCATTCGCATCTTTTTCGTCAATACCCAATCCACCCCCACACCCCCCACCCCCATTCAACATTGCGGCTCGACACCCAACCCACCCCTTCCTCCCCCGCACACCTCGTCCTTGCCTCCTCTTCCCATCGCCTGACCGCCGCCCAGCACGCCGCACGCCGCGAGCCACATGCCCACAGTCCACCCGCTCCCAGTCAACCCCACCACTGGCCAGCAGCCGCTGGCATCCCTTCGCAGTCTCGGCGGCTCGAGCCAGTCATCACCTGCCGGCGGCGTCAACCGCGAGGTCCTCAAACAGCTCCAAGACGTAGCATGGAGTGATGAGGAGGTGCGTAGTCGTATCCAAAGGACGTGGTGGTGAGGGCGGGCGGGCGCACCGACGAGGCTTGAACGGCGGTGCCCAGCAGCACAGCTCGCCGGTGCGGCCCACTTTGTCCATCACTCACACCACCCCTTCAACCCACCACACGTGCAGGGGCAAGGGGCGCTGACACGACGCAGGATGACCCAGACTGCATGGTCTGCGCGGAGCCACTCGACCTCTCGGACCAGAACTTCAAACCATGCCAATGTGGTCTCCAGGTACGTTTTGCCGCTCGGAGGTGATCGTCCGCTTGCACAACGACAATGAATGCTGACTGTACCTTTTCTTTCTTCCGTCGTTTCCAAACCTCCTCCTTCTTGGCTTCCTTTTTTGTTTTTGCTCTACAGATCTGCCAATTCTGCTACAACAAGCTGTTGCGCGACGACCCAAGGTGTCCCGGATGCCGCAGGAACTATGACGCGGCGTCTGTCGTCTTCCAGCCTGTCGACTTTGACGAGTGGGTGGCGTCGTTGTTTAAACTCTAGACACCGAAAGCCAAAGAGAGAGCGCACGAGCTGACATTTTCCCCTTTCCCTGCAGAGTTCGACGTGTAAAGGAGAAGAAGATGAAGCGGGCCAAGGTCTGCAAGCAGCTGGACACCATGGGACGGCGACACTTCCTGGACACGCGCATTGTCATGAAGAATTCCATCTACGTCGTCGGCATGAAGATTCCTGGCTCGGGCTCGGCAGAGGAAGCAGTGTCGATCCTGCGGTCCAACGACTACTTTGGGCAGTATGGCAAGATTGCACGCCTCTTCCTTCGAGATCGGTCGGCCATCACGCCTGCTACACCTGGGCCCGAGGCGGACTCGCCCTCGACGGTGACGGGCATCTACATTGTCTACGTCAGGCGCGAAGACGCGGCACGGGCAATCTCGTCGTTGGATGGTATCCCGGCTCCACAGGGACCTCCAGGACAGGTTCTCAGCGCATCGTACGGAACGACCCGGTACTGCGACGCGTTCCTGCGTGGAGTCAAGTGCGACCACACCATGTGCCAGAACCTGCACGAATGGGGAGGCGAAGGAGACTGCTTTACGCGCAACGATTTGGAGACGGCGTTGACCCGCCCCGCCGAGTACGATGCGCGCCAGAAGCAGCAGCAGCTCCAGCCTCCTCCTTTAACGCAGAAGAGTGCTTGGCCCAAGCCGTCTGCAGACGACGTCGACTCGTCGGCGCTGCCAAGGACGGCAAACTGGGGCATGCGCCCTGGTCCTGCCCGACCTGGCTCGTCTGCAAGCGGACGGAGCAGTGTCTCGGCAGTGGGCTCGCAGCGTCCCACAAAGATCCAGAGCACGCTCATCCCTCTTGGCGGACGAAACTCGTCTACGGCATTCCCCCCACCTTCCCCTTCCCCCGTCTCGCTCCTGCCGCCCAAGCTGGACAAGGACAAGAAGAAGGCGCAGAGCATGTCGCGCGGCCGCAGCGAGACTTCGAGCGTAGGCAGTGCAGTGGTGGGCCCCACTACCTCGACAAGCAGCACACAGCCGTCGCCAAAGAAGAAGCCAATCTCCCTGGTGGTCGGCACCGGCTCTGGACACCCGACACCCTCGCCCATCGCCAAGCCGACTCCTCCACCTGTTCCTGCACCTGTGGCCGCCCCCATCGTCGTCGCCGCAACCTCCACACCACCACCCGGCCTCACACCACCCCCAGGTCTCACGCATGTGGAGCCTCCTGTGCCTTCAAGCCCACCAAAGAAGAAGGCATCAGAGGAAACTGCCTCGTCCGTCATTGCCACCCCTCCCGCTGCTCCCGAGGAGCTCGACGAACCCGAGCCCGAGGCTGGACCGTCGACGTACGCTACTTCGCCCATCAAGTCGGTCAAGCCGCTCGTCACAGAGTACCCGATCCACTCGCCGTTCCCCGACTTTGACGACGTGTTTACCCAGCCGGACGCCAGCAAGATGGGCTTTGCATTCTCGCTTGCTCTCGACGAGTCGGACATTCAGCGTCTTATCGAGTTTTCGCACCAGGCTGGCGGCTTCTTCGAGCCCAGCCCCTTTGACCCCCTGTTCGAGGAGCTGCCAAAGCTCGGCATCCCACTTGCGTCCCTCATCGGCGTGCCCCGCACCAACGACGGACCTGGACCCGTGTACGACGGCCCCTTTTCGCCGTTTGCTCCCTCGTCGCCCGTCGAGACTGGCTCGCTGCCAACCTCGGACGCACCCTCGGCGGCCGAGTCGGCGTCGTCTGTCGACCCGGAGCCTGCGCAGCGCACTGCCTCGCGCTTCGAGTTTGCGCGTCGTGCAAGCCTCGCGTCGGCAGGCCGTGGACAGAGCCCGTTCCGCGCTGGCGGCGGCGGTCGCGACGACTGGGGGCGTGCTCCTTCGGCCAACGGGTATGCTCCCGACGACATGCGCGCCGCCGCGGCCGCCGCTGCCGTGCCACACGGCTACCACCCGGCTCTGGCTCAGCTCAACTCGCACGCCGCAGCTGCCCTCGCTGCCCAGCAGCAGCAACAGCAACAACAGCAGCAACAGCAACAACAGCAGCAGCAGCAGCAGCAGCAGCAGTCCGCCTCGCTCTCCAACTCCGAGTCGTGGTCCACCAACTCGTACGACCAGCCCCAGCAGTCGCAGTACCGCTCGTACCCGCAGCAGCAGGGATACGGCGGCAACAACGGCAACAACGGCGGTTCGTACGGTAACGGCGCGTACGCGTCGCCCGTGCGCGAGAACGCCCACTACTCGCCCTCGGGTCCCGGCGGTCCCGGCCCGCACGTCCCGCCCGGCTACGAGTCGTACGCCGCGCTCCAGCAGGGCGGGCCCGCGAGCAGTCCGCAGGTGTACAGCCAGATGGGCTACGTGCAGCGCCGGTTCTAGACGTGACGGAGCAAACGGAGACCCTGGAGGCCTGGAGACAGCGAGAGAGCGAGTAGCAGTATATGGGTAGCAGTCCTGGCGGAGGAGAGGAGAGAGAAGACAGACGCATGCATGACTTGGTTCCTTGTTCAAGGCGATTTTTATCGCGGTGTGTGTGTGATCCCGCGGGGACGGGGAGTGGCCGGGAACGAACAAGACATGGCAGAGAAGGTTTGTTTGTGTGAAAGACTTGATCTTTGAGTCCCGTAGGACTGGCGCATGAGCCCACATATCATGAATGGCTCAGCCTACGCCGAATGCGACATGACGCCAGGATCCCACCCAGAGAGAGACAATGGACGGGTCTGCGTGCGGCTTCGGCTCCGACTATCCGCGCACGATGTATGCTACTGGGAGGAAGGCAGACAGTGGCATCGACAACATGTGAGAGGAAACCACACGTAAAAACGGAGGAAACAATTATGTAAAAATACAGCAGTGGAGATACATGTGACACAGCAAGGCCTAGGTACGCACGATTTTGGAGGCGGAGAACGAGGGTCATTTTAATTTTTGAAGTGCCAGAGCACAGAGACAGAGGTGCAAGAGGGGACCAGCGAGACAATGGCCACCATTATCCGCCAGACGCTTTCCTCCTGCGCGTGTTGGCCTTACCCGTGTGGGTCGGTGTGGAGTGGGGGCTTGGTTCCGGTTGTTGGCATATATGTGGCTGGCTGGGTGTGTGAGCATGCGCGCTGCGGGTGTGGCCTGGGCATCTGAACCTGTAGAAGACGCGTGTCGAGGCGGTCGTGGCGAGGGCTCTGGCTATCTCGGTCATGTTCCCGCGGTGACATGGCCATGATCGGCCATGAGCGAGTCCATGGTGTGTGGGGCCACGACCACGACAGTGTACCCTTCGAGGGAGGCGAGGACCTCGTACAGCGCGGTGTAGGTCTGCGTCTCGGCCGACAAGTCCCTCGTGTAGGCGGCAAAGTCTACGCCAAAGGGGATGATGCTGTCCAGGTCCGTTTCCGTGGCCTCTTGTGGCGACGGCGCCGTGCCATCGTCGGGAGACTTGTCCTCGGTACCCTTGCCCTCGGTGTTGCCGTCGGCGATGTCACCGCCAGAGCCATCCTCCGCTCCACTTGAGCCACCTGGGCCAGCTCCGCCACTCCCGCCACCCCCACCATTATCCGAGCCCGGGCCAGGGGGCATGACTGCGGCAGACGTGGAGCCTGCAGACACCTTTCGCTTCCGTTCCTTGTCCTTGGCTTGAAGTACGGCGGCCGCCACTTTTGGACGTGCACGCAGGATGGCAGTTTCCGTTGCCGCCTCGTCGGCGGTGAAGCTCACCGACTCGTCGAAGGCAAAGTCGCTGGCTGGGGCCAGGGGAGGTCGCGAGACGCAGTCCGATGTGGGGTGTGGACAGGCGAAGGCGGCCGCGATCCAGTTCAGCATCAGCTGAATGGAGCCAAAGTCGAGTAAGCGGCGAGGAGTGTCGGCAAGATCGCCGGACGCGCCAGACGGTATGGCCGGAGGATCACGGGCGAGATGGCAGAGGAGGGAGTGGGGAAGGAGAGCATCGTACAGGTCGTCACGGTCGAGCAGGCCGGACAGGCTCAGTCGGGTACCGGGCGCTATGTGGTGGACTCGATGAACACGGTCTTGGGACGGAAAGCAAGACGAGTGAGCCGCGTACCAATGAGCACAAGACCGTGCTGGGAACCAAACGCGAACAGGGCGCTGATACCGTAACAGATCTCCTGGGCCAAGCCCATGCGTGTCTTGTGCAGAGCGTCGGCGGCCTTGATCGCCTCGCGCCATTTTTGACGTTTCGCTGCAGGCGGCTCCAAGCTTGCCCATGAAATAGTCGGGCCGCCGGGGGGTACAGTGGGCTCTACTGCCAGTGCCGCAATGTGGGGCACGTCTTGGATGGAACCCAGGACAAGGGCGACGTCCGGGATGGTGCTCACAACGTTGATCTCTTGCGTCGCATCGTCCAGTTCCTGTGGTTGGTGAGCTCAGCACCGGAATTGGCACAGGCACCTTTAGCCAGACTTACCAGAGTGGCGTCGATCTCGTTGGCCACCTGGGCCTCAGTCTCGACCGCAGCCTTCTCGCTCTCGCCCCTCAAGCGACTGGCTGCCGACCGAACACGGAAGACAAAGTCCCGCACGCGAAGAGCACGGTCGAGGGCATTGGTAAAACTCTTCACTTCAAAAGTAAGGCATGGAGCTCCGTGAGAGCCACCATGCTCGGTACACCAGCGTACGGCGGTAAAGTCGGGGATGTTGAGCCCACCGCGTTCGCTTGTGAACAGGCTGGCCGCCGAGATGACAGACGGAGGCGAGGTCAAAGACGGCTGTGCACTGTCAGTTTCCGTTCCTACTGAATAGATTGCTCACTGGGTCGCTGCTGAGACTTTGGCGCATCTTCTTCCGGGTAGTCGAGATGGACGCCAGGACTTTGTGAACAGGCGAGTCACCATAGGCCAATCCATCACCGACGGCGTACTCGTCCATCGTCAGGTCACGCTCGCTTTCAATGGTGATACCCAGACTATCCAGTTCGTTGACGAGAGTAAAAAGAGCGCTTGATAGAGCACTCCCAAGCTCTGGCTCATTCCCAGAACAGGTGGTCTGTCGGACGAGGACACGCTCTAAAGAGGCCAGGGCATGGGGAGTCTCTTGGCGGTATGTCGCCACTCGGAACAGCTGTTGGTTCTCGTAAACAATGTTGGACCAAGTGTTGGGAGGGGGTCTGCCCATGTCGTCGACAAACACAACTGTGTCGGATGTGGCGTATGATGGTCGCTTACGCTGCTCAGATGGCATCCTGGCCGTGAGTGAGTGAGTGAGTGGTGATGTGGTCGCAACCGGTCACATTGTTGTTGTTGTTCAACGCTCATACGGGCATCGATCCTGTGCGCCTGTGCCCTCCTATATCATCCCCTCACTTAGGAGACCCAATTCCATGTCCCGTTGAAACGACAAATAAATCACACTCCAATCTCATGCCGGTCAAGATCGCTGACCGGGTCTCGTGACACCGGGCAGGGGTCTGACCAACACAGGAGATGCAACGCATGCAACGCATCTCCCAACGGGCAGCTAGTCATGTCTACGATGAAATTGCGAAAAAAGAGTCCGAAACATTAGCTCTTTCATTAGGGATGCTGCTGATTAGGAATGTGTAATCGGTGGTGTCGCTGACACTGGTCCTTTGACGTCACTCATACGGCCGGGCTGGCGCTGACGCACGAGCGCACAGACCCACAGGTGTGGTGATGCGAGTCACATCACTCCATGTAGGCAGCTAGTATCTATCGCACAAGATCTATGTATAGGGCTGTGTCTGCGCTGACGTTGCAGGAGGAGCATTCCCCAGCCGTCACAAGCCGTCAGTCCCACAGGTTGTCGGCGACATAAGCATCAAATCAAGTAGAATACGGCTTCTGGGACATGGGATGCTGTATATTCTAGGTGCAATCCACCCGTTGAGTGTGCATGTGAATGAGGACACTGGCATCGCTTGCGGGCCGTGTCCGCCACAGTCCATCGCTCGGTGGCTCGGTGACCCAGAGGCGGGGATGTGGCGCCGCCAGAGTGCGCGCTTTTCGCTTGAACGTCAAGGATCGTTCGTCATCCACAGTAGTGCCCAGTGCGTATGGGGTGTTGGATGCGTTCCTTCACTTATCCCTAGGCAGAGCCCCGTCCAGCAGCGCGCCAATGCCGCCGACGCTGGCCGCGAACAGTAGCAAGCCTGCGCCCCACAGCTGGATGTAGACTGGTTCGCCGAGGAACTCGAGGCGGTAGGCTGTCGCGAGCCACAGCGCCTGCCCGCCAATCCATGCGACCAGTGCAATGGCGAGGGTGCGCCATGTGAGTGAGGGGAGGGAGAGGAGGGGGACCAGCGGGAGGGGCCAGAGAAAGTACTGTGAGGGTCAGCGCACGCATAATTGTCTGCAGCTGGATTCATGCGAAGAAAGACAGCCAGGCCAGCTACACGTTTCGACGTTCAACTCACCTGACTGGTGCACACCTTGTTGAACGCCACAAACAATGCTGTCTGGAAGAACATTGCCGCTTCGATCCCCACGGCTCTTGTCAGTGCCACGCCGGCGATGATGACAAGGGACACCTGTGGGAGAAACGAGGCCAGCGGATTGCGCAACACGTTCAGCAAGGCCGAGAGCCAAGGACTGTCGACGCTCGCATCGCCGCCAGTGAGTGACAGGTAGATGGGGAGAAAGTAAGGGCTAAAGTTGTGTCGGTGGTCGAGGCGCGAGAGGTGGTACAGGTAGGTGTGCTCGAGGAACGGCTGGCCCCAGCTGGAAACGGGCAGTGTCAGCGCCAGTACAAACAAGGGTCGTTGAGCTAATGGGACGGACATGGACACGGACATGGCCAGAACGGGGGTCGCCGGTGGTGATGCGGGACCCCCGAGGGCGCCGAGCCGGGGACTGCACTCCACTCCGCTGTCCCTCACAAACGTGCCCGCTGCATGCAACGTTGACGTTGCGCCAGTGCGCAGGCGATGGCACAAGATGGATCTTGCCATATCCATCCGACAGGTCACCACAGCGCCCGCAGTCCAAACCAGGTAAAACGCCGACCCAAGGGTCCTGCACCCTCGGAGTCGTAGGAACAGAGATGGCCGCCACCTGCCCCGACGATGGAGGCCCAGATTTCGAGGCGTGCGCATCGCGCGCGCCAAAGGTTTGCGCCAAGACGACGCACCGCCTGTGTGTCCTTGAAACGTGCGATCATTCGAGACTGGGTTGTGGGTCTTGACGGCCGGGCCACATGTGGCCCGATGGCCAGCCCGGCGGTGCCCAACGTGTGGTGATGCGGCGGCGGCGCTGCTCAGAGCCCCTTGCCAAGCACTGCTCTGTCCGATCACAGCCCCGCCCCCGCTCGCACTCACACCCATACGCCCCAACTGATAGCCCCCCCCCTTGAAGAACAACGGCACAGGGAACACTCGGACTGTTTTAAAGACTCACAAGGACCAGAGGGTAAAGTTGAGGACCAAGGCTGTGGCCGCGGCCACGACTCCGAAACGCCATACACGGTAGCCAAACCAGCCATGTTCCCTTGCCAATGCTGTCCAGATTGCGGCAACGTAGATGACGGGGAAGACCTTGTAGCTTGTGGCGACGGCGAGGAGGGCTGCCGACACTGCCTCCCAGTAGGCTCCAGCTGTGCCGCCGGCTGCCGTCTTTGCTGCCGGGTTTCCGAGTCCGGCGCGACGAAGGGCAACGACGAGGGCGGCAGTGAGGAGACACGCGAGAGCCTCGGGACTGCCGCGCGTGGTGATGTTGAGGACGATGGGGTTGAGCGTCCAGAGGAGATGTGTTGTCCAAAAGTCTCCGGGAGCTGGTCCGGAGAGGATGAGCGGCGGGAGGGCGAGTGTGAGCGCAACAAGCACCAGGCGGCCAAGGACAGGCGCTATGAGGGCCGGAGAGAGAACAAGGACCAGTAGCGGCGTGTACCGGAACGTGGCACGTGCATATGGCGAGCCGAGGGGCAAGCTGAGCGCCGCGGTAAGCCAGCCTTGTGCGGGGCCAGCGATCTCGGGGTGAGCGGTGTGGGTCAAGCCGTCGGCGACGACTCGCCAGTCGACATCTGTGTACTTGAGTCCGCCGACGGGGTTGGCGTCAACATGTGCAGCATACCCCAAGAGGGCGACCTGAAGTACGCCGGACAGGAGCAGGAGGGCGGCAGTGGACGGTCTCCGCCGCGGGGCTGTTGCAGCTGCTGCTGCGGCGGGTGTTGCTGTTTGTTTTGCTGGCTGCGCCGAGGATGGCAAGTGTGTTGTTGATGGGGGTGCAGCGCTGGATATTCTTTGGATGACCATGGGATGGGAGGGAAGGGTGCCTCGGTGTACTAATTATTATGGGTCTTTGGGGGAATGGGCACAGAGAGAGAGCGAGCGAGAGGTGTGGTTGTACGAGCAAAAGGAGAGAGGGATGACGTCTTGATCTCTGGATGGGATCGGAGTGATCCCGGATTACCCGGGGAGTAATGTATAGCAAAACTGTAATACAAACTGTGTAATGTAAATGGATTGGTTCCGTTAATGGGAGCGCCCGTTACATATCCCACACTCTGTTCTGAAACGAAGGAGACGGAATGGGGGTGTGTGTGGGACATGCGATACCCTGAGTGACCCCCCCCGTTGCGTGCCGTTGTCACACAACCCACCCACCCAACAGGCTGCAACATGCTTGTCCCACTGCGAGACGGACGGTGCAGTTGGCACATGTATGGCACATGTATGCAGAGACCGTACACTTGAGCCACGACACTGAACGGCAAAGACTGTAGGGCCGGCCATATCGCTGCGGGCCAAGCAATACCAAGAACGCGCGTCGGTGGTGGGCAGAGAGAGAGAAGGGGTGTGTGCGTTTGGCTGGGTGAGTGGTGGCGCGACGGGTGGCGTCTCGGACACACCGCCCAGCTTCCCTTTGTGGACACGCGTTCGGGGGCGCGCAGTGCGCGGGGGTGGTTGGCAGCGCGCGTGTCTACGGTCATACAAAACGGCTCTCGACTGCGCACAGCCATTCATGTTGTACCCAAACGACGACGACTGCAAAGCACATTGCATCGTTTGGCAGCAGTGTGTGAACTGTGTGACCAGCACAGAGAGATGGGTGTCTCGTCACAGTGTATACCAAGTATATACGTACGTCCAATGCATATGCATGCGTCGTGTTACCGACACCATGGGCGGGAAGGAAATTAACCGCAGGGTGAGGGGAGGCGACGCGGCACACGCCGTGTAGTGTGCTTTTCCCTGAGGCGCGCGTTGGGATCACGGGCACGCTTGGACCCCGGTCCTGCCTTCCCTGCCTTCCCTGTCTTCCCTGCCTTCCCTGCCTTCCCTCGTGCGGTGTGTCTCATCACTGGGCGTGTGCTTCACCCACCCACACCCACACCCCCCCTTCTGATCCCCCTTCTCTTTTCTCTTCTCTCTCTCTCTCTCTCTCTCTCTTGTACAAGTTCTACACTCCAGTCTCGCTACCTCTCACCCACAGTCACTCCTTCACACCCTTCCCTCGACGACTCCAAGTTGATCTTGCAGTCCCCAGGAATCCCATCCCAACCTTCCTCTCTCACCTCCATCAACCAACCCACCCCCCCTCGCGCTCGGTCCCCCTCCCGACCCGCCCCGCAGCCAAGCTTGACGCACAACCTCCCCTCTTATAACATCTGAGAGTACTACACAACTCTCTTTTCCCTCCTCTTTTCCCTCGTCACCTTTTAGATAGAAGAAGAGCAACCATGATCGCCAACCTCGCAAGCCTCCTCCCCTACCTCGCTCTCGCAGGTCTTGCCCTCGAGGCCGCACCGGTAAGTGTCGTTGGTGTCCCCACCCCCGTTAGCGCCCTTTTTCCAGCAGTAAACATGCGTGGCATGCGTTTGGGCGCAAGCATGTGGCCTACACCTTCCACTGGGCATCAGTGGTGACCACTGTGTGTCGCATCACCACTGCACCGGAGAGCACACCCAGACGAGGCCCCCCTGCCCATTGTCTTCGTTGCTACAATGCCAAGACGCGGGCACACGCTCCCCCCTCCCTTGGCCCAACCCCCCGATCAAGTTTCATCCCTAACACTTTGACAGGTCTCGGCTGCGCACGGTGTCCAGCGCCACCCGCGCGACCGCCACACCAAGCACATCGAGCGTGCCCACAAGGTCGACGCTCGCATGTCGCCCGTCGGTGCCAAGCACAAGATCATTCGTCGCGCCGACGGCTCGCAGTGCCGTGTCCGCCCCACCTCCGCCACCACTGAGGCCGTCGCTGTCGAGACTGCCGCTGCCACTGAGGCCGCCTCGACCGCCGACTCGTACAGCGTCGAGGCTGCTGCCTACACCGAGGCTGCCTCGACCGACGCCGCCTACACTGAGGCTGCCGCCTCGAGCGTCTACACCGAGGCCGCCTACGCCTCGCCCACCGAGTCGTCGGCCGAGGCCCAGCAGACCGAGGCCGCTAGCAGCAGCGTCTACACCGAGGCTGCTTCGACCGAGGCTGCCTCGGCCGTCACGACCGCTTCGTCGTCGTCGTCGACCGCCGGTGCCGCCTCGTCGGGTGGCACGACCAACGTCGGCTCCAAGTTTGGTGCCGCCTGGCCCAACGGAGACTACGCGTCGTCGAGCGACCCCAACTACATTGGCAACTACATTGGTTCCAAGACCTCGTGGTACTACACCTGGGCCGCTTCGTCGGTCTCGGCTGGTGACAACCTCGGCCTCGAGTTCGTCCCCATGCTCTGGGGTCCCAGCAGCGACCTCGTTTCGGCTTGGTGGGCGGCCCAGTCCAGCTGGCCCTCGTCGGTCAAGCACGCTCTCTTCTTCAACGAGCCCAACGAGTCGTCGCAGTCCAACGTTGCCGTCAACGACGCCATCTCGTACTGGATGAACGACTACCTCCCCGTTCGTGCCAGCAAGGGTCTCCTGCTCGGTTCCGCCGCCACCACCTCGGCCCCCAGCGGTCTTACCTGGGTCACCGACTTCCCCACCGCGTGCACTGGTGCCGGTAACTCTGCTGCCGACTGCGCTGCCGACTTTGTCCCCGTCCACTGGTACGACGTGTCGGCCACCGACTTCCAGACCTACCTCACCAACTTCCACACCGGCACCGGCCTCCCCCTCTGGGTCACCGAGTACGCCTGCCAGAACTTCAACGGCGGTGCCCAGTGCTCCGACTCGGAGACCTGGTCGCTCCACCAGACCATGGCCGCTTGGATGGACGAGCAGGACTTCATCCAGCGCTACTCGCCCTTCGGCATGATGGAGAACATGCAGGGTGTCGAGCAGTACAACGCCCTCATGGACACCTCGGGTTCCATCACCGACCTCGGTACCTACTACATCTACTCGTCGTAAACGCAACCAACGCTCTCCCCGCATTTTCAGCATGACGGCTTCATATCGACGGGACACTTGATGTCGTGCCACCTACCCTCATCTCTTTTTTGTTTAGTGGCCCCCCCAAGCTGCTAGCAATTTAAACATTTTCTTCTCGTCTTGTTTTTCATTTCTGATATTGCCTCTCCTTTCGCACCCCCGCTTCACTGCATGACGGTTGATCCTATGCATAAAGCTATATTGTCATAATACTGCCTTTGGTTCTTGTCCAGTGTTGCAAGAGCTGTGGATAGATGGAACGGGAGCCGTCGTCGTCGTCGTCTGGGCAGTGGAACAACCCTCCTCCCGTACGCCTAGGCGGGACGTTGCAGCGAACCCAAGGACGTGACGGTCATCTTTTCACTCACAGCGAATTCACTGTGAGTACTTGAAAAGATGACAAGGCACGCAGGCGAGCGACGCACGACGCACCATGCCACCAGGCCACAAGCACACATACACACACGGCACACCGTCCAAACCCCCCCCCCCACCTTCTGACGACCCTGTAACAATCATCGTTCAGCGGCAGACCCGCGTGGCGAAGGCCGGCGAGCGGGCGTCAGCTGGGTTCTGAACAATTTGCATTGGTTGCGTGCAGCGCAGGCAAGCTTGACCCCCTCGGTCCTGCAAGCAGGTCTTCCTTCAGGCATTCGCAGAGGCCTCGATCTGGTGGGTCTTCAGGCCTTTGATCCTTTGACGAGGGTCGCAGGTCGCGCCAGGCGTGTTTTAGGGTGAGCCCTCGTCTGTTCTGGTTTCGACGCGTGCTTTATTCCGACCGCTGTAATACGTTAGGGCCTGGAATGTGCATGTCAAAGGCAAGCAGGTTAGGACGTCTTTGTGCGCCGCACAGGGATTTTTGGTTATATCGGGGGTGGCATGGAAAATCTCGGTCGCGTCACAGTACCACAGTACAGTACACAGTAGACGCGTCTGGGCTCTGCACCGAGCACGCGGTAACTCGCGTGATCGGCGGTGTCACATTTTACCGTCAAAACGGCACATTATGAATAATGCACACGGCATGCACCCAGAAACACGGCCTGAAAGTCTGGAGCCAAAGTCTCCATTTGGAGCGCGCGCGGCGGGGCGAGCGCGCGACCACCCAGAGGCCAGAGGCCAGAAGCCAAAAGGCGAAAGGAGGCAGGGCACATGGAAGCAATCAAGGTTAAAACCTCCGCTGGTTCGTTCCTTGCTCACATCACAGACCGCGACGCATACCTCAGCGTACATGAGTACATGGAGTACCGACAAACCGAGACGTCTGCAGCCGTCGGAAGTGGCTGCCACCACCGAGAGCGCGAGAGGCCTGAGACGGCGATGGCGTTGGGTGTATCGTCGATACAGAGAGACACGTCCGGCTCAAATAACGAGAGAATGTGGCATTAGTGACGCCTTTGGCGTTGGTCTCGCTACCTTCCATCCATTCTGACGGGCGTACTTGTCCATTGGCCCATACGCTCGTGGCACCAATGGTCGCGTTCTAACGAACAGAATCGTCTGTGGCCATGTCTGTCTGTGATCTGTGGCCCACTTGCACGGGAGCACGGCTGCCTCGCGTTTCGTGGCCATTCATACTTCGCGGCATAGTTGTTCGTGTGGCGCCACGCCCAGCCACGTCCGTCGTTGACCACCAGACCCGTCTGCCCGGGTGGAGGTGACGCTGTTGGTGAGTGAGTACCAGTTCCTTGCCTGCTGAGGGCAGCTATTGTGAGGGCAGTGGGCCGGTCGGCTCATGGTGGAGTCTTGTCCCATGAGCAAAGGCGGACCCCGCTTATTTGCCTGATGTTGCTGTGGGCTTCCGATGGAAGAAGGTACTCAACCTCGGGTGGGTCAACAGCTCAGTGAGCTCTTATCTGCTGGTAGACAGCACGACCTCGCCGCTGCTCTGTGCCATCCCCCAGCAGCCGGCATCCCCGAGTTTGGTGAGTCCGTACAGCTCGTGGTGTACGTGCAGCCAGTCCGAAAACCACCTCCGTGCCTCCGCGACCAGGAGCCCACACGCCCATGCGGCATGTTCAACAATAACATGTCCGTGACCATTACACTGCTAGCTGTCTTGTGCTTCTTCCTTCCGGCTCCCGCTCCCAATACTTAGAGCTTGGCGGCCTTGGGCTTCATCCTGCGCGCAGCCTCGGCGCCGACACTTGTCCGTTAGCGTTTGTCTCTGCGACGATCTATCGCCTCCACTTCCGCCTTTCAGATGTGGCGGACTCGTGTCCGGCTGCAGACAAGAGTCTTCAATGCAGCCCGCATCAAGTCTGCTTCCCCGCACCCCCGGGCCTACGAGCACACGAGCATCCACCCCGGGCCCCACTCACAAGTTCCTGGTAGCCTCCATACGGTACACGCCCTTTGCGTCCGGGATGAGGTAGGCGCCGTAGTTTGTCTTGGGGTCTGGGTCGCTGATACCGGCGATAAAGGCCGACACGACGTCCTCGACCTTTGCAAAGCCAAACGACGGGTTGGGGTGGACAAAGTCGTCGGTGAGGATGCCGGTCTCTGCGGCGTGCGTCAGTGGGGTGGTGGTGGTGGTGGTCCTTGGGGGAAGGCTGGTGCTGGACGTTCTAGCCTGTGCCTCGCCAGACCCCCTCAACACTGTCCCTCGTTCACGACTCACTGGAAAAGTACGGGCAGACAGTAGCCACACGGATGTTGAGCTCGTCGCACACGGGCATCACACCCTTCATAATACCCAGCATACCCCTGCTCGCGTCAGCCCCACTCTGCAAGCGCTGCGCGCTCCAGATTCTTCACACTCACGCCTTGGCCACGCCGTACATGACGCCGCTGTCGCTTCCGTAGAACGTCGACATGGAGCCCGTAAGCACCAGGGCACGCAGGCCCTTGTCGGCACGCTTGTCGTGCTCCCAGTGCCAGAGGGCAATGCGTGCAGTGTACAGCACGCCAATGAGGTCAATGTCCAGGGTCTTCATGTTGGGCTTTGTGGGCGCGCCAGTGTCGGGCCCGTCCTCGCGCGGGTCGAAGCGGCCCACCTCGGTGACGCCTGGGGACAAGTGTCAGCTGGAAAGTAAGGTGACGGAGGAAGCTCGGCACGCCTGCCGCCGACGTACCTGCGTTGGGGAGGACAATGTCAATGTGGCCGTACGACTTGACGCCGAGGTCGAAGAGGGCAAGCTGGTCCTCCCACGACGTGACGTCGCACTTGCGCTTGCAGAAGACGCCGCTGCCGCTGTGCGTGAGCTAGGAAATTGAAAGTACTATAGCTCGAGTAGGTAGGCATGGGGCTGGGTAGGACTGCGTGTTTCCGTGTCTCCTCCCTTGCGTCCAGGACAGGACAAGACACCAGACGAACGAGACGCTCGGCGGCCCACACACACCCAGCCCCAGCCCGCACCGACCTCACCTCCATCCCACACTCACTCGCCCGCAATGCCAACAAGGATACCACACGTCTCGTCCAGACCCTTCATGTCCACATCGCCCAGCACGACATATGCGCCGAGCTTGACAAACTCGATGGCGAGGGCACGGCCAAAGCCCGACCCGGCGCCGGTGATGAGCGCGACGCGCTCCGAGAAGCGGCCGGCGTGCTTGTAGCAGTCGTCGGTGGTGAGCGCGGGCATTGTGGTGGGCTCCTGGCTGCTGTTACTGTGAGAGGGAGGGATGGAGGTGAAGATGGAGATGAGGTGTTGAGAGAGACGCAGTGGGGACCCAGAGACGAGGTGTTAAGATGGGAAGCGGTTGAGCGAGGCCCCAGATGGGGGCGCGGTTGGCCGGTTGGCCCGGCAACTCGAGGTCAGTTGCCGGCGGACGGCTCCGCGTGTCGGACAAGGCCGAACACCATGTGGACACGCCCTGGGGCCGGCAAATTGACAATCGTACAAAGAGCTGCAGCGCGTACTCACATGCCGCTGTTGCGTCTCGCGTTGCTGGCGACCAGCACCCACTTGGACAAAGGATAAGCAGTAGCACCATACATGAGGCTGGGTGGCTACGCCCCCTGCCTGCCACTAGCCGCACGATATCGGTGCCCGGTAACCACCACAGCATTGTTCAACCCACTGCCCTCCGGAGTGCGCAGCCTACAAGCCACGACGTCCCAGCACCATGTCCACTCGAGACTTCGTGAAGCAAATTTGCATAGTCCGTATGGAAAGTGGGAGTCTGAATGTTCTATAAGCCCCCACGGGCGTCATCATTAATACACAGCTGTGGGCTTGGCCGAAAGCCGAGGTGCCCTCACCCCGCTGTGCCGTTGGTGGTTGTTCGTTTGTTTGTGTGTTTGTTTGGTGTATTGGTTGTCCGTCTACTCTACGCAACTGGGGGTTTCGCAGGATTCGTATCGTCTACTTGGTCACACGCGCCGCCTCCGAGGCGGTACGGATCTTCCACGTGAGCTCGTACGTCTTGGTGGCGTCGACGTAGCTGCTGAGAATGTGGGGGTTGGGTCCGTCCTCGATGGCGTCGATAAAGTTGGAGATTTCAGAGAAGAACGGGTCGTCGTCGGTGAACGCGTAGCGCTCCTCGTGGTCGTCGCCGGGGCGGCGGATGAGGAGCACGGGCGCGTTGTACGGGTCGACGAGACGCATGTGGTAGCCGTCGGCCCAGACCTCGAGCTCACACGCGTAGGCGGTGCCCTGGAGCGCGACGGTGTGGGTGAACGAGCCAACGGCGCCGTTGTCATACTTCCACACGGCACCGGTGATACGCGGGATGCGGTCCTCCTTGGGAATCACGCTCTCGTCGACGGGGATCTTGGAGAGCTTGCCGGGCTCCTCGTACCACTCCACGGAGTGGGCACTGGGGTGTCAGCTGGGGGATCTGGGGTGCGTGCGAGCCAACTTACACAACCGAGTCCATGTTGACGTCGCCGCCAAAGTAGCGCGACAGATCACAAAAGTGGGTACCCTGCTCGATAACCGGGCCCATGTCCTTGGACTTGTCCCACCATGCGAGCTTGTCAATCGACTCGTAGGCGGCCGAGTAACGGGCGTTGGTAGCCATGACGACGAGGTTGTTCTCGTGGATGATCTGCTTCATCTTCTGGACGCAGCGGAGGTAGCGGAGCATGTAGCCGACAGACACAATGTTGTTGTTCTTGACCAGGTCCTCGGCGACCTCCCAGGTCTCGGCGACGGGCCCAGCCGAGACGGGCTTTTCGATAAAGTACGCGACCTTGGGGAAGAACTTGATCAGGTCAATCTCGAGGTTGCGGCCCTTGGAGACACCGCCACGGAACGCGGGGGGAGCACCGATAATGATGGCCTTGGGCTCGGCTCCGCCCTCGGCCTTGAGAGCAGCGGCATACTCGTCGAGGCTCTTGTACACGATCGTGTCCTTGTAGGCCTGCTCGACGAACGAGGCGCACTTTTTAGCAAGAATCTCCTTGGCGCGCGCAACGTTGGGGTCAATGAGAGCCTTGACCTTGAGACGGGGGCCGAGCTTGTGTTCGAGACGGAACGAGTGGTTCCAGGGACCCTGGTCGCTGCCAAACATGATGTTGCCGGCGCCGATCATGACAATGTCAAAGTCCTTTCCGGGCTCGGGAGCAGGAGCACTGTGGTCATGGTGGTCCGAGTGTTGTTGTTTTTAGTGCATGGGCCATCCGGGGGAGATCAGAGGGGATCAAGAGTCCAGACGCGGCGAGAAGCATGTCCACAGACGGTGGGATCGGATCGGCAGACCAGGTCGGGGATCAACGAGTCGGTGTGGGTGGCCGGTGTGGGTGGCCGGTGCAGGGTTTGGTTGACACACATTTTGAGGGTTGCGGGGATAAGGGTCCGCACAAACGACGTCACAGACGTCACCGTCGATTATGGGGGTTGTGGAGTAAAAAGATGGATGTTTGGGCCGCAGCGAGCAGCAGGATTGATTCAGATCAAGTGAGGGGGAGCAATGCGTGGTGGAGCGTGGTTGTATGGGTGGGGGAGGGAGAACACGCAGCGTCAGCCTCGCGCGGAGAAAAAAAGGATGGGCTCCAAGGCGGGCTGCGTAGCATACTGCCAGCCACTTGGGAGACAACTCACGTGTCCATGCGAACGGGCTTGTCGACGTTGATACCGTGGTGGGGAATGTCCTCGGGGCCACCGTCGCCGAGAGGCGAAGAGGGGTTGACACCCAGGGGCTGGGTCACGTTGACACCCCATGGCGGCGAGGTCGCAATGCCACGGGCGAGGCGAACCGAGACGGGCAGCGGCCTGGCAAACGCCGTATACGAACGCGCAAGAGGGCGCGTGAGCGGGCGGGTGGCGCCGAAGCGGGTGAACATGGTGAGGGGAGGGGGGGAGGGGAGGGGAGGAGGGGGAGGGAGGAGGAGAAGGGGTGAGGTGGGGGTGAGGTGAGTGGTTTGGAGAAGAGACGCGAGGGAGGATGGAAAGAAAGGACTGAAAAGGCGGGGGGGATGGTCAAGGTTTTGTTGTGATAAGGGAATCGCTGGGCGGTGCTGCTCGGGTCGTCACAAGCTTTTTTCCTTCCATGGGACCTTGCGCGCGCGCACGCACATCCACGTCGTCGTGCGTGTCTCGCTCTCTCCCAGTCATCAGGCCCGACCCCCGTGCAAACCTCCGCCCATGTCGGGGTCTCTCGCTACGCGCAGGTGGGTACAGTCGGTCTATTCTCATCCCCACACATCTCGGTCCTCTGCCTGCGCTCCCCCACCCCCTCTACTCGCTCGCCCGCTCGCTTGCTTGGCGCTCCCTCGCGCCATTGACTCGCCGATGTTGGGAGCAACAAACAGGCCTCACACAGGGAGCGAGCGAGCGCAAATTCCGCAGAGAGCTTGTCCAGGCTTGTCGGCTGTGGGCGGAGGGTTTCACGCCAATGATGTTGAAATGTGGACGTTTAGATTCTCCGTGTCTGGCCACAGGGAGCGAGCGGCGCGCGGTCGTCGCGTCGTCTGTTTGCAGGTGTGGGGGGGGACGCTATGCACGCTTGTATGAATGGGCCCAGGCTACACATATGGATAACCTTGGCAACAGCACGTCCCCGCGCTACATTTGCCCGCTACACCGCTCTGCTGCACAACAATGCTCGACTGCGCCATGGGCCCAGGTCTCGACTTCAAGCCTCCCCCTCACTAGCCACACATCGCGTCTATCGGCCCCCGCCTCCCCCACGGCCCCCACACTCGACGACGGCCATGTGCTGGTGGTGGCGTGGTGCAGTGGTGCTCGACACGCCACGCAAAAGTGACACAGGCAGTGTACAATGACATGCACACATGCCCCATCCCCCACGTTGCAGTGTGGGGCTGGCATGCTGGCATACCCGTCGGCATCCACACATTGCACTGCCAAAACGTCCATTGGTACAGTTCGCAACTCGCCTTCATGAACCGAGCGTCGCAGCCCTTCGCTTGATCGCTTGCCACAAGACACTTGTCCATATGCGCCAGTTCCCGTGTACCTTGCGTACGTACATACGTGGTCGTCTCGTCGCCAGATCACCAGGCGGACGACAGCAGACGGGCAAGACGGGCAGACGGGCAGATGGGCAGATGGGCAGATGGACAGGCGGCAATGGACGGGCTGGCTGCACCCGGCGGCTGCAGAGGCTGATGATGCAGCGAGGCACGGTTCCGAGAATCAACAATACCAAATGGCAGCGTCGGCAGGCATCAGGCGGCAGGCCATGGTTTGCTTTTCAGTGTGCAGGATATGACATGCCCGGGATATGAAAAAAAGTACATGCGACAGGACGAAGAAAAACACATATGACAGGAGAAAGGGGAGTGCAAGACGGGGGAGTGGGGGGATGTGGAGGGGAGAGGAATGGCAAAGGGTTGGCACGACGCACATGTGGTCGCGGTGCGGATGTACTCTGTCCTGTGACGGATGTAACGATCCCTCACCGCTCCTGAGCACGAGGGCTCTGGCAATTTGGCAGTGCCGCCGGCGTCCCCCAACCAAACGCTCTCCCATCCCTTCCCCCCTCCCCCTGTTGCGCGCATTGCGCGCAATGCGGACGCTGCTTGGCCTCTTGGCTGCGGTTAGCACTTACCTGGGAGTTGCGGCGAGGCGACGTCCACGGGTTAGTTGATCTTGTGGGTTTGATGGTGTTTGGTGGCGTACAAACCGGCTGCGTTGCCGGCGGCAACCAACCTCCAATCGAAGGAACGGACACCGCGGCAGCAGCTGTGGCGAAAGGGGGAGAGGCTTGTGGGTTGGAGCTAAATGTGTGGAATGGCGGGATGGGAATGAGAGAATTGAGAATGGGTGCCCCGCGTAAACGGGGATGTGGGGGAACGATGTGTGTGGTCGATACTAGCAGAGCAATACCGGAATGGAATGTGTAGGGACACGAAAAAGAGGCTTTGAAGCAACCCGTAATGCGATAAACGGGAGGCCGATGGAGGCACGTTGGTTGAAGACGAGAGCAAGAGAGGCACCTCGATCTCCAAGTCGAATCGAAGAGGCACCGGATGGACCAACCGTTGACTCATGCTGAAGGAGTCAGCTACAGGACCAGTGTCAAAGGTAACTCACCTTCAAGACGTGGCACCTTGCCCTTGCCCTCCTCAGCCTCATCATCATCGAGCGGGCGCTTAAGAGGCGAGCGGGCGCCCTCGAGGTCGACTGCCGTTTCGTCGGCGTCTCCATACACGACAGTGTCCTCGGCCACTTCGTCACGGTACTCGCTCTCCTCCTCGGCGTACTCTGCGCCATCGGCGTCTTGGTACTCGCCGTCTGCATCCTCCTCGCCATAGTCTTCGTCTTCATAGTCGTCCTCGAGGAAATCCTCTTGCTGGAGGAACGGGTCAACGTGTTCCTCTGCCTCCTCGCCCTCGGCGTCGAGTTCATCAACGTCGTCGCCGGCAACAGTGGATGCCTGTGACGCGCGGTCTTCGTGTGCAGCATCTGTTGCTGTTAGCCATGTACATCGTGAGAGGATGGACCCACCTTCAACTTCGGCAGACGCAGACGCAGCGAGGGCTGCTTCGCCGATGCTGTCGATCCCGTACTCATCTGCTTGGGCTTCTTCCTCCTCACCCTCGGCATCTGCGTCGGGCTCTGGCTGGGTGGTCTCGGTCACAACGTCGGCAGACGCAGCAATGGCCGCGTCTCCAATAGCGTCCAGGCCAAATTCGTCACCGCGCTCGTCGTCCACCTCGGGCTCGGGCTCGGGCTCGGCGTCATCACCAGCTACTTCAGTCTCGTCGGCGGCCTCAGTGACTGGGGCGGGGTCGGTAGCGTTGACACCGTCTTCTGTCTGAACAGGCTCGTCGCCCTCGCCCTCGCCCTCAGCGGCGGGCTCTTCTTCCTCTGCAGCGCCTCCAGGCAAGGGCTCGGCAGTAGTTTCTTCCGTGGCCTCTTCTTCGACATTCTCGTCGTGGCCTTGGTCTTCACGCTCTTCCCCGTGAGGGATCTCGTGGGTTTCTGGGTCCTTGCCGTGCTGCTCCTCGGCAGCCTCGACAGCGGGCTCTTCGTGGTCTTCTTCACCTTCGGCGTCATCGTCTGCTGTCAGCTGAGATGGCGGAGTACACAACTCACAGTCACCCTCGTCTTCTTCGTCATAAACCTCCTCTCCCTCCTCGTACGAGTACTCTCCCTCGCCCGCTGCATACTCTTCGTCGTATTCGGGCTCCTCTCCGTCCTCGTCGACAAGCACCGAGGTCTCGCCCTGCGCTTCATGCTCTTGCTCTTCCTGCTCGGCACTGGCACGAGCGCTGGCAGCTGCACTTGCGCGGGCCTCGACAGCCTCGACCTCGTGCTTGATTGCCTCGAAACGCGTGATGAAACGGTGGGGCACGTCGGTGACAAAGAGCTGGACAGGCGTGGGCAGGCCACAGCCCTCGTGGACGGCCAAGAGATCGAGGAGGGTCACAGTCTGGAGGTTGACGTCGTCCTGCGCAGCATGTCAGCAAATTGTATATCATTCATCATCCTTTGCACTCACCTCGCCCATCTTGAGGTCCATCTGCTTCTCGACGAGCACCAGCTCGCCGGCGGGGGCCACGCCCTCTGCTGCGAGTTCGGCGCGCAGCGCAGTGAGGAGGGCGCGAATGCCTTCCTCGGCCAGCTCGTCGCGGCCAGAAAGGTACACGGGGAGCGTGGGCGGTGTGGCCTCGTCCTCTTCCGCAGGTGTAAAGAGGGCACGTGCGCCCAGCGAGGTGTGGATGAGAATCGGGGCGAGCGGCGGCAGGTTGTCGTCGCCGTCATAGTACTCAAACTCGTCTTCGTGCTCGGCGTGGTCGTGGTCGTGGTCGTGCGCGTGTTCGTGTGCGTGCTCGTGAGGTTGCTCGGCGTCGTCGTGAGACTCGGCCGGTGGGTGATCGGGGGCAGGCTCGCCACCGTCGGAACCCTCTGGAACAGCCACGGGCTCCCTTGCGCCCTCTGGCTCCTCGTCGGCGACTGGCTCTTCCTCGGCGGCAAGGTCGTCGACAGTAGCAGCCACGTCGTCCTCGTGTGCTGGAGGAGCGACCTCGTCGACCTGGACCTCGGCGCTGACAGCCGGCTCGGCCACCACGACGTCACCCTCCTCGTTGTCCTCGATGACAACCTCCTCTTCCACGGGTGCAAGCACGGCATCATCAATGCCAGCACCCTCCTCCTCCTCATCCTCCTCCTTCTCATCAACTTCCACCTCCTCTCCAGCCTCCTCAATGGCAAGCATGTCGGCCTCGGGCTCGCCCTCGGGCTCGTCCCCAACCTCGTCAACCTCGCTGATGCCTGCGCCGGCGTCAAACTCGGCGTCCATCGCCTCGGCGTCGTCGGCCATGACCTCGTCGTCGTCCTCGTACACAATGTCCTCCTCGGGAGGGCCGTCGAGGTCCATCGTTGGCAGTGTGGGTGGGTGTAGCGGGGTGAAGCGGGAGTGGAAGTGGGTGCAGTGGCAAACTGGCGCACCCGGTGGGAATGTGGGGAAGGAAGGGTTGGGACGATGACGGTGTGGCCCGGATACAGTGTGTTGGTCGCTTTGCTTGTTGGGGTCTTGCAGATGGTGTATAACTTGCGCGCGCGGGTTTTCGTCGCTGATACGTTGCGTGCAAACGGTGCTCAAGGTCGTGCAGCGAGTGACCTTTGTGGATGGATGGATGATGGGATAAAGTGTAAAGTGCAGACACGCGAGAGAACCCCCGGTTGTACCGGTTGGGGGAATTTTGGGTGTGCGTGTGTTGCTTCTCAGACGCGTTCGTTTGTGGCCGCCGTCGTCGTCAGTGGCACCGGGTCGTCAGAGGCGAATCGTCATCTTTGCAACCATGCACGCAACATGCTCACATCATGGTCATCGTCGTCGTTGTCCATCCACATATATAATGCCCAAAGCATGCATTCTACAACATCTATTGCCCATCTCCCCCGTTCCCAACCTCTCCTGCCCCAGGCTTGGTCGACTGTGCCATCCACAGCCCACTCATGCTCCCCTGGCTCGCATTGCTCGTCGTGCGGGCCGGCGCGGGACGCTGCCACGGCTCTGTCGTCGCCCTCGCGGGCGAGTGCAGGAGCGGGCGGCGCTCTGACGGCAACCCCACAGACGACGTCACGAGGCCGTCCTCGGTGTGTGTGCGGCGCCGACGGATGGCGCCGTACGAGTATGAGCGGCGGTGGCGAGCGTCAAGCGGCGACGTCGCCACAGGGTGTGCCGAACCGTACACGACCGACTGGACCATGATGGTCAGGTCAAACATGAGTGTACCGCCAGAACCGAGGAGGTACGGCAGGGCGCGCAGGAGATAGTGCGAGTACTCGCCCTCGGGGGCGGGCACCAGGACAATCGAGAGCACGTAGGTGACGTTGCCCAGGAAGGCAAACACGAAGAGCAGGATGGACAGACCCTCGACAGACTTGCGCTGGAACTGAGGGGTGTTAGCTATGATGGTGGGAAGGCGCCAGCTTACATTCTTCCAGATCTGAGGCAGTCGGGAGGTCAAGTACAGCGTCGTACAGCACCACGCGGAGATGCGCCCGATAAGCTGCTTCATGTCGATCGGCTCCTCCTGGCGCGGTGGCGGCTTGTCCGGGCCAGGCAGGGGGCTAGGCTCGGGTGCGGTGTCGGGGTCACCAGCAGAGGTGACGTAGGTTGTGTACTGGTACTGGTGTGGGTTGGGAAGCGGGTGTTGAGGCCATGGAGGCTGCCACGCTCCAGACATCGAACCGCCGACAGCCGACGACGACGAAGCGAGCGATGACGCCCCAGTCGCGTCGCGCTCGATAACGTGACCCTCTCCAACCTGGTGTTGTTTCAAACGCGTCGACACTGGTGCGTGCCAAAACAACAAGCCAAGACCCATAAAGGCCACACCGGCCGCCCTTCGCCCGGATCCACGCGCCGCGCGAGCTCGACTCTGGCTACGGCTCTCTCCACGAGGACGGATTTCGAGCATGCCAGAGTCAGGCAGCTCGTCGAGGGTGTCGATCTGCTCGCCTAGCGGTGTCATCCCACCAGCAACCGTTGCGCGCGCCAGCGTCCGTCCGCGCGGATCAAGTGCGCCCGTGCTCTGCGTCATGCGGCGGTGGGCCTCGTCGTCGTCGGTGCTTGCAGACGCCAAGCTGAGCTCCGAGTGGAAGCTCTCCATGAGCGCGTCATCGGACGGGTGGTCTGCCACGGGCACAGTCACGGCGTGTCTTGCCCGTGGGCGGCCCGAGTGGGAGCGGCGGTTCGACACGCGCTCTGCTGCGCGTGCAACGTCAAGAGCCGCCGCGTACAATGCCTCGACCGAGTCTGGCGGAGGGGCAAAGATAGGCGAGTCTGTAATAGCATGCGGGTGCCCGCTTGCAGGGGGTGGCTGTGTGCGCCGCCGGCCTGGTCCTGAGGCCGGCCTTCCGAGCACCGCGTGATGCGGGAGCGGGGACGCGGTCGGCAGCTGGCTCGCCGAGCGAACACGCGGTGCTGGGCTTGGAAGAATGAGCGAGGTCTGAGGCGACGTTCGCGGTGTGCCGTGAGGCTTGGGTTTGGGACTGTAGTGGTAGTATTGCAAGACGAGCGTAAAGTCGACCAGACAGAAATACGTCGCGAGGTAAGTCTGCAAAAGGGTGGCGTCAGCCCGAGCGTGCGTATAAAGACGCCCGCGTGCCAAGGCAGCACCATACGGCACCACAAGGCCAGATAGATACGCACCTGGAAGGGAAGCTGGTCCGTAAGAACACAACCGATGAGGTTTGTGAGGTCGCCTGGCCAGGTCAGTTCAGTACCGAGGGTCAATGTGGAGGGTGCACGAACCAAAGAGCCAGTTGATGAGGAAGGGCAAACTCAGGCCGTCACACGACCTCAGCTGATAGTTCTTCACCACTTGACTGGCAAACATTAGCACAGGAACACCCGCTTCAGATCTGGGTACACAAGTATGACGTACGGGAACTGGGCACATAGCCAGCAGCCAATGCTCGCGTACCCAAGTAGAGTAGCGGCAGTCGCTCGGTCGAGCGCCAGCATGGCCCGGCGCCAAGTGGACGATGTGGTGGGTGTGGGGGCAGAAGGCGCAGGAAGGTATATGAGAAGCGCGCGATTCGCGATCCCGTGAGTTTCTGTGTGTGCGGCGCGCGCACGCGGGGGGGAGGGTGGGGCGATCCGGAGGTGTAGTGAGGAGAGGAGATGTGGTGTTAGATAGAGATGTTTCGACAAACCAACGGCAACGTTGCTAAAGCCCACATGGGGTCGCTTGGCAGCCAGGCCCGCACACAGGGGAGGGCGCGGGCAACGGAGAGGGCGAACGGGATCAAATTAGTCCAGATAGCAAAACCACGTGACTTACCAATTGATTTCATGATTTCACCTCCAATTAGGTCGTTTGTAATGTCCGGCTTTTGGGCGCCACAATCGGCGTATTAGAAAATGTGTGTGTGCACGTCGAATGGACAAGCTTGCCGCGCTCGACAAACAGGTTGGGCCCAGCAGAACCATGCCTTGTGCTCGCATGAACAGACGCCCGTGAACGCCAGGCACTAGGAAGCGCTTCTTTCTTCGGGTACCAAACTCGCTGAACAGAAGGGTTGTTTACGCCACTCTCTCTGCTGCGACCGGCATTTTCCGGACCGCAAGATAAGTGGGTTCGCCACATCGGCCTCCTTGTTCACAGATCACAGATCACAGATAGTGAGGTGGGAGGCGCACTTTGAAACAGTTGCAGTGGGCAACAAAGTCAAGCATAACGTCGTCAGGTTCTCCACGTCCAGGTATGTATGGCAAGCGGGCTCTCCAGGCCTGCGAGCCCAACAGTGTAAGGGGGTGACAAGTGGGCAGAATTGAAGTGGCTGGGATAAGCGATTAGCGATTTGATTAGGCAAAACTGGAGACAGCATTAATTGGGTCGGCTTCCTCCTGACCTTTCCTGTCGCCACCTCTGATTGCTTGGGAGCGGGCTGAGTAATGCATATGCGTTCTGGCAGAGTTGTGCTGTGCTGTCCTTATCGGCACTGTACATGTGTGCCCGAATGTAAATCAACAAGCAAGCACGCGCCAAACGGCAAGGTCCGCCCACTTCGCGGACATGGCCGCCTGCCGGGGTTCGGGCGCCTGTGCGGGGCTGAAATTGGGAACCCAGAGAGCCCACATTCGGTCACTTGGGGGGCTGTTGACACAATCCAATACATCGCCATCTATTCTTCTGTCTCTCTTCCGTCTGTTCTCCCGCAACCGATACTTCACATCGTCCACCCTCCACATTTCGACAACACCACCTTGCATACGCGCCCGGCTCTGCAAGTCACCACCGCGAGATCGTTCTCCACTCCTCACTCTCTCGGCCATGAGCCCCGCCGCCACCCCAAACGAGCGCACAGCGCTGGTCGCGTCGTCCTCGTCGTCTTCGTCATCGCTCCCCCCGTCCTATAATGGAGATACACGGATCAGCGGCACGAAGAAGCCCAGACACCACAACCTCGCAGGCATGCCACCATGGCGGTTCCGCCTGGCATGCGGCAGCGTGTGGAGTGCGACGTTTCTGGCGGCCTTTGACGGTACGGTGGTAGCGACGCTGCTGTCCGATATCGGCAGCAGCTTCCAGGCGCTTCACCTGTCCAGTTGGCTGGGCACGGCGTACCTCTTGTCGCTGTGCTGCTTCACCCCCGTGTACGGTCGGTTAGCGGACGCACTGGGACGGAGGAACGCGCTGCTCGTCGCGCTCGCATTCTTCACCGTCGGCACACTCCTGTGCGCCACCGCACCGACCATGTATGCGCTGATCGGAGCGCGCATCTTGGCCGGCGTGGGCGGCGGCGGGCTCACGTCAGTCGGCTCGATCCTCGTCTCGGACCTCGTCGACCTCCGCCATCGCGGCCTGTTCCAAGGCTATGCCAACCTTCTCTTTGTAAGCGTTGTTACCTCGCTGTTTTCTTGTCCAGAAATTAACGCGGCAGGGTCTCGGCGCCTCCCTTGGTGGACCGGTGGGAGGGTGGGCGGCCGATCAGTTCGGCTGGCGTGTGGCGTTTGGCGCACAGGTGCCCATGCTCGCGGCATCCGTCGCGCTCGTGCTGCTCTTCATTCCGCACGACCTCGGACATCGCTCCGAGTCGGAAGAGCACGAGACGTGGGTGCACAAGCTGAAGCGTATCGACTACCTCGGCTCGGCCGCCTTGGTCGTGTCAGTGGCCTGCCTCCTCTTGGGCGTGTCGCTCAAGACGGCGGCACAGACGGCCGACGGTGGCGAGTATGCGTGGAGCGACCCACTGATCGCCGGCCTCTTGACCACCTTTGTCGTCTTCACCGCTGTCTTCATCTACATCGAGGGCTGGGTTGCCCTCAACCCCGTCCTCCCGCTGTCGCTTCTCGCGCGCCGTACCCCGGCGTCAGTCGCGCTCTCCAACCTCACCATGGCAATGTGCATGTTCTCGCTCCTGTACAACGTGCCCCTCTTCTTCACTGCCGTGCGACTGCAGTCGTCGACCACGGCCGGCGCCCACCTCCTCCCTTACACGGCGTTCATTGGCCTTGGATCCCTTCTCGTCGGATGGGTCATGCGCAAGACGGGCCGATTCTACCCGGCCATGGTCGTCTCGGGTATCATTGTCGCCGCGTCGTGCGCCATGATGCTGTCGTGGAACACCGACTCGCCAGAGTGGATCACATGGGTCGCCCAGTCGCCCAGCGGGTTCGGATATGCCGGCGTGCTGACCTCGACCCTCGTCGCCCTCATGACCAACGTGCAAAAGGAAGGCCGGGGCGAGATTGCCGTCGCGACGAGCATGACGTACATGTTCCGCACGATCGGCCAGGTGCTCGGTGTGGCGTTTGCCAGTGCCGTCCTGCAGGCGACGCTCAAGGCCGACCTCGCGGCCAGCATTGACGACAAGGACCTCGTCGACCTCATCCGCCGCTCCACGACCATCATCCCTACCCTCCCGCCCCATATCCGCGCGGTTGCCGTGGCGGCCTACTCGAACGGCCTGCACCGCGTCTGCCTCATGAACTTTGGGCTGGCGGTGCTCACGGTCGTCTTATTGGCGACCGCTGAGAACGAGCACATGCCCGAGAGTGCCCTCCCAGACGACGACGAGGACGTGTGTGAGGCGTAGAGCTTCCAAGGCAGAAGACAAGTCCATATACGTTTAGAACCAGACTCTCGCATTTCAGCATACTGTACGCATCTGTCACCCACAATGCAACTGCATCTTCTCTTCAGTAGACGGGCAAAGGGTGTCACCACTGCTTCAGGTCTCGTGGCGCCACATCGGTTCTGTACAGGGCCAGTGACTAACCGCCCGGGCGTGGCAATCGTAGAAAACTATGATAGCGAATGACATAAGGTAGTTATTGGGGGGTTTGATATGGAGTAGGTAGGTAGTTATGCGGATGGGTCGTGAAGGATACAGGAAATGTGCACATAAGTCGCGTCCAGGAAAGCAAGCTTTTGCCGTTGCTAGTCCTCCTTGTCGACGGCGGCGGCGCCGTTTCCGCGACGCGCCTGCGCTTGGGCACGGGTCATCTGCGTGCCGAGGAGGTAGTCCCAGTTGGTGAAGAAGGGCTGGGCAAAGTTGGCCTTGATGCCGTATGCCTGGTGGTGAATGTCGTGGTAGTCAGCATTGTTGGCAAACAGCATCTGGCAGGGGTCCCACCAGAGACGGTAGCCGCAGTGGTCGTCGACCGTCTTCCACGTCGAGACGAAGAACAACAGCGTCGACTGGCGGATAGTCATAAAGGTTGCCAGCGAGGCGAGGCCGGCGCCAGCAGTGTCCAGAAGGAGACCCTCTATTGGGTGGTTGTACAGCGCACCAAAGGCAAAGGGCACGTACAGCCGATGGTGGTGCGAGTGGAAGGCGCGGTACAGGGTCGTATACGTGTGCATCGCACGATGCAAAAAGTATTGCCAGGTGTCGATCATGCAGCTGAGCAGGTTAGCAGTCTGCAGGAGAAAACGAAACTGACAATGCAAAGAACATCTGGAATGTTGGGATGCCCCACCAGTACACAAAGTTGACGATTCGAGGGCCATACGAGTCGAGAACCGTCAGGCCAGTGTTCTTGCCCAGGACAAGGAAGACGAGGTCCGCCACACGCGGGGCGAGGTAGGCCATGGACGCAACGTGGTCGCGGTTGATCTCAGTCTTGAGCACGCTCTCGTCGCCCTCGAGGATGAGCAGGCCAAACACGGTCTGCACGGCCTGCTGCAGCACCACGGCGCGGATAACCTGCCAAAACGTCGCCCGGTTGCGTGCCTTGACAGCGTCGCTCTCGTGGATCCGACGCGCCTCAAAGTATGGCAACTGCACAGTGTCGAGCACCTCAAAGACGGTGGACAGAACCCAGTACACTGCAATGGGGGCAAACAGTGACAGGTGTCTGTCCGAGATCCAGTCAAACATGTGTTGTCGCTTCATGTGGTAGAATGGCGCGCCGAGCTCTGTGGGTGTAATATGCGCCAAGAGAGTCGCATTGTGCGACATTGGGAAGGACGGCAGCGCCTCGACAAGGAAGTGTGGGAACGGCAGCATCGCGGCGTTGGTGTTGTTGACGTTGTCGCTGAAGGTGTTGTCGCGTTGCAGGTGTGGTGTGGAGAAGGCGTTTAGGCAAGGGAGGAAGGGTGTTCAGAACGAGTGTGGAGGAGAAGGTCGGGAAAACAAAAGGCGTGGAGTAGGAGACTCGCTCGCCGGTGGGAGAGGGTTGAGGTAGGGGTCACCTAGACCAGCTGGCCGGTGTCAGCTGCCAAAGGGAGTGATCCCAGACGACAGTGGAGAGAGCTTGAGGCGCGTGAAATAAATGAACGCAAGCCGAGGCAGGCGTCGGGCGCGGCGGCGTCAGGGGTTGAACCGAACAGCGGCGTGCTGCTGGGCAGCAAGGGAGCGGTGATGGCGAGGGGCGAGGGACGGGTAGAGAAGGGAGCCTAGATGAACGGCGGCGACGACAATGCAGAGGAGAAAGAGTGTGTGCGAAAGGCAAGAGGGAGGGATGACGAGGGCGATATAAAAAGGATGAGAGCGAGACACAGTGGCGACGACGCGCTGCTTGTGTGGTCCCATCGCTCGTGCAGTGCGTCCTGGGTGGGACCGTCGGCCGCCGCCGGTGTCTCCACCCAGAGTGAGCCGGCGGCAGCAATTTTTGGCTGGCGGGTCCAATCTCGCCACCCAAAACCTTCAATCTTCCGTTGCTGGGTCAGTTCTGTCTTGACCGTTTGCACACCCACCCGTCACTGCATATCCATCCACCATGGGCCGTCTCCGTCGCTCCCGTACCCACCACGCCCGCCGCGACATCCAGCGTGCCGCCCGTACCCGTGTGCGCACAAAGGATCTCGACCAGATCCAGCACGACATGGAGCACAACCGCAAGAAGCTCGAGCTCCAGCCCATTGACGAGGACAAGCCCGGTCTCGGCCAGCACGTGAGTGGAGACGACGGGCACTGGCAGCTCTGGAATGCTGCATTGTTGTTGGTGTTGGATAGAGTCGGGTGGAAGTGGTTCTCATGGCGAGTTCTGGGGCTGTTGGTCTGAGAGCTGCTCTGCCATGTTGTGGACCACCAGCTCTCGCGTGACCTCCTCATTGTGACCTTGCCCGGCACTCGCTTGCTGCACACCTCCCTCCCACTTCCCTCCTCTCCATGCCCTTTCCCTTTCGTTTTCTATCGGAACCGCCACTGACAACCTCAGTACTGCGTCGAGTGCGGCAAGTACTACGAGTCGGCCGTCGCCCTCACCACCCACAACAAGAGCAAGGTGCACAAGCGCCGCCTCAAGGAGCTCCGCGACCCGGCCTACACCGTCGAGGAGAGCGAGCGCGCCGCCGGCCGCGGTGTCGACAACCGCCAGCGCGGCGTCGAGGACGTTGTCCGCCGCTTTGAGACCGCCGGCCTCGCGCAGACCCGCGCCACGGAGCAGATTGCCAAGCCCAACTCGGCGGCCGCTCCCCTTGCTTAAACGGAGGACGGAGGGGCGAGCGCGAGGTCACGCGCGCGCGCCAACTTGACTTGCGTCGAGCGTGGGTGCGGTGCTCTCAGAGGACACCGGCAGACAGAGGACACGGCGAGCAGCACCAGAGCGAGGTGGCTCGCGACCGAGGGTCCCCGTTCCGCAATCTCCAGCATTACACCACCCCCAACCCCAACCCCAAACCCAACCCCCCAACCACGCAGCGACAGCTGGCCAGCTGCCGGTCTGAGCTGCATCCAAAAACCCGACGGCTGCAGCCGTAGATATATACATTTGTTTGTACGAGCGCAAGGCGCATGCATACCCAGCTTTGGTCTGACTCTGATTGTTGCAACGTACGGTGCAACGTGCGCGGTGTTTGTCAGTAGCGCGGGATGACGCGCTTGCTGGACATTGATAAATGCACAATCGACATCGCCCAGCCCCGTCCCAACGTCATGTCCCAATCTCTGCCAACCCCGTGTGCACCTCATGCCGTGCATGCTTATGACAAGACAACCGACCCTCTCTCCTACTTCTCAGCCTCACTACCTACTCACTCGCCTACACTCTCCAATCTCAATGACATTCTACTCTTCTTCGCCCTCTGCGTCCTCCTCCTCTGGCGGCGCCGACGCCGCCGCCTCGGCACGCTGTCGCTCGAGCGCGGCCTTTTTCTCTGCCGCACGCCGCTCGCGTTCCTCCTTGGACGGCCGGATCCAGTTGCCCTTGCCTACACCAGGTTGCCTGCGAATGTCTGTCAGCTACACATGCACGACGACCATAGGACAGCTGCTGCACATACCCTGGCTTCTTGGCGGGCTTCTTCTCCTTCTTCTCCTCTCCATTTGCGTCCTTTTTAGCCTGCGTCTTCTTGGCCGCCGCGGCGCCGGGGAGGGGCTTTTGCACAATCTGGCCGAGTGGGCCAATGGTGGCGTGGACCTGGTCGAACGCGTCGTCTTTGTCCACTCCGGTGCCAGCCTCGATGCGGTGGGCGTAGAAGGCGTGCATGAGCGCCGGCGTAACGTTCTTGTAGGAACCGGGCGTGAGGGAGATGAACTGCGGTGGAGACGGGAAATCTGGTTCGTCGGCCTTGGCACCCAGTGCTGCCGCATTGTTGCGGTTGCGACGACCAAAGAAGAGCGCCTTGGGCACACTGAGCGAGTTGAGGCCAAACTCCTTGTCGATACCCAGCTCGCGGAGACCGAGAAAGTCCTCGCCGAGGTCCTCGGCAAAGTCGCCGTGCTGGAGCATCTCACCGTCCTGGGCAAACAGCATGTCGTCCTCGATGACGGGCCCAGTGGTGAGCTCCTTGTATGACTGGCGGACCTTGCGCTGCATCTCGGCGACCTTGGAAGTCTCGCGCCCAATGTCGTCTTTGATGTGCGACTCGAGGTCTTGCAGTTCAATCTGGCCGTTTTCGTGCAACGCGTGCAGGACAATCTCCTCACTGTCCATCTGATGGGAGAAGCCGTCGATGAGGAGTCGGAACGTGCGGCCCAGGTTACGGAGGTAGTCTCCTGCAACGCGAGTGAAGAGGTCGAGCGGGATCTCGTTGGCGCCCTCAAAGCCACTGTGAGCCAACATGCTCGCAGTCACGCGCTTGAGGGATAACGCAGCCTCGGCCTCGCCGACCTCGCCCCCTTGCTTTCGGCGTTCTGCGCCCTCGACGCGGGCCTCGCGGCGCTTCCGCTTGCCCTCGGTGCGCTCCTCGGCTAAGCGAGCGCGTTCCACCTCGGGGGGTTCGAGCAGTGGAGGTGGTGGACCCATGCCGTCGCCTTCGTAATATCGCTGCCAGTCTTGAATAATGTTCATCGTCTGGCGAGCGTCGACCATCTTGTCGATACCTCGCTGGACGACTCGTTCTAGTGACACGGGTTTGGAAGGCACGAGGGACGGCGGCGCCGACTCGAAGCGTGCTGGTCGCGCGTTTCCATTTGCTTGAGGAGACGCAGAACGCTGACGACGTGATGACACGCGGCGGCGCTTCTGCGAGGGTCCCTCGAGCATGCACGGCACGGCCGGCAGACCGCCGACGTATGCGTCGTCCTTGGAGGTCATGCCCCACCAGTAGCCCTCGAGCTTGGCGTCCTCGTCGTCTGTTGTCACAGAGACGGGGTACCATGGTGGTGGAGCGTTGCCGTAGAGAACGTCACGGGCCTTGCCTTTGTCGGAAAAGGAAGGCCCTGGCTCGTTGAGCGACACGGGCTGGAGGTGGGTCATGGTGTAGGGCGTTCTAATCAGTGCGGGTGCGTCCAGGTTGGCCTGGAAGCTGGGACGAAACGGCGGGGGGCTCTTGGCCACCCCGTTCGCCTTCCCATTCACTCGCCGGTCTCCAGATGCCGATCCGACGCTAGTCGCCCGTTTGTCTCGACTAGCCCCGGCATCCGGAGTCGCCCTCCCATTTGGGTCACCATGACCGGAAGGAGGTGGTTGTTTATCGGCAGACTTGCCTGCCTCGTCGTCTTCTCCCATCGCGTCATCGCTCTCGCCCGCGGCATCCTCGTCGTCGCCGTTCCCTGATGGGCCGGCGGCTCCGGGCTGCTGAGAAGCGGCTCGCTGCACGGCCGCCGACGCGCCGGCCGACGACAGGATCGATAAGAGAGGGTTGTTGGCGGTGTCATCGCGGTCCGCAATGAAATCGAGGAGATGGTTGGTCTTCTGCTGCAAGAACTTGGCCACAGCTCGGAGAGGATGGTTCTAAAGCTGTCAGAATAGAGTTCGCGGGGTTCTCTGGGAGCCCACTCACCGCCGTCGTGTTGTACGTCAGACAGTTCTTCCAGATCTGGTCCAAGTCGTTGCCAAAGTCTGTCTTGTTCTTGTACTTGTGCGCCTTGACATTGCGCAGGACGGTCGACAGGTCCATTGGACGCGTGATGTCTGAGCTCTTGTCAGGGAACACGCTCTGAACACCCGTAACCCGATACACGTACACTGGAAGTAGTCTGGAGCATCGCGCTTCGAGACCGGTTTGAGAAAGGCAGCGGCTTCGGGCTAGAGAGAGGGGCGATCAGCCAAACATTCGGTTGGATGGATATATTGACCGAGACGTACCGTGCTCCTCAGCTCGTTGACCACCTTTTCGAGGCTGTCATAGAACGCATCAGACGACTTCTGGGGCTGTAGGTTGTGGTCGTGTGAGGTTGAGCAAGCGAACAGAGCACCAGGTGTGAATGCGGGCGCGATGTAGCAAGAGCGGTAAATGTCAGTTATGGTTCCATTAGACAGTCGGCCGACCTGAATTGGTCCGTCGCCAGTGACCACCACGAACGCACCTTGGAAGCCTGAACGTCGACGAGGAGTTGCTGAAAGTCGGGATCAGTGATGCTTGGTGCATCAGATATGCCCTCCAGGTACCCTAGGAGGTACTGTATAGGGTGGATGCAGTGTCAGCGCGGTGTACAGAGCGGTCTGGAGGAGCCGGGGATGGCCATTGGGGATTGTAGGTGCGGTGCGGGGAGAGGGGAGAGGGGGCACACCACGGCCCAGCTGGACGCACCTTCATTGCTGATAGCCACCGCTCCTGGGGCGGGGCGGGACACCTTTGACGCTATGCAGCAAGAGTGGTGTCGCAAGGTAGGCCCCGACGGGAGAGGACGCGCAGGCGAGAGGGAGAGGGTGGATGGATGGATGTGGATGGGTGGCCAGAAATGGGAAGACGGGGGGGACTATAGGGCGAAAAAGAGGACTGAACGTTGTGGGTGGAACACTCGGAACAAAGTGACACTACAACCTGACCGACTGAACGGATCACGACGGAGTTACGGCTGCTATTTCGTGAGACATTTCATCCTTCTCCCTCACCATCATCCATCACATCCACCCCACGTGCTGGCTCCCAGAGCACACCCATCGCATCCCTAATCATCACACTCCGTCTCGTCCCGCTCCACCCCCTTATCCTCGTCCTCGCCCCGCCTCCTCTCACGCAACCGAGCTCCCCCTACACCGGACTTTACCGTCCCGGCGTCACACCAACAACCCAGAGGTTTATTTACATTCATCCCCGACCACAACATCACCCCCATGAGCCCACCATCCGCCCCAGCGGCCGCCAACCGCGATGCCCCAGAGGCCTATGCAGGCCCCTCGACGCTTAACACGGCTCGTTGGCGTCCCCTGCCGCGCACAACGTTCCGCTCCATCGAGTACCCCGGCCCAATGCAGCGCGCGCACCAAATCCTCAAAGTTGCAAACCAACAGGACATTGACGACTGCTTCAACGCCAACGCCCAGGAGCCGCAGTATCTCGAGATGAGGTACCGTCCAGAGGAGCGCTCCGGTGTGCCCGTTCGCGGTACTCGCGTTGCGAGCCAAAAAGTTCTCGTCAAGGTGGTGAAGCGTCGCAGGAAGGCTCCCAATGACGACGAAGAGCTCAACGAGGGTGTCTTCACCGCCGACATTATTGGCTCCATCCCCCAGACCGTTCGCTTCAGGTGTGAGTGCAGCTGACCCGATGTCCGTCAACACAGCTAACGTCCAGCCATGGCCGATTACCAGTACACGCCGAGCCGCGACGGTCACATTGCCCAGCTCACCCAGTCGCTCCTTGACCTTGATTGTGAGCCGGCTCTCATCATCCATCCTCGACATTTCTGACTCTCTCCAGACGACGCCATCCTTGATTACAGCGTTCCTCCCCTCCACGAGGAATACATTGCCGAAGCCGGCGCGGGCGAGAACGGCACCCCGCCACCCTTCCCTTACTACTCGTTGACCGAGCTGCAGCCAACGCCAGTGATGAGCCAGCGTCACCTGCCTTTTGTGTGGAAGTGGGTGTATCTCACGAGCTCGATGCTGACCCATTATCAGCTACAAGATGAACTCTCAGACAGTCGAGGAACAGGTCTGGGACGAGGAGCAGCAAGAGTACAAGTCTCGTTTCGTCAACAAGTCGCGCGTGTCTGGCTGGGCTGTGCCAGTCATCGGCCACAACCACCAGGTGCCCACCGAGCCAGAGGCTCCTATCCGCGAGCGCATCCCCAAGCTTGATGCGAGGTTGTACGGTCGCCTTATTGAGGTGAGTGGAACAGAGATAGTACAGCAGCTGACCCGCAGCTCATGGAACAACGTCCCGTGTGGCAGAGGTATGCGCTTCTGGCGCAGTTCCCCGACGCAGACCGTTATGAAATTGAGAGGTGGGTTGCCATACGTTGCAGCTTTCTAACCCCTCAGCAACAAGGTCTACCTCCCGGCTACGGGCTACACCTACGGTGCTGGACCATTCTGGAAGTGTATCGTGCGCTACGGATACGACCCTTGCGCTGATCGCGACGCGCACAAGTGAGCCCGACGATCCGTCGAGTGTATGGCCCAACTGACAATCCTGCAGGTACCAGCGTGTTTATGTGTATCTCGATGTCAAGAGGACAAAGAACAACATCTTGAACTCGATGGATGATGACGACGACGAGCCCAAGCGCACCCAGAAGTGGTGGGAGGAGGAGCAGGAACGCCGCATCGAGGAGGGCCTGCGACCACCTATTGACCCCAAGTGAGCTCAACTTGTCTCTGTGCGCCAAGCTGACAGCCAGAAAGGTGTACATCTACGATGGCCAGGTCATCCACCGCAACAAGCCAGACTACCAGCTCGTGGACATTCTCGATCCGATCATCTCAAAGTATATCTTTGACCCCATCAGCCTTGGCGACACTTGCGAGGTGGGTTGATCGCTGTTGGCCACCATGCTAACCCCGCAGCCTCACAGTGGATGGTACCGCCCACTCGCGTTTGAGCTCATCAAGGGTCTTCTGCGTGTGCGCTACGCCCATTTGCGTGACCATGGCGAGACGCTCTCGGACGAGGGATGCGCCGAGATTGTGGAGACGTATGAACGCGCCCTGGCGGGCGACGAGGAGACGGAGGCCGCCGAAGCGTTCATCAGGAGGCTGGCTGCTGGCCGCAAGAAGTAGTGCGCAGTGGTTGGGTGTGTATAGGAAGGGTGTATATACAGAGTGCATGCAGATTAGCTATCACGGAAGCGCGCGTTGTTCTTCTCTGGGGTCTATGCGGCGGTGTTGTGAAAGATGAACGCCTTTGTTAGCCCACGTTAACCCACTGTGTCTTGGTGAACACCACAAACATGGGAGTTCCATGCATCCAACATGCAATGTATCTGCCATGCTTGAGGTGCACACTGTGCAACCACAACAAGGATGCACATCCGTGGATGCACTGGTGCGGGGGGAAGGACAGGTGTCGTGTGGCGCTAGTCACGAAACACCCTATCACATTAACCGTATTTTACTCAATTATCACTATGTGTTTCTCGCACACCCCGGAAACGCATTATTCGCCACCCAAAACCTCGAATTGGGTTGCATACTGCGTTCTCCCCATCCCGCGGTCCAGGTCGCCATCACCATGCACACTCGGGGCGAGCTGGGACACGCAGCCGGCCAGCCACCGGCCATCAGAGCCGTGTTTGGTTTTTTTATTTTATCCTCGCCGCCGCCCTTCCCCCGCCCACCCTCTCTTGCCCCGCCCCCCTCCTCGCCTCCAGAGAGTCTCTTGTAAACGCATTATTCGCCACCCAAAAACGTTAAAGGGTCCAACGGTGTGTTTCTCTGTCCCATCAGCGCCAGAGCGCAGGAATGGGTTTGTTTGACACTGACGAACGTCAAGGGTTTAACATCAAAGGTATCAATAGTGTTGCGACGCTCCATCCTCGTTGGCTTGTACAGGCAGTGAATGCAGTAAAGGAAGCGTCCCAGATCGTGGTTTGTAGCAACGAGAGCCCGAGCATGGCTGGCTGTGCTCTGGCATACTCCGGTGGTACATTGGTACACACCGACCACCTTGCAACCTTTCAGGCAGTCGCGAAGACATCACCATCACTGCTCCGTGACAAGGACCCAGCATCCCGGCCCCAGTGCGGGTGCGTCTCTTGTATCTCTTGTAAACACAGTATTCGCCACCCAAAAACGTCAAAGGGTCCAACGGGGTGTTTCTCTGTGCCAAGAGAGAGCTCAAGCGCTCAAGAGCGCGAGGCCCCGCCGTTTGTTTGTGTCTGACACTGATCAGGCGTGAGGCGTGACCAGTCAGTCACCAATCAGCGACCAGTGACCAGTGACGAGCCGGCGTTCCGCCCGCGTCTCTTGTAAAAACGCAGTATTCGCCACCCAAAAACATCAAAGGGTCCAACGTTGTGTTTCTCGCTGTCGACAGCGCGACACCCCGAGAGCCAGCAGTGCTTTGGGCCGACGGCGGATCACTGATCAGGGTTTTGCAGTCGCGAGGCATCGGTGATGGGTGATGGGGAGCTTGGCAGGCTGTGCGGGCGGGCTGTCGCTCTGCCCCCGCGCCTGCCTGCCCCCTTCCTCCCCCCGTCCACACTGTGTGCTCGAGTGAGAACGCAGTATTCGCCACCCAACAATGTCGAATTGGCTCCTGGTGCGTTTTCCACGCCTGCCATCAGAGCTGAGTGAGCAAGGGCGAACCACCGGTGAATGAGTGATTGGGGTCCCACTGTCAGTGTCCGCTTCTTTAAAACCTCTGCATCCATCACCCCTCTTTTGTCTATTGATAAAGATGACCACACATATGCCGATACCCAACACCAATAACAATACACGATAACAGGCTCGCGCAAGGCGCAAGTAGGTCACGCTCATGCGGCAGCCTAGTGGGCCGACTTGGAGGTGGGCTGGAGCCCGGTGAACGTGTGGTTGCCGCCGACGGGCCTGATGTGCGGGTAGATCTTGCCCGGGTTCATGAGGTTGTGGGGGTCAATGGAACGCTTGACAGTCTCCATAAGGTTGACCTGTGGGTATGTGTGAGCTACGAGCAGCAGAAAAGAAGGTGCAGTCAACTCACAGTGCCGTCACCAAGCTCCTCGGACAGGTACTCGATCTTGCCGATACCGACACCGTGCTCGCCCGAGCAGGTACCGCCCATGCGGATGGCGCGCTCGACCATGTCGTGCACTGCGACGCGGACCTTGGCGAGCTCCTCGTCGTTGCTGAACAGGGCGAGGGTGTGGACGTTGCCGTCGCCGACGTGGCCAAAGTGGCATGCCTCGAGGCCGCGGTTCTCAAAGTCCTCGGCCGTCTCCTGCACGAGGCGGGGCAGCTTGGAGATGGGGACACAGACGTCGGTGGTCCACACCTTTGCGTTGTCGCGCAGGGCCAAGACCGACCACAGGGCAGCCTTGCGGCCGGCCCAGAGGTCGTCGCCCTCCTTTTCAGTCTTGGAAAACTCAAAGCCCTTGCCGCCGTCCTCGGCGACCAGCGTCTTGACGCCCTTGGCGACCTCGGCCATGACATTGTCGGTACCCTGGAACTTGAAGAAGAGGGTGTCGGTCTCTGGGTAGGTACGACCGGCGAGGCCGCCGAGGTTGATGGCCTTCATGGTGCGGCCGTCGAGGTACTCGACACACTGGACGGGGTAGCCGTGGTTGACGACCCTGGTAGCGGCGCGGACAGCGGCCTCGACCGAGGGGAAGTTGACAATGGCGACCTTGGTCGGGAGGAGCGGGGCGAGGCGGACAGTCATCTCGGTGACAATGCCGAGGGTGCCCTCGGCGCCGAGGAACAGCTTGGTAGCGTCCCAGCCGGCCGACGACTTGCGTGCGCTCGAGCGGGTCTTGATGACCTCGCCGGTCGGGAGGACAACAGTGAGGTTGATAAACCAGTGGTCCTTGGCGGTACCGTAGCGGACGGCGTTGGTGCCCGAGCAACCGGTACCGGCCATGCCGCCGAGCGTGGCACCGGGTCCCGGGTCAACGGGCCAGAACAGCTTGATGCCCTGCTTGGCCAGGTGCTCGTTGAGGTCCTCCCACTTGACACCGGCCTGGACGACGGCCTCTCCGTCGGGCTCCGAGATGCTGATAATCTTGTCCATGCGCGACACATCGAGCGAAATGCCGCCATAGGGCTGCGTATGACGTTAGCCAATGTTCCGATGACGCCAGAATGGGCGTCCAGGAGCAGACCACAGGGGCCAGACGTCTCCGTTGGACCGATATTTATCAAGACGCGAGACTCACGCTGGCAAAGTGGCCCTCGAGCGAGGTACCGCCCGAGAAGGGGGTGATAGGGACGCGGTACTTTGTGGCAATGCGAACAATCTCCTGGACCTCGTTGGTCGACTCGACCCAGACGACGACGGTGGGCAGCTCGGCCTCGTGGTAGCTCCAGTCGCTGACTCCGTGGCTGCGCAGGTCGTCCTCGTCGGTGCTGACACGGTCGTCTGCGCCGCGCGACACAAAGAGCTTGCGAATATCCCTAATGGCCTTTTTGTAGTCGTCTGCAGTGCCGTACTTGGGCTGCTGGCTCTCCTGCAGCTGGATAGCCTCCTCGGAAGGGATCAGGTGGCTCGAGAGGAAAATGGAGGGGTTGATCAACGAGCCGCTGGCAAAGCCCATGGCGCCAGCAGCAAAGATGAGACCGGCGGTGAGGAGGGTCATGTTCCTCGCCCTAGCTGCTGTCTTGATCTTGACGAGCTGGGCAGCGTACTCGGCCTCCCGGGCCTGCTCGGCGGACGACTTGACAGACTGGAAGCGCATCTGCTGGGCCTTGGGGCGAGGCAGGCCGGCAGGCGCACGCGGGGCGCGGGCCGCTGCAGACCTGACCGACTGGGCGATGGGAGTGCGGGCGAACATTTATGGTGGGGAGGATGGAAGTGGGGGGGAGAAGAAGAAGAAGAGCAAAACAACGACAGGTCGTAAAAGGATGTCGGCCAGAGGCGGCGGGCCGCGCGGGGTCGTCTGGTCATATTGCGAAAGCGAATCTCGGCACCTGAGACCGGGCGAGAGGGTGTGTGGGATTTGTTATTATTTGCCCGATGGAACATCCGTTGGAACAGATCTTAATCAGGTCGGCGCCGCGTCTCTAATGACGACGGTTAAATAGGTATTGACAGGGGGGGTATGTGGCCAAGCAGTGCTCATCCCACCCGCACAAACTCGCCCGTGCTTGCGTCCTCGCAAACGTTGGTCGGCCAGAATGCCGGGCAGCGACGGCAATGCGCGGGGTAGAGAGGGAGAGTGTGTTTACGGAGCACCACGCGATGGCCACACGACCAGGATATAGGATGACGCTCCAGGCCAGCCAGACCACCCCCTCCGCCACCAGGTGGTAGCGAGCGCGCGTGCAAGCGATCAGTGCGCGCTGGCCAGGCGCGTAGCTCTGGGTGCTCTGGCTGCCCCGGTCGCGTCCAACGTGCGTAGACGAGGAGTGCCTTGGGTCTCTCGTTCGCTACGGCACAAAGAGAGCCTGTCCGTCTCCTCCCGCTCCGCGTCGATCACAGACCCCCCACCCAGGTCGGCGTCTTGCCCATCTCGTATCCACCATCTCTCTTCTTTGCTCTCCAGCAAACAAGCTCGCCCACATACCAGAGCTCACCCCGACAATGGCCACCACTGCCGCCCCCGTCGACACGACCGTCGCCGCCCCCGCTGCCGCGGTCGAGGCGTCGGTCCCCACCACCGTCTATGCCCTTATCCACGCCATGCACGCGAGTGTCTCGGAGGAGGTCGACAGCATCCTCGCGTGGGGAGAGCTCCAGAACCCCGCCGTCCAGTTCTCCGTCGTCAAGCCCTTTGTCGAGAGGTTTGCTCCCAAGCCCGTCAAGGATGAGGTCGAGGAGAACGCGTCCAACAGCCTCGGCGCCGTCATCTTTGCGCTCATGGCCAACCGGTGCGTGCCGCCGCTCCCGCTCCGATAACATGTGCTGACAGGTTAACAGCCTCGAGTACGCCGCCCTCGCCGAGAAGGACCTCTCACAGTCCAACCTCCAGAACACCCGTGCCATGTTCTGCGAATACGCTGCCAGTACGTGTCCTCCTCCCCCCCTCCGTTCCCGCAAAGTTTCGAGAACAAGCCTGCATGCCTCCTTATCCAACAACGTGCAAGCCACTGTGACGCCGTCTCGGGGCCCGCTAACGCCACTCCAGTCAAGATCCTCCGCGCATGGCCCGACACCCAGGACGAGGAGGAGCTCACTGCCGAGCTCGTGCGCAACTTTGGTGCGCTCGACGGCGCTCCCGAGGATATCCTCAAGGCGGTCGACGCGGACGAGCTCGCCGAGGGCCGTGACAGCGCGCTCGAGCTGGCCATCATCTCTGACGCAAAGCACTTTTGCTCGCAGCCCCTGATCCAGCACCTCGCTGGCGACATTTACTCGGGAAAGATCGTCTACCACCCTCCCTCGACCAACTCGTTCATCTCGGACAACTACGTCTCGCCCAAGACCCGCCGTCGCCGCGACCAGCAGCGTTCGCCCTCGCGCAGGGGCTCGGTTGACTCGGACTTTGACGCCGACGCCGCCGAGGTCTACTCGTACAACCCTTACCTTGCCGGCTGGCTCGACTACACGCGTCTCCGTGTCCCCCGCTGGCGCCAGCTGCTCGAGTTCCTGTCCTTCTTCGGCCTCGTTGTCCTGTTTGTCTTGGTTCTTGCCAGTGAGTCAACGTGCCGTGAACCCCCGCCTAGCACTCAACTGACACATTTCAGACCGCGAGCTCCAGACGTTTACATTTATCGAGGGCCTCTTCATCGCCTACTCGTTGGGTATCATCCTCGATGAGTTTGCGGCCGCCAAGGAGAGCGGCTGGCTCGGTAGGTTGCAGGTAACGTGTTGCTGCTGACACCCAACAGTCTACTTTGCCAACGCCTGGAACGTCCTTGACGTGTCGTTTGTTGGCCTCTTCTTCGCGTACATTGCCATCCGCATCCCGAGCCTCTGGTACCACTCGACCAAGCAGGCCGACCTCGCGTTTGACACTCTGTCCCTCGCTGGCTGCATTCTTTTCCCCCGTCTGGTCTTCTTCTTCATCAACAGCTCGGTCGTCATTCTTGCTGTACGTTGAGAATATTAAGACCGCCACTGACGGCCCCTTAGCTCCGCGGCATGATCTCCACCTACGTCAGCTTCATGGCCCTTACTGGTAAGCTACGCGGTCCAGTGTCGAGCTAACATCCAGCTGTCGCCTTTAGCGGTATCGCCGTCTGTCTCTGGGAGCTCGCGCGTGGCAACAACGACACTCCCAACTGGACGTTCAAGCAGATCATCAAGCTTCTCTTGTGAGTTTGACGCTGCGTCTTGCCCTGCGCTTGCTGACACCATTGTAGCCAGATCTGGGTATGTTGCGCTTGTCCCTGGAGGAACGTTCAACTAACGAGCAGTTTGGATCGGCCACCTGGACCCGCGGCAGCGAGTTCCACCCCATGTTTGGTCCCATCCTGCTGTTTACCTTTTCGTGCGTGAAATGAAAACAACCCCGCCACATCCGCTGACTTTGGTAGCCTCCTCTGCAAGTCGTTCATCGTGGTCATCCTCATGGGTATGGTTTCAGCCAAGTAAGTTGACGATGTCACAAACCAGCCAACTAACACCACACAGGTACTCGCGCGTGTACAGCAACGCGTCGGAGGAGTACCTCTTCCAGCGCATTGTCACGACCGTCGAGGGCGTCAAGTCGGATGCCGTCTTTTCGTACATTCCTCCCTTCAACCTGCTGGCCCTCGCCATCCTCATGCCGATCAAGTACGTGGGCTCGGCTGAGACCCTGCACCGCGTCAACGTGTTCCTCATCCGCGCGTGCAACTTCCCCATCCTCTTCGCCATCTCGGCGTACGAGCGCTACGCGTACCGCACCTCGCGCCGCGCCATCCGCCTCACGGAGCGCGGCCAGGTCAAGGAGGCCAAGTCGGGCTTCTTCGGCTCCATCCTCGGTAGCGGCTCCGAGTCGCTCATCCACGCCGCGTTCGACCTCGCCCCTCCTCCCGCCACCCCGGCCGAGCCCGCCGCCGCTGCCGGCGCCGTGCCCTCGAGCTCGACCGCGCCTGCCGGCACCGACGTCGAGGCCGCGGCCGCCGCCATCGTCGCCCCCGCCAAGAAGCCCGCGGCCGCGCGCGAGTCGCTCGCCCGCCTCTTCCGCGACGGCAGCAAGAACGCCAACACCGTCACCGTCACCGCCGAGGAGTGGAACGAGGTCCGCGCGTCCCAGAAGCGTCTCGAGGACATGCTCGAAAAGGTCATGGCCGTCACTGGCGCCGGCAAGTAAGGCCCACTGCCCACTGCACCGAGCGGAGAAACGAGCACCAAGCTGGAGCTGGAGCTGTCGCTTCCGCGCTCGCTCGCGGGTGTCACCCACGCCCAACACCCACAAAGAAACGAACTGCCCCATTTTCACGATCCAACCCCCCATATTTTGTTCCGAGACTACTCCTCCCCCTACCCGATTCACGAACCCGATGCCTATCATTAGGTGATGAATACCTACCTGTTTTTGCTTTTCCGTCTTGTGCAGCTTCAGCGCTGAGCGTGGCATTAGTGGTGACCCGAGCGGGGCATTAGTGACGGCCCGTCCTGTTCCTGCGTGTTTGTTTGCGTGTTTGGGCAAAAAGTGGTTCATATCACGGCGGTCATGTTTGGTTGCCGTATTATAATCTCTCGTCTCGTCTCGTCACAGGCTTGGCGGGTTTGTCGTAGTGTGTAATGACCAGTCAGTCTCGCGTCAAGAACGGCTGTCCGTCCTCTCTCCTCTGCTGCTCCTTCCCTCCCCTCCTTCCTAGTACTTGGTGCTCGGGGGCGGGCCCGAGGGGGCCGCGTACTGGCCGGTCGTGTGGGCAGGGGGCGGGCCCGAGGGCGGCGCGTAGCCCGAGGCCGTGGTGTCGTAGCCCGGCGGGGGGTTACCGCCGTTGGCGGCGTTGGCCTGGGCCTGCTCGTACTCATACGAGTGGTCTGCAAAGTCTGCGCCGTTGTTGTTGGACGGGTTGGCCTCGGTGCCATAGTACTCGGACGCGAGGTTGTGCTTGCCCGTCTCGCCGCCGGGGGTGTACGACGCTGCGGGCTTGGGGACCGACTCCTGGCCGGCAATGCCGGCGGCGTACGACGACGACGAGGCGTACGCGTCGGCGTTGACGGGCGGCGGCGGGTTGTTGGCGTACGGGTTGTCCGACGACTGCTGCATCTGGATAGGAGGAGGGGGACGGTGCTGGGCCCACTGGGCGGCGATCTTCCTGCGCGGAGGGGTCAGTCACGAACATTGATGCAGTGGATGGGTGGGGGGCACACTGCACAGCCGGGGAAGACAGGATGCGGGTAACCGATGGCAAGGAGGGGTGGGTCATCCGGAGCCCAGCCAGGGCTCCACTGCTGCGCACGAAGATGGGGGAGAGATGGAGCAGCACACTTACTTGCGGCGCATGGCTCCGACGATCATGAAGAGCACGAAGACGCCGACGCCGACGCACACGCCAATGGCGATACGCGCCGCGCTCGAGAGCCCGCTGTTGTTGCAGTAGTCTGGAAGGGGGGGTTAGTCAGAAAACAAATGCGCGAGTGGGGGTCGGTGGGGCGGTGTTTACGCGCGCACTCGTCAGAGACACTTACACCTGCCATACGCGTCGTAGTAGCAGCTTGCCGAGACGCCCTGTGCCAGAGCGGCGACGACGAGGAGGGATGTTGCTGTGCTGAGCATTATTTGTGTTGTTGGGCGTGGATGGATGGATGAATGGAAAGTGTCAGCAACAGGGACGATGCGAACGGGTGTTGAATTGTGTCACTCGTGCGCGCGCGTCGTTTTCGCCGCGGGGCTTGCAAGCTGACGATCTCTCTCTCTCTCACCTCTTTCTTCTTTCTCTGCCCCGCCGCTGCAAACTGCGGCACAAGCTCTGACGCCGGAGAACGGAAGCATAATTGGCAAAACCTGGCTCTGGTGCAGTGGTGTGGGTGGCAAAACGAAACTGATGACGGGCCGGTCTTGGGCACAGGTTGCCTTGTCTTGGGGGCTCAGGTCTTGGCAGGCAAAACAACACAGGGCAGACACAGGACAAAGAAAAAGGTAACGTCTCACGTCTCACTCCCACCTCCCGCCCGTATGCGCTGACGGTGTGAGGGTAAGCGGACAAACTATAGCACTGGCGCACTGGGGTGTGGCTTCATGGCTGCAAAGCTGGCGGTGTTTTGGGCCAGGGCGAGAGACGAGAGACGAGAGAGACGAGGCAGAGAACAAGGCTTAAAAAGAGGCGGTCTCGGACCGAGCTGCGGCGGCGTGACACCACAGTCGTCATCATGACCGCCATATGCACGGCAGCAGCAGCAGCGGGGTGTGTGTGTCTCTCTCTGCTCTCATGCTTCTCTCAAGGCTCCAAGTTACCAGCAGCCATGCCGACAGCCATAGGCGGCCATGCCCGAACGGCAGCCGCTGCACCGAACATACAGAAAAGATCGAAGAGAGATCCCTCAAGGCGCGGAATGGGCAGTGCTGCCGGCTTGGATGACGACATTGTTGCCAGGCAACACCTGTTCCGACCCAGAGCGTCGGATCCTCAATCCTTTCCCATTCATTGCAACATGGCAAGCAGCGCAGCACTGCCTCGTTTGAATAGCATCGGATCAGGACCATCCTTTTTGACCGCAAGAGTCGGAACAACTACTACTACTACTGATGGACAAAATGCACAAGACCGTAGACAGAGAGACCAGGGCAGGAGAAAACGTTTGTGTCTGAGAGATCACATTGACTCGTCCTGCAGGTTGCCATGCGCCAAAGGTAAAAGACTTGTCTGTTGGCCTGTTGGCGTTCGGCTGTACCTCTTGCTGTGTTTAGCGTCTGGTGTCTCGAAGCCTCTGTGCCCAACTTGCCGACGGTCGTCGTCGGTCGTCGGGCCGCCCGAAAACAAGCCTCTGCGCGGGGGCGAGAGGGAGGAGGAGGAGGCCGATAACTGAGCGAGAGAGAGATCCTGTGCCGAGCGGTGCATTGGCGCATGGGGCATTGAGGGAGGGACCGCATGTGGGCGCCGGCGCTGCGCGATCGGCTCTAGAAGTGACAGAGGTACAGAGGAGAGATGTGGGGGATCCGTATCTCAGTGAGTGACGCCTTGGCGCCTGCCTGTACACGCCTGTGGCCTGTGGCCTGCTCCCACACTCCACACCCAACACATGTCTCGGATACACTCTCCGTACTACGGTACTACGGACGACGACGACGACCGACGACGCAGTACACACACGCAGTAGTTTCGGGCATTTTGCCTTTGGATATATGTATCCACAGTCCTCTGCCGTATCTTGTAACGTCTTCTTCTTCCCACCCCATCGTCCAACACACCACCTTACACTCTCACAACCACCACCATGGCCTCTGAAACGGCCTTCACCTCCATCCGTCGCCGTCTCACGGTCAGCAAGCACCGCAGGACGTCGTCGTCGTCGTCGGCCTCGTCGGTCGGGTCCTCCCAGTCCGTGGCGTCCGCCAACACACCACCGTCAACTCCTCCCCTCGGCGCGGGCGTGTCCCTCCCTCCCTCACCGCCGACTCTGCACTCGGCTTCGGCCCACTCGTCGTCTCCCCGAGTGCGCGGTCGCATCATCTCGGCGCCCGTCCTCATCGTGACCGACGACCACACAGACGCCACGGCCACCGGCGGTCTTCCTCCTCGCATCGCCCCGGCACCTCCACTAAAGGACATGGCACAGCCCTCGGTCCCAGCTGCCTGGCGTCAGGACCTGCTCACCCTTGCACGCAGCTACAAGTCGCTCGCAGCCAACAGCGACCGTCGCAGCGACCTGGACGCCGTGGTGGCCAGCATTGCCGACCCGCAGGTCAGCGAGCGCCAGGCCCTCGCTGTTCTCCGTGCCTACCTGGACTCTGTGCACCGCGTCCAGACGATCCAGCGTACTGCTCGCTCATCACACGCCCGCGCCGAGCAGTTTGGCATTGCCCTCTAGGCCTCTTGGCTTCTCAAGGCCTCTAGCTTCTAGGCGTCTTTGGGTCACTGCCTCAAAACAGCCAGGTGCATAGCCTCTCAACCACCCTCCACCCACCACCCCACCCACCACACGGCGCCACTGAAATTGGCCGCACGCTAAATAGGACAATTGTAAGTCATCAAAAACGCCTCAATTGCTGCTAGGTGCTAATGACGTCAGCTCCCTCATCCCCCACCCATCCATCTCGTGCACACACTACTGTTTCTCCATTTCCGTTGTATACACACCATCTCTCCCCCGTGCTCCTGTTCACGACTCGTCATGTCATATCGTTGGGCCTTTGTGCTGAGAGCGAGAGAGAGCTGCTACACTGTACTCTCTGCGTTGGCTGCAGGCTGCGTAACCACCACCACCACCACCTCGTCGTCGTCGTCGAGCGTCGCATGACGCACGCGGCGGCAGCCATCAAGCCTTGCTCGTATCTTTTTTCGTCCATCGCTCCCACGCATGCCACGCACAGGCCACACCTTCTCGTACACTCGTATGCTTGCACGCTTGCAGACGGGCCGGGACGGGTCGAGCAGGATTCGCCCGTCGCCGTCGCTTTGCAGGCCATGCAGCCATGCGGACGACCGTCACTCGGCACCACTCTCTCTCTCTCGCCCCCTCGGCAGACGCTAACTGCCACCACCATGCCACCACCACCGATCACCACATCCGCCCAGGTCCCACAATTTCAGGCCAAGCGCCTTATTCCACTTTACCGGTATTATAGCCCTGTCGGCGGCCGCTAAACCTTTTGGGCTTCTCGGAGGACCGAGCGGGGACGACGATCGACCGCCGCATATGCATATATATGTTTGTCTGATCGCGCTCGGCCCCACGGAGGTACCGAGAGCGGGGTCATGGCGGCGACGAGAGGGTGACTCTGCAGGCCCATCACACGGCAATCGCCGGAGATTCCCGACGACGACGACGACGACGACGACGACGACGAGACACCGCTTCCTGAAACGGGACACATTGAAAGACTCCTCGTTCCAGATTCAAAACTCCTTTCTTTTTCATGTATCACTCTCCATTTCTCCTTGTCTCCTTGCCTCGTTCCAGATCCATCTCTCCCGAAAGCGATGCTGATATATGCTGACCATGCTTCAGCGCACACCAGCTGGGGGGTGGGGGTCACCTTGACTGATGGACTGATGGCACCACAATGGAAGCACACTGATCCCCCCCCCCCCCCCCCCCCCCCCCTCAGACGTCTTATATCCGACGCGTGACAATGGTGATGGGTTTGTACCCCTGCTATCACTGCCTCAGCATGAGGCCGACTCACCAAGCCATCAGTGGCAAACCCATCAGCTGGCACGCCTTCATGAACGCTGATCAGACTCTACTCGCGTGACTGGACCCTCGCACTTTGTACAAACATTGAGCTTGACATCGCATACACAGACCCACGCCATCGTATCTTTTGCGATGGAGCCAGGAAAGCAACCTCCACCACCATCCGACCAGGAGCCTCAGGCTCCGTCCGACCCCGCGACTCGTCCTCTTCCTCCCTCGTCTCCCCACCTCCCCCCGACCTTGCCGTCGCCGACCCGGGATGCAGCAACCGCCACCGCGAGGGCAGACGCCATCGTGGCCGCTGCAGGCCAAGTGGTCGATCCACACCGCGCCGACGCCGAGCGCAGGGCAAACTACGAAACCAGAGCCGACCTTGATGTAGCCTTTGCGTACTTTGAGGCATTGCGAGACACGGTACGTCCACACACACACACACACACACACACGGGCCTCCTTTACGTCCAAGATGCTGACATGGGTGGCAGAATGAATTGCACACTGCCTGGGAGGGACTGCTGGCGGCCGTGCTCGCCCAGCAGGTCATTGCACGGTGTGTTGTGCAAGGGTCATTTGCCGTAGCTGACCATGCAGCTGGAAAAAGAATGAGATAGCCGAGGGAAACAAGACGTCGGAGCGCTTTGTCAACACCGCTCGCGACCTGTGCAAGAATGTGGGTGGGCGCTGACGTTTACCTAAACACGCACCCAGAGCTGACCCTCTCCTATCCAGAAATTCCACTACGTCTTCAAGGTGCTCGAGCAAGAGACGTGGACCAGAATTATCAAAATCTGCATTGAGATTGCGTCTCCGCACCTGGACGGTACTCCCCAGCCATCTATCGAGTTTGTTAGGAATCGGCTCGCATGTACGTTCCCCCTTTCTCGTGCCCAACCTTTGCTGACTCTCCCTCCAGCCAGCGGCTACGTCCTGAGCGGTGTACCCCCTAACGGCTATGTCTTCCCAACCCAGTATGGCGAGGACGGCGCTCGCCTCGGTCTTCAGTCGTTTGCCCGTCCTCCCGTCGAGCACATCATGCCCGGCATGGACACCCTCCACCCCGAGCTGAACCCGCAAGACCGGCAGCCCCGGCCGATGGTCGAGCTGCTCGTCGCCAACGCCGGACCGTCACATACCAGGCCCACACCGGATCCTGCGCCCGAGGACGCGATCGCAGACTTTCTCGGCGAGCCGGCCGCAGGACCCGCCGAGCCGGCCATCAACACCGTCATCGCCACGCGCGACGCCGCTACGGCCCCCCGCCGCGCCCGAGAAGCCGACGCAGCGTACCAGCGCCTCGTGATCCGCGAGGTGGCCCGCCGCCAGCTGCAGGTTCTCAAGATCAAAAAGCTGCGCGACTTGCAGGCCCGCCAGCGCCTTTACCGGGCCCACTGGACCGCGGGGCGCGACGCCGCGTTCATGGCGGCCGCACGCAAACGGCGCGAGGTCAAGGAACGGAAAAGGGAGCTGGACGCACAGCGACACCGCAGCCATGGCGAGCACTATGTTGTCGACGTTCCGGCGCCGTGCTTGTCGCCCATGTGGCCCCGCGTTCCTCCACTCGGCGAGGCGGGCCCGGGACCAACGACCCAGAACGCAAGGGCGGCGAGGCAGGTGGATGCGAGAGCCAACATGGCCGAGGTGTACCGCGAGCTCGTGCAGCCTGTCCCCCGGCCGGAGTGGTACAACTTCACCACCCAGTCTGCTCTGGAGGCGCTCAACGGGGACGCGGAATGGGTGATGCGAAACCACCAAGGGTCAATCTCCGCGGGTGTGGCGGGTGCTCTGGACCTCATGCCGGACGTGTTCAACCCCCAGGAGATTGAGAATCCCGGTATCGAAGTGGGGCTCATCTTTGCGCCTCTGCCGCCTACCTCCGCACGCGCTGCCGAGACCGAGGATGTCGGCGAGGACGTCCCCGCGACCGAGACCGTGGTTGGCACTGAACCAGGTTCCATTCAACCGGCGGAGCCGCGTCCACGACCGGTTGTGGCACCGGCACCGGCACCACACCCAGCTCGGCCAGCTCCCCAGCAGCTGTCGCCAGCCGATCTGGCCCACCACGAGGCTGTTCAGCGCGCCCGACTCCAGCAGCTTTCAGACCGCGGCATTGTGGTCCCCGGCCATACCGCTGCGCCTACCAGCGACCTTGCGCCGGATCCTCGCGTGGGTCCAGAGACGGCCATCTCCCAGGCGGCCTCCCAGCATGTCGCCCAGACTGCGACCTTGCCTGGTCGCCATGTCGACATTGTCGAGCACGGCCAACAGAGCCAGCAGGTGCAGCAGCCTCTCGTCCGCTCGGCTCCAGCACCGGGCGCACGGCGCGCACGCCGGGCCAGAGTGGCAGCTCCAGACCACGACAACTCGCAGTCGGCGCCCGGGAACACTGCCGAACCCAAGCTGTACACCGCCGAGCAGTTATGGGCAGCGCAGTACATGTGCGAGAAGGGCTACGACGTTGGTGATGCTCCAGCGTCCGGCTCAGCAGCGCCGAGGCGGGTCTTCATGCCGATCAACGACCCGCAGACGATCGGCTTGACCCCCGGCCAGGAAGCGCTTCTCCAGTCCACTCGACCCCAGCGCGGGCCATTTGTGCTGCACCTAAACCTCGCGGACCCAGTCTATCAGCTGCCGGTGCCGCAGGAGCAGGGTGAGGGCCTGCTGGTTTCCCTTGACCAGCCAATCCCGGCGGTGGCTGCCGTCGAGGCGGCTACAGTTCCACCCCCGCACGCGAACGAGAGAGGCGACATGCCTTCTCGTCAGCAGAACCTGCCACACGCTGGCCCAGTGGCACAGGTGGTCGCTCCTCCTGTGCCGCCAATGGAGGTACAGCCCTCCGTGCTGCGTCGCGCGGCCCCTCTCGAGCGTCCTCGTCCTCCTATTCCGCACCCTCCCCTTCCGCACTCACACGTGCTGTGCGGTGCCGAGGTGAGGCGCACGGGGACCCTCCCCCGACGCGGCACACAGGACGTGGACATGTCCGAGCTGTTTACGCTGCCGCCCGAGATCCTCGCTCAAGGCGAACCGGTCGTGTTTGCCCCACGGGTCGCTGCGGCTCCGGCGCATGCCACGGCTCCGGATCAAGCATCGGCTGGGCAGCAGCAGCAGCAGCAGGTCCAGGACATGGGCTATGGCTCCGCCCCGCCGCCGCCGCCGCCTCCCCCTCCGCACGAGTCGTCCATGGCAGTGCCACAGGCTCCCCCCGAGCCACAGCTGCAACCCCTCTCGGACGAAGAGTTCGCCATGCTCGCCGCCCTTGCCATGCAAATCGAATACGATGACGTCCAGTGCGGTCCCCAGTACGACCCCCAGTACGAGCAGTTCCCGGCACAGCCTGCAGCTCCGTTTCACCCCCAGCCCCAGCCCCAGACCCAGCCACAGCCCACTGAAGCTCAGCTGGACACCGAGCGCCGCGCCGCCACTCTGGAAGGAGAAGTCAAGCTCGCGGAACGCCAGGCCCAGCGGCAGAAACGCGAGGCCAGGCGCGCCGCTGAGCGGGACGCGCGCGTCGCGCGCGGCGAACCGCCCAGCCCGCCCAAGAGGGTGTACAAGCGCAAGAACGCGCACCAGCGGACCGCGTCGGCGGCGTCCCAGGTGGCCCAGGACCAGCACCAGCACCAGGACGGAGACCGGGCCCAGGAGCAAGTGTCGGCCGTGCACGCGCAGGAGGTGCAGCAGCAGCAGGCGCTGGACCAGCAGGCGAGGATCTACGCGGTCCAGGCTGCGCGTATGCGCGAGGTCAGCCTGATGATGGGCGCGGTGCCACACTCGGACCAGGGCCAGCACCAGTACAAGCACCAGCACCAGCACCAGCTGCAGCCTCCGCCCGAGCTCACGCAGGAGGTGGTGCCCAACTATGGGGAGGTGGTCCACCAGGAGTACCCTGCTGCGATGCCTCAGCCCGACGTCCTCTTGTACACGGCTCAGCAAAACGCGAATCAACTCCAAGACACTACCTTTGTTCCTCCTCACCCCGTTCAGCATCAGGATTGGCAGCAGGGGACCGTTCAGCAGGACCCCAGCTACTATTCGCAACAGGCATTCCAGCAGCAGCAGCAGCAGCAGCAGCACATCTCGGATATCCAGCTGCACCCCCAGGCTGGAGCTCAACACGGCACAAACACGCACCAGGCTGCACAGCCGGCCAACTGGTGGATCAAGCAGGAGATGGTGGCCCCGCAGGGCCACACGGGCACCCCCATGAACGGTATCGGCCCTGTCGACCAGTTCCCCTCTGCTGTGCAGATGGAGCGCGAGTTTGCGGCGTATCAAGAGTCCGACTATCGCCAGCGCCTGGCGCTGGACGAGGCTACGGCGTACCTCGGCGCCCAGGTCAACGTTGCTCAGCCCCAGCACACATCGTTACTGCCACTGCAGCAGCCGTACCGCCCGTTCGACGTTTCGATGCCTGATCCGAGCACGTTGTTCCACAGCCCCTTTTCGGCAGACACGACTGCCATGGCTGGCTGGAGTGAGCCCATGTGGGACCCGCAGCAGGCCTCCTTGAGCGCGCCGCTGGTCGCCGATGCCGCATCGCCATACGTGGGGACACCAGCCAGTGCCGGTTGGGCTGCGCCTCAGTCTGCGTTCATGTCACCGGCCACGCAGGGCACACCGACGTGGTTTGACATGCCGCCGTCAGCGCCTGCGGGTACGCCGCACTTTCCGACGCCGCCGCCGCCGGTGATCGCCATCTCGGAGCCTGCCTCGCAACACCCGACGCCGCTGTCATACATGCCCACGCCGGTGCCCTTCGCCCTTGACTTTGTCCCGACGCCGCAGATGGCCATGTCGTCGCACGACTCGTCCACCCAGCCCACGCCGGTTATCGTCACGCCGGCGCCGCTGCCGCCCATGTTCACCCGCGAGGACATGGAGCGCGCCATGGGCGTGTCGCCGTCCATGCTTACCCCGTCGCCGATGGGATCGCCGTTCCCGCCCACCGTGGACGAGTACCGGGCCAGCCAGGGTGCTGCAAGTGGCAGTGGGAGTGACACTTTGGCCCCGCCTCCCAACATCGGCGGGGGATCGCGCAAGCGCACGCTGTCAGAGTATACCGCCAGCCCCGCCGCCGACGAGGGTGTCGAGGCTGCCGCGCCCGCACCGCCGGCGAAGAAGCGCAGGCCGTACACCAAGAAGGGAGACAAGGTAGACGCCGAGCCCAAGGCGAAACCCAAGCCCAAGCCCAAGCCCAAGACCATGCCGCGGCCCAAGAAGACGGTCGAATACACCAACGGACCCCAGCTCGCTGCGTTCCACGCGCGCAATGCGATCCAGGCATCGACCCAGAGTCAGTCGCAAGGCCTCTCGGGAGTCTCTGGCGTCGCCGGGGTCGCCGGCGTCGCGGGACCCAACCTCCCCGTCGCGTCACTGCACCCCAGCGCCGCCACGACCACTGCCAACCACGGCCACGCCCACGCTCCGGGCCAGCCGTCGCCGCGCCTCCCGCTCAACCAGAAGCAGCCCAATGCCACACAGGCCAGCGCACACTCCCACTTGACCTGACCTCTGCTGGCCGCTCGCCCTCGAGTTTGATGCTGGCACGTAGATGGTGTTCTTGTTATTGTCCATCCTGTATCCACCACCCGCTGTCTTGTATGTATCCATTTGTTTTGGCTCTCCCCGTCTGGGATAGACGGTGGCAGTGTTTGTGTCCGGAGAGTGCGAGTGCCACGGAGATCTGGAAGTGTACGACCACTCCCTGACCCTGGCCCGGCTTGACATTGATACCGCCAATGGCCAAAGGCCACTGGTCGCCGTCCATTCGGTGCTCGCTTGCACGGATATAACGTTTGCGTTCAGGCTCCAGATCCACCCACCGCGAGACCAGATGCCGATGCCGTCTGCAACTCTATGACCGCTCGGCTGCAATGGCACGACACGTCGATCGCAAGCTCCGGAAGACTGGGGATCACGGCCTTGACATGGCGGCATATACCCTGTTATCCGCCAACCGGCAAAACGCTTCCTGGAAACATGTAACGGGGAGGCTCTGTTTCCCTCTCAGGCCTCAGGACGCGAGGACGCGTATAGGACGTTTATTAGGCTGTATCAGGCGATCCCGGAGAGGCGTCAGCGTCTCAAGCGATGCACGCGACAGTGTGAGCAAGCACGTTGATCGTTGAGCGTGGCCTGGCCGCGCGACGATGGCGGTGCTCGTTTGCGCAAAGCCCATTAATGTCATCTTCCGTGTGCCTGTTTTGCCCGACATTGAGCGTGCAGAGATCTGATGGTTTCGTTTTCCACAGGTCCCCGCTGCAACGAAGGGTTCCTCAATCAAACCAGAATTTGGGCCAATGGTGCAATATGCTGTTATTACCCGCGCGGCTGCTGTTTAACCAGGTGCCGCAAAACACTACTGTTCTGTGCACGAATCGCAATGGAGAGATGTCTCGCGCTGCGCACGACGGGCCGATCTCCTCGTCCTCGTCTTCCTCCTCCTCCCCGCCAGTTGCACCGCGTGACGCGTTGAGGCGTGCGAAAGGTGGTGGCTTTTACGCCGGTGAAGCTGGAGGCTCGTGCACTCACGACGTCACTCCGCAGTCTTGTACTCTCCTGGAGCGGCGCCGTCGTGCAGGCGTGTGTGTGACGATCAAGAGATGCAGAGGACGACGAGGATGGTGAGCAGGTAGGCAGAAGAGCCTTGTGCGTCGCCGTGGTCTGTATGTGTCTCGCCGGGGGCTGTGCCAGCAAGATTAGATCACGGATCACGGATCGAAATCGACCTCTGTGGACTGTGGCACTTGATCGCGTCATGGCTGTTTCTAGGCCCGCCCTCATATCAACCTGGCTACTCTGAGCTGCTTGACGCCATGTACTGTATGCATGCAAGAGCACCCCATTCCCCACTGCAATGAACAAGCGCCACCTGGTGCACCTACAGTACGGTCCTGCCAGATGGGTGTGAAACGTCCTGGGCATGGCGACGCGGGACGCTCAAAAGGCTCGAAATAGCCTCGAGCACGTTACGCGCGTCGGTGATCGTGTGGGATCCCAATTTAGAACCGGCTGCCAGCACTACTTAACGGGTGCCAGCGATGCAGTTCGAGGCAGTCTCTCATCCCCAACTCGTTTCTCTTTCTTCCTCTCTCTCTCTCTCAACCCCACCCCAACCCCCTCCAACCTACATCCATCACCATGGGCTTCTCCGACTTCTTCCAGGGCCAGAACGACCAGTACCAGCAGCAGTCTGTGAGTAGTAGTGGCCCATTTGTCTTGTCGTGTCCGTCACCATCGCGCTTCTCGCTCACACGTTGTCGCAGGGCAACCAGGCCTCGATCACCCACGAGCTCCTCGGCGGTGCCGCTGCCTTTGAGGCCGCCAAGGCGTGAGTACATCCTCCTCTATAGATCCACCTCCCCTTCCCCCCATCGCCATCTCCATCACGAGTGCCACACTCTCAGTGGTGCCCCGCTGGCACAGGTAGCCATCGTGTGCCCTTTTACCCTGTCGCCACGTCCCCACGCACGCACTGTACCACCACCACTGTCTCTTCGTGCTCTCGAGTCACCCACTGACCCTCCTCAGCTACGAGAACCACGTGGCTGCCAACGGCGAGCCCTCGAGCCACGCCACCCGCAACGAGATCCTCGCTGGCTTCGCCGGTGCCTTCATCGACCGCGTGAGTAGTAGTAGTGCTTCTGGCATCTGGCGTTTGGCATCTCTGCCTCGATTCCTCTCTCCTTCCTTCATCCACAAGTCACTGACAACCACGCAGGAGGCCGAGACCCGTGGCCTGGACTTTATCGACCGCGAGAAGGCCAAGCGCGAGGCTCAGAACCAGCTCCAGCAGCAGTTCTAAGTTGCGTGCTCTAGCAACAGCCTCGCCTCGACACAGCACACCCACTTGACGAGTAGTGATGATGATAAACGAAGACTTGATGAAGGCAGTGAGAGAGAGCGAACGTGGCTGCGACCACTACATGACGCAGCAGCTAGGCAGGGTGCCAACTAATGTTCACTAACCAGAAGATTGTGAGCATACCAAAGTCCGGCTCGATCCTGTGTCCCCCTCGCTTGGGTCGGTCGACACCGCCGGCGACTTTGCCCCCATGTCCAGGGCACCATATGACCGAGAGGCGGGTGAGCAGGTTGCTCGCACCGCAGTATCGTCGTGCTGCCGAGCGCGTCGCAGAGGCAGTTGTTCGCTACTGCATGTTGCAGCTTGACGTCGAGGCCCAGACACCTGATTGCAGTCAATTGCTGTTGGCCCTCGGGGAGGGTGAGCACTGACTTGATGCGAGCAAAGGTTATCGCCATCGTGCCGACTACATCTGTCTGCACTGCCCGTCGCTTCCGGGGGTTACACGTCCCGAGTCGCCTGAAAACAGGGATGTCTCGTACGCCATCGATCGACCAACCCAACCCGTTACATGTTGGTCGCGCAATGGCACGCAAAAGTCCAGGGGTAGAGTGGTGCAGACGTGGCCAAACGTGGCCGCCTTTTTTCAGGCCTAGCAGTCTCTGATCTCTGATGCATCAAACGGGGGTGACCACGCACTGAAGCTGTGCCCTGCGGTCGAAACGCTCCTCGACGCTCCTTGACGCTCACGACGCGCTCACACCAGCGCGCAACCCTTGTGGTGATGAAAGAGGCGCCCGCCGGCGGGGCTGCGCACGGGGTCGACGGGGGGTCGCGCTGGCTGCGCAGGCCCAAACACGTCCTCTATAAATACCCATACCAAGCACCCATCTCTCTTTCTCTACTTTCCACCACCAACAACAACCAACTAGTCAACATGGGCCTCTTCGACCACCACAACGAGCAGTACCAGCAGTACTCGAACGTGAGTGCCGTCTAATCCCCCTAGAGCCTGGGGTACAGGCCCGCGGGTGATCGTCGTCGACGGTCCACCCCGCGCCCTCTACCCCACGTCTCTTGGCGCCAAGCTCCATCACTGACCCCACAGCCCTCGCACCCCGAGCACGAGGCCAAGCTCTCGCACGAGCTCATCGCCGGCGCTGCCGCCTACGAGGCCGCCAAGGCGTGAGTACATGGCAATAGTTGTAGATGGAAGCCCAGTACTGGTCTTTTGGGGGCAACGTGGACGTGGGTGCGAAAACGGCGCGCAGCAAAGGGTTGAAACTCCACGTCGATGGCTTGTTTCCCCAACCACCCTGCTGTGCCCACACGCCCGCCCACGCACCAACGACCAAACACTCGCGCCCACATCCAACCTCTTCTACCACGCACCAAGCTGACTTGATGTAGCTACGAGAACCACAACGCCAAGAACGGCCAGCCCTCGTCGCACGCCCAGGCCAAGCAGCTCCTCGCTGGCTTCGCCGGTGCCTTCATTGACCGCGTAAGTTGTTTCCCTGAGCGTTGAACATGGGTCGCGTCGCGGCTGTCCAACGCGACGGTCACATATCCTACCACCACACCATACTGACAACCACACAGGAGTTCGAGTCCAAGGGCCTCAACTTCCTCGACAAGGAGAAGGCCAAGCACCAGGGTAAGTTTTGGCCTGCAACTCCTTGCTTTGCTTTCGAAGAGACGCCATTTTCTGACAATCTATCCACAGCCCAGCAGCAGGCCGAGCAGCACGCCGGCAACCAGTGGTAAACAAACCACGTGTCGGTCTGTTTGCAGCACCAGTGTGTTTGCATAGCCTAGTTTAGCCCCGCACGCATGGGTGGCTGGGGTGTAGTTTGTTGAGACGATGCAGTTTGTGAAGTCTTCAACAGGGGCGTGTTCTGCTAGCTTGCTAGCAGCTCGCCGCACTGCGCATGGTGCCAGGATTTCCAGAACAAACGCACACCGTCGCCACTCGGGGACTTTTTTTGATGTTGATCGTTGATCGCTGATCGCTGATCCCAGATCTCGCTGCCGGCGTCGGCTACCATTTCGGAGGTCTCGGAATAGATGGCAAAATGTCGACATGTCCCACCAACTGGACATGACGCACACAGAGTGCAGCAGCTGACATGGTCGTGTTTGCCCCTTTCCAGGCCGGCGTGGACCCCCCAGCCACCCCCGCTCGGTGACTTGCACAGTGGGTTGCTCGCAGCTGCACCCAGTGCTCGGAATAGACATGGGTGAGGGGGTTGTTGCCGGCAAGCTCTGGTCCTTGCGTCCGTCCCGCACCGGCGTCTATGTACCGTACAAGAGCCACCTCTCGGCGACTAACACATCCGCATGTCCGTAACCCCGGTACAAGGGATAGATAGCGTTTCCCACGGACATCGCTGCCACGAATGGGCGTGGCGTCCATGTCTTGGATCACCTTGGCAGTCTACCTTCCATGTCAGTCAGTGACGACGATGTGTCCTTCCTGACTGGAGAAACAGGAGAGCTTGGCTACACACCTGTCACAGATTCGCTGGAGCTACGCAGTTGCAGTGGGAGACCTCACTTTATACAGTTGGTGTGGCCAAGGCCACATCCTCGAGGTCATGTGTTGGCGACATGCAGTGCCTGTCCCCTCCAATGTCGCTCGGCGACTCACTCTCCCGTTGTAGAACAACATGTGTCTCTCCATTCGGGGCCCTCACTCCACCTGGCAAACACAAGACATGGGGACCTCAATGTTTCGCAGCAAATGTGTTCCTTCCAGAAGAGCCGCACAGGGAGCAGCGACACAAGGTACGGCCAACAGTCGCGGTCGACGTCGCCGTCGCCGTCGTCGTAGTGCCGGCCGGTCACTGCTGGCGATGTACTACTACTGATACACCCCGAATGCCGCCCCAAGAGTACTATAGTACGTCAGAGTCCAGCCAGATATCGCAATCCCTCCCCAACAGATCAACAGAGGGTTAGTAGCGTGCGGACCGGGCCCAAGAGCCGCGGCTGCAGACGGATAACAGATAACAAACTAGACGAAAAGGATGCCGTTGGAAGCAAACAACAGCATGCCTTGTGCCTTTTGCCTCTTCTGCCTCTTGTGCCTCTTTGGCTTCTGGCCTTCTGGCCTTCTGGCCACTCCCAGAGGCGGGCCTGCCCGGCCCCCACATGCCGCCCGTGCCACCGCCCGGTCTCACACTTTACCGGCTAGCGATGTGCGGGATAAGTGTGCGGGCACGGAAAATGGTTAAAATGGAGCCATCCGTCGCACTGTCCCCCGCCCCGAGCGCTAGTCACGAGCGGGAGGCCGGGAGCGAGATACGTATCCTATACAATTCGTGCCGCTCGGCAGCACACCCTGGCATGTCATGGTGCACCTGTACCGCGCTCTGGCGTTGTTTGCCTTTGCCTTTGCCTTTGGTTTTGCTTTGGTTTTGGTTTTGGTTTTTTTTGTGGATTTTGCTTTTTTGGTCTTGCTCGCTTGCTGCTCCGTTGCGAGGTATGTGAATGTACCGCTGACGTAGGGACCCGCGCGCGGTGACAATAGCCAGACCGATCGACATGACGGCCGCCCCCATCTCATTGGGGGGGGCCGAGTCACTTGGCCACTTGCTCCAGCTCGAGCTCCGCCTTGCCCGTTCAAGATGTGCCATGTTGTCTCGCGTCCGACTCACATGACCCTAACACCCAAGCGACCGAGCGACCGTCCACACAAAAGAAAGAGACTGACGCTGTGCATGACGACTGTTTCATTTTTCTATTTCGTGCCCCAGCAGCTGCCGTGGGTGCGAGAGAGTGGGCGTTTGCCGTGTTGGGCTGGCGCGTCAGTCGCGTCCCGTCTCTCCCCTGCGCGTCCGTTGGATCTGTTGTGTACTGCCCGGCGAAGACCAGGAGGAGCAATCTGTTGCACCCACAAGGACTCTGCAACGAGGACGGGGAGGTGGGGGAAGCGTCGGGGGGGGGGGGACGGGAGTTGAGTGACCATTTGGCCGCACCGCAGATCACCGCAGACCGCAGGCGGCGTGAGCGCCACCCCACCGGGGGCTTGCCCGGCGCTCAAACACATGGCCCAGGTGGGCGGTAACATGTGATGAGGGGGTGATGGAGGACGGGTGGCGCCTCGCCGTAAGCGGCGGTGGGGGCGGCCCGTCCGACAAACCAGGCCGAACTATGTCCGTTCTTTGTAGCTGAAACCGAGACTGCGGGCATTTGGCACCATGAGGGCCACAGCCAAGGTGGGGAGAGAGAAGGGTGTGTGGAGTCGGGTGTGTCGGCGAGGTCAGATTTGCGCATGGATCCAAGGAGGAGCCAGTGGCCAGTGGTGAGGGCTGCTGGAGTGATGGCCACGACCGTCTGCTTAATGGCATGCAAAAAGCTCCTGGTGGCTGCACTGGCGCACTGGACAGCGGATGTGGCTTCAAAAAGGTTGAGAAAAGACTCAAAAATAATTCATCCACAAACTACTACACACTACTACTCCTTTACTGGGGCCAGACCCCGGGGCGACAATTACTGACCCTAACCAACGCTTTATAACAATCGTCCCGGACACTTGTTGCGAGAACGGGAACCATCGCTTAGACGGCGGCGGCAGCGTCGGTGGCAAGCTCCTCCTGGTGGCCAATCTTGCCGACCTTCTCGGGGGAGGTCGACTCGCGGCGCTCGACAAAGGTGGTGCTGGGCTGCCAGCCGGCGGACCTGCGGGGCGAGCCACACTCCTCCATCATGCGGTCGACCTGCTCGAGGGTGAGACCCTTGGTCTCCCAGACGAGGAGGTAGGCGTAGACGAAGCAACAGCAGCAGAGACCACCCCAGAGGAAGAAGACCTTGGAGCCCATGTTGGCACGGTCGGTGTCGACAAGGTAAGGGGTGATGACGGCGATGATGCAGTTCCAGAGCCAGTTGGAGGCGGTCGAGAGAGCGACACCACGGGCACGGATGGGGATGGGGAAGATCTCGCCAATGACGACCCAGGCGCCAGGGCCCCAGGTCGAGGCAAAGAAGAAGATGTAGATACAGATGAAGGCGATCTGGACCTTGGCAACGGTAGTGTCGTTGGGCTTGGCGGTACCGATGATGCCGACGATGAACTCGCAGATGAGCATGCCAAGGGCACCCCAGATGAGAAGAGGGCGACGACCGAAGCGCTCAATGGTCCAGAACGAAATGGGGGTCGAGCAGACGTTGACGAGGGTGGTAATGAGCGACATGAGGAAGGGGTTGGTGATGGTGCCGAGCGACTTGAAGAAGACGGTACCGAAGTAGAAGATGAAGTTGACACCGGTCCACTGCTGCATCATCTGCATCGAAGTGCCGAGAATGGTGAGACGGAGGTTCGAGTTGGGGCGCTTGAGACCACCCTTGAAGCAGGCAGCCCACGAGGCAAAGTACGAGTCGGCGGGGATGAGCGAGCGCTCGTACTCAAAGTTGGCAACGACCTCGGCGAGCTCGGACTGGATGTACTCCGAGTCCTCGGGCTGGCCACGGATACGGGCGAGAGCCTGGGCGGCCTTGTCGACACGGCCCTTCTTGACGAAGTAACGGGGCGACTCGGGGAGCATGAAGAGACCACCGGCGAGGATGATGGCCCAGGCGAACTGGATGCCGATGGGGATGCGGTACGAACCAGAGTCCATGCGGTCCTGGGTGGCGTAGTCGACGCACGAGGCGAGGAGGAGACCAATGGTGATGCAGAACTGGTAGCCAGAGACGAGAGCACCACGGACCTTGCGGGGAGCGATCTCGGACATGTAAAGAATGATGATGGCCGAGACGAAACCGACACCGACACCGGCAATGGCACGACCGACGACAAGGATCTGGTAGCCAGTGGTGGCGACCTGGAAGCAGATACCGGCGCAGAAGATGGCGCAACCGGCAATGATGGTGGTGCGACGGCCAAAGTAGTCGGCGAGGTCACCAGCGACAATGGCACCAATGAAGGTACCGGCGGAGAGAATCGAAGTAATGAGCGACTGCATCCACGAGGGGAGGACAAAGGCGGCGACCTCCTCGGCGGAGGCGTCGGGGCCAGGAATCGGGATGCCAGTGAACTGGTGGATCACATAGTCCATACCCATGACACCGGAAATGTAACCAGAGTCGCTGTGTAGGGGTCAGTAAAGGTGTGTCTTGTGTTGGTAGTGGGGTGGTTTTGCCGCTGGCCGCAAGGCAACTCACAAACCGAAGACTGTGAATGGCGTCAGCAAAACTGTTTTCTATGTTGACCCAAATGGTCACGCGAGGTACTCACAGATACCACCAAAGGCAGCGAAGGCACAGGCAAGGTAAGCCTTGACCGTGACGGGGGCCTCCACGCGGTCGGCCGCAGAGATGGTACCACCGGGCACTGAGGAGGGCAATGTCAGCCAAACAATCCAAAGAATTGGGCGCAAAGTGGCTGTCTGTGGTGACCAAAGACTCACTGATGGTGATGTGTTGGCTGTTTGTTAGTTGATTAAAGGGGGGCGCTCTTGCGGGGCCTGTCAAGACTCGATGGGGAGAGAGAGTTGAAAGGCGGGGAGGATGGGGATGAAGTGATGGTGGTAGGGCGAGCGTTATATATGTGAGTGATCACGGGGGGTCCCCGTGAGTGGTCGGGGTGGGGGGGGGGGGGGGGTGAGTGTTTTCCAGAGGCGGAAGAGACCAGTCAGCTGAGAACGCCGCGCCGCCGCACCAAGAGCACCTGGCCACCTGGGTGCTGCACCTGGCTTCTCGGTCCTAGTGCCGGGTTTGCGGACGGACGCGGTGAATCTTGCAGCGTGTGCGTTAGGTGGTGGGTTTCTCGCTCTCTTGTCTCTGTGGTGTGGTTCTGCCCTGATGCACGCCTTCGGCCTTGGGCCGAGAGGCGCGGGGGAGGGGCAGTGGGGCTTGCAGGCGGCCCCATTGAGAGACGGCTGGCAAGGGCGAGGCCTCTGGGACCCAAGAATCACACACTCTATGCATGGGAGCACATGGTGCGGACGGCGGGCGGTCAGCTGGTCACACCCGCGCACGCGGCAAACGACGGCAGGCAGAGGACCGAAGAGGAGGAGCATGCCACAAAACCATACCCCAGCCAGGGCACCACCATATGACGGCAAAGGGTCACCGATCCCCCCGAGGTGGCGAGGTCGTTTGGCCCCAGATCCCCCCTCCCCCAGAGGGCAGAGAGCCCCGTTGTGGCCCGTAGAGGGAGGCCCGGTCGATGCAACCGAGCGAGCTCGCTCGGTCTTCCTGCATGCACCCAGGCACTCTCTGCGAACCCCTCCCCCCCTCTGGGCCTCTGGCGACCCTGGCCTGCACATGGGCACACGCGCCGGTTGCACACCCTGGACACGGTTGTCTAGTCAGGGAAGGGAAACAAAACAACCAAATGGTCTCCCAAATAACTAAAAAAATCGAAAAAGCGGGGCAAAAAAGCCAGATTCAACGCGCGAGACGACGACGACGATGAGCGAATGGCCCCCGGATGGAGCACATATGAGAGATCCTATGACGGAGCCGGACGGCCGGAAACAGGAGAGAACAACAAAACGACGGCCATCACCGCATCCATCCTGACAAAGGGTTGTGTTCCACCCTCCTACCACAGCATCCCTCTCCCTACTGCAAATGCGGCGTGATCCCCGCGGATGCGCAGTCCTTTCTTTTCTTGTGCTTTTTTGGCACACAGTGGTCCCCGACGATCCCTCCTAACAATGGAAAAAGGTTGCAACACTTGGCACAATGAAGCGGACGTGTCCAGCGGGGCGATCGTAGCCGCGGCTACGACATGGCCCTCCAATGCTATCACCGAGACACGACTAACCACCGATGCCATCATGCTGTACATCAAACACGGACCCGCGCCGGAGTGTCAAACGTCGGTGCAGCACCGGTGAAACCGGTAATGCTTGGCCGTATGCGCGGCTGACAGCCCACGCTACGGTTAGCGAAGTCACGCCACGCCGCCTCCGGCGCCTCCCCGTGGTCGTCTACCCCGTACACATGTTCAACGCCGCACCAAAGCAGCGCACGGGTATGTGTGAGAACCCTGGGGGTCGAGAGTCTTTTACGGAGAGGCTGCGACAATATTTTTTTGGGCTTTCCTCTCAGTCAGCAACATTCCGTTTCAAACGCGCTGGGGCCAGTGACACGCACGGCTGTGACTGGCTGACAGCATGTGCCCACCTACTGTTTTTTTTTTTGCTTCGGCGCTGCAACAGCCGGCTTCCGGCTTCTGGGAAACAAGAGAGGTGGTGTCTCGCCTCTGTTGCGTGGCGGTCGGACGCTGCCGAGTTGCGGCCCGATCAGGCACTGTGCGCATGGCCACATCCACCCGCCGGATACTGTGCGCCGATGTCGCATCCCTGGCCATCACATGGGCCCATGCTGGCAGCTGGCAGCAACCTCTGTCCACTCGAACCTCCTTGTTCATTGGACCCTCGTACCCACCTGACAGCGGCATCCGTGACATCCCTGTACCCCCCCTGTGCGAACAACCCTTTGTGGGGGGGGGCGACGCTTTACCGATGGCCCTGTTTCTCGCAGCCGCCAAGCGGTTCTTTACAGATTTCCAGCGAAAATTACAGACACCGTCGACCAAGAATGGATCTTCCACTGCCCCCCCCCACCGGCGGCAACCGCTGGAGGCACCGGCATGGGCACGACACCTGTTCCACATCCTCGATCCCTCGACTCGTGTGAGACCTACCTAGCTGCGCACAAGACGAACAGCTCCTCTCCGAATCCCCGAAAGCCCCTCCTCTCGCTCCCGTAGCCCTCCTCCTAGTACAGGGACGCGGTCTAAACCACGGAAAAATTATACCAAACAAGAGTACGCCAGGTAACTCGAACCACACAAACGAGAACCTGGTATGCAGCGCGCAAACCCGAACAGCTGGTCCTGCTGGCCATACACACGAGGCCTGGACAACGGCCGGGGCATACGCGTGTCTCCGTCTCCGGCCCGCCGCGCCCCGCAGAACCTCCACAGTGGCACAGTGGGCGCGCGCGATTATTTTGCTCATTGCCTTGTTCTTCCAGCAGAAGTTTTCATTGTAGCGTCTGCGCAGTTCATTGTTGGCACCCAAGTCTACCCGCACCCCCCAGAACAATACGCGGCATGAGAAATGCACCTCTGCGTATAGCACAGACGGACACTTGCGTAACGCTTTACGTGTTCCAGGCGCCGCAAAGTTCCCGCCACAGTGCCAAATCGATGAATTGCTTCTGTGTTCTTGGAACACGGTTTGCCGTCCCCCCAGTCGCCCCCTGCCCATCCTCCGCACTCCGCGGTGACATCCCCGGCCGTGGTGGGCACCCACGGACCTCCCCAACGGGCCCACGGAGCAGTGCTCTGGGGGGGCGAGGGGCGAGGGAGCCACACACGAGTAGACGGCCCCCGTACCAACAATGCTTGCCGGCTATAACCATACATGGAGGCTTGTCCGGCACGATCGGGATGCCGAGCCTACCGACTGCGGGAACCGGGGTACTCAGGACAAGAGAGGACACGCGCAAAGGGTGGGGAAGACCCCGTGTGCAGCCATGGTGGCGTCGGCTGTATGGCTCCTGGGGTGGAGGGGTATGTGAATGTCGTGCTACACCACTCGTTTGTCAGGTTAGACCCGTCTACCAGTTCCCGGAAGCGAGGGGGCTTCATTGACCGCGCAGTTGACAGCCGCGGGGCAACGACGGGGTTGCGGAGCGAGGCGACACGGGCAAACGAGAACGCCGCTGACTGGCCGTCGAGACCAACAGCCGTTTGCATGCGCCCCAGGCGGCTCCGTGTTGCCCCGTTGCTGCCAACATCGTGGCTTGTTGCGAGCAACCCCAATGGCACACACAACACAATGGCACAATTGGCCAGTTGCCCTGCAAGACGTGAGAGTCTACCGAGCAGCCCGCTCGGTAAGCCCCCCGTAGCTCACCGAACGATCACCGCGGGAGCGCCGACGTGGTGTGCATATGGTCAGCGCCACAACGGCGCCAGCCCCGACTTTGTTCGGCGCCACGTTTGCTCGTGATCAGCAAAGACGCCGCCGCGGGCGGGTGGAGTGGGAACAAGTTGGTCCTGCGCAATTCCAAATAGAACCCAGGTTCATGCAGGAAACAACGTGCCAAGTATGGGAAGCTCCATGGTGCCCACTTGCGTCAGGTGGGGCCTTGGAGGGCTGCCGGGGTTGCATGGGGCGCCGCTGTTCAGACAATTGTCGTTTGAGTGTAAAGAGTATATCATTAGTGTTCAGGGCAGATCCTTGTCATGACGATGACCATCCGGATCAGGCCACCGGGCCGCCGGCAGTGGAGTAGGACACAACATTCCGCTTTACGTGACAGAGCGTATGTGAGGCTGGCGTAAGGTGCTTGCGGCAGTGGACAGCGGCCCGTCAGCTTTGCAATTCTGCACCCACAGTTGTGTCTTTCGGTCCCCCCTGTCTCTCTCATGTCAACCTCCCTGCTCCCAGGTCCCGGACTGCATTCGGCTAACTAGATCCCAACGGAGGGTATGTGGCTTTGAGGTGCGCGGAGTAACGCCAACAACGAGGGGTTGCACACCCGTCACCTTCTGCACTCCAGAATTGATGTGGGGCAAGCTGCGCACGTACTTCTGGGGGCCTTGATTGGTATAAGGCTGCCATGGTGAGGCGGCATTGACACGAGCCAGGAGATCCCTTGGCCAGACCCCCTGACCAGACCGCGCTTTCACCGAGGCAAAGGTCGGTGAAATGGTCGGTGAGCTCGTGCCTCAACAGAACATTCCAACTGGCACATATGCGCCAGCAGGCGATCGACGAGGGCGCTGCAAGCATCCTAGGAGAAGCGGCATTGAAACGAGGCCCTTGATAATGCCGCCCACCCTCTTTAGGTGTTGCTGACCGAACTCCACCTCGGTGAAATGGTCGGTGGGCCGAGACCTTTTCAGTGTAGACAACTGAAAGCAACGGATCCACTCCCCCCGTCGATCGATAAGCGGGGCCAGGCACGGATCGGGTTGGGGCATTGGGGGGTTTTTAGTGCCCGCAGGCACCGTGGGGGCTCTGTTGATAATGGTGATGACGGCAGAAGGTTGCTGTCGACGAGAGCAAAAATAAGCAAGCAGTGGCGGGGGACGCCCACTCGTGCACGGGACTGTGGCAGGAGCACCGATGGAAGAGAAACCCGACTCGTGTACCCAGCCAGGTGAACTGAGCCGGTTCTAGTTTCTCTATGAGTATAAAACCCATGCGGGCCGTGTTCATTGGAAACCCAGATCACTGTTCGCTTCATTGACCTCTAGCTCATAATGGTCTTCTTTAAGACTCTGGTGGTCAGCGCCCTGCTGACCGTCGCCCGCGCCGCCCTCGACATCTCCAATCCCGCCGGTCTCATGGTGGGTGTGGCTCGTGTCGATATTACTCCTCCCGTCAACCCGGGCTGGCTGCCTCTGGACGAGTACGACCACGAGAAGCTGTACGTCCGCGCCATCGTCTTCTCCAACAACAACGAGACCGCCGCCATCATCGGTTGTGACCTGAGCAACATCGAAGAGCTGGTCTACCAGGATGCCGCAGCCCAGGTTGCCGAGTTGCTCGACATCCCCGTCTCCAACATCATTCTTTCGTCCACCCACACCCACGGCGCCTCACCCGCTGGTATCGGACTCTTCTTCACGTCTGAAAACTACGGCTACTACGAGGTTCCCGGCGCTGCTGTCGAGGCCGTCAAGATCGCCATGTCCAAGATGGAACCCGCCATGGTTGGCTACAACACTGGCTCTGCGCACCCCAACGCCAACCGCGACGCCATCAGTCCCGTTACTGGCCTGTGGACCGAGGCTGTCAACCTCACCGCTCCTGCCGACCGCGAGGTCGAGGTACTCACCTTTGTCCGCCCCAACGGCTCCGCTATTGCTTCCTACACCTCGTACGCCATGCACCCCGTCGCATCGTACCTCACCGGCTACACCAGTGCCGATTGGCCAGGAGCGATGATGCGCTGGATCGAAAAGGCATTCCCCGGAGACGTCGTCGCCATCTACTCGCAGCAGGCCTCTGGCGACGTCAACCCCCGTTGGCTCCGCACCACCACCAACGATCTGCTCTCCATGCGCCTTGCCAACATCACGGGCTACGATGTCGACCACGAGACGATCGAAGTGGCCGTACGCAACCGTTCGCTACCCATCGCGCGCGCCGATCCTGTCTACATTCGCCAAGTGTTCACCCAGATCGAGGCTCTCGGGATCATCGTTGCCGAAGAGGTCATCCGCGTCATGGGCGAGACTAATGACTGGGACTCGAACCCCACCATCTGGAGCAAGCAGCAGAACGTCTCCTGCCCCGGCCGCAAGCGCCTCGACAACTCGACTTACAACCGTGCCGGCCACCCGGGCGTGTACAACACCACCAACGTCGCCCCCATTCAGATCCGCACCGGTGTGCTCGGCATCGGAGACAAGATCCTCGTCACCGTCGGTGCTGAGATCTACACCCGCATCGGTTGGCGCATCAAGGCCATGGCTCCCATGCTCAAGACCATGCTCGTCACCATGTCCAACGGCAAGGCCCCCTCGGGCTACATCCCCGACACCGAGTCGTGGTCGCACCTCACCTTTGAGGTGCTCGGTTCCAACCTCCTCCCCGGATCGTGCGCCGAGGACAGCATTTCTCAGAGTCTCACAGACCTCGCGTCAGAGTACAAACAGCGAATCTCGAATAATACATCTCAATAAACTCCCGTAAACTGCGGAGTGGTGGCAGATCCGCCGGCTAGCCACTGGTACCACTCGTCATACTATAAATGTCTACGGAATCACAAGGAATAAAATTGCGTGTTTATAACGTGGTTGCACTGTACTTTTGTGTGAACCGAAATATATTGACAAAAGTGTTTCGTGATGTTTGTCGGCCTAGCTGCATGTTAGCTGCATATTCGAACAGAGAAAAGTGCGGTCCAAGAGACCTATACGCATATTGGGACGGAGCATGCTCTGGATCTTTGGGTCCAGTCGACGCCACACCACGGCACCACTGACTGTCTCACATTGTCGGTCACAGAATGGCATTCCGCACTCTTTGATCGCACCAGCATCAAGTTCGCCCGGCAACACTTCCCGATAGATGCCGAAAAAAGTGGCTGGAGAATATGCAGCAACCTTAATTGCGCAGGTGGGACAGGCTGTATTAAGCTACTGTTGATGCCCAATTATTTTCATTTTTATTTACGAAAAACACAGAGGCCACAAACGAGCGTCCTCAGTGGCTGAAGCCCCGTGTCACGATAGGTCGTGTGACACCCGCCACACGACGCTGGGTTGTTGGTTCAGAGCACAAGACGGCCCGTCAATTGTTGCCTTCGCAGTCCAGGGTGCGCCCCACGACAACTCCAGCCGTCGTTGGTAATAGCAACACTGTGTCCTGTAGGGCGTGGGGTTTGCAACAGACGGAGTCAAATACTGGCCGTGCCACCACCCCACGCGGTCATCTGCAATCAAAGTCCACTCAGAACACTGGGGCCTGCTCTCGGTAGTCTGAAGGCGCAGAACACAGCTGCCCTCATCCCAAGACCGAGTGTTGGAACGACGTCGAGGCCGAGGAGTCACGACATGTCATGAACATACAAGAGCCATTTATGAAACGGTCGGGTGCCTGCTTCAACGAGGCACACCTCGGTCTTCATTTGGCCGCGTGCCCACATTCCTGAAGTCTCTGTCGAACACTTCACCAGGCACATCGTCTGGATTGTGGTCATCTTATGGGTACTGTGTCGGCCGACTAACGCAGGAATCGGTAGTCGAGACAGCGAATACAACAGAGGGTTCGTCTTTGTACTCTTCGAGCAGCCCACGATCGAAGACCAGCCACGCAAAACAATTTCAGGGGGGTTTGTTCCAGCGACGGTGGCCAGGTACCAAGACCGAGGCAAAGGGACGAGCAGCTAACCTTCCAAGAAACGCCTTCCTGAAGTAGCCGTGTTCTGTCACCCCCAAATCTCCCAACAATGCAAGAGCAGGACACTCCACGGCTGTGGTTGTCCGGTCCTTTGACCAGCAGCCAAGCTCCACGTCGACCCGCACCTTCGCTTGAGAAGAGACGGGTCTCTCACCCGTCCATTTACGAATTAGCTGTAAGGCAGTAGGGGGTGTGGCGGTTTGACGCTGCGAAACAATGCGTTTCCTCTCGGTGATGATGACGACGTTCGGAGCTTGTCATAGCACACCCATGTCTGTTGACAGTATAAAGCATACATGGGCTAGCTGCTGCACCATGCCAACCTGACCTTCCAGTCGTTCATCCCGTTCTGAGTCAGATATCGCGATAATGCTGTTCGCCATCTCGCTCCTGTCGCTGGGCACGCTGGCCCTCGCCCGTCCGTCCGCCCCCAGGTCGTTGTCGTGTACGGCTGCCACTTTCGAGGCATTCCTTGCCAGCAGTAACATCACGGCCACGGTCAACTCGGCCCAGGCTATCGCTGCCAACGGCACTTTTGAGGTCACCAACAACACCGCGTACCCCAGCTCCCCAACCAAGTTGCAGGCCCTGTGTGCCGTCGAGGTCAACGTGACCTCGGAGGCTGGCACGCACTACAGCTTCGGCCTCTTTCTGCCTGATGCCTGGAACAACCGCTTCCTGTACGTTTTACGACCTGCTGGTAGTGATCGATGAGCGCATGCTGATGGCGGAAACAGAGCGGTTGGCAACGGCGGTTATGCCGGTGGCATCAACTACATTGACATGGGCGCTGGCGCTGGCTACGGCTTTGCCGTCATGTCCACCGATACTGGCCACAGCGGTGGATTCCAGGAGACAGCGTGGGCTTACAACAACACCGAGTCCATCACCGACTGGGGATGGCGCGCCATGCACGGTTCGACTGTCGCCTCCAAGGCCTTGATCAACGCCTGGTACGGCAGCGCTTCCGAGTACAACTACTTTAGCGGATGTTCCGTCGGTGGTCGCCAGGGTCTCCGCGCTCTGCAGCTGTTCCCCGAGGACTTTGACGGCGTCTCGGCTGGCGCGCCAGCTTGGTGGACCACCCACAACCAGCTGTGGGCAGTTAAGACGCTGACGTACAACTACCCGGCCAACGCAAGCCACTTCATCCCGTCCAGCATGTTCAACGTGATCGGCGCCGAGGTCATCAAGCAGTGTGACCCGCAGGACGGGGTGACCGACACCATCATCTCGGACCCCTTCCGCTGCAACTTCAACCCGTTGACCTTGCTCTGCGCTCCCAATGTCACCGAGTCGTGCCTGATCCCCGACCAGATCGAGACGCTGAACAAGATTTACAACGACTGGGTTGAGACCAACCAGACGTATGTCTTCTCGCATCTCCTTCTTGGCACCGAGGCCTCGTGGAACAACGACGTGGGCACCGGTTCGCTCGCGACCCTCGAGAGCCAGTCGGGCTTTGCCCAGGATCTCATGCAGCTCGGCGACAGCTGGACCTTTGAGGACCTGACCATCGAGACTGTCGAGCTTGCCGATGAGATCAACCCGGGAAACGCGACCGCCGACGATTTTGACCTCTCGCCCTTCTACAACCGCGGCGGCAAGCTGATCCACCACCACGGTCTTTCTGACGGAACGCTCGCCACAGGCAGCAGCCTGTACTTTTACACCCACGTCGTGCGGGCCATCTGGGAGCACGGCATCGACGTCGACGACTTTTACCGCCTGTTCCTTATCCCCGGCATGGAACACTGCCAGAGCACGCCCAGCAACATGAACGCTCCCTGGTACATTGCCGGCGCCAACCAGCCTGCGTCCATCAGCACGTCTCTGCACAGCGTGCCCTGCTTCAGCGACGCCAAGCACGATGTCATCCTCGCCCTCATGGCGTGGGTCGAGAACGGCACCGCGCCAGACAGCATCATCGCCACCAAGTGGGTCGACGACAACACCCAGGCCGAGGTGTCCAGGCAGCGTCCCATTTGCCCCTACCCCAAGGAGGCCAAGTACAACGGTACCGGCGACGTTGACTCGGCTGACAGCTGGGAGTGTGCCACCCTCTACTAAAGTTATCAATTCAGGCGCGTGCCAAACATCGTGATGAGTGCCAAACAGCCACAAACGGTTATTCCTTCCGTACATCCATTGCGAGCCCTATGTCATGTCTTCCCAACGAACAGCCGCTTGTGAGCATCCCGTCAGCTGGGCAGGCACAATACAGTTCCAGATGGATGACATCGTGCTGCCGATGAACACACATAGTTGTTGCAAGCGGCATGGTCAGAATTGCAAACCTCGACAATTTGGCACACAGTATCGGCCCCCCACCGCTTCTCACACAAACTGTCTTGTGTGTGCGATGGGGGTCGGCACGCGATCCGCGCGTCTTATCGGTGCGGGTGCGGGGCGGGCCACCACACACTAAGACATCCCGGCCGCCGGCAGTGGTAGTGCGACATACGTCGGCGCCGCTCCGTGGTCTGTGAGATCTGTGTTGCACCATGCGATCGTGTGGGGGTTGGGGTTAATCACACGCCCAAACGTTCGGCGGCTGCCGCCTGCCGCTACATGCCGCCGCAGTCGCCTCTTAGTGTGTTTTTCTGTTGTCGTTGCCGCTTCTGCGGGACTGCCTTGGCCTCGAGCACATGTTTTGGGGGGGCCGGGTGTGCGAAAGTACCCCTCATTCGAGGAATGGTGATGTTCTCACCTTCACCGGCGCTGGGATGGGGGCGGAACCCACGTCACCGATATCCGGGCATTACATAAAGTCTGGAAGGTCAATACGGGATATGGTGGTCGCAGCGGTCGTAGGGTAATCTGTTGTCGGACTTGGGCCGTTCATAACCGCAACCGAACACATCTGCGGCATACGTAACCACGCATCTGCGATCTGCTTGTATGATCGCCCATGCTGCAGATGCAGATGTGGATATGTGGCACATGTGCACCACGTGCCACTGCTTGATGACATATGCCACCCCCACACCGCCAAGACCGCCGTCGTTCGGATCTTCGGTCAGAGTCGATCCCACCCCGCACCCCGCAACAGACCCCCACATTCACAGCTGACAGCAATGACCGGTGCGGGTGAGTTCTCGCCGGGTATGGCGGGAACGGCCCGATTCTAGCACCTTCTTTCTGTGTCTGGCCAGGGTGGACGGCACGGAACGGGCAGGTCACAGCAACAGCCGCAAGCTCCACAATGCGCTGATCAGCTGGTCAGGACAAAGTATGCTTGGCGGAGAGATGATGACAGCCACTCGCCAACCTTGGCGGTGGTGGCACTGCTCCGTGATCGCCGGGCGCGACGACGGCGTGGTCTGGCCCCGTCTTACGGGCTGCGACCCTGCTCTGCCAATGTGCAACGGAATTACCTCCAAGAGTGCCAAGTGGCCCACATGTGCAGTTAATGAAGGAACGAGGTGTACGCACATTGGCGGAAGGAGCCTGCGAGACTTTGTTGTTATCCCGACGGAGATGTTCAAGTCAGGTTTCTTGCCCGAACCACCGTTGGGTTCACAGCTGCACCCGCCTGTGCCTCCCTAGTGTTGTACCATGTGCAGTAGTAGTTGATGACGAGGTTGGATACCCGCGCGGGTTGCGTGGGAAGTAAGGACTGTCGTCGTTGCATCACTGCGCTGACCGATAACTCCTTTGGGTTAAAGGAACAACGCGCCACGAGCACATGCCGTTGGGCTGACACTTCAAGACATACTTGTTGTATGGGCCACACTGCCATATATTATACTTGGGGGGGGGGGGCATATGCAGTGCGCGCATGTTTCAACGTTAGGCGACAAGGAATACCAGTCGGGAAACGCGTTCCAAAAAGAAATAAAACACGTCGAGTTTCTTCTGATTCGTATCCAATTTGATGGTGTCTCCTCCTTTTTGATTGCAGGCCATCTGGTATCAGTGGTGATACTTGTTGACGGCTAGCAACATAATTGTACTATACTTGGAGTCGGTAGTGATGGCGGTCCAAGTGAACGACACATCTTTCGTGTCATACGAGGCCAAATATAGAATACAGCTCCGCGTCGTCAGTGTCTCTGAACACAACATCTATGTACACATGTTCTACCGCGCATAGATACACATGGACCACCTTGTCACCCCAGAACCTTTGATCGCAAGACGCCCCAAACTCGGCAAAAACTGGTTGTCAGTTCCCTCGCGCATGTACACATACACATGCCTAGTGATAGCCCAGAGTCCACGCCCCAATCCCAGAGCTCCACAGCTCTCACCGTTCACATTCGCACCATCACTCCAGGATCCTGTCACATCCTCGCACCGTCTACGCCTCACCGTGCATCTCTACCGCCCCAAGGTGACTGCAACCACGCCGTCAGGAGTGTGCAACGCAAACACAAAAGATGCGAGGGATATGATACATTATTGTGTCTGCTGGGGACTCTCATACTATGGTGGCAGTGTCTGTCTGCGTGCTGTACTGGTCTGAAACCCGCCCTCGGTTTACCACCTTCTCCTCCTCCTCCGCTCTGACCCTCCGCGTGCAATTTTTCCTACAAATCCTCCTTCGTGCTTGGTGCCTTTCAGCGCCTAGTGGGCCTCGTCGCCGGGGATGGTCTCGAGAGTGTCAAACTCGGCCAGCGACTCGCCAATGATCTTGACGGCCTTGAGAATGTCCTCCTCGGAGATGACGAGCGGGGGAGCAAAGCGCACAATGTGCTTGTGCGTGGGCTTGGCAAGGAGACCCTTGGACTTCATGATGAGACACAGGTGCCAAGCCTCGCGACCCTTGGTCGACTTGGTGTGGTCAATGATGACACCGTTGAAGAGACCGCGGCCACGGATGGTGGTGATGAATGGCGAGTTGAGGTCCCTCAGGCCCTGGCGGAAGACCTCACCGAGCTTTTGAGAGCGCTCGGCGAGGTTTTCGTTGACGAGAACGTCGAGCGCGGTCATGGCCACGGCGCAGCCAAGAGGGTTACCGCCGTAGGTCGATCCGTGCTCTCCGGGCTTGATGCAAAGCATGATCTCCTTGCTGGCGAGAACGCACGAGACGGGGTACATGCCGCCAGAGAGGGCCTTGCCGAGGATGACCATGTCGGGCTTGATGTTGTCCCACTCGTAGCAGAGCATCTTGCCCGTACGGCAGAGACCAGTCTGGATCTCGTCACAGATGAGGAGGACGTTGTACTTCTTGCAGATCTCCTGAACCTTGCGGAGGTAGCCGTCACCGGGGACGTAGATACTGGACAGGTCAGCATTGGGACGGGCACACTTATGACGACCTATCACACTCACCCAGCCTCGCCCTGGATGGGCTCCACGAGGAACGCAGCAACCTCGTCGCCGTACTTCTCAAGAGCGCGCTCGAGGTCCTCGGGGTGGTCGTAGCGGATCATCTCGTTGTCGACGCGGGGGCCCACGTTGTCGAGGTAAGGGCCAAACTCCTTGCGAGCCTCCTCGTCGGTAGACATGGAGATGATGCCAATGGTGCGGCCGTGGAAGTTGCCCTCGACCGAGAGAACGCGGGCCTTGCCCTCGGGGATCTTCTTGACCTGGTAGCCCCACTTGCGGGCGAGCTTGATGGCAGTCTCGACGGCCTCGGCACCAGTGTTCATGGGAAGCATCATGTCAAAGCCGAACATCTCGGTGACCTTCTTGGCAAAGGGGCCAAGGCCGGTCGAGAAGAACGCGCGCGACGAAAGAGTGAGCTTGCTGGCCTGGGTGACAAGAGTCTTCACTGGAGAACATGTCAGCTCACTGCCCAATGAGACGCAGAGGAGATAACGAACAGATCTCGGGGTGGCAGTGACCCTGGTTGACGGCACTGGGAGTGTCAGTACATCGATAACTCTACACCAATAGCGCGCACTCACGAGTAAGCAGCCAAGAAGTCGAGGTACTCGTTGCCCTCGGGGTCCCAGACGTGGGCACCCTCACCGCGCTCGATGCAGCTGCGACGGGTCAGTTTTGGAGTGTTGAGGCGTCATCGGGCACGAAAAAAACAACACATACACAGGGAGGGGGTGGTAGTTGTGGCTGCGTCATGGTCAGCTCTGCCCACTGTAAAGTAGACGAAGGTTACGCACGCAGAGTACTCGCTCTCCAGGTCAACGATCTGCTGGGTGGAGTACTTGGCCTTGCCGCCGGCGGCAGAGGTGGTGGAGGTCGCGACGGGAGCCATGGTGACACAATTGTGGACGTGATAGGTAAGGTATGGACTGATCTGCTGGTTGTATGCACTCGTGAATGTGGTGGAGCGAGTAGGTGAGAGTGAAGAGGAGAGAGAGAGAGAAAGCGGGGACGCGAAGGGGATCTGGGTAATTGTATCAGTTGGCCTGCGGTGTCTCTCTCGCCAGCAACACACCCCGTCGCTCCGTCCCGGATTATCCTGTCGCTAAGCGCTCACAACCGCTCGGCACAAGCGCGCCAGTGACCTGTGGCCTGTGGGCTGCTGCTGCTGCGTGGCGTTTTCCCGGCTCGCCGGCATCCCATATCTGTGATCCTATTTGATCAAGCTCCGGATCTCCATATCGTCGTTTATCTGCACTTGCATTCGCATCATGCATGCAAAGGATATCATCAGGAGGGGCCCTCACGGACACCGTATGTGAACACCCAAGGCGGGTTCATATAGAGTCTGTGGGGGGTGACGTTAGCGCGGAGAGCCCCGCGGGGTTGTCTCAGGCCGGGCGGAACTCAAAAACACACCACGTCGACCAGCCTTTGCCTCTTACGCGCCGCTTGGCAATGTTTCCGGCCCAACGTTTGGAAAGGGTTGACTCGCAGTCTTTGGTGGGCAACGTCGCTCCATGAGCAGGGTACAATGTCACATGAGGGTTCTACAGGCAAGACAGAGGAACCTCAGCAGAGGTTGTTCTAGCCGCCGATGATCGTAGTCTACCATCCGTCATTTAGTGTTTACACATTTGTGACTGTCCAGCAAATGTAATCGCAGCGCACATTCGTGTAGATCATACACAACACTTTATGAGCTTAGATAGCCAGGTAAACCGTCATGGGCAGGGTCTAACAACGGGGGAGAGAGAGCGCGGTCTACGTAAGTGCCCGACATTATCGCGTGATCAGATGGACCGTGGCGCATCGTGCATCTTATCAAGAAACCGCTCTCGCAGTCGGATTACCTTGCCACCGACGAAGAGGTTGAAGAGACACCCGCGAGGTTCCAACGTTGCCAATTGCCAGACGGCCAGCGCTGGACAAACGCCATCGACGTCTGCGCGTCTCAGCCATCCACCATTTCTCCTCGGATTCTCCAAGTCGCCGCAAAACGGATCTGGCGGTTAAGCGACGATCCGGGGTCTCCAACAGCGGAAGCATTTCGGCCATTTATGTGTCCATACGTAATACCACGTGGTTAAAATCCACGTCAATAGCCGCCGTTATCATCGGTGTGGGCCCGCCCAGGCGGAGGTCCACCTCGACGCATAGTCGTGATCCATCGCCAACTTGTCTCGTCTTGTCTTAGCTACTCCACCTCCTTCTCTCAGCTCTTCGCCTCGAAACGTCTGCTAGGGACTCGTACGTCTGTCCTCTTGCGGTAGCCTTTTGGCCGATTCCAACTCTTCGTCCCCTTCCTTCCCGGCCGGCTCGTGCGATCGCCTTGGGGGCTTGATGTACGGCCCAACATCGCAGGCGTACGGCAGCCCTGCTGCTGGAGCGCAATATCGCGCCTCGCCAGCACCCTCGGCTGTACCGCGACAGCAGCAGTATGCTCCTAACCCGGGATACCAGCAACCAGTGATGTACACCCAGTCCCCACAGCAACAACAACAGCAACGCTACACCGCCCCACAGGGCTTCGCTCCCGGTCCTGGTGCCGGTCAAGCACCCATGGGTGCCGGCTACCCCGCTGGCTATGGCGGGTTTCCTCAACAACAGCAGATGCAGCAGGTTGCTCAACCACCTCCGCAGCGTCGCCAGCAGCAGCAGCAGCAACCACACAAAGGCACAATCCCCCCAGGGCAGATGGTGCGGGTTGGCCACAACACCGTCCGCGTGGAGAAGTATCTCTCCGAGGGCGGCTATGCGCACGTCTACCTCACTACGTCTGAGAACCCCGTCTATCCGCCAAAGCGGAGTGGTGACTCGAAGGGTCGCTGGGGCGAGAAGGGGTACACCCAGCATTGTCTGAAACGTATTGCCTTTGAGGACGAGTCGGTGTGGGCGGACGTGAGCAAGGAGATTGAAGTGATGGTAAGTTGTTGCCCTTGATGTACTTCAACTAAACCCGCAGAAAGCGCTCCCTGCGTCCCCATACCTTGTCCAGTATCTCGACTCTTCGCATCACCGCCTGCCAAATGGCCAACACGAGGTGTTCATCCTTATGGAGTTCTGCTCTGGTACGTACCAAGGGTCCAAGCGTTGGGCACGTCACTGACCATTCAGGTGGCGGCATCATTGATCTCCTGAACAAGCGTCTGCGCGACCGCTTGAAGGAGATTGAGATTCTCAACATCTTTACCGATGTCTGCGAGGTGAGCCCAAGACGCGGTGCATTGACACTGACAGTTAGGCTGTTGCAGCAATGCACGCACTCCCGCGACCTCTGTTACATCGTGATCTGAAGGCAAGTTGGACATTCTCGATGTGGAATGTTTTATTAACAAACAACAGATTGAGAACGTCCTCTCCCACCCCAACGGCCAGGCTCCCTCATCCCAGCGCCCAACGCCACTGGTCTTCAAGCTGTGTGACTTTGGTTCAACCACGTTCCCGGCATCCCACCCGCCCACAACCAAGGCCGAGGCGGACGCCCTCGCCATGGACCTGAACAAGCACACGACCTTGCAGTACAGAAGTCCAGAAATGGTTGAGCCCATGCTCGGTTGGGCTGTTGGCCTCCCAAGTGGTACGTTTATATCGTTGCTCTTTGCTCGTAACTGACATTCCAGACGTATGGGCACTTGGTGTCCTGTTGTACAAACTCTGTTACTACACCACTCCGTTTGAGGAGCATGGTACGCTCGCAATTGTTAACGCCAAATACACGTTCCCTCAGTATCCCGTGTACTCCCCTAGACTACAGCATCTTATTGGTGAGTTTCAATACTCAACCCCCAGCTACTAACGATTGCAGCATCCATGCTCGTCGAGCACCCCACGCGCCGCCCGAACGTGTTTGAAGTCCTCAAGGCGGCCCATGAGATGAGTGGCACGGCACCCATGGTCGACTATGTAAGTTCATTTATCTCAAGCAAACGCTCACCAGCAGCCTTCCCCAGCAAACCGCAACGCTCTTCCTCCTTCTCCAAGCAAGCGTCGCTCCCAATCCATTGCGCAGCAGCAGCCGCCACCTCCATCAAACAACAACTTGCTCGATTTCACACCGGGTGCTCCTCCTTCGCGACCTGCCATGATGGTGGACCAAGAGTTGGCGAATGCTGCCCAAAAGGTGACCCCTGGCCGTCGTGGTCGCCCCACCCGCGACTCTATCAAGTCTCAGCCGCCCCCGCCGCAGTTACCATCCGGCGCTACATCTGGCCCACCTGTGGTCAACAAGATGTCGGTGACAGGCGAGGGTGCCAAGCCAAAGGGTCCGTCGCCAACTCGGCATCAATATGGGGCCTCCATGTCTGTCAAGGCACCTCCCAAGCTGGACACACAGAATATCCAACGGCCTTCACCCCAGGCAAGCGTCGATGCGTTTGGGTTGCCTACCAACAAGGCGACCGTTACATCGCCTGGCGGATTTGGCGACGCGTTTGGCGTGTCCCTCAAGTCGACCAAGTCGCCCGTTTCCACCACCTCGCCCTCCGGGTTTGGTGATGCCTTTGGTGTGCCGCTCAGGTCGGCCAAGTCTCCCACAGCTTCATCGCCGGCTGGGTTTGGCGACTCGTTTGTGGTCCGCAAGACGACGCTTCCCTCCAGTGCTGCGGACAAGTATGGTGGTCTGGGTCGAGCGTCAAACCAGCCTCCTCCACCTCAGCTTCCATCCCGTGGCTTTAGCGACAATTTTGGAAAGGCCTCACCCCCGCTGTCTGCTAGGCCATCGCAGCCTTCGCCACCTGTGTCCGCCAAGCCCACGCGGCCTTCGCCCATTGAGACATCGCCTCAGAAAATGGCGGCCTCGCTCACGTCACTCCGCTCATCAAACCAGACAGGGACCAAATCTCCAGTAGATCCCTCTTCGTCTATCCCTGACGGCGAGCTTACATTTGAGCAGCGCTTCCCATCTATCGAGGCCCTCTCGTCTGGCCAACACACTCCTCCTGCTCCATCTCCTCCTCTGGCTTCTCCACCTACGGCCGTGGCGACTGCCAAGCCAGCACACATCCGCCGTCCCTCGCTGGCCATCGCCAACCTCACAGGTGGCGACCTGGCGTCTGCCAACCGCTCGCCCAAGGTCACTACTCAGCTTCCACCGCAGCCTCGGTCGACTCACGTCACAGGCACTGCGTTCAAGGCTAGTAATGACCGCCACCAAGGTCTCCGTGTGCCGTCGCCCGACAAGCGCAACTCTGCAACGTCGGCGACAGCCGACTACTTGGATCTTCTGGACGACGAGGTAGGGGCGGCTCTTCAGACGCCTGAAGACTTGATGGGCGACGAGGGTTCCGAGTCCAGCCAGATTGCGCTGGCACCACTTCGTCCCGTGCTGTCCAAGACACCGTCGTCTGGTTCGCGCTTTGGTGTGTCGCCCTCAGCAATGAAGCCCCCAGCGCTGCCCATGCAGCAGTCGCAGCCTCCTGTTGCTCCAAAGCCGAAACCAGCCTTCCTCGCGGCCGACAACAAGACGCAAGGTGCTGCGCAGCGCGCGACCCTGCCGCCACTCTCTGCCAGCCGGCCGACCAGCAACTTCAACTCGGAGATGTGGTCGCCACTGGAGCGTATGCGTTCGAGCAGTGTGTCGACGCGCAAGTCGCCGACCTCACCGTCGTCTGGCAAGGACAAGAGCGGAGGTATCGAGCCCGATTCCAGCGATGACGACGCAGGGCCGGAGGATGTCAGCGGCGGTGGTCGCCGACCCTCCTCACCTCCCCGCTATGGCCGCGTTTCGCCCGCGCCCGGCATTGCACGTAGAATGTCGGCGTACGAGCCAGGCGCCATTCCGGGCCTCCCGGCGTCCAGATCGCCTGCAGTATCGCCCGCGACGTCCACCTTTGCATTCAACGTGCGCCAACCCAGCCAACCCAGCGGCCGGCCAAAGTCGATGTATGTCGGTGCCTCGCCTACGGCCCTGAGCCCCCCTACGTCGGACATCTCGCGCAGTTCGTCACCGGCCAGGGAGGAGCGTCACCTGCGTCGGAGCAGCATCAACGACATTGTGTCGCGCTACGAGGCCTTGTCCACTGACAAGAGTCCTCGATCGCCGAGCCATCCACTCCATGACCTTCCGGCGAACGGCAACGGCGTCAATGTGGGTGTCCAACGCAAGCCTAGTGTTCGCGCCAAACCCCCCACACTTGCTGCCAAGCCCAACATCGTCGCGCCGTCAGCACCGCCCACGGTTGCGGCCAAGCCGCTGATGCTGCGTAAGCCGTCCGGCTCGCGTCCACCCCCGCCGACCCTGCCTGTCCTGCCTGCGTCCAGCGCTGTTTCGCAGCCGTTTCCAAGCCAGACGGTGACGGTGACGTCTCGTGCGCCACCATCGACACAGCCCAAACCCGCCTCACTCCGAAACGTGCCCCAGCTTGCTGGGGGTGACGATCGTAAGGCGTTTGTGTCAGCAGTCGACAAAGTCTCGTCCGTGTCACAGCCTGTGACTGTTCCGGCATCCGGCGGCCGAAGTGCGCGTGATTCACCCACGCACGGTGGCGGAGGTGGTGGTGGAGGTGGTGGAGGGGCAGGAGGAGGCTCCAGTGGTTCTAGCCCTGAGAAGCAGCAGCCAGTCAACGTCTTGATTGCCCGCTGGAACAAGGGCAAGTGAGTCCCAGAGGGGCCAGCGGGCGTGGGAGGTGCCGCCCCGGTGACATTTTTGCACCCGTGCAGCCCCCTGTCGGTAATTCAGCAAGGGGGCAAGGGGGGTCCTTGAGCGGGCTCTCCACGATTGTTTGTCTAGCACGTACATATGAAGGCAGGGGCAAGAATGGAGAGATTATGGGATCATCATGGCTCCTGTACAATGGAACCCTGCTCTACCCTGGGCTATTAGGAGCTTTTCCCGCATTAGGGTTGGCTTTAAACGCGGCGAACCCCATTCAAATGTGGTGTTGAGTTGCTAGTGCCATCAACGATGAGGTCAGCAACCAATGTCAGCAAAATCAAAGTCGCGTACAGTCGGCTTTGCTGGATTGTCCCCAGATGCCCAGAGCTGCCGCATGTGCGCCATTTTCCCTTGCTTTTTTTTCCCCTCCTTCCTCCTTCGCACCCTGCGGTCGTACGTTTGCTGTTGACCGAGGCCGAAGGCTACATATCCGTGCCCAGACGGACGCCTGGACGTAGGTGTCCGTGACCGCCATGAGAGCGACATGCCGGAGCTGCCGACGGCAAGCAGACACGACGCGTCATGCAGCCAACAGGACCACCATGCCACCAGGGTCGACGTGGCCAGGCGCGCGGGTGGGTGGCAGCAGCCTTGTGCCGTCTCCGTCCCTTGATCGTCCGTTGCCTGCGACGAGATATGACAGCGTCCGGCGTGTGTGCGCGACCATGTCAGCAGCCTGAGTCAGCCGCGGGACAGTGGAACGGTCCAACGGTGCACAGGTGGTCGTGTGGTGCCCGGAAAGAATGTTCTCATGGCCGTGACTAAAAGCCGCGTTGGTTTATCCTGACCGGTCCAAGCCTTTGTAATCATTTGGTCCCGCTTATGTGTTAGCAATATAGAAAACATGCGGTGATTAGAAATTTGCACCAGCGACGCCGACGGCCTCGCTGCCCCGTGTGTACGGGGTGTGTCTCCACTTGTCCACCTGCCCCGTTTCTCCCATCGACTCCTCCATTCCGCGCACACACAACACAAATCCACATTCATCCATCCTCTGGTACCATTGCCAAACAAGAGCCGCTCGCTGCCCGCCTCCTCTGGGCTTTTGCCTGCACCGACATTGTATCCATACACATCCTCACGCGGCCTCCTTCCATCCCTCCCCCCCCCCAATCCGTCTCCCTTCCTCGCCACTCGCCCCCGCGTTCTCTCTCGGCTCCGCAATCCGCCGTAGCCGCGACGACTCCGTCTCGGCACCTGAGGCGGGCTTCTACAACCATTTCTCTCGGCCATCGGCCACCACTCTGACACAAAACACTCTTTGACCTGGAGACTCTGGCAAGCAAGTTTCACTGCACGCACGCACGCACGCACGCACGCACGCACGCCCTTGCGCGTTGACAATGTACACCGTCTCAACACCAGATTCAGACTCGTCACCTCGTATCCGAAATATCAGCGGCTCCCATACATCAGCGGCCGCCGCCATGTCGTACCTCAACTCTGGCAACCCAGGCTCGCGCCGCACCTCTGCCGGCCCCAGCAACGAGCCTTCCCCAGAAAACAAGCCCTATCTCAACCAGTCGGGCTCGGGCTCCGCATCAGGACGCACACCCACCTCGATGGAGCTGGCAGCCGAGGCTGAAGCCAAGCGCCGTAAAGTCCAGCGCGCGTGTGATGTCTGCAGAAGGTATGTGTGGAGTGGAGTAACCATCGGGTACCCGGCAGGTGATGAAAGCGCCACCCATCGGGCACCAGCGATCGCCATCATCATCGTCGTCGTCGTCGTCGTCGTCGTGTGACGTGCGCTGACCTGCTACAGGAAAAAGATTCGTTGTGAAGGACCGATGAACTCGCATTCCAACAGCAGTGCGTTGTGTTGTGTTTGTGAATAAACAAGAGTCCCGAGACTGAATTCTTCAGAATGCGCAAACTGCACAGAATACGGGCTGGAGTGCACCTACAACGAGGCAGCCAAGCGTCGAGGTCCTCCAAAGGGCTACATTGACACTGTCGAGCAGCGATGCGGGCGTCTCGAACGTCTGCTTGCTCAGCTGCACCCCACGCTGGATCTGACAGGAACGGTTGGACCCATGCCTGATCGCGACGACTTTGAGCTTGGTACATATCAGGACCAGCTCCGCTCTCTCGGTATCCCCCCCTACCCCCAGCTCAAAGCTGTTAGCCCCATCGACACTACCGTCGCGGCCGGAACACCGCCTACGGCACAGAGTGCACCATCCCCTTCTCCCCGCGTCCTCGGCGCCGCGCCGTGGGGTCCCTTTGAAAAGGATCCTAACCGCCCGCCAGATGACGAGGATGACGCTCTTGACCAAGCGCGGATCGCCCATGCGCTCCACAAGCTCAACATTCGCGACTATGACGCTTTCCGGTTCCATGGCAAGGCGTCGGGTGCTCACCTCATCCGGATTGTCAACGAGCTCAAGTACTCGGAGGCCGAAATCAACCTCTTTGACCGTCTGGGAGCCGTCAAGCGCCCAGAGTACTGGATGGTCCCCGAATGGGAGAAGGCAATTGCAACCGACAGCGTCAATGCCATCGACTATGACATGTGGCCCGACGAGGGGCTCGCCAGCCGCCTCATCGACAGCTACTTCGACAATGTCAATAACCACATGCCCCTGCTCAACCGTGTCATTTTCCAGCGGCAATACCAGAGCGGCCTGTGGCGCACCAACTCGGACTTTGCGAGGATGTCTCTCATGGTCTTTGCGAACGGTTCCCGCTATGTCGACGACGACCGCGTGTACTGGCCCGCTGACGCTGCGACGACCCCAGAGGGCCGCGCGCGCCTCCTCAATGATGCGGACGGCACCCGCAAATATTCGGCTGGTTGGATCTACATGCGCGCGCTTATCAAGGTCGGTCGGTCGTGGCTGCAGAGCCCTGGCCTCCTCGACCTCCAGACCAATGTCCTCGTCTGCCTGTTCCTGAATGGTAGCGCTGTCCCGCACTTGGCGTGGCTTGTCGCCGGATCCGGTCTGCGCATGGCACAGGAGATTGGCATCCACGTCCGCACCACCATGCTCCTTACCAACCCCATCGACCGCGCTCTATACAACCGAGCCTTCTGGTGTCTGTACCACTTTGACCGCCTCAGCTGTGCTGCCATTGGCCGCTCCGTGGCCATCCAGGACTCGGACTTTGACGCCGACTACCCCATCGCTGTCGACGATGCCTACTGGGACACTGGCGACCCGGAGCGCGACTTTAAGCAGCCTCCTGGTCTCCCGCCAGACCCCGCTGTCATGTCCTTTACTCATCTCCTCAAGCTCGACCACGTCCTCGGCGCCGCAATGCGCACCATCTACGCCGTCAACAAGCTTCCGGAGCACGGGGCTGACCAGCGCGCTATTGTCGTCGAGCTCGACTCGGCACTCAACTCGTGGGCCGACAGCGTGCCTGACGCGCTCAGGTGGGACCCCACGCGCGCCGATCCCAAACTCTTCGAGCACTCGGCCATTCTCTACGCCCACTACTACTATGTCCAGATCCTCATTCACCGCCCGTTCATGCCCACGCGCAAGAACCCAGAGTCCGTTGGCTTCCCGTCCCTCGCCATCTGCAGCAATGCCGCTCGTTCGATCTCCAACATTCTCGACGCGGTCCTCCGTCGCGGCCGTCAGTCTGGCAAGCTTCCCGGCCACGCCGTGTCCATCTCGTTTGCTCTCCCGGCATCTACCGCAGCCGTTGTCCTGCTCATGAACGTATACGCCGTTCGTCAGCGTGCACCAGAACGCGAGCGCTGTTTGAATGACGTCAAGCGCGTCATTGCTGCCCTCAAGGAGATGGAACTTACGTACCGCCAGGCCGGTAAGATGACCGACCTCATCTCCGAGGTGGCACGCGAGAGCACTGGCGATTTCAACATGAACGACATATCTGCGCCAATCAAGCGCTCTTTCGACGAGACGACGATCAACAACTGCACTGCCACTGCGGTATCCACACCGACATGTGACCTGCAAGGCGGCTTCAACGCTGGCACTCCTGGCGCGCCGACACACCCACCCCTGCTGTCATACGCCAACGCCTCACCGTCCGCAGGGAGCGACATTGGTGGACCGAGTACCGGTATGCAGCCCCCACAGCGGCAGGCGACCCCGCCCTACGGCGTCTTCCCACTCACGTGGGGCACGGGTCTCACACCTACCGGCGAGGCGACGCTGGTTCCCGACCTCTTTGACGCCGGCGAGTTGCAAAACCTCAACTACGCCGTCACAAACTTTGACATGCTGGGCGACGCCAACAGCAACGAGTTTTGGTCCAGCCTGTTTCGCCAGGGTAACGGTGGAATCAGCACCTTTGGGACCGGACTAGGGAACGGACCTGTCACTCCAGGGCCTGGGTGAGTGCTCGCACTGAAACTGAACTGCGGTGACACGGCCACGCGGGCCGCCGGTACTGGCCCATTTTCACCCCCTGCCCCCGCCTGCCCTTTGTTCACGTGTACACGCGTGGTTGCTTCGATGGTCTTCTGCCGCAAGCGCGTGGTGGAGGGTCAACTCACAGCCAAGCGTCGCGCAGGGTTTCAGTGCCGGCGTGGTGCCAGGAAATCATCGGACGGACCTTGGGAGAGTTGTTGCTGACGTCAAATCGCAGGCAGGTGCAGCCAGTTTGGAACTTTATGCCTTGGCTCCCACCCGAGAACCCCCAGCCTTAGACCGCGCTTACAAGTCGGGAACGGACTTTAGAAGTCGGAGCAGACCATAGATGTACTTGGAGGGCCAGAGAGAGAGAGTGAGAGAGACAGAGACAGAGACAGAGAGAGGAAGGGACTGTGTGTGTGTGTGTACGTAGCAAGCGGATAACTACTGCATAAAAAAGCCAGCTGTATATTTCCACTTGTGTACTCGAATGCCTAGTTCCCCGTTTTAGACTACACAACTCCCCCCTATACATTTCGGACGTGGATTCTACCTACCCCCCCCTCTTTCAGACATTTGACGCGGAAATGAGGCGCCCAGACTTTGTGGTTATCGTAGTGTGCCCCGTGTACGCACGCACGCAGGAGGAGGGCAGCGTGTGGCTACTTCCACGGCGCTGGCGCTGATTGATACCCGCGCGGGTGCGCGGTGCCGCTGCACGCACGGCTGGCCTGCTCAAGCGGCCTTGCGCTCCAAGGCCTTCTTGGCCGTGAGGGCGGTCAGGGCCGCGCCGATACCGGAGCCGTCCTTGGCCAGACCAATGGTGATGATCTTCTCCTGCTCGCCAAGCACAATCTTGAGGGCCTCGCGCACACGCGACTCAAAGTTGGGCAGGAACTCGGCAACCGAGCCGTCGACGCCGACGTCGATGGCCTTCTTGTCCTGCTCGCGGCGGTTGGGCTCGGTGTGCAGGACAATGGCGGCGATGGCAGTGGCGGCGAGGTATGCTGCGCGGTGGGCGACGATGCCGACGGCCCAGCGGACGAGCTCAATGTCGCCGGCCTGGATGTACTGGCTCTCGACGCCGAGCATCGACTGGATGGCGGTGCGCACCTCGGCGTCGTCCTTGGCGCCCTCGACCCGGGACACAAACGCAGTGTCAAAGCCGTAGTGGGTGTTGAGCACCTTGCTCGAGTTGCCGTCAAACAGCAACCTCGAGTCGATGAGGTGGAGCAAAATGTTGCGCGTAATCTCGCCGAGGTACATGCCCGAGACCATCTTCTCAAAGGCCTGCTTGCGGGGGTTGATCGACTCGCGGTCGAGCTTGTTGTCGTAGATCGACGCAGGGAGGCATCGGCGCTTGTTGTCAAACGCTCCCCACTCAGTGTTGATAACCATGTACTCGCCCGCGTGCTCGCCGCCAGCCTCGAGCGCGGCAATCTTGTCGTCGCCGAGCTTCTTGACGGTACTTGTGCGGTCAATGTAGGCGCCGTTGGTACCGGTACCGAAGATGGCACCGATCAGCGCAGGACCGTGCTGGTATGACCGCGAGAGGAGAGTGCCGACAGTCTGTGGAAAATATCGTCAGCATAAACTCTATCCATGCGGGGTATGCGGGGCAGGCCATGCGTCACGCGCGCGCGCGTTGCACGAGGAACATCATCATCGGCAAATGAGTAAGGCGATGATGGCACCGGGACACATGCACACACACCACAATGTCGGTGCGGTGGGGTGTTCCTTTTGTGCTGTTTGGCCGTACGGCTGATCTGGGCCTCCGGGGCGCCAATGGCACGCCGACCTGCTGTGCCGGCGGCATGGGCGTCCGTGCGGCACACCTTCCTTCCCTCATTGTTCCGTTTTCTGCAGCCAACTGGGTCTGTAACTCACGTCGTTGACGAGGGCGCTGCAGCGGACATGGATGTGCTTGCGGTCCAAAGCATCCTGGAGGAGGAGGACAACGTCCTTGCCCTGCGCGTTCTTGGCGTTGAAGCCCTTGGTCCAAGTGAGGAGGGAACCGCGGTCAATGGCAGTTTGCTCGACAGGGAAGCTGGGCAAAAGTGTCAGCCCACGTCATGTGTATATCGGACAATGGTTCTGTCGGCGGCCGTTTACATTTGCGTCACCAAACGCTCCCTCGTCGGCACCCCTCGGGGCGGGGGGGATCTCGCTGCACGAGAACGACAGCGTCTCTGGCGTCGTCGCCGCCAGAGCCGCACAGTACGCCGCTTCCAACTCACGAGAAGGTAAATCCAAGATGGAGGGGCTCATTGTCGTCGGTGGTGAGGTCCGAGCCAATGTCGGTGAGGAACGCGTCCACAGAGTCGGCAATGTAGTCTGGCTGTCAGCGCACTGCTCTTGGGGCTCGGACACGGATGGAAAGGCGACGTTGTTGCCGTCGGCCGTAGTCTTAGGGGGGGAGGGTCTCGGTGGACCCCCGAGGTTCGACCTTGCGTCCCCCCCCCAAACGGCCGCAGTGGGCACCATTCGCCCCGCGTCGGGGTCCCTAAATCCAGTCCCAAACTACTCACCAAAGAGAACGCGGGCCTCGCCTTGCTTGAGAGCGTCCGAGACCTTGTACTTTTGCTGCTTGATCTCAAACTTGTTCTCGCCAAAGAGCTTGATCTCACACACGCGGAGGTTGGTGCCGCCAAGGTCGAGGGCGAGGAAGGTGCTGCGGGGGGGAAGCGTCAGACTGTGCTCAAAAGAAGGCAACTGGTGCACAAGGCATAGTCGCCATCAAAAAAAGCATCCCACGGCACGACTGCCCGTCGACAGGCGGCCCAGACCAACAGCTGTCTCGTGCGCTTTTCGGGAACACCACCAAAACTCACCCCTGCTCAGAGCCGTCGGGAACACCGGGAACGTAGCTGGGGACCATGGCGACGTCGTGGCCGTAGGCGGCGAGGCCATCGTTCATCTCCTCGCAAAAGTACTTGACAATGGTTTTCAGCTTGTCATCGCTGAGCATAAAGTACGGCTCGATGGACTTGCAGATCTCGGGCAGGACCATGGTGAAAGGAAGGACGGGGGGTGGGTGGGGTTGGGTGGGGGTGTTCAGGTGGGAGTGTCAAGTAGGATGGATGGTCGACCGTGCGCTGTGTGTGCGTGTATGTCTGTGTAACCTAGCCAGATAAACAGTGGTGATGGGCGGGATGGGTTAATGTGTGACGCGCGAGGACGATGAGGAAGACAAGAGAACAAGCTGGACAACGTCGTGCGGGTGGTAGAGGTGTCCCCCCCCCGTCCTCCATGGCCCCCGCCCCAGCCCTCGTTCCCCGTTCCCCCCGTCTGCCCCCTGTCAGGCGACGTCACACCCATCCACCGCCCGGGACCTTCCCTGCGACCACTGCCGACCGCTAACAGGGGGGATCACATGACACACCACCCAAACCACCAGTCTCGTCGTCGTCGTCGTCGCCTTCCGTGCGGCCCGCAGTGCAAAGGTCCCAACCCCCGCCCAGCCAAACCCAATCCTTGCTTGCTGCTCGGCAGAGCACAACAACCCGCTCGGTCTGCATAGTCCCTCTTCGGTCTGCATATACATCATCCTCTGCCCCTTACGAAATCTCCGGTGGTGCTACATCTCGTCTCTTTACTCGTACTGCCCACGTCAGCATCGTTCAGGTAAAAGAAAAAGAGTAAATCCAATCCCCAACGCACCTTGCTCAGATCCAGCGTGAGGGTCCTCGACGAGTTTTCAACCTGCTCACGGTACACGCCCACCAAGCCGTCGGCATGTTCGTACCTGCAGGGGGGCAAGGCGTCAGCTGTCTCCTGTCTCCCTGCGGCAAAGGGGGGGGTGGTGTGGTTATTCGCACCCCCATTGCTCGAAACCTCGGAAAAACTCACAGGGTGGACTTGAGCGAGATGATGAGGAACTGCACCTTTGCAGACTGTTCACGAACAAAGCGAGCAAGCTTGGAGACGTTGGTCGCGTCCAGAGCAGCGTCTACTTCGTCCAGGACGAAGAAGGGTGCAGGGTGGTAGCTGTGGATCGAGAACAGCAGGGCGAGGGCAGCCATGGTCTTTTCACCACCAGACAGCTGCTCAATGTCGGCAAAGCGCTTGCCTGGAGGCATGGTGTTGTACTTGACACCACCGAGGTACGGCTCCTCGGCGTCTTCCAAGCTGAGGAACGCCATACCGCCAGTGGGCACGACACTGTTCTTGGTAAGGTCCTTGTAAATCTTGTCGATGCAGCCCGACATGTGGGTGAACGCCTTGTTGAAGAGGTCACAGCGCTTCTTCTTAATGTCGAGGAACTCGTCGCGCGCCTTCTTGCTTGCTTTGCGCGTCTCGTCCGCCTCCTCCTCGGCAGTTTGCAGGCCCTCTTGAACCTCGGCAAGACGGTCGATGGCCTTCATGTTCGGAACCACTCGTTCAATCTCGGCCTTCATTTTGGCAATCTGAGAGTCAAACTCGTGACCATACTCCTCGCTAGCCTTCTCCTTGTCTTCCTCTTCCAAGAGGTCAAAATCGGGCTCGATGCCAAAGTCGTCGGTCGTCGTGGGACGCATGTCGTCCTCGTCAATGTCCATGGCCAGCTCCTTGTTGCTGTCTTCAATGGGGACCTTGTCCAGAGATCCAGACACCAGAGGGAGGTCAATGTCCTCGAGGCGGCACTTGCGGTAGACGGCGTGGCGGTCCGAGGCGTGACGCTCAATCTCGTCGTTCCAGCCGGCAATCTCTTTGAGGGCTCTGTCAAGAGCACGCTGCGTACGGCGAGAGACGTCGCGCATAGAATCAACCTGCTCGCTCGCCTCTTCGAGAACAAGGTTGGTCTGCTCGAGCTTGCCACGCTGACGCTCCACCTCAGCCTGGAGCTCCTCGATCTCCTCCTCCACAGCCTGCTTGTTGGCCTGGAGCTTCTTGACGTTGAGAGTCTCCTTCTCGACGCTGGAACGAAGGAGGGCAAGGCGTTCCTCGGTGCTGGCGAGCTGGGCCTTCTCAAACTCGATTTGGTGAGCGGCACGGGCATTCTGGGCGGTAAACGCCTCCATGGCCTCATTCTCTTCCTGAGCGACCTTGAGTTGGACGTCTTCGTATTCGCGGATGTTGGGGACATTGATGCGCTTGCAAAAGTTGGTAAAGACCTCGTCGTCGGCCTTCTCGACGACAGCAGCAAGAGTTTTACCCTGGCTTTCAGCGCTGGTAAGGTCCTTGGTGCGCTTCTGCTTGTCGGGAGTCATCTTCTTGATGTCCTTGTCCACACCGCCCAGTTCCTTGCGGAGGCCGTCGAGGCGGAGGCGAGTGGCATCCAGGTCGTCCGATGCAGTTGTAAGCTCAGCCTCGAGACGGGCGAGGTCCTGGACAAGGCCCTCGTCCGCCTTGTCCTTGGGCTTGGACTTGTGGAGCTCCTGCATTTGCTGCATGAGCTTCTCCTTCTGCTGGTTGAGACCGTCGACGTCGCGGTCGTTAAACTTGCGGCCACCCGAACCACGACCACCAGTGATCAGACCACTCTTGTGGAAGACGGTACCGTCGAGTGTGACGGCCTTGACCTCCTGGCGCTTCTCGTAGCAGACATACTTGGCGACCTCGGACGTGTCACAGATGAGCGAGCTGCCGCACGAATACTGGATGGCACGCTCAACGCTGGGGTCAAACTCGATGCAGTCAATGGCGAGACGCGCACCACGAGCAAAGTTGCGGAGCTTCTCAGGTGCGGGCTTGGCCTGGATAGTGTCCAGTGGGATAAAGGTCGCCTGGCCGGCACGTTGTTGCCTCATGTACTCGACGCAGTCAATGGCAACCTTCTCGTGGTCGACAACAACCGCGTCAATGTTGCGACCGAGAATGGTCATGACAGCAAGGTCGTACTTGGTGGCCGAGGGCTTGCAGAGGTCGACAACACGCCCGTGGACACCGGGGAAGATACGACGGAGGTTGGAAAGCGTTTCCTTGAGCCTGGCCTCACGCTCCGTCTGGTTCCTGTCGACACCAGCCTGAAGGAGCTTGGACATGATCTCGGACAGGCGCTCATTGATCTCAGTCTCGCGGACGCTGATGGGGTTAACAGTGCTTGAAATGCATCTACTTACGCAATGCGGGTCCTCTCCGCGCTGGCCTGGTCGATTTGAGCTTTGATTCGCTTGCGCTCGTTCTGCATCTCGTCGACGCGCGAGGACATGGTCTCCTCCCTGTCAGCGAGAACCTCGATCTCGCTGCTGAGCTTTGAGCGCTTGCGCTCAGCCTGCTGGAGACGGTCGTCAATGGAAGCGAGAGCGTCACGGAGACCCTTCTGCTCGCGACGGAGAGAGTCGAGTTGCTGGCGCTCGGACATGGCGACCAGGTTGGCATCAGCGCGACTTGAAGAGTCAGCGTCTGGTGAAAGAATTTTCCACTCACAGCTTGCGGTACTCGGCCAAGTCCTGGTCAGACAACGCCTTGCCCTGGGCACGACTCTTCTGGCGCTGCTTCTCCTTGGCTTCGTCCATACGGGCCTTGATCTGAGCGGCGCCGGCTTCGAGGTTGGCGAGTGAGTCGGCCTGGCGCTGCTGGTCCTTTTGCACACGCTCAAACAATGTTTCGCTGTTCTTGGCCTTCTTCTCCGAGTGGAGAATCTGGGTCTCAACGGCGACGAGGTCGGGCTTCTTGTCATCGACAGCCTTCTCCGCCTTCTTAAAGTTGCCCTCGCGTTTCTTGACGGTGAGCTGTGTCTTGGCGTGCTCCTTGCGTGCCTCGCGCAGGTTGTTGTCACTCTCGGTCTGATTCGTCAGCTGTGTCTACGCAACGGACAACTCACAACACTGTTCTGGAGGTCGTGCAATTGCTCGGTGGCTTCTTCGACCTGACGGGTCGACTCGTTGATCTCCTTGGTGATGTGGTACAGCCTCCAGAGAAGCTGGCGGTTCACCATCGTGTCCTGATGAGGTCAGCTCTGACATTTCCATTATGACCTACCTTGGCGTCGCGAAGCTTCTCCCACTGCTTGACCTCGGCAGTCTGCTCCTTGAAGTGCTTGGCCTCGGTGAGCATACCGCGCTTCTTGGCGTGGTTGGCGTTGGCTGCATCAGCGGCCTTCTCCTGCGCGAGCTTGGCAGCGTCGTAGGATGGAGCGAGTTCGAGCGAGCTACCACGTCAACTTCTGATGCAACACACAAATAAACTCACCCGCTGATACGGTCGATGAGCTTGGCAAGCGCCTTCGAATCCTGGCTCGCCACTCCCTCGACGTCGCCTTGGAAAACAAGAAAGTTCTTGGCCTTGACGAGAATGTTAAACTTTTCAAGCTGGGCGTTGTAAACGTTCCAGGTGACGACCTTGCCGTTGAGGTAGTAGGTGGATGTGCCATTCATGGCAATGTTGCGCTTGAACAGCCATTCCTTGCCGAGTTTGTCTTCGTAAACGGCGGTGACCGACGCGGTCTTGGCGTCTGGGTTGGTGTCACCGTTGACATCGCCGTTGGTCTCCTGTGTCTCTGGAATATCGACTTCGATGCCCATTTCGGCGGCACCTTCTGCTGCCTTGCGTCCACGATAGACCAAGTCACGGAGTTGGGTGCTTCGCAACTGGGCCGACTTGACTCCCAGGACAAAGGAGATGGCATCCATGAGGTTGGACTTGCCGGAACCATTGGTGCCGATGATACACGTTAGAGGGGCATCTCCAAAGTCGATCTGTTGCTGTCCCCTATAAGACTTGAAGTTGACGAGCTCGAGTCGCCGGAGAGGCATGGTGGATGGGGGATGTTGTTGTTGAGGCAAGGCGACGCGCTCCGACCGTTATTGACATTGGGACGCGACGTGAGCTGACTGGATTCACCTGTTACGTAATGGGACGGAGGAAGAGGCCGACCGCGTGCCTACTGGAAAAACACGCCTATTATCTTACGCTGTAAGCCTATATTAAACACTTACATAATCAAAACTTGTTCCCCCAAGCCGCACCGGCGTTCCGGACCGACCACCGGTGGGGATGTTGGGTGGGCGGCTCTGTCTTGCTGCCGGCTCTGCTTGTGGAGGAGAGATCCATCGCATCCACATCGTGCTCCCCCGCCGAGTTATCCGCTATTTGTCCTGCGACCGCTCTTCTCCATCCGTTCGCGTATCGCAACTGCGTGCAGCGTGTGCCCCGCCACCTGTTGGGCAGCTTTGATCCATTGCTCCTGACCCCACACAATCCATCCCCCTCAACCCCACCGCCACCATCTCGCTCTTGAAGCCTCCCCCATTCCACATTTCATCACCCATCACCCATCCCATCGTTGTGTTAGACTCGCCATCCACGGCACATCCATACCCTTGGTCGCCTACTATTTCCGTTTCCTTCACCTCAACGGCTTTCGATTACATCGCAACGGCCCCCACGGTATGACAGTCGTCCCGTAAAATCAAACACACGCCCTCACCTTCGATACCAATACATCTAGCCTTTGCCCACTCAACCCCTCCCCCGCGCTCCATTTCCAATGCAATCTCTCGACGTTTTTGCCGGAGGGTCTGGAGATGACCATGATGGCGACGACTACTCCCCACCCCCCAAGGACGACAAGGGCAAGGGCAGCGACAAGGGCGACAAGAATGACCGTAAAGGGGTCATCAATCGCGTGAACCGTGCGTATTGCGGCGTCGCTGCTAACATGGCGCTGACACTAGTCTCTCTTGCTCTTGGAAACGACAGGCGCATGTGTAAGTGGATGATTATGGTGGCCACAAAAAAAGGGAAGCTTGCTGACTTGCGTGACAGAACAATTGCAGGAGAATGAAGATGCGATGTGTTGGCGCCGAAGATCCTCCGTGCAAGCGATGCAGGAACAGCAACTTGGAGTGCATCATGGAGAAGCCTGGCAGGCCAACTGGCGACGGCTTTGGCGAAGAGTATGTTCTGGCCTGTTACAGCCGCCAGCTGACATATAAAGTAGAATCCGGTCTCTCGAGTCACAGGTCACCAGCATCCAGAACACTTTGAGCGATCTCGTTCAAACCCTGCGAACCAACATGACGGGGTCCAGCGCTGCCTCCAATGGGTCTAGCCATACCCCTCCCGTCCCATCAACCACAACGCCAGACTACACCAATCTTGGTGGCATTGCACCCAGCACAGTTCAACCCCCTCCCGGCACCTCTCCTCGCTCTGCGCCAGCCTTCCACCCACTCACTGCGCTAGCAGCCCAGCCTCGCTTCCCTCAGGGAGTCCCGTCTCCAGGGCAAGGAGTCCTTGGAAGACCATCACCTCAAGGAACCACTTACAATCCATACGCGACGTCCTCGGCAACTGTTGGGCTCGGCGACAACTCGACGGGAGCCGGTACGGGAACTCGGAGGCCCAGCGACGTGTCTAGCCCGCATCCTCTGGGTGGTGGCGATGCTTCAGTCTTTCGACGACCTCTGCCTCCTCCTTCGTCCTCTGGCTCTGCTGGATCGCCATGGCAGGTATTTGCTACTCCGGGCGCAAATCCCAGCAATCAGCATCTTTCGCTTCCACCTTCTCGGGCCGGGAGTGAAACGCCGGAGGACTTCCTTGCTCCGGACGACATTGTTGGTCCTCTTGGGGCAATGTCCAATATGGCAGGCCTCGTCGAGGCAGCTGTGGAGCGTGCTCGCGAAGAGCGCTCTTCCATCTCCTCACCTGTGGGAGCCAAGCGGTCGAGCCTGGCCGAAGGCGATGGTTCTACCGACGATCGAGGAACCAAGAGGGCGAGGTTCGGCTCCAACATTCCGGCAGTGGTCGAGGCACAGGGTCTTCCCCAGACCTTGGCCCCGACAAAGCCAAAGTCCAAGGTCAAGAGGACTCACGTCCATGCCTATCCAGACTGTGTCGACTCTGGCTTTGTCTCCGAGGAAGAGGCTCGCGAGCTTATGGGAATGTGAGTCGCTTCCATCCGGATTCGGTATACTGACGTCTAGCTACTACGCGGGTTCCAGCAACTTCATCCCTTGCTACGATCCCAACTTTGACACCTGGGAGTCGTGAGTTAAGGCCAGCTTTTCAAGGTACTGACAGAGTCAGGCTCAAGATCCGGTCTCCTTTTAGCATCACCGTGATGGTGATGGTTGGCGCCAGAGTCCGCGACGGTGGTGGACCTGTTGGCGACACTCAACGGGCTTGCCGCGAGCACGCCCAGATGATCGGTGAGTGGCGTGGGCAATGACCCGACCAGTGACTAACCTCTTGCCAGCCCAGGGCACTATGTTCAACCCTGTTGCACGGATCGAGGCAGTTCAGGCCATGAGTATCCTGGCGGCGTTCAGCGACAACGGATGGCTTTCCGGCGGCCACTCTGTGCGCATGGCTCTGGACATGGGCATCAACAAGAGCTTCATCAAGCTGCTCCGTAGTGGAATGGGCAAGGGCAAGACACCAGAGGAGCTCGAGGAGGAACGTCCCCTTGTCGTCCACTCACGCGTTTGGTTCTGCCTCTACCTGATGGAGCACCAGATGGCGTATGGCATGGGTCGCCCCGCCATTCTCCGCGAAGACGAGTCGATTCACCAGTGTCGTCGCCTTCTGGAACACCCTCTGTCCATCACTTCGGACGCGCGTCTTATCTCCACTGTCGAGCTCACGGCCTTGCGAGGTGGGTTGCCTCGCACGCGAATGGGTAGCTAACCATCAGCACCCCTCCATGTCGAACTTACCGCTGCTCCCGACCTGCCGGTCGATCAGCACACACTCAAGCGCCTCAAGCAGGCCAACCACGAGTTTGACTCTTGGGAGCGATACTGGGACCGCGTGCTATGTGAGTTTTTGTTACCCAATTGACGTACTGACGACGCTGCAGCCGATCGGTTCGGTAAGGGCAAGGGCGACTTTTTCCGGGAGTCTCGTGAGTTTTCTGCCAAGAGAGTAAACTGACAACAGTCGCCATCCAACGCCAGTATGCCGAGCTGTTTGTCAACTCGCAGCTACTGAGGGGCATTCGTGAGCCCTCGGACATTGTTTCTATGACCGACGAGAAGCGTACTCTTGCGCTTCGTGCCATGAAGAATGCGCAGCACTGCCTGGAGATCTGTCTTAAGGGAGACAACTACCGCAACGGCCTCCGCTATGCCGTACACTACACTCGTGAGCAGCATGCACTGCCAAAAGGCCCACAAAAAGCTTACCCTACAGACGTCTGTGCCGCGTTCGCTGCATCTTTCCTCATTCGCATTGCCCGCCTCTTCCCCCAGGAGCTCAACTTGAAGAAGACTGCCAAGGACGTCGAGGAGCTTGCGAGGGTGCTGTCTGAAGGTGAGTTGTGTCTGCCTTGTTCCTTTTGCTGATCCAATCAGTCCCTGCTGGCCGTTACGCGCGTTCCCTCCGTCTCATCCTTCGCCGCGCTCGCCGCGCAAAGGTCATTCCTGCCGCCTCGGGCCACGCCTCCCCGACCAAGTTCAGCCACATTATGCCCATGACGAGCATCAGCGCGTCGCCTGCTGTTCCGGCATTCTCTCCGTCGTCTGTTGTCAACGCAGCCTACCTGCCTACGCCCGGAGGACCCACTCCTGGTGGACCCTCGCTGTCTCCCAGCAACCTCATCTTCAGCGCCACCTCGCAGATTCTCGAGGACTCGCCCCAATCGGCACAGGAGATCAGCGAGTTTGACTTTTTGTTCGCGCAGGAGAACCTCGAGCGCTCGGGACTGCAGCTCGGCGAGGGCGACCCTCTTCCTCTGTAAGTGTAGCTGAAAATAGCTGTAGTTTCCAGCTAACGGTCAGGTTCTTGGATGGCCATTCGCTCGGAAACGCGCTGGCGTCGACAGACATGGCACCCTTTGTCGGCCTCGAGCACTTCTTCCTTCCAGCCGATGTGGACAACCGTCTCGCTGGCGGCCAGGGTGGAGCTGGAGGCCTTGGAGAAGGTGCAGGCAGCGACTTGTGGTGGTGATTGTAGATGGGAATTTTCGGATATGCATGTGGGTTTATCGTTTGTTCGTGATGGCTGCACGAGTTACAGGAGACGAGAAGGTGGGGAAATAAGTAGACAATATCGGCGTAATTCCAAGTGGCACACGTGTGGGGGCGAGCGCTCCCTTAACACTCTACCTCGGAAACTGCTCAGATGTCCAACGAAATAGACAGGTGACATGCGAAACGGAGTACGACAGCTGGCCAAAGAATGGAGCCGACACTGTTAAACTGGAGCCGGATCGAATGCAATGTCTCAAGATCTGTACGCCACCGCCATGTAATGACGCATCCTCGCCATCTGTTGTCTCACTCCTTGCTCGTCGTCCCCGTCATGAGACGGTATACGCACCCTTCCCAGTCCTATTCCATTGTAACAATGTACACAAATGGCTGTTCTGCAGGTTCCCGTTGCCCACCTCCAAGCACTTGGGAACCCGTACACACAGTTCCTCCTACCGACCACCACCACCTCGTGATGGGAGCTCTGCCCTGCCCCACTTGAGCTCAAGCGGCGTCACCGGCGTCACCGGTGTCGGTGGCACGTCCATCTGCGAGTTGTCGAATGCTACGCCCGTTTCCATGCCTTTCAGGCCAAGTGCTGAGCCGCCCCAGTTCATCTGGGGTGCGGGGGACAGGAGGCCTGGGCCGTTGAACCTCGCCTTGTCAGTGGTCATGTTCTTGCTGCTGCTGTCGTCTTGTTGGGCTGTGGTGTCCGCTGAGCCTGTCGCTTGGGCAGCACTGTTGGCAATCGTATAGTCATGGACAGCGCGCGTCGCAGGGTCCATGAGGACGATATAGGCGTCTGGCGAGGTTAGAAACTGGTGGATACAACTCCTCACCTTTAAGGCGTTGAAGCTGGCCTTGTAGCTGAGCCCGCGAGCCGCGGTACGCTTCGTAGACTTATTGTCAGCAAGTTGTACAGGGTGGTAGGCTAGCACAAGAGCGTACTCTGTGTCCGGGTGGCATTCGGCGGCACGCCAAGGACTGTGTAGTGGTTCTTGTCCATTGGGAGTGGCAAATCAAAGGGAGTTGTTAGGAAAGACGGTGAGAGAAAGAATTCAGAGAGTTACAGACGAGTGAGAACCTCGAGCTGACATGGAGTCGTAGCAAATGAGGGGCCGTGTGAAACAACACAGATGCATCCGAATCCACACCACCCTCACCCATCTAGCTGTGGCCAATCAAGGGCTCACCGTCACTGCGCATGCTCATGTCCGCGTCCCCCTCGCCGCCGCCGATCGGCCCGATAGCGGCAGCAGCAGCAGCCGCGGCCGCCTCGGCATCACGCTCGGCGCGTGTCCTCCTGCCCTTGGCAGGGATACCGGCGTACTTGTCGCGCATACGCTCGTACTTTTGCCTCTGCTCGCGCGAGACGGACGCGCGCGTCTTCTGTGCAGCAACGGCAAAGTTGTTGAGCGAGACATACACCTGCTTTTGAGGGACGGAGGTGGTGCTGGTCTCGCTCTCAAAGGCGCCCATGGCCTCGAGTGCGCCGCGGAGTGCCAGAGATGCGGCCTCACGGACCAATGCCGCGAGATCGGCACCGCTGAATCCGTCACAAGCGTCGGAAGCGGCAATAGCCGCGATACCGGCCCAGTCCTCCTCGGCAATGGGCGTGCGCTTGGTGTGGGTGCGCAGAATCTCGAGGCGCTCGGGCGGGGACGGAAGGTCGACGTACAGGAGCTTGTCGAGACGACCGGGACGGACCATGGCGGGGTCGATCATGTCAGGACGGTTGGTGGCGCCAATAACGTACACGGCCTTGCGCGAGTCGAGGCCGTCGAGCTCGGTAAGGAGGGTGTTGACCACGCGGGCCGACGATTCGGACATCGAGTCATCACGACGAGGGACAAGGGCGTCCAGCTCGTCAAAGAAGATGACACAAGGTGCGCTGGCGCGAGCACGGGCAAACACCTGGCGGACCGCGCGCTCACTCTCACCAACATACTTGTTGAGGAGCTCGGGGCCCTTGACGGAGATAAAGTTGGCATGGGACTCGTTGGCGACCGCCTTGGCAAGCAAGGTCTTACCACAACCAGGAGGACCCCAGAGCAGCACACCAGAGGGAGCGTCGATACCGACGACGGAGAAGATTTCAGGGTGGCGGATGGGCTGGACGACGGCCATGTGCAGCTCGTCGCGGACGTTGCCGAGGGCGCCAATGTCGGCCCATGTAACGTCGGGGACGGTAGCAAAGCCCTCACGCTTGGCACTAGGCTGGACGACCTTGAGGGCAACGTCAAAGTCGGCAGGGGTGAGAAGCAGCGAGTCGAGCTTGTCGGCCGACAGAGGACCAGGATGGCTGGTGAGGAAGCGGGCGATAGGGGTCGACAGCACAGACTCGGGCAGTGTCGAGAAGGGACCGTCATCGAGGGCCATGTTCTCCATGGCGTCGTCGGCAGACATTGATGAGCTGGACATGTCTTCAAAGATGCGCTTGACGGCAATCACACCCGCCTCGGTGGTCAGAGCAGTCAAGTCTGCACCCACGTAGCCGGGAGTCGCCTTCGCAAGTTGGTGAATGTCAACATCGCCGGACAGTTTGAGCGCGCCACAAAGGACCTTGAGGATCCTACGGAGTTAGCACTAGCCCTCCAGTAACTAACTCACTCTTCCCTTCCCTCCACAGTGGGAACACCCATCTCAATCTCATGGTCAAAGCGGCCGGCACGACGAAGTGCAGGGTCGAGCGAGTCGGGACGGTTGGTAGCTCCAATCATGACAACGGGCTTTTCGCTTGTCGACAGCTCGTCCATGCAGGTGAGGAGCTGGGCAACAATACGGCGCTCCATCTCGCGCTGAGCAGTCTCACGCTTGGGGGTGATGGCGTCAACCTCGTCAAGGAAAAGAATGCAAGGAGCATTCTTCTTGGCCTCGTCAAAGGTCTCGCGAAGAGTGCGCTCACTCTCACCGCTCATGCCCGACACGATACTGGGTGCCGAAATGGGGATGAAGGGGAGACCGAGGTCGCCGGCGAGACAACGCACGAGCTGCGTCTTGCCGCCACCGGGGACACCGTGGAGAAGGACACCCTTGGGCCGTGGCACGCCGGTGTGGATATAGATTTCGGGGTGGAGCAGGGGCAAGGCGACCATTTCGAGGAGCTGGGTGATCTGCTTTCCCAGACCACCGAGCTGGCTGAGACGGGCGTCGGGAGGAGCATACTTGTCGGCATCGCCATTCAGGTCCCTCCTCACACGCTTCTTGCGTCGTTCGCGCGGGCCCTCGTCGGCAGGCGCCTCCTTTGACGGGGTGACATCGCCGGGAGTCTCAGACCCAGGAGTGACGGTGGGATCCTCTGGGTTGTTGAGGCCGACCGTCTTGCGGACGCGTTTCCTCGGCGCGGCGGCTGCCTGGTTGGCGGAAGCAGCCTGGACCCCCCATGCGGCGGTGATGGACTGGTTGAGACTGGCCGGGTTCATGGCCTGGGATATATGGTGCAGAGAGAACGGACCGAGTGGCCACCTATACACTGCAACTTGTGAGCGTCAAAATCCAGATCGGGCCTCCACCGGGGGGATTTTACACGTGGAGTTAATTTGTATTGCTTTGCGTTGGCCACCACTATCACTCCCAGCCCTCCAAGTTGGGTTGCCCGTTTGTTGCTGACCCCTTTCTACATCGAACCGCTCATTTAACAACAATAATCAACCACCATGGATGTCGAGCCCGCAGCGCAAGCCGAGTCCTCCAATTCACCCCGCAAGTCGCCGGCCAAGTCGCCCATGCGGACCGACGATGCGCCCGCTCCTGCAAAGTGAGTTTTGGGCAACGAGGGAAGATCGATCTGGATCTTCCTTGCTCCTGCTGTTTCCCCTTTGGCTGACGGTATCCCCTCCTCCCCAGGCGCGCGCGTACCGATACCCGTTCCGAGGACAAGAAGCGTGGCCAGCGCATGTTTGGCAACATCCTCGGTACTCTGCGCAAGTTCCAGGACGACGACAAGAGCAAACGCGGTAGCGAGGCGGTGAGTAGAGCCATGCTTTGGACCCGCGTGTCGAGCCTTCACCTGACCCTTTGCACAGGCCAAGCGTCGCGAGGAGACGGCAGCTCGTATAGCGGCCAAGATTGCGTCCGAGACAAATGCCCAGCACGAGATTACCAACGCCGAGCGCGAGTTGCGGACATTGAGGATCGCAACGGAGAACGCGACCTACGTGCTTGAGCACAAGGAGATTGCGGTAAGCTGTCGGCTGCCTCCAGAGGCTTTCTGTAGCTGACATTTTGCAGCTCGCTTCGCGTCACAGCTCCCTGCGCACTGCCTCAAAGTACCTCTTCACCACGAGCGAGAACGGCGAGCCTCTGTTAGAAGGCGGCCTGTATCCCTCGGCACCACTCCCTCTGGCCCGCGGTCCCCGCAAGAACTCTGGCGATTCCGCTGCACCACCATTGTTCTTCGTAAGCTTTCTGTGGCAGGGTAATGTACATTGCAGCTAACACCTCACAGCTCCCCAAGGTCCTTGTTCCCGAGCAGGAGGACGCCCTGCGCGAGCGGCAAGCACGCGTCGATACGCTTATCGCGGACGAGGTCGACGCGCTGCGGACAGAACGGGAGGACGCGGCACGCACGGCCGACACGAACCGCGAAAAGATGGCAGACCTCACGGTCAAGCTCCAGCGGTTGAAGGAGCAGGCCGGCAAGGCGCCACGCGCTCCAGTGCAGCAACGCAGCGAGAGGGAGCGTTCTCGGGAGCCAACGCAGGAGCGCAGCGTCGGCATGGGTGGCAGCGGTGGCCGCGACGCGCCGCCCCATCAGCGTGAGGTGGATGTGAGCGCAATCACGTCGGTGAGGCAAGACGACGGCGAGATGGATGTCGAGTATTAGAGCGTTTCCTATACCATTAGCATGGGTTTTTCTTTTATGTAAACAGAAAGGCTAAGAATCAGCCTAAAGCCATGACTATAAACTTCTGCGCGCCGTTCTCAAAAGCTTACCTCGTAAAGGCCTGAGATCCTGAGAACTGCTTATGGTCACATGGCCATGTGCTGAGTGAGCACTTCAAGCTCAAACATTGAGCATGCCGCCACCCCCAGTAACCGAAATCCAGAACAGGACCAAGCCACGGATCCACGGACACGATATGAGGCTCGCAAAAGGACAAAATCGCTCTGGCTCTCACGTGCCAGCAGTTAATGGGTCAATGTCAGCGTGATCGGACTACATAGCAGCAAAATGTCTCAGCCTCCCTTGTCCCCCGTGCCTGTTCTCTATGCAGATGGATTCATCTAATCTATGATCTGTGACTGGAGGATGGTGTTTTAATGATCTTGATCGAGTTAAGAGTGTTGGTGGGTGGTGTTGGGTGGGGGTGGGGGGACAATCTTGGTGTTGGAATTCGGTTTCATGGACTCAACGCGATCGATGACTGTGGGCTACGACCCATGATGGACGGACTGGCGCGGCCGCCGCGGTTGACACTGCTGTGCCTGCTGAGGGTGCTTCCCTTCCTCCCTCGCCGCATCCCGAGGACGAGCCCGTCGTCGTCGTCCTCGTCCGCATCTTGGAACCTGTCGGGAGTCGTGGCGCCAGACGACGCGGGGTAGATGTGTACCGGCTCAGCAGCGAGGGGCGACTTGGCGCGGTACGCGCTGGGTGGGACACGACCCGGGTAGCTCTGGTAGCCACCTGGCGTGTTAAGGCGGAACATGTCGATGCCACCAGTGGGGCGGAGGATCGACTGGGCGTCGCCGGCACCGCCCGTGTTGGCACCAGGGGTGGCGGGAGCACCAAGAGCGCCGAGCGGCATCCGCTGGCGGACGGGAGAGGCAGTGGGCGAGTTGCGCGCCTCCTTGCGGGCGAGGGAAGAGACGACCGACTCTGAAAGGTTCCAGTCGGCCGGTGCGCTCTTGAAGCCGTGGCCCTGAGGCAGACCGTCGAGTCCGTCGCTGCTCTCGTCGTCGTCCGAGTCTGGGACGTCACCTTCCCAGTCAAACTCCTCGTCCTCAATGACGGGACGAATGTCCTCGGATAACGTGCTGCCGCGTCGCGGGGGGAAACCAAAGTCGGGACGGCCAAAGCGGTCCCAGCCGTTTGCGCGGTCAGGCGACGGGGCCTGCAGCGGGTGGCCGACACTGGACGGCGAGCCCGACTCGAACGTATCCATGCTCTGCCGCCTGGGAAAGTCGTCGTAGCTCCTGCCGCGCAGAAACTCGGCACCGTGCATTCCGTCGGTGGAACTGGACGCGTGCATGGCATGCGAGTCGACAGAGGAGGCAAAGACGTTGTCGTCTGCCTCGGCGGAGGAACCCGTGTAGCCACGGCTCCGCATGCCAGGGTGGCCGTTGGAGCGCATTGATTGGCGCTTGGCGATTGGAATGTCACCGGAAACACCGCTAACACTGGCCCTGCTGAAGATGTTGCGACTCAGCGCCCCAAGGATGGAACCCGTCGAGCTCGACGCAGTACTCCCAGAGCGTGGCCGCATGTCGGACAGGTCGATGGACTGTTGGCGCCGTCCACTGCTGCCTCCACCGCCACCGGGGCTGCCCTCCGCACGCATCTCGGCCCGCTCAGCGCGCCACCTGTCCAGCGACGTCAACGAAGGCATCTGTCGTGGTGTGGCTTCGGCAGAGTTGCCCGCAGCGGCCGGCAGACGGAGATGCTCGTCGGCCGGGAGTGGATCGTGCGGGGTTGGCGGGCTGCGCTCGAGCGCCGAGGCAAGTAGTCCCGGACGAGGTGACTCTGCACGAGAGCGGTCACGTGTGAGCAGCGACAACCTTCGTGCCAAGGTACCGCCGTTGACAGGAGTCGTTGGCACATCGTTGCCCGATGCCACCCGCCGCGTTGACGAGGGCGCATCAGGGCCCGATGATCCAGTGTCGTTGGCCTCTGAGTCGGTAACGCTTTGGCTACGGTTACGGCTCGACGAGAAGAAACCCAGGCGATGGCTAATGGTCTTGAACCGCTGCCTGAACTTGTCGCGGATGCTGCTGTGGCGGGTGACGGCGGCTTCCACTTCGTCGTTGGTAACAGTCACGTACGACTGGGCGTGCGGGTCCGTCTTGGCCAGCCAGGTCTGTGGGTCTGGCAGGTCGCGCAGGGTGAATGGATGACGCTTAGCCTGCTCAAGAGTCATGCGCTTCGCAGCGTCCTTTTCGAGCAGACGAGACAAGAGCTCGAGTGCTTCCCTGGCCTGCTCACCGGCACTGGGACCAGCACTGATACACTCCTTGCCCATGGTCGCTGGAACCTCATACTGGACGGTCGGAATCACCTGCATGAGGAGGTACTCATTTGCGGCGTCGAATGGCGTCCTGCCAAACAGGAGACAGTAGAGTGTCACGCCGAGGGCCCACACGTCAATGGCGTTGGTGATGGGGTGTCGTGGGCGGCCACGGGGAACGGTGGAAGTGGAGATGGAGCGTGAGACGGACAGACGAGGGTTGGAAATCTCAGAGACGGGGCGGGATACTGGGGGTGGAGGCATCTCGTCGGCTGACCTGCGATGTGCGCTCTCTTCGACAACTGTTGATGGAGGGCGAATTGTGAAGGTTGGGACGCCGTCAGGCTGGGCGGTAGCATTCGGTGACCGGGCTGGCAGGTCGTCGGGAAGCTCCGAGTAGCACATTTCTGGAGCAAAGAAGGCAGGGCTACCGGCCGTCTTTGCAAGCTCGACGTCATCGACGTACGCCTCGCCGTCCTGTGCCGAGGCGGCCAGGAGAGCCTCAGAGTAGTGAGAGCAGCCAAAGTCGGCAATCTTGACGTGACTGCCAGAGATGAGCAGATTGCTGGGTTTGATGTCACGGTGGATAATGCCCTGGTGGTGCAAGTACTCCAGACCAAGCAGCGTGTCGCGAAAGATCTTGCGGGTCTCGGCAAGGGTCAAGAGAGGTGTGCCATCCAGCCCCTTCCACTTGACCTCGCCGCCTTCGCAGTACTCGAGCACCATGAAGAGCTTGCTCGACTCTGGGTCGTCGATAATCTCCTTCATTCGCACAACGTTTGGGTGGTGAACCTTCTTGAAGATGGCAATCTCTTTTCGGATCCTTAGAGTTCCGTGGTCAGTACCTGCACTTCCTGCACTTCCTTCCTTGTGCGAGCTCACTCGTTCTCTGCCACGCGTTTGGCGCCTTCGTTGCGCTTGCCATCGCGACGCCCGAGTCCTGCCAGACGCTTCTTCTTGGGATTCCTCTCGACAATCTTGATGGCCTGGAGCTGTCAGCAAATAGCTCAACCTCCTCCCCATCCCCGTCGCCACTCACATAGAGCTGCCGTGGACGCGGTGCCGACCCTGTGGCAAGGGCGTCCTCGTCGTCGGTTTCCACGCTAGTGTCCTCTCCGAGACGCACGCGACCGTGGGTGCCGTGTCCAATCTCGTGGAGAACCTGTAAATACAGTCAGCCGTGGCGTTCGGCGGCGGCGGGCCAGTGCGTGGTGAAGTGAAGCCTCACCAGGTATTGGTTAATCATTTTGCGGCCAGTCTCCGGGTCGCGGTCTAGGCGAAGCTGGGGCGTCTCGATACTGAACAGTGTGGTCAGCTATATGGCTGTGGGAGGGCTTGGAGAGACAGGCGACGTACACTTCGTTCTCGGAGTTCGGTGAGCGGCCACCGTCATCTTCGCGGCCCTTGCCCTTGACCGAGTGGGAGCGCATAGCTATCGCACCGGCTCCTCCGACAGGACGCTCGCGTTCGCGTGCCGAGCTGTGTCGTGAGAGGAGACGCGATGTTCCGATGAAGCTGCCGCTCTTTGACGCAGAGGCCGAAGAGGGCGCGCTAGCGGTTGCGCCGCTGCTAGAGCCTCGACGCTCAAGGGTAGGCGGCACCACGACAGACGACAGGTGTGGCTTGTGCGCGTGCCCCGTGTTGAATGTCAGTACGGGGGCAGGCTGTCCGATGCTGCCAAGAGACGATGCCGAAGTGGACGGTGACAGATGACGCGTACCCGAGGATGGGGACGGCGGTGCGCTAGGCAGCTCAGTGAGCCGGTGCGCCATCTGTGCTGGTGGGTGGGCCGTCATTGTGGGCGGCGAGGGGCGGCTTGGCGGGTAGGGGCGGCGGCGTACGCAACACGGGCGCGGCGGCAGGCGCTACGTTGCCGGTGGGGGATGGGGTGGTCAAGATGCTAGTGGTTGGGGGGGGGGGAGGATGGTGGTAGGGGTAGCGTGCCAAACAAGAGATGGTCTTTCGATAGAGCCTTCAAGCGATGGCGGCGACAGTGGACCGAGTGCTAGGGGGCGGCGGTGGTGAGCTATAGAGCGGAGGGGGCAGAGAGAGCGGGGCTGCGTGCGCGCTAAAATCGGAGACGGGATGCGGGGTGTGGGAGTGTCGGGATAGCAGGAGTGGGTGTTGAGGCGGGAGCGGGAGTGACGGCGATGGAGGGTGTGGATGAGCAAGAGAGATGAGATGGAGCGATGGCGAGGCGGGAATGAGACGTCCAATCGGTGGTGGTGCCCCCCGCGCGGAACAAGGCGCTCTCTGTCGGCCTGTTTGTCCTCTCGCGGAAACAGTGGAACCAAACGACGTCTGGTCTCTGGCTAGACTGTATTTCGCTTGCGGAAATGCGGGGCAGCGAATGTAATCTGTGTCGATGTGCTTGTGTGTGCGTGTTCGAGACGATGCGTGTATACAGTTGTGGTGTGTGTGTGGGTGTTCCGGGAGGAAGGGGGGTTCGATAGGGGCCAGTCGCTGGAATGCGCGCGTGTGCCGAGTCGACGGCGGCGGCGAGTGTGTCTGGTGTGTGCGTCACTGCGCTGGGAAACCCTTTTCGGCGAGCGAGAGTGTGATGGATGGGGTCGACGGGGTGCGTGGCGTCGACGCTGTGCAGCGATGGACAGGGAGGCGAGTGCGGGGGTGGAGAGCGTGGGTGTGCAGAGGGAAGACTGGGGGTCAAAAGGGACAGACGGCAAGAGGTAAAAGGGGTGGCCGACAGTCGTACAGTGGCCAGTGGTGGTCTCGTGGGGGGGGGGGGGGGTTGTCCCTGGAACAGTGCACGCTGGTACGCTGGCTGGGGGAGGGGGGCAAACGGGCATGCATTCGGACAGACCACACGGCCGTTTCATACACACATAATGGCATCTCTTTGGCTCTCTCTCTCTCTCTCGCTCGCCGTCCGGTGGCTCTTTCCATGTGGGAGAAGGATACCACAGCTCTGGCCAGCTGACCCCATGGGCCATATCGTTGCAACAAGGTCGGGACAGGTCCGTGGTCCAGACGCCAGAACGGGGACAAAACCAGTCTGTCAGCAAACGCACAAACTCTCTCTCTCTCGCTCTCTCTGTGTCTCTGTCTCTGTCTCTCTCTCTTGGACGAAACAAGAGTATCGGGGCAAGGGCATTTGGCACCGGGGAGCACGCAGCGGGGCCAGAGGAACGGACGAGGAACGACGACGATACGGTGCCCAATCCCCGCGCAGCCGACCTGCGGAGGCAGCAGCAGCGTTTGTCATTCCTCCCGACGACCAAAACAGAGTCAAGGCGCCTCTTGGCGGCACTTGTGTGCCCACGCGCCGAGACAGCGACGGAGCGGTATTGATGGAGCGGTGGGACTCTCGGACTCTATACCAGTCACACGTGCGGTGTGTGATGTGTTGCTGACGTTGTAGCTGTGCCACTGAGCACGGCCTTTGGAGTGCACGGGGAGCACCGTTTTTGGTTGTCGCGATTGGCACCGAACGAGCGGGCGACGACGACGACCGTATCGCGTAATCGCTCTGCCGTGTCGCACGGTGCAAAGCCGACGTGCGCATGTGCTCTTTCTGGTTGCTTGGCACACGGCATAAACAACTACTGCAACGGGAGGGGGGACACGGGGGTACATAGGTACAGCAGTACCGCCTGGGACCCGCGACGAGCTGACGAAAAGTGGACGCAACGTGTGGTCGCCCTCGTTCCGGCTGGTAACTCTGCAGCACGACATATGCCCTTGCATGTCACGGGTGGTGCACCACTGTATGGGATGAGGCAAGGTACTGGGGTCCTGGAACACGACAGCATCACACCAAGCCAGCCCTGCCGACTCCCTGTCCGGCACTTGCGCACTTGTGTGTTGCGATGCAGGATACATATGCGATACGGGGTGGCGGTATAAACAGCCTACAGGCCTGCAGGACAGCGACCAAGGTGGGAGCTGCAGGAACGCTAGGCAGCTAGAGAGTGGTACGTCTTTACGGCAGGAATAGTGACCTCTACAGGCAGTGCACGTTAGAGATCGCGCTGTGAAACGTGCAACAACATGTGCACAGGGGACAGGGGGGGAGGAGAAGAACAGAGGCCGATTGTGCGAATCAAGCTGAGCGGTAGGTGGCACTCTCTCTCTCTCTCTCGCGCGCGCTCCAACGTTCGGAAGTAGTGCGACGAAACGACCAAACATGCTCTCACTCCAACCCATTCACATGCCTGCGTGGCTTTCTTTCTGCGAGAACATTCAGAAGCGACCTAGCGCTCCAACTGCTGGGTGGGGGGGGGTGAGGCCCCCTTGTTCCCTTTGCTCGTCCAGGACAAGAGCAGGCCCCCCTTGAACCGAGCAGCACTCTCAGGGAACCCGCAGTGACGTGTGATGAGCAGACGTCGGCGGCTTCCTAGATAACCTGTGTACGGGCGGAAAGCCACAAGGAACCGGACGAGCAAGAAAAGAGTTGGCGCGCGCGCGTCGCACAAACGACAACAGGCATCAAAAGTAAAGGGTTGGGCGCGGAGATAGGGCGACGGGTTTTAATGGAGTGACCCCCGAATTAGGTTTGAGTCGTCGTTGGAAAGTGCTGGAGGCCAGCTTGAAGGCCACACGTTTACCCGATCAGCCGCGGGCGATGCTCTGTACCGGAATCGGACCTCGCTGGCAAGACTAGGGGAGTTGGGGGTGTTGGGATCGACCCCGTCATTGACCGAGCCGTTGGGAAGGGCGGAAGCGGGCTGCGGTCAATTCAATGGCTGCGCTCCTTGCAACCTGCCGAGCGCCAGCAAACGCAAGTATGAGCTCTGCTGGAGCTCGACGAAGAGGTCAATTGGCTGCCGATACCCGAGTCCGGCCCTTGGTCCGAGACATGAGCGGCGGTGGTGTCTGAAAGCAAGGAGCCGCAACATGAATGGCGTAACGAGGATCAGCGTGTGAGAAATCATTTAAAGTCGTCATTTTCCCGCCGTGCCCTCGTCGTCCCAGTTGCCTTGGTGAAAGGGCACCTTGCTAGGCGCTGATCTCGAACAACAGCTTAGATCCTTCGAGACTATGTTGTCCAACGAATGGGTCAATTTGCACTTGGTTTCGACGAGACCCAGTGGCCAGTGCCCAGTGACCCAACCGCCGCACCACCGGCAATGGAGGGAATCTTGCATCATATACAGCACAGGCGGACCACCTAACTGCAGGAGATAAGAGCTTTTGTGGCAGGCCGCGGCAGTGCGTGCACACACTGAAAGCCTGTTCCGTGCTGTGTTGCATTGCAAGTTGCCAAGCGGCCAAGTGGGTTGCGGCTACACAGTTCGCTACAATTTCGGCTCCCATGGCGCTGCTGTTGTATGACGACGTGCCAAAGCGTGGGACGTACCCGTCTTAAGTCTTAAGGGAGACGTCACCTTCCGGTTGGCAAGACAACACTGCTTGATCACAGTTCACCACCACCATTGTCACGACGTTTTGAGGACCTTGTCCAAAACTCGTCGTGACCGGGGGGAACACGACCCCAGATGGCCACTCGCCGTCTCATGTATATCTAGTGCCCGTTCTGTAGTCTTGTATCCATGCCTTCCGAGCAGTCCTGGCTCTTTGCCTCCCACATGTGCCGCGCCACCCAATACTGCTTGCATCAATTCCATTTTGCTTCGTTTTATCTGAACCACGTGACCCATTAGGAACCGTTAACGAGACGACGAGCGGACGAACGATGACACTGGCATGGACGACTGACAAGACGACAACGCCGGGGCGAGGATGACTGCGGCTAGCGCACCGAGACGAACGACCTGTCAACTGCATGGTGGGCTTCAAAGCAAGCACCCACACCCATAACTCAACGAGATTAGAATACGTACTACAAGGGACATACATCACAATACCGACAGACGACGAGGATGATACAGACAAACGAGGTTCTAATAGCGAGCGGACAACGAATGGCGCTAGGTGTGAGGGAATGTTGTTCATGGACGGAACGGGAGGGTCGATGGCGAATGTCGATGGTTCATCGGGGCTGTACCAGCTGTGGATGCCATTCTTATCGACGACGAGTGGGAGGTTTATGAAGAGGCCGGCAAGCTGAATCTCGTTGGCAGCGGAAAGTGTGGGTCGTTTGGAATTGGCTGTACTGGTGAACACGACTGTCGTAGGGCATTCGAGAGCCCACGGTGGGGTTGTGTCGTCTTTGCGAGTCGGGGAACAGTCTGACCCCTTCGGTGGGGGAGTACAATGCCCATTCGGGATAGAGCGAAATACATATTGGCGGACGTTTGATGGTGGCCAATGTTGCACGTAAGCAGTGCAACGGGTCAACGGCGGTGACCTTTGCGAGATGAGGTTCGACCATGGCGCAGTCTGCTCGGATGATGCGCATGGCCTCGTTGGCCTTGTTTACGTTGACAAGGTCTGCGCCTACAGGTCCAATGGCCAGACCACACCCGCTTGGCGCATCATTCAACTCAACAACCAGCTTCCAGCCGTCGTCGGTCACCGTAGGGGGCCGGGGGGCTTGGTAGCCAGGAGGGAATGGCGGAAGACCGCGCAGTCCCTTGCCCCCGCGGCTCAAGATTTCCTCAGGCGAGCCTTGGTGTTTGGTGCACCAGTCGCGGAGGCTGCTGTTCACTTCACGGTCGTCGAGAATGTTGCCCACAGCTGCTTGGTAGATCGCCAAGCCATAACGCTCGAGGTTGGACGGGTGGGGTGCAAACTGGCCAAACGCGGCGAGCTCCACTGGAATGGGCTGCTCAGTCGGCGGCGGGCCATCCTCGGCGTCATACTCCTCCCAGAATACGGCGTACAGCGCGCTCCAGCACACACGCCGCGCGTCGTCGTAGCTGAGGGCTCCCGCGTGTTGCTCAAGGTCTCGCCGGGCCTGCGGGCATATGTCAGCTCGACGTAAAGAGGCGACTCGTACGTACCCAGCCAAACACCTCGTCAATGTCCTGCTCGCGATCGGCCTTCCACTGCGGCCAGTACGGGAGGTCAAAGTCACCGTTGTCTTTGAGGCGCGCCTGGTCTTTGCTGTTGAGGATACGATGCATTCAGCTAGGCTGCACTTGGCGCCGGGAGCTCGGAGGCGTCACGTACCGCTGAAGCACCACATCACAGACAGCGAGGTAGACGGCATAGGGCTTGTTGACAATGACGTCCCATGCGCCATACTGATACGCGTCGTGGAGAGCCACCGTTGCATTCTTGGCCGCCCATTCCATTTGTGTACCGGCGGCAAACGAGCCTTGGAACACGGGAACTGCAAACGACGTCTCGGACCAGTCGGTGCGCAACCAGGCGGGGGCGGGGGTGGGGACGGGGATGGTGGAAGCGGCGGGGCGGTTCGGGAACGGTGGCGGTGGTTCCGATGGTTGGCTTCTTGCGGGACGGCAGGGTGGCTGTGATAAGTGTGGCTTCTGGCCGGCACCTGTCATGTTGTCTGCCATGGCTTGTGTGACGAGGAGAGGCTGGGTTATAGTGGATGCAAGATGTAATGTGGAGGAGGAAAGGTGACGGCGATGTTGCGACGGGGCCAAAAACTAAAAGAGGAAAGACTCTAAACACATACAGGAGGGTGATGGTGTGACTAGAACGGAATTGTTGAAAGGGAGCTTTATGGCATTGTCAGTTTGTCACCAGGTGGTATTCGCCTGGTTGATGTCCAATGGAGGTAGTTGTAACGTTGGGATATGCAGAGATGAGAGGATCAAGGTACCATGGGCCAGTGGAAGGGATCAACGCGTGACATCCTGACAGCTGGGTATCGTCGACCAGTCATTTACATGTGACAGCAGTCTTGTCTGAGTTGCCGCACTGGAGCTTGCGAGACAAACCTGTCAACCTCCAGCTCTCTGCTGTGCAATATCATTGAGGAGGACGCCTGTAAACGCATGGCAAAGAGGAACGGCATGGGAAGACAAATGTGGCACCTTGTTAGTTCCTGTCATCAATGTCATCTCCCGCACGCCTCCAGCACCCAAGGCTGTTTAGACATTCAACCATGCATTCCCCCAGTAGCTAGTAGTAAGCGCCCATAAATGTACATGCACATGTCCTCGTTGGGGCGTGTGGGAATAATGTGTGAATAGCTGTGGGATCGTGGGATTATGGGTGCTTTGTCGCAGGGCGTCGACGTTACCGATGTTCGGGCGTGGGGGCGATGAATTTCCACATGTGTGCGGTGCCATGTCCATCATCTCCATCTTCTCCATCTCCCATTGTCTCACCGACGTTATACCTTGTCTTCCAGCCGCCGTACTGCATCCAGACTCTCAAGTAACCGCCACCACAGCGAAGCCAAGTATCTGGGCAACACGGGAAAGCAAACCGCAGTCCTGTGGCGGGTCTAGGACGGCAGCAATTGCGACTTATAGGCGACACGTGACCATCCAAACATGAGCATTTCCAGCCGGCTTAGCTCAGTGGCATGAGCGTCTGTTTTCGGTTCTTCTGATCGCAGACGGTCGTAGGTTCGACCCCTGCAGTCGGCTAGCAGCAAGCTCCAGAGCTTGCCACACCTTTTTCGATATCCCCAGCTCGAAAGCCAGCACCGCAAGGTCCCTGGCTCTCTGGAAAACGTCTCGGAAATGAAAACGGGTCACTTTTGGTCTCGTGGCCGGCGGGGGACGTGATCGGGTGCTTCGTGGCACCACCCGGTTACACAATGTCCACCCCGAAGACTCCACTCGATGCGTCTTGTCGTATAGATGAATAGCGGTGGGGTGGAGCTGATGACCGCCAGGCGACAGAGCCCAAGGTGGAGCTTGGGGCCGAGCCCGACATGGGGGCAGATCGCGGACGGGCAAGTCCCTATCAACAACTTGTCTGTTCACGTATGGTCTCCTATTGAGCACCGCACCTTGAGCTCCAATCCGAGGCTCTTGTCAGCTGCCAAGGCAACGTGGCGGGAAGGGTGAGCATCACGGACCCTCACAGGCGAGCATGACCAGCCTTCACCTCCTCGTGCGTAGAGGACACGGACCGGCGCCAGACGCCACCCACGACACCCAAGACGTGTACAGCCTAGGTGTACAACCTAGCCCAACATTAGGCGGTGAAGAACAGGCCAATGGGGTCGACGCATAGTCCAGCACGAGATCCCGCATCACCCCCGTGACAGAGGAGGGGAGCTGGCGAGGAAGGTCCTGCTCGCGGTACACGGAACGCCTAAGGTCGGCGGGGACCCACTCCCCGCCTCCCCACATGCCGTCCACGGCAACAGGCACTCACCTTACACTCTCCAAAAGAGTTGAACCAGTCGGGACAACTGGCAAAAGGAGACTGAACCTCTGACGAGATCGCTCATCCGACAATGACATGATTCGAACATGTGCTCCCGAAGGAAATTGATTTCGAGTCAATCGCGTTAACCACTCCGCCACATTGCCGGCCCTGTTTTGTAGAGCAGATGCAGGGCTGTGTGCTGCAGAAAGAATAAACGCGTTTGGACTGTTGGAAGAGAAGATATGACGGAAAACGTGTTGTTGAAGTGGATGGTGAAGATGTCGGAAGGACGATGGGGCCGTGTCGGCAGTGGCGTCGTGCCAATCTTTCTGGTCCCGTCTTTTTGGGCCCGCGCACACAGATGAGCGGAATGATTCTCTTATTACTCCCAGAGGTTGTGTACGTGCTGGACGAGTGCAGGAGGCGAGACGGTCAGAGTATCAACCATTGTGGCACACGGTTGAATGAGGTTGTGCAAACTTTTCGTGACGGTGCAGATCTGTCCACAGAGGGACATCGGAGACTACCCTCGGGACCAGGCACACATTGTGACAGCGGACGAAAGCGCGATGCGTGGATGTCGATCTTCCATCCTGGCCACAGACTAACTGTATAACTGTGTCTTCACGGTGGACGCTGTCGCCGGCTTGAGCTGCTGGCCAGTTTAACAAAGAGCATGGAACATGGGCATGGAAAAGTTTTTACGAGCATCCGTCTCTCTCGTCCCTCGCTGGGCACTGTAGGCCATACGGTTTACGTCCACTACAGCAGCCGCAATATTCAACTTTCAAAAATGGGCCGCAGTCAGATACTGCCCCTCAGCGAATCGCCAGCAGTTCCAGTTGCGATGACTTGGTCGGGCCTGCCTTATTTACAACAGTTCCCGGGTAGGATGTAAAGCGACGCACGTGCACTTCAATGGAGACGACTCAAGAGCGCTGAAAGCCGATGAGGAGAACTCTCAGGGCACAACTCTTTACCACAAAACGAGCCCCCACGGTCCTCTCCATGTGTCACATCGTTCGTCTTCCACTGCACAACTCGCCTTTCACGCTTCTCCTTGACATCATACCACCCATTTAACAACATCGTGGCCTTCTTAGTTCAGTGGTTAGAATTTTTCACTAGTACTTGGCATCACTGCCTGACTACGATGAAAGGGTCACCCGTTCAATTCGGGTAGAAGGCAGGCGCGTTTCATGACGTCCTCTTTTGGCACTTTGATCAATGTATCGCAGTCAACATTGAGGTTCTGGGAGGGGGAGACAGATAGAACGGAAGGAGGGTTCGCTGAGGGAGCGGAAGGTACCACTCGGCGGGAGGTTCTGTTAACAAGCGGGAGGCGCCTGGAGATGGGCGCCACTAGGATGAGTAACAGCGCGATTTCGGCGAAGATACTCGTAGTACTCGCTGGAAGACGTAGAAGACTGTTTGATGACAAGTAGACCGAAAGGAACAGGCCTGCATAGCTGCAGCATAAATTGGGACATGGTAATAAATAGTACTAATGCCACTGCTAATCCCACAGTATCGTGCCACTTTGCCGCAATCAACTGATAGGATCACAACGTTCCTTGCAAGAGATGAAAAGGGAGGATGGTAAGGAGACTAGTACTGAGGTATACAGTAGAAGCGTTGAAGAGTGTATGTGGTAAAGAGGGAACGGAAATGAGATGTACGGCCAGTACGCGACTGTACCGTATGCCCGGCAACGCTTGGGGACGCTGATAGCATAGACCTAGCCGGAGTCGTGAACTCTGTGTAGAGGAGACTCTTAGGGCTGTCTAGACGCTGCAAATGACTGCATAGCAGGTTGGACGGCCGACAGAGAGATGTGGTGAAGAGAATAAGTCTGCATCGCATGTGCATGGAGAGCAATAGTCAAATAGGTAAAGAGCGCAATTGAAATGGTCTAGTGGTCAATATCCTAATGGCAATAAACTCGGTGGAAAAGGTCAAGTGTATCTTTCGTTTCTTCATGTAACGGAACTACGCTGCCTGAGCGGTTGAGTAGCTAACAACCGTTCCACCGTAGATGATGCTGCACACCCGGGAAAATAGCACCCATTCGCCTCGTACGGGGGTTCGAATCCTGTGATTATAACCAGTCTGGATCGAACTAGTCACGGTCTCCGTTATTGCTATTTTGCTTCTTTTTTGCGCCAAAAAGATCGCTTACGTAATTGCCCTTCTGCCCAACAAAAGTGGAGGTGAAGAAGTCTGTATCCTTTGGCAACAAACCCATCCACCTTGCTTCAACTCTACACCCCCCATGTCCTCCGTCGAGCAACCACCAACAGCCGGGCCCAGCGCTCCCAGCACCGCACCTGCCCCCGACCCCGCAGCGGAAGCTCGTGCGGAGGCTCGTGCCGCCCGTATCGCCGCCGCCGTCGAGCGTGGCAAGACCGAATACCAGTCCCAGCACGCCCACACTGAGCGCGGGGTAGGTGTCGCCAATAGGAGCAACTTTCCGTCCATAGCTGACTATTGCAGTGGTTTCTCGATGCCGACCTCGCTGGGCCTAGCAAGAAGGACCGCCAGGCCGTCGAGTACGCGTCTACGCTGCGCGTCCTCGCCAACGACCCCGAAGAAGCCGCCCGCGCCGTCGCCGACATCCGTGCTTGTGCGGGGCCAAAGCTGGCGTCCCTCGCGCGTGATCTGCTCACCACCGGCGTGCGCGCTGCAGTGATTGCCAAGGACAAGGAGGCCGCTGTGGAGTTTGCGCGCGCGTCAAAGAAGCACTGGGCTGCCAACCCTGGTCTGGCTGTCGAGTGTTCCAACGCCTTTGCGTTTGCCGGAGAGGGTACAGGTGGGTCTTGACCAACTCCCGGCATGCTCGCGCTGACAGTGCAGAGTCGACACACCCCCTACTGGCTTCCTTTGGACAAGGTGTCCACTACCCCGTCCTCGCCGCCCTCGACGAGCGCTTAGGCGCCGCGTCTGCCACCGAGGAGGCTGTCCGCGCCCTCGCCGAAGTCGTCCACGCCCTCGCCATGTCGCGCGCCTGGGCATTCTCCCGTCCCCTGTACAGCACCGACAAGTCTACTCGTTCAAGTGGGATTTTACACGGATCCAGCGCACTCCGCGACACACTTTTCAGCATCGACAGGACGGCCCTCCGCCAGGCCCTCGGTGTGGACCCCAGTACGCTCAACGGTGCTCTTGCCAGGCTGGGACGCGCGCTCGGGGGCAGCGAGGAGAACGAGCCTGCTCCAGGCGAGCGTGTGGAGCGCGGTGTGCGCGAGCTGTGATATGCTGTTGATTGTAACTTACGGTCGAGGCCTGTAACCTACACGATGAAGCGTGCAAATATTGTAACTGTATTGACTGCTGTACTGAAAATGCATCCTCGGGCAACAACAAATACACTACTACTGTTCACTTATTTCCTCTAGTGGCTAAACTCGTTGATCAAGCTGGTACCGAGCTTGACGGCCGGTGCCGGGTCCTGGCGTGCCATTTCAGCAAGCGTGAGCAGCTTCTTGACACCGATCTGGAAGGGACGCGCTCCCTCGTCAAACTGCCCAAAGCCGGCCTTTTGGAGGTACTGGATAACCTGGCCGTACTGGCGGTCGTCCTCGAAGAGCTTGACCTCACGAAGACAGTGCTCGATACCGATAAAGTCGTCGATCGAGGTGACGTGCAGCTCGGTGTCAAAGGCCGAGAGCACGTCCATGTCGCGCAGGATGCCCTTGTTGGTCGTGGTGGCAAGGACCAGCAGGCGGCGGCCCTTGGGCGGGCGCTTGCCAAGCAACACGACCAGGGCCTGAAGCACGCCGTTGGAGAAACGGGGACCGATGGGGTTGTAGTCGAGCAAACGCTCCAGGCTGTCGACGACAATGACCGACATGGGCGACTTGTACGAGTCGTTGAAGACCTTGCTGAGAGCGGCAATCTTCTGGGGCTCGCTCATACCGACCATTTGCTCGGGCGACACGAGCTTGATGAACGGGAACTGCGACTCTTGGGCAATCTTGGCTGCCATTGCAGTCTTGCCCGCACCAGCAGGACCCTCCAGGAGGGCGGCAACAAGCGGGGTGCGCTCCGAGTGGCGGACCTGCTCGACAAGGAGGCTACCGTCCTCGAGGATACCCTTGACACGCTTGTTGTAGTGCATGATGCCGTTGGTGACGACCTCCTGGAGCTCCTCTTCGTTGACACCAAACGCGGGCTGCACCTCGTCCAGAGCGTGCAAGAAATCGGAACGCGTAATCTTGAGGTTGTCCAGGTTGTCATAGGCAGCGACAGTGCCGACCTTGATGTGGCGGTTGGTCGCAAACGAGGTGGCACTCTTGACGAGACCGTTGAGCTCGGCACCGGAAAAGTTCTTGGTGCGCGCCGCGAGCTCGGCGAGGTCGACGTCGTCACCCATGACGCCGTTGCTGCGCATCTTGGATGTGTGAATGTTGAGAATCTGGAGACGACCCGACTCGTCGGGAAGCGAAACCTCAATGTGGACCTCGAGACGGCCAGGACGGAGAAGGGCCTCGTCGATCATGTCCATGCGGTTGGTCATACCGATAATGAGGACATTGTTGAGCTGGTCGACACCGTCCATCTTGGACAGGAGCTGGTTGACAACCGAGTCGCCCACACCGGTACCGCCACCGGTGGTGCCACGCTGCTTGCAAATGGCGTCGAGCTCGTCAAAGATGATAATGTGCAGGCCACTCTCGTCGCCCTTCTCCTTTTGCTCCTTTTCAGCATCGGCAAAGAGCTTGCGAATGTTCTCCTCGGACTGGCCGACAAACTTGTTGAGAATTTCGGGGCCGTTGACGACCTTTGGCTCACGTGCGTTGAGCATACCGCCAATCTGACGCGCCATGAGGGTCTTTCCGGTACCGGGAGGACCAAAGAGGAGGATACCCTTGACGTGGTTGATACCGAGCCTCTCGACAAGGCCAGGAGGAAGGATACGTGACGAAAAGGCACGACGGAAGATGGCGGCAAACTCATTGTCGAGACCACCGATACCCATGTCCTCAAACTTGAAGTTGGGAGCGAGAATGGCGTTGGTGGGACGGTTGTTGGATGTGTTCTTGAGCTTCATGGCGGAAGAAGGGTCCTTGGACCAGACCACCTCGGTGTTCTCCATGGTGATACCCGTCGCGCCCTCCCTGCCATCGAGGGTGGTCACATTGCGCACGAGAACCTTGAGCTGGTGCGCGCGGAAATCAAACACCAGGGTCTGGAGCGGTGTGAGAGGGAGGTTCGGGAACGCCTGGAGGAAAGCGCGGCCCATCTCCTCCGAGTCGAACAGGTCGGTCGTCTCCTTGCGCTTGAGGAGGAAGCCGACCTCGAGGTCGACCTGGGTCGCAAACTCGCCACTGCCGGGCTGGTACGGCTCGACGTCGACGCGCTCGCCGATACCTGACAGGCCTACCCATTGGCGGATAATCTTGGAGGGGCCAAGGGTGCCTCGAGGAAGGGTGCCGGTGGGGTCACGCAGAACGGCCATGATGAACTTGTTACGCAAGATCACAAACTCGGTGTCGGCGGCAAAGTCGGCAGGGTTGACAACAAGGCGGTTCGTAAGCGCCAGGTCATCGGAGGGGCAAGACGCGATGCCGAAGCTGTTTTGGTGTCAGTTTTCCAATAACAAGGAGCCGTCGAACTCACACAGCACCACTTCCACGCCCACCAGTTGGTGCATTGCCACCACCGTACGCCGCCGGCTGCCTCTGCTGCTGTGGAGCTGGCTGGGCATAACCCTGCTGAGTAGGGTATGCCTGCTGCTGTGGAGCTGGGGCGCGGTGCTCGTACTTTTCGGACGCGCCGCTCGATGGGCCGTCGTATCCGCGCTGAGGAGCAGGCTGCCTGGGCTGGTATCCACCAGTGTACTGGTCCTGGCTGTAGCCGCCGCCGCCGCCACCACCACCGCCGCCGTACTGGGGCTGTGCTGGCTGCTGACGGGCAGGAGGTGCGGGCGGCGGTGTAGCCGTGTTGGCGTATCCGGGGTGGTTGTCGGGCGGGAGACGCTCGTACTGGCCCGGAGCTGGTCCTCCCTGCGCCGCCCGCCGTTGTGCGGGAGCGTTGGGGTTGTTGCGGTTGAAGAAGGACATGATAAGAGATGAAGGACAAGAAAGAGATGGAACCGACGCGATGACTGACCACAACCATACTCGACGTGGACCTCCACCCGACAAGGACGCCGAGCGGGACCAAATTGTTTGTCACTTTCCACAGGCAATGTCGAGCATTCTCCAGCATCCTCTTTGTTTTGCTTGTCGTCTTTATCAGCATTCCCACCATGCCCTCCTCGCCAGCAGAGGACGAGCTCGTTGGCGCCATCAAGACTGTGCGTGACGCACACCCCGAGCACGGCATCGCCAAGCTCTGGGCACAGCTCAAGGTCGACAACCCCGAATGGACCGTCTCCGAGAAGCGTTTCCGCAAGGCGCTCGCCACGGCCGGCGGTACCGCGTCGGGAGCCGGTGCGACTGCTCCAGCAGAGAAGAAGAGCGGAAAGGGAAAGGCCAAGGGCAAGGGCAAGGCCGACGGTGCTGAGCTTGTTGCTCGGACAGGTCTCGACTCGACGCTGGACATTGACAACATTGCACCAAAAGTCAAGGCCAAGATGTTTGGCGGTACCCGCGGCAAGGGTCTTGTGGCCAAGAGCACGATTGAGGCTGGCGAAGTGCTGTGGCAGGAAGAGCCATGGATTGCTTGCCCCGATCCGTAAGCTTTAACATGCTGTACTTGGAGCTAACAGACAGTGCCCTTGCGCCGCACCTAGTGTCGAAGCGGTTCTGTGCCCACTGCCTTGGCGAGTTCTCCAAGCCCAACCCTCCCTTGTCGCTCGAGTGCCTCACCTGCACCCACGCCCACTTTTGCAACCGCCTGTGTCTCTCGCGTGCCCGCCCATCCGCGTCTCACCACGACCTTTTGTGCCCCGGTGTCAACCCCCTGGCTGGCCAGCTGCAATCGCTCATTGCCGGTCGCGAGTGGCGTTCACTCGACGTTGTGGCCCGCATCATTGCCAAGTGGCGCTACGAGCGTGCTTGGGGCACCCAGGATGCTGCCGACGAGATTACACGGCGCGTGTGGGAGGGAATTGCGCGCGTCAACATGGCCACTCGCGAGAGCGAAAAAGCCGACTGGGCGACGCGCGCCGATTTCACGACGCGTCAATGGAAGCTCGCGCACGAGTCCATCGTTACCGCCCTCAACCCGGAACCCTTCACGCTCGCAGCGCCCCGCTCCACGCGCGGTGCACGCAAGCAGCGTCCCCTGACCGACGAAGAAGTGTCCCGGTGGTTCTCGTACGAGTCCTTCCTCGAGCTGCTGGGCATGGTCAACATCAACCTCGAAGACTCGGGAGGCATGTACGCGCTGCACGCGCACCTCAACCATTCGTGCGATCCAAACATCCAGGTCCGCAACCTCCCCAGGGGCTTTGTGGGGCCTACCCAACTCCCGGCTCCCTTGCCAGCACGCAACCCGCCCGGCGTGAGGGGTACCCACAAGCTGACAATGCTCGCCCGCAACACGATCACGCCCGGCACCGAGCTGACAATCTCGTACGTCAACCTCGAGCTCCCGCGCGACGTCCGTCGCCAGGCTCTCCGTGACGGCTACGGGTTCTGGTGCGAGTGTGTCCGTTGTGAAAAGGAACGTGTCGAGACCGAGGCTGCAGCGCAGCCAGCGGTGACCGCGACTGCCGACGTCGTGGACGACGTGACGGCCAAGATGGACCAGTTGGCCGTGGACCAGGACGAGACGGCCGTCGAGGACATGCTCTAACACCCACTGTAATTTGCCCTCGCTCTAGGCTATAGTCTTCTATCAATGCATGGCATGGTTATATGTAACTCCCTTTACTTGCGACGCTTGACGCTCGTGTCCTTTTTGGCCGCAGCCTTACGCTTCCCGTCGGCCGTCTCGCGCGCCTTCTCCTTGTCCTCGAGGCGCGTCTTCTCGGCCTCCACGGCACGCAGCGTGGACGCCAGCAGGCGCTTTTCGCCCAGACGGACGACGGCGGCGTTGCGCACGTTGAGGCGGATAGCCGGGGACTGGTCTGCGACGACGGCGAGGTCGGCCTCGAGGGTCTGCGGGTAGCGCGCTGCGCGGAGCCGGATCGCGCGCGCAATGACGCCGAGCGACGTCGGGTCCGGGTTGGTGTGTGGCAGTTTTCCGCGCTTCTCTGCGCGTGCCCAGTCCTCGTCGCGCGAGAGCAGGCGCGCAAACGCAATGAGGGCTGGGGGAGCGACGGGCACGTCGTCGTCGTCGTCGTCCTCCTCGTCCGGGTCTGGGAACGACAGGCCAAACACATCCTCCTGGCCTTCCTCGAGCCACCAGTCGACACGCTCCGCGGCAACGTCCACAAACGACGGCTGGCCAAGGAGCTCGGCCGCGGCCGCAACGACAATGTCACCCGAAATCTCCACTTCGTCGCCGGCGTTGCCAAACGCCCACCCGCCGATTTCCTCAGCCGTGAGGCGTGAGGCGATCTGGGCAGGAGGGGGAGCATGTCGACGTGGCCGTACTTTCGCAACAACTCAGAGTTGGGCGGCGAGGCGTAGGTGTTGTACTGAAGGAACATGTCAGTTGCAAGGTCGTCTCCACGACTCACAATCTGCTCGCCGGCCTCAATGACCTTGGTGGTGATCATGGTGTATCCCTCGCCAAACTTTTGCTCGCCGACAGCCGCAGCGGCCTCGTCGTCCTCGTCGTCCTCTCCGTCGGTGAACAGACGCGCATTGTCGCGCTCGTACGCCGCATTCAGCATGTCCGCCATGGGCACCATGACGGCCACCTCTGCCTCTTCCTCGTCGTCGCCGTCCTCGTCCACGCCCTCGGGCGGCGGGCCGCCAGCACGGGTCTGCGGGATGGTGAATGACCGGCTGAGGATACGCGATCCCTGGACGTGGAACGCGTCGAGGGTGAAGTGGTGGGCCGCGGCCGCAAAGAGGTCTGGACGGGCCGCGATCACGGGCGCCATCTTGCCAGTGTACTCTGCCTCGGCGTCCTCGCGCCCAATACGGTCTGCGGGGAAGAGTCAGCCGTCGGGCCAGTGGTGTAATCAAAACACCCACCCTCAATGTCAGTGCCCTTGAGCTCGGCGCGGTCGCTGTCGCCCCAGAACATGGGGCTGTCAAACTCGCGCGGCATGTTGCGCAGGTATCCGCCCCACCTCGACTCGGGCCTGCTCTCCTCCCACATCATGACAAGGATAAGACGCGCCCACCCGCCCTCGAGCGACTCCCACTCGGCAGGACTCAAGAGGTTGCGCAGGTCCGACGTCCATGGCGACAGGAGGTAGTTGAGGGGGATGTGGAAGAGGGGAGTGTGAGGCTGAAAGAATCAGCTGAATGTTGTAACTGTTTGCTTACCTCGATGCGACGCTTGGCCACAGCGCCCATGCCCATGCCGGGGACGGGGACGAGGTCCATTGCGCCATCGTCTATCCACGCGCCGGCCGCGCGGAACGAGTTGACGAGGTCTGTTGCGTCAAAGGTCATTTGGTGTGGGGTGGGTGTTTGGAAAAAGTTGACCTGGCGCCGAAATGACATCAACAAAGCGGCGCCCCTTTCCGCTCAGCCTCTCCCCAGGTGTCACCGAGGACTTCCTAGCTGCTCTGCTCAAAACGAAACATTCTGCATTGTCGTATCTTCTACGCGATTACCAAGCGCACCATGAGGGCCAGCCCCGCGCTCAAGTTTGGGCGTACAGCGGACCTCTTGTTCTACAAAACTTACGAGTCTCCCAATTATTAACCAAAACCAAAGGAAATCGGGAAAAGAAAGGAAAACTGTCCCAGAGGCTACACATCACAAGCAGTACACTGTTTCTCTCTGTCTCTCTCGCACGCGCTCACTTTACTCCGATGTACCACCGATTGCGGCCGCAGCCATGTCGATCGCTACCACTGAGAAAGGTGCTGCAACAACAACATCTTCTAGCGGTGCAACGAGGACGGAGACGTCAACTGGAAAGTCGACAGAGGTGGTGGTTGCCGAGACTTCGGTCGACGCATCGACCGGGGTGGGCTCGGTAACATCGGTGGTTGGTAGTAGTAGTGGTGCATCTGCTGGGTTGGTATCGTGCTTGGCTGAATCGAGTGGGCGCGCCGCCTCAGTAGCAAGCTACGGGTTGCCCCGCGGCTACCAACTCCTCAGTGGTCTCACCATCGGGGGCGGGGGGTTCTTCTGCTCCTCCTTCCATGTACTGCAAGTCGTCCCATCGACCTTGGTCCGTATCACCGTGGCCTGTCATGTCCTCGAGACCGGTGAGATCCATGTCGTCAAAGCCATGAAACTCGTCAATCTCGAGGGATGTGTCCACGTCAAGCCACTTGCCGTGGTTGAAGTGGGTTGGGCGGACTCGGGGTCGGGTGTGGATTCAAAATGGGCGACTGTAAATGTGGTTGATGCTGGGTCGGCTGTCGTTGTGGTTGCTTCGCCGCCTTTGGTCTTCTCTGCCGCCGCCGCGGCCGTCATCCTCGTTATCGTCGTCGTCGTCGCCTTCCTCGCTATCGAAATCGGTATTGCTGCTTCATCGGTTATCGTCTTGACGTCGGCCTCCTGTGAAATGGACTCAAAGAGACTCTTTGGGGGATTAATGACTAGCGAGGGCAAGAGGAGAAGAGACGAACACTTTGGGACGTCTTCACCACGTGCACGGGCCGCAGCCTCATCTTCATAAATCTTGCGGAGCGCTTCGTAGTCTTGCTTGTCTTTCTCAGCTTGCTGGAGGTACGGCTGGGGGGAAAAGTGGGTGAGCACGACTTGCAGATCATTAGTCCAACACCTACCCTCTTTTCTTCGTCAGACAGACCACGCCAGCGCTCGGCGGCGAGCACACTCTGTCTAGTAGTCTCAGTCTCTTCACCCCACACTTGCTTTCGGAGATCGTCGTTCTCGCGGATACCCTTGAGGAACAGGAAATAAGCGGAGAGGGGCTTCTTGGGTGCGTTGGGGTCCTTGAGGTTGCCCTTGCGCGACTTGCCCTCCTTGCGCATCTGAGCGCGGTACGCGTTCTCGGCCTTGATGTCTTCAGGCGTGAGAGTGGCCTCCCACGCGGCGCGGTCCTTGGCGTACTGGATCTTGCCCTCTTCAACCTTGCGAGCGTAAAAGCCCTTGCGGTCATCCGACAGCGCATGGTAAGCCTCGCCGGCCTCCTTGGCAATGTGGGCGACGTTGAGCTTGGGGTGGATCGGTGTGCCACCGGGCGAGGTGCCTGCCTCGGCCTGAGCCTTGGCCTTGGCCTTGTTGAGCTCGTCGTTGAAGAAGAGCTGCCAAGCGGACGGAGCGGGAGGCGGGAACTTGAGGGGCGACTTGAGAGGGGCCTTGGGAGCAGGCTTGTCCTCGTCCTTCTTCTTCTTGCTCTTGGACTTGGTTTCCTTGACCTCCTCCTCGGGAGCAGCGTCAGAGGAGCGCTTGCCGAGAACAGGTTCCGAGGGGGCAGCGGCAGCGGCGGCGGCGGCGGCCTCCTTCTTGCTGCTCTTCTTCTTGCTGCCACCACTGCTGGCGGCCGGGGCGGCAGGGGCAGCGGCGGCCGGAGCCGGAGCAGCTGCAGCGACGGGGGAGGGCTGCTGGACTTGGTGCTGGGCGGCGGGAGGATAGTATTGCTGCTGACCGCCCCACTGCTGCTGGTTCCAACCGCCATACTGGCCCGGAGGGAGCTGGCCACCCATCTGGGGGACGGGCTGGGGAGGAGGAGGGAAGGGGTGGTGGCTACCATAGTTTTGCCACGGGCTCACAACAGAAGCGCTGGACTGGCCGCTGCTGCTTCCAGGAGGACGCTGCTGGGCCGCCTGTTGGGCCTGGGTGGCCGACTGCTGGCCACTTGCGGCAGGCTGAGCCTGGGCCGCCTGCTGCTGTTGCTGCTGCTGCTGCCACTGCTGGTGGCTGGCGGGCTGGCGCGAAGAATCCCAGTTCTGGTACGACGACGAAGACTGCTGGCCAGCGGCCGAGTAGTCAAACGAGCTGCCACGGGCCTGGGACGCATGCGACTGCTCGCTCGAGCCGACTGCCGAGCCGGGAACAGTGGACAGGGCGCCGGACGAGGTCTGGCGCTGCTGAACGGGCTGCTGAGCAAAGCTAGACGGGGCATTGTAGTGCTGTTGCCACTGGCCACCGCTGCCGTGGTGCTGGGACTGCTGGTCGTAATAAGGGTAGTAGCCGTACTGGGGGTGCTGGGATGCGCTATGAGGAAGAGCGGCCGAACCAGACTGCTGGTACGGCGACTGGGTGACATCGGCCTGGCTCGATGCAGACTGGCGGGGGTAGTAGGCGGACGGAGACGTGTTGGCGACCGACGAAGCCGAAGCGGCTGCCGGGGACGAGGTCTTGGGGTTGGAGGTGCGACGGGATGCGGATGGAAGCGATGGCGAGGTGGTGTTGTACAAGCTGTGGTCCGGTCAGCACTGGTTGCGCCATACCGGTCTTGGCCGGCGGCCACCACTTACCTCATTCCGCTGCCATAGTTGTAGCCTCCGACTCCGACGTTACTAAAGCCTGCAGTCTGCTGGTAGCCTGCATACTGGTCGTCGCTGGCACCGGTGGATGCGGAGGTGTCATATGCAGACCTCGGGTTGGCCGGGTTGCGTGGATGGGCGCTGCTGTTTGGGTACATGTTGTGGTGGTGGGAAGGCTGCTGTTTGGTCAGCGGGGTTTTGGTGGGCAAATTTAACGCACGTTACTCCAAGACTGCGCGAGATGACCGGGGTGGGTGGCCTTTGCAGTTGTATTTTGCATGGGGTGGGTCACGAACTGACCACTGTTGATTGTTTTCGGGGTGGATGGATGGGTGGATGGATGGGTGGAAGGGAAAGGAAGGAAGAAAGGAAGGAGGAAGGAAGGAAGGAAGCGGGGGGTGGGGGGAAGGGATACAAACACCGGATGCGGTTGGTTGGGTGCGGGGGGGGGGGAGGGCAGGAAGGAAGACCGGGGTTGTCAGGGTGGGGATTTCAGAACGCGAGCCAGTCAGTCGTTGTTGGGAGCAGAGGTGGTGGTGGTGGATGCAACGAGGATGACGAGGTGGATGCAGTAGAGAGGAGGGAAGACGTCAGCACTGGGGTGTGGATGTCATCATGGGAATGCTGGGTGCTCACCGCTGGAAGAAGTTGCGGGAGGGTGGGCAAGGTGTTGGTTCTCGGTGTTATCCAAGAAGCGTCCCAACTGCGTCTTTCCAAAACGATGTGTGTGATGGATTGCTGTTGCTGCTGGTTGTTGTTGATGTGTGTGATGCTTGTGCGCTATCGATAAGCGTTGTGCGCTATGCAAAGAAGGATACCGAGGTTGTTTGGTTCCAGGACAAAGGACACGGCGGCGGAGGGAGAGGGAGAGGGCTCTCGAGGACGCGCGCGCACAAGAGCGAAGAGAGACTGGCAGGCGCGGGGGGCCGGGGCGAGCGAGGGGGCAGATGATGGTGTCGACGACGGCCAAAAGGGAAGGACGCGATGGGAGATGAGCAGCCTTGGGGGCGCAGTGGGGGTGTGCGGCAGTAACGCGGAGGGGGGAGGGGAGGAGAGCGAGGGAGCGAGAGGGAGCAAAGGACGAGGACAGAGGAGGATTGAGTGGGAATGCGCCTGTGCGTGTGGGTGGGTGGGTGTCGGCGGCGGCGTGCGCGTGCGGTGTGTGATGCGCGGTGCTTGTTGCTACTCTGCGGTTGTGCTGCTGCTGTGCTTGAGATGCGCACAGGGAGAGGGAGCGAGGGGGGGGTAGGTGTGTGTACTGGTGGGACACTTGGGTGCAGATGCGGCAAAGGGGAGGGAGGAGGAGGAGGCAGATGGGGGGCACGGGGAGAATGTGCTTTGCGGGCGGGGGCAACAGAGAGAGAGAGGGAAAGAGGTGGAAGGGGGAGAGACGAGGAGGGGCGGGGGGGCGGCGTGGGATGAGGATTTGTGGTGTGTGGGTGGGCACAAGCGGTGTGTGTCGGTGGGTGGGTGGGTGGGAGAGGGAGGGAGAAAAGGGGGGGCGAGGGGGTGGGCGATTTGGGTCCTTTGCTTCCTTTGGGGGAGAGAGAAGGGGGGGAGTTTGGGTGCTCGGACGTAAGTTTGGCCGGGGGATGGCCTGGGTGGGGAGGATTTGCCTGGGTGTTTGGGTGTGTCAGGAAAGGGGGCCAGAGGGGCCGGGGGACACGGGCTGGGCGGCGACACACACACACGACACACACACACACGACGACGCATTAGCCCGCGCCCACGGGCCAGAGGTACCTCAGCCCACACAGAGCGTCGCCTCCCGCAGTCCAAGCACAGGCATATGCGCTAGGGCAAATTAGACACGACACACACACGGTGTGTGTCCAGCACTTTCTCCCAAATCACGCCCCAGCCACGCCCAAACACCCGCGCGCGTAAGCCAAATCTCCCTCGTCTCTCCCTCCCTCGTTTGCAAATGGGCGCCAGGCCCAACCCCGCCCAGGACACATTTCACCGCCCATCCGCCCCGTCATCGAGGGCCGCAACGGCACGGGGCGCTCTGGTAGGCTCCCTGGCAACAGCAAGATCAGCGTAGGATCAGCACAAGATCAGTCAAAGTCACGTGACAGCCGGACCCTGCCGGCACAGGTTGCCAGCAGGCGTTTTACGGTAATATTTCCAGCCACGTGAGTGTGGCCCATTCTTACGTCCACGGACATGCACCCCGCATCTCCGTCTTCGCCACCTCCACTCTTCCTGGAGTGGAATTTCAGTCAACCCCCCGTCAGTGTGTACCACCCCCACTCCCCCCCCCCGACACAACAGCCATGCCGGATATCAAGCTGCGCAACCAGCCGTTCGACCTCGTGTTCCACCCGCGCGAGAGCGTCGTCTACGCCTCGCTCCTCACAGGAGAGGTCAAGGCATGGCGCTACGACGATGTCACGGGCGAGACTAGCAAAGGTTGGAGCGTCCGCCCAACGAAGCGTACCGCCCGCGCCCTCGCCGTCGAGGCCGATGGCACCGGCCTCTGGATGGGCGGTAAGAGCGGCGTGTTGTGGTGAGTAGTTGGGTTGGAGGAGATGGCTGGTGGTGGTGGTGAGGGAGTGGGGTGGTGAGGGAGTGGGGTGGTGGTGAAGAGTGTGGGTTGAGAGGTTAGGTTTTGGTTGCAAGAGAGAAACAAAGTGGTCGACGTGTGAAGCCGAGGCGAGACCCATGGCCTGATGGCCTGTGAGAGCCAGAGCCACACTGTCGTCCTCCTTGGGTCCTCGTCCTCCCTTGTGAATCACACGCGCACGCATCACACGCACCAGCCTGTTACCTCTTTCGCCGTGTGCGGGGCAACCCCAAACGCCCCAAACGCGCACCCTTTGACATTTGCCTGCCACTGTGCGATCACGCACACATACACATTTACACGACCTTGCTTTGTTGCTTTGCGCTGACGCCACATAGCCGCATGGATGCGTCCACGGGCACTGTGCTGCGGGAGCAAGACGTTGCGCATGCGTGAGTTTCAAACGATCCAGATGATCACCCGCAAAGGCCAGTCGGGGGTAGACCACTCTGCATGGCCCCCGACACGCTGTGCTGTGAGAAGGGAACCTGACGCCGCCGCAGCGCGCCTATCAACCGTGTCTCCTGCATCAACGAGCAGCTGGTTGTCAGTGGCGACGACGAGGGTGTCATCAAGGTATGTCGTACCTATACCCTCTCCTAGGTGCTCCTGGGTGTCCTGTGGCGTTTACACACACTGACCACTTCTACAGTTCTGGGACCCGCGCACTGCCGGCGACCCCGTGAGGACCTATACCCAGCACTGGGACTACATCTCCGACTTTACCTACTACGAGGACAAGCGCCAGCTTATCACCACGTCCGGAGACGGCCACCTGAGCGTCATTGACGTGCGCTCGTCCAAGGCCGAGCCCATGTCCGTCAGTGCCGACCAGGAAGACGAGCTCCTGTCCATTGCGCAGATCAAGGGCGGCGACAAGTGTGTCGTCGGCACCGGTCTCGGCGTGCTGTCCATCTGGAACCGCAAGCTCGGATGGGAGGACTCGGTCGACCGCTTCATCGGCCACCCGGCGTCGGTCGACGCCGTCGTCGCACTCACCGAGGACGCCGTCGCCACCGGTTCAGAGGACGGCATGGTGCGCGTCATCAACATCACCCCCAACCAGTTCCGTGAGTTGCACGCTTGACAGTTAATGGGCGTCCACTGACACCTTTGCTCCAGTCGGCGTGATTGCCACGCACGAAGAGTACCCCATCGAGCGTCTCGCCCTGGACCGTTCGGGCAAGTGGCTCGGCTCCGTCTCGCACGACCTGTGCATCAAGCTCACGGACGTCGAGGACATGTTCGAGAGCGACAACGAGGACGGCGACGAGGACGAAGAGATGGATGCCGACAGCGACGCCGAGGGTGTCGACGCGGAGGACGCCGAGGGCGAGGGCGAGGGCGAGGGCGAAGATGCCGAGATGGAGGACGCAGGAGCTCCCGCACCCGCCGTGGACTGGGGATCAGACTCGGACGATGGCGCGGCCAAGTCCAGGAAGAAAAAGGACAAGGGCCCTAAGATCAAGTCTGCAAAGGCCGCCATGGCGGCGGCCCAGGCTGAGGAGGAGGCGGGTTTCTTCGACGACCTCTGAGTATCCGTTTGCCGCGCTGAGGTGGGTGGGGAGATGGAGGGGCCCGGGGTAGACGGATAGAGAGGGGTTTCAGATACTTTACTGCCACTATAAAATGTATGATTAGCCCAGCGAGGGGAAGACCAGAATGTTGGTGGACTGTTGCATAAACACGGGGAGCTCATTCTCGCGTCTGACCCGTTTCCCCTCTCCCACGGCACCTTGTTAAGATGAGACTTGGCTTTCGTCTGACCCATGTATCGCTACCCATCCGTCGCTCTCCCTTCCCTGCGCCTGCACCTTGTTGTGGATCTATAAATATAGTGCATTGGTATGATACAACTAGCAGTCTCTGTCTGTGTCTGTGTGCTACACCTACTTGGACTTTGCAGGGAGACCGATCGCACGGCGCTTCTTTGCAATGTCCTTTTCGAAGCGGGCCTTTTTGGGGCCGGCCTTGCGCTCGCCCGCGTCCACCGTCGCGCGCTTGCCGCGGTCGGTAATGTCGTCGCGCTTGGCGAGCTTGGAGTTGACGCCGTCCCACAGTCCGCGGGACCCGCGCTCGCCGAGGACACCTTCCAGCTCGGCCTCGAGGCCGTTCTGGCGGCGCGTACGGCCGCGGCCGCCGACACCAAAGCCCAAGGCGAGGGCCTCTTCGTCGTCGCGACGGCGCTTCATCTCGCGCTTGGTGGTGACGAGACGCGTCATGTTGTCCTCTTCGAACTCGGCAATGCGCTTGAGCTCGGCAGCGCGCTTGGCCGACACGCTGTTGGTGTGCGCGCCCAAGACGACGGGGCGCGTCGACAGACCCGACGTCGTCTGGAGACCGGGAGCGCCGTCGAGACCCTGGGCAAACTCGGAGAGAAGGGCGGGCGCACGGCGGTCCTTGCGCTTCTGGGTGGCGGTGTCGGGCTCGTCGTAGCGCATGGCAGCGACACGGGGCGGGCGGTAGACGCCGCTCTTCTCCTTGCCGTCCTCCTTGGACGACTGGGTGGCATCGGCGCGCGCAGCGTCGACCATGGCGCTGGCGTTGGGGCGGAAGGAAAGGGGGTCCTCCTCAAGGTCGGCGGCGGCGGCCTTGGCCTTGCCAGCAGCCTCGGCGAGGCCGACGAGCTTCTTGACCTGGTAGTCGAGCTTGGTCTCCATGCCGCGGACCTTGTCCATGACGTCGTGGCACAGCTGGAGCTCACCGGCGAGCTCGTTCTCCCACGCGGCAGCCGAGGACGGCTTGGGGCGAGCGGAGCGGCCAGTAGCAAAAGGGTGGGTGAGGGCCGCAGAGGGGGCCGCGTCCGGGGTGTGCTCGGCGCACGAGCTCAGGCGCAGACCCACAAGCTGGACCAGGTGGTGCAAGCTCGCGAGCAGCATGTGTGGGCGCACCAGGAGGAGGGAGAGGCCGCCAGACAGGTCGAGGCTCTCGTCACCAGCCTTGGCCTTGGCGAGGAGGGGCGCGGCGCTGGACGCAGTGGCCTCAACAGCCACCTGGAGCGTGTCCAGCAGCTTGAGGATGTCGGCGCTGCTGGGGGCAGCCTCGTCGTCGCTCATCTACAGCTTGTCAGCGGTCTGGTCGTTTTACAGGGGAGAGATCAAAAGTCCTTTCTCTGCGGTTTTGCCCTCAGTCGCGAGTTTTCTAGGCTCGCTATACGCTCCTAACGTATAGTGGCTTTGTGCATCGTGCGTCGTTTTTGACTCAGTGCCCAGTGCTTGGATCATCCTCGGGCGCAGAGGAAAAAGTATTCTTTTGGCGTTCTTTGGCAGCGCGCGACTTACTTTGGAGGAGTGGGAGAAAGAGAGGTGTTGTGAGGGGGGTTGATCCTCTGCCCGTCTTGCGCGCAGCGCTGGGCTTTTGCGGTGGAAGGGAGGGATGGGAGAGAAAGAGGTGGGTGTTGTTGGGAAGAATTTGTACGCCGGGGACGCCCATATTCTTTCTTTTGGGTGCGAGAGGGGGAATGGCCGCCCAGCGTGAAAATATGCTTCCGCTGGGTGTCCGAGCGCGGGGGTATTTCTGCGCGTCTGCTTTGTGGCGGCGCGAGTGGCATTATGGGGAGACGCAACGGGGGATGTGTGGTGAGGATATCTTGCCCTATGCATCGTTTCTCGTGTTCTGAGTAGCATGGTATAGGAGCTGGGTATAATAAAAAATTATGGACGGCCTATTGTTGGTGTTTGTGTACCTTGTTGTCGCTGGCAACAGCGTGCATGATGGGAGCAAAGAAAAGAAGTTTTGCAGGTAGGAATAAATGCTGACTTTGGCTACATCGGTGTCGTGACAGGCTGACACACATGGACAAATTCAGTCACACTGACACAGGCAACACAAAACAAGTCCCTGTAGCTGCAAAAGGACAACAAGGCGGACAACAAAAGTGCACAAAGACAGGGCACTCCTCAATGTCCTCGGTGACAGGACTGCTGGACGACTGTTCGCCAACAACATCCACCAGCCCTCACGCGGGCTGTCCAGTACTGAAGTTCGCTGCCTCTGTCGCTTGTCATGAACAAACATAATCCAGAATAGATCCAAGCAACCTAGTATGCCTTGAAGGACGGGAATGGCCTACAGAGTAGGGAGGGGAGAGGACGCCAGTAGCATGTCATGTCGTTCTTCCAACCTCACGAACGGAATCGAGGCCGCAACGATGCAGTTAGTGGCATAGACAAACCAGAAACGACAACTTTGGGTACAGAGCGAAACCCCAGTGGCCAATGGCAAGTGGCACCAGTGGTCAGTGGCCCCGGCAGCGCCGTCAAGCTGTACACCACAACAGCCCTGGCACGCTGAATTTGTTCCCAGAAGCGAGTCACCGGCACCACAAGGACCACAACGCTCCAAAATCATGGTCTTTTGCGGCCATACGTGTGGCGCGAATCCAAGCATCGTCGAAGAGGAAGAACAGTACTGGAAGTATACAACAAACAAACCCCAGGCCGCTCGCTCGCATCACTGCAGCCGGGGCCACGTACGCCGTTCGGCGCAGTGCAACATTCTATAAAATCGCGGTGCCCCGCTCACCGCATTTCGCCGGGTTCGTTTGCTTCTCTCGATTGCACCGACTTTGCATTCGACCACCTCACGCCGACCATGCCATGACACCCGCCCCGAGCGACAGCGACGAGCAACATGGCTCACCCGGGGCCACTGCACCGGTCCTCGTGGTCGTATCTGGCGTCCCCGGGGACTCCATGACCAAGGCAGTCACCATCATCACTTCATGCGGCAACGACGCCGTCTCGCCGCTTGAACGCGGCGACGGGGCCACGACAGTCCTCCCGCCGCCAACGACGAGTACGAGCGCTGGCGCGGCAATCACTCGCTCCCTGCTGCTGTTCATGGGTGTGTATCGACTCAGCGAGCAGGTGCTAAATACCCAGGTTTCATGTTCAGGCGACCGAGCAAGCTCTTCCGCCCTAATCGATGTGGGTTACTACACCGATAGTCACCGCATGCCGAGTTCTGACATTCTTCAGTGGACACTTGGGCTGGGCTGCGACAGCTCGCCGAGAGCGCCGACCAGAACCTATCGCCATCGTTTGTGAGGTCCATCTTCAAGCTCAAGGGCGGCGTACGTTGCACTCTACTGCTCAAACCCATCATTCGCTGACATGCACGTGCTTCCAACCTGATTTGCCGCGTCTGCCTCGACCATTCCTTTCCCAACTGGCCCCTGCTGCTGACATGTCACGGTAATGCAAACGCTGATCCTGTGCATCCCACAGCCCATCGTCGTCGCCGCTTCCCTCCTCCCCCCACTCCTCGTGAACACGACCCTCGGCTTCCTCCTCTTCTCCTCGCACTCCCTGCTGTCGCTCTGGCTTGCCCGCCTCCCTTACTTCCATCGGCGGGTAGCCGACCCGGTTTCTGAGGAACATCAGGACCTGCTGGACGAGCTCATCCAGCGCGACTTTCTCGGTGGCCTGGACGGCGACTATGGCGTGGCCACTGGCGACGCCATTGTCGAGGAGGAGGTGACGTTTGAGACCATCATCCGTGGCCCGCGTACCATCCCCGCGCATCCGACGCTGTTGAGCGCGATCGCGGGCGCTGGTGCAGGTGTGATACAGGGCATGGCGTTTACCCCGATCGAGAACATTGTCAAGTGAGCGATAGCTGGCAGCGAGATATCCAGCGCAGTGCTCACGCACCCACCCACAGGTTCTTCCAGCAGTCGGCCGCGTCTGTCACCGCCATCATTGCCCGGTTCCTGCGCCTCCCAACACCAAAGCTAACGACTGCGCTCACCCAATCTCTGGGACCTGGTCCACCGCCTGCGTCACCGCTGGAAGCGCTCCGCAACCTGTTCGCCGGCTCGTCGTGGCACAAGAGCCAGTCGTGGTGGAGCGGCTGGCGCTGGGCCGTTGGGCGTGATGCGTAAGTGTCGATGGACGAGCTACGGGACCGAACAGGGCGTATAGCTCACACCACAGCGTATCCTACTCTGTGTTTTTTGCCACATTCGACATCACCCGCCGTGTCGGCCTGCGGGTCAAGGCTACCTGCATGCTGCACTCTTCGGGCGACCACCCAACATCCTCCATCGCCGCCGCCGCCGCGACCCCGCCGCCCGAGACGCCCCTCAAGGCCCGGCTAGCGCAGGCCGGCACCATCGTCGCAGGCGGCATCGTCGCCGCCACGGCTGCCGAGGCCGCCGGCCGCCCGTTCCGCCAGTGTTCGCGCCTCGTCGCGCTGGCAGCAAGGGAGCGCGGCCGGCTCACGAGCGCAGGTAAAGAGTCCGAAACGCCATGGCGATACAGGCATCCCATACGGTACGCGTACCAGAAGCGCGGTGCTGGCTTCTTCTTCCATTCCAGCCTGCACCCGAGCCCAGACGAGACGGGCAACCGCGCGCTCCGGGCCCTGCAGCGGTTTGGATGGAGGGTCGCGTCGGTCACGCCGTGGGGACTGGGGTTCCTCGTGTTTGCGTATATCGGCGGCGAGGTGTAGCGATTGCCCTGGGAGTATACATGCATAGAGATAGACAGCAGAGGTTAGTGTGCACAGCAAGTTGGAAGCGAGGGCCACAGGTTAGAGCAGACAGAGACGGGCGCACGCGGCATAGAACAACCATGTTGCTTTTGCTTCTTTCCTGTTAATTTCCAAAACTACTTCGTCCTGGCTGCCCCTGTCGCGCGGGGTGTGCCTATGCCTTGCCTCTCGTCTCCGTCCTCGTCTTTTCGTCTGCCGCGCCGTCTCGTGCTGTGCGTGCGTCGTGTGCGAAATGCGAATGTATCTACATCTTGGCCTTGGGTTCGCTGCCCATCAGACACTGTCTCCGTCGTTCTCCATTCCCCTTCCTCCTCTACCTCTCGCCCCCCCTCCTCTCTCCACATGCAAAAGTCGACACACAGTTACACTCACACATCAAGCGAACCGGCACCGCCGTGCTGCGTCGCCTCGGCCTGGAGGGCCTGCTCGCCAAACTCGCGCGGGATGGCACACTTGCCCAGGATACCAATGATGCCGCCTTCAGTGTTGGCCGCGACGGCGTCGAGGGCCGCGTCCTCCTCCTTGGACTTGACAAGGAGCATGCCGGCGTAGCCGAGCGCGTTGAGGTCCAGAGGGGGCAGGCCCTCGGCGAGAGGGTACTGGGGCGCCGAGCGGGGGATGAGGTGAAGGTGCTCGCTGGAAAATGTCAGCTTGTCGTCCGCGCCCAAAGCCAAAGTGGCAATGCACTGTGTACTAACGTCGTGAGCAAGAGGTTCCAGCCCTGGCTCCTGTCGCCACCACTGCGGCGGAGAGCGTCGAATGCGAGGTCCAGCGAGCGCATGAGAGCCGGGGCGAGCTCGTCGGCGAGGTTGACAAGGTCGTCCTCCGAGGGAGGGTACGGCAGCCTTGAGACGGGGGGCAGCGGGTGGACAATGTGGAGGTAGGGGAGGTCGGGGTGGATGATTGCGCGGTCTGCAAGGTCAGCCAAAGGGCGTTGAATGACGACACACCACGCAATGTGTCGCTCGCCCACATACTGTCGGCTTACTCACCGTTACGCTCAAAAGTGACGCCGTGCATCCACTCCTCGACGGGGGCCGGGCCGTCAATGAACTGAACGTGCCTCCAGCGCTGGGACGCGCCGGCGCCGGGTCCACCGTTGTAGAAGGCAAAGAGACGGCGGGGAGGCGAGCTACGCAGGCCAGCCTGGAGAATCGAGTAGACGCGCGCAAGCTGAGCAGGCGTGGGAGGCACGTTCTGGGGCTGCTCGCTGACGGGGCACAGGAGGAAGTGCTCGGGGAGGACCGCAAACTTGTTCAGCTGGACAAACCGTCAGCTCATTTGCTTGCCAAGTCCACAGCTGAGAAAGGGCGTCAAGCCGTAACCCATTGCCGAGTCTGCTCGGGTAATGACATTGGGCCGCTCGGCTACATGTCCAGAGCACTTACCAAGACGCTCATGGTCTCCTCGCCGTCGATGCCGGGGACGCAGCCAACGTACAGGCCAGCGACGTAAGGGGGACGGAAGGGCGAGGGCCTCTCGGGCGCGTCGGTGCGCACGCGCTTGGCCTCGGGCTCAGGAGCGGGAGGCATGATGTCGGCCATCTTGGCACCAAGGGCGGGGCAGATGGTGACCGCAACCTGGCATTAGCGAGAGGTCAAAGAGCGGGAGAGGGGGGGAAAGAGATGTCAGGGGAAAGAGGATGGAAGAGCAAGGTGTTGTGTAGAAGATGAAGGGCGAAGACAATGACGGAAGGCGGTCGGGTACGGGACGCAAAACAAAGAAACGTTCCTTACCTTCTGCCTGTCACCGACATAGCGTGTCGACGACTCAAAGAAGATGAGGTCGCCGCTCTCCTTTGCCGCCTTCCAGTGGCCAGGGAGACGAGCGAGAATGTCTGCGGGCGCGACGGGGTCGACGGGGTGAGCAGTGGCCATGGTGGGAGTGTGGGTGGTTGCAACGTCTTGCCGGCGGCTGACGCCGCTTTTGGGGGTGGCCCCGGGGTGGAGGAGGCGCCAGTGCCCCGTTGCCGGGCAGGCAGGACGGAGCAGCCGAGAACAATGCTGCCAGCGACGGGTCAACAGCATTCACACTGTGTGGTAGCGGCGAAAGCGGTGGTAAAGTGTACAATGATGAAATGAGACCAAGTGCCTAAAACTACATGATGCATAGAGGAGACCACGACATTCTACTCCACTGCCCTCCCGCGCGCCGGACATGTTCGAACCTTGACACCCGATCGACATCTAGTCTGAGCTCGCACATCCACGGCATCCTGTCCATTAGCACATGGCCGTTGTCGTCAAGGAGCTCCAGAGAGCTCCAGAGGACTTCCGGAGAGCGATACTCACCGCAGTTGGGGCACTCGACCACGATGCCGTTCTTCAGGCTCGCCTTGGGCACACGACAGATACATGTCGAGCCCTGGAAGTTGGAGTCACGGGTCTGCACACAGCGAACGCAGCAGAGCTTCTCGTATCCGTTCCTGTGTAAGCAGGTAGCAGGAAGGTAAGGAAGGAAGTAGGAATCGAGCAAGGGAGGCGAGTGGTCAGCGGTCGTCCAAGAGATATACACGGGCCACGGGCCAGCTTACTTCTTCCACTTGGCTATCAAGCTGCTGGGTTAGCGTTGCGTTGGACATCGAACCCACTTGGCATCGGCGTATCCCTGCTTCAGGAGCCAGTCGTACAGCTCGCGCGAGATGAGCTCGCGCTTGTAGTACAGGTCGTAAACGTAACGCGAGCGAGCGTGCGAAATGCGCATCACGGGCCTGTGGGCGCAAATGTGTCGTGTGTAGAGGGAAACAAGACATGGTTCCAGTTGGATAACAGGTGAGGGAAGGGAACGTCAGAGACACAGAGAGAAGCACGCATCAGAAGAGCACGTCGGCGGACATCAAAACAAACGGTTGAAAGCCGACAGGGATTCGAGAAGAAGACTGGTCAGCTCCACCTGATAAAAGGAAAGGCGGTAATACGCACCACACACTCTCAACCTTGCGCTTTCCCTCATGCGAGTCGTTCTCGGCATCGCGCATCTTCTTGTCGTACTCTTCCAGAACATCCCTGTCCGTCAGCTGAGGTTCACGAGGCCCGCAGCTGAGGCATTTCACGGCCGCACTGTAGCACATGGTGTACTCACTGGATGTCCTCAAAGCCCTCGGGAGGAGGCTTTGTACGCGATGTCCTAATGCGGGGCATGTTGACGGGTGTTGGGAGTCGAGTAAGCAAGTGAGCTTGTGCAACAATGAGATGCAACAGGAGCGATCAAGAGATGAATCCAAAGCGGGGCACATTGATAACGCCACGTGTCTGTCGCGTGGCCAAAACATATACGTGTCATTTGGGCAGCCTCTGTTTTGGCCACCCAGCGTTCGCGGTTCCCCGTCCAGGAGGTGTTTCCGGGGTTCTCAACAAGCAAAACCACATTCGACACATCTCATCCACATCCCATCATCCTTTAACTGGCCTCGTCCATCCCCCGCCGACAGCTCAGGTAGCTTCCATCTGCACGCCTAGTACCCTGCAAGCGCAACACTCGCCCTCTCCCTCTTTTTTTTTAGCAAAGGCCATCGAGCTTTTCGCAGTTGTACATTGCTGAAACAATGGGCAAGTTGACCCTTGGCGAGCAGGACAGGCGGGGGATTGCGGCCATCCGCGAGCTACAGTGGGTTACATGTCTGCGTGTACCGCCTCCTAACGTGCCTCCAGCAGCAACGCGTTTGCGACCTCGCGCATCGCTGTCAACCGCCGTCTCGGCGACGAAGACGTGCGACTCCGGAGCATTCTTGCCGAATTGGATCCGACGGACGCATCGACAGTTGAGGCCTGGGAGGAACTCGTGCTGGTGTGTACTGATATGCGGTGGGGGGCGTTATCTGCATCTCGGTGTTTCTGACATGGCCCGCAGTGCGTAGTGCGATCCCGCGAACAACGAGCCGAGTCGGAGAGAAGGCGTACCCGTCGAGAGGTGCGCGAACGCGAGCGTGACCGAGTGCGCGATACCGCAACCTCGGGCGACTTCTGGCGCTTCTCGCAGCAGTCCGGCCAGCCGACTCCACCGCCTCGCCGGTTCTTTGTCGAGCACGAGGTTGATGAAATGTATCCCTCGAGGCGTAACCGTCCTCTGTTCCCGCTACCACGCAGCGTCGAGCTGGACCCCGAGCTTGACCCGGAAGTCGACGGCGGGACGGGGCAGGAGCGTGATCCCCTCCTCGATACATTCGACCCCACGGACTCGCACCTCGTAGATGTCGCCCGGCCCATGCCGATCATCAATGCCGATGAAGAGTGGGCCTTTACCGGGCGACTCGATGACGACGACCACCCAGTGATGCGGCCACATCTGTTTGACTTGTCTCGTTCGTCGCCTTTGCCCGACGCACAGCCCGACGACGCCACTCGTGATCCACCCACCGTTCTGGACCTGGCATCCCCCCACCGTTCCCGCCACGGCGTGACGGGCCGCTCGCGCAGCACGTCTCCTCGTGACCACCCCGCCCGCTCGTGGCTGGAAGAGTACACCTCGGCATCGTCAAACTACGTCGTCTCGCTTGGCCGTCGACGACGCGAGGACGAGTCGGGACCCAGCACGCGCCGCCGACTGCGACACACTGACATGTTCGACATTCGCGACCGCGACAGCTTTACCACCAACTCGAGCGGCCGGGACACTCGCCGCGACGGCATCATCTTCCCGTCGTCCGTCGACGGGTGGCTGGGCAGTGTTCTCGACCGTGGCAGCGACGACGAGGGACCAGCGCCGGCGCCGGGCCTCGTTCGTACCGTTTCCCTCTCGGCTGTAGGTGGAAGTGACCGCCCAGTTGCGCGTCTCCCCCGCCGTCCGGCTTCCATGCTTCGCGCCGACTAGCCAAGGGCCGAGCCCTTCTTGGCCCCGTGCCACACCAAGGCAGGCAGCATCCTTCCTCCCTTGCACCTCCAACACCCACATCTGTATCATAGGATATTTGTATTGCACTTTAGTGTGATAGTTGCCATATGCGATTGGGCCACTGTGCCCCCCGTTGTCTTCTCCATCGACCTGTGCTCTCCGCCACTCTGCACCCTTGCGGGGATGGATGATCAGGCCAGCCGGTGCTTGTACTCCTATCTGCACATCTGAACCGGGGGGAGGCCATCCCAAACCGACAGGGATCTGGCGATGGGAACCGGAGTCCAGGATTGCGGGACGAGTATGTACGTGCGTTGCCTTCAGGTCAGCGTAAAGGTCTTGCGTGGGGGCCAGAGGCCGTAGGGATCGAGCAGGAACGACACAAAAAAAACGGTTAACCTTGTCCTTTTCCGCAAGGATCTGTGCTTGACCTTCCTTGCACTTGCCCGCACCTTGACTACAGTACATCTCCTCGAACACCTGTGTCTACAGACAGGCCTTACGGGTTCCCGCACACCATGCCTATTCTGCGGTTCCTTACAGGTCAGGCCGTATATGAGTGCAGGGGGCCCCTGAGCGGCTCAGACATGATTGTGTTTTTTTTGTGCGCTGAGTGGCGAAAAGGACCTCACCTGTGCGTGCGGTGGGTTCACGACTGCGTGGCGCGTCGAGCGTACGAGCATCGCGTCCCGTCCAACCGGACTAGCCACGATTGTGGTCCAGTGAAGAGAGGGCTTGCCATTACAACGAGTCTGGTTTGCTGAGCTGCCTCTCCTGCTGCGAACACTGGGGCCTCAGGTGTTCGGCCCGCTGTGAAGATGTCCAGTGCGCGCGCCAGAGCAAGAAGAATAAGTGGGATGAGGCTACGGAGGGGCCACACTGCCATTAGGCAACCCGGCCCGGTGGCCGGTACGCCGGACTGCCGACACGGTACTGCACAAAGGGTATCTCCATAATGAACGGACGCCAAGGCCATTATTATACAGGACCCGAGCATCGTCCCCCAAAGGCCACAGGATACAGTCAACAGGCCACAGGGTACGGCGAGCAACGGGGGCTGTACTAGACTAGACTGGTTGCCAAAATGAAAGTAACTGCTCGTCGAAAAGAAAGCAAGAACTGACGGGCAAAGTATCGATACCCTGTGGTGCAGTGAAAGGGGCTGCCAGGGGGGGGGGGGGGGGGGGGGACGGTGACGCGCAGCACTGTAAAGAGAGTATTCTGTTGTATTCTGTCGACGGGTTGCATCCGACATTTCATCGACCCCACTTGCCATTTCCCTCCAATTTCCTCCTACCAGTGGCATTTCAGTTCGCCCGCGCCCCCGTCCGCCACAATATATGTGTGTGCCGTGGACCGGAATGGCGGTGCGGCGACTGACCGACTGAATTGACGGCGTGCGGAAGTCTTACTTTTGCAGTTGTGGTGTATGTGTATGTATGCTCGCTTTCTGTGTCACCTGAGCTAAGAACGCCGCACGAGGAATGGGATTGTGCCATGAACAAAAAAAAAGAGGACCGCAGCGGTACAGAGGTACAGAGGACGACTGGGAGCGAAACAGGTCAATCCCAACCTCCCACCACCCGACCCCCGGGACCGCCGTGCTCGTCAGTTCCACCACCAGAACGAGCTAGAGGCCCGCGGGTGCCTTGTGCGCAACCTATTCAGCTCATGCTCGCCGCACAATGCAATACAGGATCCCCAAACCTGATCCTGATCGTTACCGAAACCGATCTGGAGCTCTGTGCCATCTGGCTCTGGCTCTGGTCTGGTCTCTGGTCTCTGGTCTCTGTACCTCTCTGTGTCGCAATGATGTCGATCGCCGTCGGCTTTGGCGTCTGCAGGGGGGGACAAAGTGCAAGCACAGAGGGATCCAATTGATGACCCCCCCCCCCACCACCACTGTACCGCCCTGGGGTATATTCGCGGCCGCCTCTCTCGGTTCACGGTCGTGTGGTCCGTGTGCTAGGCGTGACCCCCCCCTCGTCGCCCGTCGCCCGTTGCCCGTCGCGACGCTCGTGTCATCGTGTCATCGGTGTCCGAATATAATCCACTCATTAGCCTTCATTCCGTGGTTGGGGGGGATCTTTGTCTCGGTAACCCACCCCGTCCCGTCCTCGGAGGCAGTCACCCGACCCCTCTCTCCCTCCTTTCCCCTCCCTTCCCTCTCTCCCTTCGCTGCCCTGCACCGCCCCCATTGTGTCGTTGCGCGCGGCGCGGCGTTTGCACGCGATGCGAGCGCTGTGTCGGTCCAGCATTCCAGCGCCGGTGGGTCGTCAAAGGCGTGGCGTCGTCTGGCGGCGGAGGCGGCGGCGGCGGCCACATGGTGACACTGCGCCACATGTGCCAGCCAGCGGTGGGTAATGGCCCAGTAGTGTGGCCCAGTAGTGCTTGTCGCTTGTCGCTTGTCCAGAACAGGGAAAACAGGCAGAGAGAGACGCTTCCTCCGGAACCTCGGGACGGACCAAAGAGCCGTGGCGGACACAGCCGACGCGTACAGAATCGGTGTGGGTTGGGGGGTAGCGATGCGTCTTGCTGGCAAAGAGTGCGTTCTTCCCTCCCCACTCCGCGCATCGTAACAACGCTTGAGCCGGTGGTCGCTGCAGCTACAGCCTGAACCCCTCAGTGCACCAGGACACCCACCACCTGCAACCTGCCTGACCACCTATGTACACCTGCATGCCTGACTCCTGTAGATCACAACTAGGACAGCAGAGGCCCTTCAACATGCCGTTTCCCGCAACTTGCAAAGGGTATTAGAGACAGGGTTCTTCAGAAGGTACCGACCGATATGGGAGCTTGGTAAAATGGGGAAAAAGAATGCCGAAATATGGTGCACCCGTCCCCGTCCACCCGTCCGCTCGTCAGTATCTCGGCATTTGTGTGTATACCACAGCAGTCGTCGTTCCCTAAAGGGTGGTGGCACACCGGTGGGTTTGTTGGAACAGGTCATGGCACGCGACGTGGTGGCCAACACTGTCGTCCATGGGTGCAATTGTTTCTTGCTCTGGCGATGCGCTGTTCCCGCACACCGCACACCCACACATCCACACCATTCACGCTTCGCTAGCCACTCCCCCCACCGGCCGGCCGCTCGCAATCACGTCCGCCCGTGTCGGACGCGGAGTGCCCGCCTTAGACGAACGGCTATCTGTTTGTGTTTGGCCATTGGTATTCAGGAAACAAAGAAAAAACAAGAGAGCGAATGCGGCCAACGCGTACGCCGACGTCCCCCGCTGGGTCCTGTAACATGGCGGTGGTGGCGTGTGCGGATGTGACGAGCGCCAAAGGCAGCCCGCGGCGTCGGCGGCGTTGGTTGTGGCGGGCTGGCGTAGGCGGGAGGGGGGACGCGCTGCCACACGACCGTACTGTACATGACTGCGGCGACGTCGTCTGTGCGTGCAAACGAGCAAAGGCACCGAGCACGACACGACACTACTTCTACTGCTGCTGCTGCTGCTGCGAAGCCCGTTCGGGGCTCGGGATTCTGGAGGGGGCGCGCCGAGCAGTATGCCGTCGTCGAGGCTGGTGGCTGCGGGCGGAGTTGCCGTTGTGGCCGGCCAGCCCTTGGCGCTGGGCGGAGAGGAAGAATGGGTACACGGTCCTCTGGGGCTCTGTCGAGTGCATGTTGTGCGACGCCGACGGAAGGAGGCGGGGCACATACGAGAGTGCATGCGAGCATGCGAGCATCGCCGGCGGCCGGCGGCCGGTGAAGAACCAAAGAACCACGAATGTGCACAGCAGTGAGAACCGCTGGCTGCTGGGCTGCTGGCCGCTGTGCCCACATGTCAGCGGGCGCGGTAGTGGCCAGCACGTGAGTGAGTGTCTGAAGGGCATCGAGCAGGGCCGTGGTGGTCATCTAGGATCGTGGCCGCGTCGCCGCCCAGGAGTGCAGGAGCTCGGCGGGGACACCAGACGTGCCCCACGGGTTGGTGTTGGGCTGCTCGGAGCGTAGACGTCCACTCGCGCGCCACTCGTCCACCACCACCTGCATCTCTCCGACAGTGGTCAATTGGCTGACGTGGCTGCACGGCCAGCAGCCAGAGAGGCGGGGAGGCGTATGTGCAGTGTTCCTCGCAACCCTTGGGGGACTCTTGAAATGGTCCTTTGCCCCACCCACGCTTTACCCTTCCACCCCTGTCCATGTGGTCTGGCAGTGAAGGGACGAAGATCCCGATGATGCAGGTGGTGTCAGGTCGCGTCTGCGGGTGGGTTTATTGTTGTTGTTGTTTTTGTTTTCGTCGACGTTGTCATCGTCGTCGTCGTCGTTGTCGTTGCTGTCCCGCGCGGAACCGTGCCGTGTGAGCCGGTTTCCAGCGCTGTGGTTCGTGGGACATTCCCCGTGCTTGAAAGCTTGACGTTCTTGGCCCACGTCCTTGGCACGTCGCTGTACCGCTGTCTGCGTGGGCCGTGCTGCCATGAGTCATGAGTCTCTCGCACCCTTGCTCCGCCAAGCCAAAAAAGCCGTGGTTTGTGACACTCGCTGCGCGCCTTATCGTTCCACCGTCGGACATCCCGCACCACGGCGGCGTTGAGCACAAGCTCACCGCCGCCAGCCATAGAAGCGCACGCACGCACGCACGCCTGAACATCTCTGACCGCCGAGGGGAGCTGGCGGTGCCGCACCTCGCAACTCGGTTGCTCTGTCTGCCTCCTCTGTGGACACTTTTGTGGCGCCACCGGCGACCGATCCGACACTCCGGAGATACACCAAGTGGGTCCATGCGTCCGTCCCGTCTGTCCGTGTACTCATCGTCCCCACGGACGCGGGTCGTCTCATGGGTCCCATGTGTGACTGCGCAGCTGCGATCTCGATCGGAGAGCACGCCAGACGCGCCAGACGTGCCAGACGCCGTGTCGGACCATGCAGACTGGCGGGCTTGGCCTTGGAGGACGGCTGACTGACACAGGGTCACGGTCGTACGCTCTCGGTGTCTGGTCGGTGACCTTTTCCGACCTTTTGCCGCGCTTGCGTTCTG